ATCCGCCACCGAAACGGGACCCTCGACCACGCGTACGGATGTCGCCACCGCTACCCAAACGAGCGCGGACGGCGAGAAAGCCTCGGTGGAGGATGAGCAAGTGCCACTAGATGGCCATCTCGAAAGTAATCCCGATTCACGCGAAGATCTAGAGTATGAGATGGAGGGTGATAAACAAGAGCTCATCGGTAAAAGGACGCGCTACCGGATCTGGAGAGAGTTTTCCAAGGGCATGCACAGTACGTTCTCCTCTTCCTCGAACGTTTTCAGTCTGACCCTGATTGTTTTTTAACCAGATGATACCTGCGTCCAGCCAGGATACTGGGCAGCCGTCTGGGAATTCGTCAACTCGCTGGAGCCCCTGCCGTCGACTATATAGATGTTATTTTGTCTTTACGATATCTTACTGAACTATGATTTTATTTTCATGAAAATGAGCAGCTATCATTTCATAAAGTGCGCGCTACATCTGAAGAGAAGAGAAACAATCTTTTGGATCCAAACAACGATGCCAACATCCTAGTACAGCAAGTGAAAGGGACTGAAACACAATCGCACACTGCGCGAGGATGGAGTAATCCCTCTGAAGGGAGCCCACAAAAGACTCCAGTGATGATGACAGGAGCACTGAATGCAAAATGATACCGCGCATGCAAAGACGATGCAGTGCAAATGGGACGTAAGAGGTCGTAATGTGCTTTCGTAAGTGCCGGTAGGCGTGGTGGTGGAGAAGCGGATGACGACAGAAACCCTGGCTGTGGAAACTGCACGAGCCACACGAGTCTGTCGCAGCCGACGATGAGTGATTGAAGGAAAGACAAATGTGGATCCAGCAAGTATGTTCAAACTTGGTGGTGGCTGGAAATCGATCAATCCACGCGACACCAGGCAGGGCGCGGTGGCGACAAGCGAGATGTTGATCGATTGGGAGTTGGGCTGAGCAAGCTGGATGGCATCGGCTCCAACGTGTGTTTTCGCAAACGCGATTGATGCGATGCGAGTGATCGAGAATGCGGGGTAATGATGGTGATGGATGGGTAGTTGCCAAATTAGCGAAATGGCGAAGGGGGCGGGCTTGTGTCGTATGAGACGGGAGTGGGAGGAAGGAAATTGTTGGCATAGAACATAGGGGGAGATACAGAATCTGCGACGAGCAACGTCCCAAGCATCGCGCAAATCTGCATCGAGAGAGAGAGGAAGATGAAACGAGAACAAGTGGGAAAGGAATTAGTGATTCGGGGGTGATATTGCTACTTTGTGGTGGGACGGTAGAAGAAAGATGAATGGTAGAACATGTGAGGGTATAGATGGAAAGGGGTAGGTGGAAGGGGATGAGAATGATAAGGAAAATCCAGATCAGCGCGCATTGTTAATCAATAAGTAGTGCGACGAGATTTCTATGGGGAGGGAAGCGAAAGGGGCAAGGGAGACTGGAGGAAGAGGAGATCGGGAACGAACACGAAATGACGAGACGAGCAAAGATCTGATAGAGTAGCAATGCAGTACAGCATCGCCGATACCACGGAATAAGAGATTTCCGTGAATACACGTGCGACGATGGGTGCCGTGCGGGCGAAAGGAGGACCAGTCTTGTCCTCGGAAAGAGATTACAGGCCCGTGATCCGCACCATCGGGTGGGTCAGAGAGGCGTTTCTTTTTGTGAATGACAATGGAACCGTTGCGGTTCTAGTTGTTGAAACAATTATTCCGAGATCCTTTACGAAAATCGATAGTAATAAGGCATCAACGACGGACAGAGGTCGGCGTAGGAGTTGCAGGCGTGCGTAGCATTGAGCCATGTCGAGCCAGGTTCGAGTAAGTGTATGTGTTTTCGGCCGCAGACGCATCCTCGGTATCGTCGATCATGGGTAACCAGACCTTTGGATACGCTTGTTGGCGAGGGGTCTGGATAGGGCGAGGACGGGTTTGATTGCGGATCGGAGGTGGTGTCCCACCGGGAGGAAGCGGTGCGGTCATTGACCGAGGGACAGAAGACTGCGCAGCAGTGCGCGCCATCAATGTCTCTAGGCCACTCTTGGGTGTTGGGCGAGTGGCGTAAGGGATTGGCGAAGGCGCAGGGGACGTCTGGCGAGCCGACTGGGGTGTGAAGAATTCGCGAGCTGGCTGAGGCGAAGGCGACGAACTTGCGCTAGAAGCAGCAGAGCTACTTCGCGACGAGGTCGCGCTCGCAATGCTAGGCAACGACGTGGGCGCATAAGGGTTGATGCGCGTCGGCGAAGTGGTCACAGACCGTGGAGGCGCAAGTCTGGCGCTTTGCGTCTCTGGGGAAGAAACATACCGCGACGGTGGCGGGGAAGAGACGGGAGTAGGAGCCGTGGGCGAGGTCGGCGACGCCGGTCCAGGGAAAGGAGAAGAATGGAGGCGCGAGGCAGCGGCGGCACCTGGGCTAGCCTTGCGCAGGCGTTCAACTTCTGCTTGCAATTGAAGGCATTCATGCTGTTTCTCGCTATATTGTTGCTTGCAACGGCGAACATCGGCTTCGAGGACGGTTTGTTGAGCCTCCAGGGCCTTGATTCGTTCCCGGAGACCGTTTTCCATAATCTGAGCGGTCTTGCTCGATTCTGTGTAGGCGAGAGAATTGAGGAGAATGGCGCGGAGAAGCGCTGCAGACAGTCGGAGGGCGGGGAACTGGATGCGTGAGAAAGCGAAAGTCAGTTACTGTTTCTGGTCACCAGGCGAGTAAATCGGACTGGGGGTGACTGGATTGGCGCGTACTGAATCTGCCATTGGCAGTTCAAATGACTCGCCCAGCCAACCTCAAGGGCCCCTAGGTGGGCCAGCACCGGCCGAATGCAGACCTGGGATGGGGGGCTTACGCCAGTGCTGAGCCCAGGAGCCACAGGATCTCCAAACTCTATCTAACAGGGATCAAGGCATAAGGGAGAATGACGCACCTTTCCATTCGGTTTGTACTTTGGCTCGGTGAGCAGCCAGTTTTGGATGTCGTCACGGAGCTCAGAGACTTCCTCAAACGTGCACTTGACTGACGCAGCCTTGGAGACTCGGAGCTCGAGGGCTCTGGCCTCTTCGCGGATGCGGGCCTCTTGATTCCAAGGTGAGCGCACACGGTCACTCAGGTCGGAGTCGGTGTCGTCCGACGGGAGAAAGTGCTCGTAGGAGAGTTTGGGAAGAGGATCTGCAGGATCCACTCGGACGAGGCAGATGGATTCGATGTTAAACCCTTCACGGCACAGAGGACAAGCAGCGCCCTTCGGATTATTGTCGTTGATGCTGACGAGGCAGTTTCTGCAGAACGTATGACCTGTAATAAGTGAGCAAAGCAGAGCTAAACACCAGACTTGCTACGAGACTTTTGGCCGTAGCAAAAATTTTACATACCACACGGAATGAGATAGGGGAGGCAGACGACGCCATATTGGTCGCCGCAGACGTCGCAAACGGACGTCGGGTCGATGGTGAGCATGGTTTGAGCGCACCAGAGAACGGAAAGGAGCTCAAAGGGAGGGCAGAGGGCGGTTCCAAGTTGTGAGCGGGCAAATAAACCGAATCCGGCGCTGGGCTAGGGTTGCTTCCCAGCGTCTTCGCAGCGCCGATCACTCGCGGCTGGTCCTTGGAGCGAGCTCATTCTGCAGTTTATACATCTTATATACACCGTCTGCTTTTTTCAGTATTTTTTTCGCAGGTTTATTGGTCACCCCCGGCCTAGAGGGCTGACCAACCAGTGCTTCTCGGCCGTTCTCTACATTTCTTGTGTAATCTTTTGCCTTTTGGGACGCTGCTTGTCCACGCCACCCGCCAGCCACAGCTTGCACCGGCGTCTCATTCGTCGTCTTCGTTGACCACGACGACGACAAAAATCCTCTGGTATTTACGCTCATAACTCTCAAGAGGCGCTCATCTTCGGGATCCCGGCCCTGCTTCAACGCCTCGTTGCTCGAGTGCGGCAGCAAAAAAGCCCCGACGCAGGCTACGTACAATCGGTCAAATCACTGCGAGATGAATTTCCTTTCCAAGGATTGATGCGTTGGAGGCGCATCTGACAGCGAGCTCGACACGCCCTCTACTCGTGTTACTATCGGAATAACATGTAACACTCCCTGCAATCTTGACAATACGCCTCCTTGTGTCTGTTCCGAGCAATCGATCACTCGACAAAAGACCCTCTCTCTGCGGCGTTATCAATGACAAAATCTGGCGCAACCCAACCGCTCGATCACACATCTCAAGCGTCTGTAGAATTGACGCAGACGCGTAAGACTCCAATGCCTCGTGCATCTCCTAGGCCTGGTCTCATCTGCGGCCATCCGCTAGTTCCAGCCCGGAAGTCTCCACCTTGGACGCTCCAAACACGCTCCTTCTACGTGATAGATCCATCATACGACTCCTCGAGCCTGTGTAAGACCAAGCACCATCCGTAATCGAGTCGTTCTTTCTGACGACGCGCACCCGCGATCAAGCATGTCTCTGATCGGATGTATGCCTTCCTCGCGTATTCCGTGACTAGGCAAGGACGACGACTTCCCTACCCTCTGCCCAGCAGCATGCTGCACTCCTCCACAGACCCGTCTGGCCCGTCTTTCTGGACCGTGACATCTTTGGGGATCGATATGCTTGTGAATTTCACCTCACTCTTGCTCGCATGTAACCTAGGCAAACTGTCAGCCAAAAATTTGGATTTCCTCGGTGATTTCGAGTCGACCCCCTCAGGGCCGGCCATCGAAACACTCGGCATTCTACAATTCCCATCAGCATCAAGGATTGCGTATTTCTATTTATTCAAAAGAACCGTCGTCATCAAGGGGGGATTCGACCGCGGTCTTGTCTCGTACCAGAGGGAGAACGGTAAATCCACCGCCACCTAGCTCGCTACTCAGTCCTCTTAGTACCCTATCTCTACATACCTTGAATCGACGATTTCCGCCAGAAACCCTGTTGCTGTTTATCAGAGAGCTGCCGCCTTGAGTAATTTGAGTTGCAAGGGACTTCGTCGGTTAATAAAAACATGCCTGAGGAACGTGCCCTACCCTCAAATTCACCTTATCTCGTCTTCCTCAACTTCCTCGTCTCAAGTTCGGCGAGCAGTGCCGCGACAAAAAAAGTCGTACGACAGGATATTTCCCCCTTCACCAGTGCAAGCCAAAAGATCATTTCTGCTCGATGCTCCTCTCTGCAAAAACACGCGTTGAGCCAACATGTGGCGTCAAGTCGAGCACGCAACGAGGCAAAGGTCGGAAGCGCCACCGGGTCGGCCAATCACCGACGATCGACAGTATTGGACATTCGACACGCGATCAGAAGTCTTCTGACATCCTCTTAGTTTCGACAAGCGCATATACCTCTTTCGGACCTGTCTAATTGTTGTGATAGTAGACAGTAAGCACACACAGCAACACGTCTATTAGTCTCTGCATGGGTGCTGTCGTTAGTGAGATGGTCCGGTGGACATGCAGGCAAAGACTTACTCTGGCGTGACCCAAACAACCTTTCCTGTGCATTCAGCACCTTTCTTGCCGGTTCCGCGTCCAGTCCATCTTAGTAGACCAAGCATGTCCATCTCGTGTAATGCCCACATGAATCGCGCGTATGCCTCCCGTCTCCACCCTTCTTCAGAGAATTCGGCTTTGCTCTTTGTAGACTGAGGTCGGCCCGCTTCCAGACCTTGGACGAACGATTCAAACCAGTCGTACACGTTGATAGTCCGGCCCGCATCCGCATAACGAGCAAAAAGAATGCAAATGTCCGGGTTGGTGACTGGACCGCCACGTCGTGTCGTTTCCTGCCCGTTCATTGACGATTGCGATGCAGTTGTATTGGACGTCGAGGTCACGTCGTGGAGCAGGTAACTGCCAGGGTGCCGTAGGGATTCGAGGACCACGTTCCGCATGCTCGGGTTCAGCATCTGGAAGCTCATGAGACCTGCAAGTTCGCAGCAGCAAACTTACATCGATAGGCAGTTCGACGTCAGCCGTTCTCCACACAGCAGAAAGCGGATGCTTCAGCCAGCTATCCATAGTCTGCCTGGTCACCGAGTTAGTCACAACCAGCATCTGTAAGCACCGACTTGCCACATATCTCGCAGCTGAGTCGCAATGTCCTCTCCGATTGGATGGCGTTGCTTCGACTGCTCCTCTGTTTGCTCAGTGGTGTGAACCTCATGTCGAAACCTTTCTATTTGTGCGAGGAAAGTCTCATCTACAAGTTCGTCTGATATTTGCCGACCTGTGGTTTCTAGTTGTTGAAGAAATTCCAGGAGTTGAGTTCCGGTGAGAAGTCTAAATGAGTTGATTAACTAGCATGGCACGAGATAGAGAAAGTGACTTGCTGTATACGCTTGAGCAGTTTTGGGTAAATCTCTTCGAGTCGGCCGTCCCCGAAGAGTCCAACGAGCTTTATGAACGAGATACCAAGTTCAGAAGCGTGATTTTGCTGTGAAAGCTCGCGTAAATACGCTTGTGTAACTAGGAGAAGATGAAACGAGCGCTTTGCCGTCTGGAGCCGAGTATTGAAGTCGTCAATTGCTTTCCCCGATAGTTGAAGGAATGTTTCCATTGACGGTGTAATAGCGTCCAACGACGTCGCAAGGTCCTGAAGGAACTCGCCGGCTTCTTCCACTTCACCGAGTTGAATGCGATCTGCCAAAGACTCCAACCCAAAGGAGTTGTCGCTCCATAAGATAGAAAGAGGATTTTGAAAATGGCGAAGATAAATCAGCTAGAGACTATGAGCTTGGAGAGAGACTATTTGCCTTGGACTGACTTGGACGTGTGAGATGAACGAATCAAGGGATCCATGAAATCTACTCCACGAATGATGAAGCCAAGAGGTTACTCTTCCGCTAGGAATAAGTGAGGGGGTAAAGCTTGGGTCCAGAAAGATCTGTCGGAGCTATAAGAGTAAGCTCTTGAGAACGTGGAAACGTACCCGTTGGATGAGCATCTCGAAGCGATGCTCCTCGGTGGGTAATACAAATTTTGTGACAGTTAGAATCTTCCTTGTGGCACGTCCGAACATAGTTGTGAGCACGTCGGCTGATGAGGCGCCAAGGATGAAGGTGAGTGGTAGTCGGTCACAGTAGTTCCTGAAAGAGTGTTAGATAGTGCTGGAGTCCAATTCGAATCTATACCTGCTAATGTGCAGAAGATCATGCACAACGTTAGCGGTGCATGACTCGAGATCGGGAATCAAGGCAACGAGTCTTGGGACTGGACGATATTCAAAGGCGGCAAATACATGTGAAAGAGATTTATACCTTCGTTTTCTCTGTTGGATACCCAGGTGAACCAGCTACAGAGCAGCTGCATGTCATAAGTCGCTACGGAGACAGTTGCACGTCGTTTCTCTAGCTCCTATTAGGTGCGCTCTCAAACATTGAGTATATGATGCGTACGGTGGTCATGGTGGCGAATGAATCCCTCTATCAGAGCCTTTAGTGCCGTTTGCAAGTTCGAGAGTGTGTTTGGAAGCAAGGTCGAAGTGTATACCGCGTTCGTTTTGAGTAGACGCAAATTCAAGTCGTTGATTAGACTTTGCCGATCGTCACCTTTACTTGAGGTCTCAGTTAGGCACGCGCAAAAGAAATGGAATCGGTCACCTACTACCAAAGCGGTCCGCAACTCTGGAGCTGGGAGCAGCTTCTGTACCCAGATTGCCGTTCGCGTCGCTTCTGAATCGTCCGTTTGCTTTATATAGGTCCAGATGCTTTCCAAGATGGCTGAATGCGATCGATTGGCGGTGGCCTGCCTTAAGGTTGGTGTGGGATGCTGAGAATGTATAATCTCACCAATATCTCCGCCTCACATATAGACCATGCTTGCTGGTAAATGGTAAATCGTGCAATGTTTCCATGAGGCAAGTCATTGATCGTTGAACCAGCGAATGAGGTTGGGGGAGCCCCCCTTTGTGTCCTTCTCTCCCTTTTCTGCAGCTTATTAGTCGAACTGTAGAGCTAGGCTTGTTAACTTGCTTGGAGAGAAAGGAATGCAGACGACTGCCTGCAGTAACTTTGTTAGGTCGCGGTTGGGAGTCACAGTGCTTTTACCAGCCTCATCATCATCCCATATATCATGATCCAACTCCATGTTATGTGTCCCGTGAGAATTTGAGAACCGAGGTTCAGTGGCGAGGTTCAACTTGTTTGTCGAGCGTCGACTTGGACCCGACCGCATCTCGGCGGCTACTCTCTTCAGCTGCAACATGAGCCATGAAGACGGGGACGTATCAATGACCAGTTTACGGGACGAACACTGCGACATGAGTCTCGATCATGAGACTATTGATGTCGTCTGGCAAAGTACGCAGTCTACAGCACTGCAAAGTATTCTTGAAGAGTCTAAATGTACGTAAGACACACCGTCGAGTCCTCAACATGGCTTCCTTCGACCAAGGATTCTCGCCTGGTTGCCTTTATGTCATGCCGAACTGACTCTCATTCACAGTGCGCAAAACACGAGCTACCTCTCCAGCAGCCAACTCGAACGACACGGCGTCTTTCATCCTTCCAGGCTCTCTTCTCCCAAAGTCACTCTTCCGAGATACGTCTACGACGCGGTCTATATCCCTGTTAGGGGATCAAAAACCGTCTATTCCGTTACCTCAACACCCAACCAGACCTGCTGTCAGCAGAGCAGGGAGCATGCCTTCGCTATTTCATGAAGCACAGCGGGCGTCGAGCAGCAGAAGCAGCCAGATACCCTCACCCGACACAGTGACAGACGTGCGCAAGATACGACCTTCTCAACGACGCTCTTCTACTCGCGATCAAACCACTCAGTCGTCAGACTCTGCAGAGGTCACGCAACAGGATCTCGAAAGCCTTAAATATATGATCAACACTGTCAGTAGGATTTGGGGACAGGAAAACTCTTCCACTTCGATTCGTTCATCGGGTTCTACATCCAACTTTTCCGCTCGCCTACAAAGTGGCTCGAGTTCAGAGTCTAGTCGTCCCGAGCCGGTTAAAACTATCAAACTGGGTCAACCTTTGGAAACAACTTCATCTCGGATACGACAATCGACGAGCGAGATCAAAGGTCTCATGCTTCCACCAGCATTGCCAACGACAACCAACGTCGAACCCCAGCTCTCGCTTCCGCGAATTTCGAAGCTCCCCATCACTGCGAAGCCTCTGAAACTGACAGAAAGTGCTCTTTGCGATGTGTCAATGGTCACAGAGGAAGCAGACGAGGCGGAAACGAGCTTTGACCTCTCCGAGCCGCCATCGCCATCGCCGACGGTACGGGCGAACCCAACCCGTTTCCAAGAAAAGCACGAAGTTACAGAGTTCACTCGCGAAAAGAGATTGTCGCAAGGCTCGTCTCGTCCTCTGTCGACCAACCTACTCTCCCAATTGCGCAGCGGACAACCGCGCTCGCTTTCCCAAACCCCTCTTTCTATCGTCAACGCCCCACCAAAAGCGCTTGGCATGCGTCGAACCGTATCTGGGAACAATGTTTTCCCTTCGAAATCTACCAAAAGAGATACGGAGACCAAGCCGCCACTTTCACGTATATACTCGCAGGCTTCTATGACCCAAGAGCAAGCCAGAATGAAGCCAAAGGGGTTCAAAGTACCATGGGCCAACGACAGCCCTACTATGGCCCCAGGATCTTTGCCGGCTTCTCAAACTTCAAACCTCTCTGTATCCTCACCTGTCAGCGAGTCTGGCTCCGACTCTGCTTCTGGGGTCGGTGGGTCTACGACTATCCAAAACGTTCACCCCGAGAACCCAGATTCATCCTACTCTTTCGATGATATCGACGTAGAGGAGCTAGATCGTGTTCTGAGCCAATGTGGCGCCTGATTCTGTACACAATCGACATGTAACGTCATTCGTTCTTAGGGTTTCTTACACCATGTTATATGATCGCATATCCAATGTATTCGAGCGCGCTCGAGTTACAATTGGTAATCGTACAGAATGTGAAGCCCGACAGACGAAACGCACACAGAGGCGTGAGTAAATATCTGGTACTGGTGGGGATTCAGAGGAAAGGAATGCGGGAATGCGGTTGACGGTCACGACGAAAAGAAACCACCTCCCCTGTGCGTGTTCAAAAGGAAAGGATGTCCGTCGTCTTCTTCACTGCACCGCTCGAATTAGTAGCTGGTCGCATTGTTAAAGATGAGCAGGTTGGGGGAGCCCTTTGGCAAGTCGCTGAGAACGTCTGGGGTCGAAAGGACGAGCAATGCCGTCTTGAGCTTCTTGGGGCTCAGAGTACCGGGGACAGCAGCAACGTCGTAATCAGCCTTGTGCTCGACTTGCTTCTGCTCGGGAGCGAACCAACCGGGAGCGAGCTTGCGGAGGATGCTAAAGACACCAGCGACGGGCGAGTCGGTATTGGCAACCGAGGCGAATTGACCGGCCATCTCAAAGTTGAACGTAGAGGTGGTAGGGTCAAACGACTCGGATGGATAGAGCGAGAGCAAATACGCGAGCATGCCAGCGGTGTGGGGCGAAGCCATCGAAGTGCCAGAGATGGTGTTGGTGGCGGTCTTTGAGCCAATCCAAGTCGACAAGATACTCAAACCAGGAGCGAAAACGTCGACACAGGTACCCCAGTTGCTAAAGTAGGCGCGGTCGTCTCCAATCGTCGAAGCACCAACGGTCACTGCCTGCGTAGAGTAATTAGAAGGAGAAAAAGCTACGAGTAGCAAAAGCATACCTTTTCAGCACCAGCGGGCGAATAGTTGCATGCATCCCTGTTGTCGTTGCCTGCCGCGACGGCAAAGTGCATTCCACTGTCGACAGCCTTGTTGACGGCATCATCGAGCGCCTTGGACTTGCCACCACCGAGAGACATGTTTGCGACGGAGCCCTTGTGAGCGGTAAAGCCCCGGGCTGCATATTCCGCACGCGCCTTGGCCGCCGCCTTTGCAGCCTCACTGGCCGCCCAGACGACACCACCGACGACGTCAGACATAGATCCAGAGCCGTTAGAGCCAAGGACCTTGACGGCGATGAGGTTTGCCTTCTTTGCAACACCGTAACGACGAGATCCGATGGTTCCGGCGCAGTGAGTACCATGACCATTGCCTGTATACAGTCGTCAGCAACACGTCAAAAAACGTGCTTGGGGGAGGAGGCGGGGCACGTGGTCTGTAGAGAAAACGTACCATCCTCGTCAACGTCGTTTGCTGGCATCGTCTTTCCCCAGCGTGCGCGGCCCTCAAATTCTTCGTGCTTGATGTTGATACCCGTGTCAATGACATAGACGTCGACGCCCTCTCCTCCGTCGGCATCGTATTCGTACTTGCCGAGTGTTGAGAACTTGAGCTTCTCGCGATGACTAACACGGGCGAGACCCTAGATAGACACTGGTCAGCACGTGTTGCAATCGAGATCCGGACCTTGTAAACATACCCAAGGAGCGTTTCTCTGAATAGTCATCTCGGATGCCCAGACGAGCTGGTCCTGCTCGACGTACTCAACCTCTGGTTGTGCACGGATGCGCTCCACGGTCTTGTCGCTAAAGGAGCCTGCATAACCCTTTGTCTTTGGGCCGTCGTAGACGTGCTTGAGACCGGCGTCTGTGCTCAGGGGATCCTCTGCGTGGGTAGACTCGAGGAAGTTGAGATGCATAAGCATTGCAGCGGGGTCAATGTCTGATTTGAACATGACAATGTACGAGTTGTTGATGAGATGAGGCGTCGACGGCGTCACAAACGGCGCCAACGGCATTGTCGCCTGCTGTCTGCGTCCGATAAACGGAGACGTGGAGAGGGGAGTTGATAGTACATGTTGGATGCCTGTAGCGGCAGAGAGGAGGATGAATTGGAGGAGCATGCTTGTCGTCGTTGGGTCCAAGCTGCGAGTCCACACAAAGCGCAGCAGCTCAGCTTCAGAGTCTGACTAGAATATACAGTAAATTAACTGTAATGTCTAGATTTGCATTCTGAACTTGTCATTACATGGCGTTATCTCTTGCTGAGTGAGCATACGCGTCCAATGAACAACTTACTATTCCACTAGTTACATTATAACAACTGGTACACATGATATAAACCCGGCCTGCGTCTTGACCTCTGCCTCCATCCCGAGTTGCTCTACTTGTTCACTAATGGCCCTCCCAAAGGTATCTATCGTGTTATCTGTTGTCCTGTATGCATGCTAATGCAATGTTACAGCGAATAATCAAGGCGCGTGAGCTCCCAACTTGGTCCACCCTCCTCGCTGACGCCGTCGATCGCATCTTTTGGCGTCCGATAACAAACTACTTCTATTTCATGCCGTTGTCGATGCTGGTCTGGCCAACCTACAGGAAACTGAGCGTCTGATTGCAGATCCTGCACCGGGCATCTCTGCGGTCCCTCACGAGGATAACCTACGTTACTTTGATGTCAAGATTGACGGTCCAAGCGGTAGTCCTTTCGAAGGTATGTCCCCTTATTGTCGAGCGGCCTGGTGGCTAATAGCATCCTGTCATTGCGTCTAGGTGGACAGTTTTCTCTTGAACTCTTTTTGCCCGAAGAATATCCTATGAGCCCTCCAAAGGTCCGCTTTCTCACCAAGATTTACCATCCAAACATCGGTGCGCCTCGTAGCCATCGAGAGTGGCAAAGCTACTCACAAAGCGTTTAGACAAGCTCGGTCGGATATGTTTAGATATTCTAAAGGGTGCGCTACTGGTCTGTCATCATCGAAGCCCGGAATGACGGAGATTTCTATTTCAGACAAATGGTCTCCCGCATTGCAGATTCGGACAGTGTTGCTTTCTATCCAGGCATTGCTCTCTGCTCCCAATCCTGACGATCCACTGGCTACCGATGTGGCCAAGCATTACAAGCAGGACGAGCGTGACGCACAGCGTGTGAGCAAGGAATGGACCGAGAAGTATGGTATGTCCTAACCCTGGACTTGTTCCGTGATTCGCGGTACTGACACTTTTCCCGCCAGCCAAGTAACGCGGGGTGTCCATGTATCGAACCGTGTCGTATTCACGACTGTACTTACATAACATATCTGAATACTGAGCATTGTCCTGCACCTCAAACAGGGTTTGTAATTATGCCCGACCAAACATTTTCCACTTCTTGTCCCTGTCCATTATTGCGCACGGCGTGATCTCACCAAAACTACTGCCTTTGGCGCAGAGCCAGCGCGTACGCTCTGTATTTCAGCAACTGTAGAGCTTGTCGAGGACGTTGTAGAGCGCATACGGTCACATCGCCGGCAACGATGAGCCAACCTGCAGATCGCCACGAGGCTCTGGACGACGTTGCGCATGGAACAAGCAACTCGAGACCCCCGCAAGTCACATTTGAACCTCTCACAAGTTTTAAGCGCTCCCTAGAGGAAGTCGTCGGCTTTGACTTGCCAAGCGATGAGCCCTTGCACGCCCTCGCCGTCTCAACTGCGGGCGAATTGAGACCACGAACAGGTCACGAACAAGCGTCTGGGAGACACTTTATTTCTAGCTCCGGTATGGCTTTGCATTCGGGCGCTGGATCGCTAACCGTGGCTCACATTGTGCTACAGAAGTTATAGTCATACCCGATACTACCTCTTCATCTACTTCTCAATCGTATCCAACCAATAGCATGCCCAGCGGAGCCTCCGCGCTGGCTACACGCCGCTCGTCTCAGGCCACACCTCCTCTACTGCCCCCAATCGATAGCCAGTCGCATCTTTTGGAGCTCATTTCCGACTTCTCTGCACCATCACAGCGCGTAGATGCCTCGTTGCGGCTACACAGTCCCACGCAAGAGACAACCGGAAGCTCGAGCACCAGCGAAACTGAGATATTCCTGTCAAGCTCTAGGCGTCCCGAAACACTACGAATGCATTTGAACGGCCTACGACAACGGCTCGCTGCCACTTCTTCGTCATCGCCTTCCTCTTGGGCTTCCTCGACTACCAACCCGAGCTCCAATCCCGTCACTCGACGACTGATTCGAAACGCTTCGAGTCAGCAACCGCAGCCCACCGACGTCAGACGAAGCCAGAGCGCTAATGCTCGGACAGTGTCAAACGGCGCCACTGCAGGACCGTCGAGACTGTCTTTGGACCGTCCAACATCTCATCGCTCACCTGAACTCCCACCTATCGATACGTCTGATCACGGTCTCGGCGGTCTTTCCAGTTTGCTCTACGGTGGAGAGCCACCAGCAAACGTGCGAACATCGTCCGTAAGCAATGCAGAGAGAGACGGCAATTCAACCTCTGCGGCCCTACAACATCTCGTGGCTCGCTCCGGTGGCTTTATTCCCTCGCGTCCCTTTGTCGAATCCCCAAGTCCACCCACGGCCACGACTCCGATTTCCCAACCACTCACCATGACATCGCTCACCATCGAATGGGATCGAATACGGGAATTTCAAGAAGCTATCGCTCCTCTGAGGGCCACGCCGTCCCCTGGTCCTGGCCCCGGTCCCTCCAATCGTCCACACAGACTAAGAGGACCCTTCCCTCCTGTGCTACCCCATCCTTTCGAAGAGGTTACGAGTCCCTCGACTCCCGGTACAGCAGAAGAAGGTCTCGGTGGATACTTTTGGGAACGACAGAGAGCAAACTACCGAGACGAGCTTCGGTACATTCACAACCTCACCACCGTTCTGGATGAACGTGAAGCAGACCTCACGCCAGTGCGCTCAATCCCGATGCTGCCGCCAATCGTGCAATCACCCCTCTTGGTCGTGGACGACGGGCTAAACATTGGCAACGAAACGCCAACCACTGCCGATGCAAGAGGAGATGACGATGAGAGCGAGTGGGAAATTGGCGAAGCACCAGCCGAGAGGGTCAGGGAAGCTCGACGAAATCTTGGACGGGCATCCAATGGCGACCTTGCAGCACCTCGCGAAGCAAGAGCACCCATCCTGGAACTACCAAACTTTTCCACTACCAGTCTCAGCTTAGACTATCAAGACATGAGTCCGTCTTCGCCTTCTAGACCGAACCCGTTGTCGCTTCGGGTATCCACCGAACAGATGCGACAGATGCCTACTGAGCACCTCCGACAGTTAAGGAGAGCGGCGGTTCAGTCGTTCCGCTCTCGTTCAAGATCGTCTTTTACACCGAGCGTGCTTTCCAACGATAGTGGCGATTTACATCCCAACGACGTGCGACCGGAATCGGTTGTGAGTAATGAGGACATTATTGTCGGTGTCCCGCCGATGCTCGACGAACCGTTTGACCGGAGTGTGTGGCGAGCCCTGGAGAATAGGATACAGACGGAAACAAACACGCACAATCACCATCACCACAGAGCACACGCAGGTGGGCTTATGCATCTGTCTGATCCAAGGTGCTCGACTGACCCTATTCGTCAGCTCATGACCATGCACATGATAATAGCCGCTTAGGGGTCTCGACCTCCTCCCATCTCACCGCCGGCGTTCTGGGACCTCGAGGGGAACCAATTAACGATGTTTCGTCCAATGTCAGCGTCAGATCTGCCGTCTCGTCGCCAGCACTTGATTTTGATGCGACTCGAGATCGCCCACTGGATGCTGAATTCCATGGCTTGATCCAACAGCTAAACGAAATGGCAGAAACATCGTTGACCGTTCAATCACTTCCAACCACGTTTAATGTGCCGTCGACTACCGTATCTGGTGGTACAGCTCGGTCTGTCGCTCGAAACTCGATGAATAGGAGGCTCCCGCATGCGAGACCTGCTGCGGCTGGAGACGGATCGTCGCTTCGATTGGACCATGCTCTACGGCAAGAGTATGCCAACGTGCTGGAAGGAGTTTCTCCGGACACGACGAGACTGAACAGTCTAGCAATGGCATGGGTAGAAAGCGAGACACCACGGCGAACTCCTCATCCGTAAGGAGAAATTCACTGTCGAAAGTGCTGAGACTCATGTTTTGTAGGCAGAGTTTTAGTCCTACGCGCTCCTGGCGAACCCACCGGGCAGGTCACACTCCCGTCTCCGAATTCCAGCTATTGGACGAGTACTGGACCAACAGCAACCCGGTTGTGATGCAAGACATCTCGCGAGAGCTCGAGTTTATGGAGAGATACTTGTTGGATAATCGCCCAGAGAATCCACGCAGTCAGGTATGTATGTGCATGGTTTATTGGAGATGGTTTAATCTATTCACAGAGTCGTTCATTCTCACCGAATTGGGATGCCGATGATCCTCTGAGCGGCTTCTTGGTCCGTTTCTCCGTTGTACTTTCTTCCTCGTGCTCACGCCCCCATAGTCTGACGTTGGCTTTGACGGATCATATGAAGCACTCATGGAATTATCCGAGCAGCTCGGTGTGGTTCCTCGAGGAGTCTCTGATTCTGTCTTTGCAACACTTGAAACCTCGCTGTTTAGGGACATTGAACCTCAGCTCATGGCGCTTGCATCCCCTGCGCTCAGCTCAACGTCAATGTCCAAGCACCAACGACACTTATCCGATCTGACCGACCCCAACTCGCTCGAAGCAACGATATCCAATGCTTTGGTCTCTTCCTCTTCTCCTGCATCTCCGACTCGGACGTCCTTTACGACCACCACACGCATGCACCGCGTAGAGTCGGGAAAATGGGTAGCCCAGTGCTCGATTTGTCTCGACTCGTTTGCGCAGGATGCGGTTTGTGTGACGTTGATTTGCTCTCACTTTTTCCACCAGTCGTGCCTTCGGGTGAGTGGATTGTTGTCTAGGCGAGGCGCTCGAGTTGACGCTGTTAACAGGAATGGTTCAGATCCTCGTGCACGTGTCCGTTGTGCCGATGCGATTACAGAGGCAACGACTGAGGGCTCCTTATGACACTTTTCCTTCTGCCAGAGGGTTTGTTGATGTAACATTGACATATGCCAATCATTTTCTGATGCGTACTTTACATGGAATCGACTATAAATGATCAGACGTTGAATTGTCGAGTGGTCTGTTTGGCTATGATTTCTGTCAGTAACAGCTGAGGCTATAGTCGTTTGGTACGTACGAGCCAAGGCAAACAACGACTTTCCGCCTTCTGGTCGACTTCCAACGACAAACAAGGACGAGCACGAGCCGTCACTGCTAGTAGGACTGGGCGGCTCGTCAAGGTCATCGTTCCCAGCCATACCCAAGCCCTTCATGGGCTGATAACCATATGCGACATCAGGACCTCCATACTGCGCGCCCCACTCTTCTTCATCCAACCAATCGAGTGTCGCAAGACGTCGTCGATTGGCCTGCATTTCCTCTCGTGCCGCCGCAATCTCGCGGTGACGCGCCAAGGCAGAACTAGGTTCATTTGCCGTTGAGAATCGGGTCATTGTCGTTAAGCGCGGTGGGAGGAGTGCCTCTTTAGTGAATTGGTCGCCTGGAGTAGGCAAATCTAGTTTTGCGCTCCGTGTCGTGTTTGCGCGGGGCTTGACATTGAAATCCATCGCTGGTGCATTTGGATTTGGATTCACAATGGGTTCAGACGAGAGGTCAAGACCTGTCACGACGGATTCTTCCGCTGGACGGAACCTGGAGTAGGTCGTCATGTTGTCCGCGTCCGAGTCGTCCGAGGTTGCTTCCGAGTCTGAGTTTTGGAATACTTGACGTACTTTGCTGCTGCGGTTGGAAGAGATGGATGGTGTGCTCAGGACGTGTGGCGTTTCCATCACCCGGTCGGGGACGAACGAGTGTGGTAGTTGGAGACTAGAGGCGATCCAGTAGTGGAGAGCCTGTAGTGGTGTGACTGCGGGTATCCATGGTTTCATGGTGGGTACGTCGAGCATGATGAACGCCGCTTGGTAGCCTGCAAGATGGTCAGCATCAGGCTTTTTTTTGACAACGGGTGAAGCTCGCCTTCGGAGAAGACACCAAATGTCCACTGGAAATATGATGTAACGGCAAACCAGCGACACTTGCGTGCTGTACATTCGTCGTAAATCTTGGCCCATAGCCTCTCCTTTCCAGTCAGCTGACGTGGTGTTTGCGGCATCTGTAATGAAGGTGAGTGAAATTCGAATACATGCAGAGGAATGCATACACTCTTGCTTCGCACAAAGTTGACAAAGTCACGCTCGCTGAGCACCCAAGGAGATTGGGTAAAGAGGAGCATTTTTGGCGGCGACTGGGAGTTTGAGTTATGTAGCGCGTGAATGCACATCAATTCTGCGTCTATTTCTTTGGGATTGGTGATACATGACCACCCATAGTCTGCGAATTGGGGATTGGTCACACGAAGGGCGGCTTCAGACGTCTTGAGGACGTGCTGTTCGACGTATTTCGATACGTCCAAGACGGAGGAAACGGGGTTCGGGAGCGAGACGTCTTGGGATGGAAGGACCATCCGTACGTTGTGTGCATTAGAGCGTTCATCTACATCTGTGGATGGTGAGTCGAGATTATTGGAACATGTGGAGCAACGCACAATCAATAATCATAAGGTGAATAAGAGCCTGCTTGAGTCTCAGTATAGTCTGCAGACGTCGGGAACCGTCATAAAAGGTCTGGAGATGGTTTCTATGCGCCTTTCGCCCGTCCAAGGGGAGATTGGGTGTCTCATCAGCAAGAAAGAGACCGGGGAGTTCAAACGAGGCGAGATGTCTCTGGACGTTGACGGTGCGGTCCTTGCGCCTGGACAAGCTGTGGCCGGGGACGTTGTGTACGGTGGTGTACTTGCTCATGGAAGCGACCTGCGCAGAGAAAAGAGAAGGAGATGTTAAACCTGGTGACGATGCGGCGCGCTCTCTTTTATATGGTGGGAGCTGACGACTTGGGCTGAGCCCTTGTTCTTGCCAAAAAGGAGAATCATCACAGCCCTCTTGAGCAACGAGCGCAACGCATTGAAATAGTATTGTTGATGATCCTGGATTGCCTTGTATGGGTCTGGTATTGACCGTGGGTGGACTATGGACAGCGTCGGGACCAAGCTTGCTTACTATGTAGCAAGCAATTAGCGCTGGCAGTCACAGCTTGGAGCGCACACGGCCAGACGATTGGACCCAGAAATTCATGAAATAATGGCAGCAGCACACCATTTTGACGATAAGAAAGCAAACTTTAAGGTTCTGCTGACGACGGCGTTTGGAGCGAAAGAGGTCGACTGCAGAGTCGCATTGACGATCCACTCTGTCACAAATCTGCCAGTGCTCGACGGGGCTTACCGTGTCAGATGGAAGTTTAGAGACATCAGCGCAAAGGCCACCAGAGACATTGGCCAGCGGCTCAAGGCCGTGGGTGAGCCCGGCCACGCCAGCGCAAACGGCACAAACGATGTCGACAATGATCCAGGGCTCTCTTCGTCGAGTCCCACGTCGCCCACCGCTCACTCTTCGTCCGTCGCCAGCAATTCGAAACCGGCAGAGGTCAGTATTACTCCCGACGAACGCGGCGCAACTCCGTATCGGAACCTCAACAAACGAGACCACTCCGTCTCGTTTGAACACACTGTCGAAGTCGTTGCTCATATGCGCGTCGTCCGCGGCGAGCTCATTGGCGAACCGCTGAAATTGGTCATTGAACGCGTGAGTATTTCCCCCGACTCGCGGCGTTTGCTGATTCAGCTTTCACTCGTACAGTACACGGAAGAGACTGGAGACTCGGGAACGATGAAATTTGAGCCCCGCGTTGGCCACAAGTTTATCGACCTCGCCGAGTTTGTCAACGAGGGCAAAATCAGGCGGAAATACCTCTTGGAGCGTAGTAAGACCAACGCCATGGTCACAGTTTCCCTCGATATCCGCACCACTAAGTCGGGCATAGAGTTTAGGAAGTACGTCGGCAGTCCCCGTGCGCGACGTAGCCTCTGACCCTTTGCTAGGCCAGACTTACGTCAAGATCATCTCCTGATTGGTCGTAAAGAATCCGGACCTCCCCTAAAGAGAGACCGTCCGCTTACACCTCTGAACACGACGTTTCACGGCTCGCGTGGCGACTCGCTTCAACCCACCCTTAGTCGAACATCCTCTGCCACCTCTTCCACCACGTCCTCTGCACGTGGACAGATGAATCGTGGCTTGCCCGTTTCGCGCTCAGAGACAGAGGCAGTGATCGAGGCTCTTTTCAACCCAACCATCTTTTCTTCCCGTGCAATCACTCCCTCGTCTGCCTCTCCACGTGCAAGCCTCGAGCTTCCGACCCCAAAGCTTAACGAGGCGCACACCCCGCGACCGCGAGCCGAGCCTGCACACCATAACAGGAGGTCGAGACGTGACAGCATGGAGAGTAGCAGTGACAGCGACGACGTTCCTCGCAGCGAGCTATCCAATAGTCGACCTGCAACGTCTACACATTCCCAGTCCCCTGAACGTGAGCGACATCACCGGCCGTCCCTCAATGAACAAGGAAAGACGGCTCTGGAAATCGCGTTGCAAATGAACGACAATATGGATTACAATCACACCATTCGTCCCAAACTTGCAAGTGCCGGAAGTAGCCAGGCCGGAAGTTGGGAGATTATCAACTTTAAGCAAGGCGCGCCTGGTATTCGGAGGAAGAAACAGCAAGATCGAAGCGATACGGCCGATTCAACGAGCACAGACTTTTCGACAACGAGCTCAAAGTCGCATGCATCCACCACTTCGTCTGGCCACACTACTACCCCAGATATCATCTCCCCTTCCTCAAAGCCGCCACCTATGATCAGCATCATTGCTGAAACGCCGACGACGGCGAGACCAGACGATAGAGGACGCTGGTACAAGCCGCGTACCTTTAAAAAGAGGAGCAACGGCGACGATTCTGCACCGTCGAGCAGGAGTTCTACGCCTGCCCCGACAGATAGAGCTGCAGGCGTCCATGATCATAAACGACAGCGCCCGTCTGTCGACGCCGGGTTGGGTGAGGCGCTAAAATTAATCGTCCTTGGCGACAAACCACTGGTTTCTGCACCCGAAAAAATAGAAGATACCCACGACGGTCCCCTCTTGAGCGGACAAGTCACACCAACACCTCCGAGGTCCTAAAATGCATACAACAGGCGTTGTTAACTCCCATCTTATTATTGCCCATTTGTTCAATGTTGTGTTCTCCTTCTCTTTTTTATTTTCTCCATTTATCAGGCCTTCTGCGTCGGTTTTCACGAGAGGATGTAGACAATTTCGTTGGGATACGGTAGCCAGATAATAAACGCAGTTGCATTGTAACGTCAATTAAACGCAGGTACTCTAGTTGCGCGACATCAAGCCTTCGTCCTATTCGATTTCTGGGCGCATAAGTTGATGTCACATAGTTTAGAATCACACTCACATGCCCTTTGACCTGTAGTAGCCGATCGCTCGCCAATTCTAGCTCTGTCTTTGGTCGTTTGGAAGGTGCTTGGACCGGAGCTGTTATGTATTTGCCCAACACCTTGTTCTCCTCAATCTTTATCCCCTTGTCTTGTATTTTTGCCCGTAACCACATGGCCCGCTCTCCCAACCATTTGGTTCGGACTTTGAGAAGGTAGTCATCGAGTGAACCATACTTTTTAATCGTCTTCAGAGCACGCGTTGTAACGTTCATCCGCATAGTTCTGAGTCACAAACGTCAGTACATTCGTCTTCACATGCAGGTCGAAAAGGAAAACACAACGCGCAGTCGCACGTCCAGCTGCTCACCTATTCAAAATGTCCGACTTTAGTCTCTTTAGTCGAATATTTGGAAGCCATGTTCGAGTCGTCCTTTTACCGCTCTCTGCGACATTGTTGCCGAAACGTATCGCTCGTCCATGAAAGATGCCTGTCTGGGCGCGTTTAAAGACATGCTGAGCGTGCTTGTGCTTTGTAACCGCGTTGATTGCGGCGAATAAGGGTCGTGAGCTTTGCATTCCTGGTCGAGGTCTGGGACCAAAGTTGTCCTCGCCACTTGGAACCTTCTCCGACTTTGGTACTGTAGAGCAAAAATAGGCGTATTGTAAAACTGGACTGCGGAAGCCATGTCTTCGCCATCTAAACCTCGAAAGGCTCACTCCAATGCGGCGACTCAGCGCATCAAGGCCGTTGTTCGCAAGCTCCCTCCCAACCTGCCTGAGGACGTCTTTTGGAAAAGCTGTCTGCAATGGGTCAATGAGAATACCGTAAAGGATAAGTGGTTCAGACAAGGAAATCTCAAGGGCGCGTGAGTGACTTTGACGCATGATCGAGGGCACAACTAATAAGGAATGCGGACCGATGCAGTCGCTTCAGTGCAGCGAGCATCTTTTCCCGCGCATATATCGCGTTCAAGACGCCTGAAGAGCTCGCCACTTTTAGCCAGAATTACGATGGACATGCATTTAGAGACAAGCAAGGCATGCATTTCACCGCGTATAAGACATAATAATGAGCGTTCTTTCTAGGGAATGAATACTTTGCAATCGTAGAGTATGCTCCAGCTCAGAAACTCCCCATGTCCACTCCAAAGGTAGATGCTCGGCAGGGGACAATTGAAGAAGACGACAACTATAAGAGCTTTCTTCAGCTTTTGGAACGAGGCGAGAACCCCAGTAAAGAGAAACCACCGCCACAACCTACCATCGGTATGCATTCACCTACTGCGTGAATCCGGGGGGTCTGATCTACCATTTTAGACCCAAACAAACCAGAATCTACACCTCTTTTGGACTCTCTTATTGCTGCAAAAAGCGGCAAGAAGTACAAACCTTCTCATCTCCATCCCTCGAAAGCAAATCGCGCAGCGGATGATGCTCACTTCTCTCGAACACAACCGATCGTACCGAGTGGACCTGTGACACTGCTGACGTCTACAAAAGGGACGCATCGAACAAGGCCGTGGCCCCAACCTCTCCGAGAAGCCCACAGGTCAAGCCTACATCCGAATCAAATGCTCCAAAAGGAAAAGGAAAGGGCAAAGCAGCGGCTGGGGCTCCCTCTGAGCAAGCCGCGAGCTCGCACAAGCCGCCCAAACCAAAAGGTGCCGGCAAGAAGCCACCGGCACCTAGCGCCGAAGAAGCTGGTGGAGCAAAGACTTCGGAAGCGGACACTAAGGAAGATACTACTACGAAGAAAACGGGCCAAGCAAAGAAGAAGAAGCAAGCGGAGTCGGCTTCATCAAAAGCTGAACTGGGTACAGAGACGAGCGAGAATGCGGAGAACAATGCACCTAAATCTGGGCGCGGTAGAGGTGGACGAGGCAGAGGCTCAGGTCTCGTACAGGTCCCGCGAATTTTAACCAAGATAATCGCAGAGGGAACATCGAATACGCCAAATGTCAAATCAAATCCACGAGGGGAGAGTGAAACTTCCTCAGGCGTCGCAGCCACACCCGGCGGGTCTCTTGCAACCTCTGACGGACCCGTATTACCATCGCCTTTGCCAGCGGTTTCCAACGTTTCAACAGATGATAGTGTAGTCACGCCATCAAATGGCCCTGTTCGTGGTGTGGATCGGGGTCGACGACCCTTTAGAGCCCGAGGACGAGGACGAGGTCGCGGTAGAGGGGTCGGGGATCCCGCATGACGGTAATGATACCCTTTCCACTTCCTGTTTTGAGGGTCCTTGTCAACTCATATTGCTTACAGCGTACGTCTCTGTAGCCGCGGGTCTATTCGGACAGTTTTGTCACAAGGTGACCTGCCACACGCCATCCTCAGGACGCGTCACACACTCCAGCTATTTCTAACTCCCGACTGCCTTCCCGCTCCACGATCATTCATATCACGACCGCTACCTGCAAACTCGGCGTGATTCATGGCAACGACGACGCCACGCAGCCGAGTAGACTTCTAGTCGATAATCAAACTTCTTTTATGCCGGAAAATACATTGCCCGTTTCCATTTGACATCTCCGCCCGCCTCATACACACCGGGAGCATTGTTGTAGGAAGCTCCCCAGGGCAAGGTGAGACGAGCAAAGAATGAATTCAACACCGGTCCTCCAAATAGGTTGCGGCTGCGTGGCCCAATCCCGCCCTGTAGCTGTCACGGAGCTGCCAAAAGGCTGAACACGGGTTAAAAGGCGCACTCGTCCCAAGGCCTGGGCAAGGTTCATTTTCGTCCTCCTTACTGTCTGGTTTCTTTTTTGTTTCCGTACCACTCTCCTTATCTCTCGTTCTTTGTGCACACACTCCCTACTATGGCCACCGTGAGTGGGCTCTTTTGAGGTTGACCAAATGCTTACATACGCATAGTCAGGTAGTGGTAAAATGTTCGCGAAGCGAAAGGCAAAGCCGACGTTCCTCTATGCCTCGCAGTCAAACGAATACGTCTACGATCCACAAGTCGGTCAAGAGTTCGCTCGTGGACGGGCCTCTATGCTTAAGCGACTATCCGCTGCCATTCCTAGGCCTAACAAGAAGACCGACAAGGCCCAGGCCAAGAATGCCACCCTCAACGTTCGACCTCGTCGCATGACAATCGACAGCACTTATGATTATCACTTGGAGTCCCAGGGGGACAATATGGGCTCTTTCGGTTTCTCTGATTCTTCAAATCCGCACACCGTCATGAACATTGGCCACAGCGGTGTGAACCTTGGGAGCATCACCCCCCGATCGAGCGAGGAGACGGATAGCTTTGAGCGACACATTACCTCGATATCTTCTGGCGCGGCACTTCCTTTTGGCGCATCCACCCATACTATCGCCGTCTCGGAAACAACTGCAGTCCCCGACGCTCTGGTTCCGTTCCCCACTTCCCCACAGCAGCGCAGCTTCTTCGAGGACACTCCCGCTTCCAATCATCCGTACAGACGCGCACGAAGTTTGAGCGAATCAACGTTTTCGCATGCGGTCCATTTCGAGCCGTATCGCAAACCCTTGTATGGTCGCCCCATCAAATCTCCAATCAAGGATATCGCCCTCAAGCGTTCTGGGGCTATCAGTAGACCCACCAGCGCCATCTTCATTGACCAAACCTATCAGCGCGGTCGACGAACTACCCTCGATACCACCAATACTGTTTGTAGTCCCACGCGGCCATCGTTCTCGAGTTATAAAAGAGCTCGTTCCCGATCCGCCTCGAAGAGGGCCCAGCCAGCCCAGCCTGTCCAAGAACCCTCGCCTCCTGGCGCACTCCAGATGCAGCAAGGAGCAGAGGATCCGTTCAGCAGCTTGTTCACGAGTTGTGCCATCAGCCTCTTTCTACTCGTCATCCTCGCCGCAGGCAAGGACGTTCTCTACGTTATTGCCCTCCTGCCCATGCTCATGGCACTCGCCCGCCACTTTACCGACTTTGACAAACTCATCGCCGTCGGCCCAGTCATGAAACGAAACCTCGAGTCCCTCATTACCCTGTGATATACATGAGCTGTCCTCAGATATACACGTCCACTCCTTTCGATTCCCACAAACTAACATAACGTAGCCCCTACGGACTTGACATAATCATAGACAGATGTCATATTTGTAGGTTATCGATACAAATAATGTAGCAAAATCTGTTTAGTTTACATCCGCCTTGTGCTCTAGACCAAAACTTGAACCTGACCAAGACATGCCTCCACGACCACCAACGTCTGTTATCGACGTTCTTCATAGAGGATTTGTTACCGCATGTCTTGGAGTATTCCTCCTTGGTGGTGTTATGGCCGTCTCAACACATAATAACACGATGCGCAAAGGTCAAGGTAAGCTTTTCCCTTGCTCCCTTTCGTTCTTAGCTTATTTCCTCCTTAGAGGTCAGTCTGCATTGATTCGGCATACTTGTCTCTCCGTTGACGTCCATTAATTATCAACCAAAGGCATATGAAGCGCATTTGAGGGTGCGTGGTTCCTCGCAAAAAAGCTAGGTGTTATGAACTTTACCTTTCAGAAGCAACGGGAACAAGCTGCAGAGACTGGCTCGGGTGTCGAGGATCGTTTAGCCAATGCGGCGCAAGATGTGGTCGCTGCCCGCTCTCAAGACATTGCAAAGCGGCTCTAATTTGACGCGAGTCAGTATGGATTCATTGGGCTGCATCAATATAAGGGACTGCGAGTGTATTCACGAATACACGAGTCGAATTTACAACTACAATGTATGAGACAAAGAGGAACATAATTGAAAGTTGAACCCAAAACTGGCTATAAGACCTCATCATGAAGAGAACAAGAAGGGGAAACGAAAAAGGAAGAAAGGAAAAAGGCGAAATCATCCTTGAAGAATAAGGTCGGGGAAATTCATTGTACCCTTTCGGTGGTATTGCCGACAAGAGCGCAAAAAACGGCTGCCCATTTGTCACCGTCTAGACTGGAATCGATGGTGCCCTCAACTACCTCTTGATCTGATGACATCTCGCACTGTACGGCGGCATTGTTTCGTTGGATGTGTCCCCCAATGGTGTCTACAGCTCCATCATAGACAACCGTGGTGGCCCCTTCCCTCTCACCGGCACGAGACAGAGGATGCAAGTCGCTATTAGGTTCGAGGGATGATCCATCCGGTAGCGCCGTGATACCGGTGTCTCTGCTGGCGCAAGTGGAAAAGTGTCTATCTGATGCTACAGATCCTTGTGAAGATCCGTTGTCCTCGCAATCTGCGTCAAATAAGAGGCTGTTCTGTGATGATAGACAAACTAAGGGAGATTCATCAGTCTCGACCAGGCATGGGAGTTCCGGGTGGATGCATTGCGGTGAATTTCCAAGGCTGATCGTGTCAGTACTTCCGGTCGTGGAGTGACTGCGAGAGGCGATGAAATCAGCCTCGAGTAGTGCCATCCTTTCATCAATATGAATTGCATCAGCGAAGGTAGTCTTCGGCGTCTGGTTCAGCGACTTAGAACGAATGATTGGTGATACCAAGACCCTCGGTGACGAGATGATCAACGAGCGAGCATTGCGACCTTGCGTTGGAATGGGTGGAAGCGGGATCGTTGGCACAGGTGAGGGCGAAGGGAGTGTATGTTTCCGAGGTTTGAGACCAGAGGAGGCATCCAATGTGTTGAGCTCTTTACCAAACTGGCCCTCTGGAGAATGTTGGCAGCTCGCGCTGAACTGCTCCATCTGATTCAATCGCACTTGCTTGCCGAGCAACGTGAAGCGGGCCTTGTCCAAGTGGAACATGTCGAAGGTGGTAACTGAGGCGAGGGTACTCTCCTTGAGTGATGGGCTCCCAGAAACGCCAGAGATGGTGCATATGTCATCCGGCGACATGCCAGACTGGGCTAAGAATCTAGCGATCCTTCGATGTGCCATTTTCTCTGCCATATACCCAGCCTTTAGGTCTGCAATTTGCCACTGATGCATCTCGTTCTCTGCACGTCTAAGCGCCTTTTGAGATTCATACAGTTCCCATAGTTTGCCGAAGGCTTGGTCCTTGTCCTCGATCCTCGTCAGCTCCATCTCTATGGCATTGAGATCACCATCGGGTTCATAATGATCACTAAGGACCACCGCTTTCCCCTTCCTCTTGCGGTTTCGGTGTTTGGACGATGCCTGATCTTCCTTGCTTTCGAAAGCGGCTGGTACTGTAGAGAGTGTAGTATTGCTCGGAGGCGGGGTCAGAGGGAAGGAAACCTTGGATAATGTTTCGTCACTCGATCCGTGAGTATTCGGCATCAAAACAAATGACTCCTGGTTGTCGGTCTGCGTTGCTACCTCTTTGGTCACCTTCATGCGAGAAGCGGCATGGGCCAGTGGCTCTGACTCGACGCGCAACAGAGTCTGAGGTATTGGGGCACGACGAGGCTCCAGTGGCGATGATCGATGGTGAACGAATCTTTGGGTCAGATGCGTTTCCGTCGAACTTGCCGGGACCATTCGAGATGCTGTACGATCCATGATGTCGGCAGCGGTCGAAGAAACAGAGGGAGGTTTAAATAGCAATTCCTCTCGCATGATATGGCTATATCGAGGCGAACCATTGGAGGGTAATGGGAGCGTCGATCCGGCGAGGCCGGGGGGTCGGTTGAGCGGACTCCTCGAGGGAGTATGGTGCATCATTAAGGGAGATAGAGACTTCGAAGTGCTAGTCAGAGATGCAGAACGAATTTGAGATGGCCCAAGGGTTGAGTCGTCGAGAAAGGTACCTGCCGAAATGGAGCGCGAGAAAGGTCTCGGGGCTGATGTCGTTGGATAGTTGATCATTAGAACGGTGTGACTAAATAGACTGAGTAAGCGAGTACAGGCGCTCAGTGTACGCTCACCTGCCCAGCTTGCGAGGGGTCATCCTGTCATCAACCTTTGCAATCTCGTGGCTAACGTCGTGATGGTTTACTTCTTGCCATTCAAAAGATCTACGTTTGCTTCTGAAGAAAGAAATGCCAGACCTCTTCGTGACAGACGCCTTGCTCAGGGAACTGCCCGTGGAGATGGAGGCTGGGGGCCCGAAGACTTGAGGACCAGAATCGAGAAATTTCCTTAGATCCTCCATCTCTTGGCGGTTGACCCCTGTTCGGGCATCGCGAACCTGCATGACGGTAGTGCGCGAGGGATGGGCTATTCGGGAGATTTTCCTGTACGTTTGTCAAGTTATGGATCTTCCTAGTATACCTTGGTAACAATGAGAACGCTACGTGCGACGTGGAACATTTCTGAGCTCACGGTTTTCGGTTACAAAAGTCAGGAGTGTTCCGAATTGGCAAGGGAATAATAAAGACCAATAAAGAAGGGAATTGAAAGTAGGAAGGAAGCCTCCCTCGAAAGAAAGTGGGCGAGACGAGGAAGTGGGCGAGTTCAACCTTGTTCGCCACTCCTGCCCATCCTAGTCGAACGACGTACATCGGCGAAGACACAATAACTATATCAAAATGCATAAAGAGCTCACACTTCAAGAGCAACTTGATAAGCTCAAAGGGATACTTGCGGAGACGCGTTCGACAACGTTTTGGGAGTCTCTCGCAATTCTGGACGAAACCAAAGACAGAGACATTCTTGAGACTCACGAAAGTGACATACCTGGTCTACGACATCTCAAAGTCTCAATTCAGAAAGAAATAGAGTCCATCGAAACTGTAAGCATGGCAATTTTAACAGGACCTCTAACATGTTCGTAGCATCTGGCTCTGGAGGCGGAGGGTAAATCTCAAAACCCTCTATCTACCAATACTCTTTATTATCTCGCTCTTTGGCACGAGATCCTACTTGCACCGCGGCCAATCATCGCACTTGGAAGGCATTTCGACTTGCCCAAGGAGGGAGTCTACACCGAAGCCAAAAGTGGAAAGAAGATCAATAAAGTCAAAGTCGACATTGTGGCTGAGAACGGCCGACGCTGGTTGCGAGTCAACACGTGAGTGATCAACCAATCATCCTGATGCTGGCCTGATAATATACGTCTATCTCATCTAGCACCAAAGAATCGCGCTTAGTTACAGAGTTTAGGGCAATAGAAGCCTTTGGCTACGAGTCTGAGGACGAGGACGTATCCGACGCTGCTACTCGACGGTTGCCGATGGACAAATACCTGGATAATACCGTATATGAAAGCGGCCGGTTTCTCTCTCTGGCAGCTGATAAGTTCCAGGCAGAGAACGGCGGGGACCGCCCAATCATTCAGTTGCGATTGAGCAGGCTAGGACATGGAGAGAACGAAATACAGGACGAGCGGATCAAGCATACATTAACACGGCTGACTGATCTGGGTATCAAGGTTTCATTCGCTCCCGAGGCATCCAGTATACAGCTCGTTCCAGAGCCAGCTCCCCCTTCGGGTTTTTATATACCCTCTCAAATCAATCTCGATCTTTCTATGCTTATTGCAATTGTTACGGACATATCTCATGCCCCGCTGCCTCCCACCCGGGAGGCGGTGGACGAGCTATTCCGGCCTCAAGCAGAACGATCATGGAGGCGCCAGATGGAGAAGAACCCCAATCTACCAGACGAATCTTTGGAGCATTGTAGAGCTTTGGCAGAGCAAACACGCCATGAAATGGATCATGGACTGATTGAGAACATTTACCAGCATCTCCGCTCCTCACCGGACGCCGATAGCGCACATTTCTGGACCACAAACGAAGCAAAGACCCGTTTGCTTGCAATTATAGAGAAAATAGGGGGAGAGGATGAGCTCCGGCGAGCACGAGCGATGTTCTCGCTGGAGCACGAGGCACCCGAGTTGTTTTGGTTAAACTCTCGCATCCCTGTGGAGCATAGACCTAAGATCATACCTATTCTCATTCTTCCCGACGAAGAACCCCTAGGGACGGCGAATCTCTCTATGTTTCAGAGGCAGGTCATGACTACGTGCAACGCCATTCTGTCGAGGCCACTGCGGCCGGAGATCAAATCCAATCATCCTGACAAGTCGATACAGGCACCAATGCGGTTCGCAGCTCGCTTGTCGATGCATACAATCCAGTCTCTGCTGCTGGGGGCTCAGTCGGGAATGCTGACTGTGACCAGCAATAAGACGAGCGTCAAGCATCTTCTCAGAGAGATGAGGGGCTTTTCTTTGCCTTCAGCTCTCCATTCTACTGCAGAAACCCATGCCACCTCTCCGCTCGCCATCCTGGTTCTAGAGCCAAGATCTCTATCGCAGTCCATGAGAATTGATTATGCATCCAACTCTTGAAATATATCTGGTTGTAATTTAGTCAAATGTCAAACTCTCCATAAGGTTTCGCCCACAGTTGACTGCGGCACTTTATATACGACTTTGGACCGCGACCGCATTCACGACGGCACACAAATAGGCAAGATGTAACTACTGCTTACCCACAAAATGCATCTTGAAAGTGACCATTCTTCTTCTAGGAGTCGTCACGACGATGTAAGCACGCTACAGCGACCACCTCGACTCATGTTAAAGCCGCCGTGCAGAGTCACTTTCCAACGCGACCCGTGGATCGAGACAAGGCTGAAGCAGAGCTTACACTGAACATCAAGAAAGCGACGAGCCCAGAGGAGACTGCGCCAAAACAGAAACACGTCCGAAGTGCGTCAGACGGCGGCGGATTCTGCTGACCATCCCACTCAACCCTTGCGCAGAATGCATCGTGTATACTTGGGACTATCATTCGTCTAATTCTATCTGGACTGGTCTCAAGGTCCAGCCAATCCTTGCGGATGAAGTTCAAACATTCAAGGCTCTCATCACCGTCCACAAGATCCTACAGGAAGGCCACCCTGTCGTACGTATCAAGCACTGCTTTGAAGCTCTGACTTTGACCTGCTCTAGACATTGAAAGACGCCCAGCATCAAGTAGGCTGGTTCGAAACCTGCGCGAGGACCGTTAGTCAGGACGGGATCAAAGGTAACGCTCTCGAATATACATATCCACAAACAGAGAAATGACGGGACAATCATCCAGGATACGGACAGCTGATTCGAGCTTACGTCGCTTTCATTCTATCCAAACTGCGCTTTCATCGGCATCGACCGGAATTCAACGGGCTATTTGAGTACGAAGAATATGTCAGCTTGAAGGGTATCGACAACCCAGATGAAGGGTGAGCTAGCTCCTTGTGGCCTTGGCATACCGAGTCTGACCGATGCGTCAGTTATCAAACCATTTCGGACCTAATGGACCTTCAAGACCAAATTGAGGGGCTGCAAAAACTCATCTTTGCGCATTTTAGACATTCGGCTAACAATGAATGTCGCATCTCAGCGCTCGTCCCACTCGTCAAGGAGAGTTATAACATCTATCGCTTCATCACCAGCATGCTGCGAGCTATGCACCGTCGCACAAATGACACAGAGGCACTTGAGCCTCTCAGGTCTCGTTATAACTCGCAGCATCATGCCCTTCGCAAGTTCTACTTCGAGTGTTCGAACCTCAAGTACCTTACGGGTCTCATTAACGTCCCGAAGCTCGGCTCAGAGCCTCCAAATCTCTTCGATACTGGACAGACCCCTGACCTGCCCAAGCGACCGACAGAAAAGCCGAAATCCCCCACACCACCTCCAGCGGCACCATCACCTGATGCAGCAATGGTTCGTGAACAAGCAGCAATGCTCAAGGAGTATGAAGACAAGCAGAAAGCCCTCGAGGCTCAAAGGAGAGCAGACGAGGCACGAAGGAAAGAAGCCGAACTCCTACAGCAGAGAGAGATCGAAGAGATGCAACGCTTGCAGCGAGAACGAGAGCGTGCTGCTCAGGAGGCCCTGATGGCCCAGCAGATGCAACAGTTCAACGATCAGGCTGCGCAGCAGATCAACCAAATGCAAATGGAGATGCTCGCTATGCGTGGCCAATACGAGCGTGATCAGATTCTACTCGAGCAATACGATAGGGTGAGTAAAGTCTATGCACCTCTATATCCCCTTCTCATTCTCGATAGCGAGTGAAAGCACTAGAGGGTGAAATGGCCGGTGTCAGTGCGAATATCGGCTCTCAAATGCTAGCCAAGGACGAGCTTATCAAACAACTTCAAGACCAAGTTACCCTCTGGAGAAATAAGTACGAGTCGCTTGCGAAGCTCTACAGTCAACTTCGTACTGAGCATCTGGAAATGCTTTCGAAGCACAAGCAGATGCAGCTCAAGGCAAACTCTGCACAAGAGGCCATTGACAAGATGGAGAGGATGGAAAAGGATGTCAAGGCGAAAAATCTGGAGCTTGCCGACATGATTCGTGAGCGAGACCGTGCCAGGTTCGATTTGGACAGGATGAAATCGGTGCGTTTCGAGCGGAACCTGGCGCCTTGGGGCTAAATGTGGGACAGAATCACAAAGAGGAGCTCGATAGAGTCCGTCGAGAACTCAACTTTGCCAATGAAAAGCTCGAAGATGCGGAACGCGCTAGGTCGCATGATGTCTCGGGTATGGCATCGGTCTACAAGCGCCAAATCCACGAGCTCGAGGACTCACTCAAGGTTGGTCCGCTTGCCATTGAGAACTACGTGATCCTCAACTTGTCTAGGCGAAGCAATTGAGGATTGACGCCATGACTGAGAAGCTCGACTCAGCCTCTGCTGATCTAGAGGCCTTGCGTGAAGAGAAAGACCAAGAAATCATGATCCTCCAAGAAAGTGTCGACTCGACTCTCCAACAAATGGCGGATCTACAAGCGGTTTGTGAATTTCTTGATTGCCTTGATGAGACTAACCGCTTTCTTAGACACAAGGCCTCGTCGAGCAAACAACCGATGTGCAACTCACGAACATCGTCCTGGACAACAGGAAGAAGTTGAATGAGATTATCGGTGTGTCTAGATGCGTCGTACCGCATGAAGCTGATCATCCGCAGACTCTATCCTCCAGGCTTGCATTCACAAGGTCGACGATGCAATCTACGAGCTCGAATCACCTGCACAGCAAGGCAACCTCAACTCAACACCGGAGTACACGCTCTCCATGATTGAGAAGGCTATCAACAACTCGACCGAGTTTGCAACTGTATTCGATCTATACCTCGGCCAAGAGAAGGGTGGAGATCACGTAGATGTCATCAAAGCCGCCAACGAGTTTGCTCAGTCGCTGTCCGACGTCCTACTCAATACAAAGGGAATCACCCGACTCTGCAGCAACGACGAGGCATCTGATCAACTCATCTCTGTCGCAAAGAGTGCCGGTGACACCGGAATGCGTTTCTTCTTGAACTTGCAATCCTACAAACTCGACCTCGTTCCAACTCAGAACCGTAGGGAAATTCCTCTGCGCGTGATGATGGAAGCACGCGGTGCTCTCAATAAACTCAGCACAAAGGTGGAGGAATTGGTCCCGAAGGGCAAAGGCGCATCGTTGGCAAAGACGAATGGCGATATCGGGGACATTGTTGAGCAAGAGATGCTCAGCGCTGCTCGCGCAATCGAGGCCGCGACCCAGAGGCTGCAGGAGCTCATTGCCAAGCCAAGAGACACTTCGAAGTACAGCGCCGTGGAAGTGCAGGTCCACGATTCCATTCTGGCCGCTGCGCTGGCCATTACGAATGCAATTGGACGCCTCATCCAGGCCGCTACGGCTTCACAGCAAGAGATTGTGGCTCAAGGCAAGGGATCGAGTACCACGCAGCAATTCTACAAGAGGAACAACCGCTGGACCGAGGGGTTGATCTCTGCGGCCAAAGCAGTAGCATTTGCGACCACGTTGCTGATCCAGAGTGCCGACGGTGTTCTCAGTGGTACTCATTCATTGGAGCAGCTCATCGTGGCGTCCAACGAAGTTGCAGCTGCTACGGCGCAGTTGGTCGCCGCATCGCGTGTCAAGGCATCACTAATGTCCAAGACACAGGAGCAACTCGAGTTGGCTGCCAAGGCCGTCACAGAAGCGTGTAAAGCGCTCGTACGACAGGTTAAGGCAATCTCTGCTCGCCAGGCAGAGGAAGAGTTGCCAGACTACAATAAGATGGCAGTACACGAGTTCAAGGTTCAAGAGATGGAGCAACAAGTCGAGATCTTGAAGCTCGAAAAGGAACTGGGTGCCGCCAGAAGACGTTTGGGCGCGATGAGACGTGCAGGTTATCATACGGAGGAAACAGACTGATTTTACTTTCCAGAATCACATTCCTTTTCACAACGTATCTATTCGGTGTGGCCTTGCTGCCATAAATTTTTCTTCGAAAATACAGCCTATACTTTTATCTTTCCGAGCCAATCTTGTCCTCCGCTCCTGAGCACCTTCAAGAGTTCAGCTTCTCGTGTTCCCTCTTCCTCTCCCAGTTCGGTCATGTACTCCCATCTAGCCGTTTCAGGGAGGGACATGAGGACGGATTCGATGCGCACTCCCGGAGTTTGGAGACCAAACTTTGTGCCTCTTTGGTGCTCATTAGAAACTCTGAGTTAGACAGTGATAAGACATACCTGTCTATAATGAGATTGAATTCGACGTAGCGTCCCCTTCGCAAGAGCTGCCACCGTCGCTCCTCTTCAGTGAAGGGCATGTGGATACGTCTCTTAAGAATAGGAATGTAGCTGGGCAGGAAGGATTCGCCACAGCTCTTCATGAGTGTGAAGATCTCTTCTGGTGTAGAGGGTCTTTCCCCTGGTCCTGCATCTGGCATTCGATGGTGCGGCTCGTTGCACAAGTCATCATAGAATATACCGCCGATGCCTCGCGACTCTTTACGATGCGGGAGATAGAAATATTCGTCGCACCAGGCTTTGAAAGCGGGATAGACTGCCGGCCCCGACGGAGCGCAGGCGTCATAAAGCGTTTTGTGGAAATGGAGGGTATCCTCCTCGTATAAATAGGATGGAGTAAGGTCTGAACCTCCACCAAACCACCATGCAAGGATCTTGGGTTCGCCGTCGCCTTCTGCCGGGTCGGACGTGATCTCGAAATATCGATAGTTTGCATGGATCGTCGGGGCGTGCGGATTTCGGGGATGTATGACGATGGATATTCCTCCCGCAAAATATGGCAAGCTCGCTTTGGATGCCGGGTCATACGGAATCGATGCGTGGTGGGACTTCATTTGTGCAATAGCTGGTGGCGGTAGTTTACCCTGCACGAGCGAGATGTTGATACCAGCTTTTTCAAACACAGAAGGACTAGTCTTCCTAATGGATGGGTCCACGGCACGTTTGTCAGAGAGGACTCCAGAAACGCCAGAGCCGCCTTCTGCTCGCGTCCATGCATCTCGGAGAAAGGTATAGTTGGGATCAAGCTCTTCAAGTCCCTTGATGATTTTGTCTTGCAGCTGCGTTACAAAGTTTGAAACGCGTACGCGCATCGGTAGGGTTGGATCGTCCTGCCGGATAGTCAGTCAAGCTCAGAGAAAGGACAAGTCGTTCACAATCATGTCGCTCATGCTGGGGTAATTTGTGCTCTAGGTTCGATTTCGACCTTGCCAGGTTTATAGCCAAAGTGGTGGAGTTCCAGAAGCAAAGTCGAGATCCAACGGCGTCTCCAGACCACAAGCCAGATCACGGTTGCACATCTAGTTTGAAACAGATATTGGTATTTCCAGGTACATATACACAGTAAAATTTGTCCGCATACATAGCAAAGAGAAGACGCTGGGCCGACGGAGACATAAGAAGAATAAGGGAAGAAGAAATAACGCCATCAATGCTCGAGCTCGAAATAGGTTCGGAACATGGGCTCATGGCGGAGAGGTAGATCGCTGATGGTCGAATAGACGTGCAAGAAAAGAGCAGGGAATCGTCGAGTAAAGTAAGATAGGAAACCATCCGGAAGGGGTCCCAGGTGTCGCTTGACATTATCGGGCAAATCTTGATAGTGATGTTTCTTTTGAGGAGAAATCAGCCATCCGGTCTGCTAGATAGTTTTTTAGACCCACCTTGTTTCGCAGCGCTCTTAGCAAATCTTGAACACTAGCACCTTGATACTTGCGATACTTGCCAAGGTTGTCGATAAATGTTTTGTCTAATCGCTTGTGCCAGTCTGCACCAACGACGTCAAACGCGCCAGTCTCCAATGCCACAAGACCGGGGTCTCGTGGCTCTCGTTCCATGATCTCGAACCGATCGGAAGCGTCCTGCAGGAATGCGAGTCGCTTCGCCGGTGTCCAGAAGAATGGATGAAGCAATATTGCATCAGTGTCCGGTCTGTGAATATGCTTAGCCACAGTCTGTATGATTATTAAGTAATTTACCTTGCTTTGGGATCCTGTTCCAGCATCCACTCGATCAGATGTTCAGCTTCGACACCTTCCTCGCCAAACTTTTCCAACCCGGAGAGATTCATCTCTCCCTTGAGGATATTGACTTCTCGTATATACCTCTCACCAAATGGATGCTCTCCATTGACGAGAACATAGTAGAAGAGACACCCAAGGGCAAAGATATCCACCGATTTGGTAAGGCGAGTTTCGTTGGAAGGTGTGCTGCTTGACCCCTGATTTGAACCGTTCTTTGACGTGTCGGACCCGGTCTCTTCTTCCAGACTGACGTCTCCACGCAAAATCTCGGGAGCTCTCCAACCTGGCGTCCCTGCCGCAAACAGGCTTTGACCTCCACCCGCAGCCATGGTTGGCAAGAAGCTCGTCTGATCCACATCGAGCTTCTTGCACAAGCCAAAGTCTGAAATCAACATTCGGTGTTGTCCATCTCCTTTCGGTCGAGACACCAAGATGTTTTGAGGCTTGATGTCTCTGTGGACAATTTTGAGATTGTGGAGATGTCGAAGACCTTGTGTGATCTGCGAAAGTGCCTTTTTTGGATCAAAGCTACCGACGATTGCAGGGTGCTTGCTTGGAGTTTCAATGAGATCCGCCAACGAGCAAGGGCACAACTCCAAGGCAATGTAGAGGAAGCTCTCGCGAGTCATAGAGAAGAAATATCGAATGACGTTAGGGTGGTCGTCTGCTTGGAGGAGCACCGTGACCTCATGAGAGGCAAGAGTAACAAAGTCTTGCAGCAGACGTTTCACGGCGACGGCACGCCCTTGAAGCGAGCCCTCATACACGATTGTGCCGTGGGATCCATATCCTAGATTAAGTCAGAGACTGCACCGCCAAACTCGGCCTTAACGCACCCAAAATCTTATTGCCGACGACAAGACTGGACGAGGAGGTTGTGACAGGAAGCGGAAGTTCCATTTTCGCCGGTGTTGGTTCGACGTTGATCTCCCGATCTACCATGACATAGCCATTGGAACCAGATGCGGAATCAGACGAGCTCTTGCCATTGCTTTGAGAACCACTGGCAGCATCGGCTGGCGGGGCCTTATTCTTATTCTTCTTGCCTCTCCCACCCCGTCGTCGCTTCTTCTTACCATCCTGTTGATCCCCTTCTTCCTTGTCGCTCTCATCCCCATCTCGCACATCGCTTGGCACGCCCAAACCGGCACCGACTCGCGCCTCCTCGACGGCGAGAGTAATGTTGACGTCCGGATCATCGCTCGGCGAGATGACATTGACCTTCTCGCTTTGTTCAGGCATAAGGTCCGCATCCAGAGCTGCAGGAGTCGCAGGGGTTGTATACGTTGTTGCACCGACGAAAATGGCATGGGAATTACGGCTTCTGGAAATGCTCGACTGCCGCGAGTGAGATGGCCGAACAATGAAGCTTTCATGGGATCCCATGGACTCGCGTCTGGTAGGCCGATCCTCGCGATTGGCATTGGTGTTCATATACTTGCGTAATATGAGCCAGACGGCAACAAAGCCACCAACCAGTGGGATGAGAAGCGCCCAACTGGGTGCCCTTTCGAGCTTGGGCCTAATATTGTCGCTCTGTGACAGGAGTCCGATGACTTGACTCTCGGTAGTACCTTCTGTCAGTCGAGAAGGGAATGGAAGAGCCGCAAACTCGGAGCTTGAGGGTTCTGGTTGCTCCAGCACGTTTTTTTCTTGCTCCACCTTTTTCTCAGATGGACTGCTCGCGGACTCGGGGGATGGTGCAGGGTCAAGGAGTCGCGAAATGCGAGAAACTTTGTCATCTCTCTGAGCAATTCTGAGGCCCACAAAGCAATCCAACCCTTCGCATCTCGGCACCAGTTCCGTGTCCGACGCCTCGATGCGCCGAGGAGGGTTGGCCATATTGACCAATGGATAGTTCACATGGCCCATAGCGAACAAAGAGTCTCCAATGCGGCTGATGACAGTCTTATCTGGGACTTCAGCAAAGGCCGCAGCCCTTGTGCGGAACAGCTCTTGGAGCTTTGGTCGCGGCTGCAACAAGATGAACGGCTTTGACCTTGGCCCAGATCCCTGAGCGACGACGTCGAAGACGGCGACGATAGGCTCCTGGAATTTGGTAGCCCAGAGCGCGTGCTCTCCTTTGCTTTCAAAGGCATACATTCGGCCTTCCCAGTCGGACTCGAGATAGATGCCGTCGGGGGTCCGCCTCCATGCTCCTTGTAACGACTTGTGCATGTTATTGGGTCCGTAGCTTGAAAAGGAGAGGGTCTGAAGGACAGTGTTGTGAGATATAACCTTGATGGTGTAGTCTAGACCCATGAGAAGGATTCAAACCCGAGTATTATGAGCTTACCTGTGCGCCCAATCTGGACGACTCGTCTCCGTCGTTGGTCCACCCAGTCGTCAGACTCGTCAAGAGGGTTCTGCCAGTGATTGGTACTGCCCATCACACGGTTCACAACTCCTTCATCCAAGTCGAGTTCGATGATACTTGTTTCCTTGTGGCCGACGAAGACGCGGTTTGGGTCATCGAAGCTAAAAGGCGAGAGCTCGACCAACTGAGGGACAGAGTAAGGAAGACGCCGAAGTGGTTCTGACTCTTCGCCTTATGGGTTGCATTAGCACGACACTTGAGTACTGTAAGAGCTCTTACTATCGGTTGAGGAAGAGGGCAAGATGAAAATGTCGCCCGACTGGGGTTCTATTATGTATAACTGTTGTGATTCAGGGTCTAGATCCGCTGCCACGTTGGTATTGTGCTGAGTTCGCACGAGATTGTGGAGGAGGTTCTGGGAAGGTGCCGCCGTGCTGTCGTCCTGCATGGACCAGATGGGCCGCCCGGTCGATCGGTTGACTGCATGAAATCTGCCATCAACACTGGCGAGGAGGACGGTGTCGAGCAGCTGGACATCCTTGAGCAAGTCGAGCGGTGCGTCTCCTCCTGTCGCTCCGAGCGTATGTCCGAGTGGAGGAGCCTCAAATGCGAGATCTTCTGGCTTGTGGACTGGAGAAGCTCTGACTACGCCATCTTTGGAGCCTGTCGACCGCTTGGTGCGCGAGAGCTGAGCGAGCGCCAGGTCTTCGGCTTGGGCTCTCGACAGCGGGAGCAGCCCACAGACAAGGAGAGAGATAAACAATGCCACTGAGAGCAAAATCATCGCTTCATGTGCGTCTCTGGATTTTTGAGAATTTTTTACGGCGCGGTCGCGACCGCCAAAGGTGTCAAGGTGGATTTAAATGGTTGGCCACTGACTGGCCTCAATCTCGTTCCCGGCTGAAACGCCACGTCTCTCAGGACAAAATCTAAAATATTTCTTTATTTTATCATGACGGATACTAGCCTCTCGGCTACTCCTCTCGACCTGGCATTCCATCCGACAGAGGACATTGTCTACACGAGCCTGCTAAATGGCGAGGTTCTCTGCTTTTTATACGCAGAAGATGGATCTACGACTCTCAAGTGGAAGACGAGGCCTTCAAAAAAAAGTTGTCGGGCTATAGACATCACCGCCGACGGGAGCCACCTGTGGTGTGGATATAAAAGTGGAAACATCTAGTATTTCGTCTCACTCTCATTGTTCACGAGTCCTGACACGTGATCAGCATCCTCAAGACTGACTCTGGTGCAGTCGTAAAAGAAATTGCGCATGCACATGAGTAAGTGTGTGCTTTGTTACAAACAGCCGACTGACATCTCAAGATCCCCTATCAATCGAATACTAGTACTCGGCACTGCGTTTAAACAGGTCGTCACCGGAGACGACGACGGTGTAGTAAAGATCTGGGATACCCAAAAGCTGGCTCTCGAGGATGTTGAGAGTCCTCTACGGAGCTATGTACATCATACGGACTACATCTCCGACTTTTGCTGGCTCGAGGACAAAAAGCATCTTGTGGCGACGAGGTCAGCACCGGATTATGCACAAGAACGGCACAAGCTCATTCTAATCTCAGCGGCGATGGAACTTTGTCTGTTATGGATGTTCGTTCGACGAAAGCGACACCATTGGCTCAAAGTGAAGATCAAGAGGATGAACTACTCAGCATAGTACCAATCAAGGGGTGAGTAACCTCTACTCATGGTGTCAACCTCTACTCATTTCTCCTAGTGGCAAACGATTGGCAGTTGGTGGGTAGGATAGACTTTTCTGTCGCCACTGAACCCGATGACCAGGAACTCAGCTTGGTCCAATAACCATATTTGACCGTAAGCGGGGATACGGAGATTGTATCGATCGATTTCTCGGCCATCCTCATTCGGTCGAAACATTGGCAGTCATCAGCGGCGGATCTCAGCTCACACAGGACGTTGTCGCAACTGGATCCTCTGACGGTCTCATTCGGGTCGTTCAATTGCTCCCGTCCAAGTTTCTCGGTGTCATCGCAGCTCACGGCAATTCACAGGACGAACAGTCGCCAGGAGAAGGCTTTCCTGTGGAACGAATAAAAGTGGATCGCAATGGGAAATGGCTCGGGAGTATCAGCCACGACGATGTCCTCAAACTTACCGATATCGAAGGGGCTCTCGAGGGAAGTGACGAAGAGGATGCACAAGAATCTGACGAGCAAGCCGAAGAGAGAGAGAGGATAGAACAAAGTGAAGAGTCTGACGACGAGTTTGAGCCAAAAGCTGCAACGCCGAGAGTTGTACCTCAAGAGGTAGATAATGCTGAAGAGGCATCCGATTCATCTTCTCTACCTCCAAAGGAATCAAGGGCCGAGAAGAAGAGGAGGAAAAAGCAAATGAAGCGTGAAGAGGCTAAGAGGCAAAAGAGGGCTCGAGACGGCGCTGCGACCAGCACCTTCTTTGACGACCTGTAGGTTCCTTTAAGCATTGGATTTACGTTATAAAATGGTCCGCGTCATTTGTTCCCGAGAACAATGATGAGTTGTCAATGTTGGCACCACACTTAGAATCCTCCAACCCAATGGCCGAGACCATAGTACCGGCACCAAACATAGAAACTCCGCCATCGCAACTAACGCTTGAGAGCACACCTCAAAACTTGGAGACAGCAGCCTATGGGCCGTTTATTACAGACTTTACGTACGTGCCACGCCCACGTTTTGTGACTCGTAGAATGCTCACGAGTTTTTTAGACGGGAACATGTGAGCACGATCATCGAAAGGGACTTGGAGGATCAGAAGCAGGAAGACGTTCATAAACTGCTTACATACCTGTTGAGCCGAGTCTCTGCGCCGACAAATCCAACCAGAGAACAGTCAATAAGCTTAGTTAAACTAACCGACAAGATCATGTCATCTTTTACGGAGACTGAATGGTCGCAAATTCGGATATTCCGTGATGAATAGTGCGTTGGCCTCGACCGTGCCTCCTCTCTCACTAATGCTGCAGTTTGAGGTCCGAAGAAGAGCAGGAATCTTACGCTTCATGGATAAAACTCACCAACCGCGCCCTAAATGCATCATCCCAAGTCCATTTAGATGGTACCACTGGGCCATCTAATGTCCAACATAGTAAGTATCAAGGGTGCCTCGTTCGCTTATCCAATTTAACAGCTTTAGATACCCGGACTTCCCCCAGAATAAAGTCTCCGCCGACCCCGAAGGCCACCTATAGCCATTCAAAGGTCAGCGTACAACCTCCGCTTACTAGCTCGAACAGAAGTGAGAACCCGATGAATAGTGCATACAATCAGGCTGCATAATACGCGATGACACATACACTGAGCCTGGTAATGAAGGGTACATTGCGCTCCTCGTTCTCGCCCTGGCTTAGATTTTGTAGGGAAGAGCCTATCTCTCCAATGGTACGATCACGAAGGCATAATTACGACAAGACCAGTAGACTTCAGCACCGATCAAGGTCTCGAAATCTATCTGTCGTTGCTTTACATATTACAACGATTCGATACTATTGACTGGGGTATTCATCCAGGGTTTCCACCGCCCCCATTTCATCGAAGCCATGACAGTCACCTCAATGATCCCGTTGTCACCATCGGAAACAAGAGATTTCGACTTACATTCAAAACCCGACACAAGCAGTGGGGAATCAAGGGACGCGCCACGTCTGCAGTCGACTGTGTAGAGCTCGATGAGCACGGAATCCCAGGAAGAGATTGTGTCATCAAGCTGAGCTTCCCTCAAGAATTGAGAGTACGAGAGCACAAGTTCATTGACCGAGCACTCGAGATCGCAAAAGTCAACCCACATACTCTCCATCACATTCCAGAGTATGTTGCGTACGAGGAGTATCCAGAAACCTCAACAGGGCACATTCGGCGTGCATTGGGTATCGAAACGACCAATCACAGGCAGATGTATGCAATCGTACTCATCCAGCTCAAGGCCCCCATCTACAAACTGTCTGGAGTAGACTACTGGCGAGCATGGTGGGACTGTTTCCAATGTGCGTACCATCGTACTCCCGATTCAAATTTGTGACTTAGTTCACAGGTCACCGGGTTCTGTGGACCAACGGTCTATACCACTGAGATATCAGTGACACAAATCTGATGTTCAAGCTTGATCCAAATGGTGAAGTGGTTGGGGTTCTTTCGGATTGTGATCTCGCTTCGCTCGAGGGCGGTATGGGTAAAAACACTGAACGGACAGGCACTCTACCATTTATGGCACTGGATCTGCTTACGGAAAAAGGCCTCAAAGGACATATTCGACACACGTACGAACACGACGCCGAGGCATTCTTTTGGGTGGCCGTCGTCGATGATACAATTTACCCACAGACCGAAGAGCTGCAACATGAACCCAACTACCAAAAAATCTTGTCTTGGTTAACCAGAAGCTTGTCGCCAATTTCACTAGCAGAATCTAAAAGCCATTGGCTTATGAACCCGGACACGCATTGTGTAACAGAGAAGCAAAAGATTGGCTGGGACGGCGGCTTCTCGAAACTACCCCGTATCTGGTTCATACAACAAAGCAGTCAAAAGTACCAGACGGGTCCATCCCTCAGTGCAACCGAACTATACAAAGAGTACCTCCGTATTCGAGACGAGCATGAAAGAGTCCATCCAGAGTTGAAGAGAAATGGTCCTATTTCCGATTAGAATGCGCCTGTAACTATTCTGAATCTCGAATTCTTAAATTCGCGTGGTCGGGATGAAGTTCAATACCCATGAATAGTAGGCTCGTGATTGTTACTCAGGCATGATGGGACCATCTAGAGCCAGAGGATGGTGTATTTGGATGGACTGCCTAGAGCTATTTCCCGCCACCTCGGGGTGCACCTGCTAGCCAAACAGACCGCACGGCCAGCAAGTAGTACGCATACATATAGGAACATTGCTATCGATGAATACGGTTGTTGTGAATTGGTGCAGCTCGCCCGGGAAAACGTTCGGTTAGTCTGACTCGGCCGACTCAAACATTGGCCTCCCCCCATGAAGTACTTTTCAACGAGAGGAGATCCTGAAGAGCTCACCTTTGAAGAGGTTAGATAGGATAAGACTCTAAGATAGGCAAAATATCTAACCAAGGCCTCAGACGGTCATTCGTGGGCTGGCTCCGGATGGTGGCCTGTACATCCCCAACGAGATACCCTCATTACCATCAAACTGGGAAGAAGCCTGGGCGGATTACTCCTTTCAGGAACTTTCCTTTGCGGTCCTATCCCTTTACATCCCTGCCGACGAGATTCCATCAGATGCTTTAAAGGAACTCATCAACAAGTCCTATTCGACTTTCCGTGATTCCCAAGTCACACCTCTCCATCAGATCAGCAACAAATTGCACATCCTTGAGCTTTTCCATGGGCCGACGTTTGCCTTCAAGGATGTCGCGCTCCAATTTCTCGGCAATCTCTTCGAGTTTTTCCTCCTACGACGAAACTCGGAGGTAAAACGTGGTATTAGTGCCGAAAAGGAGCGAATTACTGTCCTGGGGGCCACCTCTGGAGACACTGGGTCCGCCGCCATTTACGGCCTACGCAGCAAGGCCAATCTCTCCATTATCATTCTACATCCCTACGGCCGCGTTTCTCCCATTCAAGAGGCACAGATGACAACCGTGACGGACGCGAACGTCCACAATCTTGCCGTTCATGGCACGTTTGATGATTGCCAGGACATTGTCAAGACGTGTTTCGGGGACAAGACCTTCAACTCGAAATGGAAGCTCGGAGCCATTAACAGTATCAACTGGGCGCGTATCCTCGCTCAGATAGTGTACTACTTTTCCGCCTATTTCCAAGCGAAGAGGGCTGGCCTCTTAGAAGGAGGAAAGAGAATCCAATTTGTCGTCCCGACTGGAAACTTTGGAGACGTACTCGCTGGGTACTTTGCAAAGCGCATGGGTTTGCCCATGGCCAAGCTAGGCATTGCGACCAACGCAAACGACATTCTCGCCAGGTTCTGGAACAGTGGCAAGTATGAGAAAGGCGAGCACGGTGTACTCGAGACGTGTAGTCCTGCGATGGATATTCTCATTTCGAGCAACTTTGAGCGTTTGCTATGGTACCTTGCTAGCGAACAAGAGGGAGGAAGCAAGAACCGTGACGGAGCTTGCGGAACAATTAGACACTGGATGTCACAGATGAAGGCGGACGGTAAAGTACCAATGCCAGCAGAGGTGTTAAAGCTTGCGAGGCAAGACTTTGTTGCGGAAAGGGTATCTGATGAAGAGGTTCGCACCCTTTCGATGCCTCGATCTGTACTCATATGATTGTAGACACTCGAGACGATTCAAAGGTACTTTAAGGCAAACTCGTACATTGCGGACCCGCATACCGCGGTTGGCCTCCACGCTGCAGACAAGCTGCCTGAAGCAACAGACGACACAATCGTCCAGATCGTGCTGTCTACGGCACACCCAGCCAAATTTTCAGAAGCTGTCACCAAGGCCCTACAGACAGAGTCGAGCTTCAATTTTGAGGAGCAGGTGCTCCCTCCCGAGTTCAAGGGACTCTTAAACCTTCCTAGGAGGGTCATAGAGGTCGAAAGACCAGAGGCTGAGCAGGTCAAGCGTGTCATCGAGCAGGTTATGGCCGCTGACGCAAAAAACCTGGGCACGGAAGCCTTATAATCCTTTACTGTACGTATAGGTGATAAAAAAGGCCACAGTAAAGGTTAGATTTCCAAAGTAAGCACAGGTTGCATCTATTTAGATCATGGCTTTTTCGATTGCGTTCTTAATAGTGCGAATCTGGCTCGCGAGCTCCTGTGCTTCGCTCGTGGTAACACTCGCGGCGATGACAGGTCGTGTAACGTTGCAGGCACGTCCCAAGGCTGCTTTGGACGGAAGGAAGATGTATGGCACGTTCTAAGAAATCTCAACATGGGAGTGGTCAAACAACGTGAAGCACTAACCTTGTCTTCGCAAAGAAGAGGAAGGTGCATCAAAATCTCAATAGGCTCGGTATCAGCCGTCAGGACGATAAACTCTGCGATGCCTCGGTTGAGAGTCTTGGTAGCTATGAATAGCATCGTATCAGTCCCCATGAATATACAATTACCAGTACTAATTGCACACCTTCGTTGGCGCCCTTTTTCAGTTGCTTGTAGTTTGAGGCTTGCTGAACGAGATCGAGAATCTGGATACAGCAGGTAAAAATGACGGTTTTCTGTTGTTTCGGGGACTATAAACGCGCCTTGTCTGTCAAGACGGCGTCTGCCAATGGCCAAGCTTTTCCTCTGTCCTCTTCCATGATAAAACTGTCCTTCAAAGGTCTTTTTACGTGTCCTTGATTGATTGGTGCAAAGACCTCACGGCGGTGCGATCACTGGTCGTGGTGGCGAAGGAAAAAAGGAGTGAACCACCCATCCAAATCTCGTATGCGTGTTCAATGGGATAATTTCGACAGGAAGAAAGGTATATACTGTACATTTGGACTGTTGTGTGTCAAGAGAGGCTACGGCTACAAGAAATGGATGCGCGAGAGAGATGCCGTAGTGCGCTACAAGATCGTCGGAGAGGGACATACGATGGTGAATGGATGATAAAAGAGTGGAAAGTGCTCAAGTCTGATGACGAGCAACAAGACGTGTGATCAAGACAGTAAGAGATGCAAGGAACAATGCGAGTAAGACGATACCAGATACCATGGAAGCAATTCTGCACCGACGGATCCAGGGACTCGGCTCAAGATGAATGCTGAGTTCATCTTCACCAACTGATCTTCTCTTTGGGTACACGGTAGTAGCACCGGTCCATATTGCGCGTGAAGAGCGAAAGTGGGTAGGAAGTACCATGACAGAATGGCTAGTTTCCGCAGCGCTGACTTCGACGGCAAGACTGTCTGCGTCAGTCGGACCAGAAGGGCCACTAACTAGCCTGCTGCCGTCACTATTGGTCGCGGTCCGTTTCCCAGCCTCAAACGACTCTGACGTGAGACCAGAGGAAGCTCGTTCAATCCTCACGAGTAATTCTTCTCCGTCGGTCCTGTCCCTGGTGGAAATGGTATCCCGCTGATGCTGGACTTGCTTATCCACCCAAATGCGGAGTTTGCTTGGGTTTGCATGCTTCTCATAGAATTGGGTTAGGTAAAACCCGCCGATGAGCCAGTTCTGCGGGCCAGCAATAAATCCAAGTGCAAAGAGGCTCTCTGCGGGGTCTTGAAAATGAATTATGCGCTTGAAATAGCCAAAGACGCCTCTGAGTGAAATTTTGGGATGAGAAACCGCTGTCACTAGAGCTGCGTCGGCGGTAATCGAAAAGTGGGATGGTAGAGGCGTGATAATCTGGAGTAGCCATCCTGTTGGAAGCATAGAAGTTGGACTCGCAGGCACCGCCGAGTCCTTGGCGGGTAGCTTCGTCGTAGGAACATCAGTAGGTTCTCCCTTTGGAGGTCGAGTGATCTCTGTGATGACTCGGTGATGCGAATGCTGACAAGATGAATGGGAATGGGAATTTGAATGGCGTGAGTGAACTGCCTCGCTTGCTGCCCTAGACAAAGGACGGTCATAGGGTGAAGGCAAGGGTGGCGGAGGGCCAATTCCGGCGTAGTGCTGAAAGTAGCGGTCCACAGGAGATGGAGAGACCACAGAGCGTGGTGTTTTGACAGAGCATGCTTCGATAAGCTGTGGACTAGAGATGACTGGCCTCGAACGAGGCTCCTCGACTGGTTGAGGTGGCATTAGTCCATGGCTTGAAGAACGGTAAATATGGCATACCAGGACGCGAGGCAAATCGAGTGCTCAATTTACTCCAGGCAGTCAAAGTCATCTGCTTGAGCGATGCACGCTTGGGGACCGCGAGCTCGTCTCCAGGAACAAGATCAGTGGGTGGGAGATCAGGAGGCACGTCGTGAAAAGAAATAGGAATGAATTCGTTGGGATCCTCCGTTGGTACGCCATCTGGGAAACGCTGCCTCAATGCCTCGATGAGGAGTCTGTGTTTGTCCGGGATCTGCGATTCTGTAGTCTGTGAGAGGGCATCTTGGTGATCTTGGGATGCCTCTGACGATACGATCCGTCGACAGGGTTCGGAGGTGGCCTTGAACGCTGCCGACGATGGCGAGAGAAATCCATCGTAGGAAGACTGGCGGGATGGGCGAGAAATAGTCTGTCCAGCATGAAGAAGAGACGCTGGGACGTCCATAAGAATTATACTAAATAAACGAAACAAGGTGGTCGCGGTTCAAGCACGATTCAAACTCCGGTCCATCTCCGATCTGCATGCGTCATCCGCAATCCAAGAATGAAATAGTATAATTACATGTTAATACTCATCCTCGGTGGCAGCGGGCAAGTGGCTAATCGCCGCTTGGACCCGTGGACATGAGCGACAGCGACCAGGCTCGGACAAGTTGGAAACTATCAACACGCAGAGGGAATTTATCAGATAGAGAGGGAACAGAAAGGAGTTCCAGCAAGCTCACACGGCTCTTCCAGACCATCTCCGACTCTGTCTCTGCCCCTGCAAACAGCCCCGTGAGCCCAACAGCAGAGTACGCGTTTGGACCAGACAGTCGTAGAAACGCAGTACTCCTCGACGTGACTCCAGAGGATTTACGGCCACCCAGCGTCGCAGAGAGCGTCACCTCTCGCTTTACGCTCGTCCTTCCACCTTCCCCGCCACCCCATACACTCCAGTATCCATTTACAAACATAGGAGCCCAGCAAACTGTCTCCTTTGATTCCTTTTCTCGCTCCAACAAACGCTTCTTACCAAAGTTCAAGACCCCAAACTCTGGGCCGGCGAGGCTGTTTAGCCGCAAGAGAAAACATCGACAAATCTCCTACGAGTTTGACGGCGAACCTCTCGACGGCGAGGAGGGAGAATTGGTTGTTGTAGACGACGAAGCCTGTTACATTGACAACAGTAGGGCGAAGGGAATGGGTTCGTGACGCCAATGACATGCCAACCAAGTTGTGCTGACCAGTACCAGATATCCTACGACTTCTTCCAGATGAATTATCAATATATATCCTCCTCTTCGTGGACCTCCCCGTAATCCTCTCCTGTCTCGCCGTTTCTCGACACTGGCAACGACTTGCTAGTGACAATGTCGTCTGGAGAAGCATCTTTTACCGAGCAGGCTTTAGCATTGACTCGAACGCACTTCGTCAAGCGGGCTTTTCGCCCCTGCAAGCACCAGCTACCCCACAAACGCCCACATCACCTCGCCTCTCATCCATTTCCAAATTTGCATATTATATACCAGCATACTCATCATCGCTTAGAGAATCCGTCACCTCGTTTGGCACCGCGCAATCCCTTGAAAGCAATCTCCAGATTGTTCGTCAAGAACCCTTGTCTGTGCCTGCCCCGCTCTCCCTGGACTGGAAAACTGTATACAAGGCGCGAGTTATAATCGAAAAACTCTTGGTCAAGGCATCACCAACCGTTACCAAACTAGCCGGTCACACCGATGCTGTCTATTGCGTGGAATACGATGGAGACAAGATTGTCACCGGGTCTCGAGATAGAACCATTTGCGTGTGGACAATCCGAAACTCTGCTCCCAAGCTCAAGATGACGCTCACCGGACATCAAGCCAGCGTACTGTGCCTACAGATTGACCATACTGGCTACATGGTCTCTGGTTCCAGTGATTGGACGATCATCGTCTGGGATCTAAATGCGCCACCGGAGAACCGGATCGTAGACACGCTACGAGAGCACAAGGGCGGGGTGCTGGACATAAAAATGGACGCCCACTATATCGTGAGCTGGTGCGTCAAAGCGTTCCCTAGACCATTATATTTACTTATATTCTCCCAGTTCAAAGGACTCCTGTATCTGTGTTTGGGATCGTGCGACGAGAAAATTGTTTCGCAAGCTCGTTGGCCACAAGGGCCCCGTCAATGCCATTGGATTCCAGGATGACCGAGTCGTCAGCGTCTCTGGAGACGGGAGCATGATTCTATGGGACATGTTGAGTGGGAACAGGATCCGAACATTTGAAGGGCACGAGCGTGGCCTCGCGTGCGTCGTCTTCAAAGTATGATCCCCTTTACTCGAGTCCTCACAGCTGATCCGAAATATGTAGGATGATTGGCTGATATCTGGATCCAACGACAAGAAGATCAAGATTTGGGACCCACGGTCAGTCCCCAATCACTTTGGACTGCGCTTCGAGTCTGACAGATTGAAAGAACTGGAGAGTGTCTCAACACTCTTTCCGGTCATGACCACCTCGTTCGCTCGCTTTCTTTCAATCCTGGGACCAAGCGACTCGTCAGCACCAGCTACGACCGGAGCATCCGCATCTGGGACGTGGTCACTGGCAAGTGTCTCCGCGAATTTCTCAACGTTCACGACAGTCACATTTTCGATGTTGTGTTTCGTGTTTCCAAGATCATTAGGTATGTGAAAAACTGTTGCCTTCTCCCCCGTTGGCTTACCGGGTTTCAGTGCATCCCACGACAAGGGCGTGGTAATTATGGACTTTGCCCCAAGTGAGATGGATACGTCTCTATTTGCATAGCACGGCTGTAAAGCAGGCCTTTTCCAGTCGTAAATCATGACATTATATATTCCACATGGTAATACTCGACAATGTTTCTTCCTATAAAGAATCTCGTGAATTTGACATGAATTTCTCGTCTCGTGAATCGACGAAATATCACTTGCGCTCCAACCAACCACGCTGGGGATCCCAATAGTACTTGGAGAGCGGGTCGTCGTTCTTGTTGCTACCCGAAGACGGCCTGCGACCGCGCTCAACCGTCTCTGCGCGTCGAATCGTTTCATCATTGGCGGCAGAATCCCGCCTGCTCAACCTTCCTCCTCGTGTAGACTCGTGGTCATCTACAGCGGACCAATATCCACCATCATCGTCATCTGATTTACGAGAGGCGGCTCGCGAGTCTGGTCGACTCTTGGACAACCGACGACGCTGCCTTGGACGATCGTCGTCCTCGCGGTACTTGACCTTGTCCTCTCCACCGCCCACCATCGAATTGCGACGGGAGAGGACGCGAGACATGCGTCCATCGGGATGGACGATGACTTTGACGTTGCCCGATATGGAACGCACACTGTGCCCGGCAATACTACCCACGCTCTTCGTTCGCTCGCGTTTGTTCTCTTTGATCGTCGCGTCAGGTGTATCTACTAGCGTGCTTTCCCTTCCCAGCCTCGGCCGTCGGCCATATCCTGATCCTGGTGCGTCCTCTGGCCCTGAATCCTCGCCGGGCGATACGATGACAATATCCTCTGGTCGCTTGATGCTATACCGGTCCCGCTTCGAAAGTCGTCGACTCGCCATCTCCGGACGCGTCTTTTGCGAAAAGTAATCCCCATCTTGATCGCGTGGCGATGTGGGCGTTTGGGCGTTCAGACTCTTTGGACTCTTGGACTCTTGAGACTTCCGGGACCTTTGGCGAGGCTGTCGGGGCTTTGAGTCCGTCTTCGAGATCCTTTGACTCTCCTGGTCCACGACTGAGAGACCGTCGAGGGGTTCCAGGAGCTGGTGTAACCGGTGTCGTCGAGGTGGCCGAATTGGATTCAAATCGAACCCCAAAGAATCGATGGAGGCGCGCGCGCTGCAAAACCCAATAAGTCCTCGTGATTTTTGGAGACCGACGAGAGACAAACCTTGAACATTTGACGCCATTTACGATTCCTGTTTCCCACTTCTTGGATAAAGATCTTGATGCAGCCGAGGAGTGGGATAATACAAAGGAGCATTGCGAGAATCTGACCGGAACCTGACCGAGTTGTGAGTAAGGCGGAAAGAGGGATGAATGTGCGCACGAACCCCATTGAGATTCTCCAGCGAGAACCTTGTTCTCTCTAATCTGGGTTTCATTCGCATAGATCAGAACCATTACCCAAGCTACGTCTATGAGCGTGGCATGATACCCAAATGATCCTTTACGCACCGTTGCTGAGGATGAAGAAAGCAAAGAGAGCAAACTTGTTGGTTCGCCTTTCCTGATGAAATGCGTGGGCAAATGCACGAAGGGTTCCTCGGGTCATGGTCAACCAAGACTCTAACAAGAGGTGGACAACTTGCCTGTCTCTGGGAGGTACAAGCAAACGAATGAACACAAGAATGGCAAGAATACAATGATTCCACTATGCATTAATTAGTTACGACACCTGATGACCAGTATTAATCACTCACTAGACGACCAAAATGAGGACTCGTTCCGCCGGCGTCATCCCACTGACTTCCTGTAGAGGTTCCGCGACCCTTGGGCGTGCTGTAAGTAGGAGCTATATGAGAAGCGTAAGATAGCGTACCAAAATCGAAGACTCCGTCCAAAGATGATCACTTTTGTCTCTGGAAAAGGGTAAATACGGGTCAAAGATGGCCAAAAGAGCCACACCATTGTTGCACTGGGGTTGAGCTACTTCCCAACTTCCACTACCTCCCCTACCCGCACTATTGTCGTTCCTTCCGCCCACAATGGAATTGAGTCCGACGCCAAGGAATACAGAAACTGCGCAGGCTATGGTAGTGTTAGACTGAGCCACCGTGAAGAGATGAATTAGGATTGACCAATGAATTGGATAAGCATGATGGGCGTTGCAAAGAGCTATTACGACGTTAGATTTACCTGGTGTCAGGGAATGAAAAGAAATACGTACCTTTGGACCCATGGGGATTACACCAGGTTGGAGTCGAAGCCGCAAGATACCAGCAAAAAAAGCGACGGTAGGCAACGCGGAAAGATTGATCGTGATGAGTGTATGATGAAATGTGATATTATTGTATGCGTATTGAGCTAGAGTGGCACTGTACCAACGAGTGTGAGCGGCATCCCAAGGTCAGGAGGATAGGACATACACGAAGACGGTAAAGGAAGCGGCAATACCTGCTAGCATAGCACCAAGAGTATCGTCCGGATCTATTACAGGGTCAGGGCCGCTACGTCACACTCGCAAATTGGTCCCCTACGAGGGGTTAGAGTTGCAAGCCAGACTATCAGCGAGTCAGCGTCGGGTCAGATTTAATATACTAGAAGAATACATACGAGTCAAGATTGTCTGAATGTACAAAGAAATTCTGTTTCCTACGCAAATTGTCAAAGGGTCAGAAATGGTGAGACCAATATGTACCTATGCCGGAGACATCTAGACCGCCAAAGTGAGCATAGTCCGAACCGGATTCCAATATTTTATTTACCAGGGTTTGCGCATATTCCGTAGCATCCGGGGAAGAGAGTCTGGTTTTGGAGCGGTGAATCGTCGATACCTACGCAAGGAGGAGGTAGTCAGCATTGTGCATATCCGAAAAAGGTGGAAATTGATCAAGATGGAGTGTTTCAGCACATTTCACGAAGCATCCGAGTGTTTACTGCACGTCGGAGGCCTGAAACGAGCCACTGTGAGGCAAAGGGGGGCTCGGTGGACGCACAATACAAGGCCTCTGGTAAAAATTGGCCAACAGTGACGAGCGAAAGGTTCATCTCATCAAAGTCCTTCATGTTGGAGGAGATGGAGCGGTCCAACCGTCAGACCTGCAAGGGACCAGTCGGCTACTCGTGGGCCTGCGTTCTTTTCTCCGCAAGTCCCACCGATTAACTGGCAGCGCAGGGCTGTTTTATTTCGTGCGGGGCTTTGGACGTGAGGATGGCACCACTTTACTGGCGTCGAATGAGCGCTCGCCGCATGCCAAAGGATCCAGGATGCGCGTGGACTGAATGCGTCTGCTTCTGGCCGACGAGATTCTTTCTAATCGAGTCATCAACAGCAATAAAAGGTGCATTAGCATCTGTTCTAGTCACCAGATTCAGCCATGGACATCGAATTCTTCCACGTCGACGCATTTACCACCAAGCCATTTGGAGGAAATGCAGCTGCCGTCGTGATTCTGCAGTCAGAGAGCCAATTCGACAAAGACGAACTGTTACACACGATTGCAAAAGAGTTTAACCTCCCAGCCACCACATTTCTATTCTCCTCCTCGTCCAATGCCTACAAGATTAAATGGTTCACGCCTCTTAGACGCATACCACTCTGTGGTCATGGTACACTCGCAGCATCCCACATCCTCTTCAACAAACACCCGGCTCTAGATCTCATCCAGTACGACTCTGGCCCCGCTGGTAATCTCACCGCTGCACGCGCAAAGGAGGACAGTATCCAGCTCGAGTTTCCCGCATGCAATCTCGTACAAATGCAAGATGTAGGCCAGCAGTTGACCAAGGAGCTCGAGAATGACCTCGAGCGTCTTCTAGCATCGGCATTCTCCCAGCCCGCACAGTTTACATTCATAGGACGCGGAGATTCCGGCTCATACGTGGATATGATGGTCGCAGAACTCCCGGAGAATTATCCCCTCAAGGCCGTCACAATCGACCACTCCAAATTGGTAAATGCTCCCCTCTCCCCTCCACTAGGTAAAACTCATACTGAACAGGTTTCTCTCTTCCCTACAATTCGTGGCATCACATTCACCACACGCTCAAGCGCAGACAATACCTGTCACATCCATTCCCGGTGCTTCTATACACTGCTCGAACTCGGCGAAGACCAGGTGACGGGTTCTGCGCACTGCATGATTGCACCTTATTGGTTCCGCAAACTGGGCCTCGCAAACGACGCCGAGCTCGTCGCGGCCCAAGTCAGCCAACGCGGCGGCATCATGGCCCTCGAATGGAAACAAGACGAAATGCGCTGTCTGATCCGTAGTTCAGCTGTTACCATTGCAAAAGGTACTATGCGCATAGAATAAAAAGAAAGAAATATCCCGGTGTAGAAAAATAGCCATGATACATTGTCTACGCTGCCGTTCCTTCGCTCGACGAAAAGTCGTGTCTGTTTCGCAAATCGACAATCTCCAGGTGCATCCCGCTCACCAGTCGTACATGCGACCCATCACAATCCTAGATCCCTTGAGTCAGAATCAAACTTTGAGACGTTCATGAGGTGCATACCGTATAAATAGCAATGTTCTCCGGATGTGGATGGAATGTTTCCTTGGCTCGACAGTTCATCACGACGTCAAGACCAGGTGGATCAGTTAGTCGGAAGATTCCAAATCTATCAAGGGTCAGGAAAGCACCGGCGATTTGCAAACATGACCAAACCTGGGGTCAGAGGAGGGAGCACAGACAATGGCTATCGCCTCTTTCAATGTGCTTTGGTACGCCGAGTGGGTGTGTAGGTCCAACGAAGACATGAAGCCTGACCATCATTAGCTGAAAAAGGATAAAGCTATTGGCACTTACAAGATTGAGTTGGATGAGTATGAATCTTGGACAGCATTAGCAACCCCTTATAAGAAATCGACTCCTAAACTCACCCAACCTAGCGTCAGTAGATCCCTCCCAGTCGAAAACTCTACAACCAGTTCTTCACACTCCATAATACAAGTGTCCGTTGTCCCTCGCTGCTCCGGGATAAGCAGGGTACTGATGGTGAAACCCGCGCCGCGCTGCTTTCCCAGCAGCAACCCGCACGTCTCAATCTTTCTCAGCGTGTTCAAATGTGCGACGCCAAGGAAGCGATCGAGCAGCTCCGCCGGCATGTCAATTGGCCGGAACCCAAGTGGGTGTGGCTGGACCTCTGGGATCGATGAAGACCTCCGGTGGGTGCTGACGTGATGACTCTTTGGTGTATTTCTATCATTGGCGTAATAATCGGTCGGGCTCACTAGTTGCTGCTGTTGCTGCTGCATTGGTGGAGGTGCGGGCGAGTATTGAGATTGTTGAACCATACTCGAGGTTCGAGGTGGTGGGTATTGGACAGTAGGTGATTGATGTGGGAGAGTAATGTTATACAGGTTCGACGAGCCACGTCTAGCTGAAGCTGGTGATGAGAACATGACAGATGGCTGATAACCCTGGGCGCGTTGATGCGCCGACATCAGCTGAGGATACTCAATATGGGAATTATTGAATGAAGTGTCCAACGGTGTGTACGGATGCGATCTTCCAGCGACGGGGGTGTGTTCTCCGGGCCAATTCGGAGACTGCTGTCTGTCGTTCCGTATTACCGATGGATCCTGGAGAGGATGATGAGGAATAGCGTCAAAGTACCTAGCATTTGAACCCGAAGAGATCGAGCTCTCTTGGTACCGCGAGCTCTGGGGCACGTAGCGGTCTCCAGCAGCCTTTCTCGCAGCGTCCAGCGCCGCATTCCTCACTTGCTGTGCACGTTCGTACTCGGAAGCGCGGCGTTGCTCGTCGCGTTGTCGTCTCAAACTCGTCAAAATCCCATTGCCGCCTGGCTGCCTCCTCCTGCGCTATCCGCGCGGCCTGCTCTTCCACACGCCTTCGTTCTGCCTCTGCTGCTTCTGCTTGTTGCCTTTCCTGCCACTGTCTCCGCGCAGCATCCTCTTGAGCCCTCCGTGCAATCTCTGCAGCGGCACGCGCCCTACGGTCGTCGACGGGACTCTGATTGAGTTGCATCCCGTTCATGTCTCGGGTTAAGTCTCCTATCGACGACGAGTGGTGCATCGTCGCGTTTGGAGGTTGCTGAGAAACGGCAGCCCGAGTCTGCGAGTGATCACTGCGAAAGCTCTCCTGCCGGCGCGCCCTGGAGACAACTACAGGGTTGATAGAGCTTCCATAGTACATAAGCAGCTCGGAGGGCACACTCGCATTCGCCGGATCCTTGGCCAGCCACTGTTCGTATCTGTCCGCCAGGCGGGGCTTGAGCTGTTCAAGATTGTGGAGTATTTCGTGGCCATTCTGTGGTAGTACAAATCAGTTTTGCATACACGCAGAGCGATCGGTTTATCACTGACGCTCTTGAGGTTGGCCATTTGCGTCTCGGTGAGTTCGTCGTAGTTTGGATGTTTTGGGATCTTTTCGAGAATATATGTTGCGCTCCTCGCGAGATACAGAAACCCTGCTTGGATGTCGCCCTCTGCGGTCGCCTGCTGGCCCTGCTTCCTGAGTGCGTCGGCGAGCCTGAGCCAATCTTTTACGCTTTTCTGGGCTGGCTGCGTCGCATCTTTTGCAAAGTTTGCAAGCTCTGAGATGGAATGCGGGCGCGGGGGCATCACAACTCGCCAGTCAGTCGCAAGAGTGAGGCCAGGTTCAAGTTGCACCGTCGGCGATCTGAAAGCTGTGGCTCCCGCTGTGTCGGTGTACAAGCGCTCAGATTATCCAAAGTTCTCACTATACATGGCGCGTGCAGTCAAAATTTCTGTAAAAGTCAGAGAAGTTCATCAAAAGGAGAACAAATAAACCTTGAAGTATTCTCATCCATCGTCACACCCTTGAACTCGACCACGACACCAACCACTTTGAATCTTACTTGGTTGACTCCTCGAGCGTCTATCAAAACTCTCTAATGTCCAATTATCACCAAATAGAGTCTGACGATGTAAGGCGTGGTCGTGTACACAGTCAAAGCAAGCTCACATCTTGCGTGGCAGCGCGCAGACGACGGAAACAACCTCGAATTCAGATGTACGCCTACTCTAAAGGATAATTCCGTTGTTTGATATCCTGTCCCTTCAGCCTTTCTCGGCAACGACTCGACAACAGAACCTGCACCTGGCCGAGGTGCGTAAATCTTCCAGACGCTCACGAGATTTTGCCAACCGATGTGAAAGGGTATCTACGGGACCAACCCACTCAAAGCTCGTTCTGGAATATCGAATATTATCAGGTATGAACTTGCAGCTACAGCATGACGGAAACTGTTGTTCATTTCATGAAAGCCATACTTTGATGTGGATACCAATACGGTCCTAAAGCGATGTTATTACACAATGGTCCCAAACGTGGACTATCTCACGAACCATCTGAGGTAGGATGCACTTGCTCGTTATTTTGGACGTGTGACCTTACATCTTGCCAGTCCATCACCAGATCTTTATGGTCCATTCTGGACACTGAGCACCATGGCGTTCTCTCTATTCGTCTTCTCGTCCCTAGCGTCCTCAATTGCGTCTTACTTGTCAAGCGAACCTTTTGATTTTGATTTCAAACTGCTCTCTATTGCGGTATCTCTTTGCTACGCATATGGGCTAGGGCTTCCCCTCGCGCTATGGTTGGCACTTCGCTACCTAGGCGTGACAGATTGGAGCCTCGTCGAAGCAATCGCGATCTTCGGTTACGGTCAATTCATCTGGATACCAGTATCCGTGAGCCCACATTTCTGACCAAAAGATAACCCGATTAATTCTGTGCAGCTTCTCTGCGTGATCCCCGTGCCGATTCTCCGCTGGGCCCTATGTGGCATCGCGTTCGGTCTCTCTGGCTGGTTCCTCGTCGCCAATGTCTATCCCATACTACAAACGGTACGCCACTGACAGCCTCGCTACTCCCTTCCGAGCCGCCGGTGGAGGGGAGAGTGGGACGTGTCCGGCTCGGAAATGATCAGAGATCTCACGGTGTGAATAGGCCGAAGCCAAGGCGACTCGATTGATAGCCATCGTCATCTTTGTTCTCCATGCGGCACTCGCCCTTACTCTGTAAGCCCCTTGCCTTGCTCTCTGCGTGCGAGCTCTTCGGAAGCTGATGGAGACCGTGCCTGCAGAAAGATCCAGTTCTTTAGCTACTATGTTATCGAGCCAATAGGCGGATCAGATCCTATCACAGGCCCAAGTCCTACTGGGACTTCGCGCTTCTGAAGCATGTATACTTTCGCGTCTTTTTCATGGCTAGACCGACCTCGGAGCTTGCATTTTGAGTCCGATATGCTCACCTATTGATATTTATCTCCAAGCGGCGTATCTAGTGTATTACCGTGTACTCGTCACATCCAAATCACACCCGTGGGTTCAAACTCTATTGTGTTTTGCACGCAAGCCGCGCCTACGAAGGAGCGAATCGCTGGCGGGCAGCCTGATTCTATCCGTCAAGGGCTCGTGCTTTTCATTGTGTTGGAGCTAACAGTTGTTATCTATTGACTATTATAGGCAGGGCTGCCAGGCGGCAATTGCTGCCGAGTGAACCACGGTCCGTCCAACTCTTCGAACATATACAAAGACATCATTCGTACCGTCCGCGACCACAAGCGTGAGTCTCATGCGACGACTTGAGGTATGCTCTCTCTGAAAAGAAGACTGATCTTCGGAGTTCAAGAACGCAGCCGTATCTATGAACCGCTACGGGTCTACCCTGTGCCCTCCAAGCCACCTTCTTTTCCCGTACTATAAGTATTGCGACTCGCTCCACATACTCTCAACACCTCGAACCTAGCCCCCCCAAGCTGACCGACTCTTCTGATACCCATGCAGGAGAAGAAGAGCAAACCTGTAACAGTATGTGCTCCTAGTTAAAGTTTCGATCACAAATCTCTGACCTTGCACAATCAGTATTCGTATGGACGAGGCGGGGCCGGCTGCGCACGCGTCGGGAAAGCAAGCAGTACTGGCTCTCATGATTCCAAGAAGAGAGTAGTCGACCCAGATATTCGTCCCATGCCCAAGATGCTCGAACTCGAGACGGCTCGTAACCGAGTAAGTATTGCATCGCCCTACCTCTTTCGCCTGGCTGTGGCTGATGTGGTTTCCTCTTCTTGCCTGCAGCTCACAACGGGAGGACGAGGCGGAAAGAATGTGTATTATCACTGCCTCGAACCGGGCGTCTTTCAGCGCGTTCTCGAGCATGAGACCGCTCGCATTGTCGCCCGCAAGGCCGAGGAACAGGCCAATAAGGAGTACAAGCAAGAGATGAAGAAGCGGAGCAAGTCCACATCTCTGGGTGACTGTCATAGTAAGTATATCTTCCAATTCGACTCGCATGGCGGACGAGTGTATGGTGCGCGCGTGAACTCGCTAGAGGGTGGCCACACAAACGTCGCGTGGCGTGGCAAGGACATGGCCGACAGCAGAAGCTACCTATCATCGCCAATTGTCATGGTCCCCATCTCCGAAGCACACTGACAGCTGTCCACAGCGTCCACCTCGTCGCTCTCACCGTCGCGTTTGGGCTCCCGTCTGCGCTCTGCCAGCACGTCGACATTTGCAACTACGATCTCTGGCAGCTCCGGTGGTCCGCCCTCGACCAACCTCTGCTCCGCAATACCTTATCGCTCAAATTCCTCTTGGTCGGCTAGCTGCCCTGCCGACTCCCGGGCGACCACACCTACGCCTACTAATACTGTAGCACCCAGTACTGCGTCATCAAAAAGCATCGCGAGCAGATTTTTCTCCCCGCTGAAGCAGCAGTTCTTTGGTCGCAAGTCGGGCTACGAAGGCGTGAATGTTTCATCCGTCTCACTCAGCGGAGACGGAGATAGTGCATCGATGTCAAATTTGGGGTTGCAGGGGGGAGCTTGTTTGCCACCACGTCTGTCGATCCGACTCGGACGACGGCGGTGGGCTCCACCTCCACCACGTTCTCTTGCAACGAGAATAATTTTGGTGGAGGTTCTGCCTCTACGTACGGGCCATCGGAGATGCGCTCGCTTGGCACCAGCCCCTATCAATATCCACTCCAGGGGGCGCCACGACCTCGCCCTGTGCATGGAGAGCAAGCCTATTCCACTTCAAACGCTAGGCGATATCAGAACTGGATTGGTGATGCAGAGCTCGCTCGCTACGACGAGGCCAATCTCATGTTTCCCCGCGAAAGGACTCTCCGACCAAGTGCCCATACCCGACTACATATTGCTGACACTCAGACGGAGATATCGCATAGGAATATGTATGGGGCCCAGGGCAGCAAAGCGGGTGCCCTTGTCCAGGGCCAGCCTATCGACATAGGCTCCGAGGAGGGCAAAGAGGGGCAAGTATTCACTTGCTATCATCTTCCGCTTCGCTCCAATATTGGTTACCATCAGCCTGGCCGGACGAGTCGCGATGGACCAAACGCCCACAGGCGATATGCTGCCACTTACATCTGAATTTTTTTTTCTGAGGAATGTTGTAACTGTAACCATGTACTTGTTCGAGATCTATAGACCATGTTATCGAAACTTGAACCCGCCTACGGCAGCTCGTCGCAGTCGCCCTGCGCCGTCCCGAGCTCCGCAATATGGTAAATGAACGCGCGGCGCTGATTGATCGATACATGGCGTCGGCTACTGCAAGTCTCAAACGCGGGCCGTCGTGTGCAAGACTATTGGATAATGATAAGCCATGGATAGGCCAGGCGCGGCCTAATCTAATTTGTCAGATGTTCTCCAGAGATTGATACGAGTCCCTGCTTTTGTTGGAGTCTAGTCTCCTTTGGCTTGCGCACGACCTGGAATCCCCCAACATCCTCCAAGATCTCCTATGGCGTCTGCCGCACACGACAAGGGCGTCAAGACAGACAAGCCCAAGAAGGTCGTTGTGAGTATGCTTCTAGAAGCTTATCGGTGAGCTCACTGACCGGCTGCAGATGTCGTATGTCCTCCTCGCCTTCTTTGCCGTATCACCATCTCAATCGCCTTGCTTGCTTTTGCTAATCATAGCTACGGACGTGGTGGTGGCAACTTTCGTAAAGTCTCTGAGAAGAAGTATGCGACCGAGACATCCAAGACCCCTTCGACGGCTCGCAAGGTAAGCGCACACGAAAAGTGCTCAGTTCCTCTCTTATGGTCATATAATGCAGGTGCTCGAGGTTGAGCCTCCTAGAATGAAGATGGCCGTATCGACCGGACGTGGAGGTTAGTTACTTGTTGGGATTTTGGTTCTCCAATACTTAGAAACTCGTTTTCTAGGGGCGGCCAACTACTTTCCACATGTTCTTGAAGAGGGAGTCTTTGATCGTGTGATGGAGTATGAGATGACCCGCATCCAAGTGTATAAAAGTCAACAGGCCGCGAAACGAACTAGGCGTCGCACAAATTCCAACGTCAAGTCGTCCAAAGCATCTTCAATAGGCTCGGATGATGGTATGTTCCCTATCTACTCCTTAAACCAAGGTCTTAGATCCTGTACAGCTGCGTCTCAGGCTAGGATCTCCCTCCGCCGTTCTTGGGCCTCCAAATCGACCGTCGACGTGACGGCTCACTCTGCGTCTCTCAGTCCGCCTATGTCATCTCCAATTACTCAAAACAGACCCGAGGCCCGCAAATCACTTCGAGATACCTTATTGGCACCTCTACGCACCACGTTTACGCGGGCCCCTCGGCCGTCTAGCACTCACGCAGTGACCAAAGATGATACATCATCCTTCTCTGCTTGCTCACTCAGTGAACCACATTTCCCAATGGACGACTCCATGTCGCCGGTAGCATCGCCCGTAGAGCTACACTCGCCGTCCAGTCCAAATGCGGGCTCTTACGTGCACCTTCCCGCTCACGGCCATGCCTCGGTAGGATATAGTCCAACGCTATCTGATGAGGCGTATTCTGCAATTCTTACCCCGTCCACCGCCGAGTTCTTTGGAGAGTTAGGCGCTTCTGCGGTGGCTGCGCGTTATCAGCAAGCGAACGGAATGCTTACAAGGCGTAAGTCAACCGGAGCTCATCGGAGTCCACGAAGCAGTAAGCGGTTCACGAGCCTATCTGCTCAAGGTATCTCTCCTCCGCCCATGCCCTCTCCCACGACGCCCTCCCCCCAGTGCCAGTACCCACGATTAGCATCAATGGGCGTACCTCCCTTCCGCCTCTCCCCCGTCATCCAACCTTTGCACCCCCGCACCCAGACGAAGCGACACCCCCGAGTTTGCCACCACTATCGTCCTCACATCCGACGCAGAGCGCCATGAAAACGCGCATAGCTGCAGGCGGAATCTCGATCAAACACCTTCAAGCTAATCCCGTCCCGATTCTTCGTGTACCTGCTCCTCCGCGCTCCCGATCAGGTTCCTCTTTGGCTTCCGTCTCTTCTAGAGACGCAGAAGCCAGGTATGAGCGGTTGGCCGCCACATCCTCCCCTCCTGGAATTATTAGACCTCCCGGAGACGCGAACGAGGATGGCATGGAGCTCAAATTGAGCCGTCTGCGGCTCACGACCGATCTTCCGAGTCCCGAAAGATACAACAACTCGACGGCCGCATCGTCTTGTCTCGAGCTTCCTATACCTAGATCGCAGAAGCGGACAAAGATACATGCCTCACGCGAGGCGTCGTGCTACGATGACTCGGATGTGGATCGTATAGATCCGTTTCTTACATCACGTGGACAGGGCAATACTGCGACAGAAGGAGAGCCGCAGTACCTGACTATCCGTGGCGTCGACAGTGTTCGTGTCGGAAAGCGACAGGAGAACGTGGAGGGAATGCCTTGGAGGAACGCGAGTATACTCTTCTCGGGATCAAACATCTCCATCCCATCTTTTAGCGACTCAAACCCTGAACTCGTGGCTGCATAGAATCTTTCCATCATAATACCCTATAGACCCTTGTTCCCTTCACTGTATTGTACTCGTAGGTTGGATTTAAAGCGCCCCCAATAGACAATGTTGTAATTTCCTCTAGACGAACACAAATGAGATCGTAAAGTTTGGGGGAGAGTACCCATTTCTCTTCAACTCGGGGTAGACACTTTCGTGTTCGTCTCGAATGTGGGTATGCTCTTCGTATAATTCGGTAGCAGTGCGCATTGGGTTCGGATGGAGCCTCTTATTGGCGTGGTGTACGAACCAGAGGTCAGCCAGCTGCGAGAAACCATTATTCTAGGAGATGTCTTGTTCCTTTGCTACAGTGGGATTTCCGTCATGAAAAGCCAATTGCCTCTGGAATCGGCTGTAACTTGTTCGAAGCGTGGTTATAGAGGCAATGTCAGTGCAGAAAAGTCGCTCCCTGTGCGATTGTGAGTACCAGTCGGGATTTCTAGTCGTCGTGCAGTGTGTAGGGAGACGAGAACCGTGTTAGGCTGCCTCGAATCATTGTCACGAAAGTCAAGGAGACTGATGTCGCCGTTTAGAGACTTGATTCCATCGAAATGAAAGCCGTGTAGGAGTCTCAGTGCTACATTGGTAAATTCGATCCAAGAAGTGCTCGCTTGCTGCGCTGAGACTCACTATTCCTGACGGAGTGTTTCCAGTTCGGAGCTCAGAGTTGTTGATAAAGTGGTTTTAATTATCTGAATCACGTCTGCCACACCTGGAGGCTGTTTTGGATATGCGAGAGTTGACACCTGCTTCAAGAGGTATGCGACAAGTCTATGGATGTCTACTGTATCGTTGGGATTTGGATTCTCTGACGCTGGTAGAGTCATCGAATTTCGAGTCTGAAAGGGAGGGGATCGAGTTGGAGTGGTCAGCTCTTTCGATAAGGATTCAATAAATCAAGTAATTGACCTTCAAGCTTACTACACGAGAAGCCTAAATTGCGCGCGTGATAAGGAATGCTGACAAAAGCGAGAACCAAGAAAGATTCTGATTGGGTCATCGAACGGATGATGCCATTAGACGTTCGTAGGCCTATGAATCTTATATGACACCATCGCGACCTCGTCCCGGACTCACAATCCTGACCTCCAACACTCTTCATGTCTCTCCCAGCTACACACAAGGCCCTCGTCGTTGTCGAACCAGGAAAAGTGGCCGTAAAAGAGCAGCCCTTGCCAAAATATGGCGACGACGAGCTGCTCGTCAATGTCAAGGCGGTCGCACTCAACCCGACGGATTGGAAGGTATTTCAGATGTATTGGCGCTTTTTAGTAGTCATACTAAGTATGACTAGCACATTGACAATCTCCTCAAACCCGGCCAGTCGATCGGATGTGACTTTGCCGGTGATGTCGCCGCTGTGGGCAGTAACGCCCAAAGCAAGGGTTTCTCTGTTGGTGATCCTGTCGCCGGGTTTATTCGCGGAGGATTTGTCGTGCATGACAATGGCGCGTTCCAGGGCGAGTACACACATATCCCGAGTCGATACACATCTTAATCCCTTACAGAATATGTCGCGGCTCTCCCAGAGAACGTGAATACTTTCACACACACAGTTGGATCCTTTACTTACTCGACTTGTAGATATGGCACAAGCCCGCTTCCTTGCCCTACGAAGACGCGGCACCAATGGGTGGAATTGCGCTGAGCACAGCTGTTCACGTAGGTCATCGTTGTTGCCGTATATATACAATTCTAACTGGATTTCAGGCCATTCACGGCACACTTAATTTCCCCTACGAATCCACAGACCCTCAGCCCGTAGGTTACTAGCTTCCCTTATCACTCGAAAGCTGAACCTCCATAGATCCTAATCTGGTCAGGGGCAACTGGCAAGTTCATTACTCGTCATACGAATCAATTCCTCATAAATACACAGGAGTCGGCATGTACGCCATCAAAATAGCCTCCCTCGCTGGTCTCAAAGTCGTCACTACTGCGTCTGAGAAGAATTGGGAACTCGTCAAGTCACTCGGCGCCGACGCTGTCTTTGATTACAAGGACCCGCAGGTCGTCCAAAAGATTCAACAATGGGCGCAGAGTTCAGGACATGGTCCACTTAGGGCCGCTTTGGACACAATATCCGAGCACGGTAGCACGAATCTGTGTGTCGAAGCGGTTGGGCAGGGTGGTAGGGTCATCACACTCCGTACGTTCAGATTTTAGCACTGAGGGCGTATGACTAAAGGAAATATGATTAGTGCCGCCTCCGAAAGAATTTGATAGCAAGGGCGCGGAGGTCAAGACCATCCTCGTTTACACAACGCTCAAGCCCAAGAACGCAGATGACCACCGCAAAATGGCCGAGTGGTACAAGAAGATTCCGTCTTACATCGAAAGCGGCAAACTTTACAAGGGCATCGTGCCGCTCAAAGTCTTCCACGGGTTCGACCAACTCCCAGAAGCAATCGATTACGTCCGTCAGGGCAAAGTTAGCGCACAAAAACTCGTGGTCACACTCAAGTAAGGCTCGTGACCTGAGAATTTTCTCGTCTGACGGCATCAAAAGCAAAAATCTAGCGAGTAGAATGTAGATCACACCATAAACGCAATAAAACTATGCGAATGCTTGGATTCCCGTAATGGCTTTGCCCAGGATAAGAGTGTGTATATCGTATGTACCCTCGTAGGTATTCGCCACCTGCAAATTCGCAACGTGCCGGCCGATATGGTATCTACCACAATCAGCAGACGGTTAGGCGAGTGGAATAGAGACGTACTCATCACTGCAAGCGTTGCCCCCAAGAACATCCAACAGTATCCGTGCATGCATCAACGCCTTTCCACAGTTGTTCCTCTTGACGAGGCTGACCATTTCCGGTGCCCAAGCCCCTTGGTCCTTTAGTCTGCCAACTTGCAGACTCGCACCCAAGCCGAGCGCAACCTCTGTGTGGGCGTCCGCCAGCTTCTTCTGTACAAGTTGGAAACTTGCAATGGGTTTCTTGAACTGTTTACGCTCTAGCGCATATGTCCGTGCACGGTCGAGACAGTCTTCAAGTGCGCCCATGACACCCCAGCTAATTCCGTAGCGGGCATTGTTTAGGCAGGAGAAGGGCGCGCCAAGCCCTGAGCCGTGTGGAAGGAGAGAAGTCGACGGAGCGTGAACGTTGTCGAGGAAGATGGAGCCCGTGAGCGAGGCCCGTAATGCAAGTTTGTTCTTGATGGCTGGGGCTGTCAAGCCTTCCATTCCCTACACATTTATAAGTATATGCTAATAAGAGAGGATGAAATGGTCAACCTTTTCAAGGAGGAACCCACGGACTTTGCCGTCCCATTGACATCGAGCCCATACAACAAAGAGGTCCGCAACGGGAGCGTTGGTGATCCACGTCTTGCTTCCATTCAAAACGTAGCCATCACCTTTCTTCACCGCCGTAGTTTCCATTCCGGCGGGGTCCGATCCATTATTGGGTTCGGTCAAACCGAAGCAGCCTATCAGTTCTCCTTTGGCTACAAAGTATCAGACTCTGCCTATACATCTTGATGTAGAGTTACCGAGTAGCGGTAAATATTTCTCCTTTTGCTCCTCTGTCCCAAAGGTATTGATAGGGTGCATAACGAGCGAGGACTGAACAGACATCGTCGAGCGGTATCCAGAGTCGACTCTACTCGGATTTAATAGAAATGCCAACCCAACGATCTGGAACGCACCTCTCCACCTCTCGGGCAATGAGTCCATAGGCAACGCTGCTTACACCGGCGCATCCGTAACCCTTGATAGTTGCACCAAGAAGTCCAAGACTCCCCATCTCTTTGAGTATACTTGCGTCGAAACCTGTCAAACATTAGCGTGACTCGAAATTACAAAACAAACTGACCTTCTGTACGGTACGCATCCAACACTCGTGGAAGCAGTTTCTCTTGACAATATTCCTTTGCCGTATCCCTTTCAATCTCGTCAGACGCCGCCTATATGAGCACAAGAATTCCTCTACCGGACGGCAATCTCCTCCTCTGAAAGCAGCGACTCCAAATTCAACGGGTCCTATACAAATTTAGAGGTGCTTTCAATCTGATTATGGACACACCTCGTGGTTGTACGGCACAAATTCTGCAAAAGATAAGCATGAATCGCTTCCGAAAGGTCGACATACTGGAGACGCTAGCCATTGTCCTACAACGCATTCTTATTGCATTAGAAGGCGCAGAACGGATCGAACGAGCGGCAGATTGCAGGAAAGCCATGTCGAGGGAGGAAACAAGTCACGCTCTCGACCGGTTGATCCGGGACGGACCTTACCCTGCAACTTGGCTCATAATCCAATCAGACTAAAGGCATCCAACAGTAATCGTGTTAGACCTTGTATGATGTACACAAGTCGATGACTGACAAACAACGAATGAAAAAATAATCAAAAAAAGATAAGTGAGTGCGATAGAGAGAACGAGATGGGTCAAAGAGGGTGTATGTGTAGAGTTTATGAACTCGAGTCAGCAAGAGTGATAGTGACCGCGTTGGGACTGGGACTAGGGGGGAGAATGAAAGAATCTGCGTCTCCATCCCTACCGTTCATCCACGGTGTGTTGGGGGTCACAGGACTTGTCGGAAGCGTCACGCCAAGTGAGGTGGATAATAAGCCAGGCGACGCGAATGGTGAATGGAAAAATGCAGATGGGGGAGGCGACACACCCTGGGTCGCGTACTTTGACTCCTCGACTGGAGCCAGGAGTTGTGATGTCTTATCAGCAGCACTGGGCGATCTTCGTCGAACCATGACTGGGGGAGGACGGAGAGAGTTGGACGGCGTGGAGCTCATCCCGCTCATTGTGCTCTGGGACATTTCCGTAGGAGAAGGAAGTGCAGCGGCAGCAGAGTGCGAGGCCATATGTCGGATAGGACGATCTGACCCGAGGTTGAGCGGCGCTGGAATATGTCGCGTGCGTCCAGGTTCAGCAAGCACAAGCGTCTGCCCACTCTTCAAATCGTCCCGGCTCGGCATTCTGAGACGCGGAGGATTCGAAGTGGAAGGGGCAAGCTGTTGATGCTGTTGTTGAGGGATGGACGACGTCGACGGGACTGCCAATGTCGATGGACTGGGCTCCGTCTTTCGTGGTGCCCCACTCAACGCAATTCTATCCAACCCAAACGGCGACGTGGGCGAAACACCACCAGTGAGCGGTGGGGTATGCAACGACGCCGACGAACTGGGTGTCATGGGTGTATGGAGCGGCGTCGAACCGACCATGAGCGCTCCAATACGCGCATACATTGCATCCTGCGACGAAGAGCTCCGGTTGGCACTCGTAGCCGCCGCCTCTTTGCTACCCGGAACACTAACGAGGTTCATCGCCCTTGCACCATTTCCGACCGTGAGCGTCGGTGTCGAGGTCGTGTTCAAGGTCGTACTGGTAGTCGCACTCCTACTTCGCGGTATCGTAGGTGACCGAGCACTGCTCGTGAGTCCACTGCGTTCAAAGTAACCCCAAAGCTGGGCCTCGTCCGCTTCACTGAGCTCGGAAATCATCGAAGGAATAGGGAGCGATGGTCGCCGCTTTGGATTGAAACCAGGCGTCGACGAAGAGGGGGGTGGCACATAGACAGGGCGAGATGCAATTTTCTCATGCACGCTCGGTCCCTCGACAGGCGTGCGCTGAATGCGGCTGATCGGCGATTGTGTAAGTGGTTTAGTATTGGATTCAATTGGCCTGGGAGCGTAGTTTCCTGTCATGCCGCTCCTTGGCGAAGCCCTCGGTGTCGAAGGTGAGATACGGGGGAGCGTTTGTTGGGTTGCCGAGAGGGGTGTATTCGAAGGCGCCTTGGACGAGGATGATAGTGTGGGAAGCGCACGCGTCGAACGCTCCGGTGAACCGGTGGGAGATTCTGGGATTTGCGCCCTCGGTGGTGGTCGTCCGCTAATGGGTGAACCCGAGTAGGGCGAACCAGAAAATGGAGAAGGAGATTCTGAGTGGCTCTGGCTGAAAAGGTTGACGTGCGCGGTTGTCACGCCATCAGCCCCAGCCGCGGATCCGGTGGTAGTAGCGTGGTACCAATGCGTGTTCTTGCTTCCCACCACCACGTCATCTGAATCAAGCGGCTCGATGATAGAACGTCCAGATGGCATTGAGAGAGATAATGCCGGTTTGGGTTGGTTGGCGCGCACACGCCCATGTGCATCCATCGGCAAGGGAGCTCGGTAGACTGCCGCGTACCGGTTCTGCGCCCGCTGAGGGTTAACACTAGCCGCTGCTGCCGATGTAGTTGTTGCTAGGGATGTGGGCGTACTAGACAGTGCCATACTCCCAGCTGACGGTTCAGCGACGCTGGCTTTGGGACCTCCAGCTCTGTACGTCCTTGTAGAGGTGGGCACCTGAGCATGGTCAATGTGTGAATAAATAGTGGCAACCCTCGTCGTCATCTCCGAATTGGAAAGCGAGGTCAGCGCAGGGGACGAGTTGGAGTGGGAGTGGACGTTGGGCATAGATGCGCTCGTTTTTAAACCACCTTTGGCAGACCCAGGTACTTGAACAAGATTGCCGTCCCCCTTGTTGACTTCTTCTCCCACTAAGGAAGCTACATCAGATTCAGGCTTAGCGACCCCCGTCATGGAGGTGCCTGACGAGCCGGTCCGACTCGTAACATCTAGAGGGCCGAATTCAGCTCTAGTCAAGTTGCGCACAATGAAAAACTTACCACCGGTACCTTGTGTCGTCGACTTGTCCATGTGGGGGCTCATGTCTTTTGGATCGTCAGACTTTGTCGATACTGTCGCCGCGACTGTTCTCGCGCGTGCACGAGCCAGTGCAGCCGGGATAACAGCCGTAGGCGGCGTCGCAACCGGCGAGGACAAGGATGATGCAGCAGGCTTTCTAGACACCGAACGCTGTTCCGCTAAACGAGCTGCTGCGGTTGCAGAATGTGCCAAAGGGGGATGGGAAGAAGCATCCTTTTTCTCCGCGTCAGTCGGCTGCCGCCCTTGAGTGGTGGTCTCGACCACCGATTTGATCAATTCTGCACCCAGGGGCAGAGACGACGATCGTTTTCTTGGCGGTCTCGTGTTGGTTACGTCGTATGTGCAAGGTGTACGCGCGACAGTAGTCGTTTTAGTCGGGGGCACTGGGACAGGAAGCTTGACACGCTGCGCAGTCAATGTCGTTTGTTGTTGTGCCGTACGCGTTTGGGTGATCGAAGTGCTGACAAACGTACTAGGGGCGGAGTTGGTTTCGGATGGCGGGGTTCTCGGTCTCGCAGAATTAGAAGCAGAAGGCCGATCATCCACGTGAGGGGAATCTGCAAGTGCGTACGGATGCGGTCGTCTGAGCGTAATGAGCGGCGCGGAGCCAACGCCTGTTGCTTTCTGATCCGCGACAACGGAGGAAGATGCATGTGTGGAAAGGAGATCATTGAGAGACTGCTTTGGGTGAACTCTGTGGACCTGAGGCTTGCCAAAAGTGGCTCTCGCATTCAGAACTGCTTCGGACGGACTTGATTCGTAGAGTGAGATGCTGCGACGACCGACTGGATTCGCCTTTGGGGGGCGTGCAAAGGATGCGGCAGGTCCGGATGAAGCAGCATTTGTCGAATTCGAAGCCACCGGGGGTCGTGGTCCAATGGTCAAAGTAAAAGTTGTCCCTGGTACCATAGATGGAAAGACTGAAGAAGCAGAGACGACGAGCGGTGGTTTCGTCGTCTTCTTCCCATCATCCTTCTCTACAGGGGACGAGGGTGCCGGGGGTGTTTGGATGGGAATATGGTACGACCCATTCGATGAGCCTGAATTGGAACTCGAGTGACCGCCCGATGACTTTTTTAACCGAGCTGGGCCAGAAGCCGAAGCCGTCGAGGGAGGTACAAATGCACTGGGGGCAGCTCTTGTGTCCGTGCTCGGGGGTTCTCCATGGCCAGAAATGCTTGAACTCTTCTTTCGAATGAATTGCATTTGTGGGAATCGTCGGCTTCCTATTAGAGTTGCAGACGGGGGTTTAGTCAGTATGTGAACGGGGGAAGAAATGTGAGAGAAAATGAAGGGCGGTCGAGTGTGTGAGACGCGTCGCCAGCGCGTCCAAGTGCACTCCGCACGACTATTGAACCCAAGGGCGTCGGTCGGTCGTAATTCGCGATTAGTCGTTTTGTGTTGGAGCAGAGTGGAAGCAGACACGGCCTGATGTCGGCGTTGATGGAGGGACAAGAGGTGCGGAGGCCGTTATGTATGATCGACAATTGGGGGCGGCGATGGAGGGGGTATCCATGGAAATGCGAGATGAAAGTTTGGATTACTCACCGCTGCCGTCTTGCTGGTGCTGGTCATCGCTCAACGAGTCTTTGCTCTTCTTGTGTCCAAAACGCAAAGATGAGCTCCAAGACGAGGAAGAGGAAACACCAAACGCGTTTCTCCCTCGTTCGCGGTCGCGTTGGTCGGCGTAAACGCGTGTCCCGCTGAGGCTCATAATGTTATGTCCTGGCCACTGGGCAGGAGTCCGCGGTCTTGAAGACTTGTGAGGCGCGTCGCCGAGCGTGCTTTCGAGTGCGGAGAGCTGAGTCTGGTATAAAGGAAAGAGTTGTTAGAGAGAGAGGGGAAGAGAGAAAGAGAAACAAGCTTTGTTTGTGATGGCGTACCTTGACATGGGCGGTCAATGTTCTCTCCGCTGGTTTAGACTGTGTTCTTGATGTGGATGGACGAGCATCAAGAGCAAGTTGAGCTTCTTTCCTCTGTACAAAACAAGATGATTAGCCTCGAATGACCGGACAACTTGGAGCGACTTGCCGTTTCGTACAAGCTGACGACTTGACGGGTATTCATAAGTAACTAGAAATGACTGTGTGAGCTCGTCGTCGTCGTTGGAGCCAACGTCTGCGGGTGTGAGAGGCGCTGAATGCCAGTTGCCCTCTGTCGACGCGAGCCTGAAGGGCCTTTTTGTCGTCGGTCGAGGAGGACACAGCACAGACGCAGCTAGCAGTAGCAGACGGGTCCAAGATCTCTCCGTGAATGGGATGACAAGAAGTCCATGTGCTCGACATGATTCGACACTGCCCTCGCTCCAGTCGTTGCGTCTCGGGTCGGTAAGCACCCGGGGAGCCGAGTACTAGAAACACTAATCCCCCTCCGATGTATCTTATTCACTCCGTTTGGTCATCAAATACAACGCCACTCACACCTTGGACCCCGCCGCTGCCGGACATGACTCTCCTCCCCTCGGACTCTCCCACAAACTACCCCGCGGTGGCTTTTCTCGGCCTCTACATGTAACCGAGCCGATGTAGACAACCCCCAGCTATGGGTACAACCTATATTCCAGGTTTTGGCTTGGGTGACCAGAGGCTATGACAAGTCTAATCTCCAATTGTCTCATGTAGCATCAACTTATATTATGAGGTTTAGTGACATTGGGTAAATCCCACGTCACTCACTCAGTCTCTCCTTTGTCGGCCTCGACAACCAGGAGCTGTGCCCTATAGACAAAAACTCACACTTTCAGCATCGAATCACTCAGGAGAGTCACAATCCACCCAATGGAGCCCAGTACACAGAGCCATGAAGCTGCGCCCGTGGACGACAGACGACATCTAGCTGATGAAAGCGATGATTGTGTCCAAATGTCTAAAGAATCGATTGAACTCATGATTCAACCCGTAAGTAGCGTATACTTGGACGAAATGCGTCTCCTGATATCACCATCTAGGCGCCGCGCTCTCACACGTCGGCTCAAATCGTTGCAACTTCCGCCAATACGAATTTGGCGGATCTGAAAGGGATCCCAGAAGCTATCTTCCCACTTCCACTCGAATTGCTTTCCCAAATCGTACGCATTCATGTGCTCGAGCACAAGGGCTCCATCTGGGTCCCAATGCACGTATGCAGGGCATTTAGATCAGCCACTCTGCTCAATAGCAAGCTCTGGAACTCGTTGTCAATCCCAACCGAGAGCCAGAGCTACCACAGAGTAGCAACGACCATGACAATGTGCGCGACTGAAGACCAGCTGGCTTGCGCATTATCATATTCTCAATCATCCACATTCGACCTCGAGATTCATCCCTCTCCCGCTCTATTTACCAAGTTGCTGCCCCTCTTTAATGCCAATAAGCCGGGCGCGCAGATCCGTTCACTCTACGCGCATCGCCTGAAGCAAATCCCGGAAGACCTGTATGATCAATGGGATCTATCAAGTCTCGAGATTCTGGACACTCAAGATCCGGTCTTAGTGAAGAGGGCGTGGCAAGATTCAAAAGTCATTCACACACTGAGAACAGACATGTCCATTTTTCTTCAACTTGAGATCATGGGATCTCAGTCAACAATCTGCGAGCTAGGGTTGGATGGGGACGACAGCATGCCCACATTTCCACCTATATTGGACGCCTTTGAGTCACTAACTACCTTGCGGATTACTTGTTGGTACTTTATTCCCCCCAAAATACATCTGCCGCGACTTCGAAGCCTGACATTGTCCGGTGTCGCGCCTTTTTGGCCATTCGAGTGTCCAATCCTCGAATACTTGAGTCTCTCATCACCAAAGCCACCAGATGACAATGAAATCATTCACCTTCCAAGTGTCAAAGAGATCCACTTCATTGACATTGGCTGGATTCTACATTTCGACCTCCCGGCGGTCGAGATTGTTACCCTGGTAGAACATAACAGGACGGAAGCGGAATTGGTACTAGATATGATATTTCCTACCAGCGTCAATTCTCAAGGTTTGATGCCGCCGTTGAACCCCTTGGTCGTTGACTTTCGTTTGCTCTCTATTGACATGGACCCCCTTATCCTACTACTTCGCCGACTCAATCGATGTGTCAAACTTGTCATTGGGCCTAATGCCATTGACCACAGCTTCCTCGATGTCTTGTGCCCCCTTTGGGACGAAGAGGCAGAGTTAGAAGCTGCAGAGTTGAGAAATAATATTCCACTCCCAACTCTGGAACATCTTTGCATCGATTTCTGGCACATTATCGATAATCTGACTTGGGAACTTGCAGACCGAGAGTCCGCAGAGGCAGAATTGCGGGCGACTTTCACTGAAGCTTGCCTCGATTTTCTGGAGCGAAGGAAGAAATATGGGTGCCCTCTGAAGCGGCTTGAAATCACTTTCTCTAGTAACGACCTCGATGATGCTTGGTTTACACTTGTTTAGCATTGTACTCAGGACGATAAAGCACGAGTCTATTGTGACTGTTCGCACCGAGCGCTTTTCACTTTGAAAGATTGGGCTGAAGAAGCAGTTGTCGCGGCAAAGGGGAAATTGACCGTAGATGTTCCCCCCTCGAAACGTGGACGAGTCAACTGCGAGCCAGCGAGCAGTCTAATTATCAGATACAAAAGCCACCATATCCCTTGTTTTGTGTAACGTAGCGCTGTTCCTCTAATATGAATCGCAACAGAGGTCTATTACGTTGCGTTGGGAGAGTGATTCGAGACCTTTCTTCGAATTCTGGAAGCAAACGTGGCAGGTCTCTGCCGCTCGGATACAACCAGACCCACCATTTGAACTACCTGATGATCAGCTACTCCTTCGTTTGCGCCCTTTTCTCGGGCTCGTCTCCTTGGAGAATAGCGCGCATTTCTGTGACTATAATAACACGTCTTGTAGTCTGGACAATTTTGTGGCATCCGGCTTTGAAATCCCTCGTTCGTCAGGAACTTGGGTAGACGAGGGCTGCTCACTTGGTCTCTCCTTCATCGGCGTCGGTAACAAGGAATCGAACGCCGTAGACAGAAACTCACACTTTGAGCATTGGATTGATCAGGAGAGTCACAATTCATCGAGTCACAATCCATCAAATGGAGCCCGGCTCAACAAGTCATGAAACTGCGCCCGTGGACGACAGACGACAGCTCGTTGATGAAAGCAATGATTACGTCCAGCTGACTACAGAGTCGACTGGACTCACCACTCAACCCGTGAGTAGCCTATCATTGGATAAAATGCTTCTCCCGACATCACAATCTAGGCGTTGCGCTTTCACACGTCGGCTCGAAACGATGCAAATTTCGCAAATGCGAGGTTGGCGGCTCAGGGAGAGCCCTCAAAGGTATCCTCCGAATTCCACTCGAATTGCTTTCCCAAATCGTACGCATTCATGTGCTTGAGCACAGGGGCTCCATCTGGGTTCCAATGCATGTATGCAAGGCGTTTAAATCCGCTACTCTACTGGTCAGCCAGCCCTATCATCGAGTACCAACGACCATGACAACGTGCGCGACTGAAGACCAGCTGTCTTGTGCATTATCGTACTCTCAATCATCCATATTCAATCTCGAGATTCATCCTTCTCCCACTCTATTTACCAAGTTGCTCCCCTCTTTAACGCCAATAAGCCAGGCACCAAGATCCGTTCACTATACGCGCTGAGCCTAGAACAAATCCCGGAAGACCTGTATGATCAATGGATCTATCAAGTCTCGAGATTCTGGACACTCAAGATCCGGTCTTAGTGAAGAGGGCCTGGCAAGATTCAAAAGTCATTCACACACTGAGAACAGACATGTCCATTTTTCTTCAACTTGAGATTATGGGATCTCGGTTAACAATCTGCGAGCTAAGGTTGGATGGGGACGACAGCATGCCCATATTTCCACCCATATTGGAAGCCTTTGAATCACTAACCACCTTGCGGATTACTTGTTGGTACTTTATTCCCCCAAAAATGCATCTGCCGCGACTTCGAAGCCTGACATTGTCCGGTGTCGCGCCTTTTTGGCCATTTGAGTGTCCAATCCTCGAATGCCTGGAGCTTTCGTCGCCAATGCCGCCAGATGACGATCAAATTATTCATCTTCCAAGTGTCAAAGAATCTACTTCATTGACATTAACTGGATTACACGATTCAACTTCCCAGCGGTCGAGACCGTTACTTTGGTAGAGGGAAATAACGTAGACGCTGAATTGGTACTCGATATGATATTTCCTACCAACGTCACTTCTGAAGACTCGATGGCGCCACTGGACCCTGGTCGTTGACATTCGTTCGCTCTCCATCGACATGGACCCCCTTATTCTACTACTTCGCCGACTCAATCGATGTGTCAAACTTGTCATTGGGCCCAATTCCATCGACCACAGCTTTCTCGATGTCTTGTTGCCCCCTTGGGACGAAGAGGCAGAGTTAGAGGCTGCAGAGTTGAGAAATAACATTCCTCTCCCAACTCTGGAACATCTTTGCATCGATTTCTGGCACATTATCGATAATCTGACTTGGGAACTTGCAGACCGAGAGTACGCAGAGGCAGAACTGCGGGCGACTTTCACCAAGGCTTGCCTCGATTCCTGGAGCGAAGAAAAAATATGGGTGCCCTCTGAAGCGGCTTGAAGTTTCTTTCTCTAGTTACGGCGGAGGTGATGATTGACTTGCGGTTGCTTAGCACTACACTCAGGACGATAGAGCATGAATCCACTGTCTCTTTAAATTACACAGTTTCTCGGATTGTTTGAGATTTGAATAGGCACAGGAAAGTCATTTCCAGCTTACAATAGACGGGGAACTGTCAAACAAAGCAGACTTCTTACTCTCGACCATCATGAGCAAGCGGAACATCAGTCTCCTGTCGAGCTTTAAAAAGGGGTTTCGCTTCCAAAAATCATCGTCCCAAACGACTGATCATGAGTCGGAGACTGAAGCGCCTCGCTCAGCCTCGACACCAGGACCCAAACTGAAGGTAGAAGACCTCGGATTTCTTGAGATTGCAGCTGGGACTGACCCCGATGTTGAGTATGCTGCCTTCTCTATATGCGCGCTGTACCTCTGATCGCTGGGACAGTATTATCGCTATCCATGGCCTGGATGGTCACAGAGAGGGGACTTGGATAGCCGCGAATGGCATACTGTGGCTTCGTGACCTTTTACCAGCCGATATTCCAAATGTTAGGATACTCAGCTATGGATATGACGCGGACACTCGCAGCTGGGAGTACGTTTCAACACAGACGATAGATCAGCATGCAGATAAATCCATGAAAGAACTCTCAAGAGAACGGAAGAGCGCAACCCGAGTAGGTTTCAAGTGCTTCTGCATGAACGAAACATCTCAATCACTCACAGCGACCAATTATATTCATAGCACATAGTCTGGGTGGTATCATCCTCAAACAGGTTTGTGGTGTTGAAAGGCCCATGATCCGATTCTTACCTTCTGAAGGCGCTTGTTATCTGCCATAACCAGAGTCTACAGTCGAAAGGCCATCTTCGCGATATCCTAGTCTCCACTCATGGTGTTCTCTTTTTCGGAACACCTCATTCAGGTACAAAAGGCGCAGAGTTCTTGCAAATGTTCAATCGTCTTTTCTCAGTCTACATGAAGGCGACGAACAATCTTCTTCAGCATCTTCAAGAAAACTCCTCTAAGCTAGAGGATATACAACGCCTATATTTGTCGGCTAGCGAGAAACTCAATACAGTCCGCTTTTATGAGGAGCATCCGACTCCTCTCATAGGCGATCGACGAGAGATAGTATGTGAATTCAAGGTGCCAAAACTGACGTCTTATCCGTAAATAGATTGTACCACATTACTCTGCTACTCTGATTGGCGATCGTCAAGCAGATCAGGAAGTCCTCCATGCTGATCACTGTCAAATGGTCAAGTTTTCCGGCAGAACTCAGAGTAACTACAAAGCGGTTCTCTCCTACATCAAGGACTGGGTGGAAGAAGCGGCTGTTGTAGTCGAGGAGAAATGGACCGTAGAGGAAGCTTGTCGAGGTTCGTGATGGCTATATGTATTTCGTGTCACCAAAGCTCCTTAGATGTTTGGAGAGAACCCTCGATACCCTCGATACCCTCGATTACTCTACCCAAGCCGCTCCCCCCTGTCTCGAGAAATTATACTGCGCGGAAGGACATCCAGTCGAAAATGACTTTAAAATTACTTCCAAGCATCGGAGGTCACCATCAACCACGTTGCATCTTACATGGGATGGGAGGCACTGGCAAAACACAGCTCGCGACGCATTGGATTAGGGAGCACGAGAAAAAGTAAGGAAAAATAACGGTGCCTAAAATCGATCTAATTGTTATTAAGCTTCAACAGGGTAATCTTCGTCGACGCCACTAGCAAGCGGCAGCTTGAAGCAGACTTACGAAGAGCAATACGTGTAGTTGGTCCCGAATACGCCAATATAAAATGGGAAGACGCAATTGCTTACCTGGATGGCAAGGAAAAGGGTTGGCTGCTTTTCTTCGACAATGCCGACTCACCAGAACTCAATCTCGATCCATACCTTCCTTCCTCTATTCACGGATCAATATTGATCACTACAAGAAACCAAGGCTGTAAAGCGTATGCTCTAGATGGCGCAATTTACGTCAGCAGCCTTTCAGAAAGCGAGGCTGTAGACCTCCTTCATAGTATTGCCAATGTCACGCCTGCATCCAACGATGTGTCTATGGAAATTGTAAAGGAGCTAGGCATGCTGGCGTTGGCAGTCACTCAAGCAGGAGCGTACATTTTCAAAACTCGGCGTCTCAACAGCTACCTGAATACTCTTCAGAGCCACCGAGACAGACTTCTGCGTGAAGATCCGCTCAAGGGCACCAAATATCCTTACTCAACCTATGCAGCATTCGATTTATCCTTCCATCAGTTACCAAGCAAGGCGCAGGAACTCCTGAGGATATGCGCATATCTTCATCCTTCAGGAATCCCGATGGCTTTGTTCGAGTATTCGACTACTTCAGACTTTACAGCGCACACAGTCCTAGAAAGCTGGCCTCCACCAAAAAGCGACGAGGTGGTCATTTCTGACCTCAAGAGGATTATTGGGCAAACGTGGGATGAGGTATCGTTCCAGGAACTAGTAGAGGCTGGTCAGCGAGCGTCTTTCATCTACGCATATACAGACGAAGCGGGCGGCCTATTTTACTCTGTTCATCCGCTCCTTCAGCGATACATCAGGGATTCCCTAGGAGTAGAGATTGAGAGCCAGTATGCAAGCATGGCCTCTCAGTTACTGCTTGGAGCCACACGGCCTATAGAAGCTAGCAATATTTGGTACCGTCAATTGTTGCCGCACATCGATGCTCTTCCTCAGTGGTCAAAGTTGCCAATATCACGCACGCACTTGTATTTTATCAAGTCTACGAGTCCTCGGGCGACTGGAAAGCGTGTAAAGGGTTACTAGAGTTTGCTTTATCCAAGATCCGAGAAATTTATGGGCCCCTACATGAGGATTCCATGTTGGTAACTCGCCGCCTCGCAAAAATGGTACGGCGTTGCGGACAGCTGGAGGAAGCCGAGCGACTGGAGAAAGATTTACTTGATAAATGCATCCACCACTTCGGAAGACGCCATCTCGACACCTTATTAGTTATGGGCGGTCTCGCAGATACAATACACGATCGTGGTCAACTGGAGGAGGCCGAAAAGATGAGACGAGAGGTGCTTGATATGCGTATCGAGCTCCTTGGCGAACGCCACCCTGATACTGTCACGGCGACAAGCAACCTCGCACTTACGCTCTACAGCCTTGGCCAATTAGTGGAGGCAGAGAGGTTGGCGCGACAGGCCCTGAATATGTTTACTGGGCTCTTTGGGCGACACCATCCTCACACTATGGGCACGATGGCTAACCTTGCAGTGACCTTGCAAGACCTTGGTCAGCTGGATGAAGCGAAGAATCTGGAGCGAGAGGTGCTTGAAGTACAGATCAAGCTTTTTGGGGAACGCCATCCTGACACCCTGCGGGCAAAAGGCAATCTCGCTGAGACGCTACGTCAGCTTGGTCATATAGAGGAGTCAGAGAAGATGGAGCAAGAGGTTCTCGATGCACGCATCGAGCTCCTTGGAGAACGTCACCCCGACACCGTCACGGCGACAAGCAATTTCGCGCGTACGCTTCACAGCCATGGTCAATTGGAGGAGGCGGAGAGGTTGGAGCGACGGATAGTTAATATGCGTACTGAAATTCTTGGACGGCGTCACACTGACACTATAGTGGCTCTGGGTAACCTTGCAGCTACGCTATGGGACCGTGGTCAGCTGGATGAAGCAGAGAAGCTAGAGCGCGAGGTACTTGGCACACAGATCGAGCTTCTTGGGGAACGCCATCTCGACACATTGCTGGCAAAGGGCAATCTCGCTGAGACGCTACGTGGCGGCGGTCAGCTAGAGGAGGCCGAGAGGCTGGGACGAGACGTGCTTAATACACGTATTGAACTCTTTGGGCAACGGCACCCCGAGACCATCACGGCGATGGGTAACCTGGCGGTTACACTCGGCGACTGTGGTCGCCTGGAGGAGGCAGAAAGTTTGGGGCGACAGGTAGTCGATATGCGCACAGAACTCGTTGGACGGTGCCATCCCGACACTGTGTTGGCGATTGAAAACCTTGCAGTTACTCTGCGTAATTCTGGCAAGCTGAAGGAGGCTGAGAAGTTGGAGCAAGAGGTGATTGATATGGGTAATGAATCTTTTGAGTGAAAGCATCCTAATAATATAAGGCTTAAACTCATCTACTCACCAATAACCCTAGTCACAACAAACTTAGATCGCTTTTGGAGCGCCGAAGCGCGATCAGTCTGATATAACTGGATTCACCGTGTGACCAACTACTAGTCTGCCTATCGCTTTGTTCGTGTACTGCGCTTCGGTTTTGTCTCTTCTGCGACGGTTCCTACCTCTTGTGGCTCCTCTTTGACGCGTCTAATACTCCGACTGGTCTTTTTCGCACTAGGCTCTGAGTCTTCCATCACCACATCCTCATCAGGAGCCGGAGTCGATGTCGCTTTTACTTTCGTCGTTTTTCTTGTAGTAGATCGTTTCGGAATGGCACTCGTACTATCTTCGTCTTCACCCTGAAGTACTTCATTGTCTGTAGTCTTTGCTGCCGCTTTGCCGCGTGTGGTCCGCTTCGCTGCTTGCTTCGGTTCGGCAGGTTCTACGACTGACGATTCTGGCTCTTCATCTCGTACAGAGTCACTCGAAGGAATTGCAGCTTTGCCTCTTCTTCCACTACGGGTGCGTGAAGCTGTGGACTTGTCGACCTCCGAGACCGACGCCTCTGCCTCTTGCTCCGGTTCCTCCTTTACCGTCCCCCTTGACCTAGTGCTACGTGTTGTGGTGGACTTAGCGCCTTTGGTAGTCATATTGGTGCCTTCACCCCGGGTACGACGAGTTGAACGGGAAATAGTTGACGAGTCTGGTTGGGATTCCATGTCGATGGAGCTCTGGGAAAGACTATGAGGCCACGTGTTTTTTAGAGTGTGCACTTACTGTATCCATCACAGAGGATTCAGGCTCCTCCTTGACCTGAAGGTGAGCGGGAACACGAGCCCTACCCACCGGGGGCTCATGCGCCTTTCGCGCAGTCTGCTTCGATCGTCCTCCACTAAAGGTACGCCCAGACTTCTTCTTATTCTCAATCGGCGGCGTTGGCTCGACCTGTGATGAAGCCGATGATCGGAGGGATTCGGTCTTGTCAACCTCCATGTCTTGATCAGCCGCTTCTTGCGCTTTGCGTTTTGTAGTTTTCGGCACCGCTGGTTTTTTGGCTCCAGCTCGCTTCGCTGGTTTGGTTTCCTCTGTCACCGCGTCTTGCTCAGCGTCTGTCGAGGCAATGACTACAGGAGCATCGATGTCCATGGCGTCTGAAGCTTCAAGAGATTGTCCATCTGGAGCATCTGCTGGGATCATCTTTTGGGATGGCGCCGTTGCCCTGGTTGGAGACTCTGGCTCTGTCAAGTCGGTGTAAAATTCTGGTGCGCCGACCATACTCTTCCTTGATTCTCGAATCGACTCGCGATGGTTCACCCTTTCTACAGTCCTCAACAGCTTTTGCAGTCGCATCGCTGCGTCGTCGTCTTCCGAGTCGTCATCGCCGTCACCCTTTGCTTGCTTCAGGGGGGATGATGCAGGCTCGGGGATGGTCGCCATGCCACTCTTATAAGGCGGCAATGGTGAGTCGAGCTCGGGGATGTTTGCCAAGGAGTTTCGAGGGCGTTTGGTGGACCGAGGAGCAGGAGCTTTGGAGGCAGATGGTAGCTCGTCGGAAGGAATTGTGACCATCTTTGGCCGAGAGACAGAGCTCATATTCGCCAGTCGTTGTCTCGCACGTTCCAAGTCCTCGTCGATGTTGGCATATTTGATAGTGCTTCCGCCGACACTTTGTCGTCCTTGTAGTCTTTCTCCCCGCTGAACTTGAGGGGTGAAGAATGCACCCTATGCACGTTGTTAGACGGAGTCAGTCAATATTAGAGAAGGCGCACCAGATTCTGTGGTCTGTTGGGCGTTTGCGGGTCACTCGGGACCTATCAAATTGAGCGGATGGATAGAAGGTATGATATGACACTTACCTGATCCGGATTACTTGGCTCTGCAGCCTTCTCCTGTGGCATAGGAGAGTGTACCACACCACCGCTCGGCCGTCCAAATGGAAGAACACTGCCAATAGCCCCGAGCGATTCGCGAAACGACTTTGCTGTCAGTGGCTTATCCTATCCGATATTCAGTAAGCCCGAACAAGATAGTGAAAAGCACAAACTGGAACCTCTTCTTCCTCCCTTTTCGATTTGCGAACCTTTGTGCGACTGATAAATGGATTTGACTCGGCGTCTTCCTCCAACTCATTGTCCGAATCTTCCTCATCTGGGAAAATGGACGCCTCCACCTCTCGCTCTTCGCTCTCTTCGTCCCCAGGATCCACTTTCTTGCGCGAGTTCATCAGGAGCACCTGACGATGCAAATTTGACTGCCGCCTTTTCCCAGGCGTCTTTGATTCGCTACCGCTCCCAGTAGAAGCAGGATTTAGCTCCTTTTTCTCTGCCACAGGCGCATCCACACTCTCCAACACGACCACTTCTTGCTCGTTACTGACAAAGTTTAACGTCTCGCCTTCGACGATCCGCACCTCCTTGCCACCTTCTTCGGGGAATAACACCATGGGGTTTTTTAGAGCGCGGAGACTATCTGCTAGATCGACTGGTGCAGCACTTGGTGTCCATAGTTGGGCAGAGTTTACCATGGACATGCGCAGCGACTTGCGCCGCTTGGAGGAAGGTGCGGGAGTTGCGAGTTGTGCGGCGTATGCGGCTCGTTTTTCTTTGGGTGGATATTGGAATATGAAGCGACGTTTGTAGATGAGCCATTCGGAGCCGTTGGTTAGGGGTACAGTCGTTGGTTGCCCCGAGTGCTCGTCTGGTATAAAGTTGGAGCCGTCGACGATGACACCGTTCTGGCCTAGAATAATGAGAAATGCCTATATAAATCCCAAATGAGTTCATTTATCCCAGCACAAGGGATGGAGAGCAGGCGGGGTGACAAGAAGTGGTAGAATGGTTTGGTGAATGGAGAGAATATGCACCTTTCCGTCTTCAAATACAATTTTACAGTGCAGATCGCTACACCATGTGTCGAAGAGGCGGATATGACATGTGTCTTGGTCGCTACGGCCAATGTTGATGACCGGTTCGTCAATAGGGTATGAAGCGAGCGGCACTTCAGAGCCTGAGTTGGACATGTAGTGAATAGTTCCATAGCGTCCGACAGGTTGATCCTCCATTGTCACCACGTTTCAGTCGAGGTTGAGTGCACGTTGCTTCTAGGTATCAAGCCCCTTGGAAGGAAGCTGAAATCATACAAGATATTTTCCGGTAAAATGACACGTCGACGACGCGCTTTTGAGAAAAATCTCAAGTCCTGGGCTGGTCTGAGTTGATCGGCCTAGGAGTGTTCAAATCGGTACACGGCCATAAAAGTCTACAAATTTGATTGGAAAGTCTAGTATACAAGCCAGTAACCTCGTGGCTCGCCATCGAGATCTGGGCCAAATGGGCACTTTTAGCAAGGCGAAACTGTACACAGCCCACGAACACAAGAGACAAGAAGAACAAGAAGGAAATACAGACTGTCCGCTTTCTCAAATGAGAGAACGACTGCCGCCAGGAAAAGATAAAGGAGCGTGGTTTGGATTGGATAGGTTTTAAAGGAGGAACGAGGGTTTGGGTGCAAAGCCAAGACCTCGTCCAGAGGACCGCATGATGGCTGGGTCTGCAAACGAGTCGGTGTCGGAGAGCGTGTCGCCTGCGCCGTCATAGTCCATGTCGGCGGAGAGGTCGGCGAATACAGAGCGCACGCTCTCCAGCTCGTCAAACTCGTCGAAGCTGCACCGATTCGACAAGTTTCCATAGCGCTTTGAAGGGGATGGGTCGTTGGTCGTATTGCCAGCAAGATTACGACCATTGAGGGAGAGTATCGACTTTGCGCCTAGTCCAAACGTGTGTGCGTGTGGCGTGACAGTGGGAGTGTGCAACGCAGAGGCGGAGCCGGACGCAATACTCTCACCGAGTGAAGACGAAGTATGCGATGCAATCTCGACTTCTGCGTTGATCTCACGCAAAAAATCAATATCGAGATCAATAGTTTCGACATCGTCCTCGCCATCCATGACATCTTCAATATGCGGTATCTCGTTTGTTGAGCGTGGCGAGAACCAGCATCCAGAGTTTCGAGGCGGCGTCGGAAACTCCCATTCCTCTTTTCCCTCTTCCGTACGCAGGGACACGGTCAGTGAGCCGTTGCGCGACTTTGCGACCGGCGGAGGCGGTTGAATCGAGGAGACGGTACTCTGCGCACTGTACCTCTGCGAGGAACGTCGACTCTGCGCTTGTTGGCGTTGCGCACGCACAGGGATGGAAAGGGAAGGTGGGGTGGGAGCCGTCGGACTCAGGTAGTCTGGATTGTAGAAGAGCGGTGGCTCACAGTTGCGAAGGATTCCCGTATCAAACGACTCAAAGTGCTGTCCATCATGTTCGTACACGCTGGTCATGGTGGAGGAGCGCGCTTGAGAGGGCTGACGGGAATGCAGCATAGAAGTGGGATTGAGATGAAGAAAAGAAGAAGGAGGATGGGGGCTGCGAAGGAGGAGATAGTTGGTTGGCCGGGGTGGCGAAGAGGGTTCCTCTTCATTTACAAGGAAGTCGTCCCTCTCTTGATAGGGCGGGGCAGGGAGCTCATAGGGTGCTGGCTCATCAGAATAATAAGAGGGTGCTGATCGTGGATGAACGATGAGGAGTGGCTGGGTGGAGGAACGTGTCTGGGTCTGGGCAAGAATGTTGTCCTCGGTGTGTCGGATGAGCGACTCGAGAAAGAGCTGGTCCCCAATGTTAATTGGAGGAATCATTGGGGGTGGAGACACCGGAGGAGTGACCTTTGGACGTCGGCGGAACCATCGCATGCGCCACGAAGAGAACCAACGAAGGATCCGACGCGTCTTCGACGCGTTATCTACTAAAAATATTAGGTAATGACGACTGCTGACCGGTGTACTACTCACCCTCGTCGTGTTGAGCATTGGTGGACTCCATTTTTGCGCGACTAGAGACTCTGCAGCGAGCCTGGGCACCATCAGCGAGGCTCATATCAAATATATGGAGCATACCACTGCAATTTGACGCGCTCTAGCCGTGAGCGTCGTTGCAGGTGGGGTCGGAGGGGGAGCAGAGCCAGCAGGCGGCACCGACTGGTTGAAGGCTGGCAGTCTGTAAAAGTACTGGTGAATGTAAGTGTACAGTTGAGCTGTGGGGAATATCTGTACCATTTGTAGGAGGAAAGGGGTGTAGAGGGGAGGAGCAAGGACGAGCTGGCCACATCGGAGCTTTAAGAGGGGGGCGAGTGGCAGCCGATGCAGAGCTACGGGGATCCACGACGCAAATCAATCAAAAGAAGCCGTTCCATCCATTTCGAAATCAGCCCGCATTACACTTTTTAACAAACTCGGTAATCAGTTAGCAATCTGCCTTGTCCTCTGCCACTCCGCCCGAATTATGTCCCTAAAATTCATGGCCGAGCGCGTCGCACAGGGGAACAGACTCTCATACAGAGGAGCACCCTCGCAACACTCTCAGTCCTCGAGAAAGGGAAAGCGCGCCTGGCGCAAGAATGTCGACATTGACGATGTCGAGCACGGCCTCGAGGAGCTTAGAGAAGAAGAGAGAGTCCTTGGGTATGTCCTCTACAACGAAAAACTTTACAGTTTCTCACCTTTGGCAGCGCGCCACTGCACAAAAAGGCAGACGAAGAGCTCTTCACAATCGACCTGACCGGCGACGATAAGAGTACCTACTAGATTTTAAACCAGTTTTACATACTGATTGGCTTCAGTTCGCCGGCAAGTCAAGACAAGCAAGCCCTTGACCGCATCTGTAATCCTGGCCCAGCGCTCTGCGGTCCCAGCAGTCACCTCGAAGCGTCGGCAAGATTTGAAAAAGTTTAATGTCACGCGAGAGGAAAAGGAAAGACTCCGCCGGATTGCCCACAAGCCGCGAGCAGGTCCATTCAACTCTGTCCTCGACTCGTCAGAGGTTGGCCACGGGAGTGCATTACTCGAACCGAGTGAAGCTGTCAAGAACAGTGGGACGTATGACGTTTGGACGTCAAACGGAAGCATTCCAACTGGCGGAGTGCCCAGGGTCCGTCGGAGAATATCACTATGTCTACCCATTGACCTTTGAGTTTGTAGAAAATTGCTCCACGGCACACCGAAATCTCCGTACCCGCTGTGTCCACACCTCATCAGGGCACCTCGTATAACCCGCCACTCACAGACTACCGTAACCTCCTCCAAGAGGCACACGAGCGAGAGGAGCGAAGAGTGGAAGAGGAGGAGCGATTGAAAGAGATTAAGCAAAAGATGGATGCCGCCCGCTACGAGGTTGGAGCCCAGGACAAGGGAGGTGCGGAGGGAATGCTCATTGACGACGCGACAACTGTGAGCGGAGACGAAGAGGGCTCGCTACAGGAAGAGTCTGTTATGCCTAGCCGTACGCCCACCAGGCGAAAGACGCCACAACAACGACGAAAGGCGCTTCGCGTGCTCGAAGAGGTGAGGACACTGCTACTCTTGGTATTGAATTTGACATTTTGGCAGCATCAACAACTCAAGGCACGAGCCGCTCGGAAGAAGATGCTTGTCACACTTGACCGGGCAAAGTCGCTCGCAAAGGAAATTGACAACGCTCGTACGGAGCATGAGCGCGAAGAGGCAGAGAGAAAGCTTGAGAGATTAAAGCAATTACACAAGGGTTTGATGGGGACCAGGGTTGGCAAGCATCGCGTTATCGAACCAGAGGTTGACGTCCAACTCGGGGAGGACCTGGCCGAGACACTCACTGGACTCAAGGTGCGCAAAGATCTATTAGAGGGATTGAGGTTGCCTGAACTGCTGTGTCAGACTGAAGGCAACTTGTTCCGCGACCGCTTCTTGAGCATGCAGAATCGGGCACTCATCGAGCCCCGAGCCCGAGTCGCGTACGCCGTCTTCCTTACGAATCGCCACTTTTATACTCATATAGACTCTAGTCCGACGCGTCGCAAGCACAAAGTCAAGGAGCTCGAAAAGTTTGCATGGAAACGCTTCTCGTGATAGACTCGAGTGTTTTATTTGTTTCTTGGACATAGATTGCTTATCTAATGAGAAGCTTGTTTCGCGCTATCGGGGAGAATGTTGACGAGAAAACGAAGCTTCATCGCAAACACCGCCCGCTCGTTATAGGCGTGATTGGCCAACAGCCTCCCCCTCGGTAAAAATGGTTCATGTTGGCCGGGAATACATCACAAGCGCAAGTAGTCCGCACCGCCTGCATGAAGAGGACGCTGGGACAACCTCGACCTATGGATAGAGCGCCCAAAACCACCATGTGAGTCAATAAAACGCCGTAGAATATCATGAAACTTGACATTATCCAGCGTTTGCCTCTCATAGGCTTGTTGTTTGAGCGTCCTGGAATTTCCCGAACATATATCCGGCACAGCGCGCTCTTTGCAGTTCCATTTGCCATTGCGACCGATCTTCCGGGCTGTGACTGGCAACGGACAGGTCCCATAGCTCCTCCCCCCAATCTAACGCTGTGTGGGAGACCTTTGGGTTTATATCGAATCAAGGGCCGGACTTATCGCACAAGGATATATCAGCCACTTGGTTCAGACGGACGTGTTTAATCCCTTTCCACCTTCCCAGCTCCGAATCGTTCGGACAGAGAGACAAACGGCCATCTGGGTCCACCGTATGCCCCATCTCGGACGCCTAAAGAGCGAAATCCCATCCCCTTCACTCCACCTCTTCGACACTGACGCGGGTCTCAGAGCTGTCGAAATGTCTGCCTATTCAACCACTAGCACCACTATTAAATCTGCACTCAAACCATCCGCATCTGTCGGTGCACCATTCCCAAGAGGCGCTCGCCACCAGCCCTTGGGAACGGCCAAGAACGAAATCTCGACGCGTGACATCAGTGCACTCAGACGATCTGTAACCGTGAGCAATGCATCTGGCGCGTCCATGTTGGTGAGCGCTCTTTTATTTTTTCTCATATCACACGGCGCGCGAATGCCCGGCGCGAGCGCGCGCAGATGAACTGTAAATTGGCGGTGCTAACGCTGGCTCTCACATGCAGAGCGCACCGCGTTTGGATATTATCAAGCCTCAAAACCGTCAGGTTGGTAGCTGTCTTCTCTTCTTCTCCCCCGTTCTGGCTTTTTATGCACCATGCTCCTTCGAGCGCCAAAGAACATTGCAAAGATACTTCACAATCACTCCAATCCTACAGATAAACCTCCTTCGCCTCGCGTTCATGGGCCCGTGCGTCCCTATCCCCTTCGACGTTCTATGTGGCTGCACGCATTTCTGACACTCTACCTTTTTTTAGGTAAAACCAGATATTTCGCTAGCCGAATCATTCGAGTCTCCCCGACTCAGACTTCTCAACATTTCGCCCGCGGCCTCGACAGAGTCGGTCGTACTCAACACGACAAAGGACCTCCCGCCTGCACCATCTTCGAGCCAAAACTCCTCACCACAAAAGAAGCCTCATCTCACTGACCCTCCGCCGCGAACAGCCTCGACGCGTCGCGGACCTCCCGCGCCAATCAGAATCCCTAATGGGCGGATACACGCACCCCCTATCATTGTCGAACGCGACGCGGACCTCGCTGATCTCGAGAACAGAATCTCCATCAGCATCCGCACCCCGCGGGTACCGCGCAAGTCATCAAAGCGAAAGGGTTCCAAGAGCGAGCAGCAGGCTGGTGCTAAGATTATTCCCCCACCACTGCCAGAGGCCAAGATCGTGGCAACGAACGCTAGCGCTGCTCCATCCGCCTCGTCGTCTGCGCAAAACTCTAGAAGAGGTTCCTTGGCGACGAACGGGGATGATGCGATGACCGAAGCCAGCAATGACGAGTATCGGTTCTCCCTTGGATTCCTGCTGCAGCCAGACAGGACCTCGGTGATGACAACGAGGACGGGCCGTGCGGACTCGGCGACGCTCCCAGAGCTGTCCCCCTTTTTTGCAAGTGATTCATATATCCCACCTGTACCGATCATTCCTCCATCGTTGATCGGTGGAGGGATTCGGAATGCCACCGAGTCGTCGACCAAGGGCGTCAAGCCCGCCACCAAACAGCTCAAGCCTGTTGGAGGCCCAGGAGCATTTACTCCAGGAAACTCGCCGCTAGCATCAGCTTATTCACAGCTAACTGCCAACTCGCGACCATATGTATCGGATCTGAAGACTCAGACGCAGAACAAGGGGGTCTCCCAGCCAGTCGACGAGGAGGAAGACTATTCGCCGACATTCACCGCAGCGAGTCCGCTTGACTCGCCCGAGAAGAGGATTGGGGTCAACCAGCTGTCGGGGAACGTGACGGGAACGGTCATGATGAAGCCCTGGCCTTCGAGGCATACAGAGCACAACGAGACGTTGCGAAAGCAGCTCGACAAGAGCCCAGGAGTGTCCTCTGTATCGTCCATCCCTACCCCAGAACTCTCTCCAGCCACCAAGCCGGCTCCTCAGAGCTCGACTTCTTCGTCTGGTAGTAACAGTTCCATGAGCCGATACGAGGGGTCGATCAGCAACTTTGAAATTGTGACCAGAGCCACACTAGACGGCCAGCACCACAGTCGCTCTGCTAATGCTATTCAGCAGCGCCATCGCGAAGTTCCGCAGACGGCTGTGCCGATGTCGGCGGTCAGCCCCGGCCTGTCAACAGCATCGATCGATCAATACCTCGACATTATTACGTTTGGACCCAAGCCCAATAACCCACCACTATTTATCACCGACGAAGGAGCAGAGGATGCATCAAAAGCAAAGTCAACTCCAGCCGCGTTCCTAACAAAGGAAGGGGTCCCCAACAAATCAACTTTTGCTCCGAATCATCCTAAAGAGACGGTCGTTGAGCCGCCCAAGCCCGCTGAGCCACGAAAGCTCAAGTTTCCGCCACTGGAACCTTCAGAACCGGTAGCTGAGCCAATATTATCTGCACTCAGAGAGCGGAGGCCAAGCTTACCATCTCCTTCCGGCAACATCTCCCCCAATGCTTTGGAACGACGCCCCTCAGCACCGTCTCCGTTGACTGGGGGTCCGACAGCGATTCTATTCACTCCATCGGCCCATCAGCCTCTGCATGCTGCACTTAGTGGCTATAGCTCCTCTGGTCTGTTTCTTGCATTTATTCCTTGCTCTTGCTAACGAGATATTAGGCTTCGGCAGCTTTTCGTTAATGGGGACGGGATCTAAATTGCGCGCAGTGGATGATCAGGGCTTCCGCGTCTCGAATCTCTCCATCAAGACCGACCACATTCGTAGTGCACTTGCAAAGGCTCCACTTGTCCCCTATACACCTTTCTCTCAAGGCTCGGATGCATTTAGTCCAGGAACAGCACTCATTTCTGCTCCAATAGCCGTGTCGCGAGCACCAATCAAGTCTGCCGTTCCTCCTACGAGTGCCCTCTCGACTGCTGCCCCTGTCAAGCTAGCGACTCGCTCCCGTACTCGACCCCCCAGCGGCCCCAGACAACAACGCAGTGTATCTGCGTCCAAGGCTACTGGGTCCAGGCATAAAGAGCCGGTACCCCCTCTTCCTTCCCTGGATCCCAAAGTCCTCAAGAGCGTTCGCTCGCGTGCGAACACGAGCACGTCTGTTGTTGACTTGCACACGTCGCTCATCTCAATCCCGACGACACCAAGCTTTGAGACAGGCTTGATACCTTTCAAGGGGTTGACCTTGGATGTTGCAAAATGGACGTTCAGCCAGGAAGAGCTTCAAGAAATCTCGAGACGTGCAATCTGCCAGTCTGCAGACCCACTTGCCATCCGATTGGTCCCTGCCAAAATCTTGGATGAGGATGTACCGGCCGAGATGGAAAAGCTCGAACTCAGGAGAGAGGAACTAAAGGCAGATTACAAGTATCACCACCGACGCCGCGTTGCGATCCTCGGCTTGCTCAACGCGTTGACCGAGGCGATGGACAATCCAACCTCCTCCGGAAGTAACAGTCCCTCTGCCTCGATGGCTCGTCTTCTCGACGAGTTGAGAGAGGTGGGAATCAAGGCGGACAAAGTCTGCGAGGAGCTTTACAACGTGTGTGATCAAATCAACCAAATGCACGCGCTGCAGGACTGTCATGCTTCCTCCGCACTCGCTATGGCGCTGAGAAAAATCAATGCTAGCTACCTCAAAAGTACCGCCGAGGCCACGGACATGAAGGCACAGATCGTCTACTTGACTGGCGAACGCGAAGAAGCATGGGCCATGGCGGAGAGCCTAGAAAAGGAGCTCAATGAAGTCAAAGCACAGCTTGAGGCAGAAAAGGCGAAGGTTGTTGCTGCTGCTGCCTCTACGGTCCCCACCGCTCCTGTAGGCACTGAGCCTGAGGCAGTCTTCTCGCCACCAATTATGCCTTTCAAACGAGGAGACGCGACGCCCAGCACAGCCGTTCCGCAGAGTGCCGATATTATTGAGGACGCGCCATTGACAGGAAGCCGCGTGCTGGCTGCACGCAAGGTCAGCACTCGACGAGCGAAAGCCGGTCTACGAGCGGCGAGACAATCGGTCATTAGTCCTCTCCGCTTCTCTGCTCTTCACACGGGGTTCTCCATTTCGTCGGCATTCAGCGACGCGCACCCTCAACCATCGGCTGCTCCTGTTCCTCCAGTACCAGCGATTCACTCTGCTGCCTTGACCTCTGCAGGTGCAAGCGCCTTTAGCACGGGACGTCGTTCACGTCGCTCCGAATCACTTTCTGGAACACCGGGTACAGCCGCATCCTCACGTGAGCTGATGAATGCTCAGAATGAGCTACTGCAGATGCTCGGTGTACCAGTTCAAGGATTATCGGCACACGGTTTCCGCAGAACACGGTCGTTCTCGGACGCAGATGTCAGAGCGTCAATGCTCCCTCCGAGCCCTCCTCCGGCAGGCCTCGCCACCACAATGGCAAAGCAGTTACAGTTGGCCGATAAGACGGATTCTGTCATGATCTCGTCGTTTCATAACCGTGAAAGTCGTATTACGAGCGTCTATGGTGCATATTTGTCTCGAAGAAATACGGCATTCGCTGCGAATAAGCGTAGGCAGACCCGGGCGAGTGGCTGGGGTGTTGATGCTATCTATGATGGCATCCTTGATGACGTAAGTCTTGTCAATTTTTGTGGGTGGAGTCGGTCCTGATAACCTTTCTTTAGCCTGCTACCCTATTTGCTGTTGTTAAACCCTCTCTTCAACGATAAGGACTCGGATTCGTTCAGAACACTAGCCGCTCATTTGCAACTTCAATTCTCTCGTCTCATTGCTCACCCACTCATTGCCTAACATTATTACGCGACGTGTACAACACCTCTACATAGCATATCATCACTGTACACTATATCAAGGATACTGGAGACCTTTTGCATCACACATTGATCATACCATGAGGGCATCGAAACTCGGAGCCAACCTATTAATTGACTTCGGCGGTGTAGCACAACCACTTCGGGAATTCAAGAACGCTTATTTGAGCGCATCGCATACCAAACTCTTCTCTAATTGCTCCAAAATCAGCTGTCGTTCGTCACCGCAGCCCAGAGAAAGAGCCAACATCGGGATCTGGAACACGAAAACGCAGATAGACGTCATACAATGCATAATTTATGCGACATTGCTTCTCTATTCACCAACAAATGGCTTTGCTAAGCTATGTGTTCCCGCCATGGGCCTACCGAGAACTCGGCAGCTTCGCGTGGTGGTGCATGAACGAATTTCGGGTGACATGTCAAGTTATTTGTCAATTTGAGATAGTTCTGACTAATCCTGGTGCTGAGGGAACGAGATTTCGGTCTGATTCAACAGCGAAAGCCATTACCGTGCCCGAGCATCATCTCAGCGAAAGAACGGCGTGATTTCGTAAGGGTGCCCTTCTGACCTATGAACGAAGGCAGATATAAAGAGGACCATCCAAAGGCAGTCACATCATTATCACCACTACCCTCAAAAGATATTGGACATGGGACTACCACCCACGCACAGAGCCCTTGTTGTCGTAGAGGCGGGCAAGGTTGGCATTAATCAACAACCTCTCCCGAAATACGGCGACGAGGAAATACTGGTCAAAGTCAAAGCCGTTGCGATTAACCCAACGGACTGGAAGGTTTTTACGACGCCTTCGTCGTTGTTTATTTGCTGATATGATATGTAGCATGTTGACCGTTTTCTCAAACCTGGCCAATCCATTGGCTGCGACTTCTCCGGCGACGTAGTAGCGGTCGGTCGCGACGCAGCAAGCAAGATATCTGTTGGAGATGCTGTCGCCGGTTTTACTCGTGGAGGGTTTGTAATTGGTGATAATGGTGCATTCCAAGGCGAGTCAGTGAATTTTGGCTGTTTGTGTGTCTGACGTTCACCTTAGAGTACGTCATGACATATCCCGAGAATGTAAGTGTAATGCGAGAATCCTATGACGTCTTACATGATTTCAGGTTTGGCACAAGCCGGCTTCCTTGCCCTACGAGGAAGCAGCTCCTATGGGCGGAATTGCTTTTTCAACTGCTGTTTGCGTAAGGATCGCATTGGGGGTACAGCGGTTATTTACTCGATTTTCAGGCGCTCCATACTGTACTTGATCTTCCTTATGAGACGTCCAAGCCTCAACCGGTGTGTGATATTCTTCGAGCTACTGGTTTATACTCAATTAAAGTGTAGATTCTTATCTGGTCCGGTGCTACAGGTGCTACTAGCTTTTGTCCACTCACCGTCGCTAACGACTATCAGGGGTCGGGATGTATGCCATCAAACTTGCGACTCTAGCAGGCTTCAAGGTAGTGACAACTGCATCTGAGAAGAACTGGGACCTTGTCAAATCTCTTGGTGCAGAAGCAGTCTTCGACTACAAGGATCCAGAGGTCGTCGAGAAGATCAAAAACTGGGTGAATGAGAGCGGCCAGGGACCATTGAAGAAAGCACTCAACGCTGTCTCTACACCTGACAGCACTGCTCAATGCGCCGTTCTTGTAGGTGCAGGTGGGAGTGTTGTGACCCTTCGTATGTGCAATATAGGTGTGACGGAGATAAAACTGACCTTTCCAAGTACCAGTGCCCAATGATTTGGATCCGAAAGGGGCAGAAGTCAAGTTTATGCTTGTCTATCGTGCGCTGAAGCAGAATGGTGTCGAAGCGCGTCGGCGAATGTGCGAGTGGACTGAAGAGGATGTCCTCGCCGCAAAGACACGGAACCCGACATACATCGAAAATAACGCAAAGTTACGTGAGTGGAATCAGAGGATGCCTTCGCTCATCGAGAGCGGCAAACTCCCTAAGGGGCTTGTTCCTCTGAAGATTTACCAAGGGATGGAGAAGCTGCCCGAGGCTATTGACTATGCTCGACTGGGAAGAGTCAGTGGAGAGAAACTTGTCGTTATATTCGATTAGACACGAGTACGGTCTCACCCTCCTGCAATCAATCTATTTTCTCGTGCGAACTTGTCCCTTTTCCACGACACATCGGATCCGCCGCTGTCACAGGTCACTACTGAGACGCAGCCCTCTTCTTGACGGTGTATTCATGGAGATCTATCCACGGAGCCATTATCGCGTCCAGCCCTTGAATTTCCGTTCGAGCGGGCAAATCCCGCATCAACGCTATTCTACACGGAAGATTGATCCATTCTCGTGAAAAGGATACCCTCCCTTAGTTCTTACTGTTGGGGTATCTGGGGCCTGCGCGGGCCGTGGTTCAGCTCGAGTCTGACATTTGATCCCTGACTGTCATTCCGGTGTTTTTCTACGGCGGAGATGGACGATTGCAGGCATGCATGGTCAAGTTGTGGGCGAATAAGGGTGCGCCCCTAGGCCAGCAAGAATAATTACCGGTCGGTAGCACATGCGAGTATTTTTAGGTCGGTTTGGATATAAATCACACCCTTCTTGTCGTGAGGGCCCCAAGGCTCCTTTAACGAAGATGAAGTGGTCTGTTCTCACTCTCCTCAGTGCTGCGTCGTTCGTGTACGGGCAAGCGTACGTTCCTTTCTATTTTTTTTCATTGGCTTATCTTCCTGGTGCAGCGCAATTCTACCGTGTAAGACGGCGACCACGGTGATATATCCTCCTTGCCCCGCTATTCTCTGCATCAAGCCTACCACTACCACTGTCACACAAACAGTTACGTCGACACATTCCGTCACGCTCCCAAAGACGTGCCCTCCTCTCACGGTCTACCCATTGCCAGAAACGATGAAGAAAAGGGAGGCATATCCCACAACTACCGCTGGCCCGTAAGTCACTACTTGGAAATTATAATATAATGCTGATCGTTGGGTACAGAACCCCCTGTCTTCCCCTGACGACGACATTGACTTATACCAAACCCTGTCCAACGTGTACAACCTTGGTGACTACTACGGAAACGACGACTGTCCACAAGACGAAGATAGTACCAAGGATTTGCCCTCTTGCGTGACCCATGTTGGGGGTGAGGCCTCTATCACTCGTCCAGAATAGTACCTAGTTGTCACTAGACGAATTTGCAGTTGCCATGGCAATTATTGACCTACAGAAGGTTCTGCATTACCCAACCCATTTCTTTCTGTGTGTAGAATACAGGCTAGGATGAAGAGGAACCAAATTCCCATTTTTTTACTGCCATGCCCTTCTATGCTATCAAAGGGCTCTTATGTGATTGCATCAACGTGTTGTAGAGGAGCACGCATTAGTTCTTAGTTGTCTAACTCGAATCAATCCCCGGCTGTCATGGGGTTGTCCATCCTTCACGGCGGAGATGTGTGAGTTTAGATGCGATAGAATAGGATAAACAGCCAATAGGATATTCTATGACCAGTTGAATGATGTATGAAGCGAAGGTTTCCCTATGATAGCCCGGTAAATATACCCGCACTCCAAGATGGAATTCCTGGCACGTCTTGGCAGAGTTGGATATAAGAGGAGGCTCCTTTGGTCACCAAACATTCCCGGAGTCCTTTGTAAGAAGATGAAGTGGTCTGCGCTCGCTCTACTTGGTCTTGGTGCATTCGTACACGGTCAAACGTGCGACTTATTCTCTTATCTCTTTCTTTACTCATCATTTTGCTATAGGGCAATCCAGCCGTGTGCGACGGCCATCACCAATGTGTATCCGTACCCATGCCCTCTAGTGCTCTGTGTCTCTCCGACTCCAACCACAGTCACAAAAACCATTACATCGACACATTCTGTCACACTCCCGACCAAGTGTCCTCCTCTCACATTCTACCCATTGACCGAGACGCTGAAGAAACGGGAAGCAGAAGCTGCATACTCCACTGCAGTCATCCGCCCGTGAGTTGCTAATAGGATGGACTGGACAATTCCGCGCTGACATGTTTGGGTCCAGAACCGTTTGCCTTCCACTCACGACGACATTGACCCGTACCAAACCATGCCCCGGGTGCCCCACCGCGACAGCCACAACAGTTACCGCAACTGCTCACACGACCAAAATCGTGCCAAGGCCTTGTCTTTTCGCATGAGTCGATCGTGTCCAGTCAATGGCTGGTGGGCTCGATTGAGTAGGTCGTAGAAAGTTGTTAAACCTATAGTGAGATTCGGAGACCTGGACAAATGAAAGATTGAAATGGCCCCATCTCACTCGACCAACTTATACTGCGTGTTGAAAATATTGGAATGAACGCAGCTAAGTCTGAGTCAGCTGCTTGATAGCGAATCCTGCATTCATAGGACTGATGAACAGAAAGAGATGTAGTTAGTACGGCGAGAAAGACAGACACGACGCGATTAGTTGACTGGTTGCTCTAAGTTGCCTTCGAGTGCTCTAGGCAAGAATACCAACCGACGTGAACGTAGAATATTCAGGTCATACTTGATATTTACTTCTGTCAGACGTCGGTGTTACCACGGATATCTTAGTCTCTTCTTCAACATTGGTTTTTTTTTGGACAGTGCACCATGAATCAAGAGGCGGCAGTCCTTGAACAGCGCTTCCCGCAGTATCAGACTCAACCCGACCTCAGGGATATTGACAGACACCAGGGCCTAGGTGGCAGCGTTGAGAATGTCGATGCGCTATTTCTGCACATCTATTGCCATATTTCGAGTTCTTAGAAACGTATAAAGAGAGGGCGCTGGGTTCAGCATTGCCCTGGAGTACCATGGCATTTCCTTTCGGCTCTTCTTACCCTTTGCGCGCTCGCTGAGCCACTATACGCATCTGTTGTGGCAATAAAGCACTGGGGTCCTGCAAACATCACTTGGAAATCATGCTCCTTTCCCAACCCGAGACTTGGGTGTGCGACGGCGTGCGCAGCCAACTCTCAGAATTGCGCTGCAGCCAAGATCGCACCTAACGCGACTGCAGAAGCTCTCATACAGAAGATTAACAAGATGCTAGACATATCCCATCGCAACTACAACGGATTTGTGTGGTCCATCGTGGGACAAATAAGCCAAACTGCTTTAGCGATTGCCAACAGCTATTCTTGGGACTATATCGCAGGAATAATTCGTGGTTCGCTCTACGAGGGGACTCATTGACGATCCTTGGACGGCACTCTTCCTTACATAAACGAACTTCGGCAAAATCGTACGTCTGCGACGATTTCACCCAGGCTCCTCGCTCCCTTCGCACCGCATTACAGCTATGTCTCAGAGAACCTTCTGTCCCTCGTCATGTTTGTTGTCTACTGTGGCGATACAGTCGATAATGCTCGAGAAACGACGACGGATGTTTTCGAAGCGTATGTGAACGCATCGCGGAGGACGTCAAAGTTTGTGGCTACGCAGATTTCCCAGAATCCACAGAGTCACTGTCATAAGTACCTCGAGAGCCGTCGAGAGGCTGCCGACGAGGATAAACAAGAAGCCGATGAATGTTGTGTTAATGATCGGTAACACTGGAGATCCCATTACGCCGTTCCAGAGCACAGGTCGACTTGCATCGGCGATTGCTGCAGTTCAATGCACCTGGACATGGAGCCGGTGAGTTGTTTTCCAGGAATTCCTAATTTGTGCTCATGGGAAATTGCAGATACACCGAGTACGTGAACTGTATGTGCTCGTAACCCCCAACTGATACTCAGGCTCCGCATGTGTGACTGATGTGATGCGCAAGTTTGTCAGAGGGATACCGCCACACGAGACAAGAAACGACGAGGTTGATGTCATTTGCAGCACTAACATGACGCCTTACGGGCCTCCCCCACCAGCATGCAGGAATTACCTGAGGCCAACTCCTTGTAACTAGTGATGTATAGAGAATTGTCAACTGTCTGTCACAGCATTGACCATCTGGCGACACTTTTTCGTTATAGAAGGCGGGTGTAAAGGAGCTCAACGGGATCATAAGAGTTGGTCTCCTGTCTTAATTAATCGCTGAGCCTTTTGCTCAAGGATCTGGCGAATCTCGAATTGCTCCCACACACTAAGATACACTTGAATTCAGATTGTCTTGCCTTGCTCTCGAACCGGCAGATGTCAACTTGGTCTCGCCCTCGACTGTATGTGTAGTCTAGGTCCGGTAAACCAATGTAAGTATCTTCCGAAACAATGATATATTTCAACCCGCAGTCTAACCAACTCGCACGTTCCGCCCTCCTGGATAATTGGCACCGCCCCCTCGCAGCAGACGCTGGCCAAGTGACAAGACTTATCTCCGCACAGCAGTACTTGGCAATACAACTGATATGGGGATATATAAGGAGAAGCACCTCTTCTGGCCCCGCAACAACTGCATGGCCTTCATTCCTGCTTTGATCCTCCTTTCCACGCTTGTGGAGCCGTTGCATGCGTCTCTTGTAAACATTGGACGACGAGCCCCGGCAAATATAACCTGGGAAGCATGTTCGGACATGACTAGTGGCTCGAGACTCGAGTGCGCGTCAGTACAGTGAGTGTGGGTTTCTGCAATACAGCTTATGGTCCTGTTGACGTGGAATTGAGAGTCCCACTTGATTGGAATGATGCGAGTAAAGGAGATATCTCAATCTCGATTATCCGTCTCCCTGCCAAAACGACGTCGAGAGAGGGTTATATGTTCTATAACCCAGGTACTTTAGAACGAATAATTTCGGTTCCGTATTGACCGCTTCATAGGTGGGCCAGGAGGATCAGGAACACTCTTTATCATCCAGGAAGGAGAACAGTTGCAAACCCAACTGGGCGAAGGCTGGGATATCCTCAGTTGGGACCCTCGTTGGTCGCTTTTCTCCATCTATACATGACCTGACATTCAATAGGCGGAATCATGAAATCTGGTCCGGATATTGCCGCCTTTGACACTGATGAAGAGTACTACAGTTACTGGTCACAATATCAGGGGCTCGGAAAGATCAGTGCGCGTGGAAACTTGACTCAGCCCACTGATGTTGACTTCTTGTACGTATGCATGATGCAGTAGACGGGAGCTGACCGTGGATAGCATGTCTCAAGTTCCAGCGTTCGATAATTTAACAACGGCTCTCAATCAGAGGATGGTACAGAAGAACGGAGAGAAACTTAAATAGTACGTCAACATGGCATTCACTATCGTAAATCAATGCCTTTCCCAGCGTCGGAACGTGCGCAAACGTGCGAGATCTCGTCCACCTTGTGGACTCTGCGTATGGAGAGGGCTCAGATGTCAACTTTTGGGGGGTCAGTTATGGCACAGTCCTGGGAGCATACCTTACACAGATGTTTCCTGACCGCGTCGGACGAGTTATACTCGATGGTGAGCCTATACTGATGGGATGTATGTCATTGACCATATAACAGCCGTCTACGATCCTGAGAAACATTCGAATCAAGCACCTATCAAGTGGGTGGACACCGACTCGTTGAATATCGACCAAGGCCTATTGATGTGGGCACAGGCGTGTGTAGCTGGTCCAGCAAGCTGCACTGCGGCTGGCCTGGTGCAAAATGCGACAGCAGAGCTCCTACTCCAAAAATTGACGAGGTACTCGATACAGCTCATCGACGATACAATGGCTTCGCCTGGACGACCGGTCTGATAAATGAGACAGTAGCCATGAACGCAGATAGCTACTCGTGGGAGTACCTTGCGGGCATTGTTCGTGGCGCTCTCTACAATTCCCGGGTGTGGCGAGTACTCGCGGAAGGACTCGTTCAAATCACCCAACTTCAGCAAAATCGCACATCCAAGACTACTGGACCTATCTTTCCTGTCTGGTTCACGCCACAGTATGGTCTCGTTCCTGACTATTTCCTCGACACAATTTCTGTTGCTATATATTGTAGCGACACAATCGATCCTGCAGGAGAAACGACGGAGGATCTTTTCAGGGCCTATGTCAAAGCCTCGCAGAGTATCTCAACACTTTCTGCGGCAATCGTATCTCAGAATATGAGAAGTCATTGCCACAAATACACGACTCGAGCGATCGAGAGATTGCCGCAAAGCATGAAAAAGAAGCCAAAGAATGTAGTATTGGTCATAGGAAACACCGGTGATCCGATTACGCCGTTTCAGAGTGCGCGCAGGCTCAGCTCGTCGGCATTTCTTGGGTCGCAAGCACGACTCTTGCAGTTCAATGCGGCAGGTCACGGAGCTCGTTTGTCTACTCTTTCTCTACAAGTTGCATACTAACAGCACCTATAGATGCACTCAGTTCGTGATCCCAATATAGAAATGATGTGCAGGGGGCTAACGAAGTTGAGTAGATTCGACGTGTATTGACGAAGTCGTGCGCAAATTTGTCAGAGGAATACCACCAAACGACGCAGGTAACAATGATGCCGATGTCGTTTGCGATGTCGACATGACACCATACGGTCCACCTCCAGCTGAATGGAAGAATTCGACACCACCAACTTCGAGTGAAGAAACTACTGTCACTGGCGACGCAAATATGGCTAAATTTAGTTTGAAGCTTTCCTTTTTCGCACTTGTTTTTGCCACTATCACAATATTCTAGCATTGATGAAGGAGGCCAAACCAGGTAGCTGACACGCATCTTACCTCGTCGAATCTACATCTGTCATAACTCCGCTTTGAGAATGCATCGTGAGCAGGCACTTTGCACGGGTGGCATCCGTGTACAGGACTCCGGATGTATCACTATATCTTCTTTCTATACATGGTCTTACTAACACTTCAGAATATCTTTGAAGCGAATCTTGGACGAGGCCTTCGTTGGTTCCAGCCCCAAATCGGCATCCTCAAACATTCTCAAATACTCAGATTACCTAAATTATCGATCTACCTCCCATATTTCACTCGTTCTCATGCCGTCCATACTCACTGGGAGAATATGAATTCGACCAGTGGCAACACGACAACTGATTATGCGAGTTGACAAACCTTTGTCTTGACAGTTTGCCTAGCCAGGTTCATTTTTGCCATTACCACTCTATTTTAGTGAATTTGGACTAGATGGCTGTTATTCAGATACTCGATGTCTTGTCCCATTTAACTCCATTATACGCCTAGACTGCATCATTGCATTATATCTTGGGAGACTAGCGGTATTGTGATGTGTAATGATCCGCAACAAGGTAGAAAATACATGATGTGGATAGTACGCGGAAGGACTGGTCTGCGGAGAGGAATGCAACTTCAGCGTGCATAACTCTCCTGATAGCCTTCTATGCGGTGCCAGTGGAAGTCATGTCACGCAAGTTTGCTCAGGTGTGGAATGTAAGGAACAATAAGGCCGACGTTATTTGTGGACGATCCCACCGGCACGGAAGAACTCACGGGTGCTAATCCATAAATAGGACCATGGAAATTGCAGCAACTTTTGGTATGAGGTGACCCTTCCGCGGCGGGTCAACCTCTCGGTTGTGAATTCAGTAATTGAAGACAATTGCAGGTTGTGGCTTGGCTTGCTGGTACGTCTTCTCGAACCATGGGTGCATACACAGCCTACACAGGAAGCCTTACAAACACCGTTAGATCCCGGATTGCTAGTATTGTTGCTACCCGTGGTGCGCTGACCTGCGCGTCCCGTCTTCAACGGCAATTAATTGGCATGGCCTAGATCGTAGTGGACGCGAAGAAAATTTGCTTATCTCCGTAAAGTAGAACTTGGCAACTCGATTAGTATAGTGACATATAAATAGACGGTCTCGCTCACACTTGCAACCCATATGGCTCTCTTTCTCGCCTTGATCACCCTTTGCACACTCGTGAAATCATTACATGCGTCTTTTGCGGGAATTGGCCGACGAGCCCCAGCAGATATAGCCTGGGGGAGATGTACAGAGATGAGCGACAGCTCGAGACTCGAGTGCGCTATAGTACGGTGCGCATTGGATATTAGATCAATAGTAATGTACTGATGCATATTAGTGTTCCGTTGGACTGGAATGATGCGAGTAAGGGAGATATTCCCCTTTCCATCATTCGTCTTTCGGCGAAAACGGCACCGCTTAGGGAAGGCTACATGTTCTATAACCCAGGTATGACAAAATGGCAGTATTGGGACCCGTATCAACAAATTGAATAGGTGGCCCAGGGGGGTCAGGCACTAGGTATCTTGCCGACGATGGAGAAGAATTGCAAGTGCGATTAGGCGAAGGCTTGGATGTCCTCAGGTGGAACCCTCGTCCGTATTTTCTCCTTTTATGATCTAATTTCACATCTAATAGGTGGGGTTATGGACTCCGGCCCAAATATCACCACCTTCGAGACTGACGAAGAGTACCACAATTATTGGTCCCAATATGAGGGACTCGGAAAGCTCAGTGCACATGGAAATCTAGCTCAGTCCACAGATGTCGATTTCTTGTAGGTATACTCGATGCAGTTAGGCGATGTCTTACTGCCACCAGCATGTCTCAAGTATCAGCGTTCGATAATTTGACAATGGCTCTCAATCAGAGGATGGTAGAGAAGAACGGGGACAAACTCAAATAGTGCGTTACTCTGATATTCATCAACGCAAGTTGAAGAGTCATCCCAGCATTGGAACGTGCGCAAACGTACGAGATCTCGTATATCTTGTCGACTCTGCGTATGGACAGGGCTCCGACGTCAATTTCTGGGGGTCAGTTATGGCACAGTTATGGGGACATACCTTACACAGATGTTTCCTGACCGCGTCGGACGAGTTATACTTGACGGTAAGCCTTTGTTGTTGGAATGTATGATATTGACCATATGACAGGCATCTATGACCTGGAAAAGCAGTCTAATCAAGCGCCCCTCAAATGGATTGACACCGACTCGTTGGCCGTCGACCAAGGCCTATTGATGTGGGCACAGGCGTGTGTGGCCAGTCCAACCAACTGCACGGTCGCCACGTTACTACCAAATGCGACAGCGGACCATCTGCTGCAAAGAATCGACGAGATACTGGACACGGCTCATCGACGATACAATGGCTTTGCCTGGGCAGGAGGCCAGGTCAATGAGTCAATATCGATGAATGCCGAAAGATTTTCGTGGGAGTACTTTGTGGGCAATATCCGTGGGGCTCTCTACGACTCCAGGACACGGCTAGTCTTGGCGGATGGACTACCCCGAGTCGCGGCTCTCCAGCAGAATCAGACATCCAAAGCGATTGGAATCAATTTTCCGGGCCGGCCCACGACGCAGTATGGCTCAGTTCCTAACATCCTCCTCGACGCGGTTGCTATTGCTATATATTGTAGCGACAGAGTTGATTCTGCAGGGGAAACAACGGAGGATCTTTTCAAGGCGTATGTCACCACCTCACAGAGAACTTCAAACCTCGCCGCTGCGGGTGTCTCTCAGAATATGAGAAGCCATTGTCACAGATTCACCTCTCGGGCGGTCGAGAGGCTACCACAAGGCATGAACAAAAAGCCAAAGGACGTTGTGTTGGTCATAGGGAGCACTGGTGACCCGATTACGCCGTTTCAGAGTGCGCGTAGACTCAGCTCGTCTGCATTTCTTGGGTCGCAAGCGCGGCTGCTGCAGTTCAATGCACCAGGACATGGAGCTCGTGAGTGATTCTGTTGTCTACACGCTACATACTGACGCCAACTATAGATGCAATAAGTTTGTAGTCCTGCTTTTTAGAGACGAAGTCGATGGACTAATGAAGATGAGCAGAATCGACATGTATTGACGACGTCGTGCGCAAGTTCGTCAGAGGAACGCTACCAAACGACGCAGGGGACAACCACGCCGATGTTGTTTGCGACGCCGATTTGACACTGTACGGGCTTCCTCCGGCTTCATGGAGAAATACGACGCCACCGACTTCGACTGAAGAAACTAGCAACGCGAGTATAACAATATTTGGTTTGATGCTTCCGCTTTCAGCATTGGCTTTGGCCAGCATCGCAATTTTCTAGTGGTTTAATGAATAGTCGGACAGCATGTCTCGTTTTCGCACAGTCGAATACACTCTCATTCTACGAGAACTAGAAACTGCATCGTGGCAGTATATTGCAAGAGACTAGCAAAATCGACATTTGCAATGATGCGCGATGCCATAGAAGGGACTAGGATAGTACGTAGGAAAAGTCTGTGATGAGAGAAGAGGATCGAATTACGAAGTCAAGGTCCGTGGACAGGACTGAATAAGATTAGAGTCTAAAGAGGAAGAATCGTCTAGTTCTGACTGAGCAGAACCCGGTCAATCGTCGAATTGATCGTTGTCTTGCGAGCACTAAGATCCATGCCGAAGCGCTCTTCGAGTTTTTGGCGGACGGCACGCTTCGTGACAGAGTTGAGGTCCGCGTTTCGAAGCAGTTCACGAACGGCGTTCTCCAGTTCGTGATCTGATGGTCCTTGCGTCGGTGATGCAGCTGCTTGATCATAGTCAAAGCCACCCATCATCGGACTTGCAGCTCGTGGCATCGGCATGTCAAGATAGGCCGTTGGAGGTCGGGATGCCGAGCCATGAAGCATCGTGCGGCTCGCAGGTCTTGAGCCATGTGGATCACCTGGAGTGTTCCCACCAGAGCCTGCTGGATATGCCAGTGGTGCAAAGGCCGAATTAAGACCAAGAGAGGGTGCTGGTGAGAATGATCGTGAACGAGGCATGTCGTATTGGGTTCCGCCGTAAAGCGACTGGCCACGAGATTCGGCGTGTCCGAACTCCCTTTCGGGTGGAATCCACGAACCAATGCTGTGATTGCTCTCCTTGTCCCAAAGCTCGTTCTCGTAGTCATTCCAAGACTTGAGGGGAATTGACCGAGGGTCAAACTTGCCCTCATCCTATGAAATCGTTAAATGAGTGGTAACAGCAATTCCAGATATACGCACGTGAACAATCAACTTTTTACCCTTCTCCCCAAGGACAACACGAGTGGCACCCCACGAGAAATCATCCATCTTCCAGAAGGAGTAGAGAGGAAGGAAGAAAGAGAAGGCTGGGATGGCAAGAATATAAAAGATCATCCAACCGATCATGTCCCACTTGCGGCGGAAGATGAAGATGAGTGCCTGGAAGCCGTAGATAGCGGCAAGCATGATCAAAGATAATTGTGGAATCATCTTGTGCTCCACTGCGACGAGATATACAAGGTACCCAAGCTAAACATGACGTTAGCGAATGAAAAGCAGAAGCCTATGGAAACGTACGTATGCCACAGAGACAGGCTGGACGAGGGTCGAAAGGAGGTCGATGAATACCACGAAGCGCATGGAGAAACAGCAGAATCCACAAAGACGGTCCAAGAAGACGAGCTCCGCAAGGTTGTGAATTGTCGAGTTGATCCACCGACGACGCTGAGATAAGAGCACAGACCATTCATCGGGAGCCACCGTATATGCGTGGGCGTCGCGAACGAACTGCGTCTTATAGTTGGGGAAATGCTTCAGAAGAAGTGTCGTCAGGTAACGATCTTCTCCCAAGTGAAGCAGATTCTTCATATGCAAGGTGTCGACTCTATTCTCCGAATAATCTTCAATGACCTGCTTTGAGATGAACAGTGGCTTGTGGGTGTCGGCGGTTCGAAGGCGGTACATGGTGAAACAACCGGGCAAGCAAGTGACGGAGCCAAACAGACTTTCGAAGGCTTTGGCAAGGTGATGTGAGATGAAGTATTCATAAACTTGCATCATGGTGATGATCGATTGTTTCGAGTTGGCCAACGAGGTTTCTCCACAGACACCAAGGACCTTCTTGTCGTGCATCATTCTACAGACTATAAGCAATAGCCGAGTCCTCAAGGTTGATACTTACGCAGAAACCAGACGATTGAGAGACAGTGGGTCTACCACAGTATCTGCATCCACCATAAAGCAGTACTCGTAAAATGTGGGGTTGACACCAATGACATTCTTGATTTGATGATACATTTCCAGCTCTAGCGGGTTCATCGGGGATCCAAAGTGAACCTATCTGCCGTCAACACATGTCAGATAAGAGGCTGAAAAACTTGCCTTGTTCAAGAAATGCATTAGCGCCATCTGAGAGTCACGCTTTCCTCGATTGCCGGGACGTTGTCTTTCGGTCGGCTTGCCAATCTTGACCAAGACGAGGTACGGTACGACATGACCAGCGCACTCGTACAGACCAGAATAGACTTTGCCCATGTTATGCTGCTTCGCTCCTTCCCCCAATGAGTGGAAACTCAGAGGTTCTGGGTCCAGATTCGGATCCGCGCCGAGGATGTCAAGCACAATTCGAGGCGTTGGACGATCGTTTCCGGAACCGACGATCATACCGTCACAGATAATAAAGAGGAGCTTGCGTTTGTCATCATACTTGAGCTTGGCTAGAGAGTCGATGGTTCTCCGTAACGAGTCCTCGCCTTCGGTGTAGCAAGGAACCTGGCAGATAACAAACTTGTCGTGGTCTTCCGGTGCACGAGGCGAGCCGAAGTGGAGTGCAGCCAGGAACTTGAAACCAATGATGGACACCATGATGCAGGAGAGCACCAACAAGATGTACGTCGCGAATTGACACTGGACGGATTGTCGGCGATCTGCTTTCCCGATGGTGAAGAGATTACGCATGCAAGTTCGTTGCCATTGGAGAACCTGAGGGTCAATGCTCAGGCCATCAATGAGCTTGGTAACATCCTTGCCAGCCTGTTGCTTGAAGACATCGACGATGGCGTCGTGCATGAAAAACCTATCGATTCCACCCGGTTCGGCTTGTCCATCAGGTACCTTGATGCTGGGTGGCGCATTCACGTAATCGGTCAAGTCGTAAACTAGACCGCGATAGATGGCAATGAGTCGGCCATTGTTCGCGCGGTTTCGGACATCGCTCGGTGAGATTCCAACAAAACCGAGGCGGTAATGATACCGCATGACGACCATTTGCTCAAAGTACCAGTCGGGTCGGTAGTTGTACCAGTCGCCGTCGCCTGTGGATCGGTACGCTCGGAAATCGTGGTAGATATTGTTTGCGTCGTCCGTCGTGTTGACAGAGTTGAGTGTCACATAGGGGTTGACGCTACCCGTCTTTCCCTGGCAGAGCGCACTGACCTGTGGGAGGTAAATACGATGGATACGTAGTCGGGGAAGTCAGCTCACTTGGACCGGGAACAGTTCACTCGCATCGGTACCACCGTATTTTAGCACCAGCTTTTGGGGAACGACGGGCACGGTACGGAAATGGGCTTGTGCAATCTTGGTCAGGTCGAAGACCTCTCCACGAATCGAGATGTAAGTTGCCTTGGGGTTGTGGAGGTACGAGTGATCAGAGACCTCTCCAGAGTCGAATACGTACTCCCTTGGACAGATGAGGTTGCCCATGACCGCAATGACGAACACAGCACAACCGCAAATAAACCAGATGATCATGTTGATGGCAAGCTTTTCTCTCCAGGCTTGACGAACGTCCATCCGGTTCATCCTGCCAACCCATCGCAATACAAAGTTGGGCAACCACCAGGTGAGCGCCCAACAAAGAGCGACCCACTTGCGCCGTGCGGGCGTGTCCTTGATTTCTTCAGACACTTCACCCTCCATAATCTCCCCTGGGAGTGGATCCTTGTTCGCCGCCACGCGCCTGTCGGCGTTCTGGAACATGTTTCTCGACGGCGCATACGACTCGGTGCCAAAGTTGCTTCCGACATCGTCACGTTGACTCGTGAAACGACTTTGGGCGTCAAAGTCGTCGGATCGGAGGGATTTATGGTCGTCATACTCGTACATGTCGGCGCGTTGGAATGGCTGAGCATGGGCGACAAGGGGGAGTGCCGCTTGGCTACCACTTTGCCCAAACGGATCGCCGTAGGGACCTGCAGTATATGGTGTAGGTTCACCGGAGGGTGGACCAGTCTGATATGGACTAAACGTATCGCCAGTCATGGTCATACCAGCCTCTGCCTCGGCGTCTCTCATTCGGTTGCGCTTCTGTTCCTCCACATCGCTCGCTCTCAGAGGGTCTTCGAAGCGATGGAACGCTTTGTGCGTCAAGAACACCTGCTGTGCATCAGTAGGATACTAGCCGGCACGTGTATAATACTGGCCTTGGTATTCCCTACGATGATATCCTTGGATCCAAGGCCCATTGCTGAAGCGATTTGGGCTGCCTCAGCGGCGGTCGGATTGTCAGTCAAACCACTGGCGTTGGCTTGTCGAAGAACATCCCCGTATCGGTCGCGGAACTCGGCAAAGGACATGTTGACCTCTAAGACGACGGCATTCTTCTTCGCAACCTCGCTCAAACCCATGCTCCTGATCTGAGCCTTGACGCCGCGATTCTCCATCTGATTCGGAAGGCGCGAGTCGTTGGGGTTGATACAGAAGACGAACCAACTTTCCGTTTCGTCCAACGTCTCCAAGAGCAATGTCAAGGAGGTATTGAACTCTCCAGCGACGCACTTGATCTCGTTTGGTGCGTCCTCGTCTTCCTCTTCGGCGATAGCACCGTCACCTTTGCGCTTCTGAGTTCCTGCACGACGAATGGTCTGTTTGCGCTTCGTTGACGGTGCTCGCATGGGCTTTACTGGTTGCTTGGCAGCAACAATCGTCTCCTGGTTCCTCGGGTGCGCTTCAGTGGCAATAGCCTGAGCAGAGAACAACCCTTGGATGAAAGGGTTATTACTTCCTTGCTGCTCAGATGCAGCCGCAATGTTCGAGCCGCGCAGGAGCGACACGAAATCTGGATTGAGGGCATCGTGGTTTTTGTCGAGCCACGATTCAGACGAGTAGGTCACAGCGCCATTGTAATGGTTGATAGTGAATGTAGGGAAACCAGTGCGATCCGTTCCTCCAGCCTTGAAGGACGAGTGGTTGGCCCATCGCTTGCCAAACGCTTCGAGCATGGTGTGCTCCGTCTTTTTGGGAGCACGACGAGCTTGGTCGTCCATGATGTGAATGAGGCCACCGGTATGGTGTGTAATCATGCGGACGCATTCGCTATTGTCGAAATACTGAATCTGAGGGCTGAATTGCTGAATTCCCTCCGCCGCATACTCCTCTGTATGGCGGTCAAAAATGCGCTTCTGGATCCAATTGTGAAGCCTCTCGTTGGCAAAATTGACACAGAATTGATCTAGAGAGTTGGTACGAATCGCACCCTGAGGAAGATTTTGACTTCCGGGCAGGTCAAAGAGTCCGATAAAGGTCGCGAAATCATCGCGGCACAGCTTCTGGTTGATAGACTCGTTCAACCAGGCGAAAAGAAGAGAGTAAAGCGTCTTGGCCAGATCATCTCTGTTCATAGCCGCGCCTCTTCGTCCAAAAAGACTGTGCACAGCTCCTTTTTCACGAGCTTCGTCTTGTACGACAAGACGGCCTCGAGGTCACCAGGAGGGACACCCAAGAACTCTGCAACAATCTCAAGAATGTCCGTGTTCCGAACCACAGCAGCATCTTCGTTTCGGTGCTTGTCGACGGTAAAGTCGAGATTCCCAAGGTGGAGGATGGCAGCGAGAAGCTGACAGGTTTGTGCAACATGTCGTTTAGAGAACCCAATCGTCTTGAGCGCAATCTTGAGCTGCTCGAAACGGTTGGCATCGTCATCTCGGTCAAGTGGCCGCCGGTATGGGCCGAGATATTTGTAGGTTGCCTTATCGACGAGATGAAGATGCTGTCGCTCTTCCTGGCTTGCGCCGGCAAGGAGGTAGTAGAAGATGTGAAAGTTTCGTTCACCGGAGGGAACACCCGCCACCCTATTCTTTTCGAGATAGTAATCGAGGGTCTTGACACCGGAGAGCCTACCACGCTCTGAGAATTGGAGCTCAGTGTACTTTCCGAAACGCGAAGCATTCGGGTTGTACATGGTGCGCGCGTTGCCAAACGACTCGAGCACAAATTCGGCAGAGGGGATCTGAGATGCGAGTTTAGCTCCCTTTTTGCCAGGGTTGCTGCTGCTGAGTTCTATGATACTCTTGAGGGCGAGCCGACGATTCTCTGATTTTCCGCTGCCGGTCTCGCCGCTGTTTCGAAAGAGGGAACGTGGATGAGCAAAGGGACTGTGAACGCGGACAGCCAATGTAAACTCACGTAAAGAGTATAGACTGATCCTGGCTTGTACGTCGCATATTGTAGTATGCATTATTTGCGAGTTGGAAGATATGGGGAGGGTTCTGGACCTTGCTCGGGGCCGTATCGCGGTACTCATGAGCGTAGCCTGCAAGTACAGCATCCGAGTTACATGTCACGTACTTGTGAGGATTGACGGCGACAATAGCGGAAGATCCGATGGCCGTGTAAATGGTGTCGCTGAGAAAGCGGTCTCGCAAGGCCGCTCCCAGAACATCTTCGTTGATGTTCTGTAGTTTGCTGAGGTCTACGATTCCTTCAAACTTGCTCATCGTGAGTCGCCGTCGCGGAGGGCAGCCTTGCCGTCGCTAGCTGTCAAGTGGCTTGCGCAAAACACGGGGTTTCAGACAAGCTCGAGAGGGGTGAAGAAGGAGAAGGAATAACGAAAAGAGGGGTAATTTTGGAGATGAGTGATTGTGAGGTAGCCAGCGCAAAAGGACCACTGGCGTTGGGACCAAGAGACAAGGCGACGTCGGTTGGGAAACTGGACTAGACTGGGCTATGAAACTGCAAAGGCAACGCGCTGCCAAGTTCCCATTAGACTCTTCTAAGCCACTTGAACTGTAGTATAACACACATCTTCTTGAACAGCCAAACTTGGACTCTGCCTCGACGTCGACTTGCAGAGATTCGCCAGCCAAGATCGCTCGGAGCCACTGTCTTTATCCTATATTTACCTTGTACTCGCCCTATAATGCCATCTAGCACCTCGCCCATGCGTCGGTCGAGGGACGACATCCTGAGCTCTTTCCAGAGCATCATCAAGGCGATAAGGTCGATTCCTACCAGTGTAGCTATCGTTTTGGGTATCGTTATCGGTCTCTTTTTCTCCCAATGGATCACAAACCCGGCAAGTCTCTTTTCCATTCTTCACGCCACAACGAGATAAAATGCTCCTCCTTCACTCGTATAAATGCATTTATTTATCCTATACAAGCACTAACAATCTCCTGCAGCCAGAGGCCGCACCAAATTGGAACGCACCATCACGGACGTATCGACCTCATCACGCTAGTGGTCACATTCATATCCCTCTCCCGACTCTGGAAAAGAGACGTCGAGTATATCAACTCTTGACATCTCTTGCCCCGCACCACACTCGGCAGTGCACACGAGGATCACAGTCCATCTACGCAGTGCAAGCATTAGATAGATACAATGCGCTTGTAGGACACAAACCGCCCACTGGTTCGTTCTGGGACATTGTCAAGCTCCCATCTTGGGATATTCACGAAGCAGAGAGAGAGAGCCGCCGTCAACGCGTTTTGACATCTCTACAATCCTCTTCTCAACAACACAAGTACTTCTTTGCCATCAATCTCTACAACTCGTTTGATGTTATCCCTGACCTCTTCTCGACCATGTTTCGGGTTGCAGCTATTGTTGGATATAACAACGTCTTCATTTCAATCTACGAGAATGGGTCAAAGGATCAGACAAAAGCCCTTCTCAACATCTTTGATTCCTTGCTCAAGTCGGTGGGAATCAGAGTCGTCATCAAAACAAGTCAAAGAACCCGTGGAGCGTTTAATCACCGCATCGAATACCTTGCAGAAGTTCGAAACGCGGCGCTCGTACCTTTACACGAACTTCGAGACCGCCAGGGCGAATACTTTGATACGATCATCTTTATGAACGACATCCTGCCCTGTGTAGATGATGTACTGGAATTGATCTGGCAAAGTCGACGACAAAATGCCGGGGTGACTTGTGCAGCGGACTACATGTTCCACGACGAAATTGTGAGTAGTGTATAATCCTCTGAGGCGCATCATCTTAATGATCCACATAGGGAGCGCCCGTGTTCTATGACAATTGGGTCGCACGCGATATCAATGGGACCGCCCTGGAGAATGCACCGTTCGAAAGCATCTTTCATCATACACCATCTTCCGACAGGTTTCAGCGCCATCTTCCAGTCCAAGTTCAATCATGTTGGAACGGTATCGCCATCCTTGATCCCGCCCCAATATACTCAACACCACACGTCCGCTTTCGAATGGCCCGGCTTGTCGACGGCGAGTGCTCCGCGTCAGAATGCTCGTTGATTTGCAACGATTATTGGAAGGCGGGTTACGGGCGGATAATCATGGTTCCAAGAGTTAAGCTGGCGTATGACAAGGTCAGTTGATGAACCTTTTCATCCACTTCATTTTCTCACTCCCGCATCTTTTACTCGTTTAGAAAGTCTTTGACATCATCCACCCAACCAGGCAGAACCTGACTTCTATCCGTGGATATGTCAGGTTAGGGGGCTATGAAGATGATCCACGCCGTGATCCACAGGATAAGTCGTGGTTTGGGCCTCATGACCGCCTATTCATCCCGGAGGAAAGCGAGCTGATGGATTTCCAACCTGGACCAGAATATGGTGAGTATGAGCCGGCCGCGCTAATGGGCTTGGAGACCCCCGGGGCATCGGTGTACCTGATCACGCTGACGCATGTCTTCTATCAACAGTATGGTGTTGGGGATGGGATGGAGCTGGGGAGCTCGACGGACCGGACGTGGATCCCATATGGGAACGGATGGACGAGAGGACTACATCGCGGTCTGCAGTCAAAGTCCGCCACGATCGTGGAATGAAAATGATCTGAGCTCTAGGCCCAAACCTTGATGAACCAGACTAGGCGTAGGGCAAGGGCGTGGGCAAGCGGTGGCCGACAACGTGGACGCGGCAAGACCGAGGTTATGGATGTGAAACTTTGGCAGTCTCGTGGTCTCGAAACGAGAATATCGGACATCCTCCTCGGATTTCATTCAATCTCCGCTAGCGAATAGAAGGTCGTCGTCGTTGGCATATGGGCCGGGGGGGCCCACTTCTCTCTCTTCTTGCAGGAAGCAAATCAAGGTTCCCGGCTCATCAGCGGTCGCAGATAAAATTAGTGTGTGACACGGACAGGGCACGTCCTGTCTTGGTAGGTACGAGCTAGGTGTGACGAAGGAGGACGCTGAGACGAGACGACTCCTCCGTCGGACCGTCCTGCAGACTCTCTCGCGTGGGTTTGGGCGTCCCCTGCATGTGGCTTGTGATGGGAATTGCAGTCATTTTTGAGCTCCCCCTGGTTTATCAGTGTTAAGTGGCGAGATATCGCGTAGCGGACGGTTTTGGCTGGCTCGTGGTCCCACAGTTGCCGTCCCCACAGGCACGTTGTTCGTACTGAGAAGGATCCATTTTGAAATCATTCTTCTGCGTTCCAACCTCACAGGCGATAAGACACTCCTGAAGGGCGGACCCGGAAACCATAACGATCGCATAGACTTGTATAAAATAACGGCGACTAGGGTCCCGCGTTTGGTTTACAAATGTCGTTTGTCGATTTTGCCTCACCCGCCAGGGCGCTCGGTGGCCCCGAGCTCTTGGACTCTACCACAATCCGTTTGATGCGCCAGCCAACGAGCCACGAAATGGCACAAATCCACGTTCAAGGTTCATCTCCAGAAAACAACGATGTGCCTCAGAGGAGCAGAAATGCCCGCGCACAGGCAAGGCATCGTCAAAAGCGCAAGGCATATATAGAAAAAGTGCGATCTGGCCGCTGCTTTCTTCGCTCTACTATGCTGACCATACCGCTCTGCAGCTCGAGGAGAATGTAGCAAAGCTGCAAGCCATCCTCGGCCTCACGTCTGAACAAGTCTCCGAATTACCCCCCGCTTCGGTGCTCACAAATCGATTCGCAGAACTGGAGATGGAGAATCGGCGACTACATGAGCAACTGAGAGCTCTACAACAGGCGCTGCATGGCGGCCGCTATCCCATAGAGGGCCATAACGGAGCGCGGTGGTCCCCAGAGTCGCCCATCGCCTCTGATTTCCCTCAAAGCTCGCTGGCAGGATCAGAGAACGCGGCATGTACTCGCGAGTCGAAGAAGCGAAAGCTGTCTTTTGAGCAAGAGGACCAGTATACGAGCCAGGACCAGGTCTCGCTGGTGAGTCCCATATTCACTTGTTCGGGTATCCGTAAACGACTCGTCCCATGAGGGAGATGCTGGCGATGCTGCCGGGCCTACCGGTGGCATTGAGTGCTATTGGAACGCCAGGCGCCCGTGATCGTGTCCTCTGGGTTTTGGTGGTCGCATGACACGGCGATCCCGCCGGAGTCTCTGCTACAACTGGGCGTCCTACGAGCCTTTTGGGGTGCGATTATGACGTTCTTTTCTCTGACTCGTTTTGCACAGGCAAACGCCGATCTGATTGCAGTCTCGAACGGGAATACATCACGCGCTCGTCACTACCCCCAGAGTTCGGGTATCCCTGCTACATCGGCCGACCTGCAATCCAACGCTCACCCGTTGGCCTCGACGTACAACGGCCAGACCAAAACGATTTCTGCGGACCCGCGACGGCCCATGATTAAGACGGAGCAGTCTTCATTCGGGGACATCTCAATCTTGGCGAGTGCCTCTTTTTTAATTCACACCCCTCTTCACCCCTGTCCTGTTTTGTGTTAGCACCCCGCCGCACCCCCTCCCACTTTCCTTTGAACTATGGCTTGAGCTTTAAGGATCCTAGTAATCTCCCGTTTGCCTGCCACCCGTTTTACAGAGTCCTACCATGGCAGCATCGCCCATGAGCGTCCAACACGCACCAAATGTTACTGGCCCCATCAATATCGAAATGGGAAACGGAAATGGACAGACAGCTGTCAGGATGTCTTTCTCGCCCACCAACGAACGCCTGCTTCCGCAACAGCCGGCTTCGACGACCAATGGTTCCTATTCAGGCATAGTAAGTGGGGCAGCCCGCTCAATCTTCGGTTCCTCGGACGAGGAGGCATACATGGTGAGCCTATTGGCCTATTTCCGGGTACTATACTGACTAGCCTTGTCCCGTTGTGAAACTCTCGGATCTTGGTGTATTTCCCGTGACAATTTGTGAAACAGCCAACACCAGCGAGTTCATTGTTGGATTCGAGGACGCATTACGATGCTCAACAGCAGCTCCAGCGTCAGCAATACCTCGCTCATGAGCAGCTGACGAGCATTGCGCAGCAAGGCCAAGTGCAACATCAAGGCCTATACCACGCTGCTCAGCATTCGACGTCCTTTTCTCCTGCATTAACCAACCGTGTGCCGCAGCTCATGCTTGGAACCAACGGGTTGCATCACCAGCACCCCCAGGTTAGCATGTATACCAACGGACACGGGGGCGGTGGAGGTTCGCCCATCGTCCCGAGTCCGATCGGAGGCAACCCTTGGGGGACGGCGGGCCCGTTGGTGGCTGGCAAACGGATGTAGGAAGCCAAAAATTAGCGCCCCGTTCCTAAACAGCACTCATGTCTCGACGCAAATCTTTCACCCTCCTCTCCCCTCTGTACACCACCAATCCGATTGGGGACCTGGGCTCCGTCCCGGCGATTCGCTCTCTGTTGTTGTCGTCATCGCGTCCTATTATTCGGCTGCTTTCATTTTGTTCTGGCACACACACACACACCACGCATCATGGTCAAGCTCCCGACCTGGCCATACCAGCATCGAGACGGGCTCGATACACACTAGTCATAATACGCCCATTTACGAATCTCGTCATCATCACGACAGAGGATGCAGGCAAGAGCCTACGAGTTCGTACAGCAGGAGAGGGATCGAATGCTGCACGATCGGCTGTATTTCCCGCATTTTCGTCTCGCTCATAGCTTGCCTTAATTGTTTTGTCTCACTGGCTCGTACCTTGGCAACAAGGGCCTTGCAATCATGATACCTGTTCATCCCCACTACCTTGCGTCAGTTACTGGGAGCTAATGAAATGTGAGCTCCGCTCGAATGCGAGCCTGCCCAGCCGATGTTTTGCCCTTTGTCCGGTTGCGCCAGTCTCCGACGCCAAACACAAACAGTGTGGGCCTATTGGAGCCGAAAATGGTTGTGCAAGTGACTTGCCGTTGACTTGACATCATGCGAGGTATAAAATGCGCCTCGCGTCGGCTGCGTTGCTCGCCGCCGTCCGCAATTTGGGCGACCACGACGTACCCACGACGCTGACACGACCTTTAATTCTTTTTCAACGAGAAAACACACAAAAGCCCATACATATCCAGCCAGCTTCTTATTCGCCCCTAATTCCCTCCAACATGCCTCGGTCTTGGATTTCTTGCTTACTCGTCCTTGTGACGACGGCTTCTTCGCTCATAGAAGCCCGTCCGATGCTCGAGAGCCCCGTTCGGCGAGGTGAGTTGTAGCGTTTTTCGTTGTCTGCGCCGCTAAGAGACGTGGTCATGTTGCAGCCTACAGCGTTGATGATCCGAGTCTGCCAGCAGCAGTTAGGACAATCTGTGACGGTGGCGTAAATGCCACTACAGTCTTGTCTTCTACAGAACTCTTGTTCAACGGGACCGTCGGCCATTTGACGACGGGCACATGCACACTACCACAGGTCGGACAGGCTTCTAGTGGTCCCTCAGGTACGTACATAGCTTGTTTTCTCATTGTTCACAGTCATCCGCTGACGCCGCTCTCCTTTTTTTTTGTCTCCAGGCGGAGATGGTTTGCGAGCCCCTTCTTGCCCTACTGCACGCAACAATTGCGCAATTCGGTTTGGAAACAATGGTTTTGATTCGAATGCAGTGAGCAAGTGCGGTGCTCCATGTACCTCCTCGTGCTACTCTGGCAATCCTGGCGGTGGCCCTGATCCCAACGATTGCGAATATGCAATTGGACTCTTGTTTGCCCGCAATCCTCGTACGCATCTCTCTCTCTGTCAGACAGCGTCCTTACCCTGAACCCCCTCAGAACTGTTCACCCTCCCGACGGGAGGTTACAATTTGTTTACATGGAGGTCATGCGGCATAGGAATCCAGGTCAGTCCATTGATCCAACATGTGAACACTCGCTTATACCCAACATAGAACCAGATTGTCAGCTCGGGAGCGCCCTGCACGCAACGAATGTACGTCTTGTTCTTGTGGTTGCTGTTCGCCAACTGACTTGCTTGCAGGCAATATGTATGTCGGTCGTCTTAACCCCTACCTTGACTGACTCTGCTCAGGACTATGCCGATGTTGCCAATGTAGCTCGCTATCTCGCTTGGAACTGCCAAGCCGCACAAAATGCGCATGGCGGACGCTGTACCGCCGACTCGGGCGTCTATGTTCCAAATTTCCCTGACTTCTATATCCAGTGAGTCCATACTCTTTTCATTCTGGCTCAGTGCTGACGCTCGCATCCAGGGTCTATCGTAATCAGTAGTCATGCTTGCATCAAGTCGCCTCCTTGCTTCTTTAATCATGGACATTGTGCCCTTTTTGTTTCTTGGTGACTTGTTCTAATCTAGTTCTGCGGCTAATATACCCAAACGTATATGGCTGGGCTAGTCCTTGTATGACTCTTGCCTGTATATAGCACGACTTTTATGACTTAGATGCTTTTAATGTTGTTACACTTGTTCGTTCGCGGGTGTAAGCCTTTTGGTCAAAACATCTTGAACCTCGCCATGTCCAGCTCAGAATCGAAATACCGCCCACCGACAAAGGAAATTCTTTCCAAGGAACAGTTGGAGCAGTTCCAGGCATCAGAAACGCATGCTGCGATCATTGCGTACATCCAAAGGCTCAACGAGTCTGTGGTTGGCGTCAGGCTGACGGATCCATGTGACGAATCAGAGGTACGTCGTCCATTCCCATCCATAAAACCGGGCACGTGTGACCGAGTCCGCCCAAGGCGGTCAAAGCGATCATTGGCGTCCTAGACTCGGTGGCACATCTTGCCACAGAGACGCCACCAGTCGACAATGCCGGATCTCGGTTCGGAAACCCTGCCTTTAGAGATTTCTATGATAAAGTCAAAGCGGTAGGCCCCACTTTCTCTGCCAAGTCCCGGGCTTTATCTGACAAATCTAAAGTCGTCAAAGGAGCTGCACTCTAGGATTGCAGGTATCCCTGAAGATTCTGTTCAAGAGATTTCACTCTACTTCGAAGAATCGTGGGGGAATAGAACGAGGATTGACTATGGAAGCGGGATGGAGCTAAACTTTTTGTGCTGGCTGTGAGTTCAAATTTGTTGACTTACTCACAGAGCTCAAATTTGCAGGTATTGTTTGGAGCGCTTAGGGGTCCTACGCCCAGAGGATGATCGCGCAGTCGTGGTCCGTATCTTTTGGAGGTAGGCCACATTGACAAAAGGCCATGGTCTGATACTGAGTGATTGTCAGATATATCGGAGTGATGCGCGTCCTGCAATCCACCTATTGGCTCGAGCCCGCTGGCTCCCATGGAGTCTGGGGACTCGACGACTACCACTTTTTACCTTTTCTCTTTGGAAGTGCACAATTACGGGGTGAGTACATTCGTATGAATGTTCAACCTGTGACTGACTTTTACTAGGTCACCGACATCTCCGACCAAAGTCTATTCATGACAATGAGATATTGGAAGAGTTTTCCAAAGACTATATGTACCTGGCATGCATCCAGTTCATCAACTCGGTACGCCTTTACATCTCTCTCTCATACTGCTCTTACTCTCAAGCAGATCAAAACTGCGTCTTTACGATGGCACTCACCGATGCTTGACGACATCTCTGCCGTCAAGACATGGGACAAAGTCAACGCGGGTATGATCAAGATGTATCTCGCAGAAGTGATGGGCAAACTTCCCGTCATTCAACATTTCCTCTTCGGCACGATCCTCCCCTTTACTGGAGACCGTACTCAATCAACCGTGGACAAGAATGACCCTCATTATGGCCATGCACATGCGCATAACGGCGATTTAGGGGGCGCTGGTCAAGCAACAGTTGGATGGGGAGATTGCTGTGGCATCCCAGTCCCAAGCGCATTTGGAGCTGCTGCTGCTGCAGGAAAGCCTCTACAGGGACCTGGTATACGTCCAGTGCCGTTCGATTAAAGCCAGGACCAGGTTCATCCGTCTGCGAGTATTCTGGGATGCAATGTTACATTGTACAGAGCGGGAAAGAAGAAATGTACAGAAGCAGAATCAATACCAAAGAAAAGGGAGTGGTGTTCGTGAGATGCGCAGATGACAAAGTCGGCACTAGAAAATAAAAGGTTGTAATGCACAAAATTAGCAGTAAGTTGAAATAGTCCTCTAGTGAAACCCGTGTCTCGAAGCGTAATGCAGACAGAATGATCCAGTATACCGGAGAGTTGGGGATGCTAGTAACGATGCGATGGGGAGGGGCTAGGGAGAGGTTGTAGGTCCCAAGGAGGCGGGAAGCGGTTAACGTCGTCGAGATTTTGGTCAGCTTGTGCGTCCTTGCGACGAGCTGGATCCGGCATCGCGGCGCGCTCCTTGCAGCGGTGGTGACGCAGCTTGGTACGGGTAATCCCTACAAGACGATAAGCCAACGCCCCAGAGGTGAAAGAGCTGCGTACAAGTATCAATCGTTGAACGGTCTTCCTCCATGTATCCATTCGATGGTGCCTCCAAGTCGTCTCTGACCGTGTAAAGCAGCCATAGAGAGTCTTGATACATGACTTCACAATCCCACGGATTTTGATCCAATATCTCCTTTCGGGCAGCATTACGCGACTGCAATAAGTGAATTAGCGAGACACGAACCGGAAACTTGGGCCTTTACGTACCAAAGCAAGAGCGCGTTCAAATAAGACTTGATCCATGTATGCCGAGGGCTCGTGGGTTGCGCCTTCGGGTAGCCAACCCTTGACCGTCTGCGCACGCTGCGAGCAACGTTCGTAACGATTGCCGAACCATTCAACGGCTAGAACCCACATGATTATTCCTGAAAACGTGGATTAAATGAGAAGAAACATACCGTCAGCGAAACCCGACGACAATTCTGGCGGCTCGCCGTCCACTTCGACATCCATGTGGTCGTGCAGACGATTAATCCCGTTTTGAGAGAAATTCATGACGAGCATATAAAGTGATATACAATTGATGACAGCCATTTCTGCATCGAGTTCCGCATTTCGTCTCCTCGTGGCATGTCGGGGAGACTCGCCCTCGCGTGGCACGAACTTTCCAGGATCCGGAAGCGGTTCTACATAACTTGTCAGAAATAAATCCAGCGTAATGGTGCCTCACGTACTCTCAGGTATCTGCTTCACCTGCTCAAAAAGCTCATCCGCCCATTTCGTAATCACCTCTACCTTTTGTGCCAAGTTTTCCAATCCAGCGAGCAATTTTTCCTCACGCTCCAAAATATTCGGGCCTGCACCGTTCGTAATGAGAGGCGGAGACTTCTTAGGTGAGCCAGTGAGCAGCTTTCCTGGGGAGGAGCTGTGTGGTACGGGAGGGTAACCAGTGGCCGGTGAAGTAATGAGCGTTGGACTATGCTGAGACGTTGGCGTCGTAACGCTTGTTCCCCACAACTTCTTGGACGCAGCGTTGAGCGCTCGCGAAAGCACCGACAATCCTGCACGCGCAGGCTTCGGACGGTCGGGCTCTACTGGCGTTGGTGGAAACTGAAGCTTGTCTTCAGCCGGTAACGCATTGGTCCCAAGTCGACGAGGCGACGAGGTGATGGGCAATTGCTGAGCGGGCGAGGAGGGGGGACTAGGCTTGTCGCTGGGAGTCGCAGACGCTCTACGCGCCGCTCGCTGACGTGCCGCAGTTAATTCTGTAGTTATGAGCGCAGGCTCCTGATTGAAGTGAACAAGACTTACCGTCCACACGCTGGTTAAATTCGACATGTTTCGTATCTCCAATAACCACATACTCTCCCTTGAGGAAGCTCTCCTCGTCTGCCTCTGCTTGTGTAGAAAGTTCGGGGGTCAACGAAACGGGCTGTCGAAGCGGCGAAGGCTGGGCTGCAGGACTTGCTCCTGGCGACGGTGCATGCGGGGTGAGCGGTGTGGGTGGTACTGAATTAGGCGCCGTCCGTCTTCCATCGTTGGTCGAGTTGCCCATCGCTTTGCGAAAGTGAAAGTTGCTGGGGGGTACGAGCGCCTTGGGATCCAATACCTCTGGCGGGATGATGCGATGGTTGTCCGGAATATGCGGTATGATCACGTTCGTAGTCGCTGGAAGTGGCTTGCCGTTGGAAAGTGGAGTGACAACCGGAAGAGATCCAGGCGAGCTCGGGTTCGCCTCGTTGGCAGACCGCGGTGCAGGAAACTTGGAGTTTGCCATTGCCTTGCACGCAAAGAATTCGTCAAACGTGGCTCGTTCGACTGGATGACTCTTTAGCAGGGCTCGTATCAGCTTCTTGATATCCGCCGGGACGGGGTTTGCATTCGGGTCCTCTTCATCCGGGAAACGAACAGTAGAGCGTGCTTTTTCGATGCGTTTGAGGAGTTCGATGTGATTCTGGGCTCTAAACGGCGGCTTGCCGACACTAATCTCATACAAGACGGCGCCCACTGACCACAAGTCGGCTTTTGCGTCGTGCTTTTCGTAACGCAAAATCTCTGGCGCCATGTAGAGTGGAGATCCGCACAGCGTCTCTGCCAGCATGGTATTTGGAAGGTGTCGCGCAAACCCAAAGTCTGCAATCTTCAGGACAGGTATGCCGAGTGGGTGCCCTTTCTCGTATTCAGTAGCTGTAGCCGGTTTTAGCAGCAAGTTTTGTGGCTTGATATCGCGGTGAATGAGATTCCGCTGTCGTAGAAACCTGAGAGCTCGCGCTACGTATTATCAGCGAGCTATCGCGCCTTGGGCCTTTGTTACGACGTACCCATCTGCCGTAGAAACGACCGGACAGCGACCTCAGCCAATCCACCAGTCTTTGGATGTTGGTAGAATGTCGGGGCTGCGCCAGGCTCAGGCACATATTGAAGCCCATCCACTCTCCCTCTACGCTTCAGATAGCCGCTGAGGTCCCCGCCGGTGCAATCCTCCATGATGAGAAAGATGAATCGGTCCGCCTTGACGATTTCGATGAGCTCGGTGATGTGTGCGTGCTTGAGTTGTTTGAGAATGTTGATCTCTGACTTGAGGTTGTCGACGAGCTTTGGTGTGAGGATGGTACGCGACACCGTCTTGATTGCGACGGCCATCCGACTGTCCTGGGAGAGGCGGGATGCCGAGTCAGCACGCCTTCCTTTGTAATTTCTGCCTTTTTGTTACTATCAAAGCTCCTGGGGAACTCAACAGCTCCTCTAGAGCAGCCTTTCTATCCTCACGGCGAGATGATGGCTAGTGCGGTCAAGTGGCGAGCGGGGAACTGGGGATACGGCAGAAAGCAGAGTGATATTTACCTTGTGATATCCACGATAGACAGTCGCAAACGATCCCTATAGACGCAGAGGCACGTGGTGAGCTGAGCACATCGAGATGAGAAGCGCGTCGAGGGCATACCTTGCCAATTTCCGCCTTGATAATATAAGGGGCTGATTCATGATCTTCTATCCCACCAGGACGTCGCTCAGAGGACGTCGAAGGAGCGTTCGCGGCCATGGTAGCAGCGTCGCTCGTGTGTTTTGCTCAATGCGGTCAACGCGCAAGATGACAAATGGATGAGAAATAGTCTGATTGATTTGATTTGGCCGTTCAAGTCATGATAGCGCAGGATATTGCCGCAAGCAAGGCTCAGCGGCTTAGTAGTGGTCCAAGCTGTAGAGCGCTATTTATCAGGCTCCTAAATGCGACGTGGGCGCCGTCGATTAACTCATCAACTTTAGACTTGAAGTTCACTAGACGGAACAACCATAGCCGAGCTTGCCTGTTTGAGCCAGTTTCCGCAGACTTCCCCCGACCACTACTGGGCGCGCAATACACCACAGTTACACAAATGCATACATACAATATCAACATGTCCAAGAAAGCAGATTACAATACCAACTTACCAGATGGACGACCCCTCGGCCCCGAGCCTCCCCTATTTGGCGAGCAATCGAGCCGCGTAATACCCTATGGCAAACGCCAGGCCAGCGATACCCCACTTGCTCAGAGTCCAGCTACCTTCTATTTCGGTCTCCTCGTCATCATGTAGCTTCTCGTAGCTCCCAGAACCCATCTGGCGTGCCGATGGCCTCTCGATGAGGGAAGAGACTAGCCTTTTCCCAAATGCACCCAGCAACGCAGTAGACAGTCGGAACAAGGTAGGGATGTGGAGTGGGTCAGGTACGTCGAGGACATCGTTAAAGTAGAATGGATCAGAGGTGCGCTCGGCCAGAGCGGGTTTCTCATCGCCTCTGGCTTCTCCGCCTTCCATAGATGCTAGAACCTCTGAGGACTTGTTTGCCGCTGCACGGTTCTTGCCCACGCCGTTGTTAAAGGCAATGGTGACATCTCGAGAGAGACGGAGTTCCCATTCGAGATTCTTCTTTCTAATCGTGCCGTGCCCATCCTTGCCTCTTTTCTCGGTCTGGTTACTTTCTGAGAGAGATATTGGGATCGCCCAAGCACCTCGGTCCATCTCGTCGCAGGCATGGAGAATTTCCCTCCAGTGAGCAAACCGCTCAGCGGCGCTCTCCCTTAGCTTTCGTAGCGTCTCTGGAGACCTAAACAACCCCGCTCTCAGCTCGAGCGTGTTGCGGGGTCGAAAAGGAGCGTGCGCATTTGGCGATTCTCGGTGTGGCCCAAGGAGGATTGTCGACTGAGACCCCTTTGGCATCGATGAAAACGAAGGAACAGTGGAAATTGACGTAGGATACGGTGGTAACGTTATGGTCGGTATATGCGTTGATATTAGTGAGAGGAGTGTAAGCTCCAGCGCAGTGGGTGCTATTCGGGTGTGAGCACCCTGTAATCACATTGCTTTATAATCACTCACGGGTAGAGAGAAGAAAGATGAGTGCTGTAGGCAGTGGAGAATTGTTAGACGCGAGCATTTCCATGACCTGCGGACTTGTGGGCAGCTCGGGCGAGAGACCTGTCTGCACGAGCTCGAATCTTTCGTGGAGCAGGCGCATCAATGGCTTGATAGCCTCTGCAGCCTAGACTCTAAATGTGAACAACGATTACCTATTATTGAAACTGGGGGTGTTTACCTGATCCTCTTCCTCGTCGAAGCCTTCTATTTCGGTTATGCGGACATTACGCAATCCGCGCTTTGAATGTGAATCCCGTAGACATGTCGACGCCGTCAAGGTCCCGTTATGCCATCCGGCCGTGCTAATCACGTCGTCATTGCCATCGACGAGCAGGTTTGCAATCGCCGTCTTGCCAGAGCCACGGCGGCCAAAGATGAAGAGCTCGAGTGAGCCCAGTGTTTCTCCATACGCAGACTGGTGATGATGAGCGCCGTGCCGTCCTCGGTGGCCGCGTCCACCACGGCTGCTGCCCGTGGTCCCTTCTGACGAGCTCACAGGTGGGGGAAGCATCAGCGACGGGATAACCAATCCCAATGGATCATGTTCAGAGTCTGTATGATTACGGCTCCCATGCTCGCCGCCGGCGTGGCCTCCAGGCAGCAGCGATGGGTCGATGTACGGTGGCGACGAGGTTGCGCTCTGCGAGAACATGAACGACGACGAGACGGACGGGATAGACGATGCAATAGACAGCGGACTTCCTGCTAGAGAGTCGGCCAGGCCGTGGTGGCCATCGCCTGGACCATAATGACCGTGCCGCGCGTGAAGCTGTGGCGACGTTGGGGGCGATGGAAGTGACGAAGAACCTGGAGAAGACGGTATAGACGCTGTCGCAGCCATTCTCGAGCTCGCGGGATCCATCAAGGTGTAGTGGCCAGAACCAAAGTGGTAAGCGGCATTAAAGCCGAAGCATTCACAACTCGACCATTCAGGCCACAATACTAAAAGGAAAAAACTACCCTTTATTCTCAGACATTACACGCGATACGCAGCATGTCTGGAGAGCTTGCAAAGACACGACACAGAAACAGAAGGAGAGACATAGGTTGAGGCAAACTTTGTGGGGGAAATCGGAAACGGTATTCGAGTGAGTGTGAGACGGGAATGGGTGGGATTGGCCAAACGATTTACAAGGCATTAGCTGCCAGGAATAGGAGGGGGAATTCGGGGGACGCGACGCAATAACCAGTGGAGTGAGTATTGTACAGAGGGATGGAGAGAAATTGGTGATGTTGAACACGACAGGTGTACGAGAGTAGCACGACAGAAAGCTTTGGAGAACTATTGCTTCATCTTCTGGTCGGGAAACCGAGTCCTTGAACACACCCGCACGGCGACCTCTAGTAGCCACCGTAATGATAATTGTCCGTCGAAGCCCACGACCGGGCGTACTGCTCCTGCGGGGTCTGGTATATTGAACCAGGCCCAATGGGCTGTATCGTAAGCCCATTCGTGTAGAACACGCCTCCTTCACCCATCGCAACAGCCGACGGCGGCTGAGAAACCTGTGCTTGCGTGCCAGCGCTGAACGACGTATCGATAACCAGTTGCGGATGAGAACGGCCGCTGCTTTCGGTTCCCGAGTACCCATATCCTTGTGGGTATTGAAGATGAGCAGGATGTGCTGGTGGAGGCTGCGAATGCGACACTTGGTACTCGTGAGGCATTGATGCATGCGATTGTGCATAGGAGCTCTGAAGTTGAGGATGCTGGGGAACGTGCACTGGAGCATGCTGGTATTGTTGATGCTGCTGCTGGGAACGTTGCACTGTTGAAGTGTGGGTCTGGTGCGCATAGGCATGACTCTGCAGCATCTGCTGATTGTACGCGGCCGCGTCTTGCATCTCCTGCCAGCCAGCTTGGTTGTACCCGTGTGTGACTCCAGCCTGAGCCGACTCCACTGATGATCCAGAGTCGGTGACCGGAGTGTCGTGTCCTGGTTCGCCATTTGCAACGTTGGGTGGTGCCACTGGTTTGGTCTCTGAGTGCGCAAGATGGAGACCGAGGTCGTTTGAGGGCTGAGTAGAGTATTGCGACAGTGCATACTGCTGCTGATACTCTGTCGGCTCTTCTGGTATACTAAACGCGAACCGCTTGGCGTTTTCCTCTTCGTTGGAACTCGAAGGGGATGAGGATTTTGACTTGTCTGCGTCGACTCTTCTCTTGGGTCGCTTCGCGGTGAGCTGGTCCTGAATACGAGCACGCACGGCAATGCGCCGTCTCGTATTTGTTGCACTGGATGGTCGTTGGGCGCCACCAGGCGTAGCCCTGTCCATAAACGCAAGCTTGGGGTCCGCTCGAGCAAACGGATCTACAGGCTCCACGACGATACCTTCCAGACGGACTCGCTTGTCGTGGTGTTCGTCTTCTGCGGCTGGGACTGGAGGTGCAACGGCCAGAGGCGCAGTTGGTATAGGTACGGGTACCACCTCTTCGACATGCGAGCTCCAGGGTACGGGCTTGGATGGCTGGCCAACGACCCACACACCCCCTACGACGTATGGAAGGATGAGTCCGTCAAAGAGACTCTGAATATCCTCCAGTTCGAAAGCACCACGCTTTCGCTTCGGCACGACACTCTCCACGATGCCATCAATGACCTGGATACCTGCACGGTCCGCAAGCTCCTCCAAGACACGCAACGGTGGGCTCAATTCTTGTAATGCAGGTTGAACCGTCATCTCGGGGACGCCTTCTTTGAGTCGCATCCACGTTTCCAGGTCCTTTAAGAGAAGAATGCACTGATGGAGGCCATTGGCAGCATCCATAAGAGACCTGCGTTCGTATCCACGCGTGGCTGGGAGAGTGCAGAGCACGCCGAATATGACACCTGCGTCAAAGATTCGCTTGCCATAGACATAATTCGACAAGCAGAGCGGCATCTTTTTCTTGAGCACGTGACGCTGAACCTTGATAACGTGCAAAAGAGCTTGCGCAGCATCCAATGTGCGAATAGCAGCGACGGTTCCATTCGCACTCGGAGGAGAACCGCGTGGCTTGTAGATGAGTGCATTCTCCAAAAGCAATGCAGCAAAACGCATCTGGTAGTACGACGTTAGTGCTGCAAGCTCAGTCTGCTGAGCGATGCTGTATCCCGTCGCTAGCGACACAGATGTCTCGTAGGGTCCAGGAGGTCGCTGCTCGCCGGCAAAGACGATGGCCACATCGGTAGCGTACTCCGCAGAGGTGTCGAATGCAATCGAGTGCGGCAAATTTCCTTGTTGTTGGTGGAGCCGTTCATCCCATTGCTCCAGGGTATCGCCAGCACTACGGGGTAACGACGGCTGGGTAGACTTGTCTTCCCCCGTGTTGTTTTCGGCCTTTTCAGCGGCAGCAATCATGAGATCGCGTTCTTGGTCACGCATGAATACAATCTCCATGCGCGCTTGAAGAAGAGACTTTAACAGCCTGTGAGCGGGATTAGTCGTATCAACAGTGGATCAACGGCACAGCGCACCTGGCCCTGTGAGTTGCAAAGATGGTGCTGTGGTTGATGCTAGACGCTGGTGGCGGAATTGTCGTGCAGCTTGGCTTGAAGGTACGATCATCCAAAGGCGTCGGTGGCTCAGCCGTATACGAAGCAGCGTCCAGCGTGATCTTGTTGCCAATCAGGTCCGACACATGACTACCAAAGAATGTCAGTTTCAGCAATGACCTAGATCGGAAAGGCGCACAAATCGTAAAAGGCAACGGCGGCTGCGAGCATCCGGCGTCGCTCCCTTGTCCAAACACTCGATGCCGTGTGATTATTCAACGGTTCTATCAAGAGACCCGATATTTCCGCCTTTTGCCGCATGCTGTCCAGTAAACTCCTGAGTTGCTGCTGAAGTGCGGAAGGAGCAACACCGGAGAGGACCGCCTGGTACCCATCCAATTCCAAAGAGTGCAACGTAAACACGATCAGAATGAGCAATGCCAATAGGACATCAAGGCGGTCGTCATCCGTATCTCCCGACAAGGCAATGGCCAACCGCGTCATATCGAAGAGCTTGGTCAAATCTCGCTCGCTTTCGGGAATCTCGGATTGCATTTTCCACGCTTTGCGCTCGACATGGTATGCCAGAGCGCCGAGCGTCATGGAGGCCGCCACCACGGCAAAGAACGAAACTTGAATGGAAGTCACAGGGGAAAGCGAATTGATCGGGTCGTCCAAAGCACGCATGCGCGCCTCAATCTCGTAGTGGAAGAAACATATCGGGTGAAGGTTGAGGGTGCTCTTGAGAGACGAGAGGAGACTATCGCGGGACAGACTCGACGGCAACTGCTGAAGCAATGGATATGTGACGACGGGTTTTCTGCGCGACCCGACGGCCACGGACGTTTCAGGGGCAAAGAAGAACGAGTGTAGACTCGATGTCTCCTGAGAGTCGAACAGTCTAGAGCTCGGTGAGGGATAGGACGGCGTCGGTAGGGCTTGGATGCGGGTGGGCGAAACGCCCAGGGTCCGGATCCACAAGGCAGTCATGGTGTCCAGCTGGTGCATCTGGTGGATGCCGTTGGAGGACGACATTAGGATGAGAGGAGGTACTGTGATTCTTCGTGGCATATATGCCTCTTGTATTTCATCGACTCGGATAGCGAGTGAGTCAATCTTAAGGTCAGCCTCCCGCTGGTTGTTCCACAATACTCCAATGTCACTGTGAGTTTGATAAGCAATATTTCGATGGAAACAGGAGTGACGTACGGCTTTTCGACATTGGCGGTCAAATAGACGCAAATTCTAGGGTCATTGGAACGACTGACGTCGAGGTGAGTTTTGGATAATCTATCAGAGAGTTGAAATAGAGTCGTACCGTGCACATGGCTCGCACGGCTGGCCTCGCGAGCACTTGACCTTGAGTCGTTTACACTAATGTGATGATCAGCAATGGGACCGGTACAAATAAAATTCAGGATAATTACCTCTGTGCAAACTATCGTCGTACGACTCCTTGAACTAGGTATTTGAAACGGCCAGCATTGAATTTGATGGGCGATTCACGGACGAGCGACGATACCGGCGACGAGCAGCGTGCCGAGGGTGGGGCCAATAATCCCAATAAAATCAGAGATGAGTTAAGCAAGCATATCGTGGCGAATGGAACCTGCTTACGGAGTTTTGGCTGTCGATGCGCTCATGACAGGGCAGCAAAAGTTGAGAGACGAGGAAACGGAAGCGAAAGGGGGGCCAAAGAAGACGAGAATATGAGAAGAAAAGTGTGCCCTGTGGGCTCTAAGAATGGCTCGAGCAGCGAGCACAACCTAGATCGACAACGGAGAGTCCAAGCAGCGAAAAGACTAGCTCACCTTCGGCATCTATTTGCTAAACGGGCGCTGTGCCTGAACGGCCCCCAAGTGTCCAACGGCAAGCTCATCTCAGCTTGTCAAGAACAACTATTAAACGTTTAAATATGCTCATTGGCCTCTATGAAAACCCGCCTTCAAGGTCGCTCAAGACGATCGGCCGCCGTCCTCTGCTGTACCTTTGCTTCTCCAATAATCTTGGACCAGAAGTTTGTCAAAGATTGATCCCCTGGAGTAGCTTCTTCACACTCTACAAGGGCCTTACACGAGGCACTACACCCCCGTCCTCTAGCCTCTGATCCGAAAATGGCGCCAGAACAAGCTTGCCACAGGCCTAGATCCAATAGGATTTCCAATATGTATTAAGAGTGTTGGCGTCCTCAAATAGATTACGACCCCTCGGCCACTCGTGCTGGCACTTGACAGCACTGGTGTTGCCGTTCGCCTGCCGTGACTCAAAACGTGTAACGACTCCGTCGGCAGGTGATCTCAAACTGGGATGGGCCATTCATGCAATCAACCGGAAAATGAAATCCATGTTTCGGGCCCTAGACGAGGACACGCAGATCTCCGAGTGAGTCGATGACAAAGTCCGGCAGGGCGTGTGAGCTTGCTTCTGCCAAAGTCTTCTCGCTCGTCACCCCTTAACGCGCACAAATCAGTGAGCGGATGACCACAAGACGCAATCCCCACTCACCGGTCATCACGAGAAGCGTCGCGACTCCCCCATTCTTCCCAAACGCAATGTCCGTATCCAATCGGTCACCCACCATAATCGTTCTAGCAGGATTGAAATCGTGCCTTGGAAGGATCAGCGGATAAGTGGCTCCATGCTCCAGACTCGTACTTTGCTCTGATACAGTCGAGCATCGTTCGACCGGGTTTGCCTATCGATAAGGGCTCTCTCCCAAGAGCCCGGCTGAGCACGGCACTCAAGCTTCCAGCACCGGGCAGCAGGCCTCCTTTTACGGGATAGGTGCTATCGACATTGGTCGCCAGGAACTTGCACTCTTCTTCACCATTCCTCAGATACTGGAAAGCCTTTGAGAGCTTGGTATAATTGACGGACGTATCGAGTCCACATAGGACAGCCTTGACGTTTGGATCCTTTTCGAATGTGTCGAGATGAAAGGATTCGAGCGTATTGTCTTCTGTAGCTGTTCCTCCGATAGATATTATTCCTTCTTGTGCGAGTTCGTACTCGAGTCCTGCCATGCCAATGACATAGACCTTTGATCCCTGTGGCAGCTTGAGGACGGTCGAAATGTATACAGCAGCGGCATATGCAGAACCAAAAATCTCCTCCTAGAGTAGCCTTAGTGCATCACAGATCTCTTTGAACACAGTCCTACGAACCACGTCCGCCTGAACGCCAAGCTTGTCAAACTTGCCCTTGTAGTCCTTTCGAGATTTGGTGGCATTGTTTGTGACGAATATCACGCTTTTCTCTAACAGAGTTCATATCCGTGATCAATCGTCTCGTTCATTGGATGGATCACTCACCTTTCGATCGGAGGAGACGGAGCACGTCGATAACTCCATCGATGACAGCATCCCCATTCCAAAGGACACCATCGCAGTCAAAGAGAAAAGTGTCATAATTTTCCACAAGAGTCGCCAGTTCCGAGGGGGAACTGAGTTGCTGAGGCATATTCTATAACTTTGTATACTGAAATAACGATGCTATAAATTCTCAAGTCCTTCCGATGGCTCTCCTTGGAGACCCGGGACGTCTGATCCTCTGGAAGTGGCGGGGAGTAAGTTCGGGTCCTCTGCTTGTAGAATTTGAGAATGATGGACCAGAAAATCACATTGTCCAGTAACATCTCGCAGCAGCTGCGACGTGGTAAAGGCCAAGTAACCAGTCGACGCAAACTTGGAGCTGCTGGCCTCTGAGGATTGCTCAATGGCCACCGTCGAGGCAAGTTGACCCACAAAATTAGGGGTAAAATGGTGATAGAAACCAAATGCTGACTTGTTTACTCCCCTTTAGCGGCTCAAACATGGACGGCGAAACAGCTATGAATACGAAGACCTGCCGGCCTTGGCCTCTCAGCTCTCCAAAGAGTCTCAAGCGGATCCTACGAGCCCTCTATACTCACGAGCTCGTGTTGTCTCAAACCCAAGCCCCAGCATAGGCAAAGTACCGCTGTCAGCCGGTCCTCATCGAACGTCGTTTGGTGTCGAGAATTCTAATGGACCAGCGAGCCATTATCGGAGCGGGAGTAGCAGCTCATACGCAGGTCATAGAAGTGGCATCGCTGGCAACGCTGGTCATGGACCCATACCGTCCACGACAGGCCCAGGAAGTCCGAGAGCATTTGGCCCATATGGAGCGCACGCGAGGTCGCCCAGTTCGACAAGTGATATCGCAGCTTCACCATTCAGAACCTCCTTTTCCCCTGTAAATGGCGAGCTGGCAAACGGTACGACGCCCTACAATGCCGCGCCGAATGGCGGTAATGCGTCCCCGCCACCGTCGTCTGCTGGCGCGCAGTCAAAAAGGCACGGACGTATACACTCGCGAAATCTTTCTATATTCTTCCCCCGCCCAGGAGCCTCGGCTGTCCCCTCCATCGCCGAGGATGGTGCCCAAGAAATAGACGCACCAGAGACGCTTATAGTCACAAACTCTTCTACACCAATCTCTGGACAGACACGTGGCTCAAAAGGGACCACACCGCATTCTGCCTCTGTCCCATCTCGAAACCAGCTAGGCCAAGGTTTCAAATTTGGAGGTCGTCCACCTTCGACTTCAACGAGACATTCACCTCCAATTACGAGTGCCATGGAGCAAACTTCAACGTCAACCAGCACCGACCACGGCCCCAGCAGCGTTCCAATGTCCAAAGTCGGAACTCCGGTTTCGGCAAATACGACATCATCACGAAGAGGTCACCACCATCGCCACTCACTCTCTCATAGCTTCTTCTCGTTTATGGAACCTGCACCCTCAGCCGGCATGTCGTCGCCAGGCTTTACCCCTCAGCATCGCAAGCAGCCTTCCAATAACCTGAGAGTCAATGTTCTTAATGCTTCTCCGAGCCTGAATGGTCCCCCATTGTCGGCAATCAGCCAGTCGAATGGTTGGGGACCCCTTTCTCCCTTTTCGGCCACCGCATCTGCCTTTCCTCCAGCCCAGCTCATCCCTCCAAAGCGAACCGTTTCCCTCAACGCCGCGGCAGCACTACCTAATCCTTCCACCCAGAGGTCTTCAACGTTCCTCCAGAAACTCATGGAGCTACCCCAACACCTGCGACAAGGACTCGTGTTTAGTGTGGCAGAGGGAACGGTTGGGTGTCTTTTGTGGATCTTAGGACAACACGCAGAAAGCCTTGCATGTACGGCGTTGGCGTATTGGGTCGTTTTCGATGCGCTGGGAGCTGCACTCGGGGTATATGGAAGGCTTGTTGATGCTGGGGCCAGTGGTGGCAGCCTCAAATTGCCTTATGGGTGAGTCCAAGCTTTTGATTGATATGAAATATTAACCTCTTCACAGTGCTAAACGTATAGAGACTGTCGCTTTGTTCGCTCAGGCCGTCTATCTATTGTTCTCGGCGGTTTATATCTGCAAGGAAACCTTGGAACACGCTCTCTTATCCGCAGGAGATGCTGGTCATCATCACCATCATGCCCCAGGCCAGAATTTTGAACTTGATTCAGGGTATGCAGTTTTGACAGGACGAAAACTTTTCTGACCATCAATACAGGCCGACATATCCCGTCACGTTATTATGGCTCTCATTTATGTTCTTATCTTTATCAAGCACTCTATTCAAGAACAACCTTAAAATTCTAGACGCAACCGGCATCTACTTGCCGTCTGTTCGACACGTCCTCCGCTCCCTATCTCCTTCAAACCCAGTTGCCATCACCAAATTCCGACCATCCTCGACGCTACTTCTATCCAACCCTTACACACTGTTCCCCGTCATCTGCACTGGCCTCCTCATCTCTATCTCGACATTCCCAATGTCCATCGAATCACAGAAAGCAGCAGATATGCTCGTGGCAGGCATCGAAGCGGCAGGTACTGCTTGGCTCGCCTGGCCAGCGTGTCTGGTCCTTGGCAAAGTGCTCCTCCAAACCGCACCCGAGCGTTCTCCTTCGACAGCCGAGACGCTCACCGCAACCAAGGGTACGATGGAGGCGCTATTGCGGACGATGAAGGAGATTGAACGACACCCACAAGTGCTCCACCTGCCAGCGCCGCATGTATGGCAGCTCTCACCTCCTTCACAATACTTTAGCTCCGTGGGGGCATATTCAACTGCTTGGGAGGGGAAGATGAAGGATAGTGATGATGACCTACACCGGAGTGACATGAATGGTCATAGCCGCGACTCACTTCACCCCACATCGTACTCGCGAGCCCGAGGGCGACCCGTTACCTCTGCGGCGGGAGGTCAGGTCATTGTAACGTTGGAGCTTCATGTCAGAAAAGAGTTGGATGACGTAGAGTGTTTGGAGCTGACAAGGTGGGCGTGGCAGCGCTGCATCAACGCTCTCGGACAGGGGGACCAGGGCGTGAGCGTGGGCATTGTACGAGGCTAGACTAGATCATCAATACACCTTCTTTATGGGCCAATCTGATGACCTTCCAAGTTCGATGTAGTGGTAGCTGTTGTAAGTGGAAGCGCAGCTTGTATAACGAGTTCGTGGAGCCGATGGTCTCTCCTAATCGGTTGGGGCATGTATACCAATGCCACCAGCCGAGTCTCAAATAAGTATTTTCCTGCCCTCATCTTGAGGAGTCTCTGCATATTCGCTACATAATCTGGAGACTCGTACCATTCTACAGGTACAAGTGAGGGCATTCTATTCGATGATTTCCAATCCCAAACGGTTTTCCACTTCTCCCCAAATGTTTCTCTCTGCCTCTGGTAGACGCAAGCATTCGGGTGTTTCCAAACGGATATTCTCGTTGAATATCCACCACATCAATCGAAGGTTTGGGAAAGCCTTTGATAGCATCTGAGTGGCATAGTCTGCATCGTCGATGGCAGACACGTTGACGTGTAACTCATCCATTTTCTCATTGGAGCCCTCTATCATGGCGTCTGGATTCGGGTCCGAGGCCTTGCGCCCGTCAAACGCAATACCCAAGTTCCGCATGAAGGGCATTTTGATTGCAAATTGTACGACGTCGCGCATGGTCAACGACCATATTGGTTCTTCCGTATCAGGCGCACAGATTCGCTTGTCCGTGCTAATCAGGCAGGAATGGAGCAGTGGACAAGCTTTCGCCAGCGCGTTAAGGAATTGCGTATCGATGGAGACATGGGAGAATGGGAAAAGTTTGAGAGATTGCAAAGAAGCGAGTCGGAAGACTGATTGGAGATAGGCCGGGAGGACAACGAGTCGCGAAACCAAGGTGGGATGACACCACGAGCGGCTTCGCCCATAGTCTAGCTCCCTGTAGCGGCACTTTTTGAGACGTGGCCACGTCTCGGTAATGGTTTGCATCACCAACGCGACGCTCTCTCCCGCGAGTGGGCTGCGAGCGAATTCAAACTCGTCAACAACGATCGAGTTTCCTGCGCAATAACGAGCAGCAGCCAGCATTAACTCTCCGATGCCTGTCGTGATGATAAGCTTTTTTAGAGAGGCGCCATTTGTTGGGTTGACAAAGGGACCTGCGTCGGTACCCGGCAAATCGCTCATTATTTGCAGATTTAGTGTATGAAGTGACGTAAATATGGAGAGATTGCTGAGGATGATAAAGGCTGCCCTCAGAGTCACAGGCAGGTGAACGCTCTGGAGCCGGGTCAGCTTCTGTAGAGTGGGTACGACCAACTCTTGAACGAAGCCGGGCTGCAACGCGTTGCCCAAATCCTCGAAGTCGTCGAGTTGGATACATTGCCCAACCAATGTGTAGATCGTTGTTAAATCCGCCCCTTCCGTCATGATCCACAGTTTCTTAAGGGTTGGCTTCAGAAGGAAGGGGAGGAGCTGGTGGTTGTCTCGAGCTATTTCGGCGGCGAGCCCAAGTGTATGGACGCCTTCGAAAAGATGAGGGTATTGACCCAGGACGGCAATGAGCGTGACGGCTAGATTGTCCCATGACTCAAACGGCTTGTCTTTGTTGGTGTAAAGATGGAGGAAGCGAATAAACTTGCTGTAATAGACGAACCTCTCGAGTCTGTCGGTGATATCCTGTCACACATCAGCATCTAGACCAAGCGATGGTGAATACTTGCGGTAATTTGCTTCTCTTGATCATCGCCAATTAAGGCAGAGTCGAGGCCCAAGATATGAGCCAAGGGATGAGGGGATATGATATCTCTCCAGAGATGTGATAGAGCAATTGGTGAGAAATACTTGTTTACCTGGGCCAAGTTTATAAGGGACACCCTGTCTGTAGTGGGCTCCCCTGCACGCCATTTACGACATGCAACATGACCAATAATAATATCCAGCAACTCTGGAATGCCGAGAGTGCGCGATACAGCGGATTCAATCTCCATCAATTGTGGTGAGGAGCGAGTGACCCTGCCAGACCTTACCACCAGCATTTACCTTTCTATTGACGGACGTGCGATTCAATGTCAGATTACTCGTAAACTCAGCCTAGTAACTGTTGTGCTTAAGGCGAGACCAATTGGGCTTGTGTAGCTCACTATTGGATAGATGCAATAGAGACCTGTTCTCAGCCGCCCATCGGGCTGTAAACAGGCATCGAGTGAGAGGGGCATCCCTAATACATCACTGCTTTCTACACCCTTTCTCAACGTCAAAAGGTGCTGGATCGATGCTCTGAAGTTATTGTCATTGTACACGGGCTATCTAACCCTCAAACGAACACTACAGAACTTCCCCAAGAGAGACTCAGAGGGCGACAAATGCCATCTCCATCTCCTTATCCCTCCTATTTGTAGTTGCTTTCCTCGTCTGCCGAACAGGAGGGGACGTGACCGGCGGTGGCATTCCCTCCTGGTAACCAGAGTCACCATCTTCATTGATTTTCTCGAGGTCAGTGGAGTATGAGTGAGATGGATTGAGTGCATAGAGCTCATGAGAAGATCCTCTCCCTCCCCCAGCATGTCGAGAGGCTTGCTCTTCCCCGTTCATCCTGCGTCCCTTTGCTTTGAGTAAATAGTCTTGGTAGGAGAGGAAGATGGCGTAGAACACGGTCATCAATGCGACCAGGGACGCCACCTGTCCAAAGCCCATTCCCCATTCGCTTCCTATTATACGATCTCTATTACCGGTCTGCGAAAGGGTGTCAGTCGGAATCAGTGAATACGATAGCGTCCTCACCATTCCTTGCGCAATGAGATATAACTGCCAAATCCAGAGGAACCAATCTAACCCCACGTAGAACACCGCACCGAACCAGAATCTTATTCGTGGCGGCACATTGTGAATTTGTAGCCAACGAACGTCCGGGAACTGACGCGCGGCGAGCTGTGTGAAGAAAATCCATACTAGATGCCACCAGAACCACGCCACCAGTTGAACAATAACCCAGAATCGAACAAAGTCCCTCTCTTGGAGGTTATTCTGGCCTCCTTGACGAAAGGCAAAGCACCTCCCCGGGACATTTGCCCACTCATTCCCAGAGAGGCGCCAGATGAGGATGCCCAAGCAAGCAAGGAATAGTGATTGGAACAGCGCTGCAAGAGATGCCTGGATTTTCGTGACCCTTTGCTCCGAGAAGAAGAGATTGAGCAAGACTACGACACGTCCAGATGTTGCGAGATCTGCGAGGACGACGGAGACCCAGAGGTGGTAATGCGTAATGGAATTCCATTGTGAGAGGCATGCCACGAGTAGTGTTATGCCTGGGAAGAGAGAGGCTTGTGCCAAAAGGTCGCATAGGGACTGGACATAGGCTTCGAAATACTTGTTGTGCTTCTCCGGTGTTCGACGAAAGGCCTTGAGGTACCATAGAAAGGTGGCCAATGACATGTTGATGAACCCGTTAACCGCGAACGCAACTACAATCTGCAGAGCGTCGGTATCAACCAATCAACCAAGAAGGTGACATACCCCAATCCCTGAAGCGTCTGGATTGGCTTCAAAACGAGCGGAGCAGCACATCTGGCCAGGCGGGCAGGTGAAGCCTTCAAGGTAAGGAGCGACATCGCAGGTAGACTGTTGAGACATTAGTTTAATGGTCCAAGATCGAACGGCTGCGACGAACCATTTATAAGTGCGCGTAGGGCGCGGGTGCGGAGCTGCCAGCGCTCGCCAGTGAGGGGAGAGATCAAGATGCGGGCGACCTGTCAAGGTATGCTTTACGAATTTGTACATGGGTCAGCCAGCACGAAGGACAAGACGTCCCTTGATTAATTGAGCGAGGCGGTGATCAAACTACTGAATTGCTGTTCTATCTTGCCATGTCCTATTCTGGTCTACGGTGGTCCACTCACGCTGACCTAGTCCATATTCTCATGGCGCCTTGTCATGTCAGTCTCGTATTCCGTAACGGAACACGTAAACCCACGAGCATAGGCTGGAAGTGGACACCCGTTGTGTACTGTCAGGGCCAGCCAACACTGGCGGGCCGCTCGGCAACGAAATTTCGTCAATCAGCTTATTATTAGTAGCGCATACCATACATTTTCGTTCAACTGCTAAGCCACTTGAGCACCTCGGTCCTGCCAGGGACTGATGTCTTGGCCTGCGTCGAAGAATATGCAGCGGTCAACCGCTCCGCTGCGAGTATGTCAAGAGACTCAAGATTCTCCTTCTTCATCGGAGGGGTATTCGACTCTGAGACTGCTCCTGGATTCGACAAGAGATGTTTCGTGCACTGAAAGAGGGCATTGTCACAGCATGGAAGACAAACGGCAGAGAACACTTACTAGACGCACACCAAACCATGCTCTCCTAGCGACTCCTACACTTGAGGCGCCAGATTCATCGTCCGTGGTGAGCTCGATTGTACGCAAGAAGTAGCGAAGTGCAAGTGGTACGTCGTTCGCGCTGTATGCTGTCTCTGCAAAGCGAAGGGCATGGAACGGATTCTGAGGTGCGAGAAGAAGAACATGCGAAAGGGCTTGCTGAGATCTTGTATACCTGCAGAGCATTAGTCACGAATTGCAAAGGTCTTTTTAGAAAGAACTTACAGGTTTTGGCTGGCATAAATATCAGCCAATTCTAACCATCCCTCGATGTCCGAGTAGAATGTGTCCAGGAAAGAATCCAGCTCCGCGATGCATCGTTCAATCTTGTTTTGCTGTCGCAGGACCGAAATTAGGCGCTTCCATAAGTCCTAGAGATCGTTTAGAAGACATACTTGTACGCAATGGTAACTACATACGACGTTGGCTTCGTCCTTCTCCAAGGCTTGTTCGTAAAACTGGAGCGCAAGTCCCAGGTCCTGGGCTTCTATGCGCATTCCACGAAGCTTTTCTACTCTCATAGACTTTGGAAACTGTTCGTCTAGTCGATGTATGCAGTCCTGTATCCAAAAAAGGACCGTCAGCTGTTCGAGTTTCGTGTGCCTGATGTATCGAGCAACGGAAGGAAATAATTTCATGCCGATAGAAGTCTAGGGATGACAACAGGCGAAGTACTTACATCCGCCAGGTCGAGCTGGCCAATGTCGAGAGCAGCTATCGCGAGTTGCTCCAGAAAATCCCATACTATTGGTACGAGACAGTGTATCAGCAAGCCGAATATGGCAAAATGTGGAGTGACACGTCCTCACCGTTGTCGCCGAGTTGTTGAAGCCCATTCTTTTGCTCCAGCACGAAGAGGCCTTTGCGAACAATCTCATTCGAGTCTCTATATCCCCTAGTGCGCGCAGTTGATAGATCATTGAGCGCGCTGGAGAGCGTTATAGCTTGGGCCATGGACGGAGTCGAGTCGAAAGCCTTGGCTCAGGCGCGTATGTCACCGACATTATCCAACATATCCAATAGTACAATTATGTATCTTGTTATATCATAGACCGTTTGTTGACAGCTTGTCCATAGATCCTAGAGCTTGATTTGATTAGGTACATTCCCAACCCAGATGCCACACACGACATCAAGCAACGGCTCCAGTCCTTAATCATTCTTCTTCACAACAGTCGGGACCATGAACCATAGGGCAGCCATGGACGCCATCATAGCGACAATGCTAGAATCCTATAAGCCAGAAGGAACACAGCAGATAGATGACTCACAGTGGCTGCAGAGCGATGATACCGTATCGATTCGCTAGTCCACCGGTTAAAAAAGGCAAGATTGCTGAACCCGATTGGCCAAAGCCTGCGATCCATCCAATGCTCGCACTAAGGATGTTCCGGTTGATGATGCGCCCAGTTTGAGACATGACGATAGGATAAAAGGGGCCCAGTAACAATCCCACGAGCGAGACGGCAACCGCATTTCCGATGAGCGATGGAACGAACCAAATAGTGATCTCCAGCCTAGGAAAAATCAGCGGTAGCCTATTATTACGGGAAAGGGGCGCACACTATACCGGCAGCGATGTAGACAAAGACGGCTAGTCGCTCACCGAGCCAGCGGTTCACATGGAGGAGTACTATTCGACCCAAAGCAAGGCCCCCAAAGAACCCAGAGCTGACGTATCCAGAAGATGGGCCGCCGCCTCGCTCATTGATCATGAACGTCACAATCCATCCTGCCAACAATTAGCCTTGGCGATTTTGAGAGCTCAAAGCATACCTCCGATAGTAACTTCTGTTCCAACGTAGATGAACACAAACGCTGCGAGAGTATGGACGTGGATCTGTTTAAGAACTGCGCCAAACGATCCACTATCACGTCGGGGAGTCGTCTCCGCCACTTCGTCGATGTCGGCATTTTCGTCTCTCGCGTGAACGCGCTGCAATTTGAGGTGCTCAGCCTCTTCATGCGTCCTGACCCCCATCTTTTCCAAGACTTCCTCTACGCCTTCGCCTTTGAAGACAAGAGTAAAGGAAATCAAGTCGAGGACCGAGGTGCCAAGAAGAATCGTGTAATACAGACTCCATCGTGGAAGTTCGACGAATTGAGTCGATATGAGCGGAGCAATAAGAGCGCCAGTCCCGTAGAACGCGTGCGCAAAGCCCATTGCCGTTGGATTGTTGAGCATGGACAGAATGGCATTTCCCTGAGAGTTGAGTAGGGACATTCCCATGCCATTAACGAAGAACCCAATGCACATTATGGCAAAGGGCTTTGGTGCAGACGTAATAAGGCTGTATGCGATAATTTGAAACACAGTTGCCAGCATGAGGATCTAAGCAGTATGAGTGACAACTGGACAAATTGGCAGACTCGTACCCTTGAGAAAGCTATACGAGGGGCCAAGAAGACGTTAAGGACAGCAGAAGTGAGACACCCCTAAGACGCGCGGGTTTAGCAAGCTACACAAGCTCAAGGACATATTTACCAAGCAATTTGTGATGAATATCATGGATACTCGTAGAAAGTTGACCTATAATCAATCAGAGAGACGAACAGTGAATACTAGCAACCGCACCTTGTAGTAGGTTTGATAAACGGGAAGCAGTGGACCAATGCTGCCATCATTGAGACCGAGAAGGAAAAAGCAAAAGAATATGGCAGCTAGTGTGATGCGATAGAAACGCTTCTTATTCTTCGCATCATGTGCTATGGGCGCTGAAGTGAAAGATGGGGTGGCATCAAACGAGCGTCGTTCCGATACGGGAGTGATAGATGGCTCCGCGTTCCATGAATTAGAACGTCCAATGTTCGGTGATCCTAATGAGACTTGTGATTTCTTGTGGCCGCTCAGTCTATCTGCCGCAAGTCGGGATCCCACCAGCACCGGCACAGGTTGGCTCGGCAGCGTAGCCCTAGTGAACGTCTCTAGAGATAGTTGGGACATGATCCTACCAAGATGAAGGGGTAAGAGAGGCGGCGAGCTACTCGGTCAGCAGAACGTGAGCTAAAAGAGGCGAGGTTTCCTCGGAAAAACTCTTCTTATCTAAGAAGTGTGTCAGCAAACCGACCAAGTCACAAGTTTACAGAGAAGAAACGTGCTTGGGGCGGATCTCGCCCGGCGGCACCCCAACTCCAACAGCAAGTGGAAAAGGGTTACCGGCTGCTCAGTACTACCTAGAAATCTTGCCAAAGGGGGATGAAAGACGTCCATCTGCAGTAGTTGCAAGGCATGCATTGACTCGAAACCCCTTTTCTACATGACAGAAACCATCAGCTGAAGTCGACGAGCGACTGCAGGAGGTAGTCGGAACACATTCAATCGGTCTCCAAACGTGTACAAAATATCCCCTAGTGCCCTTCGAATATCTGCCAAAATTGTCAGCAGGTACTTGGGTACATCATTATTGAAATGTACCATCGGCAAACGGTGTCACCTGCTCCATGATCGCTACTTCAACCTGCCATGCGTCCGCAGACATCGCCATTGGGCTTGTGGCGAGCTCTTGAGTATATTCTTCCAACGCTATTAGCGTGCTGACAAGCACTTCGAGGACCTTTGGGATATCTTGCTGTAACGTCCCATAGGAATCTTCAGTGAGAGAGGCGACTGTGAATCCAGTCAAGACTATCCGCCGTCAGCCAATGCCCTTTCTTTCCTAAGGATCTTACTTTGGACACAATATCGATCCAACGATTGCCGCTTTAAAACTTCTTCGACGGTGAATTGGATCCTTTCTTTTTCTACTTGCTTCCGCCATTCTTGCAGGAATGCCGGAAGAATGAAGAACGGTTCATCTCCCGTCTTGACTGCTGGTACATGCGCCGTAAGCTGACCAAATACAAAGCCAATGCCTTTCTTGACCATTTGTATGATTCCGGGCGTTGGTTGTGCAGGAGGAGGAACCGGAGCCGCGTCCACTGCTGGGCTTGGTTCAACAGCCACTTTTGTGACGAAGATACTGGGCATTGCGCTAGCGCGTAGAGATGAACTGGGACTCCCACTTCCTGCAGTTCCATCAGGCGCCGCTGATCCTTCACCTTGAGTCGTGGACGGTGACGAGGTGGACGAGAGAAGCGATTTGACGAACAACGAGCCAGGTGACGGTGGTGGCAGTGGCTTATAGACAGAAGAATTTAGGTTTGGGATTACGCTGGATTTTCTGGGTGTCACCGGAGCCAATGATCGAGCAGGGGTCGGAGGCGCTGCGGCTGGTGGAGGCGGAGGGGGTTTTCCTCGACGTCGAAGATGACCGTAATCTTCACCCATGGTCTTGAAGCAAGTACGAGAGATGAAATTCCATTTTTGTGGGTCGTTGAAGACTGCAACTCTCCGTTCAGTAGGGCCTTTTCTCGCCATGTGTGCAAGTTCTAAAAAGGCGAAATGCTTATGAGACGTCAGAAAGAGAGCAACCTCATACACGTTGCAAAACATGCCTTGTAGTAAGGGTCCTGCAACTCAAGACCGCTTTTGATGCAGGCATCAGGGTCCGAACTGTCTCGGGCCACCAACATGCCTCGACCGGCTAGGCTGTCGAAGAATGCTTGGACATTCTCGTAATGCATAGTGCAGATCAAGGCAAGAAGAAGCAGTCTCGGCATTAGATGGAAGGTAATTGGGATGGAAGTACTGGGCCGGGCTGCTTGAAAGATGAAAGGCCTTAAATAGAGAAGATCAAAATACGGTCTTGAGACGGGGCAGAAAAACTTACTTGAAGAAACCTCCGATCAATGGCAAGCGCATGAGTGTCCGGTAGACACTTTTCCGGAACAATGCATATACGATAGAATATCCAATGACAGTCGAGGACGCAAAAAATGCAGAGCCTTTGAATGTAAAGGATTTGGACGCATGGTCAAAGAGCGTATGGGGTTTGAGAGACTGAAGTATTTTAGACACGATATTCGGTGGTCACAGTTGAACTCACCACTTTGGTCGGCCATTTGACCGTCTCCCGCCTTTGGAGCATATCTTTCATCGCAAGAACGACTCCAACGAGTGAGTTTCCGAGCATCAGGAACACCACCTTTTCATTCAGGTTGACAGCATGGCGTTTTGTTGGCATAAAGAGATGCCAATCGTGGGCACCTGAACGAGTTGAACAAATACCTTGCAAACATGAGAGACCTACCGAGTAACGCAGCACAAAGGGCATTGAGAAGGGCAAAGGAAGCAAAAGATCCGCAGGTGATGCCTAGGTTGCGGTACGTTGAGGGTGCACGAGCCAGAGAGCGGAAAAGAGCCGAGTATGATGGATATGGCTCGGGAATTGCTACAAAGACGAGTCAGATTGTACATTCTTCTGCAAGGCGATCCTACCTTTCAGAGTCCACCTTCTCAGCAACACCAATGGTAGGATAAAACTCAAGCACATCAAAGTTGTAAATGATGGAACGGTAATGATCGCTAAAAAGGTTATTGTGCCTGTGTCGAAGTTGAGGACAGTCTCGGGTTCAATGAAATCATTTGATGCCTACGTTGGGTGCATACCGCGAGTAATGCTGTTGTAACCATGACTGCAAAGCCTGTATACATGCTCAGAGTCCCCAGGCGCTTGTTAAGGACCCACTACCGTCGATAATAAGGACATTTGAGGGTTCAACATCAGCAAAAGAGTGGATACGACGCGTCAAAGGACGAAGACTGACTCGAGCAAGCGCTTCATATTGCTGAGAGGCTGGTAATGGAGGTCTGGCGCGTGAAGCCGTCAGGGCCATTCGTCAACGCGCTGGCGATGTCGGGACCAAGCTTTGGCTCTGCACTTTGGACCCGGCTAACCTGGCCTTGCCACCATCCAGAGCACGATAATCAACCAGAAAATGATAGATATAATGGGAAATCCAAAGCATGGCTCAGGCTCAGGCAGCGCTCTCAACCCCATCATCCTAATCACCGCCGGGGTTGCGGCGCTCGTCGCTACATTGCTTGCATCGTTCTCAATATTACTACAACTCAAGAATTATAGGCGACCTATACTCCAGAGGTTAGTCTCCGACGTTGTCCAGCGAACGTCTGACGTCGTTGCGACGCCTCAGGCGGCGTGGCCGCAGCAATAATCAACCCGTGCTGACCTTTGGGCCATAGACAAGTTGTTCGTATCATGCTGATGGTCAGTCATAGCATCTGTATTCTTCTATCAACAGCTCATGGTTACGAAGATCCCGCTCTACGCCATCTCGTCATTCATCTCTCTGTTCTCACTCGAAGCAGCGGTTGTGATAGACGCACTTCGTGATATATACGAGGCGTTCGTAATCTATAATTTCTTCCATTTATTGCTGGACTATCTGGGTGGAGAACGTTCTCTCTTGATCCTCTTGCATGGGAGACCTCCAAAACATCACGTCTTTCCCGTCTCACTCTTCAAAAGTGAGATTGACGTAAGCGACCCTTTTACGTTCCTTATGTTGAAACGTGGAATCCTTCGTATGTACCTCAGACTTATCACCAGTACAAAGCTCAATCTCTCCATCAGAATATGTTCAAGTCAAACCGGTTCTCGCTATCATTACTTTGATACTCAAGGCTACTGATTCGTACAAGGAAGGTGACTTGCGTGGTGACGCTGGTTACTTGTACGTCAGCCTTATATACAATATTTCCATTTGCATCGCGTGAGTTGGCTTGTTCATTTTGCTGTATTATGCTAACCACGAATAGTTTGTACTGCTTGGCCGTTTTTTGGATTGTAATCAACGACGGTATGTCGTGTGCGCCCGTAGTCTACATCCCTAACCGGTTCCAGATGTCAAGCCATTCCGCCCAATGCCCAAGTTCTTATGCATCAAGGGAATCCTCTTCTTCTGCTTCTGGCAATCCATCGCAGTGTCCATCCTAGTCTCCCCACTTCACCTGATTACACACATTGGACCATATCATGACGTCGAACACATCTCCATTGCCATTTCCGATGTTCTCATCTGCTACGAGATGCCATTCTTTGCGGTGGCACACATGTTCGCGTTTAGCCATACCGACTACATCGACCCTCTGGTTCACTACGCAGCCCGAATGCGTTTCTGGTACGCCACAAGAGATGCATTTGGACTTCGTGATGTCGTCGAGGATTCAAAGGCAACACTGCACTCAACTGTCAATTATCGAACTTATGAACCAGTGGAGGGCGGAATGCATGTTGGCGAAGGGCGAGACCGCAGGATACGCGCTGGCCTGCGATATGCTAAAGGAGGAACGCAAAAATACTGGCTACCTATGCCGGCGGACGATGAAATGGTAGCACCCGCTTTAACGGGGCCTCTGACAGCTATTCAGAGGCGATGGAACGAGCACCAGGGTTACGCGCCTCTGCCAGCTGAGCAAGCTGAGGACGTGGTGCATGAAGGATTCCAAGAGCCCGATCCGAATTCACGAACGCCGACAGATGCATTTCGGCCCGACTACATTGCCACCGACGAGGACGATCTGGATCTTCACTTTGAAGATCCACGCAGAGACCAAGAATGCGAGATGGTCTACGAAGAAAGCCGACGGCTCGTGTTTGGCGACTACAACTATCCAGTCATTGATGTCAGCACAGAGGCAGCCAAGATACAGATGTGGGATGAGGAGGAACGCATTCTAACAAACGCACGAAGTGCGGCATTCAACTGGAAAGGTGGCAAAAACAAGAAGTTGGCCTATGCGACGAAAGGCTACGGTGCCACTGACGAAGGACCTCCTTCCTCCTCGAGGCCGCAAGTTAGAGTCCAGAACTCTGATGGCTCATTCAACGCTCCACATCCAGCAATAATTGACTATGAAACCGAGAATGTCCCTGACATCGACTTTAAAGGGATACGGCTTCGATGGACCAAAACAGGGGCGCCTGTACCTACAGCAACCAGCAAGCCAGGCTCTCCGAGTAGGTCTGTATCCTCCAATTCGAGGAAGAAGGTCGAGGTCCGGTCACACTCGAAGAGTGCAACCTCAAAGACCAGCCTCGATGGACAACCACATCCAGAGCACGTTTCAGATCCTGAGCGCTCTGAAGAAGAGCCTGTGGATAAGCGGGAGGACGCTGTGGATTTGGTCGTAGAAGATCGACGGGCGGGTGAGCTTGAAATGGAGTGGGAACGAAGAAGAGGAGAGCCGGCATTGGCTGGCGCAAGCGGGCTCAAGAAGGTCTTTAAGAGGAGGTATGACGTGGGCACCGATTCGGATGCTGAAGGAGGTGAAGTGGAAATCAAGGAAGCGCGGAATGTTGCCGAGGATCCGGACGACTTGCCCGAGAAGGTCCAGGTTCATATTAAGAGGGATGAGAGGAAGCAGAGTGACCGAACTGAACATACGTCTACGCCGCAGAGACATGGAGCGTTGTCGCCGTGGAATCCACATACAGAGCACCAGCATGACGCCGTCGTCGATCCTGCCGGCGAGTCGGATCTTGTCATATCCAGGGAGACGCAACCCCTCCACATGCGAGGCTGGAAACGCGAGAGAATAACAGGCTACTAGGCGATAGCGAGGATGAGAATCCGTGGAAGTAAAGCCTTACCCTTGCAGAGTGATAGCATGTAACATTATATGTGATCTTATACATCTGGCTCGTTGAGCTCTGCTCTTTGATTACGGTCGCCCTCAATCGCTGCCACCGAGTACAACTTGGATTTTGGCCATGTCCGCAATCACCACACCCGAACATCTTGAAAACGTCGAACCACTGCAGTCACCTCTTGGTAGACATATAATACAACCGGGAGCTCACCTCTTGATCCGATTGCCGTCGAAAGAGGTCCGTCAAGTTCGCCTGGATAAGGAACCTGGAGAGAAAACCATCAACTTTGGCAAGTTCGGAAGTCTTAAACAAAAATACCTTGTAGGGCAGCCATTCGGATTGACTTATGAGATTCAACAAGATAAAAGCTTGCTCGTGCAACCACCTCAACGCTTGGAAGAGCTCGGTATGCAGCTCTTTGTCATAAGAAGTGCCTTTAGAATCTTATAGTTTCTTATAGAGGATACTGGTGCCACAAACGAGCAGATTGTGGACCGTGGCGAGTTTGTACAACCGCTGACTGCGGCAGAGATTGAGCTGCTAAAGAAGTCTGGTTTACATGCTTCAGTCCGTCCGTCTTATGGCTGCACGATCTCATAAAGAAGCTCATATCATTCCAGGAAATCATCAAAAGGCAGATTGAGACGCACGTAAACTACGAGCTCAAAACGGAGTACAGCAAGGACAAGTATCGAAAACGCAAGGAGGCAAAGTAGGCATTTTGATTGCACGAATCGGGCGGACATTGAACCAATCTTCTGGTAGATTTGCAAAGCAGATTACCGTCTTACAACCGTCGTTGTTCAATGTGGCCTCCTACTTGTTTGACAAAGATCCTGTCAAGATCCAATACTTGCGAGTAGATACCCTGGGCCAAATCGCAAACCTTGCAAACCTTCGACCGGGAGGAAAATTCATCGTCATCGACTCTATAGGCGGACTTCTCGTCGCAACAGCACTAGAACGACTTGGAGGTGTGCGCTTCTAACATTCAACTTCAAAGGCTCAACGTCATACAGGCGAAGGAACGGTTCTCTATATCACGGAAGCCGACTCTCCGCCACAATTTCCTATAATAGATCTGCTAAACATGCCTGAAGAACACACGACCATCTTGAAATATCTCGACTGGGCCTCCGTTGATGAGGAGCACGATCCTAGTAAGTGTTTAAATGTCGTCCGATTATTACTTATTCCCGATAGTTCGTGCGCCAATAGAACCCGAAGGCGAATATCGATCAGAGGGCCAAAAAGGGCGATACGAGAAACGAAGGCAAATTATAGAGGCTTACGAAAGGCTGCGTGAAGAACTCTTCGCCGGTGAATGGGACGGGTAAGTCACCATCGTCGAACGAGTATTGTACTTACTCGCTTAGTTTACTAATTGCCTCACAATATGAGCCTTTCTCAATTGTCCAGTGCCTTACTCCCTACCTGGCTGGCTCAGCATCCATCACTGTTTACTCGCAATATCTACCAATCCTTACAGAACTCCAAAGCAAGATGCGACCCCTACCTGCCTACCTCAACCCATCCATCACAGAGGCGTGGCTGCGGCAATATCAAGTCCTCCCTGGTCGAACACATCCCTTGATGAACATGACAGGAAGTGGGGGATACATATTACACGCTACACACGTCTACGATGACAAGAAGGCACTTTCCGCGTTGGCAGGCTTTCGGCAGAGGCTCAAACAGAGAAGGAGGGCCAAAGAAGGTGCGGGATCCTCTGAAGGAGACCAAGGGCATATGCAAGAAGACGTTGATATGGAAGACACAAATTCAACATCGTAAATACAGTAAAGACATCGTTAATCGTTGGCAAGGACTACTTCATACCACCGAAGAGCTTCGTTCCAATCACGCTTGCGGCGTCGGGTCAATGAAAAGTAGCGGACGCCACTCGCCCAGCGGCCTCGAACCCTTCCCTTTTCCCATCCGCCCCTCTCGACAAAATACGCCTCCGGGTCATCTGGTAATTCCAGCTCTTTTGCCAGTTCCATCACTCTTGCATACAATTTATCTCTCCACGTCTTGGTCCTCCGCAACTCGTGGCGTCCGAGTAGAAACAGCCGCACAAGTGCGTTGAGCGCACGGGCAGCCGAAACTGCATCTTCCCACCACCGTAGTGTCATCCACAGTAATATAGGTACCGCCCAAGAGGTGATAAAGGCGATCGGCCATGTGAAAAGGATACAGAGTATGTATACAACGACTGCTGATCCGAGGCCATATATCATCTTGTACTGTGCAATTTCATCAAATGTATCCCATATGGGTCCGGACATCTTGAATCGCCAAACTGCATACGACGTGGTTGCGTAGATTGGTGCCCAGAGAATCAGTCCTGGGATGGAGATAGTAAGCAGTACAACCATCCATGTCAGTCGAAGGAGAATGCGATAGAACAAGAATGCGCGAGGGGCCGCTCGTCGAAGCCGTTCGTCCTTGATGCCCAAGTGTGATAGAAAGTCTTGGTACTCCTGGGAGATGTAAGAAACATCTTTTTTTTTAAAAAAAAAAAAATCAGATAAAGTCTCACCCCAAGATCTTTCGCGAGTAGATCGCGTTTCGCTTGTGTACTCTCCCGTGCCGCACTCAAGACGGCGTCGATGGACGCATCCTCTGTAGAGGTGTCACTCTTGCCACTGGCCCAATCCGATGCCTCTGGGGCCACTTCTTCCCACTTGCGCGGCGTCGCGCCGGCAAAGGCATCTGCAAACACCTTTGTCACGCGTACATGGTCGCCGAGCGTCATGCGAGTTCCTAGCGGTGCGTACATCCTAGCTGCCAGCTTTGCGATGCGTACAGTTGACCATGTAGGTGCATCGATAGTTCCCGAGCTGATTTGGCTTTGAAGAAACGCTGTAAGAGATCGAATTACGGAAAACTCGACGGGTTGCAGCAGTTGGGGGAATTCCTGCAGACTCTAGCTTAGATATAGTCTTATTAATGGTGATGATTCACCTTTGGACGAAGTTTTAGTGGCCGGTTAAAGGAGATGAGGACGTCTGAACGAAAGCGTTCGCGATGCCTAACAGGTTAGTCAAAAATGAGGGGATAGTTTGATTCTCACATATAGGTGATTGAGCATGTCAGAACAGTGAGCTCGAAGTCTGGATTGTCGCGCTGGGCAGTGAGAGTGTCCGAGACAATACGTGCTCCACCGGTCTTGAGAGGTGCCATTCCCGGATGATACCTGCTCATGCCCTCGGGAAAGATGCAGATGCAATCACCTGCTCCTAGCGACTGATGCGGGTCGGTCAATCACATCAGAGTAATTCGGAGCAGGAACCCACGTTGACCAGACCCTGGATGGCGACGGTATTGTCTGCATCATCTCCGTGCTCTTTACGTCGCTTTATAGGGACCGTGCCGACGGATTCGATGAGCCAACTTGTAAACGTCTTGCGTCCAAACTGCGTGTCCTTGGCTGTCATACGCAACAAATTTCGGCGCTACGACGGTAAATGAGAGGGTTTCCCCAAGGATAGATGAAGTATAACTACCTTTGACGGGATAGCCGCTATCAACAGTATCGCGTCGGTGAGCGAATTCGAGTGGTTTCCCATGAGGATACATGCTCCGCGCTTAGGAATGAAGTGCTCATTCTCCAGGATAATAGAGCCATAGAATACTTTAAGAACAAACTACAGAGTCGTGTCAGTCGGCGCTGGTATGTCTCAAGCCATTACAATCGAAGCGAACCTTGAAGAGCAGGCGAATGAAGAAGTATGTCCATGGTGTAGACTTTGCTCCCTGTTCCATAAAGTATGGACGAGTAGACGACTGGGTCGATGTGGACAGCACCAAGTTGGTCAGATGTTCGCCGGTGGGTCGTACCCGCCGAAACTCGCCGGATACTGCATTCACTCAATTAGCGCTATAATGAAGTGCTGGGACGAGACTTTGACAGGATAAATCTTGCCATTATCTAGATGGAATAAAGGCATCCTGATACATTCTCTCGAAGAATGCTCACGAGAAGGCAATAGAAACAAAAAGTACGCGATAGAATAGATTTAGAAACAGGCATAGTGTCTATAACGTCTATAACTCGAACCCTTTTCCATATACCTCAGTCTCGGCTCACATCCCTGCGAAATGTCAGTATCCTAATCTTGGACGTCACGGATACGAACCTTCCGAAGATGAACACTTTGACCCAATCAAGCATGACCAAAGATCGGTTACGGAGTGAGAATAGGTTGCTCAAATATGCCGAACGCCAGAACAGGAATGTCGCGACACCACCGCTAGAAATCTACAGCAAAGCATAAGCGCACAAGAGTAGAACCATTACAAACTTGGACGTACGTTGCCATTGAGGAAAGGGAGATCTGCAATAGCCTTGTCACTTCCGATATACGCCAACGATCCCTGATGCGAATAATGGAACGGCTTGTACTTTGAAACCTTGAGCAACTTTTTGGACACGGAATCAATCTCGTGCAACTCTGCCTTTGACCTCTTGAGTTCTTCGAGCTCTGCCTCGAGCCTGGCCTGTTGCGCGAGTTGGTTGAACAATCGGCCGACATAGGCACCTTGTTGTGCGGCTACTTGCGCCGTAGGTGCGTAAGATGTGGCCGTGCAGTCACCAAACGAGTAGATGGTGCCGTTGGAGCCGGCGAGGACCATGTGGTCGTCGACGGTCAAGCCGCGCTTGTTGGTCTGGTGTTGACCCATCTTGGCCATGAGGTCCTTGGTAATGGGGCGCATAGTGTTTCCCTACGAGATGTCAGGCAAATGTGCAGTGTTTGAAAGGGAGAAACACACTCCAGCCCAGACGAGCAAACCAAACGGAATCTCGACCTTGTTCCCAGAAGGATCTTTGACGACGACAGACTTTGGCTTAATCTCTTGCACCATTGTCCTCGTCAAGAGGTCAATCTTGTTTTGCTTAAAGGTCGATTCCGTGTATGCGATGAGCTGTTTGGAGAACATGGGCAAGACGTTTGGCAGGGCTTCGATGAGGGTGATTCGGACCCTATCAGCGAGCTCAGGGTACCATTTCTTCAAATCTTCGACAACAAAGTCGTGCATTTCACCTGCGAGTTCGACACCGGTGGGACCACCGCCGACGACAATCTGCGTGCATTAGAATCTAGAGTGTTTATGAAGAGCAGCTCGCACCATGTGCAACAAGCGATCCACCTCGCTATCGGTCTGACCCGGAAAGACGGCAGACTCGATACAATCCATGGTCTTGGAGCGCAACTGCTCTGCATCCCAGAGCTCCTTGAGGAAGCAAGAGTTTTCCTTTGCGCCTGGAATTCCAAACGTCTGCGTCTCGGCACCAAGGGCATAGACGAGATAGTCATAGTTGATAGTCGAAGGACCGCCCTCGCCATGGATAGGGGAAGTATCCTGGAAAGTGACCGTCTTCTTCTCTGGCTAAAGAAAGAAACTGTTGGCGGTGGTTCCCAAAAAGACCAAAATCACGCACGTCGACGGCCATAGCCTCGCCCTCATAGAATAGGACCCGACGCTTCTTATGGCGCGTGATATAGCGAGTGGGTTGAATGATACTGGAGGATGGTTAGTAGGGACGAAGAGGGCACTGGGAAACGACGTACCTTCTTGGATCGACCGAGCCGGTAGGAACGCTTGGGAGTAGTGGTGTATACAACCAATAGTTCCGTGGGCTGATTACAATCTGCACGTGCAATTAGCTCGGTCCTGACGCGAACTGGAGAACGGGACGGGGTCCCGACAAGGGGTCGCCGGCCCACAGAGATCTCGTGAAATTTGCACACAGTAGCGCGTGCCATCGGCTATGGGGATGCGGGGTTGTGAATTCTACTGACCACATTGTAGTCTTCAGTGTCGATCGTCTTGAGCATGCTCGTCGCACCCCATCCATTTCCGAGCACAACAATCGTCTTCTTGGAGGGGTCGTGAGGGAGCTGTTCTCCAGGGTGTCTGTCCTTCCAGGCCATGTAGTAGACCAAGCCGCCGGTAGTGAGAATGGTGGCGAGGGTGACACGGCCGAGTATCTGGAGGAATGTCCTCCATTTTCCAACACGTCTTACTTGTACAATCTGCGTGCAGTCGGTGTTGAGCAAATAGCAGCCGTGTCAGCGAGTGCGTCACTTACGACCGGCGCAGGTTCGACGGGTTTCGGGGGCGGTGGGCTGTTGTTGAGCAGATATCTCGACGTAGACAGCGTCTTTGGGTAGAAATGGGGCAGAAGCGGGCCATTTTGACGGTATATTGGCGTCTGAACTGGCTGGAGCCGTCGTGAGGCCCGGAGAGCTGCGAAATGGGCGCGGATTGAGCGAGCAGCGTCGTATAAAAAGCAGAGAAAGAGGACTGACCAAGTCGGAGGCTCATCGAGGAGTAAAAGAGTCCAAGGTGTTTTCCGAGTTTTCCGACTTGTTTATCTTCTAGTAATATAGGCTGCTGAGTTTGGAAACAAAGCAACAGGCCACTCGCTTGAGATCGGCCGTCTGCTCGTAATCTCGTTTGACTCGTTTTGGCGCTGGCGACAATGGCGACCATCGAATCTTCCATGGCAGACATCCAAAAAGTCCATATTCTCGGCAAAGAGGCCATCCACTGCGGCTTCCATCTCATCCCATACATTGTCGAAACCGTCCTGGGCTCCCTCCCCGCGTCCACCTATGTCCTCGTTACAGACACAAACGTCGCAAACTTGCATCTACACAAGTTTAGCGACCAGTTTGATGCCCAAATCGCAGCGAGGAGCGTCCAGGCTCGCTTCATCTCCCATGTCATCCCCCCAGGAGAGACTTCAAAGTCGAGAGAGGGCAAGGCCGCGATCGAAGACTTTCTCCTCAAAAACGCTTGCACAAGAGATACTGTAATCCTTGCGCTCGGTGGCGGAGTCATCGGAGACCTCGTCGGGTTTGTGGCTGCGACTTTGTGAGTGGCTTGCGTCTCCTTGTCGTCCATGCGATTGACAAACTCTTTCTATAGCATGCGAGGAGTACGATTCGTCCAGATACCCACTACACTCCTCGCCATGGTCGATTCTAGCGTCGGGGGAAAGACGGCCATTGATACTCCGCACGGCAAAAACCTCATTGGTGCTTTCTGGCAACCAGAATACATCTTTATCGACGCCGCATTTCTCGAGACCCTGCCAACGCGCGAGTTTTCCAATGGGATGGCAGAGGTCGTAAAGGTGAGCAAAAGAGGCAGCGTGCGATAACTCCTCGTACTCACCCCTTCTTGTAGACGGCAGCGATCTGGAACGCAGACGAGTTCGCGGCCTTGGAGTCTCGCTCCTCCGAGATATTCGCCGCCATCCAGACCCCCTCTCAATTCAACGCGGGCCGCACTTTGTCCACCCGTTCCGAGGCGCAAGCTCTCTTATTGCAGGTCATCGTAGGCTCCATCTCCGTCAAAGCACATATCGTGACCATTGACGAACGAGAAACTGGTCTGCGTAACCTCGTCAACTTTGGACACACGATTGGCCATGCCATTGAAGCCGTCGTCACTCCTCAAATCCTCCATGGAGAATGCGTCTCCATCGGTATGATTCTCGAAGCAGAGATTGCGAGACTGCTCGGAGTCCTTGGTCAAGTGGCGGTGGGTCGTCTTACCCGATGCCTCAAAGCCTACAACCTCCCTGTATCCGTACACGACCCTCGAATCGCCTCTCTACCAACATCAAAGCTACTCACCATTGACCGCCTCTTGGACATTATGAAAGTCGACAAGAAGAATGCTGGTCCCGCCAAAAAGGTCGTTCTCCTCTCGCGCATCGGTGCAACCCACGAACCAAAAGCCACTGTCGTCCCCGACGCAGTGATCCGCAAAGTGCTTTCCGAGGCTGTCACAGTGATTGCTGGGACGCCTAGAAACTCCCCGGTTAGCATGGCCACACCAGGCTCCAAGAGTATCTCAAACAGAGCACTCGTCCTCGCTGCCCTCGCTTGTGGCACCTGCAGATTAAAAAATCTACTTCACTCGGACGATACCCAAGTCATGATGGCCGCCCTCTTGGATCTCAAAGTATGTATACATGCGCCAAAGGAACATATGCTCATATAAGACAGGGTGCTACATTTGCCTGGGAAGACGGTGGAGACACTTTGGTGGTGAATGGTGGCGAAGGTGCTTTGACTCCTCCACCGCCAGGCAAGGAGCTCTACCTGGGCAATGCAGGCACGGCAGCGCGATTCCTTACCACAGTCTGTGCGCTTGTACGCTCAGAAGATGGGACGCAAAGTACCGTGATCACGGGCAACGCTCGAATGAAGCAGCGTCCTATTGGTCCACTCGTCGACGCATTGCTCGCCAACGGTACCGACGTAAAATATCAAGAAAACGAGGGCTCCCTCCCTCTCAAGATTAAAGCCAGTACTACTGGTTTCGCTGGTGGCCATATTCGACTGGCAGCCAGTGTCTCGTCACAATACGTTTCGTCCATCCTACTCTGCGCACCATATGCCGCACAACCGGTCATGCTGGAACTCACGGGCGGTCAAGTCATTTCTCAGCCCTATATCGACATGACGATTGCCATGATGAAGACATTTGGCATCGTCGTGACGAGGAGAAAAGACGAAGAGTCTGGCAAGTTACTCGACATTTACGACATTCCGACGGGTATATACGTCAACCCTCCCGAATATGTAATCGAAAGTGATGCTAGTTCGGCAACGTACCCACTCGCTATTGCTGCCATCACCGGAACGACATGCACACTCACCAATATTGGCTCGAGCTCCCTTCAGGGTGACGCAGGATTCGCAAAGGCCGTACTGGAGCCAATGGGATGTACTGTCGAGCAGACGGAAACGTCGACGACGGTCACTGGTCCGCCTGTGGGCTCGCTACAGGCGATTGGGCTGGTGGACATGGAGCCAATGACGGATGCGTTTCTCACTGCGTCTGTCTTGGCTGCCGTCGCGTGCAAGCCGGTTTCAAAGGAACGCGAGCTCCCAGACGCGCCGTCTAATACGACGAGGATCTTGGGTATCGCAAATCAGAGGGTCAAGGAGTGTAATCGTATTCGGGCGATGATTGACCAGTTGGGTGAGTATAACCGCCTTCTATCTAGCATATACTAACAGATGAGGCAGCCAAGTTTGGAGTACAGACCAAGGAGCTGGACGATGGTCTTGAAGTATATGGATTGGAGCCATCTGCCTTGAAGAATGGGGCATCGATTCATTGCTACGACGATCACAGAGTAGCCATGGCGTTTAGTGTCCTTGGCTCACTGATCAACGGGACCATCATCGAGGAAAAGAGATGTGTCGAGAAGACGTGGCCGAATTGGTGGGATGACTTGGAGAACAAGGTTTGTGTTAACATATCCTGTGGATACGGTACTAAGGTCTGTCTAGATTGGGTTGAGTGTCGACGGGGTCGAGTTGTCCTCGCAGCCAGATGCATCAACAAGTGGTGCCGGTCGCGATCCCGAAGCCTCTGTCTTGCTCTTCGGCATGCGTGGCTCAGGCAAGACGTACCTGGGTCAAATTGCTGCATCCGAGCTCGGATGGGAGTACGTCGACGCAGATCAATACCTAGAAACTGTCTACAAGATGACATGCAAAGACTTTGTCGTGACACATGGCTGGGACGAATTCCGCGCGACGGAGACGAGGCTATTGCCCGAGATCATCAGTCTCAAACCTACCAGAACTATCATTAGCCTGGGAGGCGGGATTGTAGAGACAGAGGCTGCGAGGGACATCTTGAAGGAGTACGCAAAGACTAAAGGGCCAGTCGTCCACATCTCGCGCGACATACGCCAGATTGTCGAATATCTCACCAACGAGACAGAGCGGCCAGCCTACTCGCAAGAAATCGAAGAAGTCTTCGCTCGTAGAAAGCCTTGGTTTGAAGAGTGCTGTAGCCATCGGTTCGTGAGTATTGTCGAACCAACAGCTTCGTCTTCCGACGAGTCATTACGACAAATTCAGCGTACAAGTCGAGAGGTGGGGACCTTCTTCAGGCATATCACTGGAGTGTCACCCAACCTTTCGCCAAAAGTCAACCTTGGCCAACGGTCCTACTTCCTTTCCCTCACATTCCCGGACATTGTCGCGCAAAAGGATTTGCTCGATGAGAATCGAAGCGATATCCTGACTGGCATAGACGCGGTGGAGCTTCGCGTCGACTTATTGTCTCCACACGGCGCGGCCAAGCAGCCAAACGTACCTCCAAGGGAATATGTGATTCAACAGCTTGCTCAGCTCAAGCATATCACAAACCTTCCGGTCGTCTATACTGTCCGGACTATCGCGCAAGGCGGGGCATTCCCGGACAAGGCTCACGAGGAACTTTTTGCGCTCTTGGAGCTCGGAATCCAGATGGGCACGGAATACATCGACGTTGAGACGACGTTGCCGCATTCGAAGATTCGGAAACTCGCGGCACGCAAGGGCGCGTCCAAGCTCATAGCGTCTTACCATGATTGGAGCGGAAATTTACGGTGGTTCGGAACCGAGATAGAGGCCATCCACACGACCGCGTCGTCGCTTGGGGATATTGTCAAGATCGTGGGCAAGGCGAACAGTCTCGAGGAGAACATGGAGCTGCGGAGTTTTACGAAGAGTGTGAAGAAGGCGAATCAGAGCAAACCGATCATTGCTATCAACCTAGGCGAACAGGGCCAACTCTCTCGCATTCTCAACGAGACGTTTACCCCTGTCACACATTCCCAGTTGCCTGTAGCCGCGGCACCCGGGCAGCTGTCATTTTCTCAAATCCAGAGCGGTCTCCACCTACTTGGCCAATTGCCGGCCAAGCGGTTCTACTTGTTTGGAAATCCAATCTCCAAATCTCCTTCTCCCACACTCCATAACTCTGGATTCCATGTACTCGGACTTCCGCATCACTACGAACTGCACCAGACGGAGACCGTGGACGAGTCCGTGCGCTCGATCATTCGCTCACCGACATTTGGTGGAGCGTCTGTGACGATTCCTCACAAGCTGACTATCATGGAGGCGCTCGACGAGCTCTCTCCAGCCGCTAAGCTCATCGGTGCTGTGAACACTGTCATTCCAGTAGAGCAGGCTGACGGGAAAACGATCCTCCTTGGGGATAATACCGACTGGCAGGGAATCAGAAATTCCGTACTTTCTCGTTCTGCATGCCGCTGGACCGCGCAAGATACTGGCTTGATCATTGGCGCCGGTGGCACGGCTCGCGCGGCGGTGTATGCGCTCAATCAGCTGGGAGTCGGTCGCATTCTGCTTTGGAACAGAACATATTCCTCTGCTACCCAGCTTGCCTCCAGCTTCCCCGTAGAGTACAACATCACGGCCCTCACGGACCTCTCCGACATATCCAATGTTCCACCTTCTATCATCATCGGGACGGTTCCCGCTTCTGCAGTGACAGAAGGTGGAGTCAAGCTGGCGCCGGAGATGTTTGGATGTCGACAGGGTGGCGTGGTAGTGGAGATGGCGTATCGTCCGAAAGTCACACCTTTACTCGAACTTGCGAGCAAGGCATCCTCCAAATGGACCCAGGTATATGGTGTCGACGTGCTTCTGGAGCAAGGTCTCCGGCAGTTTGAGCTCTGGACAACCCTTCGGGCTCCCCGACGAGCAATCACACAGAGTGTGACCGACTTCTATAACGCTGTATAGTCGTTTGTCGTTTGTTCAATAACATTGGCATCACGAAGATCGAGCTGAGGCTGATAGCACAGGGTCAGTTTGGAAGGGTCTGGATCGATATCGGCCTTCTAAGTATTTAATGACATACTATCTATGTCTCGACTGAGGAATCATGGCTGGACGCCTGCCCTTTCGTCCCTGTTGGAAAGATGGGCTCAAACTGTCCACGCGAACCAAAACGTGGCGACAGGCTCTAAACGAGACTATTATCGGTCAGAGGAGACGTGCGTCACGGAGTTGAAATTGTGAAAAATTCGCAGAGTCATGAGAACAGACCGAGAGTGCTGCCCTATCGCTTATTCGTTGTGAATACTGGATTGGTCGAGTGTGTAAAGTATAAAAATTATAGAACGAGTTCGTTTGCTATGGATATAGCAATTCCACTGGCCTCCTGGCCTTGGAGTCCAGCGGGCAGGCAAGTCAAGGTCCGCAGCGGGGTCGCTGTTTCGTTTATCTATACACATTTTGTGCATCTTCGACACATTCTGGCGAGTTTAGCGCCACTTAGTGATAGGGCGCCGATCAAGTCCGTTCATATATGGAGCCCTTCGGGGTACCAGAAGGGCATGAAGAGCTTTCTCTGGCTTTATTAGGGTCTGAAATGTCTGAAGATTACCTCGGCAGCTCGCGTGTTGGTCTGAGGAAGCCCTATCAATAGTCGTTGAACAATGCTTTTCAGATACTAAACGCGCAACTTTGCGAGATGGGACTCTTCCTTGAATTTCATTCTAGACTGGCTGGCATCGCTGGAGAACTACGCCTATCGCACGCGCTGACCTTGGAAGGAGCGGGCGCCCTTCGGACCAAGGTGTCTTGAGTTCCAGCAGCTTGTCAGCTGTAGTGTACATGGTTTAGAGTGCATATATGTGCAGGACTGGGTGTCCTTCCTATAGATTCTTCGCTGCCTGAGGCAGGTGCTACGGCGCCTCTATAGAGAGCAAGCCGTTTGAGGTTACCATTGGTTATGAGCAGGTGTTTGAAGTTATTCTGGTAATTTTATGAACTTTATTACATCCACAACGTGAACTAGGGAGATGGTGGTTGCGTACAAAGACAAAAAGGCAGTCGTGGCCAAACATGAACAAATTTCACACGGACGAGGCAGATTCCTAACCACCATAACAAAAAGCCTGCCCAGAATGGCCTGGCGAAACTTCATTCACTGCACATCCTCTTCAGTAAATGTCATATGATGTCCCCAAACCAGCGTTCCGAGCAAGTTGAGACGTCGAAAGGGCGGTGTGGCTATCGCCCCATACCATACAACTGCAGCGTTTTGAGACCCTGTCCATAATCGTGGGTGGCCCCGATTACCGTCACGAGTAGACCATTCATCGCACCGCGGTATCTGGTATCGACACAGGCGGGTGCAGAACCTCTTTCCTGCGTGTTCTCCCATTCTGCGGGAGAGCCCTCCGACAGGGCTCATGTCATTGTTGTCAGTCTCTTCCAAATGAGTTAGAATGGTGTGATGTATGCTCCAGCGCACTGAGCTGAGCGCTACCTTTTTGCTCGGAGACTGCAAACGCACTGGATAGTCAGAAGCTTGGAAACAGCCAAAGCCATGCTATTGCAATGCTCTGATCCAATTCATCTGTGGGAACTGCGATTCGGCGCGCTGGGCAGGCGGATGTCCTGGGTATTCTCGCGGGAGGGAGTATCTTCGTTTACGGCTTTATATATCTTCACCTGCCTGCTTGGGGCTTCCTTTGTTTCAGCAGCCGTTGCAACTGTTCGCCTCTGAACGTCAATTCAGAAACTTTGGACGGTTCACCTGTCGCCGCCGACCAATCATCAGGGACAGCCGGGTGACCGCCCTGCCATTAAGCTCGCGGTCTACATATTTCCGTCTTGCTTAAAAACCCACGTTCCCTGGCCGTCTCTCTGGATCGCCCTCCCTCGCCTTCCCTTCCTCGATCCCTCCGTCCATTAGCGCTCTCCCCAACAAGCCTCTCTTCAATCTTCCATTAGTCCTCTCTCTCAGGAACTAGGCGACCCCATATCAATCTTACCCTCTCCTAGTAAGCGCATGTTTCTCTCGCCGTCGCGCATGGTTGACTAACAGAATGCCTTGCAGTCACGACATGTCTCTCCGTCACCAATATCACGCCCAATGCGACCAAAATACCGCACATTTCGCGACCACTCGGTCGTCCTCGCGGTGTAGCACGCCGTCGCTGCCCTCACCGCCCTCTCCACTCTTCACGGGCGCTCTCGACCAGGTGTTTGGAGCCCAAAACCCATACATTGATCCTCTTCTTTTCGGAGGGTCGATTGACAATGCCACATTGTATGAGGCTACGGCGTTTGTCCATCCCATGGACCTTCACAGTCTCCCCGACCCAAATTTTGGCTGCATAATTCCACCAGACTTGCATTTTGCCAGTCCCATGGTACAGCAGACCTTTGATCCACAACCGCCTCAGACTCTCGAGGTGACCTATATCACCAGCACAAGCGACACTATGCAGCCGTTGCCGCAGCAATCGTACTCTGTCGACTTGCCCAAGAGGAAAGGGGACCGTGCGCTCGCTCGATTACATCGCTCCGTAAGTCTCCCAAGCTTTCCTGATAGCAACTCTTGGCTGATTATGGGCGTCGCTATAGGCAGTAGACCCGGATCGTCATTGGGCATGTGACAAATGCATTCAGAAGTTTTCTCGCAAGTCAGATTTGACGAGACATCTCAAACGGCACTCGGGCATCAAGGACTACCCTTGCACGAATCCGGCCTGCCCATTGCCCCCAGCGGAGCGTGCCTTCTTCCGAGCTGATGCTCGTCGACGGCACTGGAGTCGCAGCCCAGCTTGTGAGTCTGAGTTTTACAAGACGCCCGAAGGGGTAGCCTGGTACGCCCTTGGTACTTGCTCGATGGCTCAATGCTGATTCTTTGTACAGGATAAAGAAGAATAGTAACAGGCGTGGTGTTCTCATATATCAAGAAGAGCCCAACGACGACAACAGCGACGGTAGCGACTCACCCTACGCCGAATGAAGGAGCCAGCCGGTGGCTCTTGTGAGAAGCCTTCGATTATGCCTCATCCACGCCACCTATAGACGGTGCTGTACTATGCCCTTGTCGGAGATACACACTCGGGGTTCCATGTTTTAGCCATTGGCATTAGAAACCAGTTTTCCCACCCGAAAACAGCTTGTATCCTTAGTCAACCAGGATTGTTATTCTATGACGAATACACCATTTACTCGTCCATTGTTCGAACGCCCTCTGGGCCAGTGACCTTAATCGGGGAGTTGATGGTCAGCCTACTCGCCAAAGCGACACTAGCCTCGCTGGACACGGTGTCCGGGGTCAACGGATCATACTGAGCCACAAGGCGCAGCTAACACCAACAGGCTGTAATAGAGGGCTCAACTAGTGATCGTTGTGTAACACCGAAATGGAAACCTCGAGAAGACAAGGTCGATGACAATCCAATAGCTGAAAACTATTGTTACATTGTTCCCTCTTTCGTCGACTCCGGCTTGCGCATCTCACCGAGGGCTCACCTGCCACAATGGGGGCTTCCCCATGCATACGTATGAAAATTAGGTGGCTACTATTCTAACGTCAAGACTCGTACATACATTCACGATTCACGAGCTATGCCTTTGGTAAGAGCGCCTAAGAGTGGCTACAGGCTGGTTGACCGATGCGAACGCGATCGTCGCAGGTGCACACTCGGCTCCTGTGTTTCATCAAGGTAGCATGGCTTGCTTAACGGACTTGAATTTGCAAATGAGGCGAACGTTGTGCGCTACGCGACAATGCATTGGTCGTTCAAAGATGGCAAGCCGTCAGAGCCCACATCCTAAAGGAATTCCCCTCAGTTGAGGATTATTCTCACAAAGAGGCAACCACTTACGAAACCAGGCGGTAACGTGCCCATAATTTCAGCCGGCGGCGATCCGTATTCCTGCATCTACCAACGTCGTGAACATGGAAATCCCCGATGTATTCATAACTCACTTCGCTCATGAGCTTGATAATCTCCGCACTCGTGGCGGGGTTCGTGTCCGAGTAGTCGGGTGACTCGAATATGGCAATGACTTCTGAAATGATACTCTTTTGCTTGTCGTAACGGACCTGATCCTCGGTAGATATCAGGGAGCGATTGGTCTCCAAATATTCTGGGAACTGGGAAGGTTGTTGGCCACAGAAACAACACCAGAGAAATCGCTGACCTTGTCGTTCAGCTCCTTTAGGGGTTCATATAGTATCTCCTTTGACATGAGTTGACCCATCAGCGTCTCCAGCACGCCTTGAACACCGTCTCCTCCTTCCCCGTCAAAGTTGAGGTTCGAAAACGCTGAAAGCAAGCTGGAAAGATCTCCTTCATTCAAATCCGCCTGAAGATGTGAGCATCATGATAAAGAAAGAGGAGTGCTCACCTTGTTGCTTTCATCGCTCTTTTTGAGCTTGTCCATTGCTGATTTGACGGCATTCTGGAACGCATCCTCAGCTTCTTCTTTCGTCTTAGATTTCGCATCCGCAGTTGCACTTGATTTCGTTCCTGTCGATGTGGATGGAACGTTAAGAGTGGCGTCTTCCAAAGTCTCGTCCTCCTGTTCGAGATCGTCAACAAGGAGAGATTCCCACGCCTTACGCAGAGCTTCTGCTTTCTTGGCCGCATCAGGATCGATTTCAGAAGGTATGCTGCCACTTGGATCCGCTAGGCTTTTCATGAACGCTTCCATTTCGTCTGCAAACTGCTTCGCAAACTCGTCTTCGTCTATAGAATCGTCCTTTTTTGCAGCATCTGGAGCTTTAGGTGCCTTTGCTGGTTCTTTGGCCTTTGTGGATGTAGAGGGTGCGTTGAATTGCTCGAGAACGTCTGCATATTGAACGTCAGATTGAAGTCCTGCACATAAGAGCACCAATACCATCCAAATCATCAACGTCATCCTCAATCGTCGTCTGTTTTGATGGCGGCATTGGGGGAGAAGGTGGATGGTCCGGTTCAAGCTCGTTCACTTCCGGCTCATAAATCACGATGGTAAGACCGAGCCCGGAGACACGCTGTGCTCGCGCTAACGACGAGATTCAATCAGGATAACAACGCAGGTAGCTCCCCACACCTGATTACAGTCTCAGCCGCTCACGTCGCGCGCAGAATACAAGGAGGCCTTTGCGCTTTTTGACAAAAAGGGAACGGGAACTGTTCCACGAGAGACTCTTGGAGACTTGCTACGTGCTCTTGGGCAGAATCCAACACAGGCAGAAGTCTCAGAGATTGTGAACAAGGCGCCGCGAGAAGGTAAGCCAAGGAACCTCGTCCCGTTCCAAGAACGAGCCGTTAACGAAGATTATCTGCCACAGTTGACTACAAGACCTTCCTCAGTATTCTGAACCGTCCCGATGGTTTCAAACCAGCAGGAACCCCAGGTCGGTGGCACACACAATAGTCACTGTGATATGGGCTGACACGAGCCCAACAGAGGAGTTTATTCGAGGATTCCAGGTCTTTGACAAGGAAGGCAACGGCTATATCGGCGCAGGCGAGCTACGATACGTTCTCACCCAGCTTGGAGAAAAGATGACAGATGAAGAAGTCGATGAGCTGCTCAAGGGTGTTCAGATTGGCGCGTACGTCTGTTTATTTGGATGCCACTGCGCGATCTCACGATACAACAGCGATGGAAACGTAAACTATGAGAGCTTTGTACGAACCATCCTCAGCCAGTAGATTATCGTGAGTTCAAATGGATTTATATCCGCAAATGCTGAATCTATCTAGTAAACAGAATATACAGCTGAGCTTTGGATGTCATATACAAGGGTCAGATCTGTGAAAGGAATCAATCAGGACGATTCTCGAGGCGGGGAGTCAGGCCATTCTATAGGCTCTTCATCGTCCTCCATATGACCAGCGTCTTGCGTCTCCTCTGGTTCCTCGACCAATTGGGTTTCCTCTGGTGCACCGTCTTCTGTTTCTAGTGGCTGAACATTACTCGTATCAGCTTCATTCGGCGAAGCCTTCTTTGGCTTTGTCACGTTCTTCTCCGTCGTCACAGGTTTCGGCAAGCCGAACAGAGTGGTCTGCTTGGGAGCTTTCTTATCTCCTTTGCTCCCTTGTAAAGATTCAGACAAAACTGCTCATCTCCACTAGTTCGCTTACCAGATTTCGACGGTCCAGCAGCCTCTGCTGCGTCTACCTTTTCGAAGAACGAACCGCTCTTGGCAATTGACTGGTTCGAGACGCGAGTCCTCGCAAATGGATTTGGCTTCGCATTAGACGGGACCGCGCTCGCCAATTTGCGAGACATGGGTGCATCGGCGGAATTGGATGCAGCACTCGTCCCCTGTGTTCCCGTCTTTTGCTTCTTTGGCGCAGATGTCATCTCTTCGTCTTCATCTATTCTCTTGCGCTTGTTTTCGACTGGTGGCGAAGAAGAAGCAGCCCGTCCAGTGTCCTGGTCGTTCGCATTGTACTGACTGGAGTCCAGGTCACCCGAATTCGTACGTGTCTTTTCTAATCTTGCGAAAGGATTGCTTTGATCTGGTTTTTTGGCGAAGACGTTGTGACTGTAGCTTGGAATGGCGTTGGCCAACGAACGCTTTGGAAGGATGGGTGGTGGTCGAAAATCTTGCGGTGCACCGCCCATTCTGTTACCCAAAAGGTGACCAAGGACGTCACCAGATGGTGGTATTGGGCCTACTCCTCGAGCCCATGCCCTGCGCTCGTTCATTTCATCTACAGGGTCCTCGTTCTCTTCCCTCCATGCCTTCCACGTCTTGATCTTGTCAACTAATCCAACAAGATGATAGTATTCCGCGAGTTTGGCGGCAGTATCGAGTGAGTTGATCTGGTTCAAGAGATGCACTAGGTCGTTTGCTCGTTGCAAATGTCTATCCTTGATGGCAAGCTGAAGAAGTTTGATAATATCCTTGTCCATAGCGACTTCTTTCTCTGCTATTTCTTCCGAGGCCAGCTCGCGACCCAGAGTGTCTCGCATCCACCCGAGTAATATTCCTTCTCGCACCAATCTGTTACCGAGTCAGAAACGCATTTTAAGAATAATATTTGCGTACTTTTCTTCTGAGGTGACGGTCTGGGGTTGTTCTGTGGATAGCAGTGGTATCTGTAGCTCAATCTCCTGTACCAAGGGTCTTGGGAAGCCAGGATACTCGGCACGACCCTTCAAAATGAGACACATGAACGTCGTTCCTGAAAGGCCGATAGGCCAATATGTCTCCTCTTTGCCAACACGTCTTGCTAGCGTGTTTGTATCAAGCAAAGGAACCCAGCGGCCTTGCCTTGGACGACGGAAACGATCAAGAACGAAGAGCACACCAGTGGAATCATAGATAGCAGGCGCCTGGGAAAAGGTGAATGGTATGTCCGGATGTTGGAGCATCTTACCCCTTCTTGGGAGATCCCGATCCATTTGAGGGTCTTTCCCTTTGGTAGCGGTAGTTGACCGTCTTGCACGGCCTCGAACCGGTCGAGCGAAATGATAGAATAACGAAGATTTTGGCACCCTACCGTAGTGGCTCAGAAAAGTCGCTTTAGGGCGTCAGCACGTACCATCCAAGCTTGTCCCTCCCTCGCGATGCACGACAAACACCCATTCGTCTCCAGCAACAAGAGACACAAGATCTCCACCCATTGCCCATATGTAAGTCTGGATACCGCTTCCTTTGAAGAAGCGCAGGTATCCGCGACTAGTGGCGGCGACGACGTGACCTGCGCCATCATCTTCCGTTTGCTCCTCTGATCCACGTTGCTTGTACGAGTATCGACCGGGAATACCCCCAGCCGCAATAGCAATTATGTCTTCACCGTGAGGGAGTTCAATCTTCCACTCCCCAGCACTTCCCCAAGTGGAATAGGGCTGATACATGAGCTGGGAGGGCTCGGATTTTTCCGAGGGACGAGCGTACGCAATGCCGCGCGTCCCTAGAGAAGCCAGAGTAAAATGTGAGTGGTCAGTGAAATGGTGAGAGTTGTAGGTCGAGCGGTCGTGAAATTCAACGTTGATGATCTGATGAGCATCCTGATCTGTCACTTCTATGACACCAATGCTGTTGTAAGCTGCAAGGTAATTAGCATAGTAACAAATTGAGGGTAGGCACCTACCTAGATAGCCTTTCCGATCTCTCAAGGGAGTTGCACCAGGTTGGAAAGCGAGCTGCGCCTTTGTAACGGATACTAAGACCTATTAGCACCCTTTCAGCCACCAAAACTCTAGCACACCAATTTCCCGAGCATAGCTCTTCTCCTTGTCTCTGCTTGTCTCGGTCGTTACTCCGCCAGCACCAGCCATGTCGTCAATGATCCAATCCTCTTCAAGATCTTCCCCGAAATCTTCCTCCATATCTCCAAACATTGGTGTCTTTTCTCTCCGCACTTGCTTTGCTGTTCGCTCGACAAAAGGCGCGGGCTGGCCATCGGGGATAGGGTTAACCCAGCGATATAAGTTGCCCTGGGTATCTCCCCATACGAGTATATTTTGTGTGGGAGAAAACAGCAGTTGATTGATGTGTGTTTGACTGTCGATTTGATGACTACATACAATAAGTGGCAGGACTAGAACAGCAACTCAAGCTTACCGGAACATGACCCGACGGATCTGAGTAGACCAGATGAGTACGCCATCTTTGCTTGCAGATGCGAGATACAATCCATTTGGAGAAATGGCCAATGCAGTGATTTCCTGTAGGACGAATGAGACTGGAAATATGTATAAGAGAGTGGACTCACGGACGATATTTCATCCGAAGACGGAAGAGTGCCACTTTTTGCCCATGTATCACGGGACACGGCAACAATTTCGTGTGTTCTTGTGGCGACGAAGAAGACTTTGCCACTGGGATGCCAGACGGCAGAACAGTCATTGGAGAAGCTTGAAGCTTCTGGATCTGCGTATGGGACCAGCCCGTCGATCGTTTTCACGAGGATGGCATTGTCTCCCGATGTATCCCATACGAGGATTCTGCCATCTTGGCCACAGGTTGTCTGCATTTATGTGAGCTCTGAATACATGTCAAAGTCATACACATACAAGAAACGAGGACGAGGGATGCCATGTTGCTTTGCGGACGCCATTCTTATGCCCAGTCAACGTTTGAACCTTTGTAATGTCATCGAGATCGATAATTTTGACATCCAAATCGCTATAAACGCGTCATGAATGCATACTCGTATCGCGAACGAGGCGTACTTACTCTGAAGCGACCGCGATGCGCGGCTTGTTGGGATCCAGGGCGACGCAGCGCCGCGCAACCGCATTCCCCGACATGATTAGATCCTGAAACCGATTTGTAGCCACGCTATACTTGCGAACGGAGCTGTCCTGGCTGGCCGTGATCCACATCGTGTCGGTGGCAGCTACGCTCGACAGGGCCTCGTCAGATTCATTTGACGCAGCAATTTCTGGGTCCTTTTCCTCTTCCATATTCCAAACACGCGCGACACAGTCGCCACCGCCAGTGTAGAGCAACCTGCGGGGACGAAGACGATGAGGATGAGCTCGTTTCGCGCCAAAGACGCGTCAAACATACTTTCCATCTGGTGAAAATGCAAGAGCGACGGGTCCTGGGCCGTGATGCGCAACGTTTAGCAAAATGTTGGCCATTGTCGCAGAGTTGCAACCTTGGACTCTGACCGAGATGCGCTATGAAAACGTGTACAGGACGTCGCGGGCTCTTCCACGGATGAGCTGGGCAGGGATTAATCTCTACAATCTCTGGGCACGGTCACTGGGACCTGCGTCGGGACACGACGAGACGACGTTCAAGCGTACATTCTTGACGCTCTTCCAGCAGCGATGGAAGGCCAAACGGCTGGTCAGAGGGTATCATGGAGACTATATAGGAGAGAAAAAGTTTAAAAAGTGGTATCTGCCAGAGCTCATCCCGGATGTTCGACCAAAACGACCGCTGGGCCTCTCGCGCACCATTGAATCGCTGCGTATAGCGAACCGTACGAGAGAAGCCGCTCATATGGAGAGAAAGGCAAAGAAAGAGGATGAAGAGCTCGCCAGTGCACCCGTCGGAAGCCTCATGTTTATCGAGGTCGAAAAGCGAATAGACACCATCGTCTTTCGCTCATGCCTCGCGACGAGCGTATACCAAGCACGACATCTTGTCCTTACTGGTAAAGTCAAGCTTAATGGTGTTGTGGTGAGTTGGTCCTGGTCGTTTGTTGCAAACCTTTTTTGGCTCACATCGGGCTAGTGCAAACAACCTTCAAAACGCTTGGAACCTGGAGATATGATTTCTGTTGATCCCAACTCTATATCCTTTCTGAAGCCGTCGCTCGCAACGCCAGCTACAACACCAACCCTCGAAACCGTTGAAGAGGTTCCTGAACAAGAAGGAGCGGAAGCCTCTTCAGAAACTACGACAGGGGATGTTGAAGGTGCTGCAGAGACCAGCGCCACAGCCGCGGAGACGGATGTATCCGCGAACGATGCCGCTCCTACGAATACCGCAAACGAAGAGCCAAAAGAGAGCAAGTATCGTCGTAAACAAGAGGAAAAGGCACTGAAGTCGACCGATACGCTGGGTTATCACCTCGACTTGCCGGATTACGCCGCGCCGTTCCTATTTATCCCCGCATATCTCGAGGTGTCCTTCGTGACGTGCTCGGCGGTATACGTTCGGCACCCGACGGCACGAAAGGGATACTCGGAACTGCCGACACCGTACGATGCAGATGGAGAGGTGATGCGACTTGCGTGGGAGTGGTATGTCAAAGTCCGACCACGGATGCGCGGAAAGCTCCAGCGCGAGACGGGTCCTCATGGAATGAAACGGCCGGATCCATACTGGTCACAGTACCAGTCGAGTTGATCGAGCCGTCCCGGGCCCATATGCCACCCTTGGCTTTTCCCCCGTCCCATTCGTGTTGGATACTAGTTCGGAATTCAATGGTCGTTGCATCTAATTTACATGATCTTCATCTACCGCATGGGGGCCAATGTCGATAACCCCGCGATTACAGGAGCGTGCGATGACCCCGCAGGAGGGGGTGGCGAATACCTGATTTAGACTTGCAAGATCGATGGGGACACAAGCTTTCTGGGGATGGGAAGAGCGGTTGTTTGAATAAGAGATCTGCCAGAGCGAGTGCTGTCGGTCGCTTCTCGTGATGGACGGATGCGTGAGCAATTCGGGATAACCAGAGGGATCAAAAGGACGCGCTCAGGGCTGTAGTGGGTCTCCTTGAACGTGCGAGAGAAACTGATTCCGACGAGGTGCCTCTTTCCGAGTGTTGGCGGGGCCGGCGGCGGAAAACTAGGGATATCCAAAGAGGAGCCATTCGGAACAGTGGGAGCTATTTGTTTCCCATGGTTGTCACGAGTACCGGTCCGCAGGGGGAACTACACTTCAGGAACTAGTTGCAGGAAGGGTGTCTTACCGAGTTCCCAAACAGGATACGAAATACGAACCGGGAAAGAGCGACGCAGCCGGTCATCAACCACGACATAGAGTACCGGCAAAACAAGAGGAAGAATTGAAAGAGTGGAATGGCCCAAGGATTCAAGTGGCCACGGCCGAGATGGCGGCGAGGTTCTGTGCTGTAAATGTACGATAATCAGGTGAAATCGTAGGAGTTATTTTGTGTGGAATGCTTGGGGAAATTGACCGATTGGCGGAAACCGGACGTGGTCATTTGCGGACTTACCCCGCAACAAAGTCAGCCTTCGACTTTGGACCGTACGCTACTAACCACCGTTGCCGAAAAATTTCTCGCATAATATGGAAGACGGCGACGAGAGCCATTTCCTGGGTGATCCAAAGCTGGTACTCGCTGCAACAACGTTGCTCGTCGCTGCGGGCGTTGGGACTTGGAAAGTGCTTTCGCCCGCACTCGCCGCTGCCCGCCACGACGCTCGCCAGCGTGTAGACAGCCTGCTAGGTACTACTTTAGCCTCTGAGCTAGCTGATCGAGCGACCAGTGCAGCGGACAAAAAGGGCAAGCGGTCCAAGGAGCGTCGCAAGAGAAATGGTCCGCCCAAAGTCTCCAAAGCAGCGCTCAATGCCGCCTCCCAGTCCTCCAAAAGAGTTGTTCGTCAACTTTCTGCACTTTCTACACCTCGAACTCGCCCCCATTCGTCGTCAATCTCTGGCATGACCGAGTCTGTCCCCGAAACCGACCCAGGAGTGGCGCTCCAGCCACTGGTAGATGATCACACTCCCTCCAGGGATGCTGCACTGCATGAGATGGACAAGACGGTCGCGCCCGAAAATATTGCCCTCCCGCCGTCACCAATAGCTAGCAGGCCCCAATCTCCCCTACTCCTCCCAAGCTCGTCTGCAAGCGAGAGCAGCTCTGGAACACCACTCACCCCAGCGTCTATGGCTGCTTCGAATGCCTCGCTGCCCCCCCTTGCAGAGGAGGGTACCCATCATGCTTGGCACTGGGCCGCGCACCAACCGCCGACAAAGGGATCAACGTCGACGCCTCAACGAGGTCGCAAGGCCCATGTGCGTCGCAAGGACGCCAGCGTGGAGGCGGAACCAAGCGTGGCCACCTTTCCGACACTCAATACACTCCCGCCCCCCAACACGCCTCTAGAGGTCCAGATCGAGTTTATGCGCAACCAGGTCGAATCGTACCGTGCACAGGAAGAGTCGACGAGGATGCGTGAAGAGGCGCTCTTGATCGACCTCGAACGTCTGCGTGCCGAGTCTGAGCAATCTCGCCAGGACGTCTCGCGGCTCCAGTGGCAGCTCAATGACATGGCCCAGCGAGAGGAACGGGTACGCATAACCCTTATGTTATACCAAATAAACTAATCCTCCCACAGCTCCTCAGCCAAGTAAATGCGCTCACCATGCAGCTCCATCAGGCCAGGGGTGGCCAACCTCCTCCAGCCATGCCAGTCGGCATCCCTGTCCCACTGTACCAACCGCAGCCAATTCCATACCCTCAGATATCGCCCGGTCATCTTGGATTCTACTCGCCACATGGCCATCCATATGCAAACGGCTCGCCAATGCATGCACCGTTGACGCCAACCAGTCTCGTTTCCCCTACTCAGATGCATCCTCTCATGGCCATTCCTCCCTTTCCGGTTCCCATGCATGCCCCAGTCCCAACTTCAGGAACTCCACTCGACACGTTCAATGGAGGCAGCCGCAGTAGTCTCCAGAACCGGACAAACGACGACGCAACGAGTGATGCCGACGGTGAACCGATTAGCTTTGGACTCATGGAGGCCATCTTCAAGCGGCCACAGAGTTATGCCGCAAGCCAAGGGAGCGGCAGCGCACGATCGGCACGTTCGCCATCGAATTCCCTCTCCCCCAGCTCGGATGCACGACCTATTCACGCAAGCAGGAGTCCTAGCGTCGCTGGCAAGAGTATTGATCATGACTATCCGGCTGCTATGGGACACGTAGGCACGGACAAGGCGGAAGCAGACGATTCCTCCCGACATGACGACAGTACCCGCGGAGCGCAGGAGACGGTTGCGTGTGATAGAGATGATCGCACGCCCGGTCATGATACTTTCCAACCTTCCAAGCTAGGTATGGATACCCGCCCATTGACGCCGCCCTCGACGGACGAGGCGGACGATACGCGTGGACGTGGTGTGGACATTTACTATTAGCTTGCCAGCGCACCTTCAGCACCTTATCCTTATGGCTTTAGAAGACTTATTGCATCCACCCAATCGACTCTCACTGTTTATTACTCGTATATCCCCGCCTATCCGTCTCAGTCGCATCCTCGCATCCCTTTATGTCAGTACAAAGACCTCGAACCCTTGGAAACCAGGGTTTCACACCTACATGTGACAGGCATTGCAGGCATGTTACTTTTGTCGCATGCAGGTCCCCACCACGATTACCACATCCCTCTTCATGGTCCGTTTGTGCGCATCTCAGACGCGTGCTCAGATTGCAAAGAAACACGTAGTGACTACTTGTATGTAGCTCGTCCAACATTGTCCCGTCTAGCTTTGGTATACAAGAAACATGTTCTATGTACGATTGATTTCGTCGAGTGAGCGATTAAACCTTGGGTCCAACCAGGCTCTCCAACAAGGCGACATCGTCCTTTCTACCTGACTCTTCGAGGGTGGAGATGAGGCTGTCATAAAACTTCCACCACCAGCGTTTGGGTTCTTCATACGACGGATCGTCGGTCGGCCGGTCGAACCACGGTTTATCGGACAGAATGTAGTGAATGGCGCGAATCTCGTCGTCCTTCCAAAATGAAGAATGGATATACCTGACTGTAATGTAAACCACGCGCTTCTAGTACAAGAATGTGGACTGACCTGAGCGTTTTGAGCGCGTTATAATAGTACGGCAATGGCATCCACTGGTCGCCGAGCTCTTCCTTGGTAATCTCTCCCCATCCTTCGGGTGCCTCACCGCCGCCTCCGAAAAAGGTCCCGATCAAGTCTTGATCACAAAACTTCCAGGTGTGAACGAGAGGAGACGTGTCGAGCATCTTTTTCATCCTGTTGAATAACTCGACCGAGGGACGGCATAAGAACATTCCTGAGTTGAGGAGATGGTATGGTCGAGGGACAGGGGTGTTTGGTTGGAGTGGCTGGGTGCTGAGGCAGTCTGGATAGTTGGCTTGAGAGTATCCACAGTTTTCAGGTACCCTGTATCATTCAAGTCTTGCTCGCCTTTAAGGGGGACTCGTACGTACCAGTCCTTTGGATAGTGTGGAATTTTGCGAGGGTTGCACGCACATGCATGAACAGCCGCGACTTGATTTGAGGTAATGGGCAGATCGAATATCTCGTCCATGTTCCTTCGCACGATCATGTCCGAATCGAGGAAGACGACTTTCTGGAGCGGGCCATCAACGATCGCGGGAATCATGATCACCCTCTAACTGACCTCGAATTGTTCGAGCGCAAATACTCTGATAGACCCGTTAGATCATATTTCTTGAGAGTAGGGGGAGAGATATGGCCTACCTGACTTTGGTCCAGATGTCGGTAAATCGAGCCTCGGTCTTGGATGGATCAAAGCGAGAGGCCGGAAGGATCAGCAGGTCTACAGTCACAAGCTCGATTCCAAATCTTTTCAACGTCTCTTGTGCATCCTGCGGGAGCGTATCTGTGACCGCCACCACAAAGGGGTATTTTGGTTTGGTGGCCATCAGGGAATGATACAACACGAGCGTCCCAGCTAGGTACGACGTTCGAGAGAGCAGAGTCATATAAGCCCTGGAACCCATGGCGGAATGGCAAAAGGCAAAAGGGCAGTCGGTGGACGAGAGAGCGTTGAGAGTACCACCCAAGTCCTCACAAATGACCGGAATATACATTCAATGTTGTCATTTTCAATGTTTTGAAATATCGAGATTGCACACGGATGTGGTAGACAGCAACTTGGATCCAACGCCGTCTCGACGAATTGTAAAGCAATGGTCAAGACTGACTCGCTGAACCCATCAATCGACGAAATACGAGGTTGGACTATTTTCACCTAATTTGGTCAGGCTAGATTGCTCACAAAGGCGTGTAAAACAGCCAAACTCGAGGCTCGTGACAAGGCCGTCCGCGAGTCATGGGTCAACGCGATGGAAGCTCGTCTTGTTGGTGAAGAATTGGCCAAATGCAAGAAAGGGGAAGGTGTCAACGCTCACCTGCACTGTAAATACCTCGCCGACCTTTACCTTGAGCTTCTCAAGAATGCGCCTGTATGCAATGCAACCAATTTGTTTATATGAAAAAAGCTGACTCTTTCGCCAGGTTAAAGGGTTCAAGCAGATGGAATTGCCCAAGAGCAAATAGCGGTCATATATTATAGAACTAGACTATGTTCGACAGTCAATACAAGTCTCGTCTACGACGCCGCGGCCTTTTCTGCTGCTTCCTTTTCCAACATGCGTCTGCCAGTCATCAGTAGAGTGCTTTGGGAAGTAACCTGGAGCTCACTTTCGTGCCGCGAGAATCATTGCCTCCTTGCGTTTCTGCAAAGATTCCTGACGCTTTTCGGGCGTTGCCTCCCATACGCTTGCACCCGTGTTCGAACCAACACTAGCGCGTCCTTTGCCCTTTGCAGCAGCAGGAATTGGACCCGCACCATCCCAGTTTGCGACCGACGTGTCGGGATCCGCATTCAGCTTTGACTCGAGATGGAATCGTTGAATCAGAGATTGAGGCTTTGAATCTGATTTACTCGCAGAAGGCTTTGATGCACCACCCGTTGCTGTCGTAGGTTCAGTGGTTGTAGCCGGGAACGCGCGAAAGTAGGCTGCTGGTGGCTAGAGCAGCGTGCTTCAGAAATTGAAATTGCGAGTGAACGGGTGCACTGACAGCGTCAAGATATCCTCGTTCCAACAAGGTATTCACCGTCGTCTCGACAGACCCAGATCGCAAGAGATGATAATGAATGTTCGCCCTAGGTCTCGAGGTCAATACTTGTATTCTATAGTGTCTGTATGTAGACGTACGTGGGTATATCCGGGAATGCAGAGCGAACAGACTCGATCTGTAACATGAACACAAAGGTGAGGCTGTGAGCGACGGCTTGGCTGAAATAAGAGAGCGTACCATGTCTGGAGTCGCCTTTCTGGGTTTGAATCCAAGAGTTCTAGCGACATTGTTCGCTGCAGCCGCTTCTTCTGCATTGCCGGGTTTGCCTACGACGCGACATGTGTCCCGTGAGATCGCGCGGAGAGATGACGAAGAGGAATAAAGATTCATAAGAGCAGAAACGTGCGTTCAAAGACGTGCCGATGTTAGCACGCGAGATTTCAAGCACGCTGTATTCCTTACCGGTAGCCCATCGAGCGACAAAGTAGATGACTGCAACAGCAATTATTACGTTGATAATATCTGCATCCATTCGGTGTCGTAAATCACGATACAAACAGAAGTGGTCAAGTCGAGGTCGAGGCCAAGTTTGGATGATTGTGTTTGCATTGCGCAGAGAAGAAATTTTCATTGCTATATCTGCATTATACTCGGATGCGAAAGGGATTGTTAAGTGGAGTCTCGTGGTTTGTGACTTCATTGCGGCCCAGCTTGTCTTCTGACCACTTTCGCATGGACACACGAACAGTGAGCTTTATGGGAATTTTAATCTTGATTCAAAGCACTTATACCGCCTATAGGCCATTCGCAGCCTCCCCGTTTCCCCACCACCACCAGGCATTGAGCAGACTAGCCATGAAGCAAAGCGAGAGGATGGAAGCTATGACTTTACGCCATTCTTTGCGAGTCTTGATACAAACTCCAAGCTCGCACAGTACTTGTCCAATTTTGATGCTTCCAAGTTCCTTGAATTGCTGAGGGCCGCAGCGTCCCCTCTCCCTGCCAAACCAAAACTCAGCCAACACAAACGCCGGGTGTCTGAGCCCTCCCAATCGGCCATAGACTCATACCAAGCAGAGTTGGATGCTCGTGAACGGGCAAAGGCGTACCTTTGCAGCGAGATCGAGGCTCTGGACTCGGCCATTACTCAAATGGAAGTCGCCAATGTTCCCGGAGTGGAAGCTCTGAGGAAAGACTTCATTGGGGCCAAACAATTTATGCTGGATGCCGTCGCCAACTGCAACACAAAGGCATTGACGCTTCACCTGGAGTTTGATTCTACACCATCGACGCCAGGCATGCCCACACCACCTTCACCGCGGTTGGGAACCGTTCCTTTGCCTGAGGTTACTCCGACTGGCACCCCCGAGATATCAAGAGTGAATACGCCTTTCAGCCCTGCACAGAATTGGCCGTCAATGCTCATGGGTCCAAATGGAGTTGTTTACCGTGTCGTAGCAACCCCATGTGAGCTCACAGACTCCTCGAGCTATTTCCAACTTCGTGAGTCCTCTCCTAGTTCTGTCCCCAGCCCGGTATCGGCTCTACTACGACGACCGGCACCACCTGTATTTGGAAGGCGACCAACCGCAACCCTACTTCGAAGTCTGAGTGGCTTGCGAAAGACTAGCCCGAACCAATGACCCCCAAAGGAGCTGGTGGGGCTGTAGCCACTGTATTCTGTATATCCCTTTGTAGATGCTCACGTGCTGTATAACTTTGACTCTTTGATCATCTCTAAACTCTCGCCACTTTTGGGCGTCGCGTGAGGCTGGAGACCCTTTCCATTTCTGACGCTGCCATTTGGGACTCTGGCGACGATATCGCCAGTGGCGTCTCTCTGAGTCACACGGGGACATTAGAAACCGATTGGATACTGCAGAGAGCCAACACATCTCCATCACCGTGCAGAGACCGTGCGTGTTGTGGGCTCACATCGACTTTGCGTCCGGCCACTGATATCATCCATCGTTAAATATCCTAGACCTGTCGAGTGTGACGCGTCTCGATGCCGCGCTATTCACAGAATGCAGATGCGGCACGCGCAGCCGCAGAACAAGCAGAGTTCAACGAGAAGAAGTGGGTGTGGGTGCCCGACGAGGAGAATGGGTATATTGCAGGCTGGGTTATTGAAGAGAATGAAGAAAGCGCAGAGGTCGTCATGGCCGCTGGAGGCGACGTGAGCACTTTGCCCGAGCTCGCGGTGGAAATGGCTGACGGAACACGCGCTCTTTCTCATTAGACACGCACAATATCTCTGAATGCGCTCTCAAAGATGAACCCACCAAAGTTTGATCGTGTCGACGACATTGCCGACCTTACCTTCCTCAATGAGGCGAGCGTCGTTCATAATCTCAGACTGCGGTATCTTTCAGGAGCGATTTATGTATGTTTTCTCGTGGAATTCGTAATATTATTGCTCATCATATTGCTTCCAGACATATTCGGGCCTCTTCTTGGTTGCGATCAATCCGTACACCCAGCTACCGCTTTATACGGATGCTATTATTGAACAATACCGTAACAAGCGGCGAGACGAAAATGCTCCACATATATTCGCAATTGCAGAAAGGGCATGGATGAGCATGGGAGAAGAACGAGAGAATCAGAGCATTCTCATCACGTAGGTGCATAGTTGACTTTGTTGGTATTGTCTCACTCTTCCAGTGGCGAGTCTGGTGCCGGAAAGACGGAGAACACCAAGAAGGTCATCCAGTATTTGGCAGCGATTGCCACTGAGAATCATACGACTCCTCCGCATTCCCGGACCTCGTCAACTGTGACTCCGTCCAACTCTAATCCAAGTGGATTCAATGTCCCCAATAGCGGACTTCCTCGTGGTCCTGCTCACAAACACAAGTCGTCTCAGTCCATCACCGCTCCACCCGCCAAGTCCAAGGGCAAATTAGGTCTCCTCGAGCGCCAGATTCTGCAGGCGAATCCAATCTTAGAAGCGTTTGGTAACGCTCAAACAGCGCGAAACAACAACTCGAGTCGATTCGGCAAATTTGTTCGCATCAGCTTCAGCCCCGAAGGTAGTATAGCGGGTGCTAACATCGACTGGTACCTGCTCGAGAAGAGCCGTGTCGTCGTTCGGTCTGACGTGGAGCGAAACTTTCACGTCTTTTATCAACTGCTCGAAGGAGGTGGTCCGTTGTTGGCCACACTCTTACTGGATGGGGATGTCGATTCCTACGAGTATCTGAACAAGAGTCGACGCGAAATTGATGGAATCAATGATCGCGAGGAATGGAGGCTACTGCAGGTTAGCAGCGCTTGCTTGAGGAAAGAGTTGCGCTAATTTCCTCTAAGAACGCCTTGGATGTCGTTGGATTCACTCCAAACGAGCAACTGGATCTATTCAGGATCATAGCAGCCATCCTTCATATTGGAAACATTGATATCTCGGCAGACAGGACGGACCAAGCTCAGATCCGCGTTCCAGCACAAGCGGAGAAAGTCTGCCATCTCCTAGGAATCTCGGTACAAGAGTTTACAAAAGCGGTCCTTCGTCCTCGGGTTCTGGCTGGTCGTGAATGGGTCACCCAAGCACGCACACGACAGCAAGCCCTTGATGAGCTCTCTGCGCTCTGCAAGACCCTCTACGAAAAGTCTTTTGGAGCCTTGGTAGACCGTATTAATCGTGCCCTTGATCGTCCGTCGTCGAAGTCGTCCTTTATCGGCGTTCTCGATATCGCTGGGTTTGAGATCTTTGAGGTTTGTACCTACTTCTGCGGATTCTCGGTGTCATTGACGCCTATTAGACAAACGGCTTTGAACAACTCTGCATCAATTATACCAACGAGAAGCTGCAGCAATTCTTCAACCACCACATGTTCGTTTTGGAGCAGGAGGAATATCGACGTGAACGCATCGAATGGGAGTTTGTCAACTTTGGACTCGACCTCCAGCCAACAATCGACCTCATCGAGTCGAGTGGGTCTGTGATCGGTATTCTGAGCTGCCTCGATGAAGAGTGCATCATGCCGCGTGCGACGGATGCGACGTTCACTCACAAGCTCAATATGCTGTGGACCACTGACACGCCCGGGGAAGAGCCGCATCCAGGCAAGGCCAAATACGCCCCCAATAGATTTGAGCAAGGTTTCACTGTCCAGCACTACGCTGGTCGCGTTGAATACCGAACGGAAGGTTGGCTCGAGAAGAACAAGGATCCGCTGAACGAGAACCTCACCCGGGTTCTCGCTTCCTCTTCTGAGAAGTACATAGCCGGACTCTTCTCCGAATACTCTGAAGGTGGCGGAACCGATGGCTCACGGAAGCGTATTCTCAAAAAAGGTGCATTCAGAACGGTTGGCCAGAGACACAAAGAGCAACTCAACAACTTGATGTCTCAACTACAAGCGACCCAACCACACTTTGTTCGATGCATCGTTCCCAACCCTTACAAACGGCCTGGTCGAGTGGACGTTCCACTTGTCCTGGATCAGCTCAGGTGCAACGGTGTGCTGGAGGGCATTCGTATCGCTCGTCTCGGGTATCCGAATCGACTGCCTTTTGTCGAATTCCGGTACAGATATGAGATTCTTACACCGGGTATCATCCCTCGTGGATACATGGACGGTCGCAAAGCGTGCTTGCGCATGGTTGATGCTCTCGAGCTTGATCGAGCAGTGTTCAAGATTGGAACCTCCAAAATCTTCTTCAAGGCTGGAGTCCTTGCTGAGCTCGAAGAGCGCCGAGATGGTATCCTCTTCGATATCTTCTCGCGTATTCAAGCAGTTGCTCGGATGTGGACTGCGCGCCGACAGATGCGAAAGATTCTCAACCGTGCAGTCGCCATTCGGACCATTCAGCGCAATGCCAGGATGTATGGCGACCTCAAGGAATGGCCTTGGTGGCAATTGTACACAAAGGTATGAACAGATCAATTCGTTTTCTGGCCACCGAGCTCACGAATCACAGGTCCGACCATTGCTCACGGCAACGCGAAATGAAGAAGAGTTGCGCCGCAAAGAGACAGAGTTGACCTTGGCCAAAGAACGGGCAGAACGTGATAAACAAGAACGTGAAGCCCTTCAGAAACTCAAGATGGAGCTCGAGTCGGAGAAGCGTAAAGTCGAAGAGCAACTGGAAGCAGAGCGAGCTCTTGGGTTGGAAAAGGACAGACTTTTGGAACGCAGCAAGAAGCAAGAGTCTGACTTGACCGACGATGTAATTGCCCTTCAACTCGACCTGGAGACTGTGGATGGACAACTCGATCGCGCAATGAAGTTGCAAAAGGAGACGGATGAGAAATACAAGGCAACCCTCCTGAAGTATGAAGAAGCCGCTTTCAATCTTAGTAATCTCGAATCATCCGCGGCGTCTTGGCGTCAGCGTGAAGATGAACTCACCGCTTCCATTCAACGCGCAGAGGGCGAGGTCACCAACTTGACTATAGCCCAAGAAACCCTAAAGAAGACCCAAGCTGATCTGCAGCAGAAGCTGGTCGAGAAAGACCAAGACATCACCAGAGTTCGCGAAAGGCTCGAGGCAAATGTCCGCGAATTGGAGAGTAAGATCTCACAAGAGACAGGCTCCAAGTGAGTTGACCACACTCCGCGCATCCCAATTCTTACGTGGCATTAGGGATATTTTGAGAGGCAAAATCGAGAGTCTAGAGGAAGAAAACCGACAGATCAATCTCCAGATGTCGGAATTGTCTAGGACAGCCACAGAGTACTCAACCATGCTTCAGAAGAAGGAAGCCGAGATTTCCCGCCTCACCTCCGAGTTGTTTGCTCTGAAGAAGGAGCGCGATCAACTATCCCAACAATCAAGCAAGCTCGAGCATGAGATCGCGTCTGTCCTAGGAGAACTTGAAGCCCTGAAGGCGAGTCAGAAAGGGGACATGCAAGCGCGAGAGAATCTGCAACACGAACTGGACGAATTGCGCACCATGATGGCTGCCAAGGCGTCGGAGGACTCAAAACTTCGAGAGGTCGAGAGGAGTAAAGAGCAAGAGCTTACCAGTCTTCGATCTCAAGTCAACAAACTGCAACGAGACGTCTCAGAAGCTCGGTCACAGGCATCAGAAGCCCAGAGCAAACTCAAGTCCGAGACTGAAAGCGCCCAACGTCAACTCAGAGAACTGGAGAGGTCACAGAAATCGATCAAGGAGCAGAAGAGTGCCAATGAAGCAAAGCTTGCTGAGGTCGAGGCGAGCCTTGCAGACCTCGCCAAGTCTAAACGAGTCGCCGAGACGGAATTGCAAGCCGTGCGTGCTCGTCAGCTCGACTTGGACACCCAGTTGGAGGAAGCTATCACCGAGAAAGAGGTGTGTTCGATTTGGCCCTTATTGTCTGGTTGGCTAACCTTTGGTATCAGTCCTTGCAGAGACAATTGGCTGCCGCACAGTCAAAGCAACAGGAGTATGAAGACACGGTCTTGCAGATTGAACGTGAAAAGGCCACCTGGACACGCGAGATGGAAAGTATGAAGACCCGTCTCGAATCCGAGAGCAACCGGCGAGCACACTTGGAGAAGAACGCGACTGGTCGGAACACGGAGGCGGCGCGACTTCGAGAGCGTGTCGCCAAGATGGAGAAGGATATGGTCAATCTCCAAAAGGATATCGGAGATCGTGATTGGCAAATCAAGCAGCTCAAGAGCAAAGCCAGTCAGGACAAGACCACTGTAGAGCATGTTTATGTCCTACAAGAGGCGAAAAGAGTCACCGACCTCCAACTTGAAGAGGCAAAGAGAGAGTTGGAACGAGAAAGGACTCGGATCAAGACTCTCGAGACAACGAAAGCTCGGCTCATTAGCGAAGCGGAGGACGCCGCGTATCAACACCAGCAAGAACTCGTTGCCATCCGCTCAAGTGATAAACACTCACAGGTGCTCGAACAAAAGGCGGCGAAGGCTCTCGCCAATCTCGAGAGGGAGAAGAGCATACGAGAGACAGCTGAAATGCAATCGAAGAGATTGGAATCGGAGCTCGAATCGATGCGATCGCAGATGGCCGATCTCGAGCAGAGTCTACATACTGCAGAGCGTACGCGAGAGCACATGGAGACGGAAATTGCCACTCTCGCCGCGAATGGAGACAGCGCCGAGTCGATGAAGAAGATGAGGCGAGACTACGAAGCGCGGATCACGCAGCTAGAGTCGCAAATAGAAGATAGCGAGATCGTACGTGTCACCGCTGAGCGCATCAAGCAGAAGGTCGATCAGCAACATGCAGAGCTGCGACGGCTGGTTGCATCTAGTGGTATTCGGGACACATTCAGAGAAAGGATTATGAAGGAGATCCAAGCTGTCGATGATGCTATTGCTGCGGAGATAGTCTCCAAGACCCCCAGACACGTGAAAAGGAACAGTGTTCAGACGTTCGCCAACATTGCTCCTCAGAAGCGATTCTCGGTGTCGATATCAGGCCCCTCAAATGGGCAGCCTAAGGATCGTCGTGATTCACCCTCGCTTGAGAGACCACGCACTCCGGACAAGAGCACGACCCAACTCAAGCAACAGGTTCAATCTTTGGAACTACGAATTGTCGCTTCCGATAGAGTTCGACAACATTTGGAGGCTACCTTACATTCTCTGACAACAGACCTCGAGAGGAGTGATGGCTCGAAGCAATCTCTTCAAGCACATCGCGCAAAGATTGCTCGAGAGAACGCTAAGCTCGTCGATCTGCTTCATCAAGAGTCAGAAGCACGTAGAGCTACCGAGGCGTCTCAAACCGATGGGATCAATGCTATGTGGAAGAAGTTCCAAACCACCATCGACAGTGAGCGAGCCAATTACAGTCGTTTGGAAGAGTCTCGCAAGTCCCTGGTAAGCAATCAGGAAATTGATTGCGAGTGGCGTCTGAGATCATGTTCTAGATGGCGCAGCAGAAGGTTTCGCAGGTTGAGATGGACGAGCTCAAGAGGAGCGTGGCGGAAATGCACCAGATTCGCAGACAGTTGACAAACGAGATTCACGAACTTCAAGGTCGCTTGGAGGCGGAGCAAAAGGCCAAGGCAACGGAGTCAAGTGCGTAACGATATTTAATTTCAGTCATAGCACTAAAGCCATACCCAAGCTGCACGCCGCCGATTGCAAGAACAACTCCAAGAGTTGCAGGCATCAAGTGCAGCGTCATCTTCACTGCAAGGAGGTAAGCTATTAACTCGTAAAATTACTCCTGTGCTGATTAGAGTAGGCATGAGTCAGGCAGCGGAGACTTACAAAGCCAAAGCTGACGCATATTTGGCGAAGCTTGAAGCCGCAGAGATTGCACGAGCGAAAGCGTCTCACCAGGAATCGCTGAGTGAGTGAAGTCACCTTTATCCCACCTTCTTGTTTAACATATTTCTAAGCTCGGAAGTCACTTGCAGAGGCTGAGAAAGCTCGGGATGTTGCGGAGACTGCTCGTCAAGCAATGGAACAACGACTCAACGAAGCCGAGCAGCGTATTACAGAACTTTCTAACCGGCTTGAGGAAGAGTCGCGTGAGTATACGGACATGGAAGTTTTCAGAAGGCGCCTTAAAGAAGAGATGGAGGACGAACGAGACCAGCATCAAAAGGATCTTGCCGAGAGAGACTTCACTATCGATCAGACACGCCAAAAGTATCAGGCAGAGCTACTCCAGCTCAGCGAAGGTTCGTGATTCTACATATCATACAGCAGCTTACGTGAGAGTAGAGTCACGCCATCTTCGAGACAACATTAGCCATCTCCGTGAAGAAAATCACAAAATGCGCTCCGAGCTCGACGAGCTTCAACTTCGTTATGACGATGAACAATACTCAAGCTCAGGGTGGAAGAAAGAGAAAGAGCGCATGTCAGCCAAGATTATGGACCTCACCGGAGCGTACGAGTCATCCAAGATGGCTCAAGCGGAGCAGCAGACTCAGATTGTCGCCCTTCTCTCGCAAGTTCGCGAATTGCGTGCTTTGCTGGATGATGCGGAGGCCGAGAGGGCTGCTCTTCGCCAGGCACGTATGCAACTAGAGTCGAGGTTGAGCGATATTGCACAAGATCATCTCGATACAAGCCGGCTATCGAGTGACCGAGTGCTCCAAGAACTCAACCTCGAGAAGCAAGACCTTCGTGCGCAACTCGAGGAGCAAGCTGATCGAGTCGCTCTCGCCAACGAAAAGCTGAAGAAGGCCGAAGGCTTTGCTAGTGAGGCTCAGATCGAATTGAGCAAAGTCAGGCATACCAACTCGGAACTGGAGAAGGAGAATGTAAGTTGTTTGTTTACTAGGGAGCATCTGCTGACCATTCCCGCTAGGCAACGCTCAAGAATACAAACAAGGAGCTGAACGTCAGAATCGTCGAGTACGAGACGAAGGCCTACGCAAACGCACCACGTCCCTCTACGACTCGCAGACAAGAAATGCGCATTGAAGAACTCCAGAACCGCCTTGCCCAAGAGGAGAGAGAGCGAACCGAGGCCTCAAAGCTGCACAGGACAGCTGACAAGAACGCGCGCGAACTCAACTTCCAACTCACAGAGAGCAATCGACACAGACTACGACTTGAAGAGGAGCTCAAGGGCGCTGAACAGAAGATAGAAGGTCTACGAGTCGAGTTTAACGAGTTGGTGCGTCTGTCTCAGGCAGTAGTGGGCATTCTGTGACGCGAGCTTTCCAGCTGAAATCTGAGAGTGCACTCAAAGTTTCGAAAAGGCGAGCAGAACTAGAAGCGCAAGAGTATAGACAGAAACACCTCAAGTAAGCACTTTCATGCGTCATTCTGGAAATGATGCTCACAACTCGAGCAGTGCGCAAAGGGAATTAGAAACTCTGCGTGGCCGCCTTGATCGCTCCCCTCGCAAATGATTTAATGGTTACGAATACTCCCCTGTATCACGATCGCTCTGATCTCGTTTGTTGTCACGACTTTGACGAACCCGCCTCTCGTGTATCTTACATCCTATCTATTTGACTTAGCTTGAATCACATGAAACGTATCCTCTTTATTTGGTTTCATAAGCACCTTGGACGATTGAGGCCAAATAAATGGATGAGAAAGCTTGCAGTTTTCCGGGACTACCAGTCACGGAAACCTCACTGTATCTATCTCTTGACTCTGCACACTTCTGATTCGTCCAAATCATGAGGGGGCTTGACAACGCCGACCGTTGACTGCTGCGCACGAAGTATCCGCGCCGGAATGAAGAAGTACTGAGAGAGACTAGGCCTCAGTACACAAAGAACTTGAGCATTATTTCGGTCTCTGGCGAGCGGCAAGGTTGAAACCAGGAAGGACCTGCTTCATCAGGCGCTGGAGATGAGAGAGCTGCTGTTCGATATCGTCCTGGAAGTCGATCAGTATAATAGTCTCTCCAAGAGATGAAGGCCCACGGTGTCCGTCAAACCGGCGGACCGCTCGATTTCTCCTCGAATCCAACGTCTCGTATCCCTCCTAGCATCAATTCCGGGAATATCTTTACAAGAGGTCAGTCTACACCTGTTAATTACTTGAGATGTTAGGTACGTCGTGTTGCTCGAATTACAGAGCGATAAAATTGTAAGACCCGAGAGCGCAGGATAAAATGTTGCAATGTCAAATGTGTGGATTTGCGGAGCATTAATGCAGCCAGTACGACTTGGGAAATGCGATGTACCTCAGGATTACGCTCCGAGGGATTTGCCGTAAGGGGTTCGTTGGGTGCAAAGTCAACTTCCAACCCGGCCCGTCGACTTTCTCCATGTATCACAGCCAGCGGCCTCTTTGCGCTCGAATGGGATCAAGAGGCGTTGAATGATGACAAGGAAGCACTTTCGTTGTGCTAGAGTCGGTAAATACATGGTTGAAGGCAGGATTCGCGTCCAGGAGGTCGTCACTAATATGAATTGGATGGCTCTCGATGCCAAGGCAAATTCCGCTGGCTTCTGAACGTGAAGTAACGGCCCGGCCTGTCCCTTAGTGGCTGTCGTCAACCAGAGCGCTCCCAAAGCTCTCAGCTGCTCGCGCCAGGGTATCTCCGTGATTTGGATTACAAGGAGATTTGAATACGGACAAACTCTTCTTTTTGAAACAGTCAATATAGCCTACGATATCGAATGCGGGAACCAAAGAGTTTCATGACAGCATCCGGCTGCCCTAGAAAAGTTTCGCCTCTTGGAGCATTCTGTCACTCAAATAATATTGGATGTTTCACCGTGCTAATAGAGACGGCCTCGATGGGCGATGCCACACTGTACTCCCACGGGATCGTCGTAAACTTGTGATACGCAACTGTATCGTCACTATGTGACTTTATGATCCGAGCTCATCTCTCGTGACTATCCAGACGTGTGGCTTCTTTTGCTCCCTCACATTCCGGACGGTATGTATCCTGCCGGGACGCGCTACCCTGACACTGTCGGACCGCCAGAACTTTTTCTATGCCACGAAGAGACTCCAACCAATGAAGAGATTTGTTTCAACCGGAAGGTGTGGTGTCGGGACGATAGGTCTCAAGCTGGCAACAGCACCCGCCATTCATCCTATGTATTCCTTGGCAGAGTAAAACTATAAAGGAGCCAGAACTACGCCTCGTAGCTTCTACAGACACCCCAAACCTCTCTCCTTGCAAACTTGCTCAACGCTCGTCGCGTCCTGCCTCTCGTTTCTCAACATGTGGAAAGTACTCGTCCTTCTTGCGCTATCTGTACAGAGCTTTGCTGCCGTCCTCGAGGTTCGCAGTGACGCGCACCTCCAAAAGCGTTGCTCCGCTAGCTCCAACTTCCCAAATCCGTCAACTACGATTAGCGGCAAATCCGCAATCACAGTTGAGTCTGGCAAGACTTTCGATGGTATGTGACAATCATCCATATATTTCACGTGGCTGAGTGGTTCCATAGGTGGCAACAAGCGCTACGACCGAGGATCTGGCGCTTGCAGCGGTCAATCTGAAGGTGGCGACTCTGATGCTGGTGAGTCGCTTCTAGCAACTCTATCCAAAGCTTATTCTACGTAGTCTTCATCGTCAAGGCTGGTGGAACGTTGAAGAATGTTGTCATTGGCAAGGTAGGGCCTTATAACATCTATGTAGGGTTCACCTGACTTCTTTTGACAAGAATCAAGCGGAAGGTGTCCATTGTACCGGGTGTAGGTGACATTATTGCAGCACTGTGGCATACGCTAACACGTAGTAGACTGTACACTCCAGAACGTTTGGTTTGAGGACGTGTGTGAGGATGCGATTACCATCAAGGGAGACAGTAAGTCCTCGTATTCAGACTACCCAGATATACTCAATTAGCATCTCACTTCACAGAGGCCGGCCAGACGTCGCAGATTATCGGAGGTGGCGCCCTCAAGGCCTCAGATAAGGTCATTCAGCACAATGGTTGTGGTACTGTCAAGGTTCGTATTTACGTTGATTGAGCTTGAATAACGGCCGATTTTTTCTAGATCACAAACTTTTACGCCAAAACATACGGAAAGCTCTACCGCTCTTGCGGAAATGTCGGTCTCTTTCTCCTCATGGGTCGATACATGCTAATTCCCGCGCAGTGCAAGACCCAATGCCAACGCAAGGTCATTATCAGCGGCGTCGAGGCTCGTGGCGGGTATGAGCAGTTGTCCCATAATATGACGTGTGCTGATGTCCTCCCAGAAACGACCTCGCTGGTATCAACAAGAACTACGGCGACACCGCAAGCATCACCAACTCCTGCTACGACACTGCACATCCATGCGTGCTCTATGATGGAAATTCTACAGGCGCCGAACCTAAGAAGCTGGGTTACTGCTAAAATCTCTCTCGCGTTGTGCATGTACTCGATGGCCAAACCGACCTTGGTCCATATACCTCCAAATTCACTCGTTGCCACATTATTTTGCTGCATTGAGGTCAAAGGGTCTTCTGGCAAACGCTCGCGAGATTGAGACTGAGACGGAGATAATCCATAACTATCGATGTGCCATGCATCAAAAGAGTGGACTGGATTCTTCATTCGAAGCAGAAATCTTCAGTATGCTGTCAAAACGTCAAAGCAACTAGTCGTCTCTCACAACTACTTCGTCCATCAGATCCCGTCCCCATGCGCCCTGCCACCCGAAGTTGAGAGATGCCACCACCTTCGCGCTCAAAGACTCCGCAGCCTCACGTGAAAGAATATTCTCCACGAACTCTCAGATTCTTCAATAGGGAAGCATATTTCACGGCAGCCACTCGAGGGGAGCGGGCCGGGTGGGTGCTTTAGTCCGGGCAGTTGCTATTCATCTGGCGGATATACACACGTACCAGTCACGCTGTTTGCCGTGAGATCTAAATTCTATGTTGCAGCGGCTTAGACGCGGCTCTAAAAATTCTGGCTTGGCAAGGGCTATGAACATGATTCTTCCGGATCCCCGCAAGAGGATCCCCGCACGACCCGGCAAAAATAGATGCATAGAACCGTGACTAGCAAAGTCGAATTCATTGCGGCTCCCGGTTCCACTGTACCAGTCACGCTTCCTTGACTGGTCAGCGAATAGGCAGTAGTTTTCAATTTCGAGCAATCAAGATTGGCAAAGTTATTCGAATAACCTATGTTCCGACGGAAATTTATGCGAGTTATAACCTCCCCAGCTGGTCTGATCCCTCAAATGCAACGGGCCGCTTTGATCCAACAACTAGTAAGTTCGGTCACGAGGAGCATAATTCTGCGGTTAAAGTGGCCCGCATACTTCATTTTTGAGCCATGCTTGGGACTTCATAAAGGTTATGCAAGGAGTCTGTCCAGCTCTGTCAGGCCTCCCTTGTCCGAGGACATCCACGCGTACAATTGCTGATTTTATTCTCCAAAACTCGAATCTCAGATGTGGAAAGCTCTCGTCTTGCTCGCCCTCTGTACTCACAGCCTTGCGGCTGTCTTGGAAGCTCGCACGGATGTCAACCTGAACAAACGATGCTCGGCCAGTTCCACATTTCCTAGTCCCTCATCTACCGTCTCCAGCAGCTCTCCGATTACTGTAGCCGCTGGTGCTACATACGATGGTATAGAACGTTGGGTATCATGACGTGTTCTATGCTCATGAGTCTGATAGGTGGAAACAAGCGCTTCGATAGAGGCTCTGGTGCATGTACAGGCGATGCGGAGGGTGGTGACGCTGACGCTGGTGAGAAGCGAAATCAAAAACATCTGGCCAATACTAATCTCTGCACGTAGTCTTCATTGTCAAAGCCGGAGGAACATTGAAGAATGTCGTTATTGGGAAGAATCAAGCAGAAGGAATTCATTGCACAGGATGTAAGTGAAAGGAGCGAAGTAGTCGAGCGCCAAGCTAACGCGGGGTAGATTGCACACTGCAGAACGTTTGGTTCGAGGATGTGTGCGAGGATGCCATCACAATCAAAGGCGACAGTAGGTGGCCTGACTGAGTCTGATCTCTCAATACTCATCAGTGACCCCACAGCTGCCGGGCAAGTCTCTCAAATCATAGGGGGCGGCGCGCTCAAAGCATCTGACAAGATTATTCAACACAACGGCTGTGGTACCGTCAAGGTTCGTACCTACGTTGATTCAGCTTGAATAATGGTCCATTTTTTTTCTAGATCACAAACTTTTATGCCCGCACGTATGGCAAGGTCTACCGCTCTTGTGGCAACGTAAGTATCTTGTGAAGCACATTCGCACTAATTGACATTTATAATTTATCAGTGCAGCTCTCAATGTCAGCGAAAGGTCATTGTCAGCGGTGTCGAGGCTCGCGACGGGTAAAGATGGTGCCTATTTTTCGGACCATTTTGACCATTTCCCCGCAGGAATGAAATTGTGGGTATTAATAAGAACTACGGGGACACTGCGAGTATCAGCAATGCCTGCTACGACACTGCGCACCCCTGCGTGATCTACGACGGCAACTCTACCGGTACGTCTCATAAAACTACAGAGTATTGTCTCATTGGAAGAAACAGGTGCTGAGCCTAAGAAGGTTGGCTACTGCTAGGCCCTCACCCATACGCGTGTTTCGTAAATACCATCGTCCAATGCGTTCTCTCATATCTAGTGTTGACGTAAGGCTTAAATTGTGGTTATAAGGTCCGAGTCGTGCATAGCCAACAATGTGCCTCTTGTTTATGCTCATCCATAGGCTGTGACTGCACGTTCCCCATCATTTTAGCCCGTATTTCAGCCGGCTATATTCTATTAGGGTCTCTGGCTTTCTTTGAAGACTACCCTTGGCTCCTAAACGAGCGTTCAACTATTGAAAGTTGTTGAACAATTAAAAGTTGCAGGATTCGAAAGCGAAATGTCTGCCATGGCTGGTTGCGCATCTTCTTGGTCCTTCCTTCCTCAGCGCCAGCCGTGGCGGTCACCAGCCCAGCGCATCTCCTGTATCGATCTCGTCCTATATACGTGTATTTTCCCTTGTTCTTTCTTTAGCACTCGCTACCAGCGATCCAGTCTAGGATGTCGAGTGACTATCCACCCGCCTTTGACGACACGCCAGCAACCTGGGTTGAATCACCACCCAGTACACCCGAATCGTACATTACTGGAGATGGAGGCTCGCTTCCGCCTTCTCCTGGAGGACGCGAGCGTGTTTTGCCACGAGAGCGACGTGCCTTTAGCGTAGACGCCGCGCTGGATCGCAAGCGACAGATTGTCGCGGATATATCGTCTGCAACGAGTGGGGTAGTTGACCTGACAACATCTGACGAGTCTCAAGAGGAAGATATGCGTCCGCACAAACCTTTTGGTGAGCCTTTCAGTTGCTTGCCACATCACCTTCCCATTCTGGCGTTGCTCAGCGAATGAAGCCATTCTCACAAATTTGCTTCATCTAGGACTCATGGGGGTCGCAGAGGCTTGGGGAACGTTTGCTACGAGCAATCGCCTTTGGTTTCCGATACCGCATGCATGGCGAGACATTCCAGAGCTGGAAGGCACGGCCATCTACTTCAACAAGTACCCATCCCCATACCTTCAACGAGCCTTCCCCAATGTTGAGCGGATACACGAATTGGAGCCGTCCATTAGCAATCTGGATCTTCTCCGTTGTCGGAAAAATATTACCACAATCGGCGCCAAGTATGTGCAAACTTCTTATCAAGCCCCTACTAGATATTGACGAACGCCGCTAGACTATTAGCTACCCTGCGGCGAACGATCGTCCCCAGCTCCACTATCTCGGCTACAGACACCGAAATCCGAATACAGGTCGAAGAGACTCCGCCACAAAACCCATTCCCATCCCACCTCCTGATCATTGAGCAAGATCCTCCCATCCGTGGCGAGCGCCACCGCACATTTGTTCCAATTCACGACGTCGTCTTCTTGTGCTTTGTCAGTGGCATCAAGCTTCCAGACCGGGTCCATTCCCGACCGGTCCAAAAGGGCGGAAAGATCGAGATCACAGTTCCCATAGCGCGTTTCGGGATGCCAAGTCCTGTTCTTTTCGAGGCTTTACTCACATGGATGTACTCCGCGCAAGATACGCCGAGCCATATGATGTTCTTTGACAACCATCTCGCTTATGCAGGTTTGCCGCCAAACGCTCGACAGGAAGCGATGAACAACCTCCCTCGACTATTGAGGCTCCCTTTCTTACGAAACGAAGACAAGAACACGTGGGAGGAATGGGCAAAGCATACCGAGGGACGAATGGCTGCACAGGTGAGTGCTACGCGTCCGGGTCATATCAACGTCTAACGAACATCTCAGTGGGCTATGACATACACCTACGAGCGATTAATCAACCTAATGAAAGATGCAAATCTCCAGTATGAAAACCTCGTGTCGATACAGATCCACGACAATGTCTTGGAAGCCGCGCTTCTCTTGTGTCGTAGAGTGGGTACAGTCTCTACTTACCTATCACTCTAACCTATATCCACAGGTTTTGCTGAGTGCAATGTGCCTTAGCGTCGTGAGGGATCACCTGGTTTGAGGCGGTTTACTCGCAATCCATTGCAGAACAAAATCCATGTATTTCATCGAATATCAACTGTTCGTCGTGTTATCTTTGCAATTTGCTGATTGGAAGTTAAACTTGGACCCCAACCTCTACGGCAACCATCATCCTGTCCGGCAATAAATGGGAGGCTGACAGAAGAAATGCGACTCTTTAGCCCGTATGCAGATATATATGACAGACTCGACTTTCCTTCTAGCCGTGCATACAGATTGAGATGGCTTTCGTGAAATTATGAATCATACGCGCCTTGCAAAAGAATTGCACTGAATGATTTACACGTTTTGGCTCGATAACTGACGGCTAGCGCGGCTCGACGTCACCAACACAAGGGAGCCCCATACACAACTCTGTCTCAACCGCAACCCCAATGGAGGACAAGGAATTAACACAGATACTCACAGATAACGAAATATCAGAGCTAGTTGCTCTTGTCTGTACGTTCGAGCTGCTCAATATGCTTTAAGGCGCTAACCAACGCCTTGCAGCAAGTATAATGGAGGCAATGAGGAGCAAGCTCGAGCTTACCCTTAACGCGAAGAGGAGAAAATCTACTATTTTGGAGATTGGATGGAGTAATCCTAATTTGCAGAATGAGCAAGATCCGTCGACGGCAGCTCCCTCAAACCCCAAGGTAGAGGAACTCGAAGTAGAAGTGGACAAGAAGCTTCAGGAAGCTCGTCCACATGCAATCAAGAGCTTTTCAGAATGGCAAGAAGCAACACTTCATCGCATTCTCGAGGCTATTCACAAGCATACTGGAGGGAACAGAGTTGCCTCCAACCACGTGGAGATCGTAGATAGCGCGCCAAATACCACCGAACAAGATGCTCTCAAGCACTGGTATCCAAGCTTCGACACTCGCCTCGCCTCTATGCTTGATACCCACACGGCCTCTCTGACGCTTCATTCACTCCTTCTGCTCGCAATATCCCTCGAGATATACGATCCTCGCTCCCGAACACTTCTCCTATATGTCTGCAGCTCGCTAAGAGTTCCAGTTTCAGTACTGTTGCGGCAAGAGTCTGGCACGGCACGGTTCCTACTGGCGTCAGTAGATTCAAAGCAACAGCAACAGGCAACACTTGCTCCTACGAGTCAAATGTCGGCCGATTCGTATGTGCAGCAAAGGGCCGATGCCACTCAGACTTCTCGGCGGTGGAAAGTGGGTTTAGCTACAGTCGGTGGGGCGGTTCTCATCGGAGTCACTGGAGGACTCGCAGCTCCACTTGTAGCTGCGGGACTGGGTACTCTCCTTGGAGGAATAGGACTGGGCGGAACAGTCGCAGCTGGCTACCTTGGCGCTATGGCCGCTAGTGCACCTCTTGTTGGAGGATTGTTTGGCGCATACGGCGGCAAAATGTCTGGGGAAATGATGAAGCGATACGCCGATGAGGTGAGCTATTACACATGGCTAGGACTTGGTGTAACATCCCAAAAGGTCGAAGATTTTGCATTCCTCCCCCTACATCCAAAGCTAGAAAGCAAACTTCGAGTCACCGTGTGCATCTCTGGGTGGCTTACACAGGATGATCAAGTGAAGAGCCCTTGGATGACGTTTAACGACTCAGCCAATGTCTATGCGTTGCGATGGGTATGCTCAAAGTGGCCATGGAAGCATAATTAGCTTAAAAGCATCATAGGAAATGAAGGCCCTGCTCGAACTCGGGTCTGCGATCGAGACGCTTGTGCGACAGTACGCTATTGGGTACATCAAGTCTGAAATCATCAAACGAACAGTTCTTGCGTCTCTATGGTCGGCCCTGTGGCCACTAGGTCTCCTCAAATTCGCCCGTATCGTAGATAACCCCTTCAATGTGGCAAAAAATCGTTCTGAGAAGACCGGTCTCATACTTGCAGATGCCATCATTCATCGTGCCCAAGGAAAGCGACCTATCAGCCTCATTGGATTCTCGCTTGGTGCGAGGGTGATTTACAGCTGTCTACTTAGCCTTGCAGAACGAAAGGCTTTTGGACTGGTAGAGACTGTCGTCCTGATGGGCGCCCCGGTACCAAGCGCAACAGAGACCTGGACACTGATGCGTGCTGTAGTCAGTGGGAGACTAGTCAATGCGTATGCCTCGGAAGATTGGGTGCTCGGCTTCTTATATCGGACGAGTGCCATCCAGCTTGGCGTGGCTGGGCTGCAGCCAATAGAGGGCGTCGAAGGAGTGGAGAATTTTGACGTTGGAGATGTCATTGATGGCCATTTGAGCTACGCTTACAGCACGCAGGCTATTGTTACTCGTATTCTAGATGCGGACCTAGCTCAGAACATAACATTAACTGTATAATTGTTGAGTTTACTTTATACTCCAACATATTTGCCTCGGACCGTACATGTTTGAGGGATTATTTTGCGAAGCGCCCCATGTTCACAAGGATTCCTGGACCCACCCACAAAGTCGCCTTTGTCCGTTTCAACGCCAATCGAATGGACCTGCGACTCGGGGGTTCTATCCGCTCTAGGGGTTCCACTCGAGGCAGCACCGGCTGCAACGCTGGCGTTTCTGTATCTTTTGTTGGCCATCTTCACCCTGACGTTCAAACCGTCACCATTCATCCTCAACACGCGTATTTTGCTCTGTTCAGCCTCATCTTACTGGTTCTGGAGATTTGGATTCACGTACGACGTTCCGACCCGTCTCGTTGAGTCTGGTGTCGCGATCATCTGCGCGTATGGAATCTTCCGCAACATTGAAACAGGCTTTGCGTACCTGTTAGAACCAGTTCCTAGATGGATTATCAACGGAGAAACGCAAAAGCTGCCAGACACATTTGTGTGGCGTGTCATCTGGAGCCTTGATCTCCTCTTCAGCATGCGGGGCACAAGTTACCTCCCAAATACCCACTGGAACTTCGCCCCGGCCTCGCTCGTCTCGCCTAAGCACCGTAAGACACGGCTCACCTTCTTTCGACAAAAGTTGGCCTCGCTTGCGGGCCAGTTTTTGCTCCTCGATTTCATTGACACGACTGTCAAGGCTCGAAAGTGGCCCACGATACCCGATACAATGCACCCTATCACCTCTCTCCCGCTCCTCGAGCAACTTTACTTTGCGACGGCAGTCTGTCTCACAACTGCACTGTCCATTTCGACCCCCTATAACACCCTCTCGATTATAATGGTACTATTTGGGTGCCGACCAGAGAGCTGGCCTTCACAATTTGATGACCCATTCCACGCCGACTCGCTGCAGGCATTTTGGACGCACAAATGGCATGCGAGCTTTCGACGTATCTTTCTCATGGTCAGCGCTGCCATTGTCGATACATCGCGGATCTTCATTCCCAACCGACGAGCACTCTCTGCCTTTCGCGGCTTGTGCATTTTCTCCCTCTCCTGTCTTATGCACCTCACGTTGACCTACCGTATTCGTCCGCCAGGCGTCAACCCGGACCAAGTGCCCTTTTTCGACCGCGAGACTTTTCTCTTCTTCATCCTGCAGCCGATAGGAATGTTGCTAGAGGTTTCACTCGTCCGTCCGTTCGCCAAAGGATTTTTAGGCGAGAAATCCAGAGGTGTGACCTGGTGTACGCGCGCGTTTGCGTGGATGTGGCTACTCTGGACTGGTCGATACTGGAGCGATGTGTGGGTCAAGCACGGCCTGTGGGCACCCGGTGAGCGAGTTGTGGGATACTCACTCTTTCGTGGCGTATTGTATGGACAATGGAAGCAGTAACGTATTGTTATAGATCTTCGTTCTCTATATGCTCCCGGAGTAAGGCTTATCCGAGGCCATTACGCCATCCATGAAGCTAGGTGACTAATGAAATGGCGTACTCATCACGCCTTAGCTCTCTCCACGATGTCAATTCCCGACACTGACACTTTTCCGCATGCGACCGGTGAAGCTTGGAAGACGGTACAGGCGCGCTCGAAGGAACAGGACCTCGTATTGTGGGGTAGCTGGTTTTGTCCCTTTGTTCAGCGAGTGTGGATTGCATTGGAGGAGAAAGGAACCCCATATCGCTATCATGAGGTGAGCTTCATATCCGACTTATCGATCAATATCATAACAGTTATCAGGTGAACCCGTACAAGAAGGAGAAGGAGTTTCTTGCGATAAACCCCCTCGGCTTGGTCCCAGTACGTGATGCGGTCATCGGCAATGCAATTAACTAACGAATAATAGGCCGTTGAGATCAAGGGCAAGGCGACGCTCTGGGAATCTCTGGTTCTATTAGAGTATCTAGAAGACGCCTATTCGCATTCTTCTCAATCTCTCTTACCTTCCGATCCAATTGGCCGTGCAAAGGCTCGCCTTTGGATCGACCACATCAGCAAGAAGATTACTCCTGCGTTCTACACATTTCTTCAGGCCCAAGAAAAAGATAAACAAGACGCTGGTCGAGATAAACTCCTCGACAGTCTACAGACGCTCATTCGCGCCATGGCACCTGCTTCCTCTGGACCTTATTTCTTCGGGGAGCAGTTCTCACTGGTAGATATTGCCCTCGTACCTTGGGTCCTCCGCTTCCCGTCGGTCCTTAAAAAATATCGTGACTTTGAGCTACCGACGCAAGGTACAGAAGAGTGGGCTCGGTTCAAGGTGTGGGAGGATGCTGCTGTTAACAGGGAGAGCGTCAAGAAGACCACATCGGAAGAAGACAAGTATTTTCATGTTTACAAGCGCTATGCGGAGAACACCACGCAGAGCGAGGTCGCAAAGGCGACTAGGGCGGGCAAGGCCCTTCCTTAGCTCGTTCTCAATTTGAAGTTCGATAAGTGATTTCATGGAGATGCAGTCCATTATGTCATTCGATAAATACAATGAATGCTGGTAACCGAGACAAAGATAGCTAAAAAGAACACGGCAAGTAAAATTAGATCATCTCAAAAGTGTCGTGATCCGACTCGGCTAGATCATCCTCGGACGATATCTCTACGTGGATTGCGTCCTCGACTTCAGACTCTTCGTCAGATGTGTTCGAAACGTCGAGTACTGTAGTCGGAGGGAATTTGTGCGCCATTTCGTTGGCGGGTTCTGTTGACGCAGGAGCAGCATCGACTACCGGCGAGGGTTGCGATTGTGTTGGCGGTTGATGCGATTCTGCCGTTGACGCGGGGACAGAAGCAGAGGTTTCGACGGGCGTGGAGACATCTTTAGGCTCGTGAGCTTCTTCGGCAGGGATATCGTTATCGGATACAGTAGCAGCGGCGGCGGCGGTAGGCTCGACTTCCATCGAGTTATCTTCAGCTTGCTCAGCGATCAGGGATTCGGTGACTTCGGTTGTCGGGGCGGGAACAGAGTCGGTAACCTCGTCAGGTTCAAAGTCGTAGCCTGCAACCTCGGTCGTGTCGGCAGTAGGGGCTTCCGTATCAACATCCTCGACGGCGCGCTTCTCTACACCTTCTTCATGAACTGCACGTTCCGTGATGGTGGAAGAGGAAGAGGACGCCGACTCCTCAATCGGGATGTGGACCTCGACAGGAAGGGTCGCGTTGGAGGAAGTCGCGACAGGTGAAACAGCACCAGCGAGACGCTCCGCCACCAATTTTTCTATACGCTCTAGCTCGGCTTCAATTTTGACGACGAGTTGTTTGCGCGCCTCACGGACGCCCTTGAACCCATGGCTCTCGACGCCATCGAGCTTGGTCAGCAGCTCGGAGAGTGCGTGATCATAAGCATGAATGGTGGCGTTGACAGCGTTGTAGGCGAGACGAGGGACATCATCTTGACTGCCTGCCAATCGCTCGAGCGGACCAGTGGGAAAGACAAAGGTGTTGCGCAGAGAGGCAAATGTACGATGGATAGACGTGATTTCGGCGAGTGAGCGGGCGCGTTCAGGAGCGGCGGACCAGTGGGGTTGGGCTTCTGCATCCTTGGATTTGTCAGTGGCTGGAGCATGCTGAGTTGGACCATCAGTAGCGCGTCCTTTGCCTTTGTCCTGCTGATATATAGTCAGTATAGGTCCCATACTCGATGTGTTCGAATGACTCACAGATGCAGTAGACGCACGCGTCTCTTCAGAGGCGTCGACGGCGACACCAAAGATCTGCGAGAGAACTTGCTCATGGAATGCACGAGCACGTCGCTCCTCTTCTTCTTGGCGAGCCTGACGACGCTTCAAAATCTCTTCGGGGGCGGGCTGGCGACAGAATCGACGGCCGGCACATCCACCCTCCTGTTGAGTGGGTCCACAGGAGTATTGATGGGGTTGAGAAGGTTGTTGGAAAGCAAAAATGGGAACGGATTGACGACGTTGCTGCTGCTGCTGACGACGACGAGCAGCCTCTTGCTGAGCAATGGACGCGAGCGCGAGTCTGTGTCTCTGCTCCTCAAGCTCGAGCTCACGCTGGAATTGCGAGCGACGCTGCTGTTCTTGGAGCGCGGCGACGTATTCTCTACGCTTAAACTCGACGTACGCGTCCTCGGGGTCGACGTAGGATTGTGGGTTCACGAAGAAGAGCATGTCGACCACTTGGCTGATTGTTTGTTGTGTGGAAGAGGTTGTTGATGGAAGAGCTGCGTTGTCTCACTCCCCTTGTCGCGCGTCGGGTTATATAGTGCGCGAGACGCGTACGCGTTGTTGCGCCGCGTAAGCTACCGATTGTTGCGGGGAAAGACGGTTCCAGAATGTAAAAGCATCGTCTCGAATGAGTGACTAATCGGAATCGGAGGAAAAACGGCCACTGCGCGATTTGTCAGCACCGGCTTTGTCAAGTTGCGCAGTCATGAATGATAGTGTAAATAGCTTGTTGAGTAAGTCATTCTCGAATGTGGTGGCTATGGACAGAATGTGAGGGTATACGATGCAGCAAGTCGGCCGGGGCAAATCTTCAAGGCCGCCAAATCGTCGTAAGCATAAGCATACGCGTTGGGGCATCGACTATGAAAGAAGTCGTAATACTGGACTGAACTAGATGGGCATGTCGCGGGTGTGTCAAACTGTCCGCTGCAGCAATTCGGGGAGTTTGCTTGGTTCCCGTCGAGATTGGCGAAACAGGCAGTTTTGCATCCGACAGGGTATCCAGTACTGCAAATATCAGAACTTGGTATTATCCAAAGAGGCGAGCGCACCTGTCAAATGGGCCCTTGAGGGGAGCTGGACAATCTGGACCCAAATCGACTGGACAATCGGCGATTGGACATCCTTTGTCGTTTGTAATAGTCATTGGAAGATTGTAGCCGTCCACCAAGCTCACATCGTAGCTGGACAATGTCAGTCTACGGTTCATGGGATAGTTTGGAACGTACTGGTCGGTCCCATTAACACCCTCGAGTGTCCATTCTGCAACAGATGCAGGAGGGATGCCGGATCCATTTGCTGCATCACACAATAGACCACCAATGCATGAGCCAGTGAGACAAGACGTGACGTCTGGTTGTGTAAAATTGCAGTCTCGACGACCCCAGATGCGACCAGCTCGCCAGTTGTCTGATGTACGAGTGAGTACAACGTGGATGATACACTTTAAGAGAAACTATACCTGGCACCCAAAATGTCCTATTGGTGTAAGGCGGAGCCTCCCATCCAGTCGAGATGTTTGGCACAGCTGAGCCTACTTTGAGATCTGTATACACAGCTGGCCATATCGTAAACGGGCAAGCGTTGTGGACCGTAAAGGTCCGCGCTGCGGTAAGACTGCAGGCTGCTAGGGCGACGAACACGAGATTTATTCTCCAAGTGGGTAGCATTTCCACGAAATGTGCAGACTCGGAGGGAAAGGAACTTGTTGCAAGGTGCGGTTTACTGCGGCAGGGAGTGTGGCCTTTTATATGCAGTGGAGCTTGAGTCCAAGAAGCCAAGCAGGATCTTCTAATCTTGGATTTCAAGAATTTTTACTCTCCTTTTGGTCCAAAGACCCACTGCTGAGCTGCTGGGCGTCATGCACGCGGCCTGACTCAAATGCTTGGCCCATGCACAGGAATTGGAGCGGAGAGTCAAGGTTGTGATGATCCCAGTGCGATCTAAGATATTCCATCGAGAGAGTATGTACGCACTTGAGTTGTTGGTGGCGGTCCAAGTTTGACTTCCACCTCGGTCGACCCTGAACACGATGAGCACGACGGCAGACGAAGCGACAGCCTACTTTGAAAAGGAGAAAGAACGACACATGCGACGGATCGCACAGGTATCCCTCTCAGGTCTTCTTACTCCATCGCTTCTAACTGACTCCCTTTTTCTAGACTGTCGACGAGATTCTGGTCACGCTCAATGCCATTAACCGCTCGCAGGAGATTACCATTGACCTTGCAAGGCAAAACCTGGGTGAAGACGGAGGAGCGATGAACATGTGGATGCATTTACGCGAGTTGGGCGTCCAGCGTGCACGAGAGCTCGCACCAGAGATTGGAATCGTCAGTCTATCGCAATCACAATCGCAAACCAACGAACAGCCACTACGCTCCTCGACGAGCTCGAGACATGAACAACCAGGTCCTGATGCTTGATCTCGCGGCTTCTTCAAGCTACGCATCCACGAGTCTGCACTAGAAGACAAGGGGGATGGCGTGGTGTTCATCTCCGGTATCAATCAAATCCTTCTTGAATTGCACGTCATTCGTTTGTGGTACAAACAGACTGCTCCAGGGACAATGTTGGAGATTACCATTGACGGATTTTGAAAGAGTCCAGAAAGCGGAGATGGAAAGGGGCATGGAAAATGGAAGATGGATGGGTCGGGTACTAGCGATATTCAGGTAGGATCCATACGATACGCTATGCACACATGCAGCAGAGCCCCCTTCTATCAACGTTACAAGCAAAACACAGTGAGAAAAAAAAGAGACGAGAAAGCGCATGGCTCCAGTATCCGTACAAGGTCGGTTAAGTTATTCGTGGGAGGCACGCCAAGAGAGCCATGAAAATTCGGGCAGAGTTGGAGGGAAGGTTTGAATTCGATTTGCGTGGTTTGGGAGAAATGACGAGTCGGCCAAGCGATGCGGTCCGTGCGAAGGCTGCAACCATCAGGCGGATCGCAATCGATGTGAACATTTGTATCGTCAAGAGTTATGGCATTGATGATCGTGGTTTGTAAGGCGTCAGAGTTATCCTCGCCGCTGATTCGGAGGCGTGAGAGAGAGTCCACCGGTCCTCCGGCTGAGCGAGTTTTCTTGCCGGTTCGTCATGTGGATTCGAGAAAGTCGTCTAATGATACACATCGCACCCGAAATCTGCGTTTCCCTCACGCGTAAACGTGAGGATGTGGTCGCCGAGGGTGCGCGTCGAAAATCCAATCTCGCAATAGACACTATCATCGTCATGTTAGCGCCGCATAACGAAAGACCATCGTAGAGCACATACTAGTAATAAATCCACTTTCGCTTAAACACTTGAATCTCGCGTTCGCCCTTTTCGCCCAAATGTGCGCCCATGACGTCTGGGTACTCTTCTCTCAATGCGGGGACGATGACCGAGTCAAATTTGGCTTCGAATCGGCGTCGCCACTCGCGGAGGGTACGTGCATAGTGGGGGCCAATGTTGCTGATGGCATCGATGACGAGCGTATTGTTGGAGCCAGCCGTGAGGGTTTGGACGAGGTAAGAGACGGTTGGGAGGAAGCCACCGGGGAAGATCCATTTGCGAATAAAGTCGACTTCTTTGGTGTACGTCTCAAAGCCTATACGAGTCGTGAGTATGCTACGAGTAAATGAAGGAGAGCACGTACGAGCTTCTGGGATCGTGATGACCTGCACACAACCCATTGCATCCTTGTCCTTGAGTGCCCAACTGACGCAGCGCCAGTATTCCTCCAAAAATTCTTTACCAACTGCCTCAATCATCTCGACGCTAACCATGCGATCGAAAGTGCCCTCCCATTCCTTTGGCATAGCGCGATAGTCCATGAGATGGACGCGAATCTTGCTGCTGTACTCTTCACCCATCTGTCGAATGCGCTCCTCTGCGAGTTCCTTTTGGGCAACAGAGAGCGTGAGGGTGTCGACGGTGCAGCCAGTGAGACGGACGGCCTCGATGGCGAGCGCACCCCATCCGGAACCAATCTCGAGGACACGATGATGTGGCTGAATATTGGCTTTGCGGATGATGTGGTGAACTTTACGGAGTTGGGACGCAAAGAGTTCATCTTGTTCGCCCGGCAGATCAGCGATGCCCTTGCGATGGTCTTGGCTTTGTTCTTGTTGTTCCTGTGAAGGGAGAGAGGATGCGGAAGCAGTGCGGGCGTGGGTGGACTTTGATTTACGCGTAGGGGAAGGGGAAGAGGATGGAGAGGATCCTACGGCAGTTCGTGCATCCGAGTCGACATCTCCATCGTCTGGTGTGGAGATGCCACTGAATCCGTGCATGTTTGTCATTTGCTGCAAGAGATTTGCAGCAGCCTTGACAACGTCCGTCTCGACTGTGGACCACTGCGACCCTTGAATCCGTCGTCGGTCGCGATGATGCTTGAGGATGGCAGGGGAGAGTGCCATTTTGCTACTCGCACTAAGCGGATCGAGGATAGACTCGTCTACGTCGAGGTCTGTGTCGAGGTCTGCAAAGATGCCGCAGGAATAAGTCATGTCCTTTGAGAGGAAGCCCTCGAACATTTTATTTGAAATGTCATAGTGTGCAGAGATGTTTGAGCGTGCGTTTGTGAGCGTGTTGAGGAAGCGTTGGTTTGTGAGGAGATGCTGAGGGAGCGAGAGAAGGGACGAGAGGCGGGTGTTGAGGGATGAGAGGGCTTGTTTGTTGAGGAGGAATAGCAAGAAGAGAGATGGTAGGGTTGTACATTCGACGTCGCCATACATGTAGGCCTATTACATTGTTAGTATACACAACACTAGACCCAGCAGTGACGCACCTCTGCAAACCCGAGGTCGGACATGAATGCAAGACGTATCCAGAATGCAGGATTGACTACTCGTAGGCGGGCGTGGACATGGGCGTGTTTGTTGGTCGACGGATCGGTCGAGGGCGGAGGAAAAGTGTATGTGGTCGAAGGAGTCTCGATGACGAGCTGGCCATGCTGCATCCGATTTAGATGGCTGTAAATAATCAGATTTGGATACTAATGACCTTGACCAAACTTACTTGACGACGGCAGCCTCTGCCAGACCCGCCAGGGGTCCAAACCCAGTGTCGATGACGGCGTCGCGGAGAGAATTCCAGGCTGGAGGAGATGAGAAGAGTGTACAACAGTATATCTAACAGAAGCTGACCAGCATCGAGAGAGCCAACGAGAGACCAGCGGTGGGTCGAGGGTGTCGAGAGGAGCTGGGTGGCCATTGTCGGTTGGGATTTCAGAGACAAAGGCTGAGCTACGACCTGAGGGGTTATATACCAAGCGGTGTGATGATGGGCTCGCATATCGAAAATGGCCGACTTTGCTTCTCACAACATTATTATTTATTATTTATTATTATTTTAATTAAAAATATTTGCGACCCTGCCCATTTCCCGAAAAGGTACCCGTCTTGCCATTCCCCCTCGCCTCTTAGTCCATCACCGTCCATTAGTCCGGGTCCTTATTTCTTTCTGTCTGTGCTTGTGCGCCAGATTTCAGACTCGGGCCCCAGCTGCTCTTGCTCCTAGTCGTTGCAGTCATTTCTCCCAGGAACCCATCAAACCCACCCACGACCCGTTACCATCGCCGACGTGCCCACCCCTCTACAACTCTGGTTATCGCTTGGGTATGACGACAAGATCCCATTTTGACCATCGCCCATCTCGACGATAGACGGCGCACCCATCGTCGGTTCTTTCGATCCGGGTCATTCCACCGATCTACTTTGCTCATCCACAAGGAGCGCACCTCTGGCTTCTCCATTCAAACCCTCGTGTTTCATACTTCAGACCTGCATTCCCTTGAAAATGCCCTCGACAATGTTTTTAGTCAGGACCCGCTAAGCACGGCCTGGCCAACTGTGCACATGCATCCCTCTTATCAGCCAATTCTAATCCGCAAACGTCAGTTCCCACATTCGAAACTGAACCCGCCTACTATTAAGACACCGTGCATCCGTACAGCTGATAATGGTTAAGCGCGAACATAGAGGCAGGCAATGCGTTAAATCAGGAGCGTTTGCAATCAGCTGCGCACTGCAAGCATCGCCAGCGGTGCGAAAAACGCGCCGCTGACAGAGGTCCCTGCCGCACCACACCTCCTAGCTATTGACATATCGTTTTGTGGAGATGTAAACCTTGAGCAGCTTCTATCCCTTTCTACGTCCAATAGTGACAACAGAATCACCCCCCGATTCAAAGGTAGAACTGTGGGAAGTCGCCTCAAGCGAAAACCCCGCCAGATTCATCCGCGAAACCTCGGCAAACTGGGTGTCGGCATCCCGTACGAGTTGCATTGCATGTCGGTATGCTGTGCTTGCGTCGGTTTCTTTGGGTTTCTAGACCAAGTATGTTGGTCATGGGTCCGACTCGATGTCATAGCAGAGGTTCACTACGTGGGATGATTGTAGACGACCATCTGTACGACGAATCAATACTGTCCCTATTGCAAACGACGGCCACCGATGTGTCTTCAGTCTCACGACAGTTAGAGTCCGAATAGACGTCGCTCTTTCGCACGTACGAGGTCGAACAGCGACATGCGTGATCCGACTTTGCCTGCGCGACCCGGTTCGTTTCTATTCGTCGTCGTCGTGAGGACATTCCTAGTCATTTACTGCAATGGAACCGACTTGCCTAGTAGAGGCCGGCCAACACGCAACCTCCTTCCCCTGTACAGGCAAGTCCCCTCCTCAAACAGCACTTCAGTGTCAACACGTCTACTCGAGCCCTAGATTTGGGACGAGAGGAGAGCTGCGGGCCCAAACGGGATCCGAGAATGCAGCGACCAGATCGCGATCCCGTTCGACGTCTACATTGTACAGGGACAATGGGAGCTCGAACTGTCAGCAGCGGCGATTTCGTTTGTTGCCTGTCTCGAGAGAGTTATAGGTTATTGGACAAGACTAACCAGTTATCGATCATGGCCGCGGCACTAGAGTTGTGCCGTCTGAGATGCTCGGCTATTTGAGCCGGATATTGGGATCGACAGTAAGCGCCGTTTAGGAAAAAAAAATCACAGATCGACTTGTCAAGACGACCTCGAGGTGCCATCTGCCATCAACCCGGCTAAGACTTGGTTACTCGCTCGGGAGTGTCAGATCAAAAAAAAGCAAACCGATGCTATCGGACATACTATGGAGATCTGGTTTGTGATGTGACCTGCCGAGCCCATCTCATGCGCAGGAAACGAGCCCATGTGGTGGATTCTGTAATGTCAGCCTCTGAGCGTTTGCATGTGTATTGGAGATGATATATCTCGGTCCAGGCATGGATTTGAGGGTGATTGAAGACCAGCTACCCGGTCACCTATAAGCTGGCTATCCTCAGGCTTCGCTGAGCCCGCAACCTCTTGCTTCTAATGAATCCGAGGTGGAGACTCGTAAAGCTTTTGATTATCACAAAGGGCTCGAGAGTGGGACGTTGAAACGGACAAGTGTCTTGATGGCCAGCGCGATACCTCCCGCCTTTTACCCGTAGATATCAAGAAATAAAAATGTAGAAAAAGCGGAGAAACGCCTAAACGCCAACAATCTGTCTCGCCCTGAGGGTCGCCCAATGTGGGAGCCAGGTCCACGACAAGTTGGCTTTTGACGCCACGAAACGGTAGAGCTAGAATTTGGCAACTGGACCCCGAGAGGCCTTTTTTCATGGCAGCGTTTGCAAAGGGAGCATACGATGCAGCTGCATACAACGCATTCAGACCCGTTTATCCTCCCAAACTGTTTGACAAGCTCTGGTCATTTCATCGCAGTGGACGAAACGCACGCTGGACACGTGCAGTCGATCTAGGATGTGGAACTGGTAAAACCCTTTTGCCGTATTTTAGGGTTATACCTCCTTTTGATCACGAAGCAGGCCAAGCGACGCTCAAACTTACAACCCAATTCGAGCATGCGATTGGTGTCGACCCGTCTCCTAAAATGATTCAACAGGCAAATGAACTCATCTCGAGTTCCCCGTTTCACAATCCTCCCAATGGTCTGTATCCCGTAAGCCCTTCTGATGGTCTATTTAAAGTGGCGGCGGCGAGGCCAATTTGTAATTGACATTGACCGTGGAGCAGGTAACAGAAGAATTGTATTCGAAAACGCTCCAGCAGAGAAGCTCGCCTTCCTCCAGGACGAGTCGGTCGATTTCGTCTCAGCGGGTGAGTAATGCACGGTTGATCCCGTTCATAGTTATCGTTATCATGGTCTCAATGGACACATAACCTGTTCATTATCCACTTCGTGGGTACTGTGCTAGCCACTTTGGGCTATTCGTGATGGCCTCTCATCCGGGACCCTGTGGAGGGGAAGTGCACCCCTGCCATATGGAAAACATTGCCACTAGGCCTTCTCTGCTAGAATCCCGGATTGTCCACAACACTAAGATCCACAACCAAACCTCTTCGTCTGGTTCCCATTTCGTCACCCACGTGTCCCCCTCATCTTCCTTTTTGCACTAACCCACTTTCAATTTTCGCAGCTCAAGCCGTTCATTGGTTCGACTATGCGCGTCTGTGGAGGGAGATTAACCGTGTGCTTCGACCAGGCGGTTCGGTAGCGTTCTGGGTGAGCATCTGTCCATCCTCCTTACGTTTATCGCCCCAGTTCACGTTATCGTGTATGGGAGGAGGATGTCGGACATTTCCGCATCCGCACCCGATAATAGTTAGGAGCCGTTTCGACTAGGACTGACGTTTTGCCTGTTTCGATTGACTGAACCCCCATGCGCCCTACACGTGTTGCCTTCCACGCCGGATCCCAATTCACACCGGCCGATCGCACCAATCTTGCTCTCCAATCCTGATCTCGCTTCTTTGGCACTCGGTTCAAAAAACCGAGACATATCTGGCAAACCCACCTTCCTCGTTTGTCCTAAAACACCTGCACCCGAGTCTTACGATTTCGTCCCATATGGGCTCCCATTTGCGGTCCTCCTCCCTCATCTGGGGCTTATCTTCGACGTTTTTCGGACTTGCGCCATAGGGCTATTCCGAATTGAGGATACGACACTTTCCCTATCTGACGCCCATTATCACTTATTACTCGCAAGGCTCCAGCCCTCGCCAGCCACAACCACCCAGCAATCTCGACCTGCAACCCGACATTCTGGGCAATGAGCCATTGACGCACGCAGCCTCGTCGAGTACCGGTACAATGGCAAGAGTCGAACCGGAACCCGACTCGCTCGGTGCCTATTGGGAACAACCAGGTCGATCCATTCTCGACGGTGGACTCTTGTCGATCCCCAATCCACCCTCTTCTGCCCACTTTGACCTCTCTGCGTCGCAAGTCGTCTTGTACTCTGGTTCTCTGCGACCCGACGTCTTTCAAGCGTTTACCGACTATGAAAATCGGCAAATCGAAGGAAAGAAGAGGGAAATTGTGCAAGAAGACGTGGTATTGGAAAAGGAAATGACATGGGAGCTACTGGAACGATATTGTCGCACGTGGAGCTCATTGGCCACCTACTTGGAACAGCATCCAGATGAAAAGGAAAGAAGGGATGGAGATATTTTGCAACGATTTCTCAAGAGGATGAAAGACGAGATTGTGAGCAGAGGAGAGGCCGTGCCCGAGAGCCTGACGGTCGAATGGCCCATGACCCTTCTCTTGTATCGCAAAGGAGATTAAATAAGCTTTTATGGCATTTCATTCATATAACTCGCGCTCATCCTTGACCTCTCAAGCCGCGCGCCTACGTCCGAGTTATGCAGCTTCGCACGCGATTAGCGTCATACAAGTCGCTAGACCATTTATAAATTCGAATTTTAATGGTGTTGGCAACTAGATTTCGTATGCAGAGTTATTGCCTCTCAAATGCCACTCGAGACAGTACGGAAATCCCACAAACAAGTAGTCTATCGTGACTTGCTTATAACTTCAATACTGTAGAATTGAATGCGAAATAAATGTTTCGAATTGGTGGAGATGAATTGTCCGGCGCGGGGCTATGAGGGTTAACAACGATAACGTTCAATTAGAGGGTATCGATATGTAACACGATGTATGAAGCCTCTCTCACGCTACAGCGCAAGGTTGGCTGAGCACAAACCCTAGCGTAAATGATATTCCAATCAAAGTTATCTTTAAGAAATTGCTCTATAGGATAAGTGTAACACACAGCAGGGGGTCATTAAGATCATGTAAGCTAGAGTTCCGCCTTTGTCGGCCAGTCGACGTGGAATGTTTCCTTTTCGTTTCCAAGTAAATAGAATCTAGCACGTCTGGTGAGGAAGAGGAGATGGTGCGGGAGGTAGCGTGTCGTTCCCGCGACGAAGAGCACCAAAGCAAGGAAAAAGAAGATGACTGGACAATCTTAGCAACGATATTCTTGAATCATAGTTGACTATAAACGCACCCACGAGGATCTTTTCCCATCTTTCGAGCATGGAAAGTGCAAACGTCGCCTCGACCCACATCCATTTGCGCCAAATGATTCGACCAAGCGTAGACTGTGGTATCGGATAGCGTAGAGGCGGTCGTTGAGGATTTGTTTTGGTCGTTGTAGGCGCCATGGTTGTTTAGAGACGGCGTCGACAGAGGTCGTTGGGGATTTGGTCTCGTCCAAGATGAATGCACCACGCACGCCAGGCGCAGTCCCGCGTAAATCACATCTTACACTCTCAACAAAACAGTTTACAAAGGTATGTCACTCTCTTTAGATGGATAAGAAGGGTGTTGACCGTGTTCGGGACAGATCACGGGGACGATTGCGAGCGTACGCAAGAGTCGACAGCCAGTTGGAAATGACATCGACGAGGACGAAGAAGTACACGTAAATGGCACGCGTCGGACGAGCCATATTTCTGTCGGTGAGCACCCTGATGCCTCTGCAAGTGGCCGGCCTGTTGACGGCATGTAGACCTCGCAAAGGAACCCTCTTTCATTGCAGAGCAAAGCTTTATCAGGGCACCGCTCAATTCACGCGTCGCGTCGCGTATTGTGCCCGCCAAAGGTGGAAAGGCGAGAGCGGACCCACTCGATGGCGTCCCGCTCGATATCCAAGAGGCAATGATACTCGAAGACCTCCTTTTCGTACTCATGGTACGTAAAACTCTTCATGATGGAGCTATAGTTGACTATTTGTAGGGCATCGAAGGCATTCACATCACCTACAATGTCGACGAGTTTCCAGAAGACGATGATGGTCTTCTCAAGGGTGTACAGTTTGTTATTTCACCCCAACTTGACCCTTCTCTACGCGATTTGGTTGAACGAATTATCCCACTTGCTACGTACTATACCTCGATATCGGCCTTTGTGGAGATTCGGAGCCATCTCGACTATGGCCTCGTCAATCATGCGCTATGCGCTGCAATCAGGGACATGCTCAAGGTTTGTTTTCTTTCTGAACATCGGACGTCTTACTAAACCGAATTGAGGATTATCAAACACTGTTATCCCAATTAGAACACTCTTTCAACTCTTCATCCTCCTTTACCTTGCAAAAACTATGGTTCTACATCCATCCGACGCTGCACACCATGTCCTTGATCTATTCGCTCGTCTGTGAGCTCAGCCAAGCCGACTCGACCCCAGAGGAAGATAGCTCGAGCTCTTCAGACGAAGACGATGCACTCAACGAACAACTCGGTCTCGCCTCTGGTCTCAAAGCTGTCAAGCTTAGCGAGATGGAAATCGGAGGCGGCGGCATCGTCAAAGGAGGCGAGGTAGTTGCCATTCTCTGGGACCGAATGCAGAATATGAGCGGTGATCCGACAGCATACAAGCTCTATGGCAAATTGTTCCAAGCAGCGGGCAAACCGTTTGCATCCCTTTTGGAACGATGGATCCGGACAGGTCTTCTAAACGATCCATACGAGGAGCTCATGGTCAAGGAGAGCAAATTTATCAACCGGGGTACGCTCGAGATGGACTATACAGACGAATACTGGGAAAGAAGATATACGGTTCGTTTTGGGACTTTGAGGAGAACAACGCTGATTTCCATATAGTTGCGAGACGGCTCGAGTCTCTCCGCTCCTTCAAAGCGACACCAAGCTGGTGTGCCTCCTCCGAGAACACCTGGAGGACGTTTGCCAGGCGGAGCATGTATACCGCCGTTTATCGAGAGCTGGAAACACAAGATCCTTCTTGCGGGCAAGTACCTCAATGTGATTCGTGAATGTGGGATCGAGATCAAAGGCGACTCACAGCGCCGAGAAGATTGGGATATGAGCAACGAAAAGTGGGTGGTAACTTTGACGACTCTTCAATAGATTGACGGTTCCAGGTTCTACAAGGAGATTGAAGATGCATACACATATGCCAACAGGACGCTACTCAAGCTCCTCATGGATGATCAGCATTTGATTCCTCGGTTGCGGTCTCTCAAGCACTTTTTCTTCCTCTCCCAAGCGTCCTTCCTGACCCATTTTATGGATCTTGCCTCATCTGAACTCCGAAAACCCGCCAAAGGCGTCTCGCTCGTGAAACTCCAGTCCTTGCTCGACTTGTCACTCAATAGCGGCGAGTCGTTTAGCTACAAAGAAGACGTCAAGGTCACTATGGCTAACAGCGGTCTTTACGAATGGCTGCTCAAGGTAGTCAGTGTCAGTGGCGCCTTGGGAGGGGATGCGGAGGAGCTCGCTGGAGGGATAGGAGCAGCTTCTGTGGGCGCCATGTCGACGGTAGATCATGCCGACGAGACTGGCAAAGAAAAGGATAAAAATAAGAAAGACTTGCAAGGTGTGGACGCAAACTGTGGTTTCAGACTTACTAACTCTGGAAAGGGATTGATGCTCTCACATTGGATTATACTGTCCGCTTCCCGCTCTCACTCGTCATTTCCCGCAAAACGATCCTCCGATATCAACTCATCTTTCGGTTCCTGCTTCATCTCAAACACGTCGAACAAATGCTCACGTCGATGTGGGTCGACCACAAGGCTCCGAACTGGCGCGTAGATACGTCGGAATATGCAGAGTTTACTCAGTGGCGTCTACGAGTGTTCGTACTACGCGCGCGTATGCTAGCGTTTGTACAGCAGATCCTGGCATTTGCAACCGTCGAGGTCCTCGAGCCGAATTGGAGAAAGCTCGAAGCCAAACTTAACAAAGTCACCACGGTCGATCAACTCTTGAGGGATCATGTCGATTTTTTGGATACCTGCCTCAAGGAATGCATGCTCACGAGTTCGAAACTCTTACGAGTGGGTATTGTAAAGGTCTATGGACGGCGCGCTCATGTTTGGCTAGGTTTATTCTCGAATGCTCGTCACATGCTCGACATTTGCGCTTTATTCGGGACACTTTTCCAAGTCAGTCAACCAAGGTGTGGTTGCAATCTCCCAAGGCGATGGGGATCCTTCAGCAGTGCCTATGCAAAAACGGTGCCTATCATCAGTCACAATTGGTTAACTACTGACGTACTCCAAGGTGGGAGTTTTTGGGTCGATTCGAGACCAACTTTACGCACTTTTCCAAAGTCCACCACGATTGCGTCCAATTCTACGCGTCGAGCGAGAATGTCGCATTGCTCTCTCTTGTTGTGAGGTTGGAAAACGTGAGGACAACTGCACAACCTCAGACTGTTTGAACGAGTCGAATATTCCATGTTTTTATTTCTGCTATGGTGAGCGCCGGCCGAGAGCGCCATTTCCGCTTCCAGTGACCATTCATTACTGAAGAAAATCCCAGTATTTTCCAAGACGGGCCCAACGCTTGTGGAAGCTTCGAGAGCGGCCCAGGCGGGCGCCTATTCTCGAACCTTCGAACCCCGCAGTGAACTCAGTGATGACTATAAAAGCTTATGTCACGAGTATAAATGCGCCCCACAACGCCATAGGCATCTTTCAGATTCAAACCCATCCACATCCACCAAACATGCTCTTCGTTGTCAACCCATACGCAACTGAACCCGAGTACCTCGATCCGGAGGACGCATACGTCGAGTTCAAGCGTCGAGAATACATTGCAGCGCTCGAAGAACGACAACGTCGCGTACAGTTTGAACGTGAACTCGAGCGCGAGGAACAACGACACAGGCTCGCGCTCGCCTCGATTGCGCGTCAAGAGGCTGAACGTCGTCGGCGCGAGCAACAATACCAAATCCAGCGACAACGCGAGTTGCAACAGCTTCAGCAGCTCGCCGCTCGTGAACAAACTCAGCGACGACAACAGCTCCAGCCCGAGCAACGACCTAGTCGAGAGGAGATCCTGACTCGTCGCCGGGCACTCCAAGAGGAAGAAGAGAGACGTAGTCGCGAACTTCACAAGCAAATTCTCTCCCGCATCTTTGGCGTCCCAGTCGATGACGACGGGAATGAGGTCAACCAAGCAGAATCGACGTCGGCAAAGAAACCTTCGCCTCCTACCGAACAGGTAAGCGTCCAGGATAAAAATAATTGTACTCGTTTGCTGAGTATATCTCAGACTGGCGCGAAGAAGCAGACCGCCGACGCCCCTCCAACGAAGGCTCCAGAACCATCCCAGGCACCAAAATCTACGGAGCTATCACCACCTACCGAAGCTGCATCCGAATCACCTGTAGATGCAGATGTAGATGCGCATTGGTCAAACGCACCCGAACGAGCACGCGCTTTGGCAGAGATCACATCGTTGGGTCGCATCTTTGCAGCCCTCAAGAATACCTTTGTCTTCCCGGAAGGCCAACTTGAACGACTCGCTGGAAGTGACACTCCTCGCCTCGCTTATAACTCTACCAACGCCACAATCCATGCTTACGAACATGCTTTGTCCGAATTGCTCTCTAAACTCGATACGATCGAAAGCCATGGATTCAAGGGCGTGCGCGAGGCACGCAAGCAGCTCGTCACCAGCATCGAACAAGAGTTGAGCCTACTCGAGGAAAAGGTTTCGCAACGTCTCGCCAGTGTCGACGTCCCTGCCGCTCCACAAGAGATTTCGATTCCAATTGAAGAAGTGACGACTCATAACACGGAATCTTCTAAGATTGAAGAGGCACCAATTCAGGATGTCGTCCAGGACACGGCTCCTCGAGAGGATGCTCCTGAGGATCCTGCTGCTCCAAAGGAAGTTTCGATTTCAATCGAAGGAGCATCGAATCTCAGCGAGGTGCCCTCCAAGCCTCAAGATACGATCGCTCAGGTCGTCCAGGGTGAAGCGCCAGCTTCCACGACTCAAGAAGTTTCTTCAGCACCCGCGGAGCGAGTCCAGCCATCGGTCACGGAACAAGAGCCAACAACTAGCACCACGGAACCAGTCGGAGAATCATCGAGGAATGTCGATGCCACCGAGGAAGCACCAGAAGATCAGGCCGTTTCGGACATTCGACCGAACCGGGAAGCGTCTGCAGAGGATGATCCTGACGTGACCCGCAATCAAGAAGGAGAGGTGACGGTCACCGAACGTGCGCCGCCAGAGTCACCGGCGGATGATGTTCCTGATGATGGTGAAGACTCTGAAGTTGAAGATGCCGTCCAAGTGATGCTCGAGCCGCAGCGGACCGCGGTGCCCGCTGGAGAGGAACATGAGTACGAGCTTGTGTAGAATATTCTCGACCTGTACTGCTTGATGTAATCCTTTGATAATGTGTATGTCTATTGCTGTCTATTTGCTGGAATAAACTTTGCTGGAATTGTTATCAGTGTGGGGCATGTGACTTTAAGAAGGGATCCATATGCGGACTGCTTGGAGATTAAACATCCTGGCCCTATCTGGCACTTTCTCGGATGCTAGTTTTGCTGGATCTTGTGATTGGCTACCAAGTGGCGGAACGAGTTGGCTTCAACCATCGCCGCCGCTGCTGTCGCTAGCTGCGGAAAATGGCCCAAAAAGCAGCACCACCGCAGCGCAACAGAGTTACCGCCGAAACTCTTGTCCAGAAGGGGCTCCACGCCCTCGACGTTGCGCCGGGTGCGCCACTCGACGCAGAATGGCGTACGTTGTTGAGGAGACTTGAGGTTCTGACGCTAGGAACTTCCTCTGGGGCAAAAGGATACGTAAATGAGGCTGTACACGGCTCAGACGTAGGCCATACCCCGGACACAAGTTTGGATGATGCCCCAAGGAGGCACGTGTTTCGAGTGTTCTGAAGCTTCTTTGGGGAAGACTCACGATGTTTTTACAGGTTATTGCGTGAGACAGTCGCGTATTTGAGGTCGAAGAACGCTAGCCAGCCTTCCTCTCGTGATACCGAGCTTGCAAAGTACAACGCACTCGTTTCGCAGGTTAACCAGTGCTGTAGAGTGAGTTCATAATATCTACAGAGTTTATAACCCTCACATAATCTGCAGAAATCAATGGTGTCCACTGCTACGACAAGCTCTAGTCCGCCGACCATGGCCTCTGACAAGGGTTCCACCTCGTCTCTCTCTGTACCCCCCGCCGATTCTGAACTCCCAAGCCCCAGTATGTCGATATGACCGGTGTGTTGCTCGGTTTTGAACGATCTTTAGGTCCTCTCAAATTCACCTTTACCCGCACACATTCCAACTCGTTTGCAGTCGACGTGTTTGCCGACGAATCAATTCCACAACCGTCCATGGACCAACCCGTTCCATCGCCCAAGTTTCTCCCGCCCTTTCTCCAACACGAGCCACCTCAACCGCTTAGAAGAGTGCGTTCCGACACAGTTCCTAAGGTGCTTCCACTCGCACGGTCAAGAAGTACGAGCGTGCGTGAAACACAGGCTAGTAATCTGCAGCGGGTCGCCATTGCTGAGAATGCGATTCACGATGGCCGCGCGGAGACCATTTCACCCTCGCTGCTCCCCAAAGTGCCCAAGCCACCGATACCAAAGCGTTCTCAGCACCGACATTCTCGCTCACTCCCCGCGCTCAGAGCAGAGGTCAAGCAGTCACAACTTCCAACTCAACCACCCATTCGAGAGAATGTATCTTTTTCGGACCACACTTCACGTCCACGGGCCGCAGCAAATGGTGAGTTTTAGCAATTTGAAATGTCCATTTCGGGCTTATGTGAGTCAGAGTATGTAAATCAAAGTCATCTATTCTTCGGAGGTGGCCAAATACCTTCTCTACCTGCAAGCAAGCCTCAGAGTATGTGTTTCGGATGAATAGACACTATTGCTATTACTAATCACACCAGAGCGTCTACCAACCAAGCGAAATGTGGACACCAACCCCGAAGCGAGGTGGACCGTACACAACAGGGACTCGTGGGAGGTAGTGCCACCAACTGCCCCAACGGATCCTCCCCGGCCTTCCATAAGCCAAGGTGCACCTCTTGCCGTCAATACGGCTTCTCCGCAAAGTAAATCCAAGGGCCTCGGTTTGCTCAAGCGTCGGCTGTCCAAGTCACAACTAACAATCAAGACTGGACCTCTGTCCTCGCTGGCGAGCATTAATTCTCCCAGTCTTCCGCCTCTGCCTCCGATTAATGTCAACATGGTCATTACGGGGCCAAGTACCTGTGGAGTGTCGACACTCATCCAGCGCTTTATGACTGGGAACGACGACGTGCGTCTCAAACTCTTCTTTTTTCGGTGTCTGATCATTCCGACTAGTGGGTACCATCCTCCACTATTGACGATTTTTGGCATCATGTCGTGCAATCGGAGTCACGCAGCGTGTATTATAACATGACCGAAGTCACTGGATCAGAGGAATATGTGGATCTTCGGAGAGCGGTTCTCAGGAGAGCACAAGTCGTTCTGTTGTGCTTCCGTTTAGATTCTCGGGAACAATTTCGCGAAGCCATTGTTCGGGTACGTGATACGTCGAAGATTTGCCTTATCTGATCGTCATGCTAGCTCGTTGAAGATATTCATGCTGTTGGCATGATTCCCATTGTCCTTGTTGGAACGTTTCAGGATTCTCCCTCTCGGCAAATCACCACTGACGAAGTATGTAGCCCGTTCCTTGTAGTCATTAGCTGATCATCCTAGGCCCAAACCGCTGCCGAGGCATTGCACGCAAGTTATTTTGAGTGCAGTCCTCTTCTGGGGAGAGGAGTTCAAGAGCTCTTCAAACACGCAGCAAAGGTGCTCCAAGCTGTCGAAGAGCTACGTCCTACACCAGCTGTTGGTTCTTCCCCGCCTCCTTCCGCGACTCGTGCCCTCTTTAACCTTGTTCGCGGCCGGCGCTCCTATTCGCAGTCGACAGCAAGTCCCCGTACACGCAGTGCGACGCAGCATCTTCCTCAGTCCGCATCGTTCAAAAGACAAACGTTTGCCGAGTCCAGTCCGCTTGTTCCTGTTCTCAACATTGCACCGGATTCGGAACCCGCTTCGACAAACTTGCTCCTCCTCGGACCCCAGCACTTCAAGTGTGTTATTCATGGTGGAGAGTCCAGCGGTCGCAAGAGCCTTGTTCATCGCTACCTCCACGGGACATTCGAATGGCTTCCAGAGGTGCCTTGGATGACATGGAAAGCGGCGGTTAATGTCGTGCCTAAAGAGCACGAGAGAAGACCCAGCCTACCGCCCGTGGCAGGCTCAATGGTCCCCTATGCACTCTCTATCTCCGAGACGGGTGCAAGCAAGTCTTTGGATTCGTTGCGCCGCTCGACGTATATCGGTGTCAACGTGTTTGTCATCTGCTTTAGCGTGTCGGATTACCGAGAAGAGGTTATGCAGGAGATTAAAGGCAGGGTGAGCGACTCGCTGATAGTGTGAATCGTCACTCATGGACCATAGTGGCACGACGAATGCAGGAATTATGGGGCGCATATCCCTATTATCGTCGTTGCGACCAAGATTGACCAACGAGAAGGAACGATGAGAGCGTGGACGACTGCACAGGTGAGTTGAACATATATTTTAGTCATCTCATTCTGACGGGTCGCCTAGGGACGTGCGCTCTCTCAATCTATCCGAGCTGCTGCCTATTTAGAATGTTCAGCGGCCACGGGTCAAGGAATCGAGGATGTTTTCCAGACAATTGTACGTGTCGCAGCGGAAACTCAAGTGCATGCCAGATGAACAACAGTCTCTCTCTTCGGGAACAAATTGTAGCGCTTATCCTGACGTGTAAAACTAATCTTGTCACAGAAATACGTCGATTGTAATGCACAAAATTGAAACTCTAAAGAAGCATAAGTGAGGGTCTACAAAGCTTCAACCATGTCGTCGTCGTCGTCGCTCGAATCGTCATCATCATCATCGTCCCCTAGATCTGGTGCACCATAGTCGAAATGTGGCGCCGGTTCCATTTTGTAGAGTTGAGAGTACTGCTGAGGATCGACCTTCATCTGTGCCTCGTCCTCTTCTTCTTCAGCCTCTTCAACGACGGGCATATAGTTTTCTGTGAGCCTGTACATGCCGTTGTTGGGTCCACTGCGCTCAAGGATGGCAATCTCGTTGAGGACCTCGCGGAGGTAGACCTCTGGCTGCTGAACTCGTTGCCGCAGATCCTTGATGGACCAGTGTGTCTTTTGGCGGAAATGATGGAAAAGAGCGTCCAATAAATCGTTTTTGGCCATGCGTGCCATGCGTTCAAAGGGTTGTTTGGGCGCCTTGAGTGGCTTGCCGATTCCAGTCCCTGCGGCGGCTTTGGTGCCTTTGCCGGCTGTGAGACGTCTGATCTCCGAGGTAGATGCGCCCATATCCTCCATAAACTTGATGCCACCCTGTGGCTGGGCTGCGTCATGTCTGCGCTTGAGGTGGGCTTGATAATCGACGTCGAAGCGTGCTTTGCACTCGAGTAAATGTTCTATGGCTCCTTTAAACTCTGTTACTCCTGTTTAAACGCGTTAGGCAGGTGAGGCTGCGTGGAGACGAGGTGACATACGCGCGCGATCTTCAGGGCGAGAGGTTTTTGGCCTATCTGTGACGACAATATAGTTTTTCAGCGTCTTTTCTTGCATTTCGAGTTCATATTCGATCATGGGCGCGTCTGGGGACGGCTGCCAGAAGAGACGGACGATTTGCTCCGTGTCGGAGACTTTGTAGACGCGAATCTTGCCCAGAGGGACGTTTGGTTCTGTGATTTCGCTCCAGGCTTCTACGACTTGGGCAGGGAGCTGTTTGTTGTTGTCATTGTGAGCGCATGCAAGCGCTGTGGCCTTACCGATGTGACCCAAAAGTTTGTGAGGTCCTGTGGAATGAGGCGCATGGTCTCGTCTGGTTCCTGTTCCTCATCGTCGACGCCGTCCATGTCTGGCTTGAACTCTGGCGGCGAGTGTGCGTTGTCGACTTCCATGATGGTAGAGTCCAAGATGCAGAGAGTGTGCTACACTATTTCGAATAATACGAATTTATGTATAATTTTTATAATTGTCAGCTGTTGTGCCGTTTTGCTGCCACTCGGGCAAACTACTCGAGACTTGCCAAGCACTCTCTTGAACCGCTACCGCGACGACGTGTGTGCCAGCCAGGATCAGGAATTGTGGTCGATACGCTTATCTAAAATATTCTCCAACACTCGTTTTACCCACAGGCGGGGGACTAATCGCCAGACAAGATGTCGATGAACTCGCTCTTCAGACGGGCCAACAGCCAGCAGCCGCACAGAGACCACGGTCCAGACGACGACACGGACGACGATGACCAGGTCGACCCAGAACTCCGTCTCAGGACCGTGCGCACCGCCGCCTCTACCATCGCCGAGTCGATTCGCAGCGAACAGCGCATGGAACGCCGCAGAGCCAAAAGGAGACGGCTGTGGGGGTCCCTAAAGACGAAGAAACCGCCCTCAAACGCTGGTCATGATAGCGAACTGCGTCTGGAATCGGCCGCAGGCGCTGCCGCCAACAACAAGCCGCGGAGGAACGTCTATGTCAATTGCGCCCTCTCTCCACACGACATGGACGGCTATGGACGTCCGATCCACAACTATGTGCGCAATAAAGTCAGAACGACGAGTGAGTTACTCTACAGCTGCCATCTTGGGACGAGGTGCTGAGACACGTTCTACCACAGAGTATACCATCGTCACTTTTGTTCCCAAGAATCTCTACGAACAGTTTCGGCGAGTCGCAAATCTCTACTTTCTCGGCCTCGTTTGCATCCAAGGTGAGAGTCCTTCTTCACCCCCTCACCGCCCTGCCGAGCTTTGACTGCGCGATATCCACTTCTCCATCCGCTCGGCATGAGATACGCGGCTTGCTGCATAAACAGTGTTTCACTTGGCCGCCCCCGTCGGAAACACTATGGGAATGCATAATTTGCTGACACGACCATAGTCTTTCCTATCTTTGGAGCAGCAGCTCCTCAAATCGCCATGGTTCCGCTATTGTTCATTCTGACCGTCACGGCGTTAAAGGATGGTGTGGAAGACTACCGACGAGCGACGCTGGATGAGGAAGTGAACAACTCTGCGGCTACAAAACTCGGCGACTGGCGAAATGTCAACCTTCGTGATGACCCTAGACCGTGGTGGCAACGACTTCTCGGCCTGAATAAACCCGGCTCAATCTCAAAGGGCGTGCGACGCCTGCGGGAAAAGGAGCTAGAGGAGGGTGCAGGCAGGATCGTCTTGTCCAAGAATCTCCCGGACGATTCATCGGAAAAGACGGGCCCAAAGGACGACGTGCATGCCGAGATCCATCGCGCGAGGTCACTCGAGGATATACAGTCTGTCCACTCTGGTGAATTGCACGAGTACCCACCTATTCCCATGGACTCTTTGAGCTCGCGAGTCAATCTCGCGGATTCGTCCAGCACCGCAGTCGGCGACCCCCGTCCGCGCAAGGACAGCGCAGCCTCTTCGGTCTATCCCTCCTCCAACCGCACCGGCGTCTCCATCGGTGTCGTCGACTGGACGAGACAGACGCCTGGGACAGCCAAGTGGGAGCGTACGCTATGGAAGAAGCTCGAGGTTGGCGATATTGTCTTGTTGAGAGACAATGATCAGATCCCTGCAGACATTGTCGTCTTGTCCACGTCGGATAATGACGGTCTTTGCTACGTGGAGACGAAGAATTTGGATGGAGAGACCAACTTGAAGCCGCGAAAGTCGCTTCTCGCCACAAATTCCATGGTGTCCGAAGAGGACATTGAACATGCAAGCTTCCTCATCGACTCGGAACCTCCACACGCCAATCTCTACCTGTACAACGGAGTGCTTAGGTATCGTTCGAGGGACGATCAAACCATCTCCCCGAATCCAACCGACCCAATCGCCGGCACGTCCTCCAAGATGGAACCGGTCACAATCAACAACCTCCTTCTTAGAGGATGCACCGTCAGGAACACGAGTTGGATCATTGGTGTCGTCGTCTTTACCGGCGCCGACACCAAGATTATGCTCAATGGTGGTGACACGCCGTCAAAGCGCAGCAAAATTGAAAAGGAGACAAACTTCAACGTCATTATGAACTTTTTGATCCTGCTCGCGATGTGTCTCTCTACCGCCATTGTCTCCGGATACTTTGAGACGTTGACGAACACGAGCGCCGCCTATTACGAGATTGGATCGGACCCAACAAGATCCGTCGTCTTGAATGCCTTGATCACATTTTGGTAAGTTTCCTTGCTCTCGAGTCTAGCTATCTTTCTGATAAGGATTCAGCTCTTGCCTAATTGCGTTCCAAAACATTGTGCCAATTTCGCTGTACATCTCCATTGAGATTGTCAAGACTATTCAGGCATACTTCATCAGCCAGGACATTGACATGTGGTATCAACCCTACGAGACGGCATGCGTACCAAAGACATGGAACATCTCGGACGACCTTGGACAAATCGAATACATCTTCTCTGACAAGACGGGAACGTTGACCCAGAACGTTATGGAGTTCCAAAAGTGCTCGATCAATGGCATCATCTACGGAGAAGGCATCACAGAGGCCATGAGGGGAGCAGCGAAACGAGAGGGCCGAGATGACCTTCCCGATCCCCAGGAGCAGGCACAGCAGCTCCGAGAGATGAAAGTTGGAATGCTCGACAAGATGGCAAAGACGTTCAAGAACCGATATCTACAGGCCGACAAAATGACACTGGTAGCCCCCAATCTCGCAGATCATCTCGCAGACAAGAGTAGCCCACAGCGGCAAAATCTCATTGCATTCTTCCGCGCGTTGGCTGTATGCCACACTGTGCTCGCAGATCGTCCGGAGCCACACACGCAGCCCTTCCGATTGGATTACAAGGCCGAGTCTCCTGATGAGGCCGCCCTCGTTGCAGCCGCGCGAGATGTAGGATTTCCGTTTGTCGGAAAGTCGAACACGTCGATCGAGATTGAAGTCATGGGCCAGCCTGAACGCTATGTCCCGCTTCGAGTGCTCGAGTTTAATAGCACTCGAAAGCGGATGAGCGTCATTGTGCGGAATCCAGAGGGCAAGATTGTCTTATATACCAAGGGCGCGGATAGTGTCATCTATGCGCGCCTCGCTGCGGATCATGATCCTGTTTTGAAGGAGGCGACGGCAAAGGATATGGAGACGTTTGCCAACGCGGGTCTACGCACGCTCTGCATCGCCTATCGGTACCTTAGTGAAGAAGAGTACCTGAACTGGAGCAGGCTACACGACGCGGCGTTGAATGCGCTTACAGATCGCGAGGAGGAGATTGACAAGGTCAATGAAAAGATTGAGCATTCCTTGTTGATCCTTGGTGCCACTGCTCTCGAGGACAAGCTGCAAGAAGGTGTACCCGAAGCGATTGAAACCCTGCACAAGGCTGGGATCAAACTTTGGATCTTGACTGGCGACAAACTTCAAACTGCGATTGAGATTGGCGAGTAGCATGTCACACGTGTTTCCATCTTCTAATATCGTCCTACAGGTTTCAGCTGTAATCTCCTCAAGAGCGACATGGAGATTATGATTCTAGCGGCTGACTCTCTCGAAGATGCACGCATCAAAGTCGAGGCCGGATTGAACAAACTTGCAACGATTCTCGGCTCGCCAATGAAGAAAAAGGGTCAGACCGATTCTAATCGCCAGCAAGGATGCGCGGTCGTCATTGATGGTGATACGCTTCGCTACGCATTAGACCCATCAATCAAACCGCTGTTCCTCGCGCTTGGCACGCAGTGTGATACTGTCGTTTGCTGTCGTGTCTCCCCGGCACAAAAGGCGTTGACGGTCAAGCTTGTCAAGGATGGTTGCAACGCGATGACGCTCTCCATCGGTGATGGTAAGGCTTCATGGGGCGTCACATCTTGTGCTCAACGTTTTGTAGGTGCCAACGACGTGGCCATGATCCAGGAAGCAAACATTGGGTGTGGTCTACTTGGTTTGGAAGGATCCCAGGCGGCAATGTCTGCAGACTATGCGTTTGGCCAATTCCGGTTCTTGACCAAATTGCTTCTCGTACATGGGCGATGGTCTTATATCCGAGTCGCCGATATGCACAGCAACTTCTTCTACAAGGTATGTCACTGTGTTTTCTTGAGTGAACGAGACTTATACCGGTATAGAACGTCATTTGGACCTTTGCCATGTTCTGGTTCCTCTTTTACAACAGCTTTGACGCCACCTATCTTTACGAGTACACATTCATTCTCGGATACAACTTATTCTTCACCTCTCTGCCAGTCATCGTCCTTGGAGGTAAGAATACTCACGTTACAAAGCCAGTCGATTTAAATTTTTTCCAGCATTTGATCAGGATATCAATGCCAAGGCGTCGCTAGCCTTCCCTCAACTATACGCTCGTGGCATCAAAGGCCTGGAATATACCCGTTCCAAGTTCTGGCTGTACATGTTTGACGGCTTCTACCAATCTGTCATCGTCTACTTCATTCCTTATCTATCCTTCTCTGGTGGCGCTCAGTTCTCCTGGTCTGGCAGAACACTCGACTCGTTGGCAGACTTTGGAACGACGGTAGCGATAGCTGCCATCTTCTCGGCCAACATCTTTGTCGGCCTCAACTCGAAATAGTAAGCTTTTTCTGGAGCGGGAATACTTGGTGCTTACGCCTTGGTAGCTGGACAGTGATCACTTGGATCGCGGTTGTAGGCTCCATGCTTCTTATGTGCGTCTGGGTTGTAGTGTACTCTTTCTTCGAGAGTATATCCTTCAACCAAGAAGCAATAGTCCTCTTCAGCACCATCGGGTTTTGGGCCACGGTAGTGTTCAGCATCATCTTGGCACTCGGTGAGTTCTCTCTTGAACACTATAACGTCTTCTCATCGCTGTTCAGGCCCCCGTTTTATCTGCAAGTTCCTGGTCGAAGCTTACTTCCCAGCTGATCGTGATATTATCCGAGAGGCATGGGTCGTTGGTGATCTCAAGGATCAACTAGGAATCAAGCGACGCAGAGCGTCAAGAGGAATGACCTCCCGAACCGAGGACGCCTCTCTTTTCCGACCTCACAATCGGGATGCCTCGGACAATTCGTCAGATCATGAACGAGATGGGTACGAACCGATAGTCTCAAACCGCTCGGGAGTCTCCCCTCAACCCGCGAGCTCCAACGCCGACCTTGCACCCCCGTCGAGACGACAGCCGACAGCAATGTCGTACTACTCTGCATCTGACATTCCAGTGTCAGAGCCTCCAGCACAGTCAGATCGAAGGCCAGCACTAGCTCTCCATCCATCCTCTGCAGATCAACGGCGGCTTTCACGTGCTTCCCCTCCTAGTCCGCTCCATCTCTCTCCAAATAGCCCGACATCGAGGTCACCAGTTATGCAGAGTTCCAGTCCAACTCGTCTTTCTCCGAGACAGGGAGCGATGCCCCCTCCAGGAGAGTACGAGATGACCCTGAGGCCACGACTCCATACTCCAGAGCCAAGCGGATACTCTCACACTTCGCAAGCGTCTCAAGCTTCGTTCGTGACTGCTGATGACGGTGACTGGGAGTCTGGGCGGGAGGATGACCGCACGACGGTCCGTCCGCCGGTTGGCCAGGCTTTGTAGACCCTTCAATGATTGGTTTTGCGAGTGTTTTTCCTTTGTCTGTTCACGACACGAGTCTGTTTGTACGACCTTTTCCCCACGCGGCTCTGTTTTTGGTTGACTGAGATTCGTCCTTACGCACTTATGATCTATATATTGCCAGAATCATCACGAATTGACTTGGTTTTGCGATTTCTGCGGTCCTGTGAGCGTTTTGCTTGACGATCAACTCTGGGCTCACGTCGCCACACGGGTTGTCGTATACCTTGCCGTCAGCCACTTCCGCTACGCACCTGTAAAATTCGCGTTAAAATATGGAGACGGGACGAACGGCAGAACATCGCAGACAGAGTACGTAGGCTTCTGATCACTTGTCGTCGTGCCGCGATGAGGCTGATATTGAAAGCTAGACTACAAGGGCAAGAGTAGTCTACGCGCTGATGATCTCCGTCGACGCAGAGAAGAGCAGCAAGTGGAGATTAGGCGTCAAAAACGCGAGGAAAACATCTCAAAGCGACGCAACTTGGATCTGGCGGAAGGCCAAGATTCCGACGATGAGGGCGCCAACGGGGTACGTGTTCATGTCCTGACATTGAGTAGAGGCGTATCGTTGGCTGGACGCTATAGCTGCGGCTCGCCTCTATCCCAGCCACTCTCTGACCTTGCGTTGTTGACCCCTTTGCAGTTGTCACAGGAAGTTGTGCAAGCAGTCTTTTCAGATGATGCTTCCGCCCAATTGGAGGCTACTACCAAGCTGAGAAAGCTTCTCTCAAAGGAAGATAACCCCCCAATCGACCGTATCATCTCTTGTGGTGTCGTCCCTCGCTTTGTCGAGTTTTTATCGGGACCGCATCCAGCTCTTCAGGTGCGTAGCATGCTTTATATTGCCTATCGATACTCATGCTTGGCTAGTTTGAAGCGGCCTGGGCGCTGACGAACATTGCCTCGGGCACGGCTGAACATACCATGGTGGTCATCAACGCGGGAGCGGTACCTCACTTTATCAACTTGTTGTCGTCTCCAATCATAGATGTCCGCGAGCAAGCAGTATGGGCCTTGGGCAATATTGCAGGAGACAGCCCACAATGCCGCGACTATGTCGTTCAGGCCGGCGCTCTCAGACCGTTGCTGTCGCTCCTTTCTGAGCATCACAAACTCAGTATGTTGAGGAACGCGACATGGACCCTCAGCAACTTTTGTCGTGGAAAGCAGCCCCAGCCCGACTGGGAGTTGATTTCGCCAGCTCTGACCGCGCTCAGCAAACTGATACATTCCCCGGATGAAGAGGTGCTTATCGATGCGTGCTGGGCCATTTCATATCTCTCAGACGGGTCAAACGACAAGATTCAAGCCGTCATCGATGCCGGCGTCGTCCGTCGATTGGTTGAGCTGTTGAACCACAAGTCTAGCTCGGTTCAAACTCCTGCTCTTCGATCTGTTGGTAATCTCGTAACTGGAGATGATCTGCAGACACAGGTTGTCATCAGTGCTGGTGCCTTACCGGCTCTCTTGACACTCTTGTCCTCTCCAAAGGACGCCATCCGCAAGGAAGCGTGCTGGACAATCTCGAATATTACAGCGGGTTCACCGGTCCAGATTCAGGCTGTCATCGAGGCCAACCTTATCCCTCCTCTTATCAACATACTCGCCAACTCTCCCGATTTCAAGACACGAAAAGAGGCGTGCTGGGCTATATCAAACGCGACATCGGGTGGTCTTCAGGAGCCGCACCAAATCCGATATCTTGTCCAACAAGGTTGCATCAAACCATTATGCGATCTATTGACAATGATGGATAACAAGACGATCCAAGTCGCGCTAGATGCGATTGACAACATCTTGAAGATTGGTGAACAGGACCGCTTGGCTCGTGGACCAGGAGCGTACAATGAATATGCCGTTTTCGTCGAGGACGCCGGAGGCATGGTCACCATTCACAATCTCCAAACCCACGACAACATGGAAATCTACGGCAAAGCGTTTTATATTCTGGAAAATGTGCGCTCTACAACTTTTGCGAGTACTCGTACTAACTTGATTAAAGTACTTCCCCGATGACGAGGAAGCGGAAATGGTGCCGAATGGAGGTGGCCCAGATGGTGGATATTCGGTCAGTAGAATGTTTTTATCCTGTCGAATGAAAGGCTGACTTATCCGCAGTTTGTGTCGGGGGTTCAAGCGCCGCAGGAAGGCTTCAGCTTTGGACAGCAGTAATGATAAACATATTCATAATCCTCGCGCCTCAACAGCGCTTGGTGTGTCGGGATACGGGAGCGATTGCTCTTGTCGTTTGCCATGTAAATCTCTACGCTGTCCAGGTGCTACAGACTACTGCGGCTGTCGTATCTACGATAATTCCCCTCCCTTGACACTCCACCTCAATTTCCAGTCTCGTGTACGTCTGTAGGACGTCTACCTTTGCTCGGCGTGGGTGCCGCCTGTAAATCTTGCTTCCAACAAAAAATAAAGAATCCAAATACATGGACGTTATACTAAATTGGATACTGTGCGGCTCTGCGGTGGGTCTACCTTCACCTATGGCAGTCCGGCACGAGGCAAAACTGCGATCTTCCCCTAAGAAAAAGCACGCAGTTCTGCCCGTGATCACAGGGGCAAGACTGTAATGAGTTCAGGAGTGGCACCAAGTATATAGCTCGGTTACGTATGGCCTCGGCCTCCATTCTAATTTGATCTTGTGAGTTCAACAGCGCTAGTGAAAGGAATTCACACCCATATCGGTAAGCAAGGGGCGGAACTCACGACCCAACCGGTGCTGCTCATCTGCTTTGAGTTCAGGTTTTCGCCATATGCATTCACCGGCAATTGTACAAACCAGCTTGTGAATTCGCGAGCAATTCCGGCAGGACTGTTGCTCCTTTGCTTGGCTCAGGAGCACTCGCGGAATTTGGCAAGTATTCACTCCCAAGTCGATCTGTGAGTCCACAGCAAAGTCAATATCTCCGAGGGAATTCACTAGCAGTTGTACAAGCGGTCAATGAATTCACACGCCAGTACGGCGAGGCGCATGGCCACAGGAACTCACGTGCCATTGTACAAACGACCATGAGTTCACGAAAGGTATCATGAACATGACATAGACAGATGCTTCTTTCGTAATTCAGGGCAACCCGGTGAAGTGTGCCGCTGATCACAGTCAGACAAACAGCCCATGAACTCACGGATAGCTGTGACGGAGTTGACGTACACGGCCGCCAATCTTGTATTGAGAACAGCGGGCAATGTGTAGCGCCAAAGGAATTCACTTGGAAGTGGACAAACAACCCATGAATTCACGTATAGGCACGGTGGGATTGGCATAAATGACTGCTATTCTGGGAATTCAGGGTGACCGGCAACCCATGCCACCGAAGAAATTCACTTTGGAAGTGGACAAACGACCCATGAATTCATGGATAGCCGTCTGGGGCTGACGTATGCACTACCTTCTTTGGTTAGCATTTTGAATGAACTGACATGCGTCTTTGCAAACTGCTGATGAGTTCACGAATATCCCTGGCAGAATTTATGATTGCTACCGCAGTTCACTCAGGGCCATTCATAGCGGGCCTCGCAATCAAATATTTATTGCATTTCGCAACTGATATATGAATTAACAGACTGCTTTGGCGGAACTCACGACCGATACTGTGTCCCTGTCATGAGCTCAAGTATACAGGTAGAGATTTGCCACCAGTTGGTTTACAAGAATTGAACACAGACGAATTACTTGCTTATCTCCGCTGAGTACCTCCAGGTTGAATACTACGAGGGAAATGGTAGCACCAGTTTGGGTATCCCTTGACCACTTGCCCACCACCACCCCGGTAAGGAGACCAGAGTCCAAACGAACGCGAACATAACCCCCTTCCAATGTCTAGCGATGCTCATCCTCCTGGCGGGCACTTGCAACGTCTCAATTCGCCTCCCACATCATACGGGGCCGCCGCCAGTGACCACAACACGAATTCGTCAGAGGATGAGGAGCAATGGTTTGACCCTCGTAGCTCCGAAGACTTGCAGGATCAGGACGCACAGACTGACTCCGACACCAAGGCTGGTAGCAACACCAACAAAAGCGATTCCAGCGGGTTTGAGAATCCAACCGGTATTCATATCATCACCCGTCGTCATCGTGTGGACTTCTCGCGACGTCAAAATACATTCGCCCCTCCAAAGCGAAGTGCTCAGGTTCTGTGGAAAGATTTTCATGCAGGAAATAACGCACAGAAAATCAACTACGTGGCGCAGAAGTACAGAGATGAAGTGACGGACGAGATCCGCTCTATTATTGCCCGCAGAATGAAGCAGAGGGAGCAATTTCCATTGGACGGATCGCAAATCAAGGCATGGGAGAATTTTACGACCCTCTTCTCGCAAATTGAGAAGACATTTGTACTAATGACATCTCAGTAAGTGACTCATTTCGTTATTGATCATTCTGACTTTGTAAGGCATAAGCGCGATCTCGTCAACAATGAATGGCATTCGCTTGTTCGCGATACATACTCGGCTTTCAACTGGCCATCTCTCGCTGTCATTTGGATCCCGGATGCCAACGGCGGGCCTCCTGAAGCAAAGATGTAAGACTTGCATTTCGAGCCATAAATATCTACTGATATTTAATATCATAGGATTGCTATTCAGCCTGATGGCGCACCGTCTTGGGTGGACTGGCAGTCCAAGGCTGACCCGCGAGTCTGGCGTCTATTGAACGCAAGCTTCCAAGGATATGCAGACCAACTGTATCAAGACCAGGCAAAGGAGGACATGAGTACGTTTGGCGAGAGACAATGATTGCTTTAATAGCTTGTAGATGCGATTGAGCGCGAGTTGATTGCAGAAAAAAAGAGGCCTTGGGAGAAAGCGTCGAAGAAGGCAGTTGAAACTCAGGTCGATCCACAGGAGGATCGTCACGCTCCCCACACAACGGTCTTCACAAGCAAGGAGGGGGATTTCACCTCGATTGGAGAGCGCGAGGGAGTCAGGATCATCGAGAACATACGTCCAGGTATGCCCAGGTATCCAAATCTTCACCTAGGACGCACAATCCTGCGTTTTCTCATCTCAGATCGTTACGGTGAGTGAACAGTTGGATAGTCGAATTGTACCTTATGTTGTATTCTAGCAAGTCGCCGAGACGCAATGCGTCCAATGATGAAGGACGGCAAGCTTGAGGCTCCGACGATACCATGGAAGAGAATTTCGCGCCATCTCACGCAGATTGCATACTCCGACTACTTTCCAAAGATAAAAGATGAAGCGGGAAATATTTTACTTCCCGAACTTCCTTTTTATAAGACGAGTTGCCCTAGCAAGCAGGTTGTTGACTCGTGGCTCACTTGGTTTGCTGACATTCAGGATGGCGGCAATGAAACATGGGAACATGGTATGATCTTCAAGCAAACCCTCAAGAATCTCGCGATTAAGCAGTTTGCTAATGGTGCGTCACTGCTGGATTGTGTTCGCCAATCTCACACCACATGAAGTGGACAACAGCGACAATGAAACGCGCCCAAATCTCAATTCAGAGAAGCCTCCTTCTCTGAAAACACCTCTTTTCTTCACAGAATCGTCCACTTGGCCGCCGCTACCACTGGGAGACACCCCTCGACCATCTTTGATCGATGGTTTTGGTGCGTTGTAGCCTCATTTTAGCATGATCTCACCATCTTGTCTCGTAGTTGTGCAGTCAGGGCCGATCCATCCATCCTTACAAGTCCCAGGGCCATCTCAGTCCTCTGATTTGCAGCCTCGGAATGTCTCTCAGGAGCCCCTTGCTGAACCTCGTGGGTTACCTCCGTCGACCAAGGTTCCACCTCCAACTGAACAAGGTATTTATCCCTTATATTGTCGTGGCATGCCTGACAGAACAATAGCTACAGATCGGCCACAAGCTCTCAACAAGTCAAAATATCATCTCGGACGTGCAAAGAACCCGGAAACAAGCTCTGGCAAACCGCCGAGGAAGAAACGGAAACTTGACCCCCCCCCGATCTGACAGTCTGCGTCGCTCGGAGCGCCAGAAGCAACCAGTGGGACTAAGCGTGTCGGATGGGTAGTACGTATCATAAAATAATCATACTACCTGTTTCTTGTGACAATGACTTCTTTTCCTTATGCTACGACTTGTCACGTAAGATGACACTCTTCTTAATATGGGCTGTATGAGCAGAAAGCGTAACTTTGGACAGGCACAAAACCCACCGCTACCGCCATCGCCTATGGTCGCGATAAAAGGTCGAGGGTGAGCGCAACGTCCTCATCTTCGATCTTGGTGGTGGAACATTCGATGTCTCTCTCTTGACCATCGAGGAAGGTATCTTCGAAGTCAAAGCCACCGCTGGCCTGGTCAAGAAGGTCTTGGGAGACTCGAGGAATGACAAGTCGAACGTCCATAAAATCGACCTCTTTGGTGGCTCGACCCGTATCTCATGTATCGTCTCTGACTTCTTCAGCAGCAAGGAGGCCAACAAGAGCATCAAACCAGACGAGGCCATCACGCGTCGCCTATGGTGCCGCTGTCCATGCTATCATACCCTCAGGTGATACCTCGAAGAAGACCCAGGAGATTCTCTTTCTCAGTATAGCCCCACTCTTCACTGACATTGAGACTCCTGGTGGTGTCATGACCACTCTCATCACATGCAACACCGCCGTCCCAACCGAGAAGCTTGAGATGTTCTCCACCTATCCCGAGGGTTGCTATGGGAAGTAGACAATGAGGAAGCCACAGGAATGCTTGATTTGTCTATCCTAACACATCTCCATCTGTAAGAGAGACGAGTTGCGTGGGCCAATAAGTTTGGCGGCTTTCTGGAGCGCTAAGGAGATACTATTTCGCAATTTCGTCTGTCATTTAACGTAAAAATGAAATTAAAATGCTTATATTGCACCGTTCTTTCGCCAATCCAGATTTCCTCAAAGAAATAGCGATATTGGCTCCAGAAAATCCCGCTTTAGACATTACAAGGACCATGGACTACATGAATGGCTCTCTAAATGACACAAAGTAGATTTTAGTGTACAATTATCTGAATTCTAACACCACCCGTGGCCTGTAGGCTCTGATGCAATTCGACTGAACTGTTCATTTTTACGCTCAACTCGCAACGGCAGTCATCTCATGCCCGATATAAGGCAAAAAAAGGTGAAAATAGTATGCGGAAGAATATGAAACCAAGTGTTGAACCAAGCGATCTCAGCTTGATGCATATCTTGCAGTTCAGTTCTGTCGACATATCGTGGAGTTATGTAATAATTGCACCTAGACAATGAACAAAAAGTCTCAGACGGAGCAGTAAGCGAACCGAATGAGGTAAACACGATCAAATCTCCACTACTTATCTCCGCTCCTTTGCTGAGTCAAGGTTTCCAAACTCTCTGTAATACATGCTACGTATGTCGCGCTTCTTATGGAAAGCAAACTCGGACAAAATTCATCAGAACTTACATGTAGTTGGTGCAAATCAGTGCAATTCGGTGCAATTAGGTGCAAATTGGTGCAAATTGGTGCAAATTGGTGCAATTCGGTGCACATTGGTGCACTCTAGTGCATTCTCCGGTGCATCTTGGTGCGTTTTGGTGCATTTTGGTGCAATCTGGAGCAACTGGTGGTGCCGTCGGATGTGGTGTACCTTGATTTGCATCACAACTTGCACTTCAGGGGGCACCTCAAAATGCACCAATTTGCACCATGACTTGCACCTCTCGAGACCTTGGACGGTGAGATTCGGCCGTCATGGAACCTTCTAAATCGGACATGTTGATACCTCTTGACCCCCGCTATGAACGATCTAAATCCTACAGCTCCTGTAAATCCACCTTATCTGCTGCCGCGATCCCCCGTAGGAGAGTCCAAGAAGCTCTTCGAGAGAGAGATAATGTAAATATATAACTCCATGTGATACCTAAAGTGCAATAAGAAGTGCATATTAGTGCAAAATGTACCAAGCATCACCAACAATTGCACCAACAATTGCACTAGTGCAATCTTGGTGCAAATGTGAGTGCATGTTGTGTATTTCGTGAGGATGCACCGGAAATTGCACCAATATGCACCAATATGCACCAGAATTCACCTAAATTTGCACCGAAATGCACCGAGGCGCATCGACTTGCACCGGGGAATGCACTAGATTGCACCAAATTGCACCGATTTGCACCAACTACACGTAATTTCTGATGACTTTTGTCCGAGTTTGCTTTCCAGAGCTTCTTGGTAGTTGGGAAGCTTCTGATGTCATGATGTTTCTCCTTCAGATCTCGCTAGAAGGTCTCCTGCTGTTGTTCCTGGCCCGCGATCCACAACGGACTTGATAAACGTCGATTTATCTGCTACAGGAGATTATTGGCTTCAAGGTCCACCAGCGTACTCACCCCATTGATCACGATCATCCGATTAATTAGAAGAGTACCACTTGATCCAACGATTATGCTCTACAGGTCTCGAATAAACGTAAAAATTATAGTAATTCAAGTAATCCTCGACCGCAGGTCGACGTGTCTGGTCCCACTGAGGAGCAGGGCTGATTGGGATCGGTACCCGGCTTGGATCAAACTCCAAGAGCACGGCCAATGAAACGCTATTTGTCTGTACTAAGAGTCTTGTCTGTACACCAAGTAGGGATAGTTTGGCGAATGCCAATATATATGTCCACATAGTGGGCATGACCATCATTCAAAATGTGTATTGGGAACAATGAGAAAGGAGTCGACTCAATGTCTACCATTCAGTGTGGTCTGGTCTTTCAACCATCTGCCTTTGCCATGGGATTTGTACCGCCTCCGCTTGGCCCTCACAAGGAAACATACGACACTCCTCAGAATACAGATACCTTCTATCAAGGATCTGCGCACCAAGGTATCTCAGAGATGAATCATTATACAACCCTAGTCGGTCTCTGAACCAACAGCTTGAGAACCCAAGCAGGCTTCTCGATCACCTTATAGCTCCGATTCAATACATACACTATGCGCTGTCCCGGCTACGTGCTACCCACGGAAGCCGTGCTGATTTCCCACGATATCAATCGCAGAAGCTCTGCATTGCTCTCATCACGCCGCTTGCGAGTTGGATCGTGGGATAGGAGCAACGTTGACATGTCAGCGTATAAAGTCCGCCAGACGTGGTCTTGTGTTTCTTCTTGGGCGCAGATACTACAAATCTGTGTGTCACACCTGGCCGTTTGTTTGCACCCAGTATAGTAGAAACACACGGGTTTGATCATTTGATCAGAATAAGTCGCAATTGACGAGGAACTATGCACTTATGCATAGTAGGACTACTTCTACTCATCGAGCGGGCCACGGCATTGCACAATGTTACCGTAGACGACATGTCCAGTGACATTATCTACAGTGGCACATGGCTAAAGGTGTGTCGTGGATTGGGATGCTCGCGGGTATTGGGCTGATTGGTATTTGCCAGTCATCGTCTCATGAAGATCGATACGCAGGTACCACTCATTATACGGTACGCGAGATCCATATATTTGGTACTTAATCTGATATGATTAGAGAACCAAAGGCTCATCAGCCTCGTTCTCGTTCACCGGGGCTTCCCGAGTGTATTTCATCGGATTCGGTCTACGGAACAAAAGCATCGATACTACAATGGACCTGACGTTGGATGGTGTAACTACAACAGTTGACCAGCACGTCACTGGAGACCGTGCACAAGCAACTCTGTGGTCAAGCGGAGACCTAGACGTCCACTTGACTCATACTATACATGTCCAGAAAACAAGTGATAATAATGGCGGCAGGGACCTAAACGTAGATGCTTTTATGTGAGTTCTACTAGATTTACAAAGTGGTGATGATTGACTCTGGACATAGTCTGACGATACCGGACGAAACCAGCTCTCTAGTGTCTTCACCATCCACCTCAAGGGCATCCTCGTAAGCACTTTCCCGCACTAAGGCATCAGAAAATTGAGTATTTTTAACGTTAGATCGTCAACATTCCGATCGTCTCCGGATGGGTGAGCACCACCTCCTTACCTGAAAATCTATCTGACCAAGAAACCGAGAAAGAACGATTGCAGAAAGCACATCCACTCGACACCTGTAAGAAGATAGCGTAGCTTATCGATCTTGACTCACAACGGACAGTGATACAAGCACGAGTAGTCGTGCCCTCATTTGGAGCCCTACCGAACTCAGTGTATCTTTCTACGGGCCGGCTTCGCAAGCAGTTTCTTCGGTTAGCACTGGCACTCTCACAGGGCCAGTGCAGTCACTAGAGAGCACAATGTCGACAGCCACGGTTGTGGGTGCAGTGCTTGGAAGCCTTGCCGCTGTATGCATGCTTGGAGTAGGGTGTTTTCTGATGGGGAGGCATCATCGACGTAGGTCTGAAGAGTTCCTTGTCCCTGATCTGCGAGCGTCCCGAGGACTGGAGAAGACGACCAGCGATCTGGATGACAAACCCCGACTGCCCGCAAATCTACCCACGCAGCAGAAAGTATTTCCAAAGAGAGCAGCGAACATCACTCCTGTCGAAACTGCTGGTTCACTTGACAGTCCATGGAGAGAAAGTGAACCTCCAGAAGAGGACATCCGTACGTCGCGTTTCTTTATAGTGAATTCAAAAGTCCTGATGTTTGAGGTCATGGACCTCCCAGAAATCCCTCCAGTCGACAGTGGCAGGTCTGGCACGGTCAATACCGGCTCGCAATCGCCAACGTACCCAACAGATCTCGAATCCTCTATGATAGGAGAGCCTTGGTTGCAAGGTCCACCAGCGTACTCACCACGTCGACACCGACTATCTGGAAATGGTTGGGAAACTGGAAAAGTACCGCGTGAATCAACAAATCAATAGATTCGATATAGTTCAAGGAACAAGCAAGTTATAGCAGTCAAGTGCTTCCCGACTGCAGATCGACGAGCATATTATAGTAAGCCCTCCGTCTTCTGGTGTCCTATCAGAGAGGGCCGAATAAATCATCGATATCGATGTCATTACTTCTAGCCCTCTTCAGCTTGTCTCACGGAGTGAGGATATATTCAGTGAACTATTTGTATTCGTTTTATTAATATCCTCTGTACCCATTTCTGGCGAAATACGGACCATTACCCAACTGTCAATACGATCAATTTACCCACCATTCGCGTGTATCAGGAAGGAATCCCCGGTGGGAGGATAGCGCGTACAATTCAGCATGGTCTACCGTCCCAATCAGGTTACTTGGATTGGCACCGCTTTCACCTCTGTTCTTCCACAATGACGTGAATGATTCTTACCGGGATCCTGGAGTACAGATCGGGTGCGGTATTTAAAGCTACCCGACCGCTTACCGAAAGCCCCGTGCGGATTATTTGAAACTCCAAGAATCACGGCGCTGTCATCGGTCTCAAATCAAGAGTTTATACAGATATATTAATTACCCTCCTCTCTTACCGCGGAACGCCGCCGTGAGATTTCGGATTGTAATTCAGGCAATACGTTCAGCAATGTCCTTGTGTCTTTGCCAATACATACTAATGAATTGAATCATTGTTCTTATTTCATAAGATTCGTCTCCAATGTGCATGCTCTTCGGTCACGTTCCATGCGTAACAGCATCTTGATATGGGCAAGGCGCTGCCATGCCAGCGAATGCAAACAATCAGATGTGATATAATTTTTTCCCAAGCATGAGTGCTATAAATAAGTGTGTCATATTGCTCCCCATCTCCCCCTCCATCCGGTCTGTCAGTCTTCAACAAGCGAACAAGCATCTGCGCAGTAGAAAGGATATAAGTTAAATTTCTTCTCCTTCAATAATTTGCAGCAAAGGAGAACTATGCGTCTATGCAGAGTGGGACTGCTTCTACTCGTCCAGCGAGCCACGGCGTTGCACAATGTCACCGTAGATGACATGTCTAGTGACATTATCTACAGTGGTACGTGGCTCAAAGTGTGTCGTAAAATGGAACGCTAGCGGGTATTGGGCTGATTGATATTTTGACAGTCATCATCTCATGAAGAGCGATACGCAGGCACTACTCACTACACGGTACGCAAGGTCCACGGATTTGCTACTGAATATAATGTGGTTAGAAAATCAAAGGTTCATATGCCTCATTCTCATTCACTGGCGCGGTCAAGGTATACTTCATGGGACTCGGGATACGAAATAGGACCGTCGATACTACAATGACCATCGCATTAGATGGTGTAGCTACGACCGTTGATCAATATCGCGCTGGAAGTCTCGTACAAGCAATTATGTGGTCCAGTGGAGATCTAGATGTCCATTCGACTCATACCATACGTGTCCAGAAAACGACTGATGACGACGGCTGCCGAGATCTAAACGTAGATGCATTTATGTGAGATCCAATAGACTCATGACGTGGTGGTGATTGACTCTGGACATAGTCTGACAATACCGGACGAAACCAGCTCGCTAGTGTCTACATCATCCACCTCAAAAGCGTCTACGTAAGTACAATTTCGCGTCAAAGATTCGGTGAAATAAGCACATTTGATGCTAGATTTTTGATATCACAATCCTCAGGGTGAGCCTCGTGCTCTTACCGGATACCGTTGACCGGCAAAGATTGGTCACAGAAATTCCATCCTCGTAAGAAGTCATTATTGATTTATCGACCTCATTTCACTACTGACAGTGACGCAAGCGCAACTGTCAGTGCACTCGTCTGGAGCCCTACTGAACTCACCGTGGCTTTTGCTGGGTTGGGGTCGCAAGCAGCCTCTTCAGCTACCATTGGTGAGGGCATGGGACCAGTCCAGTCCCCCCAGAGAGCGATGTCAGCGTCCACCATTGTGGGCACAGTCCTCGGAAGTTTTGCCGTTATATGCATGCTGGGAGCGGGATGCTTCCTCATTGGCAGGTATCGGCGACGTGAATCTGAAGAGCTCCTTCCCTGTAGTGCGCCATCCTTCCAAGTAGTGGAAAAAGGGGTCGGCGATCTGGGAGATGACCTCGGTTGTCAGAATATCTAGCCAGACGAGTCGATCTATTCCCGCAGGAAGTAGTTGATGCGACTCCCATCGACATCACTGGTACCCTGACCCGAAGAAGGGAAAGGGCTCCTTCGTTGGAGAATATTCGTATGTCACATTTACTATGGATGCATGGGAAAATCCTGATACCAGGATGATAGGCGTTCCTGGACTCTTTCCAGTTGGTTGTGGGAGACCTTTCGCAGTCGACGCCGGCTCACAATTGCCAACGGAATCAACAAACCACAGTCCCTCTATTTCTGAAGCTATTTGGGACCAAGACCCACCAGCATATTCACCAGCGCAATTACGACTCTCCGCTGAGCATTCGAGGGCCGGAAGAGCGCCGACGGACTGTTAACTCCGATGGGCTCTCAGGGAACATGGCCGCAACAATGTTGCAGGTGCCTTGAATTGAGGTCGATGAGTAGTGTAAACCCTTGGTCATCTGGTCTCCCAATTAACAGGCAGGGGCGAATATTGGTCAGCATCATATCATATCCTTGTTTCCAGCCATACTCGGGCTATCTCCAAGTATAAGACGAAGGTCGGTTATATACCTGATATACCTTCTGTGAGCCACGTTGTACACATCTGAGGCCAGATAGGGACCGCTAGTATGTTCGACGCATTCGACATTCGTCGTGTGTATCAAAATCTTGATGAGGGATATAATTCAACGCGCACGATTCAGCATGGTCTAGTCTCCCAACGAGTCTGAATTTGCCGGGGATTAACATACCGAGCGGGACTTAGTTGTAACTCTTTCGCCTTGACATATTGCAACCGAGCAAAAACTATGCACCTATGCATAGTGGGACTACTTGCACTCATTCAACGAGCTGCGGCGTGGCACAACATCACTGTAGATAACACGTCTAGCGACATTGTCTACAGTGGCCCATGGCTACAGGTGCGTTACATAATAAAATATTGGAGGGTATTGGGCCTATTGATACCTTGACAGTCAGGATATCGCACGGATCGCTATGGAGGCACCACTCACTACACAGTTCGTCCAGTGGGCTTTTTGACCCAGTTCACTATAGGATTTATCCAGTCTGGATGGCCGGATTCCAGTCGCGCTGACCGGAACCGGAACCAGTCAGCCAGACTGGCCCCCGTTCCCACAGTGCTAGGCCCTCCTTGAGGATACCTTGTCCGTCGACAAGGCTTTGGCTAGACGTAGCATTTCGCTATATTTTTACGGCATCTATGGTATCTCTGGGTTCGCACTAATGGAGAAGATTGTTTGATTGCCCATTTTGACCTTGCATCGTGTACTCGGGACTAAGCAATTGTTTCCGCGAACGCATGCATAGAAGTACCTACCAGTCAGGTTGGCAAGCGAGCAACTAATGGCGTTAGTCGGGTTTGAGTTGGCGTAGCGTAGTGGATGGGTAGGATGAAATCTAATAGACGAGATCCTACTCGAGAATACCAAAGTCTTCAGGACGATGGATTCAGAGGCATGCCAAGGTCTGTAAACAACGGGTCGAAACATGTTCCTAGCGGCTGGCGATGTAGACCAATCCAGTTTGAAATAGGCTCACCTCTGCGCTTGGACCTTGTGCAGGTCAGCAAGCCACTCTCCCATTCAGGCGTCTACAGAGGCTGGCACGAACACGAGGCAATCTTGGAGCCATCCATCTTCAGGATGTCGGACCCAATTTCATCCAAACCAAAGAAGCAGCGCAAAAATATAGATTCTTTGGCATCCTCATCTTCTGCACAAGGCTCTAGCAAGAGGGTTCAAATGTACAATGCGGTCACTATCGGTCTCACTGTAGGGGCGAGTATCGCCGAAGCATCAGATATACTGGCTCCTCTCAAGGCAGCTTGTCTGACAACAAAAACGATCCTCGAAGTCGCACAGGCAAGTTGGCGAAATTGTGGTGATATGACTTCCTCAATGGTCACAACAGGCGATATACAGCAATCAAGAGGGATGGACAGACCTCATGCGACGTCTAAAGGAGTACATGTCTGCACTCGAAGAACAAATCATATTGTTTGAGACATACCCCCAAGATGCCAGGGCCGTCGACGAGGCATTCCGCCAGCCACTCATCCACTATGTCGAGTACGTGAACAGATCAAGTTCCTTTCTATTAATTGACCGATGCAGATTCCTCGAGACTGTGCATGATATGGTCATCGATCTAAAGGAAAAGCGCAGCCGCAAGAATTTTGGCCTCTTCAAAGCGTTTACCAAGGTGAAAATAAATGCGGGAGAAATTTTGAAAATGAATCGTGATATCGAGGATCGGCATCGGCAGCTCATGGTGAGGCCTCCATTGATCGTTCTTTTTCACTAACTCACCTTGAAGACAGCAGGCGTTGGGTATTTTCACTGCACTACGCGTTCAAGTTGTAGATAAAACTACCAAAGCCGCAGAAGTCAAATTAGACGTCACGAACGCACACGTGGAGGCGACCAGAGCCACCGTCGATACCACCAAGGCTACCGTCGACGTCACCAACGCAAACGTTGAAGTGATCCTGACAGACGAGTTGTGACTTCTCCATGAAGCTCCTGCTTACCTTTTAAAGTGGACGCACATGCAATCCTTCAGCTCCCAACGGTCGCATTCGTCGCATCTTCAGTCCACAGTACATGTTTAGAAGGAACTTGCCAGGCAGTTCTCAAGACAATCTGGCAATAGGCCGCAGACGATATTTTTGGCTCTGTGACATAGCCGGCTCCGGCAAGTCGACCGTCGCAATGACGGCAGTCGAATCATGGCGGAGTCAAGGAGTACTCGGCGGTCGATTCTTCTTCTCCATAGCGAGCAACGAAGCATCTACCACTGACAAGTTCTGCTCGACGATAGCACGAGACCTCGTGCATCACATACGCGAGTTCGCGCCGCATGTCGCTGGGGCCGTGAAGCAGAACCCGTCTTTCATGCGATGTTCTCTTGACGAGCAATTCGAGATGCTTGTTACTGGTCCTCTCCGAATCGGGAATGGAGAGTGATTGTTGTCATCGACGCTCTTGATGAATGCAAGTCTGCAACACAGCGAAAGGAACTCGTCGAAGCCCTCTCTACAGTCGTTCAAAAGAGCAAAAACCTCAGGATATTCATTACAAGCCGGCCAGATCCCGTCATACAAGAAGTCCTAGCGCCGCTCTCAATCAAGGCCAAGTTGGAGGATCGCCTCCACGATGTCAACCATCGCGACAATATCGACGACATTGCGAGCTACTTACACCATTCACTAGATGGAGTCCTTTCGGAAGACAAGAGAGCGAAGATGGTCAAAAAGGCCAATGGATTATTCATCTGGGCAAGCACTGCCTGCCGAATGCTCAATAGCGTGACCAGCTTGAGCCCGCCTGAGGATATATATGACAGCTTGATGTCCATGGAAGAAGGCGGAGTCATAGACGATGTATATGCTCTCGTCTTCGAGCGTACGGATCCCAAGTACTCCACGGTGATGTGTGCAATGCTCGCGCTCCTGCTCGCTGCATTCGAACCTCTCACCATCGATGATCTGGATGATCTGCTGAAAAACTCCAAAGTACGAGGAAGTGCCAAGGCGTTGATCCAGAATCTGGGAAGCGTACTTACCACAGATTCGACTACAAACCTCATCCAATTCCGCCATCCCACTCTCGTCGAGTACCTTCGGCACTGTGTCGGCAGCCCAGCTGCCGATAGCCGCTATCGACTGCGTCTCAGTATAGCCAATGCACATAGCCAAGTGGCATCTTGGTGTCTGAAATACCTCAAATCGCCAACGGAAGGTCTCAGGTTCAACATATGTCAAATCGAGTCATCTTTCCATCTGAACAGGCAGATCTCCGATCTTGACACTCGAGTATCTAAGTACATTTCACGAAGACTTCGATATGCGAGCTCTCATTGGTTGTTTCACATGGCGGACGCTGACAACAACTCGTGGTCCCCGCTCGAGAACGAACTCCAACACATCATCCAAGTTCCATACGTGTTTTACTGGTTGGAGATCCTAAGTGTCAGCGGCGGAATTCCACGAGCGATAGCCGGGCTTCGGGCCATTACACGCCACACACAAGTGAGTGGTCCACCTACAAATGATGGCCTCTTATGCATGATATAGCTTGCGGCTAAGGCTAAAGGCCATCTAGAAGAGATCCGACGGTTTATCATGACATTTTCTGTAGCTATACAGGACAGCGCGCCATATATTTATGTTTCTGCTCTTCCATTCGCTCCAAAAAAGTCATTATTGCATATTCAAGGCATCAAGAGATATACTGGCACACTGAGCGTGACTAAAGGGCTTGAGGAAGCATATCCTGGACTCCCCAGTTTTCTTCGTGGGCATGAAGGCGTCGTTTATACCGTCAGACTCTCACTAGATGGCTCAAGAATCGTCTCTGGCTCGGACGGCAACACACTTCGACTCTGGGATGTGGACACTGGACAGCCAGTTGGAGAGCCACTTCGAGGTCATCGGGGAATCGTTTTGGCCGTCGGATTCTTGCCAGATGGCTCACGAATCGTCTCTGGCTCCTCCGACAAGACGCTTCGACTCTGGGATGTGGACACTGGACAGCCAGTTGGAGAGCCACTTCGAGGTCATCAAGCTGCCGTTTTGGCCGTCGGATTCTCGCCAGATGGCTCACGGTTCATCTCTGGCTCGGAGGACAAGCCGCTTCGACTCTGGGATGTGGACACTGGACAGCCAGTTGGAGAGCCACTTCGAGGTCACCAAGGCCCCATTATGGCCGTTGTATTCTCCCCTGGTTGCTCAGAAGCTGTCTCTGGCTTGTACGATCGACCAATTCGATTGTGGGATGCAGAGGCAGGTCAGTATTCTCTCAAACTTCTTGTCTTTCGACCGGTGTGACCTGACATATGTCCCAGGTACCAATGCGGACAATTTCACGCAGGATGTTAGGAGCCCACATTCACCTTCTCAAGAGGATTTAGGGGGTATTTACCTACCAGGGCTTGTGCCTGGATTTAACCATTGTTCGCTTCTTAGCGATGGCTGGGTCAGTCTTCCGGTAGTTTTCTGTTCTGGGTGCCGCCAGACAATCGCCATGGACTACAGCATCGGCGTCATCTTCTGACTATGCCGACCATCAGTCACTACCGAGCAACAAAATTAGATTTTACGCATTTCCAATGTGGACGTGCCTGGACAAACATTCGGAGAGATGCAACTCAGTAAATTGCAGTGAATATTGCAACTGTCAATATATGCTCGCTTCTCGTCTAATACATGAGGGCCCTTAGGGCAAACTTGCGCGCTCGTAGACTCTCTCAGCCGCTACGTTCCTATGGACTCTTTTTGTACGTAAATGGGGATGGGCGAAATCCGGGTGAATATCTGTCCATGCTTCAAGCTTACAGAATAATCACTATCTTCTTTATCAATTGCATTAGAACGGAACTCAAACATCCGAGCTTAGGAGCGGCCTATTCTTGGATTGACTCGAGCAATCACTGGTGCTCTCAATGAGGCAGCTTTACGAACTCTCGAACTCCAATCGATTATTCCGGGCCTGCATTATGATGGGATTTCGTTCTATCTCAATGCCTTAGACCCTATGGATACATTAGAATATAAATAAATGTCCATATCACCATGAGTGGGTCCAGCTGGAATACAAGTCAGCGCAGAACACGTGGAGTGACCGAGCACATACTAGGTTATCGTCCATACCTCTGGGTACAGCGCATTGCATCGCTGCTCGTTGAACCAAGGACTATGCCGCTGATAGAGGCACCAGTTGAGCTTTGGCGCGCCTTGCCAGTTGGGAGGATAAATCTATCAGATCTTATAAGTACACACACAATACCTCGATTTCGTCCAGTTCGACTGACCTTTCCATTCTCTAATACTTCTAAATGTACTCTGGACCGTTCATCCGCCTTCGCACCTCTTTCCCACTCCTTGACGCACGCCCTCAGTGCAATGGGACCGGTCAACGCCTCTGGTGTCGCAGTATACCGGTCGCTTCCGCATGCTTCGCCACAAAGTCGAGTGGACGGAGCCAAAAGGGATGTAACCGTCGAGTGGACGCCATGAACAGTATGTAAGAATCCGTGATTTTGGAGCCTAAGCTAATGACGTTAGAAAACCAAAGGCTCTTCAGCTTCATTCTCGTTCACCGGCGCATCGCGGGTATATTTTGTCGGATACGGAATCAAAGGCAACATTGTCGATCCATCAACCAGCCTCACCTTGGATGGTGTAACTATGACTGTTGACAAATTTGTCACGGGATATAGTGCAAAAGCAATTATGTGGTACAATGGAGATCTAGATGTTCACCCGACACACAACATACTTATCATAAGGACAAGTGGTGATAATGGCGGTAGAGATCTAAACGTTGACGGCTTTGTGTACGATCTATCCAGTTTCACGATGCACTAATAATTGACTCTGCATATGGCCTGACGGTACCGGACGGAACCATTTTGCCAACATATTCAACCTCCAGCTCAAGAGTGTCCACGTAGGTACAGTCTCGTCCAACAATATCAGTCATTTATTCTCCTTTGGTGCTAGGCCGTCGATATCCCAGTCATCTACGGAGTGAGTACTATCTCCTTACCTAAACTCCACTAACCGAACAACTGGGAAAGAACGATTGCAAAAAGCACTTCCACTGGATCCTCGTAAAAGGCTTTGGCACTCTCGAGCTTGGCTAAACACGTACAGTGATACAAGCACTACCAGCAACAGCACCCTCGTTTGGAGTCCTACCGAACTTGCCGCATCTTTCACCGGCTAGAGCTCGCGACCAGTCTCTTCGGCTAGTACTGATGCTGCCGTTGGAGCATTCCAATCGACAGAGAGCTCGAGAACGACGCTGACTTCCACTGTTGCAGGCGCGGCCCTTGGTAGTCTTGCCGTTGTATGCATACTTGGAGCGGAATAATTCTTTATGGGCAGGTATCGCAGACGCCGTTATGAAGAATTCCTCGCCCCTGATGCCCAGGCCCTTCGAGGAGAGGAGAAGACGACCAGCCATCTGGAAGATGACCCTCGGCTATCAATAAAGCCTCCTAGGCAATACAAAGGGCCGCTACAGCAAACAACTACCGCCACCCCTGTCGAAACTGCTAGTTCGCTCATCCAACAGAGAAAAAGTGTAGCACCTTCGTCAGATGAGATTCGTATGTCGTGTCCTTGATAGACACATGGCATAATTTCTAATGTCTAACGTCACAGGTATCCTAGGAGTCTCTCCAGTTGTCACCGGCAGGCGTGGCACAGTCGAGACCGGTTCACAATTACCAATGGACACGCCAAACGTCGGCTCCTCTGTTTCGGAAGATGCTTGGGACCAAGGGCCGCCAGCATACTCACCACGTCGATCACCACTCTATATGGAGGATTGGAAACCTGGAAGAGTACCATTTGATTCAGCAAATCATCAGACTCGAGTTTAGGATACACATGGTGCAAGCACTTGTCGACAGCAACGCCGAATATTTTGATCGTGAACAGTTTCACTACTTGGCTTATCTCCAAGTACGGATGTTCCGAGATGCATGCCAGAAGAGCGGTCGTGCAGTGTCGTCTCAAGTTGTTTATTACTTATGAATATGACACGAAACATGACAATGAAGCGGCTCAGAAAGCATGTTAGTACTAGTCCGCGTTTCGGATGGCCGGTGCTTGTCGCCGAGCCTTTTGAACCTGACCTCGACTCTTAACATGGATCTTGGAATCATCTACCACATCGAAAATGCTCCTCAATTCTGGGCAGGTATACTCATCTCTCTGGATTGTGAAAATCACGTCCGCTGAGCCTTCCTGGCAAACCTAGAATTGGAAGAAATCCTCGACGTCGACTCCAAGGCCCACCTGAGTCGGATAGACAACGCATTGAGAACATTCGTATCATTCTGCACTCAATATCACGGTATATTCTTCTCGCCATGCGCGCTAGTGCGGGGAGCCACTGACGCCGAAACGCTCAGAGCTGTACCTCCAGACCAGCCTCCAGCTGGAGCATGCTTGCTCGTTATTACTGGAATCAGACATCTTCTCATGGCACTCGGAACGTCTTAGCGAGATCCTTCTCTCGACAGCTGCAAATGATACAAACCCACACTGCGAGCTGATCGTGCATTCGACCTTGCTCATATATGGGAGGAAGAATCCCGCGTTTCTACGATCGAAACAAAAGTGGAAGCCCATCTTTCCGATCCTCATGGACCACGTGATGGTCGAAATGGACGACGACTTTGGCGGAAACGTCGACCTGGGACGCGGTCCTGCTCTCGCAAGCGGTCTCGGTGTCCCAATCGAGGCGCGGCTACGATCTCTTGCCATTGGCATCCTCTACGAGGCATGTAGAGTTCAAAAGTTTGACGCTCAAGATCTCCGTGAGTTAATTCGGTGTACATTCTAAGCGATTCTTAGTCTTTGATAGTCATGTTTGACGACACGTTCATCGAGCGACTGTTCGACCTGGTGGAGCTGACCAGAAATGTCGACGACGAATCGCTCAACTACTCGGTCATAAAGCTTATCGTATGTATTTGTCATTCTTCTTGGTTTTTGGTTCACTGTCGTGTAGGTAGCGTTGAACGAGCAGTATATGGTTGCTGCTATGCCGGTTCCAGCGATTGATTCACAATCTGGAAAACGAAAAAAGGAGAGAAAGCAAGGCTCTAACAAGATCTTGGATGTTCTATTACGCCGCGTACACTCTAGCAAGACTTTCGGCGAAAATCTCATCTTTATGCTCAACCGGGCGAACGATACAGAGGAGGATCTTGTGATGCAGCTTTTATTGTTGAAGATTCTCTATCTCCTTTTCACGACACCGGGAACCCAAAATTACTTCTACACCAATGATTTACGGGTCCTGGTCGATGTCTTCCTGCGGGAGTTGGTGGACTTACCAGAAGAGAGCGAGGCTCTACGTCACACCTATCTTCGAGTACTTAACCCACTCCTCAACAATACTCAGCTGAAGGAAATGCCCTACAAGGGGCCGCTCATCCGACGCACACTTCAGGGATTGATCTCACCCAACAATATTCGAGAAGTCACACCAACGACTAGAAGGCTGGTCGAGCGGTGTCTAAATGCGGAGTGGTGTCAAGCACTTCCTGCGGAAACCGAAGCTGTCTTACCTTCGACTGCCAAATCAAACCTTCCTGCCCATATCAATGTCGTCAGCATGTCATTCACTAACTCTCACTCTCACTCTTCTGTCCACCTTCCCTCTACATCTCTCTCCGAAGAGTTCGTTCTTGAACCGCCTCAACCAGCCTTTCGATTCAAGACTCTCCAGAAGAGCTTGAGTGCTGAGGTTTTGGCTGCTTCTTCCGTAGGAGTACAGTCATCTGAAGTGACAAATGATGAACCCTCACCGCTCAAAAACGAGTCACGGCCCTCTCCTTTGAGACAGCCGTCAACTGCGAAGCCGAGCCCACTAGGTGAAGCAAGAAAGCCGCTCAGTAATGGAGTAGGGCTGAACGGCACAAAGTCACCATCGCTGGTATTCTCCTCTGGAGATGAAGCAGAGCCGTCGATGGCGGTTCACCAAACCCAACTACCTCCGGCCAATGGTGCGAAGGCGAATGGCTCCAGCAGCATTCACAGTGCTAGGAGACCATCGTTGGGCAATGCTGATATTCCTCGGGCGAGGAAGCCACCGCCGCCCGTTCCGACACTGGATCGCGCTAGCCTGGATTCGAAACGTCCACCCCGAATGGCAGAGCCAGCGCCACTCGTTCATCGACGGGAACCACCAGCGATACCGAGTAAGTCGAAGAAGCCGAAATCCAAAGGAAACATTTCGGACTCGCCACTATCAAAGCTTGCATACTCTGCAACGACTGTGGCCAGGTAGCATGTACAATACACTCTTTGGTCTTTTATATACATGTTTATGGGACATTGAATATGCTCGAATTATTTTTATTTGAATTTTTCGTGACGAGTGGTGAATCAAAGGTCGTTGATTTGTCGACGACCAATCCTTTTCGATTTTGAGCGAGGCCACTGAGGCTGCCTGGCACAGATGCTACGCATAGTCTCTACAACGGGTGCATCCACTCCTGTCAAAACTTGTGCCCAACGAGTCGCCCAAGGCGTCACAACCGCCTCGAATTCCCGCCTACGTCTAGGCAAGTTGTGCCACGCCGTGGACACCAAAAATTATACAACGCTAACGGTATTTACACCAACAGCTTCCGGTTGTCGATCATTTACTTCTTCTGCCTCGCGGAGAGCCGCGCCAGACATCACTTTGACGGTTGATGGCAAGGAAGTCACGGTTCCCGCAGGTCAGCATTTCGCCGCGGAAGTCGTCTTTCTCTGGCTCATCTTTTAAAACAAAGGCTCTGCTTTGATCCAGGCTTGCGAGGCTGCGGGCTCGCCTATTCCACGGTTCGCCGTCACGCATTTCGACCTTTGCCAGCTCTTATATTCCCCAGGTTTTGCTACCATGATCGACTGGCAATTGCTGGTAACTGCAGGTTAAGCTAATATCTCAATCATTTGGACGGTATCTCATTCCCTATAGGATGTGTCTCGTCGAAGTGGCGCGCTCTCCCAAGCCAGTAGCCTCATGGTAAGTTGCGTGATAGCGGCCTTGTATCACTCGTGGTTAATCTTCTCCTCAGCGCTATGCCTGCTATGCCAGGTGCCGTCGTGTTTACAAATACCCCTCTCGTCCATGAAGCCCGGTATGTTGGAGCACTTGAAACGCAGAGAATACCTAATCATTCCTAACAGGGAGGGCGTGATGGAGTTTTTACTGGCTAATCATCCGTTGGACTGCCCTATCTGTGACCAAGGAGGAGAATGTGACTTGCAGGACCAGTCAATGAGATATGGCTCAGACCGCACTCGTTTCCACGAGATTGCCGGCAAACGAGCAGTAGAAAACAAGGACCTTGGCCCCCTTGTCAAGACGGTCATGAATCGCTGCATCCAATGCACGCGCTGCGTTCGCTTTGCCAACGAAGTAGCCGGAGTCGAGGAGCTTGGTACCACTGGACGAGGAAATTACATGCAGATTGGCATGTATGTGGAGAAGGTCATGGACTCGGAGCTCTCGGGCAATATTGTCGATCTCTGTCCCGTCGGTGCACTTACTTCGAAGCCCTATGCGTTCCACGCTCGACCGTGGGAGCTAAAGAACACAGAGTCGGTGGACGTGATGGATGCCGTTGGTTCCAATATCCGTATCGACTCGAGAGGGACGACTGTCATGCGGATACAGCCAAGAACCAACGACGACGTCAACGAAGAATGGATCTCGGACAAGACAAGATATTCATACGATGGCCTGCGGTTCCAACGACTCGATACTCCGCTCATCAAGCAGGGAGATCGATTTGTTCCAGCAACCTGGGAGGAAGCCCTCGAAGCAGTCGCTACCGGCTTGAAGTCGAGTGGCGCAAAAGGCGACGAAATCAAAGCCATTGCCGGCCAACATGCTGATACAGAGTCACTCGTCGCACTCAAAGACCTTGTCAATCGGTTAGGATCGGACAACCTTGGACTCGATTCTGCACGAAATGGTGCGGCGCCATTCCATGGCGTCGATATTCGTTCCAATTACCTGTTCAACTCGACTATTCCCGGACTTGACGAAGCGGACGTTATCTTGTCGTCGGCACGAACCCACGGCACGAAGCTGCAGTCATGAATTCGCGCATTCGCCGTAGCTGGATCCACACCGGCCTCGAGGTGGGCTTGATTGGAGAAAAAGTGGACACGGCGTACGGCTACGAACACCTCGGCGAAGGCGCTCAGGCCGTTCTGGACTTTGTCGCTGGCAAGGGAGAGTTTGCAAAGAAGTTCAATGGCGCGAAGAAGCCCATGATTATCGTGGGTAGCGCTGTCGCTGAACATGCCGACGGAGGAGCGACCTTCAAGGCTTTATCCAAGTTTGTCCAAGCCAACAAAGCGAAGATGCTTACCCCTGAATGGAATGGCTTCAACGTTCTGCAAAGGGTAAATACTAGATCTATTCTACGATAAAATGCTGAATGATGTTCTAGGCCGCCTCTCATGCCGCCGCCTATGACATCGGTTTCGTTCCATCTGCCAAAGCTGCAGCCACTCAGCCGAAATTTGTCTATTTACTCGGCGCAGATGAGGTCGAACCTTCATCACTCCCTCGGGATGCATTCGTTGTCTACCAAGGACATCATGGTGACCTCGGTGCTCAATTGGCAGACGTTGTCCTACCCGGATTCGCGTATACTGAAAAGGGAAGCACATGGGTCAACACCGAGGGACGCACTCAGCTCGGTCGCGGCGCAGTTTCGGCCCCTGGAGCATCCCGAGAGGACTGGAAGATCATCAGGTCAGCCGGATATCCTTGACTGGTGATAGCCGTGTTGACATTGACATCTAGGGCGATTTCGGAGTTCGCGGGTAACCCACTTCCGTACGATGACATCTTGGCCCTGAGGGACAGAATGTGGGAAATTTCGCCTTCTCTCATCCGCTACGGTGTCACAGAGAGGACGTCTCCCGAGGTTGCACTTGCGGGATTGGCTCCTCTGGGTACCAAGACGAAGGATGTTGCTGTCTCAGGGGCGGCGTTCAAGAAGCCGATTTCCAACTTCTATCAAACTGACCCCATTTCGAGAGCGTGAGTCGGCATCAACCAGTAACTTGACCGAGACTGACGGTTTCACAGTTCTGTCACCATGGCCCAATGCACTCGATCGTTCGTGCAAGGCAAGGACTTTGGCATGTCAGGTAGTGACAAAGCATCGCAGGCCAGTTTCGCGTAATGTACATGTTTGATAGGCAATTGAGGATGATTAAACGCATAGACCTCGTGGAATCCCATGGAAATACTACGGGCGACTCAAAGCCGTATCCTTGATCAGTTGCTAACTTCGACCCTATTGAGCACGTGCAGCAGTCTAGAGCGCGATTTTGACGGCTGAGTCGAATCGCCGACATTCAACGGTCCGGTGAGAAAACTGGGCTTGTGTTGGGCAGCTGGCCGCCTGGTTGTCCATATGCAGAGGAAACTGGCAAATAAGCAACTTATTTTGAATCCCTATTGCTATCCTGGAGTCACCCGGATGTCCTCAGATGCTGCAGACGAGGTCCTCCGGCAGCTAGGGGTCTCCAAGGATTACCTGATTGAATTTGAACGAGAACGGGTCGAGGGGAAGCGGGTATGTACCCAAAAAGTCCCTTAATAATGCAATCGTGGCTGAAAGTCATTCCAAGCTTCTATTTGCCTGCCTTACGGTTCTCCTCTACGATTATTGTCTCACGTTGTAAGGCTGCCGGCCACGCCTTCTGTCGCATACTCAAGCGTACCCTTTAGCGGCGACGAGATCACGTTTGTTTGGCTCAAAGGAACGGCGTTTAGCGTCGCAAAGGCCTTGTTTTGGTTGGTGAGTGGCTAGAACTGAAAGTGGAAAGGAGAGGCTCATGACAAGTCCAGAATCGATATTGGCCCATAGCAAACTATGTAGTACGCGCATGGTTGTTCTCGCATAGCTTTTTATCCCCATATGTACGTTTTCTCTTCACCGTAGATGAGCGCTAACCCGGGATCCTAGCTGTCAGTGATGAAGTGCGACTCAAACTCTCGTTGACATAATTATAGATGTAAAATCCTTCCATTCACCGGCTGGTCGAGCGTGGTTCGTGCGTCTTGCCAATCATCGAGGCTAGTTTGACATGGTCTGATAGATCAACTTTGCGGTCGTTGAGATTGTGCTCATGCTCAGAGTATGGGCGCTTTACGATCGTTCAAGATGGGTAATCGTCTTCTTTGGCTTTCTCTTTGTTGGTGGTCTCTCTGGAAGCTTTGCATTGCGCAAGGTGCGGCCAGAGGTGCGTGTTCGGGTTTGACACAAGGACATATCTCATATAAAGTGGAGGGAGTTGACCTAGCAGAACCACGTACGCGAGTAACTCACCTTTACGGCCAACCTAATCGCGACGATAGCTCCTATTAGCCTTACGCGATGCGTCCGTTCAGGACCTGATGAGTACTTTTTCCTCTATACTATTGGTTTGATAATAGAGGTCAGTGGATTCCTAAAGAAAGGACAAGTTCTGACTTTGTTAGACGACGATCTTCATCTTTCTCGTCTCAAAGGCATGGACTCATGCTGTTGGACCACACAAAACCCCCATGATCACGGTTTTGCTACGGCAGTACGCATATTCTTTGCGATAATGATCCACTCTGACTCCACGACTAGAGGAGCCATATACTATGCAGTCGTCCTCTGTGTGTATGCACGGAATCTCTCTGCCATTACTAATTATCTACAGTAACCCTCACGGTCGTTATAATATCAACTGTGGTGCAACCTATGTTTGCTCCGGTGGCAGATTCAAAGTTGGTGGTCTCACAATCATACGTCGACGTCCGGCTAACATGTTGCAGTTTGATTGTCGCCATTACATCAATTGCATGTAATCGTCTCATTCTCTCCTTGCGTGGGGTGTACTTTAAGCAAAGGTCGGACTTTACGTCAGCGAATACAGCCGTTGACGTCCCCATGAGTCAGTACTTCGCTATTGATCCATCAGGCTGATTCTAACAGCAACAAGGTCCAAATGACATTCAAATGAACCGATACCCCGTCGCCCGTGCACATTCTTCTAGGTTAAAGTCACCTCGCCATTTGCGGTACTTTACCACATTTTCTGAAGATGAACAGGGAGGCGTCTCAGTCTCTCATGTTGGCAGACATACATAACTTATACTCATTTTGTACCACGTCCTTGGCAGTAGAAACAAAGTATATACTAAAAGCAACATGAACAACAGATTAATGAAGTGAGAAATCCGTAAAAGCAATGCAGATATACAAACGTAAAATCATAATGGTCCAAAAAAAAAGGAGGAGAGCATAAACCAGACGGTGGTCTACTTCTTGTCGCCATCGAAGAATGCCAATAGATCTCCAAAGTTTGCTTTACCTTTTGGCACAGGAAGCTTCGGCGGTCCGCCTTGCTCCCGCTCCTGTCGCCGCCGCACAAGTGGATCGACAAATTTATTATCCTTGCTAACGCTTCCAAGCTTCCCTGGGGGTCCGCCATCACTCATAGCGCCAAATTCGGCCCCCAGGTCTCCACTTCGTCGTCGAGGTCTGAGTGGCTGAGTCGTGCCAAGGCTCTGTGAGATGGAGTTCCATCCAGCTGGTGCACCGTACGCAGATTGTGCGCGAATTCTCGAAGAGCCGGGTGAACTCTCTGTACCCCGCATACGCGACGCAGACGTGAGTGAACCTGGTGGCGAAACAGTGGCGACGCGTGCAAGATCGATCGGCGTCCCGCCAATCGTGTCCTCTTTGGCGTGTCCATTCGGCGAAGGTGAGTCTCGCGAAAATGCCGAAGAGCTGAATGGGTTTCCTCGAGGCGGGCTATCGTCAACGTGCCCAGTGTCCATGTCCTTGTTCGCCTCTTCATAGTCTTGTGCCAGTCTATCAAGTGGAGACGTCAGAGGTCCACCCAATGCAACCGTGTACCTCTTGCGATTTCGTGGGGTAGGCGAGGTCGAGGACGGTCGTGGTTCAGCCTTTGGTGGGAGGGAAAGAGACGTGTAAGAGCTTGTGGTCTCTGGCTGCGGTCTCATCGCATTGAGTGATGTATAGGAGCTTGAGCTGTGAAGTGCTGGCGTGGTGGGAGGCGATCCGACAAAGCTTCTGCTGCCATTGCTGGTAAGTGGAGGAGGCGATGCGGGAGGCGTCACTCCGTCACCAGCTGCGTAGTCTCCAGATGGATATGGAAGTCGTGACCTTGATGAGACCGATCCAGGGGCACCGCCAGTGGAATGGGATTGGACAAGGGCTGGAGAGTGCGAACGAGGGGCATCTCCACTCTTGCTCGAGCTCGCAGACATTCTGGAAAGTTCCGTGTACTTTGTCTGCAATTGAGCAAGTGAATCTCTGATGGAGCCGACCTCAGACGTGAGGCGTTGAATGTCCTTTTTGGTGAAGTCGTTGTCTCTTGAACCAGAATCAGAGTATGAAGGAATGCGAACTTTGGCCACCGCCTTGTCCACCTCTGTTTCGATATTCTGCTGAATGCTTCTGGTTGTTTGCTGTGCACTTCTCTTCGCTTCGTCTGCCAGGCGTCGAATCTCATCCACCTTTGTATTCAGTTCATCCAGCATCCGCTTCTGTTCGGCTTTATCCCGCTCTCGTGCTTCTTCCGCCGCCTGCCTAGCTTCCTCTTTATCGACGAGCCATTTTTCAACATCGCCGACACGGTCCTCGAGAGCTCGTACATGCCCGACTGTCCACCTCTCCAGCTTCTCAAAGCGCTTTGTGATGGTCAACAAAGTCTCGTTGACATCCAAAGAACCAAGTGCCGTATACTTGGCATATACGGGTCGATTGTCGTCGTCCTTGAGCGATTTCGCCGGAGAAATACCAGGAACACCGGGAGATGCGCCTGTCCGTGCACTCGAGGGGATTTCACGATGCGGCGTGAGCTGATGCTCCTGGGTCGGCGAGGGGGATGTATCGCGGCGGTAACCACCACCACCTGAGGGGATGTCGAGATGCAACAACGAAGTATCGCTGCTCCTCTTGGTAGGAGTCTTGGGCTCCTTGCCCTTATTCTTCTTCGCCTCTTTTTCCTTGACTTTGGAGTCTTGAATGATTTGTTGGGCCGGAGTCAAGTCTTTCGACGTCGAAAGGCGGTTCTTGGCAGTTTGCCACCATCCCTGCTGTTCTTCTTTACTCTTGCCGTTATCCGCATTGCTCCCAGATTGAGAAAGTGCGAGGCTCGTCTGAGAGGTTGTGCGCCCACGCATAGCGAGAATCTTCTCCTCCATAACCCTCCTCTCCTCAGCTTCACGAGTCAAAATCCGTTCTGCCTCTCTCCTCGAATGCTCGCGCTCCCGAATCGCCTGTGCCTCTATCTCATCGTCGGTCTGCATGTTGACCGACTGGGAGCGCAACGACGAGACGAGCGAGTTTGCGACACGCGCAAATGTCGCTCCAAGCGTTGGCGAGCCAGGTTGAGCGTAATCCCCCCACGATCCTGAATCGTAGCGGCCAGGCAGAGGCGAACCGTCCTCGCTCTGCGGACTGGCGGTGATACTGTGGCGCAAAGGAGATCCAGATCGTTCTTTGCTACGTTGTGTATTTGTGTCGGGCTGGTTAAATCAACGACGGGGCCGCTCGAGATCAGCATCGAACATGGTCAAAACCTAGACGGGGGTACGAACAGATGGTGGGAAGAGATTTGGCTGGGTCATGCGACGCGTATTCGCATTTGTGGGCTTGCTGTAGCCACTGGAGAGGCTGTCTTGGCTGCCGTTGACGCGATGGAACATCGAGACGTCGCGTTGGTCAAGCTCAACTTGGGCAGATGTTTGGCCCACCATTCTTCCACGACCGGATGGCTTTGGGAAAGTCGTTTTATTATGCTACAATTGCAAAAACAAATACATAGCGTCGATAATGTTACATCTACACTATCGCGTGGGCGACCGCTCGGTGCCTTTGACGAAGCTGATAGACGCCGAGTCGCAAAGCATTACGAAGTATCAATGATACCAGTTGGAGAGTCGTATATAACCTAGGCTCGTGAATGCCCAACGCGCGGCAGTTGGCCAATAGCCCGTTGAGACGCGATATTAGTCGCCTTTGATGTGTCACCGAGCATGAAGCAATTGCATGCTGCAGTTCAGTGATGCTTTGTTGGTACGTGGTTGGTTCTTGCTCCTTGGCTACAAGAATGAGCGTCTCGACGTGCCGGGAGAGTATGCCAGATGCACTGCATCGTCGAACAATCCGTCTACCAGAAGATGCTAGCAGATATCGAATGATATCGTCAATGTTGTGGGTATAAAGGTAGCGATGAACGATGTCAAATGAGGATGGATGCGGGATGGTAATGGGTGCAGCCGTAAATGTCGGACTCTCGCACGACAAACGGTATTTTGCCGGGATGGGTGGGAGTTTGGAACATTGCGAGTAGAGGATGATGTCGTGTACAGGTTGAAGGAAGAAGGAAGACTTTGCATTCTTATTGGGAGTATGGATTGCAAGGATGTGGGATGGTGGAAAGTCGATATCGTATGCCGTAATGCTGCCTTGGAGGGAATCGTAAAGGAGGTCGCGCGAAGCGTCAAGGCTTTGAAGCAACCTGGATGATATAAGTTGAGTAAAATGAAGCGGGAATAAACCCACCGAGGACCAAGTTGGTCAAGTCGGTCGAGGACGTAGTCTGACGGTATAGTGACCTTGCATGGAGTGCTGGGTGCATGTACGATGCCCATGGCTCCCGAACTGAGTGTAGGGCACACCCTAATCGCTGTTGGCCTCGGAGGCTCACACGTTCTGTTGGGAAGGGGCGAGCGACGAGAGGAGAAGGGTAGCGCCCACTTTGGGTCCGGCAGGGTTGATATACGCGAGGGACACAATTGTCATTGCAAAAGAGGGTTGTTATTGCTGGCGCTGTGGCCATTGTTCCTCGAGATACGGCACTTCCAACCGCTTTCAGCGACCTGGCCATTGTCTCGCCGGGTGCTTCATTTTAGCCACAGGGCACGTGCAATCCCCCCACATTAGAAAAAGTTAGACTTGAATGCTCGTCACGAGTACTGTTGACGATCATATGCGGCCTTCTCGCCCGTTCTTGTGCTTCACGTCTTGCGCCTGCCGGAACTAGCATCCCCCGAGAGGACTAGTTTGAGCTCTCAGAGGTCTGTGATCGTGATCACGTCAGTTTTCATTTGATTTGGCGCGCGACGCCACGTCAAAAGCTTGTTAAGAGGGTCTCCAACCCCACAACTAGTCCCATTTAACGTGCTTTACGATAATTTGACCAATAGTCCACTAAATAACATGAATGGACGAGAGCGGGACGTCGTCGTGAATATGGTCGGTGGCAAAGCTTCGCTTGTGGCCACTTTTGCGAATTTATGAGCACAACGGTGCAGGATGACTGGGATAACACAGATGTAGTTTACACGTCTTTTCATCTTCTGATATGGAGACTAACTGTGCCTGTATAATAGGTATCAAGCGACTTTTCACCTCAACAAGTGCCGAGAGACTCCATGGGGATAGGGAGACGCAAAGAAAAGGTCAAGGACGATTGGGACGCAGACGACGAGGACGCAGAAGATACCACCAACACTGAGCCAAGCAGGCGTCTTGTCCAACAGGACGAATGGCCGTATGTCATGGCCATCCACCAGCTGCGATCATCTTATACGCATACAGATCTCTTTCTGAGAGTAGAGGAGTAGCAAATACTCGCCAGATTGCCAAGCCGCGACCAAATACACAGAATGCGATGCCCAGCCTTCCTCCAGAGGTCTTTGAGCCTCCAATGCGCATCCTCAAGCGCCCAAAGGGATCTGGAACGCAAACCCCAACGTCTCCTGCAGCGAAGAGTGACAAAGAGACGCTCCAAGAACGCGAGGAAAAGTACAAGATTGCCCGGGAGAAGATCTTTGGGACCCCATCGCCTGGACCCGTCTCTTCCTCTCCACCAAGAGTTGCATCACCTGGAGTAGTCAAGATGGGCAACTCTGGCGGTTTGTCGACAAAGCCGTCTCGAGCTGTCCGCGAGCCACTTGGCCCTGAGACACAGACTGCATTCGCCAGGAAACCTGGCAATCCTGGGCGCGGACAAATTCAATTGCAAACGAAACCCGCCCGTCCTCGGTCTGAGGGACCCTAGGGCGTTTACCTTACTGGCACTGGTTGTGGATAGCTATCGGCGAGGCAAGGCCAGTTCTATTATTTATTGTGCAGTGTAACAAATGTATGTTTGATGGAGATTCCGTTGAATATATCCAGGCATTTGTGGACGCCCGTTGACACTGCCCTCCGCGCGCCAAGCGGGTCGTACTTTATCTCTTAGACCCGACTCCTACCCCTCCGTCCTACGACCTCCCCCCCCGTCTCTCCTTTCATCATGAAACTCCAGTCAAAGACGAAAAAAATTCTCTTCGTCGCTGCCGTTGTCGCATCGTTGGCGATCGTCGGTCAGTTGGTTTCAGTATTTCGACGGCGCGGGCTGACACAAACTCCGCACCCCCCGTGCTTTGGACTCCCTGCATTTAGGCACTGTCGTTGGTGTAGTCGTTGTTGAAGTCAAGAAAAATCGCCAAAGCAACGCGACATCCACCCCCTCCGACTCAAACAGCTCAGTCTCTGGCTCCAGCACCCAAGGAAACACGGCGTCTGCAACGTCCACCTCTGGGGCATCCTCTCCTGTTGCAACAGATTTCCCATTGGACCCTAATCTTCACAAGTCGTTTTATGGCTTGGCGTACACCCCAAAGGGAGCCATCATGCCCGAATGCGGCGCTAATATCGCTGATGTCCGCAAAGACATGGAGAAACTCAGTCAATTGACGACCCGTCTTCGTCTGTACGGTTCCGACTGCAACGTTACCTCGCTCGTCCTTCAAGCAATCGATGATCTCAAAGTCGATGTCCAGGTGTTCCCGGGCATCTACCTCGAGCGAGAGGAACTTTCCTACACTCGCCAGAAGAGGATTCTTGAGGACGCACTCACTGTCTACGGAACATCGCGCGTTTTGGGAGTGACTGTTGGAAACGAGTATTTGCTCATTTCAGCAATGCAGGAGACACGATTGACAACGCTACGACCCGCCTCGTGGAGAAGATGAACGAGGTCCGGACCGATCTTACCGCTTTGAACTTCAATATCCCCGTTGGAACGAGCGAGACTGGTGGAGGAACGTCGCAGACCTTGGCCGACAATGCAGACTAGTAAGTTTCACTCATCATGTCTCGGAACCCGCTGACCTTTTGCCCAGCATCTTTGCCAACATTCACGTACGTTGCCGCCTCTTCTTCCTAATTCATTGCTCACCCATTGTTTAGCCATGGTTCTCCTCCAACACGGTCGAACAAGCCGCCACCTTTGCCAACAATCAGTTTACGAATCAAATTCTCCCCTTGGCCACAGCGAGCACGCGCACGCCTCCTCCGGTAATGTATCAAGGTGAATACGGCTGGCCATCGGGCTCGGACACACCTGGAGACACCAATTCTGCTGGAAGCGCGGCATCCTTGGCCAACTTACAGCTTGCCCTGGACGATTGGGTATGCGCCGCGAACAGGGCTGGAACGTGAGGACACTTTCCTTTATGTCCCTTTCTTCTCTGCTGACGATCACTCGTAGGAGGTACTGGTGGTTTGAGCCATTCGACGCGACGTGGAAGGCAACGACGACGACTCTGGGCGTTGAACCACATTGGGGACTCTTCGACGGAGAAGGAAACCTGAAAGACATTACGATTCCGGATTGCGTGGCAAACTAAAAGGCTGCCTTCGGATGCCCGCTGGACCTCATGGACACTGTTTTGATTCTCTTGGTCTTCAAGATGGACAATAGCGATGTCTTGTGACATTCCCCATCCCACTCATTCACCATCACACTCTCTATAGAACACTGTTCCGTAACATATTTGCCGAACGAACCCTGTTTGTTGTTAATCAGACTCGAGAATATATTCTTGGTCTCAGAAATAGCGCTACTCTGAGCGTGTCCCGGCTGACACTTATGAAGCCAAAAGGTGGCTCCTAATGGTATGATTCACCCAGATTGGCTCGCCCCTCAGTTAGAGAGCCTGAGTAAAGCAATCAAATATTGGTAAAATGGACAAGATGATCATCCAAAAAGACATCTCAGCGATTTATCGTCATTTTAATAGAACGGCGGGAGGGTTCTGGCAGAGAGTAATCTCAGATGACTCCAGAGTCTTTCAAGCACTTCTACTTGAAATTCACGAAGGAAGTAATGATGGACATTAAGAGAGCACTCTCTCCGTATTCTATAGAAAGATGGGAACAGAAGAGTGCCTTTATTGGCTGAACATCCGTTCGAACATTAGTCCATGAGGGCCCACACTGAAACCGGTTGAAATCAATTGTGGTTGGACGGAAGCGAGGAATTGGCGGCATAGTCTGAAGAAGACAAGGATATTGCAGTCCATGCCGATTGTTTGGCGGCACCCAAAAGAGATATTTACCAGAAGAGAGGACCCAACCATCCTGCGAAAGTGAACATTTCTCGAACCCAGGTACCGGGATTCCTAGAAGGATACCTCTAGGTTCGTCCTCGGAGTGAGAGCTTGAAGGCGCATTATCTCTGTTATTCGAGTTTCCAATGCTTGCAGCTAAAGATTTTTGTTAGATTATCTCCATAGCTAGCAACAGGCCGGAACTACAACTGACCAATCTCTGTATCCCACAGACGAACCGTCTTATCGAGCGAGCCAGAAGCAATGCGCAAGCCGTCAGGCGAGAATACGAGAGTACAGATGTCCCTTTCATGACCCCGAAGAGGTTCCCCCAATGGCTCGCCAGTATTTGCGTCCCAAAGTTGAATCGTCCCGTCATAGGAGCCAGAGACAATTCGTGAGTTGTCTGGCGACAAACTAGCGACAATAAGTGGAGCTCCACGACCTTTCAATGGCTCTCCCAAAGGGTGACCAGTCTCTGCGTCCCACAGTCGAATCGTCGAGTCGGACGAGACAGAGACGATTCGTGAGCCATCTGGCGAGAACGTCACAGCCGAGACCCAACCTTGATAACCTCGTAGGGGCTCTCCCACCGCCTGGCCAGTATCTGCATCCCATAATTGAAACGGCGCCATAAGCGATCCAGAAACGACTCGGGAACCGTCTGGCGATATTGAGACAATCGAAGGTGCTGGTTGAGGACCTTGAGGACCTCGGACTGGCTCTCCCAATGGCTGGCCGGACTCTGCATCCCACAGCCGAATCACGTTGTCACTTGAGCCAGAGAGGATTTTTGACCCGTCTCGCGAGAACCTGACAGTCGAGACCCGATCTGCATGGCCTCGTAGTGGTAGTCCCACTGGCTGACCAGTGGTCGCGTCCCACTGTCGAATTGTCTTGTCTTGCGAGCCAGAGACGATTCGCGAACCATCTGGTGAGAAGGCAACTGCCATAACGCAATCTTCATGGCCTCGGAGTGGTTCTCCCAGCGGCTGGCCAGTGGCTGCGTCCCACAGTTGAATCGTTTTTTCTCTAGTCCCGGAGACAATTTGCGAGCGATCAGAGGAGAATGCGAGAGCCACCACCGAGCTATCGTAATCTCGGAGTAGCTCTCCCAACGGCTGAGCATTGTCTGCGTCCCACAATCTGATTGTCCCATCAAACGAGCCTGAGACGATGCGTGAGCCATCTGGCAAGAATGCGACAGCATTGACATGGCCTTCGTGCCCTTGGAGTGGCTCCCCCAACGGTTGACCAGTCTCTGCGTCCCAAAGTCGAATTGTCTTGTCCTCCGAGCTAGAGACGATGCGCGAACCGTCTGGTGAAAATCCGACGGCGCATACTTGACCTTTGTGCCCTCGGAGTGGTTCTCCCAATGGCTGACCAGTGTCTGCGTCCCAAAGTCGAACCGTCTTGTCATGAGATCCGGAGACAATTCGTGAACCATCTGGTGAAAAACCGACAGCCATCACCCAGAATTCATGACCCTCAAGTGGTTCTCCCAATGGCTGGCCATTTTCTGCATCCCATAATTGAATTAGCCTATCACGCGACCCGGAGACAATTCGGAAGCCATCTGGCGAGAATGCGACGGCAAATACGTCTTGTTCATGACGTCGCAGTGGCCCTCCCAAAGGCTGACCAGTATCTGCATCCCATAGTCGAATTGTTTTATCCTCCGAGCCGGAGACAATTCTCGAGCCGTCTGACGAGAATCCAACAGCCAAGACAGCTCCTTCATGCCCTCGAAATGGCTCTCCCAGAGGCTGGCCATTGTCCGCCTCCCACCGTCGAATAGTCCCATCTCTTGAACCAGAGACGATTCGCGACCCGCTCGGCGAGAACGCAACAGCCGTTACGCAATCCTCATGACCTCGAAGGGGCTCCCCCAGCGGCTGCCCTGTTTCTGCGTCCCATAGTCGAATCGTCCTGTCTCCTGACCCCGATAAGATGCGTGATCCATCTGGGGAGGTTCCGACGGTGTAGAACCTTCCCCCGTGACCACGAAGAGCCCTGGGAAGCCCAGGATACGTCTCCTCGTATCCCTGGGTCACATTGAGAGTATTGGCATGCCGCTTCAGTCTCTCGCTGTGAAGGATTGACTTCCTCGGACTGAACGCTAATGCTGAGATGTAGATGTGCGGAGCACTGTCTTGAATCGGCACCGAAAATGCCATTAGAAACCGTCGAACCTCCGTCATCATCGTCCTCGTCTCCTCTTCAATCTACTTCTGCGTAAGGCACTATATTATGTATTTATAGACTACTCACTCTTTTATGGCGTGCAACAGCTCGAAGTCCCGCTATCGCCCTTGGTACCCCTCCCGTGAAACTCAGAACCTCCATCCAGTATAGGACATATGGGCTTTTGATCACGTGTTCGATTCCGTCCTTTAGCCTAGTTCGCCACCCGTCATCCGTTTCCGCCAAATGAAATAACCAATGCAAACCAGCATATCGAAGCCGCCTTGGAATGAACTTTGAAATTCTCTCTTCCAGATCCGGAATCTGCCTGTTCAGGAAGAAAGAGGATTCGATTTCACATATGTTGAACTTGAGTCCTCCAATCGGCAACCTGAACCGCTTCAAACACCACGATGCTGTTTGACCGTGAGCATTGCCGATATCGATATATAGTTTATTTCGGTTATCGCCACCTCGGGGGATCGAGCACCGTCGAAGGTACTCGACCAGCGTTGGGTGGTGAAATTGGATCAGATCCGTCTTTGAATCCACACTGAGTACGCTTCCTAGGTTCTGTACCAGTGCCCTAGCACTTCCCCGTACTTTTGCATGTTTTACTAGATCGTCCAGATCGTCCACTGTCAGCGGTTCAAATGCACCGTGCAGCAGTGCCAGCATTGAACACATGACCGCGTAGTACTCGGGGTCTGTCCGCTCGAAGACAAGATTGTATAGGTCGTCGATCACTCCTGGCTGGTCCAGAGAGATCAAACGGTCATATACGTCCTCGGCTGAACTCAATCTGGTTTCACTCGTGAGCATTCGACATGCGGTGCTCGCCCAGATGAACAATCCGTTGGCCTTTTCGGCCAGACGCGGTCTCTTGTCCTGCGGTAGGACTTCATGCAACGAATGATGCATACACCGCGATATCGTTTGTGATATCCGGGTGTTTCTACATCGTGAAGCCGGTTTTCCAACTTTTCCTTGATCAAAAGTCCTGCAAGACCGCCTCGATGACGGGATCTGGCCGACTGGTGAGAAAGATTTTGAGGTTCGCAACTCGCGAGCAGCGGTAGCAAGCGCCTCGAGAAGTTCTTCGCTGTGATCCAGATTTGCATTCGTCGATAGCGTCGATGACGAGGATCACGCGCTTGCCTGACTGGAGGAGTGGATTCGTGATGAGTGTCCGGAAGTTGCTCATCCACAGAACTTCGCATGAAAGAAGGGTTCTGTTCCACAGCTTTGGCAATGTGGGGTCTGAGATCAGGGAAATAATGGACAAGGTCTCTTGCGATGGTCGAACAGAACTTGTCCGTGGTCGATGCGTCGTTGTTTGCCGCGGAGAAGAAGAATCGACCCTAACACTCCTTCGTTCCGCCATGATTCGACTACGGACATTGCGACTGTAGACTTGCGGACCCGGCTATATCACACAGCCAAAATATCGGCTTCTCCGACGGCACCTCACTGGCCCAGCGCCAGATCATCTGAAGGACTGCCTCACGCGTTCTTTTCAGACAGGTCGTATGAACCGAGGACGCGGCGAATGCGACTGTCGGCAATAGACGAAGAATAGTTGCAGTCTCGACTAGAAACGGCTAAGCAAGCCTCTCTACAAAGATGTTAGACTTACTCTTTCGTTCGATGCCTTGAGTACGCAGTGCAGTAAAAATACCTAACGCTTCCTGTGTATATAGTGAGATTGCGAAGAAGACTGAAGAAACCCGCACCATGAAATGCCGATGTCCGTCCTCGATGTCTCTATTGAGTTCACGAATCTCTCCAGCATCGATCTTCACTTTGCTCATAGATTTCAAGAACCCAAGTTTGCTGCGACTTCGTTTCTCCCTCACTTCGACCACCGTATCATGGATATCTTCGAGAGCTCTGTATCGATCAGCTTGCTGAAGAAATTTAGAATCCTCACGTACTTGAAATAGTGCATCAGTGGCTGTCTCAGTGCCTCGTCGAAAGCCCTATCGTTTGCGGCATATGCCTCGAACAAAGTGGTTTGCTTCTCGAGTCCGCTCATGTATCCCTTCAGACGCTGTGTTAGGTTCGTCCATTCTTCCTGGTTGCTCTCGATAGCCTGCCCATATCCGTCAGTTGATGCCGTTAAGCGAGTTGGGCCGATTTACCTGCATGATATCAAGGACAGATTTCGTCGTTCGACATGCTGCTTTGAGAGGAGCAAGTACATCTGAACCCTCGGATATATTTCCCAATGCATCGAGGCCAAAGTTGACTTTGTCGTACACTTGATTCTTCCTGGAAGACGAGCTTTGGGCGACAGAGAAAGATTCGGGTGGATTGACAGTTTCATGTGATTTCTTGGACTTGTCCCGCCGTTTGGCCGACATCCGTGGATGCGGATGGATCCAAGATGGGCGGCGTCGTGTGTCAAAGAGTGTCGGCACAACACAGAGCTGAACACAAGAGTGGAGAAGAGTAAGACTTGGGATTCATAGGGTATCTTTGGACTCGTTAGGTGGTTCAGTTTCATGGAAGCAGGAATGCAGGTGACTCTTGTCGTGTATCTCTAATGCGGTATGGTCAAGGTTTGATAGAGAATGCGATAGGCAATGTATTGCAAATGTCATTTATACACGTTAGGCTCAACTCCTGCGCAGCCCAAGTACCTTCTGAGCCTTTGGACTACTCGATTATCTACCCTTGGTGTTACACAGAATCAGTAAGCCCTACTGTTAGACAGAAGGGTGGTACGGCGAAAATGTATATATATATACGGTAGATACTACACCTACACTCAATCCAAGCGACATGGAGCCATACCCCTCAGTTTCTATGGCTCCGTAGAAGGATGCGAGGTTCTTCGGTGCGGCCTTCACGTACACTTTAATGAAAAGCAACTCGAAGGTCCGTTGAAAAATGTTTATAGGATCCTCTATCTGGGCGCGGCAGAAAGGGCGCATGGCTAGGAAGATGTCGCGCCATAATTTGTACGGTAACCGGTTGAGATAGTCCATACCATTGATGCGTACGATTATATGTGCGTCATTGATGGTCGTGTCGGTCATTTTATACCGAATGTCTGATGAGGTCAGGTCCAAACGGAACTCGAATAAGAAATCCAGGATTAAACGTCGACTTTGACGGAGTGACGACGTAGGACGATACATCAAATTTAAGAGGTCATTCTAGGACAATTTCGGTACCATACATCGTGCAAAACTTTCCGATGAGACCCAGCGTCTCCGCTTTGATTTTTTGGTAGACCTCACTATTGTGAGGCAAGGAGCAAGTTAGACGGAGGATCACCCTTTTAAAGTGAGGATATCGCTGTTGGGGCCGATGGAAACCCCACGAGTGGAGAGTCCCTGTAGCATGGTACGATCCATGGGTCGTAAATATCCCAGTATGAAGTGAAGGGTGTGGCTCATAGTTGCGACTTGAAGTCATTCGATTATTCCCCGGACTATAAAGTCCCTTCCATGAATCTGAGAGGTATACCGTCTCAAGGTTTGGGCAGAGATAGATGAAATCAAGGACCGCGTCCATGTTGTTGGATCCCCCGAGCTTGCGGCGTGATTGAATTTGTAGGAAAGTTAGATGGAGACAATTGGCGCTGATAAAGTTGACGATCCTCGGCTTCAGTTCCATGTCCACAAACTCAAGGTTAAGCCATCGTACATTGGGTACGGAGAGTGAGCCAATATCCGAGACACCGTCTCCAGTGAGCTGGAGGTGCTTCAGGTGAGGGAGGTGGATGGTTGGCTGGGATTCGTTGGGCCATCGAAAAAGAGTCGTGTCGGAGGTCCCGGTTTCCACCAGGAGGTCCTCTATCTGCGCATTTCGAGCCAATATACGAGAGATTCCGCCCATATGAGCATAGCCGCCTTGCCAAATGAGCGAGTTTATGCTAGGAAGCCAGTCGAGAGTGAACTCTGACTGAGATTTGAGGGAAGCTTCGACCTCGACCGTACCCACGTTAGGGCATAGCTTGAAAATTTCGCGTAGAGGTTGATAGTATCTCGCCTCCTTCCACGCGTTGACTTTGCCAAGCTTGTACAGCTTAAACGTGAGGCACCTGGTAAAAAGGCCAGCGTGTCTCGACAGAGATCCGCCGAGTTCCACAGCCTTGAGAAAAAGTACGGGAGAATTCGACACTATATTGAGTTGTACATCTGTAAAGAGCAGCTCGAGCGCAATGGACTGAAGTGCTTTGCAGATCAATCGCATGTTCGCACGCTGTTTCTGTGTTTGGCCCAGAACTTGGTTATCCAAGGTGGTAAGACCGTTGAAGAAGGTAATCGGGTCGCCTGCCAACCCTCGGCGAGGTGGGAGTGTCGCAAGGAAGATGAGGCGCCACAGCTCATCGGGCAAGCGTCCTAGGTAGTCGACTCCATCGGTTTCTGTCGGTATAGTGTCCTCAATCGCCGCCGTCTCGGGCATTTCGACGAGAGATGGGGTGGAGGTCAGAACCAACCGTCATGACACAGAGGTTTTGGAATTCCTTGACTTTGCCGCACCTAGAAGAAGCCACGATGACTTCTCCCAGCGGTCAACACGAAAAAGTGCGCAAATCTGCGGCTGATCTGCAAAGCACTCGAGCCTCTTGCACTCGAGCTGCTCTTCACGGACGTGTACTTGAGACCATGCTGGGAACTCTTGCATCCTGCTATAGGACTATAGATTCTGAGGTATATGGGTCCAAAAACGCTGGCGTTTTTACACGCTACATCGTCCATTTTCTTGTATATAGAGCGTCCCAGAACCCAGCCCTCGACACTCTATTGGTGGACGCACAGGTGCTCAATACGACGTTCCCTTGGCTTGGCACTTGTTTTGCGACTCTTAGGCCAGTTGAACGCAATGTCATTCACATAAATGCCTAGCATAACCGAACTCTAACCACCACCTCCTGAAGTATTGAGGGCAGCATGCCGGGTGATCCATCTATGCGCCGTCAACAGTATCATACTTAAAAATAGGGAGAACAACCCTTTATACATATATGAGCAGCGTCATGCGGTCAAGCCCTGGTCACGGGTCAGAGGGCTTTGAATTCGAGGGATGTAGTGACCATATCTGTTTTGAGGCTGCAGCACGGAGTTCATAAAGGATGAAGGGATAGCTGTCGACGACTCGGGTGACGAGCCAGGCAATTACGAGCACCAACCTGATCTTGACTATCACTCGGATAGTTCGTGTCAAACGAATATTGCGTCGTATTGACGAATTGGCTATATTCCGTCATTTGAAAGAGCAAATGCTACGGCTCAATGACCGCAACTTGAGTTTACTCCTGTCGCGGCAGTCAAGCTTTGGAAAATAGTATAAGAAGGCTACCCAAGGAGATACATTATCCAGCTTTGTTCGCTGAGAGGAATGTCACTCACGATCGGATATAATCAAGACGGATTCTGTCTATATAATAATCTACTGGTGGGATCTTAGGGAACAGTCGTCCAAGCAAGGTCACGTTGAAAATGGTGCGCCTCATTGGCAGCATCGAATTGGCAAAAGAGTAGCCGCAGTTCATGTCGCTTGGATTGAGTGTAGGTGTAGTATCTACCGTGTATATATATACATTTTCGCCGTACCACCCTTCTGTCTAACAGTAGGGCTTACTGATTCTGTGTAACACCAAGGGTAGATAATCGAGTAGTCCAAAGGCTCAGAAGGTACTTGGGCTGCGCAGGAGTTGAGCCTAACGTGTATAAATGACATTTGCAATACATTGCCTATCGCATTCTCTATCAAACCTTGACCATACCGCATTAGAGATACACGACAGTAGTCACCTTGATTCCTGCTTCCATGCAACTGAACCACCTAACGAGTCCAAAGATACCCTATGAATCCCAAGTCTTACTCTTCCCCACTGTTGTGTTCGGCGCTTTACTATGCCGACACTCTTTGACACACGATGCCGCCCATCTTGGATCCATCCGCATCCACGGATGTCGGCCAAACGGCGGGACAAGTCCAAGAAATCACATGAAACTGTCAATCCACCCGAATCTTCTTCTGTCGCCCAAAGCTCGTCTTCCAGGAAGAATCAAGTGTACGACACAGTCAACTTTGGCCTCGATGCATTGGGAAATATATCCGAGGGTTCAGATGTACTTGCTCCTCTCAAAGCAGCATGTCGAACGACGAAATCTGTCCTTGATATCATGCAGGTAAATCGGCCCAACTCGTTTAACGGCATCAACTGACGGATATGGGCAGGCTATCGAGAGCAACCAGGAAGAATGGACGAACCTAACACAGCGTCTGAAGGAATACATGAGCGGACTCGAAAAGCAAACCACTTTGTTCGAGGCATATGCCGCAAACGATAGGGCTTTCGACGAGGCACTGAGACAGCCACTGATGCACTATTTCGAGTACGTGATCATTCCACGTTTTCTTCAGCAAGCTGATCGATACAGAGCTCTCAAAGATATCCATGATACGGTGGTCGAAGTGAGGGAGAAACGAAGTCGCAGCAAACTTGGGTTCTTGAAATCTATGAGCAAAGTGAAGATCGATGCTGGAGAGATTCGTGAACTGAACAGAGATATCGAGGACGGACATCGGCAGTTCATGGTGCGGGTTTCTTCAGTCTTCTTCGCAATCTCACTATATACACAGGAAGCGTTAGGTATTTTTACTGCACTACGTACTCAAGCCATCGAACGAAGGAGTAAGTCTAACATCTTTGTGAGAGGCTTGCTTAGCCGTTTCTAGTCGAGACTGCAACTATTCTTCAGTCTATTCTTCAGTTGCCGACAGTCGCATTCGCCGCGTCCTCGGTTCATACGACCTGTCTGAAAGGAACGCGTGAGGCAGTCCTTCAGATGATCTGGCGCTGGGCCAGTGAGGTGCCGTCGGAGAAGCCGATATTTTGGCTGTGTGATATAGCCGGGTCCGGCAAGTCCACAGTCGCAATGTCCGTAGTCGAATCATGGCGGAACGAAGGAGTGTTAGGGGGTCGATTCTTCTTCTCCATGGCAAACAACGACGCATCGACCACGGACAAGTTCTGTTCGACCATCGCAAGAGACCTTGTCCATTATTTCCCTGATCTCAGACCCCACATTGCCAAAGCTGTGGAACAGAACCCTTCTTTCATGCGAAGTTCTGTGGATGAGCAACTCCGGACACTCATCACGAATCCACTCCTCCAGTCAGGCAAGCGCGTGATCCTCGTCATCGACGCTATCGACGAATGCAAATCTGGATCACAGCGAAGAGAACTTCTCGAGGCGCTTGCTACCGCTGCTCGAGAGTGCGCGAACCTCAAAATCTTTCTCACCAGTCGGCCAGATCCCGTCATCGAGGCGGTCTTGCAGGGACTTTTGATCAAGGAAAAGTTGGAAAACCGGCTTCACGATGTGAAACACCCGGATATCACAAACGATATCGCGGTGTATGTGCATCATTCGTTGCATGAAGTCCTACCGCAGGACAAGAGACCGCGTCTGGCCGAAAAGGCCAACGGATTGTTCATCTGGGCGAGCACCGCATGTCGAATGCTCACGAGTGAAACCAGATTGAGTTCAGCCGAGGACGTATATGACCGTTTGATCTCTCTGGACCAGCCAGGAGTGATCGACGACCTATACAATCTTGTCTTCGAGCGGACAGACCCCGAGTACTACGCGGTCATGTGTTCAATGCTGGCACTGCTGCACGGTGCATTTGAACCGCTGACGGTGGACGATCTGGACGATCTAGTAAAACATGCAAAAGTACGGGGAAGTGCCAAGGCACTGGTACAGAACCTAGGAAGCGTACTCAGTGTGGATTCAAAGACGGATCTGATCCAATTTCGCCACCCAACGCTGGTCGAGTACCTTCGACGGTGCTCGATCCCCCGAGGTGGCGATAACCGAAATAAACTATATATCGATATCGGCAATGCTCACGGTCAAACAGCATCATGGTGTCTGAAGCGGTTTAAGTCGCCTATTGGAGGACTCAAGTTCAACATATGTGAAATCGAATCCTCTTTCTTCCTAAACAGGCAGATTCCGGATCTGGAAGAGAGAATTTCAAAGTTCATCCCAAGAAGACTTCGGTACGCTGGCTTACATTGGCTGTTTCATCTGGCGGAAACAGACGACGAGTGGCGAACTAGGCTGAAGGACGGAATCGAACATGTGATCAAAAGCCCATATGTTCTATACTGGATGGAGGTCCTGAGTTTCACGGAAGGGGTACCACGGGCGATAGCGGGACTTCGAGCTGTTGCGCGCCATAGAAGAGTGAGTAGTCTATACGTACATATTATAGTGACTTACACAGATGCAGATTGAAGAGGAGACTAGGACGATGATGACGGAGGTTCGACGGTTTCTAATGGCATTTTCGGTGCCGATTCAAGACAGTGCTCCGCACATCTACATCTCAGCACTAGCATTCAGTCCGAGGCAGTCAATACTACATAACGAACGGCTGAAGTGGCATGCAAATACACTCAGTGTGACGCAAGGTTTCGAAGAGAGATATCCCCAACTTCCCAGGACTCTCCGAGGCCATGAATGGTGGATATACGCCGTTCAATTCTCACCAGACGGATCAAAAATTGTCTCTTGCTCGGGAGATAATACGATTCGCCTTTGGGATGCCGAAAGCGGGCAGGCATTAGGAGAGCCGCTCCGAGGTCATACTTCGGAGGTGTTCTGTGTCAACTTTTCGCCAGATGGTCACCGGATCGTTTCAGGTTCGATGGACAAGATGATTCGATTATGGGAGGCGGATAATGGTCAGCCGTTGGGCGAGCCACTCCGAGGTCATGAAGATGGCGTCTTCGCTGTCGAGTTTTCGCCAGATGGCTCGAAAATTGTCTCTGGCTCCTACGATACAACGATTCGACTGTGGGACGCGGACACAGGTCAGCCGTTAGGATATCCACTTCGAGGTCATGACGGTTGGGTCTACTGCGTTAAATTTTCTCCAGACGGTTCAAGAATTGTCTCTGGCTCATTTGACGAGACAATTCGAATGTGGAACGCTGATACCGGTCAACCGGTGGGAGAGCCACTGCGAGGTCACAAAAGCCGGGTCTCAGCGGTCGGATTCTCTCCAGACGGCTCGACAGTTGCCTCTGGCTCGTGGGACCAGACAATTCGATTGTGGGATGCAGACACTGGTCAGTCGCTAGGAGAACCTCTCCGAGGGCACAAAGACACAATCGCTGCCCTCGCATTTTCGCCCGACGGCTCGAAGATCGCCTCTGCTTCTCATGATAGGACGCTTCGACTGTGGGAGGCGCATACTGCTCACCCATTGGGCGAACCACTTCAAGGCCATGAAGCTGCGATCAATGCAGTTGGGTTTTCACCAGACGGCTCCCGAATCGTCTCTGGTTCCACCGACAAGACGATTCGACTATGGAACGCAGGAACCGGTAAGCCATTGGGAGAGCCCCTACAAGGTCATGAAGTTTCAGTAACGGCTGTCGCATATTCTCCGGATGGCTCGCGAATCGTCTCAGGATCAAAAGAAAAGACGATTCAACTATGGGACGCGGAGAGTGGTCAGCTTTTGGGAGAGCCACTGAGAGGTCACGAAGATTCAGTGAGCTCAGTCGCGTTCTCGCAAGATGCCTCCCGAGTCATCTCTGGCTCGAACGACAACACCATTCGGCTTTGGGAGGTAAAGACTGGTCAACCTCTGGGAGAGCCATTTCGAGGCCATGAAGACTGGGTCTATAGTGTCGGATCTACTCCAGATGGCTCTAAAATTATCTCTGGCTCCCGCGATAATACCATTCGGCTGTGGGATAGCGAGACCGGTCGGCCGCTGGGAGAGCCACTTCGCGGTCCTGGAGAAAAGGTATGGGCCCTCGCGGTCTCACCGGACGGCTCTCGAATTATCTCCGGCTCCCGCATCGTGCCTGCCCACCAATTCTTCTCTGAAACGACGATGCAACTGTGGGAGGCAGCTACTGGTCTGCCGGTGGGAGAGCCACTAAGAGGGCATACTGCTCCGGTTGTTGCCATCGCGTTCTCACAAGATGGCTCCCGGATTGTATCGGGCTCGTGGGACCTTACGATACGCCTATGGGATGCTGACACTGGTCAGCCGTTGGGTGGGCCGCTACGAGGTCATGAAGCTGCAGTAATAGTCGTCGGATTCTCGCCAGACGGCTCGCGAGTCGTCTCTGGCTCTCTTGACGGAACGATTCGGCTGTGGGATGCGAACACTGGGCAGCTGCTGGGAGACCCACTTCGAGGTCACGAAGACTCCATCGACGCGATTGCATTCTCGGCAGATGGCTTCCGTATTGTCTCTGGCTCAAAGGACAAGACCATTCGAGTATGGGACGCAAACATTGGTAAGTACAGGGTTGGCCTGTTATTGACTCTGTGATATGAATTGAAAATTATCGTTAGATCCAACCCTGGATGTCACCACCGACCGAGAAAGACAACCTTCAAACACCAGCCCCGGGGACAGTATAGCGGCTACTTCCCCAGGCATCCATATACCTGGATTCAATTATTGCTCACTCTCTCAGGACGGCTGGGTTCAATCTTCCGGAAACTATCTCTTCTGGGTGCCGCCGGACAATCGGCATGGACTACAATATCCGCGTCCTCTTCTGACCATGCCGATAAACAGTCGGTTTCGTGCGACCAAAATTGACTATAGTCGTTTTCACTGTGGGCCTTCTTGGACAAGCGTTCGAACAGACGTTAACGAATGATCTGGTGCGGCGGCTATGGTTATGAATACGCTCCCTTCTGTCCAGAACTAGCTCCCATCTTCCTATAGAATATATAATGCAGAATTAGTAAGGTACTCGTTACATTCTCGCCGACGTGGATAATCAGGAGTGATCTTCGCGTTATCTGGTAATTTCCAGCAGGCTACTACCTGTTTTAATTAATTTATTCGTTTCATATCGACTGAATAATTATCGGGATATTGACTAGACCTGACCATATCTGCAAACTTTCCTTTCATCTTATCTATTTATCTCGACCAACGGCGCCCTTGATTCCACCGGAATGGTTCGGCAACTGTCCTCCGTGCTCTGGTCCCGACTCGGAATCCAATGATATGTAGAATGTCGCAAACTATACAACGAGGCACGGATACTGTAAATTATTCATCACAGCTCCCAAAGGCGTCAACAGCCCGCTTGTCGGGCCATTAAGGCATTAGGTTCACCAATAAGAGAACGAGCCTCTACACTGTGAGGAACAACGACAGACAGTCAAGCTCTGGAGACAGATACTCTCCAGCGACAAAGGACCAGAGGCCCCTGAATCCGAGGGAAGTAGTGAGAATCTGGTTTGGGGCTGCAGACCGGGATCATACGAAGTTTACTGAGGATGAAGGGTCGTTTACCGACGACTCGGATGACGAAGCATACAATTAAGAGCACCACCCTGATCACTCGGACAGCTTGTCATCAGAAATTATGGACACTGCGTCGGATTGACGATTGAGGCATACCGTCGCTTAGACGAGCAAAATATCATCCTTGGGTCGAGACTTTGAAATTGACTTTCGCTATACTTTATGAGGATAGGTGCAGGTCGTCGGGATGACGCCGAGTGCGTAACTGATCGCCAAGGGTTTATTCGTTTTTAATTTTCAGATAAACTTGTTTCTTCTTTGAATGGTGTGCTCTACTAGCGAAAGAAACACAACTAGTCGTAAAATGGCGAGTTATCTGGCTCGTAAATCAGGACCTAGTAGTTCATCTTCCTGAGGTAGTCTGCCAATCCTTCTACGGCAGCGGCGCATTGCTTCTGGTCTATAGAGGAGTCGCAAATGGCTAAGATGATTGTCCTGGCCGACTTTACGATTATACATCCCTCTCCCTACCGCCGGCTCGTGAGTTGTGTATTCAGTTGGAAGGTCAGAAGGACTACGTACCGACTTGCTTCCGTAAAGGTGATGACCTCCTTCAAATCTGGTCATAATGTACTTGGTCCCTTTGAAGCGGAAACCATTGGATTGCAACTGTCCTCGCGCCTGTTCGTAGTTTGGATTTTGGAGAATATCGATGATAGCCAACACATCTGGATCATCACGTGTGGGCACCTGAAGACACTCCGGTTAGATGGTAATAGATTATATGAGGACATAAAGCCGAGCTTTATGAACACAAGTTTGGAAGGGATGGGACTGCTACTGACCCCTAGATCCGCCGACTGAGTCCAAACCGCCCCTTTTTGATTTTCTTCTGCAAGTATACCGATGATGGCCGCTTTGGTGGCCGCTTTGGACCCGACGAGATTATCAATGTAGGCTGAGCGGCGGGCGACGGGAATCGGGGCGGCAAAAATAGGAGAAAACCAGAAAGACAAGCATCAGCAGATCGATCAATATTGGAGATAGTAGCGAACAGAGACGGGCGTACGTTTCCAGGGGTCCGCCATCGTCTTGTGCGTCTGAGCTTTGGCCGAGTTCAAGTTGGAGTTTCCTAAAAAGGCGCTGGCCTGTGGCTCTCGCCCGCTGGCGTCCTGGGACAACTCCAAGTTGCTGAAATGAGATTTAAAGGTTTAGAGGTCCTATAGTTTCCAGATGAGACGTCTGGATTAGCCAGATCCGTTAAAGCAAGTCTACCTGCTGGCTGCCAGATGCACTCTCCTATCAAATATCCTGTTAAATTGAATGAACCGACACGAAATACGCAGTATATGACTGTATTCCCGCCACCACTTACCAGCCTGTTGTTTGGCCAAACAATCCATCCCAACCAAAACCTCGACCATGGTACGAATACCCTGATAGCATCGCGCGAGACAGCTGATGAAGAGGTTTTATAGCCACCAAAGAAAGGAAAGGTTGTCAGGGAAGAAGCTACTGTCTCGCTCGGTCCTCAAGTCGCAGAGGGCGAGCTCGTCTTTGGCGTCGCGCACATCTACGCGTCTTTCAACGACACTTTTGTACATGTTACCGATCTTTCGGGCAAGGAAACCATCTCGCGTGTCACCGGTCAGTCCTTGCTCTTTTTCCCACTTTCTTGACCAAAACCATCCAGAGTGGCTGACTGACCGTTCGTTCTAGGTGGCATGAAAGTCAAGGCTGATCGTGACGAATCGTCTCCATACGCCGCTATGTTGGCCGCTCAGGATGTTGCTGCTCGCTGCAAGGAAGTCGGCATTACCGCTCTTCATATCAAGCTCCGTGCTACTGGAGGAACCGGAACAAAGACACCTGGTCCAGGTGGACAGTCGGCTCTCAGGGCTCTCGCTCGTGCTGGCATGAAGATTGGTCGTATCGAGGACGTGACACCTGTCCCGACTGACTGCACTCGCCGCAAGGTTGGTCTCGGTTCTCATATCCATCTTATTTCCCATATTGAATCATTCTATCTAGGGTGGTCGTCGTGGTCGTCGTCTCTAGATTCAAAAACTCGCATTTTCCGTGGTGCATGCTTGTGTATGTGCTCTTGTCTGTGCGCGTGGTTTCAATTGTCGCCGCACGACACGCAGCAAGTCATCCTCGATGTCTTGTCCCGTGGTCGTGCCCATTCTGACCTCTGTTGTTTACAGTGTCCAATGGTATGTTGCCTTGGACGTTTCATACTATTAGGCGCCATGTATACATAAGAGAAGATCCAATTGCTCCCAAACTGCGTGTGGTCTCGAGTCTATTCTAGTATCGTGCTCCCTGGTCGGCTCATTCAAGCTGCTCGTCAGGATGAACTGCTTTGCGAATGCGGATGATGTCTTGTCGGTTAAGTGATGCCTCTGAGCAGAGAGATCGGAAGATCGATCCCTCTCGGTCATAAAGCCCCAGCGGCGTGTCAAACTCGGCCACCCGTCCAGCATCCAAGACGAGGATCCGGTCATAGTAGACTAAGGAGAGATGAGAACCAGCCAGGATATGATATTGGGTACTCACCAATCGTATTAAGCCTGTGCGCGATGCAGAGCAGCGTGCACTTGGCAAATTCTGTCTGAATCGTCCTCTGGATCTTTGCGTCGGTCTCGACATCGACATTGGACGTAGCCTCATCCTAATAAAGACACCAAGTTCAGCTTCAGATATTTCCCAAATCCTCCACGACTGACCATGACAATTACCCTGCTCTCCTTGACGAGGGCACGACACAAGGCCAGCAATTGACGTTCACCCGCACTAAAGTTGGTACCTCCTTCACTCACGAGTGCACCGAGTTCGAAGCGCGATACATCCGCGCCACCTTTTGTCGCCTCAGCTGCATCTGAGGTACCTGGCTCGGACGTCGTATCAAGCAAGCCGGCCCTACGTAGAGCAGAAAGAGCTCTGCGTCTGTACGCATTCCGAGTGGATCGCTATAAACACCTGATGTCAGCGCCTGGACGTGCTGGATATTAGCACTTACATGTTTTCGCGAACGGTACCCTGAAGAGAAGCGCGTCCTGTGGAATAACGGCCATCTGTCGTCGCAAAACGTCCAAACCAATCTTTCTCGTATCCACGCCATCAATCTCGATAGTCCCACCTTCAATCTCGACAATGCGGAAGAGAGCCTGAAGGATTGAGCTCTTTCCGGCACCGGTACGCCCACAAATTCCAATCTTTCTCCTGGCTTGACGTCAAAGGTTATACCGTGCAGGACGAGAGGAGACCGGGGCGATACGCCATCTTGACGTCGTTGAAGGAGATGGCGCCTTTATCTGGCCAGTTCTGGTCTGGATCCGCTTTTGTCGTCGGTGGTGCCTCTTGTGGGAGTTTTCCATAGTAGTCCAATCGCTCAACGGCATTCATCTCTTGCTCGGATCTCGCCTGTATACGCATAAGTCCCCAGCTAGGATTGAAACAAGTCGCGATAATACTTACCATCTGCGTCACCATCTGAGAGAGTGTCTGAGTGATGGCAAGGGTGTACGAGAGCACCACTCCAGTCTTGGATGGATTGGACGTATTTCTGACGCCGACAGCAAAGAGACCGATACCGAGGATGAGCAGATTCGCAATAAAGTCAAGACGCATTGCGAGCCATCGCTGGATCAGCACGGATACAATATACGCGCGATTCTGGTTGTCGATAGCCGCGTCGACGACTTTGATATAGCGGTCCTAGGGCACATTAGCTGGATCCAACGAGGTTCCAGGATTTCCTACCTGTGTTCTCCATGCGTGGATGGTTGATAGGCCAGTGAGTGCCTCTGCTACAAGTCAGACTCTGTATGTCAGAAAACTACATTACTCACCTCCGAGAGAAGAGTACAAGGCCGAACGCAGCACAGAGTCAAGACGCTTCGTCTCAATCGAGGTTCGGCTACAAGATATTAATAGCCGTGATACTGATAATCTGACTCGACGCACCGGTAGAACGCAGACGCAATATAGTAAAGGATGAACAGGAAGGGAATCGCGATGCCAAGATACGGGAAAGTGTAGAAGATAAGAGCAATTGCACCAAGGACTGTGAGTTTGTCAGGGCAGAGTCAAGCCTACTAGGGTGGCTACTCACCCGCAGCCAACATGCGCATAAGCTGAAAAAGTGCACTGGGCAGTTGGTTGTCCAACGATTCGATATCACGACTGAGACGTGAAAGAATGCGACCCACAGGAGCTAGACAGGATTAAGACAGAGCAATTGTAGAACAAGAGGACGCACTTGTATCGTAGAACGACACTGGCGAACGCATAAGCGCTGTTAAAGCCGTGCGGAAAAGCACGCGACTGGCTCTCAGCCCGGCGAGTGCAAACGCAAAGGAGCTCAAGAATGCGATGACAGCCTGAACACCACCAATACCTGCGTAGAGCGCCATATATTCCTTGTCGCCAAACCCACGAATCGAACGACTTGTCCACCATCCAAGGAATAGTGTTGTCACAACTGTAGACTCATCAGTTCATCCCCGAGGTGAATAGGAGAGATGGAGACGTACTCTGTGCCGCTTGTTCCGCAAGAAGCATCAAGATGATGAGACCCGTGAGAATGAAGCCTCCAGCTGCGGTAATATAGAGACCGTAGATATACCATTGAATCTGACCCGTATTGCGATCCTCTTCTTGCATGAGCGGCTTGCCCGCTGCAGCTACTTCGGCTTTTTGCTCCTTGGCTTCCACTTCCTCCTTTTCTTTCTCTTCTGTGGCTTCAGTACCACCATACTCGGCTATGAGCTTGGAGAACACAGGGCCATGCTCGATCAGGTCCTACATATGTCAGCATAACAAACAAGCTGAAACGAGGGAATTTCGTACCTGATAAGTACCGTGCTCAACAATTTCGCCTTTATCCAGAACGTAAATGTAGTCCACTCTGGGCAAGGCCGAGAGCGCATGGGTAACGAGGATGCGTGTACGTCCAGCGAGGGGACCTCTAGTGAGACAATCTTCGAGGATACTCTTGCCGACATGTGCGTCCACGGCAGAGAGCGGGTCGTCCAAGAATACAACGTCTGCTTTTGAATATGCAACACGCGCCAGACTGACGCGAGCCTTTTGACCACCGCTGAGGTTGATACCCTTTTCGCCGATTTCCGTTTGTTCACCTTGAGGAAGCATTTCAAAGTCGGGTTCGAGTGAGCATGCGCGGACGACGTCTCGGAACCTGATGATTGTATTCATTCAGCCTCTGACCCATGCAAGGAGGCCAATAGTGACGCACCTCGCTTCATCGTATGGATTTCCAAAGAGAATATTGTCGCGCACAGTTGCGTTCGCGAGCCATGGGTTTTGTGGCGTATATGCAATCGTGCCGTTGAACGATACCTATTCACAAACTAGCCTCAATATTTGGAGAGGCAATGCAACCGAGTACCCACGCTGCCATTCGTCTTCCTCATCTCCCCAATCAACGCATTGAGAAGACTACTCTTGCCGCTGCCAACTTTGCCGACGATACCAATGAACTGTCCTTTGGCAATATGCATATCGATATTCTTGAGCTTGAAAATCTCCTTGCCCTCCTTTGGCTCATTGATAATCGTTCCAGAAGGAGAGGGCTCGCCGGATGATTGATCCTTTTTAGTCTGTTGCTCGGCTTTCTTGCTCTTCTTGCTCTGTTTCTTCTTCTCGTCTTTCGCCTTTGCATCTTCCTTTTTCTTGTCGGCACCACCCTTTTTGCCTGGCCCGGGCTCGCCTTTGGCTTTAGCTGGGTCGGCGACTTCCCATGTAAAGCTTCCGTCGGTAATATCCACGGCAAATTTGTAGGACGAGTCGATGGGAAAGGCCGGTGATAGTTCCTCGGCTGTGAGGAATGCGCCAATACGCTTGAGTGAGACGAGACCGTCGGCACTGAGTGAGAAGATGAAAGGAAGCATAATGAGAGGCTATGAATGTGTTAGGACGCTATAATCCAAACTTGAGTAACGAGAGCTGACCATGCGCAACACCTGAAGAGACTGGTCAGCAGGCGACAGAAATGAGAAGAAAGGAACATACATTGAGCATCTGTAATGATGAGAAGATGATGGCGGGATCCAATGGATGACCAGTGAGGCTGTACGTGATCTAGGTCGAGTCAGCCTTGTGGCGAGTAAGCTCTTGACTACGCACAAATGCAAGAATGGCGGCGAGAATAGGAATGAAGGATGTCAACGAGATCAAGGTCGAACGTAGCACTCTGGAATCAAGGAATTAGAACACTTTGCTGGATAGAGGATGTAGCGGACTTACGATGTAGTTCGGACTTTTTTGAGTTCATCACGACGCAGTATATCAACCTTGTGACCATAGAGAGTTTCCTATGGAACGTGCGTGAGCAAAATCACCCGCCAAGCGGGTGGGCTTACCCAGGCGTAGATCTTGACTAGACGGATACCTTGGATGATCTCAAAATGAGGTGAGATAAGGGCATCTACGGCTGTTGATGACGCACCTCTTGAAGTAGACGGACACGAGAGTCGGTAATGACAATGCCGTCTTTTCGTGCGTTGAAAAGGAATTTCACGACGATACCCTGTGCGGGGAATCCTAGGAGAAGAACACCGACGGAGACAAGTGCAGAGTATCCCAAGTTACCAATGAGGAGACCTAATGCAAGAATGATCTAGTAGACGTGAATCAACCGGGCACTGGATAAGTAATGATAAGATCTTTACCATCAAAGGAGAAATCCAAAGACTGGTAGAGATATATTAGACATTATGGAAAGTTCATGCAAGAGGACAAACCTGTGACAGAATCCAAGGGCAAAGTCGAGGCGAGTCGTGTCTGTAGACAGCATGGTAGTAATCTTTCCGGTACTATGCTCCACGCGTGCCTATGCATACATGAGTAGACGCTGAATAAATAGTCAAGGACATACCCGTCCGGAAAGTCGCAGAGACTTGCGGAATATCTGGCCGATAATCTACGGCAGATTAATCAATCGAAGGGGAAAGAGTATGAAACTAACAGTGGACCGAATGAGTAAACCAACAGTCATCGTTTGAGCGATGCCATAGTTGTGGGCTACGCTAGCACCCTCTACGGACGGTGAGCATGCAATGATTGATGAGAGAGCGGAGCGTACGTTGCATTAGGAACAGGCCAAATGCGAGGCCAATGCCTTTGCCTATGGGAGGACCTTTTGGATACACGGCAGGGTAACGTGCATGTAGATACGAGTCGACGAGGAATTGAGGAGCGCCTTTGTGACAAGAGGTGACGTCGTAGATAGGGAGTCTGAGTAGCGTTAGTTTTATGGCATTCGTATGCTGCAAGGGTCTCTACCTCCAATCAGTTGAACTATGCCGCCCATCCAAAACTTGTATCGGAATGTCTTCTCGAGAGCGAAGACGAGTGCCTCATCATAGGCCTTTTTGCGTCTCTTTTCCTCTTCGGGTGTGAGGCCGTGTTCAATTTCTTCCGGTGATTCTTTCTCGGAGGTTTCACTGCTGCGCTCGCCCCTAGCGCCAAATCTCTCGTCCCGGGCAGAGAGAATACCTTGCTCCTGGATATGTCTCGGTCGTTTCTCTGGCGGACAGCGTTCGTAAAAGTTTCGTTCAAGCCGGGCTCCCAGATTTTCGCTCAGCCGGGGGTCATCTAGCACCCAGAGGTCTATTTTTGGCTCGTCAGGGTCAGAAACTGGGTTCAGGGGGCGCCAAACGGACCGTCGACTTCGAGAGGACGCGAAAACCCAACGCGGAGGATGGGCGAAAGCCAACCAAAGGTGATAATGGACCATGGCCTATGAGGACACGCGTATTACGAAATTGACGTCAATAAATGTGGGGGATAGAAGCATGGCAAAGACACTGACTTTGCGTGAATTTCAGGGATCACAGCACCTGCTGCAAAGCCAGGCGGGCTTGGAGTTGGTCTCCAGAGTTTGCCAAAGAGACCAGGATGAGTTGTTGGGCGGTCGTCGTCCATTTGAGGGGAAATAGGGGGAGATGGGAGGGATCAAGGGCCACTTTATAAGCTCTGAGAGGATGCGAAAGACGCGGGGAGAGTGTATAGCGGAAGCTGACCAACTGATGCCGAGCACATGCGCTTCAGGGCCATCGAGTAGATGGACACATCACAATAAGTCAGTCCAAGTCATTGAAACTGTGTAGACATACGTGTAGCTCGGCAGAAGCCCGAGTTATTTATGACTTAATTCACACCTGGACCCGACTCCGACACGACTCCGACTGGTATTTACCAAATTTGCACTACAACTATACATACCAACGCAAGCAGCTAACCGATCGGGCAATGCTTGCACATCATACATTCTAGGCGCTGGTCAGCCCTTGATCCTGTCCACGATAATGATCCAACAAACACTCATGGATGTCCTTCCAAACGAAATGATGATAGAATCCCTTTGGTTCTGTGCTGCCATAGACATTCTCCATGTCCGCCTCGTCAGTTTCATCTCCGCTCGAGCTTTCCAAGCAAATTGATCAATCTTCCAGCTCAACAAGTTTCACAGGGAACTTGTCGACAAATCTCCAGAGCTTCAGCTCATCATCCAACTCGCCAAAGATGGCATGGCGCCGGCACATCGCGCAAGCTCCGCGTCGATCCACTCCATGCTCACCAACTGTACCATGACCCGCCGGAGATGGAACGCACTTGCACCTTTGGACCCGGTGTTATCCCCACCAACGGCTCAAGACTTTAACATCTACGAGTTTGGCGGCAGTATTCTGGCGTATTGTACTACTTATCCCGGCGAATCTGATTGCGTGAAATTCATCTCACTGGATCATCCAAAGAAGACGGTAGTTGAGCCCGTTATACTTTCGTTCAAGTGCTTCGAACTCTCCTGCGATCCTGGCCAGCACTTGCTCGTCGTTGTCGAGGACGCTGCGACGTGAGTATAATTCGAATATGCTTCTTTCAAACTGATCACATAGCGCAGAGACTATCCAGTACACTTGATGAGCATGCAGACTGGCGAGTACCACCATCGTGCCGCCACTCGGATCTTCCACAATCTGAATGTCGCAGGGTATACATCACCTGACATTGCGACATGCATATCTGGAGATATCATATCTTTTGTTTACTCGCTTACCGAGGCTAGAGCCGAAATAGGTGTCTCTGTCGTCAACTGGGCCACTGGGGCAATTCTCGTGCGTTCTTTCCTGGCCCTCATTCATTGCTAATATGTCAGGAAACAGTTGAGTTGCACATTCATCGGCGCACTCCATACGACATTGCTCTCGTCGCGCTTCCTCATAGTCGCCTTTTGCACCACTACCGTCGCACCCGACGACGCACACCTCAAACTTTTCGACCTCGAAACACCAAGTCCACGAGATACATCTCTCGTCCTTCGTCTCCCAGCCTTTACGCAACATTCGACCCGTCGCTACTCTGCATCCTACTTTCTCCACGGCTCGAACAACGCCATATTATCCCAACGCACTGATGGAACGATGAGAACGGGTGAACGTGACATTGTAACGCTCTTTATTAAGGCCACCACCGTCGACTCGGATGCCGTCGTTCGCAAAATGCTCGTGTTCATCTCACGCGCTCGTTTACTCTCATTGGCATTCGAGTGGTCCCAAATGCCACATCATAGCCGCCCAAAGAGACACGTTCTGGCCTATGAGACGTGGACAGGCCACGGCAAACATACACGGTGGATTGACATTCGGGGTACGGCTCATGAGCCACAAGAGCATCTATGGATCCAAGTGCGTTTGCTTGGCTAATCCAGCCGATATGGGTGCGATATTACCGTTGGGTCAAGAAGGAATTCGACAGATTTATGCGTGCTCGAGTTTAATGTAGGCCGCGACTTACTCCATCGAATCCGGCAGAAAAGTCGTTTCTGGTGCGCTCGACGGACAAAGATGGATGGATCACACGCGAGCTGGATCAAGATGTACGTGGGGGGCTACCATTTCGGGTGCGTTGGACGCAGATGGATAATGCAGCTCAATGGCAAGACCTGTTCGTGGATCAGGAGTATCTGATGGCGAGATTGGTGGGCCCTTTCCTTTTTGTTTCGCATCTGTGCTGACAAGCTTAGGATGAGGGCTTTGCAATTTATAGGGTGTAAGGTACAGTCATTGTAAACCAGCTGCTTCATATATTCATAATACACGACTATTACTTTCGTGTCTATGCTCCTCGTCCACTGTCCAGGAACTTCTTGATGTCCAGCCCATAATATTCGCCTTCCTTGCTCTCCATCTTCTCGAACCCGATTGCCTTGTAAAACTGACGACCGTTGTCGTTCCTACTATCGATACCCACCCACAACCCCTTTTCACCGTCTGCCTGGACCTGCAGCGCCGCCTGTCGAATCATCTTGGTGCCCCACCCCTTTCCCTGGTGTGGTGGGAGGATATTGATATGAAGAAAAGCCGGGTAAACATCGAGAACTTCTTGACCCGTCAAAGCTGGGTTAGCAATGAAATCCAGATAATACAGCTCTGCGCCCGTGTAGGCGTCGCGGTCTGCATCTTCGGGCTTAGGGTAGCGTGGGCGAAGGGGTGGCCACCAATTCTTCTCTGCATCCGCTTCGAATGCACGGCAGTTGGATGAGCCGACGACGTAGCCGACGACATCCTTTTCCACGCCGGCATCGTCGGTCTCGACGAGGACGTAGCGCCATGCGCTGTCGAGATGGAGGTATGGGACGGCGTAGACGAGACCTGGCATTTCTGGTTTTTTGAAGAGATGTTCGGCAGACTTGCCAGCGTCGCCTGTCAACAAACAGATGCGCGACACGGCTCCTTCGTCTGCGAGTGTGGCCTTGCGGAGGTGGAGTGGCATTGTCGATGGGACGTTGCTAATCCTGAGAGGACAAAGAGGAGTTAAAGTAGGTGAACTGGACACGACCTGTCTATAAGTACCTTGTGTGCGAGGTAGTCGAACCGGTGGAGAGTTGTTGGCGGGAGTCTGTCACTCCACCATCGCTTGGAGTGGGTAGAGGGTTTTTATAAGCGTGAACAGCCTTGACGCACATGCTCAGAGGCGGCTCATTTAGCTCCAGCTTCGTCCGGGAATCGCTCGCAGCCAGCTGTATAAGCAGCCATCGCGCCCGTAGAGATGACTTACGAAATGCTTCCAATCGACACGACGAAACCTCGGATAATCTTTATCTTTTTGATGGTGCGGTGGGTGCGGCGAACTTGGATCGTTTAGACTTGACCATCACTGCGGTCATGAAAGCCGTCAAGGGCGTCTTGATCACTTGGTGAGCTGAGATGACAAATGGGCTGCTACGTCGTTCTAATCAGTTTTTCCGCGCGCGGGGTTTGGACCGAACCAATCACAGCGATGCAGCCGTCAAGCAAATTCTGTTGCAAATGAACGAGAGGCGGAGGGACGAGGATAGATTTGTCATCGAGGACCTTGACCAAACTCATTTGCTGATCAAAGCGGACGGGAGGAGAACATGAGGGCCGAGCTGGAGTCCGAGGTGAGTGGGGAACCCAGGGGCGTAGTGGGCAATCTGACCACAGTATCAGCTCGAAAAGAACACGTATAGCTTGGAGCCATAGTGTCGAGGAATCGGAGAGCAGACCGTATCAATTTTGGTCGGCCACAGTTGCAACCCCCGCATTACCAAGGCCCAAACTGCGAGGAAATTCCGAGCATCACATCGAGTGCCATCTTTTGCATACCATTCGAGATGCGAACGCAGGTTTCCTGATGCCTGTACAAGTACAATAATGATATTTTATCAAGTCACGGGTTGCGCCATCATATTGATACTTCTAAGAGGTACAGGATTGCGTGATTGAGGACTACGAAGGTGGTTTCGTGAGCAGGTCGGTAACCTTTTGCTCGACTTGTTCTGCAGAGAGACCTTCAAGCTCGACGTGACGCTCTACTCCTCGTTCTGTAAGATGCAAAAGAATGTCGTTAGCTTCATAGACAGAGAACACCAACCACATACCAAAGCGGGCAAAGGCACGAGCTGGCGTTCCTTGGGCTTCTCGAATGAGCACAGGAGATCAGGATTATTCTTCTTGATGAGTGGATATGCGGAAAGAACAAAGTGCCTGCTCAACCAGTCTCGTTTTAGCGCATTTGCTCTGTCGAAACAAAGCCACAAGTACAAATACGGACCTTGTACCAGCAGAAGCTGTTCCAGTTTGACAAAAGAGTAGACGGATTTCTCTCAGTGCTGGCGAGAGGACAGCGTTCAACGACATGGCGAGGTCCAAGGTTACTTTACTCGTCGGCGGAAGTCTACGACCGCTCGAAGGTAGACTAGACATATATCAAAAAGTTGATAATCATTGCAATCTAAACGAAGCTGGTCATGGTAACCTTATCGTCTTCACTTGAACCCGTTCACATTACTTTCGACCTTTTGGGCTCCACAACATGTCGTCCATTGTCGCCCACAGACTGCTCATGCGCAGTGCCTTGCACGCAAAACCTTTCGGAATCTCATCTAGGCGCGTATTTAGCCGATCCGCGATGCACAACCTTGCCGTCGTAAACGCACGCGGGTTCGCCATCTCTGCGCGTCTTGCGTCACCCGCAGCGAAGCCAAAGTCCAAAACAACAGCTGCAAAGCCTAAGACGGTGAAAAAGAGTGAGTAGTCATGGGACTTTTCAAGCGCGAGACGATTGGGGATTGATGGTTCGGTGGTTACACCTCGTAGGTACGACGACAAAGGCGAAGAAGACGACGAGGAAGAAGGCTGCTCCCAAGCGCAAGACTGCTACAACTGCTGCAAAGAAGAAGGCGGCACCAAAGAAGAAAAAGGCGGCTCCCAAGAAGGAGGAGAAAGCTCCAACGCCACGTACCGATCGTGAGTGAATAACAGACGTGCATAGAATTGGACAAACTGACATGATGTCACGTGTAGCTTCACTTCGTCCCCCTCCGCGCCGTGTCTCTGCCTTGACCATGTTCGTCAAGCGCATGTATCCGACTCTCCAGCCCAAGCCTGAGAGCGCTACAGCGGGGTTGATTCAACTTACTTCAATGTGGAGTGGAATGACAGATGCGGAGAAGAAGGTGTGCTCTGTCCACTGCCGACGAGGTTTTTTAGCACTAAGCCGTCGATAGCCTTTCGAGGAGGAAGCCGCTACGGAGCGAGTCAAGCGTGCCCAAATTTACGAAAAGTGGCGTGCGGATCTTACACAGGGAGAGGTCAGAACCATCAACGAGTATCTCACAAAGAAGGGTGCCCATAAAAAGCTTGGAGCTGTGACCGACCGTAAGTACACAAACAGTTTATAAAGCCGTCGTGCATAACATGCTGGTTTAGCTACGAAGAAGAGGGCCCCTACCGGATTCGTCAAGTTTTACGCCGAGTCAATGAAGAATGGGACGATCGATATGTCAAAGGCACCCGCAGGCCAGAGACCGGTTACGTATGCGGCAATAGAAGCTGCAAAGCTCTGGAAGAGCATGACCGAGGCCCAAAAGGCGGTATGTTCACACCTTCTATTCAAACTTGAAGCCTTTTGTCTCACGACTCGTTGCAGGTTTACAAGGCTTAAGGACGCTGGGTGACGGTCGACTCTTTTGTACACTATTGTCCAAGTGTTTGCCATCTGGCCGCGGTTCCGCCCAGCTCAAGGATAGCCATCAAATAGTAACTCCATCTCGATTTATAACTTTGGACCGAATGTGGCTCGTATACCTATGCTAGTCATTCGAATATCGAATGAAACCAATTCTCCTTCTGCCAAAGTCTGGCGTGTTCCGCCACTTAGATGAAACAAAGTTTGTGCATGCGGCATACGTTTTCATTGTGCATGGGAGTGCGTATGCGAAGCGATACCGATAACGTACAAGAAGGTTGCTAGCTGCTACGAACGGCGAGAGACCAAAAGTAAAGGCACATCTACTCGGCGTCGACGACGGTTGTTTGCAGACCCTACCGACAACGTGAGCATGAATCAAGGTGACAGACAGAAAGAGAATGTACCTTGAACGACTCGACCGGGACGTACGAGGCATAAGTGTACAGCTTTTCTTTTGCACCCTCGTCGTCATTTCGCTTTCCTGTAAATCAATGTAAACGTGGATTTGATACAAATAGACATGGGACGCACGCTCGCTTGAGACGCATGCGATGGGGACGCTCTTGACGCCACGGCTCCAGAGCTGTTGGTTGAGTTTTGGGTCAATGCGAACGTCTGAAGTACCCATGTGCTTTCGAGCAAACTCGACGACGGACTGGTCGGGGATTGTGTGAGTTGGGTGCATCGCAGATCGAGTTGAGAGGATCCAACGTACCTTGACGGCCCATGGTGCACGCTTCTTAAAGGATCGACCGTGTACGCGCTTGTGGAGGTGGATAGTGTACTCGCGGGTGACAACGTCGGCGAGAGCGCTGCGCTTGCCGGTCTATGGGATGAACATATTGCAGTATTGGTACGATTAAAAGAGTAAAGAGCAGGATCTGTTAGCCAGATTCATTGAAACGCCATAATGTAAACTGACCTTTTTCTTCTTTTCGGTGGGGGCCTGTCGTCGTCCAATAAGTCCAGTGCATGATAGGTTTATACAGTGATTCGTTGCGTAAGAGCGTCATGGCGAGTCGTTTGAATCATCCAAGTGGTATATCGTGCAAAAAGCCGGCATAGGTGACAATGTGAGATTCCAAAGGTATTAACAGTCAGTATACAGCTGATCAATAATGATTTGATGAATTTTGCTTGCCATTTGTGCAGATGGGCGGCGGGAGTGGTGGTCGAGGGATCGGTGTAAGGGCGACAAAGTTTGGTGGACCCCGGCGGCCGGCCTGACCCCAGTTCTCTGTACTCTGTGCGCATCCATAAAGTCGACGAGTTTGCTAGAATTCCCATGCGACTGAAAGTGTCTCAATCTTTGAGCTGCACAGATGCTGCACCATGACAATGCTGGATGCGTGCGCTCGTTCTCGTTCATCTAGTCGAGGAAGCGTCAAGGTCTCTAGTTCTACGAGAATAATTCTATCCGATCGTGCGTACCAAGTCGTCTGTACTCTCCTTCGCTGACCACGTAGTCACTGCCAACGTTGGACAACGCCAAATCAATACTAGGGCCATCATTGGAGGAGCCGTTGGAGTTGTCGTTCTTTAAGCGTGATTGTTATTGGATTTTCCATCCTCTTCTCTCGTCAATCCCGAAAGAGGCACTTGACAGAACGTGGAACCCCCAACGCCTCATTCGTGCCGGCTTCCCAGTCATACGCATACCCTTCAACGATGTCCTATGGTTAACCACTAGGCGCACATCCTCTCCATATCCATCTAATACTCAATCTCCTGCTCCTCCATCCTACAGCGAGCCAAACGAGACCAGATTGACGTTCCCAGTGTTACAAAACCGACCTAACGAAATAAAGTTACACGAGCCATCAGGTAGCATATCCGAACGAGTGGTCACCGACATCATCGGGCAGTATGCTCAAGCCAAGAGAGACCTCATCTCGCTGGAGAGTAAATTGCGCGCTGCAAGCTACCTTCCAACGGACAACTCAAGTGAGATTCCAATGTCAGATTGGCAGACAGCTGGAGTGACAACACTCGAGCTAAGAAGATTGCAAGAGGCGTACGACCGGTAGGTCAACAATGTGGTGTACTACAGGAACAAGCCGCTGGGAAATAAAGAAGAGGACGTTCATTCCACTGGACAAGGAGGATATTCGTGGTGTCCCCCTTGATCGAAATCTCGGTGCATGAACAAGTCTAGTTTGGACCGCCGAAACAGAAGCCAATGAGGACTGACTTGGGTTATGTCGGCTGACGGGGATCATCCAGTCTGATTGGTATTGAATTTTGTCTCGGAGGAACAGACTATGACCTGTTGGGAGTGGCGACGAGATCACAAAGCCAAGGTTGAGCCCCTCGCGGCGGCCGGGGTAACGGTTTGTGAGGGTAAAAAAGTTGACTGGACGGTGTCTGAAAAAAGCAAAATTAGACAAGCGACAGCGGCGGAGAGAATAGGAGTTCATCACGGGTCTGACCGAATGAGCAGACGGAGCGCACGGCTGGAATGGGCCGACCTTTGACTTGTCCCAGTCTTTATTCGACGCTATTGTCCTCCTCCTGCTACCGCCGCCAGGCACCACACAGACGCCAAATGGGCCCCTAGAGGCGAGCAAATAGCATAAATACCCACAGAGTCTCCATGCCCCCCCGAGGCCGCAGAGGCTTGTACCCGCCCTCGATCCCCCCCTTTTACTCTACCCTCGCAAACCAGAGTCTACACCAACGACTCTACGTGTAACCTATCTGTACAAGATCAACATCATGCGCACTTTTACGTTTGCCGTCCTCTCCCTCGCCGCCGTCGCCTCTGCGGCCAACATCGGACGACGCCAAAGCCAACCGCCAGCCTGTGCGACCCGCTGCTTGAACACGGGCACAAATAATGTTCCAACGGGTAGTTGCGACCCAGCAAACTTTGCGTGTCTGTGCTCCTCGGTAGAATATGTTCAGGGCGTTATCAACTGCCTCGCCACGGTATGCATCCTTGTTTTATTCTGTTTTTCCCCTTTTCTCACTGCTTTCTCAGGACTGCGCAGACCACCAGGACCTACTTACGTCCATTCAGTACTCGGCTGGATTCTGCGGAGTCGCTGTACGTCTCTTCTACCACGATTATAGAATATCATGACTGACTACAAAATACAGGGCGTTAACTCGCAACTTCCTGTAACCACTCCGACCGCCCAGCTCACGCCTACGTCGACCGGGAGCCATTCTACATCGTCGAGTGGTACCTCTTCCGCTTCGTCGTCCAGCAGCAGTGGAAGCTCTGGAGCTGCGATGAACAAGGCTACCCTTTCCGGGGCAACTCTTGGTGCCCTTGCCCTCGCCGCTGTCGGTCTCGCCTTTTAGACCTCTACACGACCATGAAAAGACTACAATGACCATTCACTTTTCTCTAAAGGATGTCGCTCTCACTCTCCTTGTCATCACGCCACCAAGGACAACAGGGACAACGCTTTCGATTCGTTGTGTGCCATACTTTAGCCGTGTACTTTCTTCGTTCTGCTATCTGCAACACGCACAAAAAAGAGTGACATATACACAACTTGTGAAGCAAGTCCCGAGAAAAATTTGTCAAGATGGTTCGACCCGCTGTCCTCGGGTGTGTAACAGGCTGGTTACCCACGTTCCTTATGTGTCCAGGTGGATGCAAATGATGCACCTTTACCTGGGGACATGTTCACCCAAACCATAAAGGTGAAACGCGCGCCCACTGATTCTGCCGTGCGAACGTGTCGGTACAAGAATCGGACATCCTCAACACAGACGGAGCAACCTCTGGTAACCCAACAAAAGGAGAAGAAATAACCATCTGGTTCGTCTTATCGAGAAGGATGCTGACGTCTAGGAGATTGCCGGCTAACGAGAACCGGTCGACTGGCAGCGGCGCGCCTCGTGTTCGCCCAACTAGGCCACTTGGAGCCAAAAGGTGCCCGAACGATGGATTCGGTCATCAAAAGCACAGGCGTAAAGGGTTCATTTCAAAAGATAACTGTATCAGTACAAGAGTGTTGAGATGGATCCTTTGTACGCCTCGAGATAGGTCACCATGCCATCTACCAAACCCGCCTTGCGAGGCTCCCATCCCAAGAGCGCACGAGCCAATGTCGGTCGCAGTCTCGTCCTGCAAAAGAATCCAATCAGTCAAACGCTAAATTTTATAATTAACAGGGAAACACTTACGTAACAGCCATAGCCTCTTCGAGCACGTTGGCGGGTGGTCGATAGGTCACCTTGTCGAGTGATACACCCACCACCGTGGCAAATGCATACAAGATACCGTCCACAGACTCGGTTCGTTCATTAGTGCAGTCGAGGATAAGACCACTGATCAGATGATTCTGTAATTATAGCAGTCAAGCCCCTCTTCTCGAAAGGAAGAACCGGACCGGACTCACCTTTTCGACTGCTCGAAGAAAACAATCCGCCAGATCATCAACGTGGACGAGGGCATAGGACCCTCCCGGCGTTCCAAACCATTCCACCTTTTCCACCGACGGAGTAGCTTGGGCGAATAAAGACGAGAACAGGCTCCCCTGTCGACCATAGACCAAACTCGGCCTGATGACAATCCCCCTGACAATCTCACTCTTTACCACCTCGTCTTCCACAGCTGGACGCCAGGCTACAAGTAAAGGCGGGGTCGGAAGGGACGCGTCGGAGCGTAGCTGGCTACGCTCCTCACCGTGCACCCACGTTCCAGAGGTGTAGATGTACGCCAGTTTGGAATATGTCCCCCGATTGCCAGGACGGATCCGAGCGGCAGAAGAGGTGACGACCTGGAAGAGACGACGAGCATTCGTGGCAATGTCGCCTGCTGCACAGTCGACTACAACGTCTGCGTCGACAAGATGCTTTTCCCATGTTGCAGGATCAAAAATATCACCAATGAGTGGGATGACTGCAAATATCGTCAGCGATATGAAGACGAGGAGAGAACAAGGTACATACTTTCGTTTGCACGCATGAGCTGCGCATTCTTCTCACTACGCGATACGCCGTAGACTTGATGTCCGTTGCGTACAAGTGCATGTGCTACAAGGAATTTAGGTCACATCCCTCTGATAGTCAAGTCACGTACCGACAGGTAGCCCAATGAAGCCAGTACTTCCGAATACGATCACTTTCATTTCGACTTGTCTTCAAATCTGTCGTCCTTTCGAGATGAGAGGTGCCCCAATGGTACTTATACTCATGAAAGCGACTATATGAGCGCGGGTGAGCTCATCTTCCGATGTTTATCTGTCATCTTCGGCTTGCGCGCTCCGCACACGGCAGCCCTTTCCACCACAGTTTACCTATCGGACGTCCGATGACCCAAGGTCAAATGTTTACTCTGAGCGCTCAAACCTCTTGACTAGAATAGATATGCAATAGGCCTATAATCAACTAGGTACATTCTCGACCGCAGAATTTACGTATCACATGGACTAGCTGATAAACCGTTACTTTGATTTAGACGCGTTGATTGCCTTCCACGCTTCAAAATAGGCCGCCATTCCGTCTGTCAACGAGGCCTTGCGAGGTTCCCAGCCAAGTAGACTGCGCGCGAGCGTTGGACGAAGTTTGGTCCTGTCATGAATTGTCACTGAGGGATCGCTTTCAAGAATAGTGGTACATACGTGACGGACATTGCCCCTTCGAGTGGATTCGCAGGCGCTCGATAGCTGACATCGCTATGCGAAAGCCCCATCAAATGTGCAAACGAATATAAGAATCCATCGACGGATTCCATGCGCTCATTGGTCACATCGATGACTAGACCAGAGACCAAATGGTTCTATACAACCGTCAGCAGACCAGAAAAGACGTGATGTACGGTGCTCACCTTTTCGACAGCGAGGAGGTAGCATTCCGCCAGGTCGTCGACATGGACAGTCGCATACGTGCCACCGGGAACGCCAAACCATTCGACTTTGCCGCTCCCAGCTTGGGAGAAGAGCATTGGCCACAGCCCGCCCGCACGTCCGTAGACTGTGCTCGACCGGATGACAATTCCGCTCACGACGCTGCTGTTAACGACGGCTTGTTCAAGTTTTGGACGCCATGCGACAATCTAGTTGATGTCTGTATCAGTATATATATCGTGGGCGGTGAGAGCCGCTTACCATTGGAGGATTCAAAGGTGCATTGTCACTTCGCAGGACAGAGCGATTATCACCATGGACCCAGGTACCAGAAGTGTAAAAGTAGGCAATCTTGGGGACGCCCGTGGTCGGAGCCGCACGAATAGATGGGTCGACGACGAGCGATTCAATGAGCGCAAAGCGCCGTGGCCCATCGTGTAGCATGTCGCCAGATGCAACATCAATGACTACGTCGGCGTCGGCAAGATGTGCGGAAAACGTTTCTGCAGCAAATGGATCCCCAACGGCTGGGATCACTAAAAGCCCGTTAGTACAAGGGATGTAGAGACGGAACGGAGAAGTGGCGCACCTTCTTCTGCAAGTAGCTTTCTCGCTTGTTCTGCGTTGCGGGTCACGCCCACGACGATATGACCGTTGCGAATAAGCGCATGGGAAATGGCACTACCAAGGTAGCCAGTGGCACCGAACATGATGACCTTCATGTTTGTATATGGGTTGGATGCTAGAGACGAAGAGTTGTAGAGTAGCAAAGGAGCTGATGATACCTCCATGGCACCTCCAAGCGCCTTTTATGCCATTCTCAACCCTCCAGACGATTAAAAATAGTCACTTGATGCATTGTCGTCCGCGCCTGTTGCGATTGAAGTGTTCGAAGTCGGTAGAAAATATCGGAGGTCAGTACGCGAGATGGCGCATTCAGTCCCGACTGAATTGATCGAAGCCGGGGGTTAAAGCTGAGTTGAAGACGGGGACGCTGACAAAGATGGTGGATAATATTGGAGAAAAGTGGTTATCAAACAAAGTGCGGTGATGCCTCCGAGTGACATGAGCGTGCCGCAGTACGCTGTTGGTAGCCATCAAGGACATGCTATATATAGATACGATCAACTACACCTTAATCAACCGTTTTCCACTGCTCAAGTGCTTGTGTGAGACGAGCCCATCTGCCGCCATGCCAAGTCGCAATCTTCTCCCACACCTCGTTCTTTCCAGCTCCAATTCGCACGGCTACAGATTCTCCGGTACCACCACTTGTAGCTTCGGTCTCATTCTCGTCCCTGCAAACGATCCTCACCCAAAGGAGCAACGCGCCGATACCAAAATCTGCAAATGTAGGGCCAAAGGATCCCATGACCCATTCATTTTGCGCCTCCATCGCTGAAGTAGCACCATCCACTTTCACCGTCATTCCCTCCTGACGATTATATTCGAGGAAGCGGTTAATTACGTCGAGAACTCCGTGTATCTTGTCGAGCTGGGCTTGAAACGCTTCAGGTGAGCGTGGATAGTATTCGTCTAGTTGAATGTTGAACCACTTTTCGCGTGTAGACTTGTAGTACTCTGCACCCCGCGGGTCGAGGGTCGCTGGCATACGTGGGAGGATGAATGGGAATATTGCAGGTGCGAGAGTAGAAATGACAACGTTTTGCGCAAATGCGATTTGCAACGCGCGCGTGTTTGGTGGTAAGACGCGAGGTGTGTCTGGATACTCGGCGTCTAGAAAACTGTGGATAGTCAGCCAGGGATTGGAAGCAGATGGCGGGCTTACATGGCTATATTGATAGAGTCAGCAATGACGCTTGGAGGTCCGCCGTCTTCAGACGGAACAGAGATGACTGGGAGAAACGTCTTTGGTCTATTTGGACCTTGATCCATTGGCGAAAGTCCGAGACGAATCCATAGGGCATCAATGTCGGGATAGGAGACGTAGACAGTCTTGTAGGGCAAGCGTTTATAGTTGAGAATATATCTAAACAGAGGTTAAAATGGGTATCCCAATGCGTTTCGACCGACCTTGCTCGCCAAGTGCTGGGGGAAGATGCTTGTGGCTTCAGACCAGATGCAACATCGTAGAGAGTAATCTGTTTGATTTCATCGTGTTGTTGGTGTTCCATGTTTGTCGTTTGTGCGCAAGACGGTTTGGAAGTGGCCGCGTAATATACTGGAGACGGCTCCAAGTCGACTCTCGGCCACCGGCATGCCGAAATACAATCATGACCCAGCCACAACTACAGCAAGGGAAGGACTTCTATTGGTAAAGCGCTCATGGGAGGGCCAGCCGATGGAAAAGGGGGACTTTTCTGTAGAGAATCATGTAGTCTCTCCGAGAAATCATCCTATCCAGCGCTTGTGAGCGGTGTAAAATTGTGTATTCCACCAAGTACGTTCGTCGCTCGGACGAAGGAGGGATCAAGTTATACTATCGTCTCCCATTCCTCTAGTGCCTTGGCAAATCGTGCCCAACGACCTCCGTTCCATGTAGAGATATTTTTCCAGAGATCGTTATTCCCACCTTTCCCATCTGGACCCTCGAGACCTTCTCCACCAACAGTTCGCACCCAGACAAGGATTCCTCCCAGACAAAAGTCTGCAAAAGTCGGACCATCCGTTCCCATGACCCAGTGTCGGTAACCTGAAGGAGAGCTTGTCAACGGGGAGGATGGATAGTTTTCGAGCAACGGGCTCATGGCGTCGTCCTCAAGTTGGCCATTGGAGAGGAGGAAGCCATTGATCGTGTTCAATCCAGCACGCAACTTTTCCATTTGTTGTTTATATTTTCGGATCCAGGAGGGCATAGCTCCTTGATGGATACACCCTCTGGACAGTACCATTTTTGGCGTGTGCGGGTGAAATATTCCGCTCCTCGCTCGTCTAATTTTTCCAGAACACGCTGGAGAATCATGGGACGGAGATGTGCGACAAATGTGGTCGCAAGGACGTGCTGGACGAACGCGGCTTGGAGAGCGACTGTATTGGGTGGCAGGACACGAGGAGTGTCTGGATACTCGCGATCTAGAAATCTATTCGTTGATTAAAATCGAGAACACGCGAATTCTATATCGATGGCTCGCGTACAGCGCAATCTTGAACGAGTCGGCGATGACCGAAGGGGGCCCGCCGTCTTTGGAAGGGACAGAGATGACCGGAAGAGTCGAATTGGGCTCATTTTCAAGTAGAGATAGACCCAATTTCTGCCAAAGAGCGGCAATGTCGGGATAGGACACCCAGTGAGTTTCGTAAGCCAGGCGCTTGTAGTTGAGGACATAACTTGGCCAATGTTATCAGGCCTTTTTCTGGAGCAGAACAGGGCGAATTACCGTGCTTTCCAAGGGTTTGGAGCCCACGCCTGCGGGGATAGCCGTGATGGAATGTCGTACAGAATAATCTTGACATTGATACGTTGCCGGGAACAAAAGCGCCGAAGATTGTTTGGGAATGCTGTTTGGCGGCATTGTCCCGGAGCGCAAGTGGCAGTGCACAATGGGCCTCTATGGTTCTCCCTTTTTGGCCACCCAACCTCCTTTGTATATATCTCGACCTCGAGATCAGTTGGCCGGAGATCACCTCTCTCCCTTCCTCTCTCCCGCCTCCTCGTTCCCTTTTGTTCCCTTTTCTCCTCCTTCTCGTAAGTGGCACAGCCCATTGTATATAAGATACTCATTCATCCTCTGCAGACTCTCCGTTACGATCCACCACCATGCCTTTTGCACAAGGAGACATCTTCACCGCCACCCTCGACGACAATCAAGTCTTCCAGCGTCCAGGCGCTTCCTCCTCTCGCTCGTCCTCGCTGTTGTACGTCTATCGTGCCTCATCCAAAGGCTATCGACTCACCACAACCCTCTAGTTCCAGCATCCACTCGTCCCAATTCTTCATCATCTCCTTCCTCCTTGTCGGCACTGCCTCCAGGCATACTTTGCCCCCGCTTCTTCCGTCCAATTCGCAGTGGCAGGCACCGACACTTTCCAATCCTTTGCAAGAGATGCCGTCCTCGTCATCTCAGACATGCTCTCGCCGCTCATGCTCCTCGCCATTGGCGTTGGCATGGCGGGTACCCTCTGCCGTGGATTGGAAGTGGTGATTGAATCTGCAGCATTCAGAGGTCGCGCTCTATGAGCAATATCCTCGACGCTGCCCTCTGGGATTTCGCCTCTTCTTGACGACTATCAAGTCAAGTGAGCGTCCCGACGAGCATTATGGACGACACACCCTCATGACCCTTACGACTCACGACCCGTTTACGATCCGATACCACCCCCCCTCCATCTACTGTATCCCTACCCTTCCTCCCCTCCACACTTTGCTTGTGCATACTTCGTTACTTCGCCCAGCTTCCGTATCTCGAAATTATTCTTCGGGTTCCTTGGAGCTTATTTTTTTGGCCTTGTATCAATGCAATTGTTTGACCATGCCTCGTCGTGGTCCCCTAGCCAATCTTTCGTGTGCCGCTGAGTGTGAAACTCTATCATCTCCGCAAATGAGAATCTGAAGAAATCGTGAACTCCAATTCTTCTGACCGTCTTCGATCTTCAATCGCTGACACTGTACTTTAGACTTTTCAATGGCCGTTCGCCGGTTGGCCAAAGCCAACCGCAAGTTGAGCTCGACCAACAACTGACTACGACTGACTATAAGCCTTTTTCATAGTCGCAGGTATGTCAAGGCCTGTTCGAATTTCATCCACTAAGTCCAGTAAGACAGCCATGCGGCGTTCAACGAGACGAAAACAGCCCCCAAAAGGCGTCAAACCGCAACTTTATACAGAAAAATCTGATGTAGACTCGGCGTCGGAACCACCAGAGACCATCGCAGAAACAGGGTCGCGAAGAACGCTCTCCAACGAACCGGTATGCCTCTTATTGCGCCTTCTTGCTTTTATATCTAATCCCATATTCAGGAAGAGGTCATGGAGACTGTAACGCAGCTATCCAACTTTCTCCCGAGCGAACAAGAAGTCCGACAAGCGCAAACACTCATTTCCCAATACGAAAGAGAATACGAGGCGGCTCAGGCAGAGTACCAAGTCAAGAAGCAGGAACTAGACGCATTGGCTCATCGAATGTCGACGATCCAATCTCGCATTTTCGAGAAAAGGGCCTCGATAGCCCCCATCCGTCGCGTCCCACAAGACGTTTTGTCAATGATCTTTGGCCTTTGCGTACGGGAGAATGCCACTTCCCCATGGACTCTAATGCACGTCTGCCGGTCCTGGAGAGCTGCCGCCATGCACACGGCAATGCTTTGGAACCGGATCATGATTGCGCCTTCCAATTGGGCTGGAAGGCGTAAAGGTGCCCCCAAGTTTTACGAAGGAATGGAAGTCTGTACCTCTGCGGGTCAACTCGAGCGTGCGATCAAGCAAGCGGGCTCAACCCCACTCGAAGTGCGTTTACTCATAAGTGGGACCGTGTATAGACGCTGGGTATGGGCGTTTAGTAATTATGATCCCAACGAATATTCGAATCAGGAACGCGAGGTGCATAAACTCCTCGGCCATCTCAACGACTTGAACATCCGAGTTCCGTTGCGGGCCCTGGAGATTGACACTGGCGAGAGATTTTCCATCCCGGAAAAGTATCTACAGTGCTTCGTATGGACAGACATCGAACGCCTCGTACTCGATGGAGAGTACCCAATGATCCTTTCGGCCGTAGTCGAAAGCGGAGCGAGGAATCTCAAGGTTCTGAGCTTGGACTATCCTGATATCATCGATGCGATTGACACCATTCCATGGGCACAACTCAAAGAACTGGGTGTCATCAACTCTACCGATCCTCTCGAGTCTCCTCTATTGATTGATGCATTACGACGATGCAGCAATGTGGAAACTTTGACTCTCAAAGACGTACGCGTCGGTAATCAGGATAGAGCAGACCACCCACTCGTCGAGATGCCTTCGGTCACCCGATTGACACTAGACTTGGTTGTACCCTCTGGCCCATCCATTGCCCCAATCTAACTCATCTCTCCATTCAAAATCCAGAACAAATTCACACCACGCGGATAATCCGTCTCCCAAACCTGGTTTGGCTCGGGTTCAACGGGTCAGTCCTGAACCGCCTCAACTGTTTTGACGCTCCAAAGCTACATACATTCGAATGGACGTCCGGTGGAGGAAAATCTGACAATCTCAGCGGGTTACGGGACTTGTGGCTTCATAATAACCCCATTGTCATTGATCCCATCGTCGTCAAAGTTTGCGACATGACGCTGACCTCGAAATACTTTGCGCTAGCACTCTTTAGGCTCGTTCGCTGCCAACGACTTCACGCGATACGCACGCCTCTTGGACCCGAGTTTTTCGAGACTCCTGTCCCTGCCGCCCTGGTTGGCAAACGCAAAGGTGGCGCAGGGTCCGGTACCACGATCCCACTTCGTAGTTTCCGAGAGTTTATCTTCGATTTTATGGGTGGCAAAAAGGTGGAGGACGGACCGCTTCAAGAAGCCGCCAAGTCGTTTATCAGGAGAAGAGAGGAACTTGGCGCACCCATTCAGAAACTGGACATTCGAACGCAAGATGGCACATGGCACGACCTCGTCGAACTTGTGCATAACGAGCAGGCAGGTGAAGTGTCGGATGAATAGAATGTATATACACGTACATATCGCGTATCCGGTCCTATTTTGCATCCTCTTAACTTATCATATTCCAACTAGTTTCCATAATCCACACCTTCGTATTAGCGCCTGTTACTATAAATCGTTACTTGTACTCGAATGTCTATGCATGATTCCTGCGTTCATTTCATGTCCGAACTTTCCGAGACGGGCTCTACGGTGTTTGCGATTGCAGCGGGGCGATTCAGATAATGCTTCGCCCGCTCCTCGCTCTGCACGAGGTGAGCATACTTGGGCTGAACGAAGAGGGCTCTGATCAATAAGCCGTCAGAATTTTTCATATTTTGAGCAAGGTCGATACGTACTCTGCTTTGACGAGCAGATTCCCTTCCAAGTCTTCCATATGTCCAGACAAAAAGACCTTGCGGCCCTCTGCCTTGTCGACCTTGGTCTTGAACACTACAAATTGATCTGCCCTCGTAGGCGCCTTGTATTCGATCCTGAGCCACGCCGTCACTCCAATTTTAGCCGGAAAGCTCATGACTCCCTAAAAAGATGAGTCAACAACACTCAGAAGAAGTTTGATACTCACTGTCCTGAAAAAAGCGTCGTCGAACATTGTTGCAATAGCACCTCCATGTACGATGCCATCATGTCCACAGATGCTCCTACCGAGATGGATAACACCAGTCAAGGCCTTTTCGTTTGTTTCGATGAAGAGGAGAGGGGGGATGGCCATCTTCCCGGGGCCCTGCATCAATCCAGCCGTAAACGAGTGGCGACTGAACGACTCGGACAGGTTCAGATATGGCCGCACCATATAATGCGTTGGAACCTCTGTCCCCGGATTGTCGGTGGTCGAGGCATTCAAATTCTTCCGGCTATTCACACCAGCAATGTCCTTTGGGCCTAGGAACTGAGCCGGGACAGTATCCGCGTTGAGAGGATACGACTTTTGTGCGAGCTCTCTAACGAGCGGAATTTGCCAGAGTTGTTTCTCTAACTCTGCTGCGGCCCGGAGCGCTTCTTTGGAACCCTTCTCTGGTGACGGAGGTGCTTCGCGAGGGTAGACCAAGGTGTAGAGATCGGGTGGGTAGAGTACTCCCAGTGTATACGTAATAGAGAGTAGCGCAAAGCCGAGGGCTACGTAGTGGATGAGTCATGATAGCAAAAACTCATTGAACCGCACCTGCTCGTAATCCAGTTCGAGAGGCTGCCTGAGCAGGAGCTTCACCCGATACGCTCGCTGTTGACGCATGTCGGAGCTGTGATGGAAATTGTGGAGTGGCTGTTCTTTCCTTTACAACTTGCGGCGCTCTACATATCATTGAATTCCTTGTCGGAAGCAGAGCACGGTGGACAGTTGCCGATCCATTCCGGAGGAGTCTGTGAAGAGACATCTTAAAAGCAAGGGGTGCTGTTGGTCTTCGAGGTAAATAGATAAAATGAAAAGAAAAGTTTGCAGATGCGGTCGGGTCCAAGGTTAGCCGGCTGGTCAATAGCCGGGTAATTCATCCGCACTGAATACATTAAGTAAGACAATAGCCTATTGGAAATTACCGAATAATGCGGGGATAACCTCAGATTATCCATGACTAGGATGTAAAGAGCACCTTACACATTCTACAAGAAGACGAGAGCCAGTACATGATAGAAGAAAGTATACCAATGGCCATAGAAACCGCAATAGACCATTGGTCAATGTCTGTCGAAGGTTGGACCCAGCCATCCTGCCAAAGTGAGCTAGGTACAAGGCTTTTCTTCTGATTCACTTGTTGGGCAGGTCGAGTCTGGTCTTTGACTTCAACTATGTCTATCCTATACTACTAACAGTACCCACGTACGGAAATTCGAAAAGCGAGGAACCGAGGATTGTGCCCGTCGGTTCTAGAAACTCGATAGATTCAAATCGGGATACACAGTTTACTCCTGATCACTCCATTGATCCTTTTCCCAATCAATATTATGCGAGTCGAGGTCGTGCCTGTGCTGATAGGTGTAGGCCCTGTCCTGTGAATCGTCACTAATAGTTGCATCGTCAGATCCGGGTCCGTCTGCTTCTGTATCTTCCTCAAACCAATCCCCTTCATCGCTCTCAGGCGCATCTCCGTCATCACCCTCCGCAAGTAGCGGTTTGACGGAATGGCGCTCTTCCCAGAGGTGGAGCGCCTCATCCTTCTCATTGATGAATGCCACTTGTTTGACGCTGCATAGCGTGATTGCCATTTTCCAGATGTCACGAATGCGTGGCGGAAGAACCTGGTTGGAGTCGATGCATCCATCTGGATAGTTTCCTACCAATCTGATGCTCCTCATCGAAGGAAGACCATCCTTCCCCAAAAGGTTGAATAGGGGCCAAATGAGAGCAAATGCGTGCCACGAATAACTGTGCTGGATAATGGCGGTGATGGACTCTAGATTATGGTGAACAATATCGCTCAATCTCTCTGTGAGCATCAAATTGTCGAAGCCTACGGCAGGGACTGTCAGGATAAGATACCTGAGGTTTGGGACCTGAGGTAGAAATATGTCCAATCGATCAAGGACTGTCAAGAGGGCAGCACTCCCAATATGTACGGAGGTAAGATTGGAAGCATGTAGAAAGAATAGAGAATCTTCTCCGTATCCACTATCATCCAAATTATCAAATCGTAGAGTTTGTAGCGTTTCGAGTGAAGGGACGATTTCGCATAGTAGCCTCATTGTCACAGAGGCGGAAAAGGATGGATGACTAGACCCTCTTCCACTCGCGAGATGCAGTGTACGGAGGACTGGAAGTGGGAGCGAGTTTGGTTGGAGCTTGTCGAATGGTGTGCCTGTCCATTGGGCGTGTGCGTGGTCCCTCGAAATCCGCAGGTTCTTCAAACTCGAAGAGTGCCATGGTAGCGCAAGGTAGAGGATTTGTTCGCCCCCATACAAGGGGAGGAGGTCGATTGAAAGGGTGATGAGATGTCCTTGAGGGATCCGGATCAATAGTTGTGTGCAATCCTCGATGTAATCATCGTAGGATACCCCTCGCTCCTTGCACAGAACCGATATGTTTGGAACGATTTCAACAGCCGCTATCCTCCCCATTATCTGTTGTACTCTGTCCCCGGAATCGGTTGGAGCAAGGAGCTGATTGAGTCTACTCGCTTGACCCGCTGTTTGGAGCACAATATGCTCGTAGATGAGTTGCCATCCAATGCTGTGCCATCTTCGAGAAACAAGAGGGATAGATCGTCGCGCAAGGGACGAAATTACCCAGCGCTGCGGGTCTTCTTGGAAAGCTTCAGAGCCAAATGCGAACCCATCTATATGTGTCGCATATTGGAAGATGTGTGTGAGAATCTCAGTTGGTAAGAATGGCATCGTTGTCATCGACACTCTAAAGTAGACGGTTCAGCAGGTGCAGTAAAGATACAAAAATACCGTTACTTGGATCGCTCTTTCCATTTTGAAACTCTTAATTGCTCTTCTAGCTGTCCACAATGCGCCCGAAGCTCGGCATTCTGAAGTTGAGAATGTTCCAACTTTTCCATCAGTCTCCGGATCAGCGATGCTTGCTCAGGAATGACCTGTTCAAATGTATCATCGAAGAAGTATCCCATATTTTTAAAGGAATATGAGGTGGATAAACAGAATTGTGGTCAGGTGCAAGATGCAAACGAGGGTACCATACCCCCCTATTCAATTCTAAACGTTAAGGTTGAAATAGAACGAGTTTAGCAAATCGTTGACTTCTACATATATACAACGCATCAGATCGGAGTGCAGAACAACTATGGTGGGTGCCGGGATTGTGTCCATGAGCTCGACTGGTTCAAATTGGGATACATGGTTTAGTCCTGATCACTCCATCGATCCTTCTCCCAATCAATCTTATGCGAGTCAAGGTCGTACCTGTGCTGATATTTGTAGACTCCGTCCTGTGAATCGTCGCTAATCGCTCCATAGTCCGGGTCAGGCGCGTATTCTTCCGCATCCTCTTCAAACCAATCCCCTTCATCGCTCTCTGATGCATCTCCGTCATCACCCTCCGTAAGTAGCGGTTTGACGGAATGGCGCTCTTCCCAGAGGTGGAGCGCCTCATCCTTCTCATTGATGAATGCCACTTGTTTGACGCTGCAAAGCGTGATGGCCTTTTTCCAGATGTCACGAATGGGCAACGGAAACACCTGGTTGGAGTCAATGCATCCATTGGGGTAGTTTCCTATCAATCTGATGCTCTTCATCGAAGGAACACCATCCTTCTCCAAAAGATTGAATAGAGGCCAAATGAGAGCAAATGCGTGCCACGAATAACTGTGCTGGATAATGGCGGTGATGGACTCTAGATTATGGTGAATAATATCGCTCGATACCTCTTTGAGCACCGAGTTGTCCGAGTCTTCGGCATTGACTATCAGGATAAGACGCCTGAGGTTTGGGACCTGAGGCAGAAATATGTCCAATTGACCGAGGACTTGCGTGAGGGCAGCACTCCCAATATGTACGGAGGTAAGATTGGAAGCATGTCGGAAGAATAGAGCGACTCCTACGTATCCAAGAGCATCCAACCTATCAAATCGTAGAGTTCGTAGCGTGTCAAGCGAGGGAACGATTTCGCACAGTAGCGTCATCGTCACAGAGGCCGAAAAGGATGGATGAATGCACCCTCTGCCACTTGCGAGATGGAGTGTACGGAGGAATGGGAAGGGTAGCGAGTTTGGTTGTGGCTGCCGGAATTGCGTGCTTTCCCATTGGGCGTGTGCATGATCTATGGAGATCCGCAAGTTTTTCAAGCTCGATGAGTGTCGTGGTAATGCAAAGTCTAGGATTTCCTGGCACTTCTGCGAGGCGAAGAGGTCGACTGAGAAGGTAAGGAGACGTCCTTGAGGGATCTGGAGAAGGATTCTTTTACAATCCTCGATGTAGGCGTCGTAGGATATCCCTAGATCATCACGCAGGACTGATGAGTTCGGAACAAATTCAACAGCCGCTATCCTCTCCATTATCCTTTGTACTCTGTCCTCGAAATTGATTGAAGAGAGGAGTTGATTGAGCCTACTCGCTTGACGTGCTGTTTGGAGCACGATATGTTCGTAAAGATGTTGCCACCCGATGCTGTGCCATCTTCGAGAAACAAGGGGAATCGACCGTCGCGCAAGGGACGAAATTACCCAGTGCTCTGACTCGTCGCGGAGAGTTTCAGAGCCAAATGCAAATCCGTCTATATACGTCGCATATTGGAAGATGTGTGCAAGAATCTCTGTTGGTAAGGATGGCATCGTTGCCACCGAGATTCTGAAGTTGGCGGTTCAGAAGATGCAATAAAGGGAAAGACACGCCATTACCTGGATCGCTCTTTCCATTTTGAAACTCTTAATTGCTCTTCTAGCTGCTCACAATGCGCCCGAAGCTCGGCGTTCTGAAGTTGAGCATGTTCCAGCCTTTCCATCAGTCTCCGGATCAGCGTTGCTTGCTTAGGAATGACCTGTTCGCATATACCGTCGCAGAAGTATCCCATATCTTTAAAGGAATCTGAAGTGGGTAAACAAAAGTTGTCGTCGGGTGCAAGATGCAACGAGATTACCAAAGTGCCCTAATCGATTCTAAGCGTTTCCAAAGGACGCATATAGTTGGAATGAAATGAGTTTAGTGGGTTTATCGAATTCCGAAATGTACAACGTCCCAGGTCGGAGTGCAGGACAAATATATTGGGTGCATTCAATCACGAGATTATCGTGAGAAGTATTCAATGAAGTAGCCTTCTGGTCAAAGTCAAGAAGAAACGATGCGACGCGCGTGCAACTTGACCCCGTCTTGAATAGCCCATCATGGTGATTTCTTGTTTATCTGTCGAAGATGTGTACAAGGACTGATACAAGACTTATGAAAGTCGATAATGGAATATAACGGAGGGTCCGTAGTGGCCATGGCGGGTAAAGACTGCGTGGCCATTGCGTCCGATTTGCGACTGGGCAATCAAGCGTTGACAATCGCGACAAATTTCGAAAAGGTGCATCATTATCTTCAATTTTACAGTTCATTCCACCCCAAATTTTGTCTCGACCTCTGGACGCGACGCGTCAGGCCTCTAGTCGTAAACGCGCGTACTGATCAGGAAATTCGATAGGTGTTTCCCGTGACAGAGAGGATCATGCTAGGGATGGCAGGACTGGCGACAGATGTTCTCACCCTGTACGCATCTTTCGTTTCTATCTACTTACGCCGTCACTCATGCCTTGTATAGACGAGATCGTTTCCGCTTCCGTGTGAATATGTACACCATCAAAGAGGAAAGAGAGATTGAACCAGAAACGTTTGCGCACCTGGTCAGCTCGACACTCTATGAACGCCGGTACGCCCCACGCGGCACTGCGTGCGTTCAAGATCCTAACAGGTTCGCAGGTTTGGACCGTACTTTATTGAGCCGGTTATCGCTGGTCTGGGTAAAGGCACAAACAAGCCCTTCATCGCCTCGACGGATGTGATTGGGTGCATCAACTTTGCCAAAGACTTTGTTGTTGCTGGTACGGCGACGGACAAACTGTTTGGTGTTGCAGAGTCTCTATGGGAACCTGATCTGGTGAGAGGGATTGAGAATCATGGGCGTTTGCTGACCTCGTCAAGGAACCTGAGGATCTCTTTGAGACGATTTCGCAGACGCTAATGAATGCGGTGGACCGTGATGCATTCTCTGGCTGGGGGGCTGTCGTACATATAATGTGGGTTCTACATTCAGACTGAATGGAATCTGGCTAACTCAGGGGTAGCACGCCTGAAAAGGTGATCACACGACATCTGAAGGCTCGTATGGACTAGAAAATGCGATGAACTCTTGCTGGGATTGTATGCAATTGTACGCATGGTTTCAGCATGTCTGTTTGCTTCACGCGCCCCTCGCTGTGTGAGAAGACTCGACCAGGCCAGGTCGGCGCATCCTGAAAGTTACCAGCATTTAGTTATGAAGCGCCGTGACATGCGATCCTTGAGAATTCTAAGCGAGCGCCTGGGATTCCCAGACGGGTTTATTAGCGGGCCTCCGTTGCTAGCCATTCTTCCACTCTAACCTCGACCAAGTCGACCGTCCTGCTCGTTTTACGCCTCCAAACTACACGGTTCAGCTTCGTCTGCGATTCCTAGTCTTGTCTGTCGAGCTACTTTCTGGATCAGTCTTCTGCCCTTGCCATTCGGCGATAGAGCGCGATGCAAGACTCGCACTATGTCTCAGGTTTCACAACCGTGGATCCCTTTTCCCGAGGGGAAAACCGCCCATTCTTTTCAAAACTCTGTGAGTTGTCTACTCCTTTGCCTTGCTCAGCTCGAGATACGGTGATATCTGCTAAAGGCAGCCTTGTGTAACACTCTAGCATCCTACTGCTACACCGAATATCATCTATAACCTATCCCTGGACGCTAAATTGTCATCGTGTATCGCGGCGCTGGGCATCCTCCGTGTTCCACCGGCGCGCCAACCAACGCGGGGGCGGGGGGAAATGCTGGCCATCCGATTTATCAGAGACTGACACACCCGCTCAGTAAATGCCTTTATGGCCACGGCCCTGTTTCAAGTTTGGCACTTTATCCTTGGTTTCTCACTCGAAGCGACTGCGGTTGTCCTAATCTCGAAAAATGTTAAGGATATCTCCTTTCAACCCACTCGTAAGTCCACTCTCAGCCCATGAGGTCCTACAACTGATCCATCCCTTAGTCCTCACGGTTTTGGGTACTGTTTTGGGTTCGTTTATCCGCTAAAGAGTTAGCGAGTACTCACATTATTTAGGTTTCGTTATCTCATACCGTACATCCTCCTCATTCGAACGTTACAATGGTGCGTATACAATCCCTGGTCCACAAATACCGCTCATATTCCTTCCAGAGGGCCGTCGTTATTGGTCGACCATTATTCTCAACGCCCGTACTATGGCTAGGACCGTTTGGTTCCACGTCCCGGGTAAGAAGAACCAAATGCTTTCGAAACTAAACTCAATATCTTATTCTAGATGTTGCGACGACCGTCGGTGCAACCGAAGAAGAGAAGCGAGCACGAACTCTTGTTGAGAAGAAGACAATCCTCAACTTGACCGAAGCCTTTGCGTAAGTGGTTTATGTGTTCCGGGGGAACTCGAATTCACAGCCCTGTTCAGCGTCGCTGTGAAGCACTATCTCAGAGGAGAAGAGGGCATTCGCTACGAGGATTTGTACCACCTCACCAAGTTCCTTCCGGCCTACGCACTCCCAGCTGGCATGCCCGAACCTATCAGAAGAGCCGGAACCCATCAGCATCACAGCGAGGAAGGGACTTCGACAGCAACTGCAACGAACCTTCCATTCCCAGCGACCAGCCCAGGTGGCCGCAATGCCAAATTCAGCGTTGGTCCGGATGGTGGCCCCCCGCTTCTTCCTTCGAGGAACCCTCCCAGGACATCCATTTTCGATATCTGGCCATTCACACTTCTCGTCAGGCCCCTGACCAAGCGAGGCAAGAAACTCGGTGGAAAGACTGCGATGCGTGCCCGTGCAAAGCTCGGTCTAGGGAGGGGTGAAGACCACCAGGTAGTTTCTGGAAACATTCCGCTTGAGATTTGTAAGTGTTGCCTTGTCTCCCTCGGATAAGCACTGACCTCGGTGACCAGCTCTCTACATTTCGGCATACATCTCTGCACTCCAGCAACGAAAGTGCTGTGATGTCCCCACAATCAACTTGCTGATCAACTCGCTAAACGCTATGGTCGATTCCTTGACTGGACTCGAGCGTATCTTGACAACCCCCATCCCGTTCTCCTTCAGCGTCCATCTATGGTCTGTCACGCTTCTCTACTGCGCGTTTTTGCCATTCCAGCTGTACAAGTCGTTGAACTGGTATGTTTATAATCCTTCGCGAGACCTTGCTGCTCACCTCTTGCTTTTAGGTTGACCATTCCAGGCACTGCTCTCGCCGCGTTCATCTTCACTGGGTATGTAGACATGTTATTATTATTTTTTACCGGGTTTTCTTATCAATGCCTAGATTCATTGTCGCCGGAGAGGAAATTGAAGATCCCTTCGGATTCGATCGCAACGATCTCAACTTGGACCACTTTACTGCGAATATCATCCGCGTGGAGCTCAACTCCATTGCATCAGTTCCTGTCCCTGATCCTGCGGTGTATGCGTTCCGCGACGATAATGACGCGCTCTTCTCCAACGATGCAAACCGTCAAGCCATGACACCAGAGCTTTGGGTCGCCCAGGGTGTTCAGAACATTCGTGCTCAGCTCGGCCGCATGACGAGCCACCCAACACCGCCAGACGAAAAGGTCAAGAATATCACCAAGAAGAAGAACGCTGCGGAAAACACCCCTGCCAATGAAGCTCCAGCCTGGCCAAGCTACTGCTGCTGGAATGGCTGGCGCGGCTGGTGCGGCCGGAGGAGCTGCTGGAGATGGAGCTGCGAGCCCCTCAGAGTAATAGGACCCGAAAATGACGTGCCCAAGATCTTGCTGGGACACTTCTATGGTGCTCTTTAGTATTCAACCTAGAAATTATTATTCTCACTCGTTATTTGTTACAAAATATGGCATTCTTTGTTGACAAATTGCAAAACACCGCGTGTCACGTGAGGTTTTCAAGCTTGGACCCGACCGCGACCTTTGCCACTCGTCTGCAGTAGAGCGAAAATGCCTCCACGCAAGAAGGCTGAAACCACAGAGGCGCAGAGCCCGAGAGACGCTCGACGCGCATCCGAGAGATGCCTGAAAAGCCAGCGCCAGCGCCCACCGCGCCCAAGCCCGTCAAACGTGCAAAGAAAGTCGATCCTGAGCTTTCTGAATGGAAACCGACCAAGAAGACGGCCTCGAAGAAGAGGAAGAAGGCTGACGACGATGTTGAAGACAAAGAAGGTCAGGCGGTTGAAGAGGAAACCAAGCCAAAGAAAAAGGTAGATTCTATTTACTTTTGCTGATAGTGTTGTTGACGCGTCGGACAGGTCAAAAAGTCTGAGGAAACGAAAGAGCCTGCTGAAGAGGCGAAAGCTTCCACTACGGTATGTAGGACTATTCCAATTGTTTGTGGTACTCATTTTGTTCTCCAGACTCGCACCGAGAGACGTCGCAGCGGGGCCGTCACCGTCCAGCCCACCATTGAAGAGGGGAGCGAGGGCAAGACTTTGGAGGAAAACCTCGTCGTGGGCTCGTTCCTGCCCGACTTGACTCTTCACAAGGAGAATGGAGATGAGATCAACCTCAATACTCTCGCCAGCCAGACCGGTGTGGTCATCTTTGCGGCTCCCAAGGCGGATACCCGTGAGTCGCACACAAGTTGGCTTTCAACTTTGATTTGACCTCTGTTCTAGCGGGATGCAACAAGCAATCTTGCCATTTCCGCGACTCTGCAGCAGACTTCCGCGAGCTCGGGTACACCGTCTGGGGATTGACGTCTGATTCTCCAAAGGCCCTGTCTCGTTGGCAAGAGAAGAACAAGTTTGGCTACTCGTTACTCTCCGACCCCGAGCGCAAGTTTATCAAGATGCTTGGAGCCCTGAACGGTACGAGCACCAAGAGGAGCCACTTTGTGTTTGAGAAGGGAACGGGCAAACTGTTGAATGCATCCATTGGCGTCAAGCCAGACGAAAGGTGCGTCTAGTCTACATGTAATAGTCATGACTGATCGCTCAATAGCCACCGTGTTGCTCTGGAGTTTGTCAAGAGCCTCTAAAGACTAGAATTAGGATCCAAGCTCAGATCTGCCTCACAATCTCTTCGTACATGACACAACGCTCTGCACGGTACATACCCCTGTAATCCACGGTGTACCTTCAAACATGTACATGGTATATAGTTCATTCGGATACGTGTGATATAACGTCTTTCCATCATCAAAATCCGACGTCGATATTAAGCTGCTATACCTAGTGCGTACATGAAAGTCCAGAGTAGCTACCAGAACAAAGTCGAATGAGAAAGCATATCACGGCACCTTGGGTGCTCGAGGGATAGGAGGAGACATCAGTTGCTGATGTTCAGGGATCGGATCACCCTCCTCGTCAACGTCGAGAATGCGTGCTGGTGGTCGTTCTACCTCTGCCTCGAGCAGCTCGATACGAAGGTCGTCTCCGGCAAAGTCACCCAGCTCGCCTTCCATCTTCTCGGGTGTGAGCAAAGCCACTCCCTTGCGGAAGACTTCACCCTCTTCTTCCACCCATATTCGGCTCCTTCACACAAACATCAGCCAATTTGAATAGTTAACGACGATTCGTTACCTTGAATCCGTTGGAGAGCCTGCAATCTCATCGGTGCTGGCAGATTTTGGTTCTGGAATAATCTTGCCATCCTCACCGACGAGAGAGACATCCTCGTGATGTATCGCCTTGCCTTTGCCCTTGTCCAATCTCGGCGTGATGGGCCGTCATCTTCGTCCTGAATTGCCAGAGGAGAGCTCACGCTCGAAATGGACGAAAGCGATTGGCTGAGGCTCGGAGAGCGAATGCCAGCCGAAAATGACGGTGTACCTGGCGTCGAACCCGTGAGCTCAGAGCTCAAGAATGAGCCGTTGAGTCCGCTCAAACGGAGGGATGGTCTTCGAGGCTTCAAGGCTTCGAATTTCTTGACCAAGTCGGTGATCGTGTCATTGAGGATCAGCATCTCCTCTAGCTTGTTCGGATCGTTGGACGCCTCGATGGCAGCGACCAAGGCTGGAAGCGTTGCCTTGGCTCGGTCAAGGAGACCAATCTCTGCAGCAATGGATAGACCGCTTTCCTGGGTGTCCTCCTGAAGAGATTGCTCGAGCTGTCTTTGTATTTCTCGAGCACTTTCTAGAGTGTCTAGCTCAATCTACCAAACGGTGGTCAGAATTCCGGATAGAGAAAAGGGGATATACTAACCCTCTTCCCCTCTCCTTTTCTCACATCTCTGGCGAGCGCAGAATCCTCGATCATTCCCCAGATCCCCTTGCCTCGGGGTTGGATGCCTTCGCTCCGAGCCCGAGCATCCGCGCGCTCGGTGTTTCTGACGCACCAGTTGAGAATTTCCCTGCATAGCCTGAGAGTGCTTTAGTATGCGCAACATTTGAATCGAATACTGCCACTAACCGCGCCATCTCTTCGTCCCCGGGAGGAATATTCAAATCTAGACAGCGCATCACCTCGTTCGCCTACACAGAGCATAAGCTACCGTTTCGCAGAGACATCAGATATACCTTGAGACCATTACTCAGTGCCATTACTCCCGCCATGCCCAGATTGTTCTGGGTCAAGTCGAGATGCAAAAGACTGGTGGATTCCGGCAGGAACTCGGCCAGCATGATCGCCCCATCGTCCGTGAGAGCAGTCGAAGAGAGGAAAAGTCTCCTCAGAGCCGTGTTCAGGGTAAACGCGGTACGAAGAGACGTTATCTAATGAAAAGGTCAGACGAAGTCTCACTACTGTTAGCGTGACTGACCCCTTCTACACCTGGGCCACAGCAAGGGTTACGACTGAGATCCAGAGTCTCGAGGGAGTTATTGTATTTCTGAAGAGGGTTAGCCATCGCCACTCTTTGCTAGTGGACATACGAGAGCATCAGCAATGTACACAAGACCCTCGACTCCAATCTTATTATCAGCCAAGTTGAGAATCTTGAGAGTGCGATTCCGCTTGAGGACCTGAGAAATGGAGCTCACGCCATTCTAGTCACGTCAGCTCACGCCGCACGATTATAAAACAAGTTTACGCACCCTTAAATCATTCCCTCTCAAGTCCAACGTCTTGAGCGCACCAAGTCGCGGTAGATTATCCAGCGCGCGGACCTTGTCCAGCAGCGCAATACTCGGGCCGGCAGCACGCGCTGCTGCCGTCGCAGCAGATACAACCTCGCTGGGTGACTGCGTTGGAAGATGACGCGTAGTCACTCCGCCTCCTTGAGACGTCGAAAACCGCGGCACCTGTCGTTCCTCCCGATCTACAGATGCCGGTGCAGTCACGACTGCAATTGCAGACGCGCGTTTCGAGCGTGGAATATAGGGCGTATACGTCGTCCCCGGTGTCGCTTGTTGTGTTGGTGCTGGCGCTGGTGGGATCGCGGCTTGTCGGACTGCTGTTGCGGGACTGATGACAGTCGAACGCGGCGTGGGAGGTGGTGAGAGGGGCATGGACTGCGAAATGCTTGGCGATGAAGGTACGGATCCGATCCCATTCGTTGCATGGGGAACTGTATCTGGATAGTCCTTGATCATGAGAGCTAAGGCGACGGCTCCAGACGGTGCTATGCGGTTATTCCGCAGTGAAATGTGTTGCAATGGCGCAGTGCGGACGGCATGAGCGAGCGCTTCCAGCGCTGCTGGTCTCAGGTTACAGCCATCCATGCGCAGGGAGACGAGCTGCGGTTTGCCGGTGGATTGAAAGGATAGATCCACCTTTTCCAAGATGGGAGTTGACACGGTAGAAGCGGGTGCTGAAGGGGGAAGAGAAGGAGGTATGCTTCCGAGGGCACTGACAATGTACTCGACTGCGCGTTTGTCTAAAAAGTTTTGTGACACGTCGAGGAATTGGAGCGTGACGGCCTTGGACAAAAAGACGCCAACCAGTCTCCATGAAGTGTTCTTGAGGTTCTTGTTCGACGCGATAGATAGGTAGGATATAGAGTTTGGGATGAGGAGCGAATGCAAAATGGGTTTGAGTGCCTAGAGTTTGGACGTTAGGCCGGCGCGTTGGCCATATAGAACATACAAGGTCATCCAAATCGCATTCCTTGAGAGCGAGTTTCCGCAGCCCCCACTCGATAGTCAGCAGATCAGATAGAGCTGTCGCTGAATTGACGTCTAGATGCGTGCCAGACAAGTCCAAGGTTCTGGGCATCGCTCCAGCAGCCTGTATATATGTCAATATCACGTATGGAATCATCATAGTTTGCGTGCACCTTGATAGCGTTGACGACACGCAAATCAATCGGCTCCTCCCTGCCGAGACAGCATTCTTTATAAAACTGCTCGACTCTATCCAGTGACCAAAAGTTGTCTGCATGCGTATTGCCGTTTTGTGCGAGCGAACGGAGCGAGCTGACCGAGTTTCCACGAACGAGACGAGCTCGTCGCGTCCGTTCGCGTTCTTCAATCTCTGCCTTTTCCTGATTCAATGAGGGACTCGCGGGTGGGTTTCCGGACCATATTGGATAGGTGGTACTGAGCGAGGGGAGGATAAAGTGAGCTCGTTTCAGCGGTGTACCTCGAATGCCCTTGCCGCCATCGTCCGTGACCTCGTTTGCGGCTGGAGACTGAGACTGGGTCGGGAGAAATGTCTTGATGGTAGAAAAGGAGAAGAATTTTGGCTGCGGGGGCGGCGGTTGCTTGAGGATGGAGCGGCCGGGCTTGCGGAATGGAATGGGCGGTGGAGGTGGCAAATTTGAGACTCCTTGGCCAATAAAGGAACCTCCTGGACTCGATGGACCCGCCTGAGCAGAGCTCGTCGCCATCGAGCGTGGTAGAGTCGCTCTCCAAGTTTGGTTCTCCACGCTATCCGGGTTATATGACACTCGAACTCGTCCGCGCTCATCCAGGCAGAGAGACGCTCATCACGAGATTACACACATACTGGGCATCCTCTTCACCACCATTTGTGCACATTTACGATCCCACAACGCCCCAGGACACAAGCCAGATTATCCAGACACTGCTCTCTCAGTTACAAGAACAATCTTCGGTTGTCCTGGATGCCACGGAATGTGTGACACCAAAACTCGTCTTTGATCGAATCCTCAATGGCCTCGCAGAATGGACGCCCGACTGGGATGCAGGATCTACAAACTGGGCATCAAATGCGTCTGGAGAGAGATACAACGGCAGTATAGATGCGTTTATTCATGGACTACGCGTCTTACATCGAGAAAAGCAAAAGCCCATGATCATCGTAGTCACGCACGCAGAACGCCTCAAGGAAAATATTGCAGGAGTTGTCATCCCATTGAGTCGGTTACGTGACCTTGTGCGTGTCCACTACGCGTCATTCCACAAAGGTAACACCACTTCAGACCAGCCTTCCAATTTCTGTCGTCTTTCACTCCCGAACGCCCTGGGAGGAAGTCAGACCGGCTATTGGGAGTGCCGTGGTTCCAGAGATTCTTCACATTTCAGCCCTCGGTCCAGAAGGTGAAGTGGCTACCTCGGCTCAATATGCCCATCGCTCACCCACAAATCCAGACATAGTTGCAACCCTCCAACTCCAATTCGAGCAACTCGTAGACGACTCAAGTCCCAATCCGTTTCATTCCATATTCAGAGGTCTATTCAACTCCTATGTCGAAACCATCAGTAACACCTCCATGCCATCTACCCAGGATCTAAACGACGTCGGATACATAGCCGCCACCCACTGGCCACTATTCGTCTCGCCACTGATCAACGACTGGGTCTACTTTAACGAAATTGGAGAAGAGTACGAGATACCGAGCGACGCTTCTGGACGTCTCTATTCCATGTTTCGACAATCCATAGGATCCAGCATTCGCCAACTCCACCCACGACATGTGGACGCCCTGAGCTGGAACGCCAAGTTGCCCCGAGACCTCTTCCAACTGCGACTCTCCCAGGGTGCTAGGAGTACCGCCTCGGCCCGCAAAGAAGACGGAAACACGCAGTTTGCCAATCTCGTGCGTCTTCCGACGCTGTCTCGGTACATTTTGGTCGCCTCGTACCTCTGTTCGTTCAACCCGACGCGTATGGATGCTCGAATACTGGGCCAGATGAGGGATCCTACAAAAAGATCTCGAAACACCAAGGCTCGAAAACCTCGTCCGGGGACAGCCCTAAAGGTTTGACTATTCCTTCTCCTTACACGTGAATAACAATAAAATCTAGATTGGTAGTATGCTTTCCGGGCCTGGGTCGTTTGGACATGACCGGCTTTGGGCGGTCAGTGGCGCACTACTTGAGGTCTTTGGAAGCAATGAGAACCCTCCCTGGGCCAACTCGTTCACTGCTCCCGGCGCATTTAGTGAAGAAGAGGTCACAAGAGTGCATTTTATTTCCCAGGTGAGTGGCATCGTACTCTCAAGCCGACTAGCAACAACTCCCCAGATTGAGATGCTAGTCTCCCGTCGACTTCTTATTCGTTCCAACCAACAGGAAAAGATAGAAGTACAAGCAATGTATAGATGCGGTATCACCATGGAGCAGGCATCGGCGGTGAGCGAAAGTCTAAGTATCAAGCTAGGACCATTGTTACACGAGGAGACGGTTTAATACACTGCATTTTTGCATTGCCTAGTTGGATACTAAGTGAAAATGAGCGATTATCACGACCGCCTAATGGCTGCCGAGATCCTTGGATCGCGGACAAACGATTCACTCTTGACCCCATCTATCATCTACCTCGCACACAGATTCCCCTCCTGGCTTTCCGACTTTTCCGTGGTACATTTCCTCGCGTCTTTGCGCACAAAATGCCGTCTCCAGCCGTCTCCCGACTCGACGCTTCGACCATTGCTGGCTCTGACGGGCCAACAGCCACGGCAAACATCGCAACGAGTACAAATCCTAGTGAAAATGCCAATGCAACGGCTACAAACCAGATCCATCAAAATCCTGCCCTCGTTCACAAAGAGTCTGCCGTGGCAAGCTCTGCCAACGTCATCGAAGGTGCAAAGCAGTTAGCTGCATTTACTGCCGTGGATCAGCATATCTTGCCCCATCACAAAGTGAGCAGCTCTGCGCTTCTCAATTCTGTGCACATATTAACTATGCTAGGTCATTGGTATCGGTTCTGGTCGGTGATCAAGACGAGTATTTCACGATACCGATCCGTATTCCAGGATCCACCGTTCCTTATGTCGTCGAACGAATTGTACAGCAAGGCAAAGAAGCCAACGCAGGCCGAGTCTTCATCCCAACAGGTTCGTTTGTCCTTGCAGCTCGATTTTCGCTCTCAGCTTTGTCCCAGGATTTCAATCCAAGGAACTCATTGTCAAATCCGGACTCATCCTCGGCGACGTCGACCAATACCCCAATATCGACGTAACAATTGACGGTGCGGACGAAGTGGATGCAAATCTGAATTGCATCAAGGGAGGTGGTGCATGCCACTTGCGGGAAAAAGTACTCGCAGAGGCAGCAGAAACGTTCGTCCCTACGCGCCTCGGTTGGCCCATGGCTCAACTCTATGCAGCTTCATTGTCGTGGCGGATTACCGGAAGAACTCACAGGTGCTCGGGACGAATGTAAGCTGGATTTGGATCCTCGGCTTCTGTTTCCTGAACATTCACAGTGGAAACAAGGCGTCCCTATTGAAGTTGCACCTTTTGCATACGCCAAGTTGCTACAAAACGTTCACCGACTCGGTTCGGAAAAGGCAACTCTGCGCATGGCGAAAGCCAAAGCCGGTCCCGTCGTAACAGATAATGGCAACTTTGTGATTGACGCGCCGTTCGAGGAGAGTCGCTACAAGGATCCGTACGAACTCTTAAAGTCCATCAAGATGCTTACCGGGGTAGTAGAGGTTGGTCTCTTTGTCACATGGCAAAGGCCGCATACTTTGGAAACCAGGTGAGTACTCCCTCTAAGGCTGTGCTTGACTCAGGTCTTCAGGATGGGAGCGTTACAATCAAACAGGCGGATGGACAGGAGGAAACCATTCAAGCACATTAAAGAAGTCAGAAAGAAAATTTATAACAGCTATATGACACAAATATCCAGAGCGAATTAAGCAAGAGGCCCAAAATTGTATACTATGAATCAGTTGGAGGTACCCCTAGGAGAGTGAAAAGCTAGGCAGATGCCTTAGCTCCTCGTCAAATTGGCTGAGATCGACAAATCCACGACCAAACCCTGCTTTGCGCACGACGAGCGCCTCGACGATAAGCCTTGGCTCCGTAGTATTTGCAGAATCTTTGGCGCTCGTGTCTGGAGTGGACGCCGTCTGCGGTATAACAGTGTCCTGGCGCTTGAGTGTGACAACAGAAACAGTCATAGCCTGCTCCTCGATCGTCTTGGTGGAATCAAGGTGCTCGATGCCGTCCAACTCGTCGTCGTCTGCGTCTTGGCTAACAATCTTGTCATAGTCGATCCCTCCTCTCCACCATCCTGGGTTACGAGGGCACCATGGTCGTAGACAGGATCCAACAGCGCTCTGCGCCGTTCCTCTCGCCGCTTGTCACGTTTGGCGCGCTTGTCCGCCATCCGCTGCGCAATCTGTTCCGGAGTCTTGGGTGCGGCATCGACGGGTGCTCGTGCTCCTTTTGGTGGCTTGGAGCTCTTGCTGCCTTGTGCCCGAGGGGGCTTGTTGCTCTTCGACTTGGCTGGCCGAGTCGGGTCGAGTTTGATCCGTGGGGACGATGGGAGCGCACTCTTGAGTTCTCCAAGCTCGAAAACACTCAACTGAGGATCCTCGTCGTCGGCGTCGTGACCGTCTTCAACGGTATTGTCGAGGTCGAATGGAGTAGGAGAGGGGAGGAAATCCTGGGGTTTGAGAGTACGCTCGCGTATCTTGGAGGTTGTAGAACGCTTGCCACTGTGACCGCGTAGGAACGAGGGAGTAATGGGCACAGGTGCCGACCGGACTATGACCTCGTTTGGATCATCATCCACAGCTGGTTCCGCAGCGGTTGGAGAATCCGTCGGGTTGATGTCTATATCGTCTGCACCATCCATCTCGCTGGTGTCAGTATCTGTCGTGGTCACGTCGGTGCTTGTCGCGCTCAGAGATGTCAACGAGGAGGGTACACCGCTCATGTCTTTGGTCCCACCCATTCCGTTGACCGACTCCAAAGCAAGTGAGGTAAACCGTCCACGGACTTCTATCTCCCGGCTGATGAGCACGCTTGCTCCGAGCTCGCCGGCCATATTTTCCAATGTCTCCAAGGTAGCCTCCATCTCGTCTTTTGTCAATCCTATTAGCTCCCCAGAGTCGGCTACTCCAAGCTTTTCGTGTAGGTTAGAATGGTAAGACGCAAGGGGCAAGAAACGTGCATTTACCTGGTAGTAGGCTTGGCCATTGCCTTCCATGAGCCTCCAGTTTAACTGAGTTACAAGTCGATGTAGACGCTCCGGGGAGGGGTTCTTTAGGATCAACTTGTATTCGACATTGCCCTGCCAAATTGGCCTAGATTGAGCGAGCACTTGATGGAATATCCAATAGTACTGACCTGTTCAATCTCTGGTGCCAACCTGGGGATGCCATCTGACCGTCTCATCTCTATCTCCAATCCCTCCGCCCCCGGGGAAGGCCCGGAGAACAGGAGAACTTGTCCCATGGAGAAGGAGCTCGATTAAATGCTTCGAATTTGTCCCTTTGCATCAAATGGATGTTATTTTCCGCGCTGACGTGTGGTTGGTTATCTTTGGGGGCTGCGCGACGTATGCTGTAATCCGAATTGCGAGTTTTTTTGCAAGAGTTTAGCGTTGTAAGAGCGATATAATGATTGAGAATGAGAAATATCCAACTCTTTCATATACGAGGGATCATTGCTGGTTGTTCTTCACAGTTTGCGACTTTGAGGCCGGGTCGAGGTTGAGCTGGCTCGGTCATTTATCGACTCCAACGTTCTGACTCGATTCTACCATACCAGCCAGCAACACAGTTCAAGACCTTATTCACGAATATTCCAAAATTCATCGGAATCAGACCGCACTTACCTAGTCACCGCTGGGCACAAAACACCAAAGAGCTCCAGTAAAAGGAGGAAACATATGTTGCGCTCAACGTAACAGTGCTTTCAAACTAATACTAGTAAGTATATAGGATCCTTCGAACCTCGTCCCTTTGAGCTCCACCTTAAACCGGGTCGATCATTGAAAGCATCCGCAACAAGTTTTTCTTCATCGCAAGAACCGTTCGCGTCGACGTCAAACAGTATATGTACAGGAGTTCTAAAGAAAATACATACATGAACACTGCTGGATAGGAGCTTTTAGAGTTCGTTAATTGTATCGCCCCTGAGATTCGTTTCTGTACCTTGGTAAATAATCGAAAGGCGTTGTAATGGATGGTAAATCGTCTTTCTCCGTTGCAAGAAGCGTGTCGCGGCATCGAGGTATGTGGCCTCATTTGCGAAAGCGCGCCCCTTTCGTCGGAATTGATCAATCACCAGAACCTTGAGGGCTGGAAGACATACGCTCTTCTTCTTCGAGTTCTGCGTAGTAGGACAGATAAGCTCGAAAATGTCGGCTGAAACGCGCATCTGGAGGAGATGCAGCTCGACGCAGCGCGTCAACCGGTATAACACACGGCTCAGCAACTTGACATTGACGGAGACGTGGTGTATTTTCAATACCGGGGGGTCCAGATGGACCGCAGTTGTGCCTCTGGATTCAATTTGAGGCCAGATTATGTTCATTGCTCGGATAACCGTGTGCTGATTCGCTCCCTCATCTGTAGCATCCAGAACTTCTAGATGTGGTGCGCTGAAATATTGTAGAAAAGGTGTTTCCGAAAAGGCTCGGCGGCGATAGACAAACTCCTTCAGCCGAGGCAGGTGGATGGTATCGCCAGTATGCATATGGCTAAATATAGGTGGATCAAGATCCAGATAGGTAATGTTTAGACACGTAATGGGCCATAACTGACCATATCCACACAAGGTGAGACGCCGCAGGTGTGGCATAGTGATGATAGTGGTCGTAGTGTGCGTTGAGATTCCTGAGCCAATTCGAAGTGAGATCAAGTTCGTAAAGTGGGCAAGATCGCTTGAGTCTAGGGTTTCTGTGGGATGGTCCCAGACTTCGAGATGGCGCATGAGCCGAGGGGCTTCGACCTGCCTGAGGAGACGAGGAGGAATCCCTATCCTCTGAATTTTTGCACTCTTCTTCAATGCCACCTCGATCAGATCTTGGCTTTGAGTGTCCAGATGCTCGAGGCGGCAGAGATCCCACGACTGGAGAATCTGCAAAAGGTTGGTCAGAGAAGTATTATAGATATTATCTTTTAGCTTAAGGTGGCGGATATGCGCAGATGGTGGCACCAACTCTACGAGCGCCAAAACCTGCGCTTCGTCACTAGGACCACACCTAAACCAAAGCTGCCTTGGCCTTGATCCGAATTTTACTTCTATATCCAGTGGTGCTGACCCTATACGATTGAGTGCGCATTTCAGTCGCTCCACTGAATTGCATACGACTCCGGGCTGTTCCTTGTTGGCCAAAATCAAATGAGGAGAGCAAATGATGATATAGTTCCATGTATCCCCGGCCAGTAAAGCAGCCGCTCGCCATACGCGACTGGTCTGCATCAGCACCCACACCGACTGTTGGTTGGCGCGCACATGCAGGCAGGCTATCATCGACAGGATCTCAAGAGGTAGTCTCCGAATAGGTGCAAGGCGTGAATTGAAGTCGATGATTTGCCGCTTCTTAGCTTCCAGGCCATCTTGAACTGCGGCGAGGCGATCTTTGAGCTCACCGAGCATCATCTCGAGAACACGGCGCTCAAAATCTGCTTCAGCAAGCTGAGCTGTCGTGCGTAGAATCTCTTCTGCGCTTGGCCGCGCCACGTGAAGAACGGGAGTTCCTGGTGCTTTGGGCTTGCCAGGCGTCAGCATACTTTATATGGATTTCTCAACAGCTTACAATCTGATCGTAGAGCTCATTTGGATCACAGAAATCGCCCGATTGACCATCTTTGGATATTCCATTCTCCTTTCACCTCAAGGTGGCCGAAATAATCCTCTAGACTGCACGGAGTTGGCAGAGAGAGCGAAGAAGCAGTGATTTTATTCGACTTCTCGAGTTCAATGTCCACACAGGAAGGAAAGGGCGATGGGTAAAGGAGCAACCCTGCTTGTGGCCGTCCGCCGCTTTGGGGCGGCTATTTGCGTTTACATCACCACACTATTGGTTGTATTTGCTTTGACACTGAAATTATGGTCATTGATCCTTGAAGCTATACGACATATGTTATATCATGAATTGACTATTGTAACCACGATACATTGGTTGGGAGGGGGCAACTATCCACTTGTCTCGTATACGAGGAATCGGTAGTAATACACCGAGCTGATCTCCTTGATCATGTATTGATGCGAGCCAGTCAGGCAATAAAATTATCATTCAGAAATTCATGGTTCATTGGGAAAAAGGAGACCGAACTAGTCATACAGAGGGGGAAGTTTATATTCTGCATCAGTCTTCAGTTACTGAGGTATATTTTGTGACAAATCGAGCCATATCTGCGAGTCTAAAAGAGTTACATACACGTGAACTTCTGTTACGAAGAAATAATGAATAGGAAGTACGTTTCTTCTTTGTTAGGAGCCCACGAGCTGCTTCTTGACATCGCAGTGACTAATTGAAAGTATGTGCAACGGGAGTGACATATCCTTTCTTCGCTGCAAAAATCTCCGTGCGGCATCCAGATACGTCTCGTCGATCCGCCCGACTTCCCCTCCCGTCGATTTGCGCTGTTTCTTTTGATATAGGTCAATCACTAGCACCTTCAGGGATGGAATATAAACATCTCTCTTCTTAGCATTCGGCCTGCTAGGACAAAGCACCTCGAAGAATTCAACTGGGACACGCATCCGGAGCAGATGCAGCTCGATACAGCGCGTAAAGGAGTGTAGCACATAGTGAAGTAGCTTGAAGTTGATCGAAACGTGGCGTAGCTTCAATATCGTAGGATCGAGATAAGTGGCCGGTTGGAGTGATGGAGGCCAAATCAACTCCATCGCACGCATAGTTGTTTGTGGTGACCTGCCCTCATCTGTAGTGTCCAAGACCTCCAAGGCCGGTGCCTTGAAATACTGTAGAAAAGGCGCTTCCGAAAATGCGTCTCGTCGGTAAAAGAACTCCTTGAGCTGGGGAAGATGGATAATATCACCGGTGTGACTGTACCCAATCACCCTTTGTTTCAGATCCAGGCGTCGGAGGTTGAAGCACATAATAGGCCACAGTAGCCGACGAGTCCCTTCCAAGGTCAGATCCTGTAGATGTGGTACGCTGATCGTAGGTGAGGGTGGATCGTTGTATGGAAAACTGGAGTTGAGGCGAAGCGAGACCAAGTTCGTAAATTTATCGAGACGGCTTAGCTCTTGAGACCCTGAATGATCCCAAAGGTTGAGGTGACGGACGAGCCGAGGGGCATCGACTTTCGTAAGCATTTGATAAGGAATACCAAGGTCATGAATCCGCGCCTTTTCCCTAATTGCCCTTTCGATCAGGGTGTGGTTCCATGTGTCGAGCCGCTCTAGGTTGCTGAGATCCCATGACTGAAAGCTCTGCGAGAAGGATTCTGGAATATTACTGTCCGAAAACCACTTGCGGAGGCGGTCCTTGAGTCTCAATCGGCGAATGCGAACAGATGATGGGACTAATCTGACGAGGTTCAGGACATGCTGCTCGTTTCCAGTGAGGCCGTAGACATATCCGCACTTCGGACTCTTGCCTTTAGACTGGAAGGATATCTCTATGTCCAGGGCTTTCGAGCCTATACGGTTGAGTGTATATAGGAGTCGTTCCTTTGAACTGCATATGATCCCAGGCTCTTCCCCACCATCCGGTCGTGTATCATCCCAGGTGAAATGAGGGGGACAGATGACGATGGAGTTCCATGCATCTCCTGCTAGTAAACTAGCTGCACGCCATGCGCGACTTGTCTGCATCAGCACCCAAACCGACTGTCGGTTTGCGTGCACGTGTAGACATACTATCATCGAGAGAATTTCAAGGGGGATTCGTCGAATTGGCGCAATGCACGAACTGAGTTCGAAAATTTCTCGCTTCTTAGCATCAAACAGACGCTGGATATGAGCGACGTGATTTTGAAGCCGATGGAGTTCCTTTTCAATGATTTGACATTCTTCAGTTGCTCGAGCGAGTTGTAATGTCTTAGTTCGCACCTCCTGTGCCCCGGGACGTGCAACGTGAAGCACAGGTGCCCTTGATGTCTCGAGCTCGTTGGGCGTTAGAATAACGCACATAACTTTTACCATGGCTCACAATCGGATCAAAGACTTCATTTCCAGTATCGCCACCTCCTCCTTGACTCCCGTTTGGGCTTTCCATTCTCCTGACGTCGTCTCTAGGGATTCGGGAATGATCCCAGACTTTGATTGAGTGGTTGTATAGATGAATTCAGAGTGATTTGACGAGTTCCTCAGATTCGCGTCGGACGGCCAAAGTTGGGTATGGGGCGCGACGACCAAAGAGCTCATACCCCCTGCCACCTTTTATGGGACATCCGAGGACACTAATAGACATCCTAAGCATTATCCGAGTCGTTTATATATACTCAGGTCATGACTGCGTCACTAGAGGCGGGTTATTTTGAAACCGACAAGGCACAGAAAGTATGCCTTAAATTGACTCTAATTGGGATATATATTGTTTGAACGTCTATAATGCATTTTCCGCTGGCGAAGCCCAGTTACGGATGGTAAATGTGAATACAATCGTTGTAAACATTAAATAGTGTATGAACCATGAATGGTCGGGAGGTTTGCTCTCTGCGCCGACATTGCTGTCACGAGCAAGGGCTATATGAGGTCAAGACGCTTATAGAGTCTGATCGGGTCATAAGTAAACCATCATGATGAGAGACATACTCACCACTACGTCCGAACTGACCGCGTAAACCGTCTTGTAGCCCCATCTGCCCAGTCGCAAGTAACTTCATCCAGGCTAGTTCTGAGGGCGATCAAACGTGACAACTCTGTCTGTATCTCACAATCATCACGACGCCTCCATTCTAGTCGGATTCCGAGACGCTTCAGATTGGGACAGTGTTGGGGAGCCTTGGTATCGTCCTCTAATCTTATTGCCTCCTCCAGCGTCTCCAGAACTAAGAGAAGCTTGTCAAACCGCCCGCTCGAGATGTGAACTGTCAAGGACACTAGCTGGGGTTGGCTTGCGATAAGCTGTGGAATGACATGCTCCGCGCCAACCACACGGATTGTGAGAAACATTGGTCGAAGCGAAGGCCTCTTGTTCGGTGTCGTTGATCCGAGGAGGCAGGATAGCTGATCCTCGTAGGAGTGGCGAGACACTTCTGAAGTCAAAAGCTCTAGTTCTTTGAGTTTCGGGGCATGGAGTAGTTTGAGGGATGCAGGATCGCCGCTCTTCACTCTGAGGGAGACTAGGTGAGGCAAATGCACCTCTTGTAATTTTCCCAAGGCAGAGCTGGAATACATCCGCCTAGTCTGGAGATGCTGAATAGTCAGAACCTTGAGCGGGGGCGTTGATCTGGTTCGAAAATCGCAAAGATTGGCGGAGTCAACTGAGAGTTGAAACACTTGGGGACAGGCCTCGAGCGAGGCCCCTATCCGACAGGTTAGGTGAAGACTCCGTACTAGAGGGAGTAACTTGTGCTGGTTGGTATCCAGCATTCGAGTCACTAGTGTGGTCACCGTCGAGGGGATATTGACCGATTCCTGATACCATGCCGTGCCGAGATGCACCGTATGGACAATGGGGGAACAGAGGAGGATTCCATTCAGCATCCGGCATTGGGCTTCCTCAATGCGTTCGAATTTCCGTGAGGAAACTGAGATGGATTCGAGCCGGGAGAAAGGGACTCTGAGACCCTCTCGAACGACTGTCCAGCATGCGTTCGAAAGGTGACGAAGTGTCAATCCGCGCCATCGAGTGGGAGGAAGCAGACGGACGAGCAAATGAACCAGTTTCAGAGCATGATGTCCTCCGAAAGCAGGGCCTATTCGATATATTGATGGAGATGGATTGATGACGACTTCGAGAGTATGATGTGCACCAGCACGTTGGGCGAGCGTTCTGAGACGCTCTTCGGATGACGCCAATTGGAGGCAGCGAGTTTCCGGCAGTAGCGATATTCTAAGCCAAAGACGGGGAATGGAGAGGGCGGAATATCGCCATTGTCTACATACCGCTGATATAGTCAGCGGAGAGCCTCCTTGAAAGACGTATTCAAGAAAGATATCGACAAGGATGTCGTGCGGGATGAGAAGGCGAGTGGGACGCATAAGAAAAACTGGTCTAAGAATGAGAGATCTTCACGTCGGGATAGAGGGTTGATAAGAACTCGTACGGCGGTCGCCGCAACCCGTCACGTCCTGCCAATCCCCGTTTACAGCTGGCCGGCGGGATACCCTGGAGACGTATTGAGTCTAGGTGACCGCCGCGTTAGAAGCTACAGTGGAATGGAACGGTTGCAGGAAGCGTGGAAACGTGGGGTCGAAACAAAAATAGCGTACTCCTGTGCCACAGGCAGTGGAGAGGGGGAGCGTGAAAAAGAACGCACCTTCTGGCTTTGAGAGGATTTGTTTGGCTTTAGAGTCTAGTGCTAGAACACAACCGGGATGGAGAGTTTGTCGCTCGTACTGTTCTCACGTCTGCGGTCCGGTGCTACAGACGACGGTCTTTGAAGTCGGTTGATTGTAGGGTGTGATAGGATTGAAAACTGTTGAGCAAACTGTAACAATATGTTTGCTATCACGATGTCTATGGGAATGCAAGAAAGCTAGAGGACGCGGACATCACTCCCCGAGTATCCATCAGTGTTTAAGTACTGGGATCTGGTAGAGAATTGTGTAAGGAAGCCTCCAGTGCTGACGAGGCGGGGCGCTGCCCAAACGCTGGTTGCGCGCCCAACCGGAGAGAGCAACCACAGGATACTGAGTCGTTTATTTGAGCAAATCTTGCACCGTGGGATACGTCATCTGTCGTCGCACTGCCCAACCCCGCTGTTCCGACCTCGGCGGTAGGCAGAGGTTGCGCCCGCTGGAAAGATTGAGGTTCATGCACACATTCAGGTCTGTTTGTACATTGGATCATTGATTTCTTCTTCCCATCGACTGTTCAACTTGATGCCAGTGTGCAACTAGAGTAGCAACCGGTTCCAAGCACGAACGGGACAGAGCCTTTCTGTTTAGACTTGTCACCAGGCTAAGCGACCGTGGTGAGAACAAAACACGGGGATTCAAATAACATCCACAAAGAGGCATCGTCTGAAATACAGAATCCATCGAACCAGAACCATGACCAATAGCTACTTCTGTGTTCACATGGATGAGCTCCGTGCTCAAGGACAGAAAGTGAGCGTGTAGTCTGCACGCTTCGACCCAGCGCACGTCTTGAACAAGTTGAGACAGAATCGAGCGAGTAACGGGCTTTACTCACCTTCAAGGCGTTGACATCGTCGTAGGCATAAGCATAGGCGGTCGGGCACCTGCCATGGAAGTAACTGTAATAGGCCACACCAGACGCTGGGCATGTCTAGAAGAGACTCAGATGATCGAACGTATGGCGCTTACGTATGTACAGACCTGAGGGGTATTGTACTGGCCGGAGCAACAGTTGGGGCTGTTGGCCTGGTTTCCGTCGAGATTAGCAAAGCAAGCGCTCTTGCAGCCGACTGGGAACCCAGAGCTTATTCGAAAGTTCAAAGAAGTTCTCGGACGGAAGGGCGATGCATACCTGTCGAAGGGACCCTTGAGAGGGGCTGGGCAGTCCGGTCCAAGATCCTGAGCACATTCAACCACTGGACAACCCTTGTTGTTGGTGATGCGCATGGGCAGGTTGTACCCGTCGACCAAGCTCACATCGTAGCTAAAGGACTTGTTCAGTTCTCGATGTAACCCACTCGAAGAAACGTACTGATCAGTGCCGCTATCACCCTCAAGCGTCCATTCGGCAACAGAAGCCGGAGGAATACCAGTTCCTGTCCTCATGTCGCACAAGAGACCGCCATTGCAAGCGCCAGTGAGGCAGGACTGTGCAGCCGGCTTTGAGAAGTCACAATTGCGACGACCTGTACACATGTCAGCAAATAGAATGACTGAGAACCGTCGAGGAATACTCGCCCCAAATGCGGCCCGCTCTCCAGTTATCGGGCACATAAAAGGTCCTCACCGACCAGGCAGGCGCCTCCCAGCCAGTAGGAACATCTGGAACGGCAGATCCAACGTTCAAATCCGTAAAGACGGCTGGCCAAATGGTGAATGGACAGGCATTGTAGACCGTAAAGGTCCTCGCTGTAGCGAGACCAACGAAAGTGAGCGCAGTAGCGAGAGAAGTAAGCATGTTTAAGCGGATGCTGAGTACCTGGAGCGGTGTTTGACTGCTGGTACACTGTGGCTGGCGAGCAACCAACGCCCACCTTTATAGTCGAGGCATCCAGAGTAGATTGAATCCATGTGAACGGAAAGTCTCGGGATATAATAATAAGCGATTCTTGGTCTCATCAGCCAGTCAACTCAGCGCTATGTCGAAAGAACGCGCAGTCGTCTGACCATACAGACGACGCCCCTCTTGAACAACGAATGGGTTGGAGCGCTCATTCACGGGTTCGCCAGGATCGCTAGGAGTTTACCCGGAGCGCGCTGTATCCCCCTTCCTAGGAGTGAGTAGAAGGGATTCCTTCTCCACAGCTAATGACCGGATAGCGGGAAGTCCAGAATGTACACACGGCTCCGGCGGCCGCAGTTGTTCAAAGGCCTCGACCGGAACGGATACGATGGTCTTGATGTAACCGGCTATCTGCGTGTCAAACTTGATCTGGTTGGCTACAGGTGGCGACGAGAGGTTCTGCCAATATATCCGACTTGATGGTCGCCTGAGGGTAGCGGGAGAGAAGAGAAGACGTCGCCACCAGGTCTGATTACTCCGCACTCTCGCACGTCGATATCAGCCACCGAGTAGGCACTGCGCGACATTCGCATCGGGTATCTACGGAGGTTGAGTTTGAATGATATATTAGCTTTGATGGTGCCCTGCAAAGCGGAACGATCTGGTAGTGGATGGTGTTCTCGTGTATGTCTGTGGAGCTCCGAGAAGAAGAGCACCTGAAGTAGATACACAAGGAATTGGGTGCATAGAGAAAGTCCGGCATCAGCTGACGTGCCGATACTATCCAGAGCCGGTCTACTCTACTCGTGCGAGAATTTCCGAATGTAGTTGATGTAACAGATTCTGGTGAAAGGTAAGCTGTATAAGTGGAACCATAGCTTATGTCTTACGAAACCGTCATTCAGCACATGGCCGCTAGCCATGTGAAAGTTTCCCCTTTACTGGGTAGTTTCGAGATATTGCACGCTGATGGGAGAGTCTGACCAGACTGAAACTTCGAACAGGCCCTGGATCCCCGGAGAATGAGTCGATGGCACGAGTAAATACCTCCCAGCCGCCAGCCGACGTCGAGAGAGACGAACACCGTAACGGGACTCGCGATATGGGCCACTTGTCGCGACCTCTGTTGGCGGCGATGTATCTTGATATTGGAATAGGGAGAGATTAATAGGCAAGTAGAGAGCTCCTGCCCTTGTCTGGGTGACTTGCCTATAAAAAGGTGTCAAACACCGCTCACGCGTCACAAGAGCACAAGAGCTCACAATCTCGCACATACTTCCGCAGAACGTGATAGAAACATCTCGTATTGTGGATTCCGCCAGTATCGACCATGACTTGGGCCGCCAGCAGCGGTCTCCGGCATCCTGAAGAAAATCAATAAAGGTAGCAAAGGGATGAAGCTACTCACCAGTTGCCGTGAAGTGAGCTTGTATGCATCCCCGCACCTTCGGCAGGTGCGCGCTGCAATTCCACGGATCGCTCAGAAGAGATCTCGAGCGTTCCCTTTCCATGTTGGGTTGCCACATAGTTTGAGAGCACAACAACATAATTTCCAGGGAGAAGAGAGACTTGGCCACAAGCTATGCCATAGCTGTAAGTTCCAGAGTCGAAGACAACCGTTCCCTCCGTGACGCTACAATCGTTAGCAATGCCCAATATCGTGAAAATGACCCACTCGTTAACCCGCTTCTCCGCACTTCTGTATACCTTGATGTTCAATGGTATATCTTTCGACGCAGTGGCATGGAATTGAAGGCGGACCGCACTTTGCTTCCCAGATGAGCTCGAGGGACCCGCCGGCACCTTTAGCGTCCACTGTGGGTTGTCGAAATACGTGGGATAGAGCAAATTTCCGCCAGAGTACAGTGAATTAAACTCGTAGGAGATCTATACAGGTCAGCAACAACAATCACTGTCCAATTGGTCAACTCACAATTTGTTTGACCATATTTGGGGGTGGTCGCGTATCAAATTCGAGTGGGGCGTGCGACATGATACTCAGTGTATATGGTACATCGTCTCGAATGTCGGCTTCGTTAGGAAAACTGAGAGAGGCGATTAACGAAATGCGTTTGGTGTCGTCACTGCATGTCATTTTGAGCTAACAAACGTCAGACTAGCAGGGGGAGTATGTTTCATCCATACCAGGCAGTGGGGAGAGTTCAGATAATGTCCAGTAAATGTAAGATTCTCTGCCTTGTTAAATGTGATCTCGGCACCATCCTCTTCGAATGCATGCAGTGCGCTATACAATTCTGTCTCTGCCTGAGCATAGGTATGGCGTGAAAGGAGGGCCCAAATGTCCGTCCTTGGTGTGACTGCGTCTATAGCGATACGAATCTGTTGATTCAGGACTTTTTTCGTCGTCAGGAAACCCCTATTTGAATGGCCACATACTTACTACCGTCCCCTGGCGACCTCGCAATCTTCCACTTTCTGAGATGGTGTAAGCAGGCGGATGGGCAATTCATTTCACTTGCCGATGGTGGACAAGCCTGTGCGGAAAGCTATCCGGATTCCAGCTCAGGTACATATGATCGAATGTACGACAGACGTCGTCCCAAGGTATTCTCCAGAATGCTTCTTCACTTCGGTGCGCATCGTTTGCATCGATTGAACGCCATGGATTGACGATAGTGACCATTCTGTCTTCATTGTCCTCGAGACCTACAGACTGTGAGAGTCCGCCTGCTCCGAGGTATGGTGATCAAACCTATGCATGCATATGCGTGGAAGGGAATCAACGGTCGACTGGCATGTGACGGAATTTCTTTGGCAGTCCCGAACGTGACAAGTACATTTCCTACCGAGCGTAAGCCACGTGTTTAGTCATAGTTGGGTCCCTACCTTGGCGAAACGCTGTCGATATTCTCGACCAAGTCTTCTCCCGCTCAAATGCCGTGCTGTGCTCGTGAGGTCTCTGTTGGGCAAGGAGCAACCAATCTCACCTTTGAAGATCATAGGAATCTGGTATCCAGCCGATGAGAGCTCTACGAATATTGAATCTACGCCAAAGTTTGCGACAGCGCATACCGTAGGTCGACTCCAGAGTCCCTGCGATCCATTAGTCGCGTGGCCACACATTAGAGCCCACGTACGATCCCTTGAATCCATAGCCGCCATTTATCTTCAAGTACTTCCCCTCTTTAGCTATATTTCTTGCCACAGAGGTTGGATTCTCACTGCTTTTTCGACCAAGCTCGGCCATAGACAGCTACGTCGAGTGGACCGTACGGACATGACGAGATCTCCACGGAGAGGCATTCGATCATCGATGATGACCTTGCGTTCGACTCCATTGAGAAACATTTTATAAGCATATCGTCCATTGCTTGATTCTATTGGCCGTCGTAACGAGTCGCCTTCAGCCTGCGGAAACAGGCGGTCCAGTATCAACTGACCCTCCGAGTCATTATCACGAAAATAGTATAAGCAGAGTACTTACCGATGAGCCGTGTATCAGATGATGTTGCCAACAGACGATGATGGACGCCACGACGGAACAATTAGAAACGACGCTCTGTACGAGCTCATATGGCAGCATATTGAGATCTAGCATTGGACAATTCGGTCCAAAGACTTTGTCTTTCGACACCCAGCGATCTCCAGGCTCGAGACCCCACTCGACAGCAGTCCTTTTGGGACATGTTTCAGTACTGCTCTAGTATTCGAACCAGCCATACACACCTATCATCTTCCTTTACTGACAGACTGGGTGTATACCCTTTCCAGAGGGGACACACGACCCCATTGACAATAGATGACGATTCCAAAACGGCCTGCTGCTCTTCTATAACCAAAATAAGAAACAACGATCCTCCTTTGAGGAAAAAACGTACCAGGTGAGAATATGTTACGCTGCACAAGCTGAACGCGATCCGGATAAGCCCTCTTAATCTTTTGCGCACGTTCGAGTGCGAGACTAGCATGAGCACGGGCTTGTGTACGTTCATCCTTGTCCCTCGCAATCATAGCGTTATCAGCCGTGGTTCTCGTAGCTTGTCCATCCACGGTAGAACCATCAATGGACGACGTATTGTTGACAATCTTGAGAAACGCCTGAGCAGCTTGTACATACAATTGGAATGACGTGTTCCATTCCGTCTCCAATTCCTTTTTCTTCGCCTTGGCCAAGATGGTCTTAGCGCCATTTTGATCGGTTTAGGGAAAGGGTGGAAATTTCAAAAGAACAGAAGATCCACCGTCAGATAATGGGTAATCGATGGTGCAAGGATAAACGCTGACCTCTGCTTCTTGGAATGCACGGCTTTTGACCATCGAGGAAGAGATGAAGAAGCGCGAGCCACCGAAGCCATCTTTACGCTGCCCAACCAACGAGTCCGATTCATCAAGAGCAACAACAATAAAATCGTATTGGTACGAAAAAAGAAACAAGGGAGCAGTACAAAAGAACAAAATTGAACAAGGTCGCAGGGGTGCTAGGCAAAAGGGGTTGCCTGATCCCAAATTCTCGCCGCCACTTCGGGAGAGGGTGGAACAACAGAGCTGTCCATGCGACGGTAAACAACAAAGCGGACGTTATGTAAACGGACAGGGTGAGGGATGACGTGGAGAGTGCGCGACAGAGTACACGATGGACAGGACGGCGATGCGATGCGGTGCAGAGCAGAGCAGGGTCAAATTTTGCTGGCAGGAAGAGTCGGTCCGAACCAACTAACACGCGAGCTCTGGATACAATGAGATTGGTTATGGCTTGGGGGTGGTTGAAAGTAGATGGGGCTGCTAATGTATTGAGAGGGCGACTTTCTATTCGTGAGAGGTCGTGTGTTCGTTACGAAACCCATCGGGCATCTTGTGTCTACCCGGGTGACCTAGTAGAGCGCTGCGGGCGCGTAGGTCTCGGGCTGAAGGTATGCGAGGGCCGGAGGTTGCAAGAATGGCTACAAGTTCATCGTCAGTATGGAATTCTAAATGGCGCCTTACGAGGAGACGTACGATATGACCGCCGAGGGTGGACCAATCCATCGACCGCGAGTTACTACCGGTCCATGCACCATACGCCTGTTGTTCTTGAACGAGGAGATGCGGATGTGAACCAACGACGTCCTGGCGACCCTTCCAACCCACCGGACGATACTGGAGTGCGTCGGCAGACATCGGGACGCTAAGATTTCGCGCATGGCGTCTTGCGCGCATCGATTGACGGAGCTGCATCGTTCTTCCCGAGGTATCAAGCTCGAGGATCGGCTGGATCCTCCTGCGGGGTAACTCGGGCGTCATCACCGCCGACAGTGATTGGCTTTGGCCAACGAGGGATTGAGAGACGAAGGATGGTGGAACGACATGTGATGGTTGTACTTGGCGCGTGTGGGTTGGTTGTGCATACGGCAGGACGAGGGCTGGCGCCGTCAATGGAGAGAGTTGATCCGCGTTGGTCGTCCTCGACTCGATTACGCTGTCAACGGGCGGCTCGTCGCGTTCCTGTGCCTCGAGCTTTGACTCTTCGCGCTCGACGAGAGCAGCGAGGTGTGCAGCCGTATTCTCGATCCGCATTGGCCTCGGTGCGTGCAAGTGGACGTGGCTCGGAGGGGTGACCATCGAGGCGGAGCTCTCCGTGGTTGCAGCAGGCAAAAATGACTCTTTAGATGTTATAGCCTCGTTTATGTCTCCTGTACTGTATGCCGTCTCCGCGGTGTCCTGGGCGAGAAAGGGGGACCAGGAGTCTGGCGGATAGTGTTGGTCAGGGAGCACGGGAGGGAGAGTAATTGCGTTTGTTGAGAGGTGGTCAAGCTGAAGAGGGTAATAATACTCGTTCAGATGTGCGCAGCCACCGTCGTCCCCTGGAGCAGGCGCAAAGATAGGCGACGGGTATTCTTCTGAACCGAGAATGGCCGTTGTTGCTGTCGTGGTCGCTGCTGCCGGGGCGACAAGGTCGAGATTCATGCTGCCCTCTTTGTCTAGTTGTTGTTGGCGGTGATGATGATGATGATGATGATAATTGGCAGAGAATTCGGAGATGGGGCTGTTGGCAACGGTGCTTGTGCTGAGTCGGCAGTCTTCAAACCCTTCGGATAAATCATCTTCGTCTTCGAATACAACGACGGGGTTGTGAGATTGGGCATGATTCTCAAACGCGAATTCGTCGTAATATTGCTGGCCCTTTGTGGCGTTTACCTCAAAGGGGGCAAAGGAATTCCATGAACACTCGTCAACGTCGTATGTTGTAAATACGAGTGGGTCCATGTCTCGTAGTGGTGGTGGTGGTTGCGGCCAAGCTTTGCCATCGATGTAACCCCGGGCAGCGGGCAGAGGGACCGCGCGCTGATTCGGAGCATCCACAAAGGGGCCCGGGCTGTTCTTTACGGAAATTGCTGGAAACTGGGAGTGGGAGCAGAGGCTGGTCATGGCGGCAGGCTCGGGCGGCGGCTGCGGACAGTTGATTTCAGATTTGTTGCAATCGATGAGATTTGGGGGGCACCGCTCAGAAAAAAAGAGGTCGGGAAAAGCGGAGATCAAAAAACTTAAAGTCGTAAATGGATTCGTGAGCGTCGTGTAGGCGTTGGGAGAAAGAGACTCCAGGTCGTGTCAAGCCAAGGGCGGGGGGCCTCTGAGACTACGCACAACGTAGACGATGGCGTGCAAAAGAGATGTTTGTCGTGGGCGGGTTCAAGCAGTGTTATCCAAAGGGGCACTCAACCCGACGGCTCTTAACTCTAACCGCAGCTCAGTTGGTGGCATGCGTCTGGCAACGAGGCTCAAGAAGCCCATGTTGCTGTTGTAATCTCACAAGGCCAACATTTGAATCGTGGCGCACTCGCCCACTATTCTGGGTCACATTGCAATAAGCGCGTGGAGCACCTGCGGCCCTTTGCTTTAGCGCGTGATCGTCCCGACACCAGCCCGAGGTAGCCTCTCCAAATCAAAGAGGAAAAATCAAAAGTCTGTGTTCAAAAGGTATTCAACGTCCCTACATACCGCCGAGCTATCCCCTCTTCAGGGTTTCTGCTTGTCAAGCTAAGCGATCAAAGGACGACGTATAGGGAACAGCGTGTGTGTGGCTAGGTGGGTGGGGAACCAGGGATATGTAGAGATGACGACGACGAGGACGGTGAAATTGTGCTTCTTGCAACTCGCGACGCGGACGCGAGTCTGAACCGACGGCCCGTAGAGAAGCTACGAGCCTCGGCCACGACCAGCACCGTCTTTGACCAGCGGGTAGAGTGAATGAAACAAGAGAGTGTGTAAAAGAGAGAGAGAGAGAGAGAAAAACGATCAAACTGTCGTGGTACGCCCGTAGTAATCCGTAGAAAGAAGATTAAACGTCCATGACCTCGTCGCAGTACGGCACATCTCCGTCCTCCTCCGTAATCTGGTCATCTGGAGTAGGCACCCATTCGATGGATCCGTCGTTGTCAAAGAAGCCAGGCGGAATGGGCGGCGCGACAACCGTCGGAGCCACGCAGAGCACGAGCCCACTGTACAAATTGTCGCACTCGTCGTCTACGTTGGGGTTGTTCGACATCAAGATGGTCGAATTAATCTGATACGTCTGCTGGATCGTCGCGCACGAATCTCCAGAGCTCACGACATGCACGCTCGTACAATCTTGGCCTTCGGTTCCGAGGCCTGCCAAAATGGTGAGTTGCACAAAACCAATCGACATATCGACATACAAAGATTCTCGCCAATTTGCATGTGTTGGCAAAGCGCATCAATCTTGTCGGCATTGAGCGCGGCGAGTTGGAACGTTGAAACATTGTGAGCACGCGAGATTCCGTCGCAGATATCTCCGGCAGCAACCGTGTAGTTTCGAGTGCACGTCGCGGCCATGGCGGCTGTTTGATTCCCAAGAAATATAGCCAAGCACCGGTCAAGATTAGTGGCGGTCGTAGAGAAATTTCAGAAAAAAATCCATAGTCAGCTTTACATGGCGGAATCAGCCTGAAACAAGTGCACATACGCGTCAAAAAGAAGAGAGCGGATGCAGCGGCGACAAAAGTCTTGACAAACATGGTTTTTGGCGTCGTAAGAGTGAATGTAGAGCCTTTTTAGAAAAAAGTCTTCAGACTAGAATGAATGACGAGTTTCCTGGTCGTTGTACTGGTGCGGCGAGCGAGCAAAGGGCGCTGTTGGAGCTGCGGCGGGCACTGGTAGCGAATGGAATATGCACGTATAAGTGTGCAGAGTCGAGTAAAGAGAGTAGTTGAGCAGGAAAGGACGTCTGAAGGACCGCAAAGGCCACAAGCACAGAGGTGGTCGGGTGCAAAGAGCTTGCTAGACTTTGTCTGGGCGGGGCGGCGGCGTGCTCAACGGCCGGAAATCCAAAGGCCGTGCGACGGAGCTTATATTGGTGGTTGCTACTCTGATCTATTGGCCCTCCGGCCTCAACGTGCGACCGCATACTTGCGGCCTTTTCCCGGTCCCGCCAATCGGAATTGGCTCCTCCCGTATGGGTCGGGCTCAATAAGTGTTGTTACAATTGTTTTCCTAGCCATTATACACTCACTCCTTTACGTGCTACCAGATATTCGATCCCCCATTTCCTGTGGACCTGCACCCACTCCTCGTCCCACCCTAGTTCGTGAACTAGGTAGCGTTTGTAGGAGTGCATCGGTCCTTCAAACCACGATTTTGGCTTGAGTTCCTTCTTATCACCCTTTTCTGTCCCTGTGCCGCTATTCTCGAACAGAATCATGGCGCCCCCTTCCACGACGACCCGTGCCATCTCCGAAAAGAGCATCCTCCGTTCCTTGGGCTTATTCCAACCGCTAATCTCGTCCAGGCCAAAGTATGAAATGACGAGCGAGATCGAGTTATTGGCAAAAGGGAGGGTGGTTCGCGTCTCGGAATTCGTCTCGTCCACGCGGCTCGTCCTTATGAGGTGGCGCGGAACTCCAATCCTTATCAACTCTTCTAGGTAGCATGTGGTATTATTGGGGATGCGCGTCCATTTGCTCCATCGGTCATGACCGATGAAGAGGGGAAAGCGCGCCGGGGTGTCCCTTTGGTGCGCGAGAATCTCTTTAGCAAAGGATCCAGACACCATTCCCTCGCTGCATCCAACCTCTAGGACGATATTGTGACCATATACCGACGACCGAGTCGACGTCGGGTCAAACATGCCACTGGTGACCATTTCGCGCGCTCGGCTCCTCCAGAACCTTGGAATAAAGACGAGCTGGAGCATCAAGGTGTTGAAGATGGCAACAATTGAGGATATGAAGAATGCAAAAAGAACCCAGAAGGCAACTCTGTGTTTCTTCATCCCTCCACGCACGGTTGCCAATAAAATGATGGTAATTCCAAGGCAGATAATAAGAGTAAAGTGGATAGCATATATGAAGGGCCATGTCAACGCCAGACGTGACATCCAGCGTGGGTGTCGGCCATTGGAGACGAGGGGAACACCAGCGTTTGATCCACAGGCAATGGTTGCGTTGCAGCTTTTGATTGTTTGTCTTCTGTTTCCATCCTTGTTTACTCACCTGTCCGTTTGGTCGAGATTATATACACCTGGCGAAACGTTCTGGGCCCGCCCTTTTCGCGCAGCAAACTGTTGCTCGAAGGGAACTCCTAGGATATGATACGATGTGTTGATTGTGTTGATGCTCGCTAACTGCAAAATCTGGAGGATACTGCGTCTTCCAACCGCACATTACCATGGCAGGCCACCATGGACAAAATCATTCAGAACTCGGTTAGTATGACGGATTGGGGAAATATCTGGCGGCTCTGGCCGAACGGGGTCGGCTCACCCAAAAATGCATCCTGGCCCCGCCCAGCCCGCAGTCCTAGCCCCTAGGCTGGCTCACTCCCGCCAAAGTCTAAAGAGCCCACGGGTCCCTATATCTGTTACTTGAATCAATTCTTTTCGCTGCGCCCGCCAAAAGAAATTCTCGACGAATGGTACGTGGTGGGGTGGTGCAAGTCTGGATCCTCGAAGATTGGAGAGTTTCTTGAAATTGGCAGGTAATGACATCTTAATATTTCATCTCCGAGATTGGTACTCGTGGACTTGGCCGATGGCCCCTTGAGTTTATTCCAAACTCTCAAACGTAACGTTCTCTTTCCATCGATAATTACGCCTCTGGTGGGTCCAGTGGAACTCGAATGGTGGATTTTGACCGTATCCTCGCAGCCACGACGAGGGGACCACAGCAGTTGGATGAAGACCGATCAGGCAGAGGAGCCTGAAAGAGCGCAAATGAAGGCCCACTAACTGGCAAGGTGTCAGCAGCTCACCTAGCGACTTCAATTATGGTGCAGGTTCTCGATACGACAAGCTCTCTCCAGCGCGTCCATATCCACCTCAACGAGAGGTCTAGCAGAAGAGGTACAAAACGACCCAATTTAATGCCTACTTCGTCACCCTAGCTCCAAGTCAGCAGGGAATGGAAGAATTCAATGTTCAGAAGCGGTCGACGCAGGAAATCTTCAAACCCCCGTCTCAAATACAACGACTGCCGCTCGAATTACCTTCGAAAAAACCAGCATACACGTGATGGTACATCCGTCTAAGGGTTCATCTGGTTTCAAGGGGATGAGATGAGCCTTTTAACGGTACCAATTTGCTCCTACATAGTTAGGCTCGATATTTTACTACCATGTTCTAGCCATCATACATTCATTCCTTTGCGTGCAACTAGATATTGGGTCCCCCATTGCTTGCGAACTTGCACCCACTCCTCTTCCCATCCAAGCTCGTGAATCAGGAGTCGCCTGTACGACATCATCGGTCCCTCAAACCAAGATTTTGACTTGAGCTCCTCTTTAGCCCCCTCGTATGTCCCTGACCCGCTGTTCTCGAGCACAATCATAGCCCCCCCTACCGCTACGACCCGCGCGAGCTCCCGAAAGAGCATCCTACGTTCCCTGCGATTGTTCCACTTGCTAACTTCTTCCAACCCAAGATAGGAAACGACGAGCGAGATTGAATTGTCGGCAAACGGGAGGGTTGCTCGTGTCTCAGAGTTGGTTTCGTCCACTCGGCTCGTGCGTATGAGATCGCGTGGAACTCCAATTCGCGTCAATGTCTCCAAGTAGCATGTGGGATTATTCGGGATACGCGTCCATTTGCTCCATCGGTCATGACCGATGAAGATGGGAAGACTTGCCGAGGTACGTGCCTGCGCAATGTCCCCTTGGTGCGCAAGAATCTCCCTAGCAAAACATGCAGACGCCATGCCCTCGCTACATCCAATCTCCAGGATGATGCGCCGACCGTACACTGTCGGGTGAGTCACCGTGGGGTCAAACATGCCGCGGGCGATCATTTCGTGCGCTCGGTTCTTCCAGAATTTTGGAATAAAGATGAACTGGACTATCATGGTCGTGATGATGGCGATAGCTGCGGATATGAACTCTGGAGCGACTTCCCAGAACACCGATTTATGCTTCTTCGCACCTCCACGCACGGTTGCTAATATAATGATAGTGATTCCAAGGGTAATTAAGACGATGATATGTGCTCCATAGATGAGTGGCCATGTAAACGCCAAACGCGACGTCCAGCGTGGCCGTCGTCCATCGGAGACGAGGGGAACGCTAGCTGTTTGGTCCACAGGCAACGGCTGCGTCAATGTGATCCTCGGTCGCTTTTCTTCCAACTCCATCCTAGTTTATTTGCCTGTCCGTTTGGTCGGGATTATATATGCTCTGTGGAAACGTTTGTTCGGGCCCGCTACCCTGCTGCGCAAGGCGTTGCTCAAGGGGCACTGCCAGCGAGAGACACTATAGGTGGACTATGTTGATGCTGGTTGAGTAATAGTGTATTGTGTAAGCTGGAGGGTACTGTGGCCTTCCAACTGCCAATCAAGAAACTCCAGGCTGATCACTGCACAGGTACTGGATGGTAGAGAACTCTCGGCAGGAAAGCCAGTAGAGCCTAAATGGCTCGATAGAACAATTGGTCGTTTGAGATTGGAGAATGAACACGAAAATGGTCGGGTCCAAGGTGCGATATATCATCTCCGAGGTTGGAGCCGACAGCTTCTCGGGTTTCTGAACCATCAAACGGTAATACCCGCTTTACAGACAAATAGGCTTCTGGTTGGTCAAGTGGAACTCAATGTAGTGATTTCTGACCGTATCCTCGCAGCCGCGATCCAGACAACTTGGCCGAAAAAACCAATGTCCCAAAGGAGGCATAGGCAGCTCGAGAATGATATGGATCCCCCCGAAGCGTCGGTAGAAAAAAGCAATTGGGATGAAGGCAACCACAGAGAGAAGCCCGACGCGGCGGCCCGAGACGTAAGCAAGCACTACTCATGGCGTAGGCCCTCACTGACAAGAGGCCAGCAGTCGGTTCTAGCAAGCTCAGTAGAGTCAAACATAACGCAAGTTCCAAAAAAGGAAGTTTCTAGCCTTCCAGTTTGCATCCCATATCCATCCGCACAGGAAATCCGGCAGAAGAGACCCCAAGTCGCTCAATGGAATGCCAATTATATCACTCTACCCTCCGAGAGTCGTGGAACTCGGCAGGAGATCCTCGAATTTGCGCCTATTAGGCGGCTGCCGCTCGAGCTACTTTCGACGATCATCAGTATGCATGTCGAGGATCATGCGTCAGTCTGGGAGCCAATGCAAGTTTCGAAGACGTGGCGGTCTGCCACTTTGCTCGTGCCCAATCTTTGGAACTCACTCCTTCTATGCTCGCCAGATTGGCCAAACATTAAGAAGGCGAAAGAGGACAGAGGAAGAATCGGAACATATGACGTGTGCTGTGCAGAAGTACATGTACGTCGTGCACTCGCCCGTACGAGATCACATTTTCTCAATTTACAAATATCCTCCATGACTGGAGATCCACGGGGTCCGTTGTCGTACTCCACCCAGCCGACACTCCGACTCATCTCGCATCTTCTGGAAATTATCAGGACGTCCTTACCCGCTCGTCGCGTTCGCAACTTGACGCTCGACAGCAAGGAACTTCCAGACACTGTGTTTGCTGATTGGGACTTTTCGATGCTGGAGGAGATCAAGACCAGTAATGAATACGTCTTCGACAAGGCAATTGGAGAATCTAGGTCTCTCACCACCCTGTACGTCTCATCCGGATTGCTTCCAAAGCTTGGGCCTTCCGCCAACATTGGCCACATCACCAAGATACATATGGTGGACAATGCACCCCTAATTGGGTTGTCGCACTGTCACTTTCTCACTGATCTAACAGTGAGAGCGCTCAGGGGTGATGGAGAAATAGTTGCATTCCCGAGGCTGAAGCGGCTCCACGTCAGCAACTTGTTCACCGGGTGGACGATTGTCTGCCCAAACTTGGTTCACTTACAGATTACAGGTACGAGTGGCCGGTCAACCTGGTCCGGACAGGTCCACCTCCCTCAGTTGAGGGAACTTGTGTACTTCTACGCTCTTGATGTCGACTCGAAACTAATGTGCTTTGATGTTCCCAATCTCCGCGTCCTCAAACTGGCTTACGGTGTAACTTCTTACATAACTATCCAGGCGCTCACCAAACTCTGGGTAAACGGAGGCTCCACTGACTCGTACCGTCAGCATCTAGATCCACAGGAACTCATAGTCAAGGATATATTTATCGCTTCCGAGACTCTCTGTGGTATCCTTCGTCACTTGACGCGTTGCAAGGAGTTGCGTCTCGAGAATGTTATTCGCTCATCTGGGTTCTTTCAGGGTATGAGCACGGTCTCCTCAGAAGAAAAGGACGAAATCCGTGCGGCGAATCCTCCGCTACCAAACCTCACGAATCTGATCGCCGAAATACGAGAAAGTCCAAGAGTTCCCCCAGAGAGAATATTAATTGCTGCCAAGCGTCTAGTGCAGACAAGAAGGGAGCTGGGTATACCTCTCGAAAGACTGTCGATCAAAACACCGGGAAATGAAGGATGGCGAGAGCTTGTTCAAGAGGGTGACTGTGAATAAATGTAGATTTTCCTCACCATTTCATGCCCAATATATTACCCTCTTTCCAAATAAAACGATCTTTGGACTCGTCTGTTCAAACTTGATTCCGGCCTCGACGTTGGCTGGAGGCTCCCTTCAGATTCTGCCAGACCCCCAATCCCAACGTTGCATTCCAAGTCAGTTGGCCTGGTGTTTGACACTATCTCTCGCCAGTAGTGACAAAAGTGTACGACTTGCGTCAACGTCGTCTCGGGAATGGAACACGACATCATCTCACCAAAAGCATCGGAAGAAGAGGATTTAAATGATATGGTGAGCTCAAGATCGCTTTCGTGCGATGCTTATGTGACACTCGCCCAGAACGAGCAGAGTTCTATCGCGGACAGGTCCCAACCGCTCGATACAGCCGTTCTACATGCCGCACACCCTAGCTCGCAGGAGGTTGAGCACGTCAAGGCCCAGATCATTCAGCAAACGGAGTCCCACTACAGCCTCCAAGCCCGCCATGACGAGCAGTTTGAAAACTTGGATGCGCAGATAAAGCAAAAGGACAAGCATTTGCTTGAACTTAAAGCGTTCATCGCTCCGATTCGCCGACTTCCTTTGGAGGTCATGACCATTGTGCTAAGTATGCTCGTTTTGGACGAGGAAGGAGAATCACCATGGCGTCTCATGCGTGTATGTCGAACATGGAGAGCCGCAGTCATGCTGGCCAGGCAGCTTTGGACATCGCTACTCCTTTGTGTTCCAGACTGGCCAAACCTGTGGTTGGCGCAGAGAAACGACGGCAGATACAAAGGCTACCAAGTGTGCTATACGAAGAATCACCTCCTCTGTGCGCTCAATCGTGTTGGCCCGACACCCCTCGATATCTTTGTCTCCTTTCAATGTCGCATGGGATATACGAGTCGCGCTTATAATAGGATAGTGGAGCTCTTCGAAGCCTGCAAAGATGCTGGCGTCCGACCCCGAGTTGGCACTCTGGTCTGGGAAACGGGCTATGGATTCCAGTGGCAATTCCCGATGGAAGCTTTTAGCCTATGGGACATATCACCTTTGAGGGAGCTCACGACGTGGGATGAGGCGCTGCTCCAGAAATGCCTTGCGTCATCGCACAATCTCAGAAAGCTCGACATACCGACATCAAACCTTGCCATGGCACAAAAAGCACTCGTTCTTTCCCAGCTAGAGCGTCTTTGCTTACAAGGAAGCGGCGATAGCTCGCTGTTTGAAACCTTGCCCGAATGTCGAAGCTTGACCGAGTTGGAGCTGAAGGTTTTTGTCATAGACGGTGATCAGGAATTACCATCTTCGCTACCCATTCTTCCACGTCTCCATCGACTCTGCATGAGTGGGAGTTGTTGGTTGCTCCCCTTGGTGTGCATAAACCTTACCTATCTCAAGATCGAGCCCACCAGGACGATGAGTATACGTGGCGAGGTTCGTTTGCCCTGCCTAAAGAAACTCGAATACAGCTACGCGGCGTTTGCGTCAAACTCAGGTTTACCTTATCTCGATGCACCAAATCTCGAGGTCCTGGATGTGACCGACTCGGGAACCCCCGCGAATATTGCTTACTTGACACTGACAAAGATATGGACGGGTAAACCAGGAGACAGTAACCCTGGGCAAAAACTCGATCCAATGGTCCTCAAGATCAGAGAGGCGAGCAGTCATCCAAAGAAACTCGGCCGAATTCTGTCACGTCTGACGAATTGTGTGGAACTGCATCTCGACCGCGTATTGGCATCTCCCGAAATCTTTGAGGTACTCTGTCCCGCCTCGATCAAGAAGAAGAAAAGAGGCGAGGAACCCCCATTCTTCGCTCTGAAATCCCTCTCTATCACGTTTACCTACTCTCGACACAATTCTGTGACACGCGACGACATTGTGAAGGCCGCATCAGCATTCGTGGCCAAGAGACGGGATATGGGTAATCCAATCAAGCAGATGACCCTCAAGATTGCATACAAAACCTCTTTCCAGGACTTGAACATGGATCTCAGTGCCTAGATGCACAACAGTCTTGTACCTGTACTTGTCCATAGCGTTACTGGAATCTTAGCCTCACAGTTTCTACTCTCTCGTGCCAGTAAGGGAATCTACGGTCAAGAAACAGATAAATTTCCACTCTGCATCCGAATATTTCATCGATCCGCAAGACGTCGCATTGCTAGATTCCTGATGGATCTCCTCGGTTGCCTTGAATACTTATCGACCGTCCAGCTTTGTTCGCGCATATGCAACATCGTGAGCATACTGTTTCCCAACTTCACTCTGGCGTGCCATTTCCGCGTTGAGTTGCTCGCGATGCTGACCAATGCCTCTTGCTGTCCCAAACTGAGTCCAACAGGGCACGACTCCAGTAAATCCATGTGTCGCCGATTCTCCTTCGTCTTCAGTTGGCGGGAGGTCTCCTTCTTCGCCTCCAATACGCTGTTTGCAACTCGCATCTTCGATACGCACGCGAATTACGGCCGTCTTCTTTGCTTCTGTCTCTTCTGTTCTCCCGATAAAGGCTGTACGGTCGTAGCCGGTCACATCATTGACGACAGCCTCGAGCGCAACTAGTTTCTCAGCAACTCCGGAGGGCGTATTTGGGACAAGATAGGGCATGTGACCGTAGATGCAGGCTGAGCGGTAGTTGACAGAGTGATTTCTCGGAGTTGAACCGAGAACGAGTCCATCTATCTTGGTAGTCGATATGGTCAGTGAATCCAAGCCTGCCTTGATGGCTTGAACTAGCCGAGAGCCGTAATAGCTAGAAAAGCGATCAGAATTGGCAATGAGACGCGTATCCTTCATACCTATGAAGATAAGCAACGAGTTCGCCATTGTTCGGAGCCGAGTCGACATCCTCCGAGGTCGATGCGTACTCTCTAAGGACCACCAAGAGAGGGAGGTTAATTATGCGTGGACGCTCTTCCCCGTCGGGTCCTGCGAGCCCATTCCCGGGATGAAGGTAGGCGCAGTGAGCCATCGGCGACGCCTTGAAAATCTCCTTTAGAGCTTCACGAGAGTAGGTTCCTCTGACCGCTCTGCTTCGTAATTGAGCAAGCGGGGAGGGACTTGCTGCCTTGGAGTCCATAGGTTCGACTTGGAGAGGTGTAAGAAACAAAGCTGAGTCATTTGCCAGTCCATGGCACCGTAAAAGTGTTGCTCGCAAGGAATTTCCGATAAGAAGAAGCCAAGAATTAGATACGAAGGATTCTATAGTTACTGAATTTCTACGGTCTGGATGGTCTCCAGTCGGTCACTCGTTTAAAGATGCTCTCGACCTGCTCATTCCACTTTGCTTTGACAAGAGCACCAAACGGAGGCGGTGCTATTCTCTCTGCTGCTGTTGGAGGGACAACGAGACCAGCTTGAGGATTCGACATTGTCTCGGAGAGTTCATGAAGTCTGATAATAGTCTAAGGTGAACATTCGCTTGCAATGTAGTGTGATAAATCACCTCGACTTGTACTGTATGACGCCTGTACGGAGTCTGTACGAAAACGAGTAATAGACCTGCAAAATCCGTTCAGAATGAATGATTAGCAAGCGAATAATAATTGTAATACGCACTCCTCCTGCCAATACAGCCCCCGCAACCGTGCCAGTGAGGAAACTCATCGTCTTGGTGGATGTCAACTTGTGAAGCCGGCCACGATATCGGCCACGTACTGGTGACGGCCAGAGACCAGTTCCAAATACTCTCGACGCGGGAATAGCAAGAGAAGTATCATAATTCTATGGCACAATCACCCACAATCGCTATTCCAAAGAAATCGACAGACGAGGTCGACTGGACAGGGCCAATCCGGGCGATTATCAAGTCATCGTATGGCGAGAATCCTGACAACTATGCTGCAGAATGTGCAGCTCTTCAGAGGTGCAGACAGGACGCCGTGCGAGGTGCTGGTAGCGATCTAACGGGTGAGTGCTCCCACTCTTCAGTGGCGTTGGCCATGGCTCATCATCCTGAACAGCGGCGTCGCTCTTGACCAAGTATTTTGGTCAGCTAGAACTCCTCGAGCTACGCTTTTCAGAGATTCGCGTCTCATTCCCATGGCGAGACGCGTTCACGTCCAAGCTCACGACGCAGACGTCCATGGCATTCGAGAAGGCGTCTATAATTTATCAAATTGCTGCGACGCACTCTTCTATCGCAAATTCGCAGAACAGATCGGACCCAGAGGGCCTCAAGCGGGCGTACTACTACTTCCGAACGTGCGCCGGGATGCTGACGTACATCAATGACAACTTTCTACATGCACCATCAACAGATCTCAGTCGAGAGGTCATCAAGTTTCTTGTTGGCATCACAATGGCCCAGGCAAATGAGACCTTTTACGAGACGTGCATCGACCAGCGCAAGTCCCCCACCCTCGTATCAAAAGTGGCAGCACACACAGCATTTTTGTATACGAGTCTCTGTGAAGAGGTGAAAGAGTTCTTTGGGAAGGGCATTTTTGACCGTAATTGGGTCACGTTGCTGCAGGTACGAGAGCCAAATTTCTTAGTATACTTATTTACATCCTCTAGATCAAATCCAAATACTTCACTTCCCTTATGCATTATCATCGGGCACTCGCAGACTCGGCTGCGGGAAAGCACGGCGAGGCACTCGCCAGGTTCATCGTCGCAGAGAACAACGCCAAAGAAGCGCACAAGCTCGCATCATCTTTCGCGCCCTACTTTGTTACGACGCTCTCGACGACATTGCCGGCCGACACAGGAACTGCCATCCTTGAAATCACCAAGGCGCACTTGGCCCTCTGCACGGAGAAACATACTCAAGGCCAAAAGGACAACGACCTCATCTACAACGCCATTGTCCCTGCGGAGGCTACGCTACCCGCCATTGACAAGATATCCGCGGTGACCCCTGTACCGATTCAAGAAGTGTACGGCACGCCCGAGGTGCAAAAGACGATTGGGCCAGACTTGTTCGCAAAGCTCATCCCTTTGAGCGTCCACGAGGGTGCGAGTGTATACTCGGAAGAAAAGGCCAAGATTGTGCGCGCAGAGGTAGAAAAGGCAGATGTGGCAGAAAGCGAGATCAAGGCAGGACTCGAGTCGCTTGGTGTCAAGGCTGGGTTGCCCAGATATAAGGAGATTGCAGAAGGCGAGGTGGATGATTCGGTACCGCCCACTGTGCTGTCCTGGCATGATGAAGTCAAGCGACGGGAATCAACGGATGCGGTGGAAAAGCATCTGCAAGAGTTGGACACTCTCAAGAACAACGTGACGAGGGATCTGAACGCCATTGATGAGATGCTTGGAACAGAGAGCCGGGAGTGTGAGATGATGAGGGTATGGACGATTGAGGCGATGAATGTTTGCTTATGCGTACATAGGTGAAATTTGGGCACAAATGGACGCAGGAGCCTTCAAGTGGACCCGCGAAAGACATTCGAAAGGACCTCAAGGACCATAAAGCGACTCTTGAAGCTGCAGCACCCTCCGATCAACAGGTCTACAGCTTATGGAGTTCCATTCGGAGTGACATTACTCTCCTCGTCTCGAGATCACAGCTCGAGGGAATGTTTGCGAGCGCAGTCAGTGGGAGTGCCGCCGATCTGCTTGATGTTGGGGAAGCAGACACAGATGATGCCGAGAGGGAGAAGATGCGCAAACTCGTGCGAGAGATTGAAGAACGATTGGGCAAGATTAACAAGATTGCCCGTGAGCGGAATGAGGTGCTCAAAGACCTGAAAGAGAAGGTGAGACCGCTTCTGATGTGCTTGATGCAGTTGACACTCTATAGGTTCAAAATGACGACGTATCTCATTTACTGCTTCTCAATAGGCGAACATCGGGTATCGAACCGACACTCTTTGCAAACGAGTTGGAAAAATTTAGACCCTATCAGTCGAGGCTCGCGTCTACGACGCATGCCCAACAAGCCACCCTGCAGGAGATTGCGCAATTGTGGAAGAACCTCAAAGACAAGGGCGGAAAGGGAAAAGGCGCGAAGAAATGGGAGGAACGCGAAAAGCGCGTGCATGCACTCGTCAAACGATTTGGAATCGCACGAGAAGGCTATCTCGAGGTATCTGATGGCGTAATGTACGTTGAATATGTTTCTTGGTCCGATGTGCTGGCTGATTTGATTACAGGAAAGGGTTGCAGTTCTACAAAGATTTGACAAACCTGACGAAGAAATTACACGATCGTGCAAATACATTTGTATCTGCACGTAATCGGGAACGAGAGTCGCTCGCTGGACGATTGGAGATTGAGACACGATTGGAAGGTGCACCCTCGACACCGTCTGCCGGGCCACTCTCCCCATCTCTGGGATCCGCGCCGCGTGTTCCACCGCCTCCGCCTCGACCGCTTGAATCGTCGTTTGCTTCGATGAACCTTGGAGGATCGTCTGCACCACCGCCGATGGCACCGAGCACGGTCGCCTCTCCCCCGCCAGCGCCAAACGCATGGCAACAGCATCAACGCACTGCTTCGAATGCGTATCCTCCACCACCCCAGCAGCACACCAATTCATACCCTCCTCCGCCGGCTTCCTCTGGCTATTCTTACTCGCCATACACGCAATCTCCTCCTCCTCCGCCGCCTGTTCAACAGCAACAACAAAGCTATGGATCGGGTGGCTTCCCACCTCCCCCTAATCAACAACCGGCGATCGGATCAGCACCCCCGCCTCCTGATCCGTATGCAGGGATGTTTAGTTCGGGCGGTTTTTCGAACCAGTTTTCCACTGCTCCTGCTCCTCCTGTTTTATCTTCAAACGTATCGTCGCCTCTTCCTCCCCCTCCACAGCAACAATCATGGGGAGCGCCGTATAGCGGGTATCAATCGACAGCATCAGGATACGGGACACAACCACCACCGCCCCCACCACCAGCACAATCTTATGGAGGATATACTGGATATCAATCACCACCTCCTGCGCAAAGCCAGCCGGCGTATGGTGGCTATCCGCACCAAGGGCCCGGGGCACAGGGACCTCCAGGGTCAGGAGCACCAGGTAGTGGTTATCAAAGTGGAGGGTATGGCCAACCAAGCTATCAAGCCTCTGCTCCGCCGTCTTCACAGCAACCTGGCCAGCAAGCAGCGTCGTCGTCGTCATCGTCATTCGGATATGGGATGCTTCCACCTCCTCCGGCTCCGCATGGTGGAACGTATCAATATCGATAGACGAGCTGGCTGGTTGATCGGTGTCGGAATGGACGGTCGAGTCGTGGCCACACGATGTGTGCGTGGAGGCTGGGCTGCGTGATGTAAACAAGCAAAGGTTTTCCATATGTAATACAAATTATTACGTCGATGATGGGATTGCTGAAACGATGACGTATGACCGCACAAGGCGCGAGTGAATTGGACTATGACGAATAGAGTTTTGGACGGAGGAGCAGGAATGAGAGCATGATGGTCATCGCCCCTGTTCAGAGTTGCGACCGTCTCTTGATCCTCGCCACTCCCGACGGCTACGTAACGGCCGCCGCTGCCCACTGCGCTATAAAACAGTCCGTCTAGAACTCGCCAGAACACTCAGAATTGCTGGTTCCGCCGCCTTTTGGGTTCGTCAACTTTGAGTCTTTGAGCACTGGTGACGACAAACTAACAACCCACATCCCTCCGAATAGCCAGTTCGTTGAATACACTAGAAGCCGCTTGAGCATATCCACATCAGCCTCAAACGGGCCCCCAAGACGATGCTCCTCACTCCCCCCGCAGATTGGCTCACCAGCCCGCCAAATTTCACCGTCGAGGACCCACTTCAGGATACTATTCTTATTTTCTACGCTTCTATCGATCCCAACACAGGCGTAATGTGGTGTCCAGACTGCCGCAAGGTCAAGTCGACCATTGACTGGCTTTTTGCCGGCGAGGACAAGCCACCTGCATATGTCATTTACGTCGGCTCAAAAGCCGAGTGGAAGCTCCCTGCACAGAACCATTATCGCACCGATTGGAAGGTTGATGGTGTTCCGACCATGCTCAGATTCAAGAATGTGAGTCTTTTTATACTCATTGTACCCATGGAACCTTTCTAACTCGGATCATAGGGCAAAGAGGTCGCTCGTCTTGTCGAAGATGAGATCCTCGACTCGACCGCCTTGGGCCAGTTCTTCCTCGCATGACCTCGTTATGGTCTACCTTCAATGATACCCCTTCTACTCAAGTCGTTTATAGCCACTACAATCATCTTTGTAGGCGCCTCCTTTTGTATCCTATTCACGGTCGTTCGTCTGAGGAGTACAGTGGCATTTTGTAGCATTTTCTATTCTATAAACGTTTGATTATTTATATTCGACGTACCGACCCTAATTCTGATCCTTGTTTAAACCCGTCATCTGGACCAGAACTCTTGGCCCATAGTCGAGTCGGACTTCGTTGAATGGAAAGCCTAGTCGTTTCCTAGCATTCAAGAACGATGTTGCAGCCATGTCGAATTCGATGAGGCTGAATGGAATGGACGCGGTCTCGCCCCCAAATGATATCTGTATAGCATACAGTTGCTTGAGTGGAATATCCCATACGCCACCTTTCTCTGCAGGGGGGTTTGTTTTCATCAACTCATCTCGGAGGCAATAGAATAAGTCTATATGGCTTTGCACTTCCGTGATCCCTGGTCGGATGCGGAGCGTGGTGAGTCGCGTCACACGACAGAGATAGCCTATAAAGGTTGGCATGGAAGTGGCGGTAGATGAGAAGGCTATGTCCAGGCAAACGGGGTCAAGTCGGAGCATGGATGCGTGCTGGTCGTTCGGTAGCCTCGGTGGCCATATACTATTCAAAACGTACTGCAGTGACGTGTTCAATGTGGTTTCAAGCGTCTCCACGACCAACTTTTCCAAGTGGGGAGCGACCAAGGTGAGCAGAGGAGAAGAATGAGAGCATGTGATGGTCTCAAGCTGCATTAATGTGATACTCCTCGTTGGAGAAAAGTTTGGCAACTTCGTTGCCACTTCCAATTCTCTCAGTTTTGGGCTGTTCACCGGCCACTCCGCACCCACTCCTCCCCCAGCGACGAGACAAAATTTGACGAGTGACGGTAGTTCAATAGGCGGGTCTACGATGGGTGCGTAGTCTAGGTTGAGCGCAAGGGTGTGTAATGATGTACAAGTGACGAGCAGTTGACGAGGTAGTTGGCCACTTGCTCCAGCCAAAATCAATCTCTGCAACCGAGGAAGCCCGTTACCAATATCTAGTTTAGACGCAACTTCCGTGGTTGTAGCTAATGTGCGCAGTGTTGTTGATTGGCGTACAGCTTGTTGGACCGACTGCCTTCGTACGGTGAAGAGCTGCTGCAGCTCGCTGAAATCCCATTGGATATTCGGAAGTTGATTCATGCCCGGTATCGGTGGCTCGGAGTACAAGCGAAGTTTAATGGTAGGTTTGTGTCTGTGAATGAGGTCGAGAAGAAGCTTCAGCTGGGAGACGGGTAGCTGTCCGACGCGAAGGTCAGTCAGTCTTGACTCGGAGTACTTGAGATACGCTTGTAACTGCTCTTCGCTCGCACACCTTATGTATGTATATGGCGGTACATCGGTGAGTGGCGGATGGCCGAGATAAATTGCCTTCCACAGTCGGCTAGTACCTATTGCGGCGATCCTCCATGCCCTACATACGTGCATAAACGTCCAGACGCTCCCCTGGTTCCGGAAAACATGGAACTCTACGATCACAGAGAGAATTTCAGGAGGAATTCGGCGAAGTGGGGATGTGAGCGCCTTTGCATATAGCAAAGCGGCATTCTCCTGTTGTATATGCACCTCGAGCTTTTGAGTGAGGGCTTCCTTCATCTGGTCGAGTGGCTCGCATACGGTTGTTTGTTGAAGGGCTATCAGCTCTCGGATTCTCAGAGCATCGTTTCCACCAAGTTCTGAAGAGAGCTTGAAACTGTATATTTCGCTTCGCAGACTCTGCTTTGGTATCAATTCGCGTCAATATAATGAGAAAGAGGGTACCGGTTGATGTAGCAGAGCTTCGACTGCTCGTAAGAGCCTGAGCAGGCTCGCAAGGCCCTCGTCCAACTGACTCTCGTTGTTCATTGCCACAAAAGATAGTTACTAGATATGCAGCGATTATATTGCAGCGATGTCTGGTTGCTCGGAAATTGGAGAACGTCCAACCTGTCTAGCGCACCTGCCACCGTAGGCGAGCCATCCATCCCTAGTGACAATAGCAAAGCAATGAGAAGTTGCCCCTAAAGATCAGCAGCTACAGCCTAAACCCTGGGCGTCGTGTTTTTGCGCATTCTAAAGACGTGACCCGCAATTTCACTCGACCATGGCAAGTCATGAGTCATTGATTATATATGGATATATACAACCGCGGGAAGAAGGAAACCAGGTATAAAGCGAGGGCCCAGCCATGGGAGCAAGCAGTCTCGCCGGTTAATCTGACAGTCGTATCGGGCAAGGCTATGAACTATTGAGGGATTCATCATTACGTATTTCGCGATCACTCACTAAATAGATGAGGCAGCAATCGAGGAAGAGTCAAGATGGCTTATTGGTTGCTCGTGCAATCCTCGAGGATGTCGTAGCCAATCTCCAAATAACGCAATGGAATGCCAGCTGACTTCCTCGCCTCTGCAAACTCGCGGGCGCGATGTGTGAGTGCAGAGCGGCTGACTCTACGTAATCCGGAGAAAGTGATGACGAGAGATTCGAGGGTTCTCGAAATGGCAATACCGGAATGGATACGTTTCTGCTCTACCTTTAGAACCTTGAAGAGCTCGACAGAGTGTACAATCCCATGCAATCTGAGTTTAACACAGCGCGTGAGAGTTGCCAGAGCCTTCGCAAGCAGCTTTTGGTCAACACGCATGTTTCTGAGATGTAGCACGCATGGATTGAAGCGCTCTTCTCTGGGCCTATTGACCCAAAGCCGCGAGAGTAGATTGTCGTTATCCTCGAAACAGACTGAATTCCATGGACCTGAAATTTTCAGATCTTCCAAGTTCGGAACCTTGAATACAGGAAGGTGTATATCTGCACTCGATCCGGTGTAATCGAATATCCTCAGTCTTGGGAGTACGATATCGGTGTGGATGATGGAATCCGAACGTCCGGTGTATTCGAGGGAGAGCTTCATGATATTGGGGCAGTCGATCGGCCAGAATGGAGTGCATGACCTAAGAACCAGATACCAGAGCTGGGGCATTAGAATTGGATTGGCCTGCGGATTTAGCTCGCAGTCTTGCAGTGTAAGATCGCTCACGCGCTCACACAGGATAAGGATTCGACCTAAGACTGTACCGTCTACCTTGCTTATATGAAGCTTGCGCAGGCGGCCCCAGAGAGGCAGGGATTGAAATGGCTTCAGCTGACTTCCTCTGATGCGAAGTATGGCGAGCTTCCGAGATTCTAAGATGGCTCGTTTGAGTAAACGATCATCTTCCGTCTCAATCTCCTCCAGACCGGTCAAGTCCCAAGAGTCGAAGAGCGCTGAGGCCAACTGATGAATGTTGGTTACTCGTAGGGACCGGGCTCGGGGAGATGGGAAATGTTCTCTGACCGAGTTGAAGAGTGCAGTCACATGGGATTCATAAGACCCAAAAATGGCATCGAAGCTGATGCTGAGCGGCAACCCCTCGCTACGCGTGAATGCACGAAGTAGCTGTTTTTCCGTTCCACATCGAGCTACTCCATCTGAACTCAGGTAGTGATATCCCATTTGAACCTCGATAGTACTCCATATCTCTCCGGCGAGCTTCGCTGCTCTGTGCCACCTTCTACAAACGAGCATGGCTGCTTGGAGAGAGCCATAGTTGCCGCATATATGATATACTAGGATCATAGAAATGATCTCCAAGGGTAGACGTTTCGCAGGAGAGGTTGACTCCATCAACGACTGCTTTATTATGTCGGACAGAGCATCGAGAGCTACTAGCTGCTTCTGAAGCTGTTCTCGTTTGACTCCGAAAGCTTTAAAGGTTGCTCTCAGCCTTTCGGGCGTGTAAGTCTGGTGAATTTGGCGAATCCGGGCAAGTCTTTCTTGACTTGTCTTGGGCACAAGCCGTGTATAATCCATGATATGTTGAAACCTATCCCTTTAGCCAGCTATGAATCGTAAGAATGGATATAGAGCTTTCCGAACCAGGTTCACTGACAGATTCCGACTCACGACGAGGTCGATCTCAACTGTCGACGAGATGTCTCCAACCGTTGTTCTAGCGATTAATGGAGACCGAAATAATATAATATGATATTCTAAGGGACAAAAAGTTGCGTCCGCTCGAAAACGTTGCTACCGGCAGAGAACAAGCAACGAGACTGTCAAGCGGAGAGCTGCCACCGCCAATTCCCCAAAGTGATCATGTCATATGAGGACTGAATGGAGAATGTTATAGCCATTAAATATCAAGGACATTTCTACTCAGCAAGATAAATTTATCAATTCAGGCGAAAAACGCGGGAAATGGGAGACAGGAAGGTCACTTAAATGAACAAGTGAAGGGGACGCAAATTAGAAACATTTGGACCATCATTAGTTATCTCCGATGACCTTGGAGTTGACAACCAGGCTAAGGAAGGGCATTCCAGCTGCCTGTCTGGACCTGACAAATCGTCGTGCAGTGTCCAGAACGGTATCACTGCATCCCTGAGTACATGTAATGTCCAGCGATATGAGAGACTCCAGAGGAGTCTCTTGCTCTCCAGTGAAAGTCCTCACTTCATGAGCAGGGCTGAACACCTCGAAGAGCTCGTCCCTCTGCACGACGTGGAATAGATCAAGCTTAATGCAACGGGTCAGCGTGGAGAGGGCTCCGACGAGGGCTTTGACATTGACTTGAAGCAAAATTATTTCAAAAGAGATGGGATCGAGACGCTGTTCTGCGGGTTTATTGATCCATGTACGCAACAGAAGATCCTCGCCATCATGATCAGAGGGGGCGTAAATGGTCAATTTCTCCAAATTTGGAGCTTGAAATATGTCAGGTTGAGGTTTCACTCCGTCAACAGTGTACGTGAGCTTGTTCAGCCTGGGCAGGATGACACTTTTGAGAGATGGTTGCGAGCATGTTTGCATAATTGAAAGTTCGACGAAGTTGGGGCAATCTATGGGCCAAAATGGGTTGCACCATTCTAGAGACAGCAATTGGAGCTGAGGCAAGGAGATCCTGACCACGTCCTCGTCCACGCGGCACCATCGCAAGTGGAGATATTGCAAGGGTGTACAGAGGGGGAGGATTTCCGAGAGAGCCGAGTCGGAGCTTCCCTCAGTTCGAAGACTGCGTAGCCGTCTCCATATCTCTGGATCTTGGACCTCGTGAAGCATAGATCCGGCCAAGCCAAGCGCGACGATCCGGCTGGATTCGACGACTGCTCGTCTAATCAAGTCGTTATTCCTTGTTTCAATCTCCTCGAGGAGATTCAAATCCCAGGATGCCGACAGTGTTGTATACCATGAGCTGAGAGTGTCCGGCGAGTCTAGCCACAACGCTCATGCGCGAGGTGTTTCGACGGTCTCTTCAATCACCTTGATGAGACTTTGGACGTGGAACTGTGATGTACCTTTATCTGTAATGCTCAGAGGCAAACCTCTACTGCGCTTGAGTGCGGCCAATAGTTGTGGCTTGGTCCCACATTTCAGCACACCGTAACATAGTCTGTCATGTGTTGCTCCTGTTGTGAGGTGGATGTAGCTCCAGACCTCTCCAGTAAGAATCGCTGCTGTGTGCCAAGCTTTGCAGACGAGCATGGTCGCTAATAAAGGGCCATCGCTGGCGCAAATGTGATGGAAGATAACGATGGAAATGGCTTCCAACTCGTCTCTTTGACCCTCGTCTCCCTGGCGCCGATCCTTGCCAAGGATCGTCTGTCCCGGTAGTTGAATGACGAGATGGTCGAGCTCGATGTCACGCTTTCCCGAGGACGGGAACGGGAACGTGAGCGCGACAAACGTGGACGCGGGCACAAGAAGCGCTTTAGCGTCGAGTGGTGGAGGCGCAGTTTGAGCATGTCCCGGAGTAAAGAGGCAGAGGAGAACGTCGAATTGTTGAGCGTGTCGCCTGCGTGATGACACTGCCATCGGCTCTCCATGTTTTGGTGAAACCCGGACGGACGGACGGGCCTCGTCTTTTTTTATCGCGGTACTTTTCTACCGCGCTCAATCGCCCCTTTAGATTATCGTGCGACTAGGGCTCTGCGAGGCCGTACGTAACCCGAGTCTTCGGTGCCAAGATTGAAGAGTAATTTACTTGCGTTTGCAAACTTGGTCATGTTGTTGTGACTGCTATATCGCTCTCCACGGGTCGAGGCTGATAGGTAGACGCCGAACAGATCTTGAACTCATCCACCGCCACGATGTCGACCCAAAAGCCAGCCAAGGCTAAGAAATCGCACAAGAGTGCGAATACGTCTCAGTCTTCGTCTGTCGCGGAGGGTTCGTCCAGCAAGAAGCAGCAAGTGTACGACACTGTCAACGTCGGCCTCGATGTAATGGCGAATGTAGCTGAAGGGTCGGATATTCTTGCGCCTCTCAAGGCAGCTTGTAAAACTACAAAGTCTATCCTCGATGTCATGCAGGCACGTTGGCGAATTGTGGTATAGGCGGCGAGTCTAACGAGTCCGATAGGCAATAGATAGCAACCAAGAGGATTGGAAGGATCTAACGCAACGCCTGGGAGAGTATAAGACTGCACTCGAGGAACAAACCGCCTTGATCGGCAAATACCCCATAGCGGACAAGGACGTCTACGAGGCGCTCAACCAGCCGCTTGCCCGATATATGGAGTACGTGAACAACTTAGGGATCAATCTTAACAGGCTGAGCAATGCAGGCTTCTGAAAGGGATGCAAACCATGGTCGTCAATTTACAGGAGAAACGCAAGCAAAGCAAACTCGGTGTATTCAAAGCGTTCAGCAAAGTTAAGGTCGATGCGGGAGAGATTCGTCGATTCAATCGGGATATCGAGGACCGACATAGGCAGTTGATGGTGCGACGAACACACTCTTATTCATCAGTTGACCATAGGTACAGAGTGCATTGACTCTTTTTATTGCGTTACTGGTTCAAGCCAACGGTAAGCTCTAGTCTTACATGGAACACCTGCTTAAAATTCTCAAGCCGACTCCACTGCGATACTTCAGCTACCGACTGTAGACTTCGTAGCGTCCTCAGTTCATAGTCGCTGTTTGGAGGGAACACGCGAGGCTGTTCTCAAGATGATCTGGGACTGGGCCAATGGCGATGCATCGGACAAGCCGATATTCTGGCTCTGCGATATCGCTGGCTCCGGCAAGTCCACAGTCGCAATGTCCGCATTGGAGACATGGCAGAGGGAAGGAACGCTAGGTGGCCGATTCTTCTTCTCCATGGCAAGTAACGAGGCCTCCACGACCGACAAATTCTGTCCCACCATTGCAAGAAATCTCGCCCACTACATTCCCCAGCTCGGGCCCCACATTGCTGATGCCATCAAACGCAATCCCTCTTTCATGCAAAGCTCTCTTGGAGAGCAGTTTCAAACCCTCGTCACTACTCCTATCCTTCGTCGGCAACAGCGTGTGATCCTCGTCATCGACGCTGTCGACGAGTGTAAATCTGGAACACAGCGTAAACAGCTGCTCGACGCCCTTTGTGTGGCCGTTCAAGAGTGCAAGAACCTCAAGATATTCATGACAAGTAGACCAGATCCTGTCATCCAGTCGACCCTTGAGACCGTCTCGATCAAGGCCAAAGTGGAGAACCGCCTTCACGATGTCAACCACCCAGATAACGTTGATGACATCGCTGCCTATATACATCGATCGCTCGATGGGATTCTATCTCCTGACAAGAGGCAGCAACTAGTCGAAAAGGCCCAAGGACTGTTCATCTGGGCGAGCACTGCTTGCCGGATGCTGAACAGTGAAGCCACATGGGACACGCCAGAGAACGTCTATGATCGATTGATCTCAGTGGACAAGGCGGGAGACATAGACGACGTATATGGTCTCATCTTCGAGCGGATAGACCCAAAGGCTCAAGAGTCGATGTGTAAAATGCTGGCCCTACTGCTGGCAGCGTTCGAGCCGCTCACAGTCGACGAGGTGCAGGACATCCTGACGCATGTCAAAGTACGCGGGAGCGTCAAGATGTTGGTGCAGAATCTAGGAAGCGTACTGAGCGTGGATGAAAGGACGCAGCTAATCCAATTTCGCCACCCCACGCTTGTTGAGTACCTTCAACGGTGCTCCATGACTCCATCTACCAGCAAATTCTCCATTAAACTCGCAGAGGCTCATGGACAAGCTGCGTCCTGGTGTCTCAACCGCCTCACATCACGGACCGATGGGCTCAAGTTCAACATATGTCAAATCGAATCATCTTTCTTCCTCAATAAGCAGATTCCGAATCTTGCCGACAGAATATCCAAGTTTATCCCACGGCAACTTCAATACGCAAGCTCGCATTGGTGTTTCCACATCATGAAAAGTGACGATAGCTGGCGACGCACAGTCAAGAAAGAACTTGAACAATTGACGGAAGCATCCTACGCGCTATATTGGATGGAGGTGCTGAGTTTTACGAGGGGACTACCACGAGCAATAAACGGCCTTCGAGCAATTGTACGTCACATGGGAGTATGTAATCTTTTGAAATGGGCTCCAGACACTCACACAGTAATAGCTTGAAGAGGAGACAAGAAAGAGGATGACCGAGATCCGGCGGTTTATGATGGCATATTCCGTGCCGATCCAAGAGAGTGCTCCACACATCTACATTTCTGCGCTTCCGTTCAGTCCGAAAGAGTCAAAACTGCACACTGACGGCTTGATAAAGTACAGGAGGACGCTTAAAGTGATGGAGGGACTTGAGGCAATGTATTCCAGACTTCCGAGAGCTCTTCGAGGCCATCAAGATGCGGTGATGGCCGTCGGATTCTCGCCAGACGGCTCACGAATCGTCTCTGGCTCTTCCGACAGGACTATTCGACTGTGGGAGGCAGACACCGGCCAGCCATTGGGAGAGGCGCTCCGAGGTCATGAATATCCTGTGATGGCCATCGGATTCTCGCCAGACGGCTCACGAATCGTCTCTGGCTCTTCCGACAGGACTATTCGACTGTGGGAGGCAGACACTGGCCAGCCATTGGGAGAGCCACTCCGAGGTCATGAGGAAGGATCAATGCCGTCGGATTCTCGCCAGACGGCTCACGAATCGTCTCTGGCTCGGCCGACAGGACTATTCGACTGTGGGAGGCAGACACTGGCCAGCCATTGGGAGAGCCACTCCAAGGTCATGAGGGAGAGATCAATGCCGTCGGATTCTCGCCAGACGGCTCACGAATCGTCTCTGGCTCTTCCGACAGGACTATTCGACTGTGGGAGGCAGACACTGGCCAGCCATTGGGAGAGCCACTCCGAGGTCATGAAGGAATTATCTGCGCCGTCGGATTCTCGCCAGACGGCTCACGAATCGTCTCTGGCTCTTCCGACGGGACTATTCGCCTGTGGGAGGCAGACACTGGCCAGCCATTGGGAGAGCCACTCCGAGGTCATAAGCATTGGGTGAGGGCCGTCGGATTCTCGCCAGACGGCTCACGAATCGTCTCTGGTTCTTCCGACAGGACTATTCGACTGTGGGAGGCAGACACTGGCCAGCCATTGGGAGAGCCACTCCGGGGTCATGAGGATTGGGTGAGGGCCGTCGGATTCTCGCCAGACGGCTCACGAATCGTCTCTGGCTCTTCGACAGGACTATTCGACTGTGGGAGGCAGACACTGGCCAGCCATTGGGAGAGCCACTCCAAGGTCATGAAGGAATTATCTGGGCCATCGGATTCTCGCCAGACGGCTCACGAATCGTCTCTGGCTCTTCCGACGGGACTATTCGACTGTGGGAGGCAGACACTGGCCAGCCATTGGGAGAGCCACTCCGAGGTCATGAATATCCTGTGAGGGCCGTCGGATTCTCGCCAGACGGCTCACGAATCGTCTCTGGCTCGGACGACAGGACTATTCGACTGTGGGAGGCAGACACTGGCCAGCCATTGGGAGAGCCACTCCGAGGTCATGAAGGAATTATCTGCGCCGTCGGATTCTCGCTAGACGGCTCACGAATTGTTTCTGGCTCTGACGACAGGACTATTCGACTGTGGGAGGCAGACACCGGCCAGCCATTGGGAGAGCCACTCCAAGGTCATGAGGGAGAGATCAATGCCGTCGGATTCTCGCCAGACGGCTCACGAATCGTCTCTGGCTCTTCCGACGGAACTATTCGACTGTGGGAGGCAGACACCGGCCAGCCATTGGGAGAGCCACTCCGAGGTCATGAGGGAGGGATCAATGCCGTCGGATTCTCGCCAGACGGCTCACGAATCGTCTCTGGCTCGGACGACAGGACTATTCGACTGTGGGAGGCAGACACTGGCCAGCCATTGGGAGAGCCACTCCGGGGTCATGAGGATTGGGTGAGGGCCGTCGGATTCTCGCCAGACGGCTCACGAATCGTCTCTGGCTCGGACGACAGGACTATTCGACTGTGGGAGGCAGACACTGGCCAGCCATTGGGAGAACCACTCCGAGGTCATGAAGGAATTATCTGGGCCATCGGATTCTCGCCAGACGACTCGCGAATCGTCTCTGGCTCTTCCGACGGGACTATTCGACTGTGGGAGGCAGACACTGGCCAGCCATTGGGAGAGGCACTCCAAGGTCATGAAGGTCCAGTGATGGCCGTCGGATTCTCCCCAGATAGCTTACAAATCGTTTCTGGCTCAGAAGATGGGACAGTTCGATTATGGAATACAGATACTGGTCAGTTGTAGTTTCAAACTATCGCCGATTGAGACAGCAATCTGACCACTAAGCGTAGCTGTAAGCGCCCACATTTCTGACTCCAGAGACGTACGCTCCAGTCTCGCAGACGAGGAACAGGGTACTCCTCTGAGAATCGTCGTCCCTGGGTTCAATCAATGCTCAATGATGCAGGATGGCTGGGTGAAATCTGCCGGTCGTTTTCTCTTCTGGGTGCCATCAGACAACCGAAATGGACTATTATATCCTCATATTCTAACGATACCAACGACGAGTCGATATCGCCCGACCAGAATTGACTTTACCCACTTTCAATGTGGACCGTCTTGGACAAACGTTCGAGCAGGGACCAACAACTGACTTATTGTGATTTCTATGACCGTCAATCTATTGTGTATTCATATGAAACGGATGAAGAATCCCAGGAAGGAGAACAAATCGCTTGTGTAGCCGTCGCGTCGTTGAAACTCCGGTAAGAAAGGCTGGGACGACATCGTAAAGGAGAGGTTGGCACGGACAACTGAATGGCCACCAAGTGTTTAACTGTTGGGTATTGAGCTCGAGAACAGCAATGAGGCACTGTATTTAGTCCATCCTCCAAAACTACATATACTGAGTATTTACGAGTTTATTAAAGTATATCTTTGATGAGGATGAGGCCTGGCGCACATCAGCTGATCCGCCTATTGTACACTTTTGAACCTGACCATTGCGCTTGCTCGACCAAACCAACGGCCACTGTTAGGAGAAGGATCACGACGAGTTATTCAGTCCATTGATAGCTCGTCTCTTTTCGACTCTCACCCAAACAGACAAAGGAAACACGCGCCCATAGCGCGGTCGGGGGTGGACGTCGAATTAATCGACTTGGACGCAAGGAAAAGAAGCCGAGTAAGCAGGAACACATAATAAAGGAAGAGAACACAATATCCTGTCCACTTGCCGCTCTCACTTCCAAGGATGGACTGTGAGCGCCTGGTCCAGCTCGTGGTGGACCATCAGGCTGCGATACAGTGTCCATGTATGTATAATGTGAGAATATAGGTAAAAAATTGGTCGTAACGCTGTTGTGAAACTTCCAAACCCGGTTTGCTGGCGCCTTTTGGATGTGACAGGGATGGGTAGTTGGAGACGGTACGTCTAAAAGGTACATTAGTGATTGACGTTGATCGGTAGTAATGGCGTACGAATGTTCCCAGAGGAATGGATGTGACCGGGTGAACACAGTGGACTCGGAGAACCACTGCCACCGAGAACCCAATGGGTCGTCTATGAGATGCCAAAGTGATAATGTACTCACGACAACTAAATGAAGAATGTTATCTCTAAGGGGCAATTTCGCTCAGCAGGATGGAGTTGAAAAAATTGGTCGATTCAGGCGAGATACAGACAAGATTGGAGACCCAAGAAATAACAGAGGTTACCGAAATGAGCAACTAGAGAAATGAGAAACAGCTAGATTGTCATTGGCCATCCTCGATGACCTCACCGTTGACAATCACACTGCGAAGCGGCATTCCAGCCGCCTTCCTGAACCTGACAAACTGTCGTGCATTTTTTATAATGGTATGATCGCGTCCCTGCATGCATGTAATGTAGAGGCATATGAGAGTCTCCAGAGGAACCTGTGGCTCCCCAGTGGATATCTTGACCTCAGGAGGAAAGTCGAGTGCTTCGAAGAAGTCCAACTTCTGGTAGCCCACGGAAATTCTGAGCTTAGTGCAACGAGTCAGCGTGGAGACGGCTCGGACGAGGAGTTCTGAATCGATATTGGTGCGCAGCGAGATTATTTCCAAAGAGATAGTGTCGAGACACTGGTCTGCGGGTTTATTGATCCATGTATACGAGAGAAGGTCCTCGTAGTCATCATTTAAAAAGGAGTGACCTTGAATGATCAGCTGCTCCAAATTTGGAGCTTGGAATACGTCAAGTTGAGAGATTATTTCCTCAACGCCGTATGAGAGCCTCCTCAGCCTGGCCAAGTTGACGTTTGTGAGGGACGGTTGCCAAATATTGTGAATAATCGAGAGCTCAATGAGAGCTGGGCAGTCTATGGGCCAGAATGGAGTACACCTGCTCAGATTTAGCCATCGGAGCTTAGGCATGAAGATCATAGGGGCTTCCTCGTCCAGGTGACACGATCTCAAGTGGAGATCCTGCAGGTTTGTACAGAGTGGAGGGTTTTTGAGAGGCTCGAGTCGAGGCTTTTCCAGCTATGAAGGGTGCATAGCCGTCTCCACAACTTTGGGTCTTTCACCTCTCGAACCATAGGTCCGACAAGCCAAAAACAACGATCCGGCTGGATTCAACGACTGCTCGTCTGATCAAGTCGCTATTCCTTGTTTCAATCTCCTCGAGGAGACTCGAATCCCAGGATGCCGATAGTGTTGTATACCATGAGCTGATAGTGTACGGCGAGTCTAGCTACAACGCCCGTGCGCGAGGTGTTTTGACGGTCTCTTCAATCACCCTAATGAGACTTTGGACGTGGTACTGTGTTGTACCTTTATCTGTAATGCTCAGAGGCAAACCTCTGCTGTGCTTGAGTGCTGCCAACAGTCGTTGCTTGTTCCCCCATTCTAATACTCCACGGTGGAGTCTATCGTGCTTTAATCCTGCTGAGAGACAGATATGGCTCCATAGCTCTCCGGTGAGCCTTGCGGCTGTGTCCCAAGCCTTGCAGACGAGCATGGTCGCCAGAAGGGAGCCATCGTTGACGCAAACATGATGTAGAATGATGATGGAAATAATCTCCAAAGGTAGCCGTCGGACAGGAAAGGAAAACCCACATGATGGACCATCGGGCTGCGACGTAGGATCCATTTATGTATACGGTGAGAAGACGGTAAAAACGTGGTGGCAACGCCGTTGTGAAACTTCCAAACCTGGTTTGCTGGCGACTTTTGGATCGAACAGGGCTGGGCGTGGTTGGAGACGGTACGTCTAAAAGGTACATTAGTGATTGATGTTGATTAGTAGTAATAGCGTACGAGTTGTTCCCAGACGAATGGACGTTGCCGGCTTGAAACAGTGGATACGGAGAAACTGTCGCGGAAACTGCTGCCACCACAATGGATCGTCTATGAGAAGCCGTACGGTTGTGGATGACCCTGTGGGCACAGGTATATTACCGGGCTGCAAGATAGGGGTCTCAGGGACTCTCAGGGCTTCCCCGCGCAGATTGTGGGATGGCCCCTATCTGGTGACGTTGGATGTGCTGCAGAACGGCTAGACGGTAAAGAGCCAGACGTGTGCGTTGGGAGCTCAGGTCGTGTTTTATGACTTTGATATTCACAAAGTCCGGTGTCTAAGTGGAGTCCAAGATTTCTCCCCCGACCTCATCGTGCCCATCATCTGGATCTGCAGGCGAGACAAGAATACGCAGAGAATACACGGTGATACTCCTGATCGAGATAGATCGGATGCACAGAGGGCCCACCGACTTATCGATACTATCGCCACCGTAATACCGTCCAGGTTTCCAGCAGCCCAGGGCCTCATCAGCGTCCAGAACCCGGTTATATAACTCGGAAACACTCGCAGAAAACCTCCGGATCCAGTCCCGTGCCGCGATGTCGCTCCTCACGCTGCCAAACGAACTCGTTCTGCTCATCGCTGACTTTTTGCCCATCACCAGCGTATCAGGTCTCCGGAAGACGTGCAAGAGAATCTACAGAGTCCTCAAAAAACTCAACCGCAAGCGCATTGTCATCGACGACATCGTCTCCATCGCCGACCTCGAAGCTCTCGTTCTCAATCCCGCCTCGCGCAACCGCCTCCAAAATGCTGCGTAAGCCCAGCTTCTTATTTCGCTTTTTAGATACTGACAATCATCTATAGTGCACTCGAGATTTCCGCAATCACGGTCCTGCCACCGATGCAGACCCGCACTCGCTTGTCTCTATCGTCCTTTCTCACTACCGTCATGTCAAAGGCACAATACTTTTCACTCTATCTCGTCCCAGAATGTGACATATCGTACATTCCGCCGCCATCGCCGAACACGCCACTTCATCCTACTCTGACGCATCTTTCCATCATCAACTTTCGCATACCACCCTCCTTCTTAGCCATGTTCCCATGCCTGGTAGAAGCCACCATCACTCTCATCCTCACACCACTGCAAAATGACATTGTCCAGCTCCAGTACAGGCCAAAGGATGTCCAAGCCATCCTCCTCGCCTTGCCTTCAGCAACCCTACAGAGACTCACAGTCACATGCACCAACCTCCCGCCGGAAATCTTGGCACTAGCCGCCCAGCGATTCCCGCTCCTGACGCACCTATCTTTCGTCTGGGCTGATGCACCAGATCGAATGCTCGGCGGTGTCGAGTCTACCGACATCTCGAGATCCCTACAACAATATGCAGAGGCCATTGCTCCGCTGTCCAACACCCTCCAGGCGCTCTATCTCCCCGCCTGCGTGGGTGTGCCATCATTTACATCCAAATTTGCGCCAAATGCGATACCAACAGGGGACGAGCTACTTGGTGAGGGCGGCGTGCTCCTCTCTGCACCAGAGATTACCGACAGCCTGGGACCGAGGGCGTTTTCCGGTGCAGGGCTGACGGGTGTCAATCGACCCATGACTCGTGGAAGAGTTAGCGTCGGTCTCAAGGGTCTTCTCGACGCTTGCCGTACCCTCGTCAAGGGCACCGGTGGCGTAAAACGTACGGATGGCACTCTTGTTGGAGTCCACGGCATGTATGAGCTTGTCAAGATTGGATGGCTCATCCCACAAGGTGATGGCATGCCACTTTTGCCCATTGAGTGCGTCCGTCGTAGAGGCGTCGTCAAGTTTGGTGCTGCTACGCCCCCATCGTCTGTCGAGGATGCGTCTGGACTCCCTGCGATTGGAAACTTGGTACTCCGAGACGTTAACAACGCCCCGTCGCGTCCAACTGTTGCGATTGGAAAAGGACCAGGCGTCCTCACCTCTCTGTCCTCGCCAACGACCCATCACATCCCGCGTTCGGTGCCCATCACCCACCACGCGGATCAACACAGTTTCAGCCCGGTCCAGATAACGGCCTATGGCGCTCGAAACACGGCCCCCGTCTATCGGGAAGAGACAGAGTATTGGTATCCCAATATGGAGTGGGTGGACGGTTGCGCATGGCCTGCGTTTTCGGAAATAGAAGCCATCTTCCCACGTCCGGCCTTTATGCGGTATTGAGGCCGACCCTCGAATAACTAGGCAAGCACTCTCCAATGTAATCCAACGCCCGACTCCCCCATCATCGGGCTCTGTAAATGGCTCTACGAGCATTGATCCACATCACCACTTTATCAAGACTCAAGTCTCGTTCGAGCCTCGCACATCTCTTCAAACCTATGGTTATTTATGATCAGAATGTTCCAATGTACGCCGGGACGCACCCGAGTGGAAACCTCTTTCAAATACGCCATCATCACTACCCACTTGCACAGTGCGAGGAAGACCAAATTCGTCGTGCGTCCTCGGCATCCCCCATGTGTTCTCCTCTTCTCTTTTGTCTGGTTGTCGGGTATAGTCTACCATTTTTCTCTCGTCTGGCTTTCGTGTTGTCTCTTTCAGCGGGTTGTTCCACAACCCTCTGTGCAGCTCCTCTCACATGCACCCTCTTCCGTCTCTCCCTCCCGCTCCGTCAGTATGAACACCTTTAATCGCGCATACCACTCTCTACACGTCCGTCGTTTTACACCCCTTCTTTCTCCAACGTACGTACGTTCGTTCCATTCTCGATTCCGTGAGTCCTAGTTCTGTTGTTGATATCCCAGCCCTTTGTTGTACTACGCTTGCTGATCTTGTGGCCATCGAGATCGATGGTGTGGTTTGTCTCTGCTTACTGTTGTCGTATAGACTTTCTTCTCTCACAGTGTTGCGAGTTGTATTGAGTGGGCCGAATCAGAAGGGTTTGATGCCCGATATACTTGACCGGTGAGTCGGAAGTAAGTCGAGCGAATCGGAAGCATCGACTAAGGTCGTGCTCGACGCTGAAGGTTGGGTCCAGCAATAATGTGTGCAGTGACAGGAATCGAGTTCCGTAGTTATGAGATTCTTTTCACCGTCGGAGGCTCTGTGGTATACCGACACTGAGGGATTCCGTGTCTAATTCTTCCAGTGGTTATTTATTCCTTCAATTCTTGTCATTTCGTGAATACTGGCGGTGATGGATTGGTTGTGTTGATGCACACTGTTTTCCTCGGTGAGGCAGGTAGTTGGATACCCTTCACATATCATTCGGAGAATGTAGATGGAAAGATTCAACCTAATAATTAAGCCAAGCGAGCAGTTACAGGTCTATTTGCTATCTTTAAACTGCTGCTGGTACTGCAGGCGAGTCAGAAAAGACTGGTTTATACATATTGAAGTGCATACCATCATCGAAGGTATCCATCTTGCGGGTTGTGTTGATCGAACCTGGAAAAGTGGATGCGGTCGAGACGATAGGGTGGTCGAAATAAGGCAAGAACGAGCGTTTCGTCAGAAATATACTCTCTTTTGTGATTCAGAGCGTTTACTCACCTCTTTATGGGCGGTTCCGCGGAAAACGAGGTAGCTCAACGCTACAACGCCGCCCATCACGACAACAGTATTCGTTTTCCAGTTCTTTGGACGAGCCCACCAGCCACCTGATAAAAAAAAGCGAGAAATCGTCAGCGGAGAGGCGGAAGGCCGCACATCTGGTGCGGTTAAGAGTTTCGATACTGACCAGCGGGCGACCAGACTTCTTTCGGATATGGATATTGAGCTCCTCCACCCTAGATATACACGTTGAGTGTCCTCTTGATTTATATTGGCGTGCAACGGGTCTTACCATTGCAACTGCTCGTATTGGTCGGGTGCAAGTGTGTACTGGCTCACTGCGACGGCATAGTTGTAAAGTGTACATTTGCTCAAGCTTGCAGTTTCAGTGGCTAGACTCTGTGAAGAGATGTCTTCTGACTTACCATTTATCTGGCTCCCTTGAGTAATTGTATCGGCGGGATGGTGGGGTGAAGATTCTTCTGATGGCATAGAGTTGGATGCTAGAAACGCAAATTAGTGTTATCGTGGAGATACAACCCGTTATCATTATCACTGGCCGCGCCATATGTAACTTGGACCCCGACTCTACCAAGGTGGACATAGAAAATGGATAGCCAGTATCTCGAGCATCAGCAACGCGCGCGAGAATCTGCAATGCGATATGAACTGCTTGCCAAAGATGGGAAGGTCGAAGGCGATGCGCAGAGGGAGTCACCACAACAAACTGCGGCGTAAAGGGCGCTACGCCTGGTAAACAAGAGTTCAATAATAGGACCAGTATACTATGAGCGGCTCAATGACAAGTGAGACGTGGTCCAGATACCAACACTGGCCTATAAAAGTACTTTCGCTTGTGAAATCCGAATTTGGGATACAGATTGAGCAAGAGATGGACACTGAATTTGAGAGAGGTATAAATATTCCCTCTCGTATCCCTTGTGCTGATTGACGTTCCAGCTTAGACCTCCTCCAGAGAGCAGTGCCTTCTTTCAGCATTGGCAATCAAAGGAATTGAAGCTTTCGTAGTCAGGAATGAGCGAATGACGTGAAAGATTGAATGTATCTCAGGACAAGCAAGCAAAACGTATCGGGGACGTGTTTCGATCGGTCGGCTTCAGTGATACAACGATGTAATTCACTACACTAGATGTGGATAAACCTTGCAAATGTTGTTGATTGGTCGAATTCTCGTTGTTTGTCGGGTGAAATGACACACTAACCAAAACTTGGCCGCCACCATTTCCGACCAATTCCTCCGAGTAATATATCTTACCAATTCTTGATTCGTTTAAATAGTCATGGTCGGCGTGACATGTTTCTTTTCATCCTGCTTTGTTACTAATACACCTCGTTCGTCCTTGTAGCCACGGGCCAAGAAACGCGCACGCAAGGACGTGTCCGAAGAAGAAGAATCTGATTACATCTCGGCTGGAGAGAGTTCTGAGGAAGAAGCGTTAAACAGTGACGCGCTTGACGAGGATACTCCACCACCGTCAGCTAAGAAAAAGAAAACAAAGGGCAAGACCGCTAGAGCATCCAAATACTGGAAAGGAAAGAAAGAGCAAGAGGAGAGTGTTGACAAGGCGACGTCTACAAAGAAGAAATCCAGCCCGGTGAAGAGCTCCACCTCCTCGCATAAGAGACGCAAGAGCGGAGATTCGCCTCCTTCTTCTTCTTCCGAACCAGAGGATGGGTTCATCACGGTGGGACGTATCTGCGAGGCTCCGAAGACTGGACGAGGTATGACTGTTCATGAGGCCACAGACCAAAGAACTGAATGCCATGAATCCTAGTCCCTCCTGGGCAAATATCGCAGAACACATTTGACTTTCTCAAAGAATTGCAAGACCCAAAGAAGAACGACCGTGAATGGTGAGGACCTACTATACTGCAGGGGATAACACTTACTTTATTCACGCAGGTTCAAGCTACACGGTATATAGCTCATTTGTTGGGTGAATACACTAATGTCCACCAGAACCCGTGTATCGACAAGCGGAAAAGGTGGGTTTCGCCCACTGGAATAGTCACCGTCTCATATCACAAAGGAATGGAATGACTTTGTCGAAGAGTTTACGTCTATCCTCTCCGAAGTGGACGACGAGATTCCTCACCTTCCGCCGAAAGATGTCATTCATCGGATTTATCGAGATGTAAGAGGATTAAATGATTATAACATACGCCGACGACCCACTCCAGGTACGCTTCAGCAACGATAAGACACCATACAAGGTCAGAGGGCGGTTACGTCAAGCGCAAAGACTGATAACCGCTTACAGAGGAATTTCTCCGCCTCATTCTCGAGGACGGGACGGAAAGGCATCTTTTCGCATTGTGAGTGTTTCGACTCGTAAGCGAAGTGGAACTGACGGCTGACGGGTGGGATAGACCATTTGTGAGTGATGTGATTAGCGCTAATCTTTCATATATCAACGTCACGGATCTTTACAGATCGAGTATGTGCCTTGATGTTCGCGTATTCACTCGGCGCTGATGGCTCCAGTCAAACCAGGGGGAGGTAGCATATTTGCGGCAGGGTCTGGTGCCCCGGCAAGAATGAACTGCAGCAGATAAGGTACGCTTGCTTACCTCTATCAACAATGGCCGGTGGAGATTGATGGCCCAGAACCCACATTCGCCACAATGCACAACCTCTTCGAGATGTCATCTCTAATCCGACCTTTGAGTCATTGTTTGGCCCCGCAAAGTGGTCAAATACGAAGAGACAGAATATCTTTGGAGGCGAAGACCAGCTCAAAGTAGCCCCGAAAGGGGTTCCAAAGGACCACCCGTAGGTCTACTCCGAGTCCAGTACTGTATTGACGGTGTGCTATAGGGATATTGATTTGCTGAAGTGTCGAAGCTTTGCTGTTGTTCATCAGTGGGTACCCTAATTCCTGTGTTCCGTGGTTCTAACTCGCGTCATTAGTCTGACGGACGAGCAAGTACTGGCTCCCGACTTTAAGGAACTGCTCGGGGTCATTGCAGAGGCTGCAAAACCTTTTGTTCATAGGTCAGTGGTTACTTGGTTAGAGCGGCCGGGACTGATGCGCAACACGTAGGCTCAACCACATGCTGACCGTCGGAGTGGATGCAGAAGATGCCGAGTCCTAATCTCCAGCCTGTCACATAGGCTTGCAGTCATCGAGTGGCAATATGGTCCTTGTAATGGAGACTGCACAGGATCGAGTTGTACCATAGAATGCACAATGTCTAATGGGGAAATAACGCGTGTTATACGCTCGGACTTGGTGAGGTCGAGCGAGGCTGATTGGCCGGCTTGGAACCTCGTGGTGGTCATTTCTAGAAAAATTGACTTTGTCTGCTCCACGACCGCTGACGTTGCGTAGCGGCCTTGCAACTGGGTTTATCTGTGTTAGAACTTGAACGAAAGGGGCTCTCAGCGCTCCATGTCGCGGCCTGAACGGGCTGAGAGGGGCCCTCGACCGGTTCCACCACAAAAGTAAGAACTTGAACCCAGACCGCACGGGCGTTGCCTGCCTCTAGTCGACCCTGGCTTTGAATCTGTCTTTTGGACGGCTTACTGATTGCTCTTCTTTCTGTCTCCAATCGTCCCTCGCCGTTGCCTCTTCGGTGGCTGACCGGGCACTTGTTCTTTCTCGCCATTTGCCGACCCAATGGAACATCTACTCGCAAATCCTAGATATATGAATGATTTCAGGTTCGTATGCACCTTTTGGTTGCTGTTGCCGCCCGCCACCCTCGCTCACTTTGCTTCCTGCAACGGCTACACCTCCTAAATGGCCTCTGCACGACTTGGATCCATGGAACGACTCGCCAACAGCAAAGCTTTGGCTGCTGAAGTCCGCATTCTCCTCCAGGAAGTAGGCAAACTCCGCGATGAGAAGCGCGCCCTCCAATACGAAGTTTCTGAGCTCCTGGCGGCAAAGGTCGGACATTCTTCAGACTAGATAGTCTGGTTACTAAGCTTCCGACAGGCCAGATACGGATCAGATGGCGATTATCATGGGGAATGGTGCGTTTCACGCGCGCTCCTGCGCTCGGCCGATCTTGAATGATGCTGACCATTTCTATTCACCAGGAGACCTCCTGTAATATTCTTCGACTTTTGGTATTGGGCGAGCTAATCCTCATTGCAGCACGAGCAACCACAGGCAATCGCACCCCCTCCTCCTCCTGAGCCAGCCCCATCCGATGCGCTAGTCCTACACCAAGAAGCAAAATCTGGATGGCGCAGCGTTCCCAAGAAGCACGAGCGCAAGCCTAGGGAACCTCGAGTGGCAAAGCCTCGCGCTCCCGAGCCGCCTCCGCCGCCTCCAGTCCAGGCGATTCCACCACCAAACATGCCCAGCTGGGCATCTTGGAAACGTATGTATTCTGCTGGCGGAATCAACCTTCTGACATTCCCGGTAGCGAACCCTCTCTATCATCCTCAACCGCGAGCAGCCGTTCCTGCCCCTGCTCCGCCTCCAGGACTCTTCGGTAATGGCTTATCACCCTCAAACATTTTGCCTGCTAACCCTCTACCCAGGTCCGCCCACACCACCACCACATTAGACCGCGAGGTTGCTCCGCAAGGGGGAAACCTTTGCTCCTCGGTGCTCCGGTTATCTCTTGTTGTCCTACGATACAATTTCTCGTCGTTTCGAATCGAATGCAAGTGGCTTCTCGTTAGTTTTATGGCAATCTATTTTATACCAGCGCATATACCAAAAGGGGCTACATATAAATAGGCAGAATTTTGATTATTGAACATTGATCATAAGGTGGCTGAGACTGTTTGATGGATCGGATGACCATGATGACCGTGGTGTTTCGCTTGTGTGAGTCTGTTGGATAATGAGATATACATCGAATGAGTAGCCGAGAGACACACTCTTCGTATTGTGTCTTCCTCTTTGGATCCGCTCTTCGCTTCTCCATAGTCCGCCTACGATGCGGCCTGTACAAACGTCAGGAGAGGAAAAGTGCGAGGTGAAGAGGCACTCACGAGACAACAATTACTGGTACAGGAGAGTGACTTAGACAGTATCTATGGACATTTAGCGTTTATATATAACAGCTAGGTAGAAAAGTACCGGGAAACGCTCCCGACACGAGAACCGACGGCCTGTCCGACTTGCTGAAGGAACGACTTTTCGCCTCGCGTGCCGACAATCAAGCTATCCGGACGGTATAGTGCAATCATCCGTTCGATTGTTTCTGTAATCTTGCCCGCGACAAATTCGACGACAATGCTCAGTTTGCGGTCAGGGTCGTATTCGACGTTTTTCTGTCCAATCATCTTCATTAGGTCCCGAGCTTCTTCTCGGAGCGTATCATGATCCTTGTCTTCAGGATGGTCAGTCGGAACGAGATGAGAAGAAGACAATGTACGGTCATGCGGACGAACGGGCAGTGGCGGGGATCAGATATCGGGTAGAGCCTCACCTAGTTCGCCAGTGTCAAAGCCTCGCACGACAATAAACTCGTCATCATCTTGACATAATGACTCTAATGCCCAGTCCAGAGCTTCCATTCCACTCTCATCGGGACTGGCGGCGCAGAGAAAGACTCGTGTGCGTCGAGTACGCTTATAACCTTCTGATTTGACCTATACTACCGTTAGATACACGCGGACAAATTACAGTGGGAGGATGATTGCTCACCTGAAGCGTAAAGGAGAAGAGGGCATCGTCCATGGGATTTTCAAACGTATCAAAGGAGACCTTGGGCGTATAGCCAGCGGGTGTCCCCAGGGAACTTGAAGTTACCGCTCGGGGAAGTTTGCCGTACGATGTGGGTGGCGAGGCGAGCCCATACGACGTCGTCGAGGGTGGTAGCTGGGATTGGGTAATTTGAGGAGATGTGATAAGCCCAGAAGTTGATGTTGGAGGAGATCCAAGTGGTACTGGTGAAGGCGATGGACTTGAAGGTCTGCTCGAGTGCCGCATCGCCGAACGCAGAGGTGGCGTTGGGAGATGATGCATCGGAGGTACGTGGGACATTTCCGCGAATTATCTGTCGAGAAGAAAGATCTGGCAAGCGGAAATTCGCGGTCACGGTCGGGAACAAAGTTGTACAGCGACTGAATCATACTTGGCTCTGACCTCAACTGAGTGGGGTGCAGCAAAAATGAGCGCGTCAGCGGAAAAGAGTATCGAACAACAGGCAGAAGAGTATTCTCCAAGTGGAAACGAGGAACCAGCGGAGCTCTCGGCATCCAAGGCGTTATCTGAAGCCTCTGACGCTTCCAAACCGGAGCAAAAGGAAAAGGAGGTCCAAGACTCAAAGTCTAAAAAGACGGAAGAAACAAAGCAAGACACCTCTGCTCCTGCACAACACGATTGGCAAGCGATTTATTCTCCGCAACACAACGCGTATTACTTTTACAACGCCAAGACACAAGAGACGACATGGACGAACCCTCTTGTACCAGACACTGTCGCCTCGTCGAGCGCCGGACCATCTACAGCCACTAAAACTTCTGGCCCTGCGGCAAATTCCACCGCGGGACACAATCCCGTGTTGGACGGTATCGACCCCGATCTCATCTACCTAGACCCTACAATGGCAGTGCCCGGCATGCCAAAGGCGGCTGGGACATATTCAGCTCGATTCAATGCTCGCACTGGAAGATTCACCGCGATGGACGCTCGAGACCCGACGCACATGTCTGAATACGAAAGAATGAAGAGACAAAGTAGCGCCTTCTTTGACGTGGGTGCATGGGAACGAGAAGTGGCCGAAAGAAAGGCGCAAGAGGCTGCAGAAGCTGCAGAAGGGCGACGTAGGAATAAACGCCCAACAAAGGCGGACTTGGTATGTACACATTGGTCTTTGCATAACGTCTATGCTACTTGCTGCTGTTGGGCGATCGACAAGCGCCATGCTGGTGGTTTCAGTTCCCGACACTCTCGGCATGTCAATGATAGCTCCATGATGGCGTTGATTGACACTTTGCTTTGTTTTCCAGGAGCGCTATCGGGCCCAGAAAGAGGCACGGAAGAAGACCAAGTATGCCTGGCTTCGAGAATGAGGACGCACATGCTCGCCATCTTCTACTCTCATCAATAGATTGCATTTATCAAAACATATAAACTGGCTTCTGGGGGTAAAACCAACGTATGTAGCCTGTTTCGGTTCATTGCCCGTTTTCCGGACACGTCATGAAGATCCCGTGTGCGGGCGCGCAGCACGAAAGGGCCGTGTGGGGAAGGTCACCCTAGGACTCGTGGGATGATAAGAGTAACCCAGCCACGGTGCGAACCAGCACTCACGTGCGGAAACCGACCGGTTCGACCTGTGGAGAATGGCAAACAGTCTAGAGCCCCAGCAGTCGCTGGCTTGGACAGTCGAAACGGCTCATTACAGAGACGGCAGGTACCCCCGCGCAAATCAGACCCTGTCAGCGGGTCTTCTAGAACGGATATGTGAGTACTGGATTGCGATGCTGGGCCCTGACGGGGGTATCTCTGCGGGTGGGTCGTATCGCGGCCGCCGCGAACCGGTCTAGCATTATCGGTGGCACGCGCATCGGCAAAGGAACATGGCATTCTCGCTGTCAAGAGCGTCAAGTTGTTATCCGCCAGTTAGATTGAGCTCCTGGCGGAACTCGGAGGAGAGCGATCCATGGGTGGACGTGATGTATGCTGGTCTGGCGAAGGCACCGATCACTGGTGGGCTCTGCAGTAATCTCCTTTAAGTAGACCTGGTTAGCACCCGAGAAACCCAATCCCTCTTCCCTCCTCTCCTCCCCTCCTGCGCTGGCTTGCGCGTGCTGTATGCCGCAATGCGCTTCTCGCTCTCCGCAAAGCCTCCAAAGGCCAAGCCAAAAAAGCTCAAGGATTCCCGGCCCGTAATGGTAATTTTCATCTGTCCACCTCGCTGTCGATCCCGTCACCCCCTAACGCCTCCCTTTTCAGCGCACGGGCCGTGGTGGCGCTGGTGGCTACAGAAAGAAAGTACCTAAAGCTCCTGCAGAGCTCGCTTCTCTTGCTAGCGACGGCCAGTCTGTCGTAAGGTCGACCTCTGGATCTGGCATCGGTGCCGCCCCCCAGGCGGGCTCAACCAGCGACCCTCATGGCAGTCACCTCAATCTCTCACGCATCACTCAGAGCATCAAGTCGGGCACTACCGTATCGCCTAGTGAAGGCGAAGAAAATGAAGATCGTTTGACAGCGCCGGCTGGAAGAGAAATACTCAGTGCGAAGCATCGGGTAAGTTGTTCCCACATGGTAGCCAATTAGACATCAAGGGCTCACGACCGTTTCAGAAGATATATAGTGGTATGTATTATGCATTGTTTAGCCGTAAAGTGGTCTCATTCCGAGTTATGTCCATGGTGTCTAGGTCGAGGAGGAGCTGGTGAGTAAAGCACTTGGATTCGTATGGTTGATTACTCATGACTGGTCAGGAAACAAGCACACACTTGTAGCGGATGACAAAGTGTACGAGGGCGTGCTTCTCCATGAGCAAGGGATACTCCAAGCGTACAATGCAGAGCGTAAAGCTAAAGAGGGCACTTCTACGGGACGCGGCGGCTATGCAAATATCAAACGCAAGAAGAAGTCGCCGTATAGCGATTCATCCTCCATCCGCTCCGGCGCTTCCTCACGTTCTTGGGGCTCAAGCTCCTTCTCACGCAGAGCTCAACAGAGCTCGACTAGCGTGACCAGGTCAAACACGAGCCTTTCGCAGGAGCCCATACCGAGTCTGCAGACGATTCCCGCCAACGACTTCGGGACCTCGGTCGTCCAGACAATGATGGACAAGGGCATCTTTGACCGCGTCATCGAGGAAGAAGAGTCGGAGGCTGCCGTTGCTTCTTCGGTTGTCGAAAGCCTGAGGGGAGAGTCTGTCGCTACTGGAAGCGAGCTACACCATCCTACCATCCACGTCACCATTACACCTTCAACTTCGAGTGTCGGCGATCAGCAGCAACAAAGTCCGGCACCCTCTCCATCTCCCTCTCTCCAGCACGTGCGAAGCCCTGCATCCAAGCCCATATCCCCCAACGCAATCTCTTCTGGAAGCTGGATTGCCAACAATCTGCAAGAGCCACAGCAACAAGGTCGCTTGTCCAAGTCCCCCACACCAAAGCATCCCATCTCTTCTGGAACTTCGAGGGGCAATGTTGCCCGTCCAACTAGTCCTACCGCTCAGACCTCACTTGCGGGGCGTATCAAGTCGGGTTTGCAGTTCACCTTGCGTAGGACAACCTCTTCAGAAGGCTCCCATGATCGAGAAGCCATGGCTAGTCCTCTCTCGTCCCCAGTCGTCAACATCACCAGTTCACCGAGTACCACACCCACCGCTAACTCGTACATGAGGACGAATGCACACAATAGTTTCAGCCCCGACCCTTCCTCACCCCTGTCGCCACAGCAGCAGGGCCACTCACAATCGACGCGGCCTCGCGCATCGTCGAATCAAGCCAACCGCAATGCTAGTGTATATTCGCCAGAAGGACTCACTGGTGACGGCTCTGTTGGTTTGTACACCGGACATAGTCAGGAACCCTCTAATCTGCCTTATTTGGGGCAGTCGTCGGCACCTCGTCCCTCTGGAAGCAAGATGCCAGTTGCTGAAGGTCGTCAGAGCCCGTCTGCAGGCAAGACGCTCAACGTTGCTCCAACTCCAGATGCCCTTGACCCACGGCATGCTCGGCACATGTCCAGCTCGTCCACGTCGGGCAGTGACTTGGATCTCTCTGGATATAACTTTCCGGATGCTCCTGGACATTCACCTGTCGTCCGACCAAGAGACACTGAGCCAATACACACCGTTATTCGAGGGGGAAATGGAGAGCTCATGACGCGAAGACCGTCGGAGCCAATGTCGAGGACCATTTCCCAAACGCCACCTCCTTCTCATCCTCTTCCACCAACGCCTGTCGAGGCTCTTCCTTCTGCCCCGACACAGCCGTTGAGAGCGGGCCGTGCCCCTGTCCAACCTGGCGCATACCAGGCAGCCCTTCGCTCCATAATAGACGATGTTCCAGACGGGCCGCCTCCTTTGTATCAACCCCCTGCTTCCTCAAGACGATACCACAACGATACATCTACGGCTGCCGAGTCAGAGTATCCAGATTCTCCCGTTCCCGCGGGCTATCACTCTCCTTATCGCGTATCCTCTCCATATAGATCGCCTTCAAAAACTCAACAATACGATACACACCCTAATCAACATGGCAACGCCTCATCGCGGCCAAGGGCTACCGGACCGGCTTCTCCCCTCGCAGAGTACATTTCTTCGGCGGATGGCAATAACAGTGGACCATCAAGCCCGGTAGAGCGATACTCTGAGAAGTCGTATTATGGAACATCGCGTTCCAATACGAATAGGCGCCCAAGTGACCCTTATCAACGGATTTTGGCAGCGGCGGCAATGCCAGTCCCCCCTGGGGGTCATAGTCCCAACGGCAGTCCATCGCCTTCTCGTCGCGGATCTTCGTCAAATCAAGGCCAAACCTTGTCTCCTCTCAGTGCGACCAGCCCCGGAAGCCCGTATGGAAGCGGTGGGCTCGAGGACGATGATCCACTTTCCCGGCCGACCTCGCAGACATTTAGTACATATACCCGAGGCACGAGACACTCGACGTGGGATGCGTCTCAAGTGACTGCAACCGCTGTCGATCACCATGAGGACGACTTTCCGAATGCAGAAGATGCTGGGACGTATTATACGTCTATGCTAGCCGACCTTGACCCGTATAATCCAGACCTTGCGGGTGCACGGGATCGGAAACGAGTCCTTTCGAGTGCCAAGGAAAAGGAGTCATCCGCATGGAGGCAACCAGACTATCCACCGAGTCCACCGCTGCCGCAGATACCAAAACATTTACTCGGCAGGTCCCACCAACAGCAATCACGCCTCCAGCAGTCGCTCTATCCGCCACAAACACAGCATGCTCCTGCCAATCGTTCGCCGAGTCGTCAACTGCCGATCCCACCTGTTGGACCACCTCCTGCTGCCCCGCGTGTGTTCCCGAATGGAATGGGATGGGACGAGCTGAATCGACCTCCACCGCGCAAGCTGTCCAAGATGGAAAAGGCGTTGCTGCGTAGAGTCGAGTTTGGAGCGGTCGCGGCCGCAGATATTGCGTCTATCCCCTTGGCATGAAGAACCATTATAGATTGTCGTGCAACCCAATTTCGTAACTTGCTTATCTCACTCCTTTGTATGCAATTGTAGAAGGTGTAAAAAGGTACCTGTGTTGGATCTATAATGCGTTGCCTATTACTAGTGGACGGGTAACCAGCATCGGCTCGCGTACCAATCCATCAACCGGACTCCTCGGATACGCATTGCGCTTGCGAATATCGCCAATAATTCCCGTACGACTCTAGAAACATGCTGTAAATTGCAGACGAGTAGTGAGATCCTCCGTGTCTACTGCCTCCGTCAAACGGCAACCACAAGGACGGGGGAGCGGACAGATCGGTGGTCGTTGTTTTGTTGACCTCTCGGTTTCCACCCACACCTTCGTACGTTTCCGTCACACCTTGGACTCGTTCTCTCCCGCTGATTTCTTCCAGTTTTCTTATTTTCTTTGTCCTTGGGACGCTTGCGTTCATTTCTCCAATCCAAGAACCGTCTCGACAAGAAAGCAGGGCTCACAAACTCGTTCAAGAGCACAGAGCGTAGATCGCTGTGCCCCTCCTTTCGTTCTCGGATCCCTTTTACCCACCCTCCCTAATTTTCTGCTCGATTTCCTCGACGTATCGACCTTGAAGCTAGGGATACGCCTCTAATCACGCCTTTTTTCCCCGTTCCAATCAACAACTACACCATGTTTTCGAAAGTATCGCTCGTCACCGCGCTCATTGCTGGCGTTGGATACGCCTCCGCGTCTGCTCAGCAAGCCGCAGTGGCCAACGCCCAACCGCAACCTACACAGCCCCCATCAATGGCGGATGCTCCATATCTTTCGTCGATGCCCTACGATTGGATGTCTACCCAGGGCTATTCCTCTGTTGGTTGTGGTTACGGCTACTCCAGAGGGGCAGACAACCGCTGTCAACGCGAGAACTGGGTGCGTCCCTCTTTTCTCAAAAGGAAATCGCCGTGTTTGGCTTAATGGCTAACACCTTGTTTTGTAGTATTCATTTTCGGGATGCTACCAGACAACAACCATCATCCGGTATGTCGGCTATCCTTTCCCCCCCAGCCCACAACACACACGACTGACTTTACACTAGTGAGCAATGTGGTCCACCAAAGACGGTCACAAAGACTCTCAGCCGCACCCATACAATGACAGAGCAGCCCGCGCCAACGACAGTTCGTGTCACCAAGACGAAGACCATGACAGAAACAAAGATGGTGGATATGACAAAGGTTTGACCAAGACCAAGGAGCTCTTGAGCACCCAAGTACTGCTTTCGACTCAAATCCACGATCGCATCACGACCATTGAAAAGACCAAGACGGCGACGGCGCTACTGACCGACTTCCGCACCGAGGTTGTTCATGCTACGACACACTTGACAGAAGTAGCCACCGCCACGCGTGACGTCTTTTCGACCGTCACAGAGGTTTATACCACGGTCGTACCAACGACATATACCTCTGTCTGGCTCGCAACGGAGACGGAAGATCGCACTCGGGTCGTCACAAAGACCAAGAGCGCGATTGTGACCGAAAATCGAGTCGTGACATCCACCCGCACAAACTTTTTAACAAAGACACTCGATTTGACTGTCACTTACTTCCAAACGCTGCCTACGACCATTGTCGAGCACTTTTTGAGCACGAAGACTATCGACCGCACAAATGTGCAAACAGTCACCGCTGTACGCACGTTTAGCACCGACGTGACCTTGACCCGGACACGTACAGAGGAACAAACGTCAGTTCTCATACATTGCCATTCCATGGCTTTGGCTAACATGACATTACAGCGCTACCGTCACTCAGGAACGCCTGGTCGATAATACTCAGCTGAGCGATTGTTTGAACACGGTATGTAGACTTGCGAGGCATAAATACGTTTACTGACTCTGTTCTAGTGCAAGGGCAAGTGGAATATGCTGGCACCAGCACACAGTCAACAGACGACCGCCCATGCGCAGCCGACGTACAGGAGTTACTAAACAGGATAACCAATCCTGGTTCCATTCTTGACGAAACGGCTTCTACGACGCGCTCACGGTCCGTACTCGATAGAAAATCGCTCCCCCAACTCGTGCACAGCATACCTCGACCTTGCACAGTAGCATAGCAGTCTTTTTACTCCGTCAGTCGCCCGCTGCGTTTTTTGTCTGTGTTTTTCCTCCCTCTGCAGTCGAGCATCCGCTCCTTTTTTCTCGGCCCGCGTTTGGTTCTTTCGATTCGTGCACTTGTTGATTTGGACACTGTTTTTCTTTTATACTTGTGGATCTGATGTTCTACGAGAATCTTTTTAGAGGCGTTTGTTGTAGCTAGATTGCTCCCATCTCCTCTTTGCAATTTGATTGGCATCTTTGACTACAAAAGGGATCTTACTCTGCCGTCGGTGGCGCCGGCAAACTTGAGCGGCCCCTCTTCTTGCCCGACCCTTTTGACATTTTCTAAATATTCTTTGGATGGACATGCCCAAATGGAGCACAGGCCACGAGGTTTTGTGCTTGTGGAAGTTGACCCGATTTGCAATCCGTCAACGGGTCGTTGAGGGTTGAGCGAATCGCATCTGCCATCTTGTTGTTTGGCCCCGTTGCAACTTGGACTCTTTCCTCTTTGCTCTCGTCAACCAAACTCGTCTCCAGTGTTGGCGGTGCGCAAGAGCTATCATGATTGAGTCGCTCGTCACGGCGTTTCGCATTGCGCTCGGCCTCACCCTGGTCATGCTCGCAAAGACAATCCAATTTTTCAAGGGACAGTATTGGGGGTTGTACGCCCAGGTGTGGGATGTGCAAGTGCATATCATGAACACCCTTTCGCCTGAGCGCGATCCACGACGGGTTATCCCTACCGGGAAGCCTGGTGCAGGTGGAGACTGGGATAAGTATGTTTACATGCCCCGTCGAGTCCGACTCGAGGTCCCCATGCCCGGCTCTCAATACCCTGTGCAACCACGGTCGGTGGCCCCACCCTGATTGGGGAAGTGAACGAATGTTGATATGGATCGTTAGGAATCCTGCCCCGGAATGGAAGGAATCTCAAGTTTACAGAACTTCAACCTATTCTTGCAGATGCCTATAATCTGTCGCCAAGCTTAACCTTTGGGTTGTTGAATATCATCGCCAAGATGTTCGAGAAAGATGTGAATAGGACTTTCCTTTCATTTACTGACCTGACCTGATCTTCGCAGTATTTCCACGACTCTGTCGACTTGGAGCTCTTTGGTACTCACAATGTCATTGAACACGATGCATCCTTTGCTCGTAAGTGGTCCCATCTTATGTAGAATCTGAAGTCATATTGTTTAGGACATGATAACTACATTCAACCTGACCAGAGTGTTCCCTCGGTAGATCTGATCAAGGCATTCCTCTCATCTGCAACTGGTGCCGCTGTCGTTGGTCATCAGCGTGTCAGGGTGTGTGGAACCCGTTGGAATTGCGATTGGTTCTAACCTATCTAGATCATTACGCCCGCGGACATTTCCGCTTTTCTTCGCCAACGCCAGGTCGAATGCCAAAAATTGAATCCTCAGTACAGCCTCAAATTTGTTCACAAAGCATTCTCTTCCAACAATAGCGCCATCATGTACGACACGTTTGGTGGAAGAGTCGATGACCTCAGGACCTGGCTCACCGAGGAGCGTTTCCCTCAAGGATGGCAACCGCGTTATACAAAGCGGTGAGTTCATTCCGTGTCTACAGAGCTATTTATTGACGTTTGGTCCAGCTACGGTTATACGATGATGGCGTTAAACCTGCGGAGCATCCAGGTGGGATAGTTTCTTACAAGTTGATCAATGCTCACTGTGCAACAGATTGCCCTCTGGGCTCAGCCACCACCATTTGTGGTGCCTCCTCGTCGACCCGTTTCCAATGGTCTCTACTCGACGTAACTTGTCCTTCTTGAATTCGCGCTGATGCGTATGTCTCCTGTGAAACAATAGAGAATTTGAACATGAAGCAAGCAATCAGAGGTGTCTTCGGTGTACTCGGGATTCGCTATGTCACTTGTGGACGATGAAGATGATGAACCATCCATCGATGCTGCGCATTTCCGAGGTGGATATGCCGCTCGGAATATACGGAGAGGTCGTAAGCGCTCCGTCGGAGGTGGCACTCTGGTCGTGTGCTGTTCTGTGAATCCATCTGATGATCCTGGCGCATCCCGACTATGGATGTGCCTTATTTACGCAGCAAAATAATGGTGACAAAGATATCTACGAGTACTGCGGCCCCGCCTGTGGTTAGGAATCTGGACGGGAGGCTAAATCGCTGCCGTCATGCTCAATGCCATGAGACACGTGGACGCTACGAGTGGCTAGAAGTGTCTCCTTGAGTGGGATGGTACGAGTTCGCTTGTGATTACCCATCTTGGACTGCTCTACCACTCGACGGCGCGCTATATATACACGACCGTCAGCACGAGCACCTGTTTCCTCGCCACACCCTCGAAAAGACAGTTATGAGCGCACCTCCAGCTCCTTCGAGCGATTCACAAGTTTACAAGCGGAATGTTCGTGTTCGCAGGTGGAAGCTCCTAGCGAGCTATTTCGGCGATTGGTAGGCTTAACTACTGGAATTTTTAAACCCAGACTCTCATATCTTTCTACTAGGTTTCTGACGGTAGCTCTGGCGTCCGTGCTTTTCCATCACCTCCTGAGCGTGCTAATGTTTCGTTCAGAGCATTATTTTTGGCGCTTGAGAATGTACATGGATTCAGAAGGCGATTCTCTCTTCAAGACGAGAGTATCCAGTATCCGTGCGTATACAGCCAGCCCTCTTGTCAGCACCGATTTATAAATACCCCAGGTTCACCGTCAAGGAACGCGTGCCCAATTGGCTTCTCGGAGTCATCTGTTTGGGTATCCCAGGTGTCCTTATGCCCATTGTCAATCTATTGACTGTGCGAATGCTCTGGGATTTGCACAATTCATGGCTTGGTCTTGTCCTCAGCCTCGCCATTTCTGGAAGCATCACCCAGATCTTTAAGATTACTGCCGGCCGTCCTCGTCCTGATCTTATTGCGCGTTGCGCGCCTGTTCAAGGTGCTCAGAATCCGCCCGTCTATGGATTGGTGGACGATAGCATTTGTACGCAGACGGAATACGCCATTATGATCGATGGATGGCGTAGCTTCTCCAGTGGCCACTCTTGCCGTACGTGCATTTCGTAGCGCTCACCAGCGACCTCTAACCCGTTGGGTGTCAGTGAGCTTTGCAGGTCTCGGCTTCCTCTCTTTATATTTGGCTGGCAAGCTGCATCTATTCGACAGCCGCGGTCAAACATCCAAAGCATGGATCTCCATTTTCCCACTCTTCGGCGCTGCTCTCGTGGCTACTACCCGCACCATGGACTACCGCCACCATTGGCAGGATGTCCTCGTCGGCGCGGTGATCGGAATCACGACGGCCTATTTTGCCTATCGCCAATACTATCCCACTCTCGAGAGCCCTCTTTCACATCGTCCTTTTTCTCCTCGCTATGCGCCTATCCAGGCTCAGGGGTCCAAAGATGCGAATGGTGACAAGAGTGGGAACCAAGATGTAGAATTAGGTCCTGTACAGGAGCAAGGTGCAACGGGAGTCGAGGGCACTGTCCCTCGCTAGGACCTCTTCCATTGCTTCCCTTCCTTTTCCCCCTTTATCCCTGTCTGGTGTGTTGCCCGCGCTCATGAAAGTCATTCTAGTTTATTCTCGTTGTTCTCCAAACTTTGCTGCCTGTTCTTGCAATTCCATAGGTAGCAATCCCAGTGGTTTACGCTTAACTACCGCCTTTTGAGCAGTGGTCACTTGGGAAGCGCACAACGTCGGATTTAAGAATCTGTCGATATAAGTGGTTACTGACGCTACACAGACCCTTGTGCATTTCGTTTGTGGTGAGCGGAATTAGGCGGAGGTGGAGCTCGAGTCTAACTACCTTGGCTCTCCTCATGTCACCCGCTGGGCCTTCAACGCCATCTCAAATCCTGCGACGTAGAGTAAGGGTGAGGAAATGGAAGCTATTTGCGAGCTACACTGGCGACTGGTGAGCACCGAGGCTGAACCACCTCGAAATGACGCTCACGCGACCTGCTATTCCCAGGCTGTTGACTCTCGCTCTTGGGTAAGTGCAAGTAAAATTTGTTTAGTTCATCTTTGTAACCGTTTGGAACGCTCTAGGGCATTGTTTTTTGCGCTCAATGAGGTTGAGGGCTTTCGAAGGCGCTTTTCGCTCCACGATGAGAGCATACAGTACCCGTACGTCCTGGACCGCTCTACCTTGGTGACAACTGAGTATTATGCAGATATACCTTACACGAACGAGTTCCCGATTGGCTTTTGGGAATTGTCTGCCTCGTAGTACCTGCCGTTACGATGCCCCTCGTGAACCTAATCTCTGTGCGGACTTTATGGGATCTTCACAACTCGGAACTCGGATGTAAGTTTCATCTGGAGGAAAGTTTCGTACAACTCATGCGTTTATAGTAATTCTCTCGCTAGCCCTTGCTGGCTCCATTACGAACATTCTCAAGATTACGGCCGGACGGCCCCGCCCTGATCTCATTGCACGTTGCCAACCTGCTTCGGGATCAGAAAACCCTGCAGTGTTTGGATTGGTCGACTGGCACATTTGTACCCAGACGAGTCAGTCCATCATGAGGGATGGGTGGCGAAGCTTTTCCAGTGGGCACTCGAGCCGTACGTCGTGTCTAATCGCCAGAGGCACCGCTCACAATTTGCTCTTTAGTCAGTTTTGCAGGACTTGGATATCTCACTTTTTACCTGATGGGCAAACTCCATTTATTCGACGAGCGCGGCCATACGTCCAAATCATGGATCTCTGTCTTTCCTCTCTTTGGCGCGACCGTCGTTGCAATAACCAGAACAATGGATTACAGGCACCACTGGCAAGACGTGTTCGTGGGCATGTTGATTGGTCTCGCGACGGCCTACTTTTCCTACCGACAATACTATCCCTCCTTGGAACATCCGCTTTCACACCGTCCCTTTGCGCCTCGATACGCGCCTATCACCGATGCAGCAGAGAGCGAGCATCCGACGGACAGTTCAAGTACCGTTCCCCCGGGTGACAATGGTAAAGGAAAGGGACCAGATGAAGAACAAGGCGTTGTTACTTCTGCACGCGTCGCAGACGAGGGGGAGATTGACCACGAAGCCGAGGGGACGGTCCCCCGCGGGCGGCCACCCAATCTGGAGCGAGTATGGAGCGAGAAGAGCCGTATTTCGACACGAAGAAGTGTGACACGAACGGAAGTGTAAATGTTTCGCTGGTTGCATCGCGGGCGGACGCTGCTAGAGGGATCGCCCGCTTTGTTTCATGTGTGTGGAACGGATAGACTAGCACCGAATAATTTGTAACAAACGTGTGTAATAGCCAATTGTTGCAGCATTCCATCGTGCCATGGGTGGGCGGAGGGTTTGCGGGATATAATCACTCAAAAGTGGCGTCTCCAACTTGACCACCACCATAACCTGGCCTGCCTTTGACGCTGCCCGTCCATTAGCCATGTCTGCCACAGACAATGTATCCAACGAGCCTGTAGCGTCTCCATCGCTCAGTCTTCCTTCTTCCAGCCCGTCGCCATCTGCGAAACCATCGACCGCCAATGTTGGCACAAGCGCTGCAGCCCCCACATCACCATCATCGCAGATCCAGCTGTCGTCTTCACCTTCTGCAACCCTCAGTGTCCCAAAGGCGACACCAACAAAGCCCTCGAGACAGGCCACCAACCCAGACAAGACCACGACGTCAACAAACGCCGGTGCAGGTTCACACCATCTTGCCGGACTTCCATCTGGATTGGCTCCTGCTGCGTTGAGCCTTTCACCCGGCGGCGGTGGAAACTCACGACTGGGCACCCGGAGTCCGAGCAGCATCCCAAGCTCTCCTACCAGCATGTAAGTCCATGTTCCGTGTATCATCTGCTCATTTCTCTCTCGCCATCGCGTCTATTTCCCCCTCCAGCAGCCGCTGTGCATTCCCCAGCAAGGTCATTTAGGTGTCCAAACGCAGCGCGCTCAGCCGGTCGACCGAGATCGATTGAGAAGCGCCAGAGCCTGATCTCTTACGTATGCGCCTGATGCGGCAGATGCCTTTGATGCGATGGCCTCTCGCCTCTGTTCCAGATGACGACCTCGCTCCCACTTCTCTCGGAAGCTCTAGCGCTTCATTTACGGCCATTCGGGTCATGAAAGAAGCTTTTCCTTACCGTCGCTTCATGTCCGGAGATGGATGCTGGGCAACGCCGTGCGAGGTATCGCCACCCAAACGCTAAATTCGAATGGAGTTTCATTATCCCCATGCGTGGAAGATTCCGGATGCTTTCCTCAGCGCAATATGTTGTATGTGTGTGTAATTTGCACCGTCTCTATCGGAGACCGCCCGCCCTTGATACAAGAGGCCTCGCCTTCTCACCAGTGGCAACGTCCTTGGTTCATCCCCATTCCACCATCCCATTCTTTCTAAATCTCTTTCGTTATCACTGATGGTCATCTTGCGTATGCGGTTATCTGATAATGACTTCCTCGATAGACATTCGTCGAGCTCTGCAATTTTTGAGCGTGATATTGAACCCCTTGGTCTCCCATCGCTCTCTGTACCCCTACAGGCTGCTCCAACGGCCTCGAGCCCCCTGCGATCCTCCACAAACACTGGGAGCCCAACACCAAGCGTCAATCCACATCGTATACCCCGATCCAAGACGACTGAGGCACTTGAACTCACTGTTCCAAGCGTACTAGATTCTGCAGTCTCGGCCCTCAGCGCCGTCGAGGAGACCGGTGCGAATATCACAGTCCTGAGCCCGATCCCAGCGCAACCATTGGCCCAGAGCCTGGGCGGCTCTGCTGTGCAATCTCCTCTTTCGCTACAGTCCCAACCGTCTCCGCTCAGTGCACAATTTAACCAACCACAACCGATGGGGTCGGGGACGGGGACTTCCGCTGGCAGTCCTTCGCCCCCTACAATGTCCCTTCTTCTCCAAGGAATGGGGATGAGCGGACTCGTCAGTGCGAGTGCTTCTGTCAGTGGCGCTGCTTCAGCATCTGGCTTCCAGTCTGGATTTGCCAGCCCGTTGAGCAGCTCGAGAGCACCCAGTCCTGCTCGAAGCGCATCACCGCCGAATGGACAAGTCACTATTGAGCCATCGGCTTCTGCAATAGGTGGTTCTCCTCGATCGATCCCCAAAGATGCTACACCGTCGATCATTAGTGCGTCCCCGCGCAAGAGACCCTCGATACCAGCTCCGGGCCCGGCGTCAAATCCAAACATTCCCAGCCCCAATATGCGTGCCTCGAACCGCCTCAGCTTTATTTCGTATACTGATCTTCTCACTTCTGCACCCATTGCCGCCCAGCCACTCGGCGCCGTGCTCAACCCAGGAACTCACGAACCTCCAACGCATCTCGTCGTCGTTGACCCAGACAATGCTCCCAGCCTTTTGGGAATCACACCCACCGTCAGCTCTGGCCATCTCCCGCTCGGTAGTCTCAACATGAGCGGGGCGGCAGACAAGATTGACGTGGATTCGTTGGGGACGGTCGGGTTGAGCAGCACTGGCGAATGGGGACGAGAGGGTCTCGGTAGTGGACTCGAGGAACGGCTAGAAAGACTTTGGGTTGCAGAAAAGGAGCTCAACGAACGTGGGCGCGTCGCGATACCCGTTAGCCCCTCGGTCGCTGCGGCCAGGGGTTCGGCGAGTCGATCTGCCAGTATCGGAGGGACGAATTCTAGTCCCCCGGCACCCATTGCTAACGCCCTCCCACCACTGCAGCCACCAACAGCCAGTGCAGCGCCGTCAGCGACGACGTGAGGCGCCTGAGCGAGCAAGTACAAACTTTTTTAATCTATGGATAACGCTATTCTATTCGACAGAGGGCGAGAACGAAATTGACTCGACGCGTTCTGAAACTGAAACGAAAACAAATTACACTATGGACCCCGTTCAAGAAAGTATCCGAATAATCAAGACAGTACCAACGAAACAAAGAATTCACTCTTGATCCGCTCCTTTTTGTTGGGGACTCGTCCTCCCCACTATTTTCTCTTCTTTATATTTTCACTTCGCCCCCGGTCCTGGTGGCGAATTATGTGTTTTCACGGCTTATTCTCTCTTTATGCGGTATAGGTGTCAGATCATGAATAAAACGTGCTTTGGAATGTACATTGATCATCTTTCGTGGCCCAAGGTGGCGTTGCAAACTTGGAACCAGCGCAATGGCCTTGGGATATGAAAACTGGGCTAGGCTGGAGGGATTTAGCGATGAAATTAAGACACTTGGCATGGTGCTTATTCTCTGAATCATTCGCAACGCGCTTCAGTCGCGCCCATCTTCCCTTCCGACTTTCCGACTCGCCGACATCAGCGGTAATTTGATTATACATGGAGACGCCGAACCATGATTACGGCGTGGATCGGGTATACACTGTCTTGTGCAACCTTTTAACGCGTTTCGACAGGAAATACCTCTGATTCGGGCACATCACCAGTAAGTATCGATTAGATATTTATAAGTATCTACTGAAATGAGTAATCTAGGTGTTGCTACATCTATCCCAATCACCAGAGGTGTCCGACATTTGGTCTGCACCATGCCCGACTGAACCGTAATCAGTATCAAGGTCGTCCTCGTAATCAAGAAGAGAAATATCGTCAATCTCAGAGGAACCATTGGCCTGTTCTGCCTCGGGGTGGATTGGGAGTGTGATGCCTGCGCACAGTAAGCAAACTGGAGGACAAAGCGCGAAAGAAGACTTACGTCGGTGGTGCCTAACCTTTGCTGGCTTGGCCATTGCCCAGAGGTCAATTTCGACAAGAGGAGCAGACTTGTCCGCTTGATAGTCCAACCTCCAGTCATCGTCTCCGTCGTAGGCAAATGGATCATCCCATCCATTCCAATCCCAATCAATGCACCTATCTCTCCACACCGCACTCGTATGATTGGCCGCCCTTTTGAGTGCGAGTGTCATTTGGCGCTGTGCCCGACGTCGCTCGTGCTCTTCGCGGCTCCAGTCCCAGATTGTGCAGCATCCGCACCCACAAGAGTCTTTTGGAGAGATGTAACGTCGCGGAATTGCGTCAAAGCCGTACTTGGGTGCCATAGGCTCGCGCTCGTCTGGACGGAGATGTGGGTTGGCATGGCTCTCCGAGTGACGCGTCCACTTGGGTGCAAACTCGAGATTGGGTCTACCGGAGAAGCAACCCCAGATCATGCGCGTCTGAGCGCGGAGCCGGCGCTTGTTCATCTCTTGGTTCTTGATGATCGCTGCTGTCCTCCGTGCGCGCTCGATGCGCTTGGATGCCGACTCTTTGTCAATGGTGGTTGGTTCGAGATGTGCTGTGGTAGAAGTAGAGATGGGAGAAAGGCTGGCCATCCTGGGCGAAAGACAAGGGGACGTCTCGCCTAGTAAAGCTGGGTTTCGACGCGACGCCAAAATTCGTGGTTTATATGTTTCTTCGGTGACTATGAGTCATTTCATGCCCTCGGCTGTCAAGATGGAACTACTCGTCACTTGACAGCGGAGCCGAATCGGAACTTGTCGATAGGAGTGTACATGCAAGAGCTAATCCGCTCCGCGGGGGCTAATGGACGCTCTTGTTACTCTCTTTCTGACGCCTGGGTGGAGGCGACGTAAAAGGTATGTTAAACTTCGTTATTCAGGAAGGGGCAGCTCAGCTGCAGCCGAACTATGATGGTAGACATTTCAAGCACGACGTAAAGCCAAAGTAATCTATTGATTATATATAGGAATAAGTCGACGAACATGAACTACAACGAGTTTAGGGAATCCGGAAGGTGCACTGTCGGTCCCACGACTCATGCCTGGCTGCACTTGTCCCAGTCCCACTCAGATGCTGCGTCGTTGTCGTCTAGTCCTCGAAGGAGCCGATCAAGTTGGTCAGGATCGAGATGCTCCCAAGTCTCTTCGTAGTCGAGCATCGAAATGTTGTCGACATCTCGATGAGAAGGTCCGGCGAACGATCCGTAGGTTAAAGCGCGCTTCTGATGAGCAATTGCTAAGACTACTTAGCACTGATTCGACTAGCTCGCTGGGGGGATACACTCACTGCGTCGTTTAGCCTTTGCAGGCTTGGCCATTGCAAGTAAATCAACTTGGGCAACTGGAGCAGGTTTGTCGACAGCCTGGCCCCACTCGTCTCCATGTTCAACAGCAAAGGAGTCGTTCTCTCCCGTCCAATCCCAGTCGACCCATTGGCCCTTGCGGGCACTGGTAGATCCAGAAACGACCGACTTGACCACAGCCTGAGTTTCCCTTCGGAGGGTTGCCTTCTTCGCAGCGAGTGGCTCAAGGCACCATGAGCACCTGCAGCGTTCAGAATTGGGCATCAGGCGTGAGGGTACAGAGTCGGCTCCGTACCGGGGAGCAATAGGCTCCCGTTCATGCTCGAGCAAGTGCGGATTGATATATTCCTCGGCATGGCGCGTCCACTTGGGGGCGACTTCGAAGTTTGTGTGTGCGGACCAGAGCACCTTGCGCTGCTCTTCAAGTCGACGCGCGGCTCTATGACGACCATGAACGGTCTCAGTCACGTTGGATCGTCTGTGATCGCGGGAAGTGAGATATTCCTGGTCGACGAGGTGATTGTCGAAGGTGGCTTTGACAGGAGTTGCAAGAATTGTATTCATGGTTGCAAGGGCGAGAGTGCAGTTGGGCAGAGCCCGAAGAGAGCAGAAATCGAACAAAGTCGATGGTGAAACTTTGTCCTCCGCGCGGGACAATTTATATGATGATGGCCGCGGTGAGTCACAGTGGACAGTCAGCGGGATTCCAACTGTCAGCGGGGCAAACTGCGTTGGCGGCAGTGAAACCGGAACCGTCTTATTATTAAAACCCATATTTGGAGTCTTTTGAGGACCGGATCTTGCAAAACTTGATCATCCTGCCAAGGACATTCGAACACCGGCCGCATGCAACTCCATACATACAGCTTGAGTTATTCTCCAGTCAATAAACTTGTGCTACCCTCATCTGAGTCAGATCAAAGTTCGGCGCATGGCCTCGGGCCACCTGTTATAATCCAATCCAGCGGAGAATGGTGAGGCACTGGCCATTAGATAACGACAGGCCTAAAGGTGCAGATAATAGCGACAAGCAAACCGAGAAGTGGGAAACGAGAAACCAAGGCTACCTTACTCGCTTTGTTTGTGCTCGGAATCGAGAGTGCGGTCGAGTTCTTCCACGTCAAAGGAATAGGTCCGTAAGGCGTAGCATCGGCATCGCAAACCACGGTTGCTTACACTAGTACATGAATATGGTGTCCATGTTAAATTCGCAAGAACCCGCCTACCCAGCCTATTAGAGGCTGCAATAAGTCGTTTTACCAGCACAGAAAGAACGATCAAGAACAAGAAGCGGGCCATGCGTCTCAAACATTATTCCAACTCTCCTTATATGTTCACTATAGCCCAAGAGCGCCACACTTTTTTGCGGACATAACTCGTGACTTCTCGCTTTGTCTATTACGATCATGAAGACTCGTGAATCGGAGAAGTGTAACCTGCTGCTTGTGGATAAAGGTTACATAGTTCCGAATTTCATCGCGTCCATAGCTATTAAGAAGGCGGGAAGCCGGCCGGCAACCTGTTTCACAGAATCAGACACGAACTTCACCGTGCAGAAGGTATAGGAGTATTCCATGCAACCATACGAGCCCAAGTCTCTAAAGCGCCCACAAAGAAATGAATAATAAAGCTACAAACGCCACCATACTGATTCTGGTTGAGAGAACCGCCGAGCTTCGCCATTCTTGGGGAATCGACCCATAGGGCGTCCTATCCACGTCGCAAACAATATCTGCCTCGTCGTTGCCTTTGTCGCTCGGAGGTTCCCCGTTGACGTACCTCTTTACTGCATTATCGACACATGTTGAATCTACAAGCTATCAGTATAGGACCGGTAGACAAACACCGAATACACACTCAATGCATCTGGGGATCAAATAGTATTAGACTACTGGATGTCGAGTAAAATCGAGCTTACGAGAACCGTGTCCAACAGCATTAAACTTGATTAATCGTGATTGGTTTCCGAGAAACTCTGAGGACGCAACTCGGCGCGCGGAATCATAAGGGGTAATCGGGTCTCCAGTGTTGCCTATGACCAAAACTACGTTCTTTGGCTTCTTATTCATCTTCTGTGGTAACCTCTCAATTGCTCGAGAAGCAAAGCGATGGCAATGGCTTCGCATATTTTGGGCGAGGGTTGCACCGGCCCACTTGGACGTCTTCTGGGCCGCATCGACGAACGCTTGGAACAGGTCTTCTGTCGTCTCACCTGCTGGATCGATTGTGTCGCTACAGTAGATTGCAATGTTGACCATGTCGAGTGCGTACTCTGGAAGGATACCGTACTGCGGACGAAATGGAAGTTTTAACTCGAATTGAGCCGTCTCTTTGCTATTGTGCTGTAAAGAAACAATCACAGGTATGGTTTCCCCAAGGATCTGCCACAATTTTTGGTCGTAGAGAGCAGTGCGAATGTTGGAAGCAATGAAATCCCAGGAGAAATTGTTTTTATCAAGGTAGGCGGTCTGATTATTCTGTCCCTGTACTGTCCACACGTAGCCGTTGTACTGAGCGTGCGCCGTATTGAGCGCTTGGTCGAACAACGCCAGCACCTTTTCTGGCGTCGGGTTGGACAGTTGCCTTGCAGCATAGCAGTTAGGCGTTGCGGCACATGCTTGAGCCCACATTAGAAGGCCATGATCAATGGTCAGATCATCAGTGTCGATCCACTTCATAGGGGCCTGGTTTGAATGCTTTTCGGCATCGTATACCCCTGGAGTTGTGTGAGGAAAAGTCTGAAACAGTAAAAGTCACCTACCGTCTAAGATGACTCGTCCAACGCGCTCAGGAAACATCTGTGTAAGATATGTCCCCAACAAGGTACCGTAGCTAATCCCCCAGAAGTTGACGTCGAACCCTTCCCCGTATGTAGCATCAACAAGGTAGACGAGATCTCGGACATTGGCACAAGTTCCAACACTACGGCAGTCAGACAGGGCTCCGGAGAAATCTGGGTACGCACTGCTTTAGTTTATCCCCATTCTTGGACACCATCATCTCATTCAGGGATATCGTAAAGTTGTCGAAAGTCGGCACCTGGGACGTGCTGTTGGGGTGTCAGGTATTGACAAGAACGACATTCGTGCATACAAGGCTTCTGCATCGGCACTCTGGGTAAGATTTCCACGAGAACTAAGCGTTTTATTGCCCTGAAGGCGAGACCAGAACGCATCGTACTCCGAGTCAGAGGCAAACAGCTTGATATCTGGGCCTGATTCTCCGATTCCGCCTAAAAAGAGGTTAGAGGGGTGGATTCGGTTAGCATTGTACTTACGAGTATCCCAGCTAACCACGTCCCAGTCTTCCCCTAGCTGAGATTGCAGCAGGTCGCCTTGTTTCATTACAAGTTCAAGCCCAGATACCCCGGGGCCACCTATCAAATGTGAGTATGTACAAAAAGCGATAAAATGCATAAATTTACCAGGATTATAGAACATATACCCTTTCGAGACTGTTTAGCGGGAAGACGCATGACCGACAGATCTATCGTTCCTTGAGTCGAATTAGCCCAATCCAAGGGGACCCTATCACGTTGAGCCTTCATAAGCCAAGTTCAATTAAAACTTACTGTGCCTTTGCGCACTCTAGCCTTGAACCGCTCGGCGCGTTGGCACATGGAGTCCAGTTTAGACTGGTAGGTGCTCGTCGTGCATACCCGACTGAAGAAGCTTTCAGCGGTCCCAAAAGAGTGGAAAAAATGAGCAGGCAAAAAAGGAGGGTCATGGTCGTCCACACATGAAAAGAGAGGCCCGTTGTCTACTTATACTCCGGTTGACGACGCCAAGATCGCACATAGACGGACTTAACGGGTAAATAGCCTAGTCTATCACCTGGATTAGCTGTCCATGGGCGATGATGATTCTCTGGAGGTGGGAAAATAAGGAACGGCTGGTTATTAGTGTTCGGAAGCCAACATCAGCGTCCGCATGACACAGATGTCCATATGGCTAAGAATATCCTCGGTAATAGCAGAGTCCGTGGCCCGAAGTTGGATGGTCGGGGTTCGCGAGGACCCAAGGACCAAACGACTATTGCCCCTATGCAAGGCCTCATCAGTCACCGTTAATGAATAACTACAAGCCACTTTGAAACTAGCATGACACTTAGAAAGCCTCTTGTTGAAAACTTGGTGTTTATTTGCAATGGTGGTTGGGAGCAAGTTTACCGCTACTAGGTCTAAAGCTAGCAGGACATAGTTTCCTTTGGACCTAGTGCTGAATCTTTCGCCGCGAACCTCGCTAATTCAGGTTGTATTTGAACTTTGGTGTCGTCAATGCTCTCCTGCCGTTGGCTCTCCCGTATGGTAAAATAGAACGTGTTGAATATCCTCTTTCATAATCTCCCTATGTCTTCAGAGATGACCGGTATTGGCTCCAGCTTCTAGCAATTCTCAATACCCATCCAAGCCGAGATTTCTCGGGCTCTCTCCACGGCCGAGCTTGATAAGTCCAAATAAATCATAATATGCTAATCAGCAATCTAGACGATATTAGCGGTCGTATCTTCAGTACTACCCCAGCTGTATAATGGATCAAATCAGGTAACTACTTTCAGTCCGAATTCATATCGTTGACACGATTGCTACCTACGCTGTTTGAGGTCGGAGCGTCCATTTTATTGTCGTGCCGAACTAGGAGCTCTGCTAAGTGGTCGTAGATCAGAATCAGACTGAGTGCGAAATCCGCCGAGAGTGGGCTAGACGATGATCTGGCCGAGGACCACAAAGGTCGGCTTCCGGAAGGACTCTCATCATCACGGCGTGATTGAATAAGCAGCTTGCGTGTTCATAGAGACTGAATACTTGGCAATTTGCATGTGCATATATAACCCAGCCATTCATGAGACTGGGCAGATTCTTTTCACGACCTTCGTCGTGTAGTAAGTCGAAGTCGTGACTGTAGTTGACGACGGCGGGCAAGTAGGACACGGCAGAGGGCGAGTTGTAAAGGTTGTGCAGCTGGCATTAGATCAGCATGAAGACCTATGTCTCAAATTCGAGGCTTACGGCCGGATAGGCTTTTCATCCTGTGGCTCCCTCTTCTTCATTGTCTCATAGGGTGGATAGGGCGTGAGAGGAGGACACGTCGTCGGGACGGTAATTGTGCGAGTTGAGACAACAGTCTGGGTGAGCGTGGTGGGGGAGGGATAGGCACAACGTATTTGCGGACAAATCCGAGTATACACATCCTTTGTAACCGTCGCGCACGGTAGAATTGCACTATGTCCAAATTGTGAGCTAAATAGAGAACTTTCGACGCAAAAATGCGTACTCTTGTCCTCGGACCAAGGCAGCGACACCAAAGAGAGCAAGAACGGTCCACTTCATCTTCGTCGATGCAAGGCGAAACGGGGTGGTCCCGACGAGATTCTCGCCGCCATTTTATAGCAATCCAGGTGATATGCTGGGCAGGTCTGCATTTGCTGACAGCTGCATGCCGGTTATCACAATAGGATCCTTTGGACTCAAATGTCAAAGGATTCGGCGTATTTTTTCTTCAACAAGCCCCCATCTCCGCCGCAAGCGGGCACTACGTCTTGGAAGACGCGGTCCGATAACTGACAGGATATGCCGATTCAACCAAAGAAAATTGTTTCTGTGTACGGTTGCAGGCTGATTCTCCGTGTAGGGTGGCGTTGATGCGGGGTTAGCCCGCTGGATAAACAAAGCTGAGCCTTAGATGCGATGAGGGCCATCGAAAAGATTTTCCATCAATCCAAATGGGAAAAGAAAAGCCCGGTTTATCGGTTGATTTCACGCAGACAAATGGGGCATGTCGTGGCGGGGATCAAAGCACGGCGGACCTGCAAGATACCCATACCACATCCCCAAATAACGAGCCCTAGGTGAGACGACTAGAGGGGGCACATAATCACATCCTCCGTGGGCTTCACATATTGAGTAACAACAGCGGTGACAGTTCTCGTGGTCGGAAATGCCGTGCATACGCTGCATGGCAAGGTACTAGTTGAGCGAGTCCATGTCGGGCACCTGGAAAAGGAGGGTTAGCGTTCAGCTAGGACCCTGAAAGGGTTAAACTTACGCAACGGCCGCAACGGGCTCGGGAGCAGCCGTCCTGACATCGAGTCGAGGGCAGCTGTAAGTCGTTGGACGAATGATGGTCTTGGTTATTCGAGTAGTTAGTGTAGCAGTCACTGTAGGTTTGACTGTACAGGTCGTCGGGCAGACTACCGCGACAAGATCATCAGCTGGAGGCACATATACGGGGCATACAACATCGCTATTGGATGACTCAGTCTTCATTGGCTCATACCGACAAAGTACATACGGTGTAGCTGCTTGGGCGAGTACAGCAGCCAACAGAGTAACAGCACAGGGAAGTTTCATAACTGAAGGTATTCTCGGATTTGAGAGATCTAGTAGTGGTTGAAATGAAGCTTTATACTGCTTGGAGCTTCCTCGGAGGTCTTGCAAAGCGTGCGACCGCGGGCAGCAATGAAGATGGGACGTACGCAGCACCAAATCTTTTGGAACCCTTGGAACAGTAAGCGTAGGGGCATTGACGCTCGGCCATCTAGAGCGATAACGACCTCCCGACCTCGGGCAGGGTTTGATGATCACCGCAGAATCAACTTCCCCCTGAACAAACTGCCAAGGTGTCCAATTCACACGCCTCAAATCCCGCTTGCCGGGAGAACGGCAGGATGGGAATATTTACGGCTTCGATAGCTATCTGGCCGAAGACGGGGGATAATCTGTACTCCGTGACAGCAAATTGGATTCTCCTTGGTCACAGCAATTCCCGCTGCCTCGTCAAACTAGGCAACCAGTTCCCTAATCGGCGTCGATGCGACAACCACAGACCGCACGAAGTCGATCGTACAGCACATGTAAATATTTTCCTACCCTGTGAAACCCCGGTTAAATACGCATTGTGGTTGCCACCCTACCGCAAGGTCCATGTCTGGCTACCAAACGTACCAGAGAAGTCCGAGTCGCAAGGTTAATTGTTCCTGAAGCTTTTGAACAAGTATAAAGTGAAATTGAAGTTATATCCGGTATAGGACATAATTGAGACGATTCCAGCAATCTCTTGAAAAGGAAGGATGGCTTTACTCTGTGACAGCGAGAGGACACGGATGAACGGGACCAATCTTGATCGTGAATACGGTAGAAGTCACAGTGGTAGTGACTGGGAAGTGCGTACAAATGCGGCAAGGAGCTGTGGTCGTCGAGGTTGCGGTCACCGGTATACATCTCCCCAATTGAGATAAGTATAATGAATTCATATAAAATAAAATTGACGTACCCCCGCTTCTTCAATCCTGGGTAGTCAGGAATGATGTCTCGTTTGGCGATGGCAAGAGGCGCAGTCGGAAGTGGCGGGCAGGAGAAGGGGATAGTGCGTGTAATTGTCGACACGCTAGTGGCGGTCACTGTAGGTCTTCCAGTGCATGCGGCGTCGCAGATCACATTATAGTCGGTTGCGACGACCGTCCTACAAGGGATTGCTGCATCCTGCCCAAACGCAACAGCAATACAAGAGAGCACAATTAGAGTAACTTTCATGGGGACAGACTTGGACTCCTGGGTGGAGAATGCTGACCAACCCTTGCCGCCTTAAATATCGTTTGGAGCCTTTCTCGACAACCTATCCGCTGAATACGAGCTTTAGGGCGTGAGGAGATCCAAATTCATCAGAACTGTGAGATGTCCCGTTGTAAACCCATAAAAACCTCAAAAATAGCATCAATGGGAAGAATTGCCATTGGGTACCGGTCATTTGATACTCTTGGGGCATTAGATGCTAAATATGGTTCTCTGTATTTGTTACTTACGGGTTTGATGCGCGGTTTGCCCGTAGAGATACTCTTTGACTATAAATAGAGCGTTTTCAGGTACTCTCTCATGGATGGAGCGGAAAATAGTGCATGAATTGATTAGTGGAACTGCCGGATCTCGTCAAAAGCTCACTCGCATCTATGGAGTCCTTCATACTCAAAGGAGAGCCAAAATATTGTATTAATTTCTATCGAAGAGTGATGTAGGCCTATTTGGCTGTCTGCAGCGGGCAGTGACGAATGTCCGTTGGGGTAGCCACCTCTGTGACTAGCTTGGTCGTCGTATGCATACGCGTAAGGGTGATGTGAGCCATCATGCAAAAGCGGCATGCTAGTGTCTGCGTCCTTGATGTCGAGGGAGGGCACCTGAAAGAAATGTAGTAGTTAGCCAATTTCCCTCCACGTACGTTCGCCTGAGAAACATACGAGAGAGTAGTAATAGTCAATGCATACCGTGCGGCAATAGTGGGTCCTGCAGGATCAACGGTGTATATTTGCGTTCCGCATGGGGCAAGTATCGTCGTGACGGCCGTAACCGTGGTTATGGCATCCTTCTTCGGTAGACGCATAGGAGGACATACAATCGCATCCCTTGGTCGTTGCAGCCGAGCAGGCTATCGTCTTCAGAGCGATCACCCCCTTGAGACAAAATGGAGTCGCTTACTCTGCTCCACGAGTGAAAACACAGAAAGAGAGTAACGCTAGGTAGGATAGCTTCATAATTGGTGCCTATAAGAGCTTAAGAAATCGACCAGAGCTCTTATCATCATCTGATAAATTTTCGGATACTTGCAAGGCTATGGCTAGATTTAGGGGGTGAATGAGCTCCACCGAGAACTTGAGATATTTTGGGTGCCATTGAGCCTCCTAAACGCGGTTGAACAAGATACATTGTACTCGGATGAGTCATTGCACACTGCGGATATTTCTCCACCCATATTATATATTAGTGGAACGCCGTCCTGTAAATAGAGAATAGGGCTGCCCAACAAGTGATTGGCCTCTCCGATTCCCTAAACCTAGCAGTTTGGGTCGCCCTCAGTCCATATTTATAGGTCAAGGCCTGCTGATTCAATTGATTTGAATTTGTCTCATTTCAAGTGTGCCAATGTAGAGTGACCTCATTGCGTAGTTCTTCCTGTCCGGCAGGATCAAACTAGCTTAGAGCTTTTTCAGTTTTTTCGTAAACCATTTGCTTTTTTATTATCTCATCGTGCACTCTTGTCATGAAGACATTCTCCATTGCATAGGAAGCCTACACCAAGGAATCGGGGCAGGTTTAGGCGAGTGGGCAGAATCTGACTCCGGTAACTGTCGCCGTTTTGGATGCTGTCTTTGTTGTGGTGACAGTCGTCGGTAGTCCAGTGCAGAGTCGGCAGGGCAGCGTTCGCGTGAGAGTCGGGCACCTGCCAGTCCCAAATTATTCAGTCCAAGCTCACTTTACCACCGAAACCTAGATGGAATACGTACGGAACAGGGCGGATAGATGCCCTCGCATTGAGTGTCTGAGCTGGAATAGGGTCGATGGTGAATATTCTCGTTGGGCAGGGTGGGTAATATGTCGATGTAGGTGTGACTGTAATAGTCTTTGTAGTCGTTGGGAGACAGAGTTTTGGGCAGACAAAGGCATCGTCTACAGCGAGGGGGCACACAATTCCACTGTCTTCGCGTCAGCGAAAGCTCTACAAAAGCCGAGAAGACATATACACATCGACGTCATCTGCGCGAACAAGGGAAGCGAGCGAGAATAGCGCTAGGTAGAGCAGCTTCATGGCCGGCGGGTAGAGAAAATCCAGAGCAGATGAGTCTGGTATCGACAGCTTTTATAGCATTTCAGGTGGTTTCTCGGGTATCGTAAATATAATGCTGTTCCGGTCAGAGAGTCGGAAAGAAACTGGGGACAGGGTGAATCTAGCCACCATTGAGGCTCGGGCAGCGTCTTCTCACCGCTGACCTGAGATATGGTTCATGAAATTAGACCGGTACTCAAATAGAGCCATTTTGATCCGTGAATAAACCGAATTCTCCGTAAGTGGCCAAGATTAGCTTGTCTCGTCCTCTCGAAGTTGAAGGTGGTCTACAAGATGTTGTGTGTTTCTTCAGCAAGTGTTTTACCGGATAAGACACGCCAAAGTCAAAGTCGCTTTCCATTCCCACTGGGTACAACGGCAATCAAAAGGTTTTTGACATGCACGCCTTGATACGCAGTTTCCCCGCACCACAGATCGAACCATGGCGCAGCCCAGGTCCATAAAGTTGTGATCCTGAGAATCCCCGCCCCAGCTCTGATGAGTAAGAACATCACAGACAAACTAGACGAGGGATGGAACAGATATTTAATGTGGCAATCAGTTTGTACAAGTCTGAGGTCCTCGTCGGCTGTCCATTTCTGGATCGAAAAAAGCACATGCCATATTCTAGAAAGCCAAGGTCTGCTGACCACGTTCTACATCACATCATTAGATGAAGCACATTGGAAGACGAAAAGCATACCAGGATCGCGCATTCTGTGAATGCGTACTTCGGGACCGAATTGGATGCTGCCCATTTCCTGTAGATCGTGAGTGAGTGAAAAGGAAGAAGTCCCTACAGACCTGGGGTGTTATGAGAATATGCTGTTTGTCGGAATTTTTTGCAACATCAAGCTGCGGAGGATGAGTACCCTGAGTTTGAAGAGGTTATCTACCGACCATCATCTTCATCGAGATACGCCTTGTAAAAGATGTCAATAGACATAGACAAGCAGCGAGCTGAGGTACCTATTGACAGCGTCCATATAAACGTCAAATTCGTCGAGCGCTCTGACGGGACAATTCATCGCATCCCAAAGGGAGAGCAACAGGCAAATGGTCGAGAACGATTTTTCTCCTCCTGACATCTGTGTCGTATGTAAGTGCTAGATGGCATGGTGATATACCGTCTGATACGAACCGACTGGGAGGAGTCAGCGAAATACAAGGATGGATAAAGAGTGCACACCTTTGCATCTTTTTCCTTGGCTTTGCCGTTCTTGTTCGTCTGATCGTCTGTCTGAACTGCGAGCGCCAAAGTCTTTTCCTTGTGGTCTAATTTCATCTGGCCATAAAACCCGCGTTGCGAAAGATAAAACTGGAAACTATCCCATAGTCAGCTCCATTTCCTAAGTCAGCTGTGCACCGACGAAAGTTTGCATCGCAGCGAAATGAAACGGCGGAAAGACTGCCACTTGGTCATACGAGTTTGTAATGACTTGCGTAGTAGCTGCATCCCAGTCAATACACAGCGACTGGAAAGTAAAAACACATACCCTAACCAAGCCATTCAGCTCATCGAATTCCTGCTTCGCCTTTTGGTAAATTTCATTCGCCTGCTCTAGATCGGCCTCGATTTCCTCAAAGGTCTTGCCTTGCCTACACAGAGGGTCAGCAAGGGACATGTCTGGTAGTGAGCCGCCCACTCTTGAATGCTTCGTGCGTACGCCTGCTCCTTGGCCTTGAGTAACTTTTCCAGCACCTCTCGTTTACGAGGATGAGGGTGCTCATCAAACCTGGCAAGGACATCCGTGCGCCATTTCTGCAAATATGTACTCGTCTCCATGAGCTTGAGGGCGAGAACTTACTGTATACTCCTTCTCAAGAGTGTTTTGCTTCTCCTTTGCTTTGGCAATCTTGAGGTCCTGCTCTGCCTTTCTTGCCAGATAATAATCGAGTTGATGGCGAGCACGTGTATGTGCTCCAACCGCAGCTTCCACTTGTAGCTTGAGTATATTTAGTGCGAATTAACAAGGCAAAGCTCCGACCGACTTTGATTTCTCGCCGCTTGCCTGCGTGATCCTCAAGTGCTCTGCGTAGTTCATTGGTTTGATGGACTAGTGGGCGAAGATTTGCGTCAATCTTCTCTATTCGTTGTACCACTTCCGCCAATTGTCTCTCGGTATCTCGGACCTCGGATCTATATCCCTGGGAGAGATGTGAACAGGTATGCCAGAGAAAGGGAATTCATTCATACCTCAGCGATCTCTTCTTCCGCCTGTAGATCAAGGGGAATCTCTTGTACGTCTTCTGCCTTTGCGGCCAATAAAGCCTGATGACTTCGTCGGGCGGTCGTCTCAGCTTGACGTTCCCGACGCTTCAGGATAGAATAAATTGACCAGGTCAAATGGTAGCCCCTCAACGCACCAAAGCTTGATTCAACTGTTCCTTGGCGTTATTAACCTCTCTCTCTGCCGTAACCTTAAGTCCCTCGAGCCGCTGATATTCGGGTCTGAGTTTCTCAAACTCAGCTGTGGCTTCCTATGAGCACAATATATGAGCGTAAGAGCATTGAAGAATATCCCACCCACTCGTATTCTGCTTCCTTTCGATTGTCGGCGAACAAGAAGGCACGGAAGTCTTGGGCCGATCGAATTTGCCTGAGAGGTTCCAGATCAGCACTCGGTTTGTATATAAGTGTATTCACACTTACCCCAGAGACGTCGTGCTTCCTCCTCCATCCCTATGAAATGCATTAACAAGCATCTAGAGAGAAGTTAAAGAACACCTACTGGAAGCGTTGAACGCGCAATCCATTGGCAGTCCACACATTGTACCTCGGATGACTTCGGAGAATATCCTCTGCCTCCAAGCGAGTATTGGCAAGCACCGTTTTCTCTACCTGATTGCTGTTGATGAGAATACGGACAACCCACTCGTCTTGAATCTGAAATAGTGTGAGAAGAGAAACCATATTTAAGCCAGAGGCATACTTCCAAAACGCGGAGGACGGTAAGGAGAGGCTCGGGTGCTTCACCAGCACGATAATCGAACATATCTGGCTGACTATAGATAACACCAGTTCTATGCCTAGAATATGTTAGAGCATACTTCAAACAGTTGGCTAGTACATACATGCCCCTGTCCGCCAGCATTTTGCGAAGTGTACGTTGATCTTGATAGTCTGTTACGACAAAGCTGCCGAGAACGTTTCCGAGTCCAACCCTGAGAGCGTATGCCCATTTTTGATCTTTGAGCTTGACGTGAAGACCCAAGGGACCAAGTGGTGATCGACCCCTCCATCTCGCCTTCGCAATCTCTTTCATCAGCTCAGGTACCGCTTGGCCATACGCAGCCGCTCCACCCTTGTCAGACATTATATTCTTCCAATGATTTACTTGCTGTTCGGCATCTGCGATTCGTCTCCTAAGATCTTCGAACTGACGTTCGGTGGTGCTGAGATCGCTCTTGTGAGCGTCGAGTGCTTCTGTAGCCCGATTCTTTTCCACCACGGCAGCATTGTGTCGCTCTTTGTCTTCATTATGAACGCGTTGGGCCTCCTCAATTTGACGACGAATTCCCTCTCTGCGCACATCCTGGTCGAGCTTTTGGCGCGCTTCTGCAATTTTTGCTTCGGATTCAGCCAGCTTATCTTTGGCATCTCTAATTGCAGTCGCCATTTCTCTCGCGTCACGCTTCGCCGAGTGAGTGCCGAGCAGATAATGTCCACAGGATTCTCACCTTGGCCGACCGCAGGTCTTCCTTCTCAGTTCTCACCCGTTGGTCAACGTCCTCCTTTTGTTCGACGAGCTCTTGCGGACTAGCAGCTTGTGCCATCTGAACCTCTGCTGCATTGACAGCAGCTTCCGCCTCCGCAAGTTCCCGCTCGCCGGTGGCAACTTTGTTCGTAGCGTCATCCCCTAGTTCCTTGGCCGTGGCAGTATCCATGATAGCTTGGGATACCTCTTCTTCCTTTTCGGCGATGTGCGCCCATGCCATTTCGCGCTTGATCTCGGCAATTGCATTCTCGGATTCAGCCAGCGTCCTTGCTCGCCTGTGACGCTCTCGAAGTTCTTCGAGCCGAGCTCTGAGCTCGGCAACGGCGATACCCTTCTGTTCGAGGATGGCCATTGTTTTGCTGCAATTATCTAGGATAAGGGTATATTCCTCGCTGAGCTGGGTGAGCAGAGTTCCTTTCAGGAAGAGCTGCAGATGGATCAGACTCTTCTATCTAATTCATTTGGGTTACATACGTTGTACTTTTCTCCAGGGTTGGACGAACTGAGGAACTGACGGGCGAGGTCTACAACGATCAGATGATAAGAAAGTAATGAGATAGAGTCCAATACCTTGTGTAAGAATGTTCATAGGGTTGTCCACGTCAATTTGGTAATGATCCAAAATTGCAGAGAGCTCGGTTCGTGATGTCGAGACGGTCCTGCCTTGGGTGTTTTTAAGTTTGTAGGATGACGACCCCGCCTGGGTGAATGCACGAGTAACAGTAATGGCATTGCCGTAGGCATCGGGACGATATGGTTCGTTGCCGCCATTTTTTATCGTGACAGACACTTCTGCAGCGCTATAAAGGTTCAGAGTCGAAGTCCTCCTTCAAGGTGTCTCCTTACTTTTCACCAGACTTGATGAACGATTTGAGGCCAGCGGATGCTCTGCCTGTAGACGTAGCTTTGCCCCCTAGGGCTACAATGATCGCTGAGAGTGCTGCGCTCTTTCCGCCTGGTGGGCATAGTCAAAGAGTGGCCATCATGGAACAAATCTCACGCACTTCCATTATTGCCGATGATAAAGTTGACTTGCGGACCAAATTTGAATGTGACATACCTGACCATTGTTAAGCGTCAAACAACCCATCGCACTGTAGGCATACTTGTGGCACATAAAGTTGTGAACCTCAACAGAGCTAATAATTCCAGCCTCAGCGGCCTAAAAGACTCTAAGTCAGTCTCCGTCAACTTTTCGAACAATGACCACATACGCTGCCACTCTTCCTCTTATTGATAGAGTTGACAACCATGTCTGCATTGAGTCTCTCGAATTCTGCCTCTGCATCAAGATGTTCGACTTCTGATTCGCGAACATTGTTGTGGCCATTGCGTCTTGACGGTGTGGAACGGTCGCTTTCTGTGTCAGAAGGTTCTTCAGAAGATGGTTCGCGTCGTCCATTTGCTGGTTGTTTGCGTTTAGACTTTGCACCATTCTCCACTCTCCGCGCGCGTTTGGGCTATTCAGCTTCCAGGTCAGCTCGGTCGTGTAGGCGATACCAAATACGCGTTTTTACGCACAGGAGTGCTTCCCTCTTCAGCTTCTGATTCAGCGGCACGTTTGGGGGCCATGATAGTATGTCGCGGTGCGGCTCAAGGGACAGAGGACCCCAGAGACCCAAGGCGGCTGCAATGAAGAGACTGATTGAACACAATTATACAGGGAGACGGAAGATTTTAATGTCTAGACGGGAACTCGCTGCAAACTGGTGCCACCCGTAGGCTTGGAGCTGACCACCTCCTTTGAACAAGCTGCATGCAGCGAAGGATGCCACATTCGTTGGACGAACATGTAGGCGTAACTCCTCTAAAGTCGCCTTTCATTCGTCCACACCTCAAGAACGGCGCTGCGACGAGACGAGCCTTCTTAGGGTCTTCGACTGTGCGCATTTGGGCCCTATTCCTAACCGCCTGCATTATATACACCCTCCATAGACTATCCCTCGATCATTCATCCACTTCCCATTCCTTTTACAACCAGGATGCACTTCATCCCATCAATTATCTGAATGTCACTTCGTCCAAGCCCTTGCCATTTCCTTTTTGTCCGCCTCATGGGCCTGGAGATGTAATAGGCAGCAAATATGGGGCTCATAGGATTGCGTATGTTTTGCTTTCACATTCTTGTCGGAAAACCTAACGGACACAGCAAATCCCACGTTCACTTAGGCTCCGGAGCGAGAATACAACGTGTGTTACACAGAGTGCGTCTTCAAATGATGAGGAAGCAGGACTAAATCACCCTTTAGGCCATGTCAGGCCAACCGATAACCATGAGTGTGTTGGGCAGCTCAAGTATGCACTACTACCCTTTCTCTCCTTCATACTGATACGATTGTAGTTTCCGCCTGTCATGGTTGTGGGGATGACCCTTTGGCTCAGAACTGTTGGCCAACTCGCTTCTTTATGTGGTGGAATTCGGTATTTCCAAATCCAGCGACCCAAATCACCAATGGCGCTCGTAGAAGAACAGACTCTTCTTACTTTGCGTTTTGCCATTCCCATCATCTCCCAGATGAGACAGACCTCGTCATCATGGACTTTGACACTGAGGACAGAACAGACGATCAAGCTCTGGAGCACTTCGAACTCCTTGTTCGATCGATCCTCAACAGACATGATTCTCCCGCCATTATCATTTTGGGACACTTTGCACCGCAGCTGCAAATGTCCCATGGTTTCAATGGACCAGAGTTTCAACACTCGGTCGTAGCTCAATACTACGACATCCCTCATATCTCCATCAAAGGCCCGATGTACGAAGAATTTCTGTCGGATCCAGACGTCTACGCCCATAATTATCATGTCGACCCGGTTCTCGCTAACCCAAGAGGACACGAGTTATTATCAGATATCTTGATATCTTACTTTCAGTCGCAGATCTGCCGAGGGTGGGATGTGGCGATGGGGCAGGCCTATGACGTTCCTGTGACTAGTGGTCAGAGTAACAAGGCCACAGATGCTAAAGGTCTCTTCGGAGGAATACGAGCAGGTGGCGAAGGGATGATGAACGGCGCGAACAACGATGCTGGTGGGCACCCTGCCGAGAAGGATTCGACAACTGGTGGGACATCTGGGGGCTTCAAAATACCCAACGGCAGAATTGCTTCACGACCATGGGACCTTCCGAACTTCAAGGAGGCTCGCCCATTTTGCGTTGCCGCGGACGACCTAATTAACCCACTTCCACCAAGCCTATTTTATGGCACTGGCTTCCACGTGTATCATCCCACAGGAGGCGACGACAATCGACACTACTGGTACTCCGTCCTACCGACAAGCAAACTACGCGTTCCCATTAAAGTCACTGCTGGAGACGTTGCTGTCTATATTCTTGAAGAAGGTAAATCACCAGAGCAGAGCAGCAGTATCGAATGGTACGTCATTTGGCCGAATTTCATCCCGAAACTGACCCTAATATAGTTGGGTCGACGATAACTACGGAGGACGAATGCGCATTCAGAATAGCGGAACGTCTGGCGTCCATCCCAAGTATGTGAAGAAATTTGGCCACTGGATTCATGCTTACTACACCCAGGCTAATTGTCATTGATCATGGTGTCTCTACGGGGCCCCATTTCGTCGAATGCCAGCTGATGGGAGACGACGTTGGCCCTGTTGAGCCTTTCAAGATACTTGGTATCTTCGCCACCTAGCCATACAACCATACTTCATAGTAATATGCATATTTCTTGGCTTCACCTCCGAGACGGGCTGTACAGAAGCGTCTCTACTTATTCTTATGGCTGTAATTGTCTGTCTTGTATACATCTGGTATATGTATCGCGCTTTTGCATTGTTCACTACGCTGCCTCAGGAGGAAGTGTGATAGGGGATGACAAACAAAGCATAACTCCGACACAAACAAACGAAAGCTTCGTCCGCCAAGTTTCCTAATCACTCTGTGAGTCCTCATATATCTTATATATCGTTTATTTCTTCTCTGATCCGTATATGATTAGGCCTCGTGAGTTCAAACCGACCAAGCCTCCAAACTCTTTTGGCCTCTACCAACTCTGGGCTCGTGGCTGATCCGCGTCCATTGGCCTCATAGCACATAAAATCAACTCTTATAACTCGTAGAAGATGGCCCAACGTGTTACGCTCCGAAAACGCCAACCGTACAACACTAAATCGAACCGTCGGCGCCAGGTCAAGACGCCCGGTGGAAAGCTCGTCTATCATCACTTGAAGAAACCAGGAACTGCTCCAAAGTGCGGTGATTGCGGTGTTGCGCTTCCTGGTGTAGGTTTCTTTGACGCTGCTTTCCTATATACATCGCTCATTAATCTTCTTTTATCGCTTTATAGGTTCCAGCACTCCGACCAAGGCAATATGCAACCATTTCTAAGCGCAGAAAGACAGTGAACAGGGCTTATGGTGGCAGCCGATGCGGAGACTGCGTAAAGTCTCGGTATGTCTCACAAGCCACATATATGAACAAGAATCTGATTCCGTCGCAGAGTGGTCCGTGCTTTCCTGATCGAGGAGGCAAAGATTGTCAAAAAGGTCATCAAGTCGCAGAGCCAGACCAAGAAGTAAATCCGCTTGGTAATCTCTCGGTCGACTACATGCCGTGTATTTTTGCTCGTCCTGGTATGCACATGAGCGAATGCCATTCATATGCAGAAGGCCCTGTCGGGCATCTTACACCGTATACAAAACGGCTTGGTGCCAAATGAACCTAAGATTGCATGCGAGCAAGGGAGAGAGCAGATACAGAGTAGAGTGGTTTTGCAACAATTCGCGATTAAGTCCTTCCAGAAGGGTGATATAGGAACCGGGAGGCTTGTTAAAGATTACGGCCTTTGCCATTCCCAGTAGTCCCTTTTTTCTTCGACGGCTTCTTGTTCCCTTTAGCCCGCTTGGTCTTGCACCAGCGACATACAAAGTCGCCTGGAGGTGGTGCGCCATTCATGTCGAGACATTGCAGATGGAACTGTCGATGGGTTAGAGAACGACTTATGACTTCTGTAGCCAAGGCTTACCCATTCGTATTCACACTCAGAGTCGTCGCACGCAATCATTTCGCCAAAGCTCGGTCGGTTGCAGATGCAGTAGAGCCTATCGTCGTCTTGGTCCCGTGGATCTGATGACGCCATTTCGCCAAATTGTCGATTCCCGTCCTCGTCGACAGGCTTCCTCCGTACTGGAGCCTTGATTGGCCTCTCTTCCGAGCCGTCGATTGGGCCTCCATCGGCAGGCTTGCCTCCACTGCTTGATCTACTGAAATCATGGCGCTCTGGAGGTCGATTATCCGCCGAATCGAGTAGATGATCTATATTGGGTCGCTTGACTGCTCCTGCGCTCCCCAACGGACGATCCCGATCTTCAAATCGTTCAATAGGCTCTTCCTTTCCGCCATAAACAAATCTCCCACTTTGGGACTGAGCTGCTGCATGCATTGGTGGCACCTCCTTTCCACCAGTCCAACCATCATAACGAGGACCTGAGTAGCGAGCACTACTGCCAGGTGGCTGATCACGATCGCTATCTCCATGCTCAACAGGATACGTAGGGCTGACTACCTGTCGTCCTGCGACGCGCTCACCGCCCGGATATTTGTTGCTCTCTGCCCCGACTGTCCCACTTCTGGGCCGATTCGGGATGCTTGCGCTCTTTGGCTCGCGTTCAAGACGCTCAGCAGATCCAGCGGAACCGGTGCGGAAAGGCGGATCACGTGCGAGAGACGCGTGCATGGTGCTAGCAGACCCGCCACCGGCAGAGGAACCACCCGTAGCATAGTCTCGAATATGAGTGTTCAGAGGCGGAAGATCTTTTGACGGACCAGAGGAAGATGAAAGGGACGGATGTGTCTCCATCATGCCAGCTGCCCGCCTTTCAGGGGCAGAAACACCTCCCGTTGTTGTAAAGTTTGCAGAGGGATGACTAGATGGATGTGGGTTAGACTTGGATTGGTAGCCTTGCTGAGCATGCGAAGAGTAGCCAGACCCTCCATTTGGACCCTCGCTTGGTCCATAGCCGCTGTTATAGGCCGAGTGGCTATATCCTCTAGGACGCGACTGCCCGGTCTCGACTGCTGTAGATGGGGCTGGAGGCATGCTCAAGGCCGTCGATTGATTCAAGGCTGTGACCGGAGGTAAGGATGTGAGCATTGGCACTGGCATCAGACCACCGCTGACAGGAGGTACAGAAGGAGGAATCTCCCTTTCTTTATTTGATACCTCTTGAACTCTGTGAGAGCTCTTGGTTGATGAAGGGTGATACGGGTTGGCTCCAGCCAAAGGGTCCAAACCTCCATTCTGCACAGAATGTCTAGGGACAGAGCTTACTCCGGGGTTGGATGGTTCGTAGGCGGCTCGCGCCCCAGTACTTGCTGACGACGTCCGACCAGAAGGCGGGGGAGGGAGAGTGGCTGACAAAGGGAGATTCATATGTGAGTAGTTGGAAGGAGGTATGTGGTTGAGATTTGGGTTCATGTTCATCACTCCGTGATGGTTGTAGACGTCCACCATCGGGTTCGTATTGGGAGGGTACATGCCTGGTCCCATCGGATCGTACGGTGCACCAGGCTGACCTTCATAAGGCATTCGAACGTTCCTGTTTGATCCATAACCGTATGTCATGGGATACGGCTGTGTTTGTGGATTGGCATTAGATTGCTGAGAGCCGACTCCAGAACGACCGCGTCCACTCTGACCATGGGATTTGTGTGTTGACACGGGACCTTGGTTATGCATATTGCCCGTGGGTTCTACTCCTTGCATTGCGGCACCTCCTGGCATGCCGGATCCCGGACGTGGGATATCCATAGGATCTGTGACCATGATATTGTCCATTGGAGCCTGTGGGATGACGCGTGTCTCGCGGGGCTTTCTGTTCTGAGTTCTTGCTTTGCTGGCGGTATTTCCCCCCGGACGGTAGGCGTCTGCATCCAAGGCGGCGGGCCCGCGCCTAGGAGTCGAGTAATCATCTGTATCGACGTCACGAGTTTGATTATAGTTGTGAGTTCCTTGAATCCGACGACGCTTGTTCGGAGTGTCGCCACCATTCATCCTGCTGGTGCTATCATTTCTTGCGTCTGGAGATAATCAGTCCAATACCTTCATAACAAAAAAGATGCCATTTACTCTGAACTGCGGCATTCCTTCTTGGCTGTCCTCGCCTGTTCTCGGGTGCGGGGTCCACCAGCGCTGATGGGGGGACGTGGGGGTACACAGTGTACGGTTGTAGAATCTCTGGTGCGTATGCATCATCAATTTCGCACATGCGTCGAGTAACGGCCAGAAGATGGACATAGTATGCATTCATCTGCACCCAGATCAGCCTCTGCGGACGGTAGTGATAGAATTTAGGGCTCACGTGCTCGGCTGCCAAACTAGCCACTCGGATTTTATCCTCGCCCCCAAGTTTGATTCGGGACGTCTCATCCGCAATCTCGTGGAGCATTTGGAACATGCTGATGACCTCTTCTTCTTTGGCAGTCCGTGCGGTGGGTCCAGAATCTGGCAAAACAGATTATAATCAGCGTCTCATGTCATCGTTCTAAAAAAGGTAAATAATCTACCTGTATTTTCGACGGGTTCGGTTGTCGCGGTTGTCGTGGCTTCGTCTTGCGTGGACAGCGACACCAACCCACTTTCGATTCGCTCCGTGAGGTGCTCGATCCGAGTCGTGATACTGCTCAGACTCTGGCTGAGTACGGCATCGAGCTCTCGTAAATCTGCAACAGAATTGCAACGACTTGGTTAGCATGTCCCTCTTGATCCAAGCCGTCCATGACCGACTCCGGCTGAGCACCGCCGGGCGATAGAGCAAGCCAACGGCGACGAAATGGTGGATTTGAGACTCTGCTTACTCACCGGCAAAGTGTCTGCACATATCTTGTGGGATTTCATCTAGCGTCGACGCGAACGCTGTTGTCAGCGAGTGGATGTACGTCGGCGAGGGCTGTTGCGCAGGCATAGCGAGCACTGTCTAGTCAAGTAGAAATATCTTGTGGGCGATTTGCAAGCGGAGGAGACCCGACGCGAGCTGTGTAGTGCTACAGGTCTTGCGGGCTGCTCGTTGGTGCGGTCAATTCGCGTTAGCAACCAGTTACTGATGATCTATAGAGCGTTTATCAGTTTATTCGAGTCCTTTTAGGCGTGTTGAGCGCGATTGCCGGTGAGACCGCGTGCTATGGCCAGGTCCAGGATCATCCACAGACGGTTGCGCATCAGGCCGTCGGAACAAATCTCCATCTAGAATGCAGAGCAGCACTAAAGTTCGATATAACGGGCAAGTAGAGCAACTCCTTTTCTATCCTACTTTCTTCAAACCTTGGTGGCTGGACCGAGGCGACCGAGGGGAAATGGGTAGTTAAACCCTGTAAATTCCTATCCTCCCACGCACTTTAATACGGAAATGTGTTGTAGCAAGAGCTCCGGAGGTGCCCCAAACACTCCGGTGTAAGTATGTTGGTTGACACCAAGGAAATGCCCCAGATTACAGATAGTGTTTTCCAATACATATTAAATGGACAGAAAGGTATCAGCCAGGAAGCGATATCACCATAGTGGCGACGAGTGGATCAATCCTCTTCTTCGTCGTCCGAGAGAACAAGCCTCTTGACTGGCCGTGTTGTACGGGTAGTCGCAACCTGTTTCTCATCCTCGGAGTCGCTGAAAAGAGCTTGCCCGAAGATGCAGCCGAGAGTCGCTTGTCTGTCCCTTGGCCCTCTCGTTCCTCATCGCTACCCACAGGGCTACTGGCCGCGGGTGATGAAGGAGGAGAGGTTGCAGCGCGTCGAGTAGACTCTACCTCGTCATCATCAGAGGCTGCTGCCCGTCGAGAGTTTCTCTGGGCGGGTGATAAAGGCGAGTCCGATTCTTCTTCATTGCTCGAGCCTTCCATAATTGCTATCTTTGACCGAGCCACACTGGGCTCTTCGCTCTTTCGAGGTCGTTTGCGTGCCCTTCCATCTCCACTCTTCTCGGTATGGTCTTCCTTTTTCTTTCGTTTCTTTGTACCCGTGCCTTGGGCTACAGTACCGTCTTGCTGCGCAGCCTCTGCCATCCTTCGCCTAAGCGCTGCCTCTGCAGCAAAGAATGCATCATCGTCCCCGAGCTCTGCATCAGAATCTTCAATAAACTGACGAGAAAGAGCGTTCTGCTTCTCTGCCCTTCTCTTTTCCACTCGCTTATTCGCTCTTCGTCTCCCTCCCTCATCGTCAGAAAAGTCGTCGAGAAAGTCGGCTTCAGCTGGGGAAACACCTCGCTTCTTGCGTTTGGTAGGTTTGGAGATCATTTGAAGCGCCTTTTTGCCACCGAGATCGATGGGATCAAGGAGGAAATTGTTGATGAGCGTGAGCGACCGTTGCAACTCCTCGGGGATTTTGTTGGCTGGACATTTCCATTCTAATTCGTGAGCACCTAAGATAGCCGTGAGTCATTGTACCATACTCATGCCCAGCTCACCCTTGTCTACGATTTGAAAGCCAAGTAGTTGGAACATCAGCTTGAGATGCGGATTACGATTCGCGGCCTCTGCATGACCATCCTTTGTGTAGGGTATGACTACACCATCAATTCGTTATGACCTCTTCAACATATACGCCAAACTCACTGAAATCTTCAATGGCCTCACGCGCCTCTTTGGATGGGCCAGGTTGCTTCTCGCCTTCGAGATCCGAATCTCCATCTTCGGCACGCTTCTTGTCAATCTCGTCGATGGTAAGCTGTCTGATGTCGATAATGAGTCGGAGCAGCTTCATCATATCAGTACGTTTCTTCCTCACCGGGAAGGGGCACCTACCTCTTTGCACCATTCAACCAAATGTCTTTCATCCTTCTCCAGTAAACATGCGATGGCGATTCCAAGCTGCTCGCTCCAGGAATGTCCCTTCTTGATGCGGATATCTGGAGGGAATCGACTATTCGCCTACATACCTTAGTTGTGGTACATGACCCTTTGTTCTAATAACTCACCTCCTCATCCGAATCCTCTACTCCCCGACCGCCTTTTCCTTTCTTTGACTTTTCCGGCGGCTCCCAACTGGAGAAGGCTTTCCACATCCCTCTGTTCTTTGGGAAGAAGGCCTGGAAGATGTCAGTGTCTATTAACTGATGCCAAGTCGTCGGAGAGCACCTCAGCAATGACCATTCTGTCAGCCTCTACCGCCTTGAAGAATTGCCGTAGGAGGAAAGTAATCAGTGCAACCAGATCCTTGTACGGCTGGTCCTTGGGAAATGTTCGTTGAACCGAAAGAACTGTCTGAAAGAGCGCCAACGTCGATACCTAAGAGGCGACTAAATATAAGACTGAGTTGTCAGTGGACGCTCTACCTTGAAGAATAAACCTTCCGCTTTGGCTCGTACAGCTTGTCGGTGCATCAAAGTGACTACCCATTTCATCTTCTCCGGCGAGTCGAATTCTTGAAAGCGAGAAAGATATGCCAGCAGCGTAGCATTAACTTCCTCGTTGGCAAATTTCTGCAAAGTAGAAGAGTGAGCTATCGACTACCTTCGCGACGTTACGCACATGTTCAAACTTTTCCAACGTCATCTCCTGTAGAATCTCTGTATCTATTTCCTCTTCTTCAGAAATATCGTCGACAACCCCCTCTTCTTCAGTTGTTCTGTGCCCTGGAAAAAACAGTCAGACAGAATACAACTAAACAGACATTACCGACTTCTGGTGCTCTTCTTTCTTGTCTTACGAATGTATAGTCCACCGTTTTTTCGGCCCCATCGTTCCAACAGGCGAAGTAAGACGTACGCCAGGTGAATGTTGGCTTCAAGGAAACTGGAAGTCGCTTAAGCATCCGGTAATACCAGTTATAGGTTCCATACCCAAAGCTCTGATCCTTGAAGCTCCTCATACATTCGAGCATTCTCTCGAGAGCCTCTCCATTGTAATAAACCTGATACTGAAGGGTGCCAGCAGCGTCTTGGAGTTCCTCATCAGAGGAATTCGACATCGAGTCAACAAGGAGGAGCTAAGAAACGATAAGCACATAATGAACGCTCATCGGGATTACCTACCAGTTGAGCTAAGCAGTCTAAACAAGCTTGGACCTCCGTCCATTGCTTTGGTTTCATATCCATTGCTTCTCGCATTCGTCGCAGGATCCAACCGGCCCATCCTCTCTGTACGACCTCGAGAACGAGAGAGTAGCCTAGCGACATCTTTTCATCCTCTGTCGCCTTCTCAACCTCCCCAACTGCGGCATCGGTTCCACTTTCAGCAGCTTTCCGTCGCGCTGCATCTTTCATACTCCAGTCCGCTAGGTCCCCTTCTCTTACGGCGAGGAAGAATTGCATGAAAAATTTGGAGACGAATAGCAGGCGGAGGTTATCCTTCTCCGTGACTTTACTTCTCTCAGCACGAATGTCCTTGATGAGGGAAGAGAAAAAGGCTTGAAAGATTAGCTGGAACGGCTTTCAAGAATGCTCAAGAACTTACGATTGAAGCAACTTTCGACAAATGTTCGTGCAGCCTTTCCAAGTTCCTCCCTTGCTTTGCTCGTCAACCGCGTCTCACCTCCTGAACCAGCTGTTCCACCACCAGCGGATGCGGCCCCTCCAGTGAGTTCGTCACGCATTCGTGCCCTTTTCGCCAGCTTCTTCTTTCCCAGATCCAGTACATCCCCAGCTCCTTTGGCTTTAATGGCCGTCGCACCACGGTGGAGAATGAGGGATTGTCCCGTCTGTGCTGATGAGACTTGAACTGTCGTACCAAAACGAGAGTGCCTCGAGTTCATATTACGCTTCTGCAGGAGGGATGTTCGGGTTTCCGCGTCAAGAGCATTGCGGAGGGCGTTGTTGACAACTGACGACTGTCGTCCGCTGGCATCACGGGAAAATGACAGAAGCGAGTTTGGCGGAATAGATCGAAAGAGGAGATAGAATATCTCCAGGACTAATGTGTTCTGTGCATTGGCGAGTGGATCATCAAGCGCATTTGACGCGAAAGTCAATAAGAACTCTAGAATGAGGGTATCTTGGAGAATCTCGATGTATCTACTCTGTTTGGTATAAGTGATCTGCAGTCAGAGATATGAAAACCATACTTGCCTGGAGCGAAGAGAGCTCTGCTTGGTCCGCGGATAGATTGGTGTTCAAAGGCAAGTCGCGAATAAACGCGAGGTTGCGAATAAGATAAAGGATAAGTGTGACAATCTGCTTATCCCGTTCCGTCCTATCCCATCGCGGTTTGGCCATGCACGGCACAATCAAGTCAAAGACGGCAGCCAGCGTCTCCTTGTTCGTCAACAGCGCACGCTTATAGCTGAGCTGGGCCGCAATCAACGTCGTATACTCGACCGCAGCCTGCTCCTCTTCCTCATCAAGCTCCCTCAACTCGGCCGCGACGTCAATCGGCCAAGTCATGCCCGTGATGAGGTCGACAGCCGCGATGGCACATTTGTTCAGCACGTCGCCCTTTCCCGCCGTCTCGAGGATGATGGGTACCAGATCGTTTGGCAAGACTGCAGACGCATAAAAGATGCGCGCAACCGTTCGCTCGTCATCTGTGTCATCTTTTCTCCAAAATCGTTTTAGATCTTTCAAACACCCGTAACACTCGTCTCCGAGCACGTATCTGGGTCCAGAAGGTGTGTCCTCGACGCCTCCCAGTGCCGCAATAACATGCTTGATGGCTGGCTCAAGGATACCGCGTCTAGACAAAGGTTCTTGCTGTTCATCTTCTCCATGGTCTTCATGTTCAAGGTCAATCACTTCATCTTCGGACATTCTCGAGGACGAGCCAGTCGTGGCTGGGTCCAGCTCTCAATGTGGAGTGAGCATTCGCTTCAAACTCAAAATTGTTCAAGGATTACAACAAAGCATCGATAAGGTGGTGCACAGGATACGTTCCAGGTCTCTATGAAACAAGCTGGACCGAAAGCCACATGAACATCACCTACCAGACCCACTCGGCTCTCCAGGTGCAGGAACCCCTCGTCCATCATTCTTACTGGCCTTCATGGCCGCCTCTAGAGCAGCAGGATCGAATCCTTCATCGTGACCTTGGTTTCTTGATCCTTCCAAGCCCGGGGGTGGTCCAGCGGGTGGGAGATATCCTTGGCCCCCAGGTGCGGCATTGAGCGATGGAGGTCCTGGGTCGGCAAACGGGTTGAGAGCCCCTGCTCCAGAAAAGCCGGCCTTTTCGTCATCGGCGGAGCGGTGCTCATATTGTTCCCACTCTGGGCCCGTCGTGTATCCCGGAGGCTTGACATCGGCAGCTGGGCCACCTGGTCCTGATGGAGGTACGTAGTTGCCATATGTTTGGGTAGAGTATGGATTGTATCCAGGAATGTTCCTGTACAGAATGAGTATAGGATTCGCCGCTCTCAGAAGGACATACCCATTTTCATGATAGCCATACGCGTTGCGAGTTGCATTCATCTGGTAAGCCGAAGACGGGGCTTGGGTTCGAAGCATCGTTGGGTCGATTAATTGTCTGTAAAACGCAAAGTTTATCGTGGCAAACATGAAGCTGATGAAGATGGCAAAGAGCAACCATCCAACATGGCGCCAAACCCCGGAAGTCCACGCTCTCGTACAAATTCGCGCCTCCGCGTCGCTTGCAATCGAGGTGGAAATGTTTGGGTTAAAGATGCTGCCCGAGGTCGTGGTAATTGTACGACCTTTGACCTCGTTTACGCAACCGTCAATAAGTTCCTTCTTGAAGACATTGTCAAGGACGATGCGAATGATTTCGATTGCGGTGATGCAGAGGGCTCCAATGAGCGAGAGCCAAGCATAGATCTTGACCAGCATGATGCGAGACTAGAAAGCTAAGTCAGAAGCAGTGTGGACAGGAAGCAAACGCACAGTAATAGCCGAAATGACACCGTATATCTCGATGATCGCGACGGTGCTATACAACACACCAAGTACAATATCAAAAGGTACAAACGACGGGAGGTCTAAGGGAATAATTAGAACCGTTCAGAGTATGCTCCTGAGCTTACTCTTGTGATCATCCGAGATGTTGCGAAATGCAGCGCTCTAGACCCAAGTCAGTGGCGTTAGATCTACGGACTGGATGTGCAACGTACAGCCCTAAAGATATGTGTTAGTATCTATACAGCCGAAGAGTAATCGTGAGGTAGCGAAGGTGATGGCCGCGCAGACAACCGGCGAGCCCGATTTAAACGCGCTATAAATGTCCGCAGCGGCCAACAGCCAGCTCTGTGCACTAAGAAAGAGCTGCAGGAGAGTAACGAGGAAGGAAAGACAGAGCAGGAAACTCTGTTCCATGGAGAGCTGTTCCCATTCATCGCCAAGAAACTCACCAGACGAGAGCCCAGATGGCACAGAGGACACCGAAGAGAACAACAATCGGTCTCAGACTTCGTTTTGTCATTCTGTTCACAAACGCATAAGGGGGTGCTCGGCCTGAAGGAGCATAGGCGTTGGGCGTATAGACAAGCCACGACGGTAGAATGTTAGCAGAGTGCCAGAACAACGCTTAATAGGTATCCTAGACTTGCCTGTAGGCGGAGCAGGTCTTGTGCGGAACATTCTGGTAAATTGTCACAGATGTGGTTAGGAGAGAGATAGAGCGTGGCGGTGGATAACAATGGCGAAGACATAAGAAGTCAGAGTATAAGATCTATTATCCAATCTATACAACAGTCCAATAGGCTATTTGGAAGTCTCGGCTGCTGGTTTGGCCTCTGACGCTGGAGCGGGCGAGAGCGGCGTGCTCGTGTTCAGCGACTGGAAAGCAGCAGGTCGAGGCGGAAGAACTCGTGTTCCTGGAATTCTAGGCATTCCAAATGACCGCTCACAGTCCGCATAGCTCATGCCAATCCCAACGCCAGTTGAAAGTGCAACGGGCCATCCACGGCGTTTGAAAAGGATTACACTTGCAATGACTCCAGCACTGAACCCAATTCCACTAGAATGCACGAAAAGACGTCAGCACTCGTTTTAGACAAGTTGCAAGACCCAAAGGTGCGATGACGATGGCGAACGACGTACCTTTTCACAATCAAATCAGCGAGACACTTGTCATACTGTTATTTTGGATCATAAGCATCCGAAAGCTCGGCGTAGGATCACACTTCACACCTTTTCGACAACGGCGTTTTCGCTGGACGACGGCATGATGCTCAGACGACTTGATACTTGTTAAATTTGAATATTGATATAGTGTGTGGTGCCCACAAACGAGCAAGCAAGGTCGCGGTTGATTTCAAGTTTCGACCGTCGACCACTTATACGTATGGCTGGCTCTCTTGCTTTTCTCTTGACTGGAAATAATTCCAAGTAAGATATCAGATATTGCAGTGTGAGAATGTAGCACGCATCACAGACCAAGATCGTCCAAGTTCTCCGTTTGCCATTACTACGGGTTCTGTACCTTTGCTAATCAACTTGTATACATTTTTCCTCATCAATCTGCCGTCGACTTGCCAAACTGTACCCGGGCGTCTTTGCAAAAAGCAGTGCTAATTGAAACTGCCCACAGGTTAACGTCGATCGAAGAGCGTACATACAGAGAGCTCCTGACGCAGGTTTCGTGCCCAGGCACCTCGCTTGGTTTGTAGGTTTGCGCCAAGGTGTCTGAAACTTGGTCCCGTCCACTGCGCCTGCGGGCCACGCAGTTCGCTCATCTCTGCGTTAGCGGCCTCGAATCAGCTTCTATCACTCTCAAATCTACACCTTGACTTCTCTTGTGCCAGGAAACGGTCCAAGGCGGAGACTCGAAATAGCAATCTTCACAAGACAAGACGGGGCGCTGCCAGTACTACGCCATAGGCGCGTTATTCGTCTCCACCATATCCTCTACTCCTACCTTATTCCGGTTTAGGAGCGCACAGCTCGTGCATGCGCCCGCTGGTATTTGACGTTCAATCGCGTCAAACGATTATTCCACGTTCTATAAATAAACAGGCGTTTACGGAGCCAAGTAGTTGCAGGGGAACTCAATCAAACGAGAAACCTGACCTGTCGAACTATGGAGTCTACCAATCAACAGATATCAACGCCCAGCAATTCTTCGATTCCAGTAGAGTCGCAAGGACTACTCGTGGTGCCAGAGGGGACCAATAGCACCCCGCAAATACCACCAACTTCCGATGTCAACAAGGATGATACAATTAGTGGAAATGGCGTGCGTCTCGACGTCCCTTCCAAAGACGGCGCGGACGCTCAATCCCTATCATCCTTGCAGAGCGCCCCGCCCTCTGCTTGGAATTTACATCGTGCCTCTAGCTTCGTCACTGGCTCCGAGGCCGGACTCAGCGGCGTATCCAAAGACAAGAGCTCGTCGAACATGTACCTAGCAGGCCCAATCGACGGGGAGAACGCCCTGGTGGTTGACGACGCGGATCGTGAGGATACCACTACTCCAACCCAGAGAGGCGGCCGACGCTCCAGCAACGTTGGAGGCTCTATGATACGACGTAGATCCTCCAGTGCCAAAAAGGCCCTGGGTTCGGCGATTGGCTCGATTAAGCGGCATATGGGCTTTGGAAAGCGTGCATCTCACTCTCCGGAGAAACGAGACCGAAACGAAGTGTCAGTAAAGACGGGAGAACGATCAGAGTCTCGCTCACCAGAGGGACGAGTCGAGGAATCTACAAATTCGCTCAACAAACCAGAAGTGCCAACGGCCTCCTCTTCGCAGCATTCTGATACTGGAGGAGCAGATGGCATAAAGCGCAGGCCTTCCTTCCGTGAGAGCATACGCGCCAAACGAGAGAGCTTCCGCCGGTTAGGGCGCAAGACGCCTGCGCCGGATACTTTTGCATTTGGCTCTGTAACTCGTTTTCCTCAGAAGCACAGAGACGAAGGGATGGAGGACGAGGTGGATCGAGATGCTTTGCAAGGTGCGAATGCATCGACTGCCCTCTTTGCCAGTCCGACGGATATTACGGACGACGACCCCGCCGGCGTCCACAATACGATATCCAATGGTGGAATTGATCAGGTAGAGAAGGTTTTGTACCCAGGAAGCCTACGCCCGCCAGTTCGTCACACCGTCAGTGCACCCGCATCTTCGGGTGCGAGTTCTCTGCACAGTGGCAAGTCAAAGTCGCCGAAGCATGCTATGAGCGTCCTCCCATCAAGCCACGATGCGCGTCAACTCCGTACCGATCACGATCGACCCACCAAGCTGCCCACACCATCCCTCCTCGCCACCTCTTCACCTCGATCAAAGTCGCCAGAACTCGAAAATCTCAATTCATTTGCGCAGAAAGCTACAATCTCAGACCAGTCGGGGCATAACGAATCTTTAGAAGCCCTGGAGGTGATCCATGACCTGGAAGATATGGCTATTCCCGATAAATGGATCAATGGCTCTATTATGCTCAAAGTCGCCGATCGAGAGGCCAAACGAAGGGGTGTACGATTGGACCCGGAGCAAGGCTTACTGCTTTGGGAAGCGAAGAAGGGAGGAATTAGTATGTGTAGACGTATGTTTCGCAGTACTTTGCTAACTCTCGTAGTCATGGTCCAGAACATAAAAGAAATACGTACCGGTCCTGATACGCGCTTTTACCGCGAGCAGTTCAAGCAACCTGTAGAATTCGAGGACAGATGGCTCACCATCTCTTACCTGGTCGACGGAAAATACAAGACGCTTCATCTAGTGGCGCTGACGCAGGACGACTTTCGATCATTCTATAGGGCGCTAGTTCGCCTACGTGCATTGCGCGCCGCATTGCTTTCTCTCCCTGCACCCCCAGAGCTCACGATGCCTGCGGAAAACCCTGATTTCAAGTTGATTCCCTCTTCACCAATAACCCATAGCGGCCACGAGCACAAACACCATCATCTCCCAAGGATCAGTACCGGAATTTCGCGCCACCGACGTTCACATTCCCAACGCTCGTCGAAATCGCATGGGAACCATGGTCCGCAGCGCAATTTAACTCAAGAGCAGCAGCAGACATTGTGGGAGCGTCACCAATGGAAGGCGGCTGACATGAGCGGCGATAGACGATTAGACTTCAAAGAGGTGGAGCGAATGGCGCACAAGCTCAGTCTCGGCATAGGACATGCGGAGTTAAGACGCTTATTCGACGAGGTGGACGTTTCGGGGAACGGGTCGCTTGATTTTGAAGAGTTTCGGTTGTTCTGGAAACAGAGGCGGTATAGAAGAGAACTGGTGCATCTTTTTAAAAAGCTCATGAGTGGAGATGAGCAGCTCCCCGTTGGTCGCAAAGTTGATGATGGCGTGGAGGGGCTGACGCGGGAAGTGTTTGCCAAGTTTATTCGAGAGCAGCAAAAGGTATGTATATCTTCTTAAACGTATAATTTGCTGATTATCCCTAGGAAAAGCGCTCATCGGATGACATAGAATCATTATTCCTGCGTTATGCCACCGAGGTTAGCCAACCGGAAGCGCATAAAGGGAAGGCAAGCCAGTCTACGACGCCATCGACCCCCACCCATGTCATTACACTTGAAGGGTTCACCATGTATCTCATGTCATCCGACAACTCGGCGTTTACGGACCAGCATTTGGGCGTGTATCAAGACATGACACGTCCCCTTCCCGAGTACTACATCTCTTCCTCACATAATACATATCTCGTCGGACATCAACTCATTGGTGAAAGTACCATTGAAGGCTATATTCGGGTGCTGCTCAACAGCTGTCGAAGTGTCGAAAGTTGGTGCATTTGCCCTCCGAAATTTACTTCTAACCTCCCTATAGTCGATATTTGGGATGGAGATAAAGAGCCAGTCATTACTCATGGTGGGACCTTGACGTCCAAAGTTCCTCTTCGCGCGATCTGCGAGGTGATTGCGAAGAATGCCTTTTCGACCTCGTGTTATCCCGTTATCATCTCAGCCGAAGTACATTGTGGAGTACAACAGCAAGACAAGATTGCAGAGATTATGAAAGAGTGCTTTGGCGACATGCTTGTCGACCGTAGGCTGGACTCTTCCCCTATCGATGAGGCTCTTGAATCTCTCCCCAGCCCAGAAATGCTCAAGTATAAGATACTCCTCAAGGTATGTCGTCGGTTGTTTTCTGAAATAAACTAACGCTATATAGACCAAGAACCCCTTGCTTTCTCGAGCCTCTTCGAACATGGTGGATATCAAGTCCGATGTTACGGGGGCCATCGAGACAGATGGAGGCACAGAAACGGCTATCACCTCGGATCCCGAAAGTTATCCACGAGAACGTGGTGGGTCCTTTTCGATCAGAAAGGGGCGGAGACGTAGCAGTATTTCCTTCAAGCCTGTGCCAACCTCAATGCCTCCCGAAGGTAACGACTATGTCATGGTGGGGAGTCCGAAGAACACCATGCTGGCCCTCCCAGGGTCGCCGCCAGCGGATCCACCTCCTAAAGTCAAGGGGTTTTCAATGGCCTTGGCAAGTCTCCTAATTTATACAGTCGGTGTCAAGTGTAGAGGGATCAACAAGAAGGAGACGTACGCCGTCGAGCACATGTTTTCCCTATCAGAGAAGAAGGTTGACAAAATGCTCAAGCAAGGTAGTCTGTACTACTCGGGCGTTACGGAGGAAGATGGAGAGCATCCTGCGCACGATGCATGGGGGGGGAATGCTCGATCTTATCAAGCACTCTCAGACCCACCTGGTTCGCATCTATCCCAAAGGAACCAGACTGAGCTCCACAAACTATTTGCCGCATCGTTATTGGGCTGCGGGTGCGCAATTGGTCGCGCTGAATTGGCAGACTTCTGGTAAATATTCTCCTAGTACGCGCTCTCAGTCTGATTTTCTAAGACCTTGGATCCATGATCAATCACACGATGTTCCAGCGGAACGGCAAGTCTGGCTATGTCCTCAAGCCCGCTTGTCTACGATGGAAGGATAAGAAGACTAAAGATTTGATCACGGCACGAAAATCTTACAATCTTCGTATCAAAGTGATATCGGGACAGCAAATACCTCGGCCTAGGGACAAGGATGGACGAGAGATTGTGGACCGTTCCACGATGGATCCCTATGTCCAAATTGCCGTTTACGTTCCAGATTGGCCCGGAGGGTCTGAGAAACAATTCTCTGTCACGTCATCCGGTGATGTCCAGCAAGTGGCAGCGTCTTCTAGCCCTCCGAGGACGACCAATCCGATGCGCCGACTGTCGACAGATGCAACGATTATGCCCAAGAGCAGCTATGTCCTCCAACCTGGCTCAACACCAGCGGAAGTCGTGCGCAAGCAAACCAGCATTGTCAAAAACAATGGCTTCAATCCCATCTGGGATGAACAGTTAGACATGAAGTTTGAAGTCGCTGGAGATATGCTCGACCTCGTCTTTATTCGATTCTTGGTGCGAGATGAAGACGACGACGAAGATGATCAGCCACTCGCCATGCATTGCGCGTCGTTAGGCAGTTTGAAGCAGGGTAAGAGACTTTCCTATTCACCTTGCCCCTCCTAACAGATTCACAGGCTATCGACACCTTCCGTTACACGACCAGCAGATGTCCCAATACCTGTTCGCCACACTCTTCGTGCACATCGACCTCCAAGAACTTAGTCCATGACCAGCCGTGTCATCTAATCGGACCACGGATCCATTTGTAACTTATCGCATCTTTATATGAATCTGATACCTCCACTGGTTCAGTCTACGAGTCGACTCGATTGTACGACAAGAGAGGTTTGTATTCTCAGAAGTGGTTCACCCATACGTTGAGAGAATAAGTAGCAATATGAAACAATCGCGAAAACGTGAGAGTCTGTTCAATGACTAGTTGAGCAAGTCGCTCCACCCCGCCTCCTCTGTGACCTTGAGCAGAGCCCAAAGCATATCACGACCCGCTAATACTCGTGCCTTCATTGCCCTCTTTGCAGTGGCTTTGATGCTCTTCGGGTCCTCCTTTAGCTTCTTGCTACTAAAGTCGACTTTGACCGTAGTGAGAGAGGGGTATGGAATGGTAGCCGTTGCCTTCTTGGGTGCGAGACCGGCGAAAAAGACCTTTCCGACAAGACAACCAGTCAACTCCAACGTCTCAAGTGTCGGAATGGCTTCAAGTGTGTCCAGAAGGATCTTTTCATGCACGAGCATGTCACGAAGGCGTATCACGACAGGTTTCATGAGTTTGGTCGTCAATTGATTCTTCTCGAGCAGTTTGAAATGGCTGTTGTTGGTCGTGACGCTTGCCATGCAGCGTAAATCTAGCGTTTGGATTGATCTAAGTTGGTAATTTTCTATGTCATTCCCCCAGTGGTACTTCTGTGTGTCCATTCTGAACACCTTGACAGTCGGGAACTGATTACTTCCGGGTGGACCATCCGCAAATTCTCCTTTAGTAATAATCAACGTTTGAAGATTTGGGACGACGATGGGCCAAGATTTGCAATGCTCAATCTCCAAATACGTCAGACGAGGAAGCGCGAGTACTGAGCTGTTGGACCAGCAAGTCCCAGGACCCCTGATCTCTAAGTGTGTAAGGAGCGAGTAGCTTTGAATTCGAGCACCGAGAGCTTTCCAGTCCATATCATTCATGAACTTGGGGCCAGATAGTGAGAGTTCTTTCAGTTTGCTTGATCTTGCCGGAGGCATGTCGCTCATCGACCAATACGTATTGTGGATACGTACAGATCGCAGCTCGGACGTATCGAACATCTTCTTCGTTCCCACTATGGAACCATGCTCGGCCACCAAGTTTTGCAACTTGGGCATCTCCCATGCTACCGATCCCAAGTAAGACGAGACAAAGCCTATCTTTCCTTCGAACCGCAGTGTGCTGATTCGCTGCATGAAGCCTTCTTCGCGAAGTATCGCCAAGAGAATTTCAATCTGGTTTGCTATCGTTCGCGCCCTCTGCTGAGTTTTCGGAGCATTCTCCAAAAGGATAGTTACCTCGAGAGGTCCTACTCCTGCTCGCTTGAGAGCACGTTTGAGCTGTTCACCTGTGCAGCAAAGCTCACTACCGCGAAGGGTCCGTGAAACGCATGCAGATTGCCACCCATTCCCGACAAGGGTAATCTTCCTCCAGAGCGAAGGCGTAGTGAGGGCAGCTGCACGCCATGCACGATTGACAGAGGCAAGAATCCAGGGAGATGCATCGAGGTCTGATTCAATATATGCAGTGAAAACAGCAGAGAGCATTTCGTTGGGCATGATTCGAAGCTTTGACAGCAGCTCTTGGTTTCTGGTAATATCGTGCTCGAGAGCTCTGCGCTTCTCCCTTATCGCCTCGAATTCACTTTCTGCTAGCTTGCGGCGTTCTTCGAGTTCTGCCAAACGTTTCTGTCTCGTTGCGATTGCCTCGCGAGCGTTCTTGATATCTTGTTGGTTAGGCATCTGTGCAAGGTATTGCTCGTCGGTTTGCGGAATTGGCTTTTGATCCTCCTGTAAGTATCCCTTTTAGTATCTTGGTTCGAAAGCGACAGAGACAGAGAGGGACAGAAGGGCGCGAGATTATGCTACGCACTGTGCTGCTCACAGACCCCATGTTATCAGAATCTGTCATTTCCTCGTCTTCCTCTTGTCTTCGTTCAAGCTCTTCCTCCCGCATGAATGCTTCTTCGAGGCGTTGTGCCCGCTTGTTCTTTCGAGCCATCTTGCTCGACAATACGCACCCGGATGGATGCAGATGCTCACAGGCGGAGGGACCTGCGACTGCTACGCGTCAACGCTTTGGCCGCGAATGAGGTCGGCTCCAGGTTTGTGTTTGCCACAATGTCAACTGCAATAGATGCGTTGGGATAAAACAAGTGCTGAATTGAATGGAAATCTTTACGCGTACGACAATTTACGATCTCCGCAGATGTGATTGGGCCGGGTATTGGGCACCGCGCTGCCGGTAGCTCGAGCCCTCAGCTTTTGTTCCCAACCATGTCCGCCCAGCAATCTTCAGAGAGAAACCAAGTCTTTACGCGTGAAGAAGTCGCTGTGAGCTTCACATCATCAGAATATGCGAAGAATCTGACCAGGTAACGCGCAGCACAACAAGAAGGGGGATTTGGTGCGCTTCCTAAGGATTTTCAAGGATACAAGGAATTCTAATGCGATGAAATAGTGGATCATTATCGACTCGAATGTCTATGACCTTGTATGTGAGCCGCAGGCAAAGTTTTTTTCGACCTAGCCGTGTTCTGAACGCATCCCGCAGTCTAGGTTTGCCAATCTTCATCCTGGAGGTATTGGGGTTCTCCTTGACGACGAAGTTCGCATCCCTCCCCTCCCCAGGGTAGTATCTAATGCTTATGCTCCCCAAAGGTTGCTGGGCAAGACGCGACGAAGATATTCTTCAGTCTTCATCGCCACGAGGTTCTCCTCAAGCCAGCATATGCGCGACTCCGGATTGGATCAATCAAAGATGAATCACCGACCATCATAGCCGCTAGCCCTGGCGAACTTAGTGCTGTCCCGTATGCAGAACCAACCTGGCTTTCCAAAGGCTATTATTCTCCGTACTTCAAAGATGCGAGTCTATTTTGCATCTCAAAGGCACTTTCTGACTCATTGATAGAGCCATAAAGAACTCCAGAAGGCTATGCGCAAATTTGTTGACGAGATCGTCTACCCTGATGCTCAGGCGTGTGAGGAGAATGGAAAACGCATCTCTCAGAGTGTCGTAGATGCCATGACGCAAGTCTATCTGATCCATACTGTGAATTGAACTGACGAGGGGATAGGGCCAAGAATATCCACGCTATGCGTCTTGGTGTGCCAACTTGCCAACGCAATGCAGCATCTGATCCGATTTAGGTCCTGGAAAGCATCTGAAAGGGCTGACGCTGATGGATGGTATTGTGAAACCCGAGGAGTTCGATTACTTCCGTGCGTCCGGCGTCACTGGAGGTTCTATCAACTAAACTGGTGATAGACGAGATGATTATTACACAGGAGCTCGTGCGAGTAGGTGCTCGCGGCTATGGTGACGGTACGATACCTCGACCAGCGTCATACTGTACCTTCCTGAAGCTACGAATGCAGGAATGCTCGGTGGTATGGTTATCGGACTGCCTCCAGTACGTCTAGCGGGCCTTTGGGATATCTGCCTTACTTTCGATAGGTCATGAACTTTGGAAACGAACAAGTTCGTAGCAAGGTTATGCCGGAAGTTCTCGGTGGCAAGAAGTTTATCTGCCTTGCCATTTCGGAAGGTAATAGGATCACACACAGATAGTATGGATAGTACTCAAATCTTGCAGCGTTTGCCGGTAGCGACGTTTCAGGGATGAAGACGACTGCAGTGAAGACGCCAGATGGGAGTGAGTCGCATACATCGCTCATGGTTGTCACTCAATACTTCCAGAACATTGGATCGTCAACGGGACGAAGAAATGGATCACAAACGGCACATTTGCGGATTACTTTACAGTCGGTTGCCGCACCGACGGTGGATTTACGGTTATTCTCGTCGAACGTGGGCCAGGAGTTGAGACAAGTGCGATCAAGACGTGAGTAGTACCATTTTTTTGGCTGATTCGTTGCGTGATTCTGGGTTCTAGGTCGTACTCGCCCACAGCCGGAACGGCCTATATAACGTTTGACAACGTCAAAGTAAGTGATCAACGGCATTTGAAGAAGCCGGTGACATATGCCATTTCTAGGTTCCAGTTGAAAACACACTCGGGCCTGAGGATGCCGGCTTGCTTGTAGTGCGTATGTTTATCGGTTCATACATCTACATTCACCTTGGATAGATTCTCTCAAACTTCAATCACGAGCGGTGGGTCATGATTTGCGCCTCTGCCAGGGCCCAGCGACTCGTGGTAGAAGAATGCCTCAAGTGAGTGGCTCTCTGTCATCGATCATGTGCTCACCCCATTTAGGTGGGTTAATCAACGAGAGGTCTTTGGACGCCCTCTTGTATCTCAAGCGGTGATCAGACACAAGTAAAGATTGCCGTCGTTTACTAGCGCCTCTAATCATGACTACAGGTTGGCAGAAATGATTGCGCGTTGCGAGGCCATTCAATCTTGGCTCGAAAATATCACCTATCAAATGACGAAGATGAGTTACAAAACAATGTCAGACAAACTTGCAGGGTATGTTCAAAATTAGATATACGGCCAAGTGATACTCACATTAGTCCTAGTCAAATTGCGTTCGCAAAGGCGTACTCCACCGAAGGCGCCCAGAAAACGGCTGCCGACGCTGTGCAAATCTTTGGAGGAAGAGGAATCACAAAGACTGGAATGGGTCGCTTCATCGAACATTATCACCGTACAGTCACCTTTGACGCCATTCTTGGTGGGGCGGAAGACGTGTTAGGCGACCTGGGCGTGCGCCAGGCCGTCAAGAAGATGCCACCAAACGTTCGGTTATGAAAAGAGGCTGCTTGACGAAGCGGATATATTTTAATTCTCGTACGCGACTATATGCTGTATGTCGTTCTAGATTGGAGTGACCGAATCCTCCTGCTTAGATGGCTTGCTAGGGGCGACGAGGAGTGAGAATTCGCAAGTATATGATGCGTCAGAGAGACCCTTGCAAGCTTCCTTCACTGCGTCGATGGATCCCATGTCTATCCATATTTGACCTCTCGGGCCATATCCTGAAGTGGTGCTTAGTATTGGACGACGAGAGAAACGAGAGCACTCACGAATCTGCAGAGTGTGGTCGGCAGGGATGTACGGTCCTAGTTTCTCCTTGAGAGCTTGCTCAGTGCCTTGATAGTGAGAAACAAATAATTTGGTGTTCGTCGGTTCCATTGCGGACGATTCTACATAATTTGCGCGAACTGGTCCAAGAAACTTCACCTGAGGGTCGTATTCGAGGGGTTGAGGGACCAGGAAGGGAAATTCATCCGCAGAATTGACCGCTTCGACCGCTGCTTGGGCCTCCTCGACTGAACCGAAACGTACGGCACATGTATGATCATCATATGTGCCTAACTCAGCATTAATTCAATTCCTTTTTCACGCGGATCATGCAGCGCGAACACGTACGATAGGTGATAGTTTGGATGGCGGGGAAGGTGCTTAGAATCGAAGCGGTGGCGACAAATGGAGGTAGATTCTTGAAAAAGACATCTTTTGAAGGATTTCTTTTCACCGGAAACTTCTCATTCCACCGAGCTTGCTTTTCTGCATAGGACAATGTGCATGACGGACCACTCGTTTCCCTGAATAACGAGATCCATGGGCTCACCGAACGTTGCTCAGGGTGACGTCGCGGACCACGCGAGTCGCGCCAGTTACGCGCTGTCTGCTTCGACGCGTCCGACGAAACTGTACGCAGAAGTGGGGTAAATTTTGTTGGAAGGCGTTGGACACGCAGCGAAGGGATGGCTTGGAGTAGGAGGCGACTACGACTTTGCATCTTAAGAGGCTTGGCAAACTGTTGGGGAAAAAAGTGGATGTCGGAGGGAGGTTCAGGTTTCGCGCCTCATGTTTTTATGAATTGTGTGACCGTAAACCCATTTATAAAGTTTCTATCGTCTAGTAGTCTATCACTACCTTTGGAAAACGTATCTAATCATCCACAAACAGTTCAAGTCTTCAAGCCTCGGTAGTCTTGGCCGGTGCTACATATTTGCCAGATCCTGGCTTGAAGAAATCCTGCACAGGTTCGTCAGTGTGTCTCAATTGAGAGTTGGACAAATATCTAACCTTGATGATTCCACGGCCAATCATCGTAAGTGCCACCCTGCTCTCCCACAACGGATAGAGCACGACGATAAAGGCAGCGATGAAAGCCCAGAGAATTGCAACAACAACCCAGGTGGTGAGTGAACCGACGTCATAGATTGTCGAGGCGAAGAAGAGGGGAAGGGGGATAAGGATGATGAGAATAACAGTCTATCACATCGCATAAGCATCTTTCCACGGGAAAGCCGTGTGGAGTACGTACGAGAGCCACGGAAGACCATGCAGCAAACTTGAACGCCTTGTTGAGTTCGACAGGGTCGAGGTCCTTCTCGTCAGTAACACCAGCACGAGTCTCGTGTCCGACAGGTTGGATAGTCTCGGTCGGCTCCTTCTCGTTCTTCGAGTCGATAGAGGGTGCCTTTGCAGCGTCGGAGGCCTCGACGACACCCTTGAGGTGAGCAGGCGAGTTGATGGCGCGAGTGACATCAAAGTCGAAGTCATCTGGCGACTAAAGTAGTGTAAGCGTCTATCGACGTGGCATATATGAAACGCACAATATACGACCATATTACGGCGACGAGACCACCAACACCAATGGCTGCAAGATTGCCCGCCAACATTTCCTGCAGATATCATCAGCATTAGGTTCATATAAAGGCAGACTTCGTACGTAGTCACCACCCGAGGTCTGAAACGCTATCAGCGCGAGCTCAATCCAAGGCTTATCAACTTACCACGACGTTGATCTCCGAGTTGAGCTTGGCAGTGGTCACCATCCAGGCAATGATACCAAACACCAGTCCAGCAACAGCTCCGACCATGCAGCCAATCTTGGAGGCTTTCTTCCAGGTAATGCAGAGAGCTGAGAAGAGCTAAGACTCAACCATTAGATTTGCGAGCCACATACCGATAGGAACGACAGCAGATCCGAGCAGCACTCCCATGAAAGTCTACAAGATATCAATGCCCGCATTATGAAGGGTGTAGTGAGACGTACGTAAAGCCAACCCATGGACACTCCAATGTAGAAGAAGATGGTGCCAAAGACACCCATAGCGATGGCGAATGCTGCGACCATGTAGTGGGAGACGCGCAGGACTTGTTCTTCTGTGGCATGAGGGTTGATGTAGCGCTGAAGTATGGTTAGATCGTGGGGTCTACAGTATATATAATAATGCTCACCTTGTAGACATCGTAGGTCAAGATACTGGAGACGGCGATAAGCTCGGCACTGGTAGCGCTAGTGACGGCCAAGAAGAGCAGGATGAGCATGGCAGCGGCACCCGACTTTCCGAGGAGAGCAGCGGCAGCGGTCGGTGCTAGTGTGTGTGTGTGAGAATATGTCTTCAACCGAGGAATGGGACGCACCAGGAAGACCAGCAGAGACTTGAGCAGGGGTGAGAACCGCCATGTCTGGGTCGCCTTGGAGAGCAACAGCAGCGAGACCCATCGTTGTAGCAAAGCCGAATGGAATGGAGAACCATGCGATACCACCGAGGAGATATGCCTTGACGCACGATGCAGGTTGAGAAGCAATAGCACGTTGCTATACTCAAAATCAGCTGCTTGATTATTATCAAAAGGAGAGAATAACCCACCCAGTAAGCTTGGTCGTTGAACACAGTGGCGAAATTGCCGATGATCTGAGCGAGAGTCAACACGAGGGCGTGTGATGGCAATGCTGGCTCACGTTAATGACACCAAAGATGAGACCGTTTTTCGAGCGCATCGTGAGATAGCTTCCGTGAGCATTTCCAGAGACGGGGTGCACCTCTGCAGCGTTGACGAGGAGCTCATGCATCTTGCTGACGCTTCCAATCTTGTCAGACGTCGCGTAGACGGTGAGCATGAAGGTGAGAATGATGGCGAAAAGGACTGCGGTATGCGAGCTACAACAAGTCAGATCCAGAGATGTCACGCATTGAAGCGAACTCACTAGTCGCAGAGCAGAGTCGCTCGCATTCCTCCGGCAACGACGTAGATTGCGACACCGAGGGGGATGAGGAAGCATGCCTATGGTTTATGAGCGACGTGGGTGCATGAAATGCGATGAAACGTACCGCGACTGTGTTCATGCCAGTCAGCGCAGTCACAGTTGCTGAACCTCCCAAGCACAACATGGAAGAGACTGCATGAACGTATTAGAGATGTGTCATGGTAAGAGTATAGACATACCAATGATATTCGTGGCTAAACCAAAGAACAGGAAGATCAGGTGCGCCATCTTGCCCCAACTAGAGACAGTCAGTGATATGTCAAAGTAAATGCTCCCGTGTACTGACCGTTCGCCGATAATCTCGAGGAAAGTGTGAGCATTGGGGGCGTTGAGCTTCAGCTTTGCGGCGAGTTGGGCAAACAGAAGAACTTGGATAGTGGCGCCAGAACCGTACCACCAGGGACTATCACGCAGGGGTAAGTAGGTGCCGATAAGGAAGTGAGATGACTTTACCCCGAGATGCCGTACTTGTATGCGACGGCAGATGACTGCAATAGAGTAGCAGCCCAGCTAAAGCATGGTAGGTCAACACCCACATAATTCAAATGAATGTGGGAGGAGGAGAACGCGAGGATGGGGAAGGAATTTGATATGGAGATAAGCAACTCACGTCCACGCGCTCACGATACCCGAAGCAATCAGACCTGGTTTCACGCTCCTAGAAGCAGAGGTGAACTCTGAAAACGGTCAGGTGCGGAGAAAGCCGATATGGAGGACCAACCTTCAGAGTTTCGAGGGCTGAAGGCTGTATATCGGGCTTGAATCCAGGTCAAACCCAGCATAAATACTGAGAAGAACAACCCGATTCCGCATACGACACCATAGCCGGCACCTGTTGGTAGAGTGGGTCAGAGGCAGGGAATGAGTAGACGCTCGACGGACCTTGGGGGAGGATGGTAGACATCTCGGAGCTGATGCGTGCTTCTTCGTCTTCGGGGAGGAGAGAGAGGCAGCAGAGCGTCTAGTCAAGAGTCTGAACATGGAGGTATTTATCTCCCCCCCCTTCCGTAAGATTAGCAGAATGGTTCAGGGACTAGGAACGATAGGCACCAGCCAACCGGGTGAATACAATATGCTTGATCGGCTGTTGTGCATGGCTTATCGTCGAGTCGCTGGTTGGCCGGGCAAGAGTCCAAACAGAGATAGTCGCTCGTGTGGGTGACAAAATAACGGTAATCCATACATGGTAGATCAATAATCATGCTTCCGCTCGGCCGAGCCGACCTTTGGGGGGTCCTTCGACAGGAGGATGCCTGGAGAAGCGAGGTCGTTATCAGCGGCTTCGACGCACAGTCCACGGCGACAAAGGCCCCAGGAACCGCTTGTATCTGTCTTTGCGAGGTGTGAACCGACTAAGCTTAAAGTCCTAGGCGGCCCAGTATCACTGGAGGATGGATGGGGAACTTCGCAAGGCAAACGTCCTGGTGATCATTGGCGGCGTTCAAGCGACCAAAATCACGTTCATAATACTAAAACTCTTGGCTAGAATGACCATGATGGACGCCTGCGAGAGCAGAGGCTTTACGTAACATCGACCGGACTGATAAGAGCTGGCTGCTAGTGTCAATTGTTCATATCTCGCGGATAAGTAATCTGTACGTACCGCTTCAGTGTCACCGGGATGCGATCAACGCTTCGCTCGAGGATTGCCGTTGGCGGAGTCCCCCGGAGCATCAAACTTGCTCTCTTTCTACACTTTTATCATCTTCCATAAGCCAAGATGACGCTGGTTCTGTTGCCTTTGCACAAGGCTGGAGAGCCAAGGTGGTCACCGAAGTCAACCAATTCTCAACCCAACGCCATCGAGCGTTTTGTCGCGAAATTCCAAAGAAATTCTAGAAACTTTTCAAACTACTCGAAACGTTAATGGAATCAATGTCATCGACTCTCAAAGTATCCCTGCCGCTCAACGTAGAGGAGGATGCGGAGCTTACGGACAGATTCAAAGGTAATGTACTTCATCTCTTGTCTTGTTAACAAATCGTTTCTTATCGATAAACTACTTGTAGACTCTGCCCTCGCGATTACTGCCCTCTTCAAGCACGCACAAAAGTCGAGAAAAGCGGCATTCGCTCAAGGCTACAATTCTTGCGTATCCGACCTTCGAGATTATATCCGATCTAATGGTGTGTGCTTTTTGTCGACTCTTGTATGTCTCCCAATGCGTTGCTGATCAATCTTGTCTGCGCCTCTCCAGCCCGTACCTCGGAAGCCGATCGACCTTTGACAGTCGGTGCCATCCTAGATTTCTTGGAGAATCGCCAAGTGCAACTTTTACGTGACCTAGAGGTTTCTACGGGCGGCGGCTTGAATGGTGCGAACACCTCCACCAGCGAATCCAAACCCCCGCTTTCAAGACCTACTAAGAGTCCGTCTCCTTCCACCCCTCATACAACTCACTCCGTCTCTCGTCAACGTTCTCCGACCATCAAGTCGACGTCTCCACGCCTCAGCGGTCAAACACCTACACCAAACGTCCCTCCTTGGGTCTCACCCTCGTTATCTCCTACAGCCATAGTCGAACCCGATTGGTCGGATTTGTCCATGCCATCAGTGGACAGCTCAAAGACAAACGCCGGGACAGGCTGGCCAGAAGTGTCCGTGCTTTCCATGCTACCGCTCCCGGTTTCACCGACGACTGCGGCCGTGCTTCCTTCTGCCGGTGGAAAGCGCAAGCGAGATGCACTCGTCGAAGTTGACTCGAAGAACATGGCCAACGTTCACCTGCATGGTCGGCATGGAGGCAATAGACGTCGCAAAGGCAATCCAAATAGGAACGGCAACCAGAATCGCATCAACGAGGATTGGCAAATGGACGTTATGGACGATGAAGTTTCTGGACGTGAGCGAAAGCGCGTCAGAGGCTGAGCCACCGCCTCCACCAGCTCGAGGGTTGGACCACCGTCTGGACCCAAGATGTCCGCTTTTTGACATTTTTCGGTTCAGCCACTCACCTTCGCATATTTTCGTTCCCCATCGCTCGATTCATCCATGACTTATTTCCTGCAATCGTGTATACTCGAACCAGCCCCTGTCTACAGGCACTCTTACGAGGTCTACCATCATGGAACTCTAGGTTCCTTCTCGGTCTTTACTCTGCCCCGCATTTGCCTCGCACCCCACGACCGTCGAGACCATTCATGTGCTTTATTGTAATCACCACCAATGTGCATCGATTCTGATTCGCAGCGAACTATAGGAGACCGTCCCACTTTGAGTTGAGCCAGAGACTTGAGCCCGGTCCAAAGAACCGATAAGCCGAGAGATAGACTTGATTGACTTGATATGACCCATATGGAACCTCGGCGTGACTAATCCTTGTCTTTTGAACGCCGTGTTCTTTAGGCTACCCATATAAATTACATTCCCTTTGCTGACTCGAGGATGGATTCGGGCCACCCTCTGCCAGAAGAAAGCCATAACCATCCCACCGTCTGAAAACGCTGTAGGATGACCATCCATGTGCGGCGACAAATCTGGGTTCTACTGGCAGTGCAAGCGGTCCTTCCTTTCTCTTTCGAGATTATCTTCCCATTCGTGAATCAGTTCCTCTTGGAAATTGGTGTTGTCGACAACCCAGCGGATGTAGGATTCTACAGCGGGTTTGTCGAAAGCGCCTTTGCCGTGACCCAACTGCTCACTGGTATGGCTCCATAATCGATCTACTTTTGACTAACTTAGATTTTGCATCCAGTGTTCCCAGCGACATGGGCTGCTGACCACTACGGCCGCAAGCCCGTCCTCGTCCTAAGTACACTCGGTGTCGCGGTCTCAATGGCGACATTTGGCCTCAGCACTCGCTACTGGATGCTCATTGCTTCACGGCTCATCGCCGGTGGTCTGGGTGGCTCTGGGACCGCACTTCGAGTCATGGTCAGCGAGGTATCCGACAAGAACACCGAAGTCAAGCATTTCACCTGGGTCACAATGGCTTATAGAACCGGTCAAATTATCGGTCAACCTATTGGTGGAATTCTCTCCCACCCGGAGCGCCAATGGCCCAGCATCTTTGGAGCACGGTTCTGGTATACGTACCCGTATGCCCTCCCTTGCTTTGTCGCTGCGGGTTATGCACTCATCTGTGCTGTACTCGCCCAACTCGTGCTCAAGGAGACAATGGCTTCGTCAAGAGGCACGGTGGATACGAAACATTCGCCACCAGGAGAACATGATCCCCTTCTTCAAGAAAATTCGTCTGCAGCAGCGAAGAAGACGAAATCCCCTTCTGCACTCTCCGTCCTGTCATTGCCACTCGCCTCTCTTTTATTCTCCAATGCGACCATGGTATTACTGACCGAGATCTTTTTCGCCACATACCCCCTCATTTGTGCCACGCCGATCGAACTCGGTGGGCTAGGTCTCTCTGAAGTACAAATCGGGATACACATGTCTATACGATCCCTCTTACATATCTTCATCATGCTGCCATATAGACCACTTCAATCCAAGCTCGGTACGATGGCAATGTACCGCCTCAGCCTTGTCGCGTGGCTCCCAACTATTCTCATTTTCCCATTTCTCCACATTTTGGCACGACAGGGGCTGGAAGATGGAGTTGTCTGGTATGCAACGCTCCTCGTGCTGTTCACAATTTGGGCAGCGACTGGCTGGTCATGGGCCTCCATCTTCGTCCTCTCTTCCGCATATTCACCAAATCCAGAGTCAGTGGCGACTGTCCAAGCGCTCTTATCAGCGTCTGTCATTGCGCCTCAAACTCTCGCTCCAGCGCTGGGTACCTCGACATTTGCATTTGCCATTCAGCACAAAAACTTGTTCAATGGTAACCTATTCTGGGTGGGAACCTTTTTACTAGGTATGTGAGACATTGCCATTGTATACTCTCTAATTCTTCCTACTCCAGCTTCTGCTGCCGTCCTCCATTGCTTCACCTTACACGAGTCGAAACACGACTGGAGAGCACAACGGGGGGATTCGGCGGACAATCCAACGGAAACAGCGTAAAAATGAGCATAGACCATAGAAAGTGTATTGGGCCACTACTATCTTGATATTCTAACGATGATGTCAAACCTGTGCTTCTTTAATATCCGCTTTGATCAGCCACCAATTGATAGGAAACGCCGTCCAATGCCCGAAGAACATTCCGATCTGCATCATCCACCAATATACGACATTGTCCATCTCCAATTTGGATTGGAAGATGGCGAGTTGAAAGATAGCCATCCATCCAAAGAGTCCAATTTCGAAAAATGTCAAGGATAGAAAATCGGCTTTTGCCGCGCGGACGACAGAGTTCCAGCCATAGTCTCCAGACATTGGCGCGATAGACCAATACTGGAAACCGATACCAAAGATGAGAGCAAAAGCATAATCTACCCAAAGTCAATATCAGTTGCGAGATGAATGTAAGTAACTTGCCAAGGAGGAACTCGACCCAAATCTCGCGTCCTCGAATCTTTGCACCAGTTCCAAATACTATCCACTCCCCGACGATATCTCCAAGTAGACATCCGGCTCCGCAGTGACAGACTGCAATTGTGACAATCACAAAGATGGGAAGGTTGCCTCCACCATGCATTTGCGCATGGCTCAAGTGTCCCTCGCTGTGAGTCATCTTTGAGTGGTCCATAGAATCATGATTCATCCCATGTTCCATTTTCGAGTGGTCCATTTCTGAGTGGTCCATTCCGTGATTCATCCCATGGTCCATTGCACTATGGTCGATATGACCCGCCTGATGATTATGGTTGTGGGTTTCGGTAGGTTTGGCGGGTCTCCCGTACTTCCAGTATGTCCAGATTGTCAGCGGTCCGAGATAGAGAGCGTTGAGAATGTACACTGGGATCCTAACAAGAGATTAGATTTCCAAGATGGCTGGATACGAAATATGCACGAACATGACTCCCATCATAGTCTTCCATCCCTTTCTCCTGATGATATCTTGAGCAATGAAAAGGGAGATGCATCCGAAAAGCCCAATGAACACGGATCCAAGCACCGTCAAGGATAATGGTGGACGATAGGAGCTCATGTGATGCATATCCATGATTACCAGACCTCAAGGTGAGAAACTTGGGAGGATTTTCTTGGAGAGACAGGGAGGAAGATAAGGCGAGCGCACGGGGGTACTTTCAGAACCGCTGAGTGTGCTCCGATCCATCGGGCGCCAATGCCCTGTAGCTTCGAAGACACGAAGTAGCGAATATTTCACGCATTTTACCGAGATAGCGCTGGATTTGAAGCAGAAGGTGGTGGTCCAAGTTGCCTTCGACCACCATGGACGTGAAAAACCTGTCGCTATTTCCGGCCACAGAAGCCCAGATAAAAGTACATCGGGAAAGAACATTTGAGCCATGGGGCCGTGGACTTGATCTTGAATCGTTTTGCCAACGAGATATTGCTCTGGGACATCTTCCACATGCAGCACATGGACGATGGCAGGTCTGGTGCGCCCTCCAGAATACTTGGTGGTGACTTCTATTGATATCTGGTATAGGATATTGGCCCCAAGAGAGAATGCCCCAACAAATCTTGACTTCTTCTGCTCGTGCGAAACGTGAGTGGCATACATTCGATTCGATGACCAGTGATCCTACCTGTACATAATAGGTACGAAAGAGAAGTAGTAGTCTCTGGGAAAGGAACGATGCTGGGCTACGGCGTCGCATCGGTCATCACCCCTCCTCGCCATCGCGGAAAAGGTTACGCGCGACACATGATGAGACTACTGCACTACATCCTGGCAGATCGACGCCTTTCATCCACATTTCCGCCCTTTCCTCTTAGTGAATGGGGAGCCCCTCCCGCTGTTCCTGCAGGATTTGGACGAGGGATCGCATCGGCCCTGTACAGCGACGTTGGACCCACATTCTATCAGCAATGCGGAATTGGGACGAGTAAAGATAATGGATGGATTGTTAAGGACCCGGAGGTGACTATCTGGCAGGTCCCAGACGATACACCTCTTCCTTTGAACCTAGAGCCGTTGACAGAAGAGACCCAGGAGGAAGTGTGGGAAGCAGATGCAAAGCTCATTCAGGACGAAGTCGGAGGCGAGACTCCTACCACGACATTCGCATTTCTCCCAAATCGTGGAGTGGCCAACTTTTTACAAGCCAGGAGCTTCTTTTACGAACCCTCCACCAGAGAGGGGGGTGTGTGGGGTTGTAAAATGAAGGATTTAGATCACACTCGCCTCTCCTTTGCGACGTGGTGTCTGGATCCTGGACGAGAGGGTCCCCAAACGCTCTTGATCACTCGTTTGCGTTGCTCGCCCCAGTCTTTCCCTACAATCCTCAATGCCGCATTTAATGCCGCTCGAACATTTGGACTAGTACAAGTGGAGATATGGAATCTCGATTCATCGTTGCGGGACGTTGGCAAAGAATTGGGCGGTGTCACGTCGATGAGGGATGATCATCTCTCAGCGTTGGCATGGTATGGAGAAGGAAGCGCGCATGACGTGCGATGGCGATACAACGAAAAGTTTTGCTGGTGCTAGACCATGACTGGACTTTGGACGATAATCTATACCAGACTTTATATCCTTATTCCACCTACGGAAACATATGCGCCTGTAAGGAGGTCACGAGAACCCATTTCGCAGAGTTGTATCTCCTCTACGTCCCATGTTCCAAAATCCACTACCGTTTCTGCATGGGCGTTGCTGCCGGAATCTGACATTGGGTTTGACTGGGATAGGGTGATATCCTTGTACGCCTCAGACTCCCAGATACCTGTTCGAGAGAATGCGATACGTTTCCTGCCCTTACCCTTCCGCTTTGAGGTGTTAATGACAGTGCAATGTAGCTGGACAATTATTAACCGAATCAAATCATGGACATTTGGTCAATTTACCTTCAGAGGCCTCGTCTCTGTAATAAATCCTTCCTCTCTGAACGTGTTGTTCACTAATTCTGAGTGGAATGAGCCTCATGGCAAATTTGGGTGAATAGACACGCACTTGCAATGATATCAAGCTTCCTAGGTGTTGGTGAGTACCTTGGTCCAATCCAAAGTACGTGTGCTGTCTGCTTCTTGTCGGTTTGAAGCACCCCAATAGTATCCAGTGGCACTCGCAATGTCCCATTTCGCGATTCAGCTCCTTCTGAAAGTGCATCCAAAACCATTGGTCTGATTCTTTCGAGGAGAGACAAGGCGTCCGCGACCGTCTTCGTTGAGGAAGTTTCCCCACTCTCTTGTCTCGACGAAGACGCTAGCGTCGGAGAAGGGGGTCGTGAAGAAGACTTGTCGAGATGCATGACTCCCAGAGTGATATGCAAACGTGCTGGTTCGATAATGACCGACTCTTCAAGGCCAACAATAGGAGGGTCCGCGGCCAAGAGAGCATTCGTGAAAGCGCTGACTCGTGTCTTGAGAGCTTCATGATGACCCTACCTCTCTAGTTCAGTTGAAAGCGACCTGTGCCTGATGGGAGACAAACCAAAGGGAGTGAGAGAACTACAATCGTCAATCATAGCCTTATAAACAATTAGATGCGCGATACTTACAATGTGTAGGATCAGTCTCTTGTTCTGGATTCTCGTCGAGGTTTCCCAGCCTCCATTGCTATTCCTGACTCCAGAGCGTCAGTTTCTGATGTTTGGTTGGCTCCAGCCACTGTTTCAGATGCCATATGACGACGTCCTCTCCATCTTGGCTTTCCTCGAGTGGCACCACGGGTCAATGCATTTTGTACACCCCTCGTTGATGACATGGACAGGTCCAACTTGCACAACAAAGCCATCGGGGTCTTCTATAACAATAATAGTTGTGTACATGCAACCATTCCACAAGATTGTACGTGAGAGTGAGTAAAGAAACCATCTATTCAGGGAACTCCCAAAGGTAGACCTTGCCAGTATCGTCACCAGAGTACAAGGATTCACTACTATAGTCAATATAATGTTCCTTGCGAACATATTACGACTCACCCGACAAACTTAAGTGATGTGACAGTCGGAGGATCTCCATTATCCACTTTCCGGCATTTGTATTCGTGAAGCGTAGTCCATTTCCACCGTGCAGTTTCCCCTGGAGGAGAATCCTCTACGTTCCATGATCGAAGAGTAACCGTTCCTCGAGAACCAGTTGCAAGGACGCCAGTCTTAGACCATTCTCGTTCATGGAATGCAAGTGAGAAGACTGGGTCTTGAGAAAACATGTTCAAGGTCGTAATGTGATGTCCGTTGATCGTATGAAGCACCAGAGAGGTCTTGGATGAAGACGCAATCATTCCCTAGCACGCATATCAGAGATAGCAGCTAATGTGCAAAGATAGCTTACTGATGCCTCGTGAATGGCAACCAATTGCACGCTTGTATCGTGCTGCAAGGTTCGAACATAATGGGCACGATTCAGATCCCAGAGGATGACCGTATTATCATCAGAGCCACTAGCGACAAGACTCCACGCTCTCGATGCAGCAACCGTGTTGACTCGAGCGATATGTCCTCGCAGAATATGAGTCCAAGTCATTACCGTGCGCTCACCAGGAACACGGGTAAGCTTCCAAATTCCGATGGTCGAATCCTCCATTCCGGTTATCAGTGATTCGCTGTCCGCAAAAGCGGCGCAGATGCAGTTAGCACCTTCTGCTACTTGAACCAGTTTCTTGTCAATGTGTAATCGGATGCTCTGATCCGCGGATCCCCAATGTACCGTCTCGTGTGAAAACAAAGGGACGTGGAGCATTTGGCTCGAACATGGGAGAATCTTTTCGCTCATAGCGTCATAGACGAGTTGAGTCACAGGCGCGTTGAGCGTCTGTCGAAGAGGCTTTGCTCCTTGACTAAGCATCTTTGCGTCTTCCGGAACTCCGAACAGTGTTCCAAGGGGCAAAGACGTCCGCCCATCCATGATTCGCTGTGGATGGGGATGCGTGAAGAGCTTTCGCGGCGTTTGGCCAAAATTGTGGATGATCCCTACTGTCGCCTCCCGTTCGAGGGGGTCAGAGATGGCGTCAAGGTCAATAGCACCTTCATAGCTGAGTGGATGAAAGACGTTGAAGGAGCTGGGGTCCTTTTGTTTGCATCCCCATATTAAATCGATCCATGCTGGGAGATTACGACTGACATAGTCACTCTCGAGGGCTTGACGGTGAAGGGTGATGAAGAGCAGTGGGTCATTCTTCGCCCAAGCTGGCAGCTTGACGTCGTTGATCTTTTCTCCACTACTTGTTTGCCTGCCAAAGTCCAAGCCAGCAGTGTTGGAGAGGAATTCAGGAAGAGTATAAAACTCTGGGATCAACTCACGGACGTCACCTCGACTATCTTGAGAGGCGGAATCCCAAGCCCGTTTAATGTCCGTGAATAATCGGTCCGGGAGATCCCAGTCGCCACCTTGGAGTGTCTTGAACATGTGGGTGAACGGCGAAAGGCGAATAAGGAAGTGGCAGACAATCATGGAGCTGGAGAAATGGGTACCATAATGGAAGGGTGGTTCGTTTACCGACTCCAGATTGGTGTATCGTGTCTGAGCTGCTTCTTCTCTTGCGGGCGTCAACGCTCCCATTGGCCGCGATAGGTTGCGGAATGTTTCTGGCTTGGTAAGATCCAGCTCTTCCGACGTATAGTCTTGCAGTACCCATGGAAATACAGGATACTGCGTCACGTCACAGCGTGTTCGACCGGAGGCCTGATTGAGGATGCTGAGATATGCAAAGTTGCTAATCTCTCGCGTTTGCCAGCGACTTCGCGCACTGGCGATATCGTCCCGAGCGCCAGTAAACACGCGTGCCGTAACGCGGCTTAGGAAGGGGCTGCGTAACATTGGACCAGCCGGTGATGTTGCAGCATCCGAAGCGGCCCGCATGTTCATCAGGAAACTGAACTTGTCGTTGATCTCCTGTCTGTCTTTTTGCGTTGGGAAAACGACAAAAATGCTTCTACTGTCCTTCATATAAATTTCCAAGGCGACATCGCGGAAGAGGAATGTACGCTTGCTGAATGTGGCGATGCGTTCCAAAAGCCATCTTTGCGCTGGTTGTGGACCATCGAGCTCGACAATTGTTCCAGGAACAAGCAAAATATCCTTGGGCGCATCCTGAGCCTCGATAATCTCCCCATCCTCTTGGACTAGAAGCCCATCGAGCATGTAAAGATGCGTCTTTCCGAGAATAAGTAAGCCAGGAGAGGCATCTACACCCGTGACACGCGTGACGTTGCGAACGTCTTGTATCACATCTCCAGGCTCGAGTTCATGACGAACTCGCCGATGTTTGTCGTCCTTCATGTCTTCGTCCCATTGTTGTTCTTCCTCGACCTCTGTGGCAGCAAACTCATAAGACTCTTCCCATGGAGGAACCTCCACCTGGACCGTCTCCTGCGCCTCGTCCTCCCCCTCGCGAACCTCTCGCGAATCAGACTCCTGTATCCGAGCATGGAGCGGGACCTTGACGTGTTCTAACTCGAGCTTCTTCCTGACTCGGAAGGGACCCTCTGTATCATCCAACCTCCACATGTATCTGTCCGTCGGTCGAGGCCAGATGCCATATTCGGAGTGCAAAAGGGTTCGCCATTCCGTATGTCTTTCCGCTTGTCGTTGAAACTCTTTCTGGTCCTGGATCATCTTCCCTCGTCGCTTCTTCTCAGTCGCAATCGTCTTCTTGCGCCACTCTGCGATTCGAATGAGGCTCTTCTGCAACATGCGCTCGCCTCCTCCGGCCTGAAGAAGATGCTTGAACGTGGACGTTGAAAAGAGTTGCGGGCTGCTGGGCAACGGAATCATGGCTGGGTCTACCGCAAGTTTCGGACCATCAGCTTCGCCAGAGCTCTTCTGCTTGCTATACTCGACGAGCCTTGGGATCGCAAGAAGCTGCGCAATCTCAGTATTCACAACATACGAGTAAGTAGTCAAGGCTCACCTGCTCCTTTTGTTGGCTTTCCACAGACGTATCGTAAGCCAAGATTGTCACGAGCGTGATGACTTTGTTCAATAGTCTCTCTGCCCTTTGCCGAGCATGCGGAAACTCGTAGAGCCGTGCCACAAACGACTGGCACGCGTTGATCAAGATTGTCGTGGTCGACTTTGACTTGAACAATTGCCGGAACCCAGAAATGGAAGAATGCAAATCGATCAGCTCCTCCACCAAAACTTCCATGGCCGAAGTCACGCTATAGCTCTCGTGCGAGAACACGGCACCGTGCGATGTCACACCATGACTCGGCGTGGCAGGCGGAAGCAAAGCTCCCGCGGTGACTTTCTCCAATCCATATGCCAAAGAAGTAAGGATGGCAGGAAGAATATATGGGCAAACAATCTTTGAAGAGGACTCTGCCTGGACATTGCCTGACACAAACGTCCGTCCCAAAAGAAGGTCAAACGCCGCGACGTGCACACTGGGATCCCAAGCAGGAGGCAAAATGACTTTGAGAGCACTCCATCCGCTGACTAGCTCAAACTTGCGATTAAAGCTGGGAGATGCACTCAGAACCAAGCCGAGGAGAGTGAGAGTTTGGGAAGCCACTATGGGCGATGGGTGCTCGCCCAGTAGCAGCAAGAGGACGCGGGAGAGCGGGAGCGAAAGCGTAAACTTGGAAAGCAAGGTTGGATTCGAGAGACTTTGGACGAGAATCTCGTAGACTTGCTCAGCTCGTTCCCGTCGAGCACCGTGGTCTGCTTTGGTGACAATGGATCGTGGCGTCAGAACACCAGAAACATCTAAAATTCCCAATCAATCCTGGTCACACATTGCTATTTCCGCGTACCATCATGTAGATTGGCGGCTAGGTAGCTGACGACAGGCTTGATCGAGACGTCTGCTACGAAATGGTGTCTGAGATAGACACCCACAGTCTGCACAAGCTGAGGGATCATGTCGTTGGAATACAAGTCGCCCTGAAGCACGTAGAGCAGCTTTCGTGGAATATTGAATTTGGATAGTCGTTGCTTGAGGTTGAACCGGCGAAATTTGCTCGTCTGCAAGAGAGCAGTAAAGTGGCTCAAATGCGCCTTTTGAACCTCTTTGGGGGCCCGTGCCCAAATGTCGAATTCCAATGCGAGGATAGAGTACGCTAGAGGATTGGTGACCGTCGCATTCCTGCAAGAATGTCAGAATCCGGGCAAAGGCACGAGAAGAGAACATACTCTGCATGGTTTAGATCGATGCCGAGAAAGTCAAATACGACCGTAAAGACATAAATATCGATCAAAGAAATCTTGGATCGCAAAGCTAGACCCAAGGTCTCATAGCCATGAATCCTCTCCATGTCCTCTGAGTTTTGCCAACTCGTCCTCAGACTGTCAAACAAGACCGAGAGCGAATTGGCAAGATCATGAGAATTCTATCATGAGATAAGCATGATCCTGGCCGCCATGAAACCGTATCACATACCTGACTCATCTCGACCAATCGAAGCGGGATAGCTGCTCCACCAATCTTCCATACCGACACATCCAGACACTGAGGCTTGACCACAGCGACATCACCAACTATTCGCGCATTATCTCGCACACGATCCCGACGCAGTGCAGAGTTGATCACGTATGCATCCCCATCCTCTCCTCCACTCTCCTGGTACCCAGCCGGCGTGAGCGCAAAGAGAATCGACTCTTCTTGTACACCCGTGCCATCCTTTGCCCTTTAAAAGTGCAGATAGTTCTGCTGAGGGTGTCCGTTTGGCGTCCATGAGCGATTGGAGGTAGATGCTGAGCGACGTCGCTGCCTCGTACGTAAAGAACCTGACAAGTGGTGCGGCTTGAAAGTTGGAAAAGTAGCGTGGGCCAAGATGATGGAATAGGCGTGGAAGTTCGTTGCCCATGGGCATAGAGATGAGATAGGCAGAGGCCATTGACCAGATGGCTTGGGCATTGTTGGAATCATCTCCCAAATAATACGTGGTAGACGCCGAATTTTCCAAACGAGGATAGGAAACGTCGAGGGAGTCCACAAAGTTGCCGTCAAAGAACAGTCCTAAAGGCATCTTAGCCCACGCTTGACCTGAAGATGGAATACCTACGTATCGAGGGAGAGATGCCTCGTCCAACCCACCATGTTAGCGTTATATGAGTCCATTTTGAGCGAGTCAAGGCCATCTTGTCAAACACTTGGGCTTCTCGTTTGTTCGACGAGAGGATTTCGAGCTTTCCATGAGGCCGAATGGACAGCTTGCACATCCACTTATTCGGATGTTTGATTCCAAAGATCAAACTTGGCGTGTCTATCGGGAACCGCTCCACGTAGAGCCAAATCTAGAGGCAAATGAGCAACGAAAGAGATGGTATCATGAAATTACTGGCCATAAAAGTGAATCCATCGGACACGGAAACGTCTTTCCACCATCTTCGTTGAGATGCAACGCCGCCGGGCCATCAAACGAAAAGTACTCAGGAAACTTTGCCCGTTTGGCCGAGCGAAGAATCTCCAAAATCTCACTATCAATATTGAGATCTGTGTCGACCATTCTCTGATAAATCATCCTCGTTTCCGCCGTCGACGCGCCCATCTCGAGCAACCGTCGCAACATACGCTGGAGCACCGCCCGTTCCGCATCATCAATGTCCTCCACATTGACACCCCGCGCATAGAGCTTGGTGAAGATATGTTCCACCAACCGCGCTTCGTTGAGCATAGAGTGATTGCGGTGGCTGAGCGACACGAGGCGTTCGACCATTTTGAGCGTCGCATAGGGCAGCATAGACTCGTCGCCTGGCAAGATTTCAACGCATTCCATCATGAGCAACACGACGGGCGATAGGCGCACTTTACCCAACCTGTGCTCATTTTGCGCGATGAGTGAATCAATTTTGGCAAATGATGGCAGGGATTCTCGAAAGCTGAGGAACAGGTTGGAGATGGAAAAGTTTTGGAGTGCGAGCGCGAGTGTGTATCCAATCGTTTGTGCTGCCGTTTCCGGATTGGCCAAGAATGGAGTAATGGCTTGTTTGAGAAGTGCATACCCGACTTGTTTCTAGGTGCTAATGATGAGAAACGTGGCAAACTAGTCCAAGTCGAAGAAAAACCCACGTCGAAATACAGAGTGTTCACACGATGATCACGCATTCCCTCTGAGATGATGGCAAAAGCAAGACGAATAACCTCTATTCGTTGCTCTTCATTGTTCACATTGTCCTCTGTGTCGTCTGAAGACGCGAGCGCGGAGAGGATGCCGACCATGACGAGGAAGCCGTCCATTTCACGGAAAACATCCTTTGTTCGAGGTTCCTCGACCATGATACGATGTACATCTGCAGTCGCCTGGCATGAACAGCGCGATTAGCGTTTGGGGCGACGCGCCTGAGAACGGGAGGAATTGGCTCACTTGGAAGAGACGATGCAAGTCTGTGATGGGTACGCTCTTAATGTCCTCGAGGACGACGCGCATTTCCTCTTTGCGCGCATCGCTCACGACGTCTTCTGGCGAGACAAGCGCCTCTTCTTCAATCGTCTCTTGGATCTCGAGAGGATTGAGAGGAAATGTAAACTTTGAAGTTAGCGGTGTGAGTAGATTTCGAAACATGGGCTCTTCATGCAGACGCTCGAGGGCGTCGAGCCGTCGTGGTTGCGGTCGAAGTGGCAATGAGTGCCACTGCATTTTTATAGGAATTGCTTGGAAACAAGTTTATTGACCAAGATAGAACGTGTCCAAAAAAACTTCATCAATCATTCGTTAAAGATCATTATAACAAGACGAGAAGAGCAGAAAACACGACGTTACGCGACAAATTTCGAATCAGAGCGAGGGCGTCGACCAAGGCGACGCCCGTCCAAGAAGACGAGCAAGAAATTTCACAGATCAAGACCCCACTCTCCCGTAAAGTTGAAGAGGCGCGCGTGACTGGCCGCTTGGAGCGCAGCGCGTCGAACTTTGAATCTGTGCCGCGCACAGGCGACCATGATGGCTGCATGCCCCACTTTTTTGCGAAGAAGACTACTGTCGAGTGTAGCCATTCTATGGTGCGTGCGCGGTGGAGTGAGTTTGTGGACTCTGGGCTGGAAGAGCGACAATGGGCTGCTGGTTTGTTCGTCGAGGCAGAGGGTGGGCGTTGGGTTCTGGCCTCGGAGAGTGATTTTGAATGTTTCTACGTGTGGAATCTTGAGTGCTGGTGTGAGCTGGAGGAGCACTTGGGTCGTCATGATTATTGGTTTGGTGAAAAAAGACAGAGTATACTGGTTGTAAGACAATTATAAGCATCAAACATTGGCATGTTTAAAGGAATGTACTGACCACTATCGCATCAAAAGTCGTGACAAGAAGGGGGGTGGAAGACAAGCTTGGGTTGAGTTTGGGTTTGGTGGTCAATGGTTGAAATACCGAGGCCACATGCGTAGACGGCGTGCCGCCAAACTATTGAGTAACACTGCCAGTTTCCCGGTTATTCGGTACGGAAAATGCGGTAGTTTGGTCGCCGCCGTTTGTTGAGAATGCACTTGCCTCGCCGCCAACTTGCTGGTGCACAGCTCGATGGGTTACCATTTACTCTAATACTATTATCGATCAGATAATCGATCGCTCAAACGTGATCACAGCACGGCCAGGCTGCCCCGAGAATGCCAGTTCTGCGTTGTGCCACCACCAGATGTCTCCACCGGTCAGCTGCTCCGTCTCTGGGACTATCTGCATCCATAGGTTCATCTTGGACAGTAATCTAATATCTAACAGTTACTAGGCCAGACGAGGAAAGAGGTCAAGATGCACTCACAGATGCACTCACATGATTGTCTACGCCCAGGATGAACAATGTTAAATCTCCGACTAAACCATGTTGACTCCTCTACGCGTCGTCTCCAAATGGTTATATGAAACCCACCTTTGTGGCCTCGAAGCCGGCATCGTTGTCGGTAGAACCCTGGCATCGTTGCCATCCGGTCGCATTGGAACAAACCTCGTTGATATTTCACATTCTGGTGTATTCCCTCTTGATGTGTGGACAGTCACCCTCGAGTGGCTCCAGTGCCTATTCTCCTCCCACGTCCTACTCTCTCTTTCCATCTGCCGGCCCAAATGGAGGCGACGTCGCCTGAACCCGTCATACGCACCTCAGGTTCAAAATCGCCAGTTCTGCGGCGCAGACACAGTCTCCGGAAGACGGTCCAAGGGTGGAAAGAGGACAATTGTCATCCCGTACGCTTCACCTTTGAAACATGCTTTCAAACTCACCCCTTTTCCCAGTCTCCTCAACGTCCCTCTCTCTCATGGGACGACCATCCGTACTATGCCCGCCTTTCGGCTGGGAACGCCGTTGTCGACTTTTACGACGACCTCTCGCAGCGGCTCTACTTCCCAGACGCCTCGAATGACACGACACCTGACGATCCAATGACAGTAATTGACGAGTCCTTTTTCTTTCTCGACTATCTCGCCGGCCCTAGTGTGACACCGACGATGCCCAGCTCCGGACCTTGCACTAGTAACCCACCATCATCAGCCTCCACCCGACCGACCAACTACCGCGTTTCCTTTACCACCCTTCTCACAAATTGTCATGACCATCGCATGTCAACAATTTCAGAAGCCACGCAAACTCCCACAGAGAGTCCCTTCCCCCTCCCACCGTCTTCGCCTACCAACACAAAGGGAAAGGGCCTCGACCCCCCTGTAGCAGATCCCTCCGCTGTCTCAGCGAGCAACAACAACTCACCATCTACAACACCAATAGCACCCAGACACCCGAAACGGTCGGCGCCCTCAAAGAACAAACACCGGCACCAATCTCCCTCGTACCAAAAGGAACGAAACGGGCTTCAAAAGCTATTGGATTACATCAAACCGTACCCGACTAGGACCGTCAACCGCACCCGAAGGTCAACACACAACGGCAAGCCCCGTCTCCGACCTATAGCACCGTACCGTCCACCGCCGGTCCTTGGTGAAACTCGCTCGGATCGTACCTCGCTCGCCGAGACGGACGAGGCAGACGAGGAATGGGTTCTCCATGGCTTCTTTGAGATACAAAGTCTCTCTCTTTCGCGTATAGACTAGCAACCTCGCATAACAAGCTACAAGCCAGCGAATCAAATCCTATGGACTGGCCATCCTCGCTTTTTTGTTTATGCCCATGTAATTACCACCTTCGCTCCTTTCTCCATTTAGTACAACAGCCCTAGAAGCCAAATCTGCAACTTCCACTCGTTTGTTCTTACTACGTACTCAAGCCCACATGCGTTATCAAAAATCATATGCAGTTAATTTATCATTGCTTCCACGGGTGACTAGCCTACATGTTTTTTGCTCCCCAAAGAGAGGTATGGGATGCCAGCTCCTTTCGTCGACGACAACGACGAGCTTTGCGTCGAATGCGTAGAGGGCGTGCGTGGTATTAAACGGAGAAGAGCGCATTTACGTATAAAGATGAAGGGGGGGAGGAAGAAGGGGGATGAATGAGTGGGTGAGAGGGAGCCGAGAAGACCAAAAGGGAAAGTCCGCTTGAAAGAAAGAAAAACAAACGTTGAACTCAGAGTTGCCTATCGCTTTCGCTTGCTACCAAACCCAAGGAACCCACTCGCATTGGGATCGAGTGGACGCTCCTCGAGCATCCCATCCTCACTCGGATGAACCTGTGGACGATCCTTGTCGGGGACAGCCGGTCCCGCACCCGAATCTCCAAAGAGATGGGTACCACTCCCACTAGGAAGCGATCCCGACATGGTCGCGCGCGGTACGCCTCCATTGGACGACGAGTGGACAAGCGCATGCGGCTGATGGCTCGTCGTAGGCGATCGAATAGGGTATGGCTGCGTCGAGGGTCCGTGTGCTGGTGGTGGTGGCGTCACGGTACCGTTCATCCCGCTTCCGTTGTTGACATATTGCACGTTGTGGCCCATCGACGAGCCAGGTCGGAGCAGGTTTGGTGCAGAGCTCATGCCAGAGTATCCGTGATTGTTCACGGTGCCGGAACCAGTAGGGTGTGTGCTTGTAGACGTGCTGTTAGAGGCTCCATGCACGAGGTTGTAGATGGTCGATCGATTCCGACCGCTGGCAGATCGCAAGTGTCCAGGACCACCACCCGGACTCGTGCTGTGTCCTCGCATGGGTTCATCGACATCCATGTCCGTCTCCGCACCGAAGCCGAATCACACCTCCATCCGTCTCGAATCCTCTATCAATGTCATCGGCAACGTGGTTCGAGCCTGAACCTTGGGTCATATTTCGTCGTGGCGTTCGCCTTGGGGTCGTATTCGACGGTGCTGGTGGTAGTGGAGGCACCTGGGGTCTCAATCCCTGAGGAAGTAAAACACTGCGTCCAGTGTCTTCGGCCGCAGTCCTAAACCCATGCGGAGCATCGTCGTCGTCGTCTACGCTACGTCTCATACCTGAAACGTGTCCGGATAGTCCCACATCCACAATCTCCATGTCGGTATGGTCGTTATGAACCGCGGCTGACACATCCGCTTCACCATCGGCCTCCGCTCCTGTATCTTCTACAGCTGGTGCGGCCGCGACAGGTTCGGGAAGTTCTTCCCATTCCTCCTCTTCTTCGATATCGACTTCAACATCTGCCTCCAAGTCGTGGAAAGAGCGGCAAAGTGGGCATGAGAATCCGGGGTGATTGTCGACCAAGGTGCCTCGAATACACTTGTAATGAAACGAGTGCGAGCAAGGGGCGATAAATAACGCTTGACATACTGTCACCGGGAAGAGACCTGATGGCTGCTTAGCCGAGGCACGGAGAGTCAAAACAACAACTCACAGATGCAGCAATCACTGACGGAAGACTTCTTGGGCTTTTTCTGACCTGAAGACGCGCCTGCCCCAGCAGGCGCCGAGACGGAAGTTGGCAGGTTTGATAATGACTTGAGCTGTGCGAGGGCGTTTGTGCTGCAGATTATGATTAGTTTTCGCAAGCGCCATCGTTCCAGCAGAACATACTTGAACGGATTGGGGCCTGCTTGCCATTCGCGGCCAATCTCGATACGTATCTTCACACATCGATAAATCTCTTCTGTTCCACCTTGATAGTCGACGCCTAGCTGCAAAATATCCCCATCTTTGAGAAGGAATGGACGGGATTCAACACCTGCATGGGACAGGCGCATATGGTTAAGAAAAGTGCCGGAGGATGACGAAGTGTCTTTGACGTAGAACTATGAGTCAGGCCAAATGAGTCGTCAGCAGAACTAGAGATTAACGAGTAAATTTACCTTGCCACCTGGCTCGCACCAGAGCTCTGCATGGCCGCGACTGACTACCTTTGACTTGAAGGCAATCTTGCCTGTGAGTGAGTTTGTGCTCGCGGCAAGTGTCCCCGAGCGATCTGTAAATCTCCCAATACGGATTGCGGGGGCACCCTCTCTGCATTCACGGACAATGGGATCGAAATGGAGCGCACGCTGGGGGTCAAGATGGGGGACGAGGCGGATACGATGCGCTGGGCCAAACGACGCCGGATTGGGCGTCGACGAGCTCGCAGCATGAAGATTGGGAGCATTTCCGTTTGCTTGTTGTTGCTGTTGCTGCTGCTGTTGCTGCTGATGAGCGTGCCCGGGAGCAGCAGACGCGGATGCGCCGTGTGTAGAGTTGTTATTAGCGTTTGACGCAGCAGCAGCCAGGTTTCCGTTATTCGACCGTCGTCTCCTGAGCATCTGAGAAAACGATGTCGCCGTTGGACCAGGCATGCTTGTCGAGTTGAGAGGCAAAGACGTGCCAATAGGCGAGCTCGCTGCCGCCGTTTGGCCACCAGGCGCGGCGCCATTTCTCCTGCGTGCATTCGTGACGGTCATGGGCCCACTAGCGCTCTGTAGACCTCCTGGAGTCGCTGTCGCTGCGGGGGAATCAACACCGGTGGGCGATGCAGCGGTACTCCTGGGCCGTGAGCCTCTGGAGAGAAACGAGGTCAGAAGAGACGGCCGTAGATGCGATGTCGTGTCGGATTCCATAATTATCAAGCTTTTTGGTGTGGGTTGGACAAAGCCTCTGGTCCAAAGGCTCGTGGTAGTTGGAGTTGGAGACACACCTCGTGCTCGCCACTCAACACCCGACGTAGCGCATATAAAGATATTAGTAGTGTACAACATATTAGACTATTCTGTAGACATCCCATCTCGTTTATCTCCCAATGTGCCCTCTACTCTTCTGTAGGCACCCAATCGCGTTCGTCTTCAACCGTCCCCTCTCCTATTCCGTAGGCATTACATCTCGCTCATCTCCAACTGTGCCTTCTGAAGATGCCCTATACTCCAAGTTCGACGCGATCAACGGCCACACCTCTTCAAAGCCCGGATGTCGGCCATTCCTAATCTGCTGCCATACACCACTCATTGCCTCTGACCCGCGAATTTCTCCCCAGTTTGCAAGGAAATAGTCCATCTGAACCTTGCGAATATCTTCAAACGCCGCAGAAAACGACGAAAACACTTCGTGGGGAACGTTTGCTACTGTAAGCGACTTGATAATGTGCTAGTATAAACGCCATCAATCAAAAGGGCCAGACTCCAAACAAACCTAGAACCTACCTCTCGAGCACGCTCCTTGAGTTCGGCGAGATCAAGTTCTGGAAAAAGGAAGTCAGCGATCATGGTCAGAAGACCCCAATTCAGTCACTGACTGTCCGCAAGGCGATAAACAGCCTTGGCAGAACAAGGCAGCGGCCGACCCGGATTCTCGTACTCCCAAGCCTTGATCCATTGTGCTCTCGTCGTCGAACTGGAAAGTGAGACACCATTTGTTGTCCCTTCGCCCATCTGAGTGAGCGGCTGCGTCGCACGTCGACTGAGCCCCGGCCGGATGCTGCTCATCGACTCTTCACCATCTCGAGGAGTATCAGAAGGGGGATCCGCGTTGGCCCGTTGACTTGATGTGCGAGCATGTTTCTTTGTTTTGTGGAGGAAGCTAGACGCCAAAGGAGCAAAAATGATACTGTCGGTATAAAGCTAGAGAAAGTCAGAACCACTACAATTAGCTTTATCAATCGACTCACATAATAAAGGACGGCACGATAAGTGGAATACGCAACGTCGCGAACAACGACACGGCTTTTAGGTGGACCGAGTGTGACATCCTGCCTCGAGTTGCCCATTTGCGAAGAGTTGAACGTGTCATTTGAATGCTCGCTCTGAACCAAAGACGAATTTCCAATTCTGTTGCTCTGCCCAGATGTGGCTCCTTGTCCTTCGTCCGCCGTGGCGTCGCCACTACCCTGGACATCTTCCATCTCCTCGGAATCATCGGATCGTCTCGTTACATTTGGCGTGTCCCCAGCGGGTAGCTGGCTGTTTTGTTCATCAGAGGGTGTCGCAAACTCTTCCACTTCTGCCATGGCCTCATTTTCCTCATCGCCCACAAGCGACGTTGTTTCGGCCTCTGCAGCTTCATCTTCCAAGTCGGAATCCTCCATGAGGTGGTGTTGAGGAGAAAAGCTCTCGTCCTGTGACTGGCTCCGGTTGGGTTGAGGGACAGGTTCCGAGCTATTCTCCATAAAGCCAGAATTGAACACTGAAGATGAGGTTAGCAAGCGATTCCTCCAGAGTCGATAACGTACTCGAATTGAAATAGTCCGCACGGTTAAGAAGCTTCTTGCAAGCCCAAATTCTCTGGCATTCATTCCGTCCTGCACGACTATCCGCAACGCGCTTGTTGGGAAAGACAAACTCAATGTCCGAATAGGTAGGGTCGTCCAGCAGGCTGCCGACCACATCCAGCATGGCAAGTGGCACGGCCCGTTTGCGAATCTTCGAGGGGTTTACAGGTACACTTGGAGAAGACGTAATAGTGCAAGTGATTACGAAGCTGTCGGATTGCCGAACGGACGAGGCACCATAGTAGACGGCATCCCGTTTGGCAAACTAGCCAGTGGGGTCAGTGGGATTCTCGAGATTGCGTGCTACATACCTGTGCCCAGCCCCAGTTTTGGGTCTTGTACGAGAAGACGTGGTCGCATGCTAGGACAGCTCGAATAACGTGTATGATGGTAGACTCGCATACTTACCTTCTTTCATGTTGAAGAGGATTGACTTGCTAGAGCTGTAAAGGATGCTTAGTTCTGCGATTGACTGCCTGATGAGCTTACTTTCGCAGCTCAAAGCTAAACTTGAACTGGCCCTCTCGAACCCATCTACGACGGCATTGAGAGAGCGTTGACATCGAATATTCTCAACCTACTTTCCGTTTGGCGCCCCCTCCTTTTCCTCAAGCGTAGGCTGCATCGGAGTGTCGCCGTTAGCCCATTTCAGCCACGCCGGTTGGAAGCGTTGCAGCCGCACCTCACAGTTCAAGTACAAGCTCACGAAATTTCCATCGCCCGAGTTTGCATAAAACAAGATTTGCCACTTTCCTCCTCCAAATCGTACAGAACGCGTGACTCTGCTCTTGTTGTCGCCACGACTGGCGCGTTTGGACAACGTGGTGAGCGAGAAAGACAGCGGCGGAGATCCAAGACGACTTACCTAGAGTCAAAAAGGTTCTTAAGACCCTTTACGGTCCATTCAAACGTGATGGAGGTCGATTCCTGGTATTCTGTCATGGTCGGTCGGGTCCAAGCAAGACTCCACTCGAGTCTGTCCTGCTGCCAGATTCAAGACAATCGTTGGATTTAGCGGGATATTTCTGCACGTATGCTGCAGGTAGCTCGCCTTCACGTCCTAATCCGACACTTGCTGCCGACCTTCTCGACCTCTTCTGCCGGTTAGACAGACGCCGGCTATGAGTCAACCGAATACAGACGAGAACCAGGAAATAGAGAATGAAGATTCACTCGTCACGGAGATTCATTCGACAACCGTCCAGGAGGAGAAATCTGGGATTCCAGCGGCTCTCGACGAAGACAGAGAGCTACTGAAATTACTCGAATCAGAGCACAAGAAACGCCAAACGCGCTTTATGGATGCAAGGACGGCGCTTAGCGAACGACAATCGACGCTCTGGCAAGCGGAGGCTCGCCAGATCGAGGCGCATCGTCTCTATACACTTTCCAAGAACGTGATGGATCAAATAAAGCGCGAGGGGCAGCTCAAACCGAGCAACCGTGGACCAAGAGACGAAAACTCTCGCCATGGACGCTCACTCTCGTCCATGGACAATTCGCGCTCGGCACTCGTACAGCAGGCCATTTCTACGCTCAAGAATGCCATCGCAGAACTTCAGGCGGCCAATGCGGACCTTGTCATCGCCCAGCGCAACGTCGCAACCTCTGAGGCCCTTCTCCATTACTGTGGTCGCAGCCTGCATGCCGTCGGGTTTCTAAAGAACACTACCAAGAGGTTTATTGATGAAGAATACTCCGCTACCTTGCCAACTCCGCAACTACCCGACGCGGTGTGGCAGCGGATATTTGGAATCATGGTCGCCGGCGACGCTGAGCTACCACGCGAGCCTCAGGATATATGGGGGGAATGGGAGTTTGAATGTACTCCCTTGGTTCTCTCCCACGTCTGCAGCTCATGGAGGCGAATCACGACATCGACTCCGGCGCTATGGTCTGGCGTCCAACTCGTCTTCACTAAGGAGCGAGCACTGCGACCAGATCTCTGGAACCGTATCATTGGACTTTCCACAGGATCACCCCTTACAATTTGTATCACCCTTACCTCGGATATCGGCAACCTCGCTGGTCAGCTATCAGAGGCGTTTACAGACGATCACTGTGTACGCACCATCAAATGCCAGGTCACGGACAACGCTATTTCCGGTGTCAAGTCACTACTGGACGCCATACCGGCCTCACAAAATATGATCTTCAAGGGCCTCAACGTCCCAATGGCCGCAACCTCAAACCCGGTCAAAATTCCTTCGAAGCACGCCATGAGTGTAACATGTATCACCGTATCCAACCTGGTACTCGAGAGGGCGCCACCTTTCTTCATGCTTCCCCCTCCACCATGGCAGCACCTACAAACTCTCGCTGTCGACATTCCTTCCCTCTTGCGCATCGACGTCGGCGGTACCGCTCCATCCCTCCGCAGAATAGTGATTGCGCAGCCGCCACATGGGGAACAGCTACCGTCCTGGTACGATTCGGCCGTTGCAGGCTTCAATGTCGAAGCCATAACCGCGTCCGAGATTGCTGTTCACCCCATGTCGCGAGGTCACGTCCCCACTCTTCTGCGCTATCTCGGTAGACTGAGGTATGCTCGCCGACTCGAGCTTTATGGAACGGCAATACAGCCTATCCTCACCGCCCTCAAAGACAATGCAGATAGCGCACAGAAGATATGGTTGCCAGCGTTGACGGAACTAATTATCGCAGACTATGAGCAACATGGACCCGTGTTGGGTTTGTATGTCGCTCAACGGCTCAGTGTCGCCCAACGGAGCCTCATTGCTCAGGGAGAACAGAGGATTGTACCATTGACGCGCGTCGTTATCAGAAGATCCCCCAGTATTAGCCAAGATATTGTAGATTTGATAGAACAGCATTGTACAGCAGGTGAGCACTGGTCATATCTCATACATTCGGGGGCTCATCTCTCTCAGGACGAAAGCTACTTGGGGAAGAAAAGAGTGCTGCCCCACAATCTGCCTAGTACCATGTAACTCATACAAGAAGGATATTTACTACTATTGCTTTCTCTTTGTGCGAGACAGCTCTACTTGCCACCATTAAGCTTGCTTTCTACCACGTCAGACGAGTCAACCATGCACCGCTCGTATTATAACCGCTTCCCGGTGCGTCGTCGCGATCACGCATCCAAGGATACTGAAAGACCCAAAAAATTCTTGCCACCCATGTACGACTATCTCGACAAACCGGTATTCGTGCAGCTCAAGAACAACGGAGGCAGCTTTTCTGGAACACTCACCGGCTTCGACGTCTTTCAAAATCTCGTCCTCGCCAACAGCACCGACGAAAGTCATCACAAGCTCGGCGCCAAAGTCCCCATGGGCGAGATCGTGCGATTCGTTCCACAGAGAGCATTTTGCTCGTTTCTATTACTCTTTAATTCTAGGCGAGTATGCTAATCCTTTCTCCTTATGGGGAACACGTGCGGTAGGTTATTCGCGGTAATACCGTGCACTCCATCGAGCTTTTGAAGGCGGTGAAGGTCTAGAGTAGGTTATGGTGGGTTTCCTTTGTTTGAAGATGGAAATACAGCAGCGAGGCGATGATCTAATGCTCGTCACGATGAAACTGCGCATGCTTCATAACCACTTTCCAATCCCAACGATTTCGTCTGTCAAGGACCTTGAGTGAGATTGTTAGATGGCACGAGATTACGCCCTCTACCTAGCTTGGACTCTACCATCGCCACTGAAAGCTGTAAGATGCCGTATCTCGATATCATGACGAACGTTTTGGTACTTCCGATGCATTCCAGATGTCTGGCTTTGGCACTCATAATCATTCGCCTTTCACAGCTCAACGACGAGCAGCAGATGGACCTTGTCAAGACGGTCTCCAAGGCAAATAGATAAACTAATTCGTGTCCTCTATCAACCAAATCTCTCTAGGTTGTTGGTCAAGCACTCGGAAAGCCAGAATCATGTGCGTCTCGGGCGCGACGGAGGAGATTCATATTAACTATTCACAAGACATGTCCGTGTCCTACACGCACAACAAGACATTGATATTCGCTGGAACATCTGATCCGTGCTTCCAAGTTCGACTTATCGTACGTTACATCCCTCTTTCAAACAGCCAGGTTGATCCCTTGGCAGAGTATCGGGCTGACGGAGGAGAATTGCCCTTCAGTCTCTGCAGCACTTGCAGAGGTACTCAAGGTGCGTATATTATCAACACAACGGTGCCCTTGCAAACTGCGTGCAGGAAAAGGCTGGGCTCGACTCTTCGAGGGGATACATGCAGCTTACTGACCCTACGGCGGCTCGTACTGGGTATGTATTCTCAGTCTATTTGGAACCATTTTCACTCGTTACAGATACCGTGGCACGACATTCGCCCAGTTGTAGTCGGAGATTTCTGACTTTCAGTCCTACCAATCTGTTGTTACAAAAGCGAAGTAGCGAAAATTTTATCACTCTATGATCCCGGGTTACTTGGTCTTCGTCGCTGAACTCATCTAAGCACTAATCTCGGCCGCCACTCGGATGTTTATTTTGACATGCACCCAACCTCAACCACCAAGCCGTCACGGCATGGTCGCTACACGTCATGATACGTACCTTGAACCAAGTGCTCGTTCGTCTAGACGCCTGGCAAAGTCAGTGCTTGCTGTTCAATCGGCAGGTGTTGGGCCAGCTACAACAAGAACACGGGGAAGCGACCTGAATAAGTACCGTAAAAGGCTCGGATATAGACGAGGAAAGGCATTTCGAGATGAGGAGGTGCTCGACAGGTTGCGAATGATGTGGACCATTTATGTTCGAGGCACTCGGTCATCCCATTCACGTCAAAACTCAAGCCACATATCGACTCGATCATCTCAGTTCTCAACCTTCCGAGGTCTTCACACTCAAGGTCGGCCTGCACAATTAGCTGATGTGCTTGCCGTCGAGATGCAATCAGTTCTCTCCCAATCCATCTTCAGTTCTAGAAATACAAAACCCAATCTGGCGAAACGTGCCCATCGTCTTCGTGAGCAGCAACCGCTTCCAGTGGAGAAGCCACTTGTGTTATCTTCCATCCTGGTACGGGCCCCTACCATGAGCAATGGAACATCGTTAAGATACAGAAATCGTGTACCAAGACTAGGTACAGATGCATCTCTTACAGATTTCGGACGGTCATCGGCCATCAATGCCCGCTTGGAATCTAGTAGGATACCGAACTTTTCAAGAGTGCCTCTGCCCAGATTTTGCGAGAGAACTTCAAATCCAAGGACGAGATGCATAGCCCCTCGACAGTCTGCAACCTCTGAGCCCCTCTGGTCGGCGACAGATTCGCTTTTGGCGTCGTTTGGAATACCAGTAGCATCGAACATAGTGCAAATTTTCAGTGGATCCCGCAAAGAGTCAGTAATCACCACGTTTGATAATGCCGCTCATCGTTATCGGAGTCCTTGCCGAATTACGATGGGAAATCTATTTTGAATCGGATCTATATGACCCCTATGATCGTTATGAGCGACGTGAGCAACGGCAAAGCTCCTCACATTGTCCGGAATCAGCACCAAATGCACCGACTGGAAATTACGACAAAGGGATTGTCCACGAGCAGATTAGACTCAGTAAAAGAATGCAAGAGGTGAAACTGCAGGCACCGTATGACTGGGCTGTGAGTACGCCGCGAGTTGAGGTCAAAATTTGACACTTTACAGCCCCTTACGGGCATGCCGATCACAATATTCTATCCGTCGACAATCTGTTCGGAGTCGCCAGTCCAGCGCGGCTATTCGGATGGCTGTTCGTCCCCTATCCCGCCAGATCCGCCTAGAGAACACGATAGCGAGTACAACTACTACAATTTGGAGGACCTACTATCGCCGGTTCAACCTCGATCGCTGAATTGCCTCGTCGTCAAGGATGAATGGCTGCTAGCCCATACTAGTCAAACCCGGGATTTCGAATGGACATGCATCACCCCACGATCCCTCAAAGCGAGAGATGAAAAAAGGCAAGCTGGATCATTCAATTTCAACAATGATGCTCGCAACACCGACCACATCTTTAGCGGGGCCGCCGCTCGATTTCTTGCAATTCACGAGGGATCCTTGATACGTAGTCCAGATTTCGACCAGAAATCACATATAGATCGCATAATTGCTGACATTTGGTCTTGTGACGCGCTTCCTGCACATCGGTGAGTGAGTAAATCGGGTTGAAACTGTATTGATCACTCTCAGTGAAATATTACTTCCTCGTTGGCCTCTCAATGCAGAGATAGTTCAACCAGTATTACTGGACATTGCATGCTCACCGACATGCCAATCACTTAGCTGGTCCAAAAATCATTCTCCAATTCTGATGGCTGCACACTACGGTAGCGCCAAGGACCCGGCTGCCATGGAAATACTAGCCATGGCATTTCATACTGCAATGGTCATCTTTATACTCTATTATCTCGACACGCGAACGTCTGCTAGCGACCAGATACCATCGTGGATGGTGACACATGGGATACTTTTACGAAGCGTGGGCTTGTCGTTCAGGAACACACACCAGTCTATCGATGTCGTGAAGACATCAGCAGACGCCAAAAGGTTTCCCCTGGTTGGGGAGCTGTGTCTTCGACGATCGTCGTCCAAACTATGGACGTATTCTATAGCTCCTCTTATAGCTCCTTGCAATCCCTCGCTATTCTCTTACGCATAGGCAGTCGCGCTCGAGAGATTTTACACAAACTGGAGATGTGGAGAGGCTATGACAAAGTACTTAATGTATAGAATAGTGGTGAATATTAAAATGAATATATAGAATTACTTTGTTTCTTTCGATAGCACAGATTATTCCTAATCCAGCTGAGCTGACGGATTGGCGGGTTTGGGCTGACGGAGAAGTGCCCTTCGGTTTCTATATCTGTTATAGAGATAATTGATGCGCGTGTATCATCAGTACAAATGTGAGTCTAGAAACCGGTTACAGGACAAGGCTGGGCTCGACTCTTCGAGGGGATACATGCAGCTCACTGACCCTACCGCAGTTCGTACTGGGTAAGTATTCTCAATCGATTTGGGCTCCTCTTCGGTCGTTACAGATACCGTGGCACTGTATTCACTCGGTTGTAGAGATGCCCCGGTTCTTTGCCCAACGGTTTGTAATTTCAAAAGTGATACCAAGAAGTTCTTATCACTCATCTATGCTTTCAAGTAATTGACTGGTCATCCTCCTGAACTGAATAGACCGTCACCCCGAAATGGGATGTTTGTTCCCGACTTGCACCCGACTTCGACCACCCGGTCATCACAACATGGTCACAACACGCCGGAATACGTATTTTGAACCGAGTCCTCGCTCACCTAAACATGCAGCAGCATCAATTGATGATTCTCGAAGGGAGGTTAGCGGGTCAGTTCTCTCTGGGGCGCGGGAGATCGAACAGAGAATAAAAAAATATCATGAGAAACTCGCGCAGAGGCGAGCAAGGGCTCTGGAAAATGAGAAGAAGTTGCGAAGCAACTTGAGAACAACGTGGACCGCCTATCTTCGAGATACTAGACCGACGCGACGAAAATTCGGGCCTAAAGAGCCAGCTCTTCCGCCCTCAGTTGTCCAAGCTCGTCGCCCTCCACGACCAATTGCCCTCCCGGCAATATCATCGTCCCGTCGACGTCCTTTGGCCCGAAGCGAAGCCGAGAGAGAGAACCAAGAACAGAGGGGATCGCAACGGAGAACCCGGTATATACCATCACACCGTCAGCCTCCTTTAGTAGCTTTGCCGCCATCACTACCGACAATTGAAGATCTGGATATCTTAACGTTGCCCGACCTCAATCAGAAGCAGCCTCTGTCGAAGTGAGTGGGCTATTTATCACATCTGCTCATCTAACTTGGAATGGCATCGAAGGGCTTTAAGCCAGCTCAGATGGAGTATTGATTTGAGTGGCTCTCGCATTAGATTTCCGATACGCAATGAGACTGCAAGATCTCCAACAAGCCTGCCAGGACCACTCGACCAGTCCCGCCCCCCTGCCGAATACGATGACGACCTCATTCGAGAAACAATACGAGTGGGTTATCGATTTCAGGATGCGCCCCTCCAGGTGCCTTCAAACTGGACGGTGAGTCTGCTGATTTACTTCGAGTTACCCTCAACATTCCTTAGCCCATCTGCCAAGTACCACTGGATAAATTTACTGCTGGAACAATCATCTCTGAACCCAACCGACGAGGTTATGCGTGGTCGGACTTGGAAGACCAGGACACCCCCCAAGCTAAAAACCGAAGTTTATGGGACAATTACAGTGTGGAATCAACAGAAGCGGATCGAGATACAGATATAAGCACGGATCTAAGCCTACAGTTGACTCGGGCAGAAGAGGTCTCACTGCATTACCATCCTTCAGAAACCAAGAAACTCGAAGCCATCCACGACTGGCAACTTGGGCGGTTTGTACTATTTACAAGGTTTTACTGGACCTGCATGACTCCGAATACTCTCAGTGAGAGAGACACCCAGCGACACACAGGTGCCTTCCATTACAACGATTCTTCGAGAAATACAGATTGCAGGTTCAGCAACGCGGGTAGTCGACTTTTGCTCTTCCGAACGATGGACATGAGAGACAGATCCGAAGTTCATCTACGCTCTTATATAGCGCGAGTTATCTCGGACGTTTGGTCGACAGACGTTTTACCCACCTACCGGTAAGATTGACTTGACGTGACTCCTGATCTTAACTGATAGTCCTAGTTCATTACCATTACCGCGATGGCCGCTGAAACCTGAAATTCTCCTGCCGCTCACCGTCGATATTGCCTGTATCCCGACCTCACAAGCTCTCCCTTGGCATTCAAGCTTCGCCCCGGTGCTTATGGCAGCCCATGGCGGACAAATCGCCAGTCTAATAGCTGCAGAAACATTGGCAGTGTCATTTCACACGGCGATGATACTTTTTATTCTCTACTACCTGGACACTCGAAAGGCGGCGAGTGACAAATTACCCTCCTGGATGGTGCTATATGGCGTAATCTTTGATCACAACGGGTTTCAAGTCCAACGATACTATCCCGTCTACGTGCAGGTGGAGGATGACCGGTCAGAAGGATGGGGCGCTGCGTCGTATCCTGCATCAACGATTCCTTCGTCGGTGTTCGAGGCGCAATCTCGGACTCGGTCCCAAGCCGCTGCGACTCTTCTCCGCATCAGTAGTCATGCACGGTTTGTTATGAGTCAATTAGCGGCTTGGGATGGCTACAGTAGGATATTAGGTTGTCGTTTGCCAGCCCCGCTCGAAGAAGATGCGTCGAAACGTTGAGAATAATGTATCTAACAACTTATGTATATACAGCTGGGGTAATGTTACCGGTTGTACTTCATATTACATTCTAACGACGTTGTCGCTTGTCCAGCTCGATACTTTTGGCGATAGGTTCCAACACTTTCTTTGCCCTTTCCCACTGTTGAAGCTGCTCCAGCACAAAGAGTGAATGGCTTCGAATCCGATAAAGCGCACTGAGCAACCGGCATCTCCTCCTCCCATCTCTAAAAGCACTCGGAAAGGTATAGAGCTCAGAGGATACAAAATGCCACCGAGGAATTGCTGTATCTTTGTCCGGTCTGTATGCCGGATGGTGCGAGTAGACCATAACATTCTTCTCAGTGTAACCAATCCCATAGAGAAAGAGCCACGGTGGTAATGGATCACGGGTGTTGGCTCGATTATCCAAGTAGTATAGCACCAGGATTACCAGAGTCCCGTGGAAAGCAGAAGCAAGCTGAGCAGGAACGTCCCATTCGTCGTACTTGTGAGAAGGCTTGCATTCACCGGCGAAGAAAACTGGCATAAGCTTCTCATTTCCCCAATCGAGCGTATTGATATCCGCTCGATTGTAGATATCGGGCGAAGGGTCTGTACCAAATGCCCTAAGCAAAGGGGGAAAGGGTAGCGGCTGATTACTGCAGTCAATGAGTAACTGGTTGGACGTGTTCAAATACTCACTGTCGATCCATCATTCCTTTTCCAGCAAATACACCCCTCAATTTACCACCAACCGTTTTCTCTATCTCTCCTTCCGAGATCTTGTCTGGCCCAGAAACGTCAGGAGGAAGGAAGCTGAGAAATTCCCTAATGACATGCGCAGGGTATAGCGACCTGTCCTGTGTGCCAAGGTTAAAGGCAGGGTTTCCGCAGCGGATTTTTTTGTCCTTGCGTTCGATCTCTTCCAGTCTTTCAACTATCCAATCCTTTCCTTTCCTCATTTCTAGTTCCATGGTTTCCAATTTGGCGAACAGGTCGTTTTGAGCTACCCAGTCCGAGTAGGGTCTGTTCAGGGTGTCAACCTCGAAGGCGAATTGATTTGCCATCTGTTGCTTCTCTTTCTCGGTTTTGGCCATTGATAAGTCAAACTTGCTAAGGAGCTCTCTATATAGCACATCCCGCTCGTCACTTGAAGGTTGGCTTGTCCCACTGTCGTCCCCAGCGGTCGACTTCCACATTGGTTCTGGCGGCGAGCTGGTAGAATCTGAAGCGTAGGAATATCTGGGCTTTGCCTCTTGTGGTTTCCTGGGTTTTGGATTCATATATTGTGCAAAATTGTCAGGGATCTCAAAAAAACGAAGCTGGGGTTGCGCCGGGCCTACCTGTGATGTAGATTAGACAAATGAAAAGCAATTCCTCGCACTTACCTCCCATTCTTTAGGTAAAACGAGCAGCTGATTCGCGAAACGATGATGCTCTTGGTCTAGATAACGTATGATCCGGTAGTCGAGCTCCACCGGCCCAGACTCGTATTGAAGCTCAGGTAGCTCATCAAGGTCAATCGTTTGTTCTCGTGGCGAGTAGCGGTATTTTGATCGGTAGATATGGCGTTCGGTTCCCTCAACAGGTTGCGCATCGACTACATAACGGAACCTCCAGAGGCCATAAAAAGCGAGTGTATCTTGAGTAAATAACCTTATATAGTCAGTGGCGTGATCAAATGGTGGAGGAAGCCATACGATGGTGTAAGATATTTTTTGTCCTTTGGTTCTTCGTAAGTCGGATGCCCAGGATTATCTTGAGTCTGGGTTTGGTTTCCAATGATGATATCAGACAATTCACCGGCGTGGATAGTAGATGCAGTACGTGTAGACGAGTCTATGCTAGGAGGAGGAAGTGTGCCCCCAAGGGATGTGTTGGATGATTCGAATGAGCGAGTATCACTATGGATGGCAGATTGGCCTCCTGCAGAGCGTTTTTTTCTTTTAGAATTCTGATCTATCGAGGCTCTCTGTGGCTTGTGAATTGGTATCCGGTGGGTGAAACAAGGGAGTCGTTTGTTTCTCATAAATTGATGATATGGATCGGTTGGTATCCTGGGATTCGCAGCCCCCAGAGCAGAAATGCCGCCGGCTATATCCGGTTTGGGGGATTTGGGATTCCTGAGAGATGGTTCCGGTGATGGGTTGCTTCTTTTGCGATTCGAACGGGCGCTACTTGATACGCTCGAGTTCACAGCAGCACCTTCTGTGACGGGCTCTATAACCTTTCCTAAGGGTTGGTTGGCTAAAATACCATATAAAGGGCGACATGATGGAGATGGCGTTCAGCGAGCAAAGTCGGAAGAGGAAAATCAGATTCAGGCTTTCGATGCCTTTGATGTAGCACTGACCGGCACGATTCCTGCTCCGACCTGGCCTACTGGGTTGGGACATAGTGATGGGTCTGTGAGTGATGGGCGAGAAACAGCCTCGTTTTTATAGACTGTGACCGTTTAATAGACTCTACAAGTCCAATTTGGAAAGCCAAACGTTCATCGGGGGACAAACGCCCATCTGGGATGCCGCACAGATAACTTGGGTATGTGGCTATGAAGGCCACGCCATCCAGGTTGCGCTTAAATATCAATCGGGGGAGTAATCAAAGTGCGTTTAGTATCGTTCGCCGTTTTTATAGGACATAAACGCGTTAGACTATTCCTGCCTCGTTTCTCAAGCCTTCACACACATACGGGCCACAACCATCACACAAGGGAGCTCATTTGAATATCTATGGGTTAAAAGGCAGCAAATCGAAGTAACATAATTATTGACTGACAGCGATCGCCGCATCCCAGCGTCATCGCAGAGGCGAACAACAAGTGCTTTACCGAGTTGTTTCACGGCCACATCTATCTCAGGGCAGTCAATATTGCATGCATTGACGATGTATAATATGTCTGGCATCTTCTCGTCAGCCGCCCGCGCGCAAGACTGAGATATACACACCATTCGTGTATGCATTGCGGATTAAAGCGGCATAAGGAAGTCCTTGAACACTTATAGATTTATCACTTGTGACTAATTGTGATTGGTTCCCGACGACGCCCATCTGCAAGCGATCGAATGTGAGACTGGCCCCTTGTTCGCCTCATTACCAGATGCAGCCTGCGGGTATAAAGTGTCTTATTCACTGATTTAGGGACAGGCGATGATGCCTGCGACCAGCGTCAGCCCGCGCTCGATCAAGTTTCCGCTTTCGAGCCAGAGGAACACATGTCCCAGCAGAAATATACCTATAATAGGTGATATAGTCCAAGAATATGGTAACTGGATACTGAACCGGATCAGGATGCGAAGCGAACCAGCCGCTCGCCTCACGAAGGAGAATGGGCTTACTCTCATTGATACATATGGATCATAGAAGGTACCCTAGATCCTGTTTCTATGATATGCCTGCTCTGGGCTTCGTTTTAGTTCTCCCACCCTTTGCCACTTCGATGTCCACCGTTTCCTTTCGAGTAGAAGTCTTATGTGCTTTGATTGAGGTTCACTGAATACAGTACTGCTGGTGATGATAGATAGAACTGTCCAGGCGACGCAAGAGGAATGAGCCTGTCCGACAAGAAGCACCTCCTGCGGCTCTAGAACGGAAAAATTCTTCTTTATGTCATTTCTTACCAATTTTTATCCTAGTCCGAATTGGTCAGCATCCCTTGCCGCTTTCCTCTGCCACCTATACCCATCGACGGTGCTCGGGACCAGCAGAAATGACTCTTCTTCCTATTGTCTATGCATGCGACAACTTTCAGATCCAGGCGAGCTCCGAAAGTCTCACTCCTTTTTACGTTCACGTCCCTCCTCGACCAAACGAGCCAATAATCGGACTTCTACGTGACTCTATCCTTCGTGAACTAGAAAATTACAATGAGTCTCTTACATCAGAAGGCTTAGAACCAATATGGAACATCATCTCATCCGATCCTTTACGAGAGACGAGTTCTAGGGTCACGGGTGCTTTCGGCAAGAATTCGACAAAGATGGTCGGATTCTCATCGTCGCTTTCCACGCCCGAATCTCGCTCGGAAGCCATAAAAGTGATGTGCGAGCGATGGCATCGCACAGCGGCGCCGTTTGGAGATCTGATTGCCGGCAAAATGTGGCGCAACGAGCTCTATCCAATCTATTCTCATCCATTCGTAGTCGACGCAAGTACTGAAGCGTTTGCAATGGAGCGTGCGGCGACGCCACTGTTTGGTGTGGTGACTTATGGTGTGCATCTAACGATGTACACATCGGATTATCGGATCTGGATACCGAGAAGGGCCAAGACGAAGCAGACGTACGTACCCTAGTCGTCTAAGAGGGCATCTATGAACTCATTTCGACATAGATTCGGCGGAATGCTGGATAACACAGTCGCAGGCGGGATCCCCCGAGGGTACACTGCGTACGACAGTATGGTCAAGGAATGCATGGAAGAGGCGTCTCTACCCGAGCACGTCGTCACGCCACATATCAAGCCGGCGGGCGCTGTTAGCTACTTCTATCAGTATGCCAACTCGCGGATCGGAGCGGATTCTGACTTTTTACAGAACCAAAAAGGGCTGGTTACAGCCCGAAGTCGAGTGAGTGATGTCCGCGTTTAGGCGAGCAAGTGGCTGATGTCGGAAGATATGTATACGACTTATTGGTCCCGGCAGGTCAAGAAGATTCTGTAGACTTTACACCCAAACCATTCGATGGTGAAGCCGAGTCGTTTGATGCAAGTTTTCCTTGATCAGCCGAGAGGGTCCTCACCTCCCGATAGCTCCTCCCGATGGATGTAGTCCGCGAAAAGATGCTTGCAGGCGAATTCAAGCCGAACTGTGCACTCGGTACGTAGGAGCTATGAGATTTCATCGCTTCTCATGGTCATAGTGGTGCTTGATTTCATGGTCCGCCATGGGTTCGTCACGGCTGAAAACGAGCCAAACTTGTTGGAGATTCTGAGCCGAATGCACGGTTCATTTGGATATGCATAGCCAAGATGTATTTACATTTCACCACACTCTGGATGGATGTCAATATCGATGGGATCGTTTAAGAAAGAAGCTGACCAGTAATCTTTACTGCAAGCTTCGGTCGGTTATTTGGTCCTGTTGGAACGTGTTCAATCTTGCGAACGGTCAGCATGCCGTCAATGACACGTCCAAAGACGGTGTGTTTGCCATCCAGAAAGTCTGCTGGAGCCGTTGTGATAAAGAACTAGGGGATATAAGTCTATGATCCCTTTGGTTGGTGTAATAGTACCTGACATCCGTTGGTGTTCGGGCCCGAGTTTGCCTGCGCAGATTTAAGGAGGTGTAGACATGATTAGTGTTAGCGTACCATGGACAGCAGACCCGGTTCACTGTGCTTGACTTTAAAGTTTTCGTCCTGCAACTCTTTAGCATACGAATAGAGCAGGCGTCGTACTCACATCAAACTTTTCGCCATAGATGGAGAACGATCCCGTTCCGTCGCCGTTGAGAAAGTCACCACCTAGATAGCATTGAGGAATGGTCTCGGCGGCAATGAATTCCATACCCTGGCACATGAAATTTGGAACGCTGTGGCCTGGTTGAGTCACGAAACGCCTTGCTATCCGAATCCAAGACTCACACTCTGTAGACTTGTAAGCTTTGCTATTGTGCAGCGGTCGTGCTTACCGGTGGAATGTGCAGTTTTTGTATCCCTGAGGACGACCGTTGACCCTATTACTGCGTCAAGTTTACTCCAAAGATCCACAACCATCTGCACCTGTATTCTCCTGTACATAGCTGTCTAAAGTTCTCCGCGGTTCTGGTGATATATTGATCAGTAGGTTGTCCGAAGAAGGCGGTTGGTTTTACTTTGGGACAATGTCTGAGAAGAGTTCCATTTTTATCCTGCCAGCTGGTGTTTCTCCAATGTTAATGTCCATAAAGACGATTGGACGGGTTGTGGCTGCCATGGTGGATGCGGGTAACAGGCAATCACCACTTCGGCCAAAGCTTGGAGCTTGACCACATTTCACGGCCGCGTCGAAAATATCCAGGAAATTGATACACGCCCAGGATAGAATATCCAACGTAGAGGAAACTCGACCAACTACCCTGAAACTGCAATCTTACTCAGTTGGTCAGCCGCAGAAACGGAAACGCGTGTGTCGACGATGGCGGACATTTACTCTCCGATTCCCGTCTCCTCTCAGCTCTTCACCTCGAAATCTCGTCCTCCATTTGCACAATCCATGAGCGTCCTCGCCTCGAGACAACACAACCAGCTTATTACTAGCTCGGCAGGTGGGACCCCGCAGCCGGTAAAGGCGATTCAGAAGAGGAGACGAGCGGACGATTCGGATGATGATATGGACCAAACGGACTCGCGCTCGCCTAGTCCGGAGAAACAGCAGCAAAGGGTCATGGCGCCGGCAAGGTCTGCAAAGAGGCTGGCTGCAAATAAGAAAGCCCGACCAGATACAAGTACAGACAAGCAATCTGAAACAAGCAATTCAAATGGAGAAGACGGTACCGACTTGGCTGATGCCCGCGTGCTGCTTGGTCAGTCCTTTGTCACGGTTTTGAAAATGTCGATTGCTAACATTTTGTGCGTGTTTTACAGCCAATTTACCGCTATCATCGTACCCAGCCATGATCCAAACGTTGCTAGAAAAGGATCCTTCGGTCACCAAGCTCTTGATATCCGTCATTCCACGGCCGTCAGCGGATATGGCACGCGAAGCAATTGTGCAGGCGACAAAGAAACTCCGGGATGCGGTTCCCTATAGCGCCGCATCGTCCGCCCGCTCAAACGGCGGCGCCTCAACGTCGGCATCGGCACTAGGCCTAACGTCGGCGGGCGGGAATTCACTTGGGCTGAGTGCGAGTGGGAGTACAAGTCTTGGGTTTGGTGCCCTGTCACTCGGATCGTCTACCATTGGACTCGACTTTGGCTTTGGTCCATCCGCCGCGACGCCCTCTGCAAACTCTGCTGTTTCCTCTGGTCAGCGAGATGCATATGTTCTCGATCGACTACGACCGGCTATTCAAGACTTTCTTTCCACGGTCCATGCGTACCTGCCGTACTTTAGCCTGACGGTCACCCCGGTCACCCTCTCGTCGCTCCAAGACAAGCCGAAACCGACCTTGCCACCAAAGGAACAACCCCATCCCAACGAGACTTTTATTGTCTTATCCAGCTTGACCAACGGATTGATCTCGCTCCCACCAAAGGCGATTGCAGCACTCAAGGAGCAGTCGACTCTGGTGGAAAAGGTCGTCAAAGAGTGGGAAGCGTGGTTGGATCATCTCGACACTGCAGTGAACCAGAATGGGGAAATGTTTAGTGGCGAACAAGCAAGAAGTTGGATCCAGGCGCTCGACTCGTTTGCAGCCGGGACAGCGGCGTCTTCGGTTGGATTTGGCGTGTCATCGTCGTCATCCTTTGGTGGGTGGGGCTCGTCTTCGTCGTCGCTTGGCTGGGGGATGTCGTCCAAGTCGGCGAGTCTATCGGAGAGCAACGTCCCAGAGATGAAGGGGATTCGAGACGCGTGGGTGCGTCGAGTCGGGTGGCTAGTCGGTCGACAGCCTCCGGTTGCAGGCTTTGATGCGATGGACGAGCTATGATACCCACATTGTGGCTTTTGTGTTCTGATTGTAGACTGACTAGTGCATCTTCTCATCGTGTATTATTTGGCATTGGGTTTTCTCGAAACTTTCCTTTACCAGAACTCTGCTTCTTGCGTTCGTGTCCTCCGTTAGAGGCCGTCTCGTCGCGGCTCCGAATGTCGGCGAGAGCGTCTCCCGGCTTTGGCCGCTGCGTCGTCTGCCCATAAGAGCGAGTGCGGCCATCGGCAGTCGCAGCATCACAACAAAATCCACTTTTCCATGTTCCAGGATCAACTTGGACTCCACATGCAGCCCCAGAACCAGCCACAAAGCCAGAATTCAGAGCCGACAGAGCAAATCTTGGTCAATGTACCCGTAAAGAAGAAGAGAAAGAAAGTGGGGAATGCGTGCATCTACTGTAGACGATCTCACATGACTTGTGACGAAGGCAGACCCTGCCAACGATGGTGAGCAGCGCAAACTCTGCTATTGTAGTACTGGCGACCATTAACGACGACATAGTATCAAACGAGACATTGGTCACCTTTGTCGAGACGAAGCAAAACCAGCCCAGGCAGGCACTGCGCCCTCTGCGTCTGCATCGACGACGACGACATCGGCTATCCCGTCAGCGGCAAAGCCCCTACCACCGCAACAGCAGACGACAATGCAGCCTTCATCTCTTGGTACGCTCTATTGCTCTCATCTCTGTCGATGCGTTTTCTGATCTTGTGCTCGAACCATCAGGCGGATTCGGCCCATATGCTACGTCGAATTCACAGCCACCACCATCTCAATCACAACTCCCCGGGGTTCTGTTGCGCGTTTGCAGTCACCTGTCGCACCTCTGAGCGCAACGAGTGCCCAGCCTTGGACACCCCTCGCCCCTGGACCCCCTGGACATCTCGCGTCTGGTCCTGGTCCGAGTACATCGGGATGGGCGTCTGAGGCGGCTGGTAACGAATTTTCTGCTCTCAGGTGAGTCGAATAAATATCCGCATCCGACAACGTACTCAATCCCACCTAGCGAATTTCTTGAAACTCTGGACGAAAGACCGTATTTCGGACATGGCTCTACCCCTGTTTCTGCTCATCCCAGCCATGGTGCTGGTGCTCATATGGAAGCAGAACCATTGCACACCCAGACGCCTGCGAATGGGTTTAACCACCAAGCGTTCCCTCCGAACACGCATCAACAACCCATACATCCTCCGAATCCCAATCGTGAACCTGGCTACATTCTATCCTCAGCAGCAGCTGCCGCCGCGGCGAACAAGACCGAACAGTTTCTCATGACCGCCGCGGATCAGCCCGGCGGAACAAGAGACGAGAGACTTGCACAGGTTATTCACGCCAAGTACGAAGCAGGCCTATTGAAGCCGTACAACTATGTCAATGGATACCGGCGGCTGAGTACGTGGATGGAGCGACAGTATGTACTTTCTTACTCTTTGTACATCGTGCTAACTTGGGCTTAGTGTGTCCCCAAACTCACGACAAGCCATCCAACAACCTCTTGCGATGCTTCGACCACGCTTCCGAGCCGTTGCGCAAAACTTGACAGATCTGGATCTCATCTTCATCGAGGAAGCATTCGAGAGACTGCTGCTGGACTATGACCGAGTCTTCTCCGCAATGGCCGTCCCGGCTTGTTTGTGGCGAAGAACCGGAGAGATTTACAAGGGCAATAGAGAATTTGCCAATATGATTGGTGTCAACGTGAACGATCTCTTAGAGGTATGCTCCTCTTCATCCTATTGCGTCCGCTCATCCTTCAAGGGGAAATTGGCCATTTACGAGCTCATGTCCGAAGAGAGTGCCGTCAATTTCTGGGAGGTATGCCTATCGTCCCTTCACCCGACCTCTACTCACGATCATAGAAATACGGCCATGTCGCGTTTGATACAGGACAAAAGGCCGTCTTGACCTCGTGCGTGTTGCGCTACAAGCCACGAGAGGTGGTTGCGCCACACTTGGTACAGCCAGGAGGGCCACAGATGCAAGAAGGATATGTCAATTGCTGCTTTAGTTTCACGATTCGACGCGACTCGTGGGGTATTCCGGTAGCTATCGTCGGCAACTTTATATCTTATTGATGTGTTGCTTATTACTACAAACGTGTAACGGTATTGCTTTTCGCTAAACCCGGGAATGTGCTGCAGAGTCCCCCAATTCCGACCCACTCGAGGCGAGCACCTCTTCGGCGATGGTCATTTACGTAAAACATAAGGGAGTATTCCACCCAAGATCCTTGATACATTGAACATGATGGTAGCATATTACATTGAGGGACATAGCTGTCACAACAACTCGCTACATGGCATCTTTCCGAACATTTGTCCAAGAGAGGCCACATTGAAACCGACTAAAGTCAAATTTAGTAGCGCGATAAACACTCGTAGTCGGCATAGTCAAAAGATGCGGGTATAGTAGGCCATGCCGATTATCTGGTGGTACCCAGAAAAGAAGTTTACCGGAAGATTGCACCCAACCATACTGCTGAAGTGAACATCCTTCAAATCCAGGTACGACGATCTGAGGAGAAATATTAGACCCTGTGGCATCCCGGCCGAAGGTTTGGGGTTGGGAATCTTCTGGACAGTTAGCAGGCCAGATTGCGGATTCAAGCATAAGCCGAGGTGTGCTTACCGATTGCCGCATCCCATAGTCGAATTGTCTTATCGTCTGAACAAGAAACAATTTTTGAGCCGTCCAGTGAGAATGCAACGCTCATGACGCGACCTTCGTGACCCCGGAGCGGCTCTCCCAGTGGCTGACCAGTACTTGCATCCCAAAGTCGAATTGTCTTGTCTGACGAGCCAGAGACAATTCGTGAGCCATCTGGTGAGAATGCTACGGCCCAAATCCAAGCTTCATGACCTCGAAGTGGCTCTCCTAATGGCTGGCCAGTGTCTGCCTCCCACAGTCGAATAGTCCCGTCGTCCGAGGCAGAGGCGATCTGTGAACCATCTGGTGAAAATGATAAAGAGTTAATACGTCCATCATGACCCCGGAGTGGCTCTCCCAGTGGTTGGCGAGTGACTGCATCCCAAAGGCAAATTGTCTTGTCTGACGAGCCAGAGACAATTCGTGAGCCATCTGGTGAGAATGCTACAGCCCAAATCCGGTCTTCATGGCCTCGAAGGGCTCTCCTATTGGCTGGCCACTGTTGGCATCCCACAGTCGCACTGTGTTGTCGTCCGAGCCAGAGGCAATCTGTAAACCATTTGGTGAAAATGATACAGAGTTAATACCTCCATCATGACCCTGGAGTGGCTCTCCCAGTGGTTGATGAGTGGCTGCATCCCAAACGCAAATTGTCTCGTCGTCCGAGGCAGAGATAATTCGTAAGCCGTCTGGGGAGATTTTGACATCCTGAACGGTATCATTGTGACCTCTAAGGGGCTCTCCCAGCGGCTGGCCATTGTCTACATCCCAAAGTCGGACCGTTCCGTCGTCCGAGCCAGAGGCGATCTGTGAACCATTTGGTGAAAATGATACAGCGATAATACCTCCATCATGACCCCGGAATGACTCTCCCAGTGGTTGGCGGGTGGCTGCATCCCAAAGGCAAATTGTCTTGTCTGACGAGCCAGAGACAATTTGTGAGCCATCTGGTGAGAACGCTACAGCCAAAATCTGAGCTTCATGGCCTCGCAGTGGCTCTCCTAATGGCTGGCCACTGTTGGCATCCCACAGTCGCACTGTGTTGTCGTCCGAGCCAGAGGCGATCTGTGAACCATCTGGTGAAAATGATACAGAGTTAATACCTCCATCATGACCCCGGAGGGGGTCTCCCAGTGGTTGACGAGTGGCTACATCCCAAAGGCACATCGTCCAGTCATCCGAGGCAGAGATAATTCGTAAGCCGTCTGGGGAGAACTTGACATGCCGAACTGTATCATTGTGACCTTGAAGGGGCTCTCCCAACAGCTGACCACTGTGTGCATCCCACACTCGCACCGTTTTGTCGTCCGAGCCAGAGGCGATCTGTGAACCATCTGGCGAAAATGATACAGAGTTAATACGTCCATCATGACCCCGGAGTGGCTCTCCCAGTGGTTGGCGAGTGACTGCATCCCAAAGGCAAATTGTCTTGTCTGACGAGCCAGAGACAATTCGTGAGCCATCTGGTGAGAACGCTACGGCCCAAATCCAAGCTTCATGACCTCGAAGCGGCTCTCCTATTGGCTGGCCACTGTTGGCATCCCACAGTCGCACTGTGTTGTCGTCCGAGCCAGAGGCAATCTGTGAACCATCTGGTGAAAATGCGACAGAGTTGACACCCCCCTTGTGACCTTGGATTGGGTTTCCCAGTGGCTGACCAGTGTCTGCATCCCACATTCGAACTGTCTTGTCATCCGAGCCAGAGACAATTCGTGAACCATTCGGGGAGAACGCGACGGTGCGAACTGCATATTTATGACCTTCTAGACTGCTGGGGAGCCCGGGGTACACTTCTTCTAGCCCTCGAGTCACATTTAATGTGTTCGTGTACTCCCTTAGGCCTTCAAGATGCAGTGCTGTCTTTATAGGAGTAAAAGGAAGCGCCGAAATGTAAATATGCGGAGTGCTGTCCTGAATTGGCACTGAAAATGCCATGATAAACCGTCTGACCTCGTTCATGCGACTTGCAGTGTCCCTTTCAAGCTTTCTATGTTTCAGAATCGAAACTCTATCGACACAGATTACTCACCCCTGCGTGGCGTGTCAAAGCTCGAAGACCGTCTATAGCTCGTGACACTCCTCCGGTTAAGCTAAGAACCTCCATCCAATAGAACACACGTGGAACCTGGATGGCATGTTGAAGCTCTTTCCTGAGCATGGATCTCCCCTTTTCATTGGTCTCCGCTACATGGAATAACCAATGAAAACTGGCATACCGAAGTCGTCGTGGAATGGACTTCGATATTCTCGCATCAAGGTCCGGAATCTGTCTATTTAGGTAGAAAGACGATTCGATTTGACATATGTTGAACTTGAGGCCTTCTGTCGGCAACTTGAGCCGGTTGAGACACCAAGATGCGGCTTGCCCATGCGCATTTGTGATGTTGACATGTACCTTATTTGAACCTACAGATGGGGCGATGGAGCGGCGTCGAAGGTACTCGACGATGGTGGGATGTCGAAATTGAATCAGATTGGTAGTTGCATCCGAGGCGAGTATGCTCCCTAGATTCTGCACCAACGCTTTGGCACTTCCCCGCATCCTGTTGTGCTTCAGGATATCGTTCAGATCATCCAACGTGAGTGGCTCAAAGGCAGCGAGCAGCAGTGCGAGCATTGTGCACATGACAGAGCGGTGCTCGGGGTCTGTACGCTCAAGCACTAGATCGTATACGTCGTCGATCGCTCCAGTTTGCTCCATCGAGATAAGACGATCGTATGTGTCCTCGGGTGAACTGAAGCTAGTTTTACTGGTGAGCAATCGACACGCAGTGCTCGCCCAGATGAATAGTCCATTGGCCTTTTCCACCAGCTTCTGCTTCTTGTCCTCCGACAGCACTTCCCCCAACGATCCATGGACATAGACCGCAATGTCATTGACATTATCACGATGACTGGAATCATGGAGGCGACCCTCCATCTTAGATTTGATGGAGAGAGGCCCTAAAACTTCTTCAATGATAGGGTCCGGCCGACTCGTCATAAGGATCTTTAGGTTCTTGTTTTCTCGGACAGCACCGGAAAGAACTTCGAGAATTTCTTTCCGGTGTGATCCAGATTTGCATTCGTCGACAGCGTCGATGACAAGAATTACGTGCTGTTGGCGATGATGAAGAGGACCAGTGACAAGCGTCCTGAACTGCTCCTCGAGAGAGCTTCGCATGAAAGCAGGGTTCTGCTTCATGGACTCAGCAACATGCGGGGTGAGCTCGGGGATGTAATGTACTAAGTCCCTTGCTATGGTAGAGCAAAACTTGTCGGTGGTCGATCCCTCACTGCTTGCCATGGAGAAGAAGAATCGGCCACCGAGGACTCCCTCTTTCTGCCATGTTTCTACTGCCGACATGGCGACTGTAGATTTGCCAGAACCCGCAATGTCGCAGAGCCAAAATATGGGTTTTTCCGAGGTAGTGTCATTAGCCCAGCGTCCGATCATCTGAAGGACGGCCTCACGCGTTCCGTTCAGGCATGTTCTATGGACGGAAGACGCAATGAATGCTACTGTTGGCAGCTGGAGTATAGTAGAGGCGTCGGCTTGAAATGGTAAGCAAGCGCCTGACACCGTATGTGAGCCTACCGTTCCGCTCAAGGGCTTGAACATGTGCCGCGATAAAGATACTTAACGCACTCTGTGGCTCTAGTGAATCCGTGAACGGAAACTAGTAATGCTCGTACCATGAGCTGCCTATGTCGGTCTTCAATGTCTCGATTGAATTTACGAATCTCCTCCACATCAATTTTGAATTTGCTGAATCCTGTCAGGAGGCTGAGTTTGCTGCGGCTGCGTTTCTCCCTTAGATTGACGACGGTACTATGTATGTCTTTAAGGAGCCTGCGTTGCTCAGACTTTGGAAAAGAAATCTTGGACTGTTCACGTACTCGACATAGCGATCAAGGTGCCGAGTGAACGCCTTGCTAATGGCCGGCCCGATTGAGGATATGACTCCAGCAAGGTGATTTGTTCCTCGAACGTCGATATGTATTCCGTCAGACGCCGTGTTAGGTCTGCCCATTCTTCTTTGTTGCTTTCTATCGCCTATCATATCCATTAAAAGACGCCATGACTAGATTCGCTGATTCACCTGCATGACTTCAAGGATCGATTTCGTTGCTCGACAAACCGCCTTTAGAGGAGCGAGTATATCTGATCCCTCGGCTATATTCGCCGTTACATCGAGGGCAACGTTGAACGTGTCGTATACTTGGTCTCTCCTGTTTGATGCGGAAGACGAAGGTCGTGCTGGATTCGCATTTCCGTGCTGTTTATTGGGTTTGGCCGACTTTGAGGCCGACATGATCAACGTGGCTGATTCCAAGATGTAAGTAGTATGGTTGGCGCCGTCGGTATTCGTTTTGATTTGATGACTATAGTGGAATATTGGTTCATGAGACTGATTGTCTGTAAACGGTGGCAGCCAAAACTTGAACCCGACGATGGCGTCTAACGTTGTGGCAGACCAGGAAGATGCGTACATGGAGGACAGCTTTACGGGAGAGATTCCCGTCAAAGGAAGTGCTCAAGTCAGAAGAGTAACTAATAATGTTGTCATCGACGAGGACCATCCATTTGATCTCGAGGCATATATCAGCAACTACGACCGTACGTCGCCCGCGCCCCTATCGCCATCTCCATCAAGCTTAATGCGTTGCTTATTGGTGCTAATGTCACTCCAGACGATCGCGCATCCATCAAGCGTCTGTTCTTCATCGCAAACGCGTGCCCACAGCTCGCGCCTCTGGCCCTTTCACGCGCCGTCGAATACGCACTCGAGGGAAAGGACTCTACACTCTATCAGAACGTCGTCAGCACGTACAATAACATTGTCGGTCCACAACACGGCGTCCAACTCAATCAAGAGTGGCTTGATCGAACGGCCCAGCGATCTCATGCTGAACGTGACAAGCTCGAAGTGGAACTGAAAATGTATACAGGTAACATGATCAAAGAGAGTATTAGGGTACGTGTGGATCGGGTATTGAGCCAAAGTATTGAGCTCTGTGTGGCAGATGGGACATAACGAGCTTGGGCACTTTTATCGTGCTCATGGTGACCACGCAACTGCGTTGAGACACTACACAAAGTCGCGCGAGTTTTGTACCAGCAGCGCCCATGTCGTCGACATGTGTCTAAACATTCTCGAGGTAAGCTCTATGATCGCCCGAGTACATATCTGACGCTAGATTAGCTTCTATTGGAAGAACAAAACTATCCCCATGTCAGCACATATGTCTTCAAGGCAGAGGCTGCGCTCGAAGCGTCTGGTTCAGCGTCGGACAAGAAGAAAGGGACTTCGAATCCAGAAAGAGAAAAGGTCGAAGCAAAGCTTAATCTCGCTATGGCTCTTTCCCTGCTCGGACAGAGCAATTACGACGCAGCGGCGTGGGCCTTTATGAAGATCGGAAAGAACCTCGATGGGTGGGAACACAAGGCACGTTCTCGACTCGACCTTGGACTCGTTCTGATCCTCAATAGGTTGCGTCGCCGTCGGATATCGCCATCTTCGGCACCCTTTGCGCACTCGCCACCTTTGAGCGCCGACAGCTCAAGACGGTCTTGCTCGAATCCGAAACGTTCTCATATTACCTAGAGCAAGAGTCGTACGTACGCGATCTCATCGAGGCATACTTGGCCAGCAAGTTCCGCAATGTCCTCGCCATTCTTGAGCGTCAGTCGGCACGGCACAGTTTGGACAACCAACTCGGCCCGCACATCAAGAACCTAACGAGGTTGATCAAGAATCGTGCGCTGGTTCTGTACTTTGGGCCTTTTGCTTCGATTAGGCTCGAAAGTCTCGCGGCTGCGTTTGGCTTGAGCACTGAGGAGACGGAGAAGAATGTCGTCGCACTCATTCAAGATGGTAGTATCAAAGGCCGAGTTGACAGTCACAACAAGGTTTGATCTATTTCCCTAATTTTGCGTGACCGCTGACGATAGGCTAGATTCTCAAAGCAAAAGACTTGGACCATCGAACGGAGCTCTTCATCCGAGCTACAAAGACGGGCCAGGAGATTGCTTCGCTGAACCGAAAGCTTCTCTACCGGCTGCGACTGTACGTTTGGATCATGACGTTGACTATTTGATACTAAGTCGTTGTAGACAAGAAGCAGATATCATTGTCAAGCCACCAAAGAATGCCCATTTAGAAGCGATGGCATATGGCCCTCCGATGTAATTCTGATGATTGAACCAAGTCTTTCTTGGCCCCAGCCGCGATATCAAGTGCATTTTTTTATAAAACGTACACACAGCAACGAGAATGGCTAGCTGGCGTCGTTCCAAATGTTAACCCAAGAGAGGCCACATTTGAAATGGGCAAAATCCAACTTTGTAGCACGGTATGGACTCGCTGAAGGCATAGTAAGAAGGTGTGGATATTGTAAACCATTACGATTCTCTGGCGGCACCCAGAAAAGGAATTTGCCGGAAGATTGAACCCAGCCATCGGATAATAGCGAGCACCGCTCGAATCCCGGCACAGAGATCCGCAGAGGAGTACCTGAGAGGTCCCCCTCGAGATCTGAATACGCAGAATCTCTGTCATCCTCGTCCGGGTTCTTCCTTTTTTCATCTATGACGTCTGCAAGGTCAGTCCACAAATCGAAGAGAACTAGGGCGTCACCTACCTGACCTTACATCCCAGAGTCTAACCGTGTTGTCGTCGGCGCCGGAAATTAGTCGCGACCCGTCCGGGGAGAAAGAAAGAGCGTTGACTCCCCCTTTGTGACCATGGAGTGGCTCGCCCAGTGGCTGTCCCGTGTTTGCGTCCCAAAGTCGAATCGTCTCGTCGTCAGAGCCAGAGACAACTTGTGAGCCGTCGGGGGAGAATTCAACCGCCCAAACTGTATTATCGTGACCTCGAAGGGGCTCTCTCAATGGCTGGCCAGTGTCCACATCCCACAGTCGCACCGTCCGGTCATCCGCGCCAGAGGCAATTCGAGAACCATCTGATGAAAAAGCAACAGTGTTGATACCCCCTGCATGGCCGCGGATTGGCTCTCCCAGTGGTTGAAGAGTATTTGCATCCCAAAATTGAATTGTCCCGTCGTCCGATCCAGAGGCGAGTCGTGCGCCATCCGGTGAGAATGAAACGGCCCTTACCAAGTCTGTGTGACCCTTGAATGGCCTTCCCAGCGGCTGACCACTGTCTAGATCCCACAGCCGAACGGTCTGGTCACTTGATCCAGAGGCTATTCGCAGGCCGTCTGGTGAGAATGCGACAGCCCTGACCCCTTTGGTGTGACCTCGGAGCGGATCTATCAGTGGTAGGCCAGTGCCTGCGTCCCAAAGTCGAATCGTCTCGTCGCTCGACCCAGACACAATTCGCGAGCCATCTGGCGAGAATGCGATGGTATAGACTTCACCTTCATGGCCGGGGAGTGCGACCCATAGCGATTGACCGGTTTGTGCATCCCATAGTCGAATTGTGCTGTCAGTCGAGCCAGAGGCGACTTGCAAGCCGTCAGGAGAGAATGCGACGGCACAGACCCAACCTTTGTGTCCTTCAATTGGCTGTCCCAGAGGTTTACCGCTGATTGCATCCCATATTCTAACTGTATGATCATCTGAACCAGAGATGATTTGCGAGCCATCTAATGAGACCGTGACAGAATTGACGCCTCCTTCGTGGCCTCGCAACGGCTCTCCCAGAATCTGACCGGTGTCTGCATCCCAGACTCGAATCGTCTCGTCGTCAGAGCCAGAGACAATTCTTGAGTCGTCTGGAGAGAACTTGACAGCCCAAACTGTATTATCGTGACCTCGAAGGGGCTCTCCCAATGGCTGGCCACTGTCTACATCCCACAGTCGAACTGTCCCGTCACCCGAGCCAGAGACGATCCGCGAGCCGTCGGATGAGAATGCAACGGATTTGATCCCTTGTTCATGCCCTCTCAGCGGTCCTCCTAGTGGTTGACCAGTAGCGGCATCCCACAGTCTAATTGTTCTATCGTTCGAGCAAGAGATAACTCGTAAGCTATCTGGTGAGAATGCGACAGCCTTGACGCCACCCGTATGACCTCGTAACGGCTCTCCCAGAAGTTGACCGGTGTCTACATCCCAGACTCGAACCGTCTCGTCATCAGAGCCCGAGACAATTCGTGAGCCATCTGGGGAGAATTCGGCGGCCCAAACTGAATCATCGTGTCCTTGAAGGGGTTCCCCTAAAGGTTGACCACTGTGTGCATCCCACTGTCGAACTGTCCCGTCGTGCGACCCAGAGACGATGCGCGAGCCATCTGATGAAAATGCAACGCCTGTTATCCCTCTCTTGTGTCCTCGCAGCGGTTTTCCCAGTGGATGACCAGTGTCCGCGTCCCATAGCCGAATCGTGCGGTCGCTCGAAGCAGAAGCGATCTGTGAACCATCGGGCGAGATTGCGACCGCCCAAATTCCACCTTCATGGCCTCGAAGGCTATTGGGGAGCCCGGGGTACAAGTCTTCCAGCCCTCGAGTGACATTGAGCGTATTCCTGAACTTTTCTCGGCCCTCGACGTGCAGTGATGTCTTGATCGGGGTAAAAGGAAGCGCTGAAATGTAAATGTGAGGAGCACTGTCCTGGATCGGCACTGAGAATGCCATCATGAATCGTCGGGTCTCATTCATGCGGCTCGTGATCTCTCTTCCAAGCTGTTCTTGATTCAGAGGCTAAAACATATTGGGAACATACTACTCACACCGCTGTGATGTGTGATAGCTCGAAGACCGGCTATAGCTCGTGACAACCCCCTGGTCAAACTCAGGATCTCTAGCCAGTAGAAGACGTATGGAACTTGAATCGTGTGCCAAACGTCATTTTTGACTGTGGATTGACCGTTTTCGTCGGTTGCCGCCACATGGAACAACCAATGAGAGCTGGCATATCGAAGTCGTCGCGGGATGAACTTTGCTATTCTGGTGTCAAGGTCTGGAATCTGTCGATTTAGGTAGAATGATGACTCGATTTGACATATGTTGAACCTTAGGCCTTCTGTTGGCGACCTAAGGTATTTGAAACACCACGATGCGGCTTGGCCATGTGCATTGGCGATGTTGATATATATTTTATCGGAACCATCGACGGTGGGGGCGGTAGAGCGGCGTCGAAGATACTCGACAATGGTAGGATGTCGAAATTGGATCAGATTTGTAGTCTTATCTGACGTAAGTACGCTCCCTAGATTCTGCACCAATGCTTTGGCACTTCCCCGTACTCTGTTGTGCTTGAGGATATCGTCCAAATCGTCCAAAGTGAGTGGCTCAAAAGCAGCGAGCAGCAGCGCAAGCATTCCGCACATGACAGACCGGTGTTCAGGGCCTGTACGCTCCAACACCAGATCGTATACATCGTCGATGGCTCCACTTCGCTCCCTGGAGATCAGATGATCATATATTTCCTCGGTTGAACTGAAACTGGTTTTGCTGGTAAGCATCCGGCACGCAGTGCTCGCCCAGATGAAGAGCCCGTTGGCCTTTTGGACCAGTCTCTGCTTCTTGTCGTCTGACAGCACCTCACCCAACGATTGATGTACGTAGATAGCAATATCATCGATATTGTCACGATGGCTGGCGTCGTGCAGGCGGCCCTCCATCTTGGATTTGATGGCGAGCGGCCCTAGGACGTCTTCGATAATAGGGTCGGGTCGACTCGTCATGAGGATCCTCAGGTTCTTGCTGTTTGAAACAGCTGTAGACAGTGTTTCGACAAGTTCCCTCCGTTGCGGCCCAGACTTGCATTCGTCGAGGGCGTCAATGACAAGAATTACATGGCCTTGCCAATGATGAAGGGGTCAGTGACGAGTATCTGGAGCTGCTCGCCGAGAGAGCTTCGCATGAAGGAAGGGTTCTGCTTCACAGCTCCAGCGACATGTGGTATGAGTTCGGGGATGTACTGGACAAGGTCTCTTGCAATGGTGGAGCAGAATTTGTCGGTGGTTGATCCTTCACTGCTTGCCATGGAGAAGAAGAATCGACCTCCTAGCACTCCTTTCTTTCGCCATGATTCCACTGCGGACATGGCGACTGTAGATTTGCCAGAGCCGGCAATGTCACAAAGCCAAAATATGGGCTTGTCTGAAGCACTATCGTTTGCCCAGTTCCAAATCGTCTGAAGGACCGCTTCACGCGTTCCTTCCAGACAGAGTCTGTGGACTGAAGATGCGACGAATGCTACAGTTGGCAGCTGGAGTATGGCCACTTAGGATGGTCAGCAAAAGTATGGTATAAATTTCAATCTTACCGCTTCTTTCGATAGCCTGAACACGCGATGCGGTGAAAAGTCCCAATGCGCTCTGTCCTAATGAGCTTGTGAATGGGGACGAACGATGTTCGTACCATGAGCTGTCTGTGCCTGTCTTCGACATCTCGATTCAATTTACGAATCTCCTCTGAATCAACTTTGACTCTACTGAACCCTTTCAGCAGACTCAATTTACTGCGGCTGCGTTTCTCCCTCAGGTCGACGACGGTACTGTGTATATCCCTGAGGAGCCTGCATTGCTCAGACCATTGAAAACAAAGCAAGGTTGCTCACGTACTCGATGTAGTGATTGAGAGGTCGATTTAGCGCCTCGCCAATGACTCTCTCCGCTTGAGAATATGTTTCAAACGACGCGATTTGTTCCTCAAACGTCGACATGTATTCCTTCAGACGCCGCGTGAGGTCGATCCATTCCTCTTTATTGCTTTCTATCGCCTATCATATCCGTTAGAGAGAGCCATCACCGATAGATACGCTGATTTACCCGCATGACTTCAAGGATTGATTTAGTTGCTCGACAAACCGCCTTTAGAGGAGCGAGTATATCTGATCCCTCCGCTATATTTGCCGTTACGTCGAGAACAATGTTGGCCGTGTCGTATACTTGAGCTCTCTGACGTGTTTGGGCTTGTATGGAAGACGAAGATGCCGATGAATTCACATTTCTGTGCCGTTTCTTGGATTTGGATGACTTGTGGGTAGACATGGTGAAGGTGGATGGTTCCAAGATGTGGTAGATACCGGCCAGTCTCCGCGCCCATTCGAGGTATCGGCTTGATTTATGAATACGATCTTTGGGTCATTTATATATCCTCTATGATCAAGAAGAGCATCAGATTACGTGCAGGACCAAGATTGAAGGCCTTATGGGGTGGATGGGACATCAAGAACAGCGGCAGTTGTGATGTACTTATAATAGTCACAGAGCTGTCTATCTGAGCAATAAAGGCAAATCAGGAGCTTGTGTTGCTGAGCCAAAAGCTGACACTATCGTACACCTTTATACTCTTTGCAACAGATAAGAAACAGTTTCCATTGTCAAATTTACTAGGAATACGCACTGAAGGGAGTGGCATATTGTCCTCCGATGCAGTAATCGGATGGTCGAAAGAGAGGCTCTGTCTGGACTCAGCCCCGATATCCTGTCTTCGCCGCATGCACGACGTCCATCATCGGTACACTTATTGTTCTCCAAACTGTACAAATAGCAACTAGAAGTTGTTCAAATGGAATCTCGGCCACGTCCGACGCCTCCATCTCTGGTAATCAAGACGGTCAAGCAGAACAAGAAACAGGTTTCCCTTTTTCTTGTCACATTCGTACTCTTCTGCATCTTTGTTGGCATACCGGCGACATTGCAGCCACAGGCGCTCCATTTGGGGCCAGTAAAGAAATGGGTCCCCGACGCGGCGTACTTCCTCTCGTTACGCAAGCATCGGACAAATCTTATAGTGCATCCAATTCCAAAGCTCATGGCAGACGCTCAGGCGCGATATAAAAAGCTCCTCCGGCGTCAGAGTGTGACGTTGTTGCAAGCCGTCCGCGAGTACAAACGACGCTACGGGCGGGATCCACCAAGAGGATTTGACGAGTGGTACGCTTTTGCAAAGCAGATGAATGGTGTAAAGATGATTGATGAGTATGGTTCGTGCCCCTCGCCATGCATGTGACAGAGTTGACCATTTCGTAGACCAGCTGATGCGAGATCTTGAACCTTTTTGGAGTCTGAGGGGAGAGGAGATCCGGCGACGTGCGAATCAGATTGGCCAGATGCCTTCCATTGACCTCGTCCGTCTAAGGAATGGTAAAGCGGTGACGCTCAATATCGAAAAGGGCTTCGAAGACAGTGAAGTCAGTGCGCGTGCAAAGGGATTTCGAGTGATGATAGAAAAGTTTCAGACCAAGGCAAGCACTTCCTGTGTCGCTCCATTCCTTGGCTGAAACAGCGCAGCTCCCCGACATGGACTTTCCAATAAACGCAAAGGCCGAAGGACGTATTCTTGTTCCCTGGGAGCACGTTCAGTACCCAAATATGACCGCCGACCTGGATTCGTCCAAGGGTATCGAGCACATGCTCCGCCTCCAGCCTGGCGAGCGCTTTGTCGCCGACTGGCGTGGTGACTCTAATGTGTGGGAACATTTTCGACGTACCTGTCCTCCTTCCTCACAGGCTCGACGACTCTTCCATTCCATGCGTGCCGTGCTCAAAGAGGGGCAGCGACCGGTCGACTTTTTCGAAAAGGCAGGTCTAGTTTCCGGGCCTGACGAGGATTTTTTGTTTTCACCGGGTGTCGACGATACATTCGACTTTTGTCAGCATCCACATGCGCACATCAACCAAGGCCACTTCTTCTCGGATTGGCGCACCATCCCCGTATTGTATCCGGTATTTTCACCAGCCAAAGGAGAAGGGTTCGCCGACATCTTGATTCCTAGCCATTACTATTATTCGTCGACGAAGCGATACACATATGGATGGGACCCCATGGAGATGCGCGTAAAAGACGTGGATGATTTCGAGGTTCCGTGGTCAAAGAAGAGCAACAAGATTTTCTGGCGAGGTGCGACGACCGGTGGTGGAAGTAGTCCTCCAGGATTTGTCGCACACTATCAGCGACACCGGTACGAGGCCTAGTTGCAGAGTATCTATTGACCTTCTGACACTTACCAGCTTTCTTCGCATGTCCTCCGACCATAGTGAAGGAAACCGCACTGTCATTTTCGCCGATCCGTCTGGTACTGACAACTTTGTGTACGCCAAGTTACCCATAGCCAGACTCAACGACCACATTATGGATGCCGCGTTCACCAAGGCAGTTGGATGTATCCAGTATCCTAATGGTGGGTGCGATGCTCTCCGTAAAGTCCATCGATTTGCAGAGGCCGTGCCACTGGGAGAGCACTGGAGGCACAAGTACCTGATTGACATGGACGGAATGGGATATTCCGCTCGATTTTTTGCATTCTTGGCAAGTGACAGCGCGGTTATTAAGAACACTATCTACAAAGAGTACTACTCCGAGTGGATTCAGCCGTGGTTACACTTTATTCCTCTTTCTCAAGGCTATAACGAAATTTATAACCTTCATGCGTACTTCTCCGGGCCAGCTGCGTTTATGACTGAGGCGGTTGGCAATAGGACGGACCTCGAAGGCGTGCCAAGAAAAAAGAAGCCGAGAGTATTGGATGGCGACAAGCAGTTACATCGGATCGCTAGGGCAGGAAGGCAGTGGAAAGCGACGGTTGGTCGAAAGGTTGACATGGAAGGCAAGTGTGCCTGTCTCTCTTCTATTTCATTCATTGAACCTTTCGACTCTAGCGTACGTTTATCGACTCTGCCTCGAATGGGCCCGCCTGTGGTCAGACGATCGTGTAGCTATGTCATTCAACAGCTGATTTACCTATTTCTTGGTAATCTTGCTACCCTTACTCCCAAATTTATTGCTATTTGTTGACCTTTGCGGCTCGCGGGCGCCGTTGTGAAAAGCGGCCCTTAGCTAGGCAACGGCGCGCGAATGAGTTGTCCGACCACGCCGCGCGACGGTTGGAGTCGACCTCGTCCGCAAGAACAATGTGTCCACTTGTGAGGACGTCGCATTCGCCGAGCAAAAAGTGTTCTCTTCATACCGTCCTTGACCGTCTCGCATTTGACCCCACGGTTCAAGATCAAGTATGGCATAGGGCTCAACAGCTACATGGACACGAGAGATCAGGGCCGTATAGTACAACGATGTGCAAGTGCTGTCGGAAGACTGCCAAAGGTGCTCTGGAAGCGTTAGATGCACTGGGTGTTGGTGTAGACCCGCTCACCCAAACGCTACTTGTTGGTCAAGGTGTGTGGTTTAGTCTCTGCGTGAAGTCAATTCTGATGCTCTCATAGGCTACGAGGTTAGTTGGATAGGACCCTCTAGGATTTGGTCTGCTAACTCCTCGTCAGGGAACGCCTCCTCTGACCCACAAGAACCTGTTTGTGCCCGGATCCCACGAGAAGGTTGGCACCCTTGGGCCATGCTGCCCGTGGAGCCCGAGAGAGTGACTGACGTCCCCTCTGCAGCAGCCAATGTCCTGCTCTGCCTTTTTCGAGCTAAACCCGACAGCCAACCGGATACAACTGGTGAGAACCTTCTTTCCGCTACTCGGGTGTTGATGTCTGAGCCGGCGGTCTCGACTTACACTCCCTGCTTCCAGCTCGCCGAGCTCGCCGCGGGCGTTCAGTACCTCCACTCACAATCGCATGTCCACGGCAGCATTCGGCCCGTATGTATTTATCTCCGTTATCACCGTAGATCAGTTGCTCATCACTTGAACAGGCTGCGGTGTTCGTCGACGACGAGGGATCTGCTCTCCTCGCATGTGACAGTGGCAGCTCAAATGCCTCAGCGGAAAGCGCATATACGGCGCCAGAGCTAGAGAGTGACGATGCTGAACCAGGTACTGCGAGTGACGTTTACGCATTTGGTGGCTTGATACACTGGGTTTGTGCTCTATCACGATCCCTCTCAGTCAACTTATCTGGGTAGATGTGTACTGGAACGGACCCAGTCGACTTGGCCATGCAATCGCTCCCAACAGCTTTCAACTCGCTCTCCCTGACGCCTCCCTCTATCTTCAATGTGGCCGCTCTGCCAACTGGGCGTACACTCTTCAAGAATGCTCGACAAACCATCGCCGAGCAAACAGATCAGACACTGAAATCGCTCGTGGCCCAATGCCGGCGAGTAGATGCAAAGCAGCGACCCCCTATGATCATGGTAGGCCTTACGCTACGACAAGTCCTCGTGCGACACCAAACCATGGCGAGCCAACTAGCCATGGGATCGTCGCTGGAACGTGGGTTAGCCATTGGTGGAATCACCAGTCTAGCCTCATTTCTTCCAAAGAGAAAGCCTTCGACACGCAAGACAGAAAGCGCCCGCTCGACCCCAAATATGTCGAGCATGAGACTGTTTCCACCCCCGACGGCTCCACTGACCACAAGTGAACGCGAACGGACCTTGGCCGTGCCATCTCCAATACCACGCTCGGCATCCTACGACGATATCAGTCAGTTGCGAGACCGGAATTGGGAATATACACAACCCGTATCTCCAAGATTAGAAGTTGGGCCAAGCTCTCATCTCATGGGAGGCCCTGAACCGCACCAGACCCAAATATCCACAGATTATGTTGTCGACCAGCACCAATATCCAACCGATCCGTATGCCGAGGACATCGCTTTCCTTGAGCAGCAACGATCGTCGCGGCGGAATGACTTGCGAGTCTACACAGGCAGAAATGCACCACCGGAGATAGTTGTTTATCAGCCACTGGAGTCTCCCAAGACACCTGCACCGCCGTGGACGCCTTTTCCCATGTACTAGACCTTGCAGCTACTCAATCCCTATGCGAGGCTCTGAGTCTCCCCTCGGCTAACTACCCACTCGTTTTTATCAACTTCGTTTTCAGCACCGGATGCTCAACAATAGTCACCATGCTATCTTACATGCCCTTGGATAATATCGATTCATGCAGGCTCATCCAATTATCACTCACTGGCATCCAATCGTTGCACTGTAGCACTATCCATGTAGTTCATTCGAAAATGTACATTCTCGTAGTTTCATATCTATCGAATGCTTATTTGCTGGCAAGCACTGTGACGCCCTCGCCTCGCCCGTTCGGCTATTCTTGTCCCCTTCCTTGCTCGCCCATTTCTTGTCCTTTCTTCCAGAGCGCCGAGTGCGTTTTACATTTTACGTCCTTCACGACCAAAACCACGATATGCATTTCCTTACGACGCTTATTTTTGCGACGACGATTGGGCTCGGGGCCAGCGCCGTTCCTCTGAAGTTTACCCCAGACAATTTTACTCTTACAACGAGTTCAAGCGCCTCTCCTTCCAATGGAATACCTACAACGAGCCTTAGACCGACGAGCGTGTCCCAAACAGTCTCCAGCAGCGCTCGGGCGGTGGTATCCTCCGCGCCCAGCAGAGCGGTTAGCGAGTCAACAGGAATGACACCTAGCCAAGTCACGAAAGCACTCGCTTCATTCGGTGGTCCATGCGCGCCAAGTCCAAATAATACCTGCCGGACTGCAGACCAAATCGCCACCGCAGTCAATCAATCGTTCCGCCGCTTTGGACTCGATACTGTCGGTGAACAAGCAGCGGTATTTGCGCTCATGGCATTCGAGTCGGGCGGCTTTCAGTTTGATGTAAACGTGTTTCCTGGACGGCCTGGGCAAGGCAGTAAGGCCATCTTCTTTTAGTGGACCGAGTTGATACTGACGCGAGATGTTGCAGCGAGGAACATGATGATGTTCGACTTTGTGCTTCCTTACGCACTGGAGTTCAACCCCTCTGCCGTCCGCGCTATCCGGTCCGACTTGGTTTTAGGCCGCGCAACTGCGGCAGATGTACCGGATGATCAGCAAAGAAATCTCATCCGTGCTACTGTCCTGGGAGATGAGCTCTCCTTTGCCTCGGGAGCGTGGTTCCTGCGCGAAAAGTGCAAGCCGGACATTGCTCTCGGACTACAAAGTGCCACTGCAGATGCGTGGAATCGTTATATGGACCCGGAATGCGTGGGTGCTGGTCAGGATCCTGCGAGGCTCGCACTCTATCAAGCCGCGTTGGAGGCAATGGGCGCATAGGTCGTCTCTCATTTTCTTATCGCATGGACGATAAAGGAGCTTGGACTCTATTTTCCTTGGTATACAATTAATTGTCAAACTTTCCACAGCTGCGAACCACGTATTCGCGGACGCGTCTTTGCTCCTGTCCGCCAACACCTTCAATCTCTTCCGGTATCTGACCATCCGAGTTTTGCTTTCATGAGTTTCAGCCTTTTGGTCTACTTCATGAATGAAGTAAGGACCCACCCGACCTCGATCAGCACCCGCTTCAATCAGCATCACCGCCGCCTCGGCGTGTCCAGACTCCATTGCGAGATGTAAAGGTGTATTGCCTATCCGGTCACCCGTATTTAGCCGAGGCTTTGTGCTGCCTGCTGGCGGATTGAGGAGGATAGAAATGAACGCCGTTGAGCCCGTTGTCGCCGCTCGGTGTCTACGGGTCTTCATTGAGTGATGGTCACAATTAAGATGTACGCATGACGTACAAAGGAAGTTGGTTCGCTTTATCCCGTGCATTGACGTCCGCGCCGCGTTCGAGAAGTAGTCTGCCTATCTGGTTACTTCTAGTCAGCGATAGTATGGCATGAGAGATCACGACACGTGCTTCTGTCCTTGACCTTGAAGCAGCATAGTGTCTACGATAGTCAGTCTATATCATCGTAGTTGCAGACAACTCACAAGGCCGTCAGACCTTTATCATTCGTCCTCTTGACATCCGCACCCGCTCCCAATAGTTCTACGACGACCTCCTGATGACCGGCGCTGGCTTCACCGAGGGTGAGTGGCTACACTTACCTCAAAATAGGGGCAACGTACTGGCCATATGCAACGCAGTCCAGCCACTGAGATCCGGTTTGTCGACCTGCGCTTTCATTCCAAGAAGGAATTGTACAATCTCCTTTGCTCCGACGGATGCAGCCCAGTGCAGCGGCGTTCGTCCATCCTACAGCCTGTCGTCAGATCTTTACGTCGCGTGATAGTAGCAAAGCGGTGACTGACATCATCCAGACTGTCAAGTGCTTCCGGATTCGTCTCAAGGAGCGCACGTAAGAGTCCGAGTTTGTCTGTGCCTCGTAGTCAGGTAGATGGTTCAACTGTAACAGCAGAATACAAACTTTCTTGAGCTGCTTGTTGTACAGTGAGCATTTGGCGGGCGTTGGTAGAGGTCCGAAGGTGGAGAAGACGCGCAAGTTGTGGCGAAATGTTTATCGTAAGCCGTCCAACTTGAACTCTGCCTCATTCAACCGTTGTTGTGGTTCGGGCCGAAATGGCATGGAAATAATACTCGTAGAAATAAAAGCACGACTAATGATATTTTTGTAGGCTACCTTGCGGTTCTGTCAAGAGTGCAACAATCTCCTCTATCCAAAGGTGACCAACCGCCGTTGAGAGTATTGTCAACATTCTGACATAGTCCTTTATTTCACTTCATCCCTCAATGGCATCTTGCCCGACGTTTGCCTTTTGCCCGTGGTAATCTTTGGCGGCCAATGGATATATGAACTACCCAGACTCAGCCTGGAATTCCTCAACTCATCTTCGCGTGTCGAATGTGCAACTTTTCGGAACTCACCGAAGGCAGCGGGCTTGTCTATCGCAATGACTTGCTGACTGTAACGAGGGAACAGCCAGGCGTGACCACGGATCTGGCTCAGGATCTTACATTGGTATGTACCTGACCGCTTGAACTCGTGGAGGCTTGCCAGGAACTTCTTGCTGTGTCTGCGAATTGGGAAAATATCGTACTAACAATTCACCCAGATGCATTCAAATATGAAGTGTCCAAAGTGCGGAAATACAGAGTAAGTTGTCACATTCTTTGTCCATTTCTTGGATGGATCGCCTTTGGAACAAATGACTAACTGTATTTGGTTTTTTGTAGCTGTGTTACGTACCAGGATCAGTCAAAACGAAAAGAGACTCGGATGACCCTTTTCTACGTTTGCACTGCGCCTCACTGCGGCTACACATTCCAAGATCCTGCTCTCGTCAACTCTCAGAATCGAGACAGAATGGACGTCGGCATGTGAAGTTGAAGGATATTGGAAATGACTTCTTATTACTTATTGTACACTACTAGCCTTGCTTTAAATTCATATACTGTTGCTTCCCGAGTATCTAGTTGAATTCTTCGTACCCCTTGAAATTTCTCGACACTGCCTCGGCAAGTAGCCTCGACGACCGAACGGTCAGGCAGACGGCGTCTGTTGCAACTTGGTCACAACCACGACTTTCCTGGACAAACACTTCACGAAGAAGGACATGCAACCGCCTCGTCGTGTCACAAAAGCAGTCAACTATGCCGAACCCGAGGAAGACGAGCTGGATTTGGATCATTCCGACGCAGAGACGGTCGACGTCGTCCTGGAGGGCTCGCAAATGAATAGGTATCTAAAAACTGGAGAGGCATGCACCACGTCTCGTCCAGAGGAGAGTATGACTGAGTATTCCTTCAGGTTGCCTCGCAGTTTATGCGCGGAGACTTCGTATCCTTTGTCGACAGAGGTCCGTCGGAGGAGGAGCTTGCAGAAGCCAGGAGAGAGATCAAATCTGGCGAAACTAAGCTGGCAAAACTCGCGGCAAAACACGCAAAACTCTCCGCCCAGCTCAAAGAAATCGAAGAGGAGCAAGAGCAAGTAAAGGAGGAGATTGCGTATCACCAATCCATCGCAACAAAAATGCGTCGCTTCCCACACGAGGTCCTCTCGCTCATATTTGAGCAGTGCATCGAGGTGGACGAGAACTTTTCGCCCTGGACTCTGATGCAAGTATCGCGCGCTTGGAGATCCGTGGCGATGCATACGCGTCCTCTGTGGTCCAGAATTGTCGTTTTACTGGAGAACAGAGACGCAGTGCCTCGGAAGGGCAATCGTCGCGAAGACGGAGGGGAGATCTGCGACACCGTCGCGCGCCTTCAAAGGGCTCTCGCTCGCTCTGCAGGGGGCCCACTCAAGGTCGCCATCCGCGGTTACGGATATGCTCAGACGTTCTATGGGGACTCAAAGCAGACGGTTCTCGCCATGCTCAATGCCCTCAAAATGGTCCATGACCGCATCGAATCACTCGAGACGACGGGTGCAGTTGGTTCATGGATGGAAGAGCTACCATTCGATGACTGGACGTTCATGGGTCTTCGCACTGCAAAAGTCAATCTGTCGTTGAAAAAGCTCAACGAGCGTATTCAACAGACAGCACCGAACCTCCGATCACTCGAGCTTCCTAGCGGTGCTGAAGAGTCAAATTGGGATCTTTCGAGACACCGGGTCGAGGAGCTCAATATATCGTCTACTGGGACATACCCGTCCGACGCAGCGGAGCGAGGGAAGCGAATTCTAGATATTGTCAACAAAGCAAGCATTCACTTGACAAGTCTCGACTTACAAAACACGGTTATATCCTCTGCAAACAGGGAACCGGCTCTCATATTCCCCAACCTTCGATCGTTGGTCCTTCAGGGTGTACATTTTCACAGAAAATTGAGTGTTCCGCATCTCGAGACACTCAAAATGAGCGAATGGACCAAGTTGGAAGATGACGCAACACCACTGGACGTTCCGTCTCTCCGCTTGCTCTCGATTACTCGATGTATGAGGGGGTCTTGCGGGAAGATTATGGCTCCCAAGGTGCAAGAAGTCGAGCTAGCGTGTATCACAACCAATGGGAGGGCACGTCCAAAGGATTTTATACAAGAGTTTTTGGAGGAAGGGAATATGGCACCCACAGTCCTGACTCTCCGAGGGTGCGACACAACGGACATGGGCAAAGAATATGCCAAGGTGCTCGACACGATCACGACGCTCGAAGATCTGAGCTTCTCAGAGATGTCGCTGAGCAAGGAGTTCTTCGAGGGGCTGGCTGGAATTACTTTGGCGACAAAGGTCCCCGCAGCGCGTAAAAAGCCCATTTGTCCCCAATTGAGGAAGTTCCACATCAGTCTGGTTGGGGTTGGACACGTTGGAAGTGAGAGAGCGATGCAGAAATGGGCTTCCAAAGCGGTGAAGGCAAGGGCGAGACGAGGATACGCTTTAGAGGAGGCGTTGATTCAAGATCCAAAGGAGTCTACGTGGAGCAGCCTTCGTTGATCAAATGACCGTCTGAGATGGACTAATGACCAAATACCATCTTTTATGTACTGTTGGGTGTTGATGATCCAAGTAACCCTTCTGCACTTTGTTCTACAGTTTGAGTGTCTGAATATCCTGGCTTAGTCAATAGAGAACCCAAGACATGCGGACGGTGAAGCAGCGCCTTTTTTGACAGCTCGGCGAAGAAATCTTGACCCCGGCCACAACCTTCAAAATTTTTTCGATTGTTAAAGGAGAATATATGTCTAGACCCCGACGTTCTATATCCCGCAAAGACTATTCGGAGCTGGAAGAGTTGGATGGTGCCCGGGAATATGAACTATCGGTATGCAATAACTGTCCCAAAGATTCCCACCTGAACTAGTTGCAGGCAATAGGTCAAGAGCTTATATATCCACTCGAACCCTTTCCTTCGGATCAAGAAGTGGCCAAGGCACGAATTGCCACCCGGGATGGAGAAAGCAAGCTCATACGACTCAATACGAGGCGTGAAAGGATCCTCTCGCAGCTTGAAGATATCGAAAACGAGCGCATGATGGTGGAGAATGAGCTTGTGGTCCCGAGGTCAATCGTTACCCGCCTCCGAGACATCCCACAAGAGGTACTCTCGATGATTTTCGAGGCTTGCACAGAAGACCCAGATTTCTCTCCGTGGACTGTTATGCAAATCAATCGCAAATGGAGATCCGTGGCGTTGCATACTCGGAGCCTTTGGTCCAAGATATGCATCTTCAATGACAGAAGTCACCATTTTACGAGAAAATCACGTAGCGCTCGTCAGGACGCCGGATACGAGCTCTGCGATTCACTCTCGCGGCTGCAGCTTGCCGTCGCCCGGTCAGCCGGAGGGCCTTTGGATATCATTCTTGATGTCTTGGGGTACGACACGAGTATCCGCTGGTATAATCCTGATCAGAAGCGGCGAACCATTGAGCTCATCACCTGTTTAAAATCTGTCGAAGGGAGAATTCGAACGTTGGACCTTCGGGAGTCCAATTGTCGACTCGTCGACGATCTTCCTTTTGAAGATATCTCATTGCCATTCCTCGAATCGGCTATGGTACATGGCCGAATGAAAGAACTTCTCAAGAGGATTTGGACAACGGCGCCAAACCTTCGACGGCTCTCCTACAGCCTCGACCGCAATACCGAGCTGAATCTGAACCTACCCGCCGGTAATCGCATCACCGACCTTCGAATTCATGGTGGCAATCACACTCGCTCAGATAAGATGGAGGTTAGCGAGCATCTGGCTCAGGCTATTATCAGTGCCGAATGCCTGACGCATTTGACCCTCAACGGCCTCTTTATCTATGCACCTTCCCGTCAGACTACTTTATTCCATCCTGAACTGCGCCATCTCAAGTTGGTAAATGTTCAACTTTGGCGTATCCTCGAACTCCCGCTCCTCGAGTCATTAGATATGGGGTTTTGCACGACATTCGAAAGCGACGCAAGAACATTAATACTCCCATCTCTATTGTCATTGACGTTGGACCAAATCGTCAATTACCACAATGCGAAGATCAACGCGCCTATGTTGCAGGAGCTGACCATAAATGGTCGAAGCTCTTCTCCTCAATTGACCGTATTCCTCGATCTCGCAGAGATGTGTCTCAGAACAGGGCACGCCCTACTTCGCAAATTGGTCCTCCACGACTGCGATATGAAGACGTGGGTCAGACAGTGTATAGACACCTTGGATGGATTTCCACAGCTCGAAGAGCTGATTCTTAGCAAGACAATTCTGACCAAATCCTTCTTTGACGCCTTTGCCGGCGGCATTCTGGGGACCAAGTTTGAACCATATCGCAAGCCTCCGATATGTGTAGCATTGAAGACGTTTAGAGTCAGTCTCATAGACATCCCTCATCGTTCGACCGATAAGGCTATGCGAAAATGGATTCCTAAGGCTCTAAAGGCAAGAGCCAGGCGTGGATATCCCTTGGAGATGGCAAGCATGCGAGAGAATGACACCGAGGGATGGAAAAGTCTCATGTAGATACTTAATGTACGACCATTAGTTTGCCATATTTCAGTAAATAGCCCTAGTAATGAGGTCATTCGGGAAGATTGTGGTGGTTGTGGCTGAGCAAAACGTGGTTTCCGACTGCCACTTTGACTTAGCTTTAGTGTGCGTTTTTGGCACTGAACCATGTCTCAACATCATCTCACGACTCACAATGCACCGTGTACGGGGTCACTCGCATCAGACTCTGAAGCTCTTGAGATGAGACCGACTATATGGAATGATCCGACAACGGAACTACTTCGACCCGCAGAGGTAGCTCAATTATGCACGTCTATACTGTCTGGCGCTGACGAATCCTGATCAGGGCCCAGCTGGTTCTCCCGCGCTTGAGGTCTACCAAGCACCGACGGCCGAGCAAGTCAGTCAGACCCATAATCTCATCCAGATAGAAGAGACGGAACTCGAAGATCTCAACAAGAAACACGCAGATCTTCTTACACAACTCAAGGCAGTTGAACAAGAGCAGACTCGGGTTTCGGAGAGCATTGCACGGCGTCGTTCAAGTCTCAGCCGGTTTCACTCTTTACCCCACGACGTACTTGCTGTGATCTTCCAGTCATCAGAGGACGTCTCTCCTTGGGTATGGATGAGCCTTAACCGGATGAGCCGAGCCGTTGCGATGCAAACTCGATCGCTCTGGAGCAAATTGCTCGTAAGTAACGATGCGGATCCCTCTCGCTGGGCGCCACAGAAAACCCGCTGGGCTTCGGGGCGTGAGAGGTGCAACACTGTCCCAAGGCTTGAGCGTGCTCTGGCTCGTTCTGCGGGGGGAAAGATAGACGTCAAGCTGGACCTCCTCTCCTACAGAGATACTTGGATTACCCCCCGAAGGCAAACTCAGGCATCCGAGCTCATCACGACCCTACAAACAGCTCAATCCCGAATCCACTCACTGGATTTTAGCGGCAATTCTCCACCCACGATTGAAGCTCTCGATATGAGTAGTTGGAACCTGCCTAATTTGGAAACTGCCATTCTCACAACAAAGATGACCACTATCGCAAAGAGGATTCAAAATACCGCAACGAAGCTACAGTCTTTGGGACTCGATATTTACCCCGAAGAGAAGTTGGACTGGGAGCTACCCCCTAAAAGTCTGATTACGACCATGAAGCTGAGGGTAATGAGCGGGGGCAGAGCTCTGAGGGAGAATGTTGGACCAAATATCTCCAGTATTCTCTCTTCGACGAAACAACTCACTCACCTCACCCTCCATGATACGGAAATATTGGAAATGCTACCCAAAAGCACATTGGTGCTCCCGTCTTTGCAACATCTAGTACTACGCGACTGCACTTTCGGCATCAGGCTTAGTCTCCCCCGACTCGAGACATTCGACCTCGCTCGAACACGCTTCATGCTCGATGGGAAAAACCTTGCCCTACCTTCCCTGAAGTCGCTCAAGCTCTGGTATATGCCAAGCGACTTTTGTGAGGTTATAAACGCCTCGATGCTTGAATCGCTTGATATATGTGGGTATGCCAGCGTTTTTATCCAACTCGTCGAAAGCTCTATGAAGAAGGGATACATGATCCCACCCGTGTTGAAGCTGGAGGCACATAAGGTGCGGAGTAATGAAGATGACTTCTTGACTGCCCTTGATAGCATCGAGTCACTCCAGGACCTAACACTTCATGGAACGGGACTTGGAAAGAAGTTCTTCGACAGCTTTGCGGGTGCTAATGTAGCGTCCAAGACCCAAATAATCCGCCGAACTCCTATCTGCACTTCGCTCCGAAGGTTCAGTCTAAATCTCGAGGACGTTGGGAATGTCAGTACCGAAAAGGCGATGACGAAGTGGGTTTATCAGGCCGTCAAAGTGAGGCAACGGTCTGAATACCCACTTGACGAGATTCTCTTCAAAGGGGGTCGGAATGAAGAGTGGACGCCGCTTTCATAGGATTTAGATGTCCATATCTTTGACCGTATCCATGAAATTCTAGCATGATTCGTGTTCATAATGACTAAATCGTGTAGTGCCATGTCCTTGAGAGTTGAATCCGTCCTTCATAGATCCTTTTGATACCCAACTGAGTCGACTTGCACTTAGTATACACCCAGCGCTTTATTCGGTACGGTCTAAGGCAGCTTTGGCCAAACCTAGGAAGAAGTATTGCATTACTTGTCTGCCACCACGACCTCTCTTGGCTGTCGTTGTGGGCACGAGGGCCAGTCAATATGACTCGTGTAAAGCGAAAAGTCAAAGAAGTCAACTATGTGGAGAGTTCAGCCTCCGATGACGACCTTTCGAGCGATAACGAGCGGCCATCCCCGTTTCGTCCTCGCAAGCGACCCGCAGCTCTCTCTGAGCGCCCAATGAAAGAAATCAAGAAAACAAGTACCGATAGAGTTCTTTCTGACGCTGAAGCCTCGGAGGGAACCTCGACCACCGATGAACAGAGAAAGGAGTCCTTACAATTAGCAAAGGTAACTCACTCGAACGCATTTATAATGCCAAATATTGACGTATCCTGAGAATTCTTGCGATTCCTCTGCCGCGCTGGAGGTCTACAAGGCACCCACGGCTGAAGAACTCGTTCAAACGCGCAGTCTGATTCAGCAAGAGGAAGCACAGCTTGATAAACTCAAAATTAGGCACTCAGATCTTCTTGTACAGCTGCAGATCATCGAACAGCAGCAAACTCTGCTTTCAAAAAGTATCGAATGGCGTCGGTCAAGTATCAGCCCCTTCCACTCCTTACCTCACGACATACTTGCTATGATCTTCCAATCATCAGAGGACGTCTCTCCATGGGTATGGATGAGCATGAACCGGATGACCCGAGCAGTCGCAATGCAAACACGGTCACTATGGAGCAAAATTCTGATAACGACCGACCCAAGTCTCTCCTGGTCGTGGTCAAGGAATCGTTGGAGTTTTGGTCGTGAACGATGCAATACCGTTCTTCGCCTTCAGCGAGCGTTGGCCCGTTCTGCAGGCGGAAAAGTGGATATAAAACTCTTCATCCCATATAGGAATGGCACTTGGCTTAACACCAAGGACAAGGCTATAGTAAATGACCTCATCACAACCCTGGAGACGGCTCAATTCCGTATCTCATCTTTGGATCTGTACGACAACCAGTCCTCTATCATCGAAAGCCTCTCTCTCAGCAAATTCACCTTTTCGGCTCTGGAATACGTCAGTCTTACGACGAAGATGGTATCTGTATTTCAGCGCATCCAGGAGACGGCGACAGCGCTGCGATCTCTGCAGCTCGGTATCATCCCAGGAGAGAAGCTTGTCTGGAAGATGAGAACAGACAATATTATCACAATTATGAACCTCCGTACGAGTCCGGGTAATTGGGGAGAAACAATCGGGCCAGGAATTTACGAGGTCATCTCATTGGCTAAAAACCTCTCATATCTTATACTCCACGATACAATAATCCTTGAAACGGTATCAAAGAGCACCCTCGTTCTCCCATCCCTCGAGCATCTTGTAATCGATAACTGCACCTTGCGCATCGGACTCGAACTTCCTCGCCTCGAAATACTCGAGCTGTCTCGGTCACGCGTCGGAGTCAGTGGACAAGATCTAGTCATGCCCTGTCTGAAGGAGCTCAAGCTTCAACGGGCAAGCGAGATTGTAAAGGGTATAAAGGCCCCCAAACTCGAATCACTTGATATGCAGACAGATGTGAATTCCTTCATTCAGCTTGTCGAGTGCTCGATCAAGAAAGGATACATGGCCCCACGGGTGCTGACATTGTGTGTCGATAATTCGCGAGTTGATGAGGACGACTTCTTGACTGCGCTCGATAGCATCCAGTCCCTTCGGGATCTAGCGTTTCATGGAACCGGGCTGCGAAAGAAGTTCTTCGACTGGTTTGCAGGTGCTAGTCTAGCATCCAAATCCAAGTCACCACGAAGAACCCCAATTTGCACACAGCTTCAAAGATTTCGTCTAGATGGAACGTACGCCGGGAACAAAAACACTGGGAAAGCGATGTCAAAGTGGCTCCATCAAGCTGTCAAAGTGAGGCAGAACGCTCAATACCCGCTCGATGAAATTTTATTCAAGGAAAGTCTAGACCATGAATGGGAGAGGCTTTCGTAGGTCATCTTCCTGCTTCATACGAGGCGATAGCCAACTTTACTCATAGTTTTCTTGACTTGGTTCTCGTTGCGATAGATATGAAATGTTATTTACCGCACAGTGTTTTAAATACTCCTTTGAATATGATATTATTCCTATGTCTGGATCATCTATGATTTTGGGCGAAAGCTGGAGGCAGGCGGAACGAGATTGTGTTCGCCACCACCTTGTCTTGTGTGCGGACACGAGGCGCGTGAGAATGTCACGAGTCAAACGCAAAGTCAAAGAAATCAACTATGCAGAAAGCTCGTGCTCCGAACCCGACGTTTCAAGCAGCGACGAGCACCTAACGACGCCCTCGTCAATCACTCGCAAGCGGCCAGCCACTCGCTCTAAGCGTCGCAAGAAAGCAGTCACAGAATAAAATACCAATGAAATCACCGTGTCTCTTATACCCTTTCACATCCTGTCGAGCGCAGAGAGGCATGACGCGCAGGAGCAGGTTGCACAGGTCAAACAGAGGGAGAAGATGCTTGAGCGGAAGATTATCAGTATCAATGCATTCATCACCGATCTACAAGAAGAAATTGCAGAGCTTTGTTGCATCATCTCGGAGGGTGCCTTTTTGGAGCGAGAGATACTCGTCGGGATCTTCATGCATGCAATCTCCCAAGGCACGTCACATTGGGCCCTGTCTCATGTGAATCGCTGGTGGAGACATGTCACGTTTTCATCTGGGCCACTCTGGAGTAAAATCCGACTCTCTCGTTGGGCCAGCAATGCTTATCTCACAGGCTACGTAGTCTGTCATTCGATGGAGCAGTTTGAACAAGTGGTCAACCATTCCCAACACGAGAAGCTCGACCTTGACCTTTCCCTGTTCAAAAGTGACAAGTCGCAGTCCAAAAGGCATAGTGCAGACGCTGTAAGCGTCGAGTGGGTAACCCGAATCGTGACCTTTCTCAATGGGGCGCGAGTCTTTCGACGGGCGCGCTCTCTCTGCATTCGTCAATCGTGTGCAAAAGCTTTCAACAAGGCTTCCTTTGACGGCATTGATTTTCCTGAACTTGAGCGGTTGTCCATTTACGGATCGTGCCCCACTATGCAGAGCCGCATAGCGATCACGGCCGGCAAGCTCAAGATAATCAGCATTGACAGAAAATTGACCTCTTCTGACGCATCAAATGATGACGATGAAAATTATCAATCGCTCGAATGGGTTACTCCACTACTCACCACGCTCGCCACCTTTCGCTTTGCAAGCCTGAATGCAGGCTTTGATGACTATTTCGAGGGAAACTTTCATCTTTTCTCCCATCTTCGCATACTGGTCCTCACTGGAGTATATATCAAAAGCGAGGAGGCAACGACGATCGTAGACTTTGTCCACCTAAAGACTCTAACGATCAAGCAGACAACAATCGTGTGGTCGCTCCGACTGCCCAATCTAAACCACCTGACCTCCAAATCATCTATACTCGCCTTGGAAATGACCAACCGCTCTACCTCCCCAAGCTGAAAGAGTTTGTCTGGGAGGGAAATCGTATGCGGGATTCGTTCAACTGCCCAAAAATCCAGAATATCGAAGTAGTTTGGCATCATAGTCCATACAACGATCGCTCTCACATTACTACTCGCCTGAAACCTCTCAGTCGTGTTTGTAGACTCGAAGTCAGGAGTATTTACTGCGATGAACTGCTCAAACTTCTCGAGAAATGCACCAGTCTCTCACATCTGACAATCTCTCATGTGACGCTCGATGTCCACTTCTACGGGGCAGTTGCTGGATGCTCCTTGGAACACAAGAATGGTCGCCTACCCAAATCCGACCCAGACAAGATGCTCTGTCGATCTCTGGAGACAATGGTCCTTTGCGAAACCTTGGAGCTTGACAAAGGAAAATGGGAGCCCATTGCCCTTCGCCGTAGGCAAAAGTCGAGATTTGCGCTCAAGACCCTCAAGTCGAAGCCTCTAAACAACAAAACCTGGGTTACGTATTAGTCTGCCTGTAACACTCTTTTCTTGAAACACAACAATGTAACAATCAGAAAAATCCATTTGCATAAACAACGACTAGCAACACAGTTTGTCATCAGTGTCGTATGCCCAGAAGACGGAGCATACGCGAGATTTCCACACAAAGAGCCCCATCAAGAAAAAGGAAAACAGGTCGTCACAACTGCGAGAGATGATGCCAGGAGAGGAAGGAGGGGTGGTAGCAGCATATACATGGGATGAGCGACGAGACGTTGGCAATCGTACAGCAAAAGAGTAATGTGAATGAGTTCGTGAATGTTACTCCCCTTCATCTTGAACAAGTCGACGACCATGGACAAGACTTGTATCGCCACGGTGAGACCCCTTCAGAGGTAACAACGGCGTCGTCGACGTGGGAGAGCAAAAAACGCGGCTCAGAGATTGAACCATGATGCATGGAACACGCGATGGATGGGGAATGTTGTGTGGAAGGGGAATAAGATACCGGTTGAATTTGTCAAATACTACACGGTTGGGATGGATGCGATGGAGAGAGAGAAGGGCAAAGGGTATGGTCACAGTTTGGAGGATGATGATGATGATGTGAGAGAGAGGAGAGAGAAGTATAAACAACAATGCCATCGTCAAACCAAGGGGGATTGACGACCAAATCCTGCTCGCTTCCGCACATCTCTCAACTCTGTAGCGCAAACGCCATGGAGAGCCAACAAGACGGCGTTTGGCAAGCGGGGATCAAAATAACCAACGAGGACGGGAACTGGGAGACGAGTTGGGTATTGGCGCACTGCAGAGAGAGAGGCGGGTGCCCGCGTACAGATCGAGGTGTGATTTGTTGATACGATGCTCGGATACAGATTTGCTTTGGGGAAAAAAGATGAGCAAAGTAGACGAGGAGAGAGAGAGAGCGGGGTATGAGCGAGGATCCGCGTGGATCCCCCAGATGGTGGATTGGGTTTGGCGACCTTGAAACATAGAGAATAGGCATTTGATCACATAAGTTTTCGAAAACGGGAGATGGCCGAGATTGGGGCGGATCGACTCGGGGGGCGTAACGTATGGGATGGGCGAGGCAGTTTTCCAGTCGGGGAATAATACAGAATCGGAGTCGATCCGAGATTGCGATTTGATGTCGAGTTCTTTGCAATTAATGATGGGTGTGGAGAGGAGGGGGAAAAACGTATGGAACACACGAGGCGCATTGTTCAAGATAACGGAGAAGAGAGACGATTTGGTCGTGACGTCGTAAAAGAGGAGTTCCAATCGAGTCGAGGTTTCTGTGTTCGGTAGTCGTGACCAAAAAACGCCATTGATTCATTCGATGCGATCACTGCTCTAGGCAGCCTTGGGATTCGTTGGGTGCAGCGAGTGCGTTCGAGGCGGTCGAGACGAGCCGTCGTCGCACTGCGGTACCATTTGGGCCCCGTTGCCGGACTGGATGCGAGTTTACATCGTCTTGTCGCCATTGGCGGTCGAAGAGGCAAAGAGCTGCTTCTTGCCAGTACCACCACTGCCCGTAAACAAGCCGCCGAGCCGGTCAAACATGCTCCCGCCCGTGCTGCTGCTGCTGTCGAGTCGGGTATGTCGGAAGAGGGGAGACGAGATGGGAGACGGACCCTCTTCCGAAAGGAGTTCGTCTTCCTCGTCAGAGTCATCTGCCCGTCTCATGTGGCTGGGGACAGTCGATGAGCTCTTGACGGGGTCATGTGCGTACAGCTTGCCAGAGAGTGTCTGGCGCATGCTCGAGACCTTGTCGTAATAGTTCCAGCGCCATGAACTGTCTCTGGCCGGTTGAGGGCCCGTGATGATGGGCAGAGGTTCGATCGTAAACGTCTTTCCGCTGTCGGTCGGGAGGGTGATGGGCGTCCGGAAGGGCGAGAGCTGTGGCAAGGTCTTTGTGTGCGGGAGGGGGGAAAACGACGAGCCATGGACGCCGAGACCGAGGGTCGAAATCGGAGGGAGACCGCCAGACGGTATGCTTGTCGATGGCGCATGCATAACGCGTGGAGAAGGGAGTGAGGATGGCATATGGGAAGGAGTGCGGGGTGAATAGTCGCGCACGTCGTGCATCATTCGATAACCCAAGAGGTCGGATCGCGCTTCGTCCTCGTCGTCCAATTCATCCTCAGACGTATCCTCACTTGACGCCACTGACGGAGCTGGTACAGACTGGCGGGGGAAGCCTGGAATGATGGAGGACATAGTCAGTGACGATGCGTATGCAGACAGAGGCTGGTGAGGCAGACGCGAGGCGTACGTACCGGGTGAACCATAGGTCGATTCACTGTCCGAGAGCTGATTGCGGTGATGGGCCGGGCGATGAATGTCGATCGGCATCGAGGGACGGACCAAGGTGTCCAACGCATGCTGTTGGTGCTGGCGTTGCGGCGCAGGCCTCATGCTCGACGACGCAGCCGCCATCGTGGCCGCAGCGCCTCCGGGCCTTGCTGGGGAGAGCGGGTAAGGTGAGAAACGGGGGCTCTTTGTAAAGGATAGCCTAGGTGTCGTCGCGGTCACTGGAGACGCGCGCTGGTGATGGTGGTGAGTGTGCCTGTCGAACAGAGGCGGGAGCGGCGCCTGCTGCTGGTGCTGCTGGTGCTGCTGCTGGTGCTCGTCGTCTTCGTCCAATTCAGAGGGCCCATCAGACTGGAATCTACGGGTCGCTGTCGTGGCTGCTGTTGCAATGCGAGCTGAGCGAATAGGGCCCGAGACGGTCGACGAGGCGACGGCGGCGTTTCGCTCTGCGCGCTGTTGCTCTGCTCGTTGCCTGGTGAGCTTTGATCGTTCGTCTCTGAACCAGGTGGATACAATGCGGACATCACTGCAAAAGAGATTGTTACTATCAGCATTCGATTGTAGAGATGGATGGATAACAGATAGTAGGCCAGCCACCCAGCCTGGCTCAGCTGGGCAAAGGGAATTTCAAGACAGAGGATTATGTCACCCCCCTCCCGCTGGCCGAGCATGGCAGCCCAGAAAATATTCCCAGAAATATAAGAAATAATCTACTCACAGTCCAATCTCATCTGCAATCTGCTCGCGCTGTTCCTTTGTCGGCGTCGTCGTCTGCTGCCACAGCTCCTGGAGCCTGTTCACCTGCTGCGCCGTCTTGCGCACAGTCACACGGTGAGGAGCGCGTGTCGCGGCTGTTCTGGGCGTCATAGAGCTCGTGTGTGTACTGTCCAGGGGACCACTCGCGGGCGTTGGGCTAGAGGCGTCTGTTCTACGGGTCGTGCGCGTCGTCGGACGGGTCGTGTACATAAATTGTTCAAGTCTCAAGTTCGCCTCTGAATTATTCAGAATTTTCGCGGGCGCAGAGACGATCGTAGTCGGGGTCGAAGTGCTGTCGAAAGGCGAGACGCCGCACCGAGAACGGAAGCGGTTCCATTTAAGCTCTTGTCTGGCGCTGTGCTTGCTAACGCCCAGTTTTCGAGAAGAATCCCCAATCAATTAACAAGTCCTGATGGCTTACAAAGCATTCCGACTTTTGAACACGAGCAGCGTCCCCTCGTAGATTGTCCAGCTCAACACTGAACTCGCTATCTTGCGCGACATTCTCAGTGAACATCCGTCAAATAGACCCATTCCTCCACGCTCCTATAAGAAATTGACACGTCAGCTCTCGTGGCCAATCCCCTTTGCCAGTTCTGCGACGAGCCCCTCGCTCAAGGCCGTTCGACAAGGGCCCGCCCAGATCGCTGGTTCAGAATGAGTCAAACAACTCTATTCATTTTTCCAGAGTCGGCACGCCGCCACCTCCGCAGTTTTCCGGATTCAGCTCGGGACCGGCGCCTCGTTGACCCTGGGCCGACATCTCCTTTAGGCTTTCGCGTACCGCCGGTCGATCCCCCCCTCCCCAATGCTGCCTTTCGACAACTCCTTGAGAGTGTACGACGTTGTTGAGAGAGTATACGCCTCGCATTGTTCTTTTTTAAAACATGTCACCCACCTGGAGAATGGCTTTCACCGTGCGTCCAATCGTCCTATACTTGTCTTCTTGCCGAACTTGCATCTTTGTCTACATCTCCCGATCAGCACCCGTCTGACAGCGTATATTAAACCACGCAGTAGACCTCCGACCGCAGTTTTGCGATAAAAACGGTGGTTGGTCATCATTCACGGAAAAGCGTAGAACCTCCGTGAATGTGGTCCAACACATCGGTATTCCGAAAAAAAAAAGCAGATATTAGAAATACAGCTCACCTTGATTGCATCAAATGGATGCGTGACTAACGTCGCGATCCCTCCTCCAGCCGCACCTGCCACATGAATTCGTCAGTGAGATGTCATCGAACTTCATAGATCGGTCCATCATGGACAGCTCTTCAGATGTCACCAGAATGGGGTAGGAGGCCGCCAGATCCAGTGCGCTGGGTCAGATCCCGCCTCTTTTTCTATAATCCCAAGACTCTGGATCCCATACAATGAATTAGAGATTCCAACAGAATCTGTATGGGACATGGCATTGCCTTGCCTGGCCTGGCCAAGATGGAAGATCCGGCTCTCTCCAGCAGTTCGAAATCGACGGTGAGATCGCTCACCTGACAACGTATGGGTGATCGTCGGTCCCCAGACGCTTTCCGGCGCCAATACATTTCCTAGAAACACATGAGAGATCAACAAACACACCAAAAAAGTGATAGTGGGGTTGAGCAAATAACCCCTTGCTGCGCAACGAGCCGAGTCATTTCCGGTTGCAGTCGCACATTTAAGACATGTACAAACGCCAACTTGACTTGGCAACACGGCAGGGACCGTGGCCAATGGACGCGGGACGCGCGAAGAGGGTCTTTGCAGAGTCAAGGCCCCAGACACGTACCCAATTGCTGCTTGAATCCTTCGTATACCACGAGGAATATACCGGCATAAGGTGCATCCCGGAGCGCAGTCGCTGTAAAGCCCTGGAAGAGCATGCGTGGCCCCTCTCGTGACAGGGACATTACAGCTTGCGTGATGCTATTGTACGAGTAATAGTTACTCTATGAACAAAACAAGTACGCGTCAGCGATATCGTTGCTCCGAAAGACGAGGAAGAATGAAAGGCAATTGGGACACGCACCTCGAACCGCGCCTTGACAATCGTCAAGGGATTCAATACGAGTCCAATTGCTGTACGCGTCAGTGCTCCTGCGGCCATGTTCCCTCCATGGCTGAGCACTGGCAACGTCGACACTTTTCCATTCGCGGCCTGCGTCGTTTTCTGCGACGCAACAGCCCAAGGGAATACGGCTGCAAATGTGTATCGTACTTGTTGGAGAGACGTATAGTACAACGCGACGCCGGGAACATTCCTAACAAGACCAGAATCAATACCTTTCAATGGCAGCAAAAGACGAGTAAAAGAAAATAATGACAGTACCTTGCAAGAGTAGCTCCAGTGCCTCTCCACAATGCTAATTTGCCCTCGGTTGTCCAAATCTTTTGGAACACGCGAGGAATAGACAGTCCTTTCTCTCCCCTTAGAGCACCATCTTGTTGTATTCGTGTCTTTACAAGGTCAAAGGGTTGCAGAACGACTGCCGAGGCAAAACCGGAGACACCTCCTGTTTGTCATAGAGCGCAATCATCGAATCAAGTTCCGAGAGGACGTCATTCGGAGAATAGACGAGCATAGCAGGTCGTTAGTCATCATTTGGTGAATATGGCCAGTCGAGCAACATGTACGTCAAATTTGGACAGTAGACATTTGTCAAACAAACGCACCAGAAATGAGATGTTCCGTAGTCTTCATCAAAAAACAAAAGGTAGGTGCAAGTATTACAGAGCCAGCTTGATGACGGCGAAATTTGTGAAAAGAGCTCGGTGCACGTCGAATTTGAAAGCAATTCCCTCATCCAGCCGAACGCTTGCGACGACTTGGCCGTGTTCTTTGGTCGGTTTCTTTACAAGAGTCACATCAAAGTCGATGAGTAGAGCATGGCATATGAACGATTTGTTCGCGCTCCGAGCCGAGATGGAGTGGGCTATCCCGAACAGTTTTCTCTGAGACGTTTCGCTGCATCCTGTGAATACACGAATGCACACATCTGCCGTGAGCGTACGTACGACAAAGAATACGAGTGCAGAGAATGGTTCAAGTCAAGCCATGTTCGCCGTAGAAGGACCACCAGACTGTAAAGCATCCAAAGCATAGTAATGGAATTTCTATCGTATATTCTACTCTTCCCATCTTCCTTTCCAGTGCCTGGAACCATCACCTCTTGGTACTAATCGATCCCTCGAGCTTGTTTACGAGTGTGCAGGCAATCCATAGCGGGGAAATAGAGTGTTTTATGCATCGCTTTGCAGCCTGGGCAGATCTGGTGTTGTTCAAAGGATAGCGGCCGAGTTCAAGTAGGTCTAGTACGACAAAACAACCCCATAGAGACATCAAGAGTCCATTGAGAATATGTTCCATCTTCACAGCAACACGCTTTGTCCTTACCTTCCAGATATGGACGGCGCGGTGCGTAAGCCTGCCGAAGCCGGATTCACAAATTTCCCTCAACGGTCCTCACATGCAGCGGTCAAGGTACAGATTAGGCCCAAGATACAGTCAAAACTACACTCAATTCTATCGAACGATGTTAGCACACACGGCAAAGTGTGAAGGACGACTCACCTCGGGGATTCTGAAGACGGTAATCTCTTGCTGTTTGAAATATCGTCGGTTTTCCTCATCAATCAGGACCAGGTTGAGGTAGTACCGGACGCTAAACTTCTTGTTCACGTCTCGGAACGTTGGCGTAAGGTCAAAGCCACCAAGGAACAGTCGAATGGGAATGGTCTCGCCTGCATGCCTGGTTAGTCGCTGCCAATGCCAATCGAGTAGAGACATACCGCGAACAGGAGCTCCATCCATAATTTCAAACTTGGTAATCGTCTCCGACTCGTTGTACTGGTTCGGAACAGAGCCAGTCGTCTCACGCCGTATGATCGACAGCTCCATGTGTTTAATCTTTATCCGTACAAGCAAGAAGTAAATCTTGCCCACAATAACATCCTTGAGGTGATACCTGTACTCAACCATCAGAGCGTATTCAAAGACGGGCACAAACGCATACTTTGATTTGTTGTACTCAAACTCGATGTGCAAGCAATCCTCGATACCGACTTCCATCTTGATGGAGTTATTCGACTCTGGTGGCATTCGGTACGAATGTACCCAAATATCCTTCTCTTTGACGACATCCGCCAACCGCCGCGAGATAGTCAACTTGAGGAAGTATCTGGTTAAATTCGGCCGTGTCAGCGATTCTTGACCTTGCAATGGTCAACAAGGCCACGTACCGCAGCTTGACGTTGATGCCTTGATAGCTCTCAAACTGCTTCTCTACGTTCTTGAAATGAAAGTCAAATGTTTGGGCCTGTCGCATCTCTCCAGGAGCGGCAAGCTCTTGTGATAGCGAGAGAAATTCGTAGTGGCTTCCTCGGTCGTAGAACAGCTCTATTCGACAGATAGGGGCCCTCCGTCAGCACAGAAACAACTTCCAAGGCCGTGTGTTTGACATACCTATGCAACCAATGAACTCTATCTTGATCCCGTCATGCGCAAGCTTCTTGCCATCGCGTAATCGCACGGTTGCCTGGAAGAGCGCAAAACGATGTCATAAACATGATTCAAAGATGTCACTAAAGGCCATTTGAGTGATCTTACCTGTCCAACCACGCTCTCCCCGTCAAGATAGACGGCCAAAGACTCTCTTCGGTCCTTCTCCAGCTTGACTTCATACTGCCTTCGTGCCTCTTCAGCTTCTAGACGTATTTCTACGTCTACAGGAGTGCCCCAGATATATGCCGCCATCGTATCTTCAACTGGCGGATGGTCGTGGTCAAGTTCAAGATTGGAGCCCGCCTCGTCTACACTTCATGTTCTTGAGATTAACTTTGAAAACAGTTGTTATCATTCTTAGACTATTGATTCACAGTAGATTCGACACCCATTCAAGCAAATGCCCAGTTTCATTAGCAGCTAATCTTGTCTGATTCTCAAAGGTTGAGGAACTTTGGCTTGTCAAAGACACCATCAGGATCTGGCGAACTCAGATTAGCAGACCACTAACTCAGGAAAGCTCAACGCACCTTTGCCGTTTTCGTTAATATACTTCCAAAAGTCATCAACCTTCTTGTCAATCTCTTGAATAAGTTTGTCAGCTACAGCATCGACCTTTGGATTCGACTTTCGGCCGCGGCTTAGTGCAAACTTGGCGACATGATAGCGCGAGACCTTGTTCAGCACCAGCATCTAGATATACAAATCAGTCATTTGCGCAACTTAAGCGCGTATCTAACGACGTACCGCCAGCGGAGTCGTAGTCGTCCCCTCCTCTTGATATCCCTCGATATGCACGCGGTCCATATTGTGTCGATCAAAGAGAAGACCACGAAGCTCGAGTGCGTAACCGTGGTAATTGAAGAGCACTGGCTTATCCGCAGTAAACAACTCTTCAAACTTTTCGTCCTGCAGTGCATGTGGGTGGCTACCGTGTGCGCCCATGATCATCAAGTCGGTGACATTGCATACACGGATGCGAATGTCGGGACACATGTCATGCAGCATCGAAGTAGCGGCGAGGACTTCAAAAGTGAGCTCGGTTCCGATGCCGACGAGTACGACGTCGGGGTCGGCACCTCCGTTGGTGCACGCAAACTTCCAGATAGATGCCCCACGTTTGCAATGCTATTAGGGTGATCAGTTTCTATAACGATGACATAAATAGATTCAATACCTCGGCTGCTTCGTCTGGTGACAGCCAAACTGGCGTCTCATGCTTGGAGCTCACAATGAGATTGACATAGTTCTTCGAAGTGAGGCAATGGGCGACCGTGGATATCATGCAATTGGCGTCGGGAGGGAGGTACACTCGCGCAAACTTGGCTTTGAGGTTGAGGACGGCTCCAATGAAGGAAGGGTTTTGATGGGAGAACTGTACAGGAATTAGAACAAATGGTGATATAGTTCCTTCTTACCCCGTTGTGCTCCTGCCTAGTCCACGTACTGGTCTCGATGTAATTGAGGCTACCGATATCTTTGCGCCATGGTATCTCTTTGGCCTGTTTCTATGTCAGAAACAAGGATTAAGAATGAAGAAAAGCTTGCCATTTTACAGAATTTGGCATACTGGACCATCATTGTATGCACAATTCCCAAGAAACTCTCGTAGCTTGGGAAGAGTCCAGTCCTCCCAGTGAGAGTGTAGCCTTGTAGGTGTGCTTGACAAGTATGCTCGGATAGAATCTCGACGACACGCCCTCCATTTGCACGCGACTCTGGATCCCATTGGAAATCACGTCCTTGGAACTCCAAAACGGCGTCAAGCTTGTTGGAGGTCAGTTCGTCTGGGGACCAAAGTCTCGTCGTTTTGGGATTACTACAATTTGATGAGCCCCGTCATTACTTCGTAAAGAATACGTACTTTCTGAAAACATCTAAAAGGAACCGACCAGCAGTTTTGGTCTCGCTGGCCTGTTCTCCCTTCTGGCGCCCGTATTCCTTCCAGTCAGGCAAGTTGATCGGATAATAAGTATCATACGTCTCCTTTCTCTGTCCCATTCTCTTCGAGGGGTCTTGAGGAATCAGATGTTTGTCAATCGTTTTGAGCATAGCAGAGCCCTGGTCAAAGAACTCGGAGGGCTTATAGGATTCAAGCCAATTCTTGAGCAGGTCAAATTGTTCCTGGCTATGTTGAGGGTCGGCGAGTGGTACCTGGTGAGACTTGAAGGAACCCTCAATCGGCTGCCCATCGAGGGATTTTGGTCCCGTCATGCCCTATATGAGAATAAGCACGCTCTCCTCAATGCGAGAATGGATTGACCTTGGGCGTTCTCAAGACAATCATGGGCCAACGCGGTTTTACAATTGGCTTTCCGCTCCGAGCAGCATGCTGGATTCGACGAATTTCCGCGAGTGACCATTGCAATGCCGCAGCCAGTTGGTGGTCGAGATGGTCCAAGTCTTCGACAATGCAGCATTGATAGCCGTACCCACTGCGAGCATGGTAAGAGACCAAATCTAGATTACCCCCTTTGACCGCACCACAGGAGTGAGGTTCAGAATATTAACTCACCTGAATAGCGACACAATTTCACGGTTATCCATTGTCCCAAAGATGGTGCGCTCGCTGATCTTGAAACCATTGCAGTGAAGGATAGGAAGAACCGCACCAGACTCGGCGGGGTCGAGATACTTGTAGCCATGCCAGGCACTAGATTGTGGGAGTGATCAGGTATCATTACTTGAAGAGTGAATGATCTGACTCACGTCGCCGTTGGACCAGTTTCCGCCTCACCATCTCCGACAATACAGGTCACAATGAGATCCGGATTGTCCATAACCGCTCCAAATGCGACTCCTAGCGCGTATCTGGGTACAAATAAGTGGTGGTTCTGCCCAATCAATGCACAGACTCACCCAAGCTCTCCACCCTCATGTATAGAGCCCGGTACTCCAGCACTCACATGGCTTGGAAATCCGCCCGGTGTCGAGAATCCCGCCACCAGCTTACCCAAGCCCTCTTTGGTACGTGTCAAATCCTTGTAGAAAGGGGACAGAGAATCTTCAATCCAAAGACTTGAAAGGATAGCCGGGGCGCCGTGACCAGGACCTGTCACCAGAAACATATTCAAGTCATTCTTCCGAATCAAGAGATTCAAGTGCGAGTAGATGAGGACAAGGCCAGGGCCCGTTCCCCAATGGCCTAGGACGCAGTCAGGACTGTTATTTAGGTAGCTCAACGAGTAAGGAGAGTACCTAGTAGTCGGTACTTGATATCATCCCTGTTGAGTGGTTTCTCCAAAAGCGTATTCTTGCGCAAGTAGATCATGGCAGCAGACATATAATTTGCAATCCGTTGAAAGTCTTTGAGGGCACTGAATTCTTCCTCCGTAATGGCATTCTGAATGTTGCTCAGCTTGACCTGCAACTCGAGAACCGATGGCGGGAGCTGAGAATTGTCTGGTGGAGGATTTGGCTTCATTTTGGTTCAATAATGGTCTCAAAGTATTATGCAACTGTCTGGATAAGTCTGGAGGAGGAAAGAGTCCAAGTTGGTGCTCGTCGTTGTACGCCACTTATGACGGCGTGCCTCTGAGATCTGTATATTCTTATCTCTTCTTGCCTTACAAATCAATGAGATAATATTGATGTCATTTCCTTATTCTTTATTTTCCTAGCGGTCCCCTTTCTCATACAGGTCCCTATCCTGCATGCATTGGAACGCCATCTCGAACTGCTCGTCTGTTTCACACACAAGCACCCTCTTCTTGCGGTCTCCTTCGCCTCCCTGTCTCTCCATGTTACAGAGAGCCTTCACTGGTGCCTTGCCCTCGGGGCGTTGATTCCTATCCTTGTCGAATACAAACCCTAGGCACTGACACTGGTTCGATACAGCTTCTCGTAACTCAGCACTCTTTTCTCCAATCCCTCCCGCAAAGACGAGCGCATCGACTTGGCCTCCAAGCTTGAGATAATATGCACCAACAAAGTTGAGAATCCGGTCGACGAATAGATCAAACGCCAGCTTCGTCTCATCGTTGGAGCGCTTCGCAACATCTCCAAACGACGTTGTTCCCGTGAGTGCTTTCCAGCCAGATTGCTTGTTGAGTACCTCTTCTGCCGTATCGACAGATGCATGAGAAATCCGTATATAGTGTAGTATTGTTGTTGGGTCGATGTCTCCGGATCGTGTAGCGCCGGGAAGGCCAGCGAGGGGCGTCAAGCCCATGGAAGTGTCAAGTGACTTGCCGTTCTGCACGCAGCAGATAGATGCACCAGATCCAAGGTGCATTATGATCAAGTTCATATCAGACTCGGGCTAAAGATGTGGTCAGGAGGAGAGTATCTACGACGAGCTCGATGTACCTTTTGTAGAAACTCTGCGACATTGCGGAGGATAAACGAGTAACTTATGCCATGGAATCCATATTTGCGTAGACTGCACTGGTCCGCAAGCTTCCGGTCGAGTGGCAGAGTGTAAATGTGACGCGGGAGGGAACGGTGAAAAGTCGTGTCAAAGTATGCAATAGACGTTGCATTTGGGAGCTGTTTAAGCGTCGCTCTGATGAGTGCAGTAGACGACTTGTTATGCCTGAATTGAAGTAATGAGTCCCCGCTCGACTCTGTTGGCACCACTCACAGTGGTGCAAGTTCAATCAAAGACTCGAGGTGATGCAACGAGTCTTCATTAATGGGTTGTCGCTTCTGATAGTCTCCTCCGTGAACGACGCGATGGCAGACGTGCGTCAAATCCTCTGCGCTCGTCGTGGTGCGGAACAAGTGATTGAGGATGTATCGCAATGCCTCGTCATGGTCCTTGACCCTCCTTACGTTCTTCTCTTCGTCATTAATGTCCTTGACGGACGACGTAAATGACGGTTGGTCAGTGTTGATTGCGTCGACGGTGCACGTCGCGAGATGCTTGGGTCCCTCAAACGTAGGAGCAAACAGCGAGACTTTGAGCGAAGACGAGCCCGCATTAACGGAGAGAACAATTCCAGCCATGTCAAGTCAAGGTCAAGATGCAATCCTGGCGACGTCACCTGGGTGGCAATCCCTCTCGGCCCTGAACCCAGACTTGAAGAAATGTGAGAAACGTGTGCACTAGCTACAGGCATACTACCCAGTATGGCAAGAGTCCAACGGTACAACGGAGCTCAAGAAACGTCTGCTAATCGTCGTCAATGACAATCACCTCTTCCGCTCCAGAGGAAGATGATGTAGCAGGATTAGGCCTTCTTCTCGTAGACTCTCGAGGATCTGCAGATGTATCGACTTCTTCTTCCCTGCGGCGTTTAGTTCCTGCACGGGCCACAGGAGTGGGAGGTGGAGAATCATCAAGGTCAATGACCTCGACAGATGCATTATGCTGTACGCGTGAGTTGCGCATCGTTACAGGTACTGTAGCCCCAGATACCGTCGAAGTTGACGTCGCACCATAAGGTGTATTCGGAATGATCCTTGGTGCAGCTACAGGCGTCCCCACGGCTATTTCAGGCTGTCGAGGTGCACCAGACCCACGTAGTCCAGTCGCGAAATTCATCAGGCCAGCGAACAATCCAGACGAAGACGTTGTCGAGGGCGGTGGAGCTGGACGCGTTGCTCTACCAGAATTTGATGCAGCTACATATTTTGAGTCGGAAGACTTCTCGTTGCCCATTGCGTGCTTTGCGGTCAGTTCGCGAGCCCGCTTGTTAAAAACAGGTCGATTTTGGAGATATTGCTTGGCAATCTCTGGCACTATAATCATGTTAGATTTGATTTCTCTTTGATGGTATACATACCCAAAGGGTCCTCTACAAACACGGTAACATGTCAGCATTCCAGACCTCATACTGCGCTGGGAACATACTTGGATTTGGATCAGTCAACAAGCTCGAAAGGGACAGCACAACCTTGAACAGTGATAGAGCTGGCGACCAGGCCGCCTTCAGGATATCTATGCAGATATGGCCTTGAGAGGAGACGTTTGGATGATAAATTGGCGTTAGGAAGACGACTTTGGGCGCAGAGAAGGCTATTTGTGGGAATACAATCAGCGGAGACGTCAAACATGGGCTATGGACGTGCTAAACCGTCGACTCACGGTAATCGTTGGGAAGATGGATGGCCAGCCGAAACATTCCACCGGCATAGGGAGATCCAGTAGGTCCAGGAATCGTCGCTTGCCATTCGTAAATGGACTTTTCCGACGGCGTCAGCTGTATTTCGCCCATGTCTTCCTTTGACAGGTCGAGTATCTCCTTCTTTATCCGCTTCATAGACATTTGCTGATCAATAAACATCAGTTTATGGGTCATTTGAGCCTCCAACGCGTCGCTTACAGATCCAGCCATTGTGGCGAGGTTCAAGTCAGGATGGAATGCGACGACCAAATGTTCAGACTCGATGTAGGGAATAGATACCATTCGTAGAATACATATCGTAAACTAGAATCAAATAGTTTAATCGGACTTCACCTTTTCGTATCCTTGGTACGAGGACGCTCTCCATCCCCACCAGGACGTTCTCGGATTCGTCGCACGCGTCGGACTTTCATCACTTCCAGATCCCACGTCCTCTGGTGCAATCTTCTCGTACGGTCCAGCATCCTCTCCGTCGCTCCCACTGTCGACTCGCCGTTTCCTGCTCTCTCCAGCGTGTACGACGTATGAAGACGAGCTAGATGCGACAGACGTCGACGATTTTCCTGCCAATGTATCCCGTATGGTCGTAGATGGAGGTGAGCCAACCTGCGGGAGAGCCGCCAACTCTGCCTCGAGTGCTCTGCGCCGTGCAATTATTGACGCAGTATCTGGCGGTCCAGAAGCCTGGGGTGCCTTTGCTTTATTCTGTCGACGCTGCTGAACAGCTGCCTCGGCTGCTTGCTGCCGCGAAGCAATATAAGCGGCACCAGTAGCAACAATGGCCGGTGCATACGCGTTCCACCACCCAGAAACAAGCTGAGCAGCTCCAGACAGGGGGTCTGCCATCGATGGCGGGTTGGCTGCGGCCACGTTTGGAGTTGCTGGAAGAGGTCCGCTAGAGGCTGTCCCGGGTGTACCAGAAGAGGCGCCAATGACTTGATTCCAGATCCCTCGTAACTTTTCTTGAATGAATTCGTAGATGGATAGCTTCAGCTGTGTGAGGGCCGAGTCGATTTGGTCTTCATGACCTCGGAGTAACGGAGCTAAGTGCACCGAGTATATGAACGTGGATCCTTGCATCTGAGGGAGAGCAAGAAAGAGGAGAAAGGCCGTTTTGAAAAAGTAGTAGAGTGGAATCCTGGCGTCAGCGTCAGTTATACCGTCGTATAGACGCAAAAGATGATGTTTACCAGCTTATCAGCCACTCAGCGACATACTCTGTAATAATAAAACTCCTGTTAGCGTTCCAGAAACGCAGGTGCACAAGCTCGCTCGTACCAAAGGCGGAGATGAACCCAATTACACACCAATACATGAGCCAGCGCTCCAATTCGGCTTCTTCCACATTTCTCTTTGACAATGCTTTGTAGGACTTGTAGCCTGGGTAAAGAAATACGGCCGTGGAGCTAACGTGTACCCGGATCGCACGAGAATGTCAACTATTTCAAGCCTTGTCACTTGAATATAGTTATTCTTACCATATTATGCGCGATGCATGGTAAGCAATCATGTTCAGCAGTAGCCAGTCTGATCGTAGCGGAGTGGCTGAGGGCAAGGTGTATCATGGTCTGACAATCAACTCGCCAATCATATCTGTAGAGTCTGGCATACAACAGGTCAAATAAAACTCTTTAAAGTTTCCTTTGCAACTACACGTTCACCAATGCCGCCCGAGGCTTCAAGCTTCTCGAGATGTGTAGGAACGCCTCGGTCAATTGGTCCTGTTCGATCAGTTACAGTTACCAATGAGATTGAATTGTACTGACAGGGTCAAATGTTTCGTAGAATCGACACGGCTCCTTAAAAGGCGAGGGTTCTTGTCTCTGAGCACCATCGTAGACTTCCTGCGCGATTTCTACCATTCGACGAAGAGGCCCGGAGTAGTTTTTCATGCCAAATGAAACTGCATAGAACAGGCAAGGGTTCCTGAAAGATAAATAAGACATTATAGTTATTGGAGATACTTTTGGAGCTTACCCAAGCTCTTCTGCGCGACGGCACAACCTGTATACTACCTCCTCGGAAACTTCGTCCTCTCCGTCCGAAAGGAAAACAATTACAGGCGTTCTGAGTCCGTAATGAATAAGAGACTAAAGTAAAGATGCATAAGGCCCACCTTTCGTGATCCCAGTTTTTCTCCATTTCTTTCTGAATGTGTCTCAAGGCTGATGTGAAGTTTGTCCACCCTGTGGCGTCATGAGGAATAAGTGCAAGAAGCTGGTCTGGGTTCATAGTGTCGTTCTTGCTACAAATCGTCTGGAGACATGTGAATGTCGAGTTATTTCAGCAATGTAGACAAACCATGGGCAGATGATTGAAGGCGACCACCGTGGTGAAATCTTTGCGACGTCCAGCGCTTGTAATTCGACTAATTGCAGCCTCTCGAGAGAGCCAGAACGCGTATGTCGCAGAAAGTACAGCGCCGAACCGATTATTGGCTCGTTGCGTAAGAATCGCACTAACGGGCGTATTACGCGATGGAAGATGATCGGTTTCTTGCATAGAAGAGGACCTACGACAATTATTAGTTGGACAAATAGTGTGTTCAGCTGCTCGCCTGTCAAGTGCCAGAAATCTAGTGCGAGTTAGTTTTGAAAGCATTTGGTGGAAAGTAGCTCACATATGGAACCTCTGCAAGCTCCCGTGAGCTGGGCATGTATACACGTGCCCCTCAGATGATACGTGACCTTCAATGGGCGGAAGTGCAGGCGGATGGAAAAGCGGCAGGGTACAATGTGACTCCTTCGCACTAGGATCCACGCTGGAGTCATGCGATTCGTCTAAGAGGAACCATGTAAAACTTGAGATGTAACAAAGAAAAAATGTGATACCTGGGCAGGACCGGTCGCTGGTTCATCACGTCAGCTTTATGCCTTGAGATTATGAAGTCAGATCGTACCAGAGAGCAAACTTCTCCCTTAATTTCTGGGTGTAGGTTGGCGGTTCTTGTATCTGTTAGACGAGTTACCTTCTTTCGTTTTGGAGCAACGCACCCATGAAACCTGTACTCATCGTCAAATCTCAGGAAGGTGGAAATGACAACACGCACCACTGCGTTTCCAGAAAAGCCGATGAGAGATCCAGTCCATCGGTCGCGGTAGGTTATGTCCGTGAATATGCTCGAGCTCTGTGTCCTGACAGTCGTAGGGATCTTCCGCCCAGCAATCCGATACATGTACATGGCGTCCAAGAGCAAGGCAAAGCATTGAACAGAGCATTGGACCTCCGCTGTCTCCAGTAGCGTACTTTCGATCATCGATACCAATGAACGCATCTTCATCGCCATCTAGAAACCACTTTGCTCGTTCCATGGAGCCGTGTCCTGTCTCATGCTCCTCCTGATCGTGCCCTACATGGGTTTTGAATATGCTTAAAGTCACAAAACAATCGCACGTACCGTACTCGAGAGTACAGAAGTAATCACAGTAGTTGCATCTAGTTTCACAAAAATGGAATACGTCGGGCTTGACAGAATGGGTATGTCTTCCCTCGTGTCTCGTGAGGTGTCTGGGTATCTTCACTTCGCATCCGAGACGGCGGGGAACTTGCGTGTACTGTGTTTATTGAGTTTAACTGTGCAAGGAAAATGAAAAGACAAACCTTGGTATACTGGAACGACCCATATCGTCCCGAGAATACCGACTCGACCGACTTGGGGTCGGGTTCAATGAAGCATATTCCGGGAAGCTCGCACAGCTCCTTGCAGGAATGCTCTTGTCTGGTCCAATCAATAAAACTACATCTACAAATCCAAGAACTTACCCGCAAAGGTGGGTATTGCTTTCCAGAGCATGGAAGTGATCGCGTGTCGCGCAAGGACTTTGACAGAGTAAGCATGTCATTGGACATGTCAACGGCCGGTCACAGCAATGCCTATCGTGAGTTATACGACTGTATATCCATTAGTAACTATCGTTGAATGCTCGAATATTCGAACCTATCTGTTACACATCGGAGGTTGCATATCGGGGCCCCATCGGGACCCTTGAGGTCGCATGGTGCGGCACAAGTATGTAGCGGCGCCTCGCACATATGCTCTGCCTCTTCATGATTCGATTGCTATGTCCGTGAGATATATGAAAGTAACTACCACTGGTGACGTACCTTGGCACATTTTCGAAGGCAATTGCCCTTGTCACGCAGAAGGCAAGGCTCGCCGCAACGATGTCCCAAAGAGCATCTAGAGGATTGTAAGTAGAGTAGATATCTGGTTAGAGAAACTGACGTATGTTTGCCGGCATGTCCCGCACTATGAAATGTCAGAATTCATATCAAATAGGAGAGACTTCTTACGATATCTCGCATGGCGGAGGCACGTCCTCGTGATCCGCTTCAAACTCGCAATTAGTCGGGCATCGGTGATCTGTTTTGCAGCTGTGATGGTTGCGCGAGTCGTGGTTTATGTAGTCGAGGCACAATAGGAAGCAGTCACTGCACCGAGAGGCACACGGCTCGATGTTGGACAATATCTTCGACTTGAAATCGAATGAGCGGATGAAATCCTGTATCCTAGGGTCATTCAAGAATTTGCGTGTATTCTCCACCACCCAGGACTTTCCCAATATGATCCGTGAATCAATGACTAAACGTAGAAAGTGCCTGTACGACCCCATATACTCTGCCTCCGTCATTTGGAACCGATTAGACTCTTCTGGCCATTGACTCCGCAAGCGGTCGAGGAATGTGGAAATGTCAGATGAAGACCATGTACTAAGGTCTGAAGACGAGGTTGAGAAAAAGATCCCACTGTCGTCGTCAGTGGGAATATCCTTGTCATTATCGTAATTCTGAAAGAGTTAGGGTCGAGTGGAACACTTAGTATGGAGTACCTTCAACCGCTCGCCGGTGCCTGGGTCAGAGAGACCAAAGCAGAGAGCATTGTCTACGGAAGACTCTAGCAGCTCTGCCCTATGCAATGCGAGACTCTCTACTCAAAGGTTATATTTATGTGGCCATATCACTGGGACTCACGATCGACAGCGCTCCAGTCGGCAATCTTGATAAATCAATTAGCAGTACGGATGAATGGGAGAGTCAAACACACATAAATCTTAGCCATTAAGGTTTTGAGGAGTATGTAGAAAGCCCCCGCATGTTCGTGAGTGATTGGTTGATCCATAAAGTCATGGTAGATATCATTGAAGGCGTTGTAGAAATCTGGGCTTTCGATGACTGGCCAAGGAGAGATGGCAAAGTTCCCTCTATGGAGCTTGGTCAAGAAATTGCTCTTCATTTCTCTGCTGACAATAGCACTGAGCTTTGTGGCAAACCTATGGGATGTCAGTAAGTGGTTGACGAGGCCAGTTTTACGGACTCTGTGACCATCTCGTCCTCATCTGCCTTGGTCACATCCTAGAATCTGTCAAGATTCTTCTGAAGGAAGTTTCATATGCAAATACCTTGATGATGACCTGAAGTTGTGAGCGAAAGAGCGAGAGATTTGAATCAGGATTGAGAGAATTCGTGCACGATTGGAAACCCTGAATATTATGAAATCAGCAATTGATTTGCATCATTTTAGCTTGAAAAGAGTACTCTGAAGAGCCCTTGCAAGTCCCTTGACAACGCAAAGTTGTTGCGGAAAAGTACCTGTGAACAAGTAAGGAATAATCTAATGATATGATGTATAGCCCACCATGTTTGATATCGCAGTGTTCAACAGAATCAAGAGCATGTCTACCCATTAGCTGTCAGCCAGTACTTGGAGAAGGCAGATAAAGGTACCCTCTTGTGGTGTCCTTTCGATGGTCTGAAGACCTATATGCAAGTTTACCGACCATAAAAATCAAGAAAGGCTCTCTAACCCTCGAAATCCATAGCAACCACCAATATATCCCGGGTCCGCGTAACAGACAACCAAACCTCGTATTGAAAGTCAGAGCAGTATGGCGGATCCATAAGACATACCCCTTCTGTGCAACGCATTGCCGAGCCTCTAAGGGAAGGTGAGTTGCAGAATATGATGAGGATAAGTGCTTACGCAAAAGAAGTATCGACGAAGTGATTCAACGAATAACTCTTTCCAACAGATTGCTCTCCTACAGGATATCATAAATGCAAATCGCAAATGTGGAAAGGGCTAGTACCCATAGAGGTCACAACCTTCACAGGCTAATAGCACCGTTAGTCGATGATATCCAGACTCTGGATGACTGCATACCAAATCCGAGAGGTATGATGTGAAGATGGACTCGTACCATCCCAAAGATAACCTGTCAGCAAAGGCTCAGGTCATATCGTTTCAAGGCAATAAACACGTCACCTGTGAGTAATTTCAACTTGTGAACACCCCAAGAGCGTCCTCTCAAACTGTGCCGATGCAACGCCGTCCTTTACCGGTATAAATCTGCTTGCGTCTGTATAGGCAATGTGAATTGGTATGAGACAGAACAATGACACAAGCCAATCGCCAATTTGATAGCGAGATGTGTCTGTTTTGTCTTCAGCTGGCGCCCAATGCGAGACTACAAGCGGTTGGATGCGATCCAGGATATGTTTTGATGGTTTCTTTGTCGTCTCTTTGAATTTCCGCATCATCATAGCAAAGTATTGCTCAACCACTGAGCGTTCGCACCGACTCATAATCAAGATTGCCGGTAGATGTTCTATAGCCATGACAGAGCGCTGGTGCTTGATCGGCGGATCGAGAGCGTATCTTGTCCAAACTCCGACATGGCAATCCAGGAGGCAGTTGTTGGAAGTGGGTCTTCGAGTGTTCTCAATGTTACGGTGAGCCCCCAAGGACCTGAAGGAGAATATGCTCGCCCTTCCAACGATGTGGAGAGAATATGAGTTGCACACTTGCAAATCAGCGTCCATAAGGAGGAGTTGAACTCGATCTCTGGTGCCGATAAAGGTCACTCCAGCTGACACCAAGGAGGTTGACAAAAGTGGCAGCGGAATTTGTATGCAGCTTTTGTCATCGAAGGATTCGCGATGAAAACACCTGAGACGGTAATGGGCATCATAGGAATCCAAGACAATGACTGCGGCCCCATCCGGAGTTGGCAGAACGGCTTTTGGACTGTCGAGGTGTAGGGTCTTGGGACTTTTGGTGGTCAATTTGTGTAATATACTTGCATTGGTGGCTCACCTAAAGTTTGTTGAACTGATAGAGAAGACCCGGGCTTCACCTAACTCGTCAAGAAGAATTAATTCCTCTCGTCCAGGAATAAAATCGAAACTCTGAAACTGTGGCCGACGATTTGGATACCAAGCGGTGATATTGTATGGCTTTCTGGGTACGAGGTTTTTGTGCTTTTCGTCAAACTTGTATGTGTGAATTTGGATTTGGTCCTAATGGAAATCAGACAGAGATGCGTATGGTAAGACATCACTATACATCGGCTACGCCAAGTATGGCAAGTAAACCTGCCATTTCGTCTAATGCAAATAATGCATTGTCGCCTACACGCTCCAGGACCAGTTTCCGCTTCGGAGTTCCATGTTCAACTGTACCGCAGATAGAGACGCAATCGTCATAGAAGAGATGAAGCCCGCCGATTGCTGGTTTATGTATGATGGCAAGACAATCATCTTTCCCAATGAGGCGAATGTACCTGGATCAACTAAGCAGAAGTCCATGAGCAGGACGGCAGGTTTACCTGAGATATGCTCCAATTGGAAGCTTGAAAGTCTGAACGCCACGTTCAACAATTCGAGGTTGACAATTGTACGAAGGGTCCATAGCAGCGGCCTGCATGTCTTCTGCAGACACCTCGAATGGATACAGAGAGTGTTGAAACTGAGCTTCCGTCGGTTTCACCAATAATCCATGTAGACGATACTCTGAACAATGTTAAGTCTCGTGATTTTCCAAGAAGCAGCAGCCTACGCTTCTTCGAGCGGCCTTCTTCGACGACCTTGTTGATAACGAGATATGGTCTAGCAGATGTCAGAGCGTGTTTCCAGCAGTACTAATCTGACCGTTGTTTGTCAAACCCAGTCGCGTAGGTCTGCTGCAGTTGGCGATGCAAATTTTTCCAATGATTCATTTCTGTATGTTTCCAAAAATCTTCAAGGCGATTGAGCCCCTGTGCCCAAAATTGATCTAAATGGCGCTGGATTGGTGATGAGAGCAGCCGGCCTGAAGCTTGATAAAGATTTGTCAGGGACAGGAGGATCAGGCGACGAATCTCTCTCTCTTTGTTGAACATTGATTGATTTTGGGAGGATCCAGACTGAAGGTGTTCCCAGAATTGCCGAGTATCGAGGTTTTCGCGTGCGGGATGATCAAGTGAGCCAGAAATTTGAGAACCGCTGCCAAGAAGCCTCAACGGATTGATTATCGAAAGCGAAGATACAACGACTCCTGTCACTGAGCCGGAGACATCTGAAATTTTGTTTGAAAGCGTCCTCCGCCAACTTTTGGACGTCGACTTGACATCACCGTCGGAAGTACGTCTAGTTTTCATGTCGACTTGGGACTAGGTAAGCTCAAAGAGATGATGTCTAGAAAGACGGCAAACCTTGATATCCACTGGGATCGATGTATTGACTCGTGAAAACTACCTCAGTGCTTGCGGTGGTCATGGTGTCTACATCTTGGGACGCGCCAAGAGATGACTCAAACGAGTGATCAATCGCCATTTCGATGCATAAGCAGTCTTCTTTGAGAGCTTGGAATTCCGGGCCAGGGTCCAGATTATCGAGAGCTTGTTTCAAGTGGTGCGTTGCATTCTTGAAGGCATCACAGAGATCTTGTGAATTGTCGACTGCCGAAATTAACATATTTGACATGCAAAAGTCTACCCACAAATGAATACTCACGTTCACTATAGGCCTCCTTCTGCTTGCCATAGTCCCACGAGCCTATACGGTCCGTTGGCAAAATTTGGGACAATATCTCCTCCTTGGTCAGACCTCTGCGCATGTAAGTATGTATACTATGCATTTAAAGACGAATAACTTGAAATGGGCGGAGACATGATCAATGAACCAGAACGTCACCGCATGATTCAACGTTTCTTCCAATTGTTTGACACCCGCACGAGTAACGTCCGTCTCCTTCTCCAACCATTGCGTTTTATGGCTCTTTATGTGCGCTTTCCACTGGTCAAGAGTGCTAAAATATGTATCACGGCACAATCCGAGGGATAATAGGGTGCTAAGACTGTCCTTATCCAATTCATCGGATAGGCAAATCTGTCCATTGGCGTATGAACTGACATAATAAGCTATTTCATCATCAATAGCGGATACTCACTTAAAAAAGTGTTGCAGAGCAACTTTGGGCCTGCTTTCTTCCTCGAGTCGAATTTGCTCTGGTGCTCCCGGGTTGTATTCAACGCGAAGAATTCGTTGAGCGACACTGCTAGTGAGCAAAGTTGGTGAAGGGTAGAAGGGATTGGAGTGCTCGGGAGGAGGAAGACATTTTGGAGGACCAAAGCACGGATGATGAAGCTGGAGGTCACGAGTGAGCAAGGTGAAGGAAAATAACGAGAATCTCACCGTAAATCCAGCAGACATGAGGACATCTTCGTTTTGGTTCTGGGTCTCCTCTACCCTGAATTTGCGTGATCCACCGCGTTTCTCCTTTGTCACGGTCTCGGGTGTTTCCTCTTCCCATACAAACTTGTCGGCGTGTTCATCGGAAATCAAACACACTACTTGGTCACAGAGCTTGGTAAGATATCTGGTGGCCGTTAGTTTATATAGACTTCACATTCGAGTACTATACCGCATAAAGGTGACCCTGTTACGAGCAAGTGTTGAGGGTGCATTATCGTTCCATGTTTCTTTCTCAGGCCAGTAAACAATGTAGCGAAGCCCATCTTGAATTTCGGTTGCGTCAAGGAGATAAAGTCCAGTTTGAAGAGAGTCAGTGGAGCTTTCCGATTCATCGGATTGAACGAGCAGTTTATCCTTGCTTAACTCGAATTAGGAAATTGCGTTGGCTTACGATTCACCTACGTTTCTTGATCGATTCGGCCAAGGTCTTCAAGAAAGGAAACCAAGGAGGTCAGGCTGCCGTATACACCACGAGGTTTGATGGTATAGTTATCCAATGCGCGAAAGTTAACCTGGTTCATGTCGGTATGCGTGAAGTATTCTGATCTATGAAGCTTACCTTGGTGATCGAGATATAAGAGTTCTGTTCTACTTGGTTTGCAAAGCACTCGATGGACTTTGTGTCAATAACCACTTTGTTGACTGAGAGAAGCCGGTTCGATCAGTTATTCGGAAAGATACAGTGTACTTACTAGCGCCTCCAACCCCTTTATCGCTTGCAAGGTGCAAGAGGCGATACATTCCTTTGATGCGGTGCATAATGTCCTGAGGAGGGATCGACGTGACTAGAGGAGTCGAAAGAGGCGCTTCTGCACTCGAATCGATGATTTGCGCTAGGTTATCATCGTCATCTTTCTTGGCTTTGGTCTCGCGGACGAATGGCCCGTCGTGAGTGAAAGGCCCCATCGCGTCGGGTGGGTCAACTTGATCCGGGGAGTTTGGTCGAGTCGCTACTGGAGATGCCCTGGCCGTCTTGAACCCACCGATACTCCCCGCTTCAGACGAGTCTTCGTCATAGCTCGACGGGGGTGGGGTCGAGTATGCCGAAATCTTGCAGAGGAAAGGACGGTAAGCAGGAGCCCATCCGTTAGAATGACATACCCTCGGCACGAGACTGTTTTCTTGTTCGCGGTTATCCGTTCTGTTGGAGGTTTCGTCCATTGCGTTGCACAGAGTTGGCTCTGGAAGAGGACAAGATGCGTAGCCCAACTACTGGTGCGACTATGGAATTGTTGCCCCGTCAGGCTCCAACGTTGTCCAATCAGATTCGTGGCCCCAAAGCTCAATCGGAGGCGTACGCATGAATTGGCTGTGTGACCATCCAATTGGCTCAATCAGTGAATAGATTTGCTTCTGAGGCAGCCATTTTCTGACAAGAACGAGGTGGCGAATGCTCTTATTCATTGGGAACATCCGCCTCAAGGTCAACACGCCGTTTGCTGGGTACAAGAAGAGAGAACTTTATACTGATTGATGAAAAGCAAAGCTCGGATATATCTAAATGTAGTTCTGCGCCAGATAGACATTCAACGCGGCAAATATTGGCCAGTGAAAGTTGACGCTGGTTCCAGGACTCAAAAAGAGGACCCTTTACCGACCCGATATTGAATTTTGGCAATTATGCATCGAAAACTTCATCGGTCTGCATTACGTCGAGAGATGGCGTGGTGCAAGTTTGCACCAAACAAACTGTTCAATGAAAATAGAAAAATAGGAGATACAAATGAAATATTAATATTACAGCACTACGTGCTAAACCTCCTCAATCCACGAATGACCAACGCATCTGCAAATCTCTCCCGTCCAGGCGTCTGCGCAGTCGGCTCGGGTTTTTGAGGATACCAAATACCCTTTGTACGCGCCGGGATCGGTGGCGGGACAACCGTATCGCCACCAGTACTACTCGCCGCATCCCCCTCCGCGGCGTTCGCCTCGGTATCTACATTCTGCCTCGCATACGGTCCCTCGCCTAGAATCTCATCCAGACTAGGACGAGGTCGATACCACCCAGCAGGCAACTCTTTCTTCTTCCGTTCACCCTCTGCATCGGCGCCGGCACCAGAGGCTGCACTGGTGCTCGACGACTTGCGATGGTTCATCCCACGCGGTCGGATCCCATTGATCGTTCCACCTACACCGCCCACTGCTCCACCATTACCACCCGGTCCAAATCCATACACAACACCGCCGGGAGCCTGATTCGAATGGGACACGATGGTGCTCTCGCCGTCGTTGGCGTTAGAGTTGCTTTGGGGGATGATAAGCGTTGCAACGCATGGCTCTGCGATCCACGGCATGTCGCTGAACCGGCGCATCATTGAACGGAATCGATCCACGACGTCGACAAATTTGATACTTTCAATCTCCTCCTCTTCATCCGCCTCGGTTACACTCACTGCTCCTCCAGGAGTCCGAGGATGTGAGCTACCAGCTGCGACGGAGACTGGACGCACAGCGGTGTGTTTGGCGGTCCGTGAAGAGGATGGTGCGATCCAATCGTGTAGTCTCGCCTTCGACGACGCTCAAGGATCGTGAGCGGGTCGACGCGCATCATACCCTCGACGTCGCCTCTTCTTCGCCTCCTCCCAGTCTGTGTCGTCAAACTAGACGAGTTTGAGTTTGAATTCGAGTTCGAGTTGGATGATGTATCCCACGTGTTATGTGAATGAGAATTGCTCGTAGCTGTGACATAGGTCTCGTCTGACATGGCGGTTTCTTGGTGCTCGGCGCCAGGTCTGTTAGCAGAGCGTGCCGTATTTCGCGTACTCGTACTGGCGTGATGATAACGCATCTCTTCGATTTCATCACCCTCTTCTATCCTCTCATCGTCATCGTATTGGTGGTGGTGGACAGGATGTGGCTCGAAATGCGCCGACACGACAGATTGTCTTCTCGATCCACCACCATCATCAACATGACCCGATGCAACGCTGAGTCGCCTTGGATCACCAACGCCAGCCCCACGCACGTAAACGTTTGAGACAGGTCGACGGGAGATGCCCATTTGGCCACTTTCCCTATTCCTTCTTCTATCGGCCGTATCCCGTCCGACGACGTCTGGGTAAGGCAATCGTACGACTGCAGGCGGGGGTGTACCGTCGTGGAAAGTCTTGGAAAGCCGGTTCGCCATGTTCCGACCTGTACCCGTGAGACGCGCCACACGAGATGCTGGCGTTCGTAGAGATGAATCTTTATGTGCATTCTCGTTTTCCGGATTATCTGGTGTCGATGGAGTCGGGACGTCGTCTTGGGGGATATCGACCGGCCTCGAGAGCGCAGGCGGGGTTGGAGGTACGATTTCGATCCCGCCGAGCACTCCTACCCCAGCACCTCGTTCGTCTCCTTGACCTTCTGGCTGGCTATCAACTCCCTTCCTCTTCTACTTCGCACTGGCGGTCGGGGTGGTAGGGGTGGCGGGACAGCTGGTGAAGGACGAATGTCGGGTGAGTTGGCTGGACTAGCATGCAACGAACGATTCGGAAAGAAGCGTTTGGGAAACTGGATCGTTGAAGGGCGGAGAGCTGTACGGGGAGAAGAGGGTGTTCGTGGGCGAGAGAATGGAAGGGTTGAGTTTCCTACTGCAGGAGAGTCGACAGGAGTTCCAAATTCCTGAATCATTGGAGATCCAAATGCCTGAACTGGTTCGTCGTCTGGTGGTGGAGGAGGAATGGCTCTCCTCGGTGGTGGTGGAGAGGAAGGAGAAGGAGAATAGTCTTGAAAAGTCTCATTTGGCAGATGGGGAGTAGGCGGGATGGAGCGTGTCGGGGCTGGCGAATACATGGCCGCTGGGTACGATAACCGCGAGAAAGCGTCGTCGTCCATCATCTTTGTAGTCTCAGCGTAGTTGTACTGTAAACTTGGTGCTCGTCCTACGCGGTATAGATGAGCGTCGACGGCTCGGAAAGTGGAATATCGCTGGGTTAACAAAGTCCCAGCCTTTGTTTAGCAAACGTTGCCAACGTTGCTGGAATCAGCAGTAGCCAGCAAAACTGGCAGAGGCGGGAGGGTCCAAGTTTGTTTAGAGATTGTCGTCGAATTTATACAGTAAGCGCTGTGGAAGCGTGGATGTCTGCTGGGGACGATCCCGCGAATGCGCCTCGAGGACACCACTCGGCTTCCTCCATAAGCCCTATTCGGCCCATTCTCTTCTCATTCTTCCGTCCTACTTTCTGTACCTTTAAAACTCTAAATGTCTAGCTACTTTGTGTCTGATATTTCCAGTACCAGCCTTTCATTATCACCAGTCGGAGCGGCTCGTTTTGGCTTACTTCCATCCGTGGAGGTCCTTGGAACATAGCCACCTGCTCGGCATCAAGGGCCAGGAGCGCATGGCGAGCGGCGAGTGCGCAGCCACGCTATTTCTTACTCCTCTAGTACTGTGTAACAACTTGTTCAATTTATAGAAATACACCTTCATTTAAGAAGTCATCTCGGCCAGTGCACTCTCCTGAGCTATCATCAGTCACATCGATCAAAACCAAGAAGAGTGCAGATCACGGGGACGTACCAGAATGGCTGGTGATGGGAAAGCGACAGTGGCACGTGAGCGAGTGGCGGTCAATTGGAGATGGATCCATTCGACGGCTTGATTGTGACTATCATCCCATCAGTCACATACGATCCATGAGAGAGAGAGAGAGACAACGTACCCTTTACCTCACCCAGCGTCGACGCGCGACGGGGGCGACCTTGAATCTTCTCCTCGCCACCTTCTATGTTTCCACTCTCCTGCTCCTGTTCGAGCTCCTTTTGCTCCTCTTCGTATTCGCGTCGCTCGTCGTCGAGCGCCTCGTCTTCGAGAGTCGCTTCATCCTTGATGTTCCCCCATCCATGGGCACCACCACCGTTCTTCTTGATCGACTTGTCACGTCCGTTGCGTGGGACGGAGCGGTCCTTGAACAGGGCTTGCGGGGAAGAGGCACGTGCGGTACGGGTCATGATGTTTAGTTCTAGTAGGTCGCTTGTTGTACGAGTAGGCGGTCTAGAGATGAAGAGTACGAGTTGTTCGAGCTGTTGGCTGTCGATGATCGCGTGATATGATGTGGTCAGGCGCAAGAGTCGAGTTTGGGCGTAAACCACAAATACTCTGGGTTATATTCGACTTTGTGAGATTATTGCAATTCCTCGAGTCTCATCGACGGTTGCCAGTTTATATAATGTGTGTGGGGGTTGCGCCTAGACCCATTCGTCACCGTCGCGGCATTTATTCCGACATTCTGGGCCTCGAACATTCGACATCGTTCCTTCCTTATTCTTCTTCTGCGTTTCTCTTCCGACTCAATTTGAACAAACCACTCTGCATTCAGTCAAGACGGTACATGACAAGTGAGATCGGGATGAGCCTAGCTCTACATCAAACGGACAACACAGACCAAACAAGAAATCAAAACATAGATATAAATACCACGAGGTACGTTTACAACCGAATCGTCGACGGCGGCGATACGGTGGGCGTCAGCCCTTTGCGTTTAGGACGAGGTCGTGCGATGCGGAGCGATCCAGTGGGACTAGATGAAACCAACTATCAGTACCAATTCACTTTACGCGTCACCACTACGTACCTCTCCAACATGCCCTCGACGCTGTGCTTTGGTCGCAACATTTTGTCTTTGCTTGCATTCTCTTTACCAGTGCTATTGCTCTCAGGCTCTTTGCCCTCTTGAGCCTGTTCTTTCGCCTCTGCTTGGGCCTGCTCCTGCTCGAGTTGCTGCAACTTGAGCGCAACCTTTGCCAGCACTTTGGCTCGCGCGCGTCCAATCGTCGCAGTTCCGCCCATATCGGTGCCCAGGCTGTTACCAGTCTTGAGATTCGTTGTATTGATCGTCAACGACTTTGAATTCTTTGGCACACTGGGAGCTGCTCCCTCCTCGTTTGCATCCATAAACGGCACAAATCCACGTGCACGTCCAGACATTGACGATGGGTTTGAGGCATTCCCGCTCACGTTGGTACGCTTCTTCTTCTCAGAGACCTTTCGCACTCTTTCCTTGTCCTGTGTGGCCATGGTCGTCGACGTCTTCCTCGACCTACGTCCTTCTTCCGACACTTTGCGTGTCCGCTTCTCTGAAACTTTGCGCACTCGTCGGTGATCCCACATCGATAGGTCTTTGAAAACCGCGTCGACAGGGGAATTTGATCCAGACCCAGAACGGCTTTCCGGTTTGTCCTCCAAGTGTGCGTTGATCGCGGTGGGATATGGCGCTGTCATGGCTCGTCTCCGGGCACGTGCCTTCCATTCTACCGGCAGCTCAGAGTAGAATCGGCGACTTTCGTTCAAGAAATGTTCCACCGCGTCCACTTGTGTTGGTGGTTGGAAAGCTGTAATACATTGTTAGTACCTTGCGAACAGCAACGCGAGAAAATACATACTTGTCACTTCATCCATTGAAAAGGCCGTATCCTGCCACTCGCTATGCGATCGCTCGAGAGCTTCTTGCGCCTCGCGTTGGAACGTATAATATCGTCGCAGAACCATATTGTTCTCCACCTCGGGATCACCACCCGCAATCGCCACGATCCGCTCATCCTCCCAACTTGTCGACGCATGCCAACTTGCGCACGATACGTGCCTCGGAACCGACATCGGGCGCATTGGTGGCCGAGCTAACACACTGGTTGCGAAGGAGGCATTAGGAGTCGACGAGATATTGGTCGTGGCCAGTGTGTCATTTGACTCTTCTGTCGTATTGGACGATCCACGCGACCACGTCTGCGAGCCTGCATTGACAGCAGGCTCATACATTTCCATCTCCTGAATCGCCTCTGCAATCGTCATCTGCCTCACGTGCGAGAGTCCCAAGGTTGTCCTTCGCCGATGATGTCCACTACCAGCAGCAACGCCACGAGGACGCGGTCGCGGAATTGCCGCTTGAATCTCTTCGTCCAACGTCTTATCCGTCGCACTAGTATCAACTGGCTTGGCGGGGGACGACTCGGTTTTGGGCGGAGATTTGGGCTTGACGGGCGATCGCGATGGTACGGGTGTCTTGCTTCCCGTTCCTTCCACAAGCTCAAGTTGCTCACGCACACCATCTTCATCGGAAACGACGCCGACGTCGCTATAACTGCTGATAAGCGACATTGGTCTCTTGTCGCCGAACAAGTTGCCCGTTCCAGCCGCACCCTTTCGCTCGGTTTCGCTTTGCTCCATTCCAAATATGGCGAAGACTGAGCTCGTCGAAGACGATGACCGGTTATGTGATCTGTCGAAAAACGAATCGACAGAGGTCAGCCCGCCAGATGTGGACGAGTCGGCTGAATGGGATACCAGTTCCGGGAGATTGATTTCGTCGAGGTGAAGCGAGTTGTCAGCGTCTGTCTCGCTCGTGGGCGAGGCGAAGACATCCGCCAATGGGCGTCGAGCGGGCTGCTTGGTGGCGATAGGAGCAAAGGAAAAGCTGTCATCGCGTGAGCCGGTGGAAAGGTCGGTGGATGCGGGTGAGGTTGGGGTCGTAACAGAACGCGTGCGACGATGGTGGGGACGATTGACGCTGATGGGCTTGGGGGCGCCGTTGAAGGGATTTGGTTTTGATGTAAACGCAAACGTGTCGTTGATCGTCTGGTTCGGGCTATCGACCGACACTTCTGGCTTGTGGAGGACAAACGGTGCAGTTCGTTTACTAACCACGCAGTACGACGCGTCGCTTTCCGTCACGACGGCAGGCTCGGTCGACTTGGTCGGTGCAAAGACATCCTCTGGCTGTGGAGCCGGGGACGCCTCTGAAGCAGGAACGTCAGCCTTGTCAACGTTGTCGTAGGACGAGAATTCGTTGACGATATTGTAATCCTTGGTGGTAGACTGCGGCTCAGCATCGACACCCGTATAGACAAACTCTTGCACCGACTCGTCGGAACTTTCGGTTTTGGTCCGTGGTTCCTCTTCAACTTGTTGAGCTGGAGGAACAATGACTGGCTCGGCCTGCATGAGAATGGTTTGCAACTCTTCGGGAATGTCCGTGGTAATGTCGACACCACTAGATGCTTCCAACGGCGGGAAGCTACCCAGTCGAGCGCGCGACGACCGAGAGGCGTCGTCCTTTGACTGATTGCCCTTGCGAATTCTCAACCCAAACTCGCGCTCCGTCGACGCTTCCTTGGCCAGATCGCCATAAAACTTGGCTTTGCGCGCAACGTTCCCATTTTCGCTCCTCAGAGTACGCAACGTAAGTGACTCTTCTGGTCGCTCGTCTGCAAGAAGCGAAGTCTTGCGGTTGAATGCCGAAGGTGGGACAGAGGCGGTCGAGGACGAGGTACGCTTACGCTGACGAGGTGCTGGTAGTGGCAAGTCGTTGGGAAACGGTGAGGTCGGTGACTTTGAGGGGTGAACAGGAGGCCAAGCGGCGACTTGCTGTGAGACAACTCCCGAGCCTGATGTCCGTCTCACGAGTGGAGTGCGTTGTGTCTCCTCGAGGTCTTGGTGGTCCATAGGATGCGAAGCGCGCCGCGCGGACGTGATGGACTCGTTACGTGGCACCGGCGTAACGGATGGAAGGGATGGCGTTGTGTCAGGCGTAGAGGACAAGTCGGCACTTTTGAGTAGCTCTTGCAGGTCATTGTTCGCAGCATTGAGCATAAACATAGAGGCTGTTCCTTGTCAGCAAACTTCTTGACTAACCACTCGACGTACCATCACTTCCATCTCCTTCCACGGCCACAATACCAACAGGGCGCGGGCGATCCACCTTTTCCTTGAGCCTGAATCTCGGACGGGGAGTCTTTTCGGGACTCTGTTTCAAAGGCGAAGGGCGCATCGACTGGCGAAGTACGGCCTCTGTCGCAGCCATAATCGGGTCGACAGCCGTCTGACGAGGCGGCGTTTGCGGGGGTGTCGTTTGTTCTTCAACAGGATCCACCACGGATATATCCAAATCGTCAAAGACAGACGTAAGCGGCGTCCTACGTCGAGCTGCCAAGGTACGCTGCTTCTTTTCGCTACGTTCGGGAGGTGGAAGACCATTCTTGATCCTCTCGCGCTCTTCTTGCGCGCGCTGTCTCATTCGCTCCTCGCGCTCCTTGCGCATCTTCTTGGCCTGCCGCGACATGGCCTCTGGATCCCAGCGAATACTAGAGCCAGCAGAGGATCGTCGATCCATTTTCGTGTCCGAAGAGGACTGGCCGCCTTGCGAGTCTTCATTGGTGAGGATGGACACGACAGAGAGTCTGTTATCTGCATAGACGGCGCTGTTTGGACGACTGCGTAGAATGGGTCGGGCAAAGGACTCTGTAGGCGTGGCTTCAGAGGGTTGCTGTGCCTCTAGAGGTTCGGAATCCTCGACGGGTTGAGGCGCATGTCGCCCACCAACACGACGCCGATAGCTCGAAGGAGCGAGGCGGCTGACATCAACCTCGGGGGATGAAACTGCACCCATATCCTGCGCCAATGTGGAATCGGACGGACGGCGAAGTGCCAGAGTCATCTTTGGTGCCCTTCGAAGAGTCCTTTCAGGAGGTGATGGCTTTGCTGGAGGTTCTTGTGCGACGGTCTGGTCTTCAGCGGAGACTTGGTTGAAAGAGCGAACCGAGCGGATAGCACGGATCACTAGCGATCCCTTGCCATCATTTGCTTCGGATTTGGGCTTTTCCTGTGGGGTTAAATCTTCCAGTTTGGGTGTCGGTGAGAGCAGTGCGGAAAGACGGCGCTGAATCTTGGGACGAGCTGCACACTATGTTAAACCAGCTCAGCACGGATTGTCATCCTCACCTTCTTCCTTTGTACCTTCGTTCTTGCGCTTCCACCATCCACTTTTGGCTTTTCGCGCACCACCTTCGACGTCGCTTTCGATGCCATTGTCCCGTACGCGGGTGGTCTCTACAGTGATTTCATCGGGTTCTGCCCACTCAAGGTCGATGGGAGCTCGCGGCTTGGATCTCTTGACGACCATGACTTCTGCAATGTCTGGGTCCTGGCCGTCGAGTGCCGCTTGATATGGATGAGGTTCAGAGGGAGCAGCGTTGACAACATCGACAACCGTTTGATCTCCTGCGACCTCTGCAGTGTCCTCCACCCCAACATTGACGAATCGAGAGGTGTCGAATGACCCCTCAGATGACTGGCGAGCATTGGTCACGTCCTTGAGCAGTCCCTTGGACGCATGGCGGACGAGGGAACCCAGCCCACCGAGCTTTGACGCCGAACCGCCTAGACGGCTGCGCCTCTTTTCCTGCTTTTCGTCGACAAACGCCGACGGCGGAGCGCTCTTCTTTTCTGCGTGTGGGTTTTCTTTTGAGAGTTTTGAATGAGAGGGTTTTGCGGATAGCTTTGTTTGTGACGGCTTGGGCACGAGCAGACCGAGCGTGAGCTTGGATTTCTTGGGAGCGATACGAGCGGGGTGGACACTTGCGGGCGTTACAGACGCCCCGGTCGCTGCGTTGGCGAGGCCCGTTTGATTGGGCGCCACGCCGTTGTGGGAAGTCGAATTCATTGGCGTAATCGAGGGTCCGGAATGTTGAGCGAGTGTTGTAGAGCGTTGGATGAGCTGCGTGTTTCCAAAATGTGTATAGATTGTTTATTGGTGTCGCGGAGAATGTAATGCGCTGGGTTTCGCGGTCAAGAGGTGCTGGCGTCAAGGGGTCGTAACTCGTCTACGGGCTGCAGTCGTCGAAAGACGGAACTCGTCAGCATATTTGAGTTGGATATACGACAAGAAGCGAATAACTAAACAACGGGCGCGTTCTGCGATGGCCAACATGGATATTGGAGGAGCAACGAGGACGGGTGGTTGTCGCCTAGAGCGTCTATACATCTTGGACAGTATTCTTACCACTTCTTAGAGTCTTCAGGGTGCTTTAAACGCGTAGATCGTCGGTGTCGTTACTGCGATATTGCGAGTGGTCGGGTCGTCCAAGCTTATCTAGCGCGGAATATCCAACCTACTAGATAGAATGATCCTCTACAGGCCCGAATGAGTCCAAGGGGCACGCCGTGGTCGTCGCCAAAACGGGTCGACGGGCGTTGGTCGAAAGCAACAAGCAGCGGAGTTTAAAAGTGTCCGCCCACCTATGGGCAAAAGTTTATTCCAAAGTCCATTCGGAGATACAGTCTGGGTATATAATTATCCATTACTCCTCCAGGGAAATTGCCTATTGCTTCATGGCCAAGTCGTCATCACGCAGTCCAAATTCTCGTCGGTGATTACGCTTGACCCCTCCAAGAAGCCAGTACGAGTATATGGTCCACAATAGACCACACACTCCCAAGCAGATACCCTCTACGATGGCAGAGACGCGGGCGGTGATCGACCACTGCTTGTGCTGGGCCGTGTAGACGTTGATAATCGTCGAGAGCAATCCCGCAATGGCGTGAAGGGTACCGGGCTAGTGTATATTAGTGACTGGTCAAAACTAGCCGTCAATACTGACCAAGAAGATTCGGTTGCATAGCCAGACATAGTTTCTCCTCCATCGGATCCAAAAGGCCACCATCCCTCCAGCCCCAATCCCGCAGCATAGTCCAGCGACAACGAGGAGTGGCAGGTTCCTCACACGCTTGAGGACCCAGCGCTCAATGTCGCTTATACTTTCGTCGTCGGCGTCGATACTCTGGATAGAGGTAAATGTGCCAGGGAAAATGACAAAGCCTGCGAGGAGGAGCCATGCAGAAATTGCCACTAGCAAGTTGTGCCAGCCCGGTACACTGTCCAGATCCAGCAGCATCTGCATGTACCGGGTATTCATTGACGGCTGTCGTCGCATTCCAGTATGAGGCACTGGAGGAGCACCGTGTCGGGATCCAGTATACGAAGATGCTTCGTCGTGATGGGCGTGAAATGACATGGTGGAGTGGTCGTGATATCCGTGTCTCAAACTCGAAGGTGAATAAATAGTCGCTGCCGTGGATGATAGGTTCTCGTTTCCTTGTCAAAGACGGGTCTTATGCTGAGAAAAGAACGTTGTAGTAGGGGCAGAGTCCAAATCGTACGGTGCTCAGCGAGCTCCTATTTGATCAAGTGGCGTGTGGGGCTTGTCCGCCGACGACTCCAACGACCGCAATAAAGTCGCCCCGGTATAGAATAGACATATGAGATACGGATTATGTTCAATAGACGTACTAGATGCCCATAACGCAAACGCCGCAGCCAATACTAGAAAACCTCGACTTGGGTGCAAGGCCAAGGTTTCTTCGTCTCGAACCACTCCCACTGTTTTCGGACTTTATTCAATAAAAAATAAAAAGATTACACTTTCATCAAACTCGTCTCTTTCAACGTTCAGAACCACCTCGAAGCGTAATCTCCAGGGCGGAGCTTTGCACCCACAGTCTCGACACTCCCGACGGTGGTATGTGTTTCGAGAGGTTTGATACATAATAGAATTTAACATGCTTCTAAAGGACTCGCAAGAAGATATTGAAGCCGCCCTCGACATGGATCCTCGAATGCTGCTCCGAGGACCCGTTCCCGTCCCACGCTCCACCAAAACCAGCGATTCTATCAAGGACTTCTTCAAAGCTCGTTACTACCCTTGGGTCATATCCAAGCTTCCGTTGTAAGCTATCTCATCGCGGCATCGCGTCAGCCCCTCCTGAAACTACAACTTCGAGGTCGGCAAGAATGGCAATACTAGCTAATACACCTTAAGAAGGGGCATGACAAAGAGGAAGCTGGGGACCTACGGACTCAGTCGATTCAATGAGTGTCTTCCTTGCCCGTCGTGGGTATGGCCTTTGCAGCGACAGGTATGTTCATGTCTTAATAAATGATCTGAAGGACCTATAAAGAGCCATATGAGGCCATATCACTCGCCGCATCTGCCGGTCGTACTACTAGCGCTCTTGATCACCACTAGCACGCGGCAAGGGCCATCGGAGCCGCCATCTTCTGACTCCCTTATTTCACCATCATTGTGACTTTCAATACCAACCTACACTCGCCCTACCCGGTTGGCACGCTGGAGAGCTGCAGCCCACCTCGAACCATTGACTATCGATTTCGAGCAGTCATATGCGGTCATAAAGTCGCAACGATATTGTATTGGAGAATTGGTACGAAGCTAGTTCTTTCCACAGGTCGCGGCGGTTTGCCTGCCTAGTCCTGCACATTTGGCGAGTCACGCGCAAGCTGCTCCTCCAAAGCGGTGATTCTGTTCGTCACCCTTTCGAGAGTGCTCCCAATCCTATCGACTGTGTCTTCTACGGCACGAATGCGCCTTTCTTCCTCGTCAATGCCTGATGCGTCGTCTAACGATACATGATGAGCCATTGCGACATCACGAAAAGGACCAACGTACCCGAAGGGGTTGAAGGGATCAGACTCAAAATAGGCGTCAAAGGGGAAATGATATCTGGAGCGACTTCGTCCCCGTTGATACCACGACCACCAATTTGAGGTGGCAATGAAACCTCGCCTTCAATGACCATCGAGTTGCTATTGTCTTCCAGGTCAGTGACAATTGACATTGCATCGACGTCCATGTCGACGTCCATGTCGAGAGAGGTAGGGCCAGGAAAAGGAACGTTGTATGATATATCCATTGCATTCTCAACGTCGTTACTATTATTGGAACACAATGACATGCTGTCGTCCTCGCTTCGTGTGCTTGCGTCGACATGTCCAGAGGATGGGGCTAGGATAGTTGGCCCAACTGGTCTCTCCTCGACTGTATCGCGAATGTATTCGCCGATTGTGGACATGATCCTGATAATTGAGGCTGTTTACTGAGAAAAATAACCGCGCGCGTCGCCATCCGCGTAGGCTTACTCGTGCGCGTTTGAGAGGACACAGCCACAGCGCGTGCTCTTTGATTGATCAACCCAGCATGCGGGGGCCCATGGGCTCACTTGAGAGGCAATAATTTGGCGTTAATCGCTTTCATTCGACTAGGTTATGCCCAACCCTGGAGGGTGCTCTAAATTGTCCGTCAGCCCCTTGCTGCTTGAATTCCAGCACCCAACTCCGAGCTTACTCTGTCAGTAAAGCCCTCTAGCTCTTGCATATCTCGGCTTACAGAAGATTTTTCTGGTTCCCTTCAGTGACCGACTGAGAGTGGGGTCCGTACAACGAGTGAACTGTCCTCAACTTTAGAGGATGGGTTGAACTATAAAAATTCAAGTGTGGAGACAACGGTGGGGATTGATATCCGACCAACAGGACCCGTCGGACGAAGGTCAAAGGTTGTCGCATCTTTGGTTTCCGACCGCTCCACCCACTCTCAGGCTATATTCAACAAAAAATAATGAAAAGATTATTTTACATCAGATTTACTTTTTTCTCTCATGTCTCTATGTTGCGACGTAGCATTCAGACTCAACCGTGTTAGATCAAGCCGACCCAAGGCAGCGTTCCTGAGCCTGAGACATTTGGGTCCCCTGTCAGGCTCATGTTGGTCCCATATTTGCGGCGGCGGGGGAGCCTGACGAGCCTTTGCTGCTTGGACTCCCTCGCAATCTCCCAATAGCTTTCAGCTTATTCTGCGCATTTGAAACCGCGATGAAAGGTCAGAAATGCTCCCCTAACTTCTCCGAATCTAGCTAATAGCGTTTCTCTCTAGTTCCCGTTAGTGTCTGACCGCGGTGGTCGGGTAGTCGCTCACGACGATTCGCAGGACATGGACATAGACGAGGGGTACCTTTCCTCGGATCCATCAGATGTCGAAATGTACATCACTCCTACTCCTTCGGCCCCAGCGTCCCACCTGAACGATAGCAAGCCTGACCTCCAAGCGGACGACGCCGTCAGCACGAAGGCGAGCTCAGATATCGACGAAGTCGAACACCCCGAGGAAGGCGTCTCCGACCCTCAAGAATCCATGGACCTTCTTGGGCGCGTTCGAGGCATGCACAGGCTCCTCGACCTCATCTACGAAACAGGCTCTGGAGGAATCGGTTCGTCACCCTTTGGAGCCACTGTGCTTACCTAAACATGAAACCAGTGGACAAGGTGATCATAGCTCAAGATTCGATCCGCCGTCTTGCAAATAACCTTCAGCCTGGCTCATACCGCTCCCTTACTCAGGCATGCCCTTTGTCTCCTGCCTACATGTGGGCTCAATTCTTTCTAGGTTGACTTTCGTGCACTCGACAATCACGTTATCAAGCCTGTCGGCGTATACGGTAGCATTTCTCGGCTCGTCGAGTTTCTTCACGAGCTTGGTCGTGTAGAAGATGAAACGTAAGGCCAGCTCCTTCTCGAAGAGGGATCTCATTTCCGTTCAGTGCTGCTCTGCTACTCGCCGAAAGGGACGAACGCTCGGGACATTCCCGCCCCGTGCTGAGACCCGGTCTTTACCTTCTTGATGCTCGCGAGGTCCAGCAAGATCTCATGTACATCGTCTTCTGGCCCGAAGACGAAACATGGCTCGATGGCTCGACCTCCTCTGTCGCTCGCAATCGGGTGACCTTTATGAGGTTTGCAATTACCTTCACGCCGACTCATTGACCACTCACGCGCATGTCAGATATCTCACCAAATTGTGTGACCAACTTGTATGCCTCATCTCCGACGAACATTCTGCCAATCTGGTGTGGAAGGAAGAAGGTCCAGCCAAGACCGACGGGGACGAGGAAGAAGATACAGAAGTGGATGAATCCATGGACGACTACGATCGTGTCTATACCTTTGCCGTCGAACAAACAAACGAGGAAGAGGAAGGTGTCGAGGCTAAACCAGGGTTCAAGGTGGAGCAATTTTTAGGTGTTACGGATAGTACTCATATTTTATCAAGTTTCACCATTCTTCTATTCATCAAACAACGAATTCACCTCTCAACCTTCCCGACGCTTTGAGTCTCGACCTCTTTCGGTCGCAAATCGTCGTTGGAGACACATCTCAAGCGCTTCTAAAATGCGAATATATTGCAGAGGAGCTGAAGACTTTGGATCTGGATGAGGTTCTTGCTCCGCTCGCGCTCAAAGACCGGATCAGGTAGGATGACCGTTGTAGCTCCATTCTACCGAGCCCTGATAATGCACAGTCCTGAAAAATCTTCTACTATTATTCTGGGAGACAAGATTTCCCACGAGGGTCTCCGGCTTCTCCTGGAACATGGCCTTTGGGATCGGCTCGGCAAGCTCAAGGACGATTGGAACGATCACAGTCGTGTATTTCGTGACACTCTCGAATCCGAAAGGAAGGCACAGAGATCCCAAGGGCTTGAGCGCATCAATGGTGCGCGTCAGTTACTGAAACGGTCGATGCCGCTATACATGATATATCAAGCCGTTAAATACTACCCGTGTGTACCCCCCTCATCTGTCATATCTTGTTAACTTCTGTTAGTTTGCTCAAGCAAGACGTTCCAATCCTCTTCAGGGAGGTGACTGTTCACGAACCTGGCGAGAAACTCGCTGAAGAATTGAACGTCGGGTTTGCCGAGAGTATGTACTATTATAAGTTTACAGCCAAGCGCTAATTTATCTGATAGTCGAATCATTCTTTCAGGCAAACCAAAGTGACAAACAGCAAGAGATTGACCTAAAGTTGAAGACACTTGAAACACATCGCAATGCTCTCTATGATACACTCAAACGACGAATTCGACGAGTAGACGAAGCTATAAATACGCGGGATTGGCTCTCCGAAGAAGACATACAGAAGCTGGTCGATCTTATCCCCACGAAGGGCAACTGGAACAAGGAATTCCGTAGCATTACTCGAAGGGGAGACGAAAAGGCGTGGCATCAAAAGCTTACCGATGGTGTCACTACGGCAATGGCCAGCGCAGTGACAACAGTCGTGAACGCAATTCCCGGTGCTCCTCATCTTACCGCCGATCGGGTCGCAAGACTTCCAGATCTCCCTCACCAAAACGATATCGAATTTGTTCACTGGGCTTCACAGTTGGAGGCGGATAGACCTGTCTTTCTTGATGCTATTCAGGAGCTACGCCGAAGAATCCGAGAAATTATCGTCAAAAAGATTGGAGAAATGGCCTCGATCCCAGACGACATATGCTGGAAGATGCAACAGCAGTTTGATAGAGAAATTCAGCAGGATTTCGATCAGCGGAAGGAGAAAGAGGAGGTCCGAGCTTTTGCGGAACTCAAGGATAAGATCCGAGAGCATCTAGCCTCACAGGGTGAACCCGGCGGGTGCGTCTTGCCATATTAACAGATTATGACCACAGTTTGACCATTTTCTAGAAGGACAATTACCATCAAACACGTGACCAATCAAAAGGGCTTTGGGTACTACGGTCGTGAGTATGTCATTGCCATAAGACCACGTCTAATGGGATGATAATAGCACCACGAGTTCGTATCGAAGGAACAATCAGTGTCTTGAAACGCCCTGGCTTAAAATACACGCTCTGGCCACTTGAAATCAAGGACGAAGACCGACGCAAAAGTTCCGATGATCCCGATCATGTTTGCATGCCGGTCATCAGACCAACTAATGCAACTGCGTTTGAGCTACGCTTAGATACAAATATCAAGTGAGCTCATTCCCAATGACACTCGAAGTGTGCTCATAATCATAGATTTGCATGTCTTGCTGGTAATGACCAGTGCATTGTCGTTTTGGAGAGTGCTGGGGAACTTCATGTTCACTTCGATTCTTTCAGCACTATCAGCCAGTCGATTAGCAGAGGCGGCTTTGCAAAGAGACTTCATCTGACGAAGATGGGCGCAAATTGTCTATTTGCTTTCGATGAAACTAAGAAGCTTCTGGCAATCGCGGCTGTCAACGATGTACGATTCCTTGCATGCATTGCTACTTGCTGACTCAATTTTCAGAGCTCCGTTTACCTGCATGTATACTCTTGCGATCCACAAAGCAAGACAATCAACTCTCGAGGAAGCGCACTCAACCTCACAAAGTGGTGGAACGAAAGCCTGCCCCATTTCACACACCTTGTATTTGTGCCGGGTACAGAAGAACTCGTTATGATTGAGAAAAGTGGGATAGTCAGAGTCTTCTCTATGATTACCGACAACTTCAGGTACTCCTCTCCTTTGCTTTGCTGTCAACGGCTTATGTCTCAAAGGCCTTCGACTCTTGAACTCGAGGGCTCTCCTTCCGAGGCCTATAGCTCTCCAGACGGCTCTTCCCTCATTACTGTTCACCGGGGGGTCGAAGATAGCAGACCTCGGATAAGATGCTTTCATTGGACGTCTTTTGGCTCAAATGAGGGTATTGCGATTGATTGGCCAAACTATATACCTTTGGACGCCCCCCTCGCCGTCTCGTCTGTTGGTAATCGAAACATACCCCACATCATATTTCTACATGTCGAGGAGGGAGCGTGCCACTCCCTACATCTTCATATTACCAAAAAGTCGAGCGAGTTTACATTTCGTTCAAGCAACAAAGGCGACCAAGGCGAATCCAACATGCGACATTCGGTCAATAATTCCCTTATTGACTGTCATGCAGAAGTGTGGACGCGCTTCCCAGTTCAAGCTGCTATCAAGAATGAGCCTTCGGATGCCGCGATCCGGCTTTCGAAGTCAATTACATTCGTTTCAACCGCTCCAGAGCATTCTTTCCAGGTCTACTTCTCGACTTTGATTCGACAGTTTGAGACCAAGACGAGAAAGCCGACCAAAGGGGTCCTAAAGAAACTGAAAGTGTCTGCTTCAGAAGCATGGTCCCCTACATTCGAACAACTTGAAATCTCCCAAACTCCCATTGGAGAATGGCTTGTTTCAATGTTTTGCCTTATTCCGATACACCTCGCCATCACGTCTTCCAACCGATTTAACCCTCTGAAAGATGGTGTAGTCTCTCCAGAATTCGAGAGATCGCTTCTTGGAGCCAATGTCGCTCAGATTGCCGAGTCGTATGGTGGTGCCGAGTTTCGTCTCCTATATCTGACACACAGTAGGTTGTCATTTGGCTGGTATGAATCTATCTTCAACTCCTATCTGGCCAAGAAGGTGCGCTCTACTATTTACGCATGCAACGTCTAATCGGTGTCATTTAGCCAGTCAAAGTTGTGACCTCCATGGGTATGTTTCATGGATTAATCTTTGAAATACTCAACGACCACAGGGGAGCAGTCCGTGGGCAAGAGTTTTGCGTTGAATCACCTCGTTGACACATCTTTTGCGTGAGTGATCCAGCTTTCTGGTCAATCAACCTCACGTTTTGCAGTGGATCTGCCATGCGATGTACGGAGGGGGTAAGTCCAAAACATGGCTCCAGAATATCAAATACTGATCGCGAATTTGCGCCAGGTATGGCTCTCGGTCACGCTCACTAAAGCTTGTCTCGTCGTTTCTATGGACTTTGAAGGTGTTCATTCCATCGAGCGAAGTGCACAAGAGGGTGAGTATCTTGCTTCGTGTCTGGAGAGTACTTAAACAATTTCTAGATACACTGCTTGTTCTCCTGAACTCCGCCATCTCCAACTTTGTGCGCCATACCCAGCATGTCGATGCGAGACTGACGACGCACAGGTCCTGTTCAGAAACAACTTTGCGATATCGAGAGATATTGCAGGGTTATTCACCGTAAGTCGGCCACACTTTGTCTTCAGTGAAGTTGTTTACACTCCTCAGAGCTTCCAATCTTGTACGACGGTCTTGGATCCTGCTGCCAATCCGCAGCTCTTTAATTCGACTCTTGGGATCATTATCAAGGTAATGCGCTTGGAATCGCTTTGTATTTTCTGACCGCATTCAGGACGTCATTGACTCGGACACGAAGGAGATTGTAAATGAGTAAGATTTAGATCGTCCTACTGCTCCACACGCTTCTGACAGAATGTAGATTCAAGCAGAAGTTCCAGCGTATTGTTCAGCAGGAGAGGGCCGACAACTTTATATCGAAATTGCACAAGGGCAAGCTTGATATAATTCCTTGGCCTGTCATCGAATCTTCGCGCTTTTATGAGTTATTTGGGGCTCTGAAGCTACGCCTTGAACGACAACCATTCACCCACCACCATGCCGGGGCGTTTCTTTTGACATTAAAAATGCTGATGGCGAAACTCAAAGCAAATGACTGGGGCGCTTTGGATCGTGAGTTCATCAACACACTCCTGGACCGAGTCTGAAATAGGACAGAAAACCTTGCCGTGCAGCGTGCAGATCAAATCTCTCACCTCCTCGTTTCTGCCATGTCTCTTGGGACAACTGACCCAAATCTTGGAGAGCCTTTGAAGGTTGCTACTCTCTCCAAGAACCTGGGCGCATGTGCTCACAAATCCTAGAATTTCGACACAGATGAGACGTTGGAAGCGGGCCTGACGATGTCTCCTCTCTATCTGGAAGCCTCTCATGCTATCCTGCCTCCCGAATTCTCTTCCATTTCCGCTTGTCTCGCCTATCTTCGAGCAGGATACCCTCGGCTTGAAGAGCGGTACAACATGGATGACAGGGAATATTACCGATCACTTCAAGCTTACCTACAAGCTGTTGTTGAGTCGCGAGTCGAGCAGGTCAGACGGTGGATAACTGTTAACACTGAGAGGTTTGGCCCAAAGGCAGAGATTACAGCTCTCCTCCATACCTTTGATGCATTCGCCAAGGAGATGCAGCTTAGCGTGCTGCTTTGTGGCTCCAAGTGCTCGCAATGTGGCCTCATCTGCTTGGAACATAAGCAGCATAATGGTCAGCATGATTGCAAGACCAGTCATCTCTGTCCTCGGGTCTGTAGTTTTGTAGACCAACACCAGGGCGAGATTCCTGAGTGTGGGATGCCGTGAGTTATTCCTATTGGTTGCATACATTTCTGAAGAGATATACAGAGCCGGTCATGAAGGTCGTCATGTGTGAGTTATCAGAACATCATCAAAACCGGGCTCATTGTCACCTAGATGCAAAGGTGCAGCACACCTTTGTGACAGAGCCTGTACGTTGCATGGGAAGGAGGGTTGTTTGAGCACCTGCTCAAAGGTACATCCGATTTGGTGATTTGACACGCACTGATTGCGCTCAGCCCGCCGACCATGACGATGAAGAGGATCACAGGTGTGTAAATGTGTGCATTCTAGTCATTTCTGAACTCGATCCCACTCCTACAGGTGTGCAGCTAGGGTACATGCTTGTGGGCAGCCATGTAGCCTTCGGAAACCAGATGGAAGTCCACTTTGTGATCGTCCATGCATTATTGATTGGTAGATCTGCTCTCCTTGCTTTGGCAATCCTAACCCGTTCCAGTCAAAGTGCACATAATCGTCACGAATGTGATCGTGCCCTATCTTGCCCTATCAAGTGCCAGTTGTGCAAGTCCTATTGCTCGGTTGGCGATCATTTTCATGCGCTAGACGATGCGGCAATTCATTTATGCGGGTATGTGTGAATCATCAGTAGTCGGATTCGACTCATAGTTCGACAGACAAAGTCACGTCTGCAATAAAAGATGTCAGCGTCCCGGCATTTGCGAAATTGCGACCACTCCTCAATCCATTGAGTCGACGTTTACAGGGAAGCATACTCAATACCAATTCACAAAGGTGAGAACTCGCCATTGCACCGGATCATCTAACTCGTAATAGTACTCGCAAGAAGCCCAACGACTTCCCTGCGTTGTCCCAATTGAACCTGGCGAACTCAAGCACAAGGGGCAACACGTTCACTCCCTCGATCCCGCTGCCTTCCACTATTGCCAAGAGAAGTGTAAATACTGTGGCTACTATTGTACCCTCCCCCTAGGTATTCAATGTCCCCTGTACCTACGTCTCCTGATTATTTTCTTAGGGCATCCTCAGAAAGAACATGAGACTTCTCATGGCTCTATGTCCCAAACTCAGTGGGTACTTGATGGCGGCGATGATGCGGTACTGGAGCTCGAAGGTCGAAAGTATGCCACGGGGGACAGTGGTGCTCCAATGCTTTGCTCTATGGTCTGCAAGGCGTTGCATAGGCATTCTCACCTTGATACCTGCCGAGCGGACACTGAGCTTGAATGCAGTGGAGCAGATGTTCAGCATAGAAAGAGCGAGAAAGGCAACAGTGGACAAGACTGGATAACGCATCGTCTGTACTGGGCACGAAGCGGTACGTTTCTATGGTATTGATGAATACTACTAAAGTTCACGATAGGTTTCAAAGGTGTGCTTAATCTTGTTTCGAAGTTGAGCTCTGACTACTCAACAGATCCGTACACCAACGTTGAACAAGCTGAGTTTGATCTTTGGTATGTTTGAAATCTTTAGAGGAAGGTTACTTACTGCGGCGCGGCAGTGACCATCGTTGTGGTGGTATGCCAAAAGATTAGCCCCTTATTCACTTCTCATCATTAATCAGGTGATGAGCACGATGCAAGTATCAACACTGGTGCCCAGGATTCGTATTGCGTCCTTCCTCTTTTCCACCCTCCAGCCGATGCAAGTCAGGCACCAAGCCTGGGCCACATCTCTCAAGATGGTCACGCGTATAGGTGCAAGAACCCTGCTCTGATGCAGCGCTCATTCCACATGTGAGCTATCTGCGAATCTTCTGAGCCTCCTCTTATCGGATTTTTATAGCTTTTTTGTGCTTGATCACTCTGGTTCAATGACTGCTACGGACAAAAGGCCCCTTTCGCACTCTCCTGCGACTGCAAGGATCGTCCAACGTGCAAATAATCGATTTGGGGCCGTTGTTTCGTCCATTTACGGCTTTTGGACCGCACGAGACAAAGCCGTTCGAACTGGTTCCTCCAGCGGAGCCCGTCGCGACGCTTACACAATCATTCCGTTTGAATCAACTGCTTCGGTACGTTATCTAGTTTATAAGGGTTTCAATCCTAATTGGAACAGGTCGCTTTATCCAACGACATGACCAGTGATCCAGATCAACTTTTGAATCTTATTCTTTCCTACGGTGGTGGTTATGGTGGGACAAACTTTACTCACGCCTTGGAAACCGTACGACACGAAATGGAAAGGTCATGGTCGACTGAGCGGTAAGGGTATTCTTGATTCTGCAGACATTTTTCTCACAATTTGGGTAGCTCACCTATCGTCATATTTCTTTCAGACGGCGAGTGCTCCATCAATGACTCGACCATCTACGATCTTTGTCGAACTGCAGTCCGACTTGGGTTGGTCTCCACCTTTCTTTAGATTGAAGTCACTTACGTTTCCCCAGCAAACCATTGGGTTTCCACACCGTCTCATTTGGAGCAGACACGTATTCACAAAGCTTGCGAAGAATGGCCGCGATCGCCGACGAGGTATACGCAACTGCTCCTAGGGATCCGCTTGCTCCGCCTGTGGGCTCAGCATGTACCTTCAGCAACGCCGTTGATACGGTATGTCTCGATGTCCTTGGGAAGGTGTCTTCTAAACATCGCCGCTCAGATTCAGCTTGCGTCGACTTTCATGAGTATCGCGCAGTCGCTTCAGAACACTCGTGCTGCGCTCTCTCGCATTTGAGCTGCCAAGTTTATACTTCGAGGGGCTATTCATAGAATAATCGATCTATCTTCTCTCCCTTCTATTCCATAAGTTCGCTAAGGTTTGATCACATGAATAATGATATCGGTAATCCGAGCATGAGATAAGAAGGGAAATTGAATGTTCGAATGTACGTTCCTCGAGCACCAGTCAATTAATTAGTCACCCCAACGTGTCATTGTTCTCGACGGCGGTAGAGCTTCTAATCTCATACAATTCCGGTAAGTAGTGTACAAATTCTCTATCGTATTCGTCGGCGTGCATTCAGCGAGTGTAATAAGACCATTACAGGTGGCAAGGTAAGCAGTAACGAGATCAACAACTGCCGTTGCGCGACAGAACGGTGGAACGCCAATGTAATTTGGGAAGAATATCGACGTATGGCACCTATCGCTCCCGTGCAAGTGAAAACGGTGGCACTCATCGGAATTCTAACTTCCCCTAAGATCTACTAAAAATAGCTCTCTCTCATAGTAAGACATGGGGGGTTTCATATCTTGAACTTCTACTCTCCCTTCTACTCTCCCCATCCACACAGTGCGCGGTACAACCCAAGTTATACCTACGTAGATGTTCACCATATTTATCCTTGCAAGTACATTTATGGATAGAGACATCCTCTTCCCGAAGGCTACCGAGAAGCAACACTACGCTTAATTACTTTAATAGATCAAAGAAAGAATAATCACTACTCAAGGAGTAATTTGCGGTCGAAATTTGATTTCTCCGCGGAGTAGCGTTCTGGCCAAACATGAGACGTGTAGTCCAGGACCGACGGAAGGGCTCCCGTTCGGATCCCAAATCGCGAACCGCCCTCTGAGCGCCTTGCGCAGCACCGGGACTGTCGTAATACACTTGGAACATAAGGGCACGTGTCGAATTTTTTTAATTGATCAACACCTTTTTCCAGACCACTTTGAGAGGCAAGACGCTGCTCTGCCTATGGGCAGCGTAAGGTACATACAAGGCAAATTTATCGCCTATGCACCCTTATATTATCTATTCGATTTAAAACCCTTGTGATCTTTCTGAGTGCATCGCTGAGGCTTATATGGAGTGACAAAGGGTGGTTGGCTGGGTGGAGTAGTGGGCGGATGTCAGAGTATCCGCGTCGAATCGCTGTCGAATCTAACTATAACCATGATAATATTCTATCTATTATGGCTCCGTACGGTAGCGACAGGACCTCGGGCCATACACAGCGGCTTGTCAGCTTCTCGACGCCGCGCAGCTGGGTCACAATATCAAGATTTATAGACCGAATAGAACTCACTACACTTTATAATTGGATTTAAGTGTCTATGGGGCACTCCCTTTAGGTCAATGGAAACAATGGGAACAAAAATGTATGACCGAATAGGGAAAGCAACTTAAAGCCTTCGAGCAATCCGAGAGCCATCGTGGTCCATAAGCGGTATACGAGGATAGTCAGATCCCGAAACGCTCAAGATGCCCGCTCTTGGTCGAAAAGAAAAAACAAGTAATTAAATTTGACTAGGCCTTTATGTTCAAGCGACATATATGCAACAGTCCTGGCGCTGTGCAAGGCGCCTTGAAGGCGATTCGCCTTTGGGATCCAAACGGGAGCCCTTCCGTCGGTCCCGGACCACAGGTCTCACGTTTGACCAGGACGCTACTCCGTGCAGAAATTAATTGTCCAGCCGAAAGGACTCCTTGGACGAGTGATTTTTTCTTTTGATCTATTAAAAATGATTAGCCGTAGTTTTGCTTCTCGGTAGCCCTTGGGAAGAAGATAGCTCTCCCACCGGCTCGAAATACTCTTTCAAGAATGCATTTGTGCAGGTATACCGCAACTGTATTGAGGGCCCAGCAACGGCACTCCCGACGTGCTAATTTTGCCACGATGGTGCATTTCGAAGATTTCCTATTCTCTTGAGAGAGCCATACTTGTTCACGTGTAAGCAATTTCGTTATAGACCAGAGGTTATAGTTTTTGACTTTTCTATCTCTAAGTACATGATAAACTAACAAGGGTTCATAAAGTTTAATGGACAGTACAAGTGAGACGATGAGTGAGTATAACAGGATGGGACATGAACAATGATCCAAGACGGAAATGCAAGTGGGCAGAGCCCGAGTAGTATGGGTATGGGATGAGTTTTACGACGCAGTGGATGAGGAAAGGACAGAGATCGTCGAGATGCCCAGGGTCAATTCGGGAAGCTCTCCGTGGCAGAGATGATCGGTCCACCGCGACTCTGCAAGTGAGATGGCGTCCGACTCGCAACTGCCTTCTGACGAGCTGTGTGAGAGGGAGACTGAACTTGGCGAGCTGCGAAGGCGAAGTGATGCGGCTGTATTTGGTCGCGGCATTGGCATTGCGATGAGGAATCCAGCGTTGAGGAGCTGGATGTCGTGTATTTGTGGTCTCTGGGGTTCGTCGGTCGATGCTAGCTTTTCGTCGAGAGAGGTGGTAGAGTGCGATGAGAGCGCCGTCCTATCTGCCGAAGAAAGCTTTTCGGTATCCTCGCGTAGAAGGGTCTTCTCATCTGCTTTGGCAAGGGAGAAGGGCTATAGACTGTGTGAATATAGTGTATCAACAATACTGAAGGCCGACCCACCTGAATGACCTCGAGCAGCGCTTCCGTAGAGAGGCTGATTGGAAGTGGGCCATCTCCAATCCACGCACTGGCCAGTTTCGGTTTCTTGCCATGATGTTTGTGCTTCTTCCGTCTCTGAGCGTCATTTGGCAAAGCCTCTTGCTCTGCCATTGTCGTCGCCCTGAGACGTCGTCGCTGATTTGCCGTCTTCGTCGTCGAATGTAGAGGTATAGGATTCCAAAGAATGCGATAATAAGTAGGACTAGGACCGTAATGAGGATGGCGTAGATGTATCTCCAAAGGATGTAAGCTCAAGGTCATGAGATAGGTTAGACATAGAACATACGTAAAGTTTTTGTGTATTGCTTCGTCGATGAATAGTTGTGAGTCCTGGTTGTTCTGCATTTGCCCCTGCGGCGAGAATTGTGTGGTAGTACTTTGGGACATGGTCGTAAAGGAGTTCCCAGGCAATAGAATAGACGTCCGAGGTGTCCGCTCTTAGCCTCTGTCTGCTTGCCGCTCGCAATCCCAAGTCCAAAGGTGTCGCTGTGAGATGGGCGTCGTTTGTCGCCAACTGACGAGTAAGAGGGGAAACAGAGCGACGAGGAGAGTTCCAAGTTGAACAGAAGGCCAAATAGCTCCCCCAACGCAGCGACGGTCGAGGATAACCCCTTCCGTTTTGGGAATCGACGCGGCCACAAAGCAAGCGTACCTTTGACTCTCTGCGGCCCCTCCAATAAATTCCTATAATTACCAGACTATCTTTTCATTCAGGAAAACTTCATTTGGGTGAAATTTACAACAGAATCTGGGCATTACACTTGTCACCTTAGTCGCCGATGCCTACAAGGCCGTCATAAATCAGCTCAATCTTATTTTTGCTTGTATTTTGATCACAAATACCAATAATGTAGCTGCCGCACAACTCCCAGAGCTGCAAGTTTGATACCGGTTTCACGGCTTCTCAAGTCTAATTCATCTGCGTCAGCTGATATAGATTCGTGGAGTTCTTGAGTGGACTATCAGATATGGAGCCTGACAATCTCTCGCAAACTTGCGCCGTACTTCGCTTTGCCAGCCTCCATCTCTGACCGAGCCACATCTGCGAGATTACGAGGCAAGTCTCTACCCGTCAGTCTTTCGTAAATCTGATCCTTCTATCTCGATACAGTCATGCATCCACATGAAGACGATCCTCCTCACGACGAGGACGAAGACATGTTCTCCGTCCATTCCGAATACGAAACCCCAACACTCCAAACACCCATGAAGTCTGTTGAATCAGTGGACAAACTAGGGACCACAAGCATCAAGGGATCCGTCGTCTCAAAACTCAGCGGACTCCCGGGACGCAAGGACACAATGGACCTCTTGGACCGCATCGATGGCATGTATCGTCTCCTCGATCTGGTGAAAGATTGGAGTGTTGGTGGTGCCGTGGACAAGGTTATCATTGCACAAGACTCTCTGTCCCAGTTTGCCAATCGCGTCCATCCCGCTTCGTATGTTTCGTTGACAAAGGTAATGTACTTCTTTGATTCAGGACATTTTGGACGTGGATTATAGGTCAACTTTCATGCGCTTGATAAACATCGGATTCGCCCACGAGGTGTATATGGATCCATCCCCGCTATTGCAGATTTCTTGCTCAAATTAGACTGTATTGACGAAGAAACGTGCGTCAGACTGTTATCACCTGCGTGCCTCGACTCACAATAGATGCAGACGCGATCTGTTGGTTGCTCCTAGAGACGAAAGCTCTGGAGTCACCAGACCCACCTTGCGTCCTGGGATCTACATCATCGACGTCACGACTACAATCGAGCCTGACCTCTACTATCTTGTATTCTGGCCAGACGATACGACTTGGGATGACGATGCAACAGGCTCTCGTAACCGAGTCACTTTCATGAGGTGATATTGCGTAACTAGTATCGGGAGAATGAATTAACGAATTTCTCAAGATATCTGACCAAACTGTGTGATCAGCTCGTCTGTCTCATCTCAGACGAGCATTCAAAGAAGTTGGTCTGGCAAGACGACGACGCTTATGGTCTCGAGGAAGACAATCTAGATGTAGCCGACAAAGATCTTCTCGATCGTCTCTTTACTTTCTCTGTCAAGCAGATGAACGACGAGGAGGAGAATGCCATTCCAAAGGAAGGTTTTACAGTGAGTATCATCCTACCTTTGGTCAAGTAACTCAGAGCCTCTTAGCTTCAGGATCGCATCATCTCCGTGCCATCTAAGCCACCGAGAGGATATCCTCCCGCTTATGATCTCGACGCCTTGCAGCCACAGCTGGTGGTTGGAGATCTTACTCAGGCAATTATGAGCGTGGAATACATACCCGAGGAGCTTCAGGAAGAGACTATCGATTGGTCTTTCAAGCGCTCCGTCATGGAAGAAAAGCTAAAGTGAGTGTGCGTCGGGTAGGCGATTGAGCGCTGACATGACGATCAAAGGAAAAGGAACGCTCCGAGAATCGAGTTGGATGGCCGGATTGACAAGGAAAGCTTACAGTTTCTCCTAGAACTCAATCTGGGCTCCCGCTGTGGTGATCTCGAGACGCGCTTTCGCGACATGCGACAACGAACAGAGGTTGCTCGTGAGCGCGACTATAGGCAGAAACTCGAGAGCGATAGAATGCGGATGCAAAATACGCTTCAGAGACTCGAAGAAGCATTCCCCTTTTGGCTCATCAAACGAGCTGTTGAATACTATGAGTGAGTCGTGCTTTGCTTCTTTGATACCTTTTGACTCGTCCCCTAGTTCGGTCTCTGAAGAGGCGTTGATCATATTACTCTTTGGAAACCAGGACAAAATCATCCTCGCAGAAGAGGTATTCCGTTCTGTTCAATATGGTGCGCAAGTTCTTCGTGACTGCCTGACCATCTAAGGTGTGCGATAGTCGACAGCTTTTTCGAGAAGAATCCAACTACGCAAAAGAAGATTGTGACACCTCTGAGGATGAGTTTGGATTCTCTAGAGACGGGGTACTTTGGCCGTTATAATACGCTCAAACATCAATTCCGCCGTGTCTACCAAGCAATCGAACTCACACCCGTGCTCAAGGATACTCAGATCCAGTCTCTAGTCGACATCATTACATACAAGCATGGTTTCGACGGGGAATTCGCTAGGAGATATCCGTCCATTCCTGGCGAAACTATCGCCGCTCGTCTTAAGCGGTTGGCGGGATACGGCGACGCTGGACGACCCGCGCTGACAGCGCCGTTGAAACCGATGAGCGACATTCAATTCGTAAAAGAGATTAATCTAGTTGCATCCCAGCATCCCGTATATCGCGATGCATGCAACGAGATTATGAAGGAAGTCGTAACAGCGCTCGCAAAGAAAATCAATGACCTCCGGGATACTTCCATGAAGAGTGTTCGCGATCAAATGAACCAATATATCATCAACTCCACAAACAAGATATTCAATGAACGGAAGAAAATCGAGGAAGAAAGCGCATGGATTATTCTCCGCAAAGAGCTTCAGTCGGCACTCGACCTAGAGTCAGATACCTCCAAGTACGTCTGCTCATGTTCCGGAGCACCCTTGCTAACACGTATGTAATCCAGGGTGTACCTCATGATTCGGAGTGTAAAAAGGGAAACTCCGAGCGCTTGGGAGATCCGCACATCGGGTGAGCGTGTTCCTCATCCGCCAAAACTCTGTGATGACCTCTATCCAGACAAATTCAACTTGAAGGGGACCTTGACGCAGCCAAATAACTGGGGATTCCGTTACTCTCTACATCAGCTACAGATCAAGGCAGAAGATATTCAAAGCGTAACGACAGATGCAACTCATGTGTGTCAACCGTCTCTTCAGCGTGCCCCGTCGACAAGCTTTATCCTTCAGGATCCAAGATCGTTGCGGTAAGGACACTACTATGATCCAGAACGAATTCCTGCTTATTAATTATAGCTTTGCTCGTCTCGTAGGACAAGAAGGTTGTCTTATTGTCATTGAGGACGATGTCTCGCTCAAAATTTTCTTCGATACCTTGAGTGTAATTGGCGCAAGTATCTCGAATGATAAGCACAAGAAGCGATTCTTGTTTGAGAGGGTTGGGAAGAATCATACGTTTGCTGTAGACGAAACCAAGAGGCTTTTCGCGATGGTGGCCGTTCACCCGGTGCGCACTTTCCTTGCCCCAAAGATCAGTCGGTTGACTTTTCTTGTAGGATGCGGTCAAGGTGCATGTCTATAGCTACGACCAGGATCACCGAACTCTCAATGCGAAAGGAACCGCCATCGACATTGTCAAGTGGTATCCTCGAGGGCCTCCAGATCTCCATGGGCTCGTGTTTGTCCCTGGAACAGAAGAACTGCTCCTTATCGAGCAGTCTGGACAGTGTCGCCTTTTCTATCTCCCCACAGAAACTTTTCGGTATGTTGTAGTATACCGGCCTCTCGTTTCTTACCCATGTGATTAGACCTGCGTCATTGACTCTCATGTCTCCCCCTCTATTCGCGTCAATGTCATCCGACGGCTCTGGTTTCTTCGTCCTAGATACTAGCGAGGGCCGGTCACCGCGACTGCGCTTCTTCCATTGGGCGTCGTTTGGGACGACCAACGGGATCGATATTCCTTTGCCACAGGAGGTCACAACTCAAGCATGTATGGCCGTCTCTTCCCTTGGGCACAAGAACTCCAACCATGTCCTCTTCCTCCGGCCAGAGCGAAATACCTGCTTCTCGGTCGCTGTCAAGATCACCCGACTTTCGACAGAGTTCGAGTTTACTGCAAACGATACACGAAGTGGACAGGCCACAATGGCTGGGAAAACAGTCAACAATTCGCTGATCGACTGCCATGCAGAAGTGTGGACGCGCTTTCCCATACACGCCTCGATTCGTCGAGAAGCCAACTCAAATGCGCATTTCGCTCCGCATTCGATTCTCTTCGTGTCATCAGTAGCCTCTTCGCAGCATTTTGACGACTACTTCGCGACAAAGGTGGCTGAATTCGAACATAAAACGCGGAAGCCCACACGACGCACCCTGAGCCAAATTCAAGTCTCAGCCACCACACAATGGGACCCAAAGTCCGATAAAGGAGAGAGTTTCTCAGTGTTTGATGTCGGAGATTGGTTGGTTGGACTACTTTGTCTGATCCCCATTCACCTTGCAATCACTCGGTCGAATCGGTTCGTGCCGCTCAAGGATGGTGTGACCTCGCCCGCATACGAACAGTCTCTGCTTGGTGCCAACGTCAGCGAGATTGCGGAGTCGTACGTGGCCGCTTTGTCCAGCTGATAATTCTCATGTTGCTCGGCAGGATCACATTCGGATGGTACGAATCCATCTTCAACTCTTACCTCGCAGCCAGGGTAGGTCTTGGCCATCGTGTCTGTGTAAAGCTCAATCTTTTGCAGCCGGTGAAGGTTGTCACTTCTATGGGTAGGATGCTGTCAATGAATACTTATGGTGGCTGATTCTCTATAGGTGAGCAATCAGTCGGCAAAAGCTATGCACTCAATCACTTCGTCGACACTTCCTTCGCGTGCGTATAAGAATATGAGCCGGTATACACGCTTACAAGAGCCTAGAGGCTCTGCTATGCGATGTACCGAGGGTGTTTGGCTTTCAGCTACCGTGACTCGTGACACGATCTATGTTGCTCTAGACTTTGAAGGTGTGGGCATCTCTGTGATAGTTTATTGGGTGACTGAAGTTTTCGTAGGCGTACACTCAATCGAACGGAGTGCCCAAGAAGGTGAGTAACCAACTCATCCGACAGCAAAAATCTGATGATCTTCAGACACTTTGCTCGTACTTCTAAACACCGCAATCTCCAACTTTGTAAGTCCCCGTTTCTTCGTTTCCGTACCATCTAATCCTGCTACTAGGTACTCTTCAGGAACAATTTTGCGCTTTCGCGCGACATTACAGAGCTCTTCACGGTGCGCCCCTATTCAATGGTCTAATATGTAGCAGTTTTTTATACCACGCAGAGTTTCCAGTCCTGCACAACCATTCTAGACCCGTCTTCAAACCCTGGGCTTTTCCAATCCAGCCTAATTATCATTGTCAAGGTGTGTAGGTCATTATTAGGCGAATCAAGTCTCATCTGTTATAGGATGTGATCTCGTCTGATGCCAAAGAGATCAAAAATGAGTTTACACAGAAGTTTGCACGGATCGTTCAGCAAGAGCGCGGACAAAACTTCATTACAAAGCTTCACAAGGGGCAGCTAGATATTATACCGTGGCCCGTGATTGAGTCGGCTCAGTTCTATGGCCTCTTCGACGTGCTCAGAGACCGTCTCGTAAGGCGTCCTACCACTCACAAACACGCGGTTTTGTTTGTCGATGTTCTCAAGACTCTGATGGCGAAGTTGAAGGTATGCACTCTTCCTCCGCTGTTGCCTTTATCGATCGTCTTTTAGGCAAATGATTGGGGTGCACTGGACCGTAAGTAGCTTCCGTTGTAGGGTAACGATTCTTGACTTCTTGTAGAAAACCTTATCCTTCAACGCGTGGAATACCTCTCCTCTATGTTGGCCACAGCTCTCGCCTTTGGTACTTGTGATCCAGGCATTGGGGAGCCTCTGAAGGTGATACTCTTTTGAGTATATTCACATCTTCTGATATACCCTAGAACTGTGACACGGACGAGATAATTGATGACGCGCCCACTGAGGACATTTTCTATATCCCCTCAGCTGTTCACCCCGACACAGGGGAACCTCTCAGCCCGACGCTGTGCCTGACAAACCTTCGCAGAGGCTGGGCAGATCGGTTTAATAGATTCGACATGGAAGAGGATGACTTCCTGAGGGACTACAACATACACTTGCAATCCCGCGCCGACATTCGCATCGAATCTGTCCGAAACTGGCTCCTTCAAAACGTCCGGCGCTTCGGCGAAAGATCAGAGATCACTTCTCTGCTCAGGAGATTTGAAGGGATGGCCAAAGAACTGAAGGCAGCCATCGTTCTATGCGAGATCTCGTGTGCCGAGTGTCGTCTACTTTGTCTGGAGCCCAAGTACCATACAGGTCGCCACGATTGCAAGACCTCCCATCGTTGCCATCGAGTTTGCGCTTTTGCAGAGCAACATGCGGATGAAATCCCGCAGTGTGATATGCCTGCAGGACACCCAGGAAAGCACTTGTAGGTGGCACTTTGAAATTCTATAGTGTACGCTGATCCCCGTTCTAGGTGCACCTCGCTTCCTCACTTATGTGGTGCGCCTTGCTACCTGAGTGATCGGGACGGTTGTATGAAAACCTGCGTCAAGGTGGGTCAGTCACGTGGGTGTAGGTTTCATTTTTCTCATCGACTCAGCCTGGAGATCACGAGGGCGACGAACATCTCTGTCCAGCTCCTGTTCATGCCTGTGGAGAACCTTGTGACCTCATTCTCGAAGATGGCACGCCACTCTGCGATCGTAGTTGCGTGATAGACTTGTCAGTATGCTGTTCTGAGAGGCGCATTACTAATGACTTAAACAGCCGCCGTGAACATGACCGACATTGCTGCGAGCGAGTCTCAGACTGCCCTCAGAAATGCCAAATGAAGTGCGGTGTGCGGTGTGCGGCAGGTGATCACTTCCATTCTCTGGAAAAGGATGCCGTCCACTTGTGCGGGTAAGCAATTTCTTTTGGTGGAAAGTCGCATCTGTCTCTGAGATTGAGCTGCTATTAGCCAGGAGCATGTTTGCCCTCATGACTGCGAAGACGATGGAATATGCGAGATTGCCACCAAACCTCAGAAAGTCGAGTCGGTCTTTGTTGGTAAAAAGGACACCTTCAATACACCAAGGTAATATCTGTCTCAACTAATACTTGTACACTCACGTCTGGTCAGTATACCCAAGAAGCAAGAAAGCAAAAGTGCTGTATACTCATCGAGCCGGACAAGCTCAGCCATCCCGGTCGACATGTCCATTCTACAGATCCCAAATCGTTTCATTACTGCGAAAAACAATGCGATGGGTGTGGATATTACTGTGTGCTGCCGCTGCGTCACCCTCAGAAGGATCACGAGACTGCCCACGGCTCGATGGAGCAAACGGAATGGCTCGTTGATGGAGACGATACTGCTGCAATCACGCTCGATGGTCGCCGGTTCGCCAGTGGAGACAGCGGAGCACCGATGCTCTGCTCACTTTTCTGCAAATCCATGGGTCGCCATGTCCATATCTCACCATGTCGTGCGGATATCGAAGATGACGGGTGCCGAGAGGAAGGTGTGGAGCACATCCCAAGCGCTCCAGGGACGAAGCAATACGACTGGATCACACACCGTCTGTTTTGGCAACGAAGTGGCAAGTTATCTCTGCTGTACATGGCATTGCTAACATTAAATCAGGATTCAAGGGTTGGTATAATGGACTTTCGCACGATTACATTGCTCAACAATGATAGATCCATACACAAATACGGAACAGGCAGAGTTTGATCTATGGTGAGTATGTGATTTGCATCTGTCTCTCTCAAATTCACCCCTTTTAGTGACCGTAGATGCCCTGGTAGGTTTGAGATTCAAGGGGAACATCTCTTACCGTGGTCCAGGCGAGGAGCACGATCCTACAATCAACCCAGGAGCTGGACCATCCATGTGTATGCTCCCTCTCTTCCATCCACCGGCGTCTGAGGAAAGAGCACCCGTGCATGGACATGTCTCTCCCGACGGACATGTCTACGAATGCAAGAATCCAGCAGCGCTCCGACGCAGCTTCCACATGTGAGCGGCGCTCTTGAATGTTGTGCGCAATCATTGACGAGTTGTAGCTACTTTGCGATTGACCGCTCCGGCTCGATGCGTCTGACAGATTGTCGGCCATTGCCCAACACCCCTGCGTCTCGACGCATTGTTCAAAATGCGGATAATCGATTTGGTGCCGCGCTTTCGTCGATCTATGGATTTTGGTTGGCACGTGAAGGTGCGCAACGTGGGTCAGGAACTGCTGGCGTTCACAAGGATGCCTACACGGTGATCGCATTTGACCATGAGACGGAGGTACGCTGCCACTTGGATGAGATTCAGGTGTCTAATACGTACAGGTGGTCTACTCGAATGACGTTGGGAGCACTGCAGATCAATTACTTGATCGTCTGCCCAGAGATGCTACGGAGGATGGTGGTACAAACTTTACCGACACCTTGCGATTGCTCCAGCGAGAGTTGGAGAATACTGGAGCATCAGAGCGGTAGGTTGAACGTACTTACATGTAGGCGATATTGACCGTCCCTAAGATACCCCGTTGTGATTTTCCTTAGTGATGGAGAATGCAGGTTTGAGGAGGAGGCAGCCTACGATTTGTTCAGAGCAGCCGTCCGACTTGGGTACGCCTTCTCGTCTTTGGATTGAGGATGCGTACTAATCTCGGTTGCAGGAAGCCTCTAGCTTTCCATGCAGTCGGGTTTTCGGAGGAGAGCGTGGGATCTGTTCACCTGGAGCGAATGACGCAGATTGCAACAGAGATCTACGATTCGGCTCCACCTGACCCACTTTTGCCGGCCGGTGTGAACCCTTGTTCATTCCATAGTGCCTTGGACACAGTATGTGTACTATACCCTAGAAAGCCACATTTAACCCCTCTCAGGTTCAACTCGCGAATACTTACTTGTCCATTGCAGAATCGCTTGGGAACCCACGGGCCGCGCTTCGACGGATCTAACGGCTTAGTAATGCATATGTACTCCACGAGGTATACAACTGCTATTCCTGGATGAGAACACTCTGACGCAATACGAATCGATTCTTACCTTCCCCCCTCTGAGCCCTTCAGCATGATCATCCTCACTGGAACGACAGGAAATCTGGGTAGCCGCGTATTGAAGAGCATACTGGCGCGAAAGTTGATCCCTCCATCTCAATTGATCATTTCGACGTCCAACCCGGATAAGGCACCTGATTTCGTTAAAGAATCGGGTGCTGAGATTCGTAAAGGCGACTTTCTGAACCCAGCATCTCTGGTAGAGACTTTTAGAGGTGGAGAAGTCCTCTTCCTCGTCTCGTTTCCGAGTCCCTCGGTGGAGCGGTGGGAGTATCATAGAGCTGCCATTGACGCTGCCAAAGTCGTGGGAGTCAAGACGGTCATATACACGAGTTTGATGTTTGGAGGCGAGACGGGGATGAAGAGCGTGGCTGGCGTGCAGCAAGCTCACATCAAGACGGTCGATTATCTCGTAAACTCTGGGCTCGACTATATCGTTATCAGTGAGGGTATATATGCAGAGAGCTGGTGGCTCTATGCTGGGTTCCTCAAGTTTGACCGCAACGATGCGAGCAAAGCGCCAATCGAGTTTGTGATGCCAGGTGACGGGGAGATGGCATGGGTGACCTGGGATGACCTGGGAGAGGCGACTGCGACGATTATGGCAAACTATGCAAGTCGAAAAGCCCCGCCTTTATTCGATGTTGACTGTGTTTGTAGAAGGAATACATTGGCCAGACTATCCGGCTGACTGGCTCACGAACGGCGACGATGAAACAAGTTGCAACGCTCTTGGAAGAAAAGTCGGGACGCCCCGTCGAGGTGCGCATTGTAAGCCCCGAGGAGGCGGCTCGATACCACAAGGAGCGCAAAGTGGCATCCCCATTTTACATTGACAGCTGGAGTGGTTGGTTTAGTGGTATTAAAGGTGGTGAATGCGCCGTGGTAGATCCCACGCTGGAGAGGATCCTAGGCAGGAAGCCTCGCGGGATTGAAGAGATGGCCGACCAGCTCTTTGGCAAAGCATAAAAAGAAGTAGAAAAGAGAGAAGTATTATGCGAAGCCGAGCTCCAAGGCCAAAGGTCCCGGGGTCAGAAAGAAGAGGGAGTTTGCGAAGACGCACGCGTTGTCCTGAAGGAGTATCCAATCCTTGGAGAGACCCAACTTTATCTTCAAGAATAAAACTGATTTTATGGACGATAAAATGGCAGGTGAAGAGACGCGTCGGAGGACCTCGAGGTTCAAACTCCGATTGTTGACCACACCCGTTGGCCTCGAGCCACTCCTCCAGCGATTTCAAACACCCGCGACACCTCTTTACACAGTCTCAACGCGATACCTGGATTCAAGAATTACGAGTTATTCACGCGTATGTGGTTCAGCCGCGCACTGACCGCATGTTGAATGATGCTCACGAGACATTTGCACTCAATCAGACCACAATTCTCAATCTTTTTGAACAAAAATACATCGTAAACACTGTAGAAAACACTTTTACACGATTGCGGATCCCACAACATCGATTCAGGCATGGCGGATGCTCCTCCATTGCCCGACCAACCTCTGCCGCCGTGGATGAGCTACTCGCTCATCACATATCCAGATGGAACTCAGGATTACACAATTGTTGACCTTCCATTAACCTACTATGGTCCCTCGGTACGTCGAGCCTGCTCTACCAAACCATTCGCTGACGTACATCCGTAGATACCATTGGGAACAGACTACACGTACGGAGGCTCAGAGTCTCCTGTCGAGACTGCCGGGCCAACACCAGCACCAACCAGCGACGCTCCACAACCGACACCAGAGCCGGTGACCGTAACCTTCATCCCGGAACCAGTCACGGTCACTGTGACTGTCACAGTGACAGAAACAGTCCAGGCTGCTCCGACTCCAATAGTTCCTCCGCCCTTTTCTTCGTCATCTCCGACGCTTTCGACGTTTCCGACATTCTCGACATTCGCTCCTATACCAAGTGGAGGAAGCAGTGTTCCCTCTTTCCCCTCTTTCTCCAGTCCTCCCACTCCTACACCGCAATCTACCGCGTCTTCATCATCTCCAACCCCGATCATCCCATTGCCGCCGGGCGGTTCGACCTCGAGCTCGAATGGCCCTTCAAGCTCCAGTTCGAATATCCCGTCAAGTTCTAGCATCGGTAATACCAGCACATCTTCAACGCCAACACCAGCCCCGTCCTCTTCCTCTTCCACTACTCGTGGCGTTCCTGAATCGGCGGTACCGACGGTTGCAGGGACGTCTCGAAACTACCTAGGGCTTGCACCTGGCGCATTTCTTGGAGTTATTCTCGCCATCGTCTTCTCATTATTGCTCCTCTTATGCTGTCTATTCATTTGGTGCCGACGTCGACGACGGCAAAATCGACGACCACCCATCACCCTTCTCTCGACTCCACCAAATGAGTACGGTTCTCGACTTTTAGCAGGAGATAGAGATCCTACGCGAGAAGATCTTACCTATCCATATGGCAATCACAACCGAGAGTACCGACGCAGTCAAATAGCAATGATGCGTGCTAGGGGTGAACTCGATGACGAATGGGAAGACCGAATGCACAGTCCATCCATGCGCTCCGCATCGATTCGAATACCAGATGACGATGTGGGGACTACGTACGGGATTCGTGACCGAGCATTGGTAGCTGCAGGCGTCGGATTGCCATATGCATACTCTCGTGTGCCTCGTGATTCACCTCGTGATACTCCGAGCGTGAAGACCGGTATGAGGAGTATTGCAGAGTCTAGCAACGTTGCAACCGTGACACCGGGGAATATGGGCGGTGCCGGACTACTCGTCACCAATCCCGACGAGCACCGCACCTCTCCAACGCCGCGTAAGGATACGCAGTCGACAGATGCCACAAACGACTCTTCTGCCTTGCACATGTACGCAGCTGGTGGTCGAAGTCGCATGGATTCCGACGAGTCGGGCAACTTTTTCTACCCGCGGACGTCAGAAGGCGAGGGACCTTCTCCAATGGCATCGAGCTCGGATCTTCACTTCCTTCAAAGATTCACCACACCCGCTGCCGCAGCTGGAGCCGCGGTCGTTATTACCGATCAAAGGACCGGTGGTTCTGGACGCGGAAGTGGCTCTAGCGGTGGACACCCAAGCAGCGCACCGCATACCCGGAATCTCGAGGATATACCAGGGACAGCCATTGCGTATCCGGAGAGCCCTGTTTCCGACACGCGAGAAAACGAGCAACTCATGCAAGAAGGCACAGATGGAAATCAGAGCGTTGGAACCTATCACGACATGTCGTCAGGCAGACATAGTCGTTCCACCCGTGAGAGCGCTCTCAGTCGGTGGACAAACGATAGGACGGATCGCTCGACACGCACGGCACAACAGCCACCCATCTTCCAGAGGATACTCAACAAAGTCATGGGCACTTCGTCCTCCCAGCCCTCATTCGCCATCATACCGCCTTCAGATCCTTTCGAACATCAAGTGCAGCCTTCTCTTCAAGATCAACAAACTAGAGATCGCGTACACGCTCGTATTAGTAGCCGAGACTTTGATTTTGGCGGTGGACTTCTCTTCCCTCGCCCACCAATCCATACTGGTTACTCGAGCGCTAGCGCGAGCACGGCACGGGATGATATGAGAAAGTGGGGTGGCGTTCTTCCGTCGCGTTGGTCTTCCGGCACTGGAAACCGGACACCCGTCAACGGAGCAGAAGCATCGTCGATGAGAAATGTTCCTACCAGTTCTGCCCCTGGTGAACCCGCTGCAGCCCCGTCACAGATGGAACAAGGAAATGCTCGGTCTGGGCCATTGGTAGGCACGCCAATTCGTTCTCACCAGGACCTGCAAACACAGATGAGGGAGCGTACTCCGACCACTACCCCGATTCCTCTTATGGGCTTTGGACTTCGCCCGCCGCCGCCATCTGCGTATCCAATCGAACGTACTGTATCAGGTGTCTCATCCGGTACTGGTCGCTCGACAGTATACTATGACGCTCACTCGAGGATGAGTACGCCAATGGGCACTGTCAGCACGAGCCGCGAGCACGCAACGACCCCTGTCGCTCGTCTAGAGTCTCCACCACCGCAACCTATCGGAGCTCTCCGCTCTGCGCGGAGTGCCGCATCTCTTCAATCAGCTGGCTCCGGTCCAGCACCCCCAGGTCTTTTCGTCACGCCGTCTGGACAAGACGAAGACATTCTTGACGAGGCTCCACCAATGCCTATACGTGACGTCCGTCAAGCAAGATCGCTCAATACCATTCTCTCCGTTAGCAGTGCAGAGACGTATGATACTGCGAACCCTCCACCGTCCATCGGGCGTGCCTTCCTCCGAGATGAAAACATCAGGTTCCCACCACCAGGTCTCGATCCGGCGCCACGAACCTTGCGTTCCGTGCCATCGGATATCACTCCTTCAGAAGCCGCTGATGCTGACTTATCGGCAGGGTATCGAACAGGAAGCATTGGTGGTAGTTGGCCTCGCGATAGAGACAACGTGATTCATGAGGACGAGGATATCCTAGAGGATGAGCCGCCGATGGCTGCTACGCAGTGGCGTGTACTTTCTGCATACCCCAATTCGGAGACTGGAAGTAGAGGCGGTAGTGTCAGAACTGGGAACACTGGTCGCGAGATGGGTGAACGACCCGATTGGAGACTCACTCTGGGACAGGTACGCTTGAAAGTTGCCTGAAGCTTTTCGCTATTGCTAACCATCCTGACAGTCTGTTATTCTCAACAATGCTCAGGGGACAGGAAGTTCTCGCAATTCGCAATTTGATAGCGTTCTCGCCCCGCATCACGAACAGGCTAGCCAAGCTGGCTCTGGATCCCAAAACTCGCGCGGTAGCTCCAATCGCACAAACGCCAGCCACTCTCGGGATATTCATTCACTTCGTGCCGAGGAGATTGGGGGAACTGGCGGCTCCGGTGGCTCCAATCAGTCAAAACCATCCCGACGCTCGGTCTCGGAACATGGTGCCTACAACTATTCATCTGAGACGGTGGGTGAAGGCGCAGCGCTTCTCAGTGCATTCGGATCTGGACCAGGATCGCGACCATGGAGCAATATTGGTCGCAGTCACGATACAACCAATACCGGTGGTGCCGTCATCTCTCCATCTCCTCGTCGGTTCTCCTTCTGGAAGCGAGAAGGCAGAGAAAGTCCCCGCCCACCAAGTCAACAAGCACCTCGTGCGAGTACTCCTCCAACCGCACCCCTCGCAACAACCACCCCTGGTATTCGCCTTGTTGGTTCCTCGCGATCGGCCAGCATGGACCAAGTTCCCATTACCCAAAATTGGTCGTCACAAGCGATTCCTCGGGATGTCACGCCCGCAGATGGTCGTCGAGGCTCTCAGACGCACTCCTTTGTCTATCGCGAGTCACCTCTCCATGCATATTCACCCCTCCGCTCTGCTTCCCCTGGTCCTTCGCACGCACACTCGCTCTCAGGAGGAGGAAGTCATGATCATCATTCACTGCCGAGTATGAGCTTGGACCACAGCCATACGCATGGTACGCACGGTCAAGAGACGACGCTGGCAACGATGACCGAGGCAATGACGGATGATCACGAGCACGAAATGCCGCCAGAGATACCGCTTTCAGATATGGAGCAGATACTGCAAGAGCATAGGCTTCCTGATGTCGGTGGCGGAGGCGAACCCAAGATTGTCAACGAGGACATCGCGCGTGAAAAGCTCCTGCAGGGGCGAACGTCACCGCCGACTACCTCTGCTTGGGCAGAGGCTTCGCGATGGCAGCAGCTATGATTGAAGTGTTTCCCAATGGACTAGCATGCCGCGAGCCGCGTGCATTTTCATGATTTGTCCGTTTTCGTCTCTTTTGTCTTATTGTAGTTATCTCTTGCTTATTTTACAATGATTTCGCTCGATATTTCGCTCGATAGATCGTTGGTCGAGGGCAAACAAACCTTGGCGCCTTGCACTTTTGGCGCGCTCCTAACTTGTGCTCTCCCATCTCCAGACTACACCAAGGACGTCAGTGTATCTAAGTTGGGAATCATGAATGGTCCCATATCGACTGGTCCTGGACTGCGTTTGCTCGTACTCGGTGAGTCCGTCACACCCACGAGTAGATCAAGACTCATGGTGACGAGTTTAGATGGAGGGGACACACGATCTATATCTCAACTCGTTATTCTTGATCAAATTATGAAACGAGTCTCTTGGAAGGACGATCCACAGCATGAAGAGTGCATCAAACCTTGCGAGTTTTTCGATCTTGTCATGGGAGTAGGCACCGGAGCGTAAGTTGCCTTTCTCATCAAAACCCCAAATTCAGAGTTTGTAGTGTCATCGCCATGCTTCTAGTCGTCTGTCGTGCAACGATACCAGAGGCTAAGCGGCTGTTCTTCGAATTCTGCAAAGACGTGTTTCAAGACGGGCAAATGTCTGCGACCGAACGAACGAAGAGGCTCGAGTCGGCATTAGAAAACATTCTGTCGCAAAAGGGACTATCACCGGACACAATGTTACTCGAGCAAAGTCGGGATAAAGATCGTAGTCTCTTGTTCGTCAAGACTCCTTTCTCTATAGCCATACTGACCAACCCGCAGGGTCATTGGTGCCACAAGTGCGGCAAACCTCCAGCTGTGTCGTCGCTTTCGAACATACCGGTCATGTGATGCACAGGACGACGTTTCGATCCTCGATGCCATCCATGCTTCTTGTGCTCACGCCAACTTTATCAATTCAGCCTTTGTGGGCAAGTCTACATTTTCCGAGGAGTATACAGGGACAAAGTTCTTCTTTACCAACCCAGCGCGTGAAGCGATTCAGGAAGCGCGCAGTCATTTTGGTCCGATGGCACAGGTGGCTTGTGTTCTCAGTTTGGGATACACGGGTTACGAGACGTGGTCCGCAAGTACGTCTGGCTCTCGAACGGCGCTGCTCGATGTGGATCAAACAGTTGCACGGGAAACAGAACGGATAGCCACTGAATTAGAGAGGCAATTGGGTACGAGGAATGTTTTCTTTCGGTTCGCTGTGGAGAAGGGATTAGAGTCGCCTATTGTGGAAGTCTCACCAATGTCGATCGGAGCCATCAAGTCGACTACTGAGAGCTATCTGGGTCAGCCGCGCGTGAGCTCTCTAATAGATCAATATGTCGCCACCTCAAGCCATCCTGGTGTGCTCACCATTAGTGCCATGTGTGAGCAGTCCATTTCCTCACATTCCTTCTCATATAAACTTTGCATCCAGGCGCATTGCAGTCAAAACCATTGACCGTCATCCAGGGTTTGCCTCCTCTTTCCAAGTTTCATGTCGTGAGACAGCGACAGTTGGCTCTCATCGCAGAATCTCTGTTCAGTGAAGAGGATGGACAAGCTATGGTAGCCGTGACAGGAGCTGGAGGCACCGGAAAAACTCAGCTGGTCGCCCGATTTGTTCGAGACTATCGACATAAGTAAGCAAGGCCCATGTCAGCATTGAGTAGCACTCATCATACTGGCAGATTCCCCAATGTATTATTCCTGGATGCAAGTTCGACCCAGACGATCCGCAGCTCACTCATTGCAAGAGCTCGCGACCTGGGCCACTTTTGCAAGTCTGTCGAGGAGGTACTCGATACCCTGACACGTTGGGACGACGCGTCTAATGGCCCGTGGTTGATGGTTTTCGATAAATTGGACGACAAGGATATCGTAATTCGGAACTTCATACCAAGCTGCGAGCATGGATCAATCATAATTACCAGCAGGCTGAATGACATGGGCCAACTATCGCATCATCATGTGAAGCTGGATACCATGGATCCCAACGAGGCCGCTTCGACGCTACTGAAGGCTGCTTTGGGTCCTTCAACCGTTCCGACTCCCGCTGAGTTCGATTTGGGCCTAGAGATTGCAGAGCAGCTGGGATATCTCCCAGTAGTTCTTGTGCAAGCAGGTTGCTATATCCATTCGACGCGCCGTCTCCACCAGTTCCTCGATATGTTGCAAATGAGTCGCCACAAGGTACTTACGCAATCCATTAAAGCAAGAGACGCATATGAACACAACGTATATGCGATGATTGATGTGACGTTGGATTCATTGTCGAAACGGGCTCAAAATTTCTATTATCTACTCTCATTTGCACATCATCGAGACCTCCCACGCCCTTTGATCAAGCTGGCTGCTCAATATCACTTTCTTCTCGAATCCCTGACCCTCTTGGAGCGACGCCCCGACTTTTCGGAAACGACGGAACTCTTATACGACACCTTATCCCCCTCAAGAGAATGGCAGGATCATGAATTCGACGACCTCGTTGTCGAGCTCCAACGAGCTTCGTTGATGACCGTCGAAGAATGTAATGGTGTCGTCACACTCAACTGTAATTCGCTGCTGTTGGCGTGTTCGCAGGAGAGGTTATCGCAAAGCGAGAAGCTCATGTACGCGCGTGCTATGAGCCGCATCATTGCATCTGGTACGACGACGGCTGGAGTCGCGCTGCACGAGTACTTGGTGCCCCATATTCGTGCACTCAAGGGATACTGGAATCAGCTCGAAGTCAACGATCGCGCAGGCTTCGCGGATCATCTCGCGTGGCCAGGCATTGCCGACGAGTGCGTTCAGATATGGGAAAGCATCCGGGATGAAGTCGAGGCCGCATCAGGCCCCACGAGCGAAGCGTTGATGGTTGTATTGAGGCGGTTATCCAACGCATATGTTTTGCAGGGTGATAACAAGCGCCACGAGCATACAGAGGAATCTATACGTCGCCTCCAAAGTGTCCTCGAAGAAAGAACAATCTCTACCCACGAGCCAGATCCTTTGACTCCAGTCTCGGCCAATGACCACATGTCAGATGCACCCACTGGTATGGCCGTGGCATTATCTTCTTTAGAGTCCCAAGTTCAGTATTTCAAAATTCAGGGGTCGTGGAAGGAGGTTATACGCGTCGGGAGGCAAATTCTCAACATACGTGATGGCTACTTCAATTCTGACCGCCATGCCACCCTACATACACTGCGACTCCTCGCAGTAGCGCATGAAAAGCTGAATCATTATGCGGACGCTAAGGCCCTTTGGACGAGGATTCTCGAATCTCAAGGTGATTCAATACCGAAGGAAGAACACAGTACAACGCTTCAACACCTCATTTCCTGCTGTGAAATACTCAAGAGTTATACCGACTTGGAGGCTGCGTTGGAAGAGTTGATCGATTTGCAGCTGGGCGACGAGAGTACATCGCGAGAGGCCATTGAGGAGACGACGTTGCGACTGCGGATGACATACGAGAAAACCCAACGTCACTTCAAGATCGATCATCTTCTAAAGCGCATTTTAGACACTAATCGCGAGCGACAATGTCCCCAGGATGTTATTTGTGCGGATATTGACCGCCTAGCTACTTATTACGGTGATTATGGAGAGTCTTCAAAGGAGGAGGAATATCTCAACTTGCTGATTCAAGAACAAAAGGCGCTATATGGTGTGCGCCATGTATCTACTGTACGCACAATGCGCCGTCTTTTGTCCTTGCTTGTTCATCTGGGCCGAGAGGAGGAAGCAGCGCAACTGCGAAAGCTGATAGAGAGTATTACGCTATCGCAAAATGCACTAGATAGGACTGAGCATCTCAAACGTGGCATCGAGGACAACATCCATGGGTCCCATATTCCTGAAGCACTCGCAGGTCTCACTGCCCTCTTGATTTCAACAGAGCCTGCGGGTTCCGAGCACATAGACGTTTTAGAGTGGGCCGCAAATACCTATGAGACAATCGGGTATCACAGAAACGCAGAGACACTATGGCGAGATGTTCTCCAAGTTCTCCGTCGCGACAGCATCGCAAACGAACCGAGTATTCGAGTTATTCTTAACCGAATAGCTCATGCTTGCGAAATGCAAGCGAAATATACAGAATCTATCGTCGAGCTCCTTCAGTTGTTGGACATGGAGCCTGTGGACGATTACGAAGGACGCGTCTCTATCATGGAGCGTATTGCTACTGATTACGAGTCTTGTTCTGATTGGACATCTGCCGAGCAAATGCGAGAAAATATCGTGGACGTGACAAGAAAAAAGGTTGGAATTACGCACGACAACTATTGGTCAACCCTGTGCAAGTTGCTGACGCTGCGTTTGTCTCAAGGGAAGCCGAAGGAGGCATGGAATCCCCTTGTTACATACCTATCTAGGCTGCTACTACGCGACATCCATAACCGAGAGGCATACCTTCTACTCGTCGACATCTGTCGAGGCCTGGGTGAGGAAGAAACAACAACTATGTGGGCCAAGTCAATTCAAAAGGAATACAGCTACCTGCAAGTGTCCCTAGTCACTGGGATATGCTCCCACGTGCAGCGACTTGGCTCTTCTGCGGTTAAGCCGGTTGTAGTCCCTCTTATTATGGGCTACTGCGGTCTGCTAGAAGAATCGATTACGACAGTAGTCTCGCCGAAAATTGATGATAGTGCGGTGAGGGCGCTAGTACTTGGGGTAGAAGTCCTCGACCGAGCCTATGAAGCGTACGGTCAAGACGCGCCAATTGTGCGTGTCTGGCGCCTAATACTGGCAGCCAAGTCTGCAAAGCAAAAGCTGGAAATTGCAACGTCCTGTGATGTGGCTTCTCGCTATGCTAGCACCGAGATTGTTTTGCAAAATCTCATCGACCACACTCCTGAAGCCGACACTGTAATCGCACCGAGAGACTTGCTTTCTAGACTCTCTTCGATACAATCTAGACGTTCTCTGCGCGATGACGATGTCCGAGCATGGTCCAGCTTTGAAAAGGCGAGCGACGAAGGAGATGTGGAGGCGCAGCGTACCTATCTCCGCGATCCGGTATTCAAGAGTCGGGTCGAACGCCTTATTAAGAGCCATCAATCTCATAACAACACGGATGCCGCACTTCAGAAACTCCACACCCTCTCATCCGTCCAACGATCCGTCCTGGGCATTGCCAGCGCAGAGACCCTCTTCACCATTGACCAGACGCTCCAAATATGCAAAGAAGAGCGGCGCTTCCAAGAGGCCGAGCAACTCCTTCGCCAGTGCAAAGAAGTTGCTACGAGGGAGGATGGAGGTGCCTTCTTTGCGATTGCCGTTCGGGAGGCCAAAGTCCGCCAATGGGCGGCAGAGGCTTCATAAATGTAGGAAAAATAGCTTGAGAAATCTTTATTCTTCCACGAAACTAGATACAATGGGAAGTAGACAAATAATGACAGCAACAGCTCAGAAAAAGACAAATGTAAGGGTTATCATGATAAAGAGACTACAAGGTATAGCAAGTCCTTGTCTTTTGGGTGACGCGAAAACAGCACGTTAGGGGTCTGTAGTAACTGTCGAAGCCGGGGGATCAGGCGCGACGGATGCAAGATTGGCCGTTGGAGAGTCTGTCATAACTGTGTCGGTGGGCGCAGTTGTCAGCACGCCCGTGGGGGTGTTCATGGACACAGAAGAAAGTCCCGGAGTAAGCTGGGTTGAGGCAACGGCGGTGGGAGCCAGTGAGGATGGTGGTCCACCTGGAGTCGACGGAACTTGACCCTTGCGCTGTGCAATCTTGTAGAGATGCTGACGGTTCTTGAGATGAACCTCGAAGTTTTCCAATGTCTCTTCTGGACCGGGTTTGTAAAGCTGTATCAAATTGTCAGCAATTCTGTAGCCAGGAAGAGTCGAGCCATATACGAGCCTTTTGTGGACAATCATTGCACTTGACACGCCACTCGATGGTCCCGTCTCCAACATTCGGGTCGGTTGGCTTTCGGAGCACGTAAAAGGAACTATCTAGATATTGGGCATGCAAGCGCGCGATCTCGTCGAGAAGCCATTGTGGCTTCTTAACAGCATTGATTAGACATCATTGTAAAGCCAAGAAAAATCAACTTACAGGCTCATCGTTCGTTTGCGACGTCTGCCGTCTCAAAGGAGCAGGGGGTGTCGGCGTAACGGGACGAGGAGGCTCTGGGAGCTTGTCAAAAGTCGAGTTGGTCGGCTGTGGAGTAAAAGGAGGTGGTGACAGAGACGAATCAGGCGAATGGACGACTTGCTTGGATGTCTTGGAGTTATTCAACGGTCGAGGCACCGTGGTGAACAAGGGCGCCGACTGTCCTTGATTCGCGCTAGAGCTTTGTCGCTGAGCTGCCGCCGCTGCTGCTGCGTTGCGACTGTCGACAATGGCAGCAGCAGCCGCCTGCGCGGCCTTGAGACCGCCCTTCTTCTTCAAGCGCCGATATTCATCTTCTTTTTTCCGCCTCTCCAAATGATATTCCTTATCGGTGCGATATATGATGTCCATCGGCTTGCGATGTCGATGCCACCATTTCCCACAATCTCCACACATCGTCTTTGGCCCCAGCGGTCCTTGACGGCGACCAATGGCGATTTCCTCTGGGCATCCACAGCTTGAACAGTGCCATACACCGTCGATCATATTTGGATGCAGACCTTCTGGCAGCTCACGTTCTCTGTAGAGTGTCTTCTTCTTCTCACCAGCCTTGACCTTTCCATCCAGACCGCGCAAATATTCTGGCACGGGTCCATCAGGATTGACGGCAGTACTTGGGGGTACAGGTCGAGAGCGCAAGACGCGGGCTGCAACAGGCGGTCCGCGAAGGAGCTCTTGACGATCCTTTTTAGGAGGCTCCTGTTTGGCCTGTTGGGCCATGGAGCCGTTGGCTGGGGCAGACATTTGTCGTTGACCGGGTTGTTGTGGCGTAGCAGCCATTGTGCCCATGAAGGGTGCAGGTTTGAGGTCCGGTTCCGACTCGATGACGGCAATTTGTGCATTCGCGCGCTCTGCTTGCACTGCAGCCTGTCGACGGGGTGCCGCATAGTTCTGCGTCTCCTTTTCAACTTCGGGGAAACCGATCATGGGTGAACGGAACGTCTTGAGAGGCTCGCGATCTGGCAATGGGATTGCGCCTGCCCTTCGACCACGAGGTTGCCTTCGCTTTCTCGGGCCTCCCCGCTCAAAGGTCTTCTCTAGATCGACCTCGTTGAAGAATCCGAGTTGGGGTGTGTAGGCGGCAATCTGATCCATCGGACGAATACACGAAGCCAACGAGGGCAAGAACGCCAGGCGAAGATCCTCGTCTTGAATGGTCGTACCGTCCATTGGATGCCCAACGAGGTAGAGCGATTTTTCATACACTTGAACTTGCTCGCGAATGCTGTGCGCAATTGCCGTCTTGAATTCACCAGAAAGGCCGAGATCTACACAGTAGACCTCTGCAAATTGCTCTGGCGAGTTGCGCTTGTCCGAAATGTCCCATTCGAATTGATCCTCCAGTCGTCGAACGCCAAACGCAATATCAAGCTAGTGAAGGTTCAGTATTCACAGAGTGCATCGGTACTATGCATACCTTGATCAAAATCCTCAAGTCTTCATTGATGTTATCGGCTGGCTCCTTTTCTTCGTCGTCCACAAAGATCAGCTCGCGCTGATATTCATCCGGCTCTGACACGATTGGCACCTTCAAGTCGACCTCTTCAGCTTCGATCTTGACACTCTTGGACGACGAGCCATTGGCCAACGACGCCTTGGACTTTCGTCCTCCTACGCGTAACGCCGGCTTGGAGCTTCGACCCGCCTTGCCAACCCCAGCTACTTTGGCCTTTGAGGACTTTCGAACGGCCGAGCCATCAAGAGCGCGCATTCGCTTGCGCCATCGCTCCCACCACTGCACCTCGTCCTCTTCCTCAAACTTGCCGACACCGCTTGGGCCATCGTTTGCGGGTCGATGTCGCTTCTTGCCAATGCCACTATCGACAAACGAGGCGCGCTTTTTGATGGCCGATATCGGTTTCTCGCTCTTTTCCCGTTCGCCAGGAAGAGGCGTAGCGGACCGCGATCGAGAGGCTTCCCTGCCGAGACCATTGACCGTCAATCCTCCAATCGTCGATATGGGCTTGCTATGGATTGGGAGCGGGGTACCAGATGTAGACGGTGGTACAGCAGCAGTCGAAGGCTTGGTCGTATTTGCCTCAATCTCCACGCGATGATTCTTGTAATCCGTAATCTGTTCGTGAATGCTCGAGACGACTTGATCGATAAACTTTCTGCGTGCACTCTCGCTGGCTTGTCCCAATCCGAATCCAATGGCAAAATCGTCGCAGAGTGTTTGTGCAAACACGGTTGGGGTGACATATGGGTCTATCCCAGATAAGTTTCAGAATACAACATCTACTGAAAACGCACCATTGGCATTCCAGACAAACGTGTCTCGCAAGCGATTGTACCCATCTCCAATGTCGACGTCGATTCGCACAGGGACCAGCATTTCTTGCTTGCTCACCGCTTCTGGGTCCACCTTCTTTGGCCTATGATAACCGCTACGTGAGCACACGACCACAAACCAAGTAAAGCACCCACAAAAACACGGGCTGGCGACCCAAGCGACTAAACTTGGACTTTTTCTCTTCACGCTTCCGATGAGGCCACAAGAGCGCATAATGGGGCGGTTTATGATCCTTGCGCGCGTCTTCTCGATAGTCCTTTTCGAACCACCGAATCTTGGAGCCCGTCACACCAACACCAACTCCAGACGCACGAAGTGGGTGATCATTGGGCGCATTCGAAAAGGCCTCTTTGAGCTCGCGTCCCATTGCCTCTTTCATCTTGCGATACTCAATCTCATACGCTCGGTCCTTTTCGATCCACTCGTGCACATTCTCAATCTCCTCTTTTGTCAAATCCGGCAGTGTCTCGCTGAGTGGGTGTTCTGGATCATCGGCGGGCACGGGCGTGATTCGCGCGAGACTTGGGATGAGAGCGGCCCTCTGACGCGGTGAAAGGGTGCGTTCGGCAATGTTCTGTGGTGCAGGTGGAACTGGCGGGGCAACGGCAGTAGCAGTAGCAGCAGCAGCAGCTGATGCAGACGTTCCTGGAGCAGATACAACCGCACCAGCGCCAGATCCCGAAGACGAAGGTGGGACGACTTGACCAGGGACACCACCAGGTCGTGCATGACGTGCCATGGCGATGGGATTGTTCACATTCGGAATCATCATCGGTGCACCAATGCTCATCGGTCCAGACGCCGTCAATGGTGCACCACCATACGGAGCACCAGCACCGGGAGCACCAGGAGGAGCCGTTCCAGGCGGCATACGTGGATTCGGTTGAAGCGACGCAAGAGGCGCAGGTCCAAGTCCACCTGTAACCTGACGAAGATTTGTCGCGCCAGCACCAAACGGTGGTTGACCAGGCTGGACACCATTGATCCCCATCGTTCCAGGGATCGACATGCCACCAGGGAGTTGAGCTTGAGGAGGACCCGGATGCGATGGCGTTTGTGGTGTTGGCGTCTGCTGAGTCGGTTGTCCACCGGGCGTAGGTGTAGCAAACATGCCAGGTGCAACCGTCGATACACCCCCCATGCCGACCTGTTGACCAAGCATTTGAAGCTGCGTCAACGCCGATGGGTCGTTCCTCATCATACCCATCCCACCGGGCATCATTCCACCCAATGGCGTAGGCGGAGGTCCCATTCCACCAGTCGCACTCGGCTGCATACCCGGATACGACGACATCCCAATTTGAGAACCAGGCGGAGGAGGCGGCATCATCCCACTCGTATTCACCGCCGTCGAACCACTCGCGGAACCAGCTGCAGATGGAGGTCGATTGAAACCCTGAGTGGCCGTCGCAGACGTAGGAGTCGACGAAGATCCCGGCTGTTGTTGTTGTTGTTGTTGTTGTTGTTGCCCTCCTCCCATACCTGGTGGCGCCATCGTCGTCGCATGGGCCGACTGAGGAGTGAGCGTCGGCGTCGGTTCGCGTCCGACAGAGGCAGAACGTGGAGCACCCGGTGCAGATGCCGGTGTCGCTGGCGTCTGGGGAACGTTTGGATTCGCATTCGCTGGCGAAAACTGTTGAGTGCCTGCGCTCGATGGTCCATGCTGGGAAGGCGTTCCAGTCGTGTATGGAATGGCAACAGAGGGACCAGTCATGTCCATATCCTGCGAGCGACGATGCTGTTGCTGTTGCTGTTGTTGGCGATACTGTATCTGCATCACTTGTTGAGGCGTCAATCCCGTCATTGGCATTTGCATCCCTCCAGCGCCACCCATGTTCATTGGCATCGTCATGGACACTTGCATCGGGTACCCATTTGGCTGAGAAACACCTTGCTGTTGTTGCTGCTGCTGTTGTGGTGTTTGGGTACGCTGTTGTGGCGTCGGAGCGCGCATAGCTTGGGCAGATGGCTGAGAGCGTGAAACAGGCGTTGGTGGTCCTCCCATCGACCCTTGCATAGGGACTGTACCAGGCATCATTGGCCTTGGTTGATGAATGCCACCCATCGCGGACGGAGGTCGTCCAGGTCCGGAGATGGTGCCATTTTGCGGTTGCTGGCCTGGCTGCTGGGATGCCGGTGCGGGCGTTCCAGATGTCGAATGTGCCGTCGATGGTTGGGCGTTGGGTTGAGTTGTACGCGTGGGCTGCGAGGGATTCGATCCAGGAGCGGCTTGCATATAATTGCTCATCATCTGCGGGTTAGGTTGTGTCGATTGGGCGTAGAGTGGGTTCATAGACGTTGGTAGCGACTGCTGTGGTTGTTGCGGGGTCGCTCCAGGCGGTAGAGGTGCACCCATGCCGGGCGCAGTCGGAGGACGTTGTCCATAGGACATACCCATTGCTCCTGCCAATTGATAAGCTTGAGCGCTCTCAAAGGATGAAAAAGGCCGCATACCATATTGTCCATAAGCTTGTTGAGGGTATCCAGCACCGGGGTTTGGGTATTGCTTCATGGCCATTTGCCCAGGAGCACCCATCATTTGTGCACCTCCAGGCTGAGCATACATGGACGGAGGCTGCTGCATATACTGCATTTGCATCCCGGGATTCGCCATCGAAGGTTGTCCGCCCGTGGCACCCATCATCGGATTCGGGTATCCAGGTTGACCAGGCATCCTCCCCGGATATCCAGATGGATTCATCTGCATACCCGCCATATGACCCATACCGTCTCCCGAGTGTTGTGGCTGAAGCGGCTGATGCATTTGCATCATCCCCGGTTGGGCCATGGAGGGATTACCGGTAAACTGCTGTGACATCCCCTGGGGTTGATGACCCATACCGGCAGCGGCATTGGCAGCGTGCGCCCGCATCTGCAGCTGATATTGATTGAGCAGTTGGGATTGCTGCACGGTTGGGTTTGAGAGCATGGGCTGGCCAGAAGGAATACGGGCGCCGTATGGATATTGTTGTTGTGGATTTGCCATGATTATTCGTCGTCTGAAATCGACTGGCAAGGGCGGCTTCAAAATCAGCGTCGCCGGCAGCACGGGCAAGAGGCTTTACGCACGTCAAAGATGACCTGAAATCGTGCCAAAAGAATGTTGCAAAAGACGTCCAGCTGGCAGAGGACGAGGCGTAGGGGTGGAAAACTGGGCTAGGCCAGAGCAGAAACCTAGACAGCAAACAAAAGTGAATCTATGCAGGTGAAAAGGACGAAAAAGAGCAAAGACGAGGCGGTCTAAAAAGCAAGGGCGAAAACCACGACGGCGCTAAGCAAGTTGGCGGCGTGCGCGTGCGAGAAGAGGGAAGCCATGGAGCGGAATAAGTTGGAAAATGCGCAACAAGGTAGAGGAAGATGGACGCGCGGGGAGGACGAGACGACTGGACGCGTCGCGGTGGTCTCAACGCGCCAGCTAAGCGCAAGGCTGGACTTTGGGGGAAGCGTGGACAAGAGGACGACAGGGAAGATTAGAATCGAAAATGAATCGTACCAGAGATTGTGAAACCGAGTAGGCAGGACAGACACAGGCTCTCCTGGTCGATTATGCTGATTATCGGATCTTCCGAGCGCCCGCCGCGGCCCAAAAAACACGACCTAAGGTTGTTTTGGATTGCAGACGTAGAAATTGAATAAGCTGGGGCGGCTGTTCTCGCCAGTGTCTCCGCGTCTCCACTTCGTTTTCTTCCAAACGGCTTGTCTGGGCCTTGAGAGTGTGTGGGCCTGGGACGGCGAGGGGCGTAAAAAAGTCGAAAGAAATGGACAGAATCAGATGCGAGCGTGCTCCGTCGTCGGCGCTGGCCAGGCCGCGGGCGTTGCTCAGAGCAGAGTAGAGTCCAAGTTTTGGACCAGCGCCCGGGGCGTCCAACTGGGGGGGAGAGCAAGGACATCAGAGAGTCCAGGAGACGATGGATATCGTGGTTTCCATCAAACTAAACCACAAATTGTGGCAGGAGGACGGCGGGGCGCACAGGCATCGCTGGCCGGGGGACGAAGAGCCAAATGGCGGGACGAGAGCGTGGCGTCCAAACTGAGACACCTGACACGCTCCAAACAATTCCCTATCTCGATCCATGGAGAATTGTACGGGCCACTGCTCCTCGTCACGCCAGGAGTGGCACTTTTGGTGTTGCAGCACTCGCTCCATCGTCTCCACTTTGATGATTAAATTGGGTATATCTCATCCAACTATGACTACTAGCAGTCCATCCAATCATAACCCCTATATTCCCATCTCCGCTACACCAACACAGCCACTGATAATCCGGCATATGGTCTCCCATACGCGCACATATGCTTCACATGGTTCACCACAATTCGAATCCCGTAAGCCCTCTTTAAACAGCCCACCTGCATCTCCTCCATCTTGGACCCGACCACGACCATCCCTTGTCAACCGGCCACTCGCCAGCCATGCTCGCCCTCTTGCTCTCTGCAACGCTCGCACTCGCCCAGTCGATAATCCCTACGTGCCAAAAGACATGTCAGGACAAGTCACTCACCATTGCGGGGTGCACCGCTCCGTATGTCTTTCTTTCCGCAATGTCTCGTACTCACCCGTGGACAGAACCGATGCCTGTGCTTGCAACTCTCCCTACGAGTCTGCCATGACCAATTGTCTCGTACAACCAACTTCAGAGGGTGGCTGCACCTATGATCAGATCCTGTCCTGGCAAACCGCCTACTACACGCAGTGTCAAGGTCAGAACACCATTCCCATCAAGAAGAGCACTCCATACTGACAATGACCCAGTCTCTGCGCCTCTGGTACCCCCATGCTTGACAATTTGCGACTTGCAGTCCATCGAGCTGGCAAACTGTTCCTCCGAGTGCGTACGCCCCCCCACCTCCACATGACCTCGCTATTCTAACGTACAGCCTAGGTCCGACACAGCATGCATATGCGCCAGCACCTATACCAACGCCGCAACATCCTGCATCTCAAAGGGTTGCCCCGACAGACTCGATAAATGGACTCAAGATCACGCGACTCTATGTGGTACGCTTCTCTCTCCATGAGCCAAAACCCTTCTAACTCTTACCAGGTTCGTCTACTGGAACCTCATCCGGCTCTACAAACACAGGATCCAGCACCTCTTCAAGATCAGCTACAGCAACATCCGTCTCATCAAATGGTACACAAACGGGCACCGGCACCGCATCGAGTGTGTCCTCGACCGGTACAGGTAGCACCGGGGCCGCGGCATCTAGTCCTAAATTTGCCATCTACGACGGCCAAAACGTCAAATGGGTCATTGCTGGCACTTGGATGCTCGTTCTCGCTGCCGTCGGGTTCTGACCTAGGCCTACTTTACAATGATGGACCATGCGCTGTGCGACGTGGGTGTCACGAGCTATGTTCAGGTAGTGCTGGAATACAAGAAACGACGTTTCTACGTTATTACCATTCGCTCTCCTGGTCAGGCGTTCGGCCTCTGTTATTCCCTCGGAATCCAAGGCGCGCGCTCGCCTGCTTCAATGGTCAGTTTGAGCAAAGAGCAGAGGGTCGTATGATCCAAGAAAGCCGTCTTCGCTAAACCGCGCCGAATCTCCTCGATGTTGTTCATTAGCTTCGAGGTGACCGTCAACTTGCCATCCTCGACAAGGTTTTGAACCATTTTAACCCTCCGACTGAACACATCTTGAAGATCCTCTAGCGATTCTGAGCTGTAGTGAGCATCAAGAGTGTCGAGGCCAAGGGAACTGTAGTGATGCCGTCGGCCGTCGAATTCAGTTCCATGTTTCTTTAGATCCCAATCCACTTCCTTGAGTTTCTTCAATACGTCGTACAACTCCCGGAGCAGGGTTTGAATCACACGAAGGCCCTCGCCCAGTTCCGGACATTTCTCGACGCGTATCGAGTTGGCGAGCATGGTGATACTCGGCTGAAAAATATGTTAAATAAAATGTTATGGTTGGAGTACTTGTATGTCCCTTGCGAGCAAGGGGTCGGACCAGTTCAATGTTGAGCTCTGCACTGACCTTCGTAGCTTCAGCGGCGAGCTAGAAGCAAGGAAGGAGTAATAAATAATCGAGCGTCTGACAAGCGCGAGGTGACTACGATGTGGGTGACGTGGAGGCGTCCAAGTGCTGGCTGGGGCGAGGGATCGAATCCGCTGGTACGAGCATTCTTCTACCCATTCCATATCACGCTAGTTGAATACCCTCGCGAAGTGGCAAGACATGTGGGGATCAGCTGTAACGTATCTTAGTATAATTGACAGAGGAAAGGGGCTATAAGCTACCGAGTTTATCAGCCATTCAAACCCGCCACTTCAGATGCGAAAGTATCTCTCTACAGTTTGCTGAGAATCTAACGATGGACATGGGTCAAAGTAAAGAGATGGTGCTCATATATCCGTCGCCTCGGAAGTGCAATTAATTACTATGAGCAGCGCTTGTGGCCGCCAATTAGAACGCGTTATTTACCGTTTGACTCCTGACATCGACTAGGTCGGCAGCTCGGCTTTGAACATCATTCAATATTGACGTGGCGAAGGGTTGTCCTGTCGGCAAGTAGCACTTAGCATGTCAACTCTCGTCAAAGAGCAAATGGCTTGTACGCCTGGAGTTTAAAATATAGATCCTAATTAGTGACTAGAACATAACTTAACGATTAATCAACCAGCAATGCAGAATCTAACACTGAAAATCCAGTCGCTAACCCTCCCTCATCGCTCTCTACGCCTTTGGTCCGCAAAAGATAACCACCGCTCTCTTCCTGCAGCTTGATGGAGGAAGGGAGAGAGGTTTGGGTGTGCGTGAAGAGCGCCCATCCAAAAGTACCCAACTCACTCACCACATTCGCCAATGTGTTTTCTCTCCCGCTTCTAACGAGCCAATTTCTCACACCAACCGGAGCGCGAATCAACCTCATGGCGATCCACGCCTCCCTTTCCTTTTCGTCCAGCCCTTCCAAAAACGATGGAATGTGTGCTTTGTACACATTGTTTCCACCTCCCTCGCGTTGGGGCTTGAGCACCATATCCATGTGCTGTGAGAGTGTGCGTGTGATGGCGTTGGGTGTGTCAAGAGAGTACATCTCCATCCAGCTCGCGCGGAGTTCTTCGACATCTCTAACTGTAAACACATGGTCCCCTACGGAGCTCGACTGCTTCTCTCTTGCGTTACGACATAATTTCGGAGATCGGAGGAGGAAACTCTCGACGACACCCGGATCCGATAGCACGGCTTGGATTTTCTTGCTCCCAGCAAGCTGAAGTGCAATAGGTGGGCACTTGATTGCACGTGATCTTTCCAGTAATTTTCGAGTCTCGAAATGTGCTGGCGTTGGATAGTCGGTGGGGGTGTACCCAGCACGAAAGTAGATGACGGAAATTTCCCACCCATCATCTTGGTCTTCATCCACTCCGTCTCTGTCGCACGAATCCTGGTCCTTGACGTACAGCCGCCGCCCATCCCTCTCGGATATACGTGCACTCGCGAGCTGGTCCAACCTCCGTCGGACAACGTGTATCCCATGATGCATCAAGAGTGCGTATTCGAGTGGTTTCTGGTCGAAAATGTTTCGTTCGTTTGGCTGCACCACGAACAATATTCTTGGAACTCGCTTCGTGCCATTTGATGAAGCGCCTAATACCGGGGATGAGCCTACAGCGCCAAATTGGAGGTATGCCTGGTGCGCTACGACCAGACCCTTGACAACCTGAACAAGCGTATCGTTCGTCGCCAAGTTTGATGCTTTGAGGATGTCCGAGCCATGAAAGTATTCCGTACAGGCAAGGAGATACCTTGTTCATGATTAGCACAACAAGTTTACTTTAGAATAAAGGAGTGAAGACCTATGTAGACCATCGGTAGCCTGCGAAAGCGCACCAGCGGCGGAGGCAATGGTGTTGAATTCGACTTGCTTGATAGTCATCTCTCCTCCACCCTCGTCATGTAGCAGATAGTCTGATCGAAAGATTCCCAATTGAAGAGGCTGGTAAACGATCAATATAACCATTTGCTGTGACCAAGATAAGGGCCCACCTGAATAAGACCTTCTGTCCTCACGTCCTTCCATATACGCCACAATGTGCCAACAAAGTTGTCTACCTTGCCCATGCCTACGTCGGCCGAGAAAATGCTATCAAGAAAGTCCTCATCGGAGGCAATTCTTGTATAAAGAACATTGTATATCCTTTGGAGCTTCATTGCATGCTCGAATAAGTGGCGAGGAAAGGGAGTAGGGAAAAGAGCAAATGGCGCGTGGTCTGCGCTGGCTGGTGCGGGAGATGGATGCTTGGAAGATTCCGAGTGGGGTGGAAGGAAGAGTAAAGAGTTGGCAAGGGCATATGTCGTTGCCTGTAGCGTTAACTCTTCCAACTGTGCTTGAGATAGCGACGGTGGCCACGGAGGAAGAGGCATGGGCGTTATTCCAACGGCGAAGGCAACTCGGGTCAAGATGCAGCCCGTCGGACGGCGTATGTATTTATGGGATCGAATTGGGAGCCAAGAGAGTGACTAATGTGCCATCATGCCTCGGTCGAGCATCCTTCTCGAGCGTTCTAGGCGCGCAAAAAACAAAGCGCTGTCTCAGCGGACTTTCGGGGATGTGTCAACCCTTTGACTGAATAGGCTTGAGGCTTATTCAGGATTGGGTTTACGTTTTCATCCATGCGACTGTCTATCAGCCCCCACTGACTTAGAATTGGCGCTAGTTTGATCTATTTCATGCGCGCTTGCAGATTTGCTGTCACTTTCTGGGGGCACATAAATCTTCCAATGACCTTTCCTAGTACGTACGCTTCTCTGCTAGCTTAGGTAAACGAGGGTTACGAAGCAAGGTTATTACGAAACCAAGTGTCCAATATATGCCTCAATCGGCCAGGGGCCGGGAGGTAGATTAGCGCTTACTGATTGCCGGGACCGATATGATTGCGCAAGCTCGCACTTGATCTCTACCACCATGACCTCGCAGAACAACGCGGAGCCAATCTGGCACAATGCATACCCAACGCCCCGTTTCGACGCGCCTCGAATGTCTCCCGACGAACTCGCAGAACTTGTCAAGACCAAAGTGGCCGGACGCGACTACATTGTCGTCGATGTCAGAAGGACGGATTTCGAGGTTGATAATTCATACATACTCTAGAAAACAGATGCTAACGGGCCATAGAACGTCTTTATCAAAGGCGCTCTCAATCTTCCCGCACACACGTTCTACCCGACCAGAGAAACGATCGTGAAAGTGCTCTCAACGATACCTATCGTTGTATTCCACTGCAGCAGCTGTGGACCAACAGGAAGAGGCCCAAGAACTGCTGGGTGGTACCGCGCAGAACTTGAAAAGCAAGGGATTGACGAAGCTCAATCTTCCGCCCGTGTCCTCGACGGTGGCATCAAGCTATTCGCTGAGCGATACGCAAACGACGCGAGTCTTGTATCCAAGCCATGATGTTCTGATGAATAAACAATACGTTACTTTCGGCACCTGTCCTTTTGGCCCAGCTCACTATGGCTGGTACCAATTTGAACAATACTTATAAAACTGAGAAGGACATTAGCTGTTTCAGACGTCGGTATTGAACCAATTTGATCGCTTTCCAGCGCATCCAAGACTCTAGTGGGATATATATAATACGAACATAGAATCTATCAGGCTATCGACTTAAAACACGACAAAAGAAGGAGTCTAGTTTAATGAATAAAATGATTTCTTTATGGTGGAGCAGCCGTTCCGGATGACTGCTTCGAACGTTTGCTCTTTAGCTTCATCCTGCTGAAGAGGCTTGTGAAACGCCGCGCAAAGCCACCGCTGCCAGAATCGCTAGGTGATTCCGAGAGAGACGGTGTAGCCAATGCTGACGCTGGAGTTGTCACCTCTACATAGTCGTTGCTGTGCTCCGGCACGCTCCCAAGAGATGGGGTCGGGAGATTTCCACTGGATGAGTCTTGACGATGATTTTGATGCGAATTCGCCGAGGTGGCGCTTCCTGGAGTGTGTAGATGAAGTGAATGGGATCCGACGTTGTACATCTCGGCGAATGCCAGGGCTTCCTCATCACGCCCTTGGATACGCAGGTTTCGTACAAGTCGCTGTGAAATATCGACCGTACTCTTGTCTTCCAGTTTTGGTGCTCCGCGAGGGGCCACTTGGTGCAAAAGACATTTCCAAAGGGGCTCTGCGAGAACGAACTGCTTGCGAAGTTCATATGCCTTTGCGAGCTCTTTTGTTGCCCACAATGTATGAGGGTGATCCGGTCCACAATGAAGGCGAGTGTCTGTCTCAATAGGGATCCAGATATCGACAAGTTCATCGTACTTCCCCTGAAGCCCAAGGTTGCGCGCGAGTTGGTGAATAGCCGTAAGGGTGGCATCAGTGTATTCGGGGAGCACTTGCTGTCTCTGATAACTATCGACGACGGCTCGTCGTAAAACTTCCGCCTTGTCGTACCTCTTCAGAGCTTCGTAAACCTGTGCGAGTGCCGACTGTGCGACTCTTGTCTCCTCGGAGAATCGATCCTTTGTAGACTGGAGCTCGAGTATCTTGACACGGAGAGTGATTGCATCCTCCAGCCTCCCGGACTGCTCGTAAACGGCAGCCAGTGCTTCGCTGAAGATGATCCACGGTAGCAAGGATAGGTCATCGCTCGCATTATATCCAAGGGAAAGCTTTTCCTTGAGGAGACGGACGGCCTCTTCAATAGGTCGTCGGTTCTCGTAATTGTTCGCCAGCTTTCTTGCCGCCACTCGGATGTTGGTAAGATTATTGGTTGCTCTCGCCTCTCGCAGGAGATTCTCCCGAAACGGTGTTGCCTGATCGAACTGCCCGTTCATCTCCAGTGCCTCTGCCAAGCGTCCTAGGGTATCATGTTCCACGGATTGATCCGCACCCTTTACGCGTTGTTGATATTGTAATAATGTTGCGAGAAACTTGGCTGCCTCACGATAGCATTTACGCGCTTCGTAGTTTGCGGCAAGCTTCGATAGTGCGTCAAGGGTGCGGGGATCCGTCTTTCCATGATCTCTGAGCAACTGGCTAAGTATTGTAGATCGATGATTCGTCGCCTGTTCTGGTTGCCCCGCCATCTCGTACATTTCTGCGACGAATTCTTGCGCCCAAAGGGTATAGCCGTGCAGCGGACCTAGTTGCTCCCGCCCGTAGGTGAGAAGGGATTCTCCAACCCGGGCTGCCTCTGTATACTGTTCTTCCTGCTGATAACGCATAGCTAATTCCTTCTCAGCTAGAAAGGAGGCAGTATCGCGACCTTGGTAGGTTTGAACGAGTGCAATAGAACCCCGGGGGCTGGAGGGTCCCGCTCCTGGGGTTTGAAGGTGCTCCACTTGGGAATACCGAGGTGTTGGACTTTGCGGGACCAAATGTCGATATGAACTGGTGTTCCACGTTGAGGCCGGGTGGTTTCGATTCCAAAAGTCTGAACCCGATCGATCAGACGCCATGGGTCTTCTTCGATCCATCTGAGCGAGTACCAGATCCAGTTTGGCGATTTCCTGTTGCATATACATGGCACGCTTCTCATCACCTTGCGTCTGGTACGCAAGCTTCAACCGCTTGAGGACTTCGAGCGTTTGATTGCTGACTTCCCCGTGGGCTTTGAGCGTTGCGCGATGAACACTCTCCCATATTTGTACGCAGTCATCTGCTATTCCTGGCGCGGCCAAGAGATCCGCAAACGACGCGCGGTCGTTCACATGCAGATCCTCCCAGTTGGCGGATAGCGCACGTATATGTGGAATCAAATGTTCATGAAGTTTTACGCCCTCGCGACCAGAACCGCAAGATAGTAATCTGGCTATAGCGTTTCGGTACGCGACAATCTCCTTCTCCGGCAATCGGTCCCGGGCCCACGTCCGAACGAGCGGATGCATGCTAAGTACGCGGGTTTGATCACCGTCCTCGGAAAGTGTCACAAGGGAGACTCTTTGGAGCTCAACCAATACGTCGTCGAAATCATCATCCACCCATTCGCCGCTAGGACAGAATATATCGTGAAGAAGAGTTGTCGTACGTCGAAACTCGTCATCTCTGTCCAAAAGGTCTACTGGATCGAGGAGGAAGTGATGTTTGGCCGCGAGATCAACCAGGGCCAATGGGAAATTCCGGTGGTGACCGAAGGAAAATAGATGGAGATATTGTTGGGCTCGGGGAGAGAGCTCTTGTGATGTTAGGTCGAGTGATGCGTACAAATTAGTCTGATATTTGTCTCGTTGCTCCGGCAATGGATGCGTAAGAACGCGTTGGTGGCTTCTCTTTAGTCGATTGAGATAGTCACCCAGGCATCTCCGCTCCCTAATGTATCCTCCAGCTTGGACCAGCGCGACAGGGAAGTAACCCAATTCGTCGGCGATTGTGAACGCGATATCAGCTTGTTCATCTGTTGCGCGTTGTCCAGGGGGTAGAATGACCTTTAGGAGAGCCTCTATCGCCTCGTTTGCGGACATTTCTCCTAGCTCTAGATGAGCCTGTGGGGCTAAACTTCCAAGTGCGTGATTTCGTGTAGAGATGATGATACAGGCCCGTTCGGACTGGGGGAAGTAGTTGGCGATAGATACCGAGCGATCATCGACGTTGTCGAAGATGATGAGATACCGTCCATCTGTTTGCTCGTCCCATTGGCCCAAGATCTGAAGCGCATCATATACAGTGCGACAGGTGTGGCCCAATGCCCGAACTCTCCGAACCATATTGTTCATGACGGTCTGAATTGAGCTCCCATCAATGAAAAAGACGTGTTTGAATCTAAATTGAATCAGAAGAGCGCCCTCGGGATCATTAAATCATACCTGTCGGCATTTTGGAGGGCGAAATGGAGAATCAATTGGGTCTTGCCTACACCTCCCATTCCAGAAACGACCGCAATACGCGGCCCCGAGAAGTATCCTCCAAATATTCCTTCATTGAGCGCATCCAATTCTCGGCGCCGAACGACGAAAAATGCGGAGAGGGCAGGTAGACCGTGATTGTTACTCCTCGGTTTCGTTTTCCATCGCGCTATGAAATGTTATCATTTAAATGCCATACAATCACGAAGACTAACCCAATTCTCTGGTGGTCAGTTGACCAGCTCGTCGACCAGCCCGTAAGCAATCTTCTAGCTCGCGCTGTACCCTCTCCTCGCGGAGATAATACTGAGTGATCTCTATTATTCGCACTGCTATTCGTGGTGGCGAGGGAATGGATTCCAATCCACGTTCAACAGAGAAACGATAGTATCCTTGGTTCATCGAAATCGTGCGCTCTATCTCTGTTGCCACCCGATCGTTCTCCGCCAATATGCGGTCCATCGGATCACTCAAAGAGGTGGATTCGGCATTAGTACGCGTCGAGATGGGCGGTCGACCACAACCTAGACTGATGAGAAGGGAGACGGTGCTGGCGACGGGATAGTGTGACGCGGCTTCTGCGATGGCTTCTCGTATCGGGTTGTTGAAGATAAACCCCGTTCCTCCGTATTCCTCTGCAAATTCAGATTGTCCTACGATGACGGGATCAAATATGGGAGCACCCCAGCTCGCTCGTATGGCTTCGACCACTGAGATGTTCGAGGGTGGTTCCTGACATCTGTATGTCCGAAGCCGACGGCAATGTTGTTCATTGGTCGAGGGTGATGCACAAACGAACCTACAAACGGATCAGTACGTTCCTCTGCATGCCGCGAGACATACCCTATACAGTCGCTTTGGTCTCCTAATAGCCGCATTTCTGGGTCTTTCCCATATTTTCGTAGAAGCTTCTTGATTTCCTCCGTGAGAAGCTGCGTACGGTTTGTGCGACTGCTGCGAGCATCAGCAAAGATTGTTTCGTATAGCCTATAAAACGCCTCTTTCGCATCTGGTACTGTCATTTTGAATATGACGAAGAAGAGTGCTAAGACGGCGCCTGTTCCCGAGCCCACTATCAAGTGGAAATAATCGCACGGGGGCAAATCGACGTCTGAGCCCTCTTGTCGATTCTCCCAATTAGCCCTATAGAGCAGCTGCTCCAGAATTTCTAATTGTGAAAAGGCCCGAATGTCGCCATGATCTACAGAGTGGTCTCGCTCGCCTTCACGTGTTCATGTTAGACGCCCAGGAGAGTTGCGTACCTAAAACGAGTATACGAAGCCCTTCTACTGCTGCCGGGGGGTTCATTAGATCTCCTACAGCCCGGGAGAACACGTAATGGCAACCAAAGCGATGCAGGCAGCGGACAAGGTGGGTGGGTAGGGCGAAGACGGGAAGGCGCTGATGCCCAAGGCCGTTCAGAACGCGGTGCTTGTCGCGCTTTGAATCAGCGAGGAAGCCACAAAGTGCATATATTATCGACTGGCATCCACATGTCAGGACATCTTGCGGGTTGACTGGCAAATGAATTTAGTTACTATTCACTCCGGCCTTGGAAGGGAGAAAGCATACATAGACTGGGCGCGACTATGTGATTCAAGATCAATCCGGATGCCAAATGAAGTACCTATATCGCAGAAATGAGTGTTGAAGACCCACAAATGGCACGGTAGACATGTGGGAGATATGGCGGAGAGCAACTTACATCCCCGACCTCTTCATACCCTCTTCTTCGTCCACAAGCAAAGCAATAACTAGCTTACGTGATTTGAGAAGAAAATGAGAGCAATCTCGAGTGACTCGGTCTCTAGGCTGGAACCATAAATTAAATCTAGCCACTGATACGATGAGTGCGTCGAAAAGAGCATTAGCGTTAGATATTACATAGCCCACTGGTCAAAATTATCAACAACTCCACTATAATACTTTATCTCCGCTTTTCAAATGGCTTTGCTGAGTTTGCTGAGTAGAGGGAGCTAGCAGTATCTTCCAGACTGCCTTTGCAATCGCACCGGCACCATCGTGTGGTTTATATGCATCCGTTCGCGCTCTTGCAGCTCTGGCTTTGTCGAGGATACCACGTTGCTCTCGTACCCCTGTAATCTTCTCCACGATAGGTCCAGTAAACTCCGGATGCCCTTGAACCGTCAAAATATGCGTGTCTTGGGCAGTGGGTATCGCCCCATCGGCGGAGGGTGAATATGGCAGAAGCATTCCCTGAATTGGGGAGGTGGTGGTTGAACCCAGGAGGATAAACCCTGAGGGTAGTGACGGAACATGGTCACGATGAAATTGCTGGATGGCCTGTATAGAGGCTAAATACAACAAATGACGAACTATAATACGCACTCACTATGGATTCGAGTTCAAAGACGTCCCTCCCCGCAGGTGTTAGGTCTACCTCGGTGACACCAATCTCCCAGATTCCGTCGTTTGGTACGCAGTCCCCACCGAGAGCAGATGCGATGATCTGATGACCGAAGCAAATTCCGATGAGTCGCACTCGAGGATGATCTCTAGCCACTCTCGCGACATATTCCTTGAGCTGCTCAATCCACGGCAAAGGAGCATAAGCGGATGCCGCTGGTCAAGCCCTCAGTAGAACGATCCAGGCGAAAGAGAGCTATTACCTGAACCGGTAAGGATCATCGCGTCGTATTCTGTAGGATTTGGATACTCCTCAGGTGAATCAAACACGTCAAAGGGTGTCAACTCGAATGCAACATCCTCTGGCTTGGATTCGGAGAGCCAACGTTCGTAAATCTGAGGGTATTTTCCAAACTCGTCGATAACTGGCTGTACTGGAGTATCGTTGACCAAGAGTGCTATTCTGAGGTGTCCCATAGTCGGGTTGGGAGTGGTACAAGTCCAAGTGACGATTTTGACCTGGCCTCGTTCGCTCGTACCAGCCGCGTCAACGTAGACATATGTATTCAAGGAGAATATCACTCCTAATACGGCGAAGGGTCCCACTAACACGACACTTTCGTGTTTCCAATGGCGCACATGAACAGCAGCTCTTTGAAAAATTGAAGGCACCAGTCAAAGTCGAGCAAAGGCACAAGATGCAAAAGGAGTTGCTGAAGAAACAGGGTGAACCCCATCGTCTAATGAGACCCCAGTTTCAAGAATTCATCGAGGTATTTTTCTCTCTTGTTGGTCTGTGTAGTCTATTCTCACTTATGTACTCGATATAGTACAACCTCATGACCAGTTTGGAAACCCAAAAAAGGGTCCAAATTCTTCAGGATGTCAAATCAACTCTAGCGGCGCGGTTTCCGGACATCCCGCTAACTGTCGACGACATAAGCCTCGCGACTGCTGGAATTCTCGTTCGACAAACGCCTTTTGAGCTTTCAATTGTCGTAAGTATACATGACTATAGCCGCTTCCTTATCTTGGTATTGAATACACACGAGGATGCTGCCAAAGGGTGTACCTCTACCCCCAAAACGACAACTAAATCAAGCTCAATGTATTCCCTGGGGTAAGGGGCGACGTATTCATGCTTTCGAGAACTCATATTAGACAGAGATGTGTACGGTTGCATCAAGGAAAGATGGCCCGAAGCAGCTTGCGTAGGTGGGACAGATATCTCTGTTGAAACGATGCTACCTCCAGCACGGATTATTACCAACGACTTTATTCTATATTTTCCATCGCCATTGCACAGGCGCCGACTGGAGCTACTCAAGCAGTATATCCGCACGTACCCAGAGCTTCGCAGCCTCATGGCGATGGTGTTTTTGATACACCATTGCGGAAAAGTCTACGTCCATCACGCTACTGCTATGGCTTACTTTATCTTGACTTTTTTTGTCGAAACCTTCCACATACCTTCTCCCTTCGACGGTGAAGATCGTGCAAAGGTGCTATCCATCAAGTCTCTGTCAAAGGGCGACGGAAGGACGCGCGGTAAACCGGTCAAGGAAACTATAGCCTCCACGCTCCCACCTTCCCCAACGTCTGAAACACAGATGCTCGTGCGCGGGTCATGGGCTAAAGGGTTAGGTCAAGAAGCGCTAATAGATACGAAATTCGACATACCCGAACGGGTCCCCATCGTGATGCAGAGTGAACTTTACGAACCCATGTTTTTTCAGTTGCGACTGGTTTCAAAGTATATGAAGTAGGTTATCTCAACCTCAGCCTGCCCTGTGGCTGATAGGCTTCTACGTAGCTGGGCGAGGGACTTCAACCGACAATTCTACGTTTGTGTTCCAGCAGCTGGGCGTGCAGGTCGCCATGCCGAGCTCCACCTCAGGAGAAACGCGACATTCGATAAACCCGAGTCGACCATGGCAATCAGAGCACAGGAGGCCGAACTCATACGCGATGGGAAACTCGATCCCGAAGCGACTCCCCAGCACCTTAGGACATGGGATTGGAACGCTGCTCCGTTGGTTGTACAGGATCCCTTCTGGCCTATAAATGTGCGTGCACAGTATTGTCCCAACTCTCATGTTGAATTGATTCACCAGAACTTGGCTGCCGGTACCACGTTAAAGGAATTTGGTCGGATGAAGCAAATGTACACCCTCTTCACTTCTCAGGTTATGCTCGGAACCAGATTCTCAGAGATTCTAGCTAGCATCCTTCGACCAGATGTCGAACCCCCAAGTTTCCCTCACGAGTCACTCGTATCGAAACTATCAATCCTTGAATCTCCGTCTAAATCCAGACAAATGAACCCCGCAGAGCGAGATAAACGGCCTGTCGGTCTCCCTCTGTCGGGTGATCTCATGTCGTCGCCACCGAAGGACTCGTCCTCATTGATGGTATCGCCCCGTCAATCTCGGTCTACGTGCGTGGAAAGCAAGCCCACAGTCGAGAGGTTGAAGAGGAGCCGGTCGCCGGAGAGTATCCCGCCAAGCGATATAGTCTCCACAGCGAATCCATTGGCTAGGCTCATAAATTCGCGGCGGCGAGTAATGTGGTCGTCGACAAAGGAGCAAGAAGACGCCGAAATAAGTTCCGAAAGCTCGCAAGTCGAAGACGTCGTAGAAGAGTACAACCCGCTGAAGAATATCGAGCGGCGGTTGGAAATCACCAGATCTTCTGATCCAGGACGTGAAGGTAGCTCGTGACCTTACCCGTATTTATTTCATCCTATTATCATCTGATAGCATATCTAATGGTTAATTGTATTCAATTTCACGTTTCGAAGGCGACTATGGGACAGAATCCCGCTAGAGTTTGGAGAGGACATGATCTGCGCCGGAGACGGTCACACCAGCTACGGGATTCCTAGTCAGGGCGTTGTAAGAGACGAAATTGAGATCTTACGAGCAGACTCTCCCTCGGTGGAAACCACCTTCAAGTCGTCTAACAGCAGGTACCAACGTCCGGTGCGCCTTCCCATTCCTGCATTGGTCATATCCTGACCATAGCCGAGCTCCCTGCTCCAGGCCGCCTCAGGATCTGAGAGAGGAAGGATCTTTTGGGATTAGAGAAGGTATTGTAAGCCGTGGGTATCTCACCTTGTCCTTGAATCCTAGAGTCTTGGCCCAGGCACGCCTTGAAAGTTTTAAATAGAGGAAAGGAGACCCAAAGAGCGACCTTACATGACCCAACCGTCGTTTGCGGCCACGACTGCGACAATCTACAACGCTCAGAGATGATAGAATGTAATGAGAAACGTACATCAATTCCTTTGGCCTTGAATTCGTCGTATTTGGCCACATAAGGAGGAATGTGTTTCTGGTGGCTGATGAGACGGTAAGAACCAGTTCAACGAACTAGATTATGCAGGTACCAAGTTCCCTGTGAAATTAAGTATCGGATTCAATCCCAACTATCTACATACTGTAAAGGCGCCAGGCACAGAGACGACAAGGACCTAGACCCAATCCAGCGTTTATCGAGCGCCATCCGGCGTCACTGACCTTTTTCCCAACCCAGTTCTCAGTCGAATAGCCTATAGGTGCGACGCAAACATCCTAAAACGTTGCCTCAGTGGACGGGAGAGGAGCAAAGAGGCAGCTATCACCATAGACTCTGTCTCTGCATCGTATGGAACATACTTGAAAGTCGTGGATGGAATAGTTTCGCCTTTGCGCCATCAGATCTGGTGTGAACGAGATGGACTGTCTCACCGACGGCAATAGTCATGATAGTGGAGTCGAAGCGTCTTCGGTTTGAGGGACCCGTCAAGCAACCCTTCAAAATGCCCTTGATATATATACTCTATACACAGGCCTCTATCCAGCCTAGGTAAGCAGCCGTATTTTTAGCCACTCGGAAAGAGACACTGAGGGCTCGTTGAAGCGGCTCTCTGAGGCTCTTATTCAAACGATAACTTCTTATTCCAAAGTCTGTCGAACGCCTTGCTCCACGGTTGATTTGACCCAGTGCACGCATCTAAGCTGGAGCTGACCACCACTACCATGGAAGCGGGCGTGACTCACGGCACTCCCAGATCCAAATCTCAGAGAGTAGGACTACCAATTTATCAACAATATCAACTAGAAAGACAGGACTACGACGAGAAACTGGTCGACAACGCGGCGTGGCTCCTGACGGATCACCATATCGAAGTCGTTCGCCCTTCCATTATCCTCCAAGATTTCCCACACCAGAACTCTACAGTAGATGAGAGTACCATGGTTAAGTTGCGAGGTCTTTTCCTAGAGGCGCTCCAGTCAATCAAAGAGGATCAGAAACACGGCATAAGCCCAAAGGGAAGAGTGATGAGGATGAAACACAGCACAAGGCGAGTGAAAAACCTGATTTGAAGGAGGTCGATATGTACTTGGACCCGGTGAGTCTAATTCGACTATCAATCGTTGACTGTGTTTGGCGAGAAAAAGGTATTCTCACACCCAGCCGTTCATGTTGAAGTCAAATCCAATAATGCCTTCGACATTCCCTTCTTACACGATCGAAAGAACGGCGGCGTGAAGCTGGACAAACTCAAGGAGCCTTCCAAGCATCTTCTTTATCAATTTCTCCAGTATATTCACTTGGAAAAGCTCCAGAACTTCCGTGGGATCATATCTACCTAATCACCATGACTGGATCTGTCGCTCGCATCTGGAAATTTACCCCCACCGGATGTACGGTCACCTCAACAATCAGATATCTCGAACGGCCTGACGATCTCCTTCGATTCGTGCATGCGCTGGCATTAAATGGACGTCGTGGCCTGGGACTCTGCGTTGGGTCTGATCGACTGTTCAGAGATGTCGGCTTCACGGGCACTGACTCGGTGGCCAATGATTACGAAGTAGATCTGACGAAGAAGCTTGAGAAGATAGCGAGGATCTATGTCCAATATTCTAACAACAAACAATGGGCTGAGAGGCAACGACTTACCAGCGTATGGGTCCTCAACGTCACCTCGAACAGCCGTTTCAGAACGGAAGGGGTTGATAATCCTCCTCCTGGTCCGCAAGGAGACGATTTACTGGTCCTGCAACATCCCATCACCCGTCGGGTTTCCATGTTCTCGCGTGCGACTCGATGCTACTTGGCAATTGCCAAGAAAGACCTCGACGACCAAAAACTGGAAGAATTGACAGAGGAGGTCATTCTAGACAAGATCCGTCTGCTCAAGACGTCCTGACCGCTTGACGACCGTACTCACGAGGCCGAATTTTTTCGCAAGTATGAAGACCTGAGACGTGCGGGGGGATAGACCACGTCCATACGGTATTCCGACGCTGCTTGCGTCAGGAAGCCACCCAAGCTGTGATCGAATGGAAGTCAGAGACGCCCAACACTCTCTCACCACCAGCAGAGATGGGCTCGAGGAAGCAGAAGATCCACTACAATACGACGAAATAGCAGACGAAGGGATGGAACCGGGCTCGGAATTTCCCGATCTGGAAAGTAAACTCTCTGCAGTACTATCAGATGTAGGCAAAATTATGGACATGCGGAGCTGCCGTCTAGACTGGCTCCTATTCAAGGAGGTGGGCAAGGATCTGTCAAATGCCAAAGACACCCTAGAGTTTGCATGCGCGATGTACGATGCCGTGAGAGGTCAGCGCTTTCATATTCTTGAGTGACGCAGATGATGACCTGAAACTCAGCTCACAAAAGCTTATACGAAGTTGGCCGCATCATCCACAGGGATGTCTCGGCTGGTAACATCCTGATCCTGCTATCACCGTCGGATGAGCCCCATGGACTTCTGATTGACTGGGAAATGGGAAAGGACATGGACGAGGAACCAAGAAAGGCACGATCAAATATCAGTGTAGGATCCCTTCCTATTCTTCCCGATGGGGCTCACTTTCCGATAGGGAACGATGCTTTTCATGTCCATCACTCTGGAATATGTACCACTTCATCAAGCTTGGCACGACCTCGAGTCGTTCTACTGGGTGTGGGTGTACATGATCATTCACCACGTCTCCGGCCTCACGCTCAAGGGCAAACCGCTGAATGCGATCGGGAGAAAGGAGCGCCTGGACTTGATCTTTGGGCTGACAACACTCGAAGGGCTTAGTCTAATAAAACGTGCCACGCTCGCCCACTCAATGGACATCGAGGGGTGTCCGGAACTTGGGAGGGCCTTCGTGCGATCCGGACCCGGCTGGAGGACTTTATGGTGTGTTGGAAAAACTCAGTGACGTGGATTCGGACCTAGAGAAACATGGCACGAAATTCGACAGCCAGTATCACTACTATACGTCCCTTGCCCTCGACACGCATGATGCTCACTACAGCTCAAAGTCTCTAGAGGATCTTCAGCATTTGTTCAATCGGGGTTGAAATGTTTCAACAACACGTTGAGGACGGCAAACTGACAGCTACCTCAAGAGCCTACCAGAATCTAACAGACACACTTCGGAAGATCAAAGGCGGTCTAGGAAACATTTTCCTTCTGGATCACGCGAGTTTCTGCTCTTTCCTCAGGTTCACGATCGATGCACGCGAACGGGCGCTTTGGACTCCGATCGAGATAACGACGAAGGAACGTCCAGATCGCCGTAACAGTAAGGCGCTTTCCAGTAGTGGAGGCATAAGTGCAAGCAAGTCGAAAGGTTTCAGCGTTCAACTACGGGGCGACAATCCGTTCAATGCAGTGCCAATACCAAATGACATCAAAATAAATCTTGAGACCACAACCAGCAGTACTGGGACGAGGCAATCTTTCAAGATCGAGGGTATCGCTGAAGAGATTCAGTCCGAGGTAGGCAACGATGTAGGCGGAGACGATTCCGTCGCCGGACGGTTTGTTTATTCACATCCTCTCAACTTGTATTCTGACATTGCTTCAGTGTGAAGAGGAATAGACGACCCGCCCTAAATCAATGATGGCGCTTTGTGACTTTTCTTGGGCACGTCGATAATATTCGCACACTTGTACACGATCTGCCAAGTTGTATTCTATACCGAACCGTATATTACAAGTCTACAGTACTTTCTTCATCATCTGGGAGATCCAAGGTGTACAGTGGACCTCGACCTTGATGCTGTCCAGTCCCTACCCATCACTCTCGCCAGTGCTCCATTTTCAGCGGTTAGTCCTCTCTAACGAGCGAAGACTTACTTATCCCTCTATTTAATAAACCGATTCTCCTTTGGTGATGGACGCCGTTCTGACTCTTTTGCACGAGCGAGAGACAAGAATGGGGTCATAGAATCTTCAATGAGGCTTCTATGTGACGGGTCTATATATATATAGACGTCGTGCACTCTTCCCAGATGCTTCAGGATTTTCCAACAAGCACTCCAGTGCTCGATGGGGACACGACGACACAAATGCGCAAAGAAATTGAGTCGTCCAAAGGTCCAGGCCTTCTCACGTACGAGCTCGACGATGCATTAGCAGACGAAACGAGAAGTGTAGATCCCAGGAGGCGTCATTTAGGTTGACCTCTTTCAAGGAAGAGGGGAAGCCACTGTCTCGAGCGGAAGATTCGTTGGAATTTATGAAGGCGCTGTACGATGCTGTGAAAGGTGAGTACTTCTATGCCTTGACTTTGTTCAAATGATGACCTGAAGTTCAGCGCACGAGTGCCTGTACGAAGTGGGTCGCATCCTTCAAAGAGATGTCTCTACTGGGAATGTTATGACTCGATTATCAACGTCCAGCGAGTCACATGGCATAATAATCGGTTGGGATTGGCAAGAGATATGGATAAGAAGGTGCGGAGACATCGGTCTATTGTGGTAAGGTTTGACTCTGGTGTGAGTCCAAGGTGGCTCATATTTTGAGTAAGGGACGATGCGCTTCATGTCCATTGCTCTGGAACATAGACCACTTCACCAAGCCTGGCACGATCTCGAGTCGTTCTGGGTATGGGCGTACATGATCATTCGCCACTACCAGCGGCTTGAATCAGAATTCCAGACTATCGAGCGGGACCTGGCATCCGTTTCATGGTTGGATCATGAGACCCTCTTGTTGCGGCTAAATCTTATCATTGACACAGAAGAGCGCGTGCCTTGGATTTCGATGCAAGTAGGTTAGGCAGGGCGTCTTGGCTGGAATAAGAATACGGACTAGGAATTCTAGTTATTCATGTCATAGAATAGCCTATCCTGTCATTAATTTAGTGATGACCGATCGCTATGAGTACATACTCCTGAATAGGTGGCTAATAGTAAGTATTCGACTATCTCAAGTCTTAAAGTGTATAGCGACGGCTGTTGATAAGCAGCAGTCTCTTTGGAAACCGCGGCCGTTCATTACGCCGCGGAGAGGTTGATTCCAAACGTTGGTCTGCTCCACGACGGCCGTCTTGTCCACGTTGACCACAGAGTGCGTCTAAAAGTCTTGAAAATATACCTGGAAACTGCACAGAGGACGAAGGAAACATGCCTCAAAACTCGAATGGCAGCTCAACGCCAACAGGGTCGCAATCGGGACGCCCATCGTCCAACACGTTTCGCTCAGGCTTGCTGACAATTCGAATCTTTGCTGGGCGCTCTCTTGCGCTCCCTCCAAATGTCCCCATGCCAGAGATCATCGAGCGCGCACTTGCCTCTCACCAGCAGCAAGCTCAATCACAGCCGGCAAAGCAAGCAAACCATCGCATGCGCGATTCTGTCCAGCGCAAACGCTATTGGTGGCTTCCGTACGTCGTCCTCGAATTCGACAAGAACGAGATCTTGGTCGATGCGCTCGGTGGCGATATCTCTGCTCCAAGCTGGCTTTACAAGGCAAACTTGTGAGTAGACTCGTCTTTCTCTCGCATACGATAGCTCATCGCACGTACAGCGACGTCTCGCGCACCTCTCCCCTCTCAGTGTCGGCTTACTTGCGCACCTCGCCATCTGGTGTCCAGGGCGAAAACAATCCTGACATGGGTAACGACATTCTACTTGCACGAGTAGATCTCGTCCCTACCTTGGACTCTCCGGTAAGTCATTTAGCCGCAGCCTCATGCAAGGCCTCGCGCTCAAATTTTGACCCTAGCACATGTCTGACCAATGGTATACCGCAAACGCCGGGCAAGGAGAATTCCACCTACAAATCGCCTACAAACCCATTCGCAACGAACCGCTCACTATTGAATCCTTTGAGCTGCTCAAAGTCATCGGCAAGGGCAGCTTTGGAAAGGTGATGCAAGTGCGCAAGAAGGATACCCAACGAATCTATGCCCTCAAGACCATTCGAAAGGCACACATTGCCTCACGACCAGGAGAAATCACCCACATTCTCGCCGAGCGAACCGTTCTCGCTCTCGTCAACAATCCGTTCATCGTCCCACTCAAATTTTCGTTCCAAACACCTGACAAGCTCTACCTCGTCATGTCGTTTGTCAACGGTGGAGAGCTATTCTACCATCTCCAACGAGAAGGTCGCTTTGATCAACATCGATCACGCTTCTACGCCGCCGAGCTTCTCTGTGCATTAGAGCACCTGCACGCATTCAACGTGGTATATCGTGACCTTAAGCCGGAGAACATTCTTCTCGACTATACCGGTCACATTGCGCTTTGCGACTTTGGGCTTTGCAAGCTCAACATGTCTGAAACGGACAAGACGAATAGTGAGTGTGATTATCTATCTCGTGGCTGTCTCTCACCTGTTTCCAGCGTTCTGCGGTACGCCCGAGTACATTGCACCCGAGCTGCTCGAAAGTCAGGGATACACCAAGACGGTAGACTGGTGGACGCTCGGTGTTCTTCTCTACGAGATGATGACGGGACTTCCACCTTTCTACGATGAAAACGTCAATCTCATGTACCAGCGGATCCTTCATGATCCTCTTCGATTCCCAGACGACATGGGCAGCGAGGCCAAGAGCGTGATGGTTGGGCTACTTCAGCGGGATCCCAACAGAAGATTAGGAAACAATGGAGCCGAGGAAATCAAGAGGCATCCATTCTTCTCGCGACACATTGACTGGAATCGGTAAGCAGTATTCGGGTATTTTAAGAAGGAGATTCTCTAACGAGTATCTAGTTTGATGGCAAAGAAGATCCAGCCTCCGTTCAAGCCACTTGTCGACTCGGTGCTCGACGTCGCCAACTTTGATTCCGAGTTTACGTCGGAGCAAGTCATCGACTCTGTCGTCGAGCCCAGCCATCTGTCCGAGACGGTGCAAGAGCAATTCAAGGGCTTTACGTACAATCCCAACAATGAACATCTCAGCGAGAGCGTCAACTATCACTAGGCCATCTTTCTCCAGATTGGGGCTTTTCCCCTTTGCAGGTCACGAGTTCGCGATCTTTCTACGTAACGGCAGTTCCTTTATCTATCTCTCTTCAAACACAATCCCTTTTAGATCCTGGGATCCATCCCATTCTCTGTATGTTCACCGACTAGCTGATGTCGCGAATATATGTATTATCAACACCCATCTACCTTGAGTGCATAAACAAAATCTACGGCGTCTGCCTTTTGCCTTTTTCCTCGGGCCACTCTGGGAGATTGCAACTTGTGAATGCGTAATACACCGGGCTTGACTCTGGCCACCCATGCTGTACTCGTTGTGGCAGCTATATAACATATAAAAGCATGTCCTATTTCGTAACATGAATTATGCTAGGAGATGGGATCTCACTTGTGACCATATAGCACCCGTCTGCTCGGAGCTCGACTGCAATGAGCTCCTAGCGACATTCAGGTGTCCTCAAGTCTGTTGAAGTAAAGCCGAGCTTGTAATGGGTTGAAAGGTGAAAGTCAAGCTATGTTTGATAGCGAGTAGTCCGGTAGACTAGTTAGCAACTATCTTTCTCCTCAGCGGCAGTTATACCCCTCTCAATGCGTAATCTCTTTAGGTTCTAGGATCCATCTCATTCTGTGTGTTCATCAATTAGCTGGCGTCGCGAATATATGTATGATTAGCATTCGTCTACCTCTTATTAGTACATAAACGTAATTCTATGACTACTCTCCCATCTGTCTTTTCGCTTTTTTCCGGGGGCCACTCTGGGACGGGTCGACCTCGTCAACTTTGCGTCGTTGCTTTCCACCGCCGGATATAGACTTTGGAATCTTGTATTCATTGCGTTGCGGTACTGGTGTCGAGGATGATGTTGCAGAGGGTGTCGGAGTGTATGAAGAGGTACTTGACTTCCGTGCGTTAGCAATCATACTTGCGAGCTGTTCTCTTCGTGATACCGCTGATACTGCTGATGTGGATGTTTTGTGGGAGTTGGGCACGTCTACGCCGGCTGGACGGAGAAACTGAGGTGGCAATATAGTCTCCCCTTGCTCGCTTGTCGAGTTTAGTGGTGCATTGGTGGTCGGTTTTCGTCTTGTTTGCACCTGTTCCTCCTCTGAAGAGTCAACATCGCCGCTCTTCGACTCTTCCTCTGCCGCTTCTTGATCGTTGTTATCTGATTTAGGAGCTTTGGCGTCTTGTTCCGTTCCCATAGTGGCTTCATGCCCGTCTTGAAATGTGCGTCGGCCGCGAGGAAAGGTATTAATGGCCATAACGTTTCCGGATTCGTCTTCATTTCCATATAGAAAAGGTACATAGGACGGCTCGTAGCTCACCCCGTCCCTGTTCACAAGAAAAGAGGAAAAGACGATGCGGATGAGGCCAAAGAATACGCAAGTGCAAAGCAGGGACTATTGAGATCAAAGAGAATGACTATTTGAGAACGCACTTTTGTGGTATATTCATAACGGGTCTGTCTTTGCTCTGCGCGATGATCCACTTCGAATCGTCGACGATTTCTGCTCGGTCCAGTTGGACAGGCGTCTCAGTCGAGGATAGACCGCGTTGCATGAACTTTAGTGAGAGTACGCCATTGGAGAGCGTGCCAGGTGCTCGCGGTGGCATCTTCTTGTTGGGAAATGGAGGGAGGTGGTCGGGTCCAATTTTGTTCCCGAGAACAGACAGGACAATATTGTCTTTGAGCAAGGTGCCTATGAAAGATGAAGAGACATGAAAGCTAAAAGCGGTGGCCACCAACGAAGAAAAAGTATCCTTAAATAAAATTCTGCTAAAAACTGGTTCTTTGTCGTCTCGACCACCTATGGGTGATTCGAGCTCCCAAGATCGACCAAGTAATCTGCCAGGAGGAGTAGTCTGATTATTACACGATTCTATCCTAGTATTTGCATCCTAACCCTCCCAGAAAGCGCCGTGCGAGAGGAGAGAGGGACTCTCGAGCGCAGTTGTATAGGGCTACGTGGTAACTTAGGATACAAATGAAATGCATAATGCAGCGACTTACCTAACTTCCGCTTCGCTCGATGAAGCTTGTAACTCTCATTCCTCCCGCGTACGGGACCTGGCCTTGCTGATTGGATGGGAGAGGAGTCGTATAGTTGTAGTACGGATTTAATTGTGGATACTGTTGATAGTTCCAAGGACCGGATTCTCGCTGGCTGTATAGTTCTTGATCAAAGGCTCCTTCTACTTTGGGCGGGAAATCCCCCGGATTCTGTTGCCACTGTTGGTCCCTAAATTGATAGCGGTTATTCAACCTGTGGAATTGTTTGCGATAGTGGACTTGGATCGCAAACTCTGCCCAAAGAACAAACGTCCCAACCCACGCGAGAGCCGTTTCTACCATCGGTACAGAAATATGAATGTAGGAACTCCCTTCGAGTATTATAACAACTGTGTACGTGCTTGCGAGGGCCACCCAGAGAACGGCAAGGAGACAGGTTAGCACCGCGCTGACAACGCTGTAGATGGACGTGGTTTTGGGCTGCCCGCGTCTTTCTTTATACGTGTTTCTCCACACGGGAAGCGAGACACTGTGAAAGACGACAGTCACAATGCAGACAGCTGGACTGCTGTAAATGCTGTAAATTCCAAAGGAATCGATCATAGCAACAGAAAAAAGAAGGAGACTAATCAATATCGATGTAATGATTAGTCCAAAGAGCCATTTTGTGTGCGTTTGCATTTGTCTCGAATCAGATTTGGTGAGCAGATTGAAGATGGAGATGGCAAAAACAGCCACAAGGGACGAACAGCGGTCATTTTGAAGATCCAAGTCACCGGCTAGGTTGGGCCAGATGCTTCGAATGGATGCGTAGTGCTGGCAGCTGGCATGCGCCGTATCAAGGACTAGACAGCTCGCGTCGCTGATCAACTGTGGCTCTAGATCACCTATGACAATTCAGACCACCGATTGATCTACATCATCAGTGTACCTTGTTCACAGTACTACTCACTACAGTTCGGGGCTCGCCAGTACATTTGCTCCCTAGATCAACTGAACGTACAATATAGACAATTTTGTCAAGGCTTTCGAGTTATGAGTACTCTTAGGCAACCATTCCACTCCGCAATTGGGAGATTCCGACGCGCAGCAGGCGAAGAGGCAAGATATTTCGACGACGTCGAGAAAGCGACCTCGAGTCATCTTCAGTCTAAATTATATTGGATTAAGAAACCTAAGATAGATATCGACGACCAGGAGGAGGAGCTCTCGAGTTGCTCCCTTAGACGCTCACACAATTCCTCCACCTCATGGTTGGAGACCGAAGGTCTCTCCGTGCTGCGACAGGCAGACGAGGAACAGATAGCGCCACGTATGATAGAAAATATAACTTTTACTGAGCCAATGGCCTGCGCACAGGAGGCGACTAAGTCGCAGGAAAGGCTCCGCCACAGCGACGACACACGAACATTTGGGGAGCCAAAGTTAGGATTATTTGGGCGATTATTGCCGTCGATTATTTTCGATTATTTGGGCCGATTAATCGAGGTTCGAAATAAGCGGCGGGGGTAGCTGCTTATTTCAATTATTGCGATTAATCAACCTTAAGCCACGCGTACTGAAGGCGGAAGAATCTCTGGTGTGTAGAATTCATCTTTTCTGTTTCTGGTTGAATCTTACTTTTGAACCGGACAGGTGCTAGAGACGTTGCCTGTCCCCTCGGCTTGTCCAAAATGCGCAGCCAAAGCGTGGTCGAGGGATGCAAGCTGGCATTTGTAACATTGCAAGGGCATCAGGGATCCGATAGGAAAGCGCAGACTTATTGAGTCTATTTCTGTAGAGTTCACTGTAGCCTGACCTTGTTTTTGTCTTCTGGATGGAGCATAGCAAATGACCCTCTGCGTTGACATGACCCCAATATACGCCACGCCATGGAAAATTCCAATGACGGCCCAGTATACTTATAAAAGTTCTGGGAGGACGAGCAAGCCGCCATCCAGCGGCTCCTGACGCCTGCTCCAACGCTATTCAATGGCAGTTGGCTAGGACCGCCCATGACCATGGGGTCATCGATATCACAAAGACGTCGCAAACGATGACAAGTTTGCTCAAGTCTATCGTCCTTGTATCGAGATATTTGACGCATCGATCTTTGGGGACTCTCGAATGCCTTGTGCAATGTGCGAACCCAGGACCCTGCATTCCGGAGGCCCCACGAAAGACGCTAGACGAGATCAAGAGATGCCAGAAAGCACTGAGGCTGGAGAATGTGATACATTTGAGTAACCTAGATCGGGCTCTCAATCGAGCATCACAAGAGTTATGTGCAGGAGCAGCCGATGGGCTCAACGTTGATTGAGCTGACGGTGCGCGTGCTGTGAAGCCGATGCATGCGTCTATACGTTTATAGATAATACACGACTGGTCTGAAGTATATATAGAGTTCTCGAACGCCAATGCGTTGTTTTAGATGCGCGTGCTTTGCAATCGGGCAATGGGAACCTCTGTATGCAGAGGATGTAGCGTCGACGACGCGCAAGTTATCAGTCTGGAAAGGGGAGGGAAGGAAGGGGTCCAAGTTGTGAACAAACAGGTGACAAACACTCGACTGGTTTATATACTTATGTTATTTGTACAAATAAATACTCCTGACGTGCTGTCGGGTTTCTATGTGGGCGAGAGAAAGGCACTTGAAGCTTGACCCTCAACTGTGACGACGACTTTTGGGAACCATGGCCGACGACCCGCGTGATGCCTCACTCGAAGTAAAACTCACGCGTCCTCAAACTTGGACAGAGACGACGGGTGCGTTGCGGTTCACCAGTCCCCGCGTCGACATGGGCTCGCTCGCTAACGATCCATATTCTGATTACACGACATTGTCCACAACATACTATCGACAATAAAACACGTTTATGACAATTATACGCGTCGCCTTTGTCGTGTCTCGGGTTGGTCGACGTGTAGACTTTATCTCGCCGTTTAGCATGCTTTTTGCGGGTATAACCATGCTCACCCGCAACAGGTGCATCTCTTTGTCCTTTTTCCATCTTGCTCGCGTTGCTTACCGTGTTCCGAACAGACAATTGGCATGGCCAGCGCTGGCTATTGCCCTCTCTGGATGGGTGAACGGGCACCCATTGCGAACAAAAGAAGGTGGTGCAGGCGTTGGACCATTCCTGTAAGTTATTCCTCTCTTTCCCGCACCAACCTATTGCCTGGTTGTCGCCGATTGGTGATTGACATTTACTGCAGATTCGCACTAGGAGCCCTCTTTTCAACGTATTTGCCGACAATGATGCTCCAGCAAAGCCCGGCAACGCAGGTCCCACTCTCGACGTAGAGCATTCATTTCCTCACTTTATACTTTATGCAATCTACGCGCTTTCTATGGTAACACAAACGACACGTTTATAAATTTCTATCATACAGCATACAATCTAGTCCACACGAATCAACGTTCGATTTAATTACCACCAATCGCCATGCTCCCTCATCGCGTCGGCAACCTTCTTGAAGCCAGCAATGTTGGCACCGACGACCAAACTCGGCAAGACGCTGCTGCCTTGCTCGACGCTGTACTCTGCGCCAACCTTGTAGGTCGTGGCAAAGCATCGCTGCATGATGCCCTTGAGCTTGTCGTCGACCTCCTCCGTCGTCCACTGGAGACGTGCAGAGTTTTGGGCCATTTCGAGTCCCGAGACGGCGACACCTCCGCAGTTGGAAGCCTTGCCGGGTGCGTACCAGACGGCACTTTCGCCACCTAGGAAAAAATCGCATGAGCAACAAAATTTGAACGGATGAGAGCGTTTATGTACCTGCGCGACGAGAGGCTTCAAAGACGTCAATGGCCTCTTGTGTGCAGCCCATGTTCGAGCCCTCTGCGACGAGACGGACGCCGGCTTTGAGGAGGGCGTGGGCTTCTTCCTCTGACACTTCGTTTTGCGTTGCGCATGGGAGCGCAATGTCGGCTTGTGCGACGAGCGTCCATGGGCGCTTGCCTGAACAAGGGACAAGAGTTTATCAGCAAAAGAATGAAAAAATGTAGGAAGTGGGGTTTGACTGACCGGCATGCCATTCGAGACCATCACGGACGACGGCGTCGAGGACACCTTGCTTGAGCTTGAGGGCGGCAATCTTTTCGATATCCTCCTTTGTGAATCCCTTGTCGTCGCAGGCGATCAGGGCGCCCTTGGAGTCGGACAAGCTCATGACCTTGGCACCGAGTTCGAGGACCTTGAGGGCAGCATATTGTGCGACGTTGCCTGCGAGCGAGCTTCAATACCACCGAGGCTTTATGGAGAGAAATTCACGAACCGCTTCCGGAGATGAGGACCTTGGTCTCTGGGTTCGAGAACGAGATGCCCGAAGAAGAGTTGGTGGGGTTGAGGTATGGGATCATCTCCTGGCAATAGTAGATGAGGCCATAACCCGTGGCTTCTGGGCGAGTGAAGGAGCCACCCCATGTCGGTCCCTTTCCGGTGAGCACACCAACCCACTCGTTGCGGAGTTTCTTATAAGCACCAAAGAGGAAACCAATCTCGCGTCCACCGGTACCCTATGATTTCAATCATGAGTCACAGGGCAGAGGAGGAAAAAAAAAGAAGAAGAGGGGAACACGTACAATGTCACCAGCCGGTACATCGGTATCCGCACCAATGTGTCGGCTCAACTCTTGCATAAACGCATAGCAGAATCGGCGAATCTCATTGTCACTCTTGCCCTTTGGATCAAAGTCGGATCCACCCTTTCCACCACCCATGTTGATGCCAGTGAGTGCATTCTTAAAGATTTGCTCAAAGCCGAGGAACTTGAGGATGGAGAGGTTCACGGTTGGGTGCAGACGCAGACCACCTTTGTATGGACCAAGGGAAGAGTTGAACTGGACTCGGTATCCCGTTGGACATGTGGCTTTCCTTGGTCATCTTCCCAAACGACGCGGAACTGGATGACACGCTCGGGGACCTGTGATCCAGCGGGTTAAGATGCGATGTGAGGGCGATCAGAGGAGAATTACCTGAACAATCTCGAAAGCAGTGGCATATTCGGGGTGCTTCTCGAGGAAGGGTGCGATGCAGCTCGCGAGTTCGTTGCGGGCTTGTTCGAATTCTGGCTCAGAGGCGAGGACCATGGTAGTTTGCGTCGATGGGGAGTTGCAAAGTGCTGGATGACACTTGGAGTGCTGTCTGCAGACGTTATATACCCCTCTGTGTCATCTATCCTACTCGAGTCGTGCCAATCAGAGCGGGCGATAAGCCGCGAGTCCTTGTCGATAATCGTAATCGTTTTGCGTGGCGACAATCGCAATCGAATTGACGTACAAGGTTTGATTAGTTGGCTGCTTCTCTTCGAAATCCAGCCGTAAACGTGTTCGGCCATTTACGCCCGGCTGCTAGTCGAGCGGAACAAAGCAAAGTGTACAAGCCTCCGCAAGCGAACCGAACATTGAGATCCGCTATAGTTGATCGAGTCCAGCCCTCCGTTCCATCTTATCAGTCTCGGCCCGCCAAATCCCACATGGCTTTAGCCGTGACTGACTGCGGTCCTCCGCTGTCGAGGAGACGTGACGATCCTCTCGTCGGCACTCGGGCAGTCGCACCACTTCGGTCAGACCGCTTGCCATTGGCGCTGTGCGTAAGTGCTCCAACTCGGCTTTTAAAATATTACAAATGTCCCTTAGCATCAGAACCGACTACTAGAAGAGTACCAAAGCTAAGGTCGCTTGCTCATAGCCGGACTAGCCTACGTCCCCGAAACACCCATGCAAACGTGCAGAGTACACCCATGTACCCAACGAGAATAATATATGCAGTCAAATCTTCTGCGTAAATCGTCTCCATAGACAGGTTGACCAAGCCCGTCAACACGTTTGCCTAGATATTCCTTTGTTCAGCAAGCCATCGCTACCGTAAAGTATAAGCAACGTACCAATAAGAATATGACCAACCCGTTCCGATTCACGGCCTCGAGCAACTCTGGTGATGTCGGCTCCGGTCTCTCTTCTCCATCCTTGTTCTTTACTCCACGTTTCGACGATTTGTTCACCCGAGCATTCTCGCCTTTGACTTCGCTTCCTCCTCCATCCTCCTCGTCTTCATCTGCAAACCCCTTTCGGAGCACGAGCTCGGGTCCCTCCCAGCTCTTGCGCGCAATTCGCTTCTTATTCTTCGGATCCACCTTCTTCTTGGCGGACAAATCACTTTGGTCATCCAAATCCGACAACGACTCTGTCGAAATCCCAAACCTGGTCGATCAAATGGCGGAGGGGACAGTAGATGGGCTCGAGTGTTTGTGCCTTCTAGAAGAGAGGTTGTAGCCGCCCGCGTGAGAGGCGGGGGTACAAGCGACGTCGATTTATACGCCGTTTGATCGAGTGCTGTAGTCCACGATGTGCTGTCTGTGGGTGGGTTGAGGTTATAGTTGTAGTTTGGCGGTGCATACGCCGTTTCGCCTGGTCCCAATTGCTTTGCTGCGTCCGTTGCACGCCCGGTACCTGATGAGAAAAAGTATAAATCGTGCACGATATAGAGCAGCAGGAAGAAGATATTGTACGTCGTCACCCAGAGGATGTATTGTAGATTGGCCTATCACTCGTCAACCTACAGATAAATGAAGGAGAGCATCTTACAAGTCGTCTGGATACGCCATCCTCATCGGCGTACATGTAGCACATCTTGACCACACCAAAGAGGAGTCCATAGAGCACACCGTATCCGCCAAGCTCGGTCACAGTCTTTCGATCGTCGCGTCGGACCTTGTGGCCTTTTGAGGGGGAACTGCGCTTGCTTTCGTCGATCCACGCATCGCTCGCATATGCCGCGTCCGCATCCTTTTCCTCCCCCTCGCTCTCCCGCTCGCTCTCGTCCGAAGACTGGTCGGGCTTGGAGCTTCGACGACCAGACTGTATACCCAATCCAGGTCGAGGTGGGAAGATGACTAGTCCGGTGTTCAGTCCGAGGATGTGTATGGCGAGATATCCAGCGAGCGAGACGATGCCTTCCTTGTTGTGCGAGATGACATCGGTTCGGGTGGCATACAACGCCCACGTTTGCAGGGGGGTAAAGGTGAGTAAGAGTTGATAACCTCGCACGTGTCAGCGTCAAGTAAATATTCGAGATCCCTCCTACCCGTCGCAATGCAGAGTCCAACAATCATCGGCGAAATGTACTGGAATACTGGGTGCAGTAATGCTTGGAGAGGTGGCAACGCTGCTAGCGTTAGGAAGAAGTTCCAATGGGTGCCATACTCTGAAATATGCTCCTAGGACGCCATCGGCAAATGCAAGTGCTGATAGAAGATACATACCCCAGGATAGTCTGTAGCTTTGACGAGTAAAAGGCGAACAAGCCCGAGCGCGATGAGAGGAGACGACTTGCGCGCGCTAGTGTAGACCTTTGGCCATAGCGCGGCCGTCAGGTAGTCGGGCGTCTTGAGTAGGGGAAGCGCGGATGCGACTCCTTGAGCAAACACAAAGGACCCAACGCCTACGTCCATCTACGATCCATGAGCGTCTGCGTTGAGATGAGGGAATGGAGGGTGGGCCTACCAAGGACACGCCAAAGGTCTCACATTTGACAAGTGAGCGTGGAAAGACTTGAAAGTCCACAGCGAGTATGCAAAGGGCCGTCATAAGCATCATATGCGCTCGCCACGTTGAGACCGCGGGTAGGCGAAATACGTCTGTATCTGCCTTTTGCACATGCTCGGATAGTCGCTTGCTAAGTTGTGTGCCTAGGTGTTTCTCGCTGAAGCTACCCCCACGAGTAGGGAGCGGCGAAGCAACGGGAAGGACTTGCTTGACCTTCTGTTCATGATGCGGAGCGGGAAAACGTGCGGAAAGCATGATCGTTATCGCCATCATGGCAGTGTTCCATTTGAGTGCGTTGGTTCCTGAACCATGTGCCCCAACCGTCACCGCACCTAGGAGCGGAAGTACGAGAAATGCAAACTGGACGACGAAAAGGGCAGGCGCGTTCGCCGGAAAGAGCCAGGAGAGCCGTGTACGGTATGCGGTGAAAAGACTGAGTGCAGAGAATGCGATCAGGGAGATGAGATTGATGTGGGTCAGTGTGGACCCTGCCTGGTCTGATACGAAGCTCTCCTTCGCGGCTTTGTAGGCATCTTGAGTCATCCCAAGTGTTTCAAAGAGCTGGGTTACTCCGTATTGCGAAGTCAACCGGTCCGTCGCTGACGACGTCGAGAGCAAGTTTGGGTGCTCACACAAGCCGCCGCTGAGATGCAGAATGTGTATAAAATCTGATTTTAATACTTGTATTATTCTCTTCTGCATTCCAGGAGGTTGGTTTGGGCGAGTTTGTCACTTGGTCCCCACCTATTTTTGCCAAATCTTCGCTAGCTTCGACATGGAAGCGGTTCGAGACCGTCCTAAACCGTTTAACCACGCCAATGAAAGTCTGCGGAACGGAGAATCTTCATCTCTGAGGCGTTTGAGGGTGACGTTCAATTATCAACTCTGCGGAGATTCTCCATGATCATTTGAAAGTGGGCAAAAACGGCGAGTTACCATCAACTGCACTCAATCGCGTTCCTTCATGGATCGTCAATCACGTTCCGCGAAGCAAGGACTGTGTACTGGAGTATCTCCGCGCGTGGTACGCGTCCATACTACGAAGCAACCTCCACACCTGACCTTGTTCTAGTTCTTGAAACAAACCTTGCACTATTTCTCGGCGAAAGAATTGCCGCTGGGCTATCGACCTCATGGCTTAAAAGGGGGGCCTCGCGTGTCTGTGACATCCCCCACGTTTTGGTAGTCCACAATGCTCCTCACAATTCTCCACGTGTTGGCCGCAACCGGGGTGGCGTTTGCTGCTCAGCAGCAGCTGGTCAAGGTCACAAATTTTGGGCCTAATCCTACAGGCGTTGGAATGTGTGAGTACTTTGAAATCGTATGAGCTTGACTGACGCGAGTAGACGTATACAAACCCAGTCGGCTTGCCAACCCTCCCCCTCTTCTCGTTGCTATGCACTATTGCGGTGGATCTGGCCCAGGGTATTTCTCTTGTAAGCCTTTCTTGTTGCCCGGCAAGCACCTGCTGACGGACGCTTAGACTCCAAGTACGCCGACAAAGCGGATCAATACGGCTTTATCGTCATCTATCCAGATGCCCCTCGTAGTCCACAGTGCTTTGGTGCGTGGATCCTTCAGTAGATGCTCAGCTGACCGCTTTCCAGATGTCGCGAGTTCAGCAACGCTCACCCATGATGCTGGTGGTGACTCTCAAGGTATTGCATCCATGGTCAAGTACGCCATCAGCAACTATGGCGTCGACGCATCTCGTGTCTTTGCGAGCGGCACTTCTTCTGGTGGAATGATGACCAACGTCATGATTGGATCCTACCGTGGGTTTGATCCCGCCAGAGAGGAATGCTGGCTAATAATGTGTTTGCGACAGCCGAGCTATTCGCCGCCGCCTCGTCTTATAGCGGTGTTCCATTCGCCTGTTTCCCCACCAAGACCGAGACGGGTTGCGTCCAGGGTAACGTCGCGACTGTAGCCGCTTCGAAATGGGTAAGCTCTGCGCCTTCGTAAGGCACGAGTCTGATACCGATCGACAGGGTGATCTCGTGCGAGGTGCTGAGCCGGGTTACTCTGGACGGCGCCCAAAGATGACTGTTTGGCACGGAACGACGTGAGGCTTTCATCATCGAAGAACTCCAATCGCTCATTATACCTTGCAGCGATACGGTCGTGAACTATGTCAATTATGACGAGCAAATCAAGCAGTGGACAAATGTCTTTGGTATCAGTGCCACCGCGACGTCGACCTCTAACAATAATCCGCAATCTAACTATATCAAGCGGGTGTATGGAAACGGCGAGGTGATTGGCTATACGGCCACTGGCGTCGGGCACGTCGTGCCACTTCACGAGGACATTGAACTAGCATGGTATGGAATCACTGGACAGACGAACACTCAGACAAATGGTCCAACATCATCTGGTCCATCGTCCTCCACACCAGGAAGCACTTGGACGCCGCCACCCACGACCACGTCATCGTCGCCCCGCGCTGGTCAGACGCTCTATGGTGCGTTAAAAGATCCTTGTTTATAGCTCACTACTGACAATACAAAGGCCAGTGCGGAGGTCAAAATTGGACTGGGCCTACCACTTGCTCGCAAGGGACGTGCAAGTACTCCAATCGTAAGTCGTTTCTATTATATTTATGCACATACTAAGACCTTTCCAGCCTGGTACAGCCAGTGTTTGAACTAGACGTGGCGACAGTGAATGCAATTGTTATATTATTATACCCAGTACTCTTTCTCCTTTAGAGGCTTGAAATGTTTGCCTGGCATATTGTCAAAAGGGCTCGATGCATAACTAGGAATTTGACGGAGTTATCGAGGACGATAAAGCGCTCACTCCAATAACAGCCGTCTTTGAGGAGGTGGGTTCGCGTCGCACCCAGAGGAGAAATTTTCCAAACCCAAAAAGATTTTAGCAGTGGATACTTGTAAACTCTTTCTTTGTGTTCTTTTTCAATCCAGGGTCCCTCAAAGTGGCCAGCGACCATCCAGCCGTCGCCTCGAACTTTGCCGGGCTGGCGCCAACGAGAGGTAGACTCTGGAGCGAGACAGACGCGGAGACCGAAGCGATAATAAACGAGTGGAAAGTAATAAAGCACGAAATATTTCATCTTCGACGCATAGTGGAGCAGATCACAAAAGTGTGCGTTGTCAACAATGTACCACGAGAGCCAGCACAATATGGTTTCCTGTATTCTGCCTTCCTTTTCCTCACAAAAAGCCGCAGTCGTCGAGCTGTTCCACAACTCTCAGTCAATAATCACATTTCTTTTTCCGCCGGCAAACGCTGCAGCCATGTTTCCTATTTACCCCATTGTGGTCCTTCGTATCTTCAGCTGGGTCGTTTCCATCCCGACTTCTCGACCAAATATAGATAATGCTCTAGCCATTGCATTAAATACAGGCTTGTCGGACTTAACGCAATATGGCTAATGGAACGCATAGAATCTCTAGAGCAACACTCATGCATGGTGCGGTCAATCCTCGTCCAAATTCTGGAAGTTCTCCGGAATTATGAGGTAGTTGCCCTTGCAGGATAACGAGGAAGACAATGATGACCTTCCACATATGTCGATATCATAGATCCGCCGATGTACGGAAAGAGGCCGCAGAATTGACGTGAAGAGGGTGAGTGCAATTTGCGACGTTGTTGATTCGGTACAGACCCTGCTAGTAGACCTGTAGAGTCATTATCCCTGATATGGTGAGAAGAGTCACGGGCTAAGCGTCGCATTCGTACGCTAATCCCGATTTTCTACCATCCCTATAGATTCTCAGGTACTATGTCCGATCCTCTCTCGACTATATCCGCCCGTGAACTGTGTCATGTCACGTTCTACAACAGATTCTACGCCAACTTCGGTAGACTTAACTTGTATTTGATATTCCTTGATGGGGTGTGGCTGCACAAAAGGGCCTTCCAACAGCTAATTACCGCTTTCGTTTGTGTTTCCGATGCATCTCGTAACCATACTCACCTTGGCTCTGAGCAGTGTCGCGCTCGGTGCTGTCACTGATCCCGGAGGGTATCCAAACCCTACAACCTCCAGAACGACGATGATTGTCACTGGTCCAGGAGGTTATCCGAATCCTACAGCCTCCAAGACGACAACTATCGTTACGGAGCCAGGAGGCTATCCAAACCCAACAACTTCTAAGACGACAACTATCGTTACGGACGGGGGAGGATATCCTCCTCGTAGTACCACCACAACGACCTCCAAGACAACGACCATTGTGACAGATCCTGGGGGATATCCTAATCCTACCACTTCGAAGCCAATTTCCACCACTGTGTCTGCACCTCGCACTGGCCAGACACTCTATGGTGCGTCAATGTTGGCTTGTGTAAAGTTCGCTTCTGACATTAAGAAGGTCAGTGTGGAGGTCAAGGTTGGAATGGACCTACTATCTGTGCTCAGGGCACCTGCAAGTACTCCGATCGTGAGCCGTCATCGTGCATGACTAGCGTCCCTTGACTCACGTTTCCGAAGCCTGGTATAGTCAATGTCTGAATTAGAAGTTGAATGTGAATATACAAAGTATCCGTTACTCTCACCACCTACTAGGCCCGAGTTGCGCACTAGTACTCAGTCAAAATGACCGAGTCAGCGACATGAATTCCACCTTGGAACTTCCCAACCAACTTGATTATTCGCCAGACTTTGAAAGCTTGTTACTGATCCGTTGGACGGACGCACTAATAGATTTCAAATCTCTAAAGACTACTTTATCATGTGTATTATGTCACTTCCTGAGTAATAAATCGAGATCAAGTACCGAAGCCAACGAGTTCCAGAGTTTCTCTCCTTGTAATGCATCCAGTTACTATCGGAGCGCTTAATTAGGTCGATCACTGGTTGCAGGACTACGTGAAGTAAGTGGTTGCTCGAATCGTCTTGGACTAAGCTCCCATTCAGAGTCTTGACCAGCGTATTACTGGGACCTCCATATGTGGGTAGAAGTTTAGCGTCGGATCCATGCAAACGAGTGCATGCCTTAACAAAACTTGGTTCACTCGTTTGTATGCACACGGGAGAGTCTATACAGAGGAATTGAGGGATGTAGTATTACTACATATGATCAGGCTCGGTTGGTTCTGTACGCCTCCTTTGGACATCTACTGGAGATCTTGTTGCCAATCGCTTATCCTCGCATTCATGAACTCTCTGGGGCCATCTGCTGAAGGTGATATATCTCCTCAGGGATCCATTGAGCGCGACCGCGGGGAAGTTGTTGCGGGAACTGCGCAGCTTACCAATTCAACGCAATCAAAGGGACCTGAAGTGCTGAAAAAACATGCACGTAGCTCATTTGTGGAACAGACGCCGGTAGTTTTCATGCTAGAATGCGATAGAGATCATTCAGCTCACATAGTCGCTGTTTCTGCAGATACGAGGGGGCTCTCCTTTTCAACCTTTGTGCATTCATCCTTCCTGCTCTCTATGCAACACTCAGCAAGTTCTGGGTAGCCAATATCGACTCGAGCCTTGTCGTCACGACAGACATCTACACCTACATTGGCGTAATCGTTGAAGTGATCAACGAAGGCCTCCCTCGAGCATCATGGCTCATTATTGGAGATAAATCTTCAAGGCCTCTCGCAACCAGGATCCAATTAGCCTACACACTCATCTCAATCCAAATGCTTCTTGGAACCCTTCTCTCCATCGTCTTTCTCACATCATCCTCCCTACTTGCAGGATTCTTCGTCCCTGCGGTGGTACGAGCAACGTCCTTGCGATACGTTCGCATTTCCTCCTTTTCGGCCCTTGCATCGACTACCGAATATAGTGTCTCCCTAGCGACCCGAGCCTTGGACCGTCCAGATGTCCCACTACTCATTAGCTCGGTTAAGTTTGCGATCAATATCGTCCTCGATCTCATCTTTATATCAAAGATTCACGTTCGTGGCGTGATTCCAAACGTCAATGCGCAAGCCGCGATTCGACTGAGTTGCGATCTAGCTGCAGCCTTTTCCGGTCTCGTATACTTTGTTTCACGCAACAAACGCCTGGGAGGCACAATGAGGGGAGAAACTCAGGAGCACAGTACGACGCCTTCATTGCCCGCTCTCAAGGTTCTTGCCTACCCCGGCACTTTCACCTTTATAGAGTCTGCAGTCAGAAACGCTCTATACCTGTGGCTCATCCACAGCATGATAGAGTTGAGTGCAGACTATGCTACTGCCTGGGGTGTATTCAATACCATCCGGTGGGGCCTTGTCATGGTACCGGTACTCGCTCTTGAATCATCAAGCCTGGCTTTCGTTGGCCATAAATGGGGCGCTTGGAGAGCCAGAGTCGGCCTGAACACCTCTCCCATGACGGTGGCAAAGAAGGAGCTTTTCGGTCAGTAGATTGCTGAGGTATATATCTCTTTAAATTTGCTCTTAGGTATTATTCTACCTGCCTTGGTGTCTGTGGGTATTGCCTTGCTCGTTGAGGTTCCTCTTTGCATCTTTTTTTCCCTATGGGGTGCACAATCCTTCGCATTCTACCTCTCTGGATCAACATCAGTCGCTGCAATCGCAGGAAACATGTGGAGAGTACGTCTAATAATGCCTTTCCCCTGCTCTGATCTCCCATTAGACCATTGACTGGTGTTACATCTTTTATGCCATATCGACGCAGCTCGCCACAATTCTACTCGCAACCATTCCGAGATGGTACCTCTACCAGAGCCTAGCTTCCAACGTCCTCTGGGTTCTGCCGTGGGCGATTGTGGTCAGTAAAGCGAACCTTACCGTGGAAAATGCTTGGCGTTATCATTCGATTGTCTTTGGGGGGAGCTTGGTCGTCAGCTTCATCGTAGTCGTCCTCTTTGACTGCATATGGGCCTGGAAACTTCTCAGTGGACGCCTACGTCTGGCTCCCGTTGCGTCAATTGACGTATAACTGCCTAAGTAACTCAACAATGACCATTGATTCCATTGCGAATATATGCACAATTTTCGCTTTTCTAAAATACATATGGCTGCTTCTTCATGCTACGACCTCGGTTCGAGACTCAGGTCCGAAGGAAAAGTGTTTCATAGTCAAACCAGAGTTGGCGCATTTTATACCTACTGCTGAGAAGACTCTCATAGTCACGACTAATAAATCATCCTCAGGGAGACCCGGATTACCGGATATAACGCCTGTAGCATTTCCGAAACCAGTACCCTGCTCGGGAAGCTGCCACTCGGAATGTTGCAGGGACTTTTCGATCTCGGTAACTTTGTTAATAATCCTTCTAAGTAGTAGAGTATCGATCTACCTACCTCAATGCATTTCTATTAGGTGCCGTTTCACAAACGCTGACATTGCCTCACTCGTCGAAGTAATCCTTCGCATCTTCTTCTTCATATATGGCGCACAATTTTTCGCATTCTATCACTCTAACCGCCGCTCGTATCGCGGACCGACAGACATTGAGGGTGCGCCCTTATGACGCGTTACCTTCCCTCCTTCCCCAACTTCTATTCAAATATCTTTTAAGTCATTATAATGTAGCATGTGACTCTAATCACTGCGATTTTACGCTGGTATGTCCATCAGAGACAGCCTCGTGTTACACCGACCAACGTATAACTGTTCTATAGGTTTTGAATTGAGCCAGATACTATCTCAAGCCGCAATATCAAGGTATCTACATCAGTTAAACTTTGCATCAATGATAAAATTCTTCCTCCGTGCCCCAATCTTTATTCGTCGAAAGAGGACGAGCGCTTTGCTATTTGAACAGCAGCTCGGGCCTGACTTGTCCAGCGTTTACTGCCAAATGCCTCCGTACCCATTGCTCAATATCCTCGGGGTGCGCTAACGATGACCGACTTGCTGGATTTAGCGCCTGTAGTGCTTCGGAAACGAATCAAGTCATAACGAAGCTCCCAGTCTGAATGTTGCGGTGATTCCTCGTATGTCAGAGGTAGATTGTCCCGAATCGTTTAGTTGTAAGGCAAGTGTCGGCATATCTGAACCCCTGTTGGCAACCAAACTGAGAGCCACCTCGTAGTTTCGACTTATATGTCCAGCCAGCCCGAGTCGTGATCGCTGGATGTTCAGAGCTGGAAGTCAGTAATGCGCATCGCTTGACCTACCTTATGCGGCCCCTGCGAACCTTCATTTGAATGAGTACATATATATTACCCAGCTTCTCGGCTTTTTGTCGTTATGAGATTGCATGGTGGCGGCTCACACGTTCGAACCGTATCATCTCGGCCAGCCAGATACTAACGCTCAGCGAAGGGTTTAGGAGCCCTTGTAGTGCCAAGAAATCATTCAAGAATATCGCCGCCGGCTCACTTGCGCTCCATGGGACTCAGGCCACAGGTATCAATTATCGACTTCGCCAAACACTTCCTGCACTAACCTCGGGCAAAATTATCCCGTGATCGCAGATCTACAGAGGTATATAGCTATAAAAAGAGGTCTCATCGATCGCTCTCACTCCAGTCTTAACGCGCCTTCTGGTTCAGCATGCGGCTCTTCACCACCTCGCTCTACGCTCTCGCTCTCGCGGGTACCGCAGCGGCTTGTACGACAACATCCACGACACCGACAATAGTTACGGATCCCTATCCACCTCGCTCGAGCACTAGCTCAACCAAGGTGACGACAATCATTGTGACCGATCCTACTCCATCCAAATCAACAACTACGACCTCTACAAAGTCTGGCTACAGTAAGCTTTGGTATCAATGTGGTGGCTTTCAGTGGCCTGGCCCGTTCGCTTGTTCCGAAGGTGTATGCACATATCTGAACGGTATTCCTTCTCCATCTAGTTGAATTGGTTGCTTATATTCTTGTAGCCTGGTTCAGCCAGTGTCTCCCAGAAAACTACTTCAGTACCACGACAAGTGCGCCATGATTGCAATGGAGTACCACGATGCGCAACGCTCAACCAATTCCTTACTAGTTATCATGAATATCGAGATCAATTCCAACTGATAAAGCGTAAATTCTTCACTCTGACCTCATTCGCTCCTTACTGCGAGTGAAATGACCCTTGCCAAGACGTGGCGCCCGTATTCATCAAAGAAGACCTAAGAATATATGCATACCACTTGTTTGTTCCCTCCGTCTCCTCCATTGGGATCTCTTGGCTAAAAGAGAATTTCACTATTTCAAAGGCAGATATATATATATCTCACCACGGTGCGTGTCCACATACACCCACAGAGAATTAGGGATAACCAATGTGCCGGACTTAACACCCGTAGCGCTTCAGGAACCAATATCCTCTTCAGGAAGTTGACACTCGAAATGTTGCAGCCCTCGCGGTCAATCCTCGTATATTGGAGGCAGGTTGCACCGGATCATGATACTTGTCGGGCCGCAATTGTACTAGCAAGACACATATTGACAGATCTGAAACTCTACAGGAGCCCAAATCAAAGGTCACCTCGAGGCCAAAGGGAATGGGTGTCGAGGGGGCATCAGATATTGTTGGAATTAATTTACTTAGTCCTGCCAATTTCTTCTGAATCAGCATGCATCGGTTGCCAACTTTTTCCGCAGTTCGCAGTGCTGATAGCTGTTATTGCGTTTGACCGTCAACAAAAACTGGGGGGAGTTCTCATCGTCAAATTATGTGACATTTGTGTCCAATGCCTCTGTTAAAAATACGCAAATACCGCACCTGTAGTGTATCTCGACCAACGCAACCTGAGTAGCGACGCTCGGCGGAGGGACGTGGTAAACATTCCAATGCCAAGGGAGTACACATTCTTATCTCCGTTCATTAATGCGCTCAAACCAGGTTGCTATAAAAGCTCGGGTCATAGCTGTCAAACTCGACTTCTCCAAACACTTCTTGCGCTAACTTCGGCCAAAAGAGCCCCGTGCTGATATGTCCGCATGTCACTCTCGCCATAAAGTAAATAAAAGGAGACCACAGTGACTAACCTCATTCCCCAAGCAGTCGTCTCTGGTTCAGCATGCGCCTCTTCACCACCTCACTTTACGCTCTCGCTCTCGCGGGTACCGCAGCGGCTTGTACGACATCATCCACGACACCGACAATTGTTACGGATCCTTACCCACCTCGGTCCACCACCACCAGCTCGACCAAATCGATTATCTTGACCGACCCGTGTGGATATCCTAACCCAACTACATGCTTATCCTCGACGACCTCTACAAGGTCAGGATATTCTAAGCTGTGGCAACAGTGCGGGGGTATTGGATGGACTGGGCCCATCGCTTGTTCTGAAGGTGTATGCACGTATCTGAATGGTATTTCCTCAAATTCTAGCCATCCCCTCTCCTCACGATATTATAGCCTGGTTCAGTCAGTGTCTTCCGGCAACCACCTCCAGTTAAAGACCTTTGTCGCGATAACTCTGAAATTCAATGTAAAAAAGATACACAACCCAAACGAGTCTATGCGGATTCATGATTTGAGATCAAATGCAAACTGAGAGATCGTTATATTGATTTGCTAAAACCTTTGTAAAAGGGGGAACATCTTTTCTGTTTGGTGCCGGCATCGAGGATACAAATAGTTATGCCTGCCGGTCGATGGACGCCCTCCAATTGGCGAGATCACACTGAATTGAGCCCGCCCCAAGAGCAAGAACTTCGCGGGTTTGCGCAGGCTTTCACAAATCATAATAATTCCTGATCCATCTCTGATATGATATTTATTCTGCCAGCAGCATAGTCATCATCACACGCACAATTTTCTCTCAACCGACCTAAGAATCGGACATACTTGACCAGTAAATTGTTTGCTTACGCTACTCTGTCTTCGTGCCGAAACACGCTTGCTTCAGCATTGGCGGACGCCAAGTCTCATTGACCAGTCTCGCCTTCCTACGGTTCCGTCATGCTTGCAAATAACTGGAGGCGGCTGGGATGATGTTCAACCCAGTTCCGGTACCGCTTCGTAAATGAATGAATTGAACAGGGAAGTCGCTCCGGAGATATAGACAATTCTGCGGGCATTCTTCGTCTATTAAAGACCGGTCGTCCCACATTGTGACACCTACCGGCCCGCTAGTACTGTCCAAAGGTGTCGGGTATCTACATATTTGATCCTATATGAAAGGCTGAGGTATATTTCGCTCGTAGGCTCGACTAAACGTGAGTTCAGCGATGTTGAGCTTGAATAGCCCCAAAATACCACGTATTTCAGGTTGGATTCACAACATTAATTATGTTCGCTCTGCTATTATTGACGAGTACGGGGCTGTCTTGTTTTTGGCGAGTGTCTCTGAACCGGTGGGGTCTCAACATTGATTGGATGTCTGAAAAATCATCTGACCAGCTCGTTACATATTTAATATGTCATCTTTTTTCGTTCAACGCGCGCATATGTCGGAGCCTCGCTCTCCGTGCTTGTGATCTACAGACCATAGTGCGGGCAAGTCCCTAGTTTGTCAAGGTATCGTTGAACAGTATTTCCGCTCGTGGCACATGCTCGAATTACGAAGCGCTATAAGTCGGGCCACTGCTGTCAATCATCGACTTTCCCCAAACACAACCTCGGTCAAAAGAGCCCCGTGGTTAGCAATCAATAAAGAACCAGAGTGTGGAGTGATATAAAGAGTGGGTCACCTCAGAGACTTATTGGAGCCCCAAGCCTTCAAAGCCCCGGAACCGACATGCGCCTTTCTGTTGCTACCCTCTATGCCCTCGCCTTTGCGGGAACTTCAGTGGCTTATACCACCCCGAAAAAGTCGTCTACGTCATCTCGCTCTAGCACTAGCTCAGTAAAGTCGACGATCGTGACCAGCCCAGGCGGGTATCCCTACCCGCCTTCATCATCAACGACCTCTACAGTCACAGGCCTCAGCCCAGTTTGGGGACAATGCGGGGGAAGAGGGTTCATGGGGCCGACTGCCTGTGCTGGAAGCATCTGTGTATACTATAATGGTATTTCCTTCTTCCTTTGGCTCCTTTACCTCCTCCTAACGACAATCTAGTCTGGTTTAGTCAGTGTCTCCCAGCAGATGTTGCCAGCACAATCACAGTCTCTAAGCCTTGAGACTGGCAAGCCCACGTCTACTGCGATAAAGAAGGATAGGTCGGGCTTGGATGACTGTCGATATTGAATACTTGAATTTCAGTGGTGCCGCTTCCTCTTTCCAAGTAAAATGAGCAGCATGCGGAAGTCACCATACTATTGCGACCGTGGTCCATCTGATTTAGTTTGCAAAGCACAGAATGAGCAAAGGGGAGACGAATTCTGTCTCATTAGAAAACCAATGCATTAAATGTCGAAAACGCGGGATTTGAAGTGGTGGAAAAAGAGACTTGGTGTAGGCCCAAGGCTATATACACCAATATAATATGATATATTTCAATTTGAGCCTACAGCCTTGCGGTTCATTATTGTGCGAGCTATCGTTACTCTTCCTTTTTTTATAATCTAGCTTTTCAAATGCTGGAAGATTTGCTCTCAGGAGCTTTCGGACACCAGAACTTGATATATGTGCGCCTTATTGGAAGAAGATCCGGTCATACTGGTACGCCAGAGTAAACCAATTGCTCAGTGCTCTCGGAGAAGGTCTGACGATGACCGGGGCCTGGCGCTTGTAACGCCACAGGCGTGAACCAGCCGATCATCAAACGACTTTCCCACATTGCACGCTCTGCGGTCTTTCGTCGCATGTAAGAGCTTTAGTGTCCGTAATTTTCACACTTCTCAGAGCGTTTTGCGAAGTGTAGTAGCGGATAGGACCGACTCTTCATGGGAAACTGAACTAACCCCAGTCACGTTCAAGGGTGGTCACTTTGCGGCTGCTAAAGTTTGCTGAATCGATGTTTAACGGGTTCTAGCTTAGCATATATGGAGCATGCACCTTCTTAATCACTTGCGAGCATCTCACAAGGCATTCCATTTTACTACTATCGACGTGCAAACGTCCGGACCCTGCTTTCAATACTGATGGTTCGCGGATAGCTCGTATACGTCAGTCTTGTAGACACACACTCGCTGGTATCTCCGTTCGGGATAAATGTCGAGCTATCTGGAGCCTGGCTGTGTGCCTCACGCACGTGTGATTTTGAACAAAAGGTACATGATTGAAGGAAAAGTTGAAAGTAGCCCAAGGGTTAATATATGATATCATAGTCGCGCATCGCCGAACTCGTAGTAGACCTGGATCTGCCCTTACGATCCTTTATCACATCACGACAGAGATACATCAGTATTCCACGCTGGTATTGTCAAGCTGCGGACACCCGAAACTGAAATACATATTGGTCGCGCTGCCTTGCTCACCGGTCCGTCGAGATGTCCCTTCAGCTATATACTTCTCGGCGAGGGCTTGACGATGACCGAATTGAGGCACTCGGACTGTAACGGTGTGAAAATGAGTCGATTAAGTAAGGAAGTTGCTTCTGGGAATGATGTAGAGATCTGCGGCCATTTCTCATCTGTCAGGGGACTTTTACCCCGGATCTTGGCACCTATCAGTTCAATAGAGTACATATTTTCGGGTCTTACTCTTTTGGCAAGCTGAATCGAGTCCCAGCTCCGGCGCTCGACAGATAGATGGTGGGTATACATGCATTGAGTTGCGAATTTGATAGGACTTGACCCATACCAATCTTCGCCTTCCACAGGCTACGAATCGACTCACCATGCATGTAAAATACATCCTCTCCACTATTTGCGAGTTCGAGATGGCCCCATCCTGGAGCGACTCGTTTCCAGATTTCTGGATCAACGGTGGCGAGACCTTAAGCTCGTATGATCAGTTTATTGCACATAGAACCTCGGAAATCCATCACGAGATACCGTTCAATAGGTGCATATTTCCGATGCTTGCTCGCAATGCTGATGCTCCGCCGATGGTTCAGGTAGGTCATTTCTTTGTTAGCGTATTGTTCAGTAGTATTTCCGGTCTGGGCATGTGTTCCTATTCCGAAGCCTTGCGAGACCCGGGCTGCCTGTCAATATTCAACTTCTCTCATACACTGCTTGCACTAACCTCGGCCAAAAGAACCCCATGGTCAGTAGTCTGTGACAGCTGTATTCTCTCAAGATATAAAATGAGGTCTCAGTGATCACCCACCCAGGAGCTCCAGAACTCGGAATGCGCCTCTTTACCGTCGCTCTCTACGTCCTCAGTCTCACGGCTGTATCAGTGGCTTATACCACCCCGAAAAAGTCTTCGACGTCATCTCGCTCTAGCACTAGCCCAGTAAAGCCGACGACCGTGTATCCTTCCCCGACAACATCAACGTCAACGTCAACATCAACGCCAAAGGCAACATCTACATCCACAGTATCTGGGGCCACTTCCTTGTGGGGACAATGCGGGGGAATTGGGTTTACAGGGCCCCATGTGTGCTCCGAGGGCGTCTGCACATTTTTAAATGGTACTCCTCCTTCTGGTCTCTTCTCTTTCTCATGATATTCTAGATTGGTTCAGCGTGTGTCTTCCGGCAGCAATGGCCAGTTCCCAAACAAGCTCCAGCTCCAGTTCCAGCTCGAAGCCTTATTGGTAATAGGGAAGATGGGATCAACTGTACCAAGATGATGCAATTTCAAGCTACTTCACATAAATATGCAAGATTTTGAGACAAGCACATTGAGAGCTCGTCAATTATTCGAGTTCTGCTTGGAACTCGATCGTTGTTCCTTTAACCCAGCCATTCGCTAACTCGGTTTGAATTTATATTGTCATAGTCAGCCTTTGGGATATTGAAAAAGAGAAAGTAACTGTTGCTTCGGCATCTTCCAACAAGTGAACTAGCTATATGCCCAGTACATCTCACCCGAAGCGTTTGTAACGAGATTCGACCATTTCCGTCTGGGTATTACCAATAATGCTATTTCTAGGGGACTACAGATGCTCTATTTTGCTCGTGTCGACTTTCGGACACCTTTCTGTAGATTGAGAGACGCCTTTTCCACCCGTTTCGTGAGGGCTTCCATCTCTTCTGCCGTTACAGTGTCCTTCTTTCTCTTTGACGTGGTTGCCATTTTACTCGTCATCGCTTGTTGGCCTTTCGATGCTTTTGCTCTCGACATTGAATTTGGAGGCAGCGAGTTGTCGGAATCCTCCAAGTCAATAACAGAGTTCGTGGCACCCGTCGCAGTCGACTCAGATATTCGCATTGACTTAGCCTTCGTTCCCTTGCGGGGTTCCTTCTTGGCGCCTCCAGATCGATCATGGTAAAGATCGCGCTCCAAGTCAGAGGACTCGTCCTCGCTGGAGAGTACAATCCTTTTGTTTGACTTGGCGCTTTTTGCGGTAGACGCCTTTGGTTTGCTCTTCTTGGGTGGGATGAGGTCATCGTCAGAGTCCTCCTGGACGGCACCAATATCCTCGCTCGCCGTCTCCTCCGTATCTTCACTGCCTAATGTTTCGCCGTCCCCTTCACTACTCGGAGGCTCGCTCTTCTCCTCGTTGTCCTCTTCCGCTTGATCATCTATGAGGTTGTCGTCTTCCTCATCTTCGTCTGTGTCCTCTGTATCCTCTTGATCATCCGTCATGCTTGCGTCTTCCTCTTCTTCCATGTCCATAATCGGGTTTCGTTTGAGGTCACGAACACTATTGTATTCAACAGTGTTTTCTTTAGGTTTGAGGGTTGATTTACGTGGTGAGGTTGACCTTGGTGACTTGGGGATGGTGACCTTTTGGATTTCGTTCTTTGGGACTCGTATCGAGCCGATGGCGAACCATCTAAGAGGTCACTGCCTTCACTAGAGTGCACTGATACCTAGTTGTTGGGTGAGATATTGTGAAAACATTCTATATCACCAACCTGTTCGGTCTCTTCATATGCTTGCTCAACCGGTCGGGATGCCTTCTTGACTGGAGAAAGGGTGCCGCCACCAGTCTTCAGTGCTCGATGTAGCAAGTCCATCTTCTCATCAGTCTTTCGATCATTCTCTTCTGCCTGTCAAGTCGTCATGACCAGAACCATCATACCCAGGAGAAACCTACCTCGCGTGTCATCCGGTCACGATACATTCGCTCCATGACATGTAGACGCTCCTCCATCTCTTGGGCGACTTCTTCGCGAGTTTCCGTCTCTACCATCGCGGCACGCATCTCCGCTTCGTACAACTTATGCCAACGAATAAGTAAAAGGATGTTGGGAGTATTATCCACCTGCCTTGCACTCGAGTTCCTCAATACGACTGAACAACTCTTCAACAAGTGAGAACGTTGCCTCTTCTTCTTCATCAGCACTCTGATCGTCAACATCCATCGCTGCGTCCTCTGCTTGCACATTAATCAAACTTTTGAAGTTCTGCTTACTACTCACCTTCTATCACATCCACTACAGTGTTGACGCTTCCTCGAGTGCCCTTTCCGCTGCTTCCACCCAACGAGAGCATGACCTTTCGGGTGCTTGTCTGCAGCGAGCGAGCCGCTGTAGTGCTTGCGAGTCTGGACGGAGCTCTTGACGCAGTATTGAGTGGAGGGAGGAAAGATGGGCCCCGTGCTAACACGCTTGTTCCCAGGGTCCCAGGCAGGTTTGTCACCACCTCCCGTGCGAGAGCAGCAAATCGCATGACATGAGCATTCTCATCGAAGCCGGTGTCGTAGGGGTTAATATTGATGATCATGACCTAGCTCATAATGAGAATAATGAGAGCTGGTCAGAGCGAGACTCACCGCTCGTCCTTCACCAACAAAGTAATCCTGGAAGAGTTCGGTAATCTTCGAGTGCCTAAATGGCACAATGGCCAGTTTAGGCTTTTCCAATAGTCCATGCTCGCCTATAAACAAGGCATGAGATCACAATTATGCGGATAAAATCTGATCACCTTTCGCAATAGGGGCCGCCCCCGCTACAGCGAGCCTTTTTTGGTTCGTTCTCATCGCCTCGAGACATTGACCAAGCACCATCAAGCTTTTGTTGATGCTGCCCGCTTCGCGTAGTCTCTCTCCCTCTCCGACACGGGAAGTACCAGCGTTACGTGCTCGTTCCGATCCGGCAAGATCGACGAGGGATAATCTCGAAACAGAAACATCATCGTCGGTTAGCTCTCCTACGCTAAACTCAACATTTCATATAATTTAGAAGAAGAGACTACCTTGAGATGCTCCACGGTGAATCTTCGCAAGCTTGATGGTAAAGATGGCGTGGCTTCGACTACTGACGGCATTGGCTACAGTGCCAAAAACTCGTCTGTTAATGGTACCCATCCGGACCACAGCTTTCGCCTCTCGAGCGTTCTTCACACGTACTTCTCGAAGACCATGCACATATTTGCCCATTCCATCTGGTGATGTCTTTAGCCCCAATGCACGACGGTGAAGCGTCACCGGAATGTTGCTCGAGGATGATGAGGCCAAAGCGGCGAGGTTGAGATAGCTGGAGACTGCATTTCCAATAGTGTGCGGTTTAGAGTTGTCGGCGGTGGGATCGGACACGGAGAGCAGGTCGAATATCTTTTCGTTATAGACTTCAGCGTAGCTCACCCACACTGCGTATTCGTAGTTTTTGTCCACAGGGAGCACCGTCTCGTCGGCGTTCTCGTCCTGGAGCGCCGGGATATCGCTATGGCCAAGTACCTCGTTGATCATGGTGCTTGTGCGCTCCTCCTTTTCTTGCAATAGCTCGGAGCCTATAGGTTCTTCAGACACCAGAGACTCTACGCTTCCGAGACCTTTTGGCCTTAGCACTCGGTCGCTGAGTAGAGTGTCGATGGAGTTGAAGACGACGTCCAAAGTTCGCGGCAGAATTCCCGCTTCCTCGTCTCCATGACCCCCTTGTATACTGTACGTCTTGCCAGAATTTGTGACACCATACGCGAATAGCAGTCCATTCTCGCCGGCGAGCAAGGACTGAACAAGTGGAAGTGCTACACGTTGGAAGAATTTAGATTGTGTTGTATTCTCAAACACGTGAGTAAACGTATAGGTGGAGACGGGTGGAATGGAGGAGATGGTGCGGATTCTCGAAGACGATGGATCCGTCATCTGGACAGTGGTCTCGGATAGAGCCTTTAGATACGGTGATGATATTTCACGTTCATCGTTTTCCTTATTCGGCCGGATACGCAAGAATGCCTGTAGGCCTGATGAGCAATGGCGAGGGCGGGCTGAGGTACGAGAGCACCTTGATAGTATCTCGATCATTCTCTTCTACCGTAGTAGGTTGGGTAGCCTTTTTGCTGACTTTGACCGGAGCTTTCCTGAGGGGAGGAGCCACTTTCTCCGTTGCGCTTGCTGTTTTCTTGGGTCCTGCACGCGTTTTAGAGGCTACCTTCGGCGCCTCTGTTGCATCCACCGCCGCTGCAGCTCCGCGCGTGCTACGTGTAGCGCGTATGGGCTGGGTGGCGGACCGTGTTGCGGCCGCGGTGGTGCCTCCAAGGCGCGAGTTTGACGCTTCTTTGGACTCGTTGACCTTTCTAGCGCGTGTTGCCATGCAAGTATGAAAGCGATCTTTGTGGCGGGAGGGCAACAACGTCAAGATGTGGTGTAGGTATTTGGCCTGCTTCCACTCTGAGCATAATATCGAAATGGACTGGTACCCTCACTTGAATCGTGTTTATAATGCAGTAAGTCCTACTTCTGATTGCTATCGGTCCATAGTACGCCTTTTTTCATGATGATCTGTACCGAAGCAATTAGGAAGTGCCGTCTGAAGGAGCCTTGTCCAATCCTTTGGCCAAGTCCCGTTAGTCGAACTCGGTTCTCTGATCTCTTTTTGCATCGCTACTTTCTCAACGGTGCCATAGCTGACGACCTTACACAGAACTTCGAATAAGATAACATTTGCCCGTTCAATAGGTTAAAATTCTTGATAGCGAATCACAACAACTACCACATGAAACGAATAATCTCCTCACCATTCAGGCCTTGTACGGCACGCTCCTTGTAGAGGAAAACGTACATGGTGGCACAGTTGATGAGTGCGTACCACGCAACTTCGATCCATGGTAGATATAGCGCCCAATCTACACCACTGTTTGTTCTCTTGATGCCCTTTGCGGCGGAGGATGGTTTCGGCGGTGGCTGATTCGGAGCCAGTGGCTCAGACTCGTCGTATGGTGGTACTTGAAGGCGCAAAAGAATGTATGGAATAAGGAAATACCGCGGCTCCAAGAGAGGCGATGGTAGTAGGGACGGAATAAGCGCAAGAGGAAGGACAAGAGACTGAAGGAGAGACTGCGCTGTGCCTACAATGCTTCAGCAAATAAGGTGATTTTCCAGGCATCATACATACCGACACGGATCCACCATGCCCACCAACATGCAAGGTACACTGGCGACATGGCGTACGAGATGAGGGGGTGTCGGAACAACAGTCGCTTCCATACATAGAATGTATAATGGCGGTTGTCAGACAAGATGAATGGATGATGAATGCTAGAGAGAACTGAGCCTCACAGACCCAACGCCTAAATGCCGACTCACGTAAAGAAGTGGACACAGACGGCAATGAGCATCGTCCAAATCAAAGTAAGAGTGATTCGTCTGAAGGGCTATGAGGTTCCGTCTAGAAACCAAAGAGGCGCACCTGGTGCTTCCGAACATCCTGTCAAAAGTGGCCCTCACAAGGCCAACCGGGCCAGCCGATCGGCCAGCACCTGAGAATAGAAGGGTGGGCAACCCCATTGCAGTGCTAAATGCGTAGAAGTAGAAGAGTTGTGGGATGTGAAGCGCTGGAACGTGGTTCGACTTGTCACCTATACACAGTCTCAGCGATCGTCGACGATGCATATTGCCCGCACCTAGCACTATTCCGCCGTTCCAGAAGACGAAGCCAGCAAAAGCGGCTGTCACAAGTCCATATGGCAGAAATTCGACCAGTAAACGAGGGACAACTCGGAAAAGAGAGAAAAAAGCCGACGGCAAATCCACTATGAAATTATAAGAATATGAAATCGCCTATGTATCCACATCTCACTGAGAGTCGCCTTGTCCGCAGGTGGATCGTATAAGATGGCATTTTCGCCTGTTTGTCGACGCTCCCACCGCAGTTTGAAGACTTGATGATATGCAAATATGTATAGGATCCAGATAATATTCGTTTGCCTGAAGAAAAGACTCCACAGTCCCAACTACAGCCATTGAGTAACAAGCTGCGGTGGGCGAGATAAATACGTACCAAAGCTGCAATCCAGTTGGAAGATTTCGTCTGCATCACAAACGCTGCAAGGATAAATGCAATGCCTGGAACGTCCGTGTAGAATAGGAATCCGAAGAACCACAAGGGCGGAAAGATGGCGAGGGCAATGGATGATAAAGACAGGGAGAGCATCTCATCAGGCTGAGGTAGCCTTTGGTGGTATGCTTCGAGTGCCTGCAAAGATAATGGCAGAGAAAGCAGGTGCAACGCTGGCACGAGTCGAAGGAGCGGAAGCCGACATTTGAACATAAAAACGTTGCGCAGAACCACAGCAGAGATGTAGCTTGAGAGCACAGAAAGTCAAAATGATAGTCAGACAAGAGTTGTATTGCTCACAGGCCGGGCGGAGTCGTTATTTTCGGGTCCCAGACATCCCATTGACCTTCGCAGTAGGCTTGAGCTTGGGGAACGTGGAACGGTTCATCCTTTATAGGCCAAACATAGGTTATTTCCGCGCCGCTCTGCATGATATCAAACCAACCATATAAGGCTCCCAAACTACGGTGTTGACTTCCTTCAAAACAAGTACAGTAGCTGCACAGAAGACAATATAAAAGAATGGAGATGACGGGGTCTTGCTCCACGACATACTGAAAGTATATGTTCGAAGTGGGGGAGTTCAAATACGGAACCACAGCACGATCTAGAGGCCTTTTATGATGAATCTAAGGCGACTTACACGTGGCATCATGTTGCTACCCCTAGGGTTGCGACAGCTTTGCACTTCAATCTTGGACGCCCAGAATTTGCGCGCGTCCAGGGTGAAGATACTACATTGCACATACGGCTACAGTGCCTAGGACAGAATATTATCCATCAATATCCAAGACTCTATAAACTTTAATAATACCCGACCGATCGCCACTGACCACACCACCTCTAAACGGTGAGTCGATGCATGCGATGGCGGTTATGCAATCTTGATGTGAGCGAAGAGTACTTTGTTGGTGGTGGCTAATAAGACTTGGTCGGGCTGCGATTCGCTGTCTTTCCATCTCTCGCGAGTCAAAGTGAGACCAGATTTCCGTATGAGTAGGTACGCTTTCCAAGGTCGAGCGAATAGTACTAAGCGGTGTCAGCCACGTAAGGGTATTCCTAGAGATTATACATACCTGTACGATGGGGCCGGCGCATCAGGATCGACGCCGCTGATGATCAGCGAACGTTCCACCTGGTTTTGACCAAGGTACCATAGTCGAAGTTTGCGATCTTCAGAGCCCATCAAGATGAAGCATGTGTCCTTGTAGCGCCTTTCCGAAGTACCGGGGCCACTCGTCAAGACAAATCCGTCTTTTACTACTGAAGACGATCCTTGAGATCCGAAGTCGAGGCCGACAGCAAGCGACCAGACATCTCCAGGTGGTGTAAATTCGTCGATAACTGGTTCGATGTGAGGAGCTTTGCCTGTGCTCTGCGAACCGCGAGACGCAAGCAGCGCTGCAATTGCTTCCGCTGGTGTTTGCGGCACCGGAAGAGGAGTCCGAGCGCTTGAAGAAGTAACTACGGTGGCTGCTTGCCCACGAGTAGGTATAGAGACTTCTCGGCTGACAATCGTTTCGACAACGACCGTTTTCTCCAAATCCCACACCTCGACGAGGACCCGACCAGAGTCAGAGTGCGAGCTGGAGTGAGTTTCCGAGGAAACGATGATCCATTGGCGGTTAGATGGATGCGCGACGCATTGATAAATTCGAGTGTTAACCCCGGCGCTCCCTGCTGCCGCAACCTTCCATGATTTAAGAGAGATTCCAAAGCGTATGTCCCATAATGTCAGGGTACCAGAGAGTGTACCGGACACAATCCATGTCCGCCGCCTGTCCAAGCACATACTGGTAATAGATCCGTGCTGGACAGGACTACTGAATGTCTGCAGTATTCGCATTGTCCTTAGGTCCATGATAACAATATTGCCGTGACTTGTGCCATAGATAAGGTTGGAAGCAGAGTCTGTTGACCCATCAGAAACAACCCTCAAGCAAAGTAGTAAGTTCTTACCCGAGTTGTAATGCAGAAGCGAGGTGATGAACTCGCCAGCATGGTCCACTCGATGCTCCCGCACAATCGAAATCTTGCCATACTTGGCCACACCGGCACCACTGTACGTGATATGCACACGGACGATATGGAGGCTTCCGTCTGCTGCGGCGCTGGCGAAACAATGTGAATTCTCCAGCATGCAGAGGGCTGTCACTTTGTCATGATGCTGCCTATAGACATGCCTAGGCTTCCGCGTCACATTCCTCTCCAACTTTGCCGTATCCCAAACTTTGACAGTATTATCGTCAGAACAAGACACAAAGAAGGCGTGATCCGGAGCGACCACTATGGCATTAACTGGACCTGTATGGGCCGTAAGATTCGCCACCAGCGTGATATCCGCTTTGCGTCCGGGACTATCTCGACTATGAAGAGGTGCGCGAACATTATTCCGACGCCGTAATGGTCCCTCTTTGATATAAGGTCCGAAATCACGCATGGCTTCCTTGCCCGTGTCTTGGCTCAAATGCTCCAAAAGAGTGGCGATCGCCGCATCCCCATCTGAATAGAGTCAGCGGATAGCGTGATCGGTTGCTATGAAACATACCAGAAGTCGAGAGTGTGTGTAGGGTTAAGAGACCTGCTCTTTGCTCCTTCCTAAGGGTTCCGGCTTGAGACGTTGGAGATGAACGACCAGAAGGGGCTGTCGAATCTTCTTGAACAACTTTCAGTGTCGATGGCGTCTCAAGAAGACCGGCAACGTTGGTCCTGATGGAGCCAACCAACGGCTGAGCTCGACCATCTGAGCTGAGTTGAATTTTGTGACGCCTTCGGGCGAAGGCACTAGCAAAACCGTCACCGCCAGATGTCACAGACTCTGGTGGACTCTTGTCAAGCACTGGTGTAAGATGCAGACCTGTTCCACTTTGAACTGAGTTGGTCGATTCTCTTCTTTCTCTATCCTTGAGACCAGGAGGCATTGTGTTATGAACGGAGGTTGTCGATGCGTCCATAGCAAGGAGTCGCTTTCGCAAATCGTCCAATTGGTGGCCTTCCTTTCGGTCACTCGGAAGCATTCGCGGGCTCGACATGACACTCGGAGAAGTGAATCTGGGAGTATCTGTGATAGTAGACCGACGGGATCCCTCCGGACGACGGGACGAGAAGGTGTTACTGCCAATGAAGACAGTGTGAAGGACGACGCCGAGTCGTTGCAGGTTAATGGTTTCCATTCCGGTTAACAGAATTTCTTGTTCAGATTTAGGCTCTGGACGCGCCTTGAGCCTATTCCTTTATCAGCGCTATGTATAGCACTGGCACCGGCATGCTTACCTTGAGGAACCCGGATCAACCAGCTTTTCGATATAATCTTTCATCGCCTTGAGCTTGACTGCATCTGATGTCTCCTTATCCCCGGTTCTTACGCCTTGCTGCTCATCCCTACTCTCTGTTAGTGGAAGGAAAGGACAAAGATTGCACGTACTCCTCCAGCTTGGTCGCCAAGCCTCGTGGGGTCATGCCAGTCGACTGCTTGAGAGCGTTGCGATTCTCCTTGATCGTTTCGACTCCGGTCAAGGTTGGCTTTACCATTGCGCCTTTCCAGAACTGCCTATCCCCATTCCTTGCCCGAGCCACCGCAGCATCAAAGGTTTGGCGAGGTATCTAATAGTGATTAGACATAATTCACATGCGTTGGCTAGCACATACCGGTGACTTCATGCAGGTCAGAATGGTTTCTTCGTCCAAATCTTTGACATCCGATCGTAGAAAGAATTTTAACGACGGATATAAGATGGACCATACATCCGTTCTTGGTAATTTACGCGCAGCCGAAGCCAGAAAAGACACAGCAGCTGCGAATAATTAGTTTTGGAAATATGGGAAGAGGAAGTCAACACACCTTGACGAATCCAAATATTCGGATGATACATGACTCCGAGAGCTCCGCTCATGAGTTCCCAGATTCTAATTTTCTGGAAAAGGCCAAGGTCCGACAGCTCTGTAAGCGCCTGGAAAACCTTTGCAACGACCGTCTCCTCCGTATCTAGAAGAGTCTCAGCATGTATAGAAGGATGGAAACGAGGCGCACCTGACAGCGCTTGTATCATCATTGGGAGGATATAGCTGTCCAAGCTCTTACCCCCGACACATACAGCAACGTCGACGATACTCTGGAAGAATGCATAGCGTAACATCCAATCTCGATCGTTGAGGTATGTCAGCATGTGACTCAGTAGCACATCATTGGTCTTTTGCCTCCCAAGGAAGATGCATAAACTCGAAGTGTTGTTGAGAATGGCTCGTCTGACGACAGATGCTTTGTCGAAAAGAAGCGCTACAAGTTGCTCCTGTATTGGAGCCTGCAAGTCTGCCAATGCAGTATCATAAGACTGCCTTCATTAGCATACGTTTTCTTTAATATGCCGAAAACAAACCTCGTCTTGGACATCTGTTCTGTCCGCTGCTCTCCTCCCACCGTGCGCTTTCAACGCCTGTGACATCTCGAGGTATAAACCGCTCGTATCTGTCAACGGTACCAAACATTGCGCGTATATGCATCGAACCATGACGTCAGGATCGGCGGTGAGATGCTTGGTGTTGAAGAGAATATATTCGGGAATCATCGAAGCGTTGGAAAGGGTGATGGCTGAAACAAGGCTCAACTGAAATAAAGTAAGGAGAGAGCCAGCGCCAAGTAGAGCTGAACATACCACTTGTAAGATTGCCCGTACACTGCTGGCACGAACGATTGCGGAATCGTCATGCAAGAGATCTACGACAAAAGGAATCAAACGATCCAATTTGGCTTCGTCCGTCAGGAAGCAGCTTAGGAAGAGGAGCAGGTCTAGAGCTTTGAGTTTGGATGAAGGAAGGAGGCAAGATCGTATGTTGGATGAGATCAGTGACAAAATAATCAGAGCGGTTCCATCTTCCAAGAATCAGTACTCCTCTTTGGGATAGGGTGGTTATTACCTTGAGATGCGGCTTTGGAATTCTTGTCTCGGACGCCTGGCAGGACAGATGGCAAGTTGGGAATGTCAATCTCAACAGGTAAGATATCCTGATAACGATCAGCTAGCCGACCAATAAATCAGAGCGAGGCACTTACGTTGAGTGTCTTGATATCACTGCGGCCAAGGTCATGAGCGGTCGACCAAATGTCTGTGGGCCCTTGCGAGCCTTCGGCGCGAAGCTCTTGATTGAGAAAGGGAACAACCCTCTCGAAATCGCTCCATATAATGTCAATCCTTCGATCCGCGTCACGTGGTAAAGGATCACCACGTCTAGCATCCCCAGGACGACCATCTTGTGTCGCCGCCGAAGTTACCACTGTTTGCATGGCAGTAGACGCCTGAGAAAATGAAGTCATCTGAGAGCTGGCGGAGAACACCGTCGGGGACGGGTGCGCCGAGGTCGGCGTGCTAGTACCCTCGGTTGCAGGTGTCATATGAGAGGGGCGCAACGAGGACGCTTGCGTTGTGATGACAGATGGAGCTGATGGGTGAGATGTATAGGCGAATGGGGAGGGAGATGGGAGTTCTTGAATCGAGTGGACATAGCCGTGGTAGAATTCATAGAAGCTCTCCGGAAAGGCCGCTCCTCGAGCAGATGAAAGCAAGCTATCAAACGACGGACGAAGACTGGGGTTCAAGTCTATCATCTGTAAGACCATGGTCTAGAAGGGTGGTCAGAGTTGATACAAATACAGCTACAGAGGAATAAACTAACGCGAATCGCAGGGTCTTTTATCGCGTTGATACGTCCCTCGAGCTCGGGCATCTTGTTGAGATCTCCGCCAGACTCACGGTACTTGAACAGTTCGGAAAGTTTGAACATGCCACCTCCCTCGGTGAACAGCTCTGCGATAACACACCTGTGGACATGAGAATCAAAAACGACACCAAAGGGGTCCAGCTTACCCAGCGCTAAAGACGTCCATCGCCTCTGTAATGACCCCATCCTTCTTCCACAAGTCCGTCGTCAGAGTCTGTTTCAACTTTTCAACTTCTCCTCCATTGTCATAGAATCGTTCTGGGGCCACGCAACACACGCCGCGGTTAACGCCTCCAGAGTCGAAAAAGTAGTAAAAGTCGTCCGGGTCATGCAACGGCAGATTGGTCGGTTTCAGATTCGAAGCAAAGTCGGTGATATAAACCCAGTTCGATGACGTGATCAAGATGTTAGTCGTGGAAAGTGAGCCATGAGCAATCTGAATGCGCAGTCAGTACGCGAGCAGAGGAGCGCAGTTTGTACAAACCTTTTTCTTGCGCGCATCTCTGAGTCCGGTAAGAATTTGAAAAGCCACCCATTTCTTCTCAATCTGAGATAGAAAGGGCCGGGTGCTAATGCGGTCAAACAGGTTGTTTGCCAGCCATTGTCGAATTATGTATCCAGCCTTGTCTGTTTCTGCGAATGCTTGATACGTGTATACGTTTGGAATATCGGCGAGGGCGTCTCGTTGAGCTATAGACGCGGTGTGTAAGCGTTCGAGCTGGTTTTCGCACTATTGGGCTCCTGACCGTTTAGACGATGGTGATAAGTGCGCAGTACTGTTAATCCTGGGTCTGGTTTTACAAATATTTTGATTAGAAGGGGACCATTCTTGTGATTGGCTTTGACTGTCTTGAGAAACCGCGAATGACCGACGCTGTAGGGACAGTATAAGCATATCAGAGAGTAAGAATAGAAGTATATCATACCTCTTGTCATAGTGAATATCTGGGCCGAGCTCAGCGACGTAACTATCCAACGCGCCTGCTTGCACGCGCACGGCTGGGCCAGACACGGCGTTTCCCATTCTTCGGAAGCCCCAGAAAGGCTGAAGAATCCCAGAACTAGGCTACACGAGGCACCCGAACGATAATCGCGCCTGGCGTCTGGAATCCAAGTTTGGTTCACCACTCTTGGATATTGACCACGACAAAGACTAATGGTACGCGTCGTCTTGCCCCGTCTTTTTGGGCTCGTACAGCTCGCACATTGTGCTTACAATCGTTTACACTCCCTTTAAACAGAGTACCCCGTGCCGTCGCCGCCTTATTCGAGACTTTAGGCATCTGTCGTCTGACCCACCAGCCGGGATTAGCGGTGCGCCCTGCCCGGAGAACATTATGGTGTGGAACGCAGTTATTTTCGGACCAGCAGATACACCATTCGAAGACGGGACGTTCAAGCTCGTGCTTACTTTCGAGGAAAGCTACCCCAACAAGCCTCCGCACGTCAAGTTTCTCTCACGAATGTTCCACCCAAACGTCTACGGAACAGGAGAACTCTGTCTTGATATTCTCCAGAACCGCTGGAGCCCGACGTACGATGTCAGCGCAATCCTGACGAGCATCCAGAGCCTTTTACACGACCCAAACCCAAACAGGTAATGTTTTCATCTACTATCTACGCTCGAAATTTACTCACTCTTTTTCAGTCCCGCTAATGCCGAGGCTGCCGCTTTGTATCGCGACAACATGAAGGAATACGTTCGCCGCGTCAAACTCACAGTTGAAGAAAGCTGGCTCGATCCTCAAGAGGAAGCGAGCGCCAAAGAGGATACACAGGAGTCTGCTGCTCCTGCAGCCGTCGCGAGTGCTTAGCGACCTCTCGCATCTTTTCTCGTCTGTCATTTCCTCCACATTTATGTAGAACAGTGTCCTCCTTGTTCAGTAATGAAAATTGTTTGCCACCCAGCCTCATCTAGTCCCAAGAAGTGTCTTCGACAATTCGTTATATATCATAAAGTCATTAGATAACACGTCTATATGGGGCGTACTAGAGATATCATTATCGAATAAACACAGGCACCCCCTTGGGATGCTGACCCGATGAAAGTAAAAGCCATCAAGCCCAGACGTCGCAGCATTCCCCACCCAACCCCTTGCTGAGGGTCGGGATAGCAGAACGATGCAACCAAATAGCAGCAACAATGGAGACATGCCATATAGCATGACTGCCTCCTCCAATCCAATCCGTCCACCGCGGTGGCGCTTCGATGATTAAGTCCTTTGCCCAATCACTAATCGTGCTGGAAGATTCCACCTTATGATACTGAATAGGGCCTGTCCCTTCGGGGGTCGACCAGCAGCATTCAGGGAAATGAGAAGCGTAAAAGACGAGTCCAAAGATGTAGGAAGCCAGACTCGGGACGATGGGGAGAATATATGAAAACGTCTCCTTTGCCGAGTGAAGGGAGCACATGTGGACGATCGGGATGATCCCGTGAGGGCGAGGCTGAGGAAAAAGACGATGCGCCATTTTTTGTGCTTGCGTTCGTTGAACCATTGCATAAACGGCAGAATGCTCCCTGCGAGTCCGGCGAGAATTGTCATACTCAGGTAGATGGAAAATGCGGCTTGTCGGCATGAGAATCCATAGTAGACGACGGTGGCGATCGAGGCGGAGATGAGCCATCCGATGCCCAGATAGTCGACACGCGCCGCAGTCTCCATCACTTTGAATGTCGAACACCCGGCGCACAAGTGCCAGATGCAAGACGTCAGGAGACAGAGTGAGGCAAACAGCCCGAATAGAGTGGTTGGAAGCGCGTGCAGTTGTGAGGTTGCAGTGTACGCTTCGTATGCAAACCAGGGGCCCAAGACGGCAAAGGGCAAAAAGTGTGTATGGATATTCACTGTACAGATGATAAGCGAATGCACGTTTACCATATCCGAGACACTCACGAGTTTCGTTGTGGAATTGAAAGGCAGAGAGAAGAAGAGTCGGCCATCGCTCAATAGGGATGAACCGATAGCCGTAAAGGACATGTTCGTTGTTTCGCCACTTGATGGGACTAGAATCGTTAGCTCGAGTCAAAAAGGACCCTTTCCTACTCACAGTTGTTCATAAGTCAGCAGGACATTTCCATTCTCCGAGTCTCGCAAGGCTTGACGAACTTGGATGACCATTTGCTCGATTTCCACCTCGACTCGCTCCCTCTCCATGGGTGAATCCTCCTCGTCATACATGAGCGCTTCGATGAAATCCTTGAGGACAGCGTGACCCTTGTCCAGCGTCCGGGAAGGGAGATGAGGCGTTCGCAAGCTGGTGAGGTGCGAGTTGAGGCGCGACAAGCGTTCCGAGAGGGTAGGAAGGTACTCGTAGCCGAGATCCCCTAATCGATTCTTTACGTCGCTCACGCTCAGTGAAGAGAGTTCGCCAAGCGAGGGGACCTCGATGCGCGAAAGCCGAGCACGAAACTCGTCGAGGTTGAGGTTGGGGAGCTCAAAGTCGAAATCGATGTCACGAAACTGGGCACGGAGTTCCTCGAGGTCTGGTAAACGTGCTGATACCTCTGCACGCAGGTGCGCCAGTTGCTCGAGCGAGTCTTCGACCCACGTTCGCAAGTCGTCGACGGTAAAGTCAAATTCGGAGCTCCATGGCGGTAATTCTTCCGAGTTGTCTGGAGATAGACGCGTCTGGTCACTTGGCGTGCTTTGTTGAAACGATGGCACGGGCAAAGTCGTCTCACCCGACCGGTGAGCAATTTGTCCGAAGCAACTGCACTCGGCTTTGAGGCCGTCTTAAAATCTGGAATAGGTTCCAACTGCTCGAGCTTTTTCTCCAGTTCGTCTATGTGCGACAAGACGAGATACTTGAGACCGGCGAGCTCTCTTGGCGAAGTGCTTGAGCGTTTCCAGCGTCGGTTGTGAGGCGAAGTGGCTCTTTTAGAGTGTTCATGCGCATTTTTTGGTGGATAAAACTGGAAAGAGGTGGCGGTGGATGGCGAGGTAGAGTTAACAGACGAGCAAGACGATGCTCTCCTGCGTCTCGTCTGTCTGCGCTGTCGGATATTCGTTGGTGAAGTTAGCATATATTTTCTCCAAAATAACTGAGAAGCTTTTTCGACAAAAGGACGGGGCTGAGCAGACCACACGGTCGCTGTGGATGAAGCCAAGATGCGTGGGAGGACCGGCAACCGCTTGAACCCCACACGACATCACTGATTTTTCAGACGCGGGAACAACGCAGATGCCAAAGACACGCGTGGAAACTGCTAAATCACGTCCATCAACAGCACTGCCAACGACAAGCAGAGCGTCGTCCTCGCGCGCCAGCAAGCGTCGTGGTTGGTCGCCATCTGCGAGGGTTCAAGTATGGTCACGTGGAGCATATGATAATATCGCTAACAATGTCTAGATTTTGGAAGAGAAGTCGGTATCGCTGCTGGTACGTCTTCTGGATCATCCAACACGCTTTGACCACCCGTGTCCAGTCAATCACGAAACGGGACGCGTCATTATCACTCAGGTGATCTTTTACGGCCTCTTTACACGCGTATATACTGAGAAACGCGTCAGACTGCCGACTGCCAAACATATGTCAAGTCGATATTGCACCTCAGTTTGCATTCGCCCGCAACAATCCTAGCACCAGATACTTTCTTCGAAAGGGGAATCCAAAGCAATTCGAAGCGCGTGATCATTGAACACATTAGAGAAGAATTCCCAGATGTAACCGTCCAACCGTTTGCGCGCAGATATTTCAATGAAGAAGATGGTATGTCCTCAATCCCAAAGGAACCTTAAACTGATGATCCTAGGCGAGGCTTTTGTCACTCAGCTCGCCCTAGACAATTCTGAACGAGCTGGCCTGCTCCTCACCCTCCACGACAAGTATTATGCGAAACAGGCGACTGCTGCCGTGTTCAAGTACATCGAGGGCTCCATGGGTACAGTCTACTCTAGTCACTCTTTGCACATCAAATACGCGCCGATTGAAGGTCCGTGCCATCTTTGTCCCCTGCCACTGAAGCTCAAGAAGATGCAGGGTCAATGATGATTGACACCGAGACGACACGAAATCTCGAAATAGTTGCTAGTATCTCTGGTCAAAAGAATTACACGCTATTCGGGTAAGCAACCTGAAAATAGAGCTATCTCTCCCTAATTCCACATAGGCTTTTGAACTCTACATTTACACCTCAAGGGACGCGTCTTTTACGCACGACTCTTCTCTCACCTTTGACCTCGAGCTCTGCAGTAGACGCCCGTCTTGGAGCTGTCTCCACCCTCATTCAATCAGAAGAAACATTTCAATCCGCTCGCACCGCCCTAAAGGGTGTCCAAGGAATCGATCTCGACAAGCTCATTGTACGACTCGCCTCGGTCAACAAGCCCCGACATCTGCATGCTGACGGTGGACTGGGGATTGAGGCACCAAAAGTCAAAGTCGCATATGAGCGACTTGGTCAACTTCTAGACTTGCAGAGAATAATCAGAAACCTACCGACTATCGCCAGTGCCGCTGGAAGTACTCGAAACAAGCTGCTGACCATTATCGCCGAGGTTTGCGGTAGAATCTACCGTTTACCGAGAAGCTCATCCTCTATAGCTTGTATCCGACCCCCAACTGTCGGAAATTGAGCGCGCGATTGATCTTCACTTGAACGACGCTCCCTTGACTCAAAAAAAGGTACGTGATCTTACAACGGCTCGGGTTACAATCTCAATCTGCACAAAGGGTGCAATAGGCGCGCTCGCAAACGTAAACTCGCGTGTCTGCGCGGTCAAGGTGCGCTTCTCTCTCGCTGCACCATCGTCTTCTCGATAGTCCTTCAGGCGCCGGAAGACTCACTTCTCGACGTGGCACGGACTTCGTACAAGGAAAATATTCAAGATATCTTTGATTACGCACAGGAGGTTCAGCAGAAACATAAGCTTCCTATAGAGCTTCAGTATCACCAAGAGAATGGAGGGGGATTCAGCTTTACTTTACCTCGAGCCGAAACCGAAGATGCTGACTGGTCGTGGCCAGTTGAATGGGTCGACAGGGTGTCTAGAAAGAAAAAGTGGATATTCTCCACCTTGCAATTGGTATGTATTCATCAGTCAGCGGGTGCAGACTATCAACTGTCCACAGAAGAAGCTCAACGGAAGAATGAGGGAAACTCTGGAAGAAGTGCTAGCAATTAGTATCAAGTGGGTACCCGCCATCGTCTGGCAACGTGTGTGACCTCGACCAGCATTGTCGGCGAACTATTGCAAATCGTTTTGGCTCGTATCTCAGCCCTCTACAAGGCGTCTGAAGCGGTAGGATGGTACCGTGTCCTTGAATTACTTCATATTTTGCGTAGATTGCGCTCTTAGACGTCTTATGGTCATTCGCCAAACGGTCAATCCGTAAGTTCGCCTATCTATTCGTTATCTATTCTAATCGACTTTGAAGAAGGCAGCTATGGTATAATACTACTTGGCCAAGTTGAAGACTGGTAACAAGATTTAGTGCGACCAGAATTCACTGGAACACTGGCTATCAAAGCTGGTCGACACCCTGTACTCGAAACCGTCCAAGGGTCAACACCTGTGATACCAAACGATGTCTTTGCAAACGATTCATCTTCTTTTCAGATCATACAGGGACCAGTGCGCACAATGACTAACCCCTTTGTAAGCTGACCATTTTATAGAAGTGCGTGTCAACTCTTCTGCTTTGGTTTACACTAATTGCAAATACAGCATGTCTGGTCAGACACCTCCTTATCAAGAGACAGTTTTTGAACGACACCAGGGAAAAGCACTTATATTCGACAAGTGGCTCTACTCGCCGTCATGGCCTGTTGTGGATGCTTTGTTCCTGCTGAATACGCTAGCTTCAAGTGCGTATACAGGGGTCACTTTGCTAATCTCCCTAGCCTGACACCCTTTCTCAACAGATTCTTCGACTCGCTTCTCAGCCGCCTATCCAACGAAGATGACCTGGAAAGAAGTCTTAGTACCTTTTCAAACGAAATGATTACCGCTTCCATGATTCTTGGTTCACGCGGTTCGCCAAAGTGAGGTAGCTGACATTGATGATTGCCAGGTCTTTCTACGAAAAACTCCCTAGTTCTCATTGACGAGCTTGGTCGCGGAACATCTCCGCAAGAAGGCATTGGTATCGCGCACGCAATAGCCGAAGAACTCATCGCTCGCAAGGTATGTGAAATCTTACTGAAACGCATGAAAGTCTGAATCTCAGCAGTGTATCGTGCTATTTACAACGTGAGCTAGATATCCGTGACAATTCTCCTTTGTGAGACGCCGTCGCAGACACTTTACGGATCTGCCTTCGACTCTCGCTCGATATCCTTCCGTTGTCAAGTAAGCAATTCGACTCCAATAGGAAGCTGTACTAAGATTGTCCGTAGTTTACATCTCTCGGTACAGGTAAGCAAGGTCACTTCATTGTTTGGCGAGTGCAGACCCTATAGAACGCGCGAATCAACGCCGGTGGAATGCGAATGCTCTATGACTACAAGTACACTTTGAAACATACACTTTCTCGTTTCTAACTGCAGTCAACAGAGTATGCGATGGTGCCTCAAAGGAAGGCGTACATTATGGTACGGGTCAAAATGATCCAAGGTAGCATTGATGAAGTTCATTTCATCTTGAAAGGACTCGAACTCGCCAAGTTGGCGGATCTCCCAGGAAATGTGCTAACAGAGGCGACCAAGGTTGCAAAGTTGTTGAAAGAGCGAGAGTTAGAGCGCAAGAGGTCGAGTGCGAGCGCGCAAGTTGCGATTCGGCGAAAGGCGCTTCTTACGGTCTGTTCTGCGGGCCCAGGTCCGAACGACTAACCAACCATTGCTTTGTGGTTTATTGTTCCCTCGACGGCAATGTTTGCGTCACTCAGCTCGCGACGCAGCTCAAGCAAATCCTCAATATATCCACCCTTCCGGATGCAGATCTCGCGCGCTATCTCCTACGACTCCAGAATAATGTCGGGGATGAACTTGAGAAGACATTCTTAGACGGAGAGTAGCGAGATATGATTAACTAGCTACGGACGTGTCGCGAGGCAGTGTAAACGAATACAGCAAGAATATGGCTTTTCCTGTCTCACGCTGTGTGCTTGAGGTAGATATCATCGTTCCCCAGTGCATCGAACATCGAAAAGAAGCTGAATATCTCAAGTCATCAATGCACCAATTATACTATTATACAGTCGCAGAAAGCACTGAAACAGGCAATGTGACATGGGTATGACACCACAGAGTCTATATACTGTTGTTCCATTATGCTGCCCTTATATGCGTCAATTTCCAGTGGCTGTACTTGTCAGATAATCCATAGACATGTGAGTTACTGTCTTGAGGGATTGAATGCTCCTGGAAGTCTCTACCTTCCCAGCTGGGTATCTAGAGACGAAAGAGAGGTACGGATGAGATAAAGGTGGCGAGGTCCTAGGCCATAATCGCTGGGACTTGCTGTACAGGCAGGGAACCAACGAACGGAAGTGGTGGGCTGGGTGGTGATCAGAAGAACGTCATTGATAATCTTGTTTGGGTCGCTGGTGCCAAATATCCACTTTATAAGGCATTTTAACGTCGGTTCGCTTCTACTGCACGCCTTCATCCGCGCAATTCCAGCTAGCCGCGACGTTCGGTGTTTACTGCCCGACACGTTAGCCTTGCCTCCCTGCATGCTCAATTTACGACGCGAATTGAGGGAAAGAATGCCATAGAGAGGGAAGGTCACTCTGGCCATGAACGTTTATGACGGCCACCCAGCGTTTGCAAGGAGTGCGTAGCCTCACTGTGCTCTGGCGTCGCCGTCCATGCGGCAAAGCCAAAGCTACGTGTGACAGTATCAATAGTAGCTGGGCGCACAGTGATTGAAGGGCCTGTTGCCCATCCCGGCTCGGTAGACTGAGGATCATCCAATAGGATTGTTGCAAGCCGTCGGAACACGAGGAGCCAGTGGCAGGTAAGCGTGCACATTATGGCAAACTCGAGTACTGTCAACATGGGTAGAATCATCGAATTGAGGGTCTGCATCTATAAGGCGCATCAGTGCGAGTTACCTGTCGATTAGTGCTGGAAGCCTGCCGTGATGCAAAGGATCAACCTCGTCGAGAAGATTAGCTGTAAAGATATGAACTTTCGGTCAGATTCCTGTTCATCACGCACAGCAAAGTAGCTGAATCCATCTCTGTGGAGTGCAGCAATAATGATTCCTGGGTTAGTTCGCCTGAGACTACGGCATTTGCGGTGGAACTGAATCGCATGGTAGAAGGTGGCTATAGCGATGATTATCTCGGCAATGAGCTTTGGATACATAAGCAAACTAGATTGCGCCTCATGCATATCCTACCGTGGACCCATAGTAGAGGGAATAGAACCTCTGCGGATCTCCCGTGCTGAGACAGGTATTGAGGGAAGGAACCCATGTCTGGTTTCCTGTATACCAGGTGAGAGATGAGATCTGTTTGAAACAGTAAACCTACTGGAGATTATGGTGGCGGTCACAAGGACAAGGCCCAGGAGCGCTAGGTTTATCGCAGTAACCACGATCACGAGAAGTTTCTTTATAAACCTGTTGTTGACGTAAAGTGCATAAACACGGAGGGTGAATACAGCTGGTGGGTGGAGGTTGAGTTGATCAGACCGTCCCAAAAAGGATGCACCTACTTGTCACGGACATGGTGATGACTCCTTGAGCAAGAAGCGGGACGAAGTTACTGATTTGACATCTGTTCAGCTGTCAGTACCGCAGAACCAGAGCAGATTGGAGACGTGCAGCTGCAATGATATTAGTATGCGTCTACAGGAGGGATCCCGTCATACCCTTGTCGATATTGGATAGGTTCGTATGGGATTGATCACTACGATATCGTTAATTATCCTGCATAATGGCTGGGTCCCAACGAGTACTGACACCAGACCATAGGTAGCAGAACAATTAGTGGAATATAGCGAATCTTGGTGGACATGAGGGTCGAATAGCTTGGAAACCTGATTGGCAACTCACCAGGCCGTAAAACGTTTTGACAAGGGCACCTTCCCTTGTCCAAATCAAGGAAACTTCGATGTCGAGATTTGACAGAATGTCCCAGAGCCAGATCACGAATGCGGCAACCGTGATGTACGATGAAGCATGCAAATTAGGGGCCAGGAGAGCCACTTCTGCTGGGGGAACGATTCAGCTTGAGCGGGGGAGGTCATCATGGATGTTGACGTGTTCAGTCAATCAACGACTATAAATATGATAGGCTACCGCAAAGGGCTAGTTTCTTGGGTTAGTTCTCCTTTGATGCTAACCTTCCCCTCTATAGCCTAGCGCCAGGCACAGAAACAGCGCTGGGCGGGCGTCCATGTCGTAGAATTTCATCTCGCGTGCTCGACAGTGATCCGGGATGTGAACAAGTACCCGCAGGACTGCTCTAGTTCGTCGACTCAGGATTTTGTGCTGGTGAGCGTAAACAACGTTGGCGGCGAGGCGAATAACCAACCATCGAATTCATATTTCTTCAGTATCCGCCGTTACACGCTGCTATTCTTTTGAGGGTCATCGGGCGCCATTTGAATTCGGTGACTCAAATTCTGAGACACAGGGGCTGACATCCCAGGAGCTTCGTCTCATTTGTGCTGCGGTACGTCTCCGTCCGGAGGTATCTGGACAGGTAGAGTTGGGAGATCGTACTTGGTCGTTCCTCTGCAGGTTCAGTTCATCCCAAGTAACATCGGCACTAGCTAGATTAGCGTAGTCAAAGCCGTCTTTACGAGTGTAGGACGTTGAGATGAGTAGATTATTCTCATAATCAGAATAAAGCGTTTACAATAATGTAGTGTGGACAGTAAAGCCAGGCCATAGATCCTACACAAGCAGAAAACACTAAAAGTGAAAATTTGAGATAGCTATTACACAAAACCATTGCATTGAACCTGGTCCATCGCGCTGACCATGTGTTTCGGCTCGTCAGTCAATTCTCAGTCGCTGCGATTATCGGATGACCCATATATAAAGCTACTTCTGCCGTGCAACACATGAGTTGCTATCTTGAAGAATTGAGCGCCATCTGGAAATGTCTCCCCTCATGGTGGCGATCTAGAGACAATGGCTGACGAGGGATGGAGGGCCTCCTAAGGCCCGTTTGGCGGAGCTGGCTATACGGCACGGAGTCGACAACCCAGAGGTGCTATTTGACATCAGCTACTCCACCATGTCGACTCTCCTCGCATCGCTGCCTGGCCTTCCACCGTATTCACTGTATGGCAGCGTAACGTATGTTCGCTTCCATTCTCTGCCTCTATTCGCGCGGTTCCAGCGAGCCCCAACACGCCGTGTTGGACTCCCCGACGCACAGGCTTTGCCCTCCTATCCATCCCATTTACGACGCGACTCAAAAGAGCGGGTTATACCGTAGAGAGTGAGTCATTCTGGCCACGAACGTTTATGAGAATCTCCCAGGGTTCGTAACGAATATGCAGTCTCACTGTGCTCTGACGTCGGCGCCCATACGGGAAAGCCAAAGCTACGTGTAACAGTGTCAGCAGCAGCTGGGACCCAAGTAATTGAAGGGCCTGTTGTATATCCCGGCTCGGAAGGTTGAAGATTGTCCGATAGGGATATTGCGAGTTGTCGGAAGAGGAGGAGCCAGCGGCAGGTAAGCGTGCACATTATGGCAAACTCGAGTACTGTCAACATGGGTAGAATTATCGAATTGAGGGTCTGCATCTATAAGGCGCATCAGTGCGAGTTACCTATCCATTAGTGCCGGAAGCTTGCCATGATGCAAAGGATCAACCTCGTCGAGAAGATTAACTATAAAGATATCAGCTTCCGGTCAGACTTACTTTCTGCAACGCACCGCAAAGTAGCTGAATCCATCTCTATGGAGTGCGGCAATAATGATTCCTGGGTTAGTTCGCCGGAGGCTGCGGCATTTGCTGTGGAAGTGAATCGCATGGTAGAAGGTGGCTATAGCGATGATTGTTTCGGCAATGAGCTTTGGATGCATGAGTAAACTGGATATTGCACCTCATGGATACCCTACCGTGGACCCATAGTAGAGGGAATAGAACCTCTGCGGACTTTCTGGGTTGAGACAAATCTTGAGGGAGGGAACCCATGTCTGGTTTCCTGTATACCAAGTGAGAGGCGAGATCTGTTTGAAACAGTAACCTACTGGAGATTATGGTGGCGGTCACAAGGACAAGGCCCAGGAGCGCTAGGTTTATCGCAGTAACCACGATCACGAGAAGTTTCTTTATAAACCTGTTGTTGACGTAAAGTGCATAAACGCGGAGGGTGAATACAGCTGGTGGGTGGAGGTTGAGTTGATCAGACCGTCCCAAAAAGGGATGCACCTACTTGTCACGGACATGGTGATGACTCCTTGAGCAAGAAGCGGGACGAAGTTACTGATTTGACATCTGTTCAGCTGTCAGCACCACAGAACCAGAGCAGATTGGGGACGTGCAGCTGCAATGATATTAGTATGCGTCTACAGGAGGGACCCCATCATACCCTTGTCGATATTGGATAGCTTCTTATGGGATTGGTCACTACGATATCGTCAATTCTCCTGTATAATGGCTGGGTCCAACAAATACTGACTCGAGACTATAGGTAGTAGAACAAGTATTGGAGCATAGCGGATCTTGGTGGCCTTTAGAGGTCAATATCTTGAAAACTTAGACAACTCACCAGGATGTAAAATGTTTTGGCAACGGCACCTTCTCTCGTCCATATCAAGGAAACTTCGACATCGAATTTCAACATAATGTCCCAGAGCCAGACCACGAATGCGGCAACTGTGATGTACGATGCCGCCTGCAAATTAGGAGCCAGGAAAACCACTTCTGCTGGGGGAACGATTCAGCTTGAGCGGGGGAGGCCATCATAGATGTGAATCTGGGGACGCGACGCTCGTTCACGACCATACATATACTAGTCGACGGCCGCGAGGGCCGGTGTCTTGGGTTCGTGCCCCTTGATGCTGATCCCCTCACCCTATAGCCGAGTACATCACACGGAAATAGCACTGAGCGGGCCCGTTGGTGTGCATGTCGTAAATCTTCATCTCGAGTGCTCAACAGTGATCTGAGTATGCAAACAGTACCCGCGGGATTGTCGACTCGGAATTTTTTGCTGGTAAGCTTAAACATCCTTGTTGACGGGGCGACGCCCTGATGCGATGATATCGCGAGATGACCGTCAAGTGTCGGTGCAACTGCTATTTCCACCGTGATGCATTTGCCACTTCAGTCGAAGCATAATTAGACTCGGGAGACTTGCGATGCAACCGGGGGTTAACGCTGAGCATAGGAGAAGGAAGGAAGTTGTCTGTTGGCCATACTTCTGACCGTTTCAAGAGCGTCCAAGGTACGAACCATGTTGTCGTCAAAACCCCAATGTTTCTTATTGAAATGGACGTTGCCGCGGCAGAAATAGCTGCCGTGTCGTTTCCTGCCCTCTGGAAGCGTTACCGGCCACAGGTTCTACTTGCTCGGTTACTCCCAGCATCAGCGGTTTGACATTCGAAAAGAGTAGTGTGGGCGACGAGTTTGAACCTTTCACTCGGCGTTTAGACTAGATTCTAAGTAACCGCCGCCTTTCGTCATTGACGAGCTTCAGATGTCAGACCAGCAACATTTTTTCTTGTTCATATTGCAAGGTTCAAGGAGACGTACACGAAGTAACAGTATGCATAAGGTAGAACTGGATGGAGTGCTACTCCGTTCTCTCCCATCAGGCGTGCTCGCTTGGGCTGAGGAATGAGTGACTGTCATCCGAATGGCCGCCTATTTGGAAACAACTATGAAACGGTGAGGTTGCTTTTAAAAGAAAAGGGCAAGGCACCAACGTACGGGCGAACCCTCCCTTTACTCGGCACCCATCGAGCCACTCAAGAGATGCAAAGGCGCATCACACCAGGTGTACCAGGTGGTGAAGCCATAGGTCTCCAGAGTCATCTGGTAGACCACACAAAAACAACGGCCGCGATAGTACGCCATTCTCACTCTGGCCATTGGTGCGCTTGCGAATCTCTCAATGTTTGCAGAGAATGCGGATCGCCGATATCTCGCGGCTCTGTCCATGTCGAGAAGCCGAAGCTGCGAGTAATAGACTCGATGGTGCTTTTCGGAGGAACCGTGATCGAGGCGCCTGTCAGATAGTGCCCTTCCTGGGTGCTTTGAGAATCGTTCCAGACGGATATTGCAAGTTGCCGAAAGGAGAGCAACCAGCGGCCGGTCATGGTGGTCATGACTGCGAACTCGAGGTAGGTCAAGACTGGTACGATGATTGACGGAGCACTCCACATCTGGGCGGTTATATTAGTTTGAAGACATTCAAGTCGATTTCCAAAAACTTGCCAATGTGCAAAGAACTACCCTCGATGAGAAAATCAGCTCCAGAGGGTATCAGCGTTCCGTCAGACTATTGCCAGCCAACGTACCGCAAAGTAACTGAACCCATCTCTATGTAGTGCGGTAATGACAATGCCTGGTGGGCTTCCTTTGAGACCAGTGCCTTGGCGATGAAACCGAATCGCATGATACAGAGTGGCTATGGCAATGACAGTCTCTGTAATGAGCTGTGGGTTCACGAATAAGACAGGGCATATTTGCGATGATATTCATACCGTTGCTGCATAGTAGAGCGAAAAGGTCTGCAACGGAGCATTTGGGTTGAGACAAATGCCCAGGGGCTCGTACCATATCACATCCCCTATGTATCACATAAGAGTCTCATCGCCTTTTGAAACATACGCACTAGAAATGGTGATTGCGGTTTGCAGGCCAAGGCCGAGAAGTGCCAAATGCAGGACAGCTGTCGCCGTTACGAGGAACGTTCTCATCGTCTGGTTGTTGTGTAGAGAGTATATACGCGGAGGGCAAACACGGCTGGTGAGAAGTTTTAGCTCGTCGGAGTGGCCGTTTTGGAATTTGGGGGGTGCCTACTCGTCACAACCATACTCGCGATTCCTTGGATGAACATCATGAAGAAGAAGGGAGACCGGCAGCTTTAGAATTTGAGTCTGTATACCCATTCATTGCGGGTTCCGGAGACGTACATCTGCACTCAAAGGGTCAGTCCCGTGGTAGAGAAACGAGATTATTTCGTACTCTACTCGATAATGACTGGCTCCGTATAGGGTTATACACTAGGAGACGATGTCAATCTCGTGTATTAATGGCTTCCAGGACGGGGGACAAACACCAAACATTGGGTATGAGGACGAGGGCAGGGATATAGCGAATCTTTTGAGCAGTAAATGAGCAATCCAGACTCGTCAAATTCGAACAGCGTACCACTCCATACAACGTTTTGGCGATGGCGCCCTTGCGCAGCCAAATGACGGAGATCTCGACATTGAGATTGAGGAGCAAGTCCCAGAACCAGATGACGAGCGACGCGATCGCAATGTAAAACGTCGCATCCAAACTGGACGCCACACTGGCCTGGAGCTCTGGAGAGAGCGGTCCAGACTGGGCTGGGGTGGACATCAAGTGGGCGGTCGACAACTCGGACAAAAACTTGGATGTTTAACTTGGGTTTTGCAATGTGCACCAGGACCGCATCACCCGATATACACTCCCTACAATAGCCTAGCCTCCGTCCCCTACTCTGGCTCCGTTGAGCGGCTGCTACGCGATCAAGGCCTAGCTGCAGGGCTGCACATGTCCTTTTGTGAATAGTCGTACGCCACCTGAATCTCATAAAAAGCTCACGCTGTCCAGATGGGGTTTCGACTACCTCGTCCTCTGAGCCGCACATCGAAAATCATGCGCCTCGAGGTACGCGAGACAGTTCAGTACCGTGAAGCGCGGAAGTTCTTTCCTGTGGACTAGGAATCTAACCCACAATAGAACAGAATCCCACAGGCTTGGGTCATATTATCTAGCTGCCAGACATGAACAACGCTACATCGACAGGCAAGAGATACAAGAGAGCGAGGCAGAAGGGAATAAAGTCTAGTTGAGGAAACCACGACATTTGGCAGCTCCACAGAGACACGGAATCTATAATTGGTATCAGCACTGGCCGAGGACACCGAGTGTGTACACACACCTTTTCGTTTTCGATTGGAAAGTGATAGTCATACGTAACTTCGTCACCAGGATGAATGTCCACCTTTGCGTAAATAACAATCTTTTTCTGGCCGCCAATCGTGATAATCTTGGCCGTGCAATTTGGATCACATGAGTGGTTGATGAGACGCCTCCAAACAGTGTCAGACGGATGTGCCAGCGTTATGAAAATAGCACCCACCCAAGGTTTCCGATCTTCGTGGCATCGACCACCAAGTCATCGTCGATCCTAAATAAATAACTGCTTCCAATCCCACTCCTCTCATACGCGCGTTCCCTCTTCTCTGCAACCTGCTGTCGAATGACCTCACCGACGTACTCGATGACCATCTCCCCCTTGGGAATCCGCTCGAGCGCATACAGACCCCAATCGTGAATCGGGCTCCTGGCAAATTGAAGTTGCTTCTTTCGCGACTGGAGTTGATTAAATTTAATCGTAACTTCGGGGGCAGCAGCAAGTGTATCATGACCACTGACATGACCACCCGCTCCGCCAGCGCCGGCATCAACGGTGTTTTGCTGGCCTGGATTCGCTTCAGCAAGAGAATTTGCCAGCGCTTGTCGGAGCATATTCTTTTGTTCAAGCCCCTGGGCCATCCTCCGTGTATTCGCCCGGTTCGAGCGGGATGATACGGCATTCTTGAGTGCTGCTTGGTTGACCGTAATCTTGTTGGGCTCATTGTTCGCCGCCCCGCCTGGCCCGCTTCCTCCTGGACCGCTAGCCGTTCGTTTCGCGCGGTGGACATATTGCTCAACGTAGGATACCTTTGCTGCACTGGGAATCTTGTAATATCCCTCTGAGCGAGCCGATCCAGACGTATGCCCACGCCACACAGTAACTTTTTTCGGCGGCGCAGGTGGTGGAGGAAAGGCGACCTTTAGGTCAGGATCGGATAGGTCAAAGCCATGGTCGGGGTCCTGACCAAGGTATCGCATTAAGACAATCTTTGCAAAGTACGTGTCTTCGTCATCGTCTCCGAGGTTGAGATCCATGTTTGCTAGGCGAGACGACAAGTCATTCTCCGCCTCGGCCACACCCTGGAGAGGCTGTACCCGCGGTTTAGAGGGAGAGCTCCATTGAGGAACAGTGAGTTGGATAGGCGATGTAATATCAAAGGAAGGAATTTGAACCTTGTATGGAGTATCGTCCACCAATGTTGATATGCCATCCATAACGTCGTGTCCTTCCTTCCTCGATTTCTCCTTTTTGGCTTTGGATGCCTTCGTCGTTTTTGGTTTGCGCTTCTTGCTCGAGGATCCAGGTGGCAGAAAATCGTTGTCCGCAAGATCGTCATCGAGGATAATCCCTAGCGACAGGGCCATGTCCTGTTCGGAGAATGGCTGCGGATGTCGGACAGGAGGAGGCTCCACGGTTTCTCTTCCTCGGACGAGGAAGATGCATCCAACTCCATTTCTCGCTCTCGACGGGATTTGGCGCGGACATCCTTGCGTCTCATTTCCATCTCGGCCTCGTCGTCGATCTTGACTCCAGCAGCCTTTGTAGGCTCACGCCTTGTGCTTGGGAACTCGGACAGGGTCCTAGCCTTCTCTGGTTTGGAGACATTGAGAGGCGTAGCGGAGATGGTTTGCTTTCTTGTTGCATCTTCCGTTTGAAGGAGAGGCCCTTGAGTCCATTGATACGCTTGAGGACGTTGAGACCCATCATGGCATCCTCCCTCTCCTGTTGCTCTTGAGACATGCCTCCCTCGTCTATGTTCGCAACAGCGTTGGCCCCGGCAGCACTTTCAATCTCGCGACGACTCCTCTCTTCGACGATGAGCATTCGCACGCGCTCGACGACGACACGCTCCCGGACGTCTCTTTCCGCTTGGGCCCTGAGCTCTTTGACGATCATCTCTCGCACTTCCTTGACGAGCGCCGCCTCGTTGTACTTTTTCGGTTTAGCGACAACCTTGTGCGGAGGGTTGCACACATTCATCTTCACAGTGTAACGGTTGAGTGGTCGTCCATCCAGAATGAGCGTGGCTCGCCGTGCTGCAGAAGCGTCTCGGAAGGTAACATACCACCCAGTGTGGTCGTGTACAACCTGTTTGAAGGGAGGGGTATCAGCTCATGCTCCCATAGTCGACAGACGGGGGCAACCAGTTACTCACATCGTCGGGGTCAAAGCCATCGAAAAACTCCATCACATCCTTTTCTCGCAGACCAATCATGCCACTTCGATCCAAGACACCTCGCCCTGTAGGAAGGCCGTCAAGGCGAATGTGCTCCTTTCCATTCTTCTGGAGAACTAGGATCAATGCCTCGTGAGCTGCTTCTTTATCTTCTTCGTCTTGAGGCTTTGGCAAGGGTGGCGGGGGTTCGGAAGGTGGGGGTGGTGCAGGCGCATTGACCCGTGCAGACAATAGCGCCGAGCTCGGAGGCATCGAAAAGGATGGTGGTGGCGCAGAAGGGACAGGAGGAGGAGCGGTCGTAGGTGGTGGAGGTGTCGGAGTCCGAATATGCGCATTGTGGGTATCACTGAGCTTCAAGAGGCCCGATTTGGACGAAGGCGGCTGTGGCAGCGGCGTCGAAGGTGGGGGAGTAGAAGCCATACGAGATCCCAGCAAAACGCTAGCACCCCTCGAGCTAGAGGAGACTTGACCAATCTTTCTTGTACTATGCGGCGGTAATGCCTGCTGGATGGCAGCAGGCGGGGGGCGTGCTGGGAGGAAAGGATGCGCTGGATTCACCGGAGCCGCGGGTTGTTGGGACGGCTGTGGCGTCGTTTCTGACGCGTTCAATGGCGTGCCTGTCGATCCGGCGCGTTTAGCATCATCTCCGTTTGGTCCATGCGCAGACGTGGCCCGTCGCCGCCTGGCCGCAATTTCTCGGTCAACGAGCTCCTTACACTTTTCGCCATTGTCCAGCTCGACTGTCACGACGAGGCCCTCGGTTCCAACTCCGATCCTCTGCCCATTCTCTCGCTGTGCAATCATTTTTGCTGTCTCATGAGAATCGTAACGGATAAACACAATCCCCAGGGGGGCACCACTCGAGTAATCAGCTTTCGTTTCAAATGCGACGATGGGTGCATGCTGGCTGAAATGACGACGAACGTGGGGGTATGGTGTCAGCGGCGAGAGGCCGCTGACGAGGATCGAAGTGGGCGGAGCGGGTCCGACCGAGTTGTTGTCGTACTGTAGAATGCAAAGAGCGCATCAGTTATCGTTGAAAGCACCTCTGTATAAGAGGCTTTGCTCACCTCCCATTCCAATGTATAAAACAGCTCTCGCCATTTCTTCATGCCTCTTCCTGTGAGGTCTTTCCCAGCCTTTTTTGCGACGAGGCGAGGATCTCGAATCTCGAGCTCTCGCTGGCCAGGTTCGACACGGCCATCGTATCGGAAGATGATTTCCTTTCCGCGAGAGCGTTTCGGGTCGAGATTTGGATCGTAGACTGCAAACCAATTGCGTTTTCGTGGCTCCTCAGGCGGCGGTGGCCATGCGGGAATTTCAAGCTGTAGTGGTTGAGAGGAAGAGAAGAGCGAGGGCGCCGTTGGTGGACCGCGGAGAGAGGGCGGCAAACCACTGCTACCGCTGCTGGTGCTATTGTGTCTGGATAGCGAATATTCTGATGGACGCGTAGAGTCACCGCGTGTACTCGCCCACGGATGCTGCTGGTCGTGTTGGCGGTGGGTGTGGACGGGCAGCGCTGGAGGAAATGATGAGCAATTCTCGTTCTCAATCGCTCCTTCTTCCTCTTCCTCGTCGTCGACGGCGTTGTTGGCCCGCGCTAGCAGCATCATCGCGCCAGACGAGCTCGACGAGAACGACGGCCAGCTCATCGTCACGTCTGGTCTATTCTACAATGTGTCTACACGTCTGTGAAGACTGTTGTCGCCGTCGTTGCGCTTTTTTGTCCCCGAAGTTGGCAAGCGTAGCGTCGCGTCAAGCGCAAAGGTTTCCTCAACGTTGGACCGCGCCATCTCACCCCGTTCGCCTCTGCAAGCTCGGGTCTGTACATGAAAGGAAGCGTGAATACAGCTTCATTCACACTCGGCAACTATCCATGTGTAGTTATCACCGGCATCGGGGTATGGGACAGCGAGCACGAACAGCGGCGCCAAACGCAACCTGGGCTGAGTTCCCAACAACATAGGATGCTCTCACGTCATCCCACAGGCGATTGCCAGTCTTCCTGGGGCCCAAATGAGCTCGCCTCCCACCATCGCTGCGCTCGCGAGATGCTGGCAGACTTGTGGATCCACATAATATCTCAAAGGCTGGTAGAGAGGGATGATTTAGCCCGCGGCGTTGGCCGAATCAGCGCATTCGAGCGGGCATTCGGAGGGAGATCATTCTCAAGCTGAGACCATCCTAAAGAAGTCAAATCAGAGCTACGCAAGCGATCTGGGTGACCATATCATCATCGAAGGATGGACGACGCTGGTTGCCCAATTGTGCTTCGCTACTAGAGTAGCTAGATCGGGATTAGCTGTAAGCTCATTTCCGGCAATGCCATCTGTCGCTGATGCCTTTCCTCTCCTCAGACAAGTATTTCATCTGTACGATGTCAGTTTGAATCAGCCGCGCTAACTATATAAAGGGCTTCGGGCGGACGAAACTGCTTGTCTTCAATAACCCTCTAAGTGTGTTTACCAGCTCACAAGCGGCTTAGTTTACATTCCGTGCATAGATTCATGTTGTCGTAGTATGCAATCCCAGTACCATACGTCTTATGAACTCAGAACCAACCTCTGCTCCTTAGAGGGTCAATTCCTTGGTCTCCGCGATTGGCAAACGCCTCCATATGACTTACTCAGTATCCATTGACCTGCGCGCCTAACTTCCGACACCGTCGGATGAGGTTGATTTACAATCTGACAAGAACTAGAACGAGGCCATGGGTTGCATGGATGGACCAAACGGCAATTTGCAAAAGGATCCGAAATGAACTATGGACGGGCTCGGTGTTTGAGGGGCGAGCATTAAGTGTGTTCCCAACGTTTCCTTCCTGTACCGACAGGGTCCTAACTTCGCCACCAGGTGGTCTTCACATCAAGAATGGTCATGTTGAATACTAGTGAGCCTTCTTGCCACGTATGCGGAAGAATACTTACCATTCTCGGCTCTTGAGCGATCCGTCATCCAAGACGCTCACTCTGGTAGATATCGAGTTCGCCGCAGCCCAAGCGCTGACGAGTCATTATCCTTCAGACAACTCGCTCTGAGTTTCGGGAACGATTATGTTAGTCTGGAGGCAGGAAATTCGACTACTGCATCGATAGACGAATCTATGGAGAGCACCCTTGATAATCTCAACGATGGTTTCAGTCTCTCGTTTTGGAACCGAGGACGGGCAAATGAAGGATGGAATGCCTGAATGAGCGCGGGCTATAATAGTTCACCGGGTAAGCATGTTTCCCTATCCAAAAGAGACTTGGACTTTAGCAAATGCCCGTCTCTATCCTCTTTGATTCTGCGATCCTAACTTGACATCGTCGTCCTCAGATAGACTCAATACCAGGACCTCTGCCTATCATCCCGACGTGCGAAGACGACTTAAAAGACGACTATGTGTTCACGAGGGAACTATAGGGAGCTCAGAAGTGAGGAGATGTAACGAGTACTAGTGTTACCCGTTTGCCAGAAACACCGAGCGAAATGCGGTGCCGACGTATGCGCGCTGTCTGTAATTCACTCACTTGGATCCTCTCTTCCGCCTCGCGCGCATTGAGGGGGGAGGTGTTATGAGAGATGTGATAAGTTGAATCGGCGACATTGAACTGTGCCTGGTTGCCGATGGTCAGTATTGCCTGGATCCAACCGAAGAGGACTTCATTTCTAGCGGGCGGGGTTCGATATATGCGTAACCAGCCCTATCCTCGATCAGGTGGCAGAATGGACCACTGATGACCCGCGAGCCTCGGTACTCTCAGCTCTTTTTGCAGTCTGCTTATGCTAATTTCAGATGCTGATAAACGTATTGGAAATAATTCCTACCTCACCTAGAAGCCCGAGCTCAGAATCAAACTTGAACACCAACACCGAGAAGGAGCCCTTTTCTCGTCACGAATCCTTGAGGCTGCTCTGTCTGCTTCCGGTCTCTTCGGGTGGATGGGTTCTTATATGACAAGCACTCAAACTAGTGTTAACGTTTCGGGCCCTGGACCCAAAGCACTGGCGCTTGACACTAAACGGACGGCAAAAGATTGCGAAACGGCAGGGAGGGGTATTCGGTGAGCGTACAACGGAGCCGTCAGCCGAGCGAAATTGGCATCACTCCGTTGTCGAGCGGGCGATATATATCCGTCATCAAGCGCGCTCCCAAAATCCCCTCCGTCCATGTCCAACCAGGCTCAACCTGGGTCGATTCTCGCCCAGGTCGAGTATGTCATCTTCAGTTTGCAGTCCATAACATACGTCTCCGGCGCTGCATTCGTCGTCTGGCTCTGGGACATTCTATTGAATCTCGACATCGAGACATCCGTATTGTGGCAGCAGAATGGTGCTTTTATCAAAGTCCTTTATAGTTTAGTGAGCCACTTGCTCGTTTTATTGAATAATGAAACCAAATACTGATCCTTGCGAGGTCCGATACGGCCCCTTCCTGGTTATTGTGCCAAACTTTTTGGGTTGGTGTCTTGGAGAACGTGAAACTCGTGCAGAAGCTGACTCATTTCTTGCAGTTTACATGCCAAACCATGTAGTTACGCTCTCTAACAAGGTGCCTATCATCTTCACTTTGCCGCCGCTGCGAGCTGACGAAGCGCTAATAGTTGTATGTCATATGTATCCCGCCGTATATCAACTTCATGCTCCGAAAGCTGCGTAAACCTCTATATTGTGATGGTACTCGCACATACAATCTGTGCCTCGGCCGTGACCTGTGGGTACCTCCCTCCCCTAAACGCGACCACGACTTGACTCTTCTTTCGTTCAGCCGTCTTCGCCCTTCGTGTATACGCACTTTACAAGAACATTCGCTGGATGAGAATGCTCATCGCTTCCATTACAGTCACGAGTCACCTTGGAACTTGCTGTTACACTGTTGTAGCGGCAAGAATCATTTATCGTATGCATCGATATTCTATGCAAGAGGATATTGACCTATCAAATAGGGAGTATGGTCTGGTTCGACCCCTTAAAAGTCTGCGTGGCGCTCGATCCACCTAGGAAGGCCCTTTCCATAATGTGCGCCTCGTCGGTAGGTATTCATTCCCTACGTGCGTATTGGGCCACTGATAAATCGAGCTTCTCATAGCTGATCCTCGAAGTTGTCATTTTTGCGGCTACTCTCTACCACGCGATTCGTTTTCGCCGCGACCATTCGCATTTGGGAGAAACGGCAGCAGGAATGGTCATCAAGACTTTACACAAAGATGGATTCAGCTACTTTGCCGTATGCGCTTTTCTACAGTGTCAACAAAATCCTAACTTCGTCGCTAGCTAATCTTTACGTCGAGGCTTATCATTTGCATACTGGTGGGTTTCCTGCCAATGATACGGGAAGACATTCACAGCTCAGTAAGCTTTGGTGCAATACATCACTCGCATTCATACTTTTGGTATACATCGAGTTTTCTGTGGTCAGCACCATGACAAGTCACTGGCTACTCTCTTTTCGACAACTCGCTATGGGTTTCTGGGAACAACCCATGGTTACGGATGCAGGTCGCTCGACGAGTGCAACGATCACCATGTTCCCCACCACCACCTTTGAAGTCTCCAACGGAGGCCTTAGCCTCCCCTCCTTCGATCCAGGAACGGCTGGGCGAGAACAAAATCCTTGAGAAAAGCAGTAGAAAGTCTTACGGATCCGTGGTCGATCTGTTCTCCTTCGAAAACGCTAGTTCTTAAAAGAAGATATTCCACCAACGGTTAGTCCTTGGCCTCTTATCGGCTTCGAATCTGCGTTTCGAGTTCTAATACCGTTATCCACAGATAGAATGGATACGGGATGCTCTGGTTATCGAGACAATGAACTACGGCATTACGAGGCCAACTACCGTTCGCTACGAGATATCGGGACGCCCGGGAGAATGAAGAATAGAGAACGGGTACTGGCAACACACTCGATCACACAGCGGGAAACTTGCCGTACCGGCGAAATCTCTTCGGTGACCTCATTTTCCAATGCACGCTTTGTATGTAGTGCTCTCAGAGCCAAGATGAACAAGCGAACCCAGGGTCAAGGGAACTATTTCTCACTGAAAAGACAGCAAGAGCCGATGTGAAATTTAATAGTCTTCATATTGTATACAGAATCCTACTCTGCACGTCAGCAACTGCGCCGACAGCAAATGGCAGTACGTACAACGGCGGCGTAGTCCCGAGAAATTCAAGTCTTGGACAAACTGAACATTCTCCATAAGTTTGGGTGTGAGGTCACAACATAACTGTGCATGAGTATTCAGCGAGCCGTCCTGTGAGAGAGCCACTCACGGCCAAGTTCATTAATAAAGTCCCCATGAGGAGGTCATAACAGACCTGCATCCCATGCTGCCCCTGCACAGTCACGTTATAAAACGATAATCATCCAGATGGAGGCTTACCCTTGGCTCACGTCGGAGACCTTTTGATAGGAGTGCGCTATTTCCTTCAAATAAACGCCTCAAGAGCATTCCAAAGGTCCTGAAAGCCTCTCCGTGCTTGATACACTTCTCGATCGACTCATATCAGCAAACATAACTATAGTTGTCAACGAGTAGCTCGTGCACAACGTCTGTTGATAAGCCGGCGAGTCGGGTGTACCCTTCTACCGAGATGTCGAACTACGTCTGCCTCCATGTAGCGGGAGCATCGATTGGCCGTTGTGACTCGAATGGGTACCGTCTAGCTCTCTCTTCCGCGAGCCATATGAGACCATGAAGCGCTTTAAGATTTGCAAGACGGGACCAGACATGGAGTCTCCGGTGCTAAATCCAAGGTGTCGCTCAAGTTGACGGAGGATGTGGCCTGTGCAGCGGTGACCCTCTGGGTCCCTATCCGAATTTCGATTTTTGTACGAACTAAAGTCACTAGTGAGTAGAGAGGCAATGCCATGATAGAACGTTTACTGTTTGGGTTTCGCCCCACGTGCTCTCGCGCGTCCGGTCAGGGATCCCACATCGGCGTTGGGTGACAATGACCGCCAAGGACGAAGGAACGCTCATGCTGGATGATGCCTCGGGGGCAGCAGAGTTACCGTCAGGGTGGCTCGACTCGCGGTCTGGTTGATCGTGAGCCCTGAAATAAGCTTGGATGCATTCTGTTGCCAAAGAAAACTATTGAGATGAAGTTCGCGGCTGTTGGACTGAAAATTATGGCGGAGACACGCTGTAAAATTGGTAGAACCTGAACCATTGGAACCAGCTTGCGCGTAACGGGGAGGTGAGCGATGTCGACCTGTGACTGAGAAAGACAAACATACAAGTGAAGAATAAAAAGTTAACCTATTCTATTAGTGCGAAGTAGCATATGATGCTGGAACCAAATAGATAAAGTGGAGGTCAAGTGATGCCCGATTCGGAGACACTTACGGAAAGAAGAAATAATATATTACTCTGGAAAAGTAAAGCATACTGTGTTCGGGAACAGAGCTCTTCTGCACGACTATGTGCCGTGGCACATTAGATAACCTGCTCGACAGAGAAAGCGCCGATATTTATCAACCACCCACGAGTATCTTAGACCAATGTATCGGTCTCACGGGTTACAAAGAACCAGAACGAGCCTAAGGACTTTTGCTGCATCAACAGATAATTTCTGCGCGGAATAGCATTGCTCTCAAACGTGAGACGCGTGGGCCAGTTCGGTTCCTGGGTCACGAACCGCCCCCTATTTGAACGCTTGAGGTGGCGCCGAGACCACTGTATGTAAGTCACCGGGTAGGATAGCTGGCCTAGCTCGAACATTTTGAGAGTAACATTGCCGTTCTGACTAGAGCATACGTAGTTCAAGGCTAGGGACTTCAAAATATGTGCCGTGTCAACGAGCGTCTAGCCTGTGAGATACATTGGAGTACTTTTGATCGTGTTGAGGACGTAGAGACAAATGAAAGAAGGTCGAGGCAGACGGCCGCTGTCCCGCCCAACGAGGTTTGTTGACACACCTGAAGGGACCCAGATGAGGAAAAATATTGAAGTTCGCGCCATATTTCGATTTTGAAAGACTTCTACCCACGCTCGTAGGATAGAGAGACAGCCTTCTAACTTGTTGCGAGGATGATCAGGTGACTCTAGTTTAGTCGTCAGATGTCTACTTAGGTAGCTCGATATCGTTTCCTTACTAGGCAACTTTGAGACTTCTGTGAGATCTATCCGCTATCTCCGGACGGAGCCCGAGCGGGTAGATTTGTGAGTGGACCACGGCCAACCAACAAGGTATCGAGGTGGCGTTAGAGTACTCGCTTTTGCAAATGAGTCCGCATGGTCACGTAGGATGATCAATATTTTCCCACCATTCAGATGTGCGGGAGGCGTCGCATCGGATGCAATTCTCGCTTTAACCGCTCACTTGGACTAGACTCCGCCTATCCAAAAGCAAAAGCAAATTGAAGAACAGCTGCTCGCCGATCCGTTAACTCTGAAACAGACTTGTCTAGACCATTCTGTTCACCCTGAGAAGTTTACAACGGCAGTCCTGGCATCCCTATCGGGCCTCGGTAGCAATAACTAAACACCTAACCTCAAATGGGCAGGAAACTTAAGCTCCGAAACGGCAAAGAAGATACGTTGGGGCACGAACCAAACTGCAGAGTTGACATTCCAATGGCCACTAACGGAGCCTACGGTATCCCATAGTGCGCGACCAATACCGAACTAGTCGGCGATCATAAATTTGGAATATATACCTGGATTCATCGAATGACGCTTGTCGAATTCCCATCTCCTTCATGCCGGCTCAAGTTTTCACTCAGCTGGAAGCCGGGTTACTTAGTTTACAAACGGCATCTTATGTGACATCTGCAGCATTTTCGATCTGGCTATGGGATATCCTAATAAACCTGGATGTCGAACTCACCGTCCTATGGCGGCGGAAAGGCGGTTTGCTCAAAACTCTATACACTCTAGTGAGCTCTTGTGTAGTTCCTATTCAATGATTCAAGAGCTCACTATTAAAGGTTCGTTATGCTCCCGGAACGCTATTCATTCCCAACGTCTACCGTTAGGTATCGGTCAAAAGCTCAGATCCGTCATGCTGACGCGGTAATACAGTGTACTCTCCAATGCGCGCTCAATTGTCCAAAAAGGTATGTCTGTCTGCGCGCTACTTGAAGGAGCTGATAGGTCATCAGTTGTATGTACGCCATGTCCATCCCGTCACGCATTCAGCTCATGCTTCATAGTTGCGCATCCACTGCTATTATCATGTCTCTCACAGCGGGGTTATGCAGTATTTCTGTGACCAGTGAGTACATCCCTCCTCGGGCAGAACCGTTCCCTAGTATTCACCGCTGTTCGCACAGCTGTGTTTGCTCTCCGCGTATACGCTATTTACCGAAGCATCCACTGGATGCGAAGGCTTATAGTGGTCGTCGTCGGCATTTGTCATTTCGCTGTTCTCTCTCTCAGTGCCTTGGTGGCTATCGACCTGGCCGGTAAGTTGGATTCATCCCAATGACAAAACAGTTCCCACATCAGAACAGGCCGTGTCATATGGATTGGACCTTTGAGCTTATGCGCGACTCCCAATCCACCTGTACGACTCTTCTCCCTCTTTTACGGCTCGACAGTGAGTAGTCAGCTCGAGTTTGAACCGAATAGCTCATGAACCACTATAGCTTGTTGCCGAACTTTTTCTCGTACTAGCTACGCTTTATCATGCAATATGTTTTCGTCGCGATCACCCGTCCTTGGAGGGTACGGCAACAGGAGTCGTTGTCAGGACCTTGCATAGAGAAGGATTCAGCTACTTCGCGGTCCGTCTATTATACTATCATAATCGACGCTAAACTCCTCTCTAGTTCATCTTCACGTCGAGATTCGTCATTTGCACACTGGTGGGTCCTCAGCCGCACTTGAGGCTGGTTGTGATTGACTGGATCAGATCTGGAGCCACCCGTCGCTGACGGTCCTGATTCTAGTATATATCGAATTCGCAGTGATCAGTACCCTTACGAGTCGTTGGATACTCTCGTTCCGACAACTCGCTATCAGTTTCTGGGAAGACCCTGCCCCAGATGGAATACAGTTCACTACAGCGACTGTAACTGGAATTCCAGTAACCACTTTCGGTGTCGTAGAACACAGTATGAGCTTTGCCTTGTGGAGTACTAGGACAGACGCGCTGGAGCTCACCCAAAGCCACAGCTAATCACTAGATCCTCAATATGTACAATATGTACGTTCTTCAGATATCCTTACATGATAGTTGTTCTCACGTTCGTAATTTTTTGGCCCTCACACCTAACAGACTTGAACAAATCATCCATAGGTGCACTCAAAAGCTATTCGATACCCCAACGGAACACGATGTCTCTAGATCTCGTGAGGCAGCGGCACTGACCAGACGTTAGTCTTTGTGACGCTTCTTTGCCGCATTAAACATGTCTTACGCACCACTATTGCCTTCGGAACACCTCAGGTTGATTAGCTACTCACCACTTCTGTCGTCCCCACTCGTGAGGGTCGCACATGCCAGACTCTTGTCTCGTTCCTGTTATTTGATTCTCCTTCCAAGTGTTTCCCAAGATCACTCGAACACTATACACACGATTGTACGTACATGCAACATCTTGCAGGCTCCTTTGTACCCCTCTAGTAGCTCAATACACAATCCTAGACTAGCGACCTCACACGCCCTCGCAAACGATGCGGTATATATAATGCCTCACCTCGCGTATACAGGTTTAATTTAAGCTGCCAACCCCGGCAAAAGCCGCTCAGGCGCAGAGGAACCTGGATGCAGCAACAAAGAGGCCACTTGACGAGGAACCCTCGGAGCAGTTCTGGTCTTACACTATCCTATGCTCTCAACTGTGGCCTGGATCAAGATGAACCTGAAATTGCATTATTATTCGTTGTGTCGTTCATAATTTTTGTGTTCCACACATGTAGCTAGTCGAATGTTCCGCGAAGCATCAGAATCTTCGATCGAAACGATCGATCATGTTGTCTAGATGAGTATTGTGATGCGGAGATCACGTACGATAGCACTCGTCACGCAGCGGCTATTAGGCAAGGGAAGGAGCGGAGATAACGGGCGGAGTTTCAGTCGTGTTTAACTCATTCGGTTTACTTCTCGCTCCGTCTGAGACTTCGTCTTCATTATCTAGGCGCCATAAGGATAGCATAGATGGTGCTTTTGACAAAGGTGAAGTTCTGCCCAATCATCGGGGAGTACCAGGGATTGAAAGTCGGCAACGTCGATACCGAGTCACAGCGAGAGGAGCCTCCTGGATTGCTGCCGAACGGCATTTTGCGACGAAGGGCTGACCATGAGCGAAAAGCGTGTCCCGGAATTAGACGGTGAGCTTCCTGTCAATTCACATCCCCTCTCCTTACAATTTGCGTAAATTTCGACTACAAAGGAGTTGCCGTTATCCGGGACCGTGCTCGGGCAGCCAACCCAGTGGTAAGCATCCTTTCCCATGCAGTTACACCTGTTTAACACTTCATAGCATTCTTCAGATGTTATTTCACCTGTTCGAGGCGCTCTGTGGCAAAGACGATTCCACAGTGAAGCTCAACCCCCCCGACCATGAAGAGTCAAAGGAAAAACTTTCAACAGGAAAGCGATCCAAAAAAAATTTCGACTTGGCCCTTTTGTTACAAGCGTGTTATATGCGTCAGTCCCAGTGCTGGGCAAGGCGCTTGGGGCAGGACAAACGGTGGCCCTTCCACCAGTCCCGAACTACACGTCTCACGTTTGGCCAACAACGCTAATCCGCATATAAATCGGCTATGAAACTTGTAAGTATGCATGAGCTTGAGATAATTTGCCTTATTCCAAGCAGCAAAGTATTGGCAATATTGCCTGCTGTAGTCCTTGAGGACACGGTGTCCGCGTCCATTAACCCAGTACACTCCTCAATTCTCTACACAACAAAACCTTTGGCCCTGCATAATTGAGACTGTACTTTGTACCGGTGATCTGTACCATTCACGGCACGCGAAGGTCTAAAGTGGGAGTCTGCGCTCCGAATGTGATACGTACCACTTATCGGTGGTGCTCCAACCTTGGCCACTTGATCGTTCATCTATTTGGTTCCTGGTATTTCCTACACACATTTAATTGGATAGATTATTTTATACTTGTATGTCTATCTCCCTTGGTCTCAGATTGGCGTTGCTGACATCTCGTCTCAAGCCGGTTTCGATGGTCATCATCCATGTTCAACAGTTTTTTTTGCAGCGTTTTGCGAGCATTTTATTTTCCCCAACAAGTGGAACTGCCATTGCGATAGTTCTTTTATCGGCATCCTTCCAAGTGTCCCTGCACGCACGACGCGATTTCGGCTCGGACAATGACGTGCCCCAGGCTCCCGCATCCGACAATTTCACTCCTGAGATCACTCCGAGTGTTCTCTCCTCGACTACAGACGTGGACCGTAGGTTTGCAATCAAGGCGACAGGTAAACGTCAAACAACGTGGTCGGAGGATCAGGTAGTGAGTACCCCGTCAAGCTATCGTGTTTGTGCTAATTACTGGACATAGTTTGTCTACCAGGGTATCTCTGTTGCGGACACGGAAACGAACCGCGCCCGAAGGCCAAACCTAGAGGTAACGGCTTCCACCCACCGGCTTATACGCAGCACGTTAAAACCTCATTAGCTTTCAAACTTTTTTTACAAGATTGCAGAGCATCTCGTTCTGTCGCGAGGCTCGGAGGACCGTGACCCTCAAGGCCGGCAATGCGCAAGCAAGATTCTCCACCAGCTTGCCCACCAACCGGGTTTATCCAAAGGCGACTTGAAATTCGGGAGCGTATTCGGCAATCTGAACGCATTTCGCGGCCTTGCGTGGCTCGCTCTTCTGCGAGCCAGGCGTTACCCGTTCGAGTCGCAACCACCACTTGAAGCGAATTTTTTTTTGGCGCCCCACTTGGTTCGATATGTCTGTAGAGGCTTATATTCGACTGGCCGGGTTCTCGACGGAGGAAGTATGCACTCTTCTGGACGACGATTACTGCATTTATGTCCGGTGGTCAACGTTCATCGAGAGATGTATCAGCCAAGGACACGAGCTCAAGGTATTCGGGATTCTTCTGTCGAGGATGTTTAGGAGGAACAAAGCGTTGATGGGTAAGGGCCTAAGACGTAAGCCCCGGTTAAGTTCCTATCTGGATGTATACCATCATATAACTAAATCTTGTAGTGGAAGCATCGAATGCCGGTTCGTTACGACCTCCTAATGGAGAGTTTATTAATGAACCTCGCCGTGAGTGTTTCCTTGCAGCTGATGCCCGTTGATCAATTGTGAAAAGTTATGTTGCGACATCACTCCGGAGATGCAGAGGGATATCAACCTCACCGACCACCTCACATGGTGTCCAAGCTTGCGCTGTAAGTATACGCATTTGCTACTCGGCGCGTCGCTGATGTACAGAGCAGGATCCTGTATATATCTGAGAACTATGGCATTCTGATTTCACCACAAATCTGTGAGCTTTTGAGCAATGAGACTGGTAAATGGGCAAGTGCCAGGCGACGAATGAATGCAACCCTCTCTCAACGCACTTTGAGATTGGATGAATCTGACGCTCATGGCATTATAATTTATTGCGATTAACTTATAATTCGACAGGTGATGTATATTACACAAGAAGTGAGCGCGAAAGTTCCCGAAGGCATGCATAAAGGTCGTTTTAACGTCGGTCATGGGGTGGGATTGATGAATGGTGGATGAGCTGAAGGAGCAGATGAACCAGCAACCGGTACCGACTGCGACGTCACAGTCGCTTCTTCCCTTGCCGGTAACGGGGACGAGGACGACTCGGTTGGAGGTGAAGGATGGGACGAAGTATCTGGTGGAGGCGTTGATACTGATGATGGCGGTGGTGAGGAAGGTGGTTGGTACTGCGGCACTATCGACGATGGCGCAGGAGGTGGAACGATGGAAACGACGGGAAGCGTCGTCGTAGGCGAAGAATGCGCCATGGAAGATGGTCGAGAATCGACTGCTCGATCACGTTCGTCTGCTGCTTCAATCTCTTTTGGCGCAGTACGTCTAGAGAAGAGGGTTCCGTTAGAAGGTGTGAGATGAGAAGAAGGAGGACTTACTGCATCAATACGACTTCGTGTGCACCGGCATTCTCCATGTATACCGGTAAGGAGGTAATAGAAGCCTGGCTTCCTCGTCTTCCGAGATTGGGTCGCGCAGCACGCACCGGTCGACGAATTCCGGCGGCTACAGCGGCTGTATCAAGTATCCATGTACGATCGGGTCGTTCTGTATTCGCTTGGATTTAGTAGGCGATAAGAAACGTTGCACAAGAGTACGTACGCGAGTGAAGACCCGGTCCATGACCTTGTCCGAGTGCGGCTTGGTGTAGCAGATATCTTCTTCGATGGTTTCTCTGAGCGTAGAAACAGGCGACGACACCGACTAGGACGAAGAAGACGACAACAGCCTGCAGTCGCGCGGCGCGATTAGCCTTTTGGGTACAACTGAAAAGAGGAGCCGTTGACATACCCACACATAGTTTGGCATTCTACTGTCATTGGCCGTCTGTGAGCCATCCTGCGAGTCTGGAGGTGGCATCTGTGACTGCCGCTTGTCGAGTCTGGAGATGAGGTACATGGCGTCCGATTTCTATCTATTTTTGGTGTCTGACTGGTTCTAATGTCGTCCTAGCTCGAATTTTGGCAATTGTGCCAATGTCGTTGCGTGCAGAGATTGTCGGATGAACCAAATAGCCCGGCCGCAGCCCAGGCTCGTGCAAGTGAGATATCCAACGGCACGGCGTGGGTTTGTAAGGGTATTTATGTGTGAGAGTGCACACCGTATCTTCTGGAGTTCACTCAGCACTATGACGGATTCTCCACGGGGTTATCTGTCCGCAGTAATGCTGTTCTCTGGTGATAATAGTCGGATGTGAGGATGCCTCTGAGAGCGCCTAGCGGTGTAAATTGCTGAGATGGACGTAGAGGAGACGTAGAGAAAGTCGTGGGCGGGGCCAACTGCTCAACGTTCGGCAGCCGCTATGGCCGAGAGCGGCACATCGGCAAGGCCACTAGGATTTATTCTCGACTGCTCCCGACGGGCTCTTCGTCATAGGAGCCTCCAAGTATAACACTATTCAAAGGCTCGGCAAGCACTAGTCTCGGAGACTTCGGTGTTTGCATACATAAAATGAAGATTTCAGGAAAAGCTTATCTTTTAGCCACTTGGATCCTCCCTCGTTCGGCGAGCGAGAGCATGCAGCCAAAGAGACAGTCTGAGCATACTGGATGGCCATTTCTTCAACTTTTGGCTCAGATTGAGATGTCTACCGTCTTCAACCCAGAAAGTCGTCGCTCTGATTCAAGTTCCTAACACTCCAAATTCACTACAATACACGAAACCCTCCTTCTAGCGCTTGCAAACCTGAGGAGGACTTCTCAACTGGGCGCCTACCGGCGTCGACTCCTCCCGTGGACCATGAACACTGCCAACACGGTCGCACTCCTCTCTTTCCGGCGTCAACCTCAAACTACAGCTCACTATATCCCCATTTTCTGGCAAGATCTCTAAATTGGGGAGCTGGACAGACTCTGCTGGTCGAGAAGGGCTCCACTCTACCTTTAAGCGGCGGAAGGTCATCACTTGTCAAACACGGATCCTGATAGCACTCTAAATTGCACTTCCAACTGTGCATAGGCCAACCCCGCACGCTTGCGGGTTAACCCAACTCTCGCACCCCGCTCCCCAACTCTCACTTCACAACTACTCTTACTCAATGCATGAGAGATAACCTGTACACCTCGCACTATCACTTGTTGACCGCACTCCGCGCCACCGATTTTCAGGCTTTCAACCGGGCGGGCCAGCGGGCGGCGGAAATGAATACAGGGCGCTTGGAGCAAGGGTTGTCAGAGATTTTGGCGTTCGTCCTAAATTCTGTTTCTTCTCAGTGGGGCGGCGTCGCTGGTTGGCGATTGGACTCCGACGGCTAATGGGCGTCGCTGGTTGCCAGCCTTATAAGCCGCCCCAATCAGCCAATTCCTTTAAATACCATCCCAACCCACGCTATCCATCCCACTAGTCTCCCGGCCCAGTAGCTGAGCGACCTATACCTACCAACGAACCGAATGAACAACCAACATCCATCGGCTTGGGCCTCGGGATTGCAGTTACAACTCGAGCCACCTGCAATACATACGCGTGTAGCAAAAGTACCAGAAGGAAGCCATAGACGGTATCCGCCAACTCCCTATCCTCATGCCCGGCACGCACAGTTGCCGTCAGAGATACCTCGGCCACAGTGAGCATTCTACTCGTTTGCTTCAAACTCGTACTTACCTGTCCTTAGGCCAGGTTCTCTGTATCCACCGCGTGTCACAACGATATACCCACCTCCAGTCCCCGTTCTACTTGCCAAACCGGTGGCCAAATCCAGAAGCCCTTCTAAAACCCCTACCTACGAGTCTGCTCCTGCTCCACCGCCCATGATTGTCAGACTTCCCGATGGATGGGAAAAGGGTAGACGGTTCCCCTTGATTCCGGAACAAGAACCGCCGAAAAAGGTCTACGCACATGGTCCGGTCTTTCCAGATCTGAAGCGTGAAGATTATCGAGTGAGTGCATGTGCGCTTTGCCTTCTCGCGCCCTATACTTAACGATCCTTTCTAGCCTCGCTGTGGTGTCTGCTTGAACACGTTCTCCAGCTGTCAAGACCTCAATCACCATTACAAAGTATATCATCCGGAGCAATTCGAAAAGGAGGAACGTCGCGTCCGACAGGAAGAACGCCTTGCACGAGAGAGAAAGCACCGTGTACAAGAGGAGGAGCGTCGTGCGGAAGAGGAAGAACGTCGTGTACGAACGGAGGGACGTCGTGCCTATGAACGTCGCGAGCAAGAGTTGGAGGATCAAGAGAGGGGAAAGGGGCTGCTAGAAGGTCCGGGAGGGATGACTACGACGATAGAAGACCCATGCGCCACCACAGCATACGAAACCTCCAGGAAACATAATAGTACACTACAGGTATTGAGTCGGCCTTGCACCTCGGTCACCGACTGCTTCGAGCCGCGATCATGTGGTCGCTTCTCTGTATTACTGTGACTTATCACTATTTACAATGCTACGCCTCTATACTTTCCCTTTTGCATCGCACTTTGGGCCAACATGGACTAAGACAAACCCTCTGGAGCTTATGACTATTCAAATACTCTCTGTAAGCGGGCAATCCCTCACCTCAACCCTTGTGGCGTCTAGTAGCGTTGTGGCGCATGACGAGTGCCCACCCGTTTGTTTGGCCACTTACCTTGAGAGCGTTTCTCGTCTTCTCTTAGTGTCACAAATGGAGAAAATTACTGTATGAAGCTACGGAGTGTCTTCGAGGGAGGACATCATCTCCGTTGAAGGGCCCTAGGTTTCGCAGGTCACTCCATTAGATGAGAATCACAAGTGCTCTTCATCTGAGCTGACCAACTTATCGACTCGGGTAATATTTACCTTTGATAGCTTCTGGCGATTGTGGTCGCCTACTGCACTACTTATAATTTCGTGAAAAACTATAACTGGGCTCTGTACCATCAAAGATAGGTCGGAAATAGATTTTTAAATCAATTTCAATTCGGTTTGCAGGCCTCAGTCTCCAAACCCTCAAGAGGCTGGCGCGCCGCTGGGCGAGCCTGCCCAGCAACAACCTAGCGGCACAATTCAGTGGGCTTGTACTGGATGGTCAAAATTAGGTAATATAATCAGCTTGGCTAATGCAATGCATAGGGGACGGTTCGGAGCACCAGCCTGGTGAGCAACACCGCGACGAGTTGGAGCCAAAACTTGCACAGGCCATGCGCAGTACGACACCCGTTTTTCGTCCCGCTTAGACGATTGTCGAAGTATTTAAGACTGGTGGAGGTTTGGGAGGATCGACATCTGGATCAAGTACTCTCTCTCCCGATCAATTGTCCCAAAGACTATTATACTATCACTCTATATGTCCTCTAATCATCATTTACAAATCCAAGGAGGCAGCAATCAATGCGCACAACAGCAATACCCTCCCCAAGTAATCTCCTCTGGGGCCCCCGCATCGCAATACGGTCACTATGTCCCACAAATTACATCCCACTACCCCATACCCTCCGTTCCAAGTGTCGTGGTACCAACCACTACCCGACGCAAGGATATATCGCCCCTCAGGGACAGTATCCTAGTCACGGGTGAGCCAAAGTGTATTCCGACTCATGATCCTGAGTCTCATCTTCGAGATTCAGATTAGGTCGCATCATGTCGTACAAAATCCAAGCTCGTATACTCCTTCGCAACAAGTGAGCCCTACCCCTGTGTGAGAGAGCAGATTTCTGACCCTCCGTTAGCCATACAACGTCCAGCAGCTTCAAGTTCCTCAAGTCTATCACCCGCATCAACCAGTCGTTACTCAAGCCCAATACCTTCCCCACACTTCTGTTTCCCTCGCCTCGGGCTCTACTCCTATCAGCGTATGCGTCATTCTGACAAGATTTCCGCACATCTGACGTTCTATTAGCCCTTGCCAGTAAACATATCAAATGCGCAATACATGTGCAGCTCTTGCGGCCAGACATTCACCCGTTCCGACTCTTTCCACCGTCACGCCAGGACATTTCACGAAGCCAGCGTGTACAGTTGTCGATGCGGAAAGACGTTTAGTCGCGAGGACTCACGCAAACGCCACTGGAAGAGTCACCCTGATCACGCGACTCACTAATGACCCTTTCGACCTTTTGGACTCCTTCGTTTTCGGGCCGCTTGGTTCTGCAATGCTTGGTTTCGGACTCACACTCCCTCATTGATCACATTCAATTTCTTATTTCGCTATTTCGTTTCGTTTCTCTTCGTTTTCGGACTTGCACTCGTATGCATGCATATCAGCATTACCTAATCATATGACATTATGGTAGTAAACATGCACTTTTATGAGCATCAGACTCTGTTCACTTGTCAAACTTTCGATACAACCTCTATTATCCTGGTCCCAAAACTAAATATGCATTTAGACCTGGCTCATGGTTAGTTGGATGCTCCCTAATAATCGCGTATATTCTCCTCAGAGTTCCTGTTGCCGCTTTGGGCAACCGCGTTTGCGCCACTTGCCTTGCGACCACCACGACGCAAGGGGCCTTGCCTCCTCTTTAGGGCGTATTTCCGCCTTTAATACCCAGAGGAATTACTCTTCATCACAGAGAAGGCTGTAGAAATGCCTCTCCGTATCCCATTCATGTCGAACAAGCCGTTGTCGGCGCGCACGAGAAAGTTCCTGGCCAACATACCCGTCGTCGCCAGTATATTCTTCGCAGTACTTGTCATTGTTGAATGGAGTACGGAAAGATTCGACCGCCCACCGCCCTCAGGTCCTCCGGTGCACGGATTTATTCTACCGGACAAAGTTGCAAAGCTGCTGGGACCCTACTCGCCATGGTATCCTGTAGAATTCTACGTCAGGCCTCCTCCAGCTTGTAATATCACCCAGGTATGACTTATCGCAGCGCCATCCTCATGACGTCGGAAACTCACACCATTTCCTCTAGGTTAACATTGTATGTTTGTTCAATACTCGGGTGAAGTCTGTCATTATAAATGACTCTTCTCGACTAGCTTCATCGTCATGGTGCGCGGTATCCTACCAAAGGCCAAACGGAAAGGATACAGAGAGCGCTTAGTCGTATCAACCCACCATCAAAGAAGAATGCACACAGTGTCCTCGGCTTCACGAGGACGTACAAATATCAACTAAAGACAGACGAGTTGCTCTGGTTCGGAGCCACCGAGTATGTTGAAGTTGTCGTGACTTTTTGATATCTGACCCAATTCTACAGAGCGTTTGCGTCTGTTGTTGCCTCATATAATCGGTATTCCGACTTGGCACATGTCGCTCCGCCATTCCTTCGCGCAGGGGACTCTTCCAGAGTAGTTCAAACCGGGTTAAACTGGGCAAGAGGTGAACATGATGCCACCCAGTGTTCAAATGCCTTACTAGCCACTAGGATTTGAAACGGCTAGCCGTATTCGACTCAAGAAGCCGCTCATCATATCGGAAACACCAGGGGTGTGTGACGGCTTTGATGAAGTTTAACAACCACTTATTATCCCCTAGCAAAACAATACTCTTCATGGTGGACAATCGTGTCCAGCACATGATGATGAGCCAGCGAATAGAGCCCAAGCTGCATGGCTCTCACACTTTGCACCAAATATCACGGCGCGTCTCAACGCAGCGGCTCCTGGTTCGACGCTGCAGGACGAAGATATCCCAATGCTTATGAGCCTGTGCTCATTTGAAAGCTTGTACCATTACAGTACAAGTCCGTGGTGCCATGTGTTCCACAGTTCCGATGAGGGTACGGACGAATGGGCCGCGTATGAATACTGGGGAGATTTAGAGAAATTCTACAACACTGGGTATGCAGAGTCTTTCTTTTAGTTTGGTGAAGCTTATCTCGTTCAGACCTGGCAACGCGCTTGGACGCGTACAAGGAATCGGTTGGGTCAATGAGCTGATCGCTCGCCTGACCGACAGCCCGGTCAATGACACCACCACGGTCAATCACACATTAGACTCGAATCCGGAAACCTTCCCACTCTCGCCAAATGTTACGATGTATGCCGACTTTTCCCACGACAACGAGATGAATGCCATCTTTGCGACACTCGGACTTCTACGCATGGTAGAGGCTCGACGCTCTGGGAAGAATCTATTGCCCCAATCATTGCCACTCGATTATCATGTCGAAACTGAACAGGTGGCTATCAATGCAGAGAGTCTGTCCATCTCCAAAGAGTCGGACGCTATTCGAGTCAAGGAAATGGATCCGGAAAAGCCGGATCCGAACCGCAAATGGGTTGCCTCGCGACTTGTACCCTTTGCGGCGCGATTGGTCGTTGAGCGGTTGGAGTGTCCCAATCCCAACACCACTATGGAGAAGAAGAGTCCAAGTATCAAGGCTATGAGGATGCTTCTAAACGATGCCGTCGTCCATGTACCCGGCTGCCAGGAGAGCGAGAAAATCTTGGGCAACGGCGTATGTGATCTAGACAAGTTTGTAGAGACGCAGGCGTACGCTCGGAATGGTGGAGTGGGAGAGTGGGAAAGGTGCCGAACAAACGAGTAGAAATGGAGGACATTAACTTTTAAAGTCGGACGGATTTAGGCTTCGCCGCAGATAGACATCTCAGAGGATTCCTTTCGCTCACAATTCTACCTTATTTGCTCGGACGTAGGCGGTGGATGAGAAAGGTGGTGGCCCCATTCATCGCTCCTTGGCCAACGCGTCAACCAAAGTTCTTCCACGGTCATTTGATGGTGGAACTTCGTTGACCAAATAAATAGCTGGAACACCCTCAGACTTCTCATTCGACCATCAAAGCCAATGGCAGCGGCTTGTTGTCTCCAGCATAAGCCGCAGAAATACGGGTTCTTTGGCCCCTCAGATTGTTCACACAAGGAGGTCTCATCTAATGAAAATTTCGACTCTTGGCAGGATTCTGAGCCGTTACGCCAAAGGTATTAATCGAGTCTGTGACATAGAATCCACTGGAAATCAAGAGAATTGATAAAATATTGTCGGAACGTCCCGTTTACGTATCCTTTGTGAAGAATGGATGGTAGGTACAAGGCGCCGCTGTCGTGCCGATGGCTTTCGTGCCACGGTCGCGCTTCTCTTTGTCCATTGTGCAAATGAAGGGCAATTTACACTATGCACAATGCCGGTGGCTCAATAATTTCCGCCGGGTGGAGGCTTAAAGGACTGTACGGATCAGGGGTCAGGACTTGGAGGAAGTCTAGCCTTAAATCAGGCAAGTTGCTTTCAAAGAAGCGAACTGACAGAATCCTGACCTCTTTCAGAGATGTCTACTCGCCGCAAAGTGTCCAGTATCAAAAAGCAGCAGCAGCCCTCAGAGGTAGAAGCTATGGTTCCTCGTTACCATCCCTATCAAGCTCCAAACTCTCATGGACCTCTGTATAATCTTGCTGAGTACGCTCGGTATCATGCTATTGCCGCGCACGCGTATGCACAAGCAATGCCAGTTACCTCGGCCGGTCAGCCGCTTGGACACCCATCATATTCCTTCCCTATCACGACCTCTACCCATATGTTCTCTCAGCCCGTACCTATACACCTTCCTCTCGTACCAACGCAGGGTACCTCTGCTACCGGTGTGACATCTGTGGCTCACTATGCAACCCAATCCACGGCACGTTCAATGACAAATGAAACTCAAGGTCGAGTTGAGACCTCGAGGGAAGAAGTCTTGCGCGCCGAGGAACGTTGGGCGAGGCTCGAAGCTGAACGCACCAGACTCTACGAGACCGTGAGTCCGTCGGATGCCTAATTGGACTCCCCGCTGAAAAGAATCAAGTTCTCGTTGAAGCGCTATGCCATTGTTTCCGATCCCGACGGCCACGCCAATATCATAAGAGGGACTCGTGACGAAGGGTCAAGGGATCCCGCGAACACGCTACCTGAAATCTCTTCCGCACGCGTCGGACCCTTTTATACTCGCCTTCCGCCACCCAACTGCTCGGGCACATCGACTCAGGTGCATCACTGCCCTCTATGCAATATGCCCATTACGGATAGAACTTCGTGGGAGGTGCATTATAAACGACACTATGAGGATCTGGAAACGAGAGGAGTTCGATGCGCACGCTGTGGAGTTCATATTATTGGTCGCGCTGCGGCCATCAAGCATCGTGAAACTCAATGTGACTCTGCTCGCCCCGCTCTTTATAATCGCAATCAAAACGTTTCAAACGCTCCAAAGAGGGCGTAATATGCTCTGACGTCTTTATGTTTCTATGCCCCTATGCCTATGGTCATTTGTATCTTCATTCCACGTACAGTAATATGCCAGGGTACCTCCTTAATCAAATTCGACTTGCTCTCCTGAACGTAGAACTCTGAACTTGGCGTCGCTATCAGCGAGCCCTTCTTCCTTGAGAGCCTCCTCCACGCTCCAGATCCTTCTCTTCAAGACTTTGGAGACGAGACCTTTTCCAACCTTGACCTCGTCGTGTGTTCCAATCCAAAGCTTTGGTTTGCAGTTGTGCGCGACTTGGACGGCATTTCGACCACCGAGATTGAGCTTGCCACCGAGGACCTAGAGAATTGTAAGACAATTGGCACTAGGAATACAGTGAAATTGTCTACCTTTGGGTTGGTCACTTCGTGTAGACCATGCAGGAGTGCGCTGATTTCCTCAATCCCATTGCTCTGCAGCGACTTCAGGGAGGACCAAGGGATTCCGTGTGGTGTATATATAATCGTGTGTGCTCCATCTTTTCCAGATTCCTCCGCTTCGGGTGTATACGAGATGCATACGGCTGAATGGTAGTATTGAAAGTCTGCTTGGCTCGAGGCGGCACGAGCTATTCCAAGTTGCTTTGGCAAGCCATTGATGGAAGATGTCTTCCAGCTCTGACCAGGAGCGAGTGGAGGAATGTTGTAAACTTTGTCAAAGTGTTTCCATGACCGGATGATGTCAGCCGCTTTCTGTGTAATTATTAGCATTGATAGTGACTTGAAGAAGCAAAACGCACGTCTGTCGCATATACAGGTACCTCCTTTTCAACTTCTAGGAGCGTAGCCTGCTGGGGCTTAGCAAATGAGTTGAGCAAACGAGGTGCATGCTCACTTTATGACAATGATCTGTCCATTCGTGGCTGATGACCTGTTGAAGATGAGTTTCCCGTCCCCCCGATATTGGTGCCGAACTACGCACCACTGCGTGAATCTGAACACCTAGATCGCTAATGTGCTCCACACAGGATGGACTTGCATGCCATTGTGTAGAAAATAGCTTCCAGTAGTCTGTTTGCGGGCCCTTGAGCCTGTGAGTGCGGGGAAGCGTCAGTGACGATGCAATTTGGGTGTGTGACACACCAAGGATCGATGAGAATGTTGAATGGAGTGCTGTTGAATGTAAACTGAATGAGCCAGGACGTGTCTTCGTTTAAATGTTTGAGGATAACCATGTCCGAATAATCGTCTGACAAGATGGAGTGTAACCAAGTTTTGGTCTGGAGATCGTGTGAGCTGCCATCGAACTTGAGTGGCCGCCGTTGAGAACAAAGCTTGGACCTTGACGCCACTCATGCCTGTATCTACGACGTAGACTGGCTCTGAAATTAACAATCTAGGATAAAATAGTTATGACAGATCAAGCGTCGAGTACAATCAATGATCCTCTCCTCATCCTCAAGTGAGCCCCAACGGCCCTTCATAGGCGCGGCTGACGACTTTGGCGCACAGAAACGCGAATAACAGTGTCGAGCAACTCCGAGAGGCACTAAAGACCAAAGACCCGTGGGACAGAGACGTCGAGTTTCTTCGTAGAGAGTGAGTTTATGCGTCACCGGCTCCGTTTTTTTTGGCTCAAGTACAGACTCGTCGTCACACAGTGCGCGGAGACAGTATCTTCATCTCATTTTCATGTTCCCATACTCTCCACAGAGCCTTGCGCTCGATAATCCCATGTGGATAGAGACCTCGCATGCATCCATTGCCGCCTATCGCGCAAAAATTGCCATTCTAGACAAAGCAATCGCCTCGAAATCAAACCTCAAGGCATCCAATGAGGGCAGTTCTGTCGAAGGATCCTCCAAGGCAAAGCAACAACACCACCACCAGCACGGAACCGTGGAGCATCGCAAACTAGTCCAACGATTCCGTCAATTCCTAGCAGAAGAAGAAAAATTTTGGTCTGCATTCATCGTCCGTTTCGTGCGCGCGTTTGCGTTGCAGGAAGCCGAGCCGCACCTGGACGCCCTGCAACTCAAAGCGGCGGCTGCGGACGATCCATCCTCGGTTCGCAAGAGCACGTTTCCCGAAGAGGGTATACCGTGCGAACCTCCGGAGCATCAGAGAGAGAAAAAGATTGTCACACTCGTCAAGGCACTCATCAGTCTGGGCGATTTAGCGCGTTACAAGGAACAGTACAACGAACGACAAGGGCGCGCGAAGGTGGGGAGTGAAGAGCCATTGTCTCGTTGGGCTACCAAGGGGAATCGCAAGACCGGCGACAGCGCGCCACGACCGCGAAATTACGCCCGCGCAATTGCGTGCTACACGCAGGCGCGCCTACTCTATCCAGAATCCGGCCAGGCATCGCATCAACTGGCCATTCTCTCTGCTTATCAGTCCGACACGTTTGAGTCCATCCTTCATTATTATCGTTCTATATGCGTCAAACACCCGTTCGTGATGGCCCAAGAGAACCTTCATAGGACCCTTCTCAAGGCGTACGAGCTTCAGAAGAATGAACCTGAAGAGGTTGTCAGTGAGCAAGATCCCCCTCGCGTCGTCGTGGATCGCTTCAAGCGAGGTGTTGTTCGTCTTCACGCTCTCTGGAGAGCTGTAGATTCCTCGTACGTGAGACCATCTTTATTTCGTCATCCTTTTAATCTCATTGCAAGAGCTCCCGAACTAGCCAAGCAAGCGCGTCAGACCATCTTTAGTTTCAATTTCCTCCTAGCGGAGCGACTTTTGCCTATTGGTCTGATCATCAAAGTCTACACGGCATCACTGGGAGCACTGTGGTCGCTTCGACTGCGAGCGAAGAGCAAGAAAGAGCCAAGGCCGTGGACGGTCAGATGGAGAGCGTCATTCTGGCACACGTGATGGATCTCCACCTTGGGCTTGTCAAATTGGCTACCAAGGAACTATCCTCGACTCCAGCGTCTGCATCAGGGATCCCTAGCACAGCACCGGCAGAGAGGATTACGGCAGTCTTACGACGCATTCTACAATCGCTTCGTGTCGCAAGCAAGTGGGTCGTGGCAAATCAAGACTATCTCTCCCGCACTGCAAATCCGGAAAAGGAACCCCATCCGTCACTAGCTCGTACTCTTGGAGAGTTTTGGCCGGCATACGCTACGTTCATCACCACCTTGGCAACTACCTTTCCGAAACAAGACCTCAGAGGTGTCCCATCCGTCGTACTTGAAGAAGATGTGGAGCTTAGCGCTTTTACTCCGCTGAAAGGATCCCTAAAGTCTGCTGCCAAGAACGGGTCCGTTGTCGCGCTGAATCAAGTACATCCGAATGACGAGTATCTACTACGCATACGCGATGTCTTGAAGGACGCTGTCACCCTTACCAAGTCCGAAGTAAGCAGACAAACATTATTCCCCACTAGAGCCCCAGTTGATCTCCTTTAGGTAACACCCTTGACACATCAAAATGGTGTATATACATCCCGAGCAGAATCTCCGGCGCCAACTCCTATCAGTGCCCCACGACGGGATACTATCACCGAATTTCATGCGCCGGGTGCTGCGTTGGGCAACGGTAATTCGTATGACTTGGTCGCTAGACCCGGAGAAGACGAAGACGTCGCCAGTGTCAGTACGGAGGATCCTGTTACAATGGCAATGCGAGCGACTCTGGACCCATCGGAGAATGGAGAGTATGACCAAGAACTCGACGAGGAGGAGGACCAAATACTTTACCCTCAAGGAACTTGGACTAGGTATGTTGTCACTTCGCAATATCTTCCAACCTCTAATCGCCCACAGGGTCGACCCGCGGTACGATGCGACCCCAATGCTCGGTCCACATATGACCTTAACATCTACATACCACCCTGTTGTCCCGCTCAGAGATCCTCACGCGTTTAATTTGGCCGATCTATCCACCCATCCAGAGTTTGCACACTCTCACCCACCACAATTACCGTCGCCACAGCGCGAAGTCTTTGGAGCCAGTGCATCTCCTTTTGCAAATGCTGCGAATCCTCTTCCTCCAATGCTTGGATATCAAGATTCACTAGGTTTGACGCGGCCATATCTGCCACTCATATCCAGTCCTCCACGCCAAGTACCGCCTACACTTCCTTCTTCGCCATACTTTGCACCTGGACCGATCGCTCCTCCCATACAAGCGCAGTCGCCGACAAATTATGCCATGTACGGCAGCGGTACACCACTCACCCCTCTTCGGCATGCACAGCGCCTGAGTATTGGGCCCAACACACCTACGAATATGGTCTTGGCCGAATTGTCGCCAACAACACCCCCGAGGACTGGACAAGATTTGCTGATGCGTGTGCTTGGAGGCGGATCAGGTGCTGGAGCGAGTGGCACGTCGGCTGGGCGTGCTAGACAGTCGACCTCTCCTCCACGAGCGCGGAATGCGTCTCCGGAGAGTCGACCGCCGTTACTCTTTGGAGCGTCCAACGGCAATTCTATTTGGGCACCTTGATGGAAGGAAAGTATCGACTATATCTTCTAGGTACTGCAATGCTATTGGGAATATTCCACGCTTAGTGCATGAGCCAAATGGCTCGAGGAATTTTCTTCGTCGGCTCCAGCGGCCCTCGGTCCTAGACATTTTGGGTTTTGCATAGATGAGTGACGTTTTCCTGTCCCAGTGGGACGATTCTTGAATATAGATTGCTTTTATCGCCACGTTGAATAGTCGGCAGTCGATGAATATCAACGAGCATCGTCCCATGGACGACACTAGCAGGATCTCCATCTAGCCATATACCTCTGCACTACCTGGAACTCAACAACCCCAAAATGTAACCTATCTTGAACCGAGTTGAACCTATAATAGTACAATATTTGAGAACTGCCGACCCGCATAACTCTGGTCGAATTATTCATCACGCGAGCAGTCGAGTCGATATAAAGAACAATGACCACTGGTCTATCTTGAATTCAATTCATCGGTGCGAGTACATTACAATTGCTGGTAGCGTCAAGAAATAGCGGTATAAAAAGGGGGTGTAGTTGGGACTAAGCAGTGACTTCTGCGCCGCGTCCAATGCTAGACACCTAGAGAGCGTCAGTAATTGAGAGATACTGTGATATAAATCCGCACCTTGAACCCAATCTTTGCGAGTTTGGCAGAATCCACAAGTAGTCTTCCGTCAAAGATAAAGCCGGCTTTGACATTTGCTCATAGATGGCCTCCCAATCGAGCGTAATAAACTCTTTCCACTCTGTGGCAATGACCACCGCTTCGGCCTCTGCGCAGGCGTCGAGCGCGCAAGGAGCAATCTGGACTTGCCTCTTGACTGCAAGGGACATAGCATCAGTCCCTTATCCGTAGCAAGCGATAACAAGACTCACTCTGCTGTAGTGTAAAGGTTGGCGATACTTCTTGAAGATCCATCCAAATTTGCTCGTGCTCGACTTGCGGATCGTAAATGGTAACGAGAGCCTTTTCTTCCATGAAATGCTTGATAATAGTAATGGCTGCAGACTCGCGAGTGTCGCCTGTATCAGCCTTGAACGCGAATCCAAGAACCGCAATCCTCTATGCAGAGTGAGGCGGGATATTCAATGCAGCCGATGATACGTACCTTTCCCGTAATGGTCTTGAACAAGGTATCGACCACGTGCCGAGTGAAGCGCCGTTTCTGGTACTCGTTCATCTCGACGACTTGACGCCAGTATGCCGCGACTTCTGGGAGATGCAACGACTCGGAGAGATAGACAAGATTGAGGATATCCTTCTGGAAGCACGAGCCTCCAAACCCAACAGACGCCTATGTAAAATTAGCAATGTGTTTTTTTGGCAGGAGGAGATAGCTGGGTTACCTTGAGGAATTTCGGTCCAATGCGGGTATCCTTTCCAATAGCATGCGCAACCTCGTCAATATTCGCACCCGTTGCCTCGCAAATGGCCGAAAGGGCATTAATAGACGAGATTCTCTGCGCGAGCATGGCATTGGCAGCCAACTTGGATAACTCGGATGACCACAATCCGACCGTCAAAATGCGCTCCTGTGGGACCCAATTCGCATAGATCTCGCTCAGGGCCTTGCACGCCTCTTTACCTTCGTGCGTCTGGAGGGAGCCGATGAGGACACGGTCGGGCGAGACGAGGTCGGAAATGGCCGTGCCCTCTGCGAGAAACTCTGGGTTGGATAAAATGTCGAAACGCGCATCAGGTTTTGAATTGGCTTCCAGGATCACACGCATCGATTCCGCAGTTCGGCACGGCACTGTCGACTTTTCGACGACAATCTTGGACGAGGTTGCGATTTGTGCAATTCTCCGAGTCGCCTTTTCGACATAACTAGCGAGATTGGCGTATCAGTATCTTTAGGGCAATAATGACTTTGAGATGCGTGCGATCCGCCCAAAGAATGGAAATGGAGAACAGGGGACGACCAGGGTCGGAGGAAGACCTACTTGAGATCCGCAGCGTATCCAGCACCAATCCCGGTCTTCTTCGTAGGCGTATTCACCGAAACAAAGATCAAATCTGCCGCCCGAATCGCCCCGTCGACGTCCGTCGAGAAAAAGAGATTACGACCCCTCGTCGCTCGCACAACGTCCTCGAGTCCCGGTTCATAGATGGGCAAGTTGAAATCGGAGCTATTCCACGCATCGATGCGCGCTTGGTTCAAGTCGACAATGGTGACTTGGATGTGCGGACACTTGAGCGCGATCACGGCGCACGTCGGGCCTCCTATATATTCGTCCACGATGAGCGCGGTACGCAATTGAGATCATGGGTGGAAGAAACGCGGTCAGAGCTGTGAAGAGATTACGTAAATGTCCAAAGTGTCGCTCACCGACGTAGCCTGCGCCAACTAGAAAAGTTTCATCAGGATTAGCCAGATGCAAGCAAGCGACTGACTGCAGCAGATTTTAGAGACTTTTGGTACAGACATGACTAAACCAAGTCCTTCGAGGTCAATGGCAATGGTCGTCGTGGAGTTCAAGCTGCGCGCCACTCGCACCGCTGTCAAAAACGGCGATAAGCTTTTTTTGGATGACGTGCACAAATAGGAAAGCAAAAAGACCATTATTCTATTCCTCTATCATTATATTCGTGATACATATCGTTAATCATCACTGTTCACCAACTCGACTGCCCGTTCAATCACCTGGTCAATCGTCCACCGCTTGCCAGACGTGAGCTTGAGGTCGAGAATGTCTCCAATCTCGTCACATGCACGCAGAAGCTCGTCTACGTCATACTTGGTATGCGCGGCGCTAAGACAGAAGCGCACACGAGAATAGATGAGCGGGACGGCAGGATATCCGACAATGACGACGACAATGGGCACCTTTCTTTCCATCATCATGCGTGAAAAGAGGGGCATCTTGCCAGGGTTAAACGTCAAGAGCGGGATAATCGGCGAATCTTCGTGGCCAAAGACGATGAAGCCAAGCTTGGCCAACGCGCGAGAGAGATAGCGCGCGTTAAAGGCCAGTCGATACAGACGCTCACGGCCCTCGGTACCATCTCGGAGCTCACGAGGAAGCGATAGCCAGGTCGGCAAGAGTTTTGTTGGGGCCGGGCCGAGGTGTTCAAAGCCGGGGGTGTGCATGGTAGGGACGCCTTCTGGTGGTTGGAATTGAGAAGCAGCAAGGCACTCATAGTATTCCGGCGTGTCGATACCCATGATGGAGCCCATGCTGGAGATGATTTGCGTGAGCACGGCAGGAGCCATGGCCTCGGAGTAGGAAGAGCCTGGACTTTGGGTCGGAGCGCCGCAATGAGTGCCTTTGAGCCTGCGATATATCCACCAGATGCACCAAAAGATTTGGTAAAGGTACCCATGAAAATGTCGACGTCCTTTGGATTGACATGGAAGTAGTTGACGACACCACGTCCTTGGGGGCCAATGCCACCAATGGAATGCGCTTCGTCGATGTAAAGGTAGAACTAAAGGGGCGTATGAGTTGGAGCAAAAATCGTCGTTGCAACCCGTACCTTGTACCGCTTCTTGAGATCGACAATGGCGGGAATGTTGGCAAGTGAACCCTCCATACTATAGAGACCTTCGATGACGACGAGAATCTTCTTCCATGGTCTATGCGTGCGCGACTGACCCTGACTGATCGACTCGCGCAATACACGCTCAAGATCCTTGACGCTATTATGCTTAAACGTGCGAACCGTTGCACCGCTCAACCGCAGACCAACACGAATCGACGCATGATTGTTTTCGTCTGAAATGACCAAGCAATGCTTGCCGACGAGCGCCGGCAGGGTCGCAGAGTTTGTCGCAAAGCCCATAGACGCGATAATCGCGTCTTCCTGACCAACAAAACGAGCGACAAGGGCCTCTGCTTGCAAATGCAAGTCGAGCGTCCCACCTTCCGCTCGCGACGCGAGCGCACTGAGCCCGTATCGCCGAATGCCTTCTTCGACTGCATCTGCACAGCCTCCGTGGGCTTGTGCGAAACCGAGATAGTTGTACGACGAGACGTTCATGGCTCGTGTGCGCGTACCGGTGGATTCATAGTGCTTGTTGTGGTCGGGGGAGATGCGGTCGAGAAGGACAATGGTGCGTCCGGGAACTTTGGTGACGGGTCGTGAGAAGCAGTCGTCGATGCGGAGTTTGAGGCGACGAGTGTAAAAGGAATCAAAATCAGAGTTGAGTGCGGCGTATCCCTAGTGGAAAATAATCCGTGAGCATCGGGCGGACGGAAGGGATGACCAACAAAGCAAGTTGCATACCTTGCTGGGCATGAGATGTTGATATTCCTTTGTACGAAGTCTCTTGCCAAAAAAGTCTCGGACATGGCCGATACAGATAAGAATGACATAGCTGATGTAGGTCGAGAGGAGGATATAGTACGGAGGATCTTCCTCCTTTTGTGGGGGGAAATAAGTCCCTGGGATGTGCTGGGAGACGTGTCTAAAGCGCTGGTCGGCGCAGTGGCCAAATTCGACATGGCGTGTCGAAAACACTTGGGATGAGTTTGGTGGGACGACGGGCGTGTTGAGGAGACCACACTCCTTTTCGCTGTCTTCAGCAATGTCCACGAGTGTCGACGCAGAAATGCTGTCGCTGTCGGCGAGCGTGTGGGACATTTTGGACGAGCTGACCGAGCGACGGACAGAGTCTGCGCGTGAGACGGCCTGGAGATATTCAGCAGCAAGCAGCGGTTTGGACTGCTTTTTGCTGCTAAAGATGGACGAAGACGGCGACAAGCTCTGGCGGGCAATCGGCGAGCTCATGGTGGTCTGATCCAAGACGACGAAAGGCCATTGGCCACTCTTTTTTAAAATCACGAAATGGCCTCGAATTCCATACTGGCTACTTCTATCGTCGTCAATGGAATATCACTCGTCGCTTCAGCTATCATTATTATACTATCTCCCCAGAAACTCATCGCCAGCTGTCGAAATGATAGGATCCATCGACTCGTTAGCGTGCTCATTACGACCAGCTCGACATAGGTCAGAAGCAACACCGTTGGCGACACATTACCCCATATCTTGACAAATCATCAGCCTACGCACCAGATTGGTCACAGAAACTCACCAACGGGCAAAGGATGCATCGCGTCGTGAAGATGACCTAGTACCACAGTTAGAGACCCCATATAGACCACACAGCACCATACAAGAAAGTAAGTGAATCCATCATTGTGCAGCGTCTTGATGATGATCCCTGGCGCAGTGCCTTTCAGGGACGGGTACTCTCGGCGAAAGCGAATCGCATGGTAGAGAGTAGCCACAACAATCACAATCTCGATGATGAGCTACAACCAAGTCAGCAACCAAGTCGACCGTGAGTGATGGCTTACCATCGAGCCGTACAGAAGAGAATACATCCTCATCGGTGGATTGCCACTGAAACAAATGTTCAGAGACTCGACCCATACGATACGGCCTAGTATATCAGTGAGAACTGCTCTTGGTTTGTGCGGGTACGTACGAGAGGCAATGGCTATTGCTACAAAGCCGAGCGCGAGAAACGCGAGCTGGCAGGCGGTGATGACAATCATCAGTGCTATCCTCATCCTAGGAAAGCTACTGTAGAGTGCGTATACGCGAAGGGCGAAAACAGCTGTCCAACTCTATTAGCGACAGCCAAGGTAGGTCAACGAGACACCCACTGATTACGGCCATACAGCAAACTCCTTGAGTGAGTGTCATAGTGATATAGGAAGATATACAGCTGTCGAGGTGTGAAAGAAATGTAACAAAGACCGAATAAGACTTGACATACAACTAAAACCATCAGCCCCGTTGACATACATGACAGACAATGGGCACCTTTGATGATAATGAAACAGAACGAAAGGGGTTGTAAACTGGAGAAATATCGTCAGTGGCGCTGCAAGGCCCTATACATGAGACACCGACTCCACAGGTTGGGTCCGAGCATCCAAAAGGGGGTGTATCGAACCTTGGAAAGTTCAGGACTATCACCGCGTGAGGTTAAAGCACCTACCAACGCGTATAGCGTTTTGATAACCCTGCCTTTCCGTTGCCACAAAACGGAGACTTCGTCATCCAGATTCAATGGAATATCCCAAACCCAGACTACAAAGATTGCAGCCGATACATAAAATGTCGCACGTAATCCAGCAAACGCGGACTCGAGCTGAGCGAGCTGAGTAACAAGTGACCCAGATTGGCCTGCAGTGGACATTGGCAAAACGAGTAATTGGGAATAAATGACTATGTATAAATACGTGGGCGATCGTTAGCATGAAGGGGAGGAACATAACAAAGGACCCGATCCTGCCGTTCGGTCTAGCCATGGGATCAAGATGTCGTTATTCATAACCAAACGCGCGGTCCCGAATTTTTACCTTTCTCGTTGAGGGGAACGCGCGGACGGTACCTGATGCCGTTTCATTCCGCTCATATCGACCGCCGTGGGTGTCAGCATAGTCTTTTTTTGGGAAGCCTACTTGTTTGCATTTGCAAAATCTCAGGATTTTTGAAATGTTGCTGAAACGAGGCGAGTGACTAGGCCCTCGTGCCTGCCTTTTGCCGCGGCACCTCACGCAGCATCCCTACCTCTGAGACTTGAAAGTTGACGTGCCCTGGATATCTGGAGCCGTCCAAATGATCGTTCCGGTAACAAGATACAAAAGATGGATTCAGCGCGTTCAAGTCTGCACAGTTGGCGTTTAAAGTCGCCGAATATTGATTCTGTCAAGACTATAATTCATCACAGATGTCCCTATTAGAGCGAATCTGTCAACGTCCGAGGTCAAGTTGAATACTATGAGGGCTCACTCATGTTCCTCGATTGTCGGTTCGTTCAGAGTGTGTTTCCTCCCCTCTGTTTCCCGTAAAATCTCCAAAGTTTCGTTGGTGAAATCCAAGGTAGTCATAGGAAGATCACTCGTTAGGTCCGCTCTTGGCTCTGAAGCTGGAACGTCATCCCAGAAACCAATAAGAACTTGTCGAAAAGAGAGAATCCAACGGCTTGTCAGCGTACTCATCACGGCAAGCTCCAGGTACGTTAGAAGCAAGGCTGTAAAGGACACGCTACTCCATATCTTGTTTAATTATCAGCGCTCGCATTTCATAGCTATGAAGACTCACCAAGGCGCAAATAACGAGCCTTGCCGTAAAGATAACCTGGAAATCATATAAGCGATAATCGACTGATAATTGATTACCATACTGCAAAGTAGGTGAATCCATCTTTGTGCAAGGTCCTGATGATTATGCCTGGCGCTGTGCCTTTTAGAGACGGGCATTGGCGGCGAAAACGGATTGCGTGATAGAGATTAGCGAGAAAGATCGGAATCTCGATGGCGAGCTATGTGTAATTTCATGCATAAGCCATGTGAAGAAGCACAAGGAAAGCGCCCGACTTACCAGAGAGCCGTAGGCAAGGGAGTAGATTCGCATGGGCGGATTGTTGTTGATGCAGATATTCATAGGTTCAACCCATATGACATTTTCTAGGAGACTCATGAGCAGATTGTTGTGAATATGTATAAGTTCTACGTACGAGAAGTAATAACCGCTGTCACGGTGCCGAGGCAGGTGAGTATAAGCTGAACAGTTATAATGAAGTACGTGAGGTAATTTCTTATTCTGGGAATATTGCTGTAGAGAGCGTATAGGCGAAGCGTGAAAACGGCTACGACAGTTAGAGCCCTCATGATGAGCGAGAATATACCCACTGGTTACGGCGACACAACAAACTCCCTGAGTGAGCGTCATAACAAGGAATATGGGCGCACAACTATTGAGATGTGAGTGAACATAGGACACAAAGAAGATATCACAGACAACTGGTCACTCTGTCAGCTCGTTGATATATATCATGAGGGACTAATACCTGTGTAGACAGTTTAACCGAACGAATGGGATTGTATACTGCGAAATGTCAGTAGGAAACGCGGGAAGATACTCAGGATGAAATATATACTCATAGATTGGGCACTAGTAGCATGAAAGGACCATATCTAGTCTCGTAATGATGAGAAATCCAGCTATCATCTAGCTAGTGGCTCACCAAAGCGTATATTATTTTGATGATTGTGCCTTTTCTCTGCCACAGAATGGAGACTTCGACATCCAGATTCAACAAAATGTCCCAGAACCAAATCATGAATGCCGCTGCTGATACGTAGAATGTCGCATGGAGGCTGGTGAAGGCGTATTCAATCTGGCCGCGAACTGCTCCGGATCGACCCAGAGCGAACATAGCAAAGGGAATAGGAAATAATTCCGTGTATGCATATGTATTTAAACCTGCGCGGTCATCGAGCCGGCAACGTGAGCTTGACACGGACGTCGTCTGACCTAGAGAATCAAACTTCATCATTCCCCCAAACTCACGGTACCGAAGCTTAATTGGTAATTGAATCTGTAGAGGTACCTGGCGGACTCAGCTACGTCTATGCCGGCAACATTCCACCTTTCCCTGTCTGTACGGGGTTGAAATTTGAATGAGGACAAAGGACCAGGCGGCACCGGCCCTAGACTTGCTTACCGCCGCTGCTCTTGTCAAAAGGCCCGTGGAGTCTGACATTCACTTGACAGTGGACGTTACGTATGGAGCACCTTGGTGTGTTTCAACACTCGTGAAAGTAAAGTCGATTACTCGGGAGGGCAGTGACATGTTCATCAATAGGCGGTACAGTCCTTGGACCAGCCCGGTGCGCCTGTCGAATATGTCGAACTCTCCACGTCCGTCCGCTGTAATCGAAATCTCCAATATTTGATTGGTAATGCCCAAAGGTTGTTATCGGAAGCTCACTTGTCGCATCTTTTCTTGCCTCTGCATCCAAATCAGCCTCCCTGAGACTCCTGGTGAGCTGTCGAGGAGAGAGTATCCAACGGCTTGCCAGTGTGCTCATCACAGCAAGCTCGATACATGTCAAAAGCAGCACCGTGAGCGGTCTACTTCCCCACATGTTCTCTAACTGTTAACCTCTATCCCGGCAAATGACGACTCTTGACGCGAAGATCAGCTAGCGGTGCCGACATGAGCGACAGATAACGACCGCGCGCAAGCATACTGCGAAGTAGATGAATCCGTCTTCATGCGAGGCCGAGGGCACCAGGATCCAGTGAGTGACCCCGTACTCTAAAGGACAAGATACCGGAGTCCAAGTATTGGATAGTGTAGACAACACCAAGATCCGAGTAGCTTAGAAATGCAGTTGGGAGCAGCACCAATATGTGAGGTGCTGTGTGATAGTCGTGTACATAGTCGTCGAAGGAATCGATATATCGTGCGTTTCGACTTGCTCAACTATATTGGCGCGTCAGAGGCTCAATGAGATTGGCCGGAAGCTCGAGCAGTAAGCATCAGAGGCTCTGAATTCTGTCAGTGATAAGCTAGGTGAGTCAAAAGCTGGAAACAATTCTAACAACGGCCATGCGGCTGAGATGAAGGTCGGCCACTCGACGTTCTCATATCAGATTCCCTGTTCATTTCGACCATCAAATCCCATGTTAGATCCGATGTTATTCACCAATCTCCAAAGTTTCCGCTGAGCTCGCAGCTTGTAGTAAACAAAGCTGTGCAAAGTTTGGTGGGTAGGTTTGCTCCTTTTCATATAAGATACGCGCACTCGGTATCTCATGAGTACAAGGCTTACCAAAACGATTGGAATCACCACCTATGAACTCTATATCCTCCCTCGTAGTCACCCTCGCAACGTATTTAATTACATATGATCTCTATAAGCTGTATCGTACTCCCCCATTTTTCATCTCCAGCTATTCCCCGACCCTTTCTCGTTGCGGCAGTCTCTGTGGACAGATGGCACTTTCCCCAGGAGGTCAGTCACGGTCATGTATTTCTTTGTACACTCTTTCAATATCCCCTGCAAATCATTGAGCGGTAGCTTTGAACGCGCATAATGAGGTGCTGGAGCAAATAAAGCGTCGCCTTGGGATATCCGCAGGAGGACGACCGTTAGCTTCGGGTCTGTTCGGAGATGTCACCCATTGGGTCTCCTACTCGTCTTCTTATGTTGCGTACGTAGGTCGCAGACATTTGATGCCCACGTTGATTTGCTGCCCACGTCTGGGCTAACCAATGCAGCTGCTGTTCCTTACTCTAATAATCATATTTGTAATCGAATAATGTGCGTAACCGAGACCGACGTTGATGGGCCTGGCGCCGTCGGGAGGTGAAGTTGCCTGACTACGAGACTCACATTCTTTGCACCCAACCGCCGCCAGTACTAGCGGGCTGGCCTGCTTTCCACTCTTTTCTTCATCAATTCCTTCGACAGTTTCATTCGGTTTATGAGCCATTGAGGGCGAGGTGGCCTTTTGGACGGTTTCTTGTTGCTTTTTCGGTCACCCATCCACCATTTACCTTTCTTCCGGGACCAACCTTTCATCGGAGATAGTATACTGAGTGCTGCTTGTACTCATTCTAGCCGTGGATGAGCTCTGTGTGCTTATCCCTGGTGGCAAATCTGCGATGCACCGGCCTTCGACCTCAGCAGACCATTGGAATACTCGTTCCTCCTATCGTCGAACTGGTGGCCATCTTCCCTCTAATATACTCCCAGAGGGAACAAGGCCGGTACGTACATTTGTTCGTCCCGTGTCGTAGGCATGGTGAACTAAACGCCAGAATAGGAGCCATTATTTGCTCATCTCTGAATCTTTCTTCTATCTCATCCTATGCATCCTTGACTTTGTTTCCAAATCAACCGACTCTATTGCAAAGTCCCTTGACACTTTCTCCGTCGTCGACCGGCTCATAGGCGGCTTTTCCGCCATTCCCATCCTTCTTTACACCATCTTTCTATACGTACTCGCCAGGCGGTTCTTCATCCCCGTCATTCCTAAACGCTTCCACTCGGGCGTCAAAGTTCTCCTCCTTGTCTTGATCCCCACCATCTTGGCCCTTATAGAATTCGGCTCTCTAATCGGAATCACCTACAGTAGGTTTGCTACAAATACATTTTGGCTAGACTAACATTGGTGATAGCTGTAGTCGAGAAACCAACCCGCGAATTGGCCGTCCGCTTTGAATCTACCCTGGCAAAGACTGTATGGACGCTCTTTGGCTCCGCAGGCCTTGCCATTTTCATCTTGTATCAATTCATTACATTCCTCCTTGCATCCTTTCGTACATTCCGGCATTTCATTCAAAACTCGTCATCCACCTTTGCAATCACAAGGAGTGAACGCGAAAAGGTCGAGCGAGGACGAAGTCTTCGTGGTCTCGGTTGGCTTTTGGCAGGAATCAAACTCGGTGCTATAGAGGTGCTCATCGGATACATCCCGAATGGCTTTGAGCAATCTCTTTCACGACGTTTGCTTCGACTCTTAGCAAGAGCCATGTTAGCTTGGGGCGTCTACAAGGGGTATGTCCATGCCCAATATCGCAAGCGGTGCTCTAACATCCTACATTCATCCAGTCTGGACGAGAGTGCATCTCTCACCATGTTCCGTGTAGGATCGATCGACTCGTTCGAAAGTCTGCCACCGCGTAAAATTCCTGTCAACCCGGAATCAATCCGCCCTCGTATTGGTGCACCATTGGCTGATACCTTCGCCAAGATGTCGCCGACTGCCACCTCGTTCCATACTCGCAAGAATGCACCCAATGCAATGAAGGGGATCTCCGCTTTCGATGTTTCCTTTGTCGATGAGAAGGGAGTTGGAAGTTCCCGCTCTCCACCCGGCCCGAGTGGGTTACGATATGCCGCAAATGCGGCGACTCTTCCTACCACGATCGTCCCCGCAATGGTAGCACAGAGTCTCGTGTCACCGATCACTTCCAAAGCCACTTTCCCAAAGCAGACTGCAACGCCACCGCCGCCTGGGCTACAAACTCGCTCACGGTCGTCACCTGGTTTGGATGCCAAGCGGGTTACGGTCACTTACGATGGAAGGGCTGCTCCAATTCTGGATGTTAGGTTCTCGGCGCAACTACTAGGAAACGCCAGCCAACTTATCAAGCGAGTTGGCCAAGAATCCTCGGCTTCCTCTGTGGAGAGCTCAGGTGAAGAGAAAACCACTCGCCCCGCTCTTTCTCGCTCCAAGTCATCACCCTCCATCGCAACTGCAGCACATTCGAAGAACTCCCCTGCAAAAACTCTCCCTCCTTTAGTCAAGATGGCTGCTTCTTCGACTTCAGACCTACTGATGCCAGCCATGGTTCGTACCACCGCGTCGAAACCCACCTCTCGGAGCCGTAGTCGCAGTCTGAGTGCAAAGTCGACGACACCAACGTCTGAACTTCGCAACCCATTCGCCGACTCCTACGAGATTCTTCTGCCATCTTCGCAGGAGTCGGGTATCCTTCGGCCTCGTCAGGAAGGATTAGGCTCATCCGACTCGACAGACGACTCTCTCGTCGCGGTACACCGACTTTCTCGCAAGTTTCCACCAATTCCTGCCAATGCTATGACCGTGCCAATGCCTCAGGCGGAGTCACCTTCTGATGAGTCCCCCCTGAGGAGCTCCTCTAGGCGCAAACCGCCGCCCTCGCTGACCTCCCTAACGACCGGTGGTAACAACAAGAGCTCCAAGCTGACCAAGCAAGGCGGCCGACCAAGGTCACTCTCCCAACCTAATGCAGCTGCTCCGCAGCATAGGAATTTCATGCCCGAGATGGTGGAGACTCCAAAGAGGCAGCACGCGGCTGGGGAACTTTCGCCGGCCACATCGCTGGATCAAGATGTAGCTATGCGTACGCGCAGAAGAGTGCGGAATTATCTGAATAATGTTTCTCCGAGGACGTCTGTTGCTGATGGTGACAGTGCAAATCCTGGCGAACAGTGGGTTGCTCTCCCGCCGCAGCCTCCATTCTCTGGGAAGAAAGGTCACCGGCATAGCAAGTCACTCGGAAGCTTGGCAAACCGCACTGCGACCACGGCCAACACGCCCATTACGCCATTTTCTGGTGGACCGCCCATGACCTCTGGTAGCCGTGCAGAAACAAAGGCAACAAGTATCATGTCGCCTGGAACGGGTCGATTCAGAAAGGAAGAGATGGCGTCACCGTCAACGGTGTACACCCGCGAGAGTGTCTACACCACGGACGAGGAAGATGGAGCATATACAGCCTCCCTTCCTGTCGAGAGACCGCTCGGAAGGATTGCCCGTCGCGCCTTGGGCATCGAACAATTCCTCGATGAAGAACGCGAAAGATCTCAAGACGGTCACAGTGATGTCCAGATGCACGTTAGGAGGCCCGAAAACGTCCCCGTTGATGTAGAGGATATTCCTGAATACCGTGCATCTAATATCGTGTTCACCCCGCCTAGCACAATGCGAAGACGCCCGAGATCCGATATTGACCCAGCGTTCGGATCGATCCCCCTCCCCTCGAAATCATCTCGCAAGCAGCGAGAGAGGAAACAGAATGCGATCATGGAGGAACCTGAAGCCCCACTTAAACGATCGCTCACAACTGTGGAGGATCCTGAAACGCGAAAGGCGTTTGCGCTTGCGTGGAAACATGCCGCTCCCAATGCGAATGTTGCCTCCCCGAAGGCTGCAGCAGGTCTCAAGACGGTTAATTCCGTAAGTGCAAAGACGACGCCAACACCAGTGCACCGAAAGGTGCTCAGTGGGCAAAGCATGAGAGTGGATGAGGGTCACGTTGAATCACTTGATGTACTCGTGACTTCGCCATTACCCATTTCTCCTTCGCCTATGGCAGGCTTTGGACGCATGAGGGGGAGCACCTTCATTGTTGCAAACAATGATCGTGAACTCGTCAAGCAATCCAGAAAGGCACATGTCATGTCTGTAGATTCGGATGTCTACTAGAACCATTCACTCCCTACGTCCCCCAATACCCCCTTATCCCCGAATTGCCAGCCTCCCGCATTGCTAGGCGCTACACGATCCTTGTTGCTTCCTACCTACATTTTCTGTACAATAGGATTGTCAAATCTACTCTCCCTGGGTAAACCTCGTCTAGGAGAAATAAGGAAACTGTGAGGAGAAAGCCTGAGAGGCATGTAACGCTTTTCTCAATGAACACGCAGGGCTCGTTTCATCCTTTCCACCTAATCTCTTGAGTAGGACGGCAAACCGTTGAGAAAGAAGGAGTGATGGCTCTGGGGAGGGTAATCCAGCGGCCTTTTCCAAGGCAAGGCTGAGTCGGAGCGATGCAGTGATAACACCAGAGAGTGCTTCTATATGAAGTGTATCTTGAGAGGGGGAATGGTGCAATATCGATGGGATATAAGAGAAGAAGAAAACTGGCAGAAGCCACGGTTGGTCGGGTCCTTTTTGAGAGGTGCAGCACAGTGCATGCACTGTAACTCGACGGCAGCTTTCTGGATCTCCGAATTGACTCCCCGGATAGAGCTCTCGATGAAGGTTCGCGACTAAGTCTAGAGGATTGCTCATTCGCAGGCACAAAGGAACATCTAGTGCCACAGCCTTTGTCGAACGTAGGGAGAGGAATGTCGTGCGTATGAGTTGAGCTGGGGTAAGCACAGGTGAATAAGACGATATTGAGGCTAGTATCGTTGTTAATCGTGGTAAATGTACCGATAGTAAGACATACATTGCTCCGTCGTGGGTTTGATCATTCCATTCAGTATCGTAGCAAAATCCACCAAGAACTTGGGTGCCTCGGGATCCATTGCCGACAGCGTCAAACGGCCGAGTGTTCGATAGAGCATCTTTGTCAAGTTGGCCGGTGCACTCTTTAAGAGCTGAGACAAGACTTCCGCGTGCACGGAAGATGGAGCGCTATTTGGCTTGAGAGAAAGTTACGAGAATAACAGTGAGCGGCTCACCGTTCCATCTGAAGGGCGACACACTTGATAACACCAACAAGGGTCCAACTAAGTATGGATTCTTGCAGATAATTGATCCCATTGTTCAAGGCCGCTAGTTCGTTTGATCCTGCACCTGGTCGTCCGCAGGCAGCAATAGCATCAGATACGAGTACCGGAAGTAGTTTAAGGAGAATCTTTGGGTTTCTCGATCTTTAATAGGTTAAAAACATCCATCTTTGATAGAGCTGTTTACTCACCGAACCAGGGAATCCTCAATTCCGTCCGAATTTGCATCGAATAGTGCCTTGTGCCAATCAGTGTACGCAACTTTCTCCTCAGACGTGAGATCTGAGTGCGTATCCGTGCTTCCAGCCCTCATAAGATAATCGGCAGATAGGCCTTCATCGTCTTTACGAAGAGAATGCGAGCTGAAATTGAGGCGACCAATGGTTGCCTGCAGAAACAGAATGATAGGTCCCAAAGATGTCATTGAACTCTGGGGATCATCTGGAAAGGGGCATAAGATATTTGCATTTTGGAAACTTTGACGCACCCATGCCCTCCCAATCCAGATGGTCAACAAGATAGAGGATCCTTTTGACTAACTGTGTGATAGATATGTGCAGAGCGAGTGTATCCATGACGAGAGGCCGCGATGAGAGTAGTTTACAGATCGGCGAAACTGCTTCCAAATTAAGCTGGTCACACTCAGTTGTAACTTTCTACAACCCAATATCAGCACCGTTGTCAAGCAAGTAGAGTCACTCACTTCAAAGAAGTATATGGCAAAGGCTTCCTGCTGCCGATAGTCCTTGACGAAAAGGTTTAGAATCTCTTGCACTCTCTCCGAGGTAGAAGGATCAATGAAAAAGTCTACGAAGCTCTGTCACGTATCAGCACAGGAAATCCCGTCTAGTCTCGAACCAACCTCCAGAGACTTCATATCGTTCATCTCTCTAAGCAGCTGAGACTCAGTCTCAACTTCTTCTTTCCATGCTTCGCAAAGGGATTTTGCCGCTGAAGCGGTGATGAGGTTCATTTGGAAGAGTGAATTCAAAAACTCGACTCGGAAAGAGTCGGGTGATCTGGGCTGGAATCAGGGCATTTTCCTTTCTGAAGTGAAGAACTTACAGCTCCGGACTCGCATCGTCGATTTCCATACCCGTGAAAGGGAGAGAGTAATTGGGCTGTTGCGGCAGCTTTTCAAATGCTACGCCCATGGCACTTTCCATTATGGGCTAAGGTAAGGTCAGAGAGATCATTTGAATATGGGTGTAATACATATGGCTGCGCTCCTATCCTGGCCAAGAGTGCTTGAAGAAGAGCTGGCAACTACGAAATTTCAGTCTAGGCGACAATGCTCATGGCTAACATACTCTTGCATAGAGAAAAGAAGACCAGATGCTGGTATTGTTGGGATAAGAGCGTCTGGATTGGTAGGCTTCAGAGTAATGCGCAAAGGCGGCTCGAATAAGTTCTGCACAAAACTGGGAAATGGCAAGATTGCTCCATTTATGAAGGCCAACCAGCGTCGAAACTGTCGTCTCGAGGTTTCCGCACCCATAAGGATGAGCAGCATAGTCTACCTGAAGCCCGTGCATGAGCAAGTGGATGTCAAAGAAGCGAGAGCTTACAATGTTTTTGATAAAGAGACTAAAGGTGATGATATCAGATTCCTCGGAGTTGATTTCTTGGGTTGGCTGTGCCGTCAAAGCAAGCAGTTCCGTATGCGTTGAAGGTAACGCGTTAGATACTGCAAGAATATCTCCCAATAGCCTGATCAGTCCCTCGAGCGATGACACGAGGTCAGGCCTGAGACCTGGGTGCTGCATGACATCGTGGCTAATGGTCAAGAACTGCGAAATTAGTAATTTTTTTTGAAGGTTCGAGAGCAGCATACCTGCAGCGTATCATGTACTAAAACTGACCAAACAAAGGTCTCGAGTATTGAATCATGAGCAACAGAACCTCTGATGCTGAAGTATGAAGGTCATGGAGGGGTGAATAGGGAATATTGAGCGCGCCTCTGACGAGCGTAAATGCATCCATCAGCGTCACAGACGCGATTTGGGTCGTCTCCGTTATCGAGATGACTGGCTCGAATGGCATCTCGGCGCTCAAACGGACTCCTAGCTGGCAAAGCATGTCTACTGTGCGAGGATCTACAATCTCAGTAGTACGGGTAAACCGTAGGAAGCCGGTGAAATAAGTATGAAGAGGGAGAAGATGTCCTCGAACAAGCGTGGCGAGATAATCGACGATGGCCTCGTTGGCAGGCCATGAAGCCAGTAGGTTGAGCAAAAGGTTGAGTACCGCGCTTATGGACTCGTTGATCTCTGTGCTGGACAATTCTTGAAAGCAAACGCGAAGTATGGCGAGCCACTACTGAGGCTTGTTCAATGTCACGCCGAGGTTCTGACAGCGTCTTACATCAGAGGAAGGAATACTATTCTCAAAGGATTTCCTCGTGACGATCTCGGCTTTGGACGGATTGTCCATGGTAATGGTAAGGTTCAAGTTGATGAACCACCGTTGGACATATGTCTGACAATTCAGAATCGCGTCTAGACCGTGAAGCAAGTCTATTATCAAGAACGATGAGTTTACGATGCTGTATACAGGAAGATGGGTCCGTTGAGAATGCCCTTCTATCGCCCGTATCTAGGAAATATAAGCAATTGCAGACGGCACATGCCAGAGTTTGCGTACTTTTGCAGCTCCCATTCACGGTTATCAAGAGGGCAGACGTTTCTGGTCTTTAGCCATCGTGAAATGCAGTGAAAGTGGAATGCGTGCTAGTGAAACCACGATCAGAGTGACATTGGAAGAAGAGTACTAGAGACATACGTTGCAAATTCCCCAAGCTGCGGTGCACTCGTCGCTTGTGGCAGAGACCTGGTTCGCCTGACAATCGATGCCTGGTGGTCCAGTGAGTACACGATCTCCAAAGCTATTACAAGTAGATCTCACAAAGATCCATGATGTGGTTCCTGCAAATAGCACAGTTGTCTACGACAATATCTGGTTGCTCAGGTCAGCGTCTGTTCCACGAGCTTTGTGGGCATCCGACGTACCCCAAGCCCAGAGTGTAACAGCATTCCACTGATGAGAGTAGATGCATCAGCTAGCGTGTTCAAGCAAGCGCAACAAGACGCGTTGTTGGTTGGACGCTGACCTTTTTGACTTCAAATTTGGGTCCGTCTTGCTTGCGCTTCTTTCCGGCAGAGGTTGAAGCAGCTGCAGTAGGTGTGTCAACGTCCATGTCGGCCATTTTATTCAGCAAAGTCGAGAGTCGGTGGCAAACGCAATGGTCAAGGCGCGCTCACCACCTTGACCCTTGACAAGACAGAACAAATGACAAATTTGGTGCTTTTATGCCGATTTGTATGCAAATTACAGTTGTAATTATGGAACATACATCGACCGGAGATGGAAACCTCAAATCAACTCATCTTTCGGCCCTTGATCGCTACCCCAGAACGCTTTGCCGAGTATATGCAGAGTTTTTTTTCTTCGGGATCAAAGTTAAACTCGGCGATGTCCATCTCTCTGAGCATGTGCAATCCGCGCTAAAGTTTGGCCACTTCCGGCTCCTCCCTTGACAGTTTGAATTTGACTTTCATGCATACGCTCTCTGCCTATGATCCACAGTATCCCTTATCTATTTGCTTCTCTTCTGTCCTCCGCGCGATGGCTGGTTCATTCATTCCCGACTTTCTTGTCGAGGCCACTACAAACTTTCGAGCCACTCAGTACACCGTAGCGACTGGATGTATTGGGGGCTATGATATTCTTCTCATATTGGACCAGGAGCTCAAGCTCCTGTGGTCAAAAAGGGTTAACGTGCTGATCAAGACGATCTATATCCTGGTAAATCTAGTATACAACCACTCGAAAGGACATCTCATCGTGGCTACAGAACGGGTATCTACCCATTATAGGCTTTGGCGTAATCCTTTCCGGTCAGTTCTCGATGCTCGACTGAAACGCGTGTGGCTCATCGACCCCATCAAGATTACACTCCAATACGAAACTATGCACGTACTGCAAAAGTATGTGCTTTGTCACTGCACCTAACTGTCGTGGATTGGCTTTGTCTTAGGAGTGAGTACTGCGAGGAACGCCAAATCGCAGTCCTGAAATTCCTGACAGGTGTTCAGTACATATAATCATAGCTACGGCCTGCCAAACCATTGGAATCATCATGACTACCAGTACGTGCTTAGCCCTAGCCGGGTCGACGACGGCCATGCTGAGGTCTGTCTCGCGTAACCATCTTCACGATTAGACTGTATAGCATCTACTTCGGGCAACCCCGGATGCGAATGTTTCTCCTCGACATCATGGAGGCTTCTCACATCAACCTCATCGTGATCACTGTGAACTTGATGGTGGTTTCCTCTAGCGAGGCGCATACTGGAGATCAGATTACGGGCTTGGCGAACATTACGGGAGCAAGGATCCACTTTGCACCGAGAGGGACGTTTCCATCCTCGCTTTCGCCCACAGGAGGTTCAAAGTCGACGCCAAACCCGATATCAGCGCTGGAGGCGGGAATTTATGCACACACGATACGGAGTGAGGAGCACGGCACCGAACAGTATGGACTCGACGACTACGATCGAAACGAACTCAGGGACTAGTCCGATTCATCTATGTAGAACCATGACTCCTGCTAACAGCAGAATGACCAACGGTGACAACCATATGGATGAAAGACGACCTTTTGTATAGTCACATATAAAAGTCGCATCCTCTGGTCATCAGATTGTCTGCTCGAGAGGCACAAGTAAAGTTATTTCAACAAGTGAATGTACACAAGCTGCAATCTGTATTCATTGACCAGGAGTCATAGCGATCTGAGACCGGAGAATCTTTCTCAGACGACCAGCCATAAGCCTACTAATCGCAACTACCTAGGCACGACTCAAAAGTTTCCGAAATCACATTCTACAATACAAATGTTAAAATGCCACTATCTACGTGAGTGAAAGGTGGCTTAAGCAACTTGAACTCCACCACAACGGCTACACTCAAACACGCATACCAGAGGCTCGTCCACATGCTCGTGGCAGGAAGTCGCAATGCGACGAACCACAGGATCTACTCATAATCTCCAATGACATCAACCTCCAGCTCCCCTCGAAAGACACACGAACCGCTGCGAATCGTATCGACAGACAGTTCGGACCAGAAAATCAAGACTGCGAAAGGAAGCTGGTCGAGGTCGCCGCGTGGCTACTGCGGGAGGAACATATCGACGTCGTCAACCCTTCCCAAATCCTGCACGACTTCCCAGCCAATACTTGTACACTGGATCATGATAAATTGGCAAAATTACGCCAGTCATTTCTTGATCAACTGTCTTCTATTCAGCAGGATCAGCAGCGTCGAGCAAATGCTACGAAAGTAAAGACGACACCAGCATCGACAGATGGAGACGAGTCACCGAAAGAGGAAAATGCTAGTGGTAGTAAGAAGTCCAGTCAAGGGATGAAGGAGACCGCCATGTACCTTCCTCTTGTGAGTTACTCGTCCAAGCAGTTGGACAGCCATTGACCAAAGTGCAAAGATCGCAGCCTTCAACGCGGTTTTGAACCTCTCAGAGTCGAATGAGCCGAGATCACTGCGATACTTCGATATTGGTTCCAAGCACCAGAAGACGCACGCCTCTGGGCTTACAATGTCCCCCGACTTGGCGCTGACATTCGACTACGACCCTGGGAAGGCATTCGATGAGAAAGAATTATTCGCACGCGCAACCGTTTGTGTGGAAGTCAAAAGAAGTCACCTCTTCGACATCCCTTTCGTCCTAAACAACAGCCAAGGCAGCGTGCTTCGAGGTGATCTGCTCAAGTTGCCAAAACAACTTCTCCTCCAAGTTATACGATATGTGCATATGGCACAGGCTCCCGTACTCCCGTGGGATTACATCCACTTCATCACGATGACGGATCCATTGCACGAATATGGAAGTCTACGCCTAGCAAATGTATCGTCACAACACATATCCACTATCCCCAAATTCCTGACCCTCTTATTCAGTTCGTATACGCTCTCTCCAGAAACGGGCGACGAGGCATGGGTCTTTGTGTTGGACCAGATGGACCGTTCAAGGATGTCGACTTCTCAGTCGAGACCTCCAAAGACGCAAACTATACGGATCAGCTACACAAGAAACTGGACCGAGTGGCCGATGTTTATGCCAAGCAGTCCAAGAACGTCGTCTGGAAGCGCAACTGGCTGCTCGACGGGATATGAATTCTCAGTGTTGATAAAAAGGGCCAGGAATTCCTGGCATCAGGTCCAGTGAAGAAAGATTTCATCGTCTTTCAGGACCCAATTTACCGCCAAATCGCCATGTTCTCCCGTGGAACACGCTGCTACTTGGCCATAGCAAAATCGGATCTCGACGCATACAACATAGAGGCATTGGCCGAGGAGGTCATCCTAGAAAGCATCCGTCTCCTCAAAACCTCGTGGCCGAAGCCCGATCGACTTCATGAAGCCAAATTCTTTCACAAATACGAAGAGAGACTCCGTGACGCCAAAAAGGAACGGCCACGTGGGGTACCAACGCTTCTCGCCAGTGGGGAGGATGTTACTCGCCACCATTGCAGAGGCACCGAAAACCAATACGCGATGGCGGAGTTCAGTGTGAGCGAGTCAGAATCTTTAAACGAGGACGATGCGGCGAATTTCTCTGAACCCGTCGACGATTTTGAAGTGGAGGAGTATTTGGGCATCTCCGACCTGGTAGACAAACTCGGCGCGGTGCTTCAGAGGCTTAATAGTCCCTCTGAAGGCAAACCTGACCAACGTGGACCAGAAACCCGTCGCCTGGACTGGCTCTTACTCAAAGAGGTTGCAAAGGACTTGTCGAGTGCCAGCGACTCTTATGAGTTCGCCACTGCTATGTGCGATGCGGTAGAAGGTACGTTGAGCTATGTCATCAAGGGACGCGCTAAATCGGAGCCAAGTACACCGGAGCCTATATGAGATTGGTCGCATTATCCACAGAGACATTTCCGCTGGCAATATCATGATCGCGCTTTCTACATCTGAAAAGCCGCGCGGGCTTCTCATTGACTGGGAAATGGCCAAAGACACGACGGACGATCAATCGGAAATCCACGGGATTATCACCGTAAGTATTGTTTGGCCTGAGTGCATACGACTGAGTTTTGAACCAGGGCACAATGAAATACATGTCACTTGCTCTTGAACATGCACCGTTGCACCAAGCGTGGCATGACCTAGAGTCTTTCTTTTGGGTGTGTATGTATATGATCATTCGGCATGCGGATGGAATCAACCTTTGTGGAACGGCGCTGACACCGAGCGGACGGCGAAATCAACTGGACACATACTTTGGACAAGGAAACCTCCAACAGCTTTCTGCAATGAAACGGGCCTTACTCCTTGTTTCTCTCGACGTTTCCGGCTCCTCTGCGTTCGGACCCAGTACCTCCGAACTGGGAAAGCACTTGCGCCGATTATATACGGCATTCACAAACCTTGACGCCATCGATGGGATTTTGAAACGACTTGGTCACAAATTCGGTAACGCTATTCACGCCTACACGGCAATCAGTTTTCATCGATGCCAAAGGCTCAGTCGACAATCCTCCTTGGGCCACACCGAGAATCGCCAAATGCGCACGCACCTTTTCGACTCCGCAACACGCTCGAGCTGAGAGCGGGGTTGCTTAGGTCTCCAGAGACGCTACGAAAGCTAAGGGAGGGCGCCGCTGAGCGGTTTGCTCACTGGAGGGAAATTCTCCATGCCTGCGACGAGATGGACCGAGGTGCTTGGGCGATCCCAATATCTCTCTCAGAAAGTAACTAGACTGAGAAAAGAGGCAAGGATGGACACGGCACGATTAGAAAGAAGAATCTCGAATGGGAACTCCGTCTCTCTCTCGAGATGTCACCATTGCCTTTAACAACGGTGTGGGCAAGAACCGTGCAGCGACAAACAAGTCCTCAGAGGTTCTAGCATCTATGGAAGGTGGAGAAGCCAGAGGCGATGAGAAACCCGCTCTGGCCGAGCGCACCTCTGATCCATTCTACTTTAACGATGTCCTCGACGTACCTGACCCACTCCACATCCCTACCTTGTTCCGACTGTCCACTGCGTTGCTGGGTGCATTTGGGAAAAGGCTAGTCTCTTCCCTCATCGAGAGGCCATCGGCACGGCAGATGGGTTCTGGGAGCTACGAGAAGCTAAATGATGACGAGGAGACCGAAATAGAAGGTAGCTGGACTCTGAGCAAGTGGGGTATCGCTGGCCTGGCGTTTGCCATAGGGTATTACGCGGCTCGATTGCTCGCCAAATAGGGGAGGCTCGGGGCCGAGGGGTCGTCAATCTGGTAAGTTGGTACTGTACTCTGCTTTCTTGGACATGTCTATATTGTATGTATGCACTTGTGTAACTGTGGTGTATTGCGCGCCCAGTAGTGGTCGGGGGAAGTCTGCGGAAACTGGCTCAAACAGGCAAGCTCGGCTATGGTTGTTCCGTCTAGTGAACTTCAAGTCTAAAGTTGATGAGTTAATCGACGGCGCCCAAGTCGCATTTAGGAGCCTGATAAATAGCGCTCTACAGCTTGGACCACTACTAAGCCGCTGAGCCTTGCCTGCGGCAATATCCTGCGCTATCACGACTTGAACGGCCAAATCAAATCAATCAGACTATTTCTCATCCATTTGTCATCTTGCGCGTTGACCGCATTGAGCAAAGCACACGAGCGACGCTGCTACCATGGCCGCGAACGCTCCTTCGACGTCCTCTGAGCGACGTCCTGGTGGGATAGAAGATCATGAATCAGCCCCTTATATTATCAAGGCGGAAATTGGCAAGGTATGCCCTCGACGCGCTCCTCATTTCGATGTGCTCAGCTCACCACGTGCCTCTGCGTCTATAGGGATCGTTTGCGACTGTCTATCGTGGATATCACAAGGTAAATATCACTCTGCTTTCTGCTGTATCCCCAGTTCCCCGCTCGCCACTTGACCGCACTAGCGATCATCTCGCCGTGAGGATAGAAAGGCTGCTCTAGAGGAGCTGTTGAGTTCCCCAGGAGCTTTGATAGTAACAAAAAGGCAGATATTACAAAGGAAGGCGTGCTGACTCGGCATCCCGCCTCTCCCAGGACAGTCGGATGGCCGTCGCAATCAAGACGGTGTCGCGTACCATCCTCACACCAAAGCTCGTCGACAATCTCGAGTCAGAGATCAATATTCTCAAACAACTCAAGCACGCACACATCACCGAGCTCATCGAAATCGTCAAGGCGGACCGATTCATCTTTCTCATCATGGAGGATTGCACCGGCGGGGACCTCAGCGGCTATCTGAAACGTAGAGGGAGAGTGGATGGGCTTCAATATGTGCCTGAGCCTGGCGCAGCGCCGACATTCTACCAACATCCAAAGACTGGTGGATTGGCCGAGGTCGCTGTCCGGTCGTTTCTACGGCAGATGGGTACGTCGTAACAAAGCCCCAAGGCTCGATAGCTCGCTGATAATACGTAGCGCGAGCTCTCAAGTTTCTACGACAGCGGAATCTCATTCACCGCGATATCAAGCCACAAAACTTGCTGCTCAAACCGGCTACAGCTACTGAACACGAGAAAGGGCACCCGCTCGGCATACCTGTCCTGAAGATTGCAGACTTTGGGTTTGCGAGACACCTTCCGAATACCATGCTGGCAGAGACGCTGTGCGGATCTCCACTCTACATGGCGCCAGAGATTTTGCGTTACGAAAAGTACGACGCAAAAGCCGACTTGTGGTCAGTGGGCGCCGTCTTGTATGAGATTAGTGTCGGCAAGCCGCCGTTTAGAGCGCAGAATCACATCGAACTCCTCAAACGCATCGAACAAGCGCGCTCTACTGTTCGTTTCCCGGATGAAGAGGACCCGAATGCAAACCCCGTCCCGGCGGATATCAAGAAGCTGATACGAGCCCTGCTAAAGCGTCATCCGGTCGAACGCGCCACCTTTGACGAATTCTTTGCGTGCAAAGCAATGGCAAATTCCAAGTTTCCTGCACCGCGGTCTGCCAACGAGGCGAACCCGAGCTCGCCTGGATCTCTTCCGATTGTCACTCCACTTTCCAACGGCAAGCCACTTCCAGCGACTACGAACGTGATCATACCGCATATTCCGGACAACCATCGCATCATCCCGCCAGAGGTATTGGATCCCAAGGCGCTCGTACCCCCCAGCAACTTTCACTTTCGCAAAGCGATGGGCAACTCGACCAACGATGGAAGACGGACGGCGCCTAATTCAGTACCACCCACACCGCTCACCCCGCATGCACCGTCGCCAGGAGGAAGTCCTGCAGCCCGGCCTTCGCCGCTTCGACGGCCCGTTTCGTTGACGCCCGAACTTTCTACACAAGCAGAGGCAGACGAGGAGAGCTTCCTCAAGGGAGAGTATGTGGTTATTGGAGATACGAAACATGTCGAATTTAACCAGCGTGTGGACGGTAAGTCTTGTTCACTTTAATCAGGAGCCTGCGCTCATAGCTACAGAATTAACTGCGGCACGTCAGCGAGCGGCACGTAGAGCGTCTGCGACTCCCAGCGACAAGCCTAGCCCTCCCTCCTCGCCCGCTCAGCAATTGCCCATCACCTCGTCGCCTCGTCGACTTGCAACCAATGCGTTACCGGCTGAAGACAGGTTTCAGTTTCCACCAACGCCAGTGGAGCCCGACCGTCCGAAGCCTGCGCGTGCAGGATCGTCGGCGCTTTCGCGAGCGCTCAACGCTGCGTCCAAGAAGTTGTGGGGAACAAGCGTTACGACGCCAACGTCTCAGCATAGTCCAACGCTCATTACTTCACCGGCCACTGGTTACCCTCCCGTACCACACAGCTCCTCCCCAGGAAAGCTGCTCACTAGCTCACCTAAGAAGTCTCCGCCTCTCATTACGAACGGTACAGGCCCGAATATTTTGGAGCGTGAGGAAAAATTGCTCGCTGGATTGGAAAACTTGGCACAAAAGGTAGAGGTGATTACGAAATGGGCGGATGAGCTTTTTGAGCAGGTGAAGCAGATACCTGAGAGTACGTGAGGCACCATTACGCTGGGTTTATTTCTGACGAGTTATGTAGAACCGCTTCCGGATCCTGGAAAGTTTGTGCCACGCGAGGGCGAGTCTCCCCGACATGCCACGAGGAGACGAAATGCGGAACTCGATGCAGAAATGGCTGCCATCAATTGCATATCACTGTATATGCTCGTCATGAATTTCTCTCAAAACGGGATTAATCGTCTGCACGACCACATGGATGTCGTCGAAGTGGACGGCGAGCCGCCAGAATTGTCGCCGGGTTTCGATGACGGTATGTTTCTTCTCATTTAATCCACGTTTTCAGGAATAATCATATAGGTTCTAGCCGTTGAATGGTTTGGCAATCGTTACGAACGTTGCTCGCAGCGTGCGCAGACGGTCAAGGGTTGGCTACCCGAAGGCGCAACCCACGAGCCCCCGGCATACATGGATCAAGTCTTATTTGAACGCGCTCTTGCTTTGGTATGTAAAGGCCCAAGTTTCCGGTTCGTGTCTCGCTAATTCACTTATTGTAGTCGCGTAATGCTGCCCGAAAGGAGATATTGGATCAAAATCCGTGGGATTGTGAAGTCATGTATCAAGACGCTCTATGGCTGCTTTACACGGTCAGAGACGACTTGGAGGCACCATCGAATGCATACATGGAGGAAGACCGTTCAACGATTGATACTTGTACGCAGCTCTTTCACCTCCGGGGCGTTGGCTTATCTTCTTGTAGGGATTACCCGTACCAAGCTGCGTCACCACCGCTGCAAGGAGCGCGCCGCGATGCCGGATCCAGCTCGTCGCAAGGACGCACAAGCTGACCAAAATCTCGACGACGTTAACCGCTTCCCGCCTCCTTGGGACCTACAACCTCTCCCTAGCCCCTCCCCATCGCATCGTCAGTAGCATCCCCAACTCTCCGGTATCCTGGATCATTCTGTCTGCATTACGCTTCGAGACACGGGTTTCACTAGAGGACTATTTCATCTGACTGCTAATTTTGTGCATTACAACCTTTTATTTTCTAGTGCCGTCTTTGTCATCTGCGCATCTCACGAACACCACTCCCTTTTCTTTGGTATTGATTCTGCTTCTGTATATTTCTTCTTTCCCACTCTGTACAATGTAACTTTGCATCCTAGAATACTCGCAGACGGATGAACCTGGTCCTGGCTTTAATCGAACGGCACTGGACGTATACCAGGTCCCTGTAGAGGCTTTCCTGCAGCAGCAGCAGCTCCAAATGCGCTTGGGACTGGGATGCCACAGCAATCTCCCCATCCAACTGTTGCTTGACCAGCGCCCCCTAAATCGCCGTTATGCGCATGTGCATGGCCATAATGAGGGTCATTCTTGTCCACGGTTGATTGAGTACGGTCTCCAGTAAAGGGGAGGATCGTGCCGAAGAGGAAATGTTGAATGACGGGAAGTTTGCCCATCACTTCTGCGAGATACATCTTGATCATACCCGCGTTGACTTTGTCCCATGTCTTGACGGCAGAGATGTCGTCGAGCATCGGTGAGTGCCATCGTAAAGACGCAGTTTTGATCTGCTTGAGAGTAAGAGCAATATGAGAGAGAGATGTAAAGGCGTACCGAGTTGATGAACTGGATGCATGCCAGGTACATATAGTCTTTGGAAAACTCTTCCAATATCTCATTGTCATGAATAGACTTTGGTCGTAGATGTCGATGACCTAGTAAAAGTCAGTCACAGGTTGAACATTCATACGAATGTACTCACCCCGTAATTGTGCACTTCCAAAGAGAAAAGGCAAAAAGTGGTAGTCATCGAGTCCCCAGACTCCATGGGAGCCAGCGGGCTCGAGCCAATAGGTGGATTGTAGGACGCGCATCACTCCTATATATCTGACAATCACTCAGTATCAGACCATGGCCTTTTGTCAATGTGGCCTACACGACTGCGCGATCATCCTCTGGGCGTAGGACCCCTAAGCGCTCCAAACAATACCTGTAAATGTCAGCTCTGTGAGGAAGTCAACAAATTTGAACTCACAGCCAACACAAAAAGTTTAATTCCATCCCGCTTCCATAGTCAATCCTCGTCCTATTCCCCCACGATTCTTCGAAGTAGAGTGAAATCTCTTGAACAGAATCTTCAGGGATACCTGCAATCCTAGAGTGCAGCTCCTTTGACGACTTTAGATTTGTCAGACAAAGCCCAGGACTTGGCAGAGAAAGTGGGGCCTACCGCTTTGACTTTATCATAGAAATCTCTAAAGGCAGGGTTTCCGAACCGAGATCCGGCATTGTCGACTGGCGGCGTCTCTGTGGCAAGATGTGCCACCGAGTCTAGGACGCCAATGATCGCTTTGACCGCCTTGGGAGGACTCGGTCACACGTGCCCGGTTTTATGGATGGGAATGAACGACGTACCTCTGATTCGTCACATGGATCCGTCAGCCTGACGCCAACGACAGACTCGTTGAGCCTTTGGATGTACGCAATGATCGCAGCATGCGTTTCTGATGCCTGGAACTGTTCCAACTGTTCCTTGGAAAGAATTTCCTTTGTTGGTGGGTGGTATTTTGATTCTGAGCTGGACATGGCGAGGTTCAAGATGTTTTGACCAAAGGCTTACACCCGCGAACGAACATGTGTAACAATATTAAAAGCATCTAAGTCATAAAAGTCGTGCTATATACAGGCAAGAGTCATACAAGGGCTAGCCCAGCCATATACGTTTGGGTATATTAGCCGCAAAACTAGATTAGAACAAGTCACCAAGAAACAAAAGGGGCACAATGTCCGTGATTAAAGAAACAAGGAGGCGACTTGATGCAAGCATGACTACTGATTACGATAGACCCTGGATGCGAGCGTCAGCACTGAGCCAGAATGAAAAGAGTATGGACTCACTGGATATAGAAGTCGGGGAAATTTGGAATATAGACGCCCGAGTCGGCGGTACAGCGTCCGCCATGCGCATTTTGTGCGGCTTGGCAGTTCCAAGCGAGATAGCGAGCCACATTGGCAACGTCGGCGTGGTCCTGAGCAGGGTCAGTCAAGGTAGGGGTTAAGACGACCGACATACATATTGCCTGCAAACAAGTCAGCTGGCGAACAGCAACCACAAGAATAAGACGTACATTCGTTGCGTGCAGGGCGCTCCCGAGCTGACAATCTGGTTCTATGTTGGGCATAAGCGAGTGTTCACATATTGGATCAATGGACTGACCTGGATTCCTATGCCGCATGACCTCCATGTAAACAAATTGTAACCTCCCGTCGGGAGGGTGAACAGTTCTGAGGGGGTTCAGGGTAAGGACGCTGTCTGACAGAGAGAGATGCGTACGAGGATTGCGGGCAAACAAGAGTCCAGTTGCATATTCGCAGTCGTTGGGATCAGGGCCACCGCCAGGATTGCCAGAGTAGCACGAGGAGGTGCATGGAGCATCGCACTTGCTCACTGCATTCGAATCAAAGCCATTGTTTCCAAACCGAATTGCGCAATTGTTGCGTGCAGTAGGGCAAGAAGGGGCTCGCAAACCATCTCCGCCTGGAGACAAAAAAAAGAGAGCGACGTCAGCGGATGACTGTGAACAATGAGAAAACAAGCTATGTACGTACCTGAGGGACCACTAGAAGCCTGTCCGGCCTGTGGTAGTGTGCATGTGCCTGTCGTCAAATGGCCGACGCCCGTTGAACAAGAGTTCTGTAGAAGACAAGACTGTAGTGGCATTTACGCCACCGTCACAGATTGTCCTAACTGCTGCTGGCAGACTCGGATCATCAACGCTGTAGGCTGCAACATGACCACCTCGCCGAACGAGGCTCTCGGCATCGGACGAGCTTCTATGAGCGAAGAAGCCGTCGTCACAAGGACAAGTAAGTATGAAATCCAAGACCGAAGCATGTTGGAGGGAATTAGGGGCGAATAAGAAGCTGGCTGGATATGTATGGGCTTTTGTGTGTTTTCTCGTTGAAAAAGAATTAAAGGTCGTGTCAGCGTCGTGAGGACGTCGTGGTCGCCCAAATTGCGGACGGCGGCGAGCAACGCAGCCGACGCGAGGCGCATTTTATACCTCGCATGATGTCAAGTCAACGGCAAGTCACTTGGACAACCATTTTCGGCTCCAATAGGCCCACAGTGTTTGTGTTTGGCGTCGGAGACTGGCGCAACCGGACAAGGGGTAAAACATCGGCTGGGCAGGCTCGCATTCGAGCGGAGCTCACATTTCATTAGCTTCCAGTAACTGACGCAAGGTAGCTGGGATGAACAGGTATCATGATTGCAAGGCCCTTGTTGCCAAGGTACGAGCCAGTGAGACAAAACAATTAGACAAGCTATGGGCGGGACGAAAATGCGGGAAATACAGCCGATCGTGCAGCATTCGATGCCTCTCCTGCTGTACGAACTCGTAGGCTCTTGCCTGCATCCTCTGTTGCGATGATGACGAGATTCGTAAATGAGCGTATTATGACGAGTGTGTATCCAGCCCGTCTCGATGCTGGTATGGCCAGGTCGGGAGCTTGACCATGATGCGTGGTGCGTGTGTGTGTGCCAGAACAAAATGAAAGCAGCCGAATAATAGGACGCGATGACGACAACAACAAAGAGCGAATCGCCGGGACGGAGCCCAGGTTCCCAATCGGATTGGTGGTGTACAGAGGGGAGAGGAGGGTGAAAGATTTGCGTCGAAACGTGAGTGTTTAGGAATGGGGCGCTAATTTTTGGCTTCCTACATCCGTTTGCCAGCCACCAACGGGCTCGTCGTCCCCCAAGGGTTCCCTCCGATTGGACTCGGGACGATGGGCGAACCTCCACCGCCCCCGTGTCCGTTGGTATACATGCTAACCTGGGGGTGCTGGTGATGCAACCCGTTGGTTCCAAGCATGAGCTGCGGCACACGGTTGGTTAGTGCAGGAGAAAAGGACGTCGAATGCTGAGCAGCGTGGTATAGGCCTTGATGTTGCACTTGGCCTTGCTGCGCAATGCTCGTCAGCTGCTCATGAGCGAGGTATTGCTGACGCTGGAGCTGTTGTTGAGCATCGTAATGCGTCCTCGAATCCAACAATGAACTCGCTGGTGTTGGCTGTTTCACAAATTGTCACGGGAAATACACCAAGATCCGAGAGTTTCACAACAGGACAAGGCTAGTCAGTATAGTACCCAGAGATAGGCCAATAGGCTCACCATGTATGCCTCTTCGTCCGAGGAACCGAAGATTGAGCGGGCTGCCCCACTTACTATGCCTGAATAGGAACCATTGGTCGTCGAAGCCGGCTGTTGCGGAAGCAGGCGTTCGTTGGTGGGCGAGAAAGACATCCTGACAGCTGTCTGTCCATTTCCGTTTCCCATTTCGATATTGATGGGGCCAGTAATATTTGGTGCGTGTTGGACGCTCACGGGCGATGCTGCCGTGGTAGGACTCTGTAAAACGGGTGGCAGGCAAACGGGAGATTACTAGGATCCTTAAAGCTCAAGCCATGGTTCAAAGGAAAGTGGGAGGGGGTGCAGCGGGGTGCTAACACAAAACAGGACAGGGTGAAGAGGTCCGAACGCCATCAGCGCCCATTATAGCGCTTCTGACAAAGAAGATCTTAGCAATTTAGTTCAAGATCGCATTCGCGCCATGGGCTCAGGAAACCCCGAAGCGAGTACCGGGTACATAGACGAAGATCTCAAGGTTGAACTTCAAATAACCCAGGCAAATCTGAATGCGTGTGTTTTTTTAGGTCATGCTGAAGTGCTGGCCCGATTCAAGGCCACTATAGAAGCACAAGAACACGTCAGATGGCTTTCGGTGGAGCAGGTGACCAAAGGAAATCCTTTAGATGGAGAGAAAGTGATTCGCGGATCTACGACTCTCACCAAACCCATCCATGTGCGGATACCTACTCCTTCGGGCCCCTTAAATTCTCTCCCCATCCCTATGCCAGCCACCAATTCGCCTTCTAGCGTAGGTGAAGCTCCCAAAAGAGCCTCAGGGCTCAAGAGACCATCCGGGGATCTCCAAAACAGCGGGAATTCTCGGGGCTCAGACCATAAAAGGTACGTTTTGTCCGGTATGCAACACCATCAACGCTGATGCGATCAGTGTAGTGCTAAACGTCAAAAGCGGGAAGACTGAGGTAGGGGATAGATGATGCCGAGAATAAACGCAACTATCATACTTGATGCATGCCTCTCAGTTGTATCCTAGATTTCTTAGACATGGTTTTCATGTATTCCATCCGCTCGAGCAGTTTGAAGTCGGATGGTCATTCTCCTCCGGTACTGACTCGCCATCTAGATGAAAAACGACCTTTTTGTGGTCATATATAGGCCTCGGGTCCTCCGTCGGTCGGCAGAACATACTCGCACTTGGGCGCGGCTGATCCAAGAGCCACATACACATGCACCCACTCAACCCGCTTATTACCGTGACGGTTGCCATTCTCAGATGAGAAGCACAGCGAGATAAAGCTCGACAGATTAGTATTCAGAAGAGACTGGGAATGTCATAGAGAGTGATCTGCCATGGCCGGCTCTTGATGGCTTCGCATCTGGCCTGAAACAAGCAGCAGCACGAGTCAGATCAGCGGCAAGAAACGAGCTATCTCCTTTTTTTTTGGCTTGCCCATCCTCTTGCCTCGCTTCGATCCGGTTCCTCCCTTGACAGCGGAAACCAATATGTCCTGTCAGACTGTCACCAAGCAAGGATCCAAACGCACGCCCCGTTTTATAAATATTTACTGGCTGCAATCCTCCGTCGACCCTTGCCTCTTTCCCCTCTGCAATGGCCGGTTCCCTCGTCCACCGGGGTCTTGCCGAATTCCTAGAGGCTGCAATCCACTTTAGGGCGACTGATTACACTGCCCTTGCTGGATTTACAGTCTGGGCTTATGATATCCTCTTGACATTGGATGAAGAGCTCACCCTGCTGTGGTCGAGAAAGGGTAGCGTCCTGCTCAAGACTATTTATATACTCGTATGTCGGCCTCTCGTTTGCTAGTCTTCTATCTGAAAGCCTCTACAGAACCGGTACCTACCCATCCTAGGATTTGGAATGGTTGTTTCTAGTCAGTCGTCCATCGAACGGCATGCCCATGACTCAATTTAGTATCACAAGGTCACAATCCGATACTAAACCTCGCACAAAATCCCCAAGTAAGTCCTCTGTTGTGAAATGCGTAGTGGCCTGAGTTTTGCCGCAGCAGTGCGCACTCCTTGTTTACTTGGCGCTATCGTCCCTGAATATCTGGATAGATGCCTAGTACATCTCATCGCTATCACAGTGTGTCAGACTGTCGGGGTTATCATGACTACCAGTACGCCAACGCGAGGTGATAACCGTGCTCAATGCTAAAGGGCTTCACGCCCAGCCATCTTCATCATTCGACTGTACAGCATCTATGTTAGACACCCTCGAATACAGGTACTCCTGGTGGGTATTATGGCAGCTTCTCATCTCACTCTTGTCGTTATCACGATCAACATGATGGTGGTTGCTGCTAGTAAGTATTAAAAGACGACAGTCAGGACACCAAGTCACACTAGATTTCTAGAAACCATGTACTATAACCCCTTGTTGCGGGCCTGTATCGCGGACGTGTCCCGGACGCTTGGTGGATACTATATCGTGCCGGTAAGCATTGTCAAGGTAGATGCTACCCGTCTGACATCTTTCATATATCCAGATCTTTGTCGAGAGTGTAATTGCGTTTGCGACATTGTATCACGCGCTAGCGTTTCGTCAACATCGCACAACGATGAGGCAAACACCCACCACGGCCATATTGAATGCACTGTATATTGACGGGTTTTGGTTCTACCTGGTGACTATCTCCGTTTGTCCGTTCGCAATGCTTATTGTTGGTAGTACGCCTTGTGCCTCCGGGTGGCTCTTTGTCTCGTGGTAAGCAGCTTGGTTAGCTGCAATTTGCGGATCCATGCCTGATCTGTTGTTCAGTACTGGAATGCTGCGAGCACGCTAGTGCTGGTGCTGTGCTATCTAGAGTATGGACTGACGAGCACGATCACCTCTCGTTGGTTTCTCAAATTTCGCAAGCTACTCATAGACTCATGGGAGACATCAAGCGTCTCGAGGGATACAAGAGCTGATGTTACTGACCTTACGAACATCACGGGCGCAGCCATCGACTTTGCATCGAGAAGGAGGTTCAATTCAATGCTTTCGTCCCAAGGGAGCGCGGGGTCGATACCAAACGCAAGACCGACGCCGTCGACTGGAAAATATGCCCCAGCGATACTGAGCGTGCAGGAGGAGGAGCATCCCAGAGAGCACCACGAACTCGACGAATATAGGGAGAATAATGTATGATTTTATATAGAAACAAGCTTGCCGTCCATCCTTCGACCGAGTTTGTGGATCCTGACCAAGCAAGCCACTGACGGACAACTTCATCCCGACCACTGACCATGGCTTCTGTTCCTCTGCCCAAAAAAACCAACAATAATAATAGCACGGACCCACAGAGACCTCCTGTGTGGTCAATTACCAGTACTGCGTCCTCTGCGGGTCCACCGCCTCTCGCTCTCAAGTGTGCTCGACACCAGAACAGCCGACGAGGTGTATGCTGCAAGGAACTCAAGACGGAGCAGCGAAAACTGATTGATTCTGATGTTATGCGTGATATGTATGCCTTCTGTCGCCTTGGCCATATTTTATTCATCCGTCGCTCATGTTTTCTCCAGCGTTATAGGTCTCTCTGATGGTCTCACGGTCCCGTTTGCTCTTTCTGGCAAGTCCCAGCTCTCCCGGGGAATATGCACTTATGCTGACAAGTTATTTGTGTCTAGCCGGTCTGGCGTCCTTGGGTAGCTCGCGCGTTGTTGTGCTAGGAGGTGTGGCAGAATTGATTGCAGGAGGCATTTCGATGGGAATCGGCGCATTCCGTATGTGCTCCTCCTTTCGTCATCCACCCAAACCCTTTCTCGACAATTCCCATTGCTGACTGTTCCATCCACAGTCGCTACCCAAGCAGAACGGGACTCGTACATATTCCTAGAACAGCAAACTGCCCACCGCGTCTCTCAATCCTGTGCAGGCGAACTTGAGCGCGAAGTGGACGAAATTCTGGGTCCTCTTGGTGTACCCACCGAACTCTCGCGTCAAGTGGCCAACACGCTTCATAGAGAAGAAGCAAATGCGTTGCTCGCCGAGGGAGCGGCCGCACCAGCGAATGGGGACACAGTGGAGAATGGCTATGCCGTGCCCGCTCCTGGAGAAGAGAGGCTCAAGTTCTCGTCAACAGTTGGCTTGACGCCGTTTTTGTTGCGGTTTGGAATGGGCGTCGAGCCTGTTCCGACGAGCCGCATGTACTCGTCGGCAGCAACCATTGGTGTGGGCTACCTCATCGGCGGTATTATCCCTCTCCTTCCTTATTTCTTCATCCGTGAGTTCATTTCGTCTGCAATTACATATGTTTGCTGACTCGTGTTGCAGCCGTCGTCAACCGCGCGCTGTTTGCATCGTGCATCCTGACTTTTGTTGTCCTCATTCTATTTGGAGTGTTGAAGGCGCATATCACTGGTGCCGGAACGGGCTGGAGAGGCTATCTATGGGGTGCTGTTAGCACTGCCATGGTGGGGGGTATGGCAGCTGGAGCTGCATTCGGGCTTGTACGTCTACTCGAGGGGCATGATTAAATCCATTTCAACAAGTGAATGTACACAAGCTACACTATTTATCCACTCACTGGGATTTAGGAGACCAGAGAATCGCTTCCAAATAACCATTGAGCCATGAGCTGGCCCATCATGATTGCCTAAATACAACTAAAGGTCTCTAAACTGCATTCTACTATGTTGAGATCACCATGTCGCAATCTGGCTCCACGAGTGAAGGTGATCAGCGAAAAGTGATGTCTAGAGTGAGCGCAATTATTATTCCTGATGCATGCCTATCCCTTGTATCCTAGGTTTCTTGTATGTGCCTTTCTTGTATGCCATGAGATCAAGCACGTTGAGGTCTCTGGTTGAATGGTCATCTCCTCGAATTCTCACTAGCCACCTCATTGTGGCACCCATTGACCGTCCAACACAGATAAGTTTGTCTTAATACATGTACATGTATATCTAGGTATTCGAACAAGGGAGAAGAGAGACACTTGTCTCATGACACATATCTCGTCGGTATCTCGAATGGAAGCCACGAGTACCAAGGGAAGGAGCCTTGATCGTCCTCTGTGAACAAAGGTGTACCTTTTGTTACTGGATTGAGGACATTGGTGCGTTCCTGCAAGCACTGTTCTTCCAGCTTGCTCCCATATGTACAGAGGGTCAACGCATGAAGCTGTGGTATGCGGTGTGCAATCTTTCTTGCACGAGGGAGCTCCAAGTCTACACCTATACTGCTACGAGTCCAAAAGAACAGCTGGGCGAGCGGGTGATCTGGTGGAGGAGGGCTCATAAACTCTAGGCCCCATGGACTTACACCAAGAAATTTGAGTGATGTGTGGTCTTTCCAGAAGGTATCGTCCGTCGTGAGGTCGGTATGTGGGTTGACAAGAAGTGATTGTAACCGTTGGTGGGATTCGGGAATGAGGTTGGTACGGTATGGAATATATCCTCGAAGGTATAAGTGGCGCAAGCTGGGCAAATTCCATCTCTCCAGTTCAACAAGTTCGGCTCTGATCACGAGTGTCTCCAAATGGTCAAGGGTGAGTGGCCCACGGATAGAACGCGTGTCCAGACTCAAGGATGTAAGGAGAGAGAATGACTGCTGGACTCCACTGAGGACCATTTCGTCCAAATGTACATTGGATAGGCGTAGAATGAAGCTGCGCACAATGCCGGCTAATGGTTGAGAGAAAACGTCTGTCTGCAGATGTTCATAGAGCCCATGATCTCCGGTAGCTCCGGAGTACACGGATAAAACCCTGAGGTTGGGATAGTCTCCCCAAAGTTCGGCCCAGGGCTTATCTGTGTCCATCTGGCCAACTTCTGAGGAGGAATGTGACGGTATATGTCGATGCATGAATGCCGGTTCTAGTAGAACCTCCAGCCTGTGAGCAGTCCGATCGACAGGCGGATAGCGATCCCCTAGAACAAGCTGCCAGTCCTCGTGTCGGTCAACAATGTCCTTCCAAGCTCGACAAACGAGCTTTAATCTCATTCTCGTCGTTTTGTAGCGATAAGAGCGCCAATGGACGGTCTGTGCCAGTGCGAACCGGTGGAAATGCCGCCAGTCGCTACGGACTGAGCCAAGAGCATGTGGTAGGTCGATAACATAGATTAAAATTTCCTCCCATAGTTCTATAGGGAGAGGAGGCGTCCTAGCACCTCCGTTGATCAAGAAGGACGACGACGCCGAGGCTCCAGGCAAGATGGCAGGAAAAGATGGCTTGATGAGGCTATATAGAGCAAATGTTGTCGTAAAAAGAATCACTGCCGTCACGGTTTCGTTGATCTCAAAGAGACTCATCGTCGCAAGGGCTAAGAGGCGACCCAGGCGTCAACTTGCCAGAGATTCAAGACACTGGTTTTCAAGTAAGCGCAGAAATGTAGAACATTCCGGCATTACAATGATGGTTGTCTAGATATCATGATCAAACATGACCACCTCACTCCCTCGCTTGACGTTTAGCGCTACAGCAACCATGTCAATGCTTACAATTTAAACAGCATAGCCATACCTGGTGACTCTCGAACCACAACGAACCACAATAGCATTCGTCATCTTCGGATCGCCTCTTGAATCTCAAAGAATCCCTCTGAGATCGTCGCTAGGAATCGAATCAGCAGTTTGGGACAAGTTGGGGACGTAATCCAATGGATGCAGGGGAATAGGTTTCGAAAGCTTGCAGATTTCCACGCACTGAGACTCGTAGAGACGCCAATCCCTTAGAAGAGCGGACACACCTTTGACTTCGACATAGACGGCGGAACGGATGAATGCTTTGCCTCGATGAAATGAATCCATAGTCTCGTCGTCAAACGTTAATGCGAGATTTAGATTGACTGGGGAAGCAGCGCTCGTTTGTTTCCTTGAGCCAATGTCGACGCATCGGAGGAGTGGTTCCTCGGTCGACTGAGAAAGATATAAGATTGCGTTGAATGCAGATAACATGGTCCTTTGCCCAGTGACTCTCCAACTATCTGACGAGTAACTCACCGACGGAAGAGGATACGTAGTTGCTCCCTTCATTAGCTTTATTTACTTCCTCTTGCGCTCAACAGTCCGTAATGGTTTCATCTCGTTGGTGTGTCCTACAGAAGGCGAGGCCATCTTTATCCTTCCGATGTCGCTCGACCTTGCTAATCCGCCTGAACAGAAGACAGTTTACTGAGAAACGGATCGCACATTTTGATTGATTCTTGGTTACCTAACGTGGGAGTGTCGGCTGGGAAGATCTGGAGGATTTCAGAGGGATTTATGATGTCAGCTTACCATCTCGTAGCACCCACGCAGCAGTCTCGACCAACTTTGTATCGTGCTTTGTCGCATATAGCTAAAATGTTGCATCAAATATCTTTTCAATGGCTTGCCTTACTCTTTCTTCAGTGCCGTCATTCCGGGCAGCCAGGGGAGTTGAGTTCTATTGCCACAAACAAAGGACCTGGACCAGGTTCCAAGTCAAGGGAAGCGAATTATTGGGATTTGCTGGAGAACAACAATCAGAATCTCATGTTGGCTGTTGTGCCGTGACCTGACTGCCGTAAATCTCATACCCTTGATAGGCTTGCCTCCCCTTGCCCAGAGCAACTCGAGTTCTGAGTCGAATGTGATAAGTGTATCATATAGCCAGGCAATAAATTCAGCAACAGGGGTGTACTCAGATGCCTTGAAATCCAGCGTCGCCTTCGCTAGAACTGCCAGTCCAGCCGCGCTCACCGTCAATGGTGGTGATGACGAGTTCGAAGACATTGCACGCGATTGGAAAGACGAGGATAAGGTCACGGCAGAGGACAAGAGACGAGTTTGGCGTCAGGAGTTGACCTACATTTTGCCTATACCGACCTCGAGACGGAGGTTGTCAAGTTGCCGAGATTCGTTCAAGATCACAACGTCGGCAAACATCAGTCACCATTATGATACCGTATGTGAACAAGAAGCTGACTATAGTGCAATCTGCTCGTCGTATGAAGAGTAGATGATGGCTGCTAATCCTGCAAGCTCGCGCATGCTTCCGAGCGCCTGTAATATCGTAAGAATACTAATCAGGGGAGATACACAAGGGGAATACATGCCTCAACAAGTTCATTCGGCATGCTGTATAGCGCAGGGTGGCACCATCGCGCCAGCCCCGGTAGAATGCCCGCAAGTCGCTCCGTCTTTTCCTCCACCTCGACAATCGTCGCACTTGCGTCGCCTTCTGTCACAGCATCGATCGGAGATTCGCCAAAAACTTCTTGCTCTATACCCGACAGCGCAGTATTACATACTCTGTCCAGCGCAAGCGACCACACGAGTTCAAAATCTGGACTCGCCACAAAAGCCTTGGTTTCGTTGAGCAGATTACGTAGAGGTGGGTCGATGGTGGCAAGGTGAGGGGAGATACCGCCTTGGATGAGCACATTTTGTTCGGCAGAGGGTGATAGCGGGAAGATGGCAGATACGATGCTAAGCCATACGTCACAAATGAGTTCAGGAGCAGCAGAAATGACTTACTCTGTCCGTCTCTGTTTTGTCTCATCCGTAAACTCGACTTGCCCACGGATTTGGTCAAAGAGATCTTGGATATCCTTCATGCTGAGTTTACTCTTGAGAGACACCCTATACCCACCATGAGACCGTGAATTCTAGTAGAAAAATGCATACCCTTGGAGGACCTCTTCGACAGCTGGCCGCACACGCGCTGCGACGTCACGCCATCCGATGTGCAAGAGCCACCAGGACAACGTGAGATACTTGCGCTCAACGTCTTCGTCCACGTCTTCGCCACTCCAGCGCACATCCTCTTCTCCTTCTGCCTCTTCTCTCTGTATTGTGGGCAACCCGCTGCTCATACCAAGTGACGCTGCAAGGCTCGGTCCGACTGAGGCCATTAACGACCCGACAAGTCCCAAAGATGCAAAAGCCGCCTCTTCCGTTTCTCGTTGATGTTCCCGGCGTCGTTCCTCACGCTCCGTCTCCTTGACGGATTGGACGTACTTGTACCGGCCAATGAGGTTTAGCTGAACATGAATTTGGAGTGCAAGTAAGGTGGTGCTATAAATTATGACCAATACTCGCGTAAATGCTGATCTAATGTCAGAACATGGATCAAAGGGGTGATGAGAACTCACTCATAATCTTGAGTTCGTGCCAGAGCTCCGCTTTTGACTTTTGTTGCAACGAACCTTGGTCTTGCATATCCTCTGTATGCGATAAGACACTACCGCCGTTCGAGATCAATACCTCCGAGGGCCGAGACTGCGTGTCCACGATGGAAACACCAGAAAGGTCCAAAGCAGGAAGCTCCAGGTCTGGAATCACAGGGATAATGTCTGCCGTGGGCCGTTCGTCGTCCGCTTGATCACCTCCTGTCGCCGCAGACAATGGGTGTGGGGACGAAAAGTTGACCCAACTGGTCGCAGATTCAACCAGTGGATCGGAGAGCCGCTGTTGAAAAGAGGATGCATCTGAAGAGGACATCGGTAACGATGCAGAGAGTGGGTCTGTCGACTCCATTGCAGACAGGAAGGACGACGTATTCTGCGTTTCTGACCGCACGCCATCATCAGATTGTGCCACATCAGCCCCAATATCTTTTGTGAGATGCGATTCTGTGTCCTTCTCTGAGAGGTGGGAGTAGCCGCTAAGCGGCGAGCCCGCCTCGACAGAGATGACTGACGCGGAAGGGAGGGTAACGCTGTTGCGCGTTGCATCCGTCTCCTCATTTGAGATTTGTGATGTTGCCGTGTCGTGTTGAACTTGCTTTTTTGAGCGCTTCTGGAGCTCGAGCGAGATTCGTTCGACGTCAAGCTCTTCTAGGATCCGTCCAGCAAGTGTGGGCATATATGCCATAATGGTGTACGTGCAATCTTGCATATTTTGCTGAAATCGTCGTCGCAACCTGCGGATAGCGTCAGAATTTGTTGCGAGGTGAGGCGCCTTGCACTAGGACGCGTGGCATAAGGAGTGCGGAGGAGAAAGCTACATTACCCTTCCTTGGCTGTTCGTTCGGTGAGGACAGCTTCTTTGACTTCTTCGAGACGCTGGACTACGTATTTGCCGGCAAGATACAGTGAAGTAACGACGCCGGCAGACTTGAGAAGCCCTCTTCTACGGTCGTAGACATATCGACCAATCGAACTGAGCATTCTGGAGAAGATGGGAGAGAAGAGGGAAGAGGCCGGGTCCAAGTTTGCATACCCAATCACATGAAGTCGCATGCCAGACTACATCAGTCTCTATAATTTGTTTCAAGCACCCGAAGTGCTGTTAGACGCCAAAGCATATCGATACAACGACCGCATGATTGGCCTAAGACGGCAAAACTCCAACAATAAAATGGCTATGAAGATAGAGGCGACCCATCACCTAGCCCAATGCAAAAAAACAATTATAAATATCGCCCGTTTGAAATCCCCAATGCGAAATGGACGGCCAAGAAAAGGAAAAAAGAAACTCGGTGTCGGGGAATCGAACCCCGCTTTCGCGCGAACCATTTAGTGACAGGCGCGTGTACTGACCGATATACTAACACCGATATCATTGCAAACTTTGCCCAAAATTTTATATAATGAGTAAACTAGTTAAGACGGCTAAATGACTGCCGGAGACACCCTCTCTGTACTAATGAGACGTTCCCTTTGTTCTAACTATATGGAGTTGTGCTGACAGTCAATCGTCGCTTCAATCTGCCGCACGGTGCCTGGGTGCCCTGGTCTAAGTCTATTTATTAGGGACTGGATATGAAGTCGTCGCCAGCACTACCGAAATTCCCTCCTTCTCCTTTGAATCTATTCGATTTCGATGACCGACAGCCCGCCCGTCGCTGCAGCGGCAGAGGCAGCGGCGGCGTTGGCGAGCGTACGTATAGGCATCCAAGCCTCACAATATACGCTCGTTGCTGGTTTTGTCATCTGGCTGTACGATATTTTCTTGACCTTTGATCGCGAAGTTGGATTGCTTTGGTGCCGAGGAGGCAAGCTCATCAAGGCGGCCTATCTCATCGTGAGTGCCCTCTGGTTTGAACGTCTGTAGAGAGGAACAGATGTTCATCCTCGGGTAGAACCGCTACTTACCTCTGCTGTGTCTGAGCATCGCACTTGCCGGTGGGTCTTATGTTCTGCTCTCCTCGCGCGGGGCTAAATTGAAGCCCGTAGCATTCAACCCGTTTCGCCATGGGCGCCTTACAACAGAGGTATGTCTCTCTGTGATACCGCGTGTTCGATTGTTGAAATACTGTTCAGAGGTGCGTACAATACACGGGTTAAAAAGGGTAAACGGTTGAGCGACAACAGGTGTACGGCAGACGTTGTCATCCTGAATTTATGTCTCACAACAGGAACTATCGTAGCAACAGGTTCGTTTCTACCCACATAAATACCATTGCTCATGATTGGGCAGCCATCTTTACCTTTAGATTATACATCGTATTACTCGGTCGTAGAGTTCTGCGACTCTTCTTGGTCGGTGCCGTCGTAGCGTCGGACTTGGCCCTAGTTGCTTTGGTTAGCAATCTGCTCGTCGTCACCTCGGCTCGTATGTCGGGTTTCGTATTCACACACTACAGAAGGATTGACCAAGCGTTTCGACTAGGCACAATGTCGTACAGCGACGAAATGGACATGTGCGTGTCCAAAGTCTCTCCAAACCTCGGACCAATGTACGTTATCACTGTACGTATTCGTGACACAATGGGCAAAGCGAGGCGTCTAACAGTCCACGGAATAGATCTTTTCCGAGTCTGTGATTGCATTCGCGACACTGTACCACGCCGTTTCGCTTCGCCACCACCGCGTCGTATTGCGCGACTCGCCGACGATAGCCATCTTGAACGTACTCTACAAGGGTGGCTTCTGGTACTATCTATATGCGCTTTGTATGCAGCTCGCGCTCGCTCTTGTGGTAAGCAAACAACGCCAAATAGTATTCCATCATCTAACGGACTGGATGCATGTAGTACTGGACGGCGCCGAAGCCACTACTCTTGATCCTGTGTTTCCTCGAATACGCCCTCAAAAGCACCGTGACCTCGCGGTGGTTCCTCGAGTTTCGACAGGCCCTTGCAAACTCGGAGGCGCAAACCAATGACGAGTCTATAGCAGACAAGGCAGAAAGGAGGGCCAGCATCAATGTTGTGCCAATCGAACGAGAAACATATGAGATGTAGCCGGCGTGAAGATCACCCCCCCCTTCCCCTATCTATGCTAAGGTTCAACTAATCTCTGTATCAATAATCCCAATGAACGTCTATTAGACATGATGATAGTACAATGTATGTGAATGTGATTATGCGACGATGATTGTATAATCGATTAATGCCGTCGTGTAGCGTAACGATCCCTGTAAAGTCGGGGATGGGCGACCAAGTCGGCTCAAGGGGTGAGCGGATGCAATCCACCTGTCCGGCTGTCCAGCCATAAGCGTCAGCGATGAGATCGGACGACGGAAAGGGATAGATGGTGGAAGATGTCAACTAACCTGTTACATCTCCAAGAACGACCGAAATTCGTCGTCTGCACTACTCCTACTGCTCGTCGATGAAATGTCGAGCACGAGTGAGCTGCCTTGGAAAGGCGGCGACGACGACGACGAGGTCGGTGAGCTTTCGCGTCTGAACATGCGCGAGTGCTTTCTCCGTATCGACGAAAGTGTTGACGACAGGCGCATTGTCGAGGACGAGGCGAGCGTCGAAGATGAAGGTGTGAAAGAGCTCCTGTCCCTCAGGTTCGAGTCTTGGGAGTGGAGGAGCGACGACAGTCGAGACATGTTATCGAGGAATGTCCAGAGGAGAAGATCTGTGGATAGAAAGAAACTTGGGGCAAGCGAGGGATTTATATCCTCAGGGCGCACCGACCGTGCGGGCCGGGGCAATGCAGGCGCCAGTATGCTATTCATTTCTTAGGCTCGCAGCTATGAAATTTGGTAAATCAATCCATTTAGTTATAGACTCGTGCGTCTCGCCCGGACCCGCGTCGCACGGCTCAGCCCACATTCGCTAAAGTGCTCCCAGTATCTGGTCAGTATGCGCCCACAAACATCTCCGCCGGCAGCGCCTTGAATGCCCAGCATATAAGCGTGGTATACATTTACATCCCTTAATGTATGATACATTTACCCCGAAAATACAATCTCAGCCCTCTTTTGATAAATGGCGAAACACTGCGTCCCGTCTTGAATAGCATAGTTGCGCCTCCAGCACGTCCTCCAACGTTTGCGCGCGCGAACAGAGGCGATCGATCCCCCTTCCCCGTGTCGCAAGGAGTATGGTCGAAAACGAGGCGTCGAGCGCTACACCACTCCATTCCCCTTGCCCATCTACACCCCCATCATTAGCTACGCTCTTGGGAGATATGCATGGCCCATGCGCATAGATACACCACAATCCATACGCCGCCAACCAACTCGAGACAATCAGCGCAGGTGCGTACACCATCCACAGCGTTTTCGCTGTGAAACGCCACACGCTCTCTCCGTCCCACACTTCAACACTTGTTTGCGTCACATCGGATCGTTGAGCTATCAGACCCAGAGTTACGTTGGCCATTGTCGACGCCAATACCTCTTTCAACCGGTTGCTGTCCATTCCATCGCCCGATGAGCCGTTGAGACTGAGCCGAGGCGAGAGGTAAAAGGCCATTTCGTCTGGCTCGTCTGCGACGAACAGTCGTGCGACGGCACGTTCGCTTTGCAGGTGTCGTGAGAAATATGGCTTACCATCCAATGTAGAGGTGGGTGCCATATGGTAGTCGATCGTCCCAGCGAACGCGCGCGCAAACATCTCAGTCAACGCGCGGTAGTTGACACCCCTGGTCCAGCAATCCCCACCGCTGCTATCAGCGTCGCGCTTGAGAATTGTTGACCTATGACATGTTGTGTCTTCTCCAAGTACATCTCCCGTCTCCAGGAGCGTGGTGGTGATGGTTTGTTGTGTACTCTTCTGTCGAAAATCCAGTAGATAAGTCCCTTGACGAAACTGGCACGTCACACCGCGTATTGGAGATGTATAATTTGGTGTCCCGTCCGTATTCTGCCCATGAATAGCTGCATATGACATATTGAGCACATACGGGACTCCGAGGTCATACGAGCCCCCAACTTCCGGATTTGCCGCTGGATATAAAGAAGTGGTGCCGGCATAGATAGTCGGAAGACCACTGTCCCCTACGTGAAATGCTTGAATCCCCACCTCTGACTCTGCGAGATCGCCACAGGTGAGCGCTGGCGCTTCATACTGCACCGTGTACCCACACTCCACGTTACATCCATTGCCCACGTTCAAATGGGGCGGTTGGGACGCCAAATCTACGAGCGACAAGACGAGATCGTGCCATTCTACGGTGACATTGGTGTACTGATCCATGTCGGGATACGATATAGACGTGATCCGGCCACTACTCAGATCAAGCGTCGGTACGACGAGCTCCTGCCATCGACGTGCGCTACCTGTGGTCGTCAACGCGTTGGGGGCAAAGATTCCAATGGCGACGAGTAAATGAAAGAAGAGTGCGTATATAATGGGTGGAAGGAAGTGGATAGACTGTGGGCGCGGGAAGACGAGCCTTAGAAGTGCCGGCGGTGAAGGTAGCGAGAATAAGTCGTCCAATGTGGATACGCGTATATTCTGGGTACTTGCAGCTTTCCAGACCTACATTGTATCGTCAACTCACGGGAAGTCATGCTATTCGAGGAAGCTGACCGCTTGTGCCAACGTCTGCGTCGTGACAAAGCTGAGTGAGAAGGCCACAACATATCCAAATGCATTGCTAGCGTTCTTGATCCAGAATTGTTCTGTTGTGGACCCGATGGGCCGCCCGTCCAAGTATGCAAGCGTGAAATGATGGCCCACCGCGGCGGTGCAGGCAGCGAGAAGAGTTGCGACAATGGCTGTTGTCGTCCATACGCTGGCGTGGGGTGAAAGATGGCGTAAAACTGGAAGCTTTGTCGGTGCGCGTACCAAGTGGGCAATCTTGCCGTCAAATACGAGTGTGTCACCGTCCGACATGGCTGTCGGTGTGGCAGTAGGTGCACCATTGATGGTTTTTATAATGCGACCGGGTTTTGAAAGGAGCCTTTGTTTGCTGGGATTGACCGAAGTTGGCCGGCGGACTAGCGCAATCTCCCTATGAGTCCCTGCTCAGTATAACCGGTGGAGGTAGGTCATTCCGCTAAGGACCCGGTCTCCACTCAGAGAGCGCCTGGCAAGGTCAGTCCTGGCTCAACCCAAGACAGAATGGTGGTCAGAAACCTTCGGTAGGAACGCTTACTCGTCAGCACAGCGGGCATGTAAGCGGAGCCCGAGCTAAAGAAATGACACTTGAGAATCAAAGCTTTGGAGTATCTGCTTCAGACGACCACAGGGTGGAGGAGTCCAAGTTTGATTGTGGGCTACAGCCCGCCTAACATTTCTAATTCTCGGTTAAAGGGTTATACTGGGAGGCAATTGCAATTACTAGATGCCGATATGGTCAAGCCAAGACCGTAGAACGTCGTATAGCTTCTTCTGGTCCTTCAATCCATCGTCGTCCAGCATAGCTAGGTCAAGAGGCATTCCAAAGTCCATGCATTCTGTCTCCCTTTTCGGATCACGAATAGCCTCGACCATTAGAAACGGAAACTGCCCTATGCTCCAGTTCCAAGTTGGCGTCTCATACTCGTCAGGGTACTTTTTGTCTCTCCTCAGTGTGCTAGCATATCGTTTATAAGCGTCGGGGAGTTGAATGGGGTAAGAAAGTGTTTGCCCAACGAGTACCAGGGCGGAAAGTGGATAGGACTCTACGTATGCCTGAGCGACCATTGTAGCGATTCCACGGCTGATGATGACCGGAGGAAATAAGCTGGCCAACTTCACTTCGGAATGCAACTCTGGACAGGAGTCAGAGGTTGCTCGTAGCCTTCATGAGATATCTTGCCTTTTGCATAGTCACTTAGGATGTCATGGAGTGTTCCTACTCTTTCTGAAGGCTTGCTGTAGGTGTCCAATTCGATTTCAACGGTAGTGTAACCGAGTTCACGAAGCATGGCCGCTTGCGTGTCTATTCCTCTCTTTTGTATTTGAGTGGTCACGTATAATTCAATGTATAGACTGACCTTTGATTCTTGTTCACCCCAGCCGCGAACGCTGGGGAAAACGAGCGGCGTCGGTGCCTCTCTGGGTGCTGAGGATGGTGGATACTTGACAATAGTTGACGAAGCATGTCTAATGAACCTGCCTAGCGCACGCTGGCATGGCGTTCGTACAAAATGACGAGCGTGGACTGGAAGACGAAGCATTACCACCGAGTCAGGATAGATGGCATCCATCCACCAATCCAACTCCTGTCCGAATCTTCAAGTTGGTCGTTATTGTCACGAAAAATGGTCAGTAAATTACTCCAGTGTTTCTCGTCGGATCTTCATCCCCCGGTCACTGGTTGTCATAACAAACGGATATAGAACGTATACTAGTCGGCGTTTCCACGAGTTGTATAAACCGAACGCACGTGACGGTGTGCTCCTGCCCCCGACTCTTGCCAGCGATGTCGACAAAGTTTGATCCAAATAACGCACAAAATCTTGCAGAGGTACTATTCTCATTCTAAATGTCATTCTATCCCCTAACTGTGTTGTTTCGCGTAGATCGAAAAGCAGTAAGAGATGCTCCGGTCATCTATGCAACTTTTGACAGTCTCTCGTACCAAGATTCGCCGTCAAAGCAGTAGAGCATGCTCAGGCAAGGGTTTTCGCACTCTATTTCTTTACCAAGGTCTAAGGAACAGCGGTGCCACAGACATACTGGAATTTGCTCGAGGCGATCCCACCTCGCACACTTCGACTGACAAGACTCGACGACGAGATCTATGAACATTTTGTGACCGAGTTTCCGGAACTCGTCGAGAATCCAGAGCGCATCAAGGCTCTGGACGAGGATATCATGAAAGACGCCAACGGCAAAGAGAGGTGGAGAAAGTTTATTGCTGCGTGCGTATACTCTGTTCCTCTCTCTATTACATTAGAGTTATAGCTATTTTCAGATATGAGAAGCGTGTAGACGACTACAACTTTGGATCACTCATTCGCACAGACGCTGCGGGCGAGTACTCGCAGGTCAACTCGATATTCGGTATGCCAGTCATAGATTCTAGGCTCCCAACTCATATTTTACAGTGACACGCATGCAATTCTATGCTCTCGAGGTTTGTCTATCACTTTCGCATCGTCATCAGCTAACCATGAAAAGATTGCCCGAAATCGTCTTGGATACAACGATGCTGTTTACGAGGCAGCTCAACGCGAAAAGGAAAAGGCAAAGACGAAGAAGGGCAAGAAGGCACAGTAGTAGTAGGAACAACCCACTGCGTATTTGGTGTCTATGGATGGAAATTTATGACAGATGCGTCTCATGTCCTCTTAGATGAGACAAATACCGTTCATTCGTTATGAGTATAATCGAATACGATGCGAGTCTTTTGGATTCAGAGAAGGAGAGTGTGCATACAGGGCAGCACGACATAGCAGACGGCGGGCAACGATGAACCGTATCTATACAAGCGAAAACCCAGAATTGTGCGACGATCGACATTAAAAGCCTACGTGCAACAGGGTGGTGATGGAGGAGTCGAGACGGAAGAAGCAAAACCGAGTCCGCGAAAGCCAAGGAGTGTTGTGGCCAGGTTGGGGTCAGGCGGGGAGGCGAGTCTGAATCTGTTTGTTTCGAGGACAGGGATCGAATGGGGACGCAGTGCGAGTACAATGGACTTGTCGATCGTGAAAAGGCCAGTGAGCGTGTGGAGTTGGATTGTGCCGGGACAGGATACCAATAATTAAGTGATGCGGAAGTCGACGAGGCGAGGGACGGTCAGGACAAGTTGTTGCGTTTTTTGAAGAGGATGCGGACAGCTTCCGTGCAAATGGTAATAGTCTTCCTCGCTCAAGAGGAGCAAGAAGGAAGACATTTACATAACCAGCTTGCGCATTGTTGATTTGAACTTCGATGACCAGGTGGCATTCTTGTTGACGCTATAAAGAAGATGAGTGTCCAGTTCTGCCATGTTTATGAGTCACGTACGCAACAGCCTTCTCAGAGGGCTTCGTTGTTGGTCGCGGAGTAGTCGCTGCAGACTTCTCGGTCGGTGTAGTGACCTTCTCCTTGGTGGGTGCAGGCTCAGAGGCAAGGACAAGCTCGCCGTTGCGGATAGCAAGACCAATGGTGCTGATGTGCGATTCAAAGTGCTTCGTGACAGCGCTCTTGTCACCGGTGACGATTTCATGACCACATGCGAGGCCCGAGGATGCCTTCAACGGGCACTTCCATGTACCATTGGCAGGCGAGCCGAGAGCGGTCGAGGTAGCAGAGTGCTCGTCGAGGGAGAGACTTCCGGGGGTCGAAATGGGGTCGGCAGCAAGAATGGCGGGGGTTCGCGAACCCTCCTCCTGTTCCTGGTGTTCACGGAACCACTGCATATGTGGATCAATATCGGCGCGAAACTCTTAGCTATAGAACAACAAACCTTGATCAAAAACTTGGCAGACGCCTTTGGATATCGCTTCTGGGTGCTGTAATCGACATATGTGACACCGAAACGAGTGCCATAGCCATCAGCCCTGGGGAACAACGAGTGAGAGGTGGTCCCGAAATGACGATGCGGAGATTTACCATTCAAAGTTATCGAGGAAGCTCCACGGGAAGTAGGACCGGATGTCAACGCCATCCTCGAAGATAGCCTTGTAGAGCGAGTCGGTAGCACCACGGAAGTACTCGACACGATCGTGGTCCTTGATGGCTTCCTCGATGGGGAGGCTGTCCTCATTTTTGACGGCGAAACCATTCTCCGTCACGTAGATGGGAAGCTTGTAGCGCTATAATTCGGATGAGTGCCGGAGTTGCACCTTGTCGGAGATGGCACGGACCTTCCAGATATAATTCAGTAGCTAGCGGAGAATCCATGTGAGCAAAATTTATCAAAAAAGGCGTGTGGGAGTTGGTTCTTACAGCGCGGAAACCCTCTGGATCTGTGTGAACAGGTCAGTCGAACTCTATAATCCGGTTGGGATCACGTACATGTCTGCAACCAGGCACAATGGGCTAGAATAAGAGAGACAAGAGGTCAGCCAAGTGCGCCGCGGAGGGGGATCAAGGTCAGGCGGGGGGACCCAATTACTCCGACGGAAAAGAAGGGCTTGACCGCCATTTTGCCCTGGAACTACCGAGGGCGCAAACGGGAATGGGACTCACCCTGGGTTCCGAGTTGGGTTCCGTCCGCTCGGGTGAACGTGTAGTCGACATTGCCTTGGAACTCGTCACTCCCACCGGCCTCTGAGAAGAAGAAAGGAGAAGGACCGATCAGTAAAAGATAATCATATTCGGAAAAAAGAGACTCACTGGCAAGGTTGGTGGTGTACGTGTTCATGCCATAGAAGTCAGAGGATCCCTTGACCAAGGCCCACTCCTCCGGCGTGAAGTCAGGGAGACGGTCTCCGAGCATCTTCTTCATGTGGTCCGGATAGAAGCCCAGATAGACTGGATCGGCATACCAACCGATCGCGACATCGAGAGCGTGCTGCGCGGCTTCGATGTCTACGGAGATTAGATGTGGGTGACACCCAGGAGCTGTGCACACTCACTTTCGGGAGAATTGTCATATGGGACCTCCCAGTCGCCGTTGAGGGTGATACCAATCTGGCCGTGCTGGGTGGGCTTGAACTCGTCGCGATAGACCTTGACGGCGTTTGCGTGCGATAGGATGAGGTTGTGGGCAACAATCCAAGGCTCTGTGCGGCTGTCTCCCTCTGGGCAGCGATTACGGTCGCTCGAGCGGCCAGGAGCAAAGACACCACGGCCGTAGCCGAGGACAGCGACACACCAGGGCTCGTTGAGAGTGAGCCTAGACAAAAGAGAATGAGTTTTCCGGGCAATTCCTGGGGGGACCTGGAGGCTCTCACCAGTACTTGACGCGGTCACCAAACGACTGGAAGCAGATGCGGGCATAGTTGGTATAGTCTTGGACAATCTCGTCTTTGTTGAGCCATCCACCATAGCGATCGTGGAGAGCTTGAGGCAAGTCCCAATGGTACAGGGTCTAAGCTTGTTTTAACCTCCGACCACACCAGGCCCTTGGTAGAGAACTTACCACAAACGGCGTGATGCCTGCACGGAGGAGCTCGTCAATGACATCTGAGTAAAACTTGATGCCCTTGGGATTGATGGGGTCGTTCCTTCCCCCGAGAGGGATGATTCGCGACCAGGCGATTGAGAAACGGTACGCCTTGATGCCGTACTGCTTCAGGAGTGCAATGTCCTCCCTCCACAGCCGATACGAGTCGGTAGCAACGTCACCGTTCTTGCCGTCGAGCGTCTTTCCCGGTGTGCGGGAAAAGTCGTCCCAGATCGACTTGCCGCGGCCGTCAACGTCGACAGATCCCTCGATTTGGAAGCTCGCTGTGTCCTGGTCAGTTTACGCTCAGCTGTTCGTTGCCCTTGCACTCACCCGTAGCGAAGCCCCAGATAAAGTCCTTTGGCAGTTTGCGCTCGACGCTCATGGTGTGCAGGACGTTATTCGAAGTGGAGAATCAAGCGGGGTCGACCTTTTGCAACAAACGCTGGATTGGCTTCACTTGGGATCCTAAATACCTCGCACGAAATCGCGGTGCCTCCCCAGATTTTCCGGACAATTCGCCGAGGTTACTCTAATGAATATCTCTCCGTGGCCTCGCCTGCTTCCCGGAGCACTGCAGCACACCACCTGGTTCTCGCCCGCTCTTTGCCTCCACAAACCCCTTGAATTTCACACTGCATTGTTCGAGGCCGCCCGCGAAGACTAGAGCGCGTCCATCCCACAGGCAAAACACACCACATAGTCATCCCAAGCATATTAACGTTCCGAAATCTCCTCACGATGCCACCGATCTCTGTTGCGATCCTTGGTGCCGGTATTTTTGCGCGGATAGGTGCGAACTATCTATCCATTTAATTCCCTTTCCTCCCTGACACGTAATAATAACGACTATCTGACTTCTTTCGTTGCTGCAGCACATTTACCGGCTCTTCGCAAGCTCGGCGACACCTACGAGCTAAAGGCAATCTATTCACGCTCCCAATCCTCTGCTTCCGAGCTCGCAAAAACCGCGGAGGATATCTTGGCACGTCCAGCGTCCTCATTCGACCTTTATCACGATGCCGGCCAGAATCTCGACGCCCTCCTGGCCCGCACTGACATCCAGGCCGTCATCATTGTGCTCCCCATCAACCAGCAGCCATCGATTGTTCTCAAGGCGCTCGAGGCCGGCAAGCATGTCATCAGCGAAAAGCCCATCGCTCCGACTGTCAAAGAGGGTGTCAAACTCATCAAGATGTACGAAGCTCACTACAAGGACAAGGGACTGATCTGGCGTGTCGCGGAGAATTTCGAGGCTGAACCCGGTCTTCGCGCGGCAGGCAAGGCCATTGCGGACCAGAAGATTGGCAAAGTTTGCTTCTGGAATATGCAAGTCCTAAATAACGTTGAAACGGATAGTATGTGGTATAATACGCCGTGGAGAACGGTCCCAGAGTATCAGGGCGGTTTCCTGGTAAATGCCAGTCACATGACAAGTTGATCTTCTGACGCCCCTTGTAGCTAGATGGTGGCGTCGTAGGTTGCAATAGTGTGCTCTAGCTGTGTACTAAGCCTCGACAGCACTCGGCAGCTGCGCTAAGGACAGTCCTGCCCTCCAAATTTACAGAGCTCGCTGGTTTCGCATCATTAAACCGCGAGCATCTCGCGCCGCATGACACAATTCACGCCATTATTCGCAGCGAGGATGGTAGCCATGGCATCTTTGAACTCAGCTTTGGACTACCCTCATCTCCCGGCCACGACTCCTTCCGGGTCGTTGGCACTGACGGCACATTGGACATCAACAGATACCATGAAAAGGATCCTGAGACACAAAAAGATCAAGCGTTTATCAAGGTGACCATTAAGAATGCCAAGACAGGTCAGAAAGAGGAGATTGTCGAACGTAGCTGTGGTGTCGAGCGAGAGTTAGAAAACTTTGCGGCGCATCTCAATGGGCATGATGATGGCCTTGGGACGCCACAGGGAGCGCTGCAAGATGTGTCCGTCATCCAGGCGGCCCTCGATTCTCATGGTCGCGGCGTGGATTTGCAACATCTCATCCTTTCCGCTGACTGATCCGAGAAATCAATCGAACTTACATGAAATAAACAAAAGCTTTCTCCGCAGGTTATCGCCATGAGGTGTTCTCGTTGATCTAATTCCCCTTGAATGGGGCTTGGAGGTTTCGCCGACTCTGACCAACCACTTATCTTACCGGGGTGCCTTTTTGAGCGTGCTTGGTGATGCCCCGAAGTGAGACCGGCGTATCTTCATTCGTCAGCTGCCCTCGTCGTTGTTTTCCCGAGCTATTTCCTCCCGATAGGGACGGCATGGACGCGAGTCCTTCTTGTTGTCACCGACATAGCACACTACGAGAGATAATCTCTCTCGGAGAATTTTAGGGAAGTCCACGAAGACAGAGGAAAATAATAAATTGCGCCGAGCGATAACACTTTATACCAAATCTTGTACTTGGGCGGAAATGATGGCCAGGTCACGCTGCGTGTCTTGTAAGATCCTGGTCAAGTGCGCAAGCCCGTGCTGCTGTTCAGAGAGTATCTGTGGGATGCCCAGAGTGTCAGTCGAGAGCACAGTTTCCCCGGTCGAGCCTTTCAAGAACAGCGCCAAGCGATGGGCACGACGCACGCCCATTCTGCTATCTCGTGCACAGAATGGGGCTCCTGCCTGGACGATACACAAATCGAATGCAGAGGGATAAACCTCCGGGCGGACGGGTGCTCTGATAGGCGAAACCCATGGCATGCGTTTTGAAGACGACCAATGAAACGGCTGCTCACCCTTGCAAGTCTCTTCAGACCCTCTTCGTCCACGACTGCCCATTCGTTGCCCTCCCCACTTGCTTCCATGCCTTCTCGAGCCTTGAGAGCTGTCAGCTGCCCAATAACCCCCCAAATCTCGTTCATTCTTCCTTTACTCGCTGCCTCGCCGCAAGTCGTCTTCCATGCTCTCTAGTCTCCCCCGGAGTTGCTCCTCCTCGGGACGAATCGCTGACGAGCGCACAAGAGGTATCAGCAAATGCAAGTGTTGAGACAGTCTAACAACTCTTTGGAATAGGAGGGTGTGGTTGTTGGAAAGCTTTTGGGAACGCAACGAGGTCGAAATAACGTGTTTCTGCGAGAGCGTGGTGAGTTTGGTTCGAATTTCCTGTTACAGTGCGTCAGAGAGCATAAGAGCTAAACGTGATACACCACCGACATCAAGCTTGGCCTTACATGCTTCTGCTGCTTTGACCTGCGCGTCTGCTCGTTTCTGGAGGTCCTCCATCCCAAAGGCAAATGCTGGGACCATACTGTACGGACATCGTTAGTATTGAGACCCAAGCTCCACATCAAGACGATCTGACCATCGTGGATCTGGGTTTTCTTTGACGGCCTTGTCCCAAAGAGCCTCGCTCACGTATGAAGGCCGAGTATAGAGCCCAACTTGGGATGAATCGACGACGTTGTAGAATACATGCTACATTTGATCAGTGCTCGTGTTGACCCACAACCAAAGAGGCAAACCTGAAATTTTTCCGTGGATAAACTATAAAGCAGAGAGCCTAGTTTTGCTACCATTTCCAGACTCTCTTGGTGGCCACCTGTGACAGGAGTAGGACCAGCCAGGGGATTTTGTGGTATGCTCGCTTGGATGGCCTGCTGGAGCTGCTGGAGTTTTGTCAACAGTCCGATCAGCGCAGCACCATGTGCATTCAGTCCACCTGGATGTTGCTGTTGAGGCTGCGCTGTCGTTGATCCTAGTCCGAATCCAGCTGTTGTTGACGTCCCAAATAGCCCTCCAGGCTTTGGCGCTGCAGGTTGCCCAAACAGACCTGCCCCGGTAGTCCCAGGTGCAGCTGTTGAGCCACCGAACAGTCCACCGGGCTTTGCAGCGGTTTGGCCAAAGAGTCCAGCACCAGGTGTAGACGTTCCTCCTGTGGATGGTGGCTGTCCAAACAAGCCTGTACCAGGTGTCGAGGTGGTCGCAGCTGCAGGTTGTCCAAAGAGACCTCCAGCCCCAGGCGTTGTGGACGCCCCGGCGGCGGGTTGGCCAAACAAGCCTGCACCAGCTGCAGGAGTCGTATTTGATGCCGCTGGTTGGCCAAACAAGCCTGCACCGACTGTAGAAGTCGTGTTACTGGCAGCCCCTGCTGCCGGCTGTCCGAACAAGCCGCCAGTAGCAGCAGTAGTCGTCCCAGTGGCTGGTTGTCCAAAAAGTCCAGTTGTCGTCCCAGTACCTAGTGTCCCCGTCCCAGCAGCAGGCTGGCCGAATAATCCTGTTCCTGCCGTGGAGGTAGCTGCTGGCTGGCCAAATAACCCAGTTCCTGTGCTTCCAGGTGCAGAAGCAGTCGTATTTGCTGTGGACTGTCCGAGTCCTCCAAAGAGTCCGCCGCCTGTCGTCGTGGAACCTGTGGCAGGAGCGCCTGTAGTCGGTTGGGTACCAAACAAACTTCCTCCAGTCGTGTTCGAGGCTGACTGAGAGCCAAATAACCCCCCACCTGTCGTGTTCGTAGTGGATTGCGTCCCAAACAAGCCACCTGTCGTCGGTGCGGTCGTCGTGCCAAATGGTTTGCCTATGTAGAAGAAGAAAGTAATCAACAACGTGATCTGATTGGGAAAAACGCGTAGACGGCTCGTGTTTTGCCCTTTGATGATTGGGTCGAATGAAAATCGTGCTCACCTGTCATGTTGCGTACGTATTTCGACATGATTCGAGTTTTTATGAGTTAAAATAACGCAATTTGTTCATTTTCACTGGCAATACGTACCAAAGAGCGACATTTTGTGAGCAGCAACTTACGGCGGTTCTTCCAAGGCGCGTCGACACCACTGACACCATCAGAGACGATGGGATTTCAAAAGAGCGTGAAGCCTCCAAGATACAAGTACATTTCCTCTGAGCTATGTACACGACTGCCTCTCGATCAACATTTTTACTTGCGGGTCTCCTTGACTTTGGCAACCAACTGCTCAACAACTGCAGGCTCAGCAAGCGTGCTGAGATCGCCAAGTTGGTCTTCTTGACGGTCCACAATCTTACGGAGAATGCGGCGCATAATCTTCCCACTGCGCGTCTTGGGAAGATCACTAACGACATAGATCTTCTTGGGAGCAGCAAATGGACCAATTACTTTGCGTACTTGGAGGGTTAGCTCCTTGGAGAGCTCGCCTTCGTTGTCAACGTCGAATTCACTGCATCGTATTAGTACCCGTAGTGATATATTCGTGAGATAGTACTCACGGCTTGAGCGTCACAAAGGAATGCACAGCCTGACCGGTGAGCTCGTCGGCTGTACCAATCACTGAAACAGTGTGAGACTCGTTCAAGGAGATATACGGAGAGCCAAACGTACCAGCAGTCTCGGCAACCCCTGGGTGCAAGATCAGAGCGCTCTCAATTTCTGCAGTCGAGAGGCGATGTCCAGAGACATTAATAACGTCGTCGACTCGTCCACGGATCCAGATATAGCCGTCTGCGTCACGGGCAGCACCATCGCCCGTAAAGTAGTATCCAGGATATGGCTGGGTGTAATGTCAGTACAATCAATCACCAAAGACACTGTACCCACCCTCATGTATGTTTCGAGATAGCGCTTGTGGTCTTTCCATACGGTCCTGGCAATCGAAGGCCATGGGTTCCTAAAAGCGAGAACGCCCTCGACATTGTTTCCCTCCAGAAGCTTGCCGGTCTCTGGCTCGAGAATGCATGGTTCAATGCCAAAGAATGGAACAGTTGCTGAGCCTGGCTTGGTAGGGATAGCACCGGGGAAGGGGGTGACAACAATGCTACCAGTTTCGGTCTGCCAAAATGTGTCGACGACGGCGCACTCTTTTTTCCCAACATGCTCGTTGTACCAATGCCAGGCCTCAGGGTTGATAGGCTCTCCGACAGATCCAAGGATGCGCAGTGAGCTGAGGTCATGGCCATGAACGTGTTCAGGGCCAAGACGACGCAAAAGTCGAATGGCGGTGGGTGCAGAGTAGAACTGAGTCAATTTATGCTTGGCCACAGTCTCCCAATAACGTGACGGAGTCGGGTAGACCGGTGTAGATTCAAAGACACTGGAAAACGCTTAGGTATGGCTTCATTTGGAAATTGATTATACGCACGTCGTGGTGACTCCGTTGAGAAGAGGACCATAGACGATATAGGTGTGACCCGTGATCCATCCGACGTCGGCCATGCAGGCAAAGCGATCTCCGGCGTGTACGTCAAAGACGTACTTTACGGTCAAAGCGGCTCCAAGCAGATAGCCACCAGTGGTGTGAACGACACCCTTGGGCTTGCCTGTAGAGCCAGAGGTCTGCAGATAAATTAGCCGATACACGGCGGGGGATCCAGCACACACGTACATAGAGGATGAAGAGGGGATCCTCCGCTGCCATGATTTCTGGAGAGCAGTAGGCCGGAACTCTTGCAGCTTCCTCGTGCCACCATTTGTCTCTTCCTTCAACCCATCCGACGGGTTTCCCAGTGCGCTTCAAAACGAGGACATGATCGACATTCGGGCACTCCTTAAGAGCAGCATCGACGATAGCCTTGGTGGCAATGGTCTTTCCACCGCGCTTGCCCTCGTCGGTCGTAATGACGACACGAGAGCCACAATCGGTAACACGCTCGCGAAGAGATTCTGCGCTGAAACCAGCAAAGACCACAGAGTGAATCGCGCCAATACGAGCGCATGCGAGGAAGGCTGCGACGGCTTGCCAAGTCATTGGGAGGTAGATGGAGACAGTATCCCCCTTGCGAACGCCAAAGGATTTCAGGACATTGGCGATACGACACACTTCGCGAAGGAGCTCGCCATAGGAGATGATGAGCCCATCATTTGGCTCGTCGGCTTCCCAGATGATGGCGGGCTAAATATGTCAAGGGGGTCAGTACTAGTCGAGTGAATACTGATCGTTGGGATCAGAACGTGTAGCGCGCAGATGTGTGGGGTTTCATTACGCCCGCGTGACCAAGGCGCTGGGCTTGTCCCCCCGCAAAGCGACGAGAGGAATGACGATGACTACGGCACTCACGGCATTAGGGTTCTTGTGCGCCCAGCGATCCAAGCAGTTGTAAGACGCGTTGAGGCCACCTTCGGGGAACCAGACGATGTCACCATTCTCAAAGCCTCCAGCACGAACGGTGGTGAATGGACGGTCCCAGTAGAGCATCTCCCTCGCAGCCTTGGAGCAGTTAGATTTCGGCATTGGAGCGTTGTGCAACGTACCTTGCCCCAAAACTCGTCGCTATTCTGGCCGACGGTGAGCGAGTGCAGCTTGCGATATTCATCGATGGACGGTCCAACGTGTGGCTTGGGCCTGCTGCTATCGCTGCCGCTCATCCTGGACGCGATTGGGAGCGGGGGAACATTTTCGTGCTCGTATTCGTGCATGGGCGCTGTCGAAGACGGTGTTGAAGAGATTTCTGCGGATGTAGGCGGGTCCAAGTTGCAGTGCCCACGGCGTAATCGAAGCTTGACGCTATATGTGGGGGAATGGCAGTGGCCTTGATTGGCTGCCACTTTCGACGCCCACTTGCACGTGAAAAGTGCAATTAGTTACTCCGATTCTAAAGGACCCCTGGATTACCATGTGATACGCAGAGCTCATCCCTTTGCGGGGGTCCTCAATCTCCTCTTCATGTGATAAATATCCAGCTTCTAGAGTTATTAGCGTAATACATCTATTGACACGCGAACAACCCGTTGCTACGGTCGAGAACCGGACGATCCAGCAGAGGAACTAGACGCAGACGGCATCTCTGGGACGTATCCGTCATGCGATGAGTACCCCGAGTACTGTCTCTCCACCGCAGGACGGGCAGGACCCTCAGAGGTGCCTTCGCCAGCTCCGCGAGGCGTGTATGGTGCATACCCATACTTATTCGCTCCTCCGCGTCCTCCCCCACCTCCACTACCAAGTCCCGAGGCTCGACGGGGTGCCGCCTTGGCCTGAGAGTTGGTCATATTTTCTATTCGATTCTCCGCAGGGGTAAGTGAATTGAGAAATGCTGTCGTATACGAGATGAAGGTCGCTAGTCCAGACTCGGGCTGTGGTGTTCTATCGTTTGGTCAGCCATGAAGCAAGGCACCGACATGGTCGGACTTGCATTGGAGTTGCTTGTGATTTCGCCTCGATGCGCTCCTGCGTCTCCATTCTATTCAAATCGACGAGTGGAATCGCGTCGCCGACTCGATAGTTTGCCCCACCCCTCCCATATCCATGCACTGCTGTATTTGGGTTATCGCGCGTCGTCGTTGGGAGACGATCCTCGACCGCTGCTGGGGGCGCATAGCTCCCATATCCTCCACGACCAGACCGAAAGACATACTGCACCCGTCGCGTCGGCGAATGAAGAAGCGTAGAGGTAGGACGTACCGATCCGTCGGCTCCGAGCGTACTCTGCCTTTTCCGAGTTTTGATGCTCTCTTGGTCTCTTTCGTATTCTTCCGCCTCTTTCTGCCTAGCTTCGTCGTCTGGGGTCGGCTCCCAGTACCCAACTCCGTTACGCCCAGAGCGTGCAATCTAATCGACTATTAGTCTGACACAGACCTTGGAGACTATACGCACGCTTTGGCGCCTGTAATCAACCTCTCGTCCTACGGGTGCGCTCACGGGGGCTGCCGCTCGCTTGGACAGTGCTCTTGGAGTGTATGGAAAGTTTCCGGCGCCACCTTGAACTATGTCAATAAGCAACCCAACCGTTTTGTTTCATTTTTGACCTCTTCCTGTGGACACCTTTCGTCGTCGGTCAGCGGACAGCCTATCTGTTACAAGAGTTGTGCAAGGTGACTTACCCACGTCTGCGCCTCTTGCTCGGCCATATTTCCACTGCTTGTAAGTTGGTACGGTCGTGGTGGGTTCCAAGGTTGTTGCCAACGCAGGACGTGTTGATAAATGGCTTATCGTCGCTTCTGGCATGTGCGCTATCCGCCCCGGCTACTTGCTGACGGGAACGTTGAATTGTACTGTGCCTGCCACGACGACAGCTCGCCCGTAATGTCCATTTCTACGTCGTCAACGCACCAGCGATTGGAAGAGGACGAGTCCAACGTTGGTGGGACCCTCAATCATCTCAGAATCAATGTCAATAATTTGAATGAGATCTCCGAGTGCAATATACTGCCAAAAAGTGAATATTGCTATCGCTTCACTACTTCATGGCAATTGCGAGACCAAGGGGATATAGCCTATATTATCAAAAAGCAATGATTGAATCAAATATATACTCTTGACTGTGTTGTGGGTCGAGCGAGGAGCAGAAAGATACTTTGGTTGGACTCCTACCGCGGTATCATAATGTTCATTGGGCTGTAAGACCGAATTGTCACTTGATTATATCGACGAATGCTCAAATTCTGGTTTTCAAGTGAATACTGCAACGCGTATCTGGGGAATGGCTGGGTGGGTATGAGCTTTCACTCCACCAGCCAGATGGAGAGGTCCAGTACATTGCCTGGGCACACACACCTCCTGCCCAGAATCAGATGCCTGTCATGCTAGTCTTTATGATGAGCATCCCGTCAACATTGTGGCAAGGAGTTCTGGCTGACGGACATATGTACGACCAAGTATGTTAAATATGGTAGCAATTATACTCCTTTACACTTTAACTATGCTTCTATGCATCTTCCTGGTCAGTCGCCAACACTCTGCATGCACAGAATAAAGCGCCGTGAGCAGCGCTGACTTGGGCGCAAAATAATGACAAAATGCACTCTATAATTTACTTGAATATCATGTTTTGCCTTCTATACTTCTGCCAGATGAGATCCGACGTCGCCCAGGTGGTGAGTAGCCAACTTGGGCCCAGCCAGATCCAACACGCTCGCGCACGGTGGAGTCTCCGCCCGTGGCCTTGCAATCCGCCCTATCGTACGCATCTTGACATCAGATCCTCGCCTCTGCTTTACCCGTTCACCCCTCGAATCGCCCCTAAGCCTAAACCTGACCGCGCCACCTCCGCGTACGACACTTGGACGCACTTCAGGGATATAAAACCGACTTTCGTTCACTTCAAACCTCCTTGCGGCCCTTTTAAAGACCTAATCTCTACCGGAAGACAGCCTGACAAGCTTCGGCTTGCCAACACTACCATCCGTTGGTCGCTTTGAAATCAACTGTTGAACACTCTATCTGCATACGGATCCCGAGACGGCGGTATTGTCAAGAAACGATATCATGGAGACAAGGAGAACGACGGCGTCCACGTCCGCCCAACAAACTCAAATGGACCAGGTCGCCAACCCCAGTGTGCCCCAGGCAAGCCCGCAAAAATCCATAATAAAACGCCATGGAAATGCAAAACGTGTAGCAAAGGAAAAGAGACCAAGAACGTACTCGTTGACGAGCCGCAAGAACCGGACAATCTTCACGGACGAACAACAGAAGGGACTTTACGCTGCCTACGATATTGACAAGTACCCTACAACTCTTCAGAAGGAGCTTCTGGCCCAACAGCTCGGACTGTACGTATATTCACGTAATTTTGGTCTTTTCCTCCCCGGCCAATCAAACTCTGTGATTGTTTACTCACTCTCAACAGCCCTCCAGTTGTCGTTGTCAATTGGTTCCAGCATAAACGGCAGCGTGAACCTGTCAAGGAGAAAGGCGGCTACGTGAAGAATCATCCACGGCCAGCAATGGGTGAGCTCGGTCTCTGCTCGCATCTTTGAATAGCTCTAAATTTTGTATCCTTTTTAGCCCATCCTAGCTATCTCATCAATCTTGTCGCCAAGAAACTCCGTGGCTCTCCCTCAAGCTCTGAACCTGAGCAATCCCCCTCTCCCCCGGATACCACACCCACGGCAGAAGTAAACGAAGAGGATAGAGGAGAATCGAACCAAACATCCGAAAAGGATGAAGGCCCCCTTCCAGAATGGATGGGCGCCCTCTTGACAGAAGATTATGAAGGTCGCGTGCCCACTCCGTCATGGTTCACGCGTGCAGAGCCGATCGACATCAAGAAGCCTTTACCGACAACGACTTCATCAACCGCCGACCCCCTACCCAATCTAGACACCTTCCCGTACGTATGATTCACCTCGAAATCTGGCACCTCTGCTGACATGCTGCATTAGGTACGTAGAATCCGACCTGCAAAGCGCGTGCCCGATGGAGGACGTCGTTTTCGAGCTAAAGCCTGCCCCTTATGCCCCTGATTTGGATCTGCTTTTTACTGAAGACGAGAGCTGATTCCGCTGCGTTGCAGTATACTTTTCCCACTAACCGTTCGTTTATTGCGCTCTCATTCGCCTCCGGTCTCCTCTTTGGCACGGAGTGTTCCCTAGGATTGTATGCTCGTACAACCGCCTGAGACCCATTTCTTTTGGTTGTACCACATGTAATCCGCTGTATAAATACTGAACATAAGCATTTTGCCCCGAGGTCGTAACATGTCTATTAGGCGTGAATTATCAAATCGTTTACAGCAATTCGTCTATCGTCTCTTGTTGATTACTTTGACCCAAGCATTCTTGACAACCGTAACGGCCTTTTCCGTTTCTTTCTTGGTGAGTGAGCTGCTCAGAGCAAGTCGAACGGTTGGGCGAGCTACACGCCATTCCTGGCCAAGAGGCTGTGTGATGATGAGCATTATGATCCAGTATTGTAAGATTTACTAACCGCCTTGTCCTCGCTTTCGCCATACAGCCTCTTTGCACGCGTGATTAAGACGCCTTGAACAAGAGCGGCATCGACAACCTCTTGAAGGAGACCTTCTTCTTTCGCAACGTCGTATACTGGTGCGTCGCGAATCACTAGATGATTGGGGTTCGAGGGTTTGTGAGAGGGTGCTGCCGCACTGGGGGAGAGACTGGTGGCAGACGGTGCCTTGATCGCAAGGTGGATGATCGGGCTCACGGGGTGTGAGAGAATCTCCATCGTGTCTATACCCTGGAGGACACCACGAGCTGCGCGCACATTATCTTGAAGCATGCTGAACATTTCCGGATAACGCAAAAAATTGGAAATGTTCTCATTGGCTGCGGTTGCCAACAATCCGGGAAGAGCTGCCGAGAAGACAAACGAGGTCGAATTGATACGTTGGTGCTCGCACATGACCGTGGAGCCCGCACAGAAGCCTCCGGCGGACGACATTGTGTTAGCGAGACTGCCTACGATAGTGTTAGCAGTGAACAGCCATGATGAGGCGGTGGAATACCAATAATCATATCCACTCTTTCCGCTGGAACGTTGTACAGTTCTGTGAGTCCACGACCTGTGCGACCAAGGGTTCCAATGCTGAAACTTTCATCGAGAATGACTCTGTACTTGTACTTTTCGGCGATGCTCAGGAGCTCTGGCAGATCAGTCAACGAGCCGGTGTCCGCAAACAAGCCTTCTGTCACGATGAACCGTCTGGTCAGTGGCTTCTTCTTGCGCTTAAACTCCTTTTCGAGGTGCTGGAGGACACCCTCAAGAGTAGATGTCGACGATGAACCTGGCGAAGCACGAAGAGAGTTGTGGTCGTACCAGCAAATGGTACTTCTACTGAGTTGCATGCCACGTTGGATAATAAAATTGACGCCTCTATCTGCTACAATGACATCCCCTCGTTTGCAGAAGGAAGGGATGACGCTGGACGCCGTCGAGAAGCCCTGGCTGTAAATAATGGCGGATTCGGTCCCAAGGAAGGAAGCAATCGACCTCTCCAACTCGATATGAACGTCCATAGTACCATAGAATCCCGGGGGACCGCAGGAGCCCAAGCCGTACTTTCGCAAGGTCGCAACGGCCGTTTCCGTACCGGGAAGAGGCTCAGCGCTACCCTTTGGGCTGCTGCTCGAAGTCGTTGTGGGGGGCGTTGTAAAGTTGAAGCTGGCGAGGTTGATGACCTCCTTTGTCTTTGCCGTCGCGAGCAAACTCGGGTCGAGAACAGGGTTGGCCGGTGTGAGCGCCAGGCTGGGGTCGATGATAGAATTTGTAACGCGAGGCCGAGAGCTGGCTGGACCAACAATGATGGGTGTCTTTGACCACGCAGTCAAAGCCTCCTCGGACAACTCTGGGACAAGGGGTTCTGGTTGCCATTCCTCAACGAGTTCATTGATTTCCTATTCCGAATATGTGTGAGAATTATTCACAATGACGTGCGACGAGGGCTGGAAAGGTTTACCTCTTCGGTCAGTTTGACAAAGCTCTTTGCGACGCGTTCGGCGCGCCGACGACTTTGAACTAGCGTCCAGAGAGCAAATAGAGCGAGTAAAACTTCGAGGAGCGTCCTTCCTGGGTCATTCCGATGGCTTTCGCGGATATACCTAAATTCCCAAAGTCAGACCATTAGCCGTTGTAAGTCATTGGCGACGATAGAGCGCATACCTGAGCAATACCGCAGATCCTGGTATAGAGTTAAATCCCTTTTGTGCTTGATGGAACCCATAGGAGAGCAAAATGAAGAGCGGCTGCAACGTCTGGTCGGCGACAGATTGTATCTCGCCAGCTGAAGGGTAATGAGACGAGGTAGAGTCCATAATTGTCCGGTAGTTGACGTCCTTTGGCTTATACGTGGCGGCCCAGTGTCCGCAGCCGTTGCACTCGGGACCAAGGATGGAGGTCAGGTCGAAATGAGCAAACTCGGCGGCCCCCTCCATGGCAAATCTACAGAGAGCTATATTTGTATAATCTAGGGGGTTTTCTACACTTTCAAACGACGCGAATACAAGAAACAAAACGTCGGACGAGGCAGGGCGCGACATGCACCATCAGCAATCGTCTCCTAGTGGCAATACTCGTGAGTTGGGATACTCGATGCATTGTAGGAGAGTGTCTATGCGGGGAACAAGAAAGTATATCAGGGTTCTATTTGCTGGTTGAGGGGTGTTGGAAATGGCCAGGCGCAGAGCTCGGCCAACGAGAGGGATGGCATGGGGATTCTTTGTTGCTCAGATGGCGGACGAGATCGGGTCGCCTGAAATCCTGTTGACATTGAGGACACCTGCCCTCAAGTTGATGAACCTTTGCTAAATGTTCTCCGCTTTGAATCCATGAGCCTGCGCACAAAAAGGGTATGGGGACTCACCCGTTGGATGCGCGACTGCATCTCTTGAGACACATGGGGACGGGGCAGATCCAATCTGGACAAAGTTTAGTGATCTACAGAACCCGGTTTGGGGAAAAGCGAATCCGTACCGACAAAGCCCTCATGCGTGCGCTTGTGACGCGTGAAATTATCAGAGCGAGCAAATCCTGGACAATTTATGAGCATTATCGAGAGGAGTCTGCGCGGATACTGACCTTTGTGGCATTGGTCGCAGACAAACGTTCCAGGCGGTCGCTCCTGGCCATCATAAGACTTTCTCGAGACTGTGGTCGTCCTAGGGCTGTATCGAGGAGCAGGGGGCTTGCGTTTCTGTTTGCCTGATGAGCAAGCCACCACTCCTGATGTTGGGATACGTACCTTGATGGTCCGTTCTGTTGTTGTATCTGCAGTAGGAGAGTAAATGGGTGAGCCTGCTGATGCCAGGTGGCCAGTTGGGAGATTTTGGAGGCTCATGGAGGTGGTACAGGTGAGGGTAATAGGGTTTACCGTGTGTGACTAAAAAGCGCTTATAAGCGAAAGAAAAAAGAATTCCAGAACACTGACAAATTGGAGTTGATCGGCTGTTTCGGTTAGCAGCTCAGTCGCAGACATTTTATCATGTCGGTGCGGGACCGGTTGAATAATATTGGGCATTGTAAAGTCGATCAGCTCGAGTGCTTCCTGTTTCACGACGGTGATAGGCTCCGAGATGGCCTCGAAGCCAGAGGCGAGATCGCCCATGGCAGCCTCCCGACCAAAGTTGTTGTGTTGGTGACTGCGTTGATCTTGATCAAATCTCTCAAAGTCGAACTGGCAACAAGATGGCGAACACGCTTAGCACCCTGTATTCTTCGTGACCAGACGACCGAACCTACTCACATACTGGCCCAATTCTCCATCTCCCCCGCGACGCCTAGAAGCGAATACTGTGCTTTCCAGGCGAACATCTGGAGTGTTCCGGTCAGTATCCGTACCAGACACGAGCCGTCAATCCACAGAGGCGGGGGAAGTCGAGGCCACTGCTCGTCAGGAGGCCTCGACAAGGTCGGACAACTTCCAAAGAAACAGACATCACGAGCGACATACCATTACTTGTGGAGCATAGATAATCCGTAATCCGAGTCTGGGTTCCGTTCCGGTGGCCACGCCTACAATGATCCATGGTAAGCCTGTCGTGAATGTGACTTATGATGCGCTTGAGATCCTCAAAGAAAGTTGTGGGGCTACTGGCAATCACATAGAGTGATTGCCTGAGAGAGGTCGGCTCCAAAGTGCAAATTCCAACCAGCAAAACCAATAAGGCGGGTCAAGTCACGTGACCTGCGTCCGTCTCCCGGCCTCTACAACTTCGAGTTCTCTTTGTGACTGTGAACGCGTCTGCTATAGATAAAACAGGTGCAGGTGAGCACCACACGCGTATGCAAATCGACATGCGCATTCCCAACGAAAAATGCGCACCAATATCCCTCCTGAGGACAGTCCTACGCGTATTTGTATGCAGAGAAATCAACCGTGGCGCTCACTACTCAGACGCCGTTGCCATTGCCGTTGCCATTGACGCGTTGCGAGCGCAATGATAGGTTACTGCTATGATCGGCAAACATGACCAGGGTTCATAGTTCGAGTCATGAATTTCGTTCTGATACGGCGACGACCGAATGACCGAGGTCGTCGAGTAACATGATGGTCGAGGACAAATGATCCATTGACGTTGCAAAAACCCGGCACCCTTGGCACGTGCGTCGTCGAGGTAATCCAAGGGATAGACACGTCTATAAGCACGTAGTTAAATAGCAACCAACACGGCTATAAAGCGGGAGTGATCGGCCCTGTCCGAGTTCGCCCATGCCGTTCTTTCGACCCATCTTTGAGTTCATACGCAGGTAGATAGTGCCCATTCGCCTCTCTCAGAGCTGGGTTTGGATACGTATTAAAGGTAGAGCCAAGCGACGTGTAGCTAGTGGCGACAGGATGGTGTGTCATTGGAACCGTTCTGGTCGAGTCAGAAAACTTACCCTTGGTTATATAGATCGCAATAAGGTACTTGAAACATTCTGAGGTACTCCCATATCTGTTGATACGTCCAGTTGATGATAGGATGCACTCGCTGATAGGATGGCCAGCCCTCGTCCGTGGGCGTTCGGAAACTCAGCGATTCTACACCAGAAAGAGGCATCAGGATTGCAGACGTGGCTATTTCACAACTGACGTACCTCCATGCGGATCGTCTCGTCGGGTTCCCACTAGGATGCTCGTCACATCCGGTTCTTTGGCCTTGTACTGAAACAGAGCTTCCTTCATCGGAAGTCCCCCAGGCGTTGTGCATACAAGATCCAAGTTGTACGAGTACGCACAAGCGTCCACAAACGCGTCCACCTCCGAAAATGGTGCACTACAGGTTACGTAGAGAGCCCTGAAATGAGACGTGGGCGCCGGTGAGAGTTCGTTGGAGGGGGGTTCCCGGTCCTTGTCGGGCTGGGCTGCATCTTGTCTTCGTCGTCGCTGCTTCCGATGCCATAAGCAGACTGCCAGGAGATGGAGAAGTACCGTGCCTATACGAGCAAAAGTTTAGGGAATTTTAGGATCACGAGTTTGCTCCTCACAGTCTTTGCCACCGTTGAAGCTGATAGCGGTATGTTCCTCACTGCAGGATGTGCATTAAATTTGTGACATGGATGAAGAACATCTCTCGACCACATTTCGGTGGAGATTTCTTACCCGTCCATCTCGAGAGTCTCTTCGATGACGGTAGTCGCTTCCTTTACGGCCTTTGCAAGTGCGGAATCCTCTTCTTCGGAGAACCGGACGACTCTTTCCAGCATTGGAGAACTCAGATAGGTCAGCATCAAGACGGTACGGGTCCAAGGATCGTGGGCAAGAGGTGACTAACGGGCTGTTTACCGGTATCGAGTGACAAGCGCTTATGGCTGAATCACGCACGGACTCGGGATAATATTGTCGGAATATCAGTAGAGTGACATGATGCAACAGGCTTCTATGACTAGCGCAAATGGATAAATACTGTAAACAGTCCACTCCAACAGATGATTGAGGGGTGCCTAGTCTGCATACTTTCCTCGTGGGTCATCTAGCTTTCTTTCTTCGGTCGTCAGGTCCGGTGTGCGGATTTCGTCCAGTGGGACACTGTTGTAGCCATTTCCGTGGCTGCGAGACCGCCTATGCCATCTCCCCGAGTCGGGAACGTCCTCGGCTCCGCTCTCAATATCATTCGAGGGCCTTCTGTCGGCATCGAACATGATAGGGGTCACTTCGAATGACTTGGCGGCGTTTGCTTCGCGTGCGCGCTGTTCCAAGAGTTCCTCATTCTTAGCCCACGTGTAGTAAGCAGATCCAGCGAGGATGACAAAGATACTGGTGCCTCGCCCAGTGGTGATAATGTCACCAAAGACCCAGACTCCCATTGCGCTCTGCAAGATGCCACGGACGGCGCTGGACACCATGTGGGTAATGGGGGAAGTGATTTTGATGGAAAGCACTCCTGCAATGGAGAGCAGCCACCCAACAAGACCAGTGACCATTGAACCCCAGAGAAAGTGGCCAAGTCCGCTCATCCGACCATCGACATACAGAGGGCTGCTCACGAGGTCGAGGATATCGGCACCTTCGCCCACGATGAGCATTACAGGTATGAGCAGCGCGGACGAGAGCACGTTGGAGTACCATGCGAGCTCAATTGCATCGTTGTTGACGACGGGGAGGGAGCGTTTGATGATGATGGCATGTCCAGCGGTCGTGACCGAGGATAGCAAGCCGAATGCGACACCGAGGATCATGTTCGAGTTGGCCTTTTTAGAATCGCTGCTGGGAGAGCCGTCCAAGAGAACGCCGACGAAGAATCCAGCGGTAACAACTGCACATGCAGCGAGCACGCGGATGGATGGTCTAGAGGCCTTGAGGAAGATGAGCGACAAGACGACTGTGAGCGGGAGCACAAGGCCGCGCGCTATCTGATAGAATGAGGCATCGACGTATTTGAGGCAATAGTTGTTTGCACTATATTCAGTAGTCAGCATAATGTTGTTGCTACGAGGGCGGCTAAAGGTAGGATAGCTGCGTTTTGCATGGGACGGTCGAATGAATAATCATCCGAGAATTGGTAGAGTGTATACAGGCCATTGGCCGTTGTTTCGCGGGAATTACGGATAGACTCACCTCAGGCCGATGACATTGGCGAGAATCATTGGCCAAAGACCGACACAGACGTCCCACTGGAGGAATACACTGATTTTGAAGAGACCGAGAGCGTGGGTGATGAGGAAGAGAACGACGGCGATGAGCAGCTGGGCGAGGAGGAAGAAGAGGGGCGTCGTGCTCTTGAGGAGAACCCATTTGTTGACAATGATCATGCAAATGGCTGCAAACATGTAAAAGAGGACGGTCGCAGTCTGCAATAAACGCAAAGCGTCAGCATTCCACTCAGACAAGGCAGCGCGTTACACGGCGCGGACGGAGACAAGATACAGACGACGAGCCATCGCGAAGGCTGCTTCTCAGTTGGCGCCATTTATTTTGTAGAAAAAGTCAAGAAAAGGAGAGTGAGGTGGCCAGCTCTAAATGTTGGCCAATTCAGTCCTCCCTTTTGCCGCTTAGCCCCAACGTCGAGCGCAATGTCCACACTCAGCAAACGACCATCCAGTGTCCAGAACGATAGCGACGGCGACGACACGGCCAGCTTGCGCTCCATGGCCCTCACCGACGAGGCCCGGCAGGAGAAACCAGCAGCCAGCGGGGAAACAGACACGCTAGACACTACAAAGCCAGAAATGAACACTTTAAACGCATCTAATCACATCCCAGACAAGCACAAGGCGTTGCTCGATGCGTTGGGAGATACCACGGCCACAACCAACAAGTTTCAAGACGACCAAGACGACGAAGATACGCAGGAGGATATTCCCCTCAGTCCTCCCAACCCGCCCTCGTTGCTCCCGACCACGGTTCATGCCGTTTCAAGCTCTTCTAGTCTACAAATTGCCACCGAAACTGATTCCAGCTTGAATCCCATCAGTCCAATAAGTGCGCTCTCCAAATCACCAAACACGCCGTTTGCCGCCTTTCAGAGTGCAGGCTTTCCATCTGCTCCCCTGTCCGCTGGTGCCATGAGCAGCATCCCATCAGCCGCCAGCAATGCTCCCTTTTTGGCCAGGAGTCCAAGCCCCCAGCCAAAGGATCCAGAGACGTATGGTATCATGAAGGAAACAGACGGCAGCACCAGTGCACTTCGCGATGTGAGAGACCACCGCCCAGGTACCTCACCCCCATTGGATACAGCCTCCATCTCCTCCGAGTCTCAGCGAAAACTTCGACCCGAAAGCGTACTCATGCCGCTTACTCGAGATCCTTTGATTCTTGGATTGGCACTCGTCGATTTTGACCATGCGGTCAGTGTCTTTTTTTTTGATACTCGAGGTTTGACTCATGAAACGACAGGTGGGTCCAAGAATAGAGTTTAGTCAGGGAAAGCTGCTAGAAGAAGACGAAGAGATTGTCAAGATTCTTCCTTTCCTCGCTCTCCCGGATGGCGCACATCTCAATCAAGAAGACTATAGTTACTTTCATCTGAATCCGGCAAAACCAGGCTCTTCGACTATCTTTGCCATTTCTTGCAATAGACAGATACCCGCTTCCGAGTTGCTCGTCAAATCAGAAGTGGTCACTCGTTCAACGGTTCAAAAGGCTGTCGTGATTCTGGCCAGTAAACCAGTGTTTGGACCTATCAGGTGGGATCTGACTTTGACAATAAACCTCTCTGACGGATCGACAGAGACAAACTCGGTGTAGTGACAAGAGCGTTCTTCAATCAGAGAGATTTTACAGAGATGGATATCTTAGTCGACTTTTATAGCACTCTCGAAAACAGTCTCCGCACTCAATTGACGGAAAGTGGCTTCTACATGGGGACGAGCATGTGAGTCCAAGATGGTCGCTACAGCCAATATTGACTGGCCCTGAACAAGCCGAGAGCTCTTGCATGCATTCCGGCATCGAACGCTCACGTTGGTAAAAGCTCTTATGCTACAACGAAAGGTGCATACATTTCGCATCTTTTCGTCCACCCATGACCGTTCAATAGATTGTATTTTTTGGACACCCAGTGGAAAGACTCTGCACATACCAGTACTCGCTGGTCTCGCTTGTACCAGGTCTACTGCAGACGTTGGAAGACTGTGGTGACCCAAATCTTGCCCGGAGGGCCCCTACATTAAAGAAACCCAGCGAGCTCCGAACCTCTGACCGACAGAGTATGATGGAATTCATGGGCCTCCCATTGGATATCTTTGGCAAAGTCGGTACCTTTCAGAGACTTGGAGTGCGGGACTAACTGCGGTCAAGGATTCCTTCTTCCAACCATATCTCCCTTTACAGCAGATTGATATGCTCTCAGCCCAGAGCTGTCTCTGTGGAAGTACAAACAACATTGTCACCCAACACAAAGATATCGATTTACTTGTCAATGTGAGTCACCTAGACGCTGATAGACCTGCTCTGAAATGAACTTATTTTTTTCCAGATAGAGACAAGTCAGATTGAGTATCGGACTCCACATGTGGAGCGAATGGTTGCGCTCACTGCGGCAGACCGCAGATGGATAGACGATCTTGTCAAAGATGTCAACGATACTTGGAACGAACAGGATCCTACACGTCCTACGGGCATGCAGTCAGTACTTTAAACCATTTGTACCGCGATTCCTAACGTTCTCTAAAGGTTTAAAGGATCCGATGACTATCTACGGACCAAGTTTGAAGAATATATATCCTCGGCGTTGTCGTCAATCAAGTATCACAACTACCGATTGACTGATGGCCAGTCGGTTCTGACGACCGGTATGAACGAGCAAGGTTCTTCACTAGTCACACTCAACTCGAGCACAGGCGAGCCAAATACAAGTTGGGAGGACTATGGCGAATTATTCCTTTCTGCATTTCAAACCACCAACGCTTTCGCCGTTTGGGATAGGATAACAGATTTAGTTTTGTTCGACATCATTGAGCCCAAGTAGGTTTGTGCAGGTAGACGAGAATGGTCGCTGAATCATTCCTAGGCATCCGTGCGAGGAAAGGCCAAATATTGTCAGCGACATTGGCCTGCGTTTGCAGGAAGGTATTACAGACCTGCATTTAGATCAGCAGCTCGCCCCCACTCGTCAGGCTCTCAGCTCTGCCTTCGCTGCCGGCTCAACTGGCTTCTTCAAAGCAGTGGAAGGTGTCCGCGGTGGCGTCAATCAGATAGTAGCTCAGAGGCAGGCCTCGAGTGGTGGCCTCGGACTACCATCCTTTAGTAATCCGTTTGCGAACAATTCTACGACTGCAACGAGTGCGACATCCCCAGATGTAACATCTCCACCACCTCCCCCATCATCTTTCAATCCACCTTCTGGTGAAAAGAAGCTTCGACCCCTCAGTTTGGCGTCGATGGCGTCGGTATCATCTGCCACCTCGACCAACGAAGCCGCACCATCTCGTGCAAGCGCCACATTCTCAACATGGGGAAGCAGCGTCGGTAGCTTTCTCAGCAACAAAGCGTCGAGACTTCGCGAGAGCGTCAGCTCGGTCACGTCGACCCCAGCGAACCTCGAGCAAAAGTCACTCGCCCCTTCCGCGTCTTCTACGTCACCTCCGACCCCCCAATCAAGCTCCTCAGCTGCCCCTCCTAAACCAGACGTTGCAACGGGGCCTGCTCAATGACAGTCCTGTATTAACCGATTCGTCTCTGAGAGGCGGTGGTTTATCTACTTATTAGTCGCGTATTATACAGTCGTCATGCTTCGTGTTGAGCCCTTGTGTGAGATTTGATCCAACCGGTAATCGGGAGCTCTTGCCGGTGGTCGGCCTTCAACGACCTGCTTTCGACCGTGCCACGACAATGTTCTCGTACCCTAAGCCTACACAGATCACGTATCCACCCTTTGAATCCCTGAATCCAAGACCTCTTCATGCGATTAGTCCACCAAAGGCAATCCCGGATCATGTTCGCGTCGCTCTACCAAGAGCTGCGGCCCAAAGAACACAAGCCCCTTACTCGGAACGCGTTATCCCCGGCTATACACTGAGTACACACGTTGGTACTTTGTAGCTCTCTGACGTTTACTCACGTCTCGTATTTAGGTGTTCCCAGCCGCGAGCCCAAGGTCAAAATGTGACACCGGTCCAACACCTCTGTTTCCGTTCTCGGACCCAAATCGCAAATCCAAAGTAACTGCTGCCACTGAACAACTCGCGGCACTTCGAGATGTCAACGCCGAGGTTGTGTACGAAGAGGATTGGCCAGAACAACCATTGTGGATGGTGGTCAATCGCTTCACCAGCCAAAGGTTATTTCAGGGATACTCCGAGCCAAAACAGCCCAGGGTGACCATGACATTTATGCACGCAAACGGGTTTCATAAAGAGGTGCAGTGTTACCGTCCGGTAGGGTGAAAATATTGACTAGATCACTATTAGACCTGGGAAGAGGCCATTAAAGCGGCAGTTTTCTCCTCAAAAGAATTTGGCTTGACTGTGGATGAGATGTGGTTCTTTGATTCGGTCAATCATGGAGATAGCGCACTCCTCAACGAAGGACGATTAGGAACTATATGTAGAGACTCTCTCGAACTTTTGGGAAATGCTGACGGCTATCTAGTCAACTGGCAAGACAATGCTCGGGATCTTTTAAACTTCTTACTTCACTATCTTCCTCAATCTCCTGGAGGCATTCTCCCCGTATATCTTGAACCCATTTCGACTTCCGAATCGACACATAGAGCCACTCGTGGCTTTTCGCATCGAATCCTGGTAGCATGCGGTCATTCCCTGGGAGGCGTGAGCACGTAAGTTGTAGCGAGCATGTGTTGGGTCTTGGTTAAGACTTTACAGATGTAGAGCAGCACTACATATGCCACAACTCTTCTCAGACGTGTTGCCAATTGACCCAGTCATATATGCCCCATTTCTACACGACGCGATAGCTGCCGCATCACTTCCACTTGTCGCAACCGTTAGTCGAAGAGTAGATTGGGCGTCGCGGTATGATGGTCGTTCTGAAGGAGTCAAATGTCCAAATAACCTGTCCATAGGGAGGAGGCCATGAGGTCCTTGCTACAGCTTAGTTTCTTCAACAAATGGGATCGAAAAGTGCTTGAAGCCTATGTCGACCATGCAATGTTCGACGACGACGAGGGGCGAATACGGTTGAAAACATCTGGATATCAGGTCTGCTATAACCAGCGCCATCGACTTCTTTGCGATAACACTTGACAGGAAGCCGCGGTATTCGCTGAGAGGCGGGTAGCACGCGAAGTCTGGGAGCTATTGCCTCAAATGGACGAGAGGGTTGAGCTTCACTGGATTATGAGTGGAATGTCTGGTGTTGGGTAATCGACCTCCTTATTTCACGCTACATAGTACTGATGATCGTTCCAGAGAAGAAGAGGATATGCTCAAGGATATATTCTGGCGACGAGAATTGACGGTTTGGAGGCGACCAGTCAACGCTTCTAACATACGGATGAAAGGTTCTGGACATCTTATTGTCCAAACCGTTCCCCATTCCTTGGGTATGTGCGATAGGAAATTCCTACGAGGGCGATTTGACAATCTATGTAGGAGTGGGACTGGCGGCGTACGTGACCGGGAAATACGCCAAAAATAATGCCTTTATATCTAAACTGTAATCTGCTTCTTGTATATACCGCTCGGCCAATAGACAATTCTAAGGTTCAGCCACTCTTGTACCTCGACGCTAACGATAAAATGTCACAACGCGCAAATTACTATGAGCAAGAGCTCGACGACGCGGACGATCTTGCAGACGTTGGACTAAATCTTACAATTGGCAACTATGGCGGCCTCTATGAGGATGGTGAGCAAGATCCATGACCAAACCGTCGTCGAGTGCTCATATATATGCGCCAGCAGTGCCTAGGATCGACGAAGCCACGCTCATCGCGATGCAGCAACATGTCGCTCAACAAGTTGCTCTTGCTCAGGTCCCCGACGTGGTCAAAAGAGTAAACCGATACTGTTCTGCAATTCGCACCACTAACATTCCGGTTTGCCTAGTTCATCATCCAATTCCATCAAGCTATTTTGAATAACAATCTTCCGGAAATCACTGCTTGCTACGAGAATGGCTGGAACCGGTTCACCGAACAGTTTTACGCCAAAACAGAGTGGCCAGAGGCAGAGATCATTGCACCGCTCGTCAACGACAGTAAGTGAGCTCTCGAAGCAATAAATTCATGACCTCTTGCTAACAAACCGACCAGATCCTGTCTTTCTCATCCTCTATCGAGAGCTTTATTATCGGTGGGTGCGTTTGCCCTAGTTAGCGAGCTCTGTATTGAGAAATTACCAGGCATATCTACTCACGGCTAGCTCCAAATGTGGACGATAGATTTCACTCGTACGAGAACAGCTGCGAGCTCTTCAACTACCTCCTTAGTGCGCTCATCGGACTCGGGGCTGAGTTCTTACTCATTGTGATATTTAGATTCAGAAGGCCCAGTACAGCTTACCCTTCCTGACCAGTGGCTCTGGGACATCATCGACGAGTTCATTTATCAGTTCCAATCCTTCTCGCAATGGCGATCCAAGCCCAAGCTCAAAAGCGAGGACGAGCTTCAGATGCTGGCATCAGAAGCAGAAAGCTCTGGGGGCTCGCAACTTTGGAGTTGCTATTCCGTCCTCAATGTCTTATATTCATTGGTGCAGAAGAGCCGCATCAATGAGTATCTGATTGGCGTTCGAGAAGGCTGCAGCGAGATTGAGCTCGTGTGAGTATTTTTTGTCACCTTTCATCCTGATCCGTGACAGTATCTAACAGGGAAATTGCGGGCGAGTATGGATCAAAGCCACTATACCGCATGCTCGGATATTTTAGCCTGATAGGACTCCTGAGAGTTCACGTCCTTCTTGGAGATTTCACACTGGCCTTGAAAGTGATGGAGAATATCGAGCTCAACCAAAAGGTTCGTTCAACGGCTTTCTCGAGGCAAATCTAAGACCCAACAGGCATTCTTCACCAAAGTCACTGCATGTCACGTCGCAACATACTATTATGTCGGCTTCTCCTACATGGCGCTTCGCCGATACAACGACGCCATCCGCACTTTTGTGTCAATCCTCAACTTCATTGGTCGAATGCGGCAGTATCACACGCGAAGTTATCAATACGATCAAGTACGTTAGTTCAAACGTCTTTGATCCCAACTGAGCATGCACCAGATCAACAAGACAGCCGAGCGGATGTACGCACTTTTCGCCATCTGCAATTGTCTCTCACCAAGCAAACTTGACGATCAAATTCTCAACAACGTCAAAGAGCGCTATGCTGATCAAATATCGAAGATGTCGCAGCCATTCACGTCAAATGCATTCATCACCCCGAATCCGACCACTCCCATTACCCCTGGTTCGCCAACAGCGAAAGCGTCTGCTGCCTCCGAAGCCTTGGCCGCTTACAGCGAACTCTTCCTTTTCGCTTGTCCAAAATTCATCACCGCAAATGCACCACCGTATAATGACCAGGACGCGCTTACCGTATACGTCAACGATCCTCCAGAGGAACCAGCTACACGACATTTATCCCTCTTTTTGGACGATATCCGTGCACGAGCAGAAGTTCCAACTCTGCGATCGTACCTCAAGCTCTACACCAGCTTGGACGCCAGCAAACTCGCCGGTTTCCTCGAGAAGGATGAGGAAGAACTAGTGCAACTAATGATGGTCATGAAATCCGCGAGTAGAGGCGTCTCCAGAGTAAATAATGAGGGTACTCTGCTCGACGGGCAGATGATCACGACGAGCGATCTTGATTTCGTCATCAACGATAACATGGTTCACGTCGTGGAGTCTGTTATCAATCGCAAGTACGGTGGTTGGTTTGTGCGTAACACCGAGCATGCACAACGAGTGTACGACGCTCTCAAAGCCAGCCCACTCCCGATCTCAAAGCAGACTCCAGCGGCTAACGCAGGTTCAAATACAGAAGACACAAAGCCTATCACTCAAGACGCAAAACGGACAACAAACGTTCCGTGGAATGCCTCGACACGTAAAGTGGAGTTTAATGTGTAACGATTGCTAAAGCTGGCAATAAAGCTGTGATAGAACCTAATCCACAACGCGTCTGAGAGATATCCTATTTCGCAATGAGCACTAATCGGCAGAAAGACATTTGCCTTGAGGCCATCGGGTCACCCACGGTCGCTCACGTGAGCCCAGCTCTCGGCGTCGCTTCCTAAGGCAAATTGGGGGTCCTCACTCGTAACAGAGGCAATATCCGACCAAGACCGAGTTGATCTTGGTGTACTTTGCCCCGAATGAGGCCCTCCCTCGACTACTGTGGTATTATTTGCGGGACCAGGCAGCTCGCTTCGGGCACTAACAAAGGAGTGAGGTGTATAAGGCGATTCTGCCAAGGCGCTCTGGTAGATTGATTGATCCGGTGAATCAGGGTTTGAACCAGCATCTGACGGGGGACGAATGTGCAGAGTCGGGTAGGTGACTGTATCACGACGACGGAGCGGTGTTTCGTTGAACAGTACGCCACCGTTGCTCTCATCCTCTTCAGAGGACGTGGAAGGAATTGCCTCGAGCGGCGGACGTGGCGAAATGTGAGTAACGGAGTGTACGGGTGACAAGATTGAGTAGGCAATGTCGTCTGCTAGCAGAGAATCTGCAAGCGCGCTAGGGGATGAAGGATGACTATGGTCTCCCTCTACTGCTGTGAGTGATTCGTGTACGGCTGACGGGGAGCGTGTATCAAGTGCGGACGAGGAGAAAGTGGAAGGGGTGGAAGACCGCGATTCTGCAGGGTGCTGGTCAACAGTTGGTCGCCTATGCGGTACAAGTGGATTGAATGGTATCGTTACATTTGGCTATATGATGCGGTTAGTCTGGCTTATCTCTCATACGGGCAACGCACCCTTTCCAGCATGAGCAACTCGTGTGAACCACCTGGCGACCGTCGGCGTTGGACCAAATGCTCAGAGTTCGTATTTTCAACACCAGAGGCTCTAACAGACGTTGTAAGAGTGTCGAGCTCGACCGGCGTGGGATCCGAGCGGTCGTGACCCTGCAGAGGTGCATCGTCGTCGTCGTCCTGGCTTAGTGCTGCAAGATGACGTCGTCTCATTCGACGTCTTTGAGTCCAATCCGCAACGAGCACCTCCAGTTTTGGCGCAATATGCGGTTCATAGACAAACTAGCGAGCAGCATTCGGTTAGCGTGCGCGGGTCGAGACGAGACACTATCCGTTCGCTTTTCGTGAATAAGAGCTTACCTGATGAAGCGCTATTGTCACGCCTACAGCGACGACGACGCTACCGACGATGACCAAGGCTGGAGGAGACATATGGCTAGATTCAGAGAGCGGTAAAGAGTCAAAATGCAGTCTTTAGACCGCTAAAACGTCGTGAATAAACGCAGTAATCCTCGTCTGATACTCGAAGTAGAGGGAGTGGCGGTCCAAGTGGCGAGCTTGCTGCCATTCTCACCTTCGAACCTGCTGACATGTCAGAAGAGACGGCTTCATCTGGTAAAAATTAAAAATTAAATACCAGACCTGAAATTTGCTGATAGACTGGCTCGTTTGCAGTTGTTATTGGGATCATTGGTGGCTCAGGCCTCTATCATATGGATCAACTCACATTCGTGTCTGTATACATTTAAAAGCACTATATAGGTCATTTTCTGACTCTTTCCGAGGCGAGAGGTCAACCCGATGACTGTAAGTGGCCCCCACGATGGCTCAAAACCCCCCTTGACGAAATCCCTCTCAAAAGCCCTGGGGACACCCATCGTCTCCAATCACAATTTCACAGCTTCCAACCGGAGAGCAGATTGCATTCATTGCTCGTCATGGCAAACACCATACTCATTCGCCAAGCGCTGTTCCATATGCCGCCAATATCGCAGCGCTCAAGCATCTGGGAGTCAAGGCTATCCTCGCATTCTCTGCTGTTGGCTCTCTCAGAGAAGAAATCCGACCGGGAGACTTTGTGATTCCAGATCAGATCATCGACCGGACCAAAGGCATTCGTCAAGCTAGTTTCTTTGAGGGAACTAATATCGTTGCCCATGCGACATTCGGGGATCCATTTTCCAAGACATTTTCAGCATTCCTCGTCCCTCTTGTTCAGAACGTTCTCAAAGAGTCTGAGGGTGTGCAACTTCATACCGGCAAATGCGTCGTAGTAATGGAGGGTAGCTTGTTCAGCACTCGAGCCGAGAGTAAAATGTATCGGATTCTAGGTGGAGATATCATCAATATGAGCACTCTCCCCGAAGCGAAGCTCGCTCGAGAAGCGGAGATTAGGTGTGCATCTGTAGTTACCCATCCTTTGTATCTGACGTGTTTTAGCTACGCGCTGATTGCAACTGCTACAGATTACGACGCATGGCGAGAAAGTATGCCCTTACACGATGCCCGGGCTCTCATGCTAACATCCATCAGGTGAAGAGGTCGTCACAGTATCAGAGGTTCTCAAGACGTTACACACCAATGCAGAAACTTCGCGGCAAGTCCTATGTTATCCCTCTGGTCTCGGTGTTAACATGCCAAATAGCAAAGTGGCCCAGGCCGTTATCGCCGAGCTTCACGCAGCCATTACTTCAAATCAACTTACATCAGAGATTGAAGGGAGCATGGAATACTCGATTGTCACGCAGCCTGCACACCAGACGGCCAGCGACCGCGAGAAACTGCGCTACATCCTCCCTTACTTTTCGTAGATTCGAGATAGCTTGCAGACAGGGAATACAGTTGTGGGTGAACTACGGGACGACAGAAAGCCGAACATATATCTACAATAGAGAGGCCTCACCAGAATCAGAACCCCGTCCCCTCAAAAGGTGTATAATTCACCTGCCCATACTGCGTATTGGGATTCTGATCGAGAGCCATTTGTATTTGCCGACCCATACCCTGGAGGCCGTAATAGTTTGATGTGAGTAAACTGGAATCCGTGAAGGGATCCGACCAGAAATGGGGCATCGCTGTTGGCGCCTGCTGGTCGCGATGTGAGCCTACCGATGCGCTTCGTGCGTGAGTAGGAGATATCTGGCTGAAACTAGGTGGGAGCATATTGCTATCCCCAGTGGGCCATGATCCATATTGTGGTGTGGATGGCCCTGCTGAAGGTGGATTGGTTTGTGGACGGAAAGAAGAGAGGGTGTGCGCCGAAGTACCGAGGTCGTATCCCACAGTGCTTTCTGGTTGCGATGATGGAGGTGAGACATTGTGATGACGGCCAAAGTGAGAAAGGGATTTAGCATGTGACAGTACTCGACGCTGAGCAGTATTGCGATAGGCCTGGGCGATATCGTCGTATGACTTCTTGTTTGTCATTGCAAGGTGACGCACAGGCGTCGGCCGGCGGATGGTAGCTCGACAACCATTAATTAGCTCCCAGCCTCTGCCTGCTGCGGGCCATAGAGATGAGATTCCTCGAAGAGTCTCCATACATTCCTGCAGGTGACCAACGCATTCAGACACGTTGTCAGGCTGCTGGTTTACTAGAAGAATATCAGCGACTCTTGAGAAAGAAAAAAGGTATTTGCTCACAAAGAAAGACGTGCATGATTGCAGCGCTAAATACGTAGTAGCACAAGAAGGGTGAGCATTGTCGGAGACAGAAAGTCTTCCGATATGCCTTTGCTAACTTGCTGACATTCATCGCTGCAACTTTGCAGAGATCGAGTGCGCGAGATGCCGACGCTCTGAGAACATCAGAGTCGGCGGGACTGTTGACAGCGTCCGGTGAGTCGCGCCGGATGTTCGTTCGCTTAAGAATGCTTCTAGAGTTTCAGTAGATAGCGAGGAAACCTGACAATCACTTACAACGGCCGATGAAGGAGCAATATTGCATTCCAATACTGCATATTGAGTACCACGATGTGTGGAGGAGGTAGATTCCTGGGAATTCCGGACGACAAATCAACCTTGAGGTATGTTGGTAGTTCTAGGTACAGCGCTTCCAAAGCCTCTTCAATCCTTGATGCTTCATGATGACGTGAAGGAACCACTTGCTTTACCGAATATAGTGATTCTACGATCTGCCCAAGTATGGAGGCTGCTGTGGTCAGTCGTCGAGCAGCATACTAGAACGCACTCACACAGACGAGAAGCTGCTCCGAGACAGGCAATACTATGGGACTGTGTTGGTCTATAGAAATGCTCTAGTTGATGTTGGGAATGGTCCCCTGGCGGCAGGCGGGGTGATGTCCAAATCTCATCCGCTTCGCTGCTTGTTTCGATTGGTAGAGGCGTATCGTAATCGCGCTCGAAGATCATGCAAGGTCGACCAATATAGGTCGATACATATCGGTCCAGAACAACACAACACCACCAAACACGGTTTCTTGCTTCCTTTTCTTGAGCCGCAAACAGATTTGCTGCGATGGTGTGAAACTTGTCTACACTTCGATGTAGACCCAAATCTTGGGCCATTCGTATTGCGACGCCGAGGAATAGCCATGCTTGGCTCATTGCACCAATACCAATCTCGCGGTAAGCGATGAGAAGGTACGCCTGACACGTTGCTGGACGTGAGGCAGCATATGGATTGGCAGCTGTGGCTTTATCAGCACTGTAAGAGATTGCTAACGGAGAGACGAACTCATCATATACTTTGCGGCCGAAAGGTACTCATCCCCTGTGGAAGACATAGTTCCTTCAGCGGCATCAGAGTTGATATCGAACGTGAGGCGCATCGCTATGGAAAAGATCACGAGCATGAGGGGGATAGGGAGACGGGAGGGGATGAATGTCGGGACAGGAGGCGCCTCGGTTCTATTTCCATCATTTCGTCAGTGAATTGACGCTGCATGTTGTGTAGACGTACGATTCATCTATTCCCAGACTCCACGCTTGCATGAATGCCTCGCGGTCAAACAAGGGAAACGTTGGGTTGATGCAGTTGAAGAAGACATCAAGGAGGTAACGTTGCTGTTCCAAAGTTGGTAACTGTATCCCGAAATCACTAGCAAACAGCGCTCTGGCTTTCTCAATTGGCTTCTCCGTTGGGGGCCAGACACGCGCTGGTGGAAATCGCCTGCGCAAGTCCACTCAGGACTACATTTCATAGCATCGGCTACAAGACTCACCATATCCCACCTTCCGCCCGACGATCCACCCGTTCTGTCTGTCCAAGAAGGTGAAGGCCGCTGGCTTTGCCGTGATAGCGTATCTGAGATGCGTCATCCAGACTAAGCTGCCCCAGAGCGTCATGAAGATCCTCTGGGTCTGATAGTTCTGGGGTACCTCGTCCAGATAGAATGACGGACGCTATCAACACGTCAATGACCATTCCCTTGCGTCAGAAAAAAAACTTGCTGTCTCGCTTGTCCGAAAACGGACCATTTGAGCCCGTGGCACCAGGTGAGTTTGCAGTTAGTGGGGTCAAGGGCTCCAACCTTCTTCTTCGGCTTGGACTACTTGAACGGGAATCAGATCCCGCCGCGTTAAGCACCATTGGATTCAATGCTTGCAGTCCGGGAAATATGGTGCTCTTGGAGTGTGGAGAATAACCATGTTGCCCAGCCGCGACAGAAGCTGGACAATGGTAAGAAATAAATGACAAACAAAAGTCGCGAGATTATCACCATCTGTGGTTTGCCCGAGACCACGGTTCGTGATAATCATACCGAGGTGTCGCTGCCACTCTTGAGTTGAATCTGCAAGCTCTGTGGCGATCCGCTTCCCTACGCTAGCACTGCCAGAACGGGCATTTGTGGGCTCTTGTGATAGCTGTCGAGTACCCACAGCACTGCTGTCGACACGCTGTAGGATATCACGAGCAGCCGAGTCTTGAGAAATGTCTGCCACAAGTGATACAGCACGAGGATCATTGGAGGCGAGAAGAACACCGATGAGTGCTTCCATCTGATGCAACTTCATCTCGAGATCTGAGAGATAGCCTTTCGCTGGGCCTCTGGATGATTTCATTAGATGCAGGTTTGAGGATGCACGGAGAGACACGGACCGTTTACGGCTGGGGCCTTTGAACCAGACGGGCTACGTAAGAAACCATGCCGTGACGTTTTACAATACCATGCTTACCAAGAAATGTGCATTCTAAGAGGATCATTTAGCGAGAATTCAGGTAAGCTCGTCACCAAAGGACGCCACTCACCAAGCCCAAGGGCAGCGCAGCTCTGGCAAGGCTGGTCGCTGATCCGCTGACATTTTGATTTTGAACGTCGACACTGGTCGCATGCTACAAACGATGTATACGGTGGAGCGAAGGCAATGCACGTTGGTCAGCAACAGAGCGAGTTGATCGGCACAGTGGGGGCAAACCTTTTGAACTCCTTCGACGAATAATTCTGTCGTGCGTAGACGGCAGTAGCTCGGTTTCATGGTCTGAAAACGAGGGAATGAGGTCGTCGCCGTCCTGCTTGATGGGCAGCATTGTTGCGTAGTCGAGGAGCGGTTCAAGGTTCCGGAGAGGGTCGAGCTCGCCGCTTGGCTGGCTCCCAGACGAGAAGGCAGGAGATGAGGGAGACCAAGGATAAAATGACGAGCAGGGGTCTTATTACAGATTTCTTATGCAAAATGCGCAGTTGCCGCCACAGCGACGACTGACAACGGCTACGGGAAGCCAATAGCAACTCAAATCACCGAGAATCCGTCAAATCAAGTCTTGGTAGGATCCGTGTTCAACGGCCGACGTCCGGCCCAATTCCAGTGTGTGGGTATCCAGTCGCCAAACTCGTCTTCATTGCACTGTCATCAGACGCTACACAACAGTTGGCCCATCAAGAATACCGTCACCCTCTTGTTCCTCGCAACGCCTCGCCCCTCTATGCGCCAGCACCAGAGTGAGCCCCTGGCTCGATAGAGCTCCGCATTAATCAACCGGGTGTCGTCCGAGGACGCGAACAGCTGTCCATTCGCAGTTTAATGTCCGAGAGACACGTAGAAGCCATTGCACTCACCATTCACTCTGCATTAACGCGCTTGATGACCCGTCTGTCGCGTTCTCCAAGTACTTTCACATGTCCTTCCGTTTCCAATGCTCGAATGACCTCTACAAACTCGCTAGCATCCACGCCGACGCTACTCTGTTGGTTGATGGCCGCAAGTGCATCAGCCCATTTCATTCCCTTCCTGCCTGTCGGTCCATCTAGTAACGCGAGTATCTCCTTTCCCAAGTCGCCGCGAAGCTTGCGCTGGTGAGCACCAACCCCAGTGTTGAGCAAGCTCATGTCGATTCTTCCGGTGCTCGGGTCCATGGCAGATGTGTGGATCGCGTCGCGCATTAGGCGGTTCGCCTCCTTAACATCCTGTGCATCCACGGTCGTCGAAAACCGCATCCGAGCGTGGGCCTCGGAGAGTCGGATCAAAGACTCCAATTGTCGAGTCGTGGCCGTAATTGTCTTCTCACTCGCTCTTGGATCCTCTCCGACTTTTCTCAGGGCAGAATATGCTGCAACAAGTTCATTAGCGGCCTCTTCACTGATAACCGGGTGGATCTTGGTGCGCGCGTAAGTAATGTAAGCCGATAGTTCTTCCAATGGCTACGATTATATGATCAGTATCTTTGGGGCCAGATAGAAAGGTACTGACAATGATATCGACACCTGCGGTATCTGGGGTATCTTCCAGATAGAGTCCAACCAGATGTTCGGCAAGCCGTCGGTCGGTCGCTTCGTCCACTCTGTCAAGAACGAGGTACAGGAGATCAAACCGTGAGATCAACGTCGGTGGAAGATCTAAATTACGAGGTAGTGATTGATTGCGGTCATAACGAGAACCAATTGGGTTTGCCGCAGCTAAAATCGACGTTCTTGCATTCAATGTTGTGATGATACCCGCCTTGGCGATTGATACCGTCTGTTGCTCCTATGTGGTCTCAGTCACAATCCACCCGCAAATCTGCACCTCACCATCACTTCATGGAGTACACTTCGGGTGGCATCCGACATTTTATCAAACTCGTCGATGCAGCAGACTCCACCGTCACTCAGAACCAGTGCCCCGCTGCTCGACGTATGAGCTCCATCAGGCAGCGGGAATCGAAACCTCACCTTTCGAGCACTAACTGCTTGGAATCGGGATCTCTTGTGATATATGCCGTCAAACCTACTGCCGAGGAGCCTTTACCCGATGTATACACCCCTCTAGGAGCAATTTTATGAACATACTAAGACATACGTCAGTTACGTGACCAATTATACACATGGGACAGACCTGCAGGATTTGACTCTTACTTGTTCCTGGGTCGCCCACTAGGAGAACGTTGATATCTCCTCTGTACCTTGGGCCACCGCCACCGCCCCCGCGCGCAATGCTTTTATTTGTTCCACCGAAAAGCTGTAGAAGAATTCCCTTCTTTACATCATCCATCTCCCATATTGATGGTGCCAACGAGCGAGCAAGTACGTCGTATATGTCCTGACGCTGACTGAGAGCCAACAGCTTTCGCTCCATTTCTTCTGTCTTGCTTCGTGTAGCCCGTGCTTCCTCGTTTTCTCCGATGACTGCTCCGAGCCCAGCATCTTCCTCGTCGTCCATCCAATCGCCTCCAACACCTGGAATTCTTATCGAGTCGGTTCGCGTGCTCTTGTCATAACCCATCCGCTTATCACTCCCTCTTTTGATATGTACCACGTCAATATATGTCTTGAAGAGGCTTCTGATGGTTCGTTGACGAGGGTTGACTCTGACAGGCACTGAGCGGAATATACCCGTCACGACGAGACGATCTCCTGGTTTTGAAACATCTACTAGTTCATCGTAGACGCATAGAGACACTGTATGAGGTGTTTGACCGTCGGGAACAGCGTCTGGGGTTTCCTGTAGACGGATGATCTGTCGGTCGGCAAATTCGGAGCGGTTATGGACGAGTGACATTGTCCCAACGCCGTTGCATACGTCTCGCGGACATCTACCAGGCTCTTCAATCCGACCTCGATCTATTTCGACTTGGACGGTGTGCGAACAATTCAGGCAGCGGAAGAATGCTGTTTTCATGTCAGGAATGACAGGCGTGGCACGAATCACCAGGCCCTTGATGGTGATCAGCTTGTCCGTATCTAGTATCGATGTTCAGAGACAGTAGGCATGCGCATTAACCCCTTACCGCTTGGGTTGAGGTCACGCATATTGCATGGCTCGCTTCCCCAGGGGCGAACTTTGTAGACCCTGGAAATGATCTCATTGATCTCCTCCTCGGCCTCATCTCCCCTCATTCCCTCCATATCGTTGGCGGCATCCTCTTCAGCAATCGCCACCATAAGATCCTTGAGAACCTGATCCATGACTGGTATGATTTCTTGGGGATACTTGAGAAGCTGCGAATAGAGCTTCCGGCTGGGAGGAAAGGCCTGCAAGTTGACTACATCGAGATTGAGATTGGTCTGCCCGGTAACTCTCATCTTGCGTAAGAGTTCTTCGTACAACAGTCGCTCTCCTTCATCCAGGGATGACATTACGGGTGCCACAATGCCCCGGTCGCGGTCAAATGTAACTCTGTGCTTTACTTTGAAAGATCGAATGAAATTGGTGAAAGTGGACATGGACTCTGAGAGAGACACATTTGTCCCCCATATAACTCGAGTAAGGTCCTCTGATTCCATTGCTGTGCTGGGCACAGACCCAAGATTTCCTGTCGACTGGGCGGGCTGGGATGATGGCAGAAGCATAGGCATAGATGATGGAATCACATTTGAGGCCGGTCTGTCCTGCTGATTGGGTCTGGTAATATGCTGACGACGAGAGGGGGTGGAAAATGCAGCTGAAGAGTGAATATCGCCACGTCTAGAAGGTCTTGGAGTGTCTATAGCGGGTGATCCTGGCAAAAATAAGGGTTCGTTGCCACCGCCGCTCCTCAAAGGCGTCGCCACTGCCCGCCGACCAACAGTGCTGGGACGGGAGGACATCGAGGATGCAATGGAACGTCTTTGAGGCGTTTTTGCTGCCATATTCACATCCTCAGATGTCGGAAAGTCCATCGGTGGACTCGACATTTTCAGGGTTCGTTGGGCGGCGTTGAGTGCTTCAAACTCCGACCCAACCGTGTCGATAGGAGAAATCCCATACACGGTCTAAATTCATTCAACAATGACTTTCGACGGGAAAGGGACTCTCTATCTCGAATGATCATTACAGTGTTTCTACTAGACGCTTGACAAGGGGCGCGACCACCTTTCTCGTCGCCTTTGCGTTTCCCTGACGCCAGCAACGCGCCCTCCGATTTTCTACACCAGCTATGCGTCGCTCCTCGCACTGCAGCTCACGATCACGGGCTATTCCTTCGAACAAGGCCGACTCGACTTTATCTTGCCCGGGCCGAACAACAAAGAGTAACTGTCGACGGTGCTTTCTTTTCTTGGCTGAACGATATGTTGTCAAAACACCAAGTACATCCAACTTGCGCTCCGACATCCATCCGTCCATGTCCCCCCAGAACTGCTCGGTATTCCTCTTCACCAGGACTTTTAGCCCAACTGGAACGGTCGACAAGCCGACGCGAGCACCAGTTAGGTCATACTCTTTATAGTCCCGACGGAGTAGATCTTTCATGGACAAATGCTCCACAGACGACTTTGCTGTTGCTAATCGACGCGAGAGCGCCTCCACGGCAACTGGAGGCTGACGTCCTCCACCAACTATCGAGGAGGACGTCACCAACCCCGTGTGAGGGACGAGTAGCTGCACCGCGTCGTGGTCGACATCGACAGCCTTCCCACCGGGCTTGAGACCGTCCGTATCTATCAGAATAGCTGAGAGTAGCAGCATTGCAACCGACTTCAGCTCATCTGTCGGACGCGTCGCCCATGATTCTCGGAACTGCGTTGTCACGAGCGAGGCACAGCTGCCAGCTGGTCGGATGATTCGAGGGTTGGCTTCAAGGTGCTGCCTTTCGTCTTCATGATGATCCAAGATGGCTACGACGTTGCCTTTGCAAGATGGAAGGAGCCGATTATGGTCAACAAGGACGTAGTCCAGGTTATGAGCGGATATCCCTGAAGAGATGTCACTAGTCGTCAAGAGGTTTTCGATGTCCAAAGATGCGAGGGAAAAGGCAAACGCGTTTTCTGGCCTGAGGTGCAGGTCGCTTCGCGGCGTCTGCACCAAGGAGATCATGTTCGGATTCGACGACAAATATGCATAAGCGACAGAGCTAGCGATGGAGTCCAAATCTAAGGAGCTGGTCAAATCCTGTCCCAATCAAACTCTTTACGCGCACCTCCCGCCTCATTTCCAGTTACAACGGTCCATCTGTTGGATGCGGATCCAACCTCAGACAGGAAGCTCTGTTTCCTCTCATGCAGAAAAGAGTCAAGAGCACTCGTTTCGTCTGCTCCAGTCAAGCTAACGTCAGGGAGCCCCGCGGCGGCCCAGAGCGATACCACCTTCTCCTTCAGGTAAGAGAGGGAAAGCATGTCACATCCACCTGCTGCCTAGTGGAAGGAGAAAAAATGGGGTTGACAATAGGTTTCTGAAGGAGAGGGATGAAGTAATCAAGTGCACATTACCCACCTGAGGTATGTTTCCTTGCCCAATCATGGCGTTTCTTACTGTGTATTTTTCTTGGTCATAGCAAATCCTATAAGCCTTCAAAGGAAGCATATTGATGAGTCAGGATGGCGAAATGTGAACTGGATTGCATCGGCTTGCATCACATCCTAAGATGCCAAATACATTGACCTTCCAACCGGTGGCAGGTGGCAATGGTAATTTTTTCCCCTACAGAGCAAACTTCGTGCTACCAGCATCCGGAGGACTGTCAAGACTAATAATGTACCAGTACCGAAATCTAGAAAACTATGGAATGCAGCAGTAGATCCAAAAGAAGACTTGTCAAAAGCACTGAGTATGCAAAATGGCAAGCTAGCAAGTAGATCAAGGAGTGCACAATAAAAGGACACTGGACCTCATGGTCATTTATATCTATGCTTAGGTTGCAGAAAAGCAGGGGACGCTTGTTAGTTACACCCAATAAGATAGAAAATCACTATCTTGCAAATTTAGCTGGCTTGGATATAGATCTGCGACTCTTGCACGTCTCCACCTTTCCATTTTCAGTAATGCGTTTTCTACTCATCCTCTGCTTTATTATATATGGTACTATGTGTCGTTTACATTTCTAACATCTGCAATCATCAACGTCTTAGTATTATATTACTCGCTTGGCATCAGAATTTGATCAATGTCACTATTGGTGGTCAGGCACTCGCACTGCTCTTTTTTAGTTGTATTATATCGAAGGATCTCTCCTCGAGTTCGACGCTTGAATCCCCTTACACTGTCCAGTGCACCAATGTATTTTAGCATAGCTGTAGTGTATTGGGTGAGAGTTGAACAGGTGAGCAGGGCTCGTGCCTGGCTGCCAATAGAGATGCGAAGCTATGCTGCCAAGTGAGTATTCCAGATCTCGTGAAGGACTACTTCGAGTCATAATCTCGCCCACTACTAACCTCTGTCAGCATCACTACAACATATCTTACTTGGATATTGATTAGTACCATCTTGTTAGTACCCAACGACATTGGCAGTGATTATTGATAATAAGGGATATTTCCGCATGCAAGATGTAAGCCTGTGTTTTCAAGAGCATTATGTTGGAATTGTTGCTTTGTTCTACTCTTGTTGGAATTATTGCTTCAGTGCTCTATTTGTTTCTGGAGTTATGATCTCCCCAACTATTCCAAAGCGTTGTCAGCATCACTGCAATTAAAATATGTACTACCTGCTTCTCACCAAATGTAATACGATACAGAGACATACGGCTCAAGTGCGGATTTCCTCTACTCGTCCTTTGCTTTACTACAAGTGTCTCTACATTGGATTGTTTATTGTCTGGATTCCGTACATCGTCCAAGGTTTGTACACCATTTTCATGGCTTGCTGTACGTTCTGCATGTCTTTCGTGCGTATAATTTAGTCAGAAGTCATAGCTACGAAGATGCATATGTTTATACTGCACAAGAAGTAGATGGCTGTTGTAATCAGTGCTCTAGCTAGGTCGATATATTTGTACATATTTGTTTCATTGAGTCATGATCTCCCCCACTACTTCAAGCCTTTGTCAGCATCACTGCAACAATGGCCAACGTGCGGACTTATGTCGTCTAGTTTCAGTAATGCTTTGCTTTTACTCATCCTCCGCTTTAACAGAGCTACGGAGAAGTTATGAAGCGCATTAACAAGGTGGATATGCAAGAGTTGCAGATTGCGCCTCAGACAATAACATACCTCGGATGTACTGGAAATTTACAGTAGCGCAGGCAGTAACTGGGTGGGCATGTCAAATGGTAAACAGCAGAGGTAGCAAGCGTCAAATTCAAGGCTGATGAATAATTCAAGGGTATATGAAAACTATGGATGAGCGGGCAATTCCCTGGCTAATTTAAGAGATACTCATCGAAATATTGTGCCAAGCGAATGCCCTAGAGCGCACGACTGACTTTGATAGCTTGTGATTTAGTGATTCGCCTTCACATGCGGTAGAGTATCAACAATTTAATTGCGTATTCCAGAAGGCTAATTCTCTCACGTTCTCACTCAATAGCATAAGATTAAAAGACGTTGACAAGAACTCGTAGCCGTTGTACGGAAATTAGGCGGCTCAGGTGCGAATTCAAGCTGTCTACTTTCGGTAATGTTTTCTTTACTCGTCCTCTGGCCTTACTGTACAAATTATCTCTATACTGTATCATTTATTGTACAAATACAATCAATCTTGACGACTGACAGCTAACAAGTTCTTAGTGCCGATGTCTTTGTATCATATAGTATTGAGGACGTGGGAAGAATAATTCTACGTGGTACGCAATGGAATTGTGATACTTTACTGCGTGTGAGGTGTGATTGCTAAGTCACGAGCTACCGAAGGGCTACTGTGTGCCTTCGCAGTCAGTTGTGCACTCTAGGATACTCTCTCGGCACCATAATTTGATCAGCATCTCAATTGGTAGCCAGAGAATTGCCCGCTCACTCGTGGTTATGGTATTCTATTAAATCCTTCATCAGCCTCGAGTTTGACGCTTGCGGCCACCCTTTGCTGTTTACCGTCGGTAGCTAAGAGAATGTGAGCTGTACAGGAAATAATAGTGTTGAGATGCCTTGGACAATAAATCTAAAGGACGAGTAAAGAAAACATTACCAAGATACGTCGTTGATGTACAGTAACCCATACAGTGTAGTGATAACGATAAAGCACAGTTCCACCGACTCAGAGGGCTCTCATAAAAGCTGCCACCAGTGTTCCAAGGCGTTCAACTGAATTCAAATTTACCATCGTGCTTGAGTCAGCATCACTGCAACATAGAACGCGTTCCAGGATACTTGCTTGGCACGTTGGTGGTGTCATCTTTTCTCCATTGACAATCGAAGTCAGGGGTATACGACATCTGTGGATAAGTGGTTATATTTCTGGCTACCCGTAGAGATGTTAATCAAATTATGGTGCTGAGCGAGTATACTAGAGTACACAACTGATTACGAAGGCGCAGGAAGCCCTTCAATAGTTTGTGACAGCAATCACTCTTCACACACAGTAAAGTATCAATAATTCTATTGCGTACGGGACTAATTCTTCCACGTTCTCGCTCAATACTATAAGATACAAAGATGTAGATACTGACAAGAACTCGTAGTTGTCATTAGCCAAGAATATATTTTTTTCGCACAGTAAACAATGCAATACTATATGCAATAAGCCAGTGGACAAGTGAAGGAAAGCATACCAAAAGTAGACAATGTGAGTCCGCACCTGAGCCATCTTGATTCCGTACACAGCCTTTCAGCATTTGTGCAAGGTGTTAGCTTTGAGGTCAACGCTTGCAGTCCTTGCCATCATCAGTCGGAATGCACAGCACAGTATACTCACCATTCAAGCTGACACAGGTGGGCGACATGTTTGTTTACTAAGTCTGGATTATATTCACCAAGTATTGGATTTGGAATGCTAACTCTTCACAGTTCGTAGCAAGTGGGCCGCATAGTGCCTCAATGTTGTATCTGACGGCAAAACACGCGGGTTCACTGGTGGCAGGTAGTTAATCGAAGGCTGAATGTGACCAAGAGAACATAACTGTTGCTTGGTAATTTTGATTCACCTATTTGCTGTGAGATGCAGGCAGGGAGGGTCGGTTTGTGGATTAACCTACCTGACAATCTCTAGGAACCCCTGGGTGATCAGCTGTTCAATGTCCGCTCTTCTCACCATGAATCGTTGCCCTTTCTGAAAATCGATAGGTCCTAATTCTGTCTGGATGGTGCCACATTCCCGCACGACCCGCACAACAACGTTGAGCTCCTTGGGCGGGATTGCAACATCACCTACAACATCCAGAATATCTTCAAAGTCTCCTCGGAATTCCTGCACAATCTCATTGTACGTCCGGAGAAAATCCACCTCGTGCGGACTCAGTCGGGTTCTGACCTCTGAATCCCCCAGCAAGTGAACCAATGATCCCGCAGCACCCCAATAGAGCTCTTTAAGCTTCTCGATTCGATGATTCTGGTATGCCAGGACGCAGCGCTTGTTGCGACGAAGAGCGACGTGATAAAATGATGCGGCAGCCATTACACCGTCCGGGACTTGGGAGTCATCAATCTCATACTCCGATGTGATCCTGGATAGATCCGTGTCCAGTGTGCGCATCTCCCTGCATACCGCTCGAACAAGCGGGTCGTTGTATTTGCTCAACGTCCCAGCGGCGTTTGATCTTCTTGCTTCGTTGACCAGAGTCATCGCTTGGTCACCAAATAAGCGTGTTTCAGAATCCATCGGCCAACACGGGATTTTGAGATGTGGCGACCAGCTCCAAGAAAGTTTGAACCTACTTCACCTCCCCTTGGCTCATGTCACATTCAAAGTCGGTGATAAAACGTATCAATGAAGCGTTCGACCAGGCTATTAGAGACCTCAACGTTCTCGAGATGCCGTCTAGTGCACCGGCACGTGATATGGCAAGAGCGTCTGATATGGGCACGCCCGACGCGGCAGGAGGGTTCATACAGGACTCTATCTCAACCTCCGGAGGATTTGTAATTGAGGATGACGAACAGAGGACATCTGGCGACGCTCAAACTGCGACGCACATCCCTCTTGCAGCTATACCCTCTGCCCTGCAGCTACTGGATCTTCCCCCAAATGACGAACAAGTCTCGGAGCTATTTCGTAATGCCGCTGGTCGTAGTAGCTCATTCGAGAACATGGTGAGCCGGGAGGATTTCATCAACGTCTGCGAAATCCTTCTTTCAATGTCGGACGACCAAGCGAGCGAACAAGAGGAATCACCAAGCAGCGAGTCTAGCGAAGAAGACTTAGACTTTCAGAACGCTTATGACGGCTCGACGTCTGATGATTCTGAGGGAGCGTCCAAAAAGCACCCAACTCGGAGACGTAAACCATTGCAATCGAAAGCAGACGCAATGGAAGCAGAATCCCCGCATTCGAAGAAACCGTTGACCAGACGTCAAAAGGCGGTCTGTCGGGAGGCGTTCCGCCTGTTCTTCCCAGACGTTAAGGATGAAGAGCTCAGCTCTCAGAGGATTATGATTAAAGACATCTCGCGAGTATCCAGTCTGACCAAGGAAAGGCTGACCGCAGAAGAGGTAAGCTTTTTCTAATTTATTCATACGAATAGGGACTCATTCAGGGCAGGTCGTGGAAATGTTGGAAGAGTTCTCGACAGCACCAGATAAATCCATGTCGCTTTCAGACTTTGAGACCATGATGATCGCGACCAAACTAGCATAAAGACACTAGGTGACCCTGTGGAATGAGAGCTCTATTGGTACTTCTCCATGAACTGGCGATGGAATTTCTCGAGCTTGTCAACGTACTCCTCGACACCAGCGCAAAGGCAAGTCAGACGGAAATGGGCCTCTCCTGTTCTCTGGCCGAATCCATCGCCACTCACGACGCAGATACCCGTCTGATCCAAGAGATTGATGGCGTAGAAATTGTCGGGTGTGCGCCCGGCCTCCTTTGCCGCCTGAATGGCACGCTCTGGAAGGTGAAGACGAGGGAACAGGTATAGTGCACCCGGGGAAGGAGCACATGACATGCCCGGAAGGGCATTTAGGCGGGACGCCATTAAGACTGTGCGCTCCGCGAGTGCTTTATGAATGCGGTCTGTTTCTTCCTTCCAAAGTGGGTAGCTCTCCTCTCCCTCGACAGGAGGGCGTATCATGCAGTCAACACCGACCTGGCCACCAACGGCAGGACAGAGGCCGACGCTGACCATCTTGTATAGGAGAGCCACCGTCTCCTCGGGTACGTTTGTGCACTCAAAGTATGCACCTCGTCGACCGCATTCACCTGTGACGCCCTTGGAAATTGAATGGAAAGAGACGAGCGGTACGTCCGACTTGAGATCGCGAACTACCTTTTTGAACGAGGTAAAGGAATGGCTGTCGCGCGTGTGAATATTGGACTGGTAGACCTCGTCTGCGAGGAGTACAACGTTGTACTTTTCACAAAGTTGAACAAGAGACTCCTGCTCCTGATAAGTGAGGACGGAACCGACAGGATTGCCGGGGTTAATGATGGCGAGGGCCTTTGGGGTGATACCTTCCTCGATTGCCTTTGTGATTGCTCTCTCCACTTCTGCCGTATTGGTTCCCCAGCCGCGTTCTGTCTCGTCAAGATAATACGGTAAAGGCACGCCACCGTATTGCGCAAGGGTTGCAGTGTAGAGAGGATACTGAGGGATTGGAATCAGGATTCCAGACTTGTCGTCTGAAACGAGAAAGTTGATGAGGAGATTGACACCGGAAGAGGCCCCGGCAGTGAGGAAGATGTGGTCGGGGTTGGACGGGTAGCCATCTCGTTCTGATGCACCATCAATACCGCTTCGCATAGTAATAAAAACACATACTTTCGATAAACTTTGCGACATTTTTACGGATAAAGGGGACTCCTTGAGAGTGCGTATACGCGCCAATTGAGCCTATTTCTCCATAGAGCTCACGAGCACGCGCGACTACATCCTTTGGGAACAGATCCTTGCCGCTATCCATGAGTGGGGGATATTCGAGCAGGGCGGCGACCTGGAGGACATCAAGGGATGATGAGCAGAGTCTGAATACGCTCTCGACGCGCTTACCTGTCTTCCAAACGTCAGGGGGGGCTGGTCCAAGCCCTTCTGCTGGGGATTTCCAATGTTTGCCGTGATCACTCGGTCAAACGGGAGACCATGGTTTGGATTCTTGAGCTGCTCTCTGTATTTCTCTGCCTTTATGGCGATTTCACCCCGGACGGCGTACTGGACATGCTGGATGCGCGGGTTGAGCGTCGAGGGGGCAAAGGCAGACATGGTCCTCTTGAAGATTGCGGTCGGGGCCCGCATGTCTCGTTTTTATCTTGTCCAGATTCGCTCTTGGGCGTTTTCTCTATCGAGCGTCCAGCGAACAACCTGCGGCAAATGGAAATAATACGCTTATTCGACTCGGCCGACCCGCCAACTTTGACCCGGGGGAGCTCTAGAAATCTGGAACATTGCCTCGTTCATGCGTCTATTTCCAACGGAACGACTACTCCGCAATTCTTTGCTTCCCCGCCTACTTTGATCCATCGTCCCGTCCGGGGCTCTTGTCCAATGGCAGCTACAACAAGTACCGACTTTGCCTGGTCAACTGCACTCTTCCCGCGTCCGTGTCCGTTTGTACGTAGTCCGCTATGCGCTGTAGCCATCCACGACGCATTCATCACAGACTGTCGGGGCACCTGTACCACCTGAAGCGAATTCACAACACCGCATACAGGTATAGTAGTGGCGAGAGCCGAGAATGATTTCAGCTTGGGATCCAATTGCCATAGCCGAATGTGGCCGTCCCAGGAGCCTAGCGGTGCCAGATAAGCAACCGAAACGATAAACGTACAAGAAGATAGCGTACCGGATGCAAATATATCTGAATACGGTAGTGCCGCAAGTGATGTTATCCACCGCGGATGAACGGCTGCCCCATGAGTCTCCGACTCGTGCTCGGTAAGCCCATGCGCAAGGTGCTGTTTGAATATGGGCTTCTTCTTGTTGGTGGACCATAGCGAAATCGTTCTGAGACGGGAAAAGGTGAGAAGAAACTCTTACAGTATGCTAGGTCACTCACCCACTATCGCCGCCACTGAGAAAGGTAGATTCATCTACCATAGCGACGCAATCTATGCTTCCTTCCACAAAATCACGTCGCTCCCTCTGTTTGTGTGTTTCACCAAGGGCCTCGTCGCCATCAGCATCCAGAGCGCCTTCCAACACCTCTCGGAGAACGCTCTTTGTACCGCCACGAAACACAATCTGGGTCTCTTCATGCACCTTCCAGTACCTGACCGACTTGTCTCGACATCCGGAGGTCAATGCAGTCTCTCCTCGCAGTGCATCAATGTCTGATATACGATCTTGATGCCCGAACAACGTCTCGACATAGCCCATAACCGATAGATCAAATAATTTGACCGAACGGTCGTGGGACGCAGAGTACAGCTGATTGCTTCCCTTTCGGAACGCCAACCCCTATCGTCGCATGGTCAAACTAAGGTCAGGGTATATATTTGTGACTGACCGATATTGAGTCTTTATGACCTTTGAAGCATCGAAGCCACTTGATCTTTTCAGTCTCCCAGATTCCGACTCTCCGATCCTTTCCGCCCGTGGCCAAATACTTGCCATCGCTGCTGAGGGCAAGGGCCCACAGTTCATCAGTGTGGCCAGTGGGCTCTTCCACATCCGCGCGTCGCTTCCCTTTCCCTTTGTTCTCGATAATCTGCTTACGAATGCAAATCACTTGCTTTCCACTCGCTATGTCCCATTGAATTACCGAGCCGTCTTTCGCACATGTGTATAGACGCTTTCCATCCTCGGAGATGGCTGCACCCGTTACGGCCAGACGGTGCCCTCTGGTCACGAGCCGAGTCGTCGCAGCCCCGCGAATCTGGGCCGGCATGAGTTGGAAACAGAGACAAAGGTCCCGACAAATACCTGACTCCCAAGAAAGATATGGACCTTCCCTGAATGCTGGAGCTACAAGTGTTGATTCGTCAATTTGATTCACGTCTGAGCTCATTTTGACTTACAACATCTTGTTGTAAACGCGAAGAGATGATGTCGCGATCAAGTTCTGCAGCGTCAAACTCTCCATCCGCTATACAAATACATTTAGTGTCAACTGGGCGTCGAAGACAGTTCAGTTCTTACCTAATGTGTTCTTCACACTTTCTAGATATATTTTTGCAAGTCTAAGTCTTTTCTCTCCAGCGGTCTCCTCCAAGTCTTCTTCGCCACTGATATTTGGATCAATAACGTCTGCTCTGAGGTCGTCGGCATCTCTATCTCCATTTTCAGAGCCACTCGAAGTCAAATCCTCATCTTTCTTGCGTCTTCTATGCACCACAACGGTTCCTCGCGATGGCTTTGACTTTTTCTGCACCTTCTCCGGCGGTGCGGATCGTAGGGAGGACGACCTTTTGCGTTTCTTAGAGTTTAGGAGCAATACGTCCTGCATTGACCCTTTTAGGTGCTGTTACCACCTGTGGGTTAATATGGGAGGGTTCAGGCGTACTCAATGTAGTCCACAATACAATACAAGATACAGTGTGACGAGCATTTCTAGGACGTGTGTCTATTTCTTGAGACCAGCCGCGTACGCCATTGTCCTGGACATCGGAACGGTTTCATCCACGAGTGGCTCTACCGAGTTCTGCGCCGGATTCTTCGGGTTGCTTATGCACACGCGCTGAAACCTAGTGAAAATTCTCTCCACTTCTTCATCCGAATCTAGGGTCTCGGAAACTGTCGGAGTATCGGAGGTTTCCAGTGTAATGGCCTTAGAAACCGACGAGGATTCCTCTTCAGCTGGCATTGGGCCCTCTTCCGTAGAATTTGGCGAGTCTACTCGCGCATCCTTGGCAATGGTACCATCAATGCCAACGTTCAGCGTAAAGTCTGACGGTTTCAGGGTGAGTTTATGCTGAGCGGCCAGGTCCATGAGATGATGATAGAGGATTATCGAACTATGGACGTCGTTCGATGCATCTAGATAATTTAAGCCATGCAGTAGTCGGGATAAAGTTTGCTCACAGCGCTGTTGTTCCTCATTCAGGAGGCGCTCCCAGTTGCTCATTCGTGGCCCCTCTGCATCCTTTTCGAGGTCCCTTTGTAGATAATTTCTTATCAGCGTTTTGAGAGCAACGAGCCTGCGTGCCGTCTTTGCGCCTGAGCTAGGATCTGCCCGGTTGGAGAGCCAACTGAGTTCAACCAGGTTTTGCGCTTTGACCTGATAGTCTTTGAAGAGTTTGGTCGCATCGCCTGGATTGAACTCGATCGTATACAAATGATATTGAAACTGCAAAGGACAGACCTCGAATATTGACCCCTGTCTTGACAATGGTGGGGTCTTCCAATATCTCCTTGAGCTTACGAGGAAAGCCTATCCAATATCTGATAAGTAAGAGGTTGGGATGATCAAGACCATTACCCTTCATGGCACAGACTTGAAGGATGAATATCTTCCTTGGAGTCGCAAGTTGGATCACTGCTCCTAGCCTTTGGGTTTGTTTACGCCATGATACATTCCATTCCATGTCAAATCCCAAGGGTCCAATGGTGGTGTCCAACGCAGTGTCCGCTTCCGATCTTGACCGAATATACATTCGTAGAGGCGTTGGCGAATATGTTGAGTAGTCATAACGCTCCAAAGCTGGTGTACTTGTTTGGGGCTCTGCCGACAGAGCCCCAGAGTCTTGAGCCTTCTCTTTGACCGAGGTTACAAATGATCGTTTGACGACGGTGGGACCCTTCCTGCGAGCGGCTGCCTCCCCACGTTGGTACGTAGAAATAAGAGGATACAACGTGGATGAACCAAGTCTGTGTGGATCAGATTCTGGGTTCATCCCAGTCTGCAGCTGTAGTGCATTGGTAGCTTCCGGTCTCTGTGATATTGCCACAAGAGTTTGGCCACGGGCAGTAAAACGGGTACTAGATGATATATTTAATCACAATTTTGCCGTCTTTAGGTTGGTCGCACATACCGCAGTGGCCTTTCGAGCTGTTGGGCTTGCGGCTTGTTTGCCATGGGGCGTTTGGCTCCGTTGAGGCGCGATGGAGACGAAGAGCCAGCGAATACTGACCCAGAGCGTGATATAGACTCTTTCAGCACGCTCATGTAAGAAATGACCGGACTTGGGCGGGTGCAGAGTGGAGTCCTACAACTCGATTCGACCATATGTTCAACGAGGAGCTCAAAGCGCTTCGCAGGATGGGATTTAGGCAGGCATGTATACTCTATCTATCATCTTCGTGTTCCTGAGTACGCCCTTGCAGGTCCTCCTGCAAGCCCTGAATTTTGCTGCAGTCATCGCAAGCGGTTTGATGATGTGGAAAGGTCTCGGCCTTCTCACTAACAGCGAGAGCCCGATCGTCGTCGTTTTGAGGTGCGAGCTGCGCCCTGTCTTTGCCACGTAGCAATTTTGACCGCCTGAACTCGCAGCGGATCTATGGAGCCAGCCTTTCACCGTGGAGACCTCTTGTTCCTCACGAACCCCGTCAATGAGCCGTACCAAGTTGGAGATATCACGGTTTACAAGGCATGTTATTTCTTTCTTTCATGACTGCGAATGACCACCGGTCAGATACCAGGAGAAGACATACCAATTGTACACCGTGTTATTGAGAGCCATTATTTGTGAGCATTGCACATTCGATGTCTATCCTTCCTCAACTAGTTGTAGGCATGACACACCGTTGGACCAAGAGATCCTCACCAAGGGTGACAACAATCCCTATGACGATATCTCACTCTATAAAAACCTCAAGTGGCTTGAAAGACGTCACGTAGTTGGCAAAGTTCGGGGGTAAGCATCCAACTCATACGATTCAACTGGCTGAGCAAGTATAGGTTCTTGCCATATGTCGGATACGTGACAATTGCGATGGTGAGTAACGTCTCCCGCCATCTTTCTTATCCTTACCTCCTCGGAGAACGATTTCCCTCAGCTCAAATATGCGCTTTTGGGCATCATGGGTCTTTTTGCGCTCATACAACGGGAGTAGATTATAATAAATTATGCCTCCAAATCGCATCTGCCACTTTGACCACATCCTGCATGGGCTCAACAGCGTGAACACGGACTATGTCCACGCCCTGTTGGACAAGCGATGTAACGGCAGCCGCTGTCGCCCAATCCCGTCTTTTTGGCTCGCGTTTTGCATCTTCGCGGTCCAGTAGTGTGCCTAGATACCCCTTGCGCGAGGTACCCACCAAGGTAGGAAACCGCGCCAACAATGGCCATGGCGCCAACGGTAGGTGACGATCAAATTGGTTGAATACCAACGTTTCACTGGTCAGGAGGCCGTGGTGCCTCACCAATCGTACGTTATCCTCGACACATTTCGAGAATCCAATGCCTGGATCTAGGATAATATTCCATCGTCGTACACCCGCTCTGAGCGCTCGCTCAACTCGCAGACCTAGTTCACGACGAACTCCTTCGATAATTCCTCCTTTGAATGAGGAATAATCCTTGTTCTGATTGGCAAGGCCTCGAGAGTGCATGAGAATGAGTGGCACTTTTGCGCGTACGGCAAGGCTCAGCATGGCGCCGTCATCCGAAACTGAAACACCGATATCGTCGGTGGATAAATGTGAAGAATGGACACCAGCGACGCCTTGATGGGGACCAGTCAAGGCATACACATCATTGATGCAGTTGGCTCCAGCTTCGAGAGAGGCAAGGGCGACTTCTGCACGGAATGTGTCCACTGAAATTGGGATGTGTACTCCAGATTGGCGAAGATGGGCTATGAACGGCGCGGTGCGCCTCTGTTCTTCCTGGACAGAAACGAAACTCGATCCGGGCCGAGTTGAATAGCCTCCGATGTCGATGATAGAAGAACCACACTTGACTGCGTGCTGAGCGTATCCAAGTATCGAGTCCCAGTCGGTATGGTCTCCCCCGTCCGAGAACGAATCTGGTGTTGTATTTAAAGTAGCCATGATAAAAGATTGAGACCCTAACGCCCATATTACCGGCGGGATAGAGTCGTGTGACGACGGGAAGTTGAGAATACGATTCATCGGCGAGGCACTAGATGGCAATGCTCTCAGGAGGTCGGATACGGAGCTCCCAAGGACTGGGTGCCGAAAGGTTGGTATAATGCTGAAGCGAGTCAGTTTGCATTCTATGAGACAATATTGCCGTACTCTGCCAGCGGTCGAAGGACGAACTCACGCTCCGGTATTCGTGAGTGTGGTACTTTTAATTCTCTCCCAGGTAGCTTGCCGCTCTCATAGACCCTATTATCGTCGAATAGGATGTCGAGGTCGACGACGCGAGGCCCATTGCGCACAGTAGGTCGCCTGCCCTGCCAGTGCTCGGCATCCTTCAGGAGATCGAGGAGCGCTTGTGGCTCCATGGAGGTGGATATCTAGCCGGTAGTCGGCATGGGTGCGTATTCATTGACTGAGAACACACCAGACAAGCCCCGTTGATAAATTTTGGCTGGTCGAGAACATACATTGGCTGCGTTTCGTAGAGGAAGCTTGTGTCGACAACCTTGATGTCGGATCGCGTCTCTAGATATTCTAGAGCCCCTTCAATATTCTTTACTCTATCTCCCACATTGGAACCCAGTCCCAACGCAAGGACGCGACGAGTGGGGGTTGCGGTTCCATAGCCTTTTCGAATAAACGAGGACAGGCTCCTGGCAATATTTCTGATTTGTAATCATTTATTTGAGGAATAAAGGGAGCGACGACAAACTGACGGGTTCCACATGCCGGCGGTCAAGTCCAAAGTTACGTCAACCCTCCAGACCTTGCTCCCTTCCACAACATGGCCTCAAACTTGCCCATCGACTTTTCACATCCTTCTGTCAAGGTAGGAAGTCGTAGACGAGTTTGAATATCTGTACTAAGACAAAATACCTCTAGGAATATGTGGTAAGAACTTGAACACCTTTTCATGAATCCTCTAGCCTCATGCATGCAAGGCGCTTATCAGACTGCAAGTCCTAACACCTCTATCGACATTGGTGCACATTGCGACCATCCTCGCCACGCAGTTTATCGTGAGCCCCTCATTGAGCAAGATCACAAAAGAGTACCACCATACGTCTATTACGCCATCGACTTCACTTCTGGGTGTATATCTATTGATCCTCTGGGGCCTACAAATAGGCTATTGCTTCCTCATCGTCATTGCCTGGTAGGTCTTTTTCCAGCGTTCTTCATCCTCTAACTGCCTCCTACAGGAGTGAAGACACCAAAGTGCGAGTTTAGATAGTGATTGTATGTCTAGGACTGACCAATCCCACAGAAAGCGATTGTCCATGGGACCGGAATGAGTATGTGCCTCTAACTCAGATGCATACATGGGCTCTAATTAATCCAATAAGCTCTCGTATTCACTAATTGGGTGATGGCTGCATACGCTGTCGCCTTGTCGACGCAGAGCTTCATACCTGCCACGGTCCTAATCTCATTGGTCGTCTTATTCCTTATTTTCATCAATCTTCGCCTCTTCTTCTACTATCCGGTCACTTGGACGCAGCCATTTGATTATCTACTCCTCCATGCCCCGGCTCGCCTCTTCCTGTTAGTGGCCGGCACCCTATTCCTACCGCTCACAGTGTTTATGGCAATCGGACACGACTGGTCACTTGCCAGAGATGATCTGAGTTACCCATGGGAAGGGTTCGCAGTCATCGCCACCATGGGCGTCCTAGGGGTAGTCATCGCCGGTTGGCGGAGAGACCTCGTTTGGACGATTGGGACCATGTGGTTGCTGTGGTGCATTGGTGGACTAAAGCCCAAGTCCACCCCAGTGATGGTACGTGATCGAACGTGTATGGGCCGCATATCAACTAATCACGGTCCAGACTGGGATCATTGTCTTTAGTGTCGCCATTCCGCTCGTGTTCATGGCATCTCTCATCCTGTCTGTGATCTATGGAAGACGAGAGGAAGGGAGGATCAGGCTCGAGGACGAAGAGACGATTCGAGCACCACCGTCGGCAACCAGGACTCGCCCAGGACAAGGCGATAATCATGAAGTAGGAGACGACGTGTGGGGGTGAAGTAGACTGTCTTCTCTAATTGACCGAATAATACTGTTTGTACAGCGCTTTACAACAACGAGTCCCAGAGACGTAGGGTTTTTTAGACCAGCCACGCGGCCTCAGATGCGAGCTCGTCTGTCCGAATGTGAAGCCAAATTGAGGAGCGAGCTTGGCGTCTGGGAAACGCCCAAGAGCTCACTGGATGTTGCCGCATTGTCTCGTGCCGACAAACTCAGCAAAGAATAGGCGGTCTGCTGGTCGCGACGGTGGCGCGTAACCGGAGAGGAGTGAGCGGCATCTTCTGTAAATGTTGGTGCAGGTAACAAGAGGGGTGGGACGTCGAGGGAAGGGAGAGTAGAGGTGAGGGAGCCTGACGCAGGAGGTGAAGGAAGACCGACGAGCAGGGAGGACACTGGCGGAAGTTCTACTCGTGGAGACTGGATTTGATCCGAAGATTGAACGGAGCCGCTGGAGGAAGTGGTAGCCGATTGGCGAGCATATCTTGCAGCCGCCTCCAACGTTTGTAGTCGGGCATTGAGCCTTTTAAGATGGGTCACGGTGCGGACAAGAACTTCAAGCTTAAAGTCCTTTGATCCATTGGTAGATGGAGACGTCTGACCGTCGTCTGAAGATGGCACGAGTGTACGGAGTTCAGTCAAGGCTTGGTTGATCTTTTCGCGGCGTTTCTTCCTGAAAATGATAATTATCATCTCAATGAATCGATTCTGGAACATTTGCATACTCTATAACCGAATGATTTGCCTTGCGAGCGGCCTCTCTTGCGTTGCGGATCGACGGATTCGAAACGGGCTTTCTGCCACGCTTCTTGGGCACCTTGGGCGAATCTTGGAGGACTTGAACTGCGCTGGTCGTCGCTTGGGCTGCTGACGATGGCAGATAATCATCGTCGGCGTCGTCGCGCTCGACGTCGATGGGGGACATGTACTCGTCGTCTGACATGGACTGAAGCCAAGGTGCGCTTGTTGAGTTTGTGCTCGTGTGCCCATTTCACCTTCTTATCGTCCGCACGTGCGCTCCAAGAGCTTAGCTCTTGGTGCACGTTTGCTCCCCTTGGCCCCGACCAACGAGTGCCGGAAACGGCGATCGTGCTTACCGAATCCTCATCGTTTGTGGCAAGTTATTCAATTGCCGTTCGCCTCTCGTGGCAACCAGCCTCTGATGCTAGACGCCGAGTACGAGTTGGGTGTTCTAACTTTGGACTCATCCACAACATGTTTTTCCTCACCGCGTTACTTGCAACTGCACTCAGTGTCACTGGGTATGAGCATGTTACACCTCCTACATTTCAGCTCGTCGTTTCCCTGACTTCGTTTGACACCCGAAACCTTTCGTCTTGGTCGGGTGGTAGTGGACAGCCACAGCAGATCCCGTCAGGCCAGTCTCACCCTTTTGAGGCTCGCTACTTTGATGAGGAGCACGAGCAAATATTGCTGGAACCCGTGCATTTGGCTCCGGTTATCCACAAAACGATTTGAACAAGTCGACTGTGGCTGGCAGGTCATTTCCGTATGGTGTATGGCCACTTTACTGGGGAGGAAACTTTATGGACTCTGCAGAATATGGCGAGGACAAGGATCCTATTCGACCTGGAGGTCAGCTTGTTGTACAATCCGTACGAGGCACCAAGGAGCGCTGGGGTCAAGACGAGACGGAAACATACTATATGCTGACGGACCGTGAGACGTCTTTCGCAATGATGACGAGCTTTGTGACCTGGTGTGGTGCGGTCCCAGAGTCGTGGCCAGTACTTTTCAATGCGACGGGTGCACCATTGGGAGAAGGGAGAGCAGGAGAGATGACATTTGCAGTCGAGAATGTACTGAGGTACTATCGAGCAAGCAGCTTTGCGATGCTGCATCGAGGCTACAACAATTCGCGTGCGCGGACGGCAGATTCTAGTATCCCGCTGGAGCAGAGTGACCCACTACCGGAAGCGGTCACAAGGTCAAGGTTATACTCATGTATTGAGGGGGTGATAGAAAATGCGCTCCCTATCTTGCACGGACCAGCGAAAGGGAAGAGCCTCGGTGTCTTCCTTGGCATCATGTTTGGAATATTTAGTTTTCCGATCATTGCATTCCTGTGGTGGTTTATCGCCTGCGTATATTCGTGCATCGCGGGATGCCTTCCATAGGACAGGCGAGTTGGCATAATCCTCGAATATTGTCTCACACGAATTTCATAATGCCTGGTTACTTCTTTGGGATGCAATATTGTGTAGCTTCAACTTGTTCACAATTTACGACCTCATTCATGTAGCCAGAGAGAAAGCGGGAGCATGCTGCTTTGTGTCCGCATCTGATCTATAGTTAGCTTTCCCTATCAGATTCGTGATGTGACGAATGAAGTTTCAGCAGGTGAATGGTCGAGGGGTGTCGGCAGCGTGTAATGACAAGGCAACGAGCAAGCGATCTCCCCCATGGGAGTGTGTCTACATCTGAGCTGAATTCGTAACAAACTGATGGCCACTGAATAATAAATGTTGTTGGGAGTTTACCGAAGCGTCTAACATAAGCGCTAATGAAATACTGTTATAATTACAAGCTGTGATGATCCAGAAGGTTACCTAATTATTGCTGACCTTACAGGTATGCTTCCCCATCTGAATGGTAAAGATATATTCTTGTTCTACATAAACTTATTTCCTTTCATCCAGATCCTTATCGTCGCGCGGAGTTTCTACTTTGCAAATGGCATACGAGCTACTTCTGCTTCTGATTTAAAATATAGACTGCCACTCATGGCCACCAGCCTCGTTTGGCGCTAGGCGCCGACTAAGTCTTCCACTCTGAACCCATCCACGAGATGCAATTCCTCTTTGTTCTACTCGCAGCTGTGCTCAGTGTCTCTGGGCGTCATGCTACACCCCCAACATTTCAACTCGTCGTTTCCCTGACTTCGTTTGATGCCCGAAACATCTCATCCTGGTCAGGGGGCGGTGGAAAACCACAACAGATCCCGTCGGGCCAGTCCCATCCTTTTGAGGGTCGCTACTTTGGTGGAGGAGTGCGAGCAAATATTGCCGGAACCCGTGCATTTGGCTCCGGTTATCCGCAAAACGACTTGAACAAATCAACAGTGTCTGGGAGGCCATTTCCGTATGGTGTATGGCCACTTTACTGGGGAGGAAACTTTATGGACTCTGCAGAATATGGCGAGGACAAGGATCCTATTCGACCTGGAGGTCAGCTTGTTGTACAATCCGTACGAGGCACCAAGGAGCGCTGGGGTCAAGACGAGACGGAAACATACTATATGCTGACGGACCGTGAGACGTCTTTCGCAATGATGACGAGCTTTGTGACCTGGTGTGGTGCGGTCCCAGAGTCGTGGCCAGTACTTTTCAATGCGACGGGTGCACCATTGGGAGAAGGGAGAGCAGGAGAGATGACATTTGCAGTCGAGAATGTACTGAGGTACTATCGAGCAAGCAGCTTTGCGATGCTGCATCGGGGCTACAACAATTCGCGTGCGCGGACGGCAGATTCTAGTATCTCACTGGAGCAAAGCGACCCACTACCGGAAGCGGTCACGAGATCGAGGTTCTACTCGTGTATCGAGGGGGTGATAGAAAATGCGCTGCCCATCGTGGATGGACCAGCAAAAGGGACGAAGTCTGGGCGTTATCTTGGGGATTATATTTGGAATATTTGGTATTCCGATCATTGCATTCCTATGGTGGTTTTTCGCCTGCATATTTGCATGCATTGCGAATTGCTTTCGATAGGGCCAGACCTAGGTCACCGATTGACTCTCCAATGGTATGAAGAGTCATCGGTCATGTAGTCTCCAAACGTTTATTTGCATTCTTGTCTGTACAATGTAACTGGCTATTATTCTATGGCTTTGTTTGTCCAGCTAGACTATTTTGAGCACAAAGGGGTAGAAGAGGGATCGCAGTTTGCTCCCATTCGGGCATGCTATCCTTGGAGAGATGTTCATGTTTGTCTCCTGTATGTTCCAATTGTGTATCCGATAGAACGAGTGGCTGTGACTATTCAGTCTGAAAAGTAATTGGCCGGGGGGGATCGTCACGAGTCGTGAGCCAAGCACGGCAGTGCATGTTTCTTTTGTTTTTTTCTCATTCGACTCGTGACTGACGCAATTTGGCCAGAGTTATAAAAGACAGAGTCATCAGACCCCCCTCGTTGGTAAACTTTGCCCAATGGACCCACTTTTCCACCGTCCAACGCCCGACGAAATCTGCCTCATCCTCGGCCAAATTGCTGAAAATGATGAGCGGATTGCGATCATTGACAACGAGCTCAAATTACTCCAACAACGTCGTCTTCATCTCGCCAACGCCAACGCCAGTCTGCGCTCGCGGCTGGCACCCGTGCGTCGCCTCACGTTTGATGTGCTTTCCCTCATCTTTCGTCACCACGTCCACATTTATGACGGGGACCCGTGGACGCTCGCACATGTCTCCAGGACCTGGAGATCCGCCGCGTTTGCAGACCGTGCACTTTGGACTGGCCTTCACGTCCAGCTCTGCCCTATTCTCCCGAGTGCTCCTCCTGAGAACAGGCGTATAACAGGCCGAGAATACTGTTCAAATATCACACAGCTCGATCTTGCACTTCGTAGAGCATCCAACCATGGCTTGGACGTCAAGATTGCATCCCCCTCGGCCTTTCCGACCGTCGTTCGTGCACACGTCGTCGACATGCTCCATCTCATCTCACAGCACATGGGTCGCTGGAATTCGCTCGAGATTGAGGGCTCCATCTCTCGTCTGCCTGGATTAAACGCCTCTCCTCCGTCCAACCTCGAACGTCTTACACTCAAGACCAGGGACACTTCCCTCCTTCAGCTCATAAACAACTCGTCCATCAACCTCAAATCACTCACCTCAACACAAATGGACCTCTCAAACTTTACAGCCGCCATCTGGCTGCCCACTCTCCGTTTCCTGGACATTACCATTCCAATCGACCACAGGATCCCGCCACAGACGGAAATCCTCAAAGATATCTTGGCGCGTGCAGTGTTACTCGAGGAACTAACTCTAGACTTTCATCAAATGCAGCTCCAAGTGGGCGAACTCGTCCGCCTCCCATCCCTTCGCAAACTGCAGCTCTACGACATTCCTCAGCTTCTTCCGTTTGACTGTCCCAACCTCACCCACCTCCTTGTCTCAGTCGGAAAACGGCGGCCAATCCTTACAACCGCGCCGCTGCCGACGCCTTCCAAGGCCCTTTATCTCCCCTCTCTCCGTTCACTCACCTTTCAACACCCGAACCTTGCAGCAATATCGGCCATTGTCGCTCCAAACCTTGAGCAACTCGTCATTAGTCCCCAAGTGCGCGTGATTGCACCTCAGTACAACGACAACGCTCTTCGTTCCATATGGAGCGACGAAAAGCGTGCGACTGGTACCATGTTATCCCCCCGTGTGCTTCACCTCGAAGACTTGCACGTGTCTGCAGAGACAATCCGATATCTGCTCGGATATTTGCACGGCCTCGAAAACTTGACCATCAAATGGGTCAGAACGGACCACACGGTTGTTCTCAACAGCTTGGTAGAGTCCATCTCCCCAGCCAAAGGCCAAGGTCCCGATACCACAGGCAAGCTGGCCCGACCGACGCTCTGTCCATCCCTCCAAACGCTCGTCATCCACGACACCAGCACTCTGCGGTCCACGGATACCAAAGCCATGGAGGCGGCCCTTCTCAGCATTGTAAGCATTCGTCGGCAATCAGGTTACCCTCTCAAATCGGTCACTTGCAAGTGGCCGCAAGGATGCGACATGGACGAGTTTAAAATTTAGCCGGCCGAGTGGCCTGTGCTATATACCATAGATCAAATGTAATGAATTCGCAGTAAACTAAATTAGACTCAATTCTTCCAAAATTCGTACCAATTCTTGGCCGGTTGTGCAGAGTTGGCTGAATGGCCAAGCAATGGTGTCGTCTCGTTGTGCGTCGCCGGAGCGGGTGCTGTAGATGAAGGTGCTGCAGCGTCAGAGGCATGGGCGTCCGTGTGATCAGAGTGTCGAGGTCGCCCAAAGTCGTCAATATCGAGTTTCCCTTGGCGGACCTTCCAGCACAAGCACATGATGAGCAGGCTGCCTATGGTGGGTTCAGTGAACTAGCCCTTCTACAACAAATGGTAATCACCTTGCATAATGCCCGCGGTTGCATAGGTAATCCAGCTAGTCCAATTCGTACCAGGACGAACTGCAATCGACCACACCATCAGGATGGCACCTGGCGTCTGTATACACATCATTGGGATACTAAGCGCGCCGACCGTCTTGGCTTTCCAGGTAGTCCACAATTGTGGAGTGTATTGGATCGCAGCCAGAACGGCAGAGAGAACTCCCAAAAAGGTAGCCCAGAGTGCGATGCGATGAGATGGGTATGGTGGAGGATAGTTTGGAGGAGTTGGGTCCGGAGAAGGAATCGGATATGGGGGGCTGGGATGAGGCGTGTTCTCGGTGAGAATAAGGAAGAAGGTCGTGAACGTAATGAAAAGAAGGTGCACTAGTGTTGTTACACCAGCAAAGGTTGCCAAGCGCCATTCGGTAGATGCGACATGCTCCGTCGTGACCATATCATGAGACCAAGGAACGGTATGTGAAGTGACGTTGACGTATTTAAGATGCGGCGGGAAGTAAACGAGGAAGAGAACGAGACTGAAAGAAGCGTTGTTTAACGTACTAAGGGCAGGGGAGCAGACGAAACGCACACTGTTGTAAAGAATAGCCACTGTAGTCCAACAATCCATACTGCTCCGAGAGATTCAATGCAATTGCCGGGACTGAGATACTTGCAACACTGAATGACGACCCATTGGAGAGTGATACTACCGATGCACCGTGAGAAATATATGTCTAAGAACGATAAGAGTATATTACTCACACGTTGAGCATGCCACTTGCAGCACTCGTGCTTCCGAGCAAGAGGAATATCGGGTTCAGGCCCTGACTCGTCTTGGAATGGATAATCTTGTAGTGCTAGTGCTAATATTAGCTTAGGCATCGAAGAAGAATAACAGATACGGACCTGAGGAAGATATGACAAGACCAGACCGACACAGAGGCCGCCCGTTAGCAGCGCTGTAAACGTATCATGTTGCTGAGCAAAGAAGACGCGTCAGCTGCGCGTGACAGTGTCTAGTGTAATATTTGTTACATAGGGACAGAATTCTCGTGGATAGTCTTGCACGCTGCTGATGGCCATTGTCGCCGTCAGGTCCAAAGTAGACGCGCCACTGCTTAAACTCTACGACGACCATGGCGAGCCTCGTCGCCATCCTAGACCTCAAGGGAAAGCCATTGATTCAACGCTCGTATCGCGATGATGTCCCTCCTTCGTACATTGAACGCTTTCTGCCGCTCATTCTCGAGTTTGAGGAAGAGGAGACGCAAGTGACGCCGTGCTTTACACATCAGGGCATCAATTATCTCCACATACGCCATTCAAACCTTTATCTACTCGCTCTGAGCAAAGGGAACAGCAATGCTGTCGAGATCATTCTATTCTTGCAACGGCTTTGTAGCGTCCTAGTCGAGTACTTCAAAGAGCTAGAAGAGGAGAGCATACGTGACAACTTTGTCATCATCTACGAGCTACTCGACGAGGTCATGGATTTTGGATACCCACAGACCACAGAGTCCAAGATTTTACAAGAGTGAGCGCTTATATCCAGCCACACGAATCTCAACTAACATCGGGAATAGGTATATTACACAAGAGTCGCACAAATTGGATATTACCGCTCCTCCAGCCGTCACCAATGCCGTCTCATGGCGGTCGGACGGCATCCGATATCGGAAGAACGAAGTGTTTCTCGATGTTATCGAGTCCGTCAATCTTCTTGTCAATGCCAATGGGAACGTAATCCGGTCTGAAATCCTAGGAGCAGTCAAAATGAAATGCTACCTGTCGGGCATGCCAGAATTGCGACTAGGTCTCAATGACAAGGTCATGTTTGAGAGCACAGGCAGAGCTTCGCGTGGAAAAGCAATCGAAATGGAAGATGTCAAGTTTCACCAATGCGTTCGCCTATCGCGATTCGAAAACGATCGGACAATCTCTTTCATTCCACCAGGTTAGTGCTTTTTTCTCCTGTCCATACGTTGCCCATATCCCTTCACAGACGGCGAATTTGAGCTCATGTCGTACCGACTCTCCACTCCCGTCAAGCCTCTTATCTGGGTGGAAGCCAATGTGGAAAGCCACCGCAACAGCCGCATAGAGTATATGGTCAAGGTACTTTTGATTAATATCAATCTTGTCAGATTTTGAATCCCCATTAGGTGAAAGCGCAATTCAAGCGGAGAAGTAATGCAAACAACGTAGAAATCTACGTACCGGTTCCAGACGATGCGGACACACCAAAGTTTAGAGTGCGCCGGACCATCCAATCGTCAACGAAAAGCTGATCATTGTCCAGGCTGCGACTGGAACTGCCCAATACGTTCCAGACAAGTCTGCCTTTGTATGGAAAATTAAACAGCTGGGAGGCTCCCGCGAGTTTCTGATGCGAGCACAATTCGGTCTCCCGAGCGTCCGGAACAGTGAGTCAGAATAAAATTTGCGCTCAAGAAGCTCAAAGAGTCGTAGCCGAGGAGACCGAGAGACGAGCGCCCATCTCTGTAAAGTTTGAGATACCATACTTTACCGTCAGCGGTATCCAAGTACGGTATCTCAAGATTGTCGAGAAGAGTGGCTATCAGGCGTTGCCTTGGGTGAGGTACATTACCCAACACGGCGATGATTACAGGTGAGGCACTGCATTCGTATGCGTGCATGCTGACACTTTTATAGCCTGCGCACAGTGGTTGAGCGTGGCAACACGCCTGGTGGCGGACCGATATAGCACCGAAAGTAATTCTACGTGAAAATACACACGTTTCGTCTAATCACAGATCTACCTTGTGGTCGGAACCCAGGCGACCTCGGTCACTTGTGAGAAGCTGCAATATTGAGGACGAAGCATCACATCCAATCGTTTCCAGGAATGATGCAAAGGAATGAGATGAGGTTGTCAAATCATGAATCGAAAATCCACCAGAATCTATGTCACCCCGAGCTCGTGGACGAACACGCTGCGCCAACCGTGGCATCAAGGCGGCATCGAGGCATCGATGCATCATACAGAAGCCAAAGTGGTCTGATGCTTGAGCTGGGATGAGAACGCGTACAAGAGTGGTAAAGATCCCATGCCGGAGGTTGTTTCCCTTCCTCGTTCTTGTCTTCGTTCCCTTCGGCCCAAGAGCGCCCATTCTGGACGCTATCTTCTTCTTATAACCATTTAATGTCTATTGTTCAGCACACGCATACCCAGCAGGCGTCGTATACAATGTTCTTCAAGCAGCCGCCGTACCCAACCCCTAAATCGTCTCAGGCGCCAACTCCAGTGAAGCGAAAGTCATTTTTTGGTGGAATAAAAACGACACAAACGTCCCATACTGTCACATTCTCCACGCCACCGTCACGCCACGCATATTCGACACATCAGCCGTCGCGTCAGCACCAGCAACGTTATTATCAGCCTCCCCGATCTTTTGACATCACTAGTCCCTCTGGAAAGAAACAACGTATGATTTTCGTCGAGCGGGTATCCCATGTCACCGCTCAGGTCGAATATGGCCTTGTCCCCGCTGACGCCAAATTACGACGGTATGACGAACAGGGAAATCTGGTTGGAAATGAGGGAATGGAGCTCCTCAGCCCAAAAGTGTGCGAGGATACAGTTCGCGGTACCTTTTTCTTCGCGGAGCGGCGGGGTGCTCTGCCCTCACCCAAGAATCGTGCGTTGAAGAAAGAGGAGAGCCAGGAAAGTGGTAAAGGTGCCCCATCTATCAATGGTCAAGACGTAGAAACGATCCAGGCGGAACAGGAGCTTGAGCCGCAGGAGATTCCGACAATCCTGGAGCAACTCGTCGAGCTTCGGGTCCTTCGCATTATCCCCTCAATTCGTTGTCGCAGCCGAGAGCACGCAGGTGCCTGCCTCGTCCGTATTCTGCTTCCCGACAGCGAGGTACTGGTCTCACCAATGGTTCTTGACGGTGTCGCTAACCTGCGTAGATCGGACATTCTTGTTCAAGCCCTCGCCACCCGTATGTTTTGTACGAGGCAACCCCTTACCCTCGTTTCAAGGTCGGCGAGATACCGTCTTAGCACACCAGAAGCTCACCAAAATCAAACAGGTATGCACCGCATGTCGCGCAATTCCGGGACGTCGCGGCGTGTTCTACTGCAGTGAAGCATGTCTTGCAGCCGCATGGCCTCAGCATCGCGTGAGTACCTCTCGTTGAGTGCTAGAAAGACTGTTGAACATAGTAGATCGAGTGTGGCAAATCCAAAGACCAGCTCCAGCAGATTGTGTCCATACTCCCAACTATTATCCAACCCCGGCCTACTGCTCTGGCTCATATCCGCGTACAGACCCACAAACCAGCGTGGTATCGTGCTTGGCTATGGTTTGGACACGTGGCTGAAACAAACCCCGAGAATAAACTCGACTTTCAGACTTGGAAGGCCAATGTCCGAGAGAGACGAGGAGCTAGTTGTCAGGATCTTCTTCCTGGATTCTGAGCAATCAGTAAACTATCTTGTACTGCCATACGAGCATTTTCTTGTACAGCATCCTTCGCGTACTCGTGGAGCGTTGCTTTTCTTGACGCGGCGAATTCTTTGCGTACATCCATGTATTAGCCGTAGAATAGTACTCGTATAAACATAGAATCCTGTAGCATATGAGCTCTGCGTCTTCTCAAAAGTCGCAGATCTCGTAAGAGGACTATACTATCCTATGCAGGATATCTGCCGCCAGAGTGTTCATCGTCTCCTTCACTTCGGCAACTCCGCTATCTGTATCGCCGTAGCTTCCTTCCAGGAGAAGCGGTACACCACGGTCTGCGCTCATGCTCAACTGTGGGACGAGCGGTAATCTTCCGAGTACTTTAATACCCATTTCATCGGCTGCAAGCTCCAGCGAGGTAGAAGGTCCGAAGAGGTCGTGCTTTGTCGTACACGAGGAACATGTATAATGCGACATGTTTAACATTACGCCGAAGATCTGCATAAAAATATAAGTGTGAGTTAACTTAGACAATGGTTGATGTACCGGAACGTTTATTCTTTGAAACATGGCAACTCCCTTCTTCACGTCCGCCAGCGCGACGTCCTGAGCAGTGGACACGATGACGGCACCTATAGATGCATTTAGAACGGGAATAAACAAGAATTTTGACACACCGTCGACCTTGACGAGCTGACCCAAGGTCAAAGCGACGTCGCCTGTCCCAGGAGGCATGTCGATCACGAGCACATCAACGCCATTAGGAACCGATCCTCCACCACTCCAGTCTACGTCAAATAAAAGTTGCTGTGTCGCTTTTTGGACCATGAGACCTCTCCAGACGATTGGAGCAGCTTCGTTGCTTGACTTCCAAGTGGATCCAGGGAACTCGCCATTGGTTGTTGGTTTACTCGCCGGGAATGCAGGTTCACGAGAGAGGAGAAAGCCCATGGACATGCACTGAATACCATGGTTCTTCAGGGGCACAATGCGGTCGACTGTAGGATATTTCGTCAGAGTCGTTGTGGTAAGGAATCTGGAGCGCACAGTGGGTCACTTCTGGTTCTGGAGCATCTCGTAGACCCATGATACGGGGTATAGAGGGACCAAATATGTCGAGGTCGAGTATTCCAACGCGAGGTTTTGAAGGCTGACGAGCAAGTGCTATGGCCAAATTGACTGTTCGCGACAAGTAAGAAAGGCGTTAGACAGGTTTCAGTTGTCATACAGAGAAGGAGAAACCTGCCACGGTGCTCTTGCCAACGCCGCCTTTTGCGCTCGAAACTGCTATTACACGGCGAACCAGAGGAATTGGTGACTTTGTAGGAAAATTGGACCTTCTCGGTAGTTTAGGGGAAGAAGGGCCATCCTCAAACTGTAAAAACCTCAGTCGTTGTACCCAGACACTATAAGCCGCTTGTACGGACATTAAATTTGCCATGTTGCATCCTCGAACTACTTGAGAATGTCCTCAGGCTAGCATAGCAGCCCGTAGGTGCCTGGTGTCTTAACATGTGAGGTGGTCGTCGGGTCCAAGTTTTATTCATGGTCACAAGGAGAGTACAAGAAAGCTCTATTAGAAAAGTCAACTGGATTTATACACGCTGTTCAAGACGACTTGAAAGACGCGACAAACAATAAGTACACGACTAGTGGACAACCATAATCCGTTCCTAGCTTGCTTCCTTGGTGTGACTCTTCTCGTGTTTTTCCTTGTCGTGCTTGTCGTGAAGACCTAGGATGGACGAGAGTCTCCGTCTAGTGCTGCCTGAGCTTCTCTTGTGACTATGCTTCTCGGGAGATGCAGATGCAGAGGTATCATGTGGAGCCTCATCTACCACGAATGAGATTGAGGTTGGCCCAGAGGTATCACCCGCGGTCTGGTCATTTGGTAGAGCCGCTTGGGCACGATGAGCTGGACTCATCGATGGACTTCCTGCACCGATACTCCCGCCACGGCTTCTTCCAGAGGTTCGACCAATACTTCCGACATCGTACGCCATAGCAGGGGGTAAGCCGTGGGTGGAGGATCCGGAGACAGTGCGTTGGCGCTCAGAGCCAAACCGGTCAAGCCCAAGACGGGAGCTGATGCTGGTTGATCGAGCATGTTCTGCTGCTCCATCGGCATGGGGAATAGACGTAGATGGTCGTCGTGGCTTCTTCAACTTGTGCGCGCGTTGGTCTGCATGCTCAAGGAGCTCGTTCAAGCGAGAAATTTCCTCCTCCTGTGATTTCGTAAGTAATAAATAGAGTCGCTACGAGTCTCCGACCTTAGCTTTGATGTCGGCCTTGAAAGCCTCATTGTCGCGGGTCTTTTCTGCTACAGAGTTTTCCAACTGCACGATCTTAGCATGAGCGTCTTCCATAACTTGGATCTGCTCAGTATCCGACTTGGCCTCGCCATCTTGGGATGCTCGTTGCTCTGGCTAGGAATGAGAACAGACAGCGTGAATAGTAAGAGACATGCCTTCAAGGGCTTTGATCTTTCCCTGCAACTGGCTGTTGACGAGCTGGACGTTGTATGCTCGAGTTTGCGCCGCAGCTAGCTCCTGACGAACTTGGAGCAAGTGTTGTTCAGCTTCTTCGCGGGCTTTTTGGGCAGTTTGAAGGGATCTGTCCGATTCTTCGTTTACTTTGACGAGGCTCTGGACTGTCTCGTCGTGACTGGTGACTGCAGCTTCATACGCTTGCTCTGCTTGCTCTCGGGCTGCAATTGCCTCATGTAGCTGTGTCTGAACTGCATCATTCTGTGCAACCAGATCATTGCGAGCCGAAGATGCAATGCGTGTTTCTTGATCCAACTGTGCCCGCAGATCCTGCAGAGTAGTATTGGCAGCCTCCAATGTCTTCTGGGAGCCCTGTAGCTTTGTATTGGATTCATCCAGCTGTGTAGTAAGTTGCGAGGCTGAAGCCTCTGCGATTTCAAGTTTTGCGGTGAGGTCGTCCACTTGCGTACGCAACGCCGCCTCGTTCTCTCGCAATGCGTCCATCTGCGCAAGAGCTTCTCGCTGGGTGCCTTCATTCCCCATCCTCGACATTCTCGCCTCGTCATTGGATTTACGGAGCGTGTTCAACAGCCCTTCGGTTTCCTCCAATAGCTGCGTTTGCGCATCAAATTGCCTTTTGATACGAGCAAGGTCTGCCTCGTAGTGTTTGGCCGATGCTTCGGCATCCCTACAGCGTGTCTGCCAGTCTTCATCCCCTTTATGAGAGCCTTGGGACTGTTTGACGAGCCGTTCACGGAGTAAACGCTGCTCCTCATTTGATTCGTCGAGGTTTTGGGAGAGGGATGCATTGCGCCGTTCCAGCTCGAGAATGCGCTGGTGGAGGATGTCAAGCTGCTGCCGGTCGCGCCGGTAATCGCTCTGTACCCATAAAAGCGAATCAGTCAGAATTGCAAAAACACATGAAATGACGTGGAGCGGATACGGTGCGTCCGTCTGCGAGAAACGTGGCCGGCGTGAGGGAAAGAGGCGACTTCAAGCCATTGACAAGTATACACTGCCATGAGTGGGAAGAACAGGACCTACATCGAGCATAACTTTGAGGACGAGCCGGGACCGGTCGACCCAGCTTTGCCAGTAGCGGGCTGGAATGTAGCGGGCAATATTCAGGAAAAATTGGACAACGACAAATGACAGGAGAGTAAACGTGGGGAGGACATCCGAAGCCAACTGAGTGGGACCGAAAGTCAGAGCTTTGTTTTGAAACGGCGAGGACTCTCAGAACCTACTTTGAGCGAGCGCTGAAGGACAAGAGGAAGAGGAACAAGCATTAGTTTCCTCGGAATGACAGATGATGAACTGGGCATCGTTTCGGTGGAGTTCAAGTTGCCGCTGCCACTCGCCCAACCTGAATCCACAGTCATTGGTAATGTTCTCAAGACATCCAACGACATTACATCAAAATGCCCGCTTTCACCTACTTTCATGTACAATGTCGATTTCAATCCAGTCCAACTGTATACACCGACTGGCCAATCTCGAGATCATGGGAACAAACAACTGCACAGACTCAACGCAACCGAATCAATCAGCACGACTTGAGTTGATTCCACGGGCTGCCTTCATACACTCTTGGCGTCTCTCCTTGAGTCCACCATTTTGCCTGCCACAAGTATCCAGCTATCACTCGCATCAGCCAACGAGCAGCTGCAGGGGTCCATCACTTACCATACGTGACTTGAATCCCCGCTGTGTAGACCGCAGTTGAGCTCCAGGCAGCCATACCAGCACATGTTCCACCAACTGTCGAGCTATTGGTCGATGATGCTGGTGGTGTTGACACTACCACGGTTGTCGTTGGCGCCGATGTGCTGATATACGAGGTGGTTGTCGGGGGCATAGCTCCCATCTGACTTCGAATGTTATCAAACTTGGAGCCTGGATAGTTCAGATGGTTCTGCGTCGTATCCAGCTTGCCAAGTGCCCGTGCTACAGTGCCCACGAGCGACTCGGAGCCCCTTTTGTCGTTGGATAGTTCCCAGAACATGCCTTGACATTTAATTAGCCAATTATGAAGCCAAATCAGCCTTTAATTACCTCCAGCAAGACCTCTGCTGTTGATATAGGCCGCTTTCTTGTCCACTACATTCGGTGTATCGTAGGATACGAGAGTTTGCGCGCCGGCGTCGTAGCAGTATGAAGCGACCGAGTCTGACTCCTCTGTGATGGTTGATCCAGGTCTAGGGAGATGTGAACGACCTCGAATCAAAAAAACTTGTTGCTTCACCTCGGCAGATCCTTGTAATCCCAAACCCCATTCTCCCAAGACCCAGGGCCTACGCCACTGAATGGCTTACGGATCCCTGCACCAATGTCAAGAAAGGCAGAAGATTCGACTGGGGACACGTACCGGCAGTATTGGTGAACGCTGAGCACACGTCAGATGGCGAGTGTTGGAGGTGAGAAAACGCACCTCGACCGTACAGCGGTATACCCATGACAACCTTGTTTGGAGAAGCACCGTGACTAAGGTAATAGTTTAAAGCGGTTTCGGTACTGAATCCGGTCATCGTCTGACCAGGATAGAGATTCGCCTGGTCATCGCTGACCGTGCTCCACGATCCAGCATAGTCGTATGCCATAAGGTTCCAAAAGGAGAGCGCAGAGTTGAGTTGTGAAATCGGGAGAGTGTTGTACCCAGTCGGACCAGCGCCGACTGCGGCTGTGACGAGATATGGGATGACATCCCCTTTGTTTCGCGCGTGGTTATCCAGAGCTGTGCGAAGTTCGGCGATGAGTGCTGCAAACCCATTGCCCTGTTCAGTGGACGACGGATATTCATAATCGATATCGCTGAATGTATTCAGGTATTGTATATTTACGCTAGGGAGTGTACTCACATGCCGTCAAATCCATTGTCTTCAAGCAAAGTGATGGCTGTGGAAATGAAAGTTGCCCGTGCCGAGGGGTTGGTGACAAAGTTGAAGTGCCCGGATTCTAGAGGTGCATGAGATTTTAATGGGAATGATTATGGGAATGTACGGGAGTAGGTCCACCCGCCAAACGACAGGAGGGTCTTGAGACCGCTATGGTGTCGTGGTCAGAAACAGACAGCCCTCGTGGTAAAATCCCTACCGGTTGGCCTTTTTGAGCAGGTACAACTGCTTCATAGCGCCGTATAGATTGGTTCCAGGCTCACTCCAGCTGTCTGTGGCATCTAATGATCTAGGTCAAACCGCAAGTTCTCGTTCTCGGTGGATCTCACAATGCTTCTCTTGGTCGGCATATGTATCTGTGAGCTTAGCCACCCCAGTCGTAGCGTCGCAATCGGCAAACGCGTAAAGAATATGGGTAAGCGCTGTGACATCGATATCTTGCGGCTGAAAGTTGCGACCGTAAATGCCCCTGCATGCGGTCAGCCCCAGTATGATCCAAACACTATAATACAAACCAGTTGACTATGAAGGTCGTCAGTCAAGCCGCTACTTTGTGAGAACACGCACCAAAGTAACCGATGTTGACTTTGCCGTTGGGACCAGCCATACTTTCTGCGACGAGCGTTTGCACATCGGAATCGTAACGGTATCTGTCGTCTGCATTTGCGGTAGTTGCATTGTTGTACTGAGCGGGACGCATCATGGCGGGCGTAGAAATGGCAGATGTCACCATGCCAAAGAAGGTAAGAGTGGCTGTAGAAAGCCTCATCGTTGAAAGGATTGGAGTAGACGAATGAACGTGGGTACTAGCTTTGGGTCACCCTAGAGGAGGGTTGCTGGTGGGAGATGGTTAGAATCGCGTGTCGTTTTATAGGCAGCGCGGTATAAAAGGGGGGAGTCGTAGAGAGCTTGTATTTACCAATCATTTCCCCCGTGATCCATGGCGCACGATGAGAGATGGCTTGTTTCGGAGTGGCAAGTCGGGTATGATGTCCCATCAAATCGTGGGATACAGAACGTCGAAGTATGGCTCCCGAGACATTCCGACTACTTCTTTAGTCTCTCTGACCTCCGCAACGCATGGCGTGTCGCTACTGGGAATGAGTGAGTCAAAGGAGAATATCAGAATGCATCTCGCCGGATATAACGCGTTTTATCTTGTCAAATTCGAAGATAGATAGCGCGCACAGCGGCATATATGACCTGGAATCGAAGTCGAAGATGGGCACATGAGCAGCGACCTGAAATAAGGATGTTGATGTACCTTGACCAGTAGGACATGTAGGAAACATTAAAGTCCTGTGAGGGATTACAGAGACTATATTGGGGAGCGTTCTCATGGTAGGAGCTCTATCACAGTACCATCTGCGGCTTTCCACGTATTTCATAAGGGAGTTGTGAGTACCGGGCGCATGATAGTAGCGTCCTCATGAGCCATGCAATCAGAAGCCGAAGGCAGCGACGCCCCGGAGAACCATATGTCACCAGGGCCACAATATCCTAAGCAGCGCTAGAGGCCGAGCCTGTCTTCCTTGGACTCGGGAGATGTCGGGATATCCTGAATATATGCTCCGACTGCATTTTGATATGAAGAAGCCGCCTGTTGACAACGTATGGATATCCAGACGTACGCGTAGCTTGGTCCATGTTTTGTCGTTACGGCATATTCCCGTAACGGAGTCTTACCTGGAAAGATACTGAGCACAATCACGCGAGGGGTTGTCCGCGAAACGTACAGCTCATATGTGCCCCATCATACCATCAAATTGATTGGAAGCCGTGATCATTCAAGATTTGTCGAAATGTGGGAAGCTGCCGGATAAGGTCTATAGAAAGCATCCACGTAGCCGACTGATGAGGATGAGTATACCACGGTTCATGTTTGAACGCATAGCAGTCTAAACGATGTGAACAGTCTTGTACCAGGACAATCCGTCCAAAATTCCGGGGGCCATCTCGCGGTTGCACATCGAGAGAGTGCGCAACCTGCGCTCAAGTGACCCAGCAAGGTCTCGACACTTCCAAAAAGACCGAATATAAAGGACTAGTATTGAAGAAAAAAGACGGGAAATTTGCAAAGAGCGTCATTGCAGCTCTACAAAAGTACTCAGCATACCCTAACGCGTTTCCACGCACAATCACGCTCATCCTTTGGCTTTTCATTCCTTGTCCAGCGCTTTGCCTGCCACAAGTATCGATTCTGTGGTGGGCGGCGCCGATGTCTGTGCTGTACTTGTCGACATTGAAGATGGTGGCGTAGGCGTGGACGTGGATGTGGTAGTTGTAGTCGTTACAACGGTCCCCATCTGACTACGAATGTTATCAAACTTGGAGCCTGGGTAGCTGAGGTGGTTCTTGGTCTTGTCGAGCTTTCCTAGAGTCTTTCCTGATGTAAGCACAAGTGAATCGGCGCCCTTTTTGTCTGCAGAAAGTTCCCAGTGCATGGCTGCGATATAGGCTCAGCCAACTTGTAACGAAGCATGGAATAAATGCATACTGCCGGCGAGATCGTTTTGGTTGACATAGGCAGCCTTTCGGGCCACGACTTTGGGGGTATCGTAAGAAACAAGAAGACGCGTGGTCGCATTATAGCAATAAGCTGCGACCGAATCACGTTCTTCCGTCACGGTCGAATAAGGTCTAGAGTAGACGTGAGCTTGGGGCTTGTAAGACAAGAAACCTTACCTAGGGAGGTCTTTGTAGTCCCAGATGCCGTCCTCCCAACTGCCAGCGCCTACGCCGCTGAATGGCTTTCGGATCCCTAGAAGAATCAGAATATGTTCAGTAACAAACTGGTTGTCGCACCATCTGTATTTGCAAAGCCTATAAACTCGTCAGCGAAAGCACCAGTAAAGAGCCGATTTGGGCTAACCATGTCCGTAAAGTGGTGTGCCCATGACCATCTTCGACTTGGAAGCACCCTGACCAAGATAATATTGGATAGAGGCATTTGTACTGAACCCAGTCGTCGTCTTGCCAGGAAATAAGTTTGCATGGTCATCGCTCACAGTGCTCCACGAGCCAGAGTAATCGTACGCCATGAGATTCCAATAGGTGAGGGTATCGTCCATGGCGGCGATGGGCAGGTATTGGTAACCCGAGTACCCAGCACTTACAGCGGCGGTGATTTGATAAGGCACGGTATCTCCTTTGCTTGCTGCGTGTGCGTCAAGGGCGATGCGGAGTTCGGCCAAGAGGGACGCAAAGCCAACGCCTTGCTCGACAGACGACGGGTACTCGTAGTCGATGTCACTACAGCATATTAGTACGAGGGATATACGCCAAAGGCAAGTACTGACATGCCGTCAAAGCCATTATCCTCAAGGAGCGTAATGGCGGTCGAGATAAAGGTTGCGCGTGCAGTGGGGTCCGTGACAAAGTTGAGATGACCCGCCTCTAAAGAGTACGATAAGAATTAAAACCAAGAGTAGGAGCCACCGCAACGCACGAGAGTAAGTCCACCCGCCAAACGAGAGCAACGTCTTGAGTCCGCTACAAACCGATCAGGTATCTTAGATAATTGGGGTTACGGACGGCGTACCGATTAGCTTGCTTGAGCAAGTACATTTGCTTCATCGCCCCATACAGATTCGTTCCGGGCTCGACCCAGCTATCGCCGTCGTCTGTCCCAGACATCAGCCATGAACACTAGGGAAGATATAAAGGAACCGCACAGTGCTTCTCCTGGTCGGCATAGAGGTCTGTGAGCATGGCAGCACCAGTCGTCGGGTCCGTGTCGGCAAACGCATAGAGAATATGCGTGAGCTTGCTCACGTCAATGTCCTGGGGCTGAAAGTTGCGTGCGTAGATACCCCTAATCAAATGTAAGGGATCTGCTCCAAATCATCTAGGGTCGTACCAGTTTACTGGGTGGGTTATTAGCGAGGTTCTTTAAGGTAACAAAGCTTACCAAAGTAACCCATGTTGACTTTCCCGTCGCGATGGTTTGGGTGAGGCGGACGAGGTCCGTTTGGATGGTAGCGGAATCGGTCCTCGCAAAGCTGCGTCGTCGCATTGTTGTACTGGTCAGGACGGGCCATGACAGATCCTGGAGCATTCTTGGGACGTCCAACGACAGCCAAGGCCGCTTGTAAGAAAACGAGAGTGGTCGCAAAGAGATGCATAAGTAACTTGTAACGAGTGTGGTATCCTCAAGAGGGAAAGGAATGACGTGAATCAACTCGCCGCGTCTGGCTTTATACGACGAGGCTGTAGTGCAGGGAAGCAAGGCTGCCCCCACACAAGCATACCTTCTTTCCACGCTCCCGCTTGCAGCGGAGCGTCGGATAACCAGTTAGAAATAGATTTATGCGAGCGGACCGTCGTTGCGATAGATAAGGTGTATCAAGTCGTAGATACAGCGTTGGAAATGCCCGCTCATATCGTGGGATCACGCGCGAGAATCCCGAGAATTCCGACGGACTCGACTCCGATATTGCACCAGGTTAAACTTCTTTATATAGAGTCGGTAGTCTGAGAAGCCCATCGGTACCGCGGTCCAAAGCTGTTGTATACATACTACAGAGAAGCATAGATTACTGAGGAGCATCATGAGCAGAATACGCTGGCGCAGGTGTCTGGGCCGCCATCCTGGGGGGCTGGAATCCCGCCTTTTCCGATGGTTCTGTCGGCGGGGGTGCGTATCCAGAAAAGTGAGCCTTTTCATGTCCCCACGTCGCCGTAAACTGTGCCTTTTCGTTTGTGGGATGACCTTCCATTGCAAATGCTGGCGGGGGAGGAGAGCCGGGGTTTGACGACGAGCCGGCTATGGAGGATCCTGCGACGCCTTCGGACGTGAGCGGTATCGCCCAGGGTGCGTATCCAGACATGGGCGTCACGGACGGCGGTGGCGGGGATGGTGTGAGGGAAGTAGTCGTGGGCGCATAAAGATGGTTTGTAGATTCTGGAGGTGGAGGTGCATAATTGTAGTACTGGGTGCCATCCTTGGGACCCTCTGCGCTGCCATACATGCTCGGGTTGTATGCCGTCGAGGTGGTATAGGACGAGGTGGCACGACGTAGATCTGGATGGACAAATCCATTTGGACCATTGGTATTTGGTGGACCATTGGTATTTGGTTGAGGAGGAGTAACGAATGGGACGGGAGGGGGCACATTGTATGCGGGGCCGATCCCATTATTAATATTCTGGTTCATCTCCGGCTGTGTGGGCTGCTGTTGTCGCTTACGACGTCTCCACCAAAAGAAGAGTCCAACGAGGAGTGCAATGCCACCAACACTTCCGACGACGGCGCCTACGATGACTCCAGTGTTGGACTTGTTGGTCGGCTTGATGGAATCTGCCGTCGGACCTGGGCTACTAGTCAGATTTCAATAAGAATCGAGGGATCAAAACGCACAGAGACCACGCTTTTGGTAGTATTGGTCCGTCTGCAGCAGAATCGGGTTTGCTGGCGGGGGTATGCTGGAAACATTGAGCGAGGGATTCAACTGGGATATCCAAATAACCGTCAGCAGCCATCAACACCCATCATAGTGGCAAATAGCACCTCGAGCAGCATCAGCAGCGGCTCTGCCGCGAGTGTGACGAGCCACGGCAGCGTCCTGTCGGCCGTGTGGATTTGCAGAGAATCAAGAAGACTGTGGACATCTTCCATCGTCAGTTCAGGTTGGGTTCAAGGAGCGACTGGGAAAAGGTAGGGAAAAAGTAGCGAGCGCTCGGCCATCAGGCTTGGACTCGACCAGCCCCCGAAAAGCCTGCAGATGACACCAAATCTACGCACAAAATACTGCTTATTGCTGGGACTTATGGCTGGTATGTTGGTGTAAACCCCTAAAGGCAACCAGCACTCAGCGTTTGTAGTGGCAACCGCACGAGCAGACACCGCGGAGCTCCGTCAACGGCACAAAAGACAAAACTACACCATTGTAAGTCTATATTCTGCATCTCCGGGCACATTCTCATATTTTATAGTGCTCCTCCGAGTGCACCGCCTACACAACGACACTGTCCAGTTGTTCCCTCAACGTGGCAACATACTCTTCATGCATATGCTCATCTCAAATGGTCTCAGACATTCTCAGTTGTGTCAACTGTGGGGTCGCCGCTGCAACCTCGCAGATTGAAATTAACCAAGCCCAAACCATCATCAACAGTGCGTCTCTCCTTTCTACATGATGATGAAACTTCACTCAGGAATCAATAGCCTGGGTCTCTACATGCTCAACCTGGGCTATCCCATCAGTATTGTCCCGACAGCCCGTCCGACCGTCTCCTTTCCTTGCACGGAACCAGGCCCCGCAGCCACGGCATCCGCTTCAAATCCACTCGCAAGCTTCACCGCACCAAATGCAGCAGGTACAACGTCCACTCGTCCGTCAGCGACGGGCGCACCCTCCGTCAGCATCCCGGGTTTCAGCTTTGATTCGAGTCAGCTCAATCAACTCTCGAGTATCTTCAACATGCTCAGCGATGAGCTCAATAGTCTCACTTTGACTCCTTGATTTCGGATAGGCCCATACTGTATCCTTATATTCGGCGATATCTTATACGTGCAATAAACGGGCTGTATAATCCTATTCTCCTAGTTCGTCCCCGGAAGAGATTGTTTGGGGTGCTCCAAGCTTCGCCGTGAGGACACTGTGCAAAACGGGTGTCTTGTATCGCGAAAACGACGAGATGCGAAGTATACTCGAATCAGCCTCGTCACCCACTTCCGAACTGAGATTGTCGGTTTGCAGACTCGTCTCCACATCCGAATTCACGTTGTCAACAGAGCTCGCATCGTTGCCAAACCGTAGGCCAGTGGAATACGTCACATCCTCGACCTCCCTCTCTGCTGTAGTGCTCAAAGCAGCATCCATTGACCGTTCTTCACCCTCTGAATGAGAATAATGCGTCAATGTAGCCTCCTCTTCAGAACCAGGCGACGTCTCGTCCTCCGCTAATTCACTCGAGGCTTGGTCAAGTGAAAACGTAGAGCTCTCCGAGCTGCTTTGTTTGCGCGTTTTACGGCTCCGGGGGTCTCCCTGGCCCCCGTCGTGCAGTTGAGCCGGGGTTTGTTGTTTTTGGAGGCCGTCCTGGTCCCCTTGCTTTCGGGGGTAGTCTGGATCCTCTTGCCTTTGGAGGCCGGCCTCTGCCTCTGGTGCTCGATTTTCCCCGTGTGGCCCCTTTCGCCCCTCTTGATCGTTTTGGAGAGCTTTCTCGAGAAGCCGACGATTCCGCATCCGAGGAGGAACTAGTCTGTGAACTTGCAGATCCACTTGGGCGCACTGCCCTTTCTGTTCGTCTATCATCGTCCTCGTCGTCCTCAGAAGTTTCGGATGAAGAGCTGCTCCCTTTATCGCGATATGACTCGCCAGCAGATTCCTCGACCGCATCTAGACTGGCGTTCCATTCTTCCTCGCTCCCAACACTCTCCCTCTCTTGGCTCTCGTTTGTACTCACATCGCCCGTGGGTGGTCCATCTTCCGTTAGTTCCGTCTCCGTTTGCACAACTCGTGCTCGCTTTGAGACAATGTGGCCATCAACCTCGTCAGGCTCAACATCCGTCTGTTCTCGCTTTCGTTTCCTTTTGGCTCTTGCCAAGTAGCGCTCAGCACGTTGCACACCAACCTCCAACGACATCTTTACAGCGTGTAAAGTCGCGTTTTCGCAGGAATTGTACACCCGATCCAGGGCCGCAGGGGTGTAAAGGCCACAGAGCGCAAACAAGTCTGCTCGATCGCGCTCAGTTTTTTGCGAGGGCGGCGTCAAGCTGACGCAGACGTTCGATCACACGCAAGTTGCGTGCGATAGATTGCGAATGTGCAAAGAGCCATGCATCAAACGCAACGATGAGCCTAAAGTAATCCGCATAAAACGGTGAGGATACGCGAACACTGTGTGTCCATAGCGTATGGACGAGATATCCAAGATAATCGAGCATGTTGATCGTCTCTTTGCTTGAGATCTCGCCCTCCTGATCGATCATCTCGTTTGAAACCAGCATCTCCAATAAAGCAAGCGTCCGCGAGTAAAGCCCCTCTAACAGCATTTCTTTTGCAGTTTGGTCGAGAGAGGATAGGGGCGACGTGAGATGAAAGAGGGTATTGCGAGCGAGTGCATGGAGGAAGATGCAAGTTGGGGCAATAGCGGCGTCAATGTGACGTACCAAGTGATTGACCGCGCGTAGTGTCCAGATATGAGGAGGGGAACGTTCGAGTATCGGCAAAAGTACAGCGAAAAAGTCTGCTGAGCATAAGTGCGTAGTGTATTCCACGTAGAGGTCGGTCAATTGCCGGCCCATGTACGTTGCAGGACATTCTGCCGAATCCGAGTGTGGAGTGAAAAAGGAGAGGAGGATGTATTCGAGTAGAATTGAGGCCTATAAAATGTCAATAAGGGCATCAGGAGAAGGGTGTGGTCCAAATACTTCTACATGTAGCTTTGCCTCGAGTGCAATTGTGAGCAGGCCAGACCAGAGCTCGGGGATAAAGACAGGAAGCCTAAGTTCCACAAGTTGGAGAGCGTGCGCGACGAGTGCGTCTCTACGCCATGAGAAAAAGTGTGACGATTCTACAGCCAAGCGAACTCACCTCCTGGTATCGACCGTAAGATCTCCATACCAGTGACCAATACAGTCGTCAATTCCTTCCTCCTCTAGTTCGTCTTTATCCCTGAGCGTCTCATGAGCGGCCTGCCGTCCGACCATTTTGGCAATGAGGCCTCTGAGAGTGGGGACTCTTTGATCCTCCGGGATGACGACAGAGCGTACAAGATGTCTAAACGCGTCCTCTACTCCAATGACCTGTTGATGAACGTTGTAGCGCTTTGCGATGCCCTGTTGTTGCTCGAGAGCGTATGCACGGGTTGCTTGACGGGAGGATAGACCTGTAAGAAAGCGAATACGATGTCGTTTTGCATATGTGACGCCCTGTGGACGCGTTGAAGGCGCGTAAACATCGGACGCGACGCGCTTTTCGAGTAGACGCGCGAGTACAACCAACTTCGTTTCAAAGGGACGCAAAAGAATGTGAATACGGGACACTGTCAGGTTGTCTTGTCTCATAATGGCTGGGTCCAAGGTTGGACTCGACCATGGCTGAGGATTATTGGCAACATTTTCAACGAATTACAGGGAATATTGGGAATTATTCAACCATGACGAAAGGGGGTTTCAGTCCGCTCATTCGGTTCTTCATATTACAACGGGTTCTTCGGGCGTCATAGTCGAGCTCATCGACGATCCAAAGGATTGGATTGCAAATGTTTGCAAGCTGATTGGATCACATGTTCATATACATCATCGACGACGTAGCAAACCTGAAACATTCAAATAGGCCAGCCCGGATTGGGGCCCAGTTATGTATCGACTTGTTCGCCCCCTCATACTTTGCCCCCGTCAGTTTTCGACATCTACACGAATCATGGGAAAGCACCAGACACTCACTGCCGCCATTAAGGAGGACCATCAAGAGGTATGCATCTCCTGCTTGCGACGAGGCAGAGACACTGATGAAATGCCTCGAGATGTACGACTATTACGACGAGTACATCCGTGCTGGCGCCATTAAAGACGTCAGCGCACAGGCTCGTTGGGCCAACCAACTCCGATGGGAAGTTGCCCGTCACGCTGCTGGCGAGGAGATTGTCGTCTATCCTTTGATGGAGAAGCATCTCGGGACGGAGGGTGTCCGACTTGCAGACGAGGACCGCACACAGCACCAGAGCGTCAAAGAGTTACTCTACCAGCTCGAGTCTCTCTCGGCGGGGACCGACCAATTCGACACCAAGCTCAAGGCTATTGTACGGAAAACTTTCATCTATATTCACCGCAGATGCTAAGGTCGTACCCCACAGGTTGACCACTTGAAGCCACACAACGATAGCGAGGAGCAAAACGACTTGCCCGCACTCGAACGCGTCCTCGGTCCAGAGAATAGCAAAAAGGCAGCCGCGAGCTTTGAGAGGACGAAGAAGTTTGTGCCAACGCAGTAAGTCACCGCTGAATGCGCCCCAATCCGTACTGATTCTGGATAAGCCCCCATCCAAGCGCCCCGAACAAACCACCGTATGAAACTCTTGCAGGATTCCTCGCGTACCCCATGGACAAGCTCAAGGACATGTTCGCCGCATTCCCAACTGATGACATGAAGCAGCAAATGGAGACGCATGAAAACAAGACTATTAACACTACATAGTCATCTCAATGTTATTGTATCGAGATAAATAAATGGATTCGACTTGAACTCCCACTATGAATTCTCTGCCTAACGAACTTGTCTCGCTCATCCTCCGAGATGCTACATGCGACGAAGACTCGCTGCAAAACACTTTTAATGATCCTTGCGTACTCGCCACGTATCGCTTTACGGAGACGGATCGGTCCTATGCCCCTATGCAGACTAAAGTCGCCCTATCTCTGGTCTGTAAGCGACTAAATGTGCTCATACAGCCTTATTTATACGAGTACGTCTACGCCCACTCCTCTTGCATTGGTCTTTTACTCGATTCTCTTCAAAAGCGCAACCGTGCGCGTCTTGTGAAGCGAGCAGACGTCCACCTATACGATTTCGTACCCGACTGGGAGAATGGATGGCAAAATGTTCTTCCATTATGCAAAAATATTCGCATTCTGGATATATACGAACGGCTCGGATATCCGCCATCGGACTGGGCGACCCAAATCTGCTTCACGATTAGCAAGCTTTCTATTCTAACGCGAATAGAATGGAATGGTCCAAATGCCGATATCGCGGATATGCAGCAACTCTGTATTCTCTGTCCAACGATTCAGCATCTCGGAATGACGCTCAACGCGCTACCAGAAACGAGCGACGCGCATAACGATGCGTTTGCGATCAAATTTCCTTCCTTGCGGGTCCTGTTACTCAACTGGGTCCAGCCCGTCGAGGTAGTCGAAGCGGTCATGTACCCGCCTTTCTCCAACTGGGATACACCGCAATTAGAGCATCTAACATACTTCATTGGCGGAAGAGCACATTATGTGCTTGTAAGGGGACTGCTGGAGAATGAGTGGGGACGAACGATTACCTCGCTTGAGCTCCCGGTACTCGGTAAGAACGCGACGTTTTGGTTCGATCCGACTGTACTGCACAAGATGCCCAAGCTGTATACACTTATTCTCGACGTATTCAAGGTCATCCTCCCGCCACTTGGGGTCTCGTCATTATCAATCGAACATCCAACTCTTGCCGTCCTCGGATGGCGTCTCCGAATCGGCTCTGCGCTACACGATATTACACAGATTCAAGCCCATAGACGCCATTTTTCACTCACTCCCGGCTCCCCAGTATACTTTCCAAAACTGGCGCACGTCAAGATCGTCCATCCACATCCATTTGACGAGTATTACGCACGCACACTCACGCCTCCACTCGTGGCATTCTGGAAAGAGCTACTAGAGGATAAAGAGTGGGTTCCCATCCTGGATTTCGAGGGAACAGATCTGAGAGGGTATTTCTCTGGTAATACGAACCTAGATGAGGGGGAAGGTTGGGAGAGCATAGGACTGGTGACTGAGACCAGCGATAGTTGCCAATCACTAGTCAAAGAAAATCACTGGAAATTCCGGTAGTCCAGATAAATGAATGAATGAAACCGTATTCGACAGGAGGTGCGAAATCAAGAACTCAGGGAACTACGAGGAGAAGATGGGGCACCATGCCTTTGAATCTTACCTCCACATCATGTCAATACGATCGCTATTTTACATCCTTACATACATCTTGTTTGCATTGTCGCTCCAATCTCCCGTTAATACTCTGCCAATCGAAGAACACGCCCTACAGTTGGACGGCGCCGCTGCGGCTGGAACACTTCGACGTCTCCTGAATCGAAGAATGAGTACCCGGCGGCTATAGATTAGTGTCAGTAACTCTTCCTGGGACAAATAAACAAGTAGAAGATACCCACTCAATAGGTCAATGTCTACATCCTCTTCCTCGTTGGTCTCCAAATTGGCAAGACGGACGTGGCTACCTGCACGCTTCATCACAATCTTCTTCTCCATACCATCCACAGGTTTCAGCCCGTTGGGAATAGAGTTGGTGGGTCTGCTCTGCGTACGTCCGTGCTGCTTCTGTGGCTCGAGTGGCTTAGGTCGCTCATTTGCCTGTCGATGAAGCTGAATAATCATCCTTTGCACATCAAGCAAATACTGCTTCATGGTGTCCAAGAATCGGCGTGTCTGAAGGTGCTTGGACGACGCACAGCTATGTCAAATCATCAGCCATTTGAAGTCGAGTCAACGAATCTGACACTTACATTGAAATACCATCATCTTTGATAATATATCCAATACCATACCCGTCAGCCGCGACCGGCCCGAATCCAAACAACCTCAGAGCGGGATTGCCACAATTCGACGTCGAGATAATCGACGTGTTAAGGATACTCCATCCATGGTCCGTAAAGATGGCAGGCAATGCCGTCGCGTGTCCAGACGCGGTTGGTTCGACATTGACCTCGTTGTTTGCATTGGCTGTGGTATCTCCATTTGTATACCCCTCTCCGCCTGCAGTAATCTTTGTCTTGCCGTTGATCTTCGGACTTTGGGTGCTCGGTGATGGGCTCCGAGACGACTCATTGATTTCGCGCTGCAAGAGGCAGTATAGGGCGTAAAGATGCCTAATTAGTAGGTTCAGTCCCAATCATAGAGAAAACCTGGGGACTCTGTACCTGTCCTGTCCATATCCAGCGCTACACTCGCGTGTTAGCTTCACGTGGGCAGCACAGGCCTTGCGGAGCGTGTCGATCTTTTGCTCAATACTCGACTCGGAGAAGAACGTCTATTGCCAATAAGAAAGGTTTGGTATGAGAACCCGAACAAACCTTTGTAAATGTGACGCTTGTAGGTTGAACTGTCCGAATGGCCTCGGTGCGTCCGTGTAAAAAGGCCTTGGTCATGGCTGGTTCATACGTGCATTCAGTTCGCCCATACAGCCTGCAATTTATCAGAACCGCAAAGAAACATGCTAGCGACATACCCATAGTATGCAGCCTGGAACGCCATCTGGACGAATGCATCTGGGCTGAACCCATGGCGGGTAATGAAATCTTTGCCATAGCCTTTGAATTCCAACTCCTGGCAGTCATTTTGGCAAATCAGGTCCGAGATTCTGCGTTCCGCAAATCGGATACCCGCACGAAGCTCCGGAACCAGATGCCACTCGAGCTTCTTGGGCGTCGTGTCGATATGCTCTTTCGGGCCATGAATGATATCCTCCTTCTTTGCGCCCTTGGATGGCTTGTAACTCTTAGCGTGCGGACTCAGTTTGGCGTGAAAGAGTGTCGGTGCTGCGGGATTGATCGAGCGTGCCATGAGCATTAACCCCTCGGTGAATACGTCTGCTGCAAAGCGTAGAACGGTATGACCGTCGACACCCGTATGTTCAAAGTTGATACCAGCTGTCCCGTTTGCACAGACAATAATTTGGAGCTGTTATCAAACACTCAGTAGATGATACATTGGAATGGAGACAACGTACCTTGTCGTACCACCGGTTGGTACAAGTGCCGACCTGGACACCCCCGTTGAGCTGATATGTCCCGCAGAGGAAATTGCTGCATAGCTCTGCCACATTGTCCGGTGCAACATCGTCCAAGCATACAACAAACAGTGCGTCATCCACAACCTGGAGACATTCTCGATTGGCCTCGTCTGAGATCAGGACGTTGCGTAGTCGGTTCCATACTTTGCGGTTCTCCGTCGTAAGTACGCCCATGCTCGAACTGGCCACCTCGTTCAGCGGTACAGTCTCGGCATCTGAGCAGATTGCCTCGAGATTGCGTAGGATCTCTCGTTCTGTGAGCACTGGTCGATTGGCCGAATCAAGCACGTCAAAGTGGTCTTTCGGAAATGTGAGTCCAAGAATAGACTGAGTCTAAGAAGGCACGTACAGAATTGACCACGGCGAATGACGACAATATGCCGCGAGCCTTCGTCGACGTCCATGCGGCATCCTCGGTTCGTTGGTACACGCGCCGTTCCAAAGAGACGCGTGTATTGGTCCATATCAAGCGCCTTTCCACGAACGGTATCCGGGCTGAGCAGCCCCTCGCGGAGATCATGAACAAAGCCGAGTGATGAAACAATGAGTGACGCTGCACGAGGGAGTTGTGTGCCACGGGACGGTGTTGGGTCATCTCTGAGATAATATTAGACAGGGACACCTTTAATATTAGAACAAACTCACTCGAGGACAAAAAACGGGTTCAACGCCAAGACTACAGGATCCGAATGCGAGAGATACGACTCGTACCTGTGGCTCGCGTCAGTGGCTATTACTATCAATCGTTTGAATGCACAAACCAAAACTCTTCAATATAGCTAGTATAATAGTTCTCGTTAGAAGGCGCAATACGCTTAGCGACGCACGCACCTGTCCTGGGAGGCGGCCCATTCCTTGAGCTTGGCCTGAATCCTTGGTCCATCGCCATGAAGAAAGTCATCGACCGCCTTCTTGGTCGCTTCATGCTCGTCTTCATCCTGGAGCTCCTGGAGCGCTGCGAGGTATCGCCGACACGTCTCCTCGAGCTCTGGGACAGGCAACTTGGAAGATTCGCCTGGGCCTCTGTGTCGAGGATCTTGGGTTTATGCGTAGAGTGCGGCATGAATACTATATGCGATTTCTTCGACTGCTGAGCTCCTGATGCTGTTAATGGTGGAGGTTCAAGCGTTGGCGTCACCTGGTCACGCGCTAATACGACCGACGAAGACCGGAACGGAAACACCAAGAGTTTGGAGACTAGTTGACCCAGCTTGTACAAAGCTTTAGGAGTCGTTGAGTGGAGTGCGGGGAAACGGCCTTATATGGCGGGCGCAGAGTACGATGGCGCGTGATTTCGAGTTTGAGTCTACTTTGCTCGACTCGCGCTGCTTATGGTATCTACACATTTTGAGAAGAATGTGATTCCAACCGCGACTCCGTGGCCACGGTGCTCCCAGGCTCGATAAGTGACGACGATGCGCAACTCCGGCATGCATGCTGATACGCTCATCCTTGCGCTTCTGTTCCCTCATCGTTACTATACGCGTTACTTTTGTGCTTTGGAACAAACGTCCACGCTGCCGGTGCGGGTCCAAGGAACATTTCCGAAATCTTCACCCACGTCTTGCAGTCCGCACTCGAAAGCAGAGTCTCTGAACAATGGTTAGATCACAAATCACCTACAAAGTTGCTTACCTAGTTCATCCCGTCCTCGAAACGCTGGGGCTCGGTCGTTGAGTCGGGGTGGCATGACCTCGAGTAATCCAATGGGGATATAACGATGCAAGAAAGAGAGAGCCTCGCATAAATATCGCCGAGTTGTATTGACTCCAGCCGTGTCTGACCCAAAGTGACTGCAAGATCGTCAGCTCGGGCTGTCAATGACATTGCCGTCCCACCATAGACCGAATTCAGCGTACTAGAAGAACATAAATTAGGAATCCCATGTGATTTCCCCGCATGCGTACCTTGCGGATCAGGTCTAGCCTCTCGCGAGAACTTATATCCCAGTCCCTGCGCTCCTTGATCTCGGTGCTGCGAGGTATTAGATACGGCAAAGTGAAGAAACCAAGACCATACAAAATCCAGGGTTTGATAAGTGCACCTCTACCGATCATGATCCCGTCAACCCCGGTCGCTTCGACCGTTTTCCAATACTCCAGACCGAGAAACAGTCTCCATTCCCCCAGAATGGAATAGGCCCAAAACCATAATTCAACCCACCACTACTTCGCATCGCGACATCGGCGTCGATGCCCTCTACCGCATCCGCTAGCGTCGCTTCATGCGCACGAAGGGCCTGCACACATGACTTGATGTATTCCCAGTCTGCTAGGCGCGTGTATCTCTGTTGCCTCGATCTCCCATGTAGCTGAATCAAGACATTAGCCCGTCGTTCATCTAGTATTGAAGCGAACTGACCGTCACAGATCCAACCGCCCAATCATGCAGCCTGGGCATCAGTTTGTGCGCCGTCGGAAAGCCGTCTTTCACTCCTGTCCGCATTTTGAGAGTGACAGGGACATCGCCAAGCGCATAATTCATCCCAATCAAGCACTTGCCCATCTTCCCAGCCGTATTTAGGACTGCGCCCAATGAGTATTTGGATATAGCGAAAAAATGTCCACGTACGAGCACTTCCACTACCTGCTTGGTATACGAGGTCGATAGGACAACCAGCGTTCAAGTCCACAAAGTCGATCGAGCTACACTCGTTTCCAATTACGTCGGCACACGCAGTGGTCTGCCAAAATGTGAAGCGTCTTCATGCAAAGGGTGAAGACATACCTGTTCGGGCTTGTTGCCCGCGATCTGAACACCGAATATCCTCTCCGAAGGATGTCTCCTAACCAGTGACCATTCTTCTTTTGAGCCTTGAAGGAATGAATGCGATAGTCCCATCTCCCCACAGGTGATATCAACTCCGAGTGTTGTGCATAGGCGTCGAAACGGCTATAGAGTCTCAGTATTGACCTAATTCAACGGAGTGCCATACCAAATTACCAACAGTCGTCAGAGGAGCAAGATCTACGAAATCAGTTGACAAATAAGACGAAGGGAAGAGTAACCCACAAGTCAGATCCTTCCAGTGCAGCCGCTTCTTCTCTGGCCTCTCAATAATATATACATCACTCCCGCCCTTTGTCTCGTCGTCTCGATCTTCTGCCATGTCTCCTTCATCCTCTTTATCAGCCCGTTTCGTGAGTAGTCCACGGAAGCTCATCGATTTTCCTTCTCCCTCCTTTAAGATCCGCCTAAATTCGTCCGTCTTCTCCATCTTATACTAAAAAGCACACCAATGAGTCTTCCTTGGACAAGAAGCCACTACACACCTCTCTCTTGCGCAGGCTCTTCGCTGTGTCCGGCTGGATCATATTCAGCTCTTGAGCATGGGCCTTGGCCCACTCAATACGCTCCGGGTTTGCGCGGACACTCAATGTTCTATGCCCTCCCTCTCCGTTGACAGGTGCATACTGGAGGTGCGCACCAAGGAAGCGACACTTGAAGTTCGCTTTGCATTCTCCATACTCTTCGAAATAAGTGCACCGCGTGGCTGTTGATGCGCCCGGACAGAGGTCGATAAACGGATGCGCCGCCTTGTATGCCTCTGTTCCCTCTGTGTCTACATCACCCACATGCACAAAAGGCGGAGACGAAGAGAGAGATAAGGACGTAGGAAAGAAGATGTCTGAAGGCTTTCCCAAGAGATACGCCGCGAGATCATGTGAAGCCCTACACCTACACGGAAATTCAGTTGAATACACTCGGAAACGAGTCCAGAAGCGAGCACGCACTTTTCACCAAATGGACATTCGAGTCCACAGGCAATCTTCCAGCAAATCTCTTGCTCGTCATGAACGCGCTGGAATCGACGCCCTTTATTCTGACCAGTCTTGTTCCTCTTCTCCTCTTTGGCAAGTTTTCGTCGCTGAGCACCCGATAGCTTGACCTTTTTCGTTGGTGGCTCGCCGTCGGCGTCCTCCGTAGCCCCGTCGCCATCTTTGCCCTCGGCAGGCTCTTTCGGAGCGACTGATGAGACAATTTCGTCTTCTGTTTCCATTTCGGATCGTTTACGCGTCGAGCCGGCCAATGGAACAGCGCCGTTGCTTGCTACCACCGTGACATCCACAGAAACAAGGGGTACAGCGTCCACCAAATATCTACAAAGGAGGTCAAGGAATGCTCAAAAGGATGTTTATGTCTTACTCTCGCTTGATAGGCGCGGTTCCCTTTGGCAAGCCAGTCGAAGTCATGGTCGAAGGAGGCGACCAAGCCAAGACGGTCGTTCGGAGTGCTCAAATCAAGAGTCTAGAGATGTAAAGAATGTGCTGCCTATGACTAAGTTCAATAAATGTACACTTCAATAAAGAAGTGAAGGATACGACGGGTATGATATTCATGCCGACCATTCAGAGAAAACATACATGAGCCAATAAAGTACACTGGTCTGGTCACATCAGACTGGTTGTGCCTGAAACGTCTCTGCAAGCCATCCCGATAGGCGGGCGGCAAGGGTGCTCGGAGGTGCACCGAAGGCGAAGTCTGAAATCAGGACCGCATGGAAGGATTCATCACGTATAATCTCCAAATCCATAGAAGCATCTCCTTCACACGAGCGACGAACTTCATCTCCAAAGGCCAGTATATCATCGCGGAAGCACTCGTATTCTCCAACCGAAACGACGACTCGACGCACGACGCGGAAAAGATCCTTCCACCAGTCATCACTCTCCGCATCTCGTTGAATAGAACCAATCGGACGAGTTATCCCGACGCCTCTTTCTAGCCCAATGATAGGCGGGTCCTTGCTAGATCGATACTGGCGGCCCGTCACGCCAGCGATTTCAAAGGGACTGACGGTTGCAGAGGGCAGCAGTTCGGATTGTGCTATATAGCATTCTCGGAACCGACGAATGATCTTGGGTGAAATTGTGTCAATCTTGGCGTTGGTAGTGTATGAGAGCGCGGTCGTTGCAAGGCTCGTCCAGGGCGAGATTAGGAAAAGGCCGGCGAATGGCTTCATTGCGACTTTGGAGAATGGAGGAGACAAAATGGTTGGACTGGGGTGAAGTATTTGAGAGACGACAGACAAGCAAATTGCTGCTCCGCAAGAGTCGCCCGCGAGAACAATGTCCGACGAGTCGAAACCGTACTTTGAATGTAGGTGATGAAGAATAGCAAGACACTGGTTGGCCTGAGTTGGATACTGACGGTAAGGTGCGATACCTGGTGTCCAACAGGGTTAGATCCGGTGATGGTACACATGGCCCAACTCACTGTACTCTGCTATGGCCAGGTGGATAGGAACATTGTTCATCCTCTTTGCCTCTACAAGTAGTTTATTCGCTAGCGAAATGTGCCCTTCCGAGATGGGCAGCACAAAGCCACCACCTGAGAGGGGTGAGCAGCAGAACACCCAAGGTTGTTGGTCTCACCGTGAACGTACAGCATAACCTTTCTGGATGTCTCTGCTCCTGGTTTGGATCCGATCCAATGCAAAACAGGCGAAGGCGCATCTCCCGGAATCGCAACATTATCCTGGTAGATGGTGGTGCGACGAGTTCTCCCCCAGTAGGCAATCATAGTGCGTGTACTAGGCATGAGAAACTGTGTTATACGGATACTAAACCAGTCTTCGCTTGACTGGATCAGTTTGAGCGCAACTGCTCGCAGATAATTCCGTTTGTCGTCTGCAGAGCCAAATAAACGCCATGGAGATTTCGTCGTGGCAGTCCAAAGAACTTGAATCACTGGATGGAATCAGAAAAGGGCGTTGTCGTCGAATGCGTTTCCACGAACCAATTGCCGCAAGGGCAAACACCATATGTATATACTCTGCTAGAGAAAGAGTGATGCGTGGAGTGGTACGCATTTTCATGCGTTATAGCTAGTTGGAAGGAGTGGAGTGTTTGGGCGTAGTGGGCAGTCAGGTCCAAGAGCTGCATCACGGCCGTTCGCTAAGAGTCCATGACTATGGTCCCAAATAGTGTGAAATCTATGAATAAGTGATGCTTATGAGGTCATCAAAGCGTCGGGAGGCGGAGCATCCATCTTGGAAGTGACCAAAGGATGGTGAGAGATAATGATTCATACCCTTTGATACTTATAGCATTTGGGCAATTTATAGAATTATTTGGAAATTGCACGAGTTCACGCCTGTTTGCTTCTGTTTGGCATCCCACCGACAACGGATCTTTCCTGACCAATTTTCTGGTAAATTGCTGCGTGTAGCTCCAAGCGCACATCTGACAACTGTTTTAATTTCGAAACAGAAAATCCAATATGGTCAACATCCCAAAGTAAGTCAAAGATGGAGCGGCGACATGTCCCAAGTGCTGACCGCCTGCTGCCTCCAGGACACGAAGAACATGTACGAATCCAAATATATACAAGATTTATGGCAGATTCTGATCTACTTGGCACAGATTGCAAGGGCAAAACCTGCAGAAAGCACACGTTAGTAGTGGTCCCTTGATCCTCCAGGCCAGGACTTCTAACGACGGTTTGGATGGACAGACCACATAAAGTGACCCAGTACAAAAAGGGAAAGGACTCGCTCTCGGTCCAGGGAAAGCGACGTTATGATCGCAAGCAGTCTGGATACGGTGGTCAAACTAAGCCCGTGTTCCACAAAAAGGCAAAGACGACGAAAAAGGTCGTACTAAGGCTGGAATGCACCGTCTGCAAATACAAGATGCAACTCGCACTCAAGCGATGCAAGCAGTACGTCTCGACTCCCATCTACCTTGCTCCAGCTGACGATCCCCTTTTACAGCTTCGAGCTCGGTGGTGACAAGAAGACCAAGGGCGCTGCTCTTACCTTCGTACGTCTCCAGACGTGCCGTTCGTCGCATCTACTCATCATTCGCGCAGTAAACTGGCTTCGAGATTCTCTTGTCAGCTTTGTATGCACTACGCTAGGCTCATGTCGCTATGAACATGTAGTTCATCGAAATTCTCCGCTCTCAAGAATTAGGAGCCCTCGGGTCTGGCAATGCGAATATATACAAAACACAACAACCACTACAGACTCTATGCAATACCAAACTGGATGGCTTGAAGCTCGTCTACCAGCGCCAGCAGATGCGTTGACGAGATCTGGTTCATGTAATATGAATGCTCCGCATTGTGTGGTCCGATGAGGTTATGCTGGAGTAAAGTATAAGCTACCGTGAAACCATTACACGCTCTACATACCGCAATCTCATGCGCCAATGTGAAGAACCACGAGATCATGGCCTTGATCGGCTCCTTTTTCTGAAGTTGCGTGTCGTCTATTAAGATGGGGCTTCAGCAAAGGTTGCTACTGTCGGTAACAATGTACTCACGCCATCCTTCGTAGTAACGCAAGTTGAGGAAGAGTGCGCCTCCCGCATTAAACGCAATCGTAGGTCCCTCCAAATTGTAAAAGATATGGAGCGACGAGTCGGGTAGCTTGTACACCTTCTTCAATGGTTGAATGATGCTGATGAACCGATTGATCACATCGAGTTTGGTTTGGAGGAGCAATTGCTGCGCATTTGGTACAACTGCCAGACACCGGTGAGCGCGGAACCAAACGAATATTGCTGCGTACCTTTATCTGCATAGATGCGAATGTTGCTGACAGTCCCGACTGCGACGAGATCTCCCGCCATACCAGAGACGTCACAATAGCCTTCGTCAAGGGCTTCCTTGATCATCTCCATGCGCTGGCGATTCTGGAGCAGATTACGTGCTTCGGGCCTGCACGCGTTTATCGCCTGCTCTACATTCTTGTCTACGCCAATGTCAGTTTGCAGACTAAACAAAACCGAATTGACGCACTGATATCAGACTCTGGTGTAGGCTGTGTATTTCCTTGAATCTTGTTCCGGTGGTTCGTAGAGGTACCAGCGGTGGGTCCGGATCGATTCGATTCAGAAAATTTATTCTTCATGGTATTGAAGAACCCTGGTTGTGCTTTAGAGAAAAAATAAAGGAGACTAGAATGGTTAACCTTTGCTATTTCTGTCCTTCTCGACTGTGGTAGGCGTTTCTGGTCGAGGAGTTGTTTCACCACCCGTCTGTGATATGTCGTCTGGGCGTTTGGGAGGGAGAGGAGGAGCGGCTCCTGTTACGCTAGCCGGCTCCTCTGGATGAGTATTGTCGACAAACGATCCAGGAGGACGCATCTGCGCCGCCTCTCGCTCGGCCGCACGTCTTGCGGACTCTCGTGCTTCTCGTTCCACCTTTTGCTGGTTCAAAATCCTATCAACTATCCACAGGTGTCAACTCCAGATTGCACATTGGATCATACTGACCATTGTATCCTCTACGACGCAGACTAGGCAAGTCTGTGGAGAGAATAGTGCTGAAGAGCAAGCTATCGTTGAGTTTTGGGGTATCAAAGAGCTGCTTGCAAAGAGAATTTGCGACCCTGTAGCACATAAGCGCAATCCCTACTCGCCACAGTACTCACTCATAGAGATCCAATGGGATATTACCAGCAACATAGAGAATCAGAGTACGATTAAATCCTTCGCGCTTCGCTACTGAGGAGGCTTCCGAATCCTTTACCGACCGTCGGCCTGCCCATACAAGTGTCTTCTGCAGAATCAGACGGGCAACCTTTTTGACAACGAAATTTCTGACGCTTGTGAGCCGATTGGACATGATGAATCATGCGACGTACGATGGGTTCTGCATCCATTCATGGCTGATAAGGACCCGTCCTTGATGTCGCTGGTGCAGGAACAGAGGCAAGCGTTCCAGGACCAGCTTTCGCACTTTAGCAGCGTCGGAGGAGTCGGGCATTTCTCCCACTGGTTTGTACTCCTCTTTGATGAGCTGGCTCAAGCGAGGGGAGCCGAGATGGGCATAGAGCCTGAGGAAATCATCAGCGACGAGGAAATTGTGGGAAGCACACGTACGCTTCGAGGATATCCTCTTGAGGAGCTCCATATAGGGTATCCTTGAATTGTGCATACGAATTAACATCGTCGATAATGACAATCTATGATGAGTCAGCGCTGTAGAACGATACAAATTTGAGTACAGACCTGATCCGCACGCAATAACTCATATGATACCGTTACGCTGTCCTCCTCCTCTTCCATTCCTACCGAGTTACTCCGAGCCCTATTCTCGCTCGACTTTTCATCAGCTACCCGAGAGCCGAGAAGGATCGGGGCCCTCTTCATGGCCTGCTTGGTTGCGGATGTGATATCTCCTAGACTAGCAGCCATCTGCCTCAGCTCTGCCTTGAATCTACCAATAATCAGACTGCGAAACTGTGTTCAAGGATGTAGTTACCTCTCTGCGCTTCCTGCAAGTTGGTAGAACCCAACAGGATTGGCAACTAGCATCCTTGCCACCTCATCAGTCGTCGGTGCATTCCTCACCCCACACGCTGCAAGGAAATTGTTTGCGCGAACTCCAAAGTCGATAAAGGTGAAAAGCTTTGAATGAAGGTTCGCCTGCCCGTCTTCCTTCTTGAAGTAGCATTCAGAAGGTCGGACCATAGTGATACCGGTGGAAGTAGGGGTTTTAGCTGGAATAATGGGAGAGTCACGTAGAGTGCTCAAGTCACTGGGAGTGAAGTCTGAGAAAAGATTAACAATAAATTTGGAAAATCATGGATAGAAGTGAACTGACCCCCGAGGATATTCGTAAGATATTCAAAAACCCTTCTGGCGTCTTCTTCTGTCTTCGGGGGTCTCTGCAGAAGAGCTCTTGCAGCCATCTGCGCAGTCGGGTGCCTAAATATCTTCAACTTTGTCTGGGCATCCTCTTTGATATCGCTTCGAACAACAGCGAAGCCAATGATAGTACAACCAGGTTCCGAAAAGACCTAAACGTGGCATAAGCACGCATCATACGGAGATTCGTGTGACTTACTTGATTATGCTTGGCCAAAAACTCCTTTCCGTCGGGGCCAATAGCGGGAATGAATGCGATATCAAAGCTACCAGGTTGATAATTCTGATATTGAGTATTAAACTTGTCAAAGAGGTAACGGAGGGCAAGTTCCCTTATTTCTGCGTCCGACCCCCCAGCCAGCTTTAGCAAGTCGGGTAGTGATGGATATTTCTGTAGGCCCAGGAAGAACAGGAACTTGGCTAAATCACAAACTCAGAGATCTGCACATGAACGGGGCAATCGCTCACCTTCATCAGAGTTCACTCGCCACTTTGGGTTGTCACCCCAATCCAGTACAGGCAATTTGAGCTGCCGCATCGCATCTGTCGGTTCGTAGAGAGAGCTAATCTTGTATCGAACTTTGCGAGGAGTTCCAGTCGCTGTTGTGGTGCTGGCAACCGACTTGACATCTGAGTATTCTTGGGTGTCCTTGCCAGTTGGATTTTCGTGCTCCTCTTTGGAGAAAGCTGCCGTCTGCTTGAGCCTCTCAATCTCTTCTCGAGTCAACGTATCACGCACGCCAGCGAGATACTTGACCAATTGAGGTATCGTCCAATCACCCGTCTTGATCATGCGATTGAATACGACTTGAAGATCAACGTGTTTCCTCACTCCAAGCGCTGCTAGTAGAGACTCTGTCGCCGTTTTGCTACGTCCTTGGAGAGCGTTGGTTGAGGGGAAAGTCACCATGGGGAGGTCCGCGAAAACATGAGCCGCCGGAAAGTAGGTGTCGCTAGCGGTTTTAAGGCCGAGCTGGGTCGGTATGCAAGGCAGAGGGGATAATCGCAGCACAATTTGATCTTGGTTTGCTTTCGATATATTCGCCCATCCCTTGGCAATAGCGGATAAAACTTTCTCTGCGAATATCGGAGAGAGGGAAATGTCATGTTCAGCGCCTGGCGATTCTGCTGGTGGTTTGGAAGAGAGGAAAATCACCCAATCATTAATAGAAAATGGGTTCCATCCAAAGAGCTCAGAGAAGGCCGCGAACGAGAGTCCTTTGGTCGTTGAGAATGGAAGGGGTAAAGTGGACGAGGGGAATGGGCCTTCAAGCGGGACGAGTCCGCTGGGGTTGACAAAGGTCTTGATTGTGGCCAGCGGTATGACTCGTTCGTCTTGACCCCCCTTCTGGTCTGCCGCGCCGTTCTTTGGCTTCGCAGCTACACGGAAAACACCGGCGCCCAGGAATTGTTCTCGGAAGTGTTGATCAAATGCCGCTTGCCGGGGCAAGCCAACACGCCACTTAAGGCACTCAATCATCTCCTCTTCCTCGAAGCATCGTCCCCGCATTTCCCCAATGATGTCGTCGAACGTAATCTGTCGAATCATATTTCTGCCTTGAAGTAGACCGATCACATCTGGGGCCCCATCTTGTATCTCCTTCGGCACGATAGGAAGGGTCTTCACAAATTTCTCCATCTCGGGACTTCGCACGCGCACTTCGGAGGCTGGCTTGACGCCAGCAGTCGAGTAAATACTAAAGGATTCAGAGGCAGAGAAAAAGGTCGTCTGCATGATGCGTGAGACCTCGGCCGAGGGTGTCGAAGGACGAAAAGTGAAGAACTTGAGGGCATGCAAACAACGAGCTTGCAACCACGTCACCAAGTTTGCATCTGGCCCTGATAATGCACCGGATGATGTTTGTAAAGCAGCGACGTATAGTCTTGCTATAGCGGCCAATTCGGTTTCGTACGCCACACGGGAGAGGTATCCCCCGACATGGAGTAGTTCAGTATTCCAGATGGAAACGTGCCGGTCGCTATGGCAAGCAATGAGTAAAATTGACTGGCGATGGCAGGGCCGTGCAACTCACACAAGGTCAATCGACTCTCTTTCTACCGTCGGAATGAATCTGGCGCTCATGTGTCCAGATATGCCAGTCGTTTGACCGGTTGCATGACCCTAGAAACCATGTCAATAAGCCGAGTCGAAGAAGCAAGTCACTTTACAATGTAAACTCGGGATGAGTTATTGCCTTCGAGGTCGGCTCGCAGCCCAAGAAACACGCTCCCAACATCTTTGGAGCCGTTGGCATCCTCGACATCCTCCTTCTCACTAGCATCGTATTCGTCCTTTCCAGTCTGAAGATGGCATATCAATGAAAGCCCATGGTATTTCAGACTACTCACATAGATCAGGCCGACTTTGACGCTAGGCGGTGCTCGTTTCTTCGTCGCCCTCTCGAGCTCAACTTCCATTTTGTCATCGAGTTTGACTTTGGCCTCAGCGGTGAACACTGTGAGTAGTACAGAGCTCTCCACGACTTTCCTTTGGTCGGACACGAGCTTCTTCACGTCAACCTTGTCAACGGATGGTGCTTTGGCAGGCGGGATTGGCGTGGATCGGCCCGAGACATTAGAGAATGGCGAAGGTCTTGGAGTGGAAGAGGAAGGTTTCGAAAAAGATGAAATCAGGGACGCAAGAAAGCTGTTTGACGTCGTTCCTCCGCCACTGCCACCCTTGGTCGCATTCGATGTAGGTGGCATGATCTTCTTCATGGGTTTCGCCTTTTCCGAGCCAGCGAGGTACACCCATCGAATGACCTCAGCGCGAATGTGAACCGAAGTTGATGTGACGTGATTGACCGTGAAGAGCTTCTTCGGTGTCGGCCAGTTCCATTTGACTTCTTTATCTTTCGAGGTGCTTTGGGTAGGCGTGCGCATTCCCCAGTCACCCCAACCACCGATCATGGCACCGGCATTTCCAATCAATGAGTTATTCTGAGATCCCTTTTGGTGTTGGCTATTCTCTAGCGCCTTCGGCACGCCCACAGTTTGAGGTGATCCAACGTCCTTCGAGACATGCCCGAGTCGAATACCATCCAAGTACAGTTCAACGTCTTTAAGGGACGTCATAAATGTAATGGAACTCGCAAGGAAGCGAAGAAAATCTAGTGGTGCCCCAGGAAGCGGCCCACGCTGTCGCAAAGGCATGGCAAAGGTCGTCCAGGGAGATGGGGGTCCGTCTGGAAGGGTGCCCCGCCGAGCATATAGCTAGAATTTTAAGAAGGATATCTTAACGAATTATTTGGAGACGCACCTGATCTTTACCGTCGCGCCAATAGAAACCCATCCACTTTGTTCCACTGGTGACAAAGGGTTCCTCTGTGATACTGAAAAGACTGTAGAAGCCGACACCAAATGCGCCAATCTTCTGTTCGTCAGGATTGCCTTCGGCTGTGCACAGTTGTGAGTAAGAAGCATTAACATGAGACGATCCTTACCAATCTTCTTCAGCCGACTCCAATCTTCCTCTCTAAAGATAGTGCCGTTGTTCTTGAATGTCCATTGATCCACGACGATATCCTTGAGCGCCGGTAGTGGTTTGTCTACATCCGCATCCGCGCCAGCATTTGCGGACAGAGAACCTTCTTGACTTTTCCTGTTATCAGCGACCTTGGAGCGCTCGAGGAATGCCTTGGTTTCGAAAGTGATTTGCACGCCCGTTGCGCCGGCATCGTCTGCGTTTTGCAGTAGCTCTCTGAAAACAGTAAATTCTCCGGAGTATCGCGCAAGAACTTTGTCGATTAGTGCTCGTTGATTGACTTCCACGGACTCGTCCTGGCCCTGCTCCCACTAGAAGCCGGTTAGTATGCAACAGACGCCGACGTTCAGGAGCTTACAAGTGCATTTCTATCGGCCATAATATATTAGATGTGAATAAACACGTATTTGATGGAATCTTGTTCACAACTTGCACGATTAGAAATAGAGCTATGTCCTGCGGTGTTGTGGGATGGTGCTACAATTGCAGAGTCCTGATTTTCCCGTCCTGATATATCGAGATGTGAGACTGTGCTGGCGGACCTTATATATGTCCAGATGAGGCGGGAGCCAAGTTACAAACCCGAAGGCGACACGCAATACTCCTGAGATCCGCAGCACAAGAGTCCAAAGTAGTGAATAGAGATTTTGTCCCGTTAATTCTGGACAGTTCTCGTAGCTGAGCTAAGCGCGTACGCGGCCCATTTCCATTTACAGTTTTGTTATGAATTTCCAGGTTTATTTGAATTTCTACATGTTATATGCTACGCTTCATCTTTGGTGGCAGGAGCTTGATGTTCGCCCCAACCGCATTGCCGGTGTCAAGCCATGGTTTTTCGGTGAGCTGACTGGGGGAATATAAACGTGAACCTCTAACTTGGAGTCATCAGAATTTACTGTCCTGGTATTCACCAGTCTCAACGAATCATAGTCTTTTACCGCCCCAAATAACAGCCGTTCTACCAGCTGTCCCTCTACTTGTCGTCACTATTCTCATCTTTAGAGATGTTTTACTTCTAATACGCCCCTCAAATTGGCTCACAAGACTGGTTTATAAGGCGAGAAAGACGCTTCAACGACCCTTCGACGACTTTCTTCAACTCGAGGACATGAAGGAATACGATCCTGTCCACCCGAGTGTTATAGTTTCTCCAACCTGGAGGAAATGGGTCCTCGTTGTCCTCAGCTTGATGGCTATTGCGGAGCTGAGCGCCGAGGTCCTAGGCCAACTACTCTCGTTCGCCGACGTGGGTGTAGTCACAGAGAAAATGAAACTCTATGGTAAAATTGTCTCAACGGCATGCTGGGTGCGACCTAATGCTCTCCATTTACCTCTCTCTTACATGTTACAGGTATACACAACTATGAGAATCTCTTTCCGGCCGCTCCGTGCAGCACCAGTTGGAAACATCCTGTTCTATGGCATAGAGCTCATCAATCGTCTCGTCAACATCTCAGACGGAGTGATCCTACGTGTCCCCTTTCCACAGCTTCTCCCGTTACTTTACCAAGCCGCTATCGCCTCTATTGCATTGTATATTTCGGGTACAATTCCTCTCTCTCCAGTCTTGCCATCCACCACGGTGTCGTCTCCAACTGAGCTTCCAAGCTCTCGCGTCTCCTCACCAGAGGACAGCGTTTCTTTCTGGAATTGGGTTGTTTTCTCTTTTCCATCATTGTACTATCCTATCTCCATGGTCCGACGTCTCGAGATGTCCGATGTTTGGAAGCTGAGTCCGCGTTTCTTGCACGCTAATCTCTTCCAAAAGTATCTCTCCTCCCAATCTACTCGTCCTCGGTCACTCATCTGGTTTCTCGTATGTGCCAACTCGGCGGACATCATCCTGGACATTACCCTGGAAATGTACAAAGCCGTCGCAGGCTTTCTTCCTCCCTACGCGTTGAAGCAACTCTTGGGAATCCTTTCATCTACAGAGGATGATCCAAACGCTTGGGGAAGCAAATATGTTCAGGCACATTTCTGGGCACTGGTCACGTTTGTAGCCCACCTGTCCTTTGCGCAGTGTGACCTTGCGCAGGGATGGTGCACCCGAAGGTGCTACGAAAGAACTCGAGGGATCATTTTCTGTACGCTTCACTACAAAGCCCTCAGACGGCGCGTTGTTGGAGGTGCGGGGCCAGCTCCTAAGCAAGATTCAGAACAAAAGGACGAGAAGACGGCGACCATTGAACAGGAACGGAGCGCAGATTTGGGCAAGGTTGTCAACTTGATGCAGTATGTTCATCACGGACACATTCTTCACCACTAATGCACTTGTAGGGGAGACGCATATGCGGTCGCTCAACGATTTTGGGAGCTGTCTCCATTGTTCGGCGCTCCCGTCCGCATTGGCGTAGCTCTCTGGTTCCTATACGAGTCAGTGTCCTAATTACTCACCCTTACATAGTTGACATTTCGTAGCTTGCTTGGCCCGTCGGCATTCGCCGGAGTATTGGTTATCCTTGGGGCATATCTCATCAATTGGCCACTCATCAAATGGAATCTCTATGTCAGTCTCCTTCTTGATATACAGGCGAACTCGGCTGAGCTTGGCTAGATCACCCGCCACTCATGGAGAGTGAGAGATCGCCGTATGTCAGGAGTGAACGAGCTCTTCCAGAGTATTAGATTCCTCAAACTAATGGGATGGGAGGGAGGATGGGTGCAAAGGTAATTCTTTATCTGATGCGACGCAACTTCGTCCTGACTCGTGAAGAGTACTGCAGTCCCGTGAAGCAGAGCTGGCTTGGCGAGTTCAGGAGAATATATGTAGCGCCATACTTGCCTTTATCTGGTGGGTTTTTGTTCTTCTCATGCTTTCATTGTTAATTTTCTCAAGGACATGGATCCCTTCTGCCACAGCGCTCGCATCGTTCATCGCGTACACTCTCATAAGCAAAAGGCCGTTGACGGTATCCGTGGCTTTTACTGCCCTTGGTGTCTTTGGACAACTTCAGAGTAGTATGACGGCGCTTCCTGGACATATTTTTGCCATGTTCCACGGTAGGTGGCCCTTTAGATTTCCGAAACCGTCTTTCTCAGTACATGGTAGCATACATTTCCATGCAACGAATCGATTCCTTCCTCTCCGAGAGTGAAGTTCCCGATTGGGCATCATCCTTCAAACGCTCGACAACCCCCTTCTTCACTGAACATTCCTCTGAAAGGATTGGATACGAACAGGCCACTCTGGAATGGCATCGTGCGGACGATAACTTGACTTCTGGTGTTGGCTCACCAATCGAGGTTACTCCAGACGAAGACAGACATCTACACCTAGATGAAGGGCAACCAATCACCGCATCAGAGATTGACCACCCAGTTCCGACGAGTGAGCCTATTAGAGGATCATCATCATCCGTGGTCACCACACCAACTTCAGTGCAAAGGTTCGCACTTCGAGATTTGAACATTCAACTCCCAGTCGGCAAGCTTACTCTTGTCACTGGTATTACGGGGTCTGGGAAAACTGCATTTCTAACCGGTCTGCTGGGAGGTAAGTTCCCGTTTTTAGTTACTGCATCCACTCAACTCTTTTTAGAAATGCAGCTCCTTCGAGGCAAGGTTCATCTCGACAAATCGAATCATAAGATTGCGTACTGTGCACAGTCACCGTGGCTCGAGCATGCGACTATACGCGAAAACATTGTATACGGTTCGGTGATGGGTTACGACGAAGGGAGGTACGATGCTGTGGTCATGGCATGTGCTCTAGAGAAGGATCTGGAGATTTTGCCTGCCGGTCAGTACGTTCGCTTCTTTTCGATATCAGGCTGAGCAGCATAATAGGTGACATGACAGAGATTGGCGAGAAGGGCGTCTCACTTTCCGGTGGTCAAAGAGCTCGCATTGCTCTAGCCCGTGCCATATATTCTCCAGCCAGAACCATATTACTCGACGATCCATTGGCGGCGGTGGATATGCACACTGCACGACATTTGACGCAACACTGTTTCGCCAGTTCACTCATGCAGGGGCGTACCGTCATCCTAGTGACACACCACGTCAGCCTATGCATTCCTCTGGCCGATTATCTCGTCGAGATATCTAGCGGTCGAATTGTGAAGCAGGGCCGCGTTGAAGACCTACGGAAGAGCGGTGAACTTGATGAAGTCCTTAGCCAGGATACAAGTCAAGAGGCTGGTTCTGTTCTGGAACAAGCATCAAACAACCTGAATGAAGCCGATGTCATTCTTGAATCGAGTGGAAGCGCGACACCGACCGCCAACGAAAGTCCGAAAAGCAAGCCCAAATGGAGACTCTCGACAGCTGAGGCCGGGAAGCTGGTTGACGAAGAGGCACGCGCTGAGGGAAGAGTGTCCTGGAGGACATACAAGACGTATATCAAAGCGGCTGGTTACTGGTCGTGGGCACTCACCTTTGCGTTGATGCTCCTCATCCGAGGTATCAACATCCTGAATCAGTTCTATCTCTCCAAATGGGGAGAGGCCTACAATCGTAGAGTAAACAACTCTTCCTTTTCACCCATGTTGGTCCAAAAATCACACACCTTTCAGCCTGTCAAAATTTCCACGATGCCCATCATCGATGACCTCCCCCCACCAGACCAGAATGTCCGACCATGGCTCTTCATCTACTTTTGCATCTCCCTCGTTGGCGCATTCACCGTCCTGGGATACATTTCGCTCGGCTATTACGCTTCTCTCCAAGCCTCTCGTCTGCTCTTCCAGCGCATGCTGACCCGACTGTCTCGAGCGCCATCACGCTTTTTCGACGTCACACCCATCGGGCGCATCTTAAACCGTTTCGTCGCGGACATTGGCGCTGTTGACGGTGCAGTTAACAATTCAGCCCGTAGTGCACTCGGTGGTGCCCTCAGTTTTATCTCATCGTTCTCTGTCATTGTATTTGTCGTGCCGGCGTTTGCACCTGTAGCCATCTTCATTGCATGGCTTTACATCCGTTTAGCACCGCCCTATATTCGCACCTCGCGGGATTTACGAAGACTGGAGAGCATATCGCTATCACCAGCGTTTGCGGGATTTGATGAACTATTGCACGGGTTGGTACATGTTCGTGCCTTTGGCGTGGAACAGAGGTATCAGGATAGATTTTATAGCCAGTGGACACTTTCCAGGCATTTGATCACAGCTACTGGTATGTTAGCTTTGACATGCGAAGTATTTACTCAAAGATATATAGGCTCGTTGCCTTCTGGCTGCGATGGCGATATGACTGCCTGGGATCCGTGGTCGTCTATCTCACTACTCTCTTTGCCCTAGGTGCCAAAGTTTCCACTGGGTTCGCAGCCGTAGTGATTCTGAATGCTGGAGCGTTTGCCGAGGCCAGTCGCCAGCTCGTCAAGTCTGCCCTTTTAACCGCTCAAAGTTGCTTGAGTTGACACTAGGTTGACAGGGTCCTCGCTCAAGTCGAGCTTGACTTCAATTCGATTGAACGCATTGGCGAGTATCTTGAGGTACATCAAGAGGCGCCTGCTATTATTGAAAAGGCACGCCCACCTGCTTATTGGCCCTCTTCGACCTCTGGAATTGTGGTGGAGGATCTCTGGATACGGTATTCTCCGACTTCACCTGATGTGATTCGTGGATTGTCGTTCCAAATTGCACCCGGTGAAAAGATTGGAGTTGTAGGCAGGACTGGGAGCGGGAAGACCACACTTTGTGCCGCATTCTTGCGAGTGATCGAGGCGCATCGAGGAAAAATAATGTACGTGTGCGTGACTGATGAGAATCTTGCTGACTTTGTCCAGAATCGACGGTATAGATATTTCCAAAATTGGACTGGAAGACTTGCGGACTAAACTTGTGATGCGTTTCACTGTTGCGAATGTCTGATGACTGATTGCTTGTAGACGATCGTCAGCCAAGATGTTGCGCTCTTTGAGGTTGTAAGTCTTGGATTATTCTTTGGGTTACCACGCACTTATCAGTTTTGCAGCTGTCCGATCGAATCTGGATCCCTTTGAAGAACACTCGGACCAAGAGTGCTGGGACGTCCTTCGCCGGTGCCATCTTGTTGAAGATGCGGATCAAGCGAATTCGACCACTCGACGGCGAGCGGTATTTGCAAGCCTCGATGCACCCATCTCTATTTCTGGCGGAAGCTTGAGCGCTGGACAACGTCAGCTCGTGGCGTTGGCGCGTGCCATGCTCCGGCGATCGCAAGTCGTCTTGACAGATGAGGCGACGTCGGCTATCGACTTGGAACTGGATGACCAAGTGAGGAAGAACTCTTTTCTGCTGTCTGTGTGCTAAAGACTCTTAGATTCAACAAACGATCCGAGAGGAAATGGGAAGTGCGACTGTGATTACCATTGCACACAGGCTGAGGACGGTTATCGAGTATGATCGAATACTGGTGCTGGATCATGGAGAGATTGTCGAGTTTGATTCCCCGGCTACGTTGCTCCGGAATCCCGACGGTGCTTTCTCAAGGCTTTGTCGTGGAAGTGCAGATTGGGAAGTGCTAAAGCAATTAGTCAAGGGTACATAGATAGTTACATCTCCTAGTATAGACGAGACAGGCGTTGTCTAAGGTACTCGCGCAAGTCATTTTTCCATGGGCTATTCGCCTAAGTCTGTGTCAATACATGATTATCATAGAGATAGCCCCTTACCAGTATGCTGACGCATCCGACGTAAGGGACATACCTAGTGAATAAAGGTGCGTTAATCGGGAGCCAATGCCTACCAGGTACTCACCCTACAACTTTTCCGACAACATGATGCGTTGATAGATGTGGAATGATTTTGTATAATGGCGTGTCGTCGTAGAGATTCGCGTCTCCTTTGGTGAGAAACTCAAGCTGCCCGAGTGTGGTCCTAGTAAGTTGGGATGTCAGGGAGATGGACCTTGGACACGTGACATACTCGTGATATGTTTCAAGTACTCGGTGTACTATTGGAATGTCATCCCCTGGAACCTGTGTGTGGGCCGTAAGCACGAATAGGGAAATGGCAGGGAACTAACTTGGTACACAATAATGTCACCTGTCCCATACAATTCTATACGAGACTTGTAAAGTATCAGGATGTCTCCTTTTGAGAATCCAGGTTCCATCGAACCACTGTATGTAATTAGATATAACTAGGGGAGGGCATAGCACACACGATAATACTGCGACGACGGGCGTGCTATTATTGAGTAGAATGCAGAGAATGATCCAAAACATGAATGCAGACACGATTGCATTAGCAATGTCGAGTCCAAACACCGCACTCTTCCAATGGTCAAGATTTTGTTTCCATGAGTGGCAAGACGCACGCGTCTGAAACCGTTAGGACTAGCAAATTTCATCTGTTGATTGTCTTGGAAGGTTTCAAAAGATACATCTGGAGGCCACGTCGCCCCTAATGAATCTCAGAGTCTCCCATCAAAACCGCCGTTTCCCACTCCCGACCGGCACGGGGGATTGACCACAGAAATCGATATAAAATCCAGAAAGCGACCCAAGAGTCCCCTTTGACCATGTTTGAACTTCTCCAAGACTACGTCTCGCTCCCAAGCGTCTCCTGGACGAGCGCACTCGCCGTCGGCGCTCTGGGCGTCGTCATCTTCTCGTCGGTGGACTTTGTCTGGATGATTCTCCGTCCACGGTTCTCTCCAATGCGCGCTCTCAAAGGTCCCTCAGGCGGCTCGTTATTCTTTGGTCATCTAAAGTGAGCGCGCATCCACGGAAGTAACCCAATCTCACTTTCCTAAGACTTGCTGGAAATCAGCAACCAGTAGGTGCTTGGCACAGAGCGCAGCTCAAGAAGTATGGCCACGTATTGTGCTACAAGGGTTTCATGAACGTCAGTACCTACCATTTCTACATGACCTGCAGGCTTATCGTATTGCAGCAAGATCGTCTGTTGACTACCGACTTGAAGGCCATCCAGCACATACTCACCAATTCTGCAATCTACCACAAGCCATATGAAGCTCGCTACAGCCTGAGCAGGCTCCTTGGTCGTGGTCTGCCTCTTCGTTATCGAATTTCAACGTGCCTAAACCTCACAAGGTCTCTTATTTGCTGAGGGAAACGAGCACAGACGTCAAGTAAGAGCATAATAAATAGGATGATACTCCTGCTTACTTATATATAGAGACGTATTATGGCAAGTACATTCCTAGCGGACATTATGAACCTCTCTGATATGCCCCAGAACCCGGCCTTCGGAACCCTGAATATTCGTGATATGACCGAAATTTTCCTATCCAAATCGGCAGAGGTGAGTCTTGCAGCTCATTAGCTCATCCTTGACCTTTTATTCGCAGTTATGTGCGGCCATGAGCAAATCCATTGGAAAAACACCCGGTGTCGAGCAGACGCGACTGAATATGCTCGAGTACCTCTCTAGTACAACGCTCGACATCATCGGCCTTGCGGGGTTCCACTATAGGTTCAATTCTATCAAGCACCTCGCCGAGAACCAACGCGACGACAACGAGCTCGCGGTCGCATTCTCCCAAATCTTCTCCGTCATGACGAGACATCCGTTGATCGGCTTTCTCAAGGTGTGGTTCCCCATCTTCCGCATTATCCGATTCGACGAGCGCTCGAGGATCGAAAAGAAAAGCAACAAGACAATTCAGGACATTGGTCACCAGCTCATGCAAGAAAAAAGGCTGCGCTTCTCTCGTCGGGTGGCAAAGCGCAGTCAAAGGACTTGTTGACGTTGCTCATCAAGGCAAATTTGACAGAGGCAAACGACGGCACTTCTATCGACAGGAGCATGACAGATGAAGAAGTCATGAACCAGATTCCTACGTTTTTGGTCGCTGGCCACGAGACAACGTCAACTGCGACAACATGGGCTCTTTACACACTCTCCACAAGGAAAGATATCCAAAACAAGCTTCGAGATGAGCTTTCGGCGTTTCCGCATGATGCACCGACGATGGACGAATTGAACAGCTTGCCGTACCTTGACCGCTTCGTACGTGAGGCATTACGGTATCATTCAGTAGTATCTGGTACTGTCAGAGTTGCCGTTGAAGATGATATAATTCCCCTCGACAAGCCGTTCGAGGATCGGTTTGGCAAGCTGCACTCTGAAATTGTGTACGCCCGAAATTTGTTTACTCATAACGCTCTTACTAATACACTACAGGGTGAAGAAGGGAGACACTATGATGATTCCAATCCGTGTCATCAATACACTTGAAGAGATTTGGGGTCCCGATGCCGAAGAGTTCAAGTAAGCCATTCTGTAGGCAAGGTACAACGGCTAAACGATATGATAGCCCAGATAGATGGATCGATCCACCGGAACAATCTGGCGCAATTCCCAGTTCATGGGGAAACCAGCTCTCCTTCCTGGGAGGCCCGAGATCCTGCATTGGATTCCGGTTTGCTGTCGTTGAGTAAGCACCTCTAGATTTCGTACTACTCGGGGCTTAGCGGAAATTTTACACAGAATGAAGGCTCTTCTTTTCCTACTAGTACGTTCATTCGAATTCGAACTCGGAGTACCTGCCGATGAGATTATCGGAAGCGTTGCGTACGTGAATCAGCTGTATCAGAGGATAGTGTAGAGCTCACTTCATTCAACAGTATTGTTACCCGTCCGACACTCAAGTCGAACCCTGGAGCCGGAGGGCAGATGCCTATTTGGGTTCGAAGACTGAACCACTATTGGCTCTTCTAGAATGAGACTGTGACTGTAGTACTATTTAATTGGCTGAGCACCAGGGATCGTCGACATGTGTCGATGAGAGCCAGCGTTCCAGTGATCAAGCAACAGATCTATTGACGTTAACAAAGCCAGTACCATAACATGAAAGGATAAGTTCTCCAGTCGGATTACTCTCATCCGCAGGAGTAATTTTGAAGGATGTGCCAAATGCATACTTGATATCTCTGAGGAACTGAATACTATAGGGGTGTTAGGGCTCCTCTGGTCTCTGCCTTTCTACTCACGTTCGTGGTGTTAGCGGCCCTATCTTGATCCTCCCGACGTCCTCACTGCCGAGGACCATAAATAAGAGCGCAATCCATTGATGCTTGCGGTCAACACATCCTGCTCGCTGAATCTCAAGCAACAGCTCTCTTGAAGCTCTAAGAGCGAGATCTTCTGGTGTAACCGGAAGAGGGCCCTCATCCTCTTTCTCCTCTCCGAATATCTTGTCCCTTTTCCTCTCGTCTATAATCTTCTCCCGTCGGGGAACGGAGACGGCTTCGGAGCAATAGATTGCGCCTTCGGTTGTCTCTGCTAGCAAGCTGAGTGCGTAGCCAGGTGATTTCCCAGACTCGTCGCCTTTGTATACATCAGAATGGATGTAAATGTCCGGGATGTACCGGTTGAGGACAGATCGTGCAGCGTCAACCATTCGATTCGAAAACTGTGGCGAGACGCGGACCGCATGACTATTCAAATATCAAGGCGAGTTGGAATGATTTAATCGAGAGACACCTACGCGATACCTCGGATTCGCTTCACTCTGCCAGGGTTTACAAAATTGATCGTCTTGACGCTCTTGACCACGGGGGCGATGAATTGAACCTCTCCACCACCACCAGGAGGCGCTCCTCGTCTCTTTATCTGCAATAAACATGGTTATTGCACTCACTGCCTCTTGATACGTCCACATACCTTGAACTCTACACCGTCCTCGATGCCAAATATTGCGAGCGTGGGGAGCGTCACGGTCCTGATCAGATCCACACTAAGATCCTTGTCGTCGGTAGTGATTCCCTTGAGCGTCAGCATCAATGGCTTTTTGCTGAATGGAGCCAGAGCGATAATGGGCTCCAAAAAGTAGCCAACCGACCGGGATAGCGGACAGTCGTGAGTGACTGGACCACCGGTGAGCACTCCAGGTTTAAAAAGGACTGCCGTTCCGGTGTGAGAGATTTCGATGAGTGAACCGTTTGAAATCTTTTCGAATAAGCGGAGGAGGGAAACTTCGTAGTCTGACAATCCGTCAGAGGAGACTCCACAAAGAGAAAAAGAGAAAACGCGCCTCGTAGACCAGGATCTTTGTCCATGGACCGTATCCCGGTCATTTTCACAGCTTTTCCACTCAAAAAAGCGAGTACAAGACGCGTTCTAAAGTGTTCATGACCAGTCCATTGCATGCTGCGCTCTTCTTTTGGCAGTACGAAAACCAGTGGTCGAGGTGGAGAGACGAGTTGCCTCTGGCGACAACCGCCACTCGACTCTGAAATGACGCATTATGTCGTGTTTTTGCCGCCAAAGATTGGGAAAACATTGACAAAGAGTGGAACACCGCTCTCCTGGACTTCTACAACTGTTCATGTCGACATTGCACACTCTGACTCGGCGACGGAACTGGATAATACATCAGGTGGAGCAGCAAATGAACCCGTAGCTCAGCAGCAGGTCGACATCGAAGCACCTCTGCACTCAATGGCGATTTCTCAGACATCCTCGGCTCTATGGAACGAATTCTTGCTCCCCGAAAGCCAAATAGTCTTTTCGGGTGAACAAGTATCGCACAACTATGCTGGAGCGATTCCAAACGAGAACAAGACGAGGGAAGACGCCTATCACTCGCAGAGTCGATTCACGTTCCGCACTACTCGTATGTCGGGATAGCATCTTCTACAGTGTCTAAGCTTTCGCAGAGACGACTGAAAACTACGAATGGTCTTTGACAAATAAGAGCCGCCTTTTGCCCTCGCAAATGAGTGGCGGTGGTGGCGATTCAGTACAGAGCTCTCTTCGAGCCCCTTTCCCACCCACATCTCAGACGGTTCCCGAGTCTCGATGTCCTGGAACAAGGCGAACTCAGCGTACATCGTTTGAGGAGAGCGCAGAAACCGAGTCACAAAACGTCTCTGATTCGTCCATCATGCATTTACCAACCTTTCATATTCCATTGCGCCAACTTGTCAAGGTTTCGTCTCTCCTCGAGTTTTGCAACGAAGTTGGAAATGACGATCCATTTGCTGCGGGAGGGTCAAGGACTATTCCGGCTGTCCTGGTTGCTATCATGGACGTTGATGCCCCAACTACCATCACATTGAAGAAGGGCCTCGACGCCGGAAAGGAAGTCGCGTTGTTGAAACTGGTGCTCGGCGATCCAGAGGGTGGGATGATCAAGCTTACGGCATGGCGAGACGCGGCAGAACGATGGGGGACTGAAATTAGAAAAGGGGATGTTGTTCTCCTACAGAGTACGCCATTGATACACGAGCGAACCATGCTCATAGAGTCATAGACCTTCAACTGACGCACAACGCAATCGAAAACTCTACGAATCTGACGGCCTCGGATAATATGCGCTCCCAAGCCACCGTGTGCTACCGCACGATGCCCGTCGTCGCCAGTGATCGCAGATACCGACCAGACCTTCGAGTTGCAGGCTTTGACAAGGGAGTAGCCAAGGTCAAACAAGTGGCTGAATGGATAGTTCAACAAGCGTATAATACTGGTACCATCTAGCTAACACAACGCATCACAGGATATCACCACGATATGATGTATTTATAATGCAATTTCCGAACCCATTAACTTGGCCCCTATGGCTGTGTTTATTCCACATTCCTAAAAGGAAGTCCGAGGCAGCGTTGGACGTCTTCCAGTTTGGCGCTGACCGTATCCCCGCCTCATGGTGCGGCTATAAACGAAAGCGAGAAGCTTGTCGGTAGTACCAACTGAACACCTTCCCTCACTGTGAAATGGGCTCTTCATTCCTCTGGTTGTCGCTATGCTTTTGCAATCTGTTCCTCGCAGCTTCACCAGCTCGGGGGATGGTGACCCCCCCGACATTTCAAATCGTCACATCACTTACATCCTTTGATTCCGCCAACGTCTCCTCCTGGAGTGGTGGCGGGGGAGCCCGAAGGCAGATTGCACTTGACTCGATGCACCCTTTTGCTGGTCGCGAGTTTGGAGGCTCAGACCGTTCAAACCTCAGAGGAAGTAGAGCTTTCGGAAGTGGATACCCATATGGCGCATCCTCAACAGACAGCATCGCTGGACGACCCTTCCCGTATGGGGTGTGGCCTATCTACTGGGGAGGGAACTTTATGGGTTCCGAAGAATATGGACCACACTTGGACAGCATTCGACCAGGTGGACAACTCGTACTCCACGAAATCAAGGGATCGACAGAACGGTGGAACGTGACGGACGATGAGACGTACTACATGCTATGCGACCGCGAGACGGCGTTTGCGATAATGACGAGCTTTGTCACTTGGTGTGACGCATTGCCTGTGTGGCCCGTTGTCTTCAATATCACAGGGGCTGGGGTCGGAGAAGGCAGAGCGGGTAACATTACTGTGGATGTCAGCAATGTGGTGCGCTATTATCGCGCGAGTAGCTTTGCGTTCCTCTTTAGAGGATACAATAATACCAAAGCCAAAACCCCAAACTCCGGTGCGACCGACGCCGACAGTGATCCCCTGCCTGATCTGGTCACGTATTCACTTTTCCGCAAATGCCTGTCAGGAGTGATAGAAAATGCGCTCCCAATCGTTGATCGAATACCACAGAAGAGTAAGACAGGAATGATCATAGGAATCGTGTTTGGAGTTGTTATCGGACTTGGTCTGCTATGTTTCTGCAGCATGGGGAAGAGAAGAAGTCCAAAGTACGTTACTTGGCCTGGTTCTGTGCCTATACTTACCAAGGCTTAGCTACTGAGTCTCATATCGGGGGGACACCCGACCATTGCGACGGGTGACCAACTCACCCCTCTTTCTACTATTATTGGGACCTTGAAATGTCTCCTTGTGATTCTTTCCCTGTATCATTATGCCCTTGGTGCCGTCGTTTCCAATTTGTGAATTGGGGCGAGAGCGCAGGGTATACGAATCGACTTGTGCCCCTTTTATACTATTATTCGAAACTCAAACTCTACTACATTGAATGCTTTGTAAGTCCAAGTTAAAGCCACCATCACCGACTTGAACCACCCCTACTCAAAGCTTTCTTTCATTTGCTTCTTTCGACCGGATTCTTTATACTCCAAAAATACCAAACACTTTGTTAAGCAAAGAACATCTCAACCCTCCCTTGTTCACATTGGTTCGAGACCACTAATTCCCACGACAACGTTGAAAGCAGCAATTTCCTCTTTATTTCCTGCCACGTAGTATCATGGGATCCATACTGTGGACGATAATCTTTACATTTGTCGCATTACTTGCGATTCCGCTGCTCAAGCTGGCCTCAATTCTTCTTCGTCCATATTTCTCTCCTCTTCGAGAGCTTCCTGGGCCTCCAGGGGGTAGTTGGATTACAGGACATATAAGCGAAATGAACTCGTCCGAAAATGACCGTGCAGCTTGTCACCTGCGATGGGTCAAGCAGTACGGTCATGTTTTCGTGTATAAATCTCTTCTAAACGTATGTTGTGTGCCCAAGTATGCGAGTGACACCACTCATGGGAACACAGTCAGACAGACTTTCGACTGTCGATCCGAAGGCGCTCAATCACATCCTGGCGAACCCGATGATCTACTACAAGCCCTCGCATCTACGCCTAACGGTCGGACAGCTCATAGGAGAAGGTGATACCTGTATATATGTACTGTGTTAGACTGGCTGACCAGTTCATAGGGCTCATCTTTGCCGAAGGTGAATGAAAGCTTGAGACAGGCCCTGTGCTTTAGCTTATCTGTATTTAGGCGCTGCACACAAACGTCAACGTAGGATCATGGTCGGCATCTATGTCCAAACCTTTGCGTTTGGGTACTGACGAGTTCATCTAGGGTCCTTCCTTCAGCCTCGGTCATACTCGTGAGATGACCCAAATCTTTCTTCGCAAGGCGATAGAGGTCCGTAGGAGACCCAATACACACAAGTACTGACATGATTATTAAGCTGCGTGAAGCCCTCGGCGTGCAAGTAGACAGGATCCCTCAAAGCCAACCTATAAACATCGCCCCTTGGATTTCAAAATGCACTCTTGATATAATGGGCCTAGCTGGTTTCAATTACGACTTTCATTCTTCAACAGACTCGGGAGAGGGCGAGTCGACCGATGAACTTGCTCGTGCATTTGCCGCATCCAATCGCACCGGTCAAGGATACGCGATGATGCAGCTGTTATTTGCCTGGATTCCACCCTTGCGGTTGGTCATGTTCGACCGCGCGACGAGGACCGCGGATAAAGCACAAAAGACGATGCGGCGGATAGGACGGCGACTCGTCGAGGAGAGGAAGAGAGACCTGGCTGAATCCTTGGCAAGTGGTGACGGAGACGCAAGAACCGGCAAGGATTTGTTAAGCCTAATCGTGAAGGCAAACATGAGCGTCGACGTCCCACCAGAGCAGCAGATGACTGATTCAGAGGTCATGCACCAGATTCCGACCTTTCTAGTTGCAGGTATCTCTCTCCCTCGATCTCGATTCGTTCTGGCTAACACCCCAAGGACACGAGACAACCGCGACCGGGCTCGTTTGGTCTCTATACTCTCTCTCTATTCATTCTGACGTTCAGTCTCGTCTGAGAACCGAACTCCTTCAAGTCGGAACTGACACGCCGTCCATGGACGAGCTAAATTCATTGACATACTTTGATGCCGTCGTGAAAGAGTGTCTGAGACTTCATTCACCATTCGAAAATACGCTGCGGGTCGCTCAAAGGGACGACATTATCCCCCTATCTAAGCCGTTCGTCAACCGTGCTGGCATTGCAAAGGACCAGATATTGTGAGCTCCCTTTCTTACCTCTCTATGCTGACTCACATACCCAACATAGGATCAAGAAGGGTGATGGTGTATTTATGCCGATTTTGCTGATGAACCGTCTCGAGTCTATTTGGGGACCGGATGCGGCCAGCTTCAAGTAGGTCATATTCCAGGGGTCTCGATGACTATTCAAAATATCCCAGTCCAGAACGATGGTTCAATCTACCAGAAGCCACGGGCTCGATACCAGGGGTATGGGGCAACCAGTTTAGCTTTCTTGGGGGTCCGCGCTCCTGTATTGGTTATCGTTTCGCAGTGACGGAGTAAGTCAATCTCAGACAAGTGGCCAAGTCTTACGCCTCGAAGAATGAAGGCTATCCTCTTCACTCTTGTCCGCAATTTCGAATTCAGACTCGGAGTAGATGAAAGAGACGTTCTTAAAGAATCTGCGTATGTATTTTCGCTCAAATAGCGAGCCATAATGTACTAAACACTGCTGTACAGCATTGTCACTCGGCCCATGATCAGAGGGCAGCCTGAAAGAGGCTCGCAAATGCCATTATTGGTCAGCAGATGGGTGCAATAGCCATCTATATTCTGCCTCTGTAATGATCGAAATAAGTGTGACAAATCGGATGGCTTTCCCAACCAGCCCACATGCCAATACAGCCTCAACTCGGACAAGGGCTCGATCTCGACCGACCACTGTCAAGCGCAAACCCCCTTGAGCCGAAAAACAAGCTTTCTACCAGCCTCAATCCACCACATTTTTGCTCTCCGAAACGAATCTGTCCCATCCGTGGGAAGTTTGTGCGAGTAGGGCAGGCCTCACCCAGTCGGCGTGCAGTTCAATTATTCGCAATCTGGCTTATTGTACTCATATGAACTCTATTTCATTTCCTCACCCGCTGAGAAACGGTGTTCACCGGTCATATCCTGCCTATCACTGAAAAAATAGGTGCTCTAAGGGACAAATACCGTGCTTTGGTGAACTTTGACTTGCAGCAGCAACAGCTTGAAGTGCTCTATATTGATGCTTCCTCGGCTGCCCCAGAAGAGGTGATAGTTATTGATAGGACCTACCTCATGAGGTCACTTTTGGTACAAAGGTGCAACTCCGTTTCTCTAGGCCGCCCTGATCTGATATATAGGTTGTAGAACACGACTGTGAATCAGCGCGAAGAGGGAAAGAAGCCGAACTCTTCTGAACAACAAGGGAGACCAAATCTACTCTCAAGTTTGATGGCTGCCTCTATTTGTCGTTCTTCGGGACCTCCAGATAACCACCACTGACTTGCGTTGCCCAGCTCCTTCGACCATGACTTCAATTGGCTTGTCAAGGGGACTGCGTCCATCAAGCAAGAGGATAGCCCCCATCCCCAAGGGGATTCTTGACTCTTTGTTATAGATTTGGTGGTCGCCTTCTCCCACTTCAAACACATGTATCGTCGTGGTATGAACTTCGGCAGCATTCCATATGGTGAATCGACGTTTGGACGATTTGAAACAGAAAATGAGGACCCAAAAAACACATTTTTTTACTCCAAAAGAGCTCGTCTACGACGGAGATGGCAATGCACAGGATAGGGCAAGCCACCAGCAGGAAAGCTATCTGGAATTCACCCATGAAACCTTGCCAAAGAGAAGAATGAGAGGCCAAGATACTAGTGCTGCGTACGGGCCCTTCATATACGTGAAAACTCAGTTGGCGATCTCGAGTGTAGGAAAACAGTCGAAGCGACTGGGGTTGACGGGATCATGATCGGTAGAGGTGCACTTATCAAACCCTGGATTTTGTATGGTCTTGTTTTCTTCACTTTGCCGTATCTGATGCCTCGCAGCACCGAGATCAAGGAGCGCAGGGACTGGGATATAAGTTCTCGCGAGAGGCTAGACCTGATCCGCAAGGTACGCATGCGGGGAAATCACATGGGATTCCTAATTTATGTTCTTCTAGTACGCTGAATTTGGTCTATGGTGGATGGAAATGTCATTGACGGCCCAAGCTGACGATCTTGCAGTCACTCTGGGTCAGACACGGCTGGAGTCAATACAACTCGGCGATATTTATGCGAGGCTCTCTCTTTCTTGCATCGTTATATCCCCATTGGATTACTCGAGGTCATGCCACCCCGACTCACTGACCGAGCCCCAGCGTTTCGAGGACGGGATGAACTAGGTAAGCAAAGTTTCAAGTGATTTGTGATCTAACCATTGTTCAGAGACTCTGCTTTCGAGTGCGGACTGCAAGACGTGGGTGAAGATTTCGGAAATGGTCCTTGGACCCGCACCGGCAGCGTGGATGTTTGTTCCAAAGCACAAAGGCAACGCGTATAGTAACGATAAGGGAACGGAAGCGCAAGGATGAGCGTATCAGCATGCATGCCGGAGTTGCGCATCGTGGTCGCTTATCGAGCCTGGGAGCGCCGTGGCCGCGGAGTCGCGGTTGGAATCACATTCTTCTCGAAATGTGTAGATACCATAAGCAGCGCAAGTCAAGCAGAGTAGACTCAAACTCGAAATCACGCGCCATCGTACTCTGCGCCCGCCATATAAGGCCGTTTCCCCGCACTCCACTCGACGACTCCTAAAGCTTTGTACAAGCTGGGTCAACTAGTCTCCAAACTCTTGGTGTTTCCGTTCCGGTCTTCGTCGGTCGTATTAGCGCGTGACCAGGTGACGCCAACGCTTGAACCTCCACCATTAACAGCATCAGGAGCTCAGCAGTCGAAGAAATCGCATATAGTATTCATGCCGCACTCTACGCATAAACCCAAGATCCTCGACACAGAGGCCCAGGCGAATCTTCCCAAGTTGCCTGTCCCAGAGCTCGAGGAGACGTGTCGGCGATACCTCGCAGCGCTCCAGGAGCTCCAGGATGAAGACGAGCATGAAGCGACCAAGAAGGCGGTCGATGACTTTCTTCATGGCGATGGACCAAGGATTCAGGCCAAGCTCAAGGAATGGGCCGCCTCCCAGGACAGGTGCGTGCGTCGCTAAGCGTATTGCGCCTTCTAACGAGAACTATTATACTAGCTATATTGAAGAGTTTTGGTTTGTGCATTCAAACGATTGATAGTAATAGCCACTGACGCGAGCCACAGGTACGAGTCGTATCTCTCGCATTCGGATCCTGTAGTCTTGGCGTTGAACCCGTTTTTTGTCCTCGAGTGAGTTTGTTCTCATAGTAAAGGTGTCCCTGTCTAATATTATCTCAGAGATGACCCAACACCGTCCCGTGGCACACAACTCCCCCGTGCAGCGTCACTCATTGTTTCATCACTCGGCTTTGTTCATGATCTCCGCGAGGGGCTGCTCAGCCCAGATACCGTTCGTGGAAAGGCGCTCGATATGGACCAATACACGCGTCTCTTTGGAACGGCGCGTGTACCAACGAACCGAGGATGCCGCATGGACGTCGACGAAGGCTCGCGGCATATTGTCGTCATTCGCCGTGGTCAATTCTGTACGTGCCTTCTTAGACTCAGTCTATTCTTGGACTCACATTTCCGAAAGACCACTTTGACGTGCTTGATTCGGCCAATCGACCAGTGCTCACAGAACGAGAGATCCTACGCAATCTCGAGGCAATCTGCTCAGATGCCGAGACTGTACCACTGAACGAGGTTGCCAGTTCGAGTATGGGCGTGCTCACGACGGAGAACCGCAAAGTATGGAACCGACTACGCAACGTCCTGATCTCAGACGAGGCCAATCGAGAATGTCTCCAGGTCGTGGATGACGCGCTGTTTGTTGTATGCTTGGACGACGTTGCACCGGACAATGTGGCAGAGCTATGCAGCAATTTCCTCTGCGGGACATATCAGCTCAACGGGGGTGTCCAGGTCGGCACTTGCACCAACCGGTGGTACGACAAGGTACGTTGTCTCCATTCCAATGTATCATCTACTGAGTGTTTGATAACAGCTCCAAATTATTGTCTGTGCAAACGGGACAGCTGGTATCAACTTTGAACATACGGGTGTCGACGGTCATACCGTTCTACGCTTTGCAGCAGACGTATTCACCGAGGGGTTAATGCTCATGGCACGCTCGATCAATCCCGCAGCACCGACACTCTTTCACGCCAAACTGAGTCCGCACGCTAAGAGTTACAAGCCATCCAAGGGCGCAAAGAAGGAGGATATCATTCATGGCCCGAAAGAGCATATCGACACGACGCCCAAGAAGCTCGAGTGGCATCTGGTTCCGGAGCTTCGTGCGGGTATCCGATTTGCGGAACGCAGAATCTCGGACCTGATTTGTCAAAATGACTGTCAGGAGTTGGAATTCAAAGGCTATGGCAAAGATTTCATTACCCGCCATGGGTTCAGTCCAGATGCATTCGTCCAGATGGCGTTCCAGGCTGCATACTATGGGTATGTCGCCAGCATGTTTCTTTGCGGTTCTGATAAATTGCAGGCTGTATGGGCGAACTGAATGCACGTATGAACCAGCCATGACCAAGGCCTTTTTACACGGACGCACCGAGGCCATTCGCACAGTTCAACCCACAAGTGTCACATTTACAAAGGTTTGTTCGGGTTCTCATACCAAACCTTTCTTATTGGCAATAGACGTTCTTCTCCGAGTCGAGTATTGAGCAAAAGATCGACACGCTCCGCAAGGCTTGTGCTGCCCACGTGAAGCTAACACGCGAGTGTAGCGCTGGATATGGACAGGACAGGTACAGATTCCCCGGGTTTTCTCTATGATTGGGACTGACCCTACTAATTAGGCATCTTTACGCCCTATACTGCCTCTTGCAGCGCGAAATCAATGAGTCGTCTCGAAGCCCATCACCGAGCACCCAAAGTCCGAAGATCAATGGCAAGACAAAGATTACTGCAGGCGGAGAGGGGTATACAAATGGAGATACCACAGCCAATGCAAACAACGAGGTCAATGTCGAACCAACCGCGTCTGGACACGCGACGGCATTGCCTGCCATCTTTACGGACCATGGATGGAGTATCCTTAACACGTCGATTATCTCGACGTCGAATTGTGGCAATCCCGCTCTGAGGTTGTTTGGATTCGGGCCGGTCGCGGCTGACGGGTATGGTATTGGATATATTATCAAAGATGATGGTATTTCAATGTAAGTGTCAGATTCGTTGACTCGACTTCAAATGGCTGATGATTTGACATAGCTGTGCGTCGTCCAAGCACCTTCAGACACGCCGATTCTTGGACACCATGAAGCAGTATTTGCTTGATGTGCAAAGGATGATTATTCAGCTTCATCGACAGGCAAATGAGCGACCTAAGCCACTCGAGCCACAGAAGCAGCACGGACGTACGCAGAGCAGACCCACCAATTCTATTCCCAACGGGCTGAAACCTGTGGATGGTATGGAGAAGAAGATTGTGGTGAAGCGTGCAGGTAGCCACGTCCGTCTTGCCAATTTGGAGACCAACGAGGAAGAGGATGTAGACGTTGACCTATTGAGTGGGTATTTTCTACTTGATCACTTGGTCAGGGAAGAGTTACTGACACTAGTCTATAGCCTCTGGGTACTCATTCTTCGATTCAGGAGACGTCGAAGTGTTCCAGCCGCAGCGGCGCCGTCCAACTGTAGGGCGTGTTCTTCGATTGGCAGAGTATTAACGGGAGATTGAGCGACAATACAAACAAGATGTATGTAAGGATGTATAACAGTGATCGTACATATTGCACCCTCACTGCGTCGTCGCCTGGACGCTTCTTCGATGGTGCCAAAGACGTATAGGCGTTCAGATGAGCTATATCGCGGTAAATTGCGATCTCACATTGCAAGATCTAGAACAGTCCTCAGGGATGCCGTGGAAGTCCGAGTCTGACAAGAACTTGAAACCGGATCGCCGGGCTGCGCTTCTGCTACGCTGTACGTAAGCGCATATAATCTTCATCGCTTTGATTCAACGTTGAACGCGTCTGGCACAGGGTTCGTCGGAGGTTTGTCATTTACGGACGTCCGAGGTGCTGCGTATCGGCGCTGGGCCGGACCAAAATCACTATAAAGGCCGAGGATAAAAGATAGGAAACGATATTACCAAACGCTCTACCTTTAAGTCTCCCAATATCGTGCCTCGGTTCACGCTTCAATTCGACCGCCATGTTCTACTGGATGCCATCAAGGTCGAACATCGCTGCAGCTACTGTTGCTAATGCTCTGTTCCAGCCTACGAGGCGACCAGTCGGTCTCTTCTTTGGTGGGACATCTGGGATTGGGCAAGCGATGGCACGTTTTCTTATTAACCACATGATAATTACAAGTATCCTTATTCGTTTCTTAGGCTGAACAGCTTGCTCGTCAAACAAATGGGCGAGCGCATATTGTCCTTCTCGGGCGAAATGAACAAGCCGCACAAAAGATCATCGACGGGTTCCCCAAAACCGACGCGTCAACGCCAGAAGACCAAGCGTCCAAGTACTCGTTCGTCAAGGTGGATGCCACTTCCATGTCCTCTGTGCGCGACGCCGCCGCGACGCTTTCCAAGGAATTGGACAAGGTCAATTTTATCGTAGCCACGACGGGCTTCCTGAGTATGAAGGGAAGGGATGAGACGAGCGAAGGCATAGATAAGAAGCTCGCATGCAACTTCTACGCGCGCTTCCGCTTTGTCCATGATTTACTCCCGCTTGTGCAAAAGGCTGCAGAGGGTGGAGAAACTACGGGTGTGATGAGTGTATTATCTGCTGGACGAGGTGGACCAGTCGAGCTTGATAACCTTGGGCTCGTCAGGGGTTATAGCCTGGCTCGGGGAGAGACGCATGCCGTCACATACAATGATGCCGCCATCGAGGTACGCGCGTTCATTATTTGCCTGTTCAATCTGACTTGTCTCAGGAATTCGCCGCAAGATACCCGCAAATCCGATTCTATCACTCGTTTCCGGGAGTCGTCACCACACCTGGTGCTAAAGCATTCCCTGGAGCATCTCTCATCCTTCCTGCGATCAAGTTCATGACATTTTCACCCCAGGAATGCGCCCAGGTACGCGTGGGTCTTTGTTCACCAAGGGTGTATTTCTGACCGTTTTCTTGTAGATTATGTGGTGGAGATTGTGGAGCAACGAATATCCATGGACAAGCGGTGCTCATCAAATCAACCATCGCGGATTAGAAGTCACGCATAACCCATACGTGACAGAGCAGACTCAAAAGGCCATTTGGGAGCATGCGATCCAAATGACAAGTCCATATGCATAGATCCATAAATTTCCACCAGTTTAATTCGTGATTCCGTAGTCCGTTTCCATACATCGAGAATAGGCCTATTGTACAATTAGTACCATGTTTTCATACTCATATCATGCTCCTATTCACCGAATACATATACTGCTCACAGAATTTCGGCAAGGAAATTCTTGGGAACTGAACGCGATAACTTGGCCCCTTCAACGTCGACCGGTTCACTTCCAAGTAAACATCTCTCCATTGAAGACGAACCTTCTAATAGGACATATCTGAGATTTAGTTAGTCAGACAATCTAGGTTAAACCGTTGAAACACATGATATATATTGGCCCGGATTCGGTGGACGAGGACACTTAGCGCACATTTATCCGTTGATTTCTGTTGCTCTTATTGTTTACTGTTCCTTAGTGATGAGAATAGCTGGGCCGTGGAGGAAGACGAGTCTTGGAAGCGGCCCGCTTCTACTGAAGACATTCGTTGCAGAGCAGGACTTCCGCAAGTTTCATTCCACCCACTTCATAAGGACATTTCACATGCCAGCATAGGGTCGCTGGGATTCTCCGCTCAAGTGTTTGGGCTCCCCTGGTTCTCACAAGACGGGGTATCTCGTTGTCCTACAACGCGGAACATTGCGGAAAACGTTTGGCAATCTCGAGCGAAATACGAAGAGAAGTGGCGCTTCAAGCGAACTTTGTATGCACCAGGATGTCACGGAAGCATGTGGACGCAGAGGATCCCAACTAGTCACCCATTCTACGAATGAACAGCATAGCCTCGGCTTGTTGTTGTCCAATTACACTTGGCCCCGACTTGATCCGGCAGTTTTGCGGGGAAAGCGTCTGTGAACGAATCGAACATCATCCGCGCTATATAACGTCCAGATCGACCCGCATCCACAATATGCTCCCACGGCAACACATCTCCACCGACGCCATGGGCAACTTTCTGTCCAAGGGACTCCCGACTGACTCGCCAAATCACTCTGATGCTACCTCTCAGCAAAACGGGAAACTTGGCCACCAAAAAGGCAAATCTTTGACCGAGGACTTGAGCTCTGCGCGTCAGTTTGTCGCGTCGCTACTCGACGGGTCGTATCAAGGCGGCGACCTAGAGGCCTTCACCTCGGCACATCCCTCCTACAACCAGGTGTCCAAGGCATTCAATAAACGACTGGATCCGAAGCCAGACCTTATTGTCTGCCCTCGCACGCAGCAAGAATTATCACAACTACTGCAAAAGGTGTACCAGGCAAAGGCGTCAGGAGCACCTGGTAGCTCACTCGTCCGCGTCGTGATGCGTTCAGGTGGCCACCACTACGGCGCATTCAGCTCTGGTAGCGCGGATGGTGACGAGTTGAATACCGCCGTGGTGGTCATAGATCTCAAGGCCTTTGCAACGGTTGAGTACGACGCCTCCTCGGAAGTGGTGACAATTGGAGCCGGGACGCGCTTGGGGAGGGTGGCGGAAAAGCTATGGGAGCATCGTCGGGCCCTTCCACGTATGTAAATTTTACACGGCTAATCTCTTTCATTATGCTTCGTTTGACTCATTGACTCATTGACGTTAACCCAGATGGTGTCTGTCCCACTGTTGGCATTGGCGGACACGCTGCGCACGGTGGATTCGGATTTACCTCGCGTGCATGGGGACTCACGTTGGATCGAATCGTGGAGATTGAGGCCGTCCTCGCGGATGGAAGCATTGTGATAGCCTCGGAGAAGCAGAACGACGACCTGTTCTGGGCCCTTCGCGGTGCTGGGCCGTCGTTCGCGGTCATTACCGTACGTCTAAGCGGCTCACGGGTCACCGGGGTCCCTGAGGCTGACTATTTCACAGACGTACAAACTCCTTACAGTACCTGTGCCTGCCGCCAACTCATATTTTGCTTATGAATGGCCCGACGTTCGGCCCGAAGATTCTTCAAAGCTTCTTCGGCATTATCAGGAGTGGATGTCGTCTGTTCCAGCTGAGCTAGGAATGGCATTTATGCTCCTGCCAGGCTCAAGGCCGGGGGTTAATAAGCTGTACATGAACGGTATGGCACAAAAAAAGGCTCTCACTACGTACTAAATTGAACCTAGGCCAGTATCTCGGAGACTGGGACGGACTGAGAGCTGCCCTGACTCCGTTACTCCAACTGTTCCATGAAATGTTAGGGCAGCCAAGTGAGACGAACGAGAAAAGCTATACCTGGCCGGAGATGATGGTTCAACTGGGCCAGGGAACAGGTACCTCCGACACATTTTACGCCTCGTCGCTCGCCATTCACGAGGGCCACGAAATGGATGAGAAACAATGTCTGGCTTTTACAACGTACCTCGCGCAGAATGGATGCAGAGATAAAACGGAATGGTTTGTGATGGCCGACAACTGGTAGGAACTCCCTCTCTCTCCAGAAATCTCACTCATGGTCCATAGGGGCGGTCAACATTCCGTCATTAACCGCGTTCCGAAGGACAAAATGGCGTGTAATGCTCGATCAAATCTCTATCTCTGGCAATTCTATACGCGTATGCTTGATCGGCAACCGCCATTCGACAATAGTGGCATCGAGTTTGTCAAAGGAATGCTAGACTCCATCGTCAACTCTCGTTCACAGGAAGAGGGAACAACTTGGACGTACAGCTCCAATGTCAAGTGAGTAACATGCGTGGTTCCCAAAATTGTGTTACTGATGTCGCACGCTAGCTACCCAGATGCGGAAATGTCTCGCGAAGAGGCACAGAAGATGTACTACGGAGATAAAGTAGACAAGCTCAGACAAATCAAGACAAAATACGACCCACACGATGTGTTCTCCTACAAACAATCCATTCAACCGTTGTCAAATTGAAGCATGATATTTGTATTTAGCATCGATCCTGTTATGTATCGTGATTATTGAATGTTGTTCATTTGATTCTAGAAATAAGCGGATCGGAGATTAGAGCAACTTCGACCTGGCTTCCAACTGGGTACAACCTCGCCTCTCCCGATATCTACGGGGCTGTATTTTTACCGACAGAAACTACTCCGCTAGGTTTTCGAAACCGTGTGTCAGACGCTTTAGGACACAGGCGCCAATCATGGACCCATCAACGACCGAGATACAAGTCCAACCTCAATATCATGATTCAAATGGTCCTGCTTCTCAATCTAATAATACCAAGACCTCAAGCAGAGAGCCCAAAGTCAAAACTCACCGTCAAAAAAAGGCCGACCCACCGCCGATTCCTTCGAGACCTTATCACCGACTGCCTTTCGCGACTTTCAACGTCGATGTATCAACATTGGATAGATCTAATGGATTCGGACCAAGACTGGGGACATTCACACTAAGAAGACCCAGAGCTACCCCATGGACTTATCAAGCCCAGGTAGTGCAAAGTGCAAGCAGTGAAAAGGGGGAAGATGTAATCGAGATTCGGACCCCTGGGATGATTGCAGGCGCCTCGAGGGGTATCGTCAAGCATCTCTCTCGCGACAACGTCGCGCTTGCCAGAGGTTTGTCGTGGATTCATATACCCCTTGAAGACTTGTAGGTCCTCGTATTGACTTCTATCCTCGACTGATTCCCATTCAGCTTAGAGCATCCGACTCCAATTCCCGCACTCCATCCCGCGACTTTACCACTACACACATATCTCACCCACCCGCTCGAGTCACACATACTATCACTCTGTCTTCGAGACCACAACGACAATCAGAATATGCCCGCCAACACCAATGCCTGGGTTCAGGCCAAAACGGTTAGGGGTGTGCGCAAAGTTTCAATCAACGATTGGATCCTATGGACCAAAGCATTGCGTCCGGACCTTGTCTGGGCGTTTGTCGACATTCCAAAGACGTTGCTGAGTTCCTCGAATTCTCAAGAAGGTGGGGTGGATGAGATGAGCGTTGTCAAAGGCGAGGGACGACAGACGAGCCAGAAGAGGATCGTGAAATGTTTGGAGCGGAGCACGGGCTGGGTTACGAAACTCATGGGTGGGCTCTTGGAAGACGAACAGAATACAATGGTGGATGGCGAAGCGAGAAAACGACCTCCGATCATCGTTCCTTTAATAGGAGGCTGCGATGGGAGAGCACGAGACGAGTTCGCGAGGTCGCTGGTCGAACCACTGGATAGAGGGGATCGAGCAGAGGCTGGCGGTCTTAGAACACTTGACGAAGGGATATTCGGGTATGCCATTGAGATGGTAGACCTTCCGACCAACACATATGGTACTGCACCATCACCCATCACCCATCACGAAGCGGACCGAACCAATACTCTTACCGACCTCGTTTTGACCTCCCTTGAACCGCTTGACTCATCGAAACTGCGCATAGCACATTCTACCCCCTCTCCGCATGCTATATTGCGGCTCATTGATGAGTGCGGAATGGACCTGTTTGATGCTCCATGGGTCGCAGAGGCGGCTGATCTCGGGATTGTCCTGGACTTTTCATTCCCAGTGCCAACAATGGAAGGGAACAAAGCCAGAGCTCTTGGGCACAATCTGTTCGAGGAGCAGTATGCATTGGATTTTTCGCCGTTGGGCTCGACGCCATCTTGGCCTTGCGATCCTACGTTCCACAAGGGGCCGATATTGCATAGCTCACTTGATGACCAACAATGGGAATCGGAGGTCGCGGGAGGATCCACGAGGCCCTTCTCCAAGGCATACATTCATCACTTACTGCACACGCACGAGATGAGCGCTTACTCACTTCTTCATCTCCACAACCTCGCCGTTATGGATCAGTTCTTTACCGACATCCGAACTTTCCTCTCGGAATCTGATAGAAGTGCGTTCAGGGAGGAGATTGGCCGATTTTATGAAGTATATCAGCTACCGGAGACTCTCTTCGATGGTGCAAAGGTTCGATGGAAAGAGGTCGAGGATGCGAGAGGCAAAGGACGACTGAAGAGGGAACGCGAGGCACTTTCGAGTGCAGCAGCTGTATTGGGGGATCATGCACTTGTTGAAAACTCACAAAGCGGCGAAGCAACTCCACGGGCGAGTGACATCGCTACTGCCGTGGTTTTGGAGGCTGTAGAGGATACAACCTAGGAGAAGATTTCAAAAGTCTAATAAAGATGTATCTGCAAACTAGGTGAAACCGTAAAGGGGTGTGGAACAAGTGGATCCACGCGGTTGAAACTCCGACGGCTTTTATAACTTGGTCCCAACTCTGTTTACATTCTCATTTTTTTATCCTGTCAAGAATGCTGGAATCAGAGCAAGCACCTAGGTTTGTCACTTTATAGGTTTGGAGATGCAGGGAGATCTAACCCCTTTCATCGCTTCTCTCCAAACATCCGAACCTGTGGCTAAATGGAATCTAAACCAAACCTTTGGCGGTTCTCCCGTAATCCAGGAGCGCTGGTGTGATGGCATTCTTCGACACAAAGCTCTGTACGGCGAGACCTCCGTCGAAGGTTGTGCCTCTGAAGCGACGAAGGTCTCCTTCGCCCTCGCCCTCACGAGCCGTGATGGGCTCCTCGACCAAGGGTTCAAAAGTCATTCCATTACGGCTACGGACCTCTAGTAAGTTCAAGAGCGACTTGGGTTGAAATCGAGATTTTGAGTTTTTCAGACCTTTTGGCATTGATGCCGGGCCTTTTACTCGATGAGCAGCACGAAAACGTTCCAGCGTTTCAAGAGCCTTCAGAGTCGAAGATGGCAGGGAAATCGCATCCAGACACTGATGGAGGAAAGCTTGACTGCGCCTCCAGTCAGGAGGCATTCATTCGAAGCGAAGTCGACCACTCAGTCCCGACAAAGTTGACACACGGCAAGGGTGCGGCCACGGCGCGGTCGGACGGCTCCATTCAATTCGCGTCTGGCCTTGACGCTCCTTGCTTCCGACTCAGCGAGTTTCAGCCATTCTCAAATGATGCTGCTCGAGACATTTTGCTCAAACCCCCTCGAGAACCAGCATTTGTGCCAGGCTGGATGGACGAAGGAAGGCCGGCATCTGACGATTTCTACACCCAAAGAGAGCAGAGCTTGAACCAGAGACGGAGGTATAGCGACAAAAACCAACTAAATTTACAACTCATACCAAAAGGGGACGACTTAGAAGGCGAAAACGTGTCTCTTCCGGTCATGCGGTCCTGTATTAAGCTCCCGGAGGTCATCCAAGGCGTCAAAAGCAGAACAGGTCCCGTCATTTCTCGCTTCCTATCGAGTTTGGGTGAACCCATGGAGACCACTTTGCCGAATCTCCCTATCTGGAAATCATGCCACGACGAGGTCCATGAACCAGCAGATCCCTGTCCTGTGGTGGGAGAGGAGGATCGAAGTGATCAAGCCGCAATCAGGCCGCTGCATGATTCGTGGCCTTCTTCACCAACACCCGGGCTACCTTTGGCGGACTCGAACAACGCGCCAGGTCAATCACCTCTCTCCTCGACATCCGATGGAGAAGGGTCACCAAGTAAGACTAGTCTATTCACTTGACTTTTTTTTTTTGACCCTTTTATAGTGTCACTGTGCTCGATGCTCGAAGGCCCTTGTGTGGCACCGGCCCCCTATCAAGGTGAATTGGCTTTGTTGACTCATGCAGCGACCTTGGCCTCCACTGGTATCTCAGTCAATTGGGGCGGTGATCCTTCTGGGATGATCCCGTCAGCAGCGGATGAAATGGACGACGCCGTTCCGACAGTAGGGTCACTCTTCAATCCGTCAGGCGTTAAGAGCTATTACGGCTCCCCAAGGAATATATCTCCTTATTCGACCGCTCTTCTTCTATCGGGCATACAGGAGAGGAACGACGAGGATCCGACCTACGATACAAAACCCCTAGCAGGAATGGAGAACGCACTGTTCCTTGAGGATGAGCCTGGCGCTCCACTCCTCGGACAACTTTCTCACTCCGAAATGCCCTCCAAAGTACAACTGCTCTGCGAATATTCGACAGTCGAGCATGACCAACTGCTCGAAGCGTCACTATCGCAGGTCGAGAGGTCGAAGCGAAGATTTCTCGAAGCAATACGAGCAACGACATTGCCACAAAAGGATACTCACACCACTAGCGTGGGTTCAAGTCCCTTGAGACGGCAATTGTCACCAAACTCGCTCTCTTCAGAGGGGCATGAAGACAGGAAGATATATGATCAAGTGAGTGATTAGAGCCTCATAAATCGGCGCTCAAATTCTCCCCTCTAGGACAATAGAAGTCGGCCACATTCTTCAACACTTGTATTGGTCACTACCGCGCAGTGGGACGCACAACTTCCATCGCCCGCCAACTCAGTCTTTGGCTGTGATGAAGCAACACACCAAGAGTTGCAAATGCCTTATAACGTCGATGCAAATAGTCTCTTCGACGGAGACCTGACCGATGAGGAGACCAGGAGCCACATGGACGAGTCGAGCCTGACCTCGCTGTCTCCCCTCTCTATGCGCAACGTTCCACTCCCCGTGACAAACGCACGAGATCGTTCAGTGAAGGGTGGAATAACTCAACTGCTTACACCAGCCTCACTTTCGCCACCTCCCACTTCCCGGATCCCTGACCGGACCCAGGATTGTATGCGGTCAATCGTGCCTATGTATACATCAGCGAGGAAGCGAGTCTTGATTCAAGAAATACTGGATGCTGGCAGCCAATCATCGACCAAGATGGCTGCGTTTGCTCGGCTGCGTCGAATCGGAAAGTCGAGCAACCTCTGCATTGAGGGAGGCGCATACAATCCATTTACCGGAAACACAGGCTCTATCAAAAAGGAGACCGAGGATATCCTCGACCGCAATACCCTGATAGCCTTACGGCTTATTCAAACCACTCGCTGACCATTTATTATCCCGCTCGATCCATGGTGATCACTCTAAAATCTTGTTTACTTTCCTTTTACTTTTGTGTAATTCCTGTTTCATAGCATGTATTTTGACAGCTGATGTTGAAACCCATTACTCGTTTATTACTTCTCCGTGACCTTTGAGACCTCCCAAAGGTAAGTCCCAAGAAGCTTTGTACCCTTGATATAGTTGCTCCTGTCCAATTTTTCATTAGTCGAGTGCGCACCATCGTCTCCTCTACCCATCGGCAAGAGGAGCACATTGACCCCCAAGGCTTCTGCAAACGTCAACGTGACAGGGATGCTGCCGCCCTCTCTCGTCAAATCTGGTTTACGACCATAAACCGTCTCGGTCGCTTTTGCGGCCGCGACATAATTCCAATGATTAGGGTCGGCAACCCACGGCTTGCCACCATGTAGCGACTCGACTTCGAGTTTGTTCTTGCTATTGAGCTGGTTGAAGATGCTCTTGATATACTCTGTGACGAGCCTGTCGACATCTACGGGCAACATGTCTGGCACGAGACGGATACTGAATTTGCCCGCTACTCGAGCTGGGATAACCGTCTTGGCACCCGCCGCGTAAAATGCACCCTCGATTCCGTGCAGCGAGAGGGAGGGGTAGCGCATGCGGTTCATCAAGACTTCGGAGATGGAGCTTGACACTGCGATTTCAGCACCGGCAGAGGAGTGCACGTCGTCGATCGAGTAGTCGAGAGACTCGTAGCGCTTTCTAAAGAGAATGAGATTCAATGGGAATATTGTCAAGACGACTAACCTCTCCTCCTCAGTCAAGGGGGCGACCAGCTCGTTGATTCCGGGGACGAGAATGTCGCCTTGCGGAGTAACAAGTTTGCTCATAATGTGTATGAGATCCGTCATGGGCTAATTGGTCCTAAGATAAGTTGAGAACGATAGGAGAATATATACCTCGTGCACCATTCTGCCGAACACACCAGAATGAAGATCCTTGGCTGGACCAGAGACATTGATTTTGTAGTAGCATATGCCACGCTGAATTGATTCAGATTTCGCCCAAGGTGGCACGCAGTACTCGGCTCACCAAACCGTAGGTCAGGCATGGGGTTCTCGTATTGAGCCAGTAATTATCGGACTGTAGAGAGTCAGATCTGAGTGGCTGACACGACCCCACGTACGATGCACACGCAGTCGACGCCGTCAAAGAATTTTCCGGGCCCAACTTCCGAGTTGATCAAGTCGTCGAGACCTTCTGAGCCACTCTCCTCCATCCCTATCAGTTATCTCAGTATCCTCGTAGAGGAGATTGACTCGACTGTGAAACTTGCCTTCGAGACAGAACTTGAGATTGACCGGAAGCTCTATTCCTTGTTTGACATGTGCTTCGAGAACATTAATCCATCCCAAAAGTGGGCCTTTGTCGTCGCTAGATCCGCGTCCAATCAGTCTTCCTGTTTTCTCGTCGACCTTCAAGACAAAAGGGTCGGTGTCCCATCCATCTGAGAGGAGTGCCTGTGGTTTGTCGATCAGTTTGGAATGTGAGCTCGGCTAGCCGGAGCCAACGTCAGCCCATATGGCGAGTGGCCACGGCTGACGGAGCACATTGCGGGCGATCTGGGTATCAAGTAACTACGAGGAAAGACATACGGGTTGAACATCGTAGTGAGCATATAGCCCAACCGTCTTCTTGCTCTTATCGTTTCCGATTTCGCCCAGAATGGCAGGTGGGAGGTCAATCTCCTGACCATCTAGCACTTGCTTCCCAAGGGGGACGAGTTTAACTTTGACGCCGAGAGCCTCGAGCTCTGATTTGAGGAAATCGGCCATCTCAAAGACGTGTTTGCGGTAGGAAGCATCACCAGATACGCTAGAGGAGAATGATCAGTTCACTTTGAATACCAAAGTCACAAAGAGATGGAATTGTGGCCGAGAACTGATGGCGTACCTTGGAATAGCGACTGCTTTCGCGAGTCTGTCGATGAACTTATCTGCATTCTTGTCGATATACTCTGTAAACTGAGCTGGTGCTGCCATTTTGTTCTTGTTTATGTCGTTGTTGGACTCCAAGTTGGGCGGCTCTCTCTGAGTGACGCTGCCGACCAAGCGGAACGGTAAATTGGCTACAGCCAGAAACTGAAATCCTCTCCTTCTTCTGATGAATGTTTAAAGTTCTTAAACTCTTTACGATCTGTTGTGTGTTTTGTTTAACAGGTGTCTTGGAAGTGACCACAACACTCATTTTACCTGTTCAGTCGTCGATTATGGAATCATAGTCGGCACTTTTGACCTTGTTCAGGGCCCTCTTGACCAGCCAGACTCTTGGAGCCGTCCTCGTCGCCGGTCTTCACGGCGACTGCGGATATAGAACAAGCGCTTGTCTGGGAATATATATCCACACTCACTCTAGACTCCGTACAAGGTTCTGCAGGTCTACTTTTCACAACTCCGAGGACAATAAGCATGTCCAGCTTGACCATCATTCCCCCTCAGACAAATCTCACCTCTTCGACGGTGCACATTGTATTTGTACACGGATTTAGAGGAGATCACACTACATTCCAAGCCTTCCCCTCGGACTTGCACCACCATCTCCTGCCGGACATTCCAAACTTGCAGACATGGGTCTATCCAACTTACAAGTCGGCCAAGCCGCTTGCTTTTGCTACGAAGAGTTTCCTAACATGGTCAGTCACCTAATCTGTGGTTTCTCTTGGCATGATCTATGGACTGATTCGACTGCGTGCTGCGGGACAGGTTAAGCTCAATTCCGGACGGACATGTTATTCTGGCTGGTCATTCTATGGGGGGACTCCTCGTAGCCGAAGCAGCCGTCGACCCACACCCAGTGACCCGTCGCATCATCGGTGTCCTCGCCTTTGACACTCCCTACCTTGGCATGCATCCACATGTCGTGGTCAGTGGAATTGCTTCTTTATTCGCAAAGAAGAACGGAGAGAAGAACCCTGGACCACCTCAAACGCTCGTAGCGGGATTGCCTACCGAAAAGGAGGTCAACGACCGCGAGCATGTCAATTTTGTCCCGAGCATCGATGCATATCCTACAAGCGGTGCGCTTTTGCAACAAGTCTCGTGTGAGATTAATCTAAACGCATATAGGAACGACGACACCTCTTCGTAGTCCTATCTCCAATACGGCGAGCTTTCACCCATCTGGGCCTCGACCTCACTCGCCGCGACCAAACAGCCCACCTAGCGCTCTCAGCGTACCGAATAGTAGCACCTCGATCACCACGTCGCTTTTCAACAGTACCATGTCCTTCCTCCAGAAGCACGCCGATGAAAGCTTTGCTCGCTTCCTCAATAAACACTCGGATGCGCCCATATCTGCCATGACGCGCTGGGTGATTGAGTATTTCGAATTTGGGTTCGCCATGTTCGATTACCCTGGACTGCTCGACCGATACAAACGACTCGAGCAATGGGATGGCGATTGGGTCAACTTTTGGACGGTAACGGGTGGAGAAAAGAGCATAGATAGTGACGATGAAGAACCTTCAGGTGATGGGGAGCATGACTGGGAAAGGCCACCTACACCCAAGAAGATTGCCAGAACGAGAAAGGTGGTAATGCCGTCCGTCGTCTACGAGAACGAGTTTGAGAGAGCGATGAAGAAGGCGCGAGATGCAGAAGCAAAGAGGAAAGAGGCGGACGAAGCCAAGGCACGGGAACGAGAGGCAAAGGAGAGGATTAGGCAGGCCAAGGAAGACGAGAAGCAGCGAAGGAAGGAAGAGGAGAGGCAAGAAAAGGAACGCAAAAAAGCGATGGAAAAGCAAGAAAAGGAGCGTAAGGCCCTGGAGAATACCAACCAGAAATCCGCGAAACTCAGGAAACCCAAACCGAAGAGCACGTCTGATGAAGACGATGAGCATTCGCTTCGAGAGCCACCTCGAATCTCCATCGATGCAGCAGAGGACTTCAAAGTCGAACCTTCAACTGAAGGAGTCAAGAGCACCGAAAACCTGGACCCTCGAGCGTCGCGACCACCGTCCCCCACCCCGTCTGACAGATCCGAAAAAGCCTCTATATCACTTTCCCGACCAACATCTCCTGTACCGTCATCACGTGCGTTCTCTGCGAGCTCTTGTCCATCTCGACCACCGTCCCCAGACAAGGACGCGGCGTACCATTTCATCACTCTCCCAGGAAAGGTACACTCAAATTGTAAGAACCGGTGGCTTCGTGTGCGTATAAATGGCGTTCAAGACGAGGTCGCTGCACACACAGGTCTGTTCATTCGCAGCCAGAACCTCGACTATGATGCGTTCGTCGTTCGAGTGGGTAACGTTGTGAAAGGTTGGGTGTTATAAGTCCGTCGCGCATGATATAGGTGGAAATAGACTTTTGAACCTCACTCTGATGGCTGAGACATCGGCATCTGGTGCTGCTGGTCCATCCAATGCCGAAGACTCGATTTTAAAGCCTGTACAAGTGCTGTATTGTGAAGGTCGGCAACACGATGACCTTCTCGCGTCGGCGTTCTGACAGATTCTGTGGCATCGAACAAATTGGCGGCGACAACCGTGTATTATGCGGTAAATTTGGGTGTTTGGGGTATAGTATGCACATTTCCGCCAGAGTATTGCGAATTTGGTTCGCATATCACTAAGTGCAAAGCGTGGTTGGCGGAAGAGCATCCTGATCTCTATGAAAAGTATTACAGCGAAGGTAAATTATCCCATCATTCATCAAAACTTGTCATTTACATGCAAACCTGCGTCATGCCACCACCATCGACACCACAGATGCGTTGTCTAAGAAGGCTGGCGCGCTCTCATTGGAAGCGCAATCGAAACTAGAGGAGGATACAGCGAAGAAGGAGAGAAAGGCAGAAGCCAAAGCAGACGCAGAGGCCAAGAAAAAGATGGCGAGCAGGGTGACTATAAAGCGCATCGAACGGAATAAGAAGAAGTACGTGACGACTGTCCACGGGCTCGAAGCATTTGGTGAGTTCATGTACACTAGATGTCGGCATTCTAGGTCGGCCACCCTGGGTTGATTTCGACCGTGGGGCAAAGACCTAGTCTCGGCGATTAAGATGGAAAATTGACCGTTGTGGTCTAGGCATCGATCTCAAGAAAGCTGCTAAACAACTCGCGGCAAAGTTTGCGACCGGTGCATCTGTATCAAAGAACGCGCAGGGTCTGGACGAGATTGTCGTACAAGGCGACGTCACGGATGATATTGTAGAGCTACTCGAAGGAAATGTCGGTGTCCTCAAAGGAGTCCCACCGGACAATGTGGTTTGTGTCGAGGATAAGAAGAAGAAAGGCGGAACAAGTGCTGATCAGTAGGATATTGATACGTGTTCTATATACCAATTGAAATCAATATTCTCCCAGAATGTCAAACTTCTGATATTTAGTATTTCATTTGACCCCCTCCTACCTGCGCGTCTGCTCGCTCAACGAGTCACCATTACAAGTGCATCCAGCTATCTCAGGAGAAATCCAATGTGGTAACAGAGGTCATTCAACACCAATTTCAGGTCCCGAAACTTGAAGGTCCGTCCGTCTTCTCGATAAGTGAATCCACCAAGTATGAATAATGTTGAAAAGAAGAGTCCCTGTAATTCCTGAGTTTTCTGGTTATCGTATTCGCGCTTGAGCACAGCAGAGGCACGGAGCGAAAGTTGCCACAACGAAGTGTTCCTGACCACCGCCATGCACCCAGTTCAAGCGTTCTGTGCATATTTCACCTTTGTCCCCACTGGTGAACAAAGTATGTCACGTCACTTGGAGTGGCTACTCTTCAGGGAAGTGGGTACTGGCCTATCGAATGCCGGCAACTCGAAGGAGCTTGTGCAAGTCTTGCTTGATGCAGTCGATGGTGAGCCTCTTGGCTTCGTTATGATAACCTCTACATTCTTAGCTCTCTAAAGAAGGAATCTCTCGAAAAACAAATCACAGTCAACAATTGCTCTCAATTCAGCCTTCTCTTGAGAGATACTCGATGTGCGTTGCGCCCCATGTACGATTGCTTCAAGATACTCGCGCGCGCATTGACCAGGAACCGGAAATCAGCGCCATCTTGCACCCGAGAGGCAGCCAATATAGCGTTCTGCAGGCGGGCACCAAGAATTCTCGCCTAGCTGCTCGCCCCAAGGAGGACTTGGGACCCGTCGTTAATTGGCGAGAGGACAGAATTATGCATGTCAAGGCCCAGCCACATGACGCTCGTTGTATGCGCAGGCTGGAGGGGCATTTAGAGGATGCAAGGTACTTTCTCGAGGGTGTTCAGTTCTTGGATCACGGGTTCTTTCGGACGCATCTCACCTCGGCCCTCAACGCGAGAGAAATGGCTGGATGGATTGGTGCCAATTCAGCGCCAGAACTTGATTCTGTGGATGATACCTCTCTGTCTCTTCAATTTACCCACAACGAGGGAAAGGCGACGCGAAATAGTTCAGCCCGACCGAGTTGAAAGAAAGAAGCAAGGTAGAGAGCTACAAATATAAGCCATTGCTTATACCGTGACAAGTCAGTTTGGGAAATGTAGATGAACCAGGTCGTTTGGTTGACGCTGAAGCAGTGCCGGGTGAGTGCATATAGTGAATCTTCGTTAGTTTCGGTATCTCGAAATTCAAAGGTGATTACCCTGTTCTTGCGATGAGTTGCACCGCTGCTGCAAATGTCGATGTTCCCAGAGACAGTTTCGTCGGCGCCAGGGGTCTTTCTATTATTGACTGAGTCTTGAATCTCGCCACGACCGCCGTTGACCCGATGAGTTTGCTCGCACAATCAAATGCTCAAAGAGCATATCGAATATTCAATCACGCCAAAGCGTCGTTTCAACTATCCACCGGCGTTACAAATTGGTCGAAAAGAGCTGCGTCTGCTCAAGCTCGCAGTCTATACGCGCCTGCAGTGTCAAATACTACGAATTCAACGACTAGGAGCTTGATAGGACGCCTAGAAAGGTCGTCTGATGGTCACTCCGCCGTATACATTGGTTCAACCGGTGCCAGTGCTCACTGGGATCAACGAAGGCAGATAAATTTCGATATGTGCAGATCTAGAACCTCTTTCAACCAGAAAAAAGGGGTCTGTGTACGGCGAGGGCTGCATTCATCCTCTGGTGATTATTCCTCGTCATATACTGGGGGCGAATGCTAATTACTTTACTTGTATTTCCACGTCTTTAACATAGCACAACATCACGGAGGTATAAAACGACCTGAGCCTGGAACTGGGTGCGCTACTCTTATTCCTTTCACATCCTTCGTCCTAATAACAGTGATAGGATCAAAGTCCACTTTCGAGATGCAAAAGGCAACTTATTGAAAACTGTCGAGGGAAACGAAGGCGACTCACTTCTTGACCTCGCGCAAGAGTACGATATCGACATGGAAGGCGCATGCGAAGGCAGCGTCGCATGCTCTACCTGCCATGTAATTCTCTCTCCAGAGCACTATGATCTGCTGGAAGAACCAGAGGATGATGAAAACGATATGCTTGACATGGCGTTTGGTCTGACTGATACGTGCGTATCGTTCTCTGCGGTGATTGGGTGATAGTAATGTGGATTGTACAGATCACGACTCGGATGCCAAGTTTTACTCAAAAAGGAGCTGGACGGCATGACTGCAACGCTGCCTGCAGCGACAAGAAACTTCTTCGTGGATGGGGCAAAACCGACAAAACATTAGAGGAGACCCTTATTCTCTACACCTTGCAATCCTAATCACCTACTCATGTATTTCTAGTTGCATCAACCGTCCACTGCTCCTCCAAACCACCTTGCTTGTGAACCCAATTGATCAAAGACCGAACAGCGTAAGTACAAGAACATCCAGTCATGCTAATTATGAGAGCCAGTCATCTTTAATGCATGCTCCCAAATTGCTTTCACGGTTTCTTCCGTCGCGTATCGATTATGTGCGACTTCTTCCCCTCGATGATTGATCTGGTGATCACCGGTTGTCCACGGAGTTTCCTTCGTCCACATCCTCCACCATAGAATCTGTCAAATAAATTAACAAGGAGCATAGTGAGCAGACGGATCGACCTGCCTGAGAACACTCCTCCGCTGACATTAGCAAAGGTTTGGTCAGAAATTTGAGTACGGGATAAAGAAAATTGATGCTAGGAAACGATTTCATTATCGGCGTGTCGACTAGTCCGGGAAATGCGTGATAGAACCGAGTCTTGGGATGCGTCAAAGCGAGGTTCTATGACGAGATCAGACTCTCAGAAATGTGATCAATATCACGTACAATAATCATTGCGTCGTTGTACGTAGCGGCGTGCCCTGCTGCCTTTCCCAAGTTATACCGTTTCACGAGACCAAGGTCATCGAGTTCGACCTGTTGACCGGTCCCAGCAGCTAACACACTTATCACCCCAGTCTCCTCTCCATCGTTTGCCGCTTTGTCCACCAGTGGCATCAAGTCGTAGATGAACCGAAACCGTGCGTAAAAGTGACACGCGAGCTTTTTGTCAATGCCTTCACTCGTCTCGTCGCGCCCTTTGAGCGTGACGAACCCTGCCGTGGCGACGATATAATTGACTTTCTCTAGCTCATTCAAGAGCTTGGCGGTCACTTCCCGCACTTGAGCCATGGACGTTGCGTCGACTTTGATAAACGAATACTTGGAAGAATCTTCTTCCGGCGTCGAAGAATCCGTTTTCGGAAAGCCGTCAATGATCGCCCTAGCAGCCTGCTCGTTTCGACCAAGGAGGACAATCTGAGCTCGTCCATTGGTTTGACGCGCAAATTGTTCGGCCTGTAGAAGCAAGTTCGGAGTGAATATATGTTCTCATAGAAGGGGAACGTCCAAGCTCACCATTGCTTGTCCAATTCCAGACGTTCCACCAAAGAACAAGCCAACGGGTCGCTTTGCGGGCTTATAAAGCGTATTTGAAGCTGTAGCGGTGGCAATGTTTGCCTTGGAGGGCATCCAGTAGAACATGACTGCTGCTTTGTTCGAGTTGTGCAGGTAAATGATGCGGGCTGCGCTAGACAGCTACTACAGCGGCGAGACTCTTGAGCGAGTTTGGCACAGAGTTCATCTATCTTGCAGAATTGGTGTCAAATATGCGCGGGTGCTCGACGGTGCCGATGGTTAACGCGTCGCCACTTGAGACCCGGCATGAAAACTTGCTCATACATCTTTCTTCAACAAACTGACTTAGGCACTCTGTATAATGTAAGACATGAGATTGGTCGGTCTACATATGAGATCACACAATTGAGTCAAATTATGTCGCAAATGAGATAACTTGTGCTTCGACCAGCCCGGCGCTCAGAGGGCTCTATCCAGACGCAAATTACTGACGAGGCCCAGTCATCTTCAATGCATGCTCCCAAATTGCTTTCGTGGTTTCTTCGGTCACATGTCGATTATGCGGAATTTCCTCTCCTCGATGATTGATTTGGTGGTCACCCGTAGTCCATGGAGATTCTTTCGTCCATAGTCTCCACCACATAACCTATTAAACAAATCAGCAGGGAGAGGAGTTGGCAGATGGGTCGGCTTGCCTGAGCGCATTCCTCTGGTGACATGAGCAAAGGTTTGGCAAGGACTTTGAGTGTGGGATAAAAAATGGAAGCACCAGGGAACGCTTTGAGTATGGGTGTATCGACTGCCCCAGGAAATGAGTGATAGAATCGACTTTTAGGGTACTTTGAGGCGAGGTTCTGAGGCAAAGTCAGATCATCAACGAGGGTCAAGAGAAGCGCTTACGTTCATCACTGCGTCGTTGTATGTGATTGCATGTCCCTCTGCCTTGCTCAAGCTGTATCGCTTCACGAGACCGAGGTCATCGAGTTCGACGTGTTGACCACGTCCAGCAGACAGTACGCTCAATACACCCGTCTCTTCTCCATCATTTGCAGCCTTTTCGATGAGCGGCATCAAGTCGTAAATGAAACGAAACCGGGCATAAAAGTTGCACGCCAGCTTTTTATCGATACCTTCGCTTGTTTCATCACGACCTTTGAGTGTCAGGAATCCTGTCGTGGCGACGATATAGTTGACTTTGTCCAGTTCACTGGAGAGTTTGGCAGTCACCTCGCGAACTTGGGCCATGGACGTTGCGTCGACTTTGATAAACGAATACTTGGAAGATTCTTCTTCCGGAGTCGAAGAATCCGTTCTCGGAAACCCTTCAATGATCGCTCGAGCGGCCTGCTCGTTTCGACCAAGGATGACAATCTGGGCTCGTCCGTTGGTTTGGCGCGCAAATTGTTCGGCCTTCGAGATAAAAATGAGTGGAACTATTTGTTCAAGGAGAGCAACACACCATAGCTTGTCCAATGCCGGATGTACCGCCGAAAAATAAACCGACGGGTCGCTTTGCAGGTTTATAAAGCGCATTCGACGCCGTTGCGGCGGCAATGTTTGTCTTGGAGGGCATCCAGTAAAACATGGCTGCTTCTGGGTTCGTGTTGTACAAGTAGGTGATGCTAGCTGCGCTGACGGCTGCGACGGCGGTGAGACCCTTGAACAAATTGGGAACAGAGTTCATGTATCAATAGTTTCTCGCAAAAATGGCTAGCGCATTAAATATGTGCACGTTCTCGATGATGCCGGGAGTAACGCGTCGTTACCACTCAGAACCGGCACCAAAACTTGCTCACGGACATCCATCCAAGTTCTCTTACAAGATGTTGGTATACCTGTGCATCATGTCAGACATGAAATTGGTTGGCTTGCGTATAATGCAGACGGGATCACATGGTCATAATTAAGAATGAATAGGATGAAGATGAGGAACCCGCTGCAGCAGACAAAAAAGCATCAAGTGGGCCGCTGGGATTCGAACCTCAGATCTCACAGGGCAATAAGCTGAGTAGAAGTGCGCTCTGACCAATTAAGCTACAAGCCCGTCAATCCAGATACTTGCAAGCATCCTGTTGTATATTAAAATTCCATGAGAAAATCTATCATATTCCACTGATCATTGTGAGCTGAAGAACATCAGTCAAGTAACTCTAGGAACAAACGTCATGGTTATGCAGGATAACTGGTATGAGCAGGACAGAGTGAGATCACGCCTATAGCTCGCATCGGAAATCGTCGTTAGCAGAAGAGTCATGGCCTAATTGTTGGCCGACGCCACACTTTAAATGCGTAGAAAATCAGGAAGGAAATCACATTATCGAGGAAAAGGCAACATGCAGACATGAAAAGTAAAAAGATCACAAAATGCCTGGATCGAACCTCGTCCTCGCAAAAATTTGTGTTTTTGGTGCAGATAGCTTTTCCACCGGCCCAATGGAGCACTGCTCCAACGGAATCAGAAGGATATTGCCCATGTATGGTCGCCCGTGTCTAATTTTCAACGACGAAAGTATTGCTAGTACTGCCAGCATTGACAGTATTTTAGATAACATAGGCAAGAATCATGCATGCCGGGCACAAAGGCAAACATCGTGAGCTTGGAGGGATCTCCCCTACTACAGGTTTATGTGGAGGACTATGGACAAGCGGATGGAGCTTTGAAGCGCAGGGCTCCAAAGCTTACTGTCGGACTCAAAGTGTTGTCGTGATAGTGAAACTTAGTCAGAATGAACCTGAGATTGAAAAGAGAACTAAATCATAGACAGGCCAGAGGTGGGCTACTAGTTTGTAATACTTTCCCGATAGGTGATTTCACAACCATCAACTCGACGTATCACTGACGGGGGCCAGTGATCTTCAACGTATGTTCCCAAATCGCCTTTGTAATCTCTTCAGTTACATAACGATTATGTGGGATTTCCTCTCCGCGTTGGTTAATCTGGTGACCACCCGTGGTCCAAGGAGCTTCCTTTGTCCACAGTCTCCACCACATCACCTGCGCAAGAAATCAGCAAAGCGAATGCCAAGGAGATGAATCGATGTACCTGGGCACATTCCTCTGGTGACATCAGCAAAGGCTTTATGACAAACTTGAGCACGGGATAAAGGAACGAGAAACCCGGGGCCGTTTTGAGCATAGGTGTGTCGACTGTCCCAGGAAATGCATGGTAGAACCGAATCTTGGGATATTTGGAAGCAAGATCCTACTAGAGGTCAGAACCGTCACAACAAGGGTTAAAATGGCGTACCATAACCATCGCATCAGTGTACGTGATCGCATATCCTTCTGCATTTCTCAAGCTATACTGCTTGACAAGGCCGAGGTCGTCGAGGTCAACCGGTAAACCACGACCAGCGGACAATATGCTCAGTACACCCGTCTCTTCTCCATCGTTTGCAGCTTTGTCCACCAGCGGTATCAGGTCGTAGATGAACCGAAACCGGGCATAAAAGTTGCACGCCAGCTTTTTATCAATGCCTTCGCTTGTCTCGTCACGACCCTTGAGGGTCAGGAACCCAGTTGACGCAACGATAAAGTTGACCTTGTCCAGCTCGCTCAAGAGCTTGGCGGTCACTTCGCGGACTTGGGCCATGGACGTTGCGTCGACCTTGACAAACGAGTAATTGGAAGACTCTTCTTCCGGAGTCGAAGAATGCGTTCTCGGAAACCCGTCAATGATCGCTCGAGCGGCCTGCTCGTTCCGACCAAGGAGGACAATCTGAGCTCGTCCGTTGGTTTGGCGTGCAAATTGTTCGGCCTTCGAGATGTGAATGAGTGAGACTGCTTATTCAAGGAGAGTAACCCACCATAGCTTGTCCAATGCCGGATGTACCGCCGAAAAATAAACCGACGGGTCGCTTTGCAGGCTTGTAAAGCGCATTAGAGGCTGTAGCGGTGGCTATATTTGCTCTTGAAGGCATAAAACTGGACATGACTGATGCAAGTAGCGCAAACGCAGATGGTCGTCGAGGCCAAAACGAAGGACGGTGACGCCTTTGAACAGACTTGGAGCAAGTTTCAAGTCATTAATGCTGAGGACAACTGGTTAGAATTCTCGGATATGTCCAATTGATTGTGCAGGCGGGGGCAAGCAGTCGTCCGTACCACTTGTAAAGGAGGCGCGAAATTTGCCCATAAATTTCATTTAATTTATCTTAATAGCTCAGTTGAACATTCCAGTTCGAGAGATCATATTGCTCGGTCTACTCTACGGAGAGACAGCAGCACACAATTTAGATAGCAAATAAACCAGGAGAAACGACAGATTAAAGTCCAATAAACTTTCAGACAGAGACAATGTCCATATCATTCGTGCGACTCAGTTTCAGAGGCAAATGCACTGGCAAAACCCAATCGAGTTAGTGGAGGCTACGGCGCAATGATCACTCGACGTACCGAGAGGATGAATCAGTGGATGCACTCGTGGAGCGGTCAATCGGGTTGATTTCCGGGAGACCGAGATGAGCTTCACTCCTCTGCATTGGAACTGATTCCAGCATCGTCTTTCACTGCCGCCGAAGCAGCTGATCGGGAGGACATAACGTCTTTCGAATATGTCAATACAAGCACGCATGTTCCAGGTATCACCTACCCAACGTCATATATGGCCCCACGGAAGGAGGCAACAAAGCTCGTTGAGGGGCTGAACTCCTCGTCGCTCTTAGGCTTCGGAATGGACATTGCTTCCTTCAATTTGGGACACATGGTTATTACCGGTGTCGGCTTTTCAGGGAGACCCAAGATCCCCAAGCCGTGCACCACATAGGTGGGCGCATTTTCCAATGCGCGCACAGTGGAAGAGGAGGGAAAAGTGGAAGCCTGGAGGGTAACAGCTTCACAGTGTCCATTCTCGGTAGCAAGGGCTGGTGAGATGAGACCGATGTCGCCTGCTTCTGGAGATGTCTCGGGCTGCCAGAACAACGAAGGACTGGGAGTTCCAAAGGGAATAGGAGCGATTGACCCAGAAGAAAAGTAGCTGACAAGCTGGGAATTAGTCATTCCGCTCAGATCGACAGTGGTCGATGAGAGAATGGGCGTCTCTTCTTCGATAACAGGAAAAAGAGTGGTCTTTGGGAAGCGTTGGGCTACAGTAGTAGTAGTAGTGGTCGTGGACGCCATCGATGTAGTAACGAGGGGATGGGTGGTTCTGGGGCAAGTCGTGGTCGGGTTCAAGATGCAAATGGACCAAACAAACCTGCCGCCCATCGAAGGGGTCGATGGGGCAGCAGGGCCCTGCTTTGTCCCCGCCGCGCCACATTGCAAATCAGAACGCCAACTAGGGCTGCGCCGTTTCGAGGCGAATAACAGTAAATATGAACAGAGAAAACCATTAATTTATCAAGGTGTTATTCCCGAGTCTAGTTTGAGCCTTGTTCGGCTGTTCAGACGCCCACAGAGGGATGTTCAAATATAAGTCTGGCTATCATCGCTGAGAAGTGTTTAAACATTTAATAATAAGCTTTCTGTTGCTCGAAATAGAGCTGGATATCAGTGCGATGGATCGCATCAACAAATCTAGGGCTTTTGTCAATTGTCATTGTCACACAGTGATGTGCGCAGCGCCCTAGCGGATTAGTTTCAACGGCAAAAACAAGCCCTCGCACTAAATAATGAATAGAAAAGCATCTTCGGCCACTATATATGAGTGGCGAGCTTACAAAGACCGGGGCTCTCCCCACAATTGATGCGCGTTGCACACGACAGATTGGCATATATTGGTAGCTCCATAAACTTATATAAATCAATGGCTAAAATAAATTTGTTCGTGTATTGCTTGCGAGAAGCCGGTCGGCGGCTGACTCGAGTGGCAGCCACTCTCCATGGAGATCGGTGTCTAAACACATCACTCGAAGTTAGAGACAAAGATAAAATATACAAAATAGATATCATGTCTTAAGCTATCGCTCCAGAGAGGGATAGTCAAGACTTGGACGAAGCCTCCAAGTGACCGTTTCCGAATGAGTCCACACCGCTTCCGGTACTCCTTCGGTCACAAACGGATTACTAAGTTCGTCTCCGTGGTGACTGACCTGGTGCGCTCCAGTCTGCCATTTCGGGTCATCGTCTAGCATTCGCCACCACATCAACTGAAAGTTTGGATGAATACTACATAGCAGAGGAACGGTAAGGTCAAACCTGTGCAGCTTCTTCAGGTGAGATCATCATGAAGCTTAACATTGATGCAAGAAAGTTGCCACCAAACCGGTTGGTCACCAGAGGCGTCCGTACGACACCAGGCATTTGATGATAAAATCCCAAAAGTGGATAGCGATGAGCAAATTCCTGTCGAGAGTTCAGTGGAGAAACGTCAACAATGTATACAACTCGCCTGGAACGCAGCGTCGGTATACGTGACCCATTGCAACCGGCATGTAAGCCGCGAGTAGCTCTTCTTCATATCCAAATCATCCAAATTGATAGCAGCTCCTTGTCCAGCGGCAAAGATGCTACTAATGCCCGTCCTCTCTCCCGCATCCGCAGCCTTATGGACGAGTGGCGCCAGATCACAAATGAACCTGAACCTCGAATAGTAGTAGCAGGCCGCCTTTTTGTCGATTCCTTCGTTCGTCTCATCTCGGCCACCATAATCGCGAAACGCCTGAGTGAACACCATAAAATTGATCTTTGGGAGCTCCTGTGCTAGCTTTACGATAACAGTTCGAACCTCCTTCATCGAAAGTGCGTCGACTTTGACAAACGAATAGTCAGATGCCTCGTCCGCTGGTACACCTTCGTCCGTCCTAGGAAATGCGGCGATAATGCGTTGAGCCGACGCTTCGTTGCGTCCCAAGAGGATAATCTTGGCCCTACCGCGCGTTTGAGATGCCAACTGTGTCGCCATGGCTTCACCTATGCCAGATGTCCCTCCTACGAAGATCCCGATAGGCCGAGTCGAAGGACGAAAGCGTGCATTGGAGGCGGTAGCCGCAGCAATGGCTGCCTTTGATGGCATAGGCGAGAACACCATGTTGGATGGGTTGAGTTTGACGAGAGGACCCGCATATATATGGTCGAATGGTGATGCCGAAGTCCACGTCACGCGGCGTATCTCCGGAGATAGGATCGGAAGTTGTCGAAATCGGACGTTTGGCAAGCATCCGCCGTGGTCTTTTGGGCTATCACAAATAAGCGCCCCACTGTGGAGGTTCAGACTAGCGCCTGTCGTGAGTCGGGAGAAGTTGGGGATATAGATCAGAAAAAGAGAGAGGTTCCACCTTTAAGACTTTGAGAGGAGTTGCTGTAAAGGGTGGTCACTGTGTACACTAATGACCAGCACCCGAATCGAGAGTCAAAACATAGAATAGAGTATGTACACTAAAATAGAACTACAGAATTTGAGCACGGAACAAGCAGCACAACCGGGAGACTTACCAGATTGGATCAAATACCAGAGGTGACCATCTCCGAATGCGTCCATACAGCCTCTGGTACCCCCTCGGTCACAAAAGGATTACTGAGCTCTTCTCCACGATGGCTAACTTGGTGTGCTCCCGTTTTCCATTTCGGATCCTCGTCCAGCATTCGCCACCACATGAGCTGAAGTTCAATATGAGGGCAGCGAAGCAAGTATATAGAGAGAAGACAAACCTGCGCTGCCTCTGCTGGAGAGACGATCGTAAAGCTTATCATAGACGCAAAGAAGTTGCCGCCAAAGTGGTTCGTCATCATGGGCGTCCTGACGGCGCCGGGCATCTGATGGTAGAACCCCAAAGTTGGATACCGATGAGCAAATTCCTGTGTATATTGAACAAACGGCCTGCCATTGACAGTAACGACGAACCTGGAACACGGCATCGGTATATGTGGCCCACTGGTATCGACAACGAAGCTTCGAATACTTCTTCTTCATATCCAGATCATCGAGATCGATAGCGGCACCCAGCCCAGCTGCAAAGATGCTCGTAATCCCCGTCGTTTCCCCCGCCCCTGCCGCCTTTTGGACAAGCGGGACGAGGTCGTAGATAAACTTGAACCGTGCATAAAACAAACACGCCATCTTCTTATCTACACCCTCGCACGTCTCCTCCCGACCACCATAATCGAAAAACGCCGTAGTAGTGACAATAAAATTAATCTTGACAAGCTCCTTTGCCAACAGATCCGTAACGCGCCGAACTTCTTTCATTAGCGTTGCATCGAGTTTGATAAACGAGTAATCTGACGCCTCGTCTTGCGGGACGCTATCGTCCGTCTTGGGAAAAGATGCGATGATGCGCTGAGCAGAGTCTTCGTTGCGGCCCAGGAGGATAATCTTGGCGCGTCCATGCGTCTGCGTCGCCAGCTGTCTCGCCATGGCTTCACCTATCCCAGACGTACCGCCTAGGAAGATACCAACCGGGCGCTTCGAGGGAGCGAACCGTGCGTTGGATATCGTCGCTTCGGTGATGGCTGTTTTGGATGGTATGTATCTGAACATGGTGTACGATGGATCTAGTGTGACGCGAGTTGATGGCTATTATATACACTGCGGACTGATTATGCCGAATATATTTGTATGCCTGAAAAGAAAGGTCGAGGCGAACCTCCGCCATTGCACAGTGGCCTAGCTCGAAGTCAACTGCGCCGCGGTGGACACCTGACGTCAGTTGAATTGCCTAAGGGAGTATACCGTACACCCTTGATTCAGAGGACGAGTGAGAGCGCGTCCTCGAAAACGTTGAGAGCGCGCTGATGTGCAAAACCAAGGACATTTGTCACCCGAGAGTTGCTATACGGTGTCTTGTCCACTATTTCAATCTTGTCTATTTGGTAGTGGAAAATGTCGCGCAGGTGGCAAGGGTCTAGTGGTCCAGACCGGGTAGCCCAGATCAGACGGAGGGTAAAGGAGATGAGATATCCGGGCTGGAGCACCAAAGTCTTTATGCTCTGCCAAGTCAAACTAGGAAAAGGAAAGGGTTAGAGTTCCAAGTCTATGAATTGAAAGGACGGACATACGGGCGATCCCCAACGAGGTTTTCTCGCCCATCCGAATCTGTATCCGAGTATTGATTATTATTCGGGGAAAGACTTCCACTCGTGATATGGTGCATATGGAGTGAACAACATCCTCCTCGACCGTCTTCGTCCCGCCCACGAATCTCGGTGAGATTTACATCGAGGAGCTGAACCGATGAGCACTGTCGCATATTCGACTCGTCGACGATTTGGACGGATATGCTGTAGGTGCCGCCTCCTCTGTCGTCCTGTTGTAATGATTGCAGCCATGGATGGAAGTTGGGTCGGTACTCTATATACGTTTAGTTCTTTACTTTGTGATGCCTCTATCCGGGCATCTACACGAGATTTAAGGCCCAGTATAGCGCGGTAGAATGAAGGGAGGACGAGGGAAGGAGCGAATACAGATAGGTGGGGTGGTGAAATAATACGCGAGCCATCTGAATCTGGTATAGGTGACCGCGTGAAAGTATTCAGAATGGAAGGGAAGAGTGTTTCTAGGCGAGTGATGATAGGATGAGAAACCGTAATGGGAATTGACGTGACGGAATGTGTTGAAATAGTGATGCTTGAAAGCGAGAGATGAAACAAGAAAGATTTGGAACCCGAGAGTTGCTTCGCTGAGAGGAGATTGAAGACCGAGGTCCGATTAGTAGCGAGCAACAACGAAAGTCGGCCATCTTCGACGTGGAAATGTGGCTGGGGATGAGGATTTTGGACGTTTATAGTAGCATTATTCCATGATATACGCGCAAACCGCGTGTAGAATGGGCCACTGTCAGTGTCGTTTGAATCCAGCGCCACAGTGGTGTTTCTCTGTGAAAGCAATGTACTCTCGAAAGTGTACACAAGCTTTTCGATGCGAATATTGGCCAGTAATGATGGCTCTTGTTGTATTCTGAATTCCAAGTCGGCCAGGCCGATCGTTGGAGGTGACAGAGACCATAATATACGCGGCCTTTGCTGAAAAAAAACTCCTCTTTCTTCCAGAATCGTGGAGACGCGCTCGCTGAGAATGTTGAGCGCATATTGAACTGGTAGCGGTCCAAAGAGCACAATTAGCACAATGAATATAATGAATAAGTGTGATTTGGATGATGCCTGCCGACTTTGTAAAGCCATGGCGGAGTTCAAGTCTGTTTGTCGAAAGGTTGACCATTGACGTCGATTGCTGTCCGTGGCCCAACGCCGTAAAAGCTCACAGGAGCAATCAAATTCCGTATATACGACCAGTTTACATCACCCTCAGTCTCTTCAACATCATACGACACCCCGCGTGCTTGGCTTCAACTCCAAAATCTACATATGACAAGTAAAATGGACACCAGTAAACTTTATATTCCACCCAGATCCAGAAAGCGCAGTCTATTGGGCTCCAGCACATCCACACTTGGCACGGTAGCCAACACGTCTGGTTCAACGCGTCTGAATACCCACGTTCTCCTTGGACTCTCCGTTCTTATCCTTTCTGCAAATGCCCAGCCACTCGACGCGACGTCCCCTTTGGGTGTTGGACCAGCCAGCGCGGGGAGCATGAGCAGCCTCGGATTGCTGGGACTTGCGGGAAAGGGTCTCTCAAAGGTCGGAGAGACGGCATTGGGAGAAAGAATGTACGTGTTTACGTGATTTCCGAAACCGGCCTTTGGCTAATTCTCGTGGTTCTCTCGGCGAGCAGTGTCGAGTCAATTGGCAAGGCTCTGGGTTCGACATCTCGTGAAGGAGCTATCGACAGAGTGTTGGGCGAGGATCCGACGAGGTAAGTTTCCCCGGCAAAGCCCGCCCATTGCTAACGTGTTCTCAGCCTTGCAGGTCTGCTTTCCTCGGGAGAGAATGCTCCAGTAGAGGCCGATATACCGACCTCCGACAACCAGGCAATCCCAAACTCGACTAATTTTCTCGAAGATCTAGTCGCCCATAATCCAGCTCTATCGTTTGCACTCAACATTGCCGATCTCATGCACAAGATGCGAGAGCTCTTCGTCGATATTGCGGTTCTAGAAGGCGAAGAGCGTGGTCTACGATTCGCAAACCGTCCCTCCCAGACCCAGGACGTCCTCTCCCAAGAATCGCCTGAGCTGCTGCTGGAAGAGCAACGCGGTGCATTGGGACTGGAAGTCGCGCCAAATGCCGACAGCGAGCAGGTCGATGTCATTGCAGACACTGAGGAGCTGCAGTTTGATCTTGATGCATCTCCGGATGTATCGGTGACAATTCCTGGAAGCTTTGATGTTGACCCAGCTGAAGAAAAGCAAGCGCACGCGACTGTTCCTCCGGGTCTCAATCCACTTGTCAACCCTTATGCGGCGCTCGCTATGTCGTCGGTACTTGCGACTCTGTTCGTTGTCAGCTTAATGGTTGGTCGCCATTACTTCCTCACCCAAGCAGCCAAGACCGCCGAACCTGACCTGGAACAAGGCTCTTCGTCTGACTCAGAGGATAATGGGGCCGTCGAAAAGTCTGCTTCCCAATCTGTTCACGAGGAGCTGGACGAAAAGGCTCTCATCGAACTTGACGCGCCAACAGACTCCATCTTGATGCCCAATGCAGAGTCGGCTCGGAGCGATGCAAAAGAGGCGACAGAAGCGCTCGAGCTTCTTATCGACGTCGCGAATGCCGCTCTTTCTGCTTCCATCCTCCCTGTCGACACCTCCAAAGCTCCGCCCAAACTCGAGACGCCAAAGATGGTCGTAGCGGCACTGGAGACGATGCGCGCCGAGATGAACAAGACACCTCTGAATCTCGACGTGGAAAAGGGATCCCTATCTCGGCGTCTCCTATTGGCGCGTTCGCGACCAGCGACTCCACTCCGCGTTCCTTCGCGACCACAAACCCCATCTCTCACGTTTACATCCGCCGAAGATGGCCATAATCACCGTTCCTTTACTCTTCCTAAACCGATTCCCCGTCCCTCTTTCCTGCACGATCCGACCTTTTTCGACTCGCCAGCATCCTCGTACGTATCCACGGCTTCTCATCTGGGCGACACACTCGAAGGCCATGCAGCGTCTGTTCATCTCAACTCGCCCACACCATCGATGGTCCACCTTTCCTCGGGGCTATCCACAAGCCCAGCGCCGTCGTACGTGACAGCCCACCCAAGTCCCGCAATGTCCTACGCAACCGCACAAGCATCACCGGTCCCTTCGGATGTCGTCTTGCCCCCAGCAGCACCTAGACGCCAACGAATTGACTCGCCCGTGCTATCAACCGGAACACTCGACTCACCTCGTCCGACAGAAAGCGCACTAGCTCTCTTTGATGATATTTCGAGAACGGATGATATGCATCTCCAGTCGCGTAGTTATACGGGTGGTGTGATCCCACCCGCGCATCTTACGGAGACGGCGCTCAACCTCGCGTTGATGCTCCCTGCGACCGAGTGGATATTCCAGTTCCTCGTCGTGTTTATTGGGTGGTTTGGGTTCTGGATGCGTCCTGTCCACCCTACCCATCGGTGCAGGTACTAACCTCTAAGCCCGGAGGGCCTCGGGTGGGGATGCATCCCGTTTGTACGACCGTTTTACGATCTTATGTCTTTTCCTTTGCATCCTGTTTACCACGCTCCTTTTGCATCGTTCCTCATCATACCACGACATTCCATCTTGCTATTTATCCGCGATAAGCCCTCATCTGCACTCCTTTGGCATCATCAGGCTGCGCTCCTTCATCTCCATTTCGTTTCCCGACAGTATGGACATCTCCTAGTCGTTGGAAGTTCTCCTCAATACTAGTTGACTCCCAGTAGCTCGGTGCCGACTTTTAGACCCGACGCCGTCACCCCTTACATACAGTGACCGACGCCAGTGAACTGAGTAAATCCCGTCGACATTGCCTCGCTTTGCATTGACTTTTTGCCCAGATGAGCCCCTGCCCACTCTCCCTTTTGAACTTTTATACGAGATATTCGAACAGCTCTTCGCAGAGGTGGGACATGAAAGAGCCATTGGATTAGATCCGTTACTCTACGTCGGATATGCTCCCAGTCCGCCTCACCCAGCCTTGTTTCAAGCGGAATGCTTGCGCGTTCTCAAAGTCTGCAAAGCGTTCAATCGAATAGCCGAAAAACAGTTATACACAAGCGTATACCTAAGATCAGATCCCCTCTACCTCGAGGAGTTCGTCGCCTCTGCCGCTCTCCCGTTTTTATATTGTGGATCCGAAAGACCCCGTGGAATATACCCGCAGTATTAGGATCGAGCGACTCAGTATGCTCAATGCAGCCACATATCAGGACCTTATGCAGCTGAAAAAAGTTTGTCCCAATCTCGGCGCCATATCGACGCTTGGAGCCCTCGGCCCTAACGTTTTGCTGTCCAAACCTGAGATCTGGCTCGAGAGCATCACATCACTTCGATGTGTTCGCTATCACCTTTCTGGGGGAGTCGACACACTGGAACCTCTGAGCCTAGAAGGAACGTACGCTGGACCTTTGCCAATCAAATGGCAGTACTACATCGTCTCAAAAGACGCTCTCTGTTGTTTACTGGTAACCCACCGTCCATCTCTTTGGATCTTAGAGCGCCGAATCTCGAGTGGCTGAGGCTCAAAAATTCCCTATAGGGAACCCAACGACACTCTGTCCGAATTTATAGCCAATAACGGCGCTAAACCAAGGTTTCTTTGCATCGATAGCGCGTGGAAATTCTACGGTACAAGCAAACTCGTCGAAATATTCGAGGCCTGCCGTCGGCTTGAGACGTATATGGAGGACCTGATACCTAACAGACTCGCGCTCGACCGTACCTGTCTCTCTGCTAAGCATGCCTTATTGCGTCGACTGGTCATCGTCCTCGATATACCATTGGCCTCACATTACATCGCGCCTTATGGTCAGATCTTCAAAAGAGAATCATTTCCTTTGCTTCAATGCTTGATATTGCTCATCTCGGATAGACTTAGACGCAGCATAGAAATGAATGTTGGTGTGCTTGTTCTGAGCGTGAAGAGCATGTTTCCTCATTTGAGACGAAAATGTACTAAACAGGGTGTTTGGCTATAGAGTATTTACCATCCCTTACGTCGTGGACTATGCTCGAGCTGAATCTCATGGAAACGCGCTGTGGGAGGCTCCGAGCATCAGCGTCCAACGAGTGTACCTCGGAGGAGGACAACCATGGAACGGCTAAGAGCGATAATGTCATGTATATATAGGTATACTGTAATATAAACAATAATAAACCATTCTAGCTATCCGTGTGGTTGGGGGGGCGCGAAGCGGTCGGCAGGCAAAGGGATGGATTGGGTATCGGGCAGGGATGGGTGGGATACAAACCAAACCAAGCCGTTAAGCCTGCCGTGCTTGTACGGGGATTCCACGGAATCGCTCCTAAGTGCTTGTTAGAGATGCGGGTACCGGCGAGGGTGGGTGGGCAATAGAAAATAAGCAGCGAACGCCGCTAAGGCCAAGAACGAAAGTTGTGGCGGAGTCCAAGAAACGAATGCGGGTTTGCCACCTGCGCGTTCGTTCGTTGAGCCTCCGCCAACTGTTCTCCCGCGCAGAACAATACGAGTGACACTCGTATCTCTGCGCTACTCCTCTCTGCTCGCACAGCCCAACCTATGACTGGTCGTCATAGGGCCACGATTTTTTGGCTTCACTCGGAGACAATACAACGTACAACAGTTATTCTCGGCGCATCCACGTTCGTTTCATCGAGACTATAACCGTCGTCAATTCCACTATCTTCTGGCATTCCCCAGATGAAGTACCTGCATTGGGCGGTCGTTGTAAAGCATCACACTGCTCAAGACTCTTATAAGGCAGTCACTTTACCTCCCATAGTCATTCACGTCGAGGTCGTCTACCCACATCCAACTGACGAACATGAGGCGCACGTGTGTTACGAATCGCGCGGCGGTTCGTCTGGCAGGTGGGAGGCCCGAGTGGGAATGTACAACTCACGTAGTCAATATATTACTAAGCGAGAGTTTGCGAGGGTGTTAGAACGGAATGAGAGCAGATTCAGAACTAGAGAAATGTACACGCGAAAATCGGTCCTTATATACTGTTTCGAGACCCTATCGAGTCATTGGCAATATCTACGGATGACAAACGGATATGAGAGTCAGCGAGCAGAGGGCATAGGGGATGAGAGACGACTGGCTGGTGCGGAGTAGCGGACGGATGACGAGGTGTCGACGTCGAATCCTCGTCGACCCTAACCCTACCCATAATTAACATTCTATTTACTTCGGTTCCGTACGGTAGCGAGAGGTCGTCGGCCATATGCGACACCGTATGGTTTGCTACCGTCGAGCGGACCAGTCTATGGTGGCGCGTCAGCTTCTCGACGTGGCGCATGTGAGTCACTGTGTCAATTCTTACCCTTTCTGCATAGATTTCACTGCGTTCCATAACAATGTGCCAACTTCTCTAGGTTTCGCGTTCCGGAGCCACTTACTAGAGGAATACCACCCAACGTGCGTCGCGAATTCTGAAGGGAGAGAGGTGGTCTAGTATTTGCTGACGAGAACGAGGAAAGGCAGAAGGTGGTGCGTATTGATTGGCAGACTGAGAACAGCGAAGACTGTCCTTATTAACCAACGGACTCACTCGAGCACCGGATAGGGAACGTAAGCTGTGAATAAACATATGTTAAAGAGAATTACAAACTGAGGTATCAAGAGTTGTACACGTCAAGAAAGAACGGTCTAAGAGTATCGGATCTTCAAAGCCTGTAACCACACAGACCGCCGTACCTCTCACTGATAGAGAGTACCTTCCTTCAATTGGCAATCCACTGAGGAGGAAGCCCACATACTTTATGGTTCAGCATCACCGGGTGTTCTCTTCTGGCCTCGGTTCGACGTTTTGCTCCCACGTTGTGGTTTGCCTTTGACGCCCCGAGTAGCACCGCTGCTCCCTTCGACACTTGAGCCCTGAGGAGTGCTATTCGCTGAGCCACTCTTAATCCGACTCGACCTTCTGAGAAGACCAGGTTGATTGTTGATTGCCGTCGACGCGCTGAACACCATCTTCGTGGACGATATCGAGGGCCGCTCTGTCAAAATAGATTCCTTCTTGAGCTCCATTGGGCAGAACTATCTTGTTTCTCCTTTCTCGAATATTCGCAGAGAATTGAAAGCGAGTGGCTTGATCCACACAATCGAGTTTGGGTCCAAACTAGCAGCAGTACACCCTGCTTCCTCTCCAGCGGCGAGGGCCTCTGAGAGATGCATCCGAAAGAAGTCGTGATCCAAGAAATGAACAGTTGGGAGGAATAATTCTGCCTGACTCAGCACTGTTGTCAAATCGCTTACACGACGGGATTTGGGATGCTGAGCGATGAGCTCTGCTATTCTCTCTTTTCGCCAGAGAATAATGGGCCCCAAGTCCTTCTCGCTATTGGCAGCCAGGTGAGCGTTCTTGATGTCCGATTCCGGAACCTTATACCGGTTACTACTCGAGCGAAAGAAAACGCCAACCTCTGGTTCCCGATCTATGGTTTCCAGCTGGGCGAAGCAGGAATACATCAGCCATAATGATTTTTGATGCACCATACTAGGTCGCTGAACCCCGAGCATTTCTCGACGGTGATGGACATTCGGAGCAACTTCTTCTTGCGACCGCTGAGAACAGCAAGGTTATCATAGTCGAAGAAAGAGTCGAGCTTTTCTTGCGGCCCTCTTTGCTCAACGGTTGCCCGTCAAAGACGATACCATCGACATGGCGAATAGTGAAGTAGAGAAGAACCCGGAACATCGACTCTAGATCGTGCCAAGGTTGATGTAGAGGTTGCTCGTTGAGCGCGATTGACATGAACATCAACGTCCCCTTTTTTGAGTCAGCGAGATGTATGGCGAGAAATGAAGCACCCACTGGGAAAGATGGCTGCTCCTCTGGACCGTCAGAGCTCATATCCTTGGCCAACTCCCAGTCGATCAATAGACCGCGCCGTGGTTGGGAGGAGGCGCTCAGGCCAATGAGAATATGACCCAAAGACACGTCTCTATGTAATATTCTCGTGTTATACATGCTTTTGTGGGCTTAGAAGTGTGAGACACTGGGCTCAAAGCGAACGAGATGCTCACCGTCGACTGCGTCAAGTACGGCCTGCACAAGCTCCTTCAAGTTGCAAGCATTTGATAGATCGGTGCCACTTCCTTGAAGAGTAGCCAGTCGAGGTGACATGACTTGCTTGGCTCATCAGTGGAGGACGAACGTGAGGTATACACAGAACGCTCCAGCATGGAGTCCAGCCTCGCAACAAGTATGTCGATTCCAATATATCGTTCGAGATTCTAGATAGGATCCTCCATGGTATTGAAATTGGCTTCACAGTCTGTGACCTGATCTCTGGTTGGACGTCTCTGGTTCCACTAGCCAGAAGCGTAGGAATGCCACAGGGTCTTGACGTGATGTGACGCTCGTCGTACTTGTGGAAGAAATAAGCTTCGGGCGTCGTATCTTCGTACTGCCACGATGTCTTCACGAGCCGCAGTTTGGCAATCACATTGCAAGCCGAAAGCGAACTACACACAGGATCCTCAATGTCCTCTTTCGTGATAGCCAGATAACATCTCGTCCCACGGGAAAACATCGATTCGACACTGTAGAGTGGTCGCTTGAATACTAAGTATTCGGTGGCTTGGTTGGGCTCGACTGCCGTAGCAGAATCAACACGATGAAAAAGCTCGTTCGGCTCGATCTTCAACAGCCAGCAACCACTCGGCCCTCGTCGGGGATTCCAAGCATCGACTCGGAGTGGTAACGATACATCCAGTATGAGTGAATTTCCATATTCGTGCAATCGATCCCGTAATGGTGATGAAATAGAGATAGTCCCAGGGCAGCTCGGAGGCTTGTCCTAGATTCACGTATCTAAGAACTTGAAGCAAGAGTTGTTTGGGTGAGTCTGTCAACTCGTGATCCTTCAGGAAATCCTTGGCCTTTTGGAAAGGTAGGTCAAACACTTCGTCCGCTTTGATTTCGATATAGACGGCTGGATGGAGGAAGACGTCGTGTGTGCCATTCGGCTGGTAGTCGAACGAGAGAGCAAGATCCGGTAACACTTTGATAGAAGTAGCCAGTGGCAAGTCGGATGACCCAATATCGCAGCAACGCATCTTCTCCCCCCTGAGCGGCCTCGGAGGGGGACAGGCAGCGTTGAATGCACAAATCTAGAGGCATGTTCATCACGATCAGCACACTTCAGATGACATAGATGATAAACATCCACAAGAGGCGCATACATATCGGCATCTTCGAGTTCCATTTCTGGTTCTGGTTTTCTTTTGTCGGCTCCCCCGGATCTGGTGCTCTGCAATCCTTCAGTATTCACAGAACTCGATTGAGCTAAGGCTCTTTTGTCCTTGGCTCGTTCGCGGCGTCGCTGATCACTTTTGATATCGTCCAGACAGGAAAGAAAAACCTTGCGCTTACGGCGCATACCCTGAGGGCTGAGATTGTATTTTTGGCTCGGAATGTCTTGGAGAAGCTCGGTGGGCGTGACCACCTTTATGTGACCTTGCCTCAAGAAGAAACCCGTGTCTCGAAGTAGAAGGTTGTCGTAAAAATCCTTGTCTTTGGAGTACTGTGCTTCGTATAGTTTATGAACTGAGAGAATGACCTCCATTAGCTCAGGAGAAGATACTTGAACTGGGTTCATGGCGGCGGTCGGGAACAGGTCGTTGTGGCAACTTTCCCTCCGTACCTCTGCTGCGGTCAAAGGAGGATATCAGTCGTATTCAAAGTATTACTTCTGGCCGTTTTGCTACCTCTTCTTCTCTCCGGGTCTAGGATATTAGAGACATACTCGATCCGGTAAAGGAGGCCGGTATTTGCACTGAGAATGATTTGGAGATGGACAAAACCTCGTCTTCTCTGAGTCGCACGAGTAAAATGTATGACCTCACGAATGTGTCGAATTGGCCAACCAGTCCTTACAGCAAACTAGGTCCCGAAATACAAGTTAAGGTGGTGCTGCATGGAAAAGGCAGAATTGGGACAAAGTAAGATACAGGATCCCGTGTCATCCTCAGTCCCACTTGGTCACCTGATGAGCCAACCCGCAGGGAATATCCACCAGCAAAGTATACGTAAGCAATGACAAGCCTTAAAGTATTTAGAGTGTGTCAATTCGGCGCTCGTAAAGGACTTCCATCGAACATTCCGAGCCTGCTCCCGACCACGACTTTCGTGGCTGTCTCGTTTTCAAGCCAAGTTGCAAATCCTCAACTTTTTTCGCTTCCGTACGTCCATATACGACCATCAGGAACCCATTCACGTCTGATCTCCTTGAATCTCGCTCACATTGGCGCAGACCATCTACAACATGGCAGACAAGGCAGCACTAGAGAGTCACCTCAAGACTCTGCGTGCGCTCCCAACAATTCGACAACGGTGCAAGCTCGTTCACGCGCTCGCTCAGCAGAATAAACTCCAGTATTTCGAGTATCATCCAGAAAAGGAACATGAAGTTGTCATGTTCTGCGAAGAAATTATGCGCCGAGACTATGAGTCATTCTCCAAGGCATGTATCTCTCATACCGGTTCGTCTCGTCAACTGATCCAACGATATAGATCCCCCCACACGGCCGTTGGCGACACTTTGATACCAAATACGAGCGTATTGAGCCACTACTTGCCTCTTGGTCGAATCAATCGCCGCCAGTGCCTGTTGAGGAGCAATGTGCGCGGCTCCTCGACCTCTTCTTGGTATCGGTACTCTTGGACGCAGGCGCTGGAAACGTCTGGAAGTACAAAGAAGAAATAGAGAACGGCGAAGTGTACTCGCGCAGCGAAGGTCTAGCAATCGCTTCGTTGGACATGTTCAAAAAGGGTTTGTTCTCCAGCGACCCGGAGATGAAAGAGAGAGTAGATGGTACGCTCCACCTCATCTACATGTGCCGTTGTTGATCGCGGTCTAGCTCAGGGGTTGTCGTCTCTAGACGCGACCAAAGTCGGCGAAGGGCTTCAAGTCAACGCGCGTAATCCACTTTCTGGTTTGGAGGGGCGAGCAGGTCTACTACAGAAACTTGGTTCGGCGCTCACGCAAAGTCCTCAATACTTTGGCGAGGAAGGTCGTGTGGGCAACCTGCTCACATTCCTGAAAACAAAGTCGCTCACCTCGCACGCGGGACGCACGAGTGTACACATCTCGACACTCTGGGAGGTCGTTATGCAAGGGTTAGCGCCCATTTGGCCGACCGACCGTACGACACTAGGTGGTGTGCCTCTGGGTGACGTCTGGCGATGCGATGCTTTGGCAAACGTTGAGGGCAGTGCCACTGCTGAGCAGAAGGTGTCTGAGTTGGAAAAGGAGGCTCACGGGCTCGTCCCATTCCATAAGCTATCTCAGTGGCTCACCTATTCACTCGTCGAGCCAATCGAGAAGCTACTGGGATGGAAGTTTGAGGGCATGGAGGACATGACCGGCTTGCCAGAGTATCGAAACGGTGCGTTCTGTTTCTCCCCTGGTAGATGTACGGGGCTAATGTGAATTAGGCGGTCTACTGGTAGACTTGGGTGTTCTCAAACTACGAGAAGGCGCTTTGGGGCGTGAATTCTACCCAGACACGGCATCTTCGATCCCTCGTCTTCCGCCTTCGCACCCGGCTATCATCGAGTGGCGCGCCATGACCGTGATCGAGCTGTGAGTTGCTCTAATTCGTGTCATTGCATATACTTATAACGAGTTAGTGACCGCCTTGCGTCCCAATTGCGCGTACAGACGTCGACGCCATCGTTGTCGCTCCCGCAGGTCCTGGAAGCAGCGACATGGAAGGGAGGTCGAGAGATTGCGAAAGCGCTACGCGCGAATGTCAATGGCGGTGGACCACCGATTGAAATCGAAAGCGACGGGACAGTGTTCTAGCAAGCCGTCTTTACATAAACAACCGCGGCACGAGATATGCAAAGATATGTTTAATACGTTCTATCCTTGGAGCTTTCGTGAGTTTGTCCGTGCCGAAGAGGCCGTCCATTGCTCGATTTGGAGTTGTGCCTCGTGTTGAACGCCACTGGCTCTTGAACCACGACGTTACTATTCTTAGCACATACATTGTTGCGCGAAGAGCCAAACGACTTCGACGACAAAGAACGATATAAAAGTTACGATTAGGAAGAAACGAGCCAACGATGACGACAAACGCGACACGGTCCTCGACACCCGGAGCTCAGAAGTCGTGGAATCTCGGCAAAGCGCTCTTTATTCTCGTTAATGTGGTTCTCCTAGTGGAGATAGCACCGTTACGAGCCGATGCACGCGCTGTAGACTCAGCAGCGCGAGCAGTGTCGAGTATGAAGCGGGGTTGGGATGCGTTACGCGAGCGCGCAGAGAGAGGACGTCAGTTTCTAGACGTGAGAAGAAGTATTATGATGCAGAAAAGATCATATAACAAGACGGTCTACGTCAGCGCAAAGACATATCAGGGTGCAAACTTTTTCGAGTTGCGTCTTTCGTCTCCGAGTGCTGGATAGTGGTGCTGATCTAATTTGGATCGTGTAGCGAGTGGGACTTTTATAGCGGACAAGACTACACACAGTATGCCATTTATTTTAGGGAGAACCGCTGCTGACATAGGCAGTGGATATGTAGAGTGCGCATGTTCGCAGGGTGATGGTCAGAACCTCATCATTCTCTAGCTATTTGACCAAAGAGCAAGCATTTACAAAAGGATTGGCCTATGTCACGGAAGAAGGCCGAGCAAATATGCACGTGGACAACTGGACAGTGCTCACCGTTGACGATATAAATAACGGAAAGTATCGACCAAGGTTCGGTCGTTCTCCAATCGATGAACATGCGTTGATACTTTACAAAGTGTCCGAATATCAACAACGGCGAAATACAATCACGGCCTGTATATCCTCGACGTCGCTAAAGCACCGTTTGGATGCAGTAAGTTGCAATAAATCTTTCTGGATCTCACTAATATCATACAGGTACATGGCCTGGTACGTCGGAGGGCTTGATGCGTACGGTACCTTACCATCAAGACAGCATATTGGTCGACCAACGAAAACTGGCCTCGGGATGGCGAGATAGACATCATTGAGAACGTACACGCCAGTTTGTCGAATCAAGTTTCCTGGCACACCCTACCAGGTCATTTTCATCTTCGTCAGGTGGCATAGAGAAACTAACGATATCACCCAGGATGTAACTTGGTCACATCTGGAAACTATACCGGGACAGCTCTCAACACGATATGCGACAGCAACTATATGAGCAATACCGGATGTAACATTGTCGATCCCAGCGTCGCCTCGTTTGGGCCCGTCTTCAATGAAAAGGGCGGCGGCGTCTTCGCAATGAAGTGGGATGACAAGAGTATTGATGTTTGTAGGTCACTATTATTACTTGAGGCTACATTGACTGACCGGGTGACTAGGGTTCTTCTACAGGGCCGCCATTCCAGACAATATCATTCAAGGCTTGCCCGACCCGACGACGTGGCCTACACCATCTGCATCGCTCTCGTCACAAGGGTGTCCAATTGACCAGTTCTTTAGGAACCATATGTTCATCTTTGGTGAGTAGAAGTCACTGTGGTAGGGATGATTGCTGAGAAGACCTGGAAGATACTACGCTCTGTGGTGATTGGGCTGGAACCTCGTACGAAAGGCAACTGTAGTGCTTGCTGATAACTAATGTATCGCCAGGTATTCGACGTCCGGCTGTCCTGGATCCTGCGCCGAGCAAGTTGCCAACCCCAGCAACTTTGTTGTACGTACTCTACTTTATTTGGACGCATATTTTCAACTCTTCCTAGAATGCAACTTGGTCAATAAATTACCTCAAGGTGTACAATAAGACAGTGATTAATACCTCTTACCTCGACTCCAGTGCTACTCAGGGTACATCTAGTACCAACGCTTGGACGAGCATCTACCTTCTCCTTATTACCAGTTTGTCTGCTCGGCTGCTCAGCGTCGCACTCTGAAGCGATCGGGTTTGAACGGGGTCTAACTTAACAATATTAGATGGATCACAAGCGTCATTGCCCTCTCATGTATCTTACGCACACATTGGAATGGAATGGATTTGGCCGGTTTCAGGGAGCTTGTACCACGTGATAACCCGTCTTGAACTGAACCGCGATCTTGGTTTTCTTCACTACGTGATCTAACTCCACCTTAACAAGAAATGAACTATACTAGCAACGTCTACGAGTTTCCATCTCCTTCCACCGCAAACACGCGTAATAGACGGTGGCGCACAGCGAGCACAGCGACGAATGCAAGCACGGACTCGACGGTGTTGATGATGGATAATCCCAATTATCCGTATTATCAGCAACAAGGTGGCTATCAGCAGCAGGCCTCTGGGATGTCGCTTGAACGGGAGCGCGAACGGCCAGGGTCGTTGCGTCGACTCAGAAGAATATCTGGAATATTTGAGCAAACGGCGCAGGATGTTCAGGATAGGGCAAGAGAGTAGGTTTCCCCCTTTTCGCTATACACTTTGCCCGACTTTTTCCTGTTCTTGGCAAGTTCGGCTTCTTATTGACAAACTCCAGTGTTGTATCCAGCGTGATTATTCCTGCTACAGATTCATCACGCCAGTATGCACGGGATCAGCCCATGAAAGCGGTACGCCCTTGACGTTTCTCATCCGGGATCCTTGACTGAACAACGAGCAGACATTCTTCGCTATGGTGACCTTCTTCTCATTCCTTCCGGTCCTCCTCTTTATGTGCGTCCATTGTTCATCCCTGAGTGCGAGACCTGCCAACAATATACACAGAGTCTTTTCCATCGCAGCAGTCGTGTTTACGACATTTACTTCGGTTTCGTTTGCGATTACGTCGACGGCTTTGGCGTTCATTCTGGGGGGTCTGTCACGTTTCCGCCTTCCATCGTCTGTCCTTCTGCTGATACGGCCAACAGCTGTTACCCTCGCAGCGTCCATTCTGCTCTGCGTCGCACCGGCTTCTATTCTCGCTACGTCCCTCGCGTTTCTGGTACTCGGAGGGATCAATGTATTACGACGGGTGGTGGCGTATATAAGAGGCTAGGTGAGTGACAATCCCATGCGAGGTTCAACTTCTTACCGAATTAGGAGGCGACTTGATTTCGCCATTGATGAGTCTGAAATGGCGATCGGTTTTCCACAGGAGTTTGACACTTCCTACTGCTCTGCTTGTTCGGATGCTGTATGTTTACACCTGCATCATCATGAGCCCACCTAGCTGCTTGTCGGCGGATAAAGGCATCCAATTGGTGTATTCTGTTCAGGTAGGAGAGACAGTCTGTTATTACACCCAGAATGAGACTATCCAGTACTTCCTTTCGACTCGCGAGAGAGTTCTACGTCAGAGACAGCGTCCGACTGTCAATCATGACTTTCGACTCGCAGACTGATGTTCACAGAAGATAACAACGCTCGCATGAGGGAAATGTAGTTATATTGGGCGAACAACGCAATGCTTCCCAGTTGATGAAACCAGTTATTTGTACTAGATACAGCCCATTAGGAAGAAATGTAACCAACAAAGAAAACCGTATAGCAGCCGTGGCGGGCGTTGTTCTGTAGCATATCTCTTTCTATTATTATGATCGATATTTGTAAACGTTGATTTGCATGCGTCGAAAAAGAACAAGATTCTACTCTGTCTCCGCTCATTCTCACAGCAAATACCGGCCTCCTTTACCAGATGTAATATGTCTCAAATACCCCAGACCCAGTGAGAAGGAGAGGTAGAAAAGAGCAAGAAGCAATGCTTTGAATAAGACTGATATCCTCCTTTGAGTGCATCAAAGGTACCGAGCGAAAGTTGCCACAACGACCTCTTCCCGACCACCGCTATGCACCCAGTTCAAGTATCTTCTCCTAAGCCAAAGGGGAGAATTCTCTCAGTTCATAACCTATATGAGGCACGGTACTCCAAAGACCGCGATTTTTACGACAACCTTTTATTCCGAGACGCGGGTTTCCTCTAGATGCAAGGTCATATAAAGGTGGTCACGCCGTCCCAGCTTCTTCAAGACTTTCCGAGTCAAGCATACAATCTCAGCCCTCAGGGTATGCGCCGTAAGCGCAAGGCTTTTCTTTCCTGTCTGGACGATATCAAAAGCAACCAGAGGCGCTGCGAACGAGCCAAGAACGAAATCATGCTAGCTCAAGCGATCTCCGAGAATACTGGGGAATCAGAGAGCACCAGAACCGGGGTACCCACCAAAGTAAAACCGGAACCGGAAATGAAACTCAAAGATACCGATATGTATGCACCTCTTGTGGGTATTTATCATTAACATCATCTGGAGTGTGCTGATCGTGATGAACGCGTCTCTAGACATAGGCATTCAATGGTGCCTGTCCCCCTCTGAGGTCGCTCAAGGGGGAGAAAATGCGTTGCTGCGATATTGGGTCGTCCGAATTGCCACTGATTACTTCTATCAAAGTGTTACCGGATATCGCTCTCTCGTTCGACTACCACCCGGATGGCACACACGACGTTTTCCTCCATCCAGCCGTCTATATCGAAGTCAAAGCGGAAGTGTTTGACCTACCTTTCCAAAAGACCAAAGGTTTCCTAAAGGATCACGAGTTGACAGATTCTCCCAAACAACTCTTGCTTCAAGTTCTCAGATACGTGAATCTAGGACAAGCCTCCTCCCTGCCCTGGGACTATCTCTATTTCATCACCACCACGGGACCCGTTGCACGAATATGGAAATTCACTCATACCGGATGTGTCATCACCACTCCGATTCGATACTTGGAATCCCCCGACAATTTGATTCGTTTCATGCGTGCACTTGCGTTGAATGGTCGAAGTGGATTCGGTATCAGCGTCGGACAGGGTCGCTTGTTCACCGAATATACGGACGGAAATCTGTATAGCGAGGGTCTGAGGCATGTTGCCGATACCTACGCCAAGGCTGTCAATAATCAGAACTGGATAACTCGACGAGGGCCGAGTGGTTGCTGGCTATTGAAGATCGAGCCGAAAGAGCTTTTTCATCGAGTTGATTCTGCTATGGCAGTCGAGCCCAACCAAGCCACCGAATACTTAGTATTCAAGCGACCGCTCTACAGTGTCGAATCGATGTTTTCCCGTAGGACGAGACGTTATCTGGCTATCACGAAAGAGGACATTGAGGATCCTGTGTGCAGTTCGCTTTCGGCTCGCAATGTGATTGCCAAACTGCGGCTCGTGAAGACATCGTGGCAGTACGAAGATACGACGCCTGAAGCTTATTTCTTCCGCAAGTACGACGAGCGTCACATCACGTCAAGACCCTGTGGCATTCCAACGCTTCTGGCTAGTGGAACCAGAGACGTCCAACCAGAGATCAGGTCACAGACTGTGAAGCCAATTTCAATAGCATGGGAGGATCCTGTCGAGAATCTCGAACGTGGGTATTGTTCTCATTGCCCTGAGCGCCTCCTCCCAACCACCGCGCGGTCTATTGATCGACTGGGAGTTGGCCAAGGATATGAACGCTGACGGCCCAGCGGGGTGGCCATCGATCACAGTGGGTACTTCATTTCTCACCATACATCGCGCTGACTCAAAAAAGGGGGCCTTGATGTTCATGTCAATCGCGCTCAACAAGCAATCTCTACATCAACCTTAGCACGATCTAGAGTCGATGTTCTGGGTTCTTCTGTACTTCACTATTCGCCATGTCGATGGTATCGTCTTTGACGGGCAACCGTTGAGCAAAGAGGGCCGCAAGAAAGAGCTCGACTCTTTTTTCGACTATGATGACCTTGCCGTTCTCAGCGGTCGCAAGAAGGAGCTGCTCCAAATATTCATCACTATCAAGAAATGCTCGGGATTCAGCAATATGTTGGAAGAGATGCGCTCCCGATTGTACTCCGCATACATCTGCTTTGACCAGCTTACTGACCTCGACAAGAGGTTAAGATCATATAGAACCGTCTTTCGATCGAGTATCAACCTGTATAAGACGGCAGAGGTCGAAGTTGCAAACGCTCACCTAGCTGTTCGTAGTGAGATGGATTTAGAATCCATTCTTCGCTGGCGAGAAGAGAAAGTCGCAGCACTTTCTGCTCACTATCCCAATTCCACCAGGATATCGGGACTCATTGAACTGCTAGATGATGGGAAGTACTTCCTCAAGCGTATTCGGTACTTGGACCACGCCTTTTTTCAAAAGATTCTGGTAGGGGCCCTCGCCACTGGGGAAGATGCTGGGTGTACTGCTGCCAGTCTGGACCCCAAACTCGATTGTGTGGATCAAGCCACTCGCTTTCAATTCTCTACGAAGATTCGAGGAAAGGAGAAACAAGATAGCTCTGTCCAATGGAGCTCGAGAAGGAATCTACCTGACAGAAAGGCCCTCGATATCGTCCATGAAGGTGGTGGACGACAATCAAGCCGGTTCTCTCGAAGGTCGAGTCGGATTACGAGTGGCTCAGCAAATAGCACTCCTCAGGGCTCAAGTGTCGAAGGGAGCAGCGGTGCTACTAGGGGCGTCAAAGGCGAACCACAATGTGGGAGCAAAACGTCAAACTGAGGCCAGAAGAGAATGCCCCGCGATGCTGAACCATAATGTATGTGGGCTTCCTCCTCAGTGGATTGCCAATTAAAGGAAGGCACTCTCTACCAGCGAGGGGCTAGGAGGTACGGTGGTCTGTCGTGGTTACAGGCTTTGAAGATCCGATACTTTTAGATCGTTCTTTCTTGAAGTGTGCAATTCTTGATACCCTCAGTTTGTAACTCTCTTTAACATACATTTATTCACAGTTGCGTTTCCTATCCGGTGCTCGAGCGAGTCCGTTGGCTAGTAAAGGGCGGTCTTTGCTGTTCTCATTCGGTCAATCAATACGCACCACGCTTTGCCTCTCGTCCTCGTCGGCAAACTACTCGACCGCCTCTCCCTTCAAAACTCGCGAGGCGCGTTCGCTGGTATTCCTCTAGTAGACGACTCCAGAATGCGAAATCTAGAGAGTCGGCACGTGCGTCTCATGTTCGTCAGTTCGATGCGGGTAGACGATCTCGACGTGAGCAGCCATGGGAGGCAAGGTGACTGCCTTGTAGGAGCTTTGACCGTCCAATGTGGGGATGGCGACGTTGAAGACAGTGAGTCTCGATGTCAATAACGCAGATGCGCCGAGAATAATGTGTACCTTACACTGCCTCCGACCGAAGCTAAAAGGTTGCTTTTTTATGAGGGGGTTTAGCTCGAGCATAGTCCACGACGTGAGGGATAGTAAATACTTCATATCCAACCACCCCTGTTCAGTACATTTTTGTCTCGACGTTTAAATGTGGAAACATCTTCTGTATGTCCTGCTGGACAGCGAAAATATTCTTTCCGAGGATGTACCCGAGACGATTCGAGATGAGTAAGATCAGCGATTGAAGCGCGGGGAAAGAATCCCTGGTAAAAATGTGACTATACGGCACGAGCCATCGTCCGGGGGACGACGGATTGATGACGACGACAAGTCGACGTAGTCGATTATGTTTGGAGGAGATACGCGTAGGATCGAGGTCGGATGTGTTGATAACGAGGTTTTCCATATACGTCTCGAGCCGAGGACAAGCCGCAAACGTCTCGACGAGCTTGCCTGTACTGTAAAAGTTACGGACGTTGTCAATACACAGGAATGTGAGGTTTCTACCGTTGTTGGTTAGAAACTCGGAGAGGGCACCGTCCTTTGCTCTATACTGAATATCGAGCCTCAGCCATTCCAGAATGGGTGTTCTCAGCTCCGAAAATTTCGGAAGCGGAGCACTGTAGAACACCATAGAGAGTTTTGTAAGGCGATTGAGTTCCAGGGTTCCGTTAAACGTCCCCCCGCATGCTCCTCGGAGGCTCAGCGATTGCAGCGTGTCGACTCCACCAGAGAGATAGCGATGAACTATAGAGTTGAGTTCTATATCACCCCACTCAAGGGACGTGACACCCTTCAGCCATATGTCGGGTCCAGGCGACCCGCTGAGGCCAAGTCGTCCCAGCATCGATAAGGCGGTAAGGTTCGGGCAGACCTCTTTCAGTCTTATGAGATTGAGAGTTGTGATTGAATTGACCCTTTCAAGTCGTTCCATCCGAATCCGGCGGGTATATTCCCCACGAGGATGCCCTGATGCCGATGTGTAGGACGGTGGACAGGCAGCAGAGGACACAAATCTATCGAGACAGATAGGATTCGACCTCAAGTATACGTTTGTGTATAAGAATTCCTCGATGATTCGATTGAGCGCTTTGCAGATTGTTAGGATGCGAAGGCATTCCGCTTGAAGGGCAGCAGGATGAGCTGGGCGAGGGGAATATCCGGCGTAAAGCAACGGATCGGATTCCAAGTGCCTATTGTCTTCGACCTCTGGGAGCGTTTGCTTGAATATCTCGTATAACAGCTCGTAAGGGAGACTGGGAAGAGAATTCATCTGAAATAGATTAGTGGGCGAATAGAATATGTCGAGTAGACGCACTCAAATGGTAGGCAATGGCCGCTCTCTGCGACGAGGTATAGGTCCAAGGCGCGAGGTGCGGTACTAAACCACTGTATGGAATCATGTACATTGATGTAATTTATTCAACCGTACATTTTCTACCTTGGTCATTGATAAAACTTGAACTCCACCACGATCCAAGCCATGCATAGGCTCGTGCCATCGCTCTAGAAGTTTAGCCATTCAGCGTCTAGTGAACCTTAGATGTTGATGCCGATAATAGGCGTCAATACGCACGTAACCACGACTTCTCAATTGTCGTCGTCATGATATCTCTCCTTGGAATTTAGTGCTTATGAACCCTTTATTTGACGGACATGCCCGCGCTAATCACCGTCGTAGATAGCGGGAATCGAGATTCGCACCGCTTTCCCAAGCACCTTATAAAGCTCCGTGTCGTTTATATGGACGTGGTATCTTTCTCAACCCAGACTATTCTGCAAATTTCAAGTTGAGGAGCTCTACAGACAACGAAAGGATATCCAACAAACCCGAATCATGCAAGTCTCAAAATCTACGAACAAGGCGGAGGTTCGCCCCTCCCTCGCAACGATGAAATAAAGACTAAAATACAATGATCTTGACGGCTCATATCCAAAACTCGTATACGCGATCATTTCTAGTGACCAAAAGTTCATTTGTCGCCATCGAGCAACCATGCGACTTGTCCAAATGGGATGGTTTCCCACAATACCTCCGGCTATAGAGAAAAGAGTCCGAACATATTGTGCCGATGGGTTGGTTCTCTGTATTATCCATGCCCCGCCCGTCAGTGGGATTCGCACCGACTTGGATAACGCTCAGCACCGAGCCAAAACTCGAGAATTAGCAACCATTTAGTGATTGGGCGCAGTATGTACGCTGGAATTAACGCTGCCTCAGCCATTCTCAATATTGCGGTTCCGCCTCGATAACCAAGTTGCCTTCGAATTATGATCGTAATGCGAAGGAGAGCTCCCACGACGACGGGGATTCGTAGCCGACTGATATGATGCGGTCGCGAAGCGGAGGCGCCCAAATGCAGGATCACTCTCGTGGACCGTAGGCGAACTTCGCGTACGTGGGCTCAGCGCAAATCCATAGACGCCAGGAAGTCGAATCCACCTCCGAGGCACACGCATCGAATAGAGTTTATTAGCCCCCCCGAAGAACCCTTCTTTGACCGTCATGCGCTTCTGCATTTTAGGCGGACACCAAGAAAGCTTGATTTTATAAGACAAATCAGGAAAAAGCCAATAGCAAACTAATTGACCACGGCGGCCGGAGCGATGCTATTCTATTCCCACGAGTACGCCTTGAATTGGTGACTCCCCGATTCAGTTGCCACTGGTCGGTAATACAGGGCGTGGACTGACTTTGTGTCCAAAATGAGTTGACATTCTTGTTTCTTATTCGTCTTGAGACACCAGACTGGCATGCTGGGATACGGCGCTCGAAGGGAGACCGGATCCCATCGAACGCAGAGGAGACTGGCCCGGGACCATGGATGATCCGGAACTCGAAATGTTCGCAAAGCTATGGACCCTTTGGGCTTCTGGAGAAGTCGGGCAAAAGCGAAGCTCACGTCGTCCCAGAATGGGGGTTCATCTCAGCCACAGTCGGTCGAAATGAGGGGCCACTGCCACGTGCATCGCCGGATCCTTTTTCGTTCGCGTTGTGCAACAGACTCAGGGGGAACAAAATGCGGATGACGGTCACTGCATTTCTGTCGATTCCACGGCAAAGTTATTTGATGTGGATAGCCCAACTTATTCCGGCGCTGTGGAACTAGAAGACAGGAAATGGAATAGAGCAATCGCCGGAAAAGAGGATTTGGGAAATTATGTCTACTTTGCGGGAGGAGGACACGACCATGGTGGCGAGCCGCGTGGCAGCTATTCACATCGGTTTGCTGGGTCGGTAGCAGCGCCGGCGGTCAGAGGTCTAGTTTCTGGTGAGCCCTTCGGATAAATGGAGACATTAGGCACCCAGTGGTGAACGAGCGCTGCACGCCATATAAGAACGACCCCTGGCTTTCGGTTCCTTCACCCGGCACTCTATCCTCCCCCTCACTCTTCCAACTTCTGACCCGCCATTGACCACTTTTGCGCTACATGGACCCCATCAACTATGGCCACTTTCCAACTGGTCCCGCTCACCCTCCACCAAGCGCGCTTGCGTTTGACGAGTTTGATCCCATGTTCTTTGAGCTCGGATGGACGGCACAACACCCTCAACCCTCTTCTCTGCAACCCAAAATGCTGGATCCGAGTGAGTAGTTTCACCTCGTTCCACGTTTTCGTTTTGCTCTTGCGATCCTGCACGTCGTACGGACGGCGGAGACGGGAGCAGACGGGCCACGAGTGAGCAAACGTTTCGACTGACCGATGATCGTTAGACTCTTTGGACTATGTCCAATATACGCAATGGGCAGAAATGTCCGGCACCAACACGGCAATTGGACTGCCCCCATTGTACGAACCGTCGGGGCAGTTTTCGGCACCGACCTCGTATCCAGAGGTAATCTCTATCAACGATGATCAGCTAGTCTTGGGTGACGTTACAACGTCGACGCGAAGCGCGCTGCATGGGTCCAATTCCTCCTATTCGGACGGGTTTTCTGCTTATGCGAGGTGCGTACAGTCTGATATGCGAATGATTGGTTACCTTACAATTCGTCTAGTCCGTCCCATTCTCCGAGCAACGTCTCCCTATCGCCGTTTCCGACGAGCCCGCTCAGCCTCTCCGGCGGTACCCTATCAGCGAGTCCGGCGATACTCCCCATCAACCCTACGAGCTACTCGGACAATGGCATTGACATCTTCAACTCGTATGACACGTTCCTATCGACCAGCATCCCAAGCATGTCCCTTCCGCCCAGGGGAGCTCGAGCATCCTCCTTATCAACAGTAGAGTGCTCTCCTACACCCTCACAAATCTCCCTTTACAAATCAGACAAAATTGCTGCGCACAAGAGCACCAGACCACGTTCGAGCACGGGGGCGAGTGGAAAGCGAAAGAGCATACACGGCGAAGCGACATGCGCCGAATCTCGCGCAAACGCATGTACAAAATGTCCACAACGTTTTGCACGCGCGCGAGATTTGAAGCGACACTTTCGATTGCACACGGGCGAAAAGCCGTACCGGTGTGGCGCGTGTGGGATGGGTTTCATCCGGTCTGATGCGAGAGGAAGACATTTTGCCAGTAGCCCTGCATGTGCGCGTCTCCATGAGCAGACGTGAGTGAGCTACAGACGGTGTTTCCCGGTTTCTCCCCACTCGCTCCTCCTCACGGCCACAGCCCCAAAAGGTGCCTACTGCACGATTGTATTGCGCGTGTTCTGTTTACTATACTAAATTATGACCTGGGTGCATCTCCTTGGCCAGCTGGGACGTGTGACTTGTACCATGATTGTCGAATTGTAGCCGTAATGCATGTTTATCCTTATTCAATACAGATTTATAGAAAGCATACTTTAACGGGAAGAGAACCGGACGTGGAAAGTGTGGTCAGCCAGGTCGGGGATGCTCTCTTCAGTTTTGGGCGCCATTCTTCTACAAAGAGGGATCCAATGGGATGCGGGTGGAGTGTATACGCCTCTCGAAGCTGGGAGCCAGACACACATGGATGGGCTCAAGATGTCAGACACAAAGCCCTCGGAGATATCACCTCGCTATTGTTACGTACTGCCCATCTCTGGTGCAGTGCGCTCTTTAGCATTTAGTACTTTGTTGTCCGCCGCCGTCACCACCTGCCTAAACCTTTCATCGCCGACCACAATCAGTGCGTTGAGCCGATTGTTGGGAAAATTCAACGGGCGCGGGGCTTATTCGTCCTATCAAGAATACACGGCAACAAGGAGCATTATACGAACAAGAGCAGCCATAGGGGGAAATTCGACGTTGGTTTTGATTGATGCCGCCAAGGCCACGCTCGCCCGCGACGCAGCCATACTATCCAACTGCGGACACTGCGACATTTCGAGACCTACTCCTGTTTGAAGAACGCCTCAAGCGCAATGCCGGCCTCTTGAAGCGTAGAAAGTCGCGTTATCAATGTGCGTTTCCTGTTTGTTTTCCTCGTCCAAGACGTGCTGCTCATCTTTTTCCTTCTTTTTGATTTTGCAATCCAATTCTGTGTCGATTCATGGCCACATCTCGCCAACAATTCGTGCATCTGGACCCATCCCTCGCGTGTTCTCGACCTGAATCGCGTCGACGATTTCAGTCTACTTGCTTTTGCTCGTCACTGCCGTCCTCATCTTTCTCTCCGACGTTCTGCTCGAGACGGAATTATTTCTCCTGCCACTCAACCACGCTGTATACTACTACTACAGCTATACGAGGTCACTAGAAACCATTCCCAAGCGAGATCTCTGGCGAGCAGAGGATGATGCCGACGCGGGTATCTACTTTCACCTCCCACCCTATGTCAAGACGGGATGTCTATTCGTTCTAGGTGTAACGCTCTTTCTCTTTTTTGCCAGTGGAATGTATTCCGAACGTGTCGGTTATGCCAACAAGTAGGTCGATTTACACGCTGTCACCACTCTGGAGCTAACGTAGCGCTCGGTAGATATGTCCCCCACGCAAACAAGGCCCTTCGATCATTCAACATGTATCTCAATGTACGCACGCAACCGCTCCCGTCTCGCCTCTCGCGCATGGCCGCGAGAATTGGACTAGGCCCACTCTTTGGATCGCATACACCCAAGGAAACGTCGCAACCCTCTTCTCCACTCCCTATCACACCACGTGCGCGCACACGCTCGCTTTCTCCGCCGTTTGGCCCCCGCCGAGCAAAGTCCCCTACGACAGATGGGTCGTATGGTGTGATACCCACCATTCCACCTTCGTCCAATCCACGAGGCGAACTCATCTTTTCCTCACGCGTTCATGCGGCCTTTCGCGAGGGATACGAGCGCTACCGCGAAAACTATGAGCGGCGTCTGCAGAGCGGTGGAGTACTGGGGAATCAAGGTGGTGCTGGAGCTGGGATGAAGCGTAGTTTGCTCGAACGATTCAAGGCGTCGTTTGGTGGAGGCGGGGATACGCCTGCGTTCGGTACGCCTCGCGGGGCAGAGACGCCATTGAGTGGAGAGTTCATGGGTTCCTCTGGATCTCCAACAGCTGGGACACCAGGGACGCTTCGTGGACGGCTTTCGTCTGGGAGTACGCCTTCGGGATCGAGACGGTCGAGCCCTGCGCCTGGAGGCACTACTGGTTCTGCTGGAGGAGCAAGTCCGACTGGAAGTGTGGGTCCATCTGGGACGCTGGGGAAAAGGGGGAGTCGGAGACGGCAGGGTGCGAGGATTAGTCGGCAGGGGACGCCGTTGTTGGAAATTGTCGAGTCGATACGGGCGGATGGAGTCTCGGTCGGAGGACAGAGTACCGCTGACTCGACGTCAACTTTCACTACCGAACCTGGGACAGACGATGTTGCATCGAGTGGCGCTCCAGACTCTTCTCCAGCGCGGCGACGAACGCGGCCGGCGAGGAGTCGAAGTGGGAGTTATGCAGTTAGTTAGCAATGTTGTTTTACTAACATATACAAGATTATATTTGAGACTATGGTGGATTCCCAGCGAGCTGAGCCGGCTAACTCTATCCTTCGACCTCGACCAAAACATGGCAAACGCCGCCCAAGGCGCGATTACAGCGCTGCAAACGGCTGGAGAATATGCCATCAAGCCGTCAAATGCACAACCTACACTCGACACGTCGCAGTGGCCGCTGTTGCTCAAAAACTATGACAAGCTGCTCGTCCGCACCAGCCATTTTACGCCCATCCCCGTCGGATGCAGTCCACTCCGACGAGATATCCAGAGTTATGTGCGGTCAGTCTTTGTTTTGCACTTTGTTTCCCTAGTTTTTTTCCTCTAGTGGCGGGATGAAAAAGTGTGTGGGACAGTGGCTGACATGTATGTTTTGCAGGTCTGGTGTGATTAATCTTGATAAACCATCGAATCCTTCATCGCACGAAGTCGTCGCTTGGATGCGTCGAATCCTCAAAGTCAACAAGACGGGCCACAGCGGCACGCTCGATCCAAAGGTTACTGGTTGTCTGATTGTGTGCGTGGATCGTGCGACACGCCTCGTCAAGTCGCAGCAAGGCGCAGGTATGCACCCTTTTACCATTTGATAACAAGTTGCTCTAACAAACGTTGACTTGTAGGCAAAGAATACGTTTGTGTTATACGATTGCATTCTGGACTATCGGATCCTACAGCCCTCGGACGCGCACTCGAGACGCTCACTGGTGCGCTCTTCCAACGACCACCCCTCATCTCGGCCGTCAAGCGTCAACTACGAGTACGAACAATCTACTCTTCCAAACTCCTCGAATACGATAACGACCGTCACCTCGGCGTGTTCTGGGTATCGTGCGAAGCAGGAACCTACATCCGTACGCTCTGCGTCCATTTGGGCCTCCTCCTGGGTGTCGGCGCACACATGCAAGAACTCCGACGCGTACGAAGTGGAGCGTTGAGTGAAAATGACGACATTGTCACGATGCACGACGTCTTGGATGCGCAGTACCTCTTCGAGCACTCTGGTGACGAATCGTATCTCCGACGGGTCATTCGACCTCTCGAGAGCCTCCTTACGGGCTACAAGCGCATCGTCGTCAAGGACAGCTCTGTCAATGCCATTTGCTACGGTGCCAAATTCATGATCCCAGGTCTGCTCCGTTATGAGAGTGGGATCGAAGTTGGCGACGAGGTGGTGCTGATGACAACAAAGGGAGAGGCGATTGCATTGGCTATTGCGCAAATGGCTAGCGCAGATTTGGCCACGGCGGATCATGGCGTCGTGGCAAAGATTAAGCGGTGTATCATGGAACGCGATACGTATCCGCGTAAGTGGGGACTAGGTCCACAGGCGATGAAGAAGAAGATGATGGTCAAGGGTGGCGAGCTGGACAAGTATGGTCGTGCAATTGAAGGCGTGACGCCTCAGAAGTGGACAAAGGACTATATCGATTATTCCGAAGGTGGACAACGTGGTGGTGCAACGGTGGTGGAGACATCCAAAATGGAGGTCGTCGCGCCGGGGACGCTTGTTCCGCCTGTCGTTGAAGAGGCTGATGGCGATGGCGAGGCGGAGCCCAAGAAGAAGAAGCGCAAGGCCAACGAGGGATCACCTGCGCCCGAAAAGGGCAAAGAGAAGAAGAAGCGCAAAAAGGATCGCGACGCGAGTCCATCTACTCCCACTGAGGGCTTGGCCGAGGCCGCAAAGGGTCTTGTCGAGGCTGGTGTGGAAATGTTGACGGATTCGAAAGAGGAGAAGAAGAAGAAGAAAAAGGATATGACAGAGGAGGAGCGAAAGGAGCGAAAGCGCGAGAAGAAGAGGCTCAAAGAGGCGGCGATGGAGTCGTAAATGTACACTCTTTCCGTGTCATATTCTAATAATAGTTGATTCTTGACCTCATTCGGATCATGCTTTACTCTGAGATGAGGGCGTTACCCCGACAGCAAACTTGCCGGCCACCACATCCGCGTGCGGTTTTGAACTCACCCAAACGAGCTCAGTACGTATAAAATTAAAGATATTATCAATTAATAACAAGAGCAACGGAGCAGAAGCGCGGTTTGGTACTGTAGAACGCAGGCTCGAAATCAGCGCGAGATGCCTTCGATCTGGCACCGTCGCTTCCGCTTGCTCGAACAGTCACTTCTACTATGTCAAGCTGAGCAGACCGATCTGCAAGTGCAGAGCATCCATCGGATCATCTCGATAGCGCAAAGCCTTCTTGAATGCATTCCCACCACGAAAGATTCTGGCGAGAAAGACGTAGTGGAAAGAGAAGAGATGAAAGTGGAGGTGAAGTCTTCAAATACTCGAGAGGCATCGGTCGTTAGTGACCATCTCCCCGTTGAGATTCTCCTATGTATCTTTCGACTCTATCGCGACGAGAATACCACGACGTCTTTCACATCTCTCATGGGAGTATGTCGATGGTGGCGTGATATTGTTTTGGGTCACCCCGACCTTTGGAGCCGCATCGACATAGTGCCAACTGGACTCTTCAGTAACTTCCAGTGGTATTATGGACACATAGAGCTGTGTCTGAAGCGCAGCGGTAACCTTCCGTTGGATATTACCGTCGACTTTTCTCGGATCGAATGGATCCCGGAGCACTTGTATCGAGTTCTCGAGGTTTTCATCCCGCCAGGACACCAGTGTAATTTGAACCTCTATGGCGCGTGCCACGACCTGCTCATAAAATACAGTGGTCAGCTTCTCCACATCCTTGACCTTCTCACCGAGATACCACTCTCATCGACAGCTTCCAATGACGCTCTTTCACCAGAAAACATTCTTCGATTGGAGGCTCACGATTTGGAGGGCAAGGTCGCTCCAGCCGCGGACGGACTCATTATTCGATGGCAGTCGCTTCAATTGACCCTTCCATCATTACCTCTACCCGAAATACTCAACGATATATCCTTGGTACTGAGAGGACGAATGCCCTCACTCAAGCAACTGAAGATCACTTCAGGCTTGGAAGTTTACAAACCCTTCGCCTGGCCTCAATCCGAGACTATATACTTCGAAAGCTTGCATCAAATCTACATCGACTCTTTTATTGATTTGCAAAGTCTTCCCTGCAATCCATTAGCATTGCGGGATCTGACCATTCCAATATCCAGCAGTAGCTTGGCAGCGATTAGACAATTCACATCGCTGGAACGGCTGACTTTCTATGGATCCTTCTATTCTTCGTCACTCATATCCGACTTAGCACCTCTATTCTTCCCACGTCTTAAACATCTCACCGTGGAGACATCCGCTTACGAGCTCTCTCCCGCGACTTTCTACGTCCCTTCACTGCAAAAGCTCACCATCGTCTTCAATTTTTACATTAAAAAGGTCAAATCGGAATTGTTGTCGACTATCAAGACCCTCGAGCTCGCCCCAATGGCTTGGATGGCAAGGCCTAGCGATGCGCAAGTATCCCCACCCACTCGCGCATATGATCCGGATTACATCATTCCCTTGACCTCCGTTCTAGCCTCATGCGCTATGCTGGAAAACTTGAGAATCTTGGAACCCCCTGGGGACCCCAAAGGGTGTATCCTCGTGAAGAAGATCATTTCGTCAATTCTCACTGGAATTCTCGACAAACTTTGCATCGTCACATTTCTCCAACTGGCTCCCGGCTCTGAGGACATTGAAGATGCGATCGAGGTCGCCTCATACAATGTCTCACCGGGATAAAACGGTATTCAGCTTAGATAGCGCATGTACAGGATCACCTTGCCAATCCGTCTTGCCCACTATAAGTTGTTCCTGTTATCAGATTGCTGTAGCACCCCTGCACATGTACCCATTGGATATTCTCTAGCAAATTGTTATTATCAGAGGACCTCCTGAATCGGTCGGAACAGTATTGCTTGCTCGTGACGGACACCTAAACTCGACCACGTACCAACAGGCGAGAGGTTTGTAGTTATCCTTAGCTCCGAGCGACGTCTAACAATTAGAAATTGACTGTCTTGTATGACACTAGTGCGACTTTGCGTTTTGTGCCCGTCACGCCGCTGCAAAATGACCAGTCTCTTCGAACTGGAGGCTCAACTCGTAGAATCTGCAATGTCCGTGCGAACGAGAAACGATTTCCATAGCAAGCTCGCCAGTTTGATGGACGTTCATAAAGCGACGAACAAAATCTTGGTCAAAATGACGCGCGATGCTGGGATGGAGCCTCCAGCGCTTCTCGAGGTAGCAGACGACGTAAATATATCCTTTTCATCATCTGGGCCGACCAAAGTGGGCAAGATAGGATTCCAAAGCCTGCCCGACGAGCTTTTGGCTCAAATCTTCAAGCTCCGTCGAGATAGCGGTCATCCCATGGCTTTCCCATCTTTGATGCGAGTATGTCGGCGGTGGAAGGAAGTCATATCCAACGACCCAACTCTCTGGAGCAAGATTCATGTCCAACCGACTGGGTATTACAAAGACATCCAATGGTGGCACTGGTATGTCAGGAGGCATATCTCCAAGAGCGTAGAATGCCCCTTGGACATTACTCTGGACTTTTCTGGTTTACGGGGCCTGTCAGAACATATTGATGATTTCCTCGAATCTTTCCTGTCGGGTAAAGATCTTCTGCACGACGAGGATCTGGAGAACTGGAGAATAGAGTACCACTGCGAAGACCTTGTCTCAAGGTACATGTGGTATTTTATCGACATTATCCGTCTCCTGACTGGACGCTTCCCATTGAGTTCGTCTACATCCGAATCCTCGGAATCGGGTGATGACTTACATGGCTATGACTTATATGGCTATGAGGACGAAGATGTATCCAATCTTTTCAAAGAAGATGGCGGCGAGGGAGAGGATCTGCTGATACGGGAGTCAGCACCCCTCGCGCCAGTGACTGCGAGGCCCCAGGTTTCCAAGCCTATCACCGACCGATGGCGCTCATTTCACCTCGTAATTCCTGATTTTTGGGGGAATGATGGCACCTTACACTCAGTCTGGGCTCTCCTCGACCGGCCAACTCCTCTTCTCGCGGTCCTTTGCCTCGATTTCCATGGAATGACGCGGAACGGTCCCCCGCTGGGCAACAACGTATTATATAAAACCGCATTCCCGGATACAAGTGCCCTTCGGGAATTGAGGATCGACTTTCCCGTCGACTTGAAGTGCTTTACGATTGGGCGAAGGACCGTTCGAAAGCTTTCGCTCCGTATCGAATGGGACTTCTTTGAGGAGCTCAACCAGTATACGAATCTGGAGTGCCTGAAGCTCGTACATACGGAGCATAGGGCGGACTATCCATCGATAGCGCCGAAACTCCCAAAACTCGACTTTGCAAGGCTTCGACATCTGATCATTACTGGACAAATTCTCATACAATACACTCTTGCGATCACTTCTCCACATCTGGAAAAGATTACCCTACTTACTACTACCCGGCTTCCGCTCCTCATGTTCGAGTCATTCGCCAGGGTCAAGAGGCTCGACCTGGTGATCGACCAATGGCTTACAATTGAGGAGGATAAAACGGTTAGACCCTCCATGAGCTCGGCATACACTCAGCAAGACTTGATTTTTACTGAAGATCTGCTGGTGCAGTGTGCCAATATGGAGGAGCTACGAGTGTGGAGCAACGACGCGGACCCAGGAGGGGAGCTCTTTGTCAGACATGTCACGTCGTTGGTTAAGAAGGGATACCTCCGCAATCTGCGACAAGTGACCTTTATGTGGCCACCGACTCGCTCACGGGATATGGAGACAGCGATAGAAGTCTGTTCCTACAAGTTCAAGTAATCTCGATGGACTTAAGCAGTTCGTTCTTCGTGACGTACCGCGGTACATTTCTTGGGTTACATACTCTTGTAGCTAGTCGTATCATGTTTTGTGTAGATAAAGAGAGCGCCAGGTGTGCATCAAGCTCGCGACTGAATATTATCCCATCTCCAAACATCGTTAAAGGCGACTAATTAGTGTTCAAGAGTCCATTAGGTCAACCACCTCGCCTAAGTGTTCGATTATTGGACAAGTATATCTCCCTACACGTTGATAGTGCGCAACGAGCGACCTTGGTCTCTACCACGTCTGCGGCATTTCTCACTTCGCCCAAGAAGCTCGAGTAAGTGTAATGGGGCATACTGGGTAGATCTGAACCCAATTAGTGTCCGGGAGGGGCAACGCCATCCGACGACTCCGTCAAGTTCCGCATGTTTGTCGGCGGAGATATCAACTCGAATCGTCGTCGAATCGTAAATTGCGCTCGAGTTTACTTGAGCAGGCGCTTCTACTATGCAGAGTTGAACAGTCCGACCTGCAAGTGGAAAGCATCAATCGAATCCTTTCAATCGCACAAATCCTCCTCGTTCGCATTTCCGCCAAAACAGATGAAAAAACAGACACAGAGGAAATACAAGATTCGAGGATAGACTCGATCAATTCACCTTATACCGGACGCACGCCGGCCATCGTGATCGGGCACCTCCCCGTCGAGATTCTCCTATCCATATTTTACTACTATCGCGACGAGAATACTACGACGAGACTTTCACTTCTGATGAGAGTATCTCGAGGGTGGCGCGACATCGTGCTGAGTAGTCCTGGCCTTTGGAGCCGCATCAACCTTGCGCCTACTGGGTTTCTCACTAACACCACGTGGTATTATAGTCACATTAGCACGTGTTTACAACGAAGCGGAGACTTACCACTGGACATCACAGTAGACTTTACCCAGATCGAACAGATAACCGGGCATTTGGATAAAACGCTCGAAATGCTACTCCCTCCAGGATACATGTTTGATACCTATGGGTGCGGAGACTGGGGCTTCAATGGCGCTTACGAGGATATGATACGAGTGTATCACGACCAGTTCGTCGACATCCTCCGTCTTCTAGCCGGTCTACCACCCTCTTCAACATTTATGGACTACACTCGCCTAGGCACGGATGAAGATCATATAGCGGAGATTTCGGATTTACAGAACGGGCTCACTCTCAGCAGTCGCCATGCCTTTAGCCGATGGCAGTCACTTGAATGGACCCTCCCGTCTTCATTTCCACCAGATATACTCCCAGAAGTATGTTCACTGCTCGCATACAGGATGCCATTGCTCAGACGGCTCAGTATCAAGTCGGATTGGGAATGTAAAAGGCCGATCGTATGGCCTCGATCCGACTCTCCGCGCTTTCAAGCCCTGTGCCAGCTTAGTTTCAACTTCCCCGTGGTTTTGGATAGCATATCCTGCAATCCATCAAAGTTGCGGGACCTTACAATTCACGTGGATGTCTCCAGTTTGGAGGCAATTCGACGGTTCACGTCCTTAGAGCGGCTTGCCCTTATTCAAGTATACGGACTCCCCTCCGGTGTAGTAAACCCATCACCGATATTTCTCCCGCATCTTCGGCATCTGCAGGTGGACGCAGGTATTCCCAAATCATTTCCCTCAACTTCCACGCCCCCTCTCTGCAAAAGCTCACTCTTGTGTTCGATTATCGCGTCCAACTGGTAGATCTTAATCTGCTTTCGACTGTCAAGACCCTCGATCTCGCTGTGGATGGATGGCTACGGAGATCTAGTAACTCCAAAGAAACACGCCCCTACAGCTCAGATGAGCTCAATTGTTTCGCTTCTCTTCTAAACTCATGTTCTCTGCTCGAGAGCCTTAGAGTTTGGGAATGCACCACAGATCCCAAAGGGACTATCCTTAGGAACCAAATTATATCGTCTGTCCTCAAGGGGAACCTCGAATTCCTTAGAGATGTCACGTTTCTCAAGCCGATGTCTAGCTCCGAGATGGAGCATGCAATCGAAGTTGTTACATACCATGTAGCGACAGAAACCAAAAAGTATGGGCTTAGATAGAGTATGTATGCCAAAGATACTAGAAGGTTCTTGTATCAGACATGCAGCACTCCGCACATGTCTCTATTGGATATCAATCCAGAGAGATTTCGTTATAAGGCGCTCCTTGATTGGCTGGCACGGACAACAGACTCAGACCCAACTACGACCACTATCTGGAAAGATCACAGTCAGTCAAGATAGCGGCCTCTCATCGTGGATGCGAGCATGTCGACTGCGGCATAAAGTCTTTTCCAACGAAACGACTCTTTGGAGTCAGATTTATGTCAAATCGACCTATTACACCGATGACCAGTGTTGGCACTGGTACGTAAAGAGACATATTTTCAGGAGTGGAGAATGTCCTCTGGATAACGTTCTTGACCATTCTGGCCTAAGATACCTGTTGGAATACATCGAGGTTTTCCTCGAATCTTTCCTTCCAACTAAAGATGGTCTCTACGCTTGTCTCATGTTCGAGTTTCATTACATTCAGTTATCTACTCAAATGTAGTTTGATATGGACGGGAATACTGTTGAGCCTATTGAAGACGCACCTGGTGAGATTCAAGCTTGATCTCAACGCCGCCATCAGTGCCTCTCCGAGACACATTCCCCGCCAGCTTCGAACAAAAGCGTTCGTACCAGATCTTAATCACCCAAAGGGCTGACGGGTATTCAGCCACTGTTCGCTCAATCATGGCCACAACCACCTCGTCGAGTTGGAATTATGCCGCTTGGCGTTGAAAATTACTTCAGAGAGCAACTTAGAACTCAAAACTCACAATTTGGGCAAGCTTGTCCGCGTCGCGTCTGACTTGCTCACTGTGCTCGCCAAACCACATAGTGCGCTTCTCGCATCAGGGTATCAAACGTCTCAATCAGGAGTCGTGAAAGAGAGTAAACAGCAGGAGTCGCGACGGACGACCATCCACGACTTGCCAGGCGAAATCCTGTCGCATATCTTCCGCTCCCTACACGGCGAAGACAGGACTACAACGCTGCCGTCCATCATAGCGGTATCTCGTCGCTGGCATACTACCGTTGTTCAAGATCCTTATCTTTGGAACGACATCGTCGTCAGGCCGAATGGACTGATGAAAAACATCAGAGCATGGCATTACTATGTGCAAAGATGCCTAGAGAGGAGCTTAAACTGCCCCCTGGACATCACGGTCGACTTTTCGGAGGTCAGGCCCATCTCCGAGCAGGTCGACAAGCCACTGAGGGCGGTATTCACAGCAGTAGACCTGCAGAATAACGAGTACGAACTCGAATCCTGGAAGTTTGAGGACCAGTGTCCCAACCTCACAGATATTTACTTCGACTACTTCATCGACGTCCTTCGGCTCCTCTCTGGGACCCAGACAAAGTCAAATCTTCTCAAGACAAGGGGGAAACCATCAAAAAAGTCGAAGAAATCAACACGAAAGTCGAAGAAACAACCCGCCACAGGGCTCACCGACGCGAATACGGTGGCAATGCGATGGCGCTCCTTCCATCTCATTCTCGGTGAAACCTGGCCAAGTGACTATATCGAAAAGATGTGGTCTTCGTTGGACCAGCCTACACCACACCTCGTACGGATCCATCTCGAACTTCTGGGAGAGCCCAAAGAGCCTTCATACGAGGACGATGTCCTATACAAGGTTGCTTTTCCATGTGTTGACGCACTGGAGGAATTTGAATGCAACTTTCCCCTCGAGCTGGATAGCCTGGAGCGTATCCATCCCAAGGTCAAAGACCTTAGTATCTTCTTGGACAAACTCACCTTTGGCGAACTTAACAAGTTTGAAAACCTGGTGCGACTCGAGTTGTGGCATAAGAGCAATAAGGAAAATCCTGCATCGGACATGCCGGGCGACAAGGTTCATCTTCCAAAACTCAAGCACCTTGCTCTGTGCGGCGTCGTACCACAATTTATCCCAATCGTACTTACGACCCCTGCTCTCGAGTCTTTGTCGCTCCTGTATTACGGATGGGTGGAACTAGGGGAGAAAACGGAGCTCTATTCTACAGTAAAGAAACTCGATTGGCGGGTCGGTGATTGGTGCGAGTATACGGGGTTCAAACAGATGCCTATCAACAAGGACGGCTATCCCGATTCCGATTTCCGGAGCATGGACCACCTATTTCAACAGTGCACAAGTCTTGAGGAGCTTAGAGTATGGGCGAATCACGCGGACCAATGGGGTAAAGCGTTTATGAAGCGACTTCTACCACTCATACCGTCCGACAAGCCACTCAGCAAGTTGAAGAAGGTTATATTTTACTTCCCAATGGACTGGATGGATGACTTTGACCAGAGCAAAATTACATGTTCATACGATATAGACGCCATGAGGAACCAGCCTCCAGGCACCGAACTGGTGCCCACATATCTAAAATAGCGTATATGTGTACCTGTACAAACTGTCGAATGACCATGGGGCCACCCAGAGACCCAAAGCGCCAGACATGCGTTGAATTCTAAGTTTCATTGAATTTGGTGATATGGTCATGTTTACTCTTCGCTGTACAGAATATGCACGGGACCACTTGAGTCCGGGTGTAGGTGTACTCGAAACAATACTATCCCTGCGTCTTGGTGGGCGCGTCAGCTGAGGGTGGCAGCAAATCCACAACTTGGACTCCAGGTTCTCAGATATGTCCACGTCGCACAAGTCCACGAACTTCCTTGGGACTATCTATACTTACTGACGATCACTGGGTGGACAATGCGAATCTGGAAGTTCACGCCCACTGGATGCATTATCACCACTCCCATCGACTATTTGGACTCTCCTGGCGACTTGGTTCGCTTTGCTCGAGCGCTCGCCTCAGATGGTCCGAGAGGAATCGAGGTTAGCGTCGGTGAAGGCCGTCTCTTCACCGAGTATCAGGATGCGGGGGCAATATGGTGATGCTCTTGAGCACGTTTCCAAGGTCTGCGGACGCTGCAGATAATCAGCACTGGCTTGACCGCAAAGGACCAGCCGGTTACTTCATCCTCAAGTTTGGTAAAGGAGACCTCGTTGATCCAGATCAGCTCGACAAAGGAGGCAAGTTGAAAGCTACTGAATACGTCATATTCAAAAAAACTCTTCACCATGCCGCATCCATGTCCTCCCGCGGAACTAAATGCTACCTCACAATTGTAAGGCCCGAAATCGAGTCTCCTGGTTTCGCTTTGCGCTCGCCTCAAGAAGTCATCCCGCGATTACGGCTACTGAAGACATCATGGCAGCATGTAGCCAGAACGCCTGAGGCACATGTCTTCCGCGAGTACAACAAGCGCCATATCGAGAAGATGTGGTCCTCATTGGATCAGCCCAGCCCAAACCTCGTACGGATTCATCTCGAACTTCCATGGATGCACAAGGAAGCCTCATACGAAGACGATGTCCTCTACAAGGTGGCATTCCCGTGTGTCGACGCGCTGGAGGAGTTTGAATGCAACTTTCCTCTCGAGTTGGACGGCCTCGAGCGTATCCACGCTCACCTCAAAGACTTCAAATTCTTCTTGGATCGCTTCTCGTTCGGTAAGCTTAATAAGTTTGCAAACTTGGTCTGACGCAAAGTCGTGAATGTGAGCGACGAGAAAAACCCCCTATGCAGGTTTCCTAAGGGACCAGGTTCACCTCCTAAAACTCGAATACCTCTCTCTAGATGGTACTGTCCCACAGTTCATTACAAACATCCTCACGGCCCCTGCACTCGAATACTTGACCTTCATCTATTACGGATGGTGGAGCTACCGGATAAAGCAGAGCTCTACACTAGCGTCAAGAAGTTGGATTGGCGCGTCGGTGACTGGTGCGTGCATCCAGGGTCCAAGCAAATGCCGATCGAAACGGTTGCCTATCCCGATGCCGACTTTCGAAGCATGAATCACCTCTTTCGACAGTGCGCAAGTCTTGAAGAACTGAGGGTGTGGCGGAACCAGGAGGACCCATGGGGTGGTGTGTTCATACGACACTTTCTCCCATACGTACCTCGCGACAAGCCACTGAGCAGGTTGAAGAGGGTCTCGTTTCACTATCCAATCGACTGGATGGACGAACTTGACGAAAGTCAGGTTACGTGTTCATACGATATAGAAGCACTGAGGAGGCTACCTCCAGGCGCTGAAATTCAACCAACACTTCTAAAATAGCGCATTCATATCCTCTTATTTGATGGTCGAATGATCATGGGCAATTTATTCTTCGCCTCGGATTTGACCATTGGACGCGTGACGATCCTGCAAAAGCGCTTCGGTCAGTTCAAAGTTTAGCGAGAGCGTAGCCCGTACATATGTGCCTTTCCAATGTCACTAGCAGGCACGGAGAGATTGAACTCCAAAGCCGAGACGAGCTGGAATAGAATTGCTTTCATCCTGTGTTACAATTCGTCAGACGACCATCACTATGTGAGCGCGTAGTACGTACTCGAGGACGGCAAAGCGAAACCCAATGCAGGCGCGCTGGCCACTGAGAAAGGTCATGCTACCTCCCCATCCCCAGGTCGAGTACGATGCACCCTCTGGAAGACCAAACTTGACATGAGACGGAGGAACACCGGAGAGCCACCGTTCTGGTCTGACGTCCAAAATCAGCGAGTTATTTTCAGAAGTAACAGATCCCGCCTACTGGAATTGATTTGCGCCTGGGCCCCAAACTTCTTCAAGGTGATTGATTGCAAATGTTGGGATCATAAAGACATCGCCCTTCTTCACGCTACATATTCATCCTCAGCTCATGCAAATCACATACCCTGGGAGACTTACGATATCTCTGTCCTCTGCCGTCCGTCTATGTCAACGTACGGTTTAGAGACCGGTATCACGTCATCGACGAGAGCCTTTCGGAATGCATTCTCCGTTGCCGGGTGGAAGCGGATTGTCTCTTTGACGACAGCGTCGAGGTACGGAAGGGAGTCCAGTTGATCCATCGAAGGTTTGAATCCTATCTGTTCCATCGCCTCGAGAATCTCCAAGCGAAGCCGCTGTTGGCACTCTTTGTGCTGCGAAAGCGAGAAGAGGCACCAAGCCAAAGATGTCGAAGTCGTCTCGTGTCCTTCCAACATCAGCGACTCGTTGATGTGAGTCAAGGTTGCTTACCGGCCAAGATAAAAGTTGGTATTTGGTTCAAGATTTGTTGAAGACTAAGACGTTGCTCTGGTGGAAGGTCCGTCGATAGGTTTGACCGTACCATTAGGGAGAGCAGATCCTTTCGTGAGCTATCCTCCTCTCCACGTTTTGCCTCTTTGAGCCTCTCGCGAATGAGCTCGAGTCCGACTCTGTGCATTGTCCGCCTTGCTTTGCGTATTTCGCGTTCACGTTTGTCAAATATCTACATCAAGGGAATTAGGGAGTCGTCTATACAGAGGTGAACTGCACTTACAAAGAGTCGAAATGGCGGCAGGAATGCCTTGATCACGAAGAATGCTCCAAGTCCACTGCTCGAGCTGAATATCCCATGAAATGCTGCGCTGAGTTCACTCGCATCGGTGCCTTCTTGTAAAGCGTTAAACTTGTATCCGAACCCCGCCTCGCCAATGATGTCCAAAGCAGTAAGCGAGAGTTGATGGAGCATATCGATCCGCGCATCATCCTTGTCAGAGATACGAGTTTGGGCGAGTAGTTTGTCGCGAAGCTGAGATGAATCAGAAGAGGTTGTGTCATTAGAAAATCTCGCACTTCGATGGCCTTTTCGTGGAAAATAGGGACAAGCTCGCGAAGGCTTGAGGAACTGAATGCAGGTAGCTTGCACGAATGAGCCTAGGCTAGCACGAGTGTGAATAAACTGACCAAGAGTCGCCGTTGATGTTTATGCTCGGCGCCTGAGGGCTATGAGGTAGAAGCCCTTGGAGATGATAGAGAATTCATACCTTGTGCGACTATCAAACCTTCGCCGAGTATACGCTGGAGGATGTACCGAAGCGTCCTTGGAGAGGTGTACGTCGCATGATTCTCGAGAACGTACGAAAGCGCACGAGGATCAAACAACATGCATCGTATTTCCTATCAACCAGTCAATCATACGACCGCACGACCACGTCGAGAAAAGACGTACACCCAAGAATGCACGCGTCGCATAGACATGCCCATACTCTCTTCGCCAAATCTCATGTGGATGAAGAACCTCCCCGGATCCACCAACGTTCGGCGCATCTTCATCCATCATGTGTCCAAATACAAACGAACTCGACGGTGGGCCTCTGAGCTTTCGCGCGGGTGATACGAGCGGACGGAGGATATACTCGGCTGCATCGACGAGAACCCAGATAACAAAGGCGCCAGCGGTGGTGAGTATGGCGTTGGCGAAGAGTTTTATCGACATCTAGCTCCCCGTGCTGATATTGAGGAATCACGGGGAGGAAGGGTGTAAGTTTATAGAGATTGTTGTCACCTCTGATTTATATGTGCGCTCTGGCAGCGCCTCGTTCAGTACCGTGGAAATCCATGTTAAGGTCGAGTTCAAGCGTGTGAAAGCATGGTCACCTGTCACGACCGCATCAATATCCAAGAAGAAAGTCGATAAATAGAAGCACTAGAAGTCGACAAGAGACTATCGGAGAGTCGCTATCCAATCGACGAGCTCGGCAAGTCCATCCTTTTTGGGGACAGTAGGATCCACCACGGTATCCTTTTCCTTGGGCTCGTCGTCTTCGCTGGCGGTATCATGTCCACCATGTGCCTTTCGAGGTCTCTGGATGTCGACCCATCCACTGCGAATCGTCACCACACCACCATCCCACTTGTCAAACGTAAACGCGTCCCCCTCAGTCACGTCCAGTCCACCAACAGTATCGTCCTCTCCACCCTCATCTCCCAGTTCGCCGAGTACGGCAGTGTTGGATTTGATCGAGTTGAGTCGTCGTTTCTCAAGCTCCCGCTCAAGAATGGTCGTCGTGCGTGTGACGGCAAGCGCAGTGTTGGGAGTTTTCGATTTTGATGCCGACGTCAGCACGTCGGCTTTGTTGGCAAAGACGAGAAGAGGTGGTGGCGTCGCTGAGGGTGGGAGGTTCGAGATGGCATGCATGACAAGATGCAGGTGCCTATACGACGTCAGATGTATCTAGAATTTCAACAAGTGTACGCACTCGGCCACTGTGCTGGCGTTGCGCGTCAAGGCTGCGGCATCACAGACGAAAATGACAGCCTTGACGCCTCCAATGTTCTTCGACTTGCCATTTTCTTGGAAGAAATCGGTAAACTGACCCCGGATACGCGGGTGTCCAGGAATATCGACAACCTGCAAGGGTTTCCTGTGAAACGGCGAGGGAGAGCGGAAGAAAGCGACGTTTTGTTGGAGTGAAGTGTGCGTTGGAGGTGCGTGGTTGTAGACGAGCTATCATTCATACGAGGTTAGCCGACCGCGGCGAGGACACGAAAGAGGACGTACAGAAGAAAAGATTGCCGTTTTGCCACCGTCAGAGGGACCAACGAGGAGGACGATGGATCCAGACTTTGCTCTCCGACTCTGTACAAACAAGAAAACTGCGTCGACGAGAGGTGAAATGGTACGATACAACAGGACGCGACGGCGAGTATTAATGTCAGCATACATCGACAATCTCAAGACGACTGGTTTCACCTGCAACGAGCACACATGCCAACAGGACCGATCCCAAAATGAGCGAATACGTGTCCACTCGCTTGAGCTCGTCCATTTCCAAAAAGAAGAAAATTAAGGGATGCTACAGCGTTTCGCAGTCTGCCAGAGCACAGGCCGTGTTGTCTGGCGCGTGTGTTGGCCGGGTCCAAGCTAGGTTTCCGCGTCATTTCGGCGAGTCGGTCACGGACAGATATGACGAAAAGCACGAGTTATGGTTATCAAATGTATACGATAAGTCTTCACGACGAGAAAACAGGCACAATATAGGACTGCCACAACCTCCGACGCGAAGAGAGATTATGTGATGGCTACAGAGTGGTTCAGTGATATTCTCTATATGAAATTCATGGTACTTACAGTACTTGGGTCCTCCTCCTCCCTCTGGCACGGTCCAGGTAATGTCCTGAGTGGGCACTTTGATATCGCACAGCTTGCAATGAATACAATTCTGCGGCAATCAGCAAGTGCCAATCAAAATACAGTCAATCAAAACTGACCTGTGAATTGATTACCAGCTTCTTCCCGTCCCAGCTTCCAGGTTCTCCCTGTTCCGCATCCACATACTCGTAAACGCCAGCTGGACATGCACGTCCAAGTAAACCAGCATATTCTCCGACGTTGATCTTGACATGCTCCGACCGCGCCTCGTTTGCAAGCTCAGCTTCCGCGGTGCCATCTGTCGTCGGCTCCTCGAGTCCGCTTTGGATCTGCGCGGCGGCTGGTGAGATACCGTATGGGCTGGTGTGCGGTAGTTGCAAGTGTACGGGTTGATCTTCGGCATGGTTGGTTGAAGTGAGCGAGACAGATGTCAGGATATCAGTTGACAACGGTGCTTGCGGTGCTGGATATTCTATGGGTTTAAAGTTCCTGTAGGATTCATAAGATAAAGTAGATAAGGCAGAAGCCACTTACTTTGCCTTTCCCGTATGACTGGCATCCGTGCCTTTGTGTCTAAATGTCCACGGCACGCGTCCTTTCAGGAACAGCGAGTCAATACCAGAGTATGCCATGCCTCCCCAGATTCCAAGTCCCGTATTGAAGCTTGGACGGAGATTGCGAACCTCCTGGAGATCCTTCCATACCCAACTCTCCTTCAATGCCGTCTCGTAAGGCGACATATCCGCCACTGCTTCGGCACTGTCTTCACTCTTGAGCTTGATAACTTGCTGATAGGCCGTCTCGGCAGCCAACATGCCGCTCTTCATCGCGTTGTGCGTTCCCTTAATCTTTGCCACGTTGACGAGACCGGCGCTGCATCCAATCAACGCACCACCAGGGAAGAAGAGCTTTGGTACACTCTGTACGCCACCCTCGTTGATCACACGTCCACCGTACGCCAGTCGTTCACCACCTTCCAACAAGTTGCGGAAATACGGGTGATGTTTCATTCGCTGGAGTTCGCGATAGGGACTTAAGTAAGGATTGGCATAGTCCAATCCGATCACCAAGCCCAAGGATACCAGTCCATCGGCCATGTGATACACCCATCCACCTCCATACGTCTTCCAATCGAGCGGCCAGCCCATGGTATGTATGACCTCGCCTGGACGATAATTTTCGGGTTTGACACGCCAAACTTCTTTGACACCCATACCGTACGTCTGCGCATCCGCGCCAATAGAGTTACGCAGGTCGTAATGCCGGACCGTCTGCTTCGTCAAACTCCCATGCGCACCCTCTGCGAGCAGAGTAACCTTGGCATTGAACTGCATCCCAGGCTCAAACGTGTCCTTCATCCTCCCTGCGCGATCCAAGCCAACTTCATTCGTCCGCACACCGCGCACGACGCCTTTTCCATCACTCCCGGAATTTGGATCCAACACAAGCGAGGCTCCAGCAAATCCAGGGTAAATCTCGACACCCATCTCCTCGGCTACGCTCCCGAGCCATTTGGTAAACTGTGAAAGCGAGAGGATGTAATTGCCCTTGTTGGACATTTGAGGTGGATGAGGCATAGGGAAAGAGGATGACGACGTCAACCAGCGCATTTTCGACGAGGTCGCTGGCTGAGTGAGCGGATGTCCGTCCATAGATTTCCATTCCGGTAACAATTCGTTCAACGCACGAGGCTCAATTACTGCTCCTGATAGCGTATGTGCGCCTAGAAGTCCATAATTGTCAATGAATGGTGTTTTTATGCGCCACAAAAGTGTAGACGGAAAAGGAACCGCGTCTTCAGACGCGTGATTTCGGTCGGTGCAGAGACGTACCGACTTCGCTTCCCTTTTCCAAAACGACAACCCTCAACTCTTCCCCATCTCCTTGTCCAGATGCATTTCGTTCTTGCTCAAGTTGCTTGAGTCGAATTGCCGCGCTCAGTCCAGCGGGACCGGCACCGACAATGCACACATCCACATCATCTTCTGCTCGCTCTACTTCGCGTGCGACAAATCTCGGCCGCCCATCGTCTTCTTGGTTGTTTTGGGATGGACGGGTCGTGTGTAGCCAATGACGTTGGACGGATTTGAGCGAAACTTGTCGTGCGACGACGACTTTTGTCAAGGGTGAGGACGGTATTCGAACTTGCAACTGATTTCGTAGCATTCTTGAACTGACTGGATCCTGCGCGGTCTGAGTCACGGATTTTTCCACACGAGGAACGGCTCAAAGTAGAGAAGTGTTGATGTTGTAGTCCTGGGAGCACTTCCGAACTATATGAGCGAAAGAGGAGACGAAAGGGAGTAGTCAAGGTGGTGGTCAGGTCGAAAGCCGGATCTACGACGGTGGCAGCTCGTCCCGTGAACAATTGCCAGTCAACGAGCAAAGCTGGCAGGGCTTGGAAGACTCTATTTCATAACATACAATAGTGGTTGGTATACTGGTGCGAGACATCGTGTGGAAGTAAGTACACTAGACCGCCATACATGGGCCATAGGTTTCTGATTCCGTTGGAGCAGTGCTCCATTGGCCCGGTGGAAAAGCTATCTGCACCAAAAACACAAAATTTTGCTGCGACGAGGTTCGATCCAGGCATTTTGTAATATTTTTGCTTCTCGCATCTCAGTGCTGTTTTTGGGTTCGAGAAACTCGACCAGCTTTCTTGTCCAAATTTCTGCGCATTTTCAGAGGGTTGGCGATGAGGATGGAGGACGTAACTCTCCCGTCGTTCTCCCGTTTCAATGCTGGGATAATTTATGATCCAAAACCATATTTGAGTCCTTGAGTCATCCACGAGAGTCCTCATAGTAGGCCCTTATCGTCACCAAACTCCGTCAAAGAGACAATACTGAGCTGCTGTACTGATGTAATTATCTATATACCTATAGTAATATACACTAGGAATGGACACACTGGTAACCCCGCTCACTCCGTAGATGGGCGACGTTACCCCTGGCTTCGATCAAGTCTGAGCCAACCACACGAATATGACTATGTGAACATAGACAAATCGAGTCGCCCCTTCGCTCTCAACAGCGAGAGATCTGATGGACGTCACTTCCGCGAGGCTTGTTGAGTCATTCGGTGCCTGCCAGTCGCCCACGGAAATTAACTTGTAGAATGCGCCTTGTTTCTCCACCAGCTGCTCGTAAGTACCTTCCTCGGCAACATATCCGTCTTTGAGTACAATGATACGATCTGCCATTCGAATCGTCGAGAGGTCGTGCGTGATCATAATCGTGGTACGTGCGTCATTTGCCTTGCGAAGCGCCTCCATCACTTTCCGCTGATTATGAGCGTCAAGTGCGGATGTACACTCGTCAAGAATGAGAATACCAGTTTTGCGCAAGATTGCGCGGGAAAAGGCAATTCGTTGGGCTTGGCCACCAGAGATTGCCCCCGCATTCTCTCCGACAATAGTGTCATAGCCATCAGGAAGCGACATGACAAACTCGTGTATGTTTGCTTCTTTAGCGGCCCACTTAACCTCCTTGCGAGGGTAAACGTGCGAGCCATCGTACCCAATGTTTTCGTGGATTGGCGCGTCAAAGAGGTGTGGCTGCTGGGTGACAATGGTCATTTGATTGCGAAGCCACGCAAGGTCGGCATACTGGATCGATCGACCGTTGATGCTAATGAAGCCAGAGGTGGGCTCGTACAAGCGCTCCAAAAGTGCGGCGATGGTAGATTTGCCGCTGCCAGAAGCACCAACGATGGCAACACATTCCGTTGGGTTGATTGTGAAGGAAAGTTGATTGACGACTTGAACGTTTGGTCGCAAGGGATAGGCAAATGACACGTTGTGAAACTGGATCGGACCCTGGATGTGCCAATGGTCAGATCCTTGGGATTCGTGGGAATCAGAGTGCTTGAGCTCGAGAAGTGGCTTGAAACTTCGGAGTGCTTGAAGCGACTCACTAAACCGTGATGCTAAATGACCTTGTAAATGCGGGCTTTGAGGAAAGAAAATATCTACTAACTGAACTGCATCATCTGGGCTGCGATAATCAAAGAGAAAGCCACCAAGTTGAGAACCTCGACCATGTGCTCGAAGGTGTAGAATCCCATCGTCATAAAGCGTGCACCGACGTAATAGAATAGACCTACCAAAGGCATAAGGACACAGCTATGTGGAAGGGAGCGCATACCTTGTGTAAGGAAAGTGAGCGTATTGACAATGGCGCAGCCCAGTCCTTCGAAAAAGGCACTGTTCGTCCCCGCACTCTTTGCGTTTTCGACGCTCTGAAGAAACTTGGCACGAAAGATGGATTCAAGGCTCATGGAGCGGATAGCTCGAATATTGAGGACCATGTCGTAGTAATCCTTGCTTACTTCTTCACGCGCTTCCTTCTTCGCCTTGACGATTCCCGCAGAAAGTCGATTATGGAACGCGCTCAGCCCAAGATAAGCCAAGGCGAGAGTAATGCCGAGGAGCGTCAGCTGCCATCCGACAACCATAGCCCAGATGAGGCCGGTGCTGACCATCGTGACGGCCGTGGTACATTGTGGAATGACGAGGGCGAAGAGCAAACACCCGTCATCAACATCCTGTGTGATAACCTGCAACAAGCGAAACGCAGAGTTACAGGGTAGGTCAAACCACGCCATATCTTGCTTCATGATCCCTTCAAACGCACGCGCTCGAACGTCTCGCTTCCAAGTTTTGGTAGTCCACGCGATCGTTAGCTCTTTGACTCCAAAGAGGATACCATGCAGAATTGCTAAGGATAGGACGTACAGACCGTATTCATTCGCTGATGACACGGTATGAGAGTCGTTGTGCGAGGTCGTAAGGGTCACTAGACGGGAAAGGACAAAGCCGAATGCGGGAATGCATACTCCGGACAAAATGGAGGTGACTAGACCAAGGATATAGAGTGGTTTACTAGGGAGAGTCGGCCAGTAGGTAGAGAGTAGGGGGTAGAACGATGTATTTCTCGGCATTGGTTCTGGGACGCTGTCGTCTCGTCTTCGACTTTCTCCTTTGTTGCTTTCTCGTGCAGGTGATCTCCATTCTGCTCAGAGGAAACGCTATTGGACACCGGCACGGACGCGGAAGGGTTTCGGTCAGTAGATTTGTCATTACTTGAAGTGATTTCGGCCCGTGAGTTCTGCACACGCAATGTTTGATGAAACCCTCCATCCATTTGTGATTCTAGGTCTATTCGGCGTCCATGTTCCACGAGTATACCATCTCTCAACACATGAACATAATCATCTGGGTTTATTTGGGAGAGATAATGTGTGATGACAATCGTAGTCTTGTTCTGGCGCCATCTTCTAATCTGTGAGAAGACAAGAAGACGAGAGGTGGCGTCTAGAGCAGACGTGGCCTCGTCTACATTCCATGAGAACTCTGCATGAATTATATCAAGTACTCACCAAGGATAAGTACTTCTGGATCTCGTACATGCGCACGAGCAATGCATAATCTTTGCTTTTGACCCCCAGAAAGAGCAGTTCCTTCATTGCCAAGCAATGTATCGTATCCGTCTGCAAGGCCATCAATGAACTCGTGTATTGCTGCGAGTTTACAAGCGGCGATGACCTCGTCTCGAGTGACCTCTTCTGGCCGACGGCCATGACTTCCACCAGCAACTCCAAGCGCAATATTATCGTGAATACTCCCATCGAACAGAATGCAATGCTGGCTAACGATGCCAATATGGGAGCGTGTCCAGTGTTCGTCGAGGTGCCTATACGACATGTTGCCCATCTCGATTGATCCTTGCTGAGGCTCGTATAGGCGTAAAAGAAGATGGGCGACTGTCGACTTTCCGGACCCAGATCTACCAACAATAAAAGTCATCTCTCCTGGTATGATGGAGAGCGACACGTTGGAAAGAACAGGGATGTCGGGTCTGCTTGGGTAGTGAAAGGTAACGTTCGTGAACTTGAACGCGCCGGAGAATGAGGAAGGGAGAGCTATCGTCTGCAGAACTGGCCGAGAAGAAGTAGATGCACCGTTTAATCCAGTATGTTTCTCTTGGACGCTTGACTGAGGCGATGAATTGCCTGTCGTGTTTAGATCTGGGCTGGTGGATGTCCGGTTGACGAGCTTGACCAGGTCATCCATGGATACTCTCGCCCGCATGTGGACAGAGATACACTTGGATAAGTGAGGTAACGTCGTCGTGGCAATAAGACATGCCCAGAACACCGCAAGGACCTCCGCTGCGGTGAGCTTGCCAGCCGTGACTTGCATGGTGCCGAACCAGAATCCTTGAACAAAAATGGAGAGATTGAGAAACTGGCTGAATCCCAATATGCCCGCCCACCAGCTGGAGAGTCGCTTGCTGGCGGATAGTGCTGAATCTAGGGCGAAGACGGCACGGGAAGTCTCCAGGGTTTGGGCGTTGAAGCATTTGATGGTCACTATCGCCTTGATAGCACATTCTATGATGTTGGATACTTTTGAGCTTCGGGCGCGCTCCAGTTTTTGGAGGGGAATAGATACCATCTCGCCTATATGGAATAAGACGATGACCACTGGGACGGTGCTGAGGGTGACTGCGGCGAGTGAAGGTGCGCAGCGAAACGCCATGATCACCGCTATAATAATGGTCACGGAGTGTTGGATGCACAAGCCCATATTCATCCCTGTTGCCGCGCGTATATCCTCGGTGCAACTGAGACGGTAGATAAGTCAAGAACATGGTAAGTCAAGAGAACGCACGATGAGAAGATAGTCACGAGACTTCCAGCACCAATCGAGGGTTCATCTGGCTTGCTCTGACTCGACTTCGTCTCGAACCATGCCATCTCCCGTGATAGAAGAATATTATAGACACATTTGCGTAGGTACATTAGGTTCTTCTCCCCGAGCCAGGACCAAAGCGAACCCATTAGCCCGCTTAGGAGGAGCGCCACGCCACTCATGATACATAGCTTGACGGTAGCTTTTATAACACCACCCATCAAGCGGCTCGTATCACTTGGGCTCGGGACCGGGATTGCCTGGTAGGTTGCAAATACCCGGTAGAGGTCGCCAATGACGGTGGTCATGAGAGGAGGAATCGCCGCCGCTACAAGGGCGACAAGAGTTGCTGGGATGATCAAAAGCAGGAGCTCTCTTTTGGAGAAGGAGGGCGACAAGAGGAATATTGAGGATTCGAGACGATCGTCGGGTAGGGATCGAGATGCGTCTTGGTCACGGCTATTATTGACGATGCTTGACGCATTGCTCTCAGTTTTCGCAGTGCTGATACTCCGGCTGCGGATCGAGTTTTGGGACATGGGCCACTGGCGAGGCGTTATTTGCGTAATATCGTCTTCTGTACAGTTCAGATGTCAGCGAGTGGACGTTTAGAAATCTGGCAGGTCGTACGAAAGAGTGCCAGATGGACGTAGGCCTGAGTCTAGTTGGCAGCGTCGCCGTGGATGGATACGGAAAAGGCGAGGTCCAAGACTTCATCCTAATCAGGCTATTATATATTATCCTTGTTTGAGCTCGTTGCATTGGCACAGCGTAGGTCAATTGTGTTACCCCTTCCGCGTTTCAGAACCCTCCGTTGTCGTAGGTTAATCCACCATATATGAATTGGGAATTAGCAACGGTTAATTGTCTGTATGTCACACCACAGGTCTCGCATGTTGTTTTTGAGCCAATTGGGACCAGACGGATTGTAGGATGGCCGGTTCTGTGGCATCCCTGGAATTTGAACAGATGTAAAACATAGATTGCCATTGAATCGTCGCGCGGAGCTGGTCATTTCGGACCCCGTCCTCGTTTTCTGTCACCAGATTGGGGTCAGACCTTTGTGAAACAGGGTTCGTGGCATACCAACTCGAGAACAGTGCCCATTATATCAAGTTAGGGTATCTCCTTAAGTGATATAGGACAATTAGCACTGCCAGAGTTGAAATGGACCCCATCGTAGATGAAAATGATGACCCGCTAGACGGCCACTTGGGTGATAATACGACTATTTGTGTAAATGGCATTGAATAAGCGACTGAATCTCGACGCAGACACTGATGGAGTCGGAATTTGCGGTCGACGAGAAGGATAAGCTAGGCCTCGACCACCCAAGTCATCCAGTAAAGGGTGTTTTGTACTGAATTAATTTGCACTCCTTCAACGGCTGTAAGCTTTCCATTTACAGCTTACTTTCGGTCGCAGTCAGTCTTTGGACCTCGCCATGTCTGACCTGTTGTCACCACTTTTGCCATGTCTCGTCAGATACAGCTCAGAGTAAATCCTATTCGGTGGAATGTAGGCTCCAAATCCACAATCCAAGACGTCGCGGAAGCGTTGCGGTCCATGATAATACCAGGCGACGACCAACGTACACCGTCAAGCCACGACGGGCATATCTCGACTAGGTAGTCTGCGCTGACTTTCAGTCTAACACTCAAGCTGAAGGAGATGCGTCAACGTGCGCATCAATACTGCATAGCACTTAGATACGACGGTTGAGGAGACCGTCTCTCTGGTAGGGTATGCTGACAATACTTCCGTGATCACTGCTATTCTGATAACCGTTAAGAGCGTTCACTCATCAGTATAGTCAGATTTGGTTTACTATCACCCACCTCGATGGTGCCAAACGACGGCCGCGGGATTATTGCCGGGAACTTTATACACTGCAGCCTTGGTGATGCGAGCATGCGGAATCAAGGTTAGACGTCTGAGATAGTAGATCTCGACAGCTGACTACCCGCGCTCACTGGGTATTAGGCGGTGATAATGACGTTCGGAGCCTCAAATGCCATTCTGGAGCAATTAGATTTTATTCTCCCTTGTAACGATGGACATGCGATGCTTGAATAGCAGTGCCAGTCTCCCTCATGTTTGACGCCTGGCCATTCAACGAGGAAGTGCTTTCTTAGACCTGATCCATTCGACTCCAGACGATGAAACGCCTTTTTTCCAACCTGAAAGATCGTATGGACCCATCTCAAGCGTAATCCCGAACGACTATCAACAGTGGCACATAGTACTCACCCGAAATGCAGCGGGCGGTCCACTTTAAGATCGAAAAAGGAGGAAGATGACTTCGGATTTCTGGAACTTGCTCCTGGGGAAAACCCAATAGTCGAGTGAGTCGCCTCCTCCTACACGTGCTGATTGTTGATCCCATTCCGGCAGTATCGTTGCGATTCATGGCTTGGATGGCCACCGAATGAAAACATGGACAGCCGAGAATGGTACATTATGGCTCCAGGATCTCTTGCCCGGAGAGTTGCCAAACGTCCGGGTTCTGACTTACGGCTACGACGCGAACACTCGGAGTAGAAAGGGTGTTTCGACGGAAACAATATATCTACATGGAGTGGCGCTTCTCAGAGACTTATCAGCAGTAAGAGAGGACGCCTCGCGAGTGAGTACGGACGCGTCTTGCTTAGCCGCCTAACTGCTTCCCAGCGACCAATCATTTTCGTAGCCCACAGTCTAGGCGGTATCATTCTCAAGCAGGCTCGTAGTTCTCTAAGTCCAATTTAATCGATTGACGAGTCAAAAGGCTATCAACATCTGCCACACGCAGCCTTTCGATTCAAAGGAATCCTTTCGCGATATATTGGTGTCTACTCACGCAGTAATGTTCCTCGGAACGCCACATTCGGGTACCAATGGCGTCGAATTGGTCAAACTCATGAACAGTGTCATGTCCATATTCCTAGAGACAAGCGAAACTGTCCTCAAGCACCTCAAGAGAAATTCAGAAGAGCTATATAATATTCAGGAGAGTTACATTTCTGCGAGCAGAAAGATCGATGCCATGTTCTTTTATGAAGCCTACAAGACTCCTATTATAGGGGGGGTGAAGCAGCTCGTGAGTGTCTAAGCTCTGCCTAAACTCTTGTTTGAGTTACTCGTTAGATTGTACCGCGTCATTCAGCTACGGCACCTGGAGCGGCGGCGGAAGTACTGCATGCTGATCATTGCCAAATGGTCAAATTCATCGGAAAGGACAACGGAAACTTTAAGAAAGTTGTTTCTTACATGAGGAAGAGGGTTGAAGATGCCAGTAAGGCGGTGGCGGCGAAATGGGTGCTCGAGGACAATCATCGAGGTCCGTAGAAGTCAGAAACAGGTTTCTTTCACTTATCGAGGCCTGATAGGTGTTGAGCGGAGAGGTATCTCAGCGTCACCTAGCACCGTTCTATTCACGCTGCCACCAATCTCACGAAATTACATCGAGCGGCCTGGAATTCACGCAATGATGTCGCAGAAATTGCTTCCGGCTGACAAGAAGCAACATCAACCACGCTGTATCTTGCACGGAATGGGGGGCGCTGGGAAAACCCAACTTGCCGCCAATTGGATAAGAACGAATGTGAACCGGTGAGCAGTACGACTGCTGTTTGATATTAACTGATGAATATAAAGCTTTACACGGGTGATCATTGTCGACGGCTCCGATCAGGCACAACTGGAAGCCGACCTTGAGCGATCGATCCGCTCGGTAGGCCCAGAGTACAGCAAAATGACGTGGAAGGATGCAGTCTCCTATCTCGACGGCAAAGAGAGAGGATGGCTTCTTTTTATTGATAACGCCGACTCGCCAATCCTGAATCTCAACCCCTACCTACCGAGCTCTCCGCATGGAGCGGTTCCTAATCACCACGAGGAATAAGGAATGCACCGAATACGATCCAGATGGGGCGATACACGTTGATGGCCTAGAGGAGAACGAAGCCGTGAATCTCCTCCACAAGGTCGCCAACATCTCACCCACATCGACTAACAAGTCTCTAGAGATCGTCAAAGAGCTAGGGATGTTAGCGCTCGCGATTACTCAGGCTGGAGCGTACCTACTCAGAACGCACCGTCCTCTTGATACGTATCTGGAAACATTTCGCGAGCATCGAGGTCGAATCTTGCGCGAAATATCGTTCAGAGGCACGAACTACCCTTTTACGACATACGCGGCGTTCGACATGTCCTTTGACGAGCTACCGAGAACGACGCAGGAGTTTATGAAGATTTGTGCATTTTTAAATCACTCTCTCATTCCAGTGGCCCTGTTTAAGCGGTCAATCATAGCAGGCTTTGCAGCGCATACGGTTCTAGAAGCGTTCCCTCCTCCACAGAGTGACCAAGCCACCATAAATCGACTCAAAGAGATTCTAGGGACGTCCTGGGATGAATTCTCGTTCCAGTGTATGATCGACGCCGCTACACAAGCGTCGCTCATCAACGTATCTGTCGGCAACTCAGGGGACTTATTCTACAACGTGCATCCTCTACTTCAGACATATATCAAAGATGGCCCCGCCAAGGATAGGGACGAGCAATACATGTCTATGACAGCCCAGCTTCTACTTGGTGCAATCCGACCAGTGGAGGGTACTAATGCCCCACACCGGGAGTTGCTGTCGCACATCAACCGTATTCCATTATCTGTTCAGTCTACGAATATTCCTCATGCATTGGCATTCAACGAGGCTTACGTGTCTGTTGGGGATTGGGGAGTGTCTCAGACACTGCTGGAAACTGCTCTCCGCCAGATTCATTGTCTTTCTGGCCAAACAAACGACGAATCAATGAGGGTGACAGCGCGATTGGCATTCACCATGTTTAGGTGCGGCCACGTTGACAAGGCTGAACAGGCGCAGCGGGAGGTGCTGAATATTCGATTGGAACGGCTTGGAAAACAACACTTTGATACTATCAACGCGATGAGGGACCTTGCTGTCACACTGGATAGTCGCGGCCAGTTTGATGAGGCAGCAACAATGAGGCGGGAGGTGCTCGATTTCCGCCTCAAACTTCTTGGACAACAACATACTGACACCATCATTGCGATGAGTGACCTTGCTGTCACACTGCGCCACTGTGGTCAGCTCGAACAGGCAGAGATGGCGGAGCGAGAAGTTCTGAAGCTTAGCTTAGCCATCTTGGGAAGAAAGCATCAGAGCACAATTATGGCAATGAACAACCTGGCTCTCACATTAACCCAACGTGGTATGGTTGATGAGGCGGAACCAATGAGGCGGGAGGCGTTAGACCTTTGCCTTGACGTCTTTGGAAGCCGTCATCCATTCACAATCAGTACAATGGGAAATTTTGCCCACACGCTGCGCCAACGTGGTAAACTTGACGAGGCAGAACAGATGGACCAAAAGGTATTGAACCTTCGCCTCAACATACTTGGATCGCGCCATCCTGGAACTATTGCAGCAATGAAAAATCTTGCGCTTACACTGCGCTACCGTGGCCAGTTGGACGAGGCAGAGAAGCTCGAGCGAGAAGTGCTTGCACTCCGCATTGACATCCTTGGACGACACCACCCTGCTACAATCAAAGCAATGTCCAATCTTACCATCACGCTACGTGAACAGGGAAAGCATGAGGAAGTACAGAGAATGAAGCAAGAAACGCGTGTGGGCCCTATCAATTCGACTTGATTAGTAGTCCTATATTGTCCACCGTATCTTGATCACTATGCAAACTTGTAGATATATATCTGCATTTGTACGCTTAAATTACAACAAACCTATTAATCGAGCCAAGTCTTTTGTGATTGACGGCCCAGGGTACACTTTGTATCGAGACGCCCAGATTCTTCCACCCTCTTTTTGCAAGAATTTCTGAAGGATAGACGAAAATATGGTCATGGAATGACCAGCGAACCTCGACCGAATTACTCTGCGATGATTAGATGTCGTTGTACCGCTTAGATTCCAATTACTCGATATTATTCTCTCAACTGGATTGATTGGTTTGTATGATTCTTGTAAATAGATAGTCGAACTAGACTTTCGTTCAGGGCCGCTTTGTGGTGGCAGTCAAACTTTGAACCTCACCCCGTTAGACCTGTCGCCTAATCTGTCACAAGTCTCTCTAATTTCAGCGTATATCTCCTCGATTCATAGTCTATATCATATTATATTTGATTGAATGCAGCCTCAACAGGCGGACGAATCCATTCCCATGGAGCAACCCGTCGCAGGATCCTCGCGCTCGATAATAACAGGTGACGAAGAACACGAACAGGATATAATCATCATTCAAGATCAATCAGCACCAAAAGCACACGAGGACGATCAGCAGAGCTTACCTCCAGCGTACAGCGATGCCACGGCGAGCAAACCTCGCAAAGCGCGCCAACGAACGCATCAATATCCACCTTCACGTTCACGAACGACATTATCGGAGATGAGACGCTCGAGGAGCTCATTTCGGCACGCATTGTTCCTCCTTATGGAGCGTCCGACGTCGTCGAGTAGCGCGTTTACACTTCATTTGACGACCAATGCCATCATCGTCCTTAGGTAACCTACATCCTCAGTACATGTGACGATGCTGATGCTCTTTGCTGAATATAGTGCCATTCTGACAATCCTCGAAACGCTGCCCTTCTTCCACGCCGTCAACAGCTCGATTTGGTTTGGTCTGGAGACAGTCATCGTTGCTCTATTCACTGTCGAATATGTCGCACGAAGCTTTGCGTGGGGTTTCGGCGAGGGAAACGGCGGATGGAAGCGATGGTCCAAATGGGTGACATGTACGTGGCCCTCTGGAACCAGCTCATTGTCACCGATTCGAAAGCTAACAAGAATCATCTAGCATTCTTTGCTCTGGTGGACTTGTTCGCCATCTTGCCATATTATATCGAGCTGCTTCTTCAAGCAGACACTACGGCATTCTTCCGATTCTCTATTCTTCGAGTTTTCCGTCTATTTAGAGTGTTCCGGCCTTTCCGTTACTCTTCGACTATCCTACTGACTATCGAGGTGAGAACTATCCCTCTCGATATGGCATTTGACTAACTCGTAATAGGTCATGATCCTTGCAACGAAAAGGAGCCAACATGCACTTCTCGCACTTGCGTTCTTCGTCACGATGACGCTCGTAGTATTCTCAACCTTGCTGTACTTTATTGAACGAGGGACATGGGACGACTCGCTCGAGGCATTCGTCGATGCAGAGGGCGTTAAAACACAATTCGATAGCATCCCAATGGCTGCTTGGTTTGTTCTCGTCAGTCAGTGAATTCCATCGTCCGGTGATGGCAAATACTCATAAGTGCATAGCGATCACAACTGTGGGCTACGGTCAGACTGTACCAAGAACATTCTTTGGCCGCTTAATCACGGTACCTCTTCTCCTCTTTGGATTACTCCTCGTCGCTCTTCCTAGTTTCGTGCTCGGAAGAGAGTTTGCCGTTGTATGGGAGGAGATGAGCGCCGGGTCAGTGATTCTTCACTACTTCGAGTACCAAATGCTGACCAAGTCTCAGTGTGCTTGATGCTTCGGTACTCGCTATTGGCCGCGAGCCCGATAGTCCCCTCACGCCCTACACCGGTCGCGGTGCTGAATCGTACGACGTCGAATCATTTCACGACAAGCCAGAAGAACAGCATGAGGATGAAACAGATCCAACGACACCTCTGACGGGTCGTCGAAGGAGAGATAAAGGCAAAGGGCGCGCAACTGACATGCTCTTTGACGCTGGGGGTGTTGAGAGCGATATTCAGCATCACGATTCCGAGGAAAGGCAACGCGAACACGATGAAGAACGAGCCGTACCGCGACCTAAGCCCGCTGGGGTTGCCGCACTCCAAAAACGGCGCCATCGCGTCGACTCGGATGCAACAAATCGTACAAATGTCTTCATGGGCCTATCTCATCGTCGCAATGGGTCGCAAGTCAACTTGTCTTCGCCGAGTGCAGGAGGAATCTCGTCGGCGATCGACGCGCATACGCAAGTATTGTCGGGAATCGTGAAGGAGTTGAAGGCGGAGAGAGACGCAGTTAGAGGTGAGCGGGATGCGTTGAGGGCCGAGCGTGAGGCGTTGCGATTGGAGAGAGAGGCGCTTGGGAGGAGCGTGCGGATTTGGCGGCTGCTAAGGAGCGTTTGCGTGCGAGATTTGGAAATTTGGAGCAGCAGATGCAACAGATGAGATGACCTGGACCTCGGTATGGTATAACTCCTTATTTGTTGGGAATCCGGGTTGGATACATAGTATTATCGGATTATCGTATACAGAATTCGTTGAATTGCAGACTCTTCTTCTTTAGGCTACTCTCCACTATTAATGCCGAGGTCGCCCCTGCACTTCGGCAATGGAATAAAGCGTGTGAATCTGATCAAATGATATCTTTTAGATCCTGGCATGTTTGTCCCCAAAGGTCGGCGTGTTCTGCCTTTCCACCACGATAGCCTCTCGAATCTTGATGGTGTCTATGCTCACAACCTATGTCCAGGAAGCTGCAAGATGGATCATTTCGCACCCCATTATAACCGCATTCGCGGCTATTATGGTGACGCCGACTTTTCAGCTCGTCTATCTCATCGTCCAACCACGTATTTCAGCACTGAACGTACTTCGTGGACCACCAGGAGGGAACGGTATTCTTGGACATTTTGGTAAAGGCCGTCTTGGACCTATAGGTGAATGGCACGCAGAACTGTTTAAACAGTACGGCCACGTCTTTCGTTTTCGCGGATTATTTGGGGTAAATCCAACTCCTTTCGTTCATCTTTGGAGACTGAAGGCTTGCTTACCAGCGCATAACCCTTGTCACCTCGGACCCAGTCGCTCTACATCGGATACTAAACGAGACTTCCGTATATCAGAAATCGCCTTTCGTGAAGTACATCCTCGGAAGCGTATTGGGAAACGGTAAGTTCTTAAATCTTCCTGTGTTTCTATTAACTTGGAGCTAGGTCTTCTCTTTGCCGAAGGTATGGCCACATAAACACTTTGAATCTACGACTGAGCTTGAGTAGGGGCCGAACATAAGAAACAGGTGAGATTACATGAAGCCACCTGAAAACTGCTACTGACAAGGAACGCCAGCGTCGCATCATGGTGATTCGCCTCCAATATCTTGGATGATCCATCTGATCGTTTCCAGAATCCGTCATTTAGCGGAGGGCATCTCAAGGAGATGACGGGTATCTTTGTCTCCAAGGCTCTCGAGGTGGGAACCCAAAGCACCATCTCGACAAGGCTCATGCTCTCAATAGCTTCGAGACGTTCTCTCGGTCGCAATCGACGCGAGCGAGTCTCGACAAGAGGCACAGGTGGATATGCTCGACTATGTCTCACGAACAGCGTTGGACATTATCGGTCTCGCGGGCTTTGACTACGCTTTCAACTCTCTGTCAGACGGAACCAATGAACTTGCGCTCGCTATCAAAAAAGTCGCAGAATCTCCGGGCGGTATCCCGATATTCCCAATGCTCAAGGCTAGGTTTCCAATCCTGCGACCCTTTCTCAATTTCGACGCGACCTCGAAACGTCTGAACAATGCCAGTAGACGACTTCAGGAAGTCGGCAAGGTACTCATTGTTGAGAAGAAGAGGCAAATCTTAGCCGAAAAGGGGCAACCCTCGACATCAGGAGTGTCCAAGGACCTACTCAGTCTGATGATCCGGTCAAACATCGAGGGTGGAGAGGGTAAAGGATTGACGGACGATGAGATTCTGAACCAAATCCCGACGTTTCTTTTGGCTGGTACGTCCACATCGACCCCCATTCGTTCTAACGAGGCCACTTTAGGTCACGAAACAACGTCTACATCCATCGTTTGGACACTCTTCTCACTAGCGAGCAATCCAGAAATACAATACCGGCTTCGAAAAGAGCTTCTATCAGTGCCCACGGACACTCCCTCGATGGAACAGCTCAATTCGCTCGCTTACTTGGACGCCGTCGTACGAGAGGCACTCCGATACTACTCCGTAGCGAACGCACCTGTACGCGTCGCTAAACAAGACGACATAATTCCCGTCAGCAAGCCGTACACCGACCGTTATGGTGTTGAGAGGAATACCATCAAGTGAGCCATTCAGAAGCTGCCTAGCCCAATACTAAGCTATGCATAGAATATCTAAAGGAGATGCCATTGTCATCCCAATTGCCGTGCTCAACAACTCTGAAGCAATCTGGGGCCCAGATGCGAATACATTCAAGTGCGGGGTTGGCTTATTCTGTGATTAATATGTAGCTGAATATACCCATAGCCCGGATAGATGGAGCTCTATTCCCGAAGCCTCCTATGCTCTACCTGGAATCTGGGGAAATCAACTAACGTTCCTCGGCGGGCCTCATTCGTGTATTGGCTTCAAGTTTGCAATCATGGAGTAATATCTCTGGCTCGACGGTTACCATCTTGCTGACAATCTACAGGAAGAAGATCGTGCTCTTCACACTACTAAGAAACTTTGTATTTGAGTTGGCAGTACCGAAGGAGGAGGTCGTACGGAGACCAGGGTGCGCTATATGAGCCATTGTGGATGACATTCTGACTACGAGATAGGATGATAACGAGGCCATCTATCAAGTCCCGAATAAATGAAGGGAACCAGCTACCCATGATTATCAAGTATGTAAAATCATAAATATCATAAAGGAAATTTCTCTACAAACCAGCGCAACTGCACCTCAGGCCTCGATGTTGGCGAGCGGCGCAAACGTGTTAAGCGTTCAGTCTTGACGTCTGCAGGGTCGCATCGGCAATATGGCTATTTTCAAATCGAGGACTAGAAGGATATGACAGCAGCGAATAAAAATTGACTAACTCAGCCGTCCTCCGGCCTTGCTGCAGCCCCGCGTTTCATTCTTTATTCGACGCGTCAACGAGGCCCCAACAAACGCGCTCTTGGACCCGTCCACGACAGCCCACAAATCTTTTGTAACCTCTGTGATCCAGTAAGTCTGCTCATGACGCGCCTTGCCGCGTCGACACGTCTCCTGTAGTCCTCACATCGTGCAGAACTCGACTGGTGCTGTCATGAAGCTGCTGTATAGTATCCTTGGGGCCGTAAGCCTCAGTTCCGTCGCGTCTGCTGCTGCTTTTGCTGGCATGGAGGGCGTACCATTGCTGGAGCAGGTCGGCGCCGCTGCGGCGCCGGTGTATATCAATGCTCTCGGAGAGGTTGTCATTCCACAAAAGTTCCATTGGGGTAGCTACGCCGTCAAAGAGCTCGATTCAGCCAAGCCCCGCAAGTGCGCGCACCATCAAGATTTTGGGCGTCTCGGAAAACGTCAGGTACGCCTCTGAGCCCAACCTTTTTCGTGCTTTCTGAAGTCAACTGACGCCCATCTGTAGAGTTGTCAATACGGTTACGAGCCTGTGTGCCCCTCGAACTATCAAAATCCTTGTTGTCCAACCAACTCCCCGACCTGTAAGGGATATCCTGATCATCATGACATGCTTATTGAACATTCTTTGTAGGCTGTAGCCAAGAGTCGACAGTTTGCTGCGGCGCCGACCAATTCTGCCAGGGGACGACGACTTGCTGCAACAACGGTCAGACCGGGTGCGGAGAAGGTGCGCGAATCTCCACGTTACATCTCTATTCTCTCAAATAACATTTTCTTTAGCATGCTGCGACGCTGGTACGACCTGCTGTGGGACGAAATGCTGCGGCTATGGCTATACTTGCTCCAATGGATCATGCATTGTTCCGGTATGCTGCGTTAGTTAACTCCTACGGCGTATCTGACACCGTCCACAGCCGGGTTCGACGACCTCTCCGTCCGTGTCTCCCACTGTGCCTGTCATTTCCACACCTGCCGAGACGCGATCCTCAACTGGCACTGGAGGAGGTACAACCACATCTACGTCTACGTAAGTTTGGAAACTGTCCGAGCTCTCACAATGTCTAAGTGTCTCGCTAGTGGCACAGGTAGTACGACCAGCACTACCACCACGTCTTCTAGTACCACGACTACTTCCAATGGTGGAGGCAACGATCAACCACCCAAGGGTCCCTCTCCTCAAGTGATTGGTGGTGCAGTCGGTGGTTCGATCGCCGGTCTGATTCTGCTATGCGGAATCGCAGCATTCTGCTGGCGTCGTAACCGTGCAACCCCACCTCCGACAGACAAGCCGACCGAGTATAAACCCCCGACGACCGAGAAGCCGCATGAAGGCTACGAACCTACGGCACCCCCTGAGAATCAAACTCCAATGAACTACGAACGCAGCGCTGGTGGTGCACCCCCGGTCTCTGGACATGGTGCCAACTATGAGTAGGCAAAGTACAATTCTCACAAAGGCTAGCCAGTCTACTGCTTAATCAAGACTCTTGAGACGGTGTTATGACCGCGAAATGTTGTCTAGAACTAATGTAATTACGATTTGTGAATCATTGACAAGTTTATATCGTGTACTTTGCAAGCTGCGCTGACAGTCGAACTCTGGGGGGATTTCCGCCGTAGAGATGAGCAAGTATGTCAGTACAGTGAGATGAGCACGTAGAAAGTACGAATATACGTTGAGGTGAAGTTGGTTGTTGACGACGTTTGAGACCGCCGCTTGAGACTCCAGAGTTTAGAACACTTGTGTCATATATCTCCTCTACATAGTAAAAAGGACAATGAAAGGCAGTTACTCCACCCATCAAGCGTGGCAGGGCTTATTTCTAGGGGGCCAACGTTCAATCTTCCTCTGGCCATCAGAGTTACCTGGAATTGCCGTTGAAAATCTCAGCACTTGTACAGGTAGTTTTCTATACCAAGGAGAGACAAGGGAAAAAAAAGGACGCGCCCCGTAGGAATTGAACCTCGGGCCAGCAAAAGGTATAGCTGGGAAACAGAAAGCTTGCCATCATACCTCATGGAGCACTGCTCCAGACGGTTTGCAACCAAATTGATCATGTATTGTCTCGCTGCCGACCAGTATATACACACCCACTGTAGTCTCTATACGAATTATATCCTACTATTTATCGGCCTTTGCGCAAGCAGTGTTGGAACAGACAGGATGTGGGTCAAATAGCCAGTAATTCGTCAACTTGTGGACCAGAATATGATGAGCAGTTACTCTTTATGGTCATTCTGGGACTGTAACGAACACCGCTGGCGAGTGGCGGACGTACCAAGCATCCATACACCAGGCCAACCGGTATAAAAGGGGTGCGCAGCTGCCATCTTGCGAGAGGACCGAGTTGACATCTTGGTTATTTCCCTTGAATCCTTAGATTGTTGCGAGATTGCCGCTCCGCCTCCATCCAGTTTCTAAACTGCAGTTAGCTGTTTCATTGCTTCCAATATCGTCGAGGTATCATCATCCAGTCCAACCAAAGACAGCGAGGGAAATTGTCAGAAAGGCCAGGAAGAGGCGAAGCTTGGTTTCCACCATCACCAACCAGGCCTCGGAAATCTAACGGCGTTGATATTGTTGAATCAAACTTACACCAAAGGCAGTTGGAAAATCCAGAAATCGAAGTCTTCCTATTGCCAAGCCCGTTTCCTGATATGGATTAGAGCCGTTTGACGACAAAGTCGGCACACGGCAGCGGAGAATCTCGGCGGAATCTATACGGAACTGTTTACCAATAATTATCGCACCCTGCCAGCGTGGGTTCGCTTTCAGGGCACACTCACGCTTTCCGGTCAGAGAGATCCCAGGGTGCAATTACAGAATAATCTTCATAGCTCTTACTGCTCCTTTGCTTATCTCTGTGCATACAAATAACGGCGCCGGTTGGCTCTCAACACTCATCTACAAACTCCCCCCTCGACGTCCAACTCGTCGCTTCATACAGTCTGCGATGATAAAGCCGTGGCTCACACATCTCTCCATACTCTCCTTTATAGTCGGCGCAGTAGCCAAAGGAGGCGGCTCTATTGACGACGTACGTGCACTCACTCCCAAACTCCATGGAGACAACGCTCAAATGGTATCAGGGCTGGCATGTACCAGGGGCAGTCAAAGCCGTAATGGCTTTCCAGATCATCTGTGAGTCCGAATCAAACCAAACATCCATCTATGCTAATGGCCAATCAGGGTCTGTCATCATTTTCGGCCTGTTCGTGGTCATTCTTCGACGACTCTGCTTCGTCCCGCCTGGCCGCTACACACGCGCTCCCTACATTCTCCTTTCCATCGTCGCAGGTACATTGTCTCTTTCGTACCTTCTTTCCGCAATCCTGCGACGAATCTCGAGGGCCGAGAGCAACGTCTCGTTGACACTCCTTCACAACTTGGGATTGATCGTAAACTTTTTGTGGAACATCGCCTTCGCGTTCGAGCCAGCGGTCTGTCTGTGGCTCATCCACCTTCGAGGCAAATTGACGACCACGACTGAGGGCAAGTCTGTCAACCCGTGGGTGTCGCAGCTTTGGAAACGCATCGTCGACTGGTTACTCGTGGCTCTCACCTTTATCATCAGCATCGTGTTGATTGCAATCTTGTCCATTCTGTGGACACAGTTGGATCAAGGACGTCGGAATTCAGGACAAACAATGGACCTCCATCACGTCCTCGGCATTACTACAACCGCATTGGGCCCGGTCCTGACAGTCGACATTATCCTTTCTTTCATTTGCCTCAAGGTGTCCCAGAGGAGAGTGCAGTTTGCCGATCCTGTAGGTCAATATTTACAAAAGGAAATGGGTTTTACTAACGGACGACTGTTAGGTGACCACACGACTTGTCGTAGTCGTCTTGCCCTTTGTGACCATCGGCCTTATCGAATTCTTGGTGAACACAATCTTACCATACACGTATGCGCTTCGCAAAGAGGCCGACTTCAACCTATTCAACCTCCTCATTGCCATCATCGATGGTGTTTGCAGAGTGGGGATCATTGGCGGCCTTTTGTCCACAATGACGATTCCAAATGCATTCTGTGTGCCGGGTACCACTGCCTCTGCTCTCGCTCTGCCTGTTGGCGAGGACGCTGGATACATGTTGCACAAGTCGTAGCTGGGCCTCTATCCTCAGATAGAGTCTGTAATACCTCTTTATATCTACTCTCTGGGCAAATATATATGTTTTACATATCATCAGCTCTCCAGACACTCCAACATCCGCCGACCAGTCATTCGGGCCTTGACATATCTACCATACTGCATCTGGGTTTCAAAATTTGGTCACTTAGAAACCCATTTGTACCATATCCACGTTGTTGATAATGCGAAAAGTTATGTTTATCAAATGTAGAGTACATGTCGGCATCTGTCCAGAAGAAACCTATGTGAGACGATGTCTATCACTCTTTCCACGAGTTCAACTTGTGCAAATGGTGCACGACTCCGCTTTCTCCTGAGTGAAGGTAACTATTAGCATTTTTCTTATTCGTCAGTGGCACGGGACATTGTCAGAAGAATGAGGAAGAGGCGGCATCAGGCTTGGCTCTCACCATCACCGAACTGGCCTCGGAAATCCAACGGGATTGATATTATCGGATAGAATCACCCCTTGACAGGGTTCGTAAGTGCAGAAGATGGAATTCTGGCTCTGCGATTTCAACTAGTTGGCTGCATAAAAGACTGCGGGATCATACACCAGCAACAATCCATTTTTTTTCTTTATCTCGCACTATTGGTTATAAGAATATTTGCGTGACAGGATGATGTCGCTTCAGCATCACTCTAGAGGAACCCCAAACACTTTTGGAGAGTTATCCGCTTCAGGGTCAGCAGTGGCAGGCATTTCCACCCGAAAAGTTTCCCCGCATGTCATTTCCAAGACTCTATCACACCGTTCTTGTCAACTGACGTGACCGTCGCCGTTGCCTGATGGTCAGTTGTCGACTACGCTGCGGCACCGGACCAATTCAGCGGCATTTATTTAAAATTGTATGAATAACTCTCGGCTTCTGTTTCTGGTGTCATCAAAGTCCGCTTTCCAGGGACCTTGTCAATATCCCGTCTTCCCTACTCCCTCAAGCACACATTTCACACTCCTCAATCAAGGAAAATCAGTCGCCAATGCCGTTACATAAGAGTTTTCACCTCTTGGCATGTCCTTCACCATACATATAGTGGGGTCTTCTGCCTCTGGAACACTTGTAAGTCCTTCTACGGCGTCCAACTTGTCACTTCATGCAGTCCATAATAACCAGGCCGCGGCTCACGCTCCTCTCTATGTTCTCCTTTGTCGCAGGCTCAATGGCGAAAGGGCGAGGTGGTGGAGGGGGAGGAGCGAGTGGTTCTATCGACGACGTGCGTGAATAAACTTGCGAATCTCGCTCACAGAGATCTAAACCATCATCAGGGTTGGGATGTACCAGGAACTGTCAAGGCGGCAATGGCTTTCCGAATCATCTGTGAGTCTGAATCGAGTCTATGTACAAATAATGCTGATGCTGAATAGGGTCTGTTGTCATTTTTGGCCTATTCTTGACTATTCTTCGACGTCTACGCTCCGTCCCACCTGGCCGCTATACCCGCGCTCCGTACATTCTCCTCTCCATCGTTGCAGGCACATTATCCATCTCATATCTTCTCTCCGCAATCTTGTTCAGAATGTCGACGGGCGAGAGTAACGCCCCATTCCCGGTCATACGCCGGTTGGGTTCGTTCAACAGCTTCTTGTCGAACGTGGACATTGCCTTCGAACCAGCAGTCTCCCTCTGGCTCGTTCATCTTCGTGGAAGGCTGACGAATACGGCTGAGGCCAAATCTGTCAACCCGTGGGTATCGCAGCATTGGAAGCGTATCGTCGACTGGTCGCTTGTGGCTATCACCTTCACTATCGGTATATCCACGATAGCGATATCCGAAAATGCATGGGCACTGTATGAAGCGCATCGCCTGGATTCAAATCAACTTATTGACCGTCTTCTCGTCAATCGCAACCTCAATCTTACCGTCATCGCGCTTGGATTGTTCCTGGCAATTGATATCGCCATTTCTTTCATTTCTCTCAAGATCTCACAGAAGAGGGTACACTTTATTGACCCAGTAAGTCGCCGTTTATAGAACGTACATGGATGACTGAAGGACATCCTACATTAGTTAACTACAAGACTTCTTAGAGTCGTCTTGCCCTTTGTGGTCATCGGTTTTATCCAATCGCTGGTGATCACAATATTACCAAATGTGCACACGCTCTATGAAACCGAGTTCAACGTCTTCAATCTCGTTATCACCATCATCGACGGCATTTGCAGAATAGGAATTATTGGCGGCCTCCTGTCCACGATGGTGATTCCAAACGTGCTCTGGATTCCGGGTGCTACGACATCTGCTGTTCCTCTGCCTGTTAGCGGGGACACCGGATACATGTCGTACAAGTCTTAGTGGTCGATCTACTCTCAGATAACGACATCATAATGGCAAAATCTGCCTCAGTACATAATAATTCAGGGTAACACATCTGCCTTGATTGCTATCAGCCCGAACACGCCAGCCACCAGGCAAGCACATAGTGTCCAATGGCGGCTGTCCTAAATTGTATGGGTTTTCAAAGATGGACACTTAGGAACCCGCTAATCATATCCATGTTATTTATAATGCGAAGAAGCATATTTGTCAATTTCCACAGTCGCGTGAAGTGCAGTTAGCCTCTTCCAGTTGGTGTACCGCCCCAAAGCCCGGCCATATAAGAACATTGGCGTTGATATTGTCCGATCAAATGCCGCGAGAGGTATTGTCGGCAACCTTGACGTCGACCGCCACCAACATTGGTGTTCAGCGTGGGCCATGTTCGACTTGAAATCGCTTCATTCAAAGGGATAAGCCATACAGGAGACAATTATGGACATACCCAATCCGATTACATCCTGGATTAGGGCATACGCTGGACACAATCCCCTCCTTGCTCTCGTGTTACATGCGATTAAGACGCTTGTGGTACAAGATATGAATTACCGGTTACTAAGCCATCCATCTCACATAAGTTCGAGGAGTATTCCTATTCACGTGCAGGATCAAGTGCGGCAGGCATCTTACCCCAATGTCTTTCCTCCTCAAACAGTGGACCCGACATCACCCGTGCCATCGCATCCTTGTCAGTTGGCTCATTGGTATCTTCGTTGCCTGATGCTGAATAGAAGGCGGCCCGTATAGTTTGAGCGGAATTTCTCCAAAGCCGCATGAAAACACTTATTCATAACTATCGGCCCTAGTGGTTGGTATATCCGCTTCCCAGGCACCCGGTCGGAACCCGAAGTTGCCCACAATTGGAGCACTCCCGTCCGCACAGATAATGGAGCCTTGCGCGTCTTGGACCCGTCCACAGCTCCCTCTCAGGCGCCAAACTCGTTGCTTTACGTAGTCTACGATGATAAAGCTGAGGATCACACTCCTTTCCATACTGCCCTTTGTAGGCGGTGTGATGGCCAAACAAGGTGGCGGAGTGCGTGAACTCGCAGTTAGATTCCATTAGGAGAATGCTGATTCTTTCACCAGAGCTGGGATGCACCAGCAGCGGTCAAGGCCATGATGGTATTCGAAATCATCTGTGAGTCCGAATCGCGTCTGTTGGATCACTATGGTGACGCGCGATAGGGTCTGTCATATTGTTCGGTCTGTTTGTGACCATTGTTCGATGCCTCCGCCTCGTCCCCCCTGGTTGCTACACGCGCGCTCCCTACATTCTCCTCTCCATCGTAGCAGGCGCGGCATCGATCTCGTACCTTCTCTCGGGGATCTTGCTCAGGATCCCCAGGAGTGGAAGTGGACTGTCATTCAGGGTTGCCTACGGACTGAACACATTCGCCGCGAGCTTGTCGTACATCGACTTTGCGTTCGAACCAGCAGTCTGCCTGTGGCTCATCCACCTGCGGGGCAGATTGACGAACACGACTGAAGGCAAAACATTCGATCCATGGGTGTCTCAATCCTGGAAGCGGTTTGTCGACTGGTCGCTCGTGGCTGTCACCTTTATCCTCTCCATTTCGATGACGGCGATCATGACCAATGCATGGATCAAGTATGCGGTAAAGCATCTGGATTTCGATCAATTTTCCCACTACTTGTTGGTCAATCGTGGTCTCAATTTTGCTGTCGTCGCATTCGGCTCGCTGATGTCGATCGACGTGATCATTTCTTTGGTTGCTCTCAAAGTCACGCAGAGAAGGGTATACTTCATCGATCCTGTATGTTGGTACAGATAACACACAAACCGCGTTTACTAACGTAAACCTGCTCAGCTCACCACCAGGCTGGTTGTCGCCGTCTTACCCTTTGTTATTTTCAAATTCATCGAGTCGTTGGCGATCACAGTGTACCCAGAGAGTTCCGCGATGCGATACACCGACTACTATGTCCTCAACCTCGTTTCTATCATCCTCGGTGGAGTGTGTAGCATGGGGATCATTGGCGGTTTGGCGTCTACCATGACGATTCCAAGCGTGCTTTGGGCTCCGGGAGCTACTGCATCTACCCTTGCGCTCCCTGTCGGTGAAGGCCCTGGGTATGTGCGCCAGTAGTCGTGGCAGTCCTTGCCTGCTCGGTCACCGACGACACGGTGGCAAGAATTGCCTTCGTACATCAAGAAAGTATTTGTATCTAGGTCGCTTTCACCCTTTACAGAATACGCCACCCACCACCCACCGATCCTATATCCCTTGAAATGGTTGACCACAAGTTAGCATTTCAAGTACGGACACTTCAACGCTCGTTCCATTTTCTTCCATTTATATGACATGCAAAAAGACGTGTTTGTCGAATTCAGATAGCACTTTAGGTTCCTGAAACTACGATATGAATTAAGAGCGAATCTGGGAGGCTATAACAATGAGCAAGCACGGGTGTAGAATGTAGGTCTATGCAATAATCTGCGAGTCAAAATGGGACTTTGGGGCTTGACGGTAGTACATTGTCCGACCGGCGGTTTAGCGGGCTATGCTCTACTTGAATGATATCTTGCAAAGGAAGTTCATTGTAGGATTGGAGTTGATGAACAATATCTACTGCTGCTGAGTACATCCCATGCGAGTCGAGGCTGCCCTCAGCTCCGGTCGGAGCTTTCACATACTCGTAAATAAAATTGTCAAGACTCCAGTGCCTGTGCATGCATTTTCGGTGCCAAGGCGAATAGAAAAAAAAAGAGATGCGCTTGATGGGAATCGAACCTCGGGCGCAGCAAAAGGTATAGCTGGGAAACAGAAAGCTTGCCATCATACCTCATGGAGCACTGCTCCGGACACTTTTAACAGAAGTGCGCCTTATGACATCTCGGTCGCCATCATACCGCCCGTCCATCCCGAATTCAGTCGCGATAGCATTTCAGAGATTTCTCTTTCAGCGTTCTGGAGCAACCAGTTGACGTACGTTCCAAATGCAAGGCCTTGCCATCCAATGAGCGAAAGGAAGTCGAAAATTGGCCATCATCCGCCTATATTGCGAATAGACTGATGTCTGCTCGCCCTTCTCCTCCATCCACAGTCGTTTGAACGGCGGACAACCAGTTTTTTTGCTTCCATTGTCGTCTAGGTACGATGAACTTCATTGACCCTGTCCAAACAGAGACTGCGAGGGACATTGCCCAGAAAGGCCATTGGGACACAAAACAAACTTTGGACTCCACTTTCACCAACGGGAGTCGGAACGTTACAGCATTATATATACGACATAGAAATGCTTTGTTAAATCCCTTATTCTTGGAGAGAAGAGGAGTCTGAATATAATCAGTATGATATTTTCTTGTGAAAGGATTGTGAAACAGGACGATGTGCTGCCCAACTTCCTCGAGGAGTCGTCAAATTGGCACATTAAGCATCACAGGATATTCACCCAAGCAGTCAGCGCGTCATGCTTTGCCTTCGTCTGCTGGTTCATTGCCGTCGCCAATTTCTGGTGCTGAATAAGCGGTAGAGTCGGGAGTGCGCGGTGTTAGGTATCTACTCCGAAACTGTATATCAACTTAGACGAGAGCTCATCGGCGGCGCTTATTGGAGGGCTTAAATCCGCGTTCCAGGGATTCCGCCCACGGCCTTTGGACGGGTTCACACACTTCTCGGTCGGGACGGGCCTATCAATCATGCTGCTCCGCTGGTACATGGGAATTTCATAGTTGCGCCTTCAGGTACGCTTTGGCACACCTTGGTCCATATAACACCTCTTGAACATGTCCACAACTCGTTCCGAGACCTCTCCCGCCGTTCCACCAAGTCTACAGTGGCCAAGCCACGGATGAACTTTTTATATTTACTTCCCTTTGTCGTGGGCACGATGGCCAAAGGTCGAGGTGGTGGAGGCGGAGGAAGCGGGTCCATCGACGACGTACGTGAATCTGCTCGTCCACTTGCGGAAGACGCTAAACCTTTTATCAGGGTTGGGATGCACCAGGAGAAGTCAAGGCCTCGCTGGCATTCCAAATCATCTGTGAGTCTGAGCCGTCTCTTTCAGGCGACTATGCTGATAACATGCTCCATAGGGTGTATCGTCACTCTTTTCCTGTTTGTGGCCATTCTCCTACGTCTCCGCTTCGTGCCATCTGGTCGCTACACGCGTGCTCCCTACATTCTCCTCTCTATCATAGCAGGCACATTATCCATCGCATACCTATTCTCAGCAATCCTGACCAGGATCCCCGGGAGCTCAACCAACGTCTCGTTCTCCGCCCTGCACGGCTTGGACGCGACCAGCAGCATCCTATGGGACATAGACTATGCTTTTGGACCGGCGGTCTGCCTGTGGCTTGTTCACCTTCGTGGCAGATTGACAAGCAAAAACCAAGGCAAAGCAGCAAAGCCGTGGATATCCCATTTCTGGAAGCGCATCATCGACTGGTCGCTCGTAGCCATCACTTTCACCATTGCTGTTTCCATGACGGCGATCCTCACCAATGCGTGGATAATGTATCGAGAGCGCCGACTACAAACCATGCAGCTTATCGACTATCTGCTCCTCGGTCGCAAACTCAATTTCGCCGCGGCTGCATTCAATATGTTTTTGGCGGTCAATGTCGTCGTTTCCTTCATTTCTCTCAAGGTCTCGCAGAAGAAAGCAAACTTTGTGGATCCTGTAAGTTTGCAAGCAGCACACAACCTGCGTTTATGAACTGATAACTGCTTAGATCACCACACGACTCCTCGTAGCCGTCATGCCCTTTGTGATCATTGGCTTTGTCAAATCCATGGTGATCACAGTCTACCCAGAGAGGCACCCGCTCACCGAGTCTACTGTCTACGGCTTTAATCTCGCATTCCTCATTATCGACGGTCTGTGCAAGGTGGGAGTCATTGGCGGTCTCTTGTCGACTATGACTATCTCGAATGCACTCTGGGTTTCGGGAGGTGCGGTTGGTGAGGGCGCTGGATATGTCCCACAGCAGTCTCAGCATTCCATCCCTCAGCCACCAACGGCTCAATGGCAAGGCTCGCCTTCGACGCCTTCTGATCCAGAAAAGTCAGGAAAGTACTCGTAGCCGTGTCGCCATCAGTATCTGCCCACTAGCCAATCGTCCACTATCTTACAACCATTGTAATACGCGATATCATCAGCTGGCTCATAATAAATATATCCTTAGACGCTCGTTACTATTGTCCTCATAGTTATCTACGATAACAACTTGACTGAAGAGGGAACTTATCCAACGGGGATCCCTACGCCCAGTTAGCCTCCCCTACAGGACGCGTTTCCGAAGGCTCACCAGTAAGTGTGTCTCCTGTGATCAGCACCGGCAAATCCCCGTTCCGTACAGCGCATGCATACGGCCGTCGTTCGTACCGGGGGAGTCCCCGCTTCGGGATGTAGCCAGCCCACTGTCGTTCTCGTTTTTCTCGCCCATTTACAAAGCGCTCCGTCATTGGGTCCAGTGGAGGCTCTGCTGCTGGCGGTGCCAGTCGTTTCCCAAAGTCAAAGCGGGACAGTGCATATTTTGCAGACCATTCCGCTTGCCGTTGTTGGTCGAGTCTTATCGCTTCGTTACTGATCTCCTTTGTCGGCGCGTCACACTTGTGCATCAGCCAGCAACAGGACGAACAGCCAGGTCTGTACACAATTAGAGCTCGAGGCAGTTGCCATAGGACAGCATACCTCTTGGTGTTCCATATCTGCTTCATTCTCCCTGCTATTGACAGCGTTTGGTTGGACGGGCGAGGTGCCACTTGGCCACGAAGAAGGTGAGTAAGAGGATTGAGGATTACATACGCTGGGACTGCCGGGAGCGATAGCCTCTTGATGCGCGAGACTTTTGAGTTTGGTAAGAGGTTTCGTCGTTCGAGCATGATGAACAAGAAATCCCACTCGGGACACTGTGCCATACTAATTTCCTCCAAAGAAGGACATAGTTCTGGCTTGTAGATGAAATGAATAAACAAATCGGTTGGATTGCCCTCCATTCCTATCGAGCTGAAACTAATGCTCCGCACCGAAGTTAATAGGTCGAGTCGCCAGTGAAACCATGGCATTCCGACGCTTGTCAACTGGCCAAATGCATCTTCGTCGATGCCAGTCACGTTGTTCTTGCACGTGTTGTGCCGTAGGGGTTCGGGGAGAAAGTTGTAGGATCTCGGCCTTGGAAAGTTGGTACCATCTTTAGACAGTTTTGGTCCACGGAAGAGCACCCCAATTGGGGTCGGCTCGGTCGGGCGATAGTCATGCCAGATCCGTACCGCCTCCAGGCTCTCGTGCGTGATCATTTGTATCGGCGCGGGCGAGACGATGCGTGAAGATTCACTGAGTGATATTGACTTGAGATCTTGGAGTGACTGAATGAACTGGGTCGGCACCTCGTTCGACGGAGGGAGGCCGACATACAGACTCCGCAGCCGTGGAAAGCACACTTCGAGCACGCTGAAGAAGAAACGAAGGCGATCTATGCGTTGAGAAAATACATATGGAGAGTCTTCTGTCTCCGATTCATCCTCGACATCGAAGCTGTAGGAGCTTGACAAGTCGCTCTCCACTACAGCCTCCTGGATAAGTGCACCCAGATCGAGAAGGTCGTTATGTGTCTCTTCGCCTTCTAATGTGTCTGCTTGTTGAGCCTGATCGTGTTCTTCTTCCCATTCGACCGGGCTTGGGACACTGTCAGTGTCCGACACTGCTGGTGTAGGTTGACTGTTCACATCCACATTGTCCTCGATATAACTAGAGTGGGACCACTTGCCGGGCCAGTTATGCTGAAAGCTCATATTCCTCGCGTTGGATATATGAAGCATGGCGATGTCGAACAATGGTACACGCAGGGATAAGTCGAGTTTCGCACGTACTGTAACATCGTCCAGATTCGGAAATTGGTCGAGAATCATCCCCAATTCGATCAAGAGCGCTGGGGTGAGGGAGACATCCAGTAGGACAATGTTTGTGGCCGCCTGCATCAAGCAGAGTACTATCTCGTCCGGAACTTTGGAGTTCATGAAAAGCTCTCTCAACTGTGGTAAGAGGATCTTCGATTGGCTCCAGTATCCATTCGCACTCGACCCCATAGATGAGAGGCGTAAGGAGGTCATTGCAGTAAACCCGTATAGTATTTCTGCAATCTCCTCTACTGTTTGACCAGAGTATCGTATCTCGATGGTCTTGCGTTTGGAGTAGTCGGCAACGCGTGTAAGGTCGCACCATCCACCCCTAGCGATATTGATTGCAACGGTATCGGGAAGACAATGATTCACAATATCCTTCTCTTCTCGAGTGAGCTTTATAAATCCCACGTCGAGTACTTTGAGATTGTCCAGCGGCAAAAGGGACCGAATCAAATGAAGGGCCCCGTCAAATTTGGTGAATAGCCTCGAGTTGAATCCAGAAATGATGTGAACGGTCGCAATTCGCTTCGCATGAGGTTGCAAAACTGGGAGAATGTCGCTCCACTCTGTCACCCGGTCCGCGATAAACAGAGAGATGGGTGAATCACGTGAGAGTGTAAGTGCGGCAACCAAACCGGCCATTGCATCCCCCCATCCAGGTCTCTCCCCGAGGAGAATATGTCCCCAAAGACTCGGCGCGTTGCAAAGAGCCTCTGCCCATCGTCGGCTGACGAGCGTAAGCGTGAGAAGACGCTCCAAAAAGAGGTGTTCGGCAAAGAGGTCTTCGAGCGCCTCGGTAATAATCATGAGGCTGATCTCGCTCGGCAGAATGTCGATAAAATCGGGCAGAGGAGACAGTTTCCTAGAGGTCTCTGAGGCTTTAACGAGTGTGTTGTATTGCTCGATGAGCTCTGGGTGCTCATTTACATGCGTAGAGCTTCCAACCAGGTCATAGACTCGATGTTGAATGGCCAGTCTCTGCGCGTCGTCTGCCGTGTCAGCTCCAAGGGATAATGTGGTCCCATTGGTGCGTGTTAAATTTGTCTACAAACCTGGGTTAAATTGAGTCGTGAGGAACGGGATTCAGCACACCTCGGGTTCGTCGATAACGCATCCGCATCCTTGGATAAACGTGTGATGTGTGCTATATTGGAATCTAGCTCCATCTAAGATGCAGACGTGCCAGCTATCCGTTTCGGTCACCTTGCGCGTCTCTCTCAGAGATCTTGGGACCACGCAGGGTGCTTTCCAATACTTGAGATGATGTCCAAAGGTGGAATTGTAACGGAAGACTGGTATTCGTCGGGTGATCGTTGAAGCTCGGGGGTAAGCCTGGACAAGGTAGGGCTCAAGCGCTTATCGGCGGACTATACTCCGACTCAGTGTTTCAGTACCCGAGTGAAATGGACCAATATTGTCACCAACATGTGACTGTGGAAAGGACACTTAGTTGAGCGCTCCCGACCTCACAGGTGCTCATATTACTGCCACCATCTGTAGTCCACCAACGGGAGATGGTAATACGCATACAAGGAAAGCGTATTCATATCGTGGACCTTTATATGCAGGAATGTTTCCTAGTTCAGTGTTCGGTCATATTCCTTTTATACCTTCATTTGAGAATCGAGAGTCGTGAAGATATCCCCAACAGGGATTATCGTAGGGCAACTTTGTCGATATACGAGATGCTGTTGAAAGAGCGAGAGTATTCTCTAGATCCATCGTAGTATATCTATTGAAATTGCAATGAAAGTGCGGTAGTTTGAGGGTGGCAACAAATCCACAACTTGGACCATGTCCACCAAACTGCCGGTGGACGACAAAAGTCGCGGAACGCCTAGAAAGAGCACTCTTAGTTCCAATAACACCCAAAATACACAATATCAACTTAGCAAGCCCTATTATGAGGGGCTTCTGCCACGGAATGCCGGTTTTCTCTTGGGAGGTCGCGTCCAAGTAGTTGAACCCTCGGAACTTATCAGCGAGTTTCAAAACACGTCAAGTGGCGACATTCAAAAGATAGAAGCCGTCTTTCTCGAAGCCCTGGTCGATGTAAAGAGCGATCAAGTCCGTCGAGAACATGGACAATGGGCTCGGACAACAAGTCCAACAGCCAGTTCAACTAATACCAAGGCATTACCGGCATCAGGGTCGAAGAAAGGGAAGGGTCAGAGGAACAGGAAGTGTCGGGAAAAGCCAAGTTGAAAGAGGTCGACATGTACCCGAAACTGGTGAGCTACTATTCGTTGATGTCCAATGCAAGCGTTGATTATGATGACGACACTCGTAAGGTGGCTGGCTTCAACGCCATTTTCGAATCTTCAGGACCAGTAGAGTCGCGTATGCATTGCCACGATATCGATTCAAAGCGTCAGACGACCGCAGCATCTATAAAAATGTCGCCGAACCTTGTGCTATCATCCAGCAAGGAGTCAACCACCGGTGGGCACGACGTCTTTTTCCAACCAGCAGTTTACGTCGAAGTCCAATCGAGCAAGAAATCCGACATCCCGTTTCAGCAGGATCAGAGCCTCTTGCCTCGATCAACGTTGTCAAAGTTGCCGAAACAACTCCTGCTCCAGGTTCTCAGATATGTCCACATCGCACAAGTCCCCGAACTTCCTTGAGACTATCTCTACTTCATGAGGATCACTGGGTGGACCATGCGAATCTGGAAGTTCACGCCCACTGGATGCATTGTCACTACCCCCATCGACTATTTGGACTCTCCCGGCGATTTGGTTCGCTTCGCTCGGGCGCCCGCCTCAAGTGGTCCGAGAGGAACCGGCCTTAGTGTTGGTGAAGGCCGTCTCTTCACCGAGTATCAGGATGCGGGGCAGTATGATGATGCTCTTGAGCACGTTTCCAAAGTCTATGCGGACCCTGCAGACAATCAGCACTGGCTTGACCGCAAAGGGCCAGCCGGTTACTTCATCCTCAAGTTTGGTAAAGGAGACCTCGTTGATCCAGATCAGCTCGACGAAGGAGGCAAGTCGAAAGCTACTGAATACGTCATATTCAAAAAAACTCTTCACCACGTCGCATCCATGTTCTCCCGCGGAACTAAGTGCTACCTCGCAATCGCAAAGCCAGACATCGAGTCTCCTGGTTTCGCTTTGCATTCGCCTCAAGAAATCATCCCGCGACTACGGCTACTGAAGACATCATGGCAGCATGTTGCCAGAACGCCTGAGGCACAGTTCTTCCGCGAGTACAACAAGCGCCATAGGCATACTACTGGAGAACGACCTTGTGGCATCGCCGCGCTTCTCGCCAGTGGAACGGTGACTACCCAGAACGAGATTAGATGGATGAGCGCTGGCAACGGCTGGACTGTTGCGCACAAATCCAAAGAACCTAAGGACGACATTGAGGAATAAGTGGGGTTAGACGGCCTCACCCAAGATTTGGACGAAATCCTGGACGGTTCTAGACTTGCTGCTTTTCTCGTCGTCATTCTCGCTTGGTCAACGTTTCCGTTTAATCCTCGATTGTTTTCTTGTCCGTCACGACACGTCCTAGGTTTACTCTTAAGTGGGGGGCCTTCCAGGCGAGGCAGGCTCCCAGTTTTGCGTTTTTCGCATCTTCCTGCCTTCGCCTGGGCCTTTCCGCTGTTAAGCGCCCCCAATTTTGCCCGGTGAAGGTATCTATTCATAGCCGTTTATCCTTCCATTGTACATTTGCCGCGTGGTATTCGATTATTCCGCCTGTGTTCCTCCAGTATAACTTGAAGCTCTCTGAAGACCAACGTCCCATCTTCTTCACAATCTCCACATCCACGCCACTCAGCAGGAATGCCGTCGTTCCACCAATTCGGAAACAGTGCCCGGTAAAACTTCCTGAACCCGCTGGGCTCCACACCTCGTTGCACATCTTCATGAATTGTGCCTTTGTCATTGTCGTTCTCTCGCCGTTCCGGCTCTTGAATTCACACAGCATCGCCCGAGCGTCTCCAATTCTTGACTTTGCTAGGTGTCGCTCGATGGCTCTTGACAGGTTAAGCTTGTTCCTTTGCTCGACCAGTTCGATTGTCGCTCCTCTGTTCCCAGTCGTCTTCGTCCATGGCAGGTAGAGACTTGATGCCGCCGCCCTTCCATTGCCGTCTCGCCTCGTCACTGTCCAATGGTGTCGTTTCGGGTATCGATCCGTTTCCTTCGTTTCTGGTGACGCTGGCAGGAGCTCGCCCAATCTACATAGGCCACACCATGCCGTCATCGCTATCGCTAGCGCCGCTACCTCTTCCGCCGATCCTTCGTACCACTTTCCGATTAGTCTCTCCATCATCTCCGAGGTCACCGGCCGTCTTAGTTCCTTCGGTTCCTTTCTTCTCGGCCACATCCTCTCGATGCCTCGGATTATTCTGCTCGTGTTTGTAGGTTCGATGAATTCCATCCCGTTGTCTTTGTGCCACGATTTTATGCTCGATAGTTTTTTTCCGTGCTGTGCCCGGTCTGGTTACACCTGCGCCGTCCGCTATGAATAAGCTCACTATCTCCGGTCGGCTTGGCAGGGCTTTTCCGATTGGGACCCCGATCCCTTCGGCAAACGTTTCAAATTTCTTCACGTAGCCGCTATATCCTTTCCGCGTTTGCTCTGTGAGACCATGATTCAGCGCTGTTGTAAGCTTCTCCTCTGCCTGGTGCCGGCGTTCCTCTGTCGACTCGGTTCTGATCGTCTGTTTTAGTAGGTTTCCGATATCTTTCTCGTTCTTGTCTGCCCTCGACACCTTCCTCTGCCTCTCGCCATTCGCTCGCTTGCTTGCGGCTTTTTCTTTTCCGATCTTCTTCTCATTTCTTTTTCGCCGTTCTCGGCTTCGTTTGGTCTCTTTCTGTTTTCTCGCCATCTGGTAGCTTCGCCTAATTATCATCTGGCGTGGCTTTGTCCAACTTTCATCTTTTGCGTCCTCATCTCTCTCGGGTTCCTTGTTCGTCCAGTCTCTTCTCACCATTGATTCTCATCCTAGGCTCTTCGTACATAACTGACCAATGACCTTGGGAATCTCCCCAGCTTCCTCTGAGTGTATCCGGGCGGCTCTAGCCCCCTCGATGGCCCGTCGGCTGGGTTTTCTTCCGACCGCACATATGTCAGTGTCAGGTATGCCTCTGCTCGCACTAGCCGGCGTAGAATTCGCCCGAGAACCTCGTTTTGCGCCTCGTTTCTCGATAACCGCTTCTTCCAGCCGCCAATTACGCCCTGGTTATCTGTGCAAATCTCTATGTGCGTCCTTTCCGCTTCTGGCCGTTGCAGTATGAACTCGACTGCTAGCTCGACCGCCGCAAATTCTGCCCATCCAATCTCTCGTTCTGCGCCATCGCCCTCCCTCGTTCTCCAGTCACTTTCCAACCTGAATTTGTCGTATTCATCATCGATCACGACGCCCAGTCCCCATCCCGTCGACGCGTCTGTGTAGATCCGGTACTTGCAGTTTGGTTCGCGTTGTGTACATAGCTGAATCTTTATCTCCGGCTTCTCGAGCGTTTCCTTCCACCATCTGAGGTCGCACTTCGCCTTCTCCGGCATGTTCCACTTGATATACTTTGAGTGCTGGTTCGGTAGGCCCATTTTCGCTACCGTCGCCCATAAAGCTCTCGTGTGCGTTCGTCCTTCAGGAATTATCATTCCTAGGTGCGCCAGCTTCCCGCATAATGACTGCAGCCTTTCCCCGGACGTCTTCCTTCCTTCTTCCAACACCTCCTGTACCAGTGCTAGGTTCTTCTTCCGCTTTGACTCGCTGACACTGACTGCACGTTCTTGCCAATGCCAGTCAAAGCCGACGTACGTCGTGATGTTGGCGAAGTCGCGCACCTTGTCCGGCGGAAAGGGGATTCCCAGCTCCTCCCCAAGCTCCAATATTTTCGCTATTCCCATTCCATATATCCATTCCTCCCCGTCTCTCCGTACTGGAAGTCGTCGGATCATCAGGTCGTCTACCCAGTATATGATCGTTCCGAGCTCTTTCCGTGTGCAGATTTCTACGAACGCTCTGTTCGGTAGTTCGAATATGCCAACGGATGATTTTGCGCCAAACTTTGCCGCCTTGTCGATCCAGAATTTCCCATTCCATTCGACTACTCCGTATCTCCAATCCTCTGGACGTATAGGGCAGTTTCTGAACGCCGCTTCCCAGTCTATCGTTGCACCTTGTGCTCCATCTGGCGAGGTCACGATGAGCTCTATCATCTCTGCCAGTCCTCCCCAGTTCGTTCCGAGGTTCTCGATATTCGTTTGTGCGTTTACTGATTGTTGTTCATCTTCGTAGGCGAATGATAGGTGTTCAATTACGCGTTTTCCCCTTCCACTCGCCTTGTCGACCGTTCCAAGTGGGTTTGCCACAAATGCGCCCAGCCTTTTCTCGACTTCCTCGCGTGTATGTGGGCCGTCATATCGATTTGCTGCAACCTCTTTTTCTATATGATCTTCTATCACTTTGGGGTGCTCGACCGCTGACCTCAGGTGTGGGTATACTCGTGTTTCGTCAATTGCCAACTGGCACTGCATATTGAAGCCGTTCTTAAGTCCATCTATGAGCGTCGCATGCTCCTCCAAAATATCAAGATATTTAAGCGCTTCCTCCCACTTCTTGGCCTGTAGCGGGGTCACTGGCTCTGGTTGTCTTCCATTCGTGTCAGTTTTGTCCGCGCTTGCATGATTGGGCACTGTGGCTGGCTGATAGGCATCCCGTGCATACGTGCTTTCCATTTGCACAACGGCTCGCCGAACATCCTTTGGCCATGTTGAATGACCAGCAGAAGGACGTTCCATCGAAAAGCGTCCAGTCCCCTTTGGCATTCTTTTTGACGTTGACGTCTGCGCCATCGATTTGGCGTCTTGCACCCTCGCCTTTGTTTCCTCTCCTGATCCTCTCTGCCCTCCATCCTTCCTGCCGTCCGTTTTCCCATTTGACAGGCTCGCCGAGCTTCCCATACTCGCCCCACTCCTTTCGACTCGATTCTCCAGCGCGTCAAGCCGGTCGACATATCCGACGTTTACCCTCATCTCTGCCCGCATCAGTGCCTTCTCGTCGTTTGGATCTGGCACAAGTCTCGCGCCAGCCTTCGGGTTTGGGATGCATCGTTGGATTGTCTCGATTGCTAGTTCGCGGAGCACGGGCCATTCGTTCTTCGATATCACCTTACTGTGATATAAGTTGTTCCAGAACGACTTCCAGAACTTGGCAACATCCGGCCAGTTGCTCTTCATCAGACTGTAGTGCCGCTTGATCGCTGCGATCCCTTCGTCGAGTGGAATCGACTTGTCACTCTTCTCGTACACCGGGTGTTCGAGTACCCCGTTTCTGTAGCTAATTCTGTATGCATCTTGTCGTTTCAAGAACTCGTCTGTGAGGAAAGTGAGGGGACGGTGCCTTCCTTCGGCGAAGGCCTCCATTAACTTCCGTGGGATCGAACCAATCTCGTCGATTTCGTTGTCAACTTCTGTATATATGTCAATATTATTTTTCGATTACTCGGTTAGCCGCGCGACGAGTAGTGCGTCCAGTCATCTCGTCTGCCTTTGGCAGCTGCTGTTCGGTCTCCTCGGTCTCTTCCTTGATAGGTACGTAGATGTAGCCTTTCCACTTCGACTTTGGGATTGGCTCGCCGCTCGGTTTCCTCTCCTCCGCCTCTTCTCCTTTGGGCACTTTGCCCGTCTCTTCCTGGCTTCCTTCGCTCTCGTTTTCGTCGTTTTCATCAGCCATGATGTGATGCTTCTTCTCGCTGTCCTCGCCCTGTACGGCTTCCTCGCTGCCGCTCAACTCGCTATCCTCGCTTCGCGTGGCCATTTCTGTCGCATTTGTGCTCTTCCTTCTGCTTCCGAGCCGTCCATATTGTCCTCCTCTCCTTCTTCCGCCTTTTCTCCTCCGGCTCTGGCGGTCCTTCAATGCCCTCCAGCAACTTGTCGATCGCGCGCGTCCGTTCGTCGACTTCGCGCTCCGCCTGCTTCTTCTTCTCCTTCGGTTTGTCCTTTCCTTTGGTCGTCTTTACGGCGATACCCATCTCGCCAAGTCCCAGGGGGTCGTCCCCGCCACTTCCAAACTTGACAAACGTTGTTGTATCTGCGCTCGCGTAAGTCTCCAATCCATCTTTTCTTGATTCTCGGCGTTCCCAGTCCTTCGGTTGGACGCTCGCGCGCTCTTGGTAGCTCTCGGCCCATGCGATCGTTCCTCTGGCTCAGTCTCTCGGCCTCGTGCCGGTTTTCCATCGCGTTCGTCTATCCTTTCTCTGTCTGCCGGTTCTCGCTCCGGGTCTCATCGTGGCACTGTACTGCCCGCTCAAGTCTAGCAGCCCTGCCTCAGCTGCGCTCGCTGGCTCGTGCCAGTTTCGTCGGTCTCAGTCTCTTCCTCCTCTCCTCCGATTCCCGTTCTTGGGATTTTTTGGCTTTGGGAGGAGGGTCTGCCTCGGCTTTGGCACGACCTCGTGGACGCGACACGTCATCTCGATGTATACGTATCTTGGAACTACGCTCGATTGCGTACAACGATTGCCATTGTCGAGTCTGGTCCTCCCAGCTCGACTTACGCTCCGTGCGTGCTGGCTCACGTCGCCTCGCCGGTCCTCTCGGCTCGAGTTCTCCCGCTCTTGCTACACACTGTAGCCATCTAGTACCTTGCGGTACAGCTCGTTCTTTCCCTGGGCATGTCTCTCCTGCCCCTCCCGTCCTCCAGGCTTGCCATGGTAGTCGGCTATCTCTGGCCTCGGCGCCTGACTTGTCCGTGTTTCCTCCGTGGCGCTCTATACTGTCCAACCCGGTTCTGATCGCTCGATCGCTTGTCTTGGCTCTGCCGGCCTCCAGCCGACTGCCATGCTTCTGTCGCAGACGATGATGATGACTCTGATGTGGACGAAGATTCGCTACCAGACGATTGTGATTCGTCCGATTCACTTCCAGACTCGCTGCTGTCCTCATTGCTTGTCGTCTCGTTCTCGCCGGTTTCGTCGACATCCATCTTCTCCATCTCCTTGCGTGCCTTGTCTGCCGCGGCTAATTCTATCTTCTCTTCGATGCTCTCGGCGAGCTCCTTATTCTTTTCGAGTCTTTTGAGGATCTCCTTCCTCTCCGCTGCCGCCTCGACCGCTTGCTGACGCGCTTTTTTGCTGCTGTCAACCGCAAGCTCCGCAAGCTTGTCGTTGATCTTCCTGCTTTCCGTCGTGTCCTGGTTGATTGCAGCCTGGAGGCGTGCAATGCCGTCCTGGTACGTCTTTCGGATTTTTGCGGCATGCCTCTTCTTTGCTGCTTCCAGCGCAGCCTTGGATCTTTCTTTTCTCGACTCGCTGCTTCTTTTCGACGATTTCGACCTTGCACTCTTGCCCTTGGTCGTTTTTGATTTTTGACTTTTCACCATCTTTGACGTGCTTATTGTCTGCTTTTCTCGGCTGATTCAGGTTGTCTTCTGGTTGTTCTTTCGACGAATTTTCAGCCTTTTGGGGGCCACGCTACGCCCGTGCTGTCGGCAGCGGGCTTGCGTTGATGTTGGTTGGCGGAGCCTTTCGTTTGCGGCTCTTGCCACCTCCACCCGCACCTCCATTTTTCGATTTCATATTTCGTCGTTTGTCAATTAATTCTTTCCAATATATTCTCTATCTATACTGTTTTCCTTCTAAGTTCTATTCCTGGAGCTCCCATTCCTCGCTCGCTCTCGCAGCATGGCGAGACCTTCTGGTCTCCAACCAGAATCTATCTCGTCCTCCGTTGAAAAGCCGAAGGAGTGCCGTCGTCTGGACTGGTTGCTTTTGAAGGAGGTGGGAACCAACCTGTCAAACGTTCGTGATTCGAAAGAGCTCGTGCAAGTCATACTCGATGCAGAGGATGGTGAGCCCCCCGCTTGATTGAAGTACAGCAACTTACATTTCTTAGCTCACGAAAGTGTGTGTGATGTGCATATACTGCACAGAGACGTGTCATCGAACAGTATCCTCATCACCTTGGATGCATCCAAGGAGCGACGTCGTGGGCTTTTGATCGATTGGGAGATGGCCAAAGACATGCATGATGAAGGCCTAATGGAACGGCCATCGATCACAGTGGGTGGTTCACTTCACATCATACGCCTCACTGACTGAATAAAGGGGACATTGATGTTCATGGCGATTGCACTCAATAATCGGCCACTGCATCAGCCTTGGCACGACCTAGAATCGATGTTCTGGGTTCTTTTTTACTTCACCCTTCGCCATGTCTATGGCGTTGTCTTCGATGGGGAGTTATTGAGTGGCGAGCGTCGAAAAAGTGTTCTCGAATCTTTCTTCAACTATGATTACCTCCGATCTCTCAGTCTACCCAAGAAGGATCTGCTCCAGGCGACCACGACAGTCCTAAATTGCCATCTCTTCAGCGGACTATTGCAAGGAATTAGGGAGCGACTGCAGTCAGCATACGCCTGGTTCGACATGCTAAGCTCCCTCGAAAAGAACTTCAAATCATGCGGAGCCAACTTTCGAGCGAGTAATAACCAATATCAGGACTTGGAGAAGGATGTGGAGAATGCTCACCTGGTCGCTGGCCGCTCGATAGACTTGGAAGCCATCGTTGACTGGCGAGAGGCAGAAATTATGCGGCTCAAAACAGACCCACGCGTCGCCACGGATGTCGCTTATTTGGGGCGGCAATTAGCTCGCGCTAGATTGAATATAACCGATGCTCAACTCTTGGATCACGACTTCTTTCGGTTACATCTGAAGGCAGCCCTCGATGCCGGAGAAGAAACTCGCTGTATTCCGCCGCACAGTCCGGATCCCGAGCTAGATGACGTCGAACAGAGCCACCTGGCTTGATTTATCCTCTCGGGAACGCACGCAAACGAAGGATTCCAGCCCAGCTCAACCGAGTTCCAGTTATGATCTAGCGGCGCGCCTCCATACCGTTGTGTCTAGTGAGGAAAATGAGAGTCAACATGTCAAGCGTGGTCACGGTGGCTCTTCACCCCAATCTGGCCGAGCTACGATGGCATCCCCTCATGGCGGTGTTTCGCTCAGAAGGTCGACCCGTAATAAGGGTGTTTCAGGTAACAACATTCCTCAAGGCTCACGTGCTGGAGGGAGTAAAGGTTGCTATTGCGGGCATCACAGGCAAATCAAAGCGTGGGGACAGGACGTCAGCCCGAAACCAGGATGAAGCCCCAGGATGGCAAAACGCAAAGTATCTGGTCCCTCTCCTAAGTGTCCTACCACTGAAGGCATGGAACCTCTACCATTAAGTGAGGGCAACGGCTTCGAGGGCGCGGTGGTCTGTGGGCGTTGATGGGTTTGAAGATTACATACTCTTACATAGATCATTTTTCCTTGGCATGTGCAGTTGTTGATACCCTCTGCTTTGTACCTCTCTTAAGACACAATTATCTGCATGTTAGATTTCCCGTTGGTGCTCGAGTAATTCTATTGGCTCGTAAATGGTGGTGGTCGCTAGTCCCATTCTTTCATTCTTCATTTGTTTCCACGCCCATCGGCAATGGAATTCCTGAAGGAACATTTGCCCAGATCCCTTCTTTCGTAATCTGGGACGTGCGGCCACATGTAGTTGTCCAGCAGATGGATCCAAAACACGATGGAGTTGTGACTGTGTATAGTATGTGTTAATTTGATGAGGATAGAATAGGAGACTTCGGTGGCCAACGAGTGTACGAAGTAGAGAGATAATCAGGAGTGTAAGTATCGAGCACGTTCCTGGGGTCTCCGGTTGTGCAATGCCATGCAGAAATAGTCAAATATGAGGACATTGCCTCTATATTGGTGGATAGATAGCAAGGTTGATGATTGCGAGAGTTTACGCAAGGCCAACGCAGGTTCCCTTACACCTGAAAAGGGTAAAAAGAAGCAGCGCAAGAATGATTGTGAACGAGTCCTTCTGCGGCTGCACCAGAGGGCTTGGTCGAGGCGGGTGTAGAAATGTTGACAGATTCCAAAGAGGAGACGAAGAAGAAAAATAGTATGACAGACGAGGAGCGAAAGGAGTGTAAATGCAAGAAGGAAAGGCTCAAAGAGGCAGCGATGGAGTCGTAGCTGTGGGGCTCTTTGCCGTGTTTGTATTCGCATGATAATTAATTCTTGTGTGTCGAGCTGTTTGGTAACCGCATTTGACTCACGAGTGTATCCCGGAGTAATCTTCATTCAGGCAAGGGATGAGCGGGAACAGGATACAGGGCTCTCACCACCTTGACCCGCATGCGCACTAGGTCATCCCCTTTCGCTCGCGGCTACAGCCCGCTGACGATCAAAGACCCTCAGACCCATAAGCCAGCCAAACCATGCATGGGTATCGCATCTTTGGCCGAGGATCGTCGACTGGTCGTTCGCGGCTATCACCCCTTTCACTTGTTTGAACAAAACCTGCAAAACATAGACTACAATAGGTGCGACAAACTACAATGGGATGGTATATGCCGATGGCTAGCAGAATAGTATATGGGCATTTCGATTGCAATCTGGTCGGAGCAGTGCTCCCAGGGCGTAATGTGCAAGCTGTCTGTTTGAGCCGTGCTCATTACGTTTTGTCCGAGGTTCGAATCCTATGGAGCGCGTCTTTTTTCCCTTCTCGTCGATTTGCACGTAAATATGACTATATAGGTGCTGAGACCTTGTAAATGAAACTGCGACTGTTTTGGGGCTGAACGGGAGCTGAATGCACGGCCCGCTTTGGACGTGTTCAGTGGCAGCAGATCTTGCCTTATAAATTCTCACAGTGGCAATGCAAGTTCTTTCTTAGATATGTTCAAACAATACAGAGATAGCCAACTAGTTTAGTGACCTATGACTCTGTGGGTCACGAGAACGCCCAGACTGCTCGACAGGTTAGGATGCTACAGTAAGGCAATGATATCTGCTGCTACAGGATTGGAGGTTCATTGGATTGCTGATTATTATCTCCCTACTCGATCATAGATATATTTCCGCCCTATCGTTTACATGTTTCATTCATCTATAGAGGAAGGCTCGACTAGACACTTACTTCTGTACGTGCTGTTCACCGAGGACCACAAAGGGTGGCCGTGCCCGCAGTGCGGGCCCAATCCCATCACACCTCGACATTTGCTAGTATATGCCCTTGGCTCTTAATGTATACATACGTAAACAGTCAATAATAATAACGAAATTATATAAAAATACAGCGACTCGTATGTCCTGAATGCATAATTGCGGCTTGCCATGACTGCTGTAGGTCGCTAAACTAGTTGGCTATCTCTGTATTGTTTGAACATATCTAAGAAAGAACTTGCATTGCCACTGTGAGAATTTATAAGGCAAGATCTGCTGCCACTGAACACGTCCAAAGCGGGCCGTGCATTCAGCTCCCGTTCAGCCCCAAAACAGTCGCAGTTTCATTTACAAGGTCTCAGCACCTATATAGTCATATTTACGTGCAAATCGACGAGAAGGGAAAAAAGACGCGCTCCATAGGATTCGAACCTCGGACAAAACGTAATGAGCACGGCTCAAACAGACAGCTTGCACATTACGCCCTGGGAGCACTGCTCCGACCAGATTGCAATCGAAATGCCCATATACTATTCTGCTAGCCATCGGCATATACCATCCCATTGTAGTTTGTCGCACCTATTGCAGCCCATAATTTGCCAGTTTTGCGCAAATAAGTGAGCCAATGAATAGGTGGACCAATGATGAGCCTGAGAAATTCTTTGGCACAACCTGTATACTCACTTCGACAATAATGCGTTTACGTTCATTGAGGAATGGGGATCGACGAGCTAAGTGACGGGGATGTGAATACATTGCGGTTGGCTGACGTCGATCATTATACCAGAAGAAACCTAAAATAAACTGCAGTTTGTGAGCCAAAGGCGGGGCTAGACGCCGCAAGATCACCCGATCTAGCGCAGGGTGCGCATGCCGATGCAAACATGCTCGGTTGGCTTTAGAATCTTCTGATCTGGTTGCTGATTTGATTGCCATTTTGCCTCCCAAGTCTTCTCTAGATCATAGACGACGTGGTTCCAGTCGGTTTATTTGTCCATATATGGTTATTAATATTGATCTTCTTCTGCGAAAGATGTCGCCCGAATGGTCACATCCAAGCTTGACTTCCACCCATCACCGACGAGCGGTCAGCATCGATTTTTGGTTGCTTCGTTCGGACTCTTACAGCGTGGACGAGAAACAAAATGCCCAAAACTGACCACGATCACATTTTGGTCCAGAGGTTGCTTCCGATTAACGACGGTGGTTATACAGTGGCCATAATTCCCTTTCTCTTGTGCGAATATAAGAAAGAAGCTTAAGGTGAGCAATCTGCTTCTCGGTCACCGAGTGCGTCCATCTCACATATCCTTGAAGCGCATTCTAATTCAATTATAGCATCGGTGCGGCAAAGACCTGCGTCCCGATATGTTTCCTCGTTGAGCACAGACTCAAAAAAACCCGTAATAACACCCTCTTTTCAGTTGGGTCATTGATTTCCCTTGCCTGATGCTAAATAAATGGCGCTGGCGGTTTACGGTCTGACTGGAATTTGTCCAGACCCACATACACACTATTTTCACTGCCCTTCATCTTTTATTATGGATATTTCCGCAATTCTAGGATTCCGGTCAAAATTCTGACCCCTTCACGGCGTTAAGCACGTATCGACGCACTCTCAATCACTGTGTGCCTATGATCATACGGTCCCATGGGAAGCCCCATTCCTCCTTTTGGGCATACTGGCACCATCTGCCTAAACAAGCGCCTCTTGGACCCGTCCACCGCCCGCTGCGACGCCCAACTTATCACCTCCATAGTCTACAAAGATGAAACCGCGGACGTCACTACTTTCCATCCTGCCCTTTATCGGCGGCGCAATGGCCAGAGGTAGCCGAGTACGTGACTCTGCTGTTAGGCCCCATCTAGAGAAAGCTGAATCTTGACCAGACCTGGTATGCACCACCAGAGGTTCAGGCGGGCACGGTATTTGAGTTCATCTGTGAGTTCAGACTACATCGATTCAACTAGTAAGCTCACGCTAGATAGGGTCTGTCGTTCTCTTCGGCCTGTTCGTGACCATCCTTCGACGCCTTCACCTCGTCCCGCCGGGTCGCTACGCACGTGCTCCCTATATTCTCCTCTCCATCGTCGCAGGCGCTTCCTCAATCTCGCACCTTGTCTCGGGGGTTTTGTTCGTGGCCACCAGAGTCGAACATGGCCTGCAATTCAATGTTATGCACGGTTTGAGTGCGTTCGGCATCTGCTTGGCGCACATCGATCTTGCTTTTGGACCAGCAGTCTGCCTGTGGCTTATCCATCTCCGGGGCAGTTTGGCGCCCACGGTTGAGGCCAAGCCACTTCATCTATGGGTCTCTCAGTCCTGGAAGCGCATTCTCGATTGGTTGCTCGTGGCCGTCACCTTTATCCTCGCCATCTCGATGACAGTGATCATAAACATTGTGTGGATGGAATATGGAGCGGGTCATCTGAGAGGGGACCAAGTTACGCACTTCCTGATCGTCAACCGCAACCTCAACTTTGCTGTCGTTGCATTCGGCTTGCTCCTCTCGATCGATATCGCCGTTTCTTTGATTTCTCTCAAGGTCACTCAGAGAAGGGTACACTTCATCGATCCTGTACGTTATCATAAACAGCACAAAATCGCTGGAACTAACGAACGTATGCTTAGCTGACTACCCGACTGGTTGTTGCCGTCTTGCCTTTTGTGGTCCTCAGGTTCATCGAGTCTTTGGTCCTCACGATCTATCCAGAGAGCTACGCGATGCGATACACTGACTATGACGTCCTCATCCTCTTGACCATAATCCTTGGTGGCTTGTGCACTGTCGGATTCATTGGCGGTGTGGCCTCGACAATGACGATTCCAAACGTGCTTTGGGTTTCGGGAGCCAATGGTTCTACTTCTGCTCTCCCTATTGTTCAAGGCGCCAGATATCCGCACGAGTAGTCGAGTCAATACCGCTCCTGTTCGGTCCCTGAAGTCATTGTAGCCAGAATCGATTGATAGATAGACCCTTCTCATCCTCCACAGAACACATCTACTGCTCGTCCCCAACATCCACCATTTCTCTTTCTCTTTCCCTGAAATGCTCAACCATAGGCGCCGTAGCGTTCCGGTACGGACACTTCAACAATCACTCTTATTGCCCCCGTCTCCTATGTCATACAAAGAGAGCCGCTTGTCAAATACAAATAACACCTCGCCAACACTACGAAGTAAGCATGAGTCGATTCGGCGGTTCAACACTTGCATTGTCATTTATATATGACGATTGGTGTTGCATTTCTCAACGAAGTGCCGCGAGAGATTGCTCCAAAGGTCGCCATAGTACTTGCACGTACAACTTGACTTCCACCATCGTCAGCCCATTTTCAGCATCGACTTCTGGTCACTCTTTTCAAAATTTGTAATGTAGAGGAGACACATATACTCGTAATCAATGAGATCGTGTCTTAGGCTGCGGTTTACTTTCAAGGCGGCGGGCATACCTGGCCGGAATCTTCTAATCCACTTCCAGGAGAAAGCACTGCAAACACCCCCAGAACCGACCTCTTTCCTTGTCAAACAGTATAGCCGACAACACCTGCTCCATCTGGTTTTTGTCAGTTGGCTCATTGAGTTCTTCGTTGCGTGATACTGTGTGTATGGTGCGGGCATAGCGGAAATTTCCTGAGCCCACATGCAAATGTGTTAGTGCCTGTCAGCTCTTGTTGTTGTTATATCCGCATTCCGGACATCGGGCGAGGTCCCAATTATATGTTCACGGCTTTAAGCAAATACTCACGCCCTCTCGATCAGCTATCTCCGATACAGTCGCGGGGGAATCTCAACTTGGTATATCATCTCCAGCTGTACAAATACTCACGCCTTACGTCTTGGACGCCACGTCTACCGCCCCCGCTCAGACGCTCAACTTCGTACCCCGTATAGGCTACGAGGATGAAACCGTGGATCACATTCCTTTTCATGCTACCATTTTCCAGTGGCGTAATGGCCAACGGCGGTGGAGTACGTGGATCTACTGCAAGATCCCAGCCAGAGAACGCTGAATATTGATCAGACGTGGCATGTACCACCAGCAATCAAGGCCGCCACAGCATTCGAGATCATCTGTGAGTCCAAAATAGGTTGATTTTACTAGCGTGCTGACGCTCGATAGGGTCTATTGTCCTTGTCGGCCTGTTGGTGGTTATTTTCCGACGACTTTACTTTGCCCCGCCTGATCGCGACACACATGCTCCGTACATTCTCCTCTCTGTCGTAACCGGCGCATTGTCCATCTCGTACCTCACCTCCGGGATTTTGTTCAAGATCTCCAACACTGGAAATGGTATACCATTCCGTGTCAGGGTAGGTTTGACCGCGCTCAGTATGAGCCTCTCGTACATCGACCTTGTGTTCGAACCAGCAGTCTGCCTGTGGCTCATCCACTTGCGGGGCAGAGTAACGACCACGATCGAGGGCAAGTCAGCTAAGCCCTGGATATCCCACTATTGGAAGCGTATTGTTGACTGGTCGCTCGTGGCCACCATCTTTATCCTTTCCATCTCAAAGACGGCAATAATAACCAATGCATGGATGGGGTTTGAGACACACCGCATAGACTATAGCCAGTTCACGCACTACTTGCTGGTAGATCGTCGCCTCAACCTTGCCGTCATCGCATTCAGCTTGCTCCTATCAATAGACAGTGCCATTTCTTTGATTGCTCTCAAAGTCACACAGAGAAGGGCATACTTCATCGATGCTGTACGTTGGCATACAGAACACCAAAGTCACGTTTACTAATAGAATCCAACTTAGATAACTACCCGGCTGGTTGTAGCTGTCTTGCCATTTGTGGTCCTAGGTTCATCGAATCCTTGATCTTCACGATCTACCCAACGACCTACAGGATACCATACATTGATCCCTCCGTCCGCATCCTCGTTACCACCATCCTTGGTGGTATATTTAGCATAGGCGTCATTAGCGGTCTTGCATCCACCATGATAATCCCACACGTACTCTGGGCTCCGGGAGCTACTACGTCTACTACTGCCCTCCCTGTTGGTCACAAGGATGGATGAGTACCCCATTGGTCGTGTCAATGTACCCCTGCTCGTTCGCTGATAGCACGGTGGAAAGAGTCGCCTTCATACGTCAAGAAGGTATTTCTACCTAGGCTCCCTCTACAGAACATATCCACCTCTCAACCACTCATCATCCACCAAATCTTTACCCCAGGAACTACTAGACCAAAGATATTGCAACATTCCTTGTACGAACGCTTCAATGCTCGATCCTTTTCCCCATTCTATATGTGAAGAGTCGTGTTTACTGAATACAGGTAGCACTTCGCTTTCCGACACTGCGAATTAAGGAGTCGCAGAAATCACTAGTGCATAAATACAAACCTAGACCATTGGTATACACGAAATGGCCAGTTGTTCAAGATTCGTCTGCGGTCGCGACGCGACGGTTGTGCATTGCTGTCGGGCAAGGGACACCAGTTCGATGCACTATGCGTCATTTTCACAATATTTAGAGAGAAATTTCATTCCAGGTTTGAAACTTGAGCCTGAGCCTATTTAGGCAGTGCCTTTGTTGAAAGAAGACAACTGCTATACCTATCGCTCCGCCATCAGCCAGCGCGACGATGTAGTTTGCCACCTACGAGAGAAGCCCAAATAAAGATTTTCTTCGTAGGCTTAGAATGATTTGATCACTGCATTGTCTACATTCGATTGCTTCATCATTTCCAGTTGATGTGGACCGCACGGTAAGCTGGCCGGTCGATGATTTCTCGCGTCACTGTGTTCATATGCGTCCGTCAATTGCCTTTTCTTGAAGAAGAGACCACCAAGGTCATTTGGCCAAAAGGCTATGAAGGAGTAGAGGCCAACTTGGCTCCCACCGCGACTGACGAGCTTTGGATGTTGAGCACGCTCGAAATTTGCGACTTGATATTATCTCAATTAGGGGATTGACAAACACAGAGGACTAGATTCTGGTCAACTCGGTGCTATCCTTGATTTGAAGAACGGACAGCATTCACTGCTACTGGTAAAGAAACGATGTGTGACAGGACATCGGTGATGGTTCGCCTACACTTGCGTTCCCGAGCTTACACGAAGAGTCATGCGTATTCAGGGTCAAGCGAGGCAGGTATCCTCACTCCGATGAGTTTCCTCACACAGCACGTCAAAGACTCCCCATTCTTGTTGCTGCCTGGCACAACGAATGGCCGGTAGAGTCGGCGGTATACAGTTTTTAGTATGTTTTCATGAAACCCATATAAAAGGAAAACTGTTGACTCCGCCTATTGGCGCTGCTATGGATCCGTTTTCCAGGGACCCGAGTCAACATCCCATCTTCCCCGTCGTCTTCTGCCCACTTTTCACCCTTGTCGGGCAGGGTGGAGCTGTCACCGATGCCGTTACGTGGGAAATTTCATATTTGTTTCTATCGGCATTCCTTGCCACAGCTTTCTTCGCATACAAATACTGGCGCCTCGTATCTCTTAGACCCGTTCACAACTCCTACCCCCCGTGGCGTCCAACCCGTCACTCTACACCGTCTACAATGATAAAACCGAGGCTCACATTCTTTTCTATCCTCCCCTTTGTTGTGGGCTCCATGGCCAAAGGCCGAGGTGGTGGAGGGAGCGGAGGCGGCTCCATCGACGACGTACGTGAATCCGTTACTGGATAATAAGTAAAGGACACTAAATCTTTCTCAGAACTGGGGCGCCCCAGGAGTAGTCAAGGCGGATATGGCATTCCGAATCATCTGTGAGTCTGAGCAACGTCGGGCTAGACTCGTGTGTTGACGCCGAACAGGGTTTATCGTCAGTTTATGTCTCTTTGGGGCCATGCTACGACGTCTCCGTCTCGTCCCGTCTGGTCGTTACACACGCGCCCCCTACATTCTCCTGTCCATCGTTACGGGCACAACGTCCATCGGTTACCTTCTCTCTGCAATATTGTTAAGAGGCGCGAGCGGCATGTCTTCTTCGCTTATGCACAACTTGGACGCGGTCACCAGCGTCTTGTGGAACATCAATTCTGCGTTCCAACCAGCGGTCTGCCTCTGGCTCATCCACCTTCGCGGCAGGTTAACGGGTGCGACTCAGGCAAAGTCAGCTAAGCCTTGGGTATCCCACTTTTGGAAGCGGATCGTCGACTGGTCGCTTGTGGCCATTACCTTTATCCTTGGTATCTCGACGATGGCAATCGTGGCCAATGGGTGGACATTGTATGACGGACGCCAGATCAGTGACGGACAACTTTTCGAAATTATCGCCGTCAGCCGTCAACTCAACTATGCCGTATTCACATTTGGCTTGCTTCTTTCCGTCGATATTATGGTCTCTTTGATCGCTCTCAGAATGTCACAGAAACGAGTCAGCTTTACTGATCCCGTAAGTGAACGTCTACAAAATCAAGGCGCGTTTGCTAACAGAACATTGCCCAGTTAACCACACGGCTTCTCGTCGCCGTCTTGCCCTTTGTGATCCTCGGCTTCATCCAATCCCTGGCAGCTTTAATCTACCAAGAGACGACTCTGAAGTACGCGATTGACGTCAACGTCTACTACGTCTACAACCTCGTCATCACTATCATCGGTGGTGTGCTCACAATGGGGATCATTTGGGGTCTCCTTTCCACCATGACGATGCCCAACGTACTCTGGGTTGCAGGAGCTGCTCCATCTTCTCTTGCTCTCCCTGTCGGTGAAAACGCTGGATACATGCCACAGCAGTCGCAACAATCCTTCCCTCCCCAGCCACCGGTAGCACAGTGGCAAAGCTCGCCCTACGCGCCTCCTACTCCAGGACAATACCCCTACCCTGTCGGTCAATATCAGCCACCGCAGAATCCACCACACGCTCAACAAACGTACAATCCTTAAACTGTCCGACAAGTGCTGTTATAGTACATATGGCTTGTAAACGATGGACATTTAGACGTTCGTTATTCATATAAATGTTATATATCATGCAAAGAGATGGTTTCTCAGGCAGAGTACACCTAGGTCCGGGCCCTTTAGAATTGGTGACGCTTTGAACCTGAGTTACGAGGGGTTGCGCCAAGGGGGTTCGACTACCCGAAATAGAACTTGGACGACAGTTTGAACGTTTATCGTCTCCTCTAGCAAATTTGTTATTTCGATGAAGTACGTACTGCCTCTTGGCTAGTGGCAAGGTCATATCGTTCCTGTTGCCTCACCTTATCACTTAGTCTATTACTCTCAGACCGTGACTAGATACGACTGAGGGTGCGATACGTCCAGCCCATGACTTTTCCAGACAAATTCATCATATATACTGCCAAAAGCCGAGTTGCCTGGGCAAGTATTTCCCAGCTATACGTTGCTCGAGGGATGCTTTAGGAAATCTCAACCACCGTATGTAACTGGGGACAGTGCTGTTGCATTTCGAGTGAGAAAGAAAGAGGCGACCGAGATTGCGGACAAGGAGAGAGAGAGAGAACGAAGAAGACGAATAGGAATGTGTGATTCAAACTCGAAATAGTGGAATGGAATGACTTTTGCATCCTCTTGAACAATGTACGATCTCTCCAAGGTCACTAGGTCAGTAATGTACGAATATTCTGGTATTCTTGTCAGTCGTAATCTACTCCAGGCGAGTTGCCTTTGATTGGCTTTGCTAAGTTGACCCGAGCTTCTTCGGCTGACCGGAACAGAGTATTGGAAAGGAGTCTCGCTGGGCTCATCTATAGCTCAGGAGTACTGTTTGCTGGATTACCTTCTAATTGGACCTGTTAATCTCGTCGCCGACGCGTCAAGAGTACCTCAAGGGTCAGTGCCAGTAGCCACAAACGAGCCAATTTACTCGTATAAAATCATCTACAACGCTAATTCACGTATTTTGGTTACAGACTACTCGTTCCTTCGTCTCTTCCACGTCTGCCGGCCATTCTATCTCCTCCAGCGCAAGTCCTTTCTTCTTTCAAACTCGTACCGCAAACAGTTCAAGACTATACCGTCTCATATTTTCAATCAGCCTCTTCGTCTTTGAGCCCCAGCGACGCCCAGCAGAGTGGCGCGAGGATCGAGGACACGGGCACTGAACACACGCAGCGCGTTGCGGACATATGGCAGACCTCTCGAGCCGTCCATATTCACCAAACTACTCTGGACTCGTCAATCAAGCAGGCGTCGGTGGTTTCCTGCTCTTCCTATGCTGGACGGGCTATGAACTCATGCGTTCCTCGCGGCGACACCGCAAACGCGAGCTTGGCTGGAGCTGGAAGTGGAAGGAAAGACTCGGCAGTGTCGAGAATTGGGAATTTGGCTAGTGAGTGTTTCTCCCTCCCAAACGCGCTTCACGAGCTGAGCCGACGCGCTCTTCCGCTAGTCTATACCAAGCCAGGTGTTGGTCGCTAAGACCGTCCGTGAGACTCCCGAGATATCCTCTATGGTGGATCAAGCAAACTATACGGTTCCCAGAGGATAAGCTGCCAGAAATGATTGGGATAGACCAGGCGTTTTACTGCAGGTTCATCCGAGGCTGCTGTAGGTTGACCTTTCGAGACAGACGGTCTCTTTACTAATCCATTACAGGGTGGTTTACTCTCCTTCATACATTCACCACGCTCCCCGTGCTCCTGACCATCAACCTCGCTCTAACACCGCCTACGAAAGAAAACCCGACAAAGTCAATGACAAGAGCGTCACTCTCCCAGCTGATTGCCTCTCCTGCCGGCCTGCATTTACTATGGATCCACCAGTTGGCGCTCTATTGGTTGCTCGCCACATGGCTCTTTGTTCTTTGGTGGCTCGGAAGAGGTCTTTGGAGGTGGAGAGAACGGGCCATAGAACGTGCACGGCGAGCGCTGAATGACGGTGTCTCTGTGCTGAGTCCCGCCCCGTTACCACAAACGAGGCGAGAGAAGAAGGGAAAGAAGGAGAGTAGTCGGGCCCCTGAATCCCAAATACGACATCAGCAAGAAGGAGATCTCGAATCGTCCCTCGTTACCATTCGTGGAGAGCCATTACCACCCTCCGTCTACAACCATGACCCAACCTATTCTGACGTTGGAACGGCGCCGTACCAGCACATTCACGCCCTTCACCCTCTTCCCCCTTCTGCGCATCCACATACTCCCTATGCGCCGTCACCATCGTCTGCTGCCGACAGAGGTCTCCGTCTCCGTACTGTCATGGTCAGCAACGTTCCCGTCGGCATGCGAAGTGAGTCCGAGTTGAAGGAATATTTTGAATACTACATGTCCAAGCCGATTCTTGTCCCACCCATCACACCTGGATTCCTCCCTCGCATCTTCAACTGGTTCCTCCATCGAAAACCGGCTCGGGCGGCTGCCAAGCGCGTCATGGGGGATAACGTCAAGCGCATCTCCAAGACGAACCCCGTAGATGCCGCTGTGAGGCGTAGTGCCGACGGTGGTGTCTCTACGCCGCCCAACGGTGCGCTAAGGCGCGATGGTGTCCCGCACGAAGACTCGAATCCAGAGCCATTGAACGATCCTCGCGTGGGGTTCGACTTTGGTATCATCGACTCTCGACCGGAATCACCAAACTTTGATCCCAACGCGCCACCACCCATCATTGAGCGTGTCATCATTTGTCGAAAGATGACGGAGCTCACGAGTCGGCTTGAGCGACGGGAACAGTATCTCCGAAAGCTCGAGGCGGCGCACTGCAAGCTTGCGAACAAGGCGTTGGAGGATGTGAGGGATTGGATTGAGAGTGGTGGAAAGTTGAAGCGGTCTAGCAAGCGTCTTTCTCGCGCGTCGACGCGTTCCAACTCCAAGGATGATAAAGGCAAACTCCCTGCATCGCCCAAAGCGGAAGACCTCGAGCGTGGTCCGGACAGTCCAGTGCAAGAAGTGGTAGAAGAGGCAAAAGAGGCTCCCGAACAAGATGGGGACAGCAGTTCGGATGAAGAATTTGACGAAGAAAAGGAGCAAGCGCGAATGGAATTACTCGCAAGAGAGCTCGGTCCATTTGTGGAAGAGTTTTACCCTGATATCAAGGCGCCGAGGCTTCGTCGACGATCTCGTGGGCCCAACTCGATTGAAGCCAAGTGGAAGGCCAAGTTTGGTGCTGGATATGATCGCGTCAGTCGAGAGGGGAGTGATGAGACGGGTGCAGCAACTTATCCGCCGAACGGGCAGACGAAAGAAACGCCCAATTCGGCACCTGATTCGGGGGAGACAAGTCCACCCCGGACGCCAGATGGACATCGGAAGACGATTTGGCACGTCTTGCATGCACTTCCGCGGTCCTATCTCGACCCATACCAACCGCTCGTGTCGCTCTCTACCCTCTTCAGGGGCGCGACAGCACCAGCGATTGATTATTATCATGCCAAGGTTGGGCTGTTGACAAGTCTCATTAGTGAGAATCGGAGTACGCCACAGAGGGATTTGATCCCGACCAGTACGGCGTTTGTCACGTTTCATTCTCCTCAGGATGCGAGGCGATGTGTTCGGTAAGATGATCGATGCCCATTTCGTTCTACTCTAACAACGTACTAGGTACCTTGCAAACCACCCAGATAATCTGTTGGCCTGTATAGTCGAGCCAGCGCCAGATTGGCGAGACCTCGACTGGCATCGTATCGGACGGTCGACATTCACTGGAGAATTTTTGCGAGACTGGATTGTCAAGGCCGGTGTTTGGGGCTTTACACTCTTTTGGATCATCCCCGTCGGAGCCTTGGTGGCGCTCGTGTCCGTAGACAAGATTTCGTCGTTTATCCCTGGACTCGCTTCCTATTTCGACGCACATCCGTATCAAAAGGAGGTTATCACTGCCTTTTTGCCGACGCTCATTGTCGCCTTGCTCGCTATTTTGGTGCCGATGCTCCTTCTCTTGATTGGGAAGCAGGCGCATACGATACTTACACTCAGCCGACTTCACGATACGATCATGGTTCGATATTACAAGTTTCTCGTTTGCAAGTATGTCTGTCTTTTTTATACCTCGTTCATTTTCTGACTCGCCTTAGCGTTCTTGTGTTCTTTTGTATCGGTACTACGACGCTTAACGCCATTCTTGATCAAATCAAGTTACGACCAGGGGGAGGCAACGTGCAGCAGGAGCGGACCGACTTTGTCAAGATTGTTGCCACGTCCTTTCCCAATGCGGCTCCGTTTTATGTCGGATGGTTGGTGTTCCAGACAGCAATGCATAGTGGATTGGAGCTAGGACTTTGTGAGTGGGATCCCTGATTCACCGTGTTGGGCTAATTGTTTTGTAGATGGAGTGAGTGGAAAGGCATTGTATGGGGATACGTGCTGATATTTTCAAGCTTCCTTTGCTAGTCTATCCCGGAACTCGTGCGTCGACTACACTTCGACGGCGAGAGGTCGGTATTCGACCGCGTACCTATAACTTTTATTGTAAGCGAGCTGACATTGTTTGGCCGGGATGCTTATATCTCTATAGACTGGCTTCCTAATCACGTCATGGTCATGATGATCGTCATCGTCTTTACCATTCTTAACCCCTTGGTTATTCCGTTCTCGCTGATCTATTTCGGCGTCGCGGTCGGTGAGTGCTTTGATGGTTTATTGTTGACATGTTTTGATACTTCTCCAGCTGTTCATAAGAACCAATTGATGCGCGTCTACTCGAAATGGTACGACCAAAAGGGAACAATCCTGTATATTCGCATCTTGCGCTACTCCCTAGATGGATTCCTCTTTGCAGAGGTCAGTATATCCGGCTGATGTGGGTGCCAGGCTAAACTCCTCTAGATCGTGTTCCTGGCGCTGAACATTCTTACGAAACGCAGTAACCCCGGTCATGAAGCAGACGTTATTGCTGCCAACTTTGGATTGACTGGTATACTTCTCATCGTCACGACCGCTGCCAAGATCTAGTAAGTTGTGCTTGCTGCATTGTATACCTTGGCTGACATTGAAAAGCTTGACCACTGTTTTGCGATCCAAATTTGATGCTCTGGATGTCAAAGAAGCCGATGTCTATCATAATACTCACCAAGTGAATGCGGAGCGGGGTATTCCACCACCTCAACCCGAGTCCATCTCCAAGCATGATGACAGCGCAGAGAACGCGGGCCTCCTTGCCAACACTCAAGGGTCGCCAAAGGTGGAAGAAGATCTAGAGCCAAAAGTTGACTATCACCCTGGTAGCGTTCGTCTCTGGAATTGGAAGTTACCGACGACAGAGGAAGACGTGCTCTATCGCACCCTCCCTGGACATTTCGCGGCTCGTCCGCTTAGTCCACGTGCTGCGATTCCTTTCGACCTCGGTGATGGTGAACCGGTCAGTGATGGTGAAGGTATGGCGAAGCACACAACAGTCCCCAGTCGTAGTCCTCCTCGGGCATACGCACGACGATGGTCTGTTGGTGCCGTTGGCGTCGGGGGTGTAACGTTTCCCAAGGAGCTCACGGATGCACTCGAGTCGCCTACATCTCCCACCAGCCCACTTACAGCCACAAGCGTTGCGCCTTTGCTTGCCCATGCATCTGCGATGGAACACGCACGTCAATCCATGGAACGCGGTCAGGAGGCCACGATTCGCGCCGTCAACAAGGCGCTGGCACTGACCGAGGCGCGCGATGGCAATGGACTGGATGCGCATGGCCGTGGACGACCAGGAATGGGACGTGCAACTATCAGCTTTGACACGCCACCTATTATCATACGCGAGAAGAAGCCGTCGATCACGTCTTCGTCTGCTCCCTCTGCCGCTTCGAGGGCTGCCAGCTCTCGGGGTAGTTCGAGCCTGCGAAGCTGGATCGACTTGCAGGGTGCCTCTCCACAGAATCCTCGCTCCCAGTCGTCGGATCCTCTTCCACCGCTGATTCGACCGCATCCAAAGACGGGACCATGGGACGATGCACCGCGCTACGATATTCCATATCATAATCCTGCGTATACGTGCACGCTCGACGACTTTTTGTGGCTCCCTCGCAACCCGTGTGGAAAGCTCAATCTGGACGACTCGATCGAGATGCGCAAGGCCATTCGTACAGAGGCACATTTGGGTGCGATGGGCGAGTGGGTGGATGACGGCAGTTCGTTTGATGTCATTCCGCGCAACACGGTGGCTAGCGTGGATGTTGTGCCTGGGACCGTCCATCCGGACAAGATGACCGTCTCGAGTGCTGGTGGCGCTCAGACGGGAAGCGAATTGGTGGGGACCGACGATGCGAACTCGGGCGCAATTCCACTCTCGCGCCGGATCACGATTGCGACGACGAGCTCAGTGGCACATCATACGCAAAAACTTCTTAGTGGGATGGAACATATCCACCTTCCTGCGGGAATTCGTGCTCGAGTGTCCAAGAAGGCGGCGGATGAGTTCGGATTCAGGAGGAAGAAGCAGCGCCCACCGCCCATTATGCTCAGTCCCAGTGCGGAGGAAATCGAGCAGTCTGAAGGTGCTGCGATAGAAGAAGAGGCCAGACATAGCGGCTACTTTACCATCCGCGACCGACGGCCAAGTACGACGATTCGACCCGTGCTGAGGATGTCTGGCAGCGGACGTTACCCACATTCTCCGAGCGGTGGTCGAACAGAGGGTCATGCGTCTACCTCTACGTTGGGTGTCAACCGACGACCCAGTTCTCGATCGATATTCTCTCGGTATTCGTCTGCCGCGACGACGCACTCGAATGTATCTGCAGGCGGAGAGAGCGGGATGGACGTGACGCTGGATCCGGCGTTGATGCCTGATATTAGTACAGCTTCGCCATTCTTGGGGCCAGAGTTGCAGATTGTGATGACGAGGCGGAGTACACTCGGACTTCCAACATCTCCTCGCTCGACAGAGGCACTAGAGGCTACAGACCCGCGTCGGACGCACAGCATGTTCGTACCCGGCGAACCAGTGGGCGAAGGAGCGGGTGTAGCTGGACCCCTCTCGCCGTCCGATCCAACTCACGAGCTTGGTATGCGGCGGATGCGATCTCATGGCGGGATCTCTGCTATATCCCGCGCGGGTAACCGACCTGGTTCTTCTGTACTTGGAGGGGGAGGAGGGCGGCGAAGAGGGGGCAGTCTGAGCATTCGTGATGCCATTGTGGGCGAGGTTCTGGCCGAAGAGCAGGTGGCAACTGCCAAGCGACTACAAGAAGAGATACAGGATGCGGAAAGGGCAGCTGGCCCCAGGAGTTATTGGACTGGATGGATGTGGAGACAGGTCCCGAACAATGCCCACGTCCCCCACCCACCAATATCTCTTTCAGAACACCGAGAGCAAGCGGAACAAGACGCACGGCTGCATCACGGCCAACAGGATCAGCATCTTGCGCAAGAAGTCCGGCAGTTTCCTGTTGTAGAGGAAGTCCATGCATCTCCAGAGGAGGAACTAGGACAAAACGTGGCTGTTCCACGTGCATCATCGTCTTATAGGGATCTCACTCGAGCGGAGTGACTATTCGATGTCTATTTCTTCCGGTAGCTTTCGGTTCATTAGTGCATAATTCATGACAGCATCCAATTCTCGCATAGTAATGAACATGACGACTTTGGTTTCCTGTTCTCGTATCGACGGCTGAGACTTTAAGCCATGTAAATGAACGCCCGCGTTGGATAATGAAGAAGTCGAACTCCTGGTGGCGGTGAGTGTCCATCACGGTCGCTGTTGTGGGGCACGTCGTTTGTTTGGCAATTCCCTGTGGATTCTCCAGGGTTTGTAGGCGGATTCCTCCCTTGCTGGCCTACCTCACTCGCGCCTCGAGGCCCGATCCTCAATCTCTTTCCTGACCGCTTCAACTGCAAGCGACGACTGTGGCCGAAAGAAACTGTACAAATTCGTCAAGTAATCTAGCCACGATATTGGGTTGTTTATACGCTCTCAGGGGTTTTTACTTGTATTTTATTCCGGTGAGCGGGTATTTCTTTGCCCATATACTCTCAAGAGTGTCGATATCTGTCTATTTCTACTGACTAGACATCCTATATAGGCCACAGGCGACGTTTGGTGTACTATAGTTGTATGAACTAGGCGAGAAAGCGAATCTTCGACCGAGCTTATTCGGGTCGCATGGACGCACTCCGCATCAAAACACTCGAAGAAGATAATGCATTTCTACGAGGACAAGTCAAGCTTCTCCAGGCGAGAAATTCACAGTTGGAGGCGAGGATTGCGCAGTTGTCGGTACGTCTTGGCCTCGATTCCGCTCCCTCATCCTCTATTCGTAACCTGGGCACCTTTCCACTGGTTATCGTTATCTTCGGAAACCACTTTGCTGTCAAATAGGCGGTATCACTCGCCGCTTCGACCCGGCTTGTGCTTACTCCGGAGTGGGAATGTTGGTCTAGAATGCCTCTAGAACAATAGTTTTTCCTCGTTTCTACCTGATGGATCTGTACTCAGCCCAGTCGGCTACGAGCGCCGCAGTCCTGTTTCGACCTTGCCGCTACAGCGTGCAAAATGGGGTTTACATTGTCATGCCAGAGGCAGTCGGCACTAAATCGGTTAAAAATTGTCCTGTGTTCGCAGTTTGACGTCAGCGCGTGCTTAGCGCCTTTGAATTCGCCTGCTCGCCTCGGACTTTCCCATCATCTTGCGTTACCGCATGCTGACCTGCGCTTCCTACGCACACTCGAACAATGTAGGCTTTCATCCCATCGTCGTCCTCTTCGGTATCATCCTCGGCCTCGGCTTCGACTTCGTCTGCCTCGACTATCAACGCTCCAACGCCAGTAGATCCTCAATCACAAGCTGCTTCAAGATCCGTTAGTGATGACGAGGCTCAGTTTGCCAGGGTCCAATCACCGCAAGAAGAGGAGAGAGGTGAACAACAGCCAGGGAGTGCGTCGACCGTCGTTGGTGGACAGGACTGGAAATCTACCAACCCTCCTGCGTATCATGGTCCCCCGCTCGAAACTAGTGATGCTGTGTCTCCTAGATCGGCATCTTTTGCCAGTAGAGCAAAATCTCCAACCACCCCCATCACCGGCGTTTGGGGACGAAGTTATGATCCTCCTACGCCACGCCCTACACCGATCCGATCAAAACCTCCGACCCCCGTCCTAGGTGTGCCAACTAGTTCTGTCATCCGAATCACGCATGCCAGTTTACCGGCTGGCGGAGGAAGTGGAGGACGATATAGGTCAAAAACATTACCTCCTCTTGCAACCTCGCTCACCAGTGCCTCGTCCAATCGTCGTGGGGCGCCTACAATACTTTCTGCCGTCAATGGGACACCTACCCATGCCATTCCTCCCCCACCGATGTCGATAACTCATCCCAGTATCCTTAAACGTATCTTTCAATTTGCAACAAGCACTCATCTCATTTCCACTGATCCGTTCTTCCAAGATGCCACGACCAATGCGTGGTTTCTTTCACTCAAGACAATCAAATCTTTGTGTCTCTTATCCAAAGAGTGTCATATTCTTGCTCTCCCCCTTCTCTACACCTCGATCCGCCTCCGTCGAATACCGCAACTCGCTGCGCTCGTCCAGACTCTCGAATTTAGAGCGCGCTTCACTCCGCCGTGGCTCGTGGGATCCAACCACTATGGCTCGTACACCAGATCGCTCGATCTCTCCTTCTACATCCCTCCAGAGTGGAACAACCTCTACGTCGAAGACGTACGCCGCCTCATCGCGTGTGTACCCAATCTGCAAATCTACCGCTCCCGACCCATGCTCGCGATCGAAGGTCCGAGACCGGTACCACCGCCCATCATGAGCTGCCTAGGCGAGATGCGCAACGAGTTGCTGAGCGAGCTCGAGTTATCGGAGCAGGAAGGCCCACAAATGACCGATCTCGTACGGTTATTGCAGAGCTGCACATATCTCGAGGCACTCACGCTCGGTCTGTACGTCTTTGACGGTGGTCTTGGACGAGAAACGCCGGTTCTTAGGCTTCCAAGCCTGAAAAGGTTGGAGGTCAAGGTGACCAACAGATCCACGCCCGGATCCTTTGCATCCTTTCCGTCTCCGCACGTTCTCGTCGAGGCCTCTAAATGGGACCTACCTCATCTAGAAGCGCTCACTCTCGTGCTCCATGACGAGATCAAGGTGCCCTTTACAGCACTCAACCCGTTCCTGAATATACATGGACACAAACTCAAGACATTGACATTGAGAGACGTGAACCCGCTCATGCGCGCACCTCCGCTTCAAATCTCGGGAATACTCTCACGCTGTCCTAATCTCCTGGAAGTCAAAGTTGTCGCATCTTCAACAGCACCACTACATCTCGCCCGACCACACGCATGCTTGGAGCGTGTGAGATTTCTGGGCGTCGCACCTGGGAGCAAGCAGGATGGGGGTAATTCAGATGCGCTCTTAGAGCACTTGACCGTCTTCTCCGTTGATAATTTGGAGAGTCGAGCAAGGTTCCCATCTCTGAAGGAAATAGTTATTCAGGAGAAGAGGACGTCAAGGCGACCGAGGCGTTGAGATTTCTGTGGCAAGACTCGCTAGGGAGTGACGTGCGGGTGATCTGCGTCGGTATTGATGGAGATGTCGTCGACATACCTTCGCCAACGCAGCTATTGGCGATGGCCACTGGTACAAACGCCAATGGAACGAAAAGTAGTTGGGATACCTTTGGTGGTGTAGAGGAAGACGATGAAGAAGAGTGGCTTCCCTCAGATCCAGACGATGAACCAGACGATGAGTCCACTGTGGATGGCGAGGGTGCCCGTGGAGGGTGGAATAGCGACGACGAGTACGAGTATCTCGCTGGAGACGAGGATGACCTCGGAGAAGATGAAGAAGAAACTGTCAAGGACTCGAGGAGTGGCAGGGGACGGGATGATGATCAATTCGATCACACAACTGCGCTTCTCATCTTCCAAGACTCAAGCGCGCCGCGAAAAGGACGACACTCGTTTGTCCCCTCCTTTAGTGTCGAGCGTAGTGCGGCTGCCGCAGGAGGTACTAGGGGTGGAGGAAGCGGCAGTGGTGGGGCGAGCGCCTGATAACGAATCCTCGTGCAAGTGTAGACGAACATGGTCGTATCCACGGTCAAGGAAACGGCCATGCAGCCCATGCGAGCCTTGGACACGGCTCCTCATTTGGACTGAGACATAGCACGGGTCCCGACGCTGGCGTCTCCCACCACTCTCGTGAGCAATCGTTGGGTGCAAGTATAGGTCACCACGCACGCGAGACATCTTACCCCTCCCAAAATGGGCAAGCGACAAGTCAAAATCACAACACTACCATCAATACGAACGTGAACAGTGCTGTCGCTGCAGGGAATGCCGGTGCCAGTGCGCATGCTGGCACAACCAGTGTCGTCAGTGCTGGTCGGATGAGCCACCATGGGTCGGGAACTGGGACGACGCGTGTAGGATCTGTGATCTCAAGCGTACCTCGATGGGACCCAGCTCAAGTTCGCGTATGTGGTGAAACGACTCTGCGGCGGAGGATGAAAACGAAGAGGTTGGGATTAGACAATTAGGCAGGATCGTACTGGCTCTATGAGCTATCTTTCTCAATGGGGGACCCCGGTGACTCTCGTAGATGCACTAAGGTTGACGACTGCGCTCTATACCCGATTCAAAAGGACTCTCTAGCGCGGCTATTTCTTTCGAATGGATCGGATCATTTATGCTGTCCTGTCGATATGTATTCAACGTAGGATAAATGTGAATGTAATTTCCTTGGTAACTGCGACCCGAGGAGAGTGAGATGGCCACATCCATTCAAATGACGACATCCACAGCTTATCGGTTGGAACACGAGAATGAAAATATTGGGATAATTGTTTAGTGACGCCCGAAGTTCACCTCGACGCTGAGTGCGTTGCTCAACGGTTGCATCCCCTTTTGCCCAAACACGATTCCGATATGCAAAAGGTGAGGAATAAATATGCCTCTATTCCATGTATAGAGTAACCATTCAGACGCGAAAAGTAAAAAGGTTGGCAGTATGCCCGACTTGAACCTTGGCCACGTGTTTTTGATGCATGTACGTTTGTGTTCTTGAGCAGGTATACCGAAGTGACACCCTGCACACTATATGGACCCGCTCCGAGATGGGTCGCCCCGACTCGTCGATATGCTTATCTGCTTCGCGTGTATGCACCGCGGATGTTTGTAGATCATCAACATATGGATTCAAGGCCTACTGTGGGCTAAATTTGATGTAAAGAGCTACCAACCTCTACTTAATTTCCCTTCGGCTTTGGCTTTATTATCACCACCGCCTCATCGTCCCGACCTACGTCGTATGGCACAGGCTTGGATTTGGAAACACCTGTATACTCCTGAAGGAGGCTAGAGAAGGCCTGATAGCCAAAGTCTTCTAGTTGTCCTGCGTAAAACTTGACATTGGTGATCTCTAAATCGATCTGCACAAATAGAGTAGCAAGTGATGCCTTGAGGCTCGGGTTCGTGTCGGTATATTCCTTCAATTTTCCCACAAAGTCGGTGAGCCTTGCTGCGTATCCCTTGAGATCCTCCTTGTCGCGGACCGCATACGAGTTGCCGTACGCAAAATTTGGCCACTTGGAGTTTTTGAACTCCCTGAGCTGTTGGGCAAATTCTTCGCGTATTTGCTGAATGGAAGACTGCAGGTGGGATACTGCTCCGAGTGTCATGTACAATTTGCGGAGCATGACGGTGAGTTTATTGACGAGCCGTTCGAGTTCGTAGTCCTCTGAGAATTTAAGCTTCGCGTTGAGGATAAAGTCGAGCTTTCCTGCGGTGCACTGCTTACGCGCGAGCCTCTCCGTCGTACCGCGATCGCGGAAAATAGCATTGAGAGCCTCCCGGCGTGCGTTGTTATTGACGCCACTAATTTCCAGGACGCCGTCATAGAAATAAGACCATACGATCTTGACCTCTTTTATGTGACGAACGGCGCAGAAAATGAGGATCCAATAAAAGGACTCGTAATCGTGCCAATCGCGATGGAGTGGCCAATTATCCAATGCAATGGCCATGTACCTGACGGTACCCTGAGGACGCATGTCAACAAATCAAGTCGCAGAACGAGTTACTTGTACTGTACCGTAAGGTCTGGCCGTGGCGTCTTCCTCCCGGTTGAGGGTGGCGCCCCATCCAACTTCTGTGTCTCCGTCGTATTATAGGAGATTTTGTAGATCTGGGCGAGGTCTTTCGCTGTTCTTGCATAGTCGAGGTCAATGAGCATGCCGCGTCGAGTATCTCCAGACTTGGCCGGTGAAACTTGAATAAGAATATTGTCAAGGGAGATATCTCGATGGAGAATATTGGCCTTAGTGAACAGATCATTATGAGCTGAGAAAAGTCAGAGTCATACTATGATCATACAGGCTTCACTCACTCCGGAGGCATTGACGTAGAACGTCAATAAGCTCTTTGGTGGAGGTAAAGTTAGTGAGCTCTGTTCCGACTCCATCGAATAGATGCCAACAAGCGCGCCGCGCAACACCATCCTTAAGACGCTCGGCTTCGGAGACAGTCATAAACTTGCCCCGGGACTGCGCGCGATCCTCTGCCTCTGCGGATGAGAAAAGACGAGGAAGACAAATTCTGACTCTTTGTACAGCTCCTTCACTTTGCCGTCGTTGAAATAAGTAGCCTCTGCGTCCCGACTTAGAAACGGCCAGCTCGTCTTGAGAGTCTTCGTCTTCTTCAGAATATCTTCATCCGTCACACTCTCGATTTTCATTGCCTCGAAGAACTTTTTCTCGATGCAGATGTATACCTTTGTGCCGCGACTTACAATATTGGCTGCGCGCCAGATAGGGTGCTTGAATACGAGGTAGACGATCGGAGGCAGGTGTTCCTTTGTTGATTCATACACTCCAATCTGCCACATGAAGCTGGTTTTCATGACCTTGGCCCATCCTTTCTCAGGGGGGACACCCCTCCAGCTGGCATACTTTGGGATGAGAAAATCGAGCTTTTCTGAGTGCTCCTGCTTCCACTGATACTCGGTGAACTCCATCCTGTCACGAAATGCATCCGCCATGGACACTTCTGGGGATTTGTCGTCCTTCTCGGTGGTGCGCCAGTTGAGGCCGAGGCCGCTGCGTGATGTGATGGCGGCGAAGAGTTTGTATAAGGGAAGTACCTCCTCCTTCTCCTTGTATAGGAATGACTCGCTGACTACAACTCCAGTAGCGGTCCACTTCCAGAGTCGCATCTTGTGTCCAGTCACGGTGATGGAGTAAATGTAGCGACAAGGGTTGGATGGAAATTGTGCAAGGCTGACGTAGCGATTGATTTGATCGCATAGGTCAACTTGAGCACGCGAGTACTGAATTTCTTGGCTGGGATCCTCCGACAAATTCGGGTCATCCTTGAAGTTGCGTTTCACTTCGACTACAATTCCAGGGCAATAGAATAGAGTAGGCCCCCAGGAACCAGATTCCTCGCCATATTTGTCCCCTTTAAAGGTAATTAATAGGTCTGGCCCCGCTTTTGCATCAAGACTGAGGTCTTCGTCAAGTTCTTCACGCAGGGAGTGAGTGTCCAAACACACAAGCGGGACTCCAGCTCGATCGATGCAGTCTTGAAACCCCTTCCGCTAATGGCTGGTCAGCACGGTTAATAGTTAAAGTACATCCACATACCAGTGGTTCGTACATAGAAAGCTCGGTAACCTTAGGGTTGACCTTGTCGTTTGCATCGTAAATTTTGAGGTCAAAGGGTTTAAAGTCTTTCAGGTTCATGTCATCGAACGTTATCCCGTTTGCTTTCAACTCGTCGTCCGCGAACAAGTTCGCGTCCTTCACCACGATGTTTTCCAGGATTTGGGTCATGCCTGGACGAGCGAACGAATTAATGACATCAAACGCTCGCGTTTCGATCTGGGTTGAATTGCTGAAGGTCGACGACGCGGAGTTGGTGCCCACACTTGAGGTTCGGCTTCTTTGTTCCTTGCTGCCCTTGCTCTTTCTTTCACTCGCCGACGAATTTTGACTCATGGTGATAGATGGAGGGAAGGTGAGCCCAGACGGCAACTTCTTTGCAAAATGAGCGGATTGAAGCTCTGGTATTTGTACTCGACGCTACAGCTCCTGCGTGACGTAGGAGCAAAAAGAGTTTATCGGACGCATTGCGGCGCCTGCAGAGCTCCGTGACAGGAGAAGGGGGGTTAAACTGCGATGGCGTAGGGCTCAACCGTCCTCTTGCATTGTCCAGTGTCGAGAGATTCGGGGTGGTTTGAATATGTCAATCGCACTGAAAAACAGCATATTTCGGGAGGAGAGTGCGGCTGGGCTAGAGGACGGAGTTCTATTCACGGATCAGGCCAAGGATCGTGCATTCTGTAACACCCAGACCCACCCTGTTATTTAAGAGAGGAATACCCGTATTGATAAGAATATCCTGTTCTCGAAATCTCGGCGCTCGGAGTTGTCCTATCAGAGTGGCCATCACGGATATTGTGAAGCTCCTGTATTCAACACGGATGATGGTTCTGGATTTTCATATCGAAATTGGCCAGCAATTATGGCAGTTTCATATCGATGTGGTTGACGGACCCGCCCATCCAACGTTGTGTGTCAAAAGTACCGCTCGTCCTCACCGGAGAGTACTCATATTGCTCTAAAACTTAAGAATCAGGTTCTCCGACAGGTGTTCTTCGGGAAGAGGCGTCCTCCGCTGATAGTCAATGGCGAGGTTCTGGTCAAGGGATTGGCCCCACCGAAAAGGGAGAGTGAGGTCGGATTACTCCTTGAGCCCTTCATGATTATTCGCTAATTTCAGAAAATGAAAAGCGAGACTGCGTCAGTTCTGGCAACACTCTGCCTTTGTATTCAACAATAGTCATGTATTGTTCCTAGGTAGGGGTTCCTGTAAAGCTAGGAGACGCCGCCCAGCCTCGCGCGTCATCTTCTTGCCGCCGTTCACTGCGGCCATTGACCACGTACGCCTCTTGATACATTTACAGGATAATCTCATATGCACACACTAGTTATCTACATAAAGAACTGTTAGAATGTCCAAGCAGTTTTACGTCCAGCTCACACATGGTTCGTTGTATCAGAGTATAATGCACCTACACATCGTCTAATCCTCTCTATATAGGAATCCAAGGTGGAATCATGCCACCAAACCCGACGTCCATCCAGACGCTGACGTCTGCCCCCGAGAACGGACAGCCATCTCTGCTCTTCAAACAGACCAAGCGCTCTCATGATCAACCCAAATTGCCAGACGAACCCACGATCCAGTCTACTGCCGCCGTGTCCAAGATCAGCCAAATCGACGGCCTGATCGCAGAGCTCGAGGGGATTCTGAAGAAGCTGCCGACTGAGAATCCACCAGGTGGAAAGGATATCTACGGGTTAGATATTGGACTCATGTACGGGAGCGATAACGTCGAGTGGATGAACGCTGCGCCGAGTGGCTGCGGCGGTGGCTTTTCCGAGGTCGAACCAACGCCAGAACAGATTGAGCAATTCAAGCGTGCGGTTGCGATTGTAGAAGAGATTGGAAATCTGTCCCAGTAGGCGTATGGAAATAGGAGACGTTCTCAGAGTTTGCCATAGGAGCGCTAGAGGGCACGATTGGCAATAGTAAACTGAATAGACATGCTGCCAGAGCTTGGTTAGCTGCCAGAATTTCCATCGAGAACTAGGCCTCTTTTGGTTGGTCCTCCTAGAGGCTTGAGCATTATCTCCAGAAACTAATCAACGTTATCCTATACTAGTTTTATCATAATGAACCACAGAGTCCAACTCTTTGGAAGCGAGTGGTGCTGCCGTATATTCCTTGTTGGCCCTCAACTGCGTGGACGCGCTTTTCGTTATTCCGACCTGGGCTCATTGAACCTATTCGGAATCCTTTCTCCTCCCATCAGACCTTGAGGAGACGTCCGAACGTTCGTCACGAGGGTGTTGACGCCAACAACTCGTCCAAATCCGCATCCCCCCTCCCGTAGGACACTCTGAGAGGCAATCAGAGCGGAAATGTCGCATTATAAAGAATACGAGCGCATACCGTTGGCCGACTCGACGCTCGACGACGAACGTTTCCATGCTGAACAAGCGTATGCGGAAGGCTACGCCGGCGGTAGCACCAAGGAATCTCAATCGAAATTCCAAGAGGGGGATACTCGGATATGGAGCCGGATAGTGCGACCCGTGAGCCTTATCCCGCTTTTCGCAGGCTTCGTCGGCGGCATCCTCTGCACCCTCATTCTTCGCTTCGTCTTCCCATGCTACTCCAGCCCCTCGGACCTTCTCCACCATTCTATTACACCACCATTTGAGCATCCTAGCGTCGCCCGTCCACCGTCGTATGCAGGGACATTTTCTTTTCCCAAGGATATTGGCGCGACAGAGGTACACGAGTACCCACCAGCGTCGCCGACAAATCAGAAGCCAGAGCATTTCCCGACCGAGATAGGGTACCCCGGTCCAACGGCTACGGGTGCGGAGCCTGGTTTGGTCATGACGGCTGGAGCGGGCTTGTATCCGTCGTGGAAAGGAACAGACGGTCTCGTCGGTGCGCCAACGTGGGATAAGCACTCGTCTTCGTCGGACGAGTTTCCAAGTTGGATTGAAGAAGCCGACGAGATATCCGGCAAGGGCAAGCCACCCAAGGAAAAATTCAACATTTTCCACAACTGGGGAAACCTTTCGCCATTCTACTCTGTTCCGAGATCCTCGTTTGGAATCGAGTCTGGACCAGAGGTGCCGTATGGTTGCGAGCTGAAGGGTGCGCATATTCTTCATCGACATGGAGCGCGATATCCTACTACGTGGTGTACGTACTTCTTTCATAGTTTCCACCGACTGGTCTTTCTTACACATGCCATAGTCGGATACGGGTCCCCCAGTGCCTTTGCCTCGCGCCTCCATGCTGCCGCTGAGAATTCGACAACTCCACTCAAAGCCACTGGTGCACTCGAGTTTCTCAACACGTGGACATACAAACTCGGTGGAGAAGTTCTGACGCCGTTTGGACGACAGCAGCTGTTCGATCTCGGAGTCAGTATGCGCATGAAGTATGGTAGCTTGCTCGAGGGCTTCAAGAACGTGAGTCTCCAAAGTTGAATGCGAGTACATTGGCTAACAGTTTCTCCATCTGCTAGCGTCTTCCCGTGTTCAGAACAGAGTCGCAGGATCGTATGCTGGCGAGTGCGACCAACTTTGCTCTTGGCTTCTTTGGATGGCCTTTGGAGAACAAACTATTGCTTAGTGTCACCGTGGAAGAGAATGGGGTGCGTCTGCGTTTTCTACCTTTCCAAGTACTCACGATTTCGCAGTACAACAACACTCTTGCGCCATACAAGACGTGTCCCAATGACAATAATCCAACCATTGGCGGACGTGGATACTACTACGTTGAGAAGTGGACTCATGTCTACCTTGAGGAGGCGCGGCATCGAATTCAAAAGATGCTACATGGATACCCTCTTGGAATAGAAGATATCTATACTATGCAGATGATGTGTCCTTACGAGGTGCGTATCTTCTCGGGGCGATGCCGGCGGCAGTTTGATGGCCTTTAGACCGTCGCACTTGGGTACTCAAGTTTTGCGAGCTCTTTACCGAAGAAGAGTGGGAGGGATTCGAATATGCGCTTGACCTCTACTTTTGGTACGTTTACCTTTCGTCTAAGCGAAACCCCTACTCACCGCAAGCAAAGGTACGATTCTGGATTCGGCAGTCCCGTCGCACGCGCCCTGGGATCGGGCTATGTGCTCGAAATGCTCTCACGACTCACGCAAACGCCCATTTCGGGGCACTCTTCGCCAATCTCCGACCCATCTAAATTGTTCAGCGTAAACACAACGCTCGATTCGGATAGCCTGATGTTCCCACTCGACCAACCGCTCTATGTCGACGCGACACACGAGGTGGTGATTGTAAACATCTTGACGGCGCTGAACGTGACGGTGCTCGCAGAGGACGGTCCGCCTGGGTATACGAAGATGAAGCGTGGGCGACGATGGATTACGAGCCGTATAGCGCCGTTTGCGTCAAATGTTCAAGTTCAACGTACGCCTTTTACCTTTTTGTTAGTATTGATGCTAAATGATAACCTAGTTCTCCAATGCTCTGCAAACGAGTTGAAAGACGACACTCAAGTCCGAATCATTCTCAACGATGGCGTCGTCGCGCTCACGGGTATCGAAGGGTGTCCAGAGCAAAAGGATGGCATGTGCCCTCAGGAGACGTTTATCAAGTCGCAGAAGAAGTTGGTCGAGGGGAGTGATTGGGAGTGGGCGTGCCATGGCAATTGGAGCGTTCCGGAGGGGGATAGGTGGAGGACGATGACGGGAGATCCACCTTCCAAAGATTAGACATACACGGGAGATAACGGTGTAATATATTGAATCAACGTCTTTACAAAAATAAAATACATCCTCGTTGAGGTAGGTCCACCGTCATGGCGTCTGCATCGCATATCTGTCAACGGGAATTAGCAGTTTTTGTCATGAGAAGGACGGTCACCTACTCAAGCTTGTATTTGATTGCCTGTTGTTCATACGCAGCCAGTTCATAAATCTGGTAAATCCGACCCGGAACAATCATCGCAGCGAACGACCTTGCTGTTACTTTGCTTGATCGTGGTCAGTTGGACGAAGCAGAAAGGGTGCTACGAGACGTGCTTGCTCTGCGGCTCGAGATGTTCGGACCACGGCATCCTGAGACCGTCATCGCAATGAACAATCTTGCGTCGACATTATGTCGTCTTGGTTAGTGGGACGAAGGGGAAAAGATGCAGCGAGACAATGCTCACCCTGCAGCTCGAGATCCTTGGACCGTGACATCCACACACCCTCGACGTGACATAAAACCTCTCTAAATCGATCCGACAGATATATCCAGAGAGATTTCTCTGCGGTGCTTGTCGTTCTGCGTCTACACCCCACCCTCTATGCCGTGCACGGCGCTGCCTTCTTCCCTGGCCGAATTTAGAACGGAAGTTGTGCAAATGTGTATTGAGCAATGATCTGAGGGGTTTTTTTGTCGTCGAGATGCTGGCCAAGGAGATTGAGGTCGCTGGTCAACCAGCGAGGCGGTGCATTTCATCTGGTTAGACGCCAGAGTATAGATAAAGGCAAGGCATTTGGTCCCTACCATCACCATCCCGAACAACAATGTCGGGTCTTTCCTCTGGTTTCAGGAAAATCATACCACTCCCCAAATCGTCTCTGCGGGACGTGGACCAACCAATGTCTTCTGCGGATTCTGATAACGAACAACCATCGACATCGAACTCAAAGTCGAAAATAGACCATCTCGGGTTTCTAGAGCTTGCTCCTGGAACAGATCCACTTATCGAGTGAGTCGCTCAGAGAAGAGACGCGCCTGGAGCTGAGCCCATTTCTTCAGTATCGTCGCCATCCATGGCTTGGACGGGCACAGAGAGGAAACTTGGGAGACTGACGGAGTTCTGTGGCTGCGCGACCTCGTGCCCTCCGAATTGCCTCGTGCCCGAATCCTCACTTACGGATACGATGCGGACACTCAAAGTGCGGAATGCGTGTCGACGCAGACTATGTATCGCCATGCAGATGAATTCGCCAAGGCGCTCGCAAGGAAACGCAAGGACGTCTCTCGAGTGAGTGCATATGCTTATCTGGGCACTCGTTTGACATAGAGCAGCGACCTATCATCTTCGTCACACACGATCTAGGAGGTATCATCCTCAAATGGGTGCGTAATCCTCAATCCGGTGCAAATCAGCCGCTGACATTCTCCAAAAGGCTCTGGTGATCTGTCACAACCAGAGACTGGATTCGGAATGTGACCTCAGGGACGTTCTAATTTCCACGCATGCAATCCTCTTCTTTGGAACGCCACACACTGGCATAGAATCTGAAGTCAGTATCCTTGATGCGGTCAAACGGTTGGCGGCGTCAGTACGTATGGAGACGACAGACACCATCGTCAAGGATCTTCGTTCTCACTCTTCTGAGCTTGAGAACGTACAGAAGCTCTATGTCGAGGCAAGCGCGAAAGTCAAGAGCGTATTTTTCTGCGAAGAATACAAGACACACGTCGATGGCAATCGACGAAGATTGGTCAGTGGAGACTACTCCTAGGATGAGCGCTGACGACTCTTTATAGAACGTCTCCCATCATTCTGCAGTCATTGCTGGAGACCGAAATGCCACAACAGTCGTCCTTCACGCCAATCATGAAGCTTTGGTCCAATTCTCAGCTGCAGAAGGAGTCAACTATCAAAGTGTTCTCTACTATCTCCAAAAGTATCTCGACAGCGCACCGACGGCAGTGTGTGAACAGTGGGCTACCGAGGACAGTTGTCGACGTTCGTACCCAATCTATGCTCCCTGCGTGGCTAATTACTCGTAGGTGCTGCAAAGGGTGAACCTGCCTCTGAGGAGGTCATGCTGCCAAAACCTTGCCCACCAGTGTCAAGAGGCTACGTCGAACGACAACACCTTCAGTCGCTCATCACCCAGAAGTTACTTCCGAAAGGTCGCGTGAAGCACCAGCCGCGTTGTATACTACACGGGATCGGAGGCGCAGGCAAAACTCAACTCGCTACAAACTGGATTCAGGAGAACGAGCTTCGGTATGAGCTTTGGTGCTGACAGGAGAGTGTCTTATCATTGGCTAGCTTCACTAGAGTGATATTCGTCGACGCTTCCAGTCAAACCCAGTTAGAAACTGACTTGCGGCGGTCGATTCGAAGCTTAGGCTCCGAGTACAGCAAGATGACGTGGAAAGATGCAGTTACGTACCTGGACGGCAAAGAGAGGGGATGGTTGCTCTTCGTCGACAACGCCGACTCGGCAGAGCTCAACCTTCGCCCATATCTCCCTACCTCCATTCATGGGGCAGTTTTGATTACCACGAGAAACAGTCAGCGCATCGACTACGCTCCTGATGGTGCAGTTGCTGTCGGCGCTCTCGAGGAAAGCGAAGCGGTGAAGCTCCTTCACACAACCGCCAACGTCTCACCGGTATCCAATGCCGAGTCTGTGGAGATTGTGAACGAGCTAGGGATGTTGGCACTTGCGGTCACTCAAGCAGGGGTGTACATTCGCCAGACCCGGCGTCTCACGACATACCTGGATACATTTCGTAAGAGTCGGAATCGACTTCTAAGCAAGCAGCCCGACATTGGCTCAGAGTACACGTCGTCTACGTACACCGCGTTCGACCTATCTTTCCATAAATTACAGACAAGGACACAGGATTTCATCAAGTTGTGTGCGTTCCTTCACCACTCACTCATTCCGCTTGCTCTTTTTGAGCGGTCGACGACTTCTGGATTCTCCACTTATACAGTACTGGAGGAATGCCCTCCACCGGAGAGCGACAAGATTTTCATCTCAAAGCTACAGGAGATACTTGGGGAGACATGGGACGAGGTAGCATTCCAGGATATTGTCGACTCAGCGGCACAGGCGTCGTTTATCAATGTCTCGACAGACGGGGCATTCTACAGCATCCACCCTCTACTCCAGATGTATATCCAAGATTCTCTGGGTACAGAGGATAAAGGAGATTTCGTCCGGATGACATTACAATTACTACTTGGTGCAATTCGACCAGCAGAAGAGAGCAACGCACCGCTTTGGCACCTACTTCCTCACGCCAGCAGCATTCCTCGATCAGTGGTATCGGAGAATCTAGCGCACATACTGGCGTTCGATGTGCTCTATGATGCTTTAGGGAATTGGAGGGCATGTTGGGAGCTATTGGAATATTCCCTTGAAAGAGTTCGAGCAAAGCAAGGCGAAAGGCATAGCAACACGATGTGGGCGATGAGCAAACTCGCCGAGGCACTGTGGCACTGTGGTCAATTGAGTAAAGCAGAAAAGATGCAAAGAGATACACTTGCTCTGCAACTAGAGATCCTTGGACGAGAAAATCATGATACAATTAGGACAATGCACTGCCTTGCCCTGACCTTGCGTGGTCGTGGTCAGTTGGACGAAGCCGAAAAGATGCAGCGAGACGTGCTCGCTCTGCGGCTGGAGATCTCTGGACCACGGCATCCTGGCACCATCACGGCAATGAACAACCTCGCATTGACCTTGTGATCGTGGTCAGTTGGACGAAGCCGAAAAGATGCAGCGAGACGTGCTCGCTCTGCGGCTGGAGATCTCTGGACCACGGCATCCAGACACCATGAAGGCAATGAACAACCTCGCATCGACCTTGTGTGATCGTGGTCAGTTGGACGAAGCCGAAAAGATGCAGCGAGACGTGCTCGCTCTGCGACTCAAGATCTCTGGACCACGGCATCCTGACACCATCATGGCAATGAACAACCTCGCATCGACCTTGCGTGGTCGTGGTCAGTTGGACGAAGCCGAAAAGATGCAGCGAGACGTGCTCGCTCTGCGGCTGGAGATCTCTGGACCACGGCATCCTGGCACCATCAAGGCAATGAACAACCTCGCATCGACCTTGTGTGATCGTGGTCAGTTGGACGAAGCCGAAAAGATGCAGCGAGACGTGCTCGCTCTGCGGCTGGAGATCTCTGGACCACGGCATCCTGACACCATCCTGGCAATGAACAACCTCGCATCGACCTTGGCTGATCGTGGTCAGTTGGAGGAAGCCGAAAAGATGCAGCGAGACGTGCTCGCTCTGCGGCTGGAGATCTCTGGACCACGGCATCCTGACACCATCCTGGCAATGAACAACCTCGCATCGATCTTGCGTGATCGTGGTCAGTTGGACGAAGCCGAAAAGATGCAGCGAGACGTGCTCGCTCTGCGGCTGGAGATCTTGGACCACGGCATCCTGACACCATCATGGCAATGAACAACCTCGCATCGACCTTGCTGATCGTGGTCAGTTGGACGAAGCCGAAAAGATGCAGCGAGACGTGCTTGCTCTGCAGCTGGAGATCTCTGGACCACGGCATCCTGACACCATCATGGCAATGAACAACCTCGCATCGACCTTGCGTGGTCGTGGTCAGTTGGACGAAGCCGAAAAGATGCAGCGAGACGTGCTCGCTCTGCAACTCGAGATCTCTGGACCACGGCATCCTGGCACCATCATGGCAATGAACAACCTCGCATTGACCTTGCGTGATCGTGGTCAGTTGGACGAAGCCGAAAAGATGCAGCGAGACGTGCTCGCTCTGCGGCTGGAGATCTCTGGACCACGGCATCCAGACACCATCATGGCAATGAACAACCTCGCATTGACTTTGCGTGGTCGTGGTCAGTTGGACGAAGCCGAAAAGATGCAGCGAGACGTGCTCGCTCTGCAACTCGAGATCTCTGGACCACGGCATCCTGACACCATCAAGGCAATGAACAACCTCGCATTGACCTTGCGTGATCGTGGTCAGTTGGACGAAGGCGAAAAAATGCAGCGAGACGTGCTCGCTCTGCAACTCGAGATCTCTGGACCACGGCATCCTGACACCATCATAGCAATGAACAACCTCGCATCGACCTTGCGTGATCGTGGTCAGTTGGAGGAAGCCGAAAAGATGCAGCGAGACGTGCTCGCTCTGCGGCTGGAGATCTCTGGACCGCGGCATCCTAACACCATCCTGGCAATGAACAACCTCGCATCGATCTTGTGTGATTGTGGTCAGTTGGACGAAGCCGAAAAGATGCAGCGAGACGTGCTCGCTCTGCGACTCTAGATCTCTGGACCACGGCATACAGACACCCTCGGCGCATTCTATAATCTATCATATACACTGTATGACCTTTGTCAACCCGAAGAAGCTTTACAGTTTCTGGACAAGACGATGGACACACACCTAGAGGTCTTTGGCAAAGATCATCCAAACTCTATCTACAAAGAAACTTCTAGGATATATCAAATCCGCACAATCTCATACTATTCTGTAGGAGATATTGGACCCGACTCCTATCTCATCCCTTGGTCTATAACTGGATTGCTGTAACATACTTGCAATTGTATCATGTATATGACTTCTCGAGTACAATCGAAGAACGAAGCTATTCTGGAGCTTATTAAGCCAAAATGGACGAACCAGGTTGCCAGCAGTTATGTCAAGCAAACGAGGGATTTATTCTTCTGAACCCACGGTATGCCTTCACACTCGCGATGTACGTCAGTTATAATGTCAAGTTTCAAGACAAGCTCTAATTTATATATCCCAGAAGTCGAGATATTCTGACTGGCATACATTCAATTCGAAATCCGTCAGGACCTTGTTAGTTTCTCCCTGATAGAATGACTGACTGAAGACTAACATAAACACAAGCCGTTAATAACAGTATTGGCATTAA